CCATCCACTAACGCGAGGGCTTCGATCTTCCCCCATCGCGCTGTGATCCAGAGCCTGTTGTCTGGCTTGGTGCTTCGTACAGCAGCTACTTCGTGTTCGTCTGCTGGGAGGTCGTTGTAAGGCTTCTGCTTGCGCCAGTTCTTCCTGTACTGCGCAGCCTGTCTCCGTTGTTGTGGAGTTAAAGATTTCCGGGCCCCTCGGAGGGCCCTGAGCCGTTTCCCAAGCTCTCGTGGTGTTTCAAGGCGTCCCTGTCCGCACCTTGGCTTGCGGCGTCAATCGTCTGGTGTTCTTGGAGCCATTGGGCCGCCCATGCCTCAACTGGGCGCCTCTCGTTCCTTCGGGACGCTCTCGTCCTCTGGTGTGGCTTCCTCTGGGATTGCTGTTCCATGTATCCCCAGATTTTCTCGTCGGCGTGTGGTAGGCAGTCTGCGCTTCGGCATTCGTTGACTCCTACGCCCGCCATACAGCGTCGGGGCCAGGCTGCCTTGGGTTTAACCCTCAGCCTGCCCTCGTGAGTGCGTTGGGTGTCCCACAACATGCCTGCGGGAGCGTCGCCGCTGTCGTATACCCATCTGATGGGTAGGGGTTGCATTCCTTTTTCTTCCCTCGTGGGCCAGAAACTGTTGCGAAATTTGTCCTGGAAGTGGTACCGACATTCGTGCGCGATGCATTGGAACCAGGGCAGGTAGATGTGACTCTCTTTTCGTGGGTCCACCCGCTCGTGGTCTTCTGATAACAACTGGAATCCCTCCGTGTTGTTCTCGCCCCGGAAACCCCACCATTCGAGGTCGGAGGTTTGTCGTCCGGCGCGCACGATGTGCTGATGTCGCGTCCAGTATTCTTCCCAGCTCTGCTGTTTGCTTCCTTTCGCCGCATTCTGTTCCTGTGCGTAGTCGAAAAGTTGCTCGGGGTACCGTACTCCGTTTTCGTATCCTTCCGCCTCTTCGGTGGGTCCATCCCACGGTGTGTGGTGCGGAAGTGCCTGACGGATGTCGTCCTGCAAAGCCTGTGCCTCTCTTAATGTCTTTTCGACGTGATCCCCGGCCCTGTTGTTGGCCTCGGTGATCTCTTGGACTCGTTCCTTGGCGAAATCGAGTTCCGCGCAAAGTCGTCCGTACTGGTCGTTCCTTCTCTGGAGAAGTTGCTCGAGTTCTTCTTTCTCTCTTGACAACTCCTCGATCCTTTGCCGTTGGCTTAGGACCCTCTGCTGTAGGAAGGTGAGGTTCGGGCTGACTCCTCCTTCACCCTCGTGGGTTCGCCATTGCCCGTCCTCTTGCTGAACCAGGGTGATGCCCCAGTCCTCAGCGACTTGTCGGATGTACCGCGGGGGAGCCAGTTCTCCCTCGTCATCCGTTTCGATGAAAGCGTGATGGGCGGTGTCATTTCCCTCCTGGTGGTTGCTGCTCCTCAAGTCTTCTTGATCCGAGTCGGTGAGTTCATCGTCCTGCTCGATGACTCGGTCAATGTCGATTTCGAGGTCGTCCTGCGTGTAGCTGGCGGCTGCGACCTCCAGAAACCGGGTTCTTCTTCCGACCGTGTCTTGGTCGATGGTGGCAGCTTCCTTCCCTGGAACCGGTCTCCACCCTTTCTTGCTGCGGCAGTCACGTTTGAAGTGACCCTTCCTCCCGCAGTTGTAACAGGTGATGCCTGATTTGTCCTTGGCACCATCTCTCTTTCCTGCCCACTGTGCCTGGGCAGCGCTGACGTCCATGGGTCCCGAGTGCGTGCCGTATGACGTGCTCTGGTGCTGGCGTTTCTTTTTGTCGTTGGGCTTGTGGTAGCCTGCGGATCGCTGAACCTCGCTGCCCTTCTTCTGTTGTTTGCGGGCGAACTGTCGGTCGTCAATCTTGACAGCCATGGCGATGTACTCGTCGAGTGTGTCGGGTCGGCTCTCCTTGTAGAGCTCGTCCTTGACCTCCTCCTTCAGCCCTCCGTAGAACAGGTGCATCAGCCCCTCGTCGTCTATCTCTGCCTTCATGGAGTCTTGTCGGAAAATCGTGGCGTAGGCGGTGGCTGACCTAGTCTGCTTCAGCCGTCCTAGCCGTTCCTGGGCGTGTAACTTCTCGTCCTTGTCACCGAACACCTTCTGAATCTCACTCTCGAACTCGGAGTAGTTCTCGAAGACCTTTTTGGTGAAGGGTTTGTGGATTGCTCCGCCGAGGAAATCACTCAGTGTTCCCGTGAACCACTTGAGGGCCTTGTCCTTGAGTCGGGTGGCGGCGTATCTGGTCTTGGATTCCTCAGTGGCGAACTGGTGCGAGTTGTGGTCGAGATAGTTCCGCATCTCCGTGATCCAACCTGGCAAGGCTTCCTGGTCGCCCCCGTACTTCTCGGGTTGCTCCAATTTGACCTTCGTCTTGGCCGGGTCCTTGGTGTGGACCTCGGTCGCCGCAAGTCGGGCTGCCAATGCCGCGTTGCTGGCCTTGGTCTTCGCAAGCTCTTCTTCAGTTTCGTCGAGTCGTTCGGTGACTCTCTGAAGCGCGGCCGTGATCTGGCCCGGCGTCGGTTGAGTTGCCATGTCGTTTTACCTTCGAGCCTGAACTGTAACAGATCAAAGGGAGTTAGCAACGTGTGACGAACCTGTCTCTGGACCCGTCCTGTTAGGGTTCAGTATCGGTCGAAGGTATTCTCTCAAGGGTGCTTAGGTTCGGTGCAGCCAAAGGGTGCACAACAAAGACTTGTCTCAACAGTAGGCTCTCGAGCTTGTAGCGAACTGTAGTTGTGAATTGCTAACTGGAGAACTCCCAGAGCTCTCCAGAACGAGTGACTATATACTATCTAATTCCTGGGTGGATATGCCTCCACGAGAGTATATCCTGGGCGGATATACTCGCTATGGTCCATACCGTTCATATCCCTGGATATGCCTTCCTTGGCATCTATCCAGGGTGCTGCATGCCCTGGTTGCAATGATTGGTCCGGGCCGCCTCCTGGGCGTTCCCCTCTGGTCCGCATGCATGCGGCCCAGTCCGTGACATATTAGGAATAGTTCAACTCTAAAGGTTTTACTCTGGCGATATATAAGCTATTGAGATATTAAAAGTTATCCACAACTTTAAGATTAAACTAGAGGTTGGCTACTTCCAATACGATAACATATCTTCAAACGATACTTATATCGCCGCTATCCTCCTCAATATCCAACAACCTTCCTAACTCCAATCTCCCGATAAGAAGAAGCAACGACAACTACACTATCTCAGCTATATTATCAATTTCGGTACGAAAGCCTTTATTAAAGCCAACAATAAGGAATAGAGGGAGGAGGATAGTTATAGACCGATTAGAAGACTTTATCGTATTATCTACTATATTCACCGTAGCCTACAGCGATATAAGACATTTAATAAAGCCGCCGAGATAGAACGGATCTCGGTAGCTGTAATTAGCAACTTTAATATCCTATTATTAGGCCCAGAATACCTAGTTTAATTATAATTAGTTGCTGATAACGATATATGTTGGAACTCGGTCTTCCTAATAATCAAATACACCTTTAAACTTAGAGGGGTAGTTGACTTCTTTTATATAGCCGAGAGGGATGGTCTGGCCGACTCTCTAAGTAACGAAGACTAGCTGATGCTAATTGAGATCCAAATAATCTTAAAGCTATTTATAACTATAATAAAGTTATTGGAAGGAAACGGATTAACGATGCCCAGCATCATTCATACAGTCCATTCGCTATTTAATAGCTTAGAGGTTAATCTTATTTACTTTAGCACCTCCTAAACAATAAACGTGCCCCCCCCAGAGATCTTAGAGATAGCACTACCTCCTACCCCCTCTCAACAACCCTAATAATATACTACCTTACCACAGCACTTAGATAGCTATAAGGTTAATCATCTAAGCTAGCGAACGATAACCATATTATAGGAAGAGGCTAGCAATAAACTAGCACCTCCTTTAGCTCTATTACTTTTAGTAGAAATAGATAGGATATAGTTTATCCGGGCAGGTATTAGAGCCACCATTATAAAGCTTAAGGAATATTGTAACCTTCTTAACGATTCGTCAGTATATTAGTTTACGATAATCTTATATCCAAGTTACAAAATACTCTAGATATAGAAGAACCTCTAGCTATACTAAGTTAATAGCTATATTACCAGCTTAAAGCAATGCTTTAAAGACTAGTACATATATATCAAAGAGGTTATTATTAGTAATACGGCTATATAGGAGGAACAGGAGGAGGAGGAGCAGGATAACTTCTTCGCCAGTTTCAACTATTAAGATAACGACAGTGACGATCGCAACGAAGTCGACCGCTATCTATCTAAGCCACCCATCAAAATTAATAACCTGCTAGATTAGTAGAAGTTGAACGTTATATAGTTTCCCCAGCTTTCTATAATAGTGTTTAACTATCTCTCTATCCCAGCGATATCTTCCAAATACAAACGGATATTCAGTCGCGCCAAACATACAATAGTCCACCAACAACACGCACTTCACTCGGATATAATCAACATACTCCAATATTTAAAGAATTGGGTAAGAAACAGCGAGTTCTGAAGCGCTAGCATTAGTTGTTAGGGATACAGATATCGGCTAGGGCCAGGGGTAGGGGGGTCAGGGGCAGGGGGGTCAGGTGACCAGGGGGGCCCAGTTTATAGTTGTATAGTTAGAAAAAAATACGATTTGAAAGATCTGAATTTTATTGCGTTTTTGAGCGATTCAGCGGATTGCAAGATCGTTTAGTTTGACTGCGTTTTGATGGATTGATAGATCTGATGGCTGTAAGTCAGGAAGATCAAGGAGAGGGGGTGGTGGGGGTTAGGGTTATATATGGGATTTGATTTGACCCAAGGCAAACAAATTCAAACAAGTCAAATTTGGCCAACTCTGGGCCAAATCAACGCAAATGGGCCTTCATATTTGGTTTGTTTGCGTTGTGGGGAACCTTGACCTAGGTAGGTAGTCTCAGACACGGAGCAAACCCAGATGGGGGTTTCGTAGCCGGCCATCTCCCCTCGCACAACGACGGGAGCTGGCCGGTGAGCTTTTGGCTTTTTGGCCCTGTACTAGTTTTCTTGTTGGATCCTCGGTTTCAAACATTACCTGGTACATGTACCTTACGGTCACTCGCACAAAGCACGGTCTGGTCATCATCGAACACCCTAAGGCTCTCTCTAAACACGAACTATGGCGCTATCTACCATCTGGTTCAACGTGCCCTCCACTTTACAGACGTCACTACTGCAGCTCAGCCGAAAGAGTCAATTGTGGAGGGACCTGTCGTCGGCGAGGGCCCCGTTGCCAAGGCCAAACATTGCCGCTTCCGGAAACCCGAACCGGCCTCGTATCCACTTTTCCGGCCCCGGTCCGGGACTCGATCCGGACTTGATTCGAGACTTGGGCTTCACAAGTACAAACACGACAGTGAATTCGAGGGCGGTCACGATATCGGCGCTATTGTTTGTGAGGTCGATGCTGCCGAGAGCCTCATTGTCCGGGGCATCGAACGGGGGATCTGTCCTGACCGTCTCCACAAACCCTGGTTGCAGAACGGGTCCGACTCGCTTCGCTGCGCGGATCACGATTTCGCCCGGGGACTTTTGGTTCGGATGACGAGGCCACGAGGAAGTCTGCCCGTGAGCGGACGACAAACACCGCATTCTCGGCTGTGGGACGAGTGCAGTGCAAGGCTCTCCCCTTCCCGGTACTCAAGACAAGTGCAGGCTTGAACTCTCGCTGAGCCTCAACCCCCTGAGGAACAAGCTGGCGGGCTATGATTTGTCTGAGGTGTTTCACCATGTGCTCTGGGCTCTCGAGGCTCTTCCAAATTCCATGTGGTCAGTCAGGCTGCGCAGACAAAGAACGCGGTGGGCCTATGGGTATGACAGGCCCATCTTGTGGATGTGTTTTGGTTCAGAATGGACAGGGCACAGTATCGTCTGGGTTCGGTTGCCGACCCTCTCGGGGAAATTGAGCCTTGTATATTTTTTAGCTGTTGGTCGGGTGGTTTTGAGGCTATGAGAACATGAACTCGCACGAGTGGATTGGGCCGCATATGCAAGGACATGCAAGCTTGGAGGCTTTGCGGTGGGCGGCCAGGTTTCTCTCAAGATTGGTTGAGTTAGCATATCTTGCCTTTCCCGTGCATGTTGGGGAGTATTATATCCCCGAATGCCTCACCACGATTCCGAGCCTTGTCGAAGATTTGGTCGTATCTGGCGTGGCGGTGTTCCATGAACTGTCTGCCTTGCATGCTGCCACGTCGGATCTGCATGAGCCGGGTTGCCTCGCGTCCAATACCGTGCCGGAAGCGCCCAGAAGCTGCAAAATGCACCACCGAATGCACAGTTCTTCAGGCATCGACTCGCGAGGCTCTGCAAGCCATTGACGACCTTGACCTATTCGCCCCGTCATTACCCCATTTCGAGCCCGAACCATTTTGTATTTGCTTTAAGGGGGCCTTGAAAGAAATGGAGCACTAATAGTGCCTACTCAAAGATCAGGGATTCTGGCGCTGAAATCTGCCAGCACCCAGGCTGCCTCCCAACAATTGCTCGTTGGTTCCTCACGACAGATCAGTCAGAGTGTTCCAACACAGTTTTGTTCACATCGACAGCAGGCAACCACACAAAGCCATTCCAGTAACCATGAAGCCTCGAGAGACCTCAATCTCAACCCAACAGCTTTCACAAGGCCCACCATTCCCCCCCGAAGCGGAACTCATCCACTGGAAGCCACCACCAAGCGACCCCGGCACCCCCAACCACGAGAGCCAGGCCACCCCATCCGACGACGCCTTCACCAGCAGCCTCCCCACCATCTTCATCGACCCATCCAGCGAACGCATCCTGCCCACCACCTCGCACATCCAAACCTTCCTCCACTCGGACCTCTCCTTCACCAAGCTCGACCGCGCCTACCGCCACCTCTGGTGGGCCGGCCGGCAGTTCCCCGCGCGCCCGCTGCACCGCCAGGTGCACGAGCTGGGGCGCGCCGTCGCGCTCACCAGCCGCGCCGACCTGCACCTGGTGTGGTGCCCGCGCACGCGCCGGCTGTTCGTCAAGCCGCTGCCGGCCTACCTGCTCTCGCACGCCTGCTGGGCGCGCCGGTTGAGTGGTGGTGGTGGTGGTGGTGGGGCGGATGGGGAGTTGGAGGCCAGTGCGCGCGGGTTCTTGCTGTCGTATATCTGGCTGGTGCGGGACGAGCTGGATTGGGCGGTCGCGCGGGATGCGCGGCTGCTGCCGGATGGGGTGAGTTGGGTGGCCTGGCGCGGGTTTGTGGAGGCGGTGGTGAGGGGGGGTGGGTTGGATGTGAATGGGTTGGTGGGTGTGCATAGGCGGTTTCATTATGGCGAGTTGAGGGTGAATAGGCTGGATCATCTGTATCGGTTCGGCTATCGCTTGGATGGGCAGCAACTGCTCAGGGGTTACGGGGGGTTGCTGTCGCCGAGTTATAGCGACTTCTTTCGCAAGCGGTTTGGTTGGATTATTATCGCGTTTGCTTTCTGTAATACCGTGTTGTCGGCGTTGCAGGTCGGGCTCGCTGCGGATCCTTTGAGGCCTTCTAAAGCGCTGCAAGATGTTTCAAGCGGGATCGTTGTTCTTAGTTTGGTTGTTCTGGCTGTTACCGTTGTGGTTATTTTCGTTTTGTATTTCGGGTTATTCCTGTTCTTTTTGGTGAAAACGCTGCGGAATACGGCGGCTAGGGAGCAAAAGAGGAAGATATGGATGGGTGGAACGAGAAGCGAGAGTAGTATTTGAGGGGTTTAGGGGATTGTTCATATCAGGGGAATAGATATGAACTCATAGTGCTGGCGGGTTGGGCTTCTATTTGGTTAGACCCGGGCCAGAGGTCAGCAGTTTCCAAGTTCGGACCACCGTCTCTTACAACCAGCCCCGTATGAAGCCGGTACGTGTGAGTGCTGTTTTGGCCCCCGACGGCAGCTTCCCTTATGAAGAACTTTACCATGGCACTCAACAAACACTAAAGTATGTATTGAATTGTATCTAAAATAGACCGAAATATCAGAGCGCGTTGGTTTCCTTTGTTGCTGTACACCCATAGACGAGTGGAAGTTCCATAACAGGGAAGAATTCCAACACAGTTATCATTTAACAAGGTATAATACAACACTTTATCTAAGCCAGTATCACGAATGTGGATACCCCTAATAGTTGGCTCACAACTCGGACACACCCCTCTCGAGACCCAGTTCTAGCGTAAAACGGATACCCATAGCAAACATCCACACCCGCGGATCGATAACAACATCCTGCTTCTGCAGCTCTTGAAGCCGACTCTCCAGCTCGAGCAGCGGCACCTGCAGCTCGACGGCAAATTCCCCCTTATCCAAGCGCTGCTTCCCAGCCTCTGCCCCCTCCTTATCTCGCGCGTGCACAAAGACGGCCGCCAGCCGAGCCGCAATGGGCACGGGACCCGAGGTCAGCGGCGGGCTCGTGTTGATGACGGTGCCTGTCTTGGTTGTTTCTTCTTCTAGTTCCCTGATCGCCGCCTGCTCGGCCGTCTCGGCCCCGGTGCGGTCGATGAAGCCGGCGGGGAACTCTATCGTGTCGGATTCGTACTGCGGCCGGAACTGCCGGACCAGGATGGTGCACCACCGGTCCTGGTTGTCCTTGTAGATGTTGGGGATCAGCGTCCCCACGGGGTTGTGTAGGTTCTGGTGCCGGAGAAAGATGTAGTCTCGCTCTCGCTGGGTTTTGGTCTGATCTCTGGGGTCGATGTAGGTGATGGTGCCGAGCCCTTGGTATTTGCCGTGTGAGATCAAGGTCCTGTTTAGGATGTAAGGGGATGGCCCTCTGCATAATTCTGGCAGCAGGGCTAGCGGCGTTGACTCTGCGGAGGTCATCGTGATAGAGAAGCGTGGTGTGATTCCCAATGAGGGAAATACCCGCGTAGAATAGAAGCTGACTTCATTGGGTTAAAGCAAAATTTTGAGTACCTACGTTAGTTGGGCTCTCCTGATTGCCTCCTATGCCTCACTGCAAGTAGCCTTGCTGAACTTGGTGTCTTCAGAGTGCCTCGTCGGAAGCCCGGTGGCGAGGGTCACAAATAGACTAATGCATGTGGGCTGTGCGGCCTGTGCCAGGCCCCCTGTGCCCAGGATGGGGGGTGGGGGGGTGAGGCGGGTTCATTCGCCATCGAGTCTGCATCGTGTGTAGCACAAGACAGACGGTCAGAAAATGAGTTTGCGAAGCCATTGAGGATCCTTGGCAGAATCGGTCCGTTATTGATCGGCTGTCATTGGGGGCCTCATCGGCGAGATCGACTGCCAATCTTTCGAATCCCCCAGTAGGGTCGTGCTGAAGCCCGGGCCGCATGTCTGCACGCGAGGGGGTGACCATTGGACGCCGACGCGCCACGGCCCTCTGCGTGGGGTTTCAAGGTAACGTTAGGCCGTGAGCTGACGTGCCGCTGAGCCTCTTGAGAATTGATCTCGCAGCTCTCGCAATACACATCGATATGAACTATTCGTAACCAACAGTCCATCGTACTTGTCGCGCTGATATCGGCCTGTAAAGCGCACAGCGTTCACAGCCCAGGAACGGGTTCGTAGACGGCCCATCCATCGCCCGGCGCACCATCCGCGGCCGAAGGTTGAAACCGCCATGGACTCGACCAACACCGTCGTCCCCATTCTCGCTGCAGCCGTCACGATTTGTTCTTACCTTTGGTTTCACAAAAAGCTCACACTTTCCCCAACACCCACTTCCACTCAGCCAACTCGGGTGACTGTTCGCGTGCGTGGTATACCCCTGGATTGGGGAGTCTTGGAATTGCAATCGTTTCTCGCACGCGACTCGCCTGACTCGTGGCTGACCATCGGATCCCTGGCTCCTGAGATCAATGGCCGCTCGTGTACAGCCACCGTCGCCTTCCCAGCCGGACGCTCCTGGAAGGTCCCTCCACTTGTCCCGGGCTCGGGTCTGTCCAATACCCAGATTACGCTTGACGATCGGTTTCTCGGCATCACTCCTCTCTTCACCCCCTCGGAGGACCACCACAAGGTGGAGTATGTAACCCGGCCGCCCTTATAGTAGCGTGCTGACCGTCCTAGCATCATTGCCATCTCCGGCCTCGGCGGACATGCGTTCGGATCCTTCAAGCAGAGGGGTGGAGAGCACATGTGGTTGAGGGACGCACTTCCGCATGCCATTACCGGGGAAGATGGCAAGACGCCGTACGCGCGCGTCATGATTTATGGCTACGAATCGGGTCTTCTGGACGGCCAAAATACGCAAAACATTGAAGACCTCGCAATATCGTTCCACGACAGCCTTCTGTCGCTGGTTACGGCTACTGCTACAGCAAAGCCCATCATATTTATTGCCCATAGCCTAGGCGGGTTGATCGTAAAGCAGGCGAGTTCACTCAGAGCTATCCGTTGGCTGATAATCTAACCGAAGCCTAGGCTCTCATAAACTTGTCAAAGTCCACCGGCGATGACCACCAGAGACTCCTTGGAGCCGTCTATGGCATTGTGTTTTTCGGTGTCCCACACGATGGGATGGATATCACATCGCTCGTCCCGATGGTGGAGAATGGGCGGAACCGGTTCCTCCTCGAGTCCATGGGGAATATAAGTTCACAAGTCCTCACCATTCAACAGCGGGAGTTTCCCCACGCGTTAGGGACCGAAGACAAGTCGGAGGTTGTTTGTTTCTTCGAAACCCGCGAGTCACCCACGGTCGTGGAGGTATATCCAGTGTCTCTATATAATATGTCGTACCACTAACCTATATCTTGCGTAGATCAAGGGCAAGTGGCAAATGAAAGGACCGCCAGCGGTTCTAGTGAGCAAGTCGTCTGCCACGCATTGTCGGCCGTGGGAGAACGGGCCCGACCATATATGCCCTATTAATCGTACCCATTCTGAGATGGTCAAGTTTGGGCCCCACGATCACGAATACGACAAGGCTCTGACACGAATTCGGGGTGTTGCTCGGCGGGCACTTGTAATACGGCACCCAACTTTGTCGGCGTCGGCTCAGCGATGCTTACGATCGCTAGGCTTCCCGGAAGTAGACGCACGATTTCACGACATCAACCCCGCTACCCAAGGAACATGTGAATGGCTCCTTGAACACGCAACGTACAAGAGCTGGGCCTCTTCCTCTCGAGGTCTACTCTGGATCAGGGGGAAACCCGGTTCTGGCAAGTCGACATTGCTCAAGCACGCCCTCAGAAATACCATGAAAACAACCGAACCACTGAACCGGGCCCTCGTACTCTCCTTCTTCTTCCATGGTCGCGGTACTGCGGAACTCCAAAAAACACCACTTGGGCTCTACCGATCGCTCCTTCATCAAATCCTTCGGCAAGTCCCCGACGTTCTCGGACGTTTCGTCGACAGCTTCGACAGGCGGCTACAGGAAAAGGGGGAACCGGGAAAAGAATGGGAATGGCACCAAAACGAGCTGTGGGACGTCTTGGAGTCGTCACTTCCGGTGGTCTTGCAGACCCGCCCCGTCTGGCTCTTCATTGATGCATTGGACGAAGCTGGTAGCGAGAATGCATGCCACATACTTCAAAAAGTCAAGTCATTAATAGTCGGAGGGGTCGGAACGGTTGAAGGGATGCCATCCACTCCCCGACCATTTCGCCTTTGTTTCTCTTGTCGCGATTACCCTGTTCTTGAGGAGGATTTCAAAGTTTTCATCAAACCCACGGCCAACAACCAAAACGATATCTCAACATATGTACAAAGCCGGCTCGCCGCATCCAAATTAAGCCAAACGGAAATTCCAACGTCGATCGCGGAACGCGCTGACGGCATTTTCATGTGGGCTCGTGTCGTGGTGGATCGAGCCCTGGACCTGTTCAGAGGCGGGAAGTCACTTTCGAGCATCGAAAAAATGGTCGAAACTACGCCACCGGAACTGGTTGATTTATACCGGATGCTTCTCAAAGACATCAAGACCGACGAAAGGCTAGCCTCCCTGAAGTTGATCCAATGGACTTGTTGTTCCCTAGAGCCCCTTTCGCTCGACGAACTGCGATGGGCCATGATCGTCGACGCCGACATTCGAGGCTCACACAACTCGCTGGAGAAGTATCGGGAAGAGGAAGACTTCACGCACGACAACGATGCCATGGAAAGGAAAGTGACGACACTCAGTCGCGGCCTTGTTCAGGTCGCGCTCTCATACGACACCCGGGTTGTCCAATTTATCCACCAATCAGCCAAGGACTTCTTCGTCGAGGAGGGTCTGAGGCTTCTAACTTCGGCCGTGACCGATGCCTCCGCGACTGATGCCATTGGAGTGGCGCATTATCAGCTGTCCAGGACCTGCATAGGTTACTTGGCAATGGAGGAGATCGGTCGGGCAATGGAAACATGCCTCGATCCTAACACTCTAAGGATCGGCTTTCCTCTACTCCGCTACGCTACAGTCTCGTGGACGGAGCATGCCAAACAGAGCGAGAAAAAAGGGGTCTCTCAAGACGATCTTCTAGACTATTTTGGCTGGACGTCAAATCATCTTCTAGACCGATGGGTGAACTTGAAAAGGATAGTAGGGAGCTTGCTTACCGCGGGCGGGCTAGATGGACGCGGGCTAACCATGATTCACGTAGCATCGCGCTACGAGTTAATGGGGTTGCTGCGCACAATCCTAGAAAAGTCTAGACAGGTTAACGTTGGCATCAACGCTGTTGATGAGCATCACCGGACGCCGCTCTGGTGGGCTGCTCAAGAGGGGCGGGTGGCCGCTATGCGGGTATTGCTCGATCACGGGGCAGATACTGAAGCCAGGGATAACCAGGGTCTGACACCACTCTTGCGGGCTGCTAGAGGCGGGACGGAGCTCGCTATACGGGTATTACTCGATCACCAGGCGGATATTGAAGCCAGGGATGCCCGGGGTTTGACGCCGCTCTCGTGGGCGGCTACTAGCACGGAGCGGGGGAGCGAAGCTGCTATACAGGTATTGCTCGATCACGGGGCAGATATTGAAGCCAGGGACAACCAGGGTTTGACGCCGCTCATGTGGGCTTTAATAATGTGGCCTGTGAGGGAAGCTGCTATACGGGTATTACTCGATCACGGGGCAGATATTGAAGCCAGGGATAACAAGGGCCTTACACCACTGTCGCGGGCTATAATAATGTGGCCGGGGGGGGAAGCTGCTATACGGGTATTACTCGATCACGGGGCAGATATTGAAGCCAGGGATAACGAGGGCCTTACACCACTCTCGCGGGCTGCTAGAAACGGGGATGAGGCTGCTGTACAGGCGTTGCAACGTGCACGAGGCCATCAAATAACGTAGGAGCGGATTTCGAGAGAGGTGTTAATGGGAACCATACCGAACTCTGATCTATCTGGAGCCCAGAGGAATTAAACTTTCTCCGTTTACTTTTCTTTTGCCTCATTACTTTGCTTGATCCCTCCATTCATTTTGAGTTCTGCTTTTGTTTGACCAGAGGGTGCTAGCTTCGCGCCACTCACCATAACAGATGGTTTTAGCCTACGGTTACGGTACGAATGACGATTGAATTAACACATCCGTGTTGATTCCTTCACAAGAAGTGTCCTCGCCGCGAGGGCGTTGCGGAAGTGTACCGGCCGGGTCCAGTGAGCTATATGTTAGTGTGGGCGTTTAGGGTGCCCACGGGCTGAGGAGTTTAGAGAGTGTGGATATGTAGCGGCGAGTGTAGGGGAGTTTGTAGTCGTGTCGGCCGGGGAGGGGTGGGAGTTGTGGGTGAAGGGTGCGGTATGGATACGGGGTGAGTGAGATGATCGTTGTGGTAATTGCTGGGTATATGCTACTTGTTATGTTGCTATCGATAGCTTGAATGATCAAAACCGCCGGCAAATGGTATCAATAATCATTGGTAGAACCTGGATTAGACTTCGTGATGTGAAGATGGCAGATGGCAAGCAAACAAAGATTGAGAAGCCATGAACCAAGTGCCAAGGCCGAACATTGCCGCTTCAGGAAACTTGAATCGGCCTTGTGTCCACTTTTCCGGCCCGGGTTCGGGATCCGATCCGGGCTGCTGGGCATCTCCCGGGGAAAGCCTAAACTACTAGGTCGAAGACGTTGGTTCGTGAAAGAACCACCTGCATGATATGCCTAGATAAGGGTTGCGGCAGAAAGGAGACAAAAAACTGGAGAGCGATCCTCTTTCTTCCCGTCTTCCGAGGACACGGTGTTAAGGTAATGTTGGAGAAAGCCAGTCAAGACCAGACTGTTAGAAGAGTCACCAGGAGAGTTATTACAAAAGTGTCTTCTGTGTTTGTTGCGTTATTGTGCCCATCATTGTTCTGTTCACTCCCAGTCAGAGTCCCCATCTGTCGCCGTGTTTGAGCGGTTGCTTGCATGTGGTCACTCCACCCACACCGAGGCACCAAAGGTCCAAACAAACGCATGCGCATGCCTATGAGCAAACGCCCGAGTTGTAAGATGATTTGAAATGCTGCTGTTTCCGCTTTTCGTCTCAGACCATCGTCATTCTTCGCTTCTCGCACCAACAGCTCCACGACAATGTCACCAGAGCCGGGTTCCATCCAGGCTATTCTACGCCAATATTGCCGCTCTCAACTCTATGTCCACCCAATACTTTGGACACAAGAGCATCTGAGGCTTTTGGAGTGCCAGTTCGTTCGCATTGAGCCGCCCACAAGAGGGCAGGGGCGCGACGGCGACGGAGCTGATGCCCCAAAAGAGAGCACAGAACAGCGAAGGCTTCAGCGAGGACGCATTCGTATTCTGGAACGTCTGAGCATGTCGGCATCACGAGAGGAAAGGAATAAAAGGCTGATGAACTTCCTCGAATCGTACCATACTCACTACTCTTTCCAGTAAGCATCCAGCCCACCCCTGCGCTCCGCCCCATACTCCTACTAATACCTCCCATCTTAGAGATGGGAGTCGTTTCCCTTTTCTCATGGACGAGAACACTGCCGCCACTGTCGACGTGGATGCAGTCTTCCACACCGGTTCCGAAGATTCTCCCAGAAGCCCTGTCGTCCGCCTTCACCTCGACACCGTCGAGGACCTCCGGAAGAAGCGGTACCGCCAATGGGACTCTACGACCAACGAGCCACTTGCAGACCACTGCCGCCGGAAGCTCCGTTTACTCACGCCGGCGGACACCGCAGAGGATCCCTACCTGGCGGCTGTCTTGATTGCCATGGCACAAATGCAGCGCATGACGCAAACCCAGCAAGCAACAACGTCGTGGACACCTCCCGGCTCCGATGAGGCACCCATGCCGGTAGATACGACACCGACCGCCTTCAAGGTATGCCCGTAGCCACCCCGTTGATAAAGGTTGTCCCCATCGCTAACCCACCCCAAAGGTCCACCTCATCGTCCTCTCCAGCCAACAACCGGCGGAGTTGTACCTCTACCAGGCCTCCATCCCCTCCGCCTTTCTCGATAAATTTGAGAGGACCTCGTGTGCCTCGCCCTGCGGCCCTGTTCGGATCTTGTATGACAAGTTTTCTCTGCAGCATCCGCAAAGGCTGGTGGAGCAATTCCCGCGGGTACTTGGCTGGGGACCTAAACAAGGTCAGGTTCGCAAGGCGGGCGGAAGCTCGTCTACCGTGGAGGGTGACGGCGGCACGGAGGACGAGTGGAGCACGGAGGATGATGAGGGGGGGGAGGAATGGGGTTGGGAAGAATGAGACTGAACGGGGGCTACGACGGCCATGGTGACTCCGTCGTGTTGAGCTAGGTGCTGCAGGAACACATGGCAACGAGGCAACTAACAGTTCATGTTATTAATCAAGCAAGTCTCACGGTGATGGAGTGACAGCTCGCTACTAGGTATAACACTGTGAAGACAACATGCAGGAAATACGTGTCCTCTCTTAGTGGACCAACTAGCATATAATGCCACCAGCTCTTGCTTTCAATACTCCCACCTCTTGACGTCAATCACTCTTTGCGCACGCAGAACCTCATTCACATACCAACGTTAAGAAACCTCTCCAAAAGCCAACATGTGCTTCTGGCAAAGAACGGCCTGGGGCTGTGGCTGCGAAACCATTGACTCCCCTCAGCTCGACGGCTGTTGTTGTGATGGTTCAGGGGTTGGCAACTGCCCCTTCACACGCTACGATTCCTGGCTCGTCATCGGGGAGACCTGCCCGAGCTGTTCTGAAGAGGCTACGCGGCGTCGGCGCAGACGCGGGCATTATTAGGTCATGTCGGGGAGCACTAGAATCCGAATTTGATGGGGAGAATATGGCGCAACTTGTCGAATGTGGTAGGGCCTACTTCTGCGAGCGTTGTATTATGAATAAATGCTGCCTGGTTTGGGCTTTGTACTGGCATTTATAGGAGACTGATATTGGGTTTCGAGTTGGTGGTATGGAATACAATTTCGGCGTATCCAGGAACCGTGATCATATGACTACCTACCTATACATTGATCACAAACGAATCGTCGTTTTACGTTCATATCACCCAGTACCTATCCAGCCGCTTCATGTGACCGTCTCGGCCAACACACCGCACTTGCTGCTTTCCTCACATGATTTCAAGTTCGCATTGTAGATACACAACCTTTCTCGTGGCGCTGACAGCCATCACGCCGGTGTTCAACAGGGCGCATGGCCACGTCGGCGTCCCCCTATTTGTATAAAACAACACCACCTTCCCTTCATAGCATTCACACACGCCCCCTAAATCTCCACATCGACCACCACCGCCGCGCGAAACCGACCTCTCCACATCCTATTGCCGTCACAAACAATAAAAACCCACAAGTCCCATACACATAGACCAGCATGTGTACATGGACGCCGCGCATCTGGGCCTGCGGCTGCCGGTATCCCCCCCGGGTCGAAAAATGTCCGGGGCGGCAAGCAGGTGAAGCGTGCACATGGACCCACTGGCTTCCAACAGTCTTGGTTCCTGATCAGTACTGCGCGGTTCATAAGAAGAGCTGAGTTGCCGGCGACGCGGCATGGTCTGCATGCCTTTGAGAGATGGGAGAGGTCCAACCAAAGTTGGGTGGTGAAATGGGTCGTAGGCGGGGAGGGTGGTGCAGGGAATTTGGGGGTTCTTCGATGTGAATGAAGCTTGTGTGTGTGGTGGTTCATCAGCCATAGCTTTCCTTTGCCTGGGGGCTGGAGGTAGTATGGCTATTCGATGCGCGTCGGTGTGTTATTGGCGACAGGCAGGCGAGTTTAGAAAACAAAGGGGATAGAAAAAAGCTTGTAGCTTTGTAGGGAATTGAAGCGCGGACATGAAAAGCCACAAAATGACAAAAGCCAGAGTCGAAACCAGGGGCGGCTTATTTTTGCACGATCCGCAGTGTGGTGTCCCGGTGGCTCCCACAAGTTGCGGTTATTACCACTGCGCTACTGGCTTCGACTCTGGCTGCGGGAAGGAGGGCGCAGGCAAGATTATAACCCATTGCAGGTCGAACGAAGCTCAGGTCCGAGTCGAGGTTGTGCGGGAAGGTACCAAAGTTGGGACGGATGAAGGTGGTGAGAAGGGTGGACAGGACTAGGGCTGGTGGGTCAACAAAAGAAATACTGGAAGGTTATGAATTGGAATGGGACGAAAGCTAAAGACGCCTAGAGTGAGGAGAACAAGTATCGGGGTGGAAGCATAACTGAGGTACAAACAGGAATCCCATATACAAGACTACACCATGCCAGCTGCTACCCTCCCTCCTCGTTGCAAAAGCACACGTCATAACCTGCCAGATGCCCATGAAAGAAACTAGGAGACGAACCCCGAGTTAAAACACACCAAAACGCCACGCCATACACCCCTAATCCCGCCCGATAACACATCCTCTACACAACCATCCAACCCCCAATCCCCTCGCCACCTCGCTCTCCCAACACAACCAACTTTCACGTATACCGTCCTCACCCCACCTCCATCCCAACATCCACCCCCCTCCCACCCCAACCTTCCCTAGCCACCCAAGTACTCAACAACAACAAGCCCCCCCATCCGCACAAAACGCACCCCCCCCTCCTCCCAAAACAACACCCCCCCTGACTCGAGAAACAGCACCCGCCCGTCTCACTAAAACAGCACCCGCCCGTATCACTAAAACAGCATCCCCCCCTCGTACTGAAGCAGCAGCCGGGACTATCCTCCAGCTCGGCCAGCGTCTTGGCGTCCATCTCCCACCCCCCGCCGCATTTCTTTTGGGTCTGGTCCTCGGTGGTCATGGGTTGGGTTGGGTGGTAGCCTTGGGATTGTTGGGGGGGTTGTTGGAGGTGGGGGGCGGTGGAGGTGCTGCTGCGGGGGGGGAGGGTTTGGGTTATTCCGTTGTTGTTGGTGGTGGTGGTGGTGGTGGTTGTGGTTGTGGCGGTTTCGTAGGAGGGGGGTGGTTGGTCGGGGATGGCGTCGTTGGGGAGGGGCGATTTGGAGGATTTGGGTGCCATTTGGTGTTGGGTGGTTGTTGATGGTTGTTGGCTGGGTTGGTGTTGATTTCCAGGTTGTTTTACTTTTTGGGGTTGTGGAATGGTTCTATGTGGGTGGTGTGTTTGCTGGCGGCGAGTGGATATAAAAGGCGTCCTCAAGGTTTTGAGCATCTTGCCCAGACCTTGGATGAAGTCAGCCCTGACCTCGGTCCTTGGAGGCGGACTCTGAGTGGCGGGAGCGGTCTGCTACCATGGCTGCCAAGTTGACCTGGCACCGATTTGGCAGCGAAGGATGACCCGGACGCGTCATCCTCGCCAAGAGGGTCTCTCCCAAACCTCGAGCAGGCCTCCAATCAGTCTCCCCGAGCACGAACTCTTCGACGTGGCCGCCTCCGACGTGCACCGCCGTGCCTTCGCAACTCTCGCATGAGGTGCTGCCGCCATAGCCGAAGTTCGGGGAGATTATGAGGAGTCTGACATAGGTACCTAGTACCCACCTATTTAACTTGCCCAAGCCACGTAAACGTCAATAATCAACAAAGCTTCTCTTCCTTCACCCTGGTTCTTGTCTGTTATCTGCCCAGACATGGATGTGATATCAGTCAACCTCATGCTCCGAGGGCCCAACAGATGGACAAAGCGAAACGCCCGGATACATGTAATTACCCACGGGGCCACTCTAGTTCTAGCCTCGACGAGCCCACCACGGAGCTCAACGCTTGGGTCCCGATCCTTATTTCGTTAAGAGAGTTAGTATAGATCTGTCTATAGGGAAATCCGGATGTGTTGGGAACTAAAAAGGGTACACTTACTCCGGCTTAGGGGAGCTCCGGGGATCCCAAGGGGCCCAGACTAAAATAGGAACTAAGGTACCGATGTAAGAATAAACGAGTGGAATGTCGCACGTATACATGTATATATCAACACTGTGAATTATCATATGCAACGGATGGGCGTATTGACATTGTCGGATTTCTAGAAAAGAAACATTGAACTAATTATATTAGTACAGCCTCACCGGAGCATTTCGAAGACGGATGAGTTATGCCACCAACATGACGAGCTCGGGGTGTTTCATCGAGATCGTTTTGCTCCTTATCAGCGCCCTGCTCGACAAGGAACTTGCTAACTACCTTACCTACGCGGCGCCCAGCCAAGTGCAATGGCCTGTTACCAACATAATTCTTTGCTCCCTTCTCAGCGCCCTGCTAGACAAGAAACTTGACAATATCGTCCCGCCTTTCTTCAACAGCAAAGGTCAATGGTCTGTAACCATAGTCATTCCTCGCCTCCTTATCAGCGCCCCGTTCGATAAGAAACTTGACAACAGCCTCCTGCCCGTGGCTAGCAGCCAAGTGTAATGGCCTGTTACCATCGTTATTCTTCGCCTCCTTATCAGCGCCCCGTTCGATAAGGAACTTGATAATAGCCTCTTCCCCGTCTTTAGCAGCCAAGTGGAGTGGCGTGTTATCATCGTTATTCTTCGCCTCCTTATTAGCGCCCCGTTCGACAAGGAACTTGACAACAGCCTCTTCCCCGTCTTTAGCAGCCAAGTGCAGTGGCGTGTTACCATCGTTATTCTTCGCCTCCTTATCAGCGCCCTGCTCAATAAGAAACTTGACAACATCTTCCCGCCTGCACCAAATAGCCCAGTGTAATGGCGTGTAACCATCGCTATCCTTTACCTCCTTATCGGCGCCCTGTTCGATAAGAAACTTGATAATAGCCTCCTGCCCGTTTTTAGCAGCCAGGTGTAGTGGTCTGGTACCATCGTTATTCTTCGCCTCCTTATCAGCACCCCGTTCGACAAGAAACTTGACAACAGCCTCGTGCCTGTATCCAGCGGCCGGGTGTACTGGCGTATCGCCCCAAGAATTCTTCGCGTCCTTGTCGGCGCCCTGTTCGACAAGAAACTTGACAACAGCCTCGTGCCCGTCTCCAGCGGCCGAGTGTACTGGCGTATCGCCCCAAGAATTCTTCGCGTCCTTGTCGGCGCCCATCTCGATGAGAACCTCGATGGTAGCCACATGTCCGAATCGAGCAGCCAAGTGTAGCGGGGTCCGCTGGTCGTAATCCTGTGCCTCCTTGTCGACGCCCGCCTTCCCCATGAGGGCCTTGACTATCTCCTTCCTCTCCTCAATGCTGCCCTTTTCCCCTATCGCAGCGAGATGCAAGGCGGTCCTCCCATCGTGGTTGCGTAACTTTGGGTTCGCATAGTCCAAACACGCCAACAGAGCTGCTTCACTTCCCGCATACGCAGCTTGATGCAGTGGCGTATTTCCGAACCCATCCACCATGTCCACATCCGCCCCAGCTTCGATCAACAATTGCACCGCTTTGCCACACCCGCACCGAGCTGCATCGTGCAGCGGCACCATTCCATCGGCATCTCGTGCGTTCATGTCCGCGCCTGCCCGCAAAAAAGACAGTATCGAGGACGTGTAGCCACGCTGGCAGGCATAATGCAATGGTGTCCGTCCGCGCAGGTCTCGTGCAGTAGCGTCCCCTCCCGCGTCTAGGCAGCGGTCTATGGTGTTGTCCACGATTCTCGCGAGAGCATAGAAGAGCGGCGTCCAGCCGAGCACGTCTTTCTTATCCAACGGCGCATCTTTTCCGCGAGCTACAATTTCTGGCATGTCCAATTCCCCGGTCTCGCCGAGGACCCATAGATGGCCGGGGAAGTCCTTGAGCCTAGGGACCAGCTCTGAAAGCTCCAAAGGCTGAGGCCATTCGGGTAAGGGACAGTTCCAAGGTCGATCCTGTGCCCGGTATAGCCCCAAAAGGAATGCCAACACCCCGTCATCAACATCCTGCAGCGCTTCGGTAAGCAACCACCTGACCTCCAACAGTTGAATCTCTTGCCCCTCAACGTGTTGAGCTTGCAATGTCTCGGCGGCGTCAATGGCAGCCCTCAAGTGTTCCAACACAAGGGCGGCTGCCCTGACCAAAATATCTTCTTGTAACCCCTTCGATACCCGAAGTAGCCACACGTAGGTATTGGCAGCGTCGCGCCGCTGCCTCGGCTGCCCATGTGGATTGGCGTGCTTTCGCGTCAATTCGACGATGGCGTCGGGCTGTGGTAACTTTCGTTCGATGCTCAGAGGTGGAATGATGGCCAGGTAGACGTCTTCCAGGTTTCCAAGGCCGGCGCCCTGGATGTCTTGGGCCATCTTGTGGAGTTTGGCGTTGCGCAGTGCGAACGACGTCCATGTCGAAGGTGCGTTATCCCTCTCCGAAGGCCGAATGTCCGCTCCACCAGGAATCGGTGACTCCATCTTCTTCGCCGCGGCCCACATGAAAGCGGTAAACATGTGCTGGGCAAATAATGTGGCCAGGGGGGTGGATGAGTCGGCCGCCATAGTCCAGGTAGGTCTGGTCTTGTCAGAAGCAGAAGCACCGTCGCTAGCTGAACTGACGTCACCAGAAGCAGAATTGTTGTCCCCAGAAGTAGAACTGTCGTCGCCAGCTGAGCTATCGTCACCAGAAGCGGAATTGTCGTCGCCAGAAGCAGAATTGTCGTTGCCAGGGTCAGTACTAACGTTGCCATGGATGGGATTCTCATATATATATGAGCCAGGGCCCCAGTTCGATGCACATCCGACAATGCGATGGTTCTCCACCTCGATCATGTTGCCGTTGTTTGTCCGCTCGCTGTCCATTCGTACCTCGATAACGTTGGTATTATCAAGCCTCGGTATCCACCACCGGACATCCCGAACCAAGGCCTCGGTGGCCTGGCCTAGGAGTCGGAGGCTACGCTTCGTCTGTTTCCCCTTTATTCGCAGCCACGTGTCATCTTTAGATCGCATAGGTTTGAACTCGAGGCGTCCCCCTTCGTTTGTCCCGCGATCCCCAGGCTTCGTTTGTTGGTCTTCGCGTCCCAGGCCATTCTCCGGCGCGTTTTCGAGCTCGGCCACCGAGTATAGCCACAACGAGAGTGCAGCTTCGAGCTCGTCGGAGAAAGCCTTCCAGGTCCCGTTTCCGAGTTGCTCCACACGAAACGTTACCGATTCGCTGCGAGAGTCCTCCGAAGGGGTAGGGAAGGAGAGCCGCCAGGTAAGTTTACCATTGCCTCCTGGGTTTGTGTCGAAGAGTGTGTCCATGACGATCTCAATCGCGCGAGCCAGCGCGATTGCCTCGGCGGATGCCGGCCCCTGCCAGTCTGCCACCTCACCAAGGTCCCTTCTTAACATCATTGCCCTTTGGGCCCTTGTCTGCAATCGATTTTCCGATCCATCGGCATTCGTACTATCGGCGTCTTGGAGGGCCAGGAGGGTTTCCGGACTCTCGACGGCGGTGGGTTTCCAATCCCACGGCCTGCTCTGCCGATCCAACTCCCCGTCGTTCTGTGGGGCATCTCCGTCGTTCCCGGCCTTGGTATCCTCACCGTCTTTGGGGGGATTCAGCCAGGAGGCTCTCGCGAGATCCCCGGCGATGGTCATAGCCAGCCAGTCCATCTCGTGGCCCGAAAGTAGGCGGTGAGACGCCGGCAACTGCGCGAGATTGCGGCGAACCCATGCTCTGAGGGCCACCATGAAGGCAATCGCGATGAGCTGGGCGATCGATGACGACCAGTGCATGCCGCGTAAGCCGACGAACTGGGCGACGAAGCCGCAAAGGCTGACCATTGCTCCGATGACGGCGATGGTCTCTCCAAGTATGGGCTGTGACCCCCCGGCGTCCCAGCGCTGGGACGTTGTGATCAGGGTCTGTGGTTGCCGGGGGAATATGGCAAACGACTCGAAGGCCTGATCGTTGACGGTACCAGACTTTTGCAGCCACACGACACGGGCCTCGCCCTCGACCGGCCGGTATCTTGTTTCTGATGTGCTACCCTCGACGACGTGCGCACAAATCAGCACGCCTGTCACCAAGAGCAGGGTCCCCGCGGCGTTGCAAGGAAAGGCGTAGTCGGCGGCGGGGTTTCCATCCTTGAGCCACCTAGACCTGAGGGCGGGGTGGTAGGTAGCACATCCGGAGAAGACGAGGACGCCGAGCTGAAGAAGAGTACCGACTACCGCAACCAGATACAACTCTCCCCTGCTTAGTTGGTTCCGTGTATTGAGTGTGAGGTTAGGCGCGGGCGCATCCAAATTCCGAATCACGACGACCGGACGGCCGCCACGTTCGGTTCTAGGCCCCGGATCGTTGCTTGTGTCAGGCACATTGGAATTGATGCCATTCGGAGTCTTGTGTAAAGCTTCCTCGAGATCCCCGCTGCCAAGTGAGTTCTTCTCGTTGAGCATCGACTTGAACATCCCGACTACCTTGGAGGGGTCGAAGATACTGTCTCGAAATGTATGCACTAGTACGACGGTTAGCACTTATATTGAGCAGCTAGCGCAGGCTTAGGGTCGCTCACCGTATTTCTTGAGGTACCGATCCTCGACTTCGTGGCTCTCGTTCTTGCGTTCCCTCAATCCTTTAACCTGTACCCCGTTTCCCGGCCCTCGATCCTCCTCATCCTCCCCAGGTAGCAAGATGATGAATTCATAGATAGGCCCCACTCCCATTACCCTCACAATCTCCCGACCATTCCAGAGCTCGCACACCTCCCGCGAAGTCGAGGACATCAGTTCAGCCTCAACGACGGCCCGGCTCTCCCTTGCTCTTCCAATGATAGCTCGGAGCCACGTTGGGCCGCCGACCCTAATAGCCCCGACAATCGCAGTGATAATACCTAGCGGGGCCATTGCTAGGATAATGTTGTCGGCCCATCCTGTGGATTGGCTCATGAACTGCATCGTGACCCTCTCCCCAAATAGCGCCAGCAGCCTATTATGTACAAACAAGACCAGAGTTAGCGCCATACCATTCACGTTATGGTTTGCATCACGTACGGGGCCAGGTCAGAAAACAAGTTGTTGGAGAAATCATCTCCGGCGTCAGCGGCAACGTATGCCACGAGCGAGGCTCCGGCGAGGAGCCGAACCGGTTTGGCGGTCAACATATCGAAGGAGGGGGTTTTGGCAAATGAATGTCCAGGACTCCAGGCTGACTCCAGTCGAGTTAGGTCGATTGCGTCGTCGCCTACCTCACCATTCGGGGTCGTGGGGGACGGGGTCCTTGTCATCTCCAGGGTAACCGCACTGCCACAGTCTTTCAGCCGCAGTATGTAAAAATTTGTGTCCCTGTGAGACTGCCACTGTGTGCTGCGGCAAACGCCTGGTCGACTTGGCACGCGTACATGGGCTGCACAACACTTTCGATTTTTGGGTGAAAACAGGAACACAAAAGAATATCGAGAATATATCAGCCAGCCCATCAAATGAGCGCACCGTGCACCTACTGTGAATTATATATCTAAACACGTAGAATCCGAATTTTGTATACGATTGATGATGCAGATACTGTGCGTTGGGGTATCAATAGGTCCCTGTTTTTCTTGATTCTGTTCGAACCTTTCGAAGAGAACTTGGCGAGCCTCGGCGTCTTGGCGGGGTTTGACCACGTTCAAGATCGAAACACTTCAAAATGAATTGTTTATACAAGCCGCTAACAGCAATATACAAGAAGTCGTAAACCAAAACTGCAAACCAGCTTGCAGGAACCCGCCCCAAAAGTCTCATCGAGACCAAGTCTCTCCCTCTCTCTCAGCCGCTCATCACAAATATGGAGTGATGCACGGCCCTTCCTCCCGAGATACCAACCCACCCACAATCGGCGGGCATCTCACACAAAAAGCACCTTACTGCTGAGCAGTCTCGGCATCAATCTCAGCCGCAAGAAGCGCGGCCGCACGGCGCGGGAACGAGCGCGGGCACTTGCCCTTCCCCTTGCCCTTGCCCTTACCGTTTCCACTGCCCTCACCGTTGCCGGGCTGGACAGTGGGGGTTGGGGCGGGAGCACCAGTCGGGGACGGAGCGGGCGTCGACGGCGACGGAGCAGGGGCCGAGGGCGAAGGCGCGGGAGCGGACGGCGAAGGGGCCGGGTCGGTGGTGTCGACGGTCTCGCTGCTGCTGCCGCCGGCGCCGGGCACGGTCTGGAGGTTGTCGCCGCCGGCGCCGCTGGCAGAGCCACGGATGGTGCCGCCCGGGATGACGTCCGGGCCGGGGGCGGTGTCGTACGAGGTGGAGCGGCCCCAGACGCTGAAGTTGACGGCCGGGTCGCTGGCCTGGTAGCCGCCGGGGAACTTGGTCGACTGGCCCGGGATGGCGGTCGCGCTGTTGCCCGTCACCTCGATCTGCGCGCACGAGGTGTAGAACTCGGCTTGGCCGTCGTGCGCGCCGTGCAGCCCGATGTGCTCCGCCCGGAGGAGGTACTGCCCGTTGGGGATGGTGGCTGGGATCACGCCCCACACGTTGTTCTCGTCCCAGCTGCACCAGGCGTTGGTCTTGAAGGTCTCGGGCGAGCCCTCCCGGCAGACCAGGGACTGGTGGATCTTGTACCAGTCGCTGCCGCCGTCGGTCTTGGCGTCGCTGACGGGGGCGATGTACACCTGCGACGGGCCGGGGTGCTGGATGCCGTTGGCGCCAAAGGCCTGGCGGAGGCCGATCTTGTCGCCGGCCTTGACCGTGATCACCTCGGGGGCACCGGTGGCGCCCTTGTTGCAGGAGAAGTCGGCATCAAGGGGGGTGATGGAGCCCTCAGGGGGGTTGTTGAACTTGATGGGCATGTATCCGTTGTTGTGCTTCCGGATGTAGGTGTTGTCTCCGCCGACCTGCTGGTCGTTGACCAGGAGCTTGTCGAAGGTGTAGTGGGCGGTGGCGCTCGAAACGAGGCCGAGGATAGCCGCAACAGTGCCGGTGGTCTTCATGGTGAAAAGCTTGGTGGTGGTGATGGTGGTGTAGTGTTCTTTGGGTGAAAGTCTCAACGGCAAAGGTGCTCAGTCAAGGTTGGTTGTAAAAGATAGCGAACGGACGTCAAGTCGTTGCGGTAAACGAAGAGAACTGGATGCTTTTCCAAAAAGCGAAAGGAAGGGAAGAGTCGTTGCAGACACGAAAGAGAGGCTGTGGCTGGTTGGAGAATCCAAAGCCTTCAACAACGGGACCCAACCGACATATTTATCATCGCAGTTGGACGGCCCTTCAACTCACAATGACACCGCCTTCCATTCCCGGCCCTCCAGATCCGTCATTCACCTCGTCCTGATGGAGTTGTCTTCCGGCCCCTGACCTGCTGTCCAGGGGCACAACAGCCGCCGAGGCGAGCGTCCGTTTCCCCATCGCGGCTCTCAACTGTGCTTGGCATGTAGCGCACGGCGATTTGGAAGACCCATGGTTCGAGGTAAAACATGTCCAATCTCGGTTGCCATGCGTGCATCCCGACGGAGTGGGTAGTCTTGGCGATGGGATCCATCCGAACAGTCACTTTACGGCGCTTCTTGCGAAGAACAAGCGAAGGTTTGTTTCAGGGGATCTTGGCACCCCTTCATGGCGCGCATACGGGGTCACTTGGGATGCTCTAGATCGTGGCGTGGAGATGCATGCAAACAGTGACTGACCATGTGGCAGGCACGTCATGTTCTCCAAAGAAACCAAGGAGAGGCAATACCTATCTGATCAACTTGAACCTGGTCTTTACCAATTTGTCGTTTCCCTGACACTCCATACTCCCGCAGTCCGTCGAACATGTCAAGTCAATGGTGAGGTCTCTTCTCGAAGGACTGTTGTGGCAACGGTTTCCGCATGCAACTCCCGAGTACAACGCTGATTGTCCGTTTCGATTTTCAAATCTGCAAATGCGATGCTCTGTCATCTTTGCCCTGGCTCGACGACAGTCAAACCTGGTAAACCTCTTCTCTCTCACTGGGACGCTTCTAACTCGGGAGCATTGCGGCCCCACTGCGGCGATCATTAAACATTCGGTCAGATTCCCAAAGTCAGGGGATGTCACCTGTTCGTGATTTATTCGAAACATGTCTCCTGGGGTGTGATCCGAAGGAGCTGAGCGTAACGCCGAGGTGGATCCCTCGCCCTGTTCCAGCCCTGAAGACTCTCGGACCCGATATGGCAAGTGGAGGCGATGAAGGGAATTCTCCACCAAATTACAACTGCCGGCTAACCTTCCCTGTGCGAGAAAACCTTGAGGCTGAGAAGTCTGAAACCACTTCTCTCGTCCGTAAAGTTAGATTTCCTTCGAGAATCGGAGGTTGAGAGCGAGATGCCGTGGAGGAATATTGGTCTCGAGGAGGATAAAGATAAGGGCGGGGGAGGGGGGGCGACTCGAGATGTATAATGTCTCTAACGAGGTATATAGCATTCACAAGTAAAAAAGCGATTCGGGATATGTCTCGCATGCTTGTCTGTGTGTTTCTTTCTTAGTATACACATGTGAAGAGACGCTTACTGTGTAGTTTTGCCAGAAAAGCAAAAGAAAAGCAAAAGGTGATGGACGTACCGCGGATCGAACGCGGGACCGTCTGTATTCAAGATTTTTTCTTGCAAAACAGAAATCATACCACTAGACCATACGCCCAAACGAATGATTACCATGTTTTGTGGGTCCATTGTTTAAAAGGGGTGACCCGGAATTTGGCAACGGAAAAGTGAGAAAAACGCAGTTTCAGTTGGCGATAGTTGCGATGCTCGACCAGACACACGTTATTTCGTCGTCCGTTTGCAAGATCACTGTAGCTACGAGGCAGTCAGAGACTCCGATGGCGTTCCTTTCTAACGGCCGGACCCATTCCCTTTCCCAGATCCGCCGAAGTCACCAACGATCAGAGCAGGTCGACCAGTTACGTCAATATGATTACGAGAACAGCGTTTGGGGCCCGGGGCATCAATCTCGGTAAAATGTTGTATTAGTCGGAGGTATTGTAACCATGTGTTCAAACTGGGTAAACATATTGGCTTGGGCCTGCCTGATAATTACATCAAGCCAACAAAATAATCCCAATACTGGCACAACGCGGTGACATTCCAGCCACCCATCGCGGCGTTCAACCCGTCAGTGTCCAGAACCCACGACAAATACTTGCTCTCCCAACCTCCAAGTCTTCCCCGCCGCGAGCACTCCGCCCGGGCCTTGCACAGCTCCCAGTACGCGGGGCACCACCCAGCCTGTTCCCAACCGAGGATCGATACCACTCGTGGCTTTGGCCCGGATGAGACGATGATGTTCCGGGGGTGCAAGCTACCGTGCGTGAACACGACGGGGACGTCATCCGGGAATAGGTGGTGCGGTGTGTAGCGGAGCTGGCCATCCCCAGCGCCTGCATGTCGGTTCCGGGAGACGGTGACCGCCATCGCGACAAAGTAGTCGTGGAAAGCCGTCACCGTTGGAAACGGACCGGCCGGCGGAGCGCCAGCCAACGCGCAGCGATGGAACACCTCATCCTGCAGCGGTCCATTATCAACGCTCCCTACACCGTCACAACCAAATCAGCATCCACACGAGCAAGTCAGTCACAGAAAGCAAACAACCAGAACTTACCAACGAACCCAACACCCCCCAACCTCAACCGCCTCCACTCCCCCACCACATCCCTCAACTGCGTACAAACCGCCTCCCTCTCCACCTCGCTCAAGCCCGCCCACCTATCCTCCAGCACCTCCCCCTCCGGCAAATCCATATACACAAACCGCTCCCCACTCTCCGCATCCCTCCGCCACCCAAAAACCTCCGGCACCGGCACCAACCCAGCCGGCATCCCCAAATCCACCAACGTCCGCCTCGCCAAACTCATCGCCTTCCCCTCCGCGGCCGCCACCCCGCCAACAAACCCCCCATTCCCCGCACCCACAACCTCCCGCCCATACTTCACCAACAGCCCCAGCTCCGGAAACGGCACCATCCTCGCACCCCCTTCTGCGCCATCCCCATCGCCATTCTGGGAGACAAGGCCCAATCGCACGGCTTGCTCGCGCACGCGCGCCGGGGTGGGCAGCTCGGGGTAGGTGCCTGCGGGCGTGAAGCGGGAGAAGAAGGAGGAGTGGGCGAAGATGACGTTGTCGCCGGGGGGGAAGAGCGGGGTGACGGGGAGGAGGGTGGGGGCGGCGGGGGGTTGAGGTTGGGATTGGGGGGTTTGGTGGGGTGGTGTTGGTGCCGGCGGTAGTGGTGCGGAGGTTGGGGTGGCGGCTTGGTGGGGGTGCGGTTGGTGATGGTGATGGTTGTGGTGGAGGTTGTACTGGTAGGCGTCTTCTTCCTCGCCCTCTGCTGTGCGGTTGGTGGGTAAAGGGGCGGCGTTGATGTTTAGGGTGAGGTTGGCGAGGGAGTCGTAGAGGTTTTGGAATGGGTCGTGATGGAGGGTGAGGTCATGGTCGCGGTGGGAGTGGGGGAGAGGATGGGTGCCGGTGTTGAAGGACAGCATGGTCATGTGCTACTGCTCCGTCGACGGGTAGGTGTAAAGATGGGAGACAGATATGCGGCTTGGATATGAGATCTCAATCTTGAAATGGGGGTAATGGAAGGTTTTTGAGCACCGGAAACGATTCCAATTTAACAAAGAACGGCCCGTGTTTTGTGTGGTGACAACCAGGGAGGGGTCGGTCCATGTTGGGCAGTGCCGCCAGTGGCGCTAAGAATGCTGCCCAACCAGCAACGGCAACCACCCTTCCTCTATACAACCTAACGCGGACAACACATACACGCATGCAGATCAAAAAGCATACGACATTGGACTCGTCAGTGCTTTCAGCCATGATGCTGGAGCTGATCAATACCCGGAAAGAAATGTGTTTCGCGCCACCTGGGCTAAGTAAGATAGTGTAGATAAGGGGATACCTCCCATGGTAAGTGGCGCATCATCATTCAAGCAATTCTACATTGTCCAAACTCTCGGAGATAGCGCGAATTCCTCTGACTATGGGCGTGGAGTGGCATTGAGCCTCGAGAAACGGTATGTATTGGCGGGGTTGTGAGTTGATGGCACTAGAGATATTCTAATGATACTCCGCCATGCAAAGTGACGCGTTCAACCATTGGGGTCCGAAAGGGGCGTGAGCCACAATGCACCCCGGCCGAAATGCGACGACATCAAGGGGATGGGTTACGACGCATGATAGCTAAAGCAGGCGAGAGCAACCATGTCTTGCTGTGTTGGGACTTGATTTTCACGACACAAGTAACAGGACGAGGCATTGGTTAGGTAGAACGCCAAAGTAGGCTGACGTCAACAGCTCAACCGGGCCCCTGCCCTTGTGTGGCTATGTCGTCGAGGCGAATTGCTGAAGCCGGCCGGATGACGCTCGCAATATCACTCGAAAATGCCCCAGATGGGTGAGGACGAGAGCGTGGCGTCCGTGACCATCGGTCCCCACGTTGAACATGGCGATTATCTGCTGGAGTGGGGTGGTGGTTCAGTCGTCGTCTAAAGGCAGGTGGTAAATATCACCATGAGCCGTTTAACCAAAGTACATGATAATAAATCATGCAAGACCATATTGGAACACCCAGTTCATGGGATCTTGGTCAGCCGGGTCCAGCAAGCCATCTGGTACCTAGAGTAGCTCGTTAGCATGTCTTCATCCACCGAACCCAAAATCGCTCACCATATAGTCCCAACCCCCCATGCTAAATTCTGGCGATGAATCTAGACCCTCACCCATTGTCTCATCGATGGCAGAATTCACCGCCTCATGAGTCTCACGAGTGCTGGCATCAATCTGTTCGAACAGCGCAAGACACTCCTCCTCGGAATCCTCGGCGGACTTGACCACATACGCGACGGTGTCTTCGTCGCTCATGCCCCTCCTCATCGCATCCACCTGGGCATAGATCATACAAGCGACCAAGTACCCCTTGGTGTTGGTTTCGCCCGTCTCCATGCTCCGCCAAGACCACACTTTGTAGTCCTGCACCATCGCCACGAGGTCCGGTCTGAGCTCGACGGGGCCGAGACCGAAGCTCTCTTCCTCCTTCAGGAGCGATTTCAGCTCGATGGCGATGGCCACGAAGCCCTGAATGGCCACTATGCGGAAGAAGCCCGAACCGCTGATAGCGATGCGTTGCAAGGGGTCCCAGTCCGTGTTGGCGTCGGCAGACATTGAGAGGGGAACCGGGAAGACGGCGCGCCAGAGGCGCAGCGCCGACTCGACGACAACACGGCGAGAAAAAGTAAACATTGTTTCTTGGAGGGCGCAGGCAAAGAAGGGGAGGTGGAGGGCGAGGAAATAGCGGCGCAGCAGAAGGTCGACGACGCGGAGCTCGAGGTCGGACGGGCCTTTTTCGGGACCCCTACAAGCCTGGAGGCTTCGCGTAAGGGTTTTGTACCCTTCACGGAGCTCGGCATCGAGCTTGAGTGTGTCCGTGTACGACCCCGTGGACGAGAGGTCGTTGAGGCATTTGACGATGGCTAGGCGCTGAGGGAACAGGCTCCGGAGAGAGATGGCCATGGTGGTTTGGGTGAACTGGCCTGATGGCCTGGGAACGGGCGCTTCACCCTCTTGGCCGGGGAGCTGATCGTCGTCAAAATTCCCCGGCGGTTCCGTGTCGAACTCATCTAAATTAATCATCGGCGGCCCGCCTGAGTTCAGGCTAGATTGTAGCGCGAGCTCGAGGACCGTGTTCCACAACCGGCGGCGCATCTCGGCAACTAGCGGCGTGGTTGTCTTGGGACCTAAACCCTCTGGGTCGCGATGCAAGCCCATATACATGGCTAGCCGGAGTGTGGTCCCGACCGTAGCCCAGACCATATCCTCACCTACACCTGTAGCTTCGCGAGCGAGCAGGAGCAGTATACTGCTCTGCAAAGCGGGGAGGCCCAGTCGGGACTTGAACTCGGGTGCTGACAGCCATGTCTGCCCTTCATATGCCCATTTCATGGCGCATGGGCGTAAGGAGAAGGTGTCGTCGTAGGTCGTGGCGCCAATGGCCATGACTAGTTTAAGCTGAACAAGGAAAGCAGGGTCGGGGGTATTACTGGGGTCCCAAACGGCTTCATAGTCGCGTCGGAAGCTGGGTATATGTAGGACTCGGAGGACAGTTTCGCTGGAGCTGAGATAGCACTCAACGAGAGCATCGGCAACGGTCCTGACGGGCAAGTGAGGTGTGGGCGGACAGGGCCAGGGGGGTGATCGGCGGGATTTTATCAGTCTGCCTAGAGCTTTGCATCGTTTCTCGATTTTTAGTGCCTTTGACGCGTTGTCGTCGCGCAGATGGCTCTCGATGATATCAAACATGTCATTGAGCTAAGAGGGGTTAGTAGTCGGTTGGTTGCCATGGGGGGAGAGAGTTTCCCTACCAGGCCCACAGCATTGACCCAGTGGCTCTGCCCGAAGTACCGCGTCTTGTGCGTGACACTTCTCGTGACGGCCCGGGGATGGCTAGCTAGGCGGTGTTCGCTGTGAAAATAGAAATTGCCAGCAAAGTTTATCGTCTTGGTCTCGACTCGGGAATTCTTGGTGAAGGTCGAGACCGGTGTGTTGGCCGAGCTCGTGTTTGCCGACATGGCCTGCTCCGGCACCGTCTGGCCGCCCGTGAGTCTCGGATCGGTGGCATGGTTGTCACGGTTGGCGTGGCTACTTCCAAAAGCCCGATCACAGACTGTGTACTTGGTCGATGACGTGACGGGGGCACTTCTTGTCGGCCGAGAGGGCTCGGCGTTCAGTGATTCAACATGATTTGGCTCTGTGGATAACGCCCCAGTGCTCGGCGTTAAGAGTGCTGAAGTCGGCGCTGCTTCAAGTCTGTTTGCCTGTGCCGTCCCGACCAAGGGGCTTTGCCTCCGCGGAGGCCGCGGATCATCCCGATAGCTGCAGGTTGCATTTTTAGACTTGATGCAGTTGCTACACGGCGTTTGTCGGTCGCATCGGATTTTGCGTCTTCTGCAAAGGATGCAGGAGCTGCTGCTTCGTTAGCTCCAATTTCGGTTGCACAATTGCACCGAATAACGAAGGTGCGAACGGCAACACGGTGAAGGGAAAGACCGCAAGAGAGAGAAGGGGGGACTCGTCGAGGATCCACCACTCAAAACCTCGACTGCCCAGTTTCAAATTATGTCCGGGACTTACACTGCAGGTCTTCTCCGACGACGCTCTGGCTCCATCACGCAAATACCCGTGCCGATTCTGACTTCTCAGATTAGTCAGGCCGCGTCAAATCTTGTCGAAATGTTTTCGAATTTCGGGAAATGCTTCGGAGACAGAGGGGTTGGACGGCTTTTGTGTGTTTTGAGAAAGCAACAATCGGCATTTTGTGGATCCGAAGGATCAAGACAGCGTGTCGGAGCTTGAGCCATGCCGCGGAATGAGAGTGAATGGCCCCACATCCTTCGCGCTGGTTGGCCGGTCCTGCCCACCACCAATTATCACCGAGTCCGAAGGCCGATTCCGTCTCCGCGGAGGAGTCATCCGGCGTCTCAGCTCCGGCATCAACAACACAGCCGGTTGGGTCAGAGTGCGAACCGAAGCAACCCAAATCATGTAATCTCGGACTTGGGGTCGGCGGCATCACCGTGTTAGCTCCGGGAACCAACCGCCATGCACGGCACCTATATTAGTCGTGGCGCACCTCGCACTCGTCAGGCATTGTACACTACCTAATTAAGCTTCGCCTCCCCGGCTGTCCCCGTCAGCTAACCTGGTCTTTTCATCCTTTCTATCATTGGGTACTTCGGCTGCCGGCATTGACCCTGTCAAGCCTTCTGTTTCCTAGAACAGGCAAACGGTGCAAACGCGGGGGTGCCTGTAAGTCTTGAAAACCCCATTGATTCTCCGCCTGTCTGGGTGCCGAGACGCCGGGCCCGTCCTAGGAATTTCAGCTCACCAGAAATCTTCGATTCTCTAGGCTTGCCTTTATTGATTTTTAACCATCATCTCTACTTTAATTGTATCAAACGCCATGGCCGCACCAGAGAGCCTACACGGGTCTCCGACCCTGCAACCCCACGACGAAAAAAAGAATACCAACCAGCAGGACATGTCAACCGACACCGAATCTGCCAAGGCGGCCCTCCCCGAACCCGGCCCCGGTGCCCTGCCTCCGGCTCCCGACGGCGGGGCCCGGGCTTGGCTCGTCCTTGCCGGCTCCGCCTCCATATTTTTCTCCTGCCTGGGCTTCATGAACTCGTTCGGCGTCTTCCAGGCCTACTACATGTCCCACCAGCTGCGCGACCAGACGCCGGACAATGTCGCCTGGATCGGCTCGCTGATGTCCTTCATCCAGTTCGCCGGCGGCGTCGTCGCGGGCCCGCTCTTCGACCGTTACGGCGCCTGGGTCATCCGCCCCGGCGCCGTGCTCTACGTCTTCGCGCTCATGATGACCAGCATCTGCAAGGAGTACTGGCAGTTCATGCTCGCGCAGGGCGTGCTGACGGGGCTCGCCATGAGCGTCATGCAGGTGCCGGCTTTCGCGGCGGTGTCGCAGTACTTTGACAAGAAGAGGGCCGCCGCCATCGGGTTGGTGGTCTCGGGCAGCTCGATCGGTGGCATTGTCTTTCCGATTGCCTTGTCCAAGATGCTGAACGACTCGACGATTGGGTTCGGGTGGTCGGTGAGGATTATGGCGTTTGCGATCACGCCGCTGCTGGCGTTTGCGTGTTTCACCATCACCGCCAGGTTCCCGCCGCGCGAGACGAACTTCTTCATGCTCTCCGCTTTCAAGGAGGTCAGGTTCTTGCTCGTTATGGCGGCGGCGTGGTGCTGTTTCATCGGCATGTTTGCACCGCTATTCTTCCTCCCGACTTATGCCATCTCGAGAGGCATCCAACCCACGTTTGCTTCGTACCTGCTCGCCATCGTCAACGGGGCGTCCACATTTGGGCGAATCATCCCGGGTATCCTCGCCGACAAATTCGGGAAGCTCAACGTCTTCGGTCTTGGCGGTATTCTCACCGGTGTTCTCGTTTTGTGTATGAACAGCGCCGTCGACACGGCGGGGCTAGTGGTCTATGCCATCGCATTCGGCTTTACATCCGGCACCATCATTTCTGGTTCGTCCGCGGCCCTCTCCATCTGCACAGATGATCCTCGCAACCTCGGTACTTACATGGGGATGGGAATCGCGGTTGGCGCCACCGCCACCTTGGTTGGCCCGCCGGTGAATGGGGTATTGCTGGAAAGGTACGGTGGATTTATGCAGGCGAGCATTTTCAGCGGTGTCATCTGTCTGGCCGGTGGTTTCATTGCGATCGCCACCAAAGCTACCACACCGAAAGGGCTTCTCGGGAGGTCTTGATCTGACTCACAATGTTGGATATTTGCGTAATGACAGGAGTTTTGAAAAGTCGGAGTCAACGTTTAGACATGGCGATGGTATAGATTGTAATTAGGTAATGGGGAATACGATTAACTCAACTCGCCTCCAACTTGAATTGACTGCTCCAAGTCAAATAGATTCAGCCCAGTTTTGGAGTAACTCGAGTTCCCTGCTCCGGCCTCCCAGTCGAGGGAAATTCAAGCAATATCTGGGCACAGGTATCAACAACCGTTCACGCTCCTAACAGAAATCCGTTTGTTAATAATAGGTAGGTACTGTAGCTATTCACTTCATCCCACCAGCTCGGGCAATGTCCCGACAAGCACCTACATAGTTCCCGAGGCAAGATAAACGACCATCCACACTGCTTATTAGCTTTCACTTTCCGAGAAGCTGACTTGCTCGCGGTGCTGACTTGTTCGCGGTTACCTTTATCTATCGTTCGTTGCACGGCCTATCCTTAACTTGAGGTTTCCGGGCAGTTCGAAACAACGGGGGTCGTGCAAGGGCACGTCTTTCGTGAGCTAACAAATAGTATTAAGAAGAAAAGACAGCTGTCGGCGGTGCCTAAACTGAGTGAATCACCTGGAAATGCCAGCACTATGATGGAACTTACACCCTGGTACACTTGGGCGACTTCGGATCTTGTTGGACCGTAGTGGAGAAGGTTTAGTTATCGAGACACAAGGGGTCAGCAACACGTGAATTATGATGGAAGTGTTGCAAAATATAATCTAAATGGTGTAAGCTTCGGATACCCAACTTTTGTATCACACTCATGTAGGAATTTGTTACTTTGGTTTCAAGTGGCTGCACCATCATCACCATGTGACTGCTGGCTGCCCTTCAATCCCCAAGTGCAGTGCGTGTTTTGCACCAACTTGACCAAGAAACACTGATGGGAATAAGGAATCACTCCGTACTCAACGTCGGGTGTTGCCGTGTACATAATGCGTGCGAGGAAGGTGCGTTCTGGAGTATAAGAGCCACGTGCGGCACTCAGGCTTCCCAGTTTTCTCCGTGCTGGATTTGAAAGTGTGGCGGGCACAACCCACAGTCCCAGAAACGCCAGTAGTCCCAGCGGTCCCTCCTTCCCAGCTCCTTCTCCCACACAAGCTTGGAACTCTCCTCGGCACGAATTGAGGTACCTATTCCCGTGAACGATCGGCAGGAACCCATTGCTACAATGATGGGGTCAACATCTATCGACCTCGATTCCCCAATTCGCATCTCCCAAACTCAACGGCCTCGCCCACCCGCGGAAGACCTCCATCGATACTGGAGAAGCCATGAAGACGAAGGGTATCTTGAGCGGTACTGGCCCGACGACCACGATCACGATGCTTGGATCGGAAACATCCGCCGGGTTCTCGTGCACGAATTCCCCACGTTTGCGAAGGCCGACATCCAATATTTCGCCAAAGGCACCTTCAATCGTCTATACAGTCTCACCCATGCCAGTTGGGACAAATCCTACATCTTCCGAGTTTCCATCCCCGTCGAGCCCTTCTTCAAGACGGAGAGCGAGATTGCCACAATGGAGTACGTCCGGCGGCACACCACAATGCCCATCCCCCGGGTGATCGCCTTCTCCTCGAGCGACGCTAACGAGCTCGGATACGAATGGGTGCTGATGGAAATGATGCCCGGCGAGCCGCTTCGCAAACTGTGGAGCGCTATGCCCGATGCCGCCAGAGTTGAGGTGTTCGCGGAGCTTGCAGTACACGTCAAACAGCTAGTTGCGCTACGGTTCAGCAAGTTTGGCAGCCTTTACTTCGCCGACGTTTCCGACCAAGTACTTCCCCACACTGCCTCATTGCCAGTCCAAAACGGCAACGGTGCGGAACTTGTGGACAAGGACATAGGCCCTGGCGGCCGTTTTGCCCTTGGCCGCATCGTCGCCCAGGACTTCTTCTTCGACAAGAGGGTGTACTACCCTGGGTCTCGCGGGCCATTTCAGACAACCCGGGAATTGGTTGATATGCGGCTGGAGCTTCTCGAAAAGCGACTCCGAGAACTATCTCCTGTTGAAGGAGCGGCCTGGTACTGTGAGAATGACCGCGAGTTGGACCGCAACAAGGACCGTGTGTACGAGCTTTTCGACCAGCTCAAGGCCTTGGTACCGCGACTCGTCCCGCAGGATAACGGGCCGGAAGATGTTGGCGTCCTTTGGCATGACGACCTCTCGGAGCACAATATCCTTCTCGACCCCGTTACGTTCAAGCTCACCGCTGTCGTTGATTGGGAGTCTGTTAGCATCATTCCCGCCTACGAAACATACGATGCGAGGCCAGCCTGGCTCTCCGACAGGGACTGGAGGCCGACACCACTGGTTCAACTCGCTCGAGGCATCCCGCCCAATGACGAGTTTATCACAGCAGATAAGGTGCGACGGATGGGGGAAATGGGGCCGGCTCGAGAGGAATATCACCGGATTGTCGGGCTTCTTTACGACACTACCTCGCCGGAGACCCAGCAGAGGGTCAAAAACAAACAAGGAATTGCGAAGCAGTTGGAGATCGCGACCTTTCAGCATCGACCGTGGTGGACCGCCTCTTGGATGGCCGAGAATGGCTTTTTTTGCAACGGCACCGCGGCCGACGTTGTCGACGAACCCACCGACACCGTTGTACAGGACAACACCATCAACAACGTGCAGGCGTAGCACAAAGCAGTGGCACCGACAGCACACGTTTAGGAACGCCGGAATTCTGAGCAACGTGCATTTGGAAACTTTTGGAACGGTACCCTGGATGGTGCAACCTGGTGCCTGTGGTACCAGTCACGAAATGGAGCAGTTGATATCTGTGTTAGCAAGCCGATATGGCGAAAGCTGCTTACATTTATACCAATACACGTTGCATTTTTTGCCATTTCACCCTCGTTCAAGTTGTTTCCTTGCGCTCTGTTTATTTCTATTGGCGATGGCGAGCTTCAAGTTGAACTTGAACACAATTGTGATTGCAACCGGATTGGGGCTCTCTTACACGGTGGCACTTTTTACTACAGCAAGCTCATAATGAATTAGTAGACATCTTGCACTTACTTCTTCAGTTCACAAGAGCAATCGAGGGGAATCCCCATCCAGATGGCCGGCACAAATTATTAGATTACCGAGAATGTACTACCTGTACCTATCTTCATGAACGAGCGTGGCTAGTTGAGTCCCCCAGGCCTGAGGAACAGAACCAGAGTTTTTTTAGAGAACGGAAAAGAAAAAGAAAAGGAAATCCAGAGCATTATCTCCTTCGAGACGCCGGAGGAGGCGCCCGCCCAGCGTAAACTAACCCCAAGGAGAGAGAAGAAAAACAAGGTTGTTGCCCCTCCGGGCTATGTACACCCTTGTCTTTCTTTTGTTTCCCCGGTCTTTTTTCCCCTTGACAACCCCCACCCCTCGCGTTTGTCGGGGACGGACCGCGCGCGCGCCGGCGATGCTGGGGGTTGGATTTCGTTGCTGCTGCTGCTGCTGCTGCTGGTCGGTTCTGCGTGGCGCGCGCCATCCCGTCGTTTTTCCTTGGTGTTGTGAACTGAACCTCGGTGGTTTCGTTGGTGGTCTGGAGGGGGGGTTGGGGGAGGGAGGCCGCTTAGAGAAGCTCAGCGCAGTTGAGAGCGTTGACGTTGACGAGACCGCCCTGGGAGAAGGAGAATGTGTGTTAGTTTCTGCGCTGGGTGACCGGTAGATGGGGGGAAGGGGTGGGGTTGGTATGGAGTGTGCTCACCTGCACGGCGTTGGTCTCGCAGCAGTAGGAGGAACCCTCGCAGTTCTCGCCGAGGGCGGTGACCAGGCAGGCGGCGAGGCCGTCGCAGCAGACGTTGGCGGACTGGCTGGAGCAGGAGGTGATGCCGCCGAGGCGGGGGGCGACCTCAGAGGGGAGGGCCGAGGCGGTCATGGCAACGGCCAGAATGGTGAACAGGCTGGTGAACTGCATTTTGATGGTTGGGTGTGGGTGTTGCTTTAGAAAAGCGGGTGGTGCTTTTTGTTTTAGTTGAAGGGTGAAGGGTTGGGTTGAAGCTGTTGCTGATGAGAAGAACTCGAGTGCCGATGATGGAGAGGAAGGGATCGTTATATACACGTTCCTGGCAGGTTTGAGTCTTCTTTCGGGTCAGTATTAATTAACCCTTGGGATCTGCCCCGAGCTGTCTGGGTTGATTCCGCCTACCTAGCTGGCGTTGCCGGTTATCACCACTCATCGACACCATTGTTTCCGCTTTTGGAATTACGGACAATAGGGTTGTGACACAAACCAGCTCTCAGACCTACATGCCCAGATTAGGTCCGAGACTGTGCCCATCGGAGTCTAATCCGACAACCGCCGTGGTCCCAGGAGGTCATGTTCCTGTTCCTGGGTTCCTGGTCTTCGGCGTGGCGGGACATCGGATGCCCGCCGTGAAGTGTTTTGCCGTTTCGGACCGTTTGCGAAATCACGAATCGAGCAAACTGTGACAAGCTGCAGCTTGTTGTGTTGATTGTGGAAGAACGGGACCGAGCCATTATGCAGCAGGTGATTCGGCCCTGAGCCTCGCTAGGTACCGAAGTCGTGTTGCTCCCGTGGCGAAATTTGGATGATGGGAAGATGGCAAGATGCACGTTGCGCATAGGTAACCACAACATGGACCCCACGCGGGCAGTTTTCAGCGCCCGGGAAATGGAGGCCATCGGCTCAACCTATTTCCCTTAACTTACTTAGGTAATTCGGTCATAGTTCTTGACAAGTTAGGCCACCCAAGTATCTCCGAGGTATTACAACAACGCCAATTTGTTGACAGAAAAATGGGATTTTCTCACACCTTCGGGAGCCCGCATCAAATTCGATCGGGTCGTTTCTAACCCGGCCACACATCGGCAATAGACGACGGGACCTCGCAGCTTGCAGGCGCTGGGGCGCCGCCTCTTTCGCTGATGCACCAATCTCAGTGGTGACGATTCGGTCCGCTGCCTGCCAAACCGGCCAAATTCGCTCGTCCTTTGCCATACTATGTACGTATGAGCACCAGATCCGGTAATTCCTTGCTTGCTTTTTTATTGTTACGGCTACACGGCATCACTGACTGTCAAGATCAGGCAGGGCTGGCACTCTAAGCTCTGTACAGAAATGCGGATATCACCGTCGCAAGCAATCACCCTGGCTGGTGGTCGCAATCTTAATAACCCGCGCATTGGCACCGGCACATACAAAGGCTGCGACAATGGCTGCGATGTTCTCTGGGTTTTAGACACATTGGGGTTCTACCGGAGGCCGGACTGCATGTGTCTAAGCTTGATCAACGGAACCCCGAATCAGAGTCGGACGCCTCCGGGAGGTCTTTGGGCAATGATACTTCACGTAGCGAGTCTGCGAAAGGAGTTGCCGTTATGGCCTCGAGAAAGAGAGAACTCACACAGAAGGAGGCTCATTGCAACATTTCAGGCACCAATGTTGTCACTCCCGGTCTTCAGACTTCAACGATTTCGGAGGTGACCAAGCTTGCCGCAGGCTCCGGACTCCGGCCGGCGACCTCAGAATCTCGCCAGCGCCATGGCGGCGGGCCACAACGCCCATCACAAACAGGCAGGGATGCATGTCCGACCCTCGCTGGTGGGAGCATCGGAATTGGCGCCGATGCCCCGATCATATGTTCCATTCAGTTACGAGAGCGCACAATAGTCTCACAACCCAACATCTTCATGTGCGTCCAGGAATCTCCAACGCCACGGTCCACGGGCCACGCATGTGCTGTGCTCTCATGGTACTGGCAAGATTGTGCCACCTCTATTATTGGCGAATTCGGGGCTCCCGCGGACAATTGGTGCCAAAAAGCCTCGCCACGTCAGTGACTCACCGGGGACTCCTCAAAGAGATTTAAACGGTGAGAGTTAAACTCCCTCTGTTTCAGCGGCCAAACCAGTGGTTATTCGACGACGGTTATCTCATGTTTCATCGTCAGAGTCTCGGATAGACCCTCGCAGGACAAATTGTAAACACCGAACGAGCGATTTCGAGGACAGCGGAGGTCGGCCGGGCCATCGCCAACCCTCGGGCCGGACGCCCAAAAGAGCATACCCTTCGACTTCAGGATGGTCTCATACCCGCAAGCTCGCGCCTCTGGGGAGTCAGACTGTCAAAGGGCATAAAAAGGACCACTCCGTTGCGTTCATACGCTCTCGTTCCCAAACGCCAACCCCCCACTCAAAGCATGAGAGCTCATGGCTCAACCTGATCCAAGTCATGTCATCAAACCAACTCCGTTTGGCCGGCCGCCTCCATGTTCTCATATGAAACAGCTAGACAGCTAGACTCGCCCGGAATGAAGACGACGAGGCTTCTCGTGAGTGGAGTCGAATCAAACCCTACAGTGGAGCACCGACCTTGCCATCGCCAAGCGGCCCACCGCTTGAGGAGATTTCCCACACGCCGGAGAGCATAGAAGTCATGGTTCTATAGTGTAGCGGTTATCACTTCGGATTCTGATTCCCTCAGGATGTTCCGGCAACCCCGGTTCGATTCCGGGTAGGACCTCACTTTTGCTGGCTGCAGCTCCGCCCATCCGCACCAACCTGCTCGTTCTCTGGCGTTGCAAGCAACGGTCTTTGTTTTTGCCCGTTCCGGTTTCAGCCCTGTAACGAGGAGTTGGTAGCATGTGTTTTCCGCGAGAAACCGGAGAAACCCCATGGGAATTAAACCTCAGGTAGCCGAATGTTCTGAAAAGGAAGCCTGCTTCTGCAAGTCGAACGGCGAAAGGGCAAACCACAACATCGGAGTCAAGTTACTCGAGTTAAGTGTGGCCTGTGTCGGGCGATATATTGTAGTTTACTGTCATCTCGGACACTGAAACAGTGTCACCTGCACTGGCGAGCGTGACAACTTGCCTCTCGTCGCCGGGGTAGAGGCATACCATATCCAACCCCTCCTTACCAATGCTGGTTGGCGATGTCTCCTCGGGAGCCTTCACCACGAACAGCTCTCTGTAGCCTGTCGGGGTGAAACCGAGTCTCTCGAACGCCCTTTTCCCCGTCGGCGTGGCAGTAAGGGCTGCTTTAATGTTAGCATGGCCTCGCTCTCATTCTGGGATGTGACCAGACATCAAACGCACCTGACATTCCCACCACCTTCCAGCCCGGTCGAGCTTGTACTCTCCTCATCACTTCCCCCAAAGCAAACTCGCAAAACCCCTTCTTCCCTGCTCCTCCACACCCCGTCTCAAACCTCTCAATATGATAAACATGCAGGCCCACCTCCTCCTTTCCCTCCCCATCACCACCCTCATCACTACCCTCATCACCACCACAGCCCCCCAGCCCAGAACCCGGAAACGCACTCCCCGGCTCAATATCCGGCTCCTTAAGCCGACCACTCAACAAATCCTCCCAGCACCCCTTCCGCAACGGCAACACAATAACCACCCCCATCACAGCATCCGCAACAGCCGCACCACCGCTACCACCACCACCGCCTCCTCCTCCTCCACCACCATCGTTGCTACCACCCTCGCGGAAACAGACAGACAGCTCCGGGCACGCGTCCACCCACGTCCGCAGCCGCGCGTAGGGCAGCGCCACCGGGTACATGGCCTGGTCGGAGACGTGGACGGCGCGCAGCACGGCGTCGGGGATGGCGGCGGCCGTTGCCATGATCGGTGGTGATGATGGTGCTGCTGCTGCTGCTTGGTGCGGTGCTGCTTGGCGTGGGTCCATTTCAGGTTGTGCGCGTGCGTGCGGGCTAGGGAGTGAAGGGGGGACAGGTATGTATGTACCTATGTACAGTATGTAGAGGCAAGGGGTAGGGGGGTTGGTCTTGGTCTTCTCTGGGGTTGTTGGGTGGATGCACTGCACACGCTAGGGAGATGCAGTGGTCGCCGGGGTTTCGCATGTTGTGGCCCGTGGGACGTGTGTGTGTGTGTCGCGTTGATGGCCTGGGTTAGTGTGTGGTTGTGCGCTCTGTCACCTGTGTGACGTAGTGTGGGTGAAAAAAGTTGGTGGTCTTGGGGGTGCGGTGGGGTTACGGGAACGACAAAAATGTAAAAGATTTGTCACGACGACGTCGTGTTGTTGTTGCCCACAACCAGAATCGAACTAGTGACCTTGTCATAGAGAATTTACTAGTGACACGCTCTACCACTGAGCCATGCGGGCTTTAGCTTTCAAGTTGAGGAAGGGCGTTTGATAGTGGAATGATACTGCTGGATAGTCGCAATCCCGAATGGTTTATACCAGAGCTGTTCAACAGCGGCCGCAAGATTCATCTCGCTTTAGTTGCTGTCGCAGATTTGGATATTTTTCGCTAAGTTCACCACAACTCCCGCTGTAGAGCTGCCTTGCAATCGAGCCTTCGCTGGCCCGATGTTTTGCCGCACCCCTCGAGAAACTTTCCGGAACAACGTTCATCCCAGCGTTCCTCCCAACATCGCCTCCTTTGTGCCTTCCGGCCTCCATGTGTATGCACGAGTCCGAGCGGGGTCCGCCGCCGTGCCAAGGGTCTCTCTCCTCCTCCAGATGGGATTGTCCCGCTCGCACAGAATATTTATTAACGAACTAAAACCGGATACTGGATAACGAGGGCTTGCTGATACGCAAGGGTCGTGATTTCCTCGAGTTGATTGGGGGGCACCCGCCGGAGATGGACCGTGGCCGAATCAGGAAGGGAGCTAGGACACCATCAAGGTACCTACACGGAAGCGCACATCTACACAGTACAGCCCAATACATACAGCAGGAACTGGCTGCGATGATCCAAAATAAATACCCGATACCCCGCCTCGCCATTTTTTTCTTTCAGACCCAAATTCCCCTCACTGCATCGTAACCACACAATTCCCGTACCAAGTTCAGCACCAGCATTTCGCCCATCATGTCCGCCAAAGTCTACGTCGGGTACGATTTGCGATAAATTTATCGAAGAATTAATCTCGGGTCCATTTGCTGAACCCAAAACTAGAAACCTCTCGTGGAACACCAACGATGAGACCCTGGGCGCCGCCTTCTCCGAGTTTGGCCAGGTCCTCGAGTCGGTGCGTTGAGCTTGCTCTACCTGTCGGTTAATTAACGCATGCTGATATCGAGCAGATCGTGATGAGAGACCGAGACACTGGTCGGAGCCGCGGATTCGGATTCGTCACGCTCAGCTCTTCGGAGGAAGCCGAGGCAGCGATTCAAGGCTTGAATGAGCAGCAGTAAGTCGTCCTCTCTACGTTGAAGCCCATCACTTGATGAATGGGGGCTGACTATGCGGTGCGATCCTTCAGGTTGGATGGAAGGAATGTCAGGGTCAGCCTAGCCAATGCCCGTGGTGGCGGCGGCGGCGGTGGTGGTGGTTACCGGGGTGGTGGTGGTGGTGGTGGTTATGGCGGTTACCAAAGTGGTAGCTATGGCGGTGGCGATGGTGGCCAGGGCGGTGGCAGTGGCGGTTACTAAGGTGGTGGTTATCGCGGTGAAGGCTACAGTCAAGGAGGTGGTGATGGTGAATACCGCTGAGGATAGGCGGGACACCTTTGAGCTCTTCGTGATATCCCGAGATGAAGAATGCGGGGGCAGTTGCGATGAGGCTTTATCTGAGTTACTCTTCACTAGCGTCACATCCCGTTAATAGATGGCACCATTGACCAGGTCTGAGAAGAACCATAGAACGGTGCTTGTTCCCAGTGAGTAGAAACCTGGGAATGATGGCTGGAGATATTTACGGCTACCTTGTGCCATCTATCAACACCGGCTTCCCTTATTTGCGGCTATCCGAGACGGCCAGGGAAAATGAACCCATCTCTTGTTCGCTGCGACCTCTGAAGCCTCACGAGAACATGCGCTGGAGCGATACTGGATTCGAGCAATCCGCCAACAACGGCTTCGCCACTTCCTCTTACCGGGGCTTTAGAGGCAGACACGATGTCGTCTTCTCCGATGCATGCTGGGACCTGCTGGAGCCTGCTGAAAGTGGCGTTACAACCAGCCTCGGTTTCGCTCAACGCTTGTACATACAACGTCCGCAGCTCGCTTCCCGTTCCGCGCAAGTATCGCGGTCCTACATGGGGCCACAATTTTGGCGGCGCTGCTGTCGTCGACAAGTCTGTCCCCTTCCCATTGTATGATCGATATGAAGTCTCGGAATCGACAAAAACCGGACCTTGTCTTCAGCAACACCCCCTTCCCAGCCCCTCTATCCATAATTACCCTAAGTCATGTTGACAATAAACCATGTGCTTGGGTCTTGGCTGGTATAGAATGCAGTTTCCACCTCGGCAGCCCATTATTTTACCCTTTTGTCGACTGCAGGCCTCCAAAACGTCAAGCCCAACTCGACTCAACCGAAAGGTCTTTGCTCTTCCTCAAGACTGTCACGGTCCATCTCAACAACCACCATTAATTGAAGTGTCATAAACAGGGAACGCGGCTAAAACTTTAGAAGCCGAGAAAGACCAACGGAAATCGAGAGCAGGGAAAAGGAAATCACTTTGTGTGTGTGCCTGGAAAGTAAACGCATCCAAAATCGGCAGGAGCTTCAACTATGATATGAATGAGAACCTAAAGCTTGCTACCTTGCCATCACTGCCCAACTCCTTGTGTCGACTGCATCCTTTGAAACATGCAGATAGGTAAGCCTATCGGAAGCTATGGAATTTCCGGTGTTGGCACGACTCTCGCATGCTCCTTACTGGGCAGATAAGGGGTAGGAGGCTGGGTCGTGGCTCCATTCTCAGACGCGTTTGTTCAGCCCAAACCACGATTCCGTGCCATGCAAGAGAATGAACCGCTCCAGTTTAACGACTGCACACAAGTCTTGTTTCCTGTTCTTTCGAGGAATATCTCGCCGCCAAGCAGCCCTCGGGCCCCTGCGACGGCCCGCGCATTGCGTTCCCAAAATATGCAAAGTTGCCAGAAGCTGGAGTGAGATGTCAGATCTACTATGCCCAGTACGTTCACTTCCCGCTCGATACTGCAGAATGCCGAGCAGCCAGGGGCCGCTGTGCAGAGCATCCCTGCACTCTCCGTTTGCTCGGGTTCTTTCCCCGAACTGCCCCAATGCCATTCCGGAAATCATTCACATGCCTTGAAAGGCATGATGATGGACTGAGCCTTTGTTGCCTAACTTAAACATGCTGGCCAAAAACCACGAATATTCTAGACGTATCTCAAGTTCACAACTTGCCGGTAATCTCGCCAAAAGCAAACACAGGTATGTCGCACCCACACTGAAAGGCCGACTAATGAGAGCCAAGATCGACTGTGAGTCCAACCATAACAAACGAACCGATGGGCCACCAGCCAATACCGCGGGCAGTTCGGAAAGGGAGAGGCCTACAATGCAGTGAACCGCATCGAATCGTGTCGCCATCTCCATGGCTCATTCTAGAAGTTGGAGGGTTGAAGGAAGCAAAGAAGATGGAAGGCATATAAAGTCAACCAGGGGATGGGGATCATTGCCCGTCTTCTCCGTTCTCCGGAGCGCAACCACACTGAACTTCCCTGATACCGATTCAAGTCAACTGCGCGCATGGCATCACCTATGTTGTTTGGCACCATGTTGGCGCTTGTGGCTCATGTGTGTCTGATCCTGCTTCTCTGCTTCCGCAAATGGCGGGCCTCGCGAGTCCAGAGATGGGTACGTGAGCAGTTAGATGTGGCCAGTTTCCACTACGCCCCGGACCTGCAAGTTGATCTGCAAAAACGCCTCCATCTGCGCGCCACGGAAAACCATCGTCTGAAAGTGGCGTTCGGCATCGATAATTCCCTGACAACCACCTCTGTCTCAGTCCACCAAACCTTCCTCAAGACAGCCTCTCGGGTGTTGAATAAGAGGGGGCGCAATTGGGAGGAGCTCTACGGCATCGCCAAAACCTTCCTCGAGGCCGAAGTCGAAAGGGCCGTGAACCAAAGTCTGCCTCTTGCCGAATCCGTCCGCTGTATGGTCCTCACTGTGGCCCTCTTCGACAGCTTCGGCATCGATGCGGCCACCGTCCTCCGGTCCGACCTGACCACCATCACCGCCGAGATCAACAAGCAGTGGCTACGCTCCAAGAGCCACCCCACCGACGTCACGCCATCCGAGATCCTCAACTCGGCCATCGCCTCGCTGAACATCACCTCCTCAACCCAGGGCTCCGAACAGACCGCGCTATCCCCGGCCGAGGTCCTCGGCCTCCTCATGCCGCAGTACGAAACTCTCTGGCGCGTGGTTCTGCTGACCTTCGTCACAGCCTACCACCATCAGCCCGCCGCCTACCCGGACGCCGCCCAGCGAACAGCCGACGTGCCTAGCTGCCTAGGCGACCCAGCCCGCGAGAAGGAGGCCCTCAAGCTCGCCAAGGTACTTCCCCTCCCCCTTTTCACCACCCATCTCCCACCACTAACCAACCCCCCCTTTCACAGGAAGGCCTGCGCCTCTACCCCTCCAACAAACACCTCTACCGCGCCGCCGTGCCCACCACCCCAACCTCTTCCACCGCCACCATCACCACCCTCAACACATCCTCCTCGACCACCACATCTCCCACATCCTCCACATCCTCCCCAACCACCACCCACGCCCCTCTCCCCGTCGCAGCGGACATCTCCACCCTGCACCGCCACCCCCAAATCTGGGGACGCGACACAGGGCTATTCCAACCAGCGCGCTTCAACACCGACACACTGACACCAGCACAGCGCGAGGCATATGTGCCGTTCTCGGTCAAGCCGCACAAGTGCCCGGCGGCGGGCGGGGCGTTTGGCGAGAGGATGGTTGTGGTGTTGGTGGTGGCGCTGGGGCGGGTGTTGCGGCCTGGGAGGAGGGCGGTGCGGTTTGGTCACTTTGGTGGTGGTGGTGGGAGTGGTGGGAGTGGGAGTGGGAGTGGGAGTGGTGGGAGTGGGAGTGGGAGTGGTGATGGGGTCAAGAGGGTGGTGGGGGATGGGGGGGAGTTGCCGACGGGAAGGGGGGAGATGGAGGGGTGGGTTTGGGAGTGGTGATGGGGGTTTTGGACTGTGCTTTGCTGGGTTGGGATTTGGTTGGTTACTTGGGTCTTGCGGTGTCTTGGGGTTAGTCTGGAGACGGGAGTTTTGTGCGCTTGTTTTTGTTAAGGAAGGGACTCGCAGTTGGAGTGCAGTGCGGGTGATGTGAGCTCTGTCGAGTCATTCAGGAGGGGACATATGTCAATTAGAAAATGGGATGATGGCTGCCGATGGGTTGCGGGCGTCCGACTTTTGTCCATTTTTCCCCTTCTTTTTTTGATGAGAGATCTCGAGATCGCGCCTGTTACAGAGACGCGACGCGTTTTGGTGGGGGAATTACCCCGCTGCCTCCAATGCAGGACCACTGTCTTAGACCTCAAACTCGCCCGAAATATGCACCAAAGGGTGACTAGTCTAGTGGTCAGGACGTTTCGTTGTGGTCTTCCACCGAACCCGAAGAAACCCCGGTTCGATTCCGGGGTCGCCCATTCCCTTTTGTTTCTCCCCTCTGCACGCCTGAAGCCATTTTGCATGGCATTCGAATAACGAACCACACAACATTGAACAAACTGTCCATTGTCGTCCCCCACCCGGCTCAGTGCCCAACAAATCGTGCCATGGAGTATTTCTTCTCATCGCCCGGCTTTTTGGAGTTGGTCCGAAATGGGCAGCCGCTCGCTTGGATGACCTCAACGATTCTTGACCGAGGACAACTTTGTTAAGTGGTACTCGGCAATGCCCGCAGCAAACGAGCCTGCATCATCTGCATGTGCCCAGTGGCCCCCGGTTCGAAAACGAAAACGAACGCCGATCGCAGAACATGTTGCGAATTCGCGACTCCGGATTGGCTTGAGGCAGCCCCACGTGCATTCGCCCATGTCACTCTTCCATGGCACGACAGCAACGCCGGCGGCCGCGGAACTGTAAGCTTTGAATCCCGAGGCCTGGTTAGCGACGGCCTGATCTTTTTAAAGATGGGAGAGGATCCAGGGGTCGGGGCGCCCATCGGGCTGCTCAGGCATAGTTCACGGTCCTCAAGTTCTCAACCTCCACGACTAGACGGTCCAGACCAGACCTCAGTTCTCGGCCATGTTGCACCGTTTGAGTCTCGGCGCCCTGGTCGCCGCCTTGATCGTCGAGGCCTCGTTCGAGAGGAACCTCGCTTACAGCAGTCCCTCGCGGCGCCATCCGAGCCTAGCCGTTCCTCTCTCTCATGTATCCAAGCGGCAAACCGGTGATGTTTACACAGCGGCAGAAGTGAACTTCACCCATGGCGTTGCATCCGGTGACCCCTATGCGGACTCGGTCATCTTGTGGACGCGCCTGTCCCCGACGACTGAGAGTGTCGCCTCGGATCTAGTACCCGACGGTGTGGTCCCGATCTATGATGACTCGGAGGGTGCTCAGCCGTCTACCAAGGCCGCCTGTGTTGAGTTCAAGATTGTCACGGACCTGCCTCTCGCCAATGTTGTTGACCAGGGAAGAGCTTTCACGAGCAGTGATGTGGACTACACGGTGAAGGTGAGTCTCAACACGCTGCCTTGGGGGAGGAGGGGGGCGACCTGCTAATACCTTGCAGTTCGAAGCCAGCGGTCTCCAACCTTTCACCACCTATTACTACCAATTCAACGTCTGCGACTCGGACAAGGTCAGCCCGCTCGGCCGGACCAAGACCATCCCCGCCAAGACCCAGAAGGTCGATAGGAATATCAACCTGGCCGTTTACTCCTGCAGCAACTACCGTACGTCACCTTACACTCCCTTCCCATATACCCAACCCCTAACATGACACAGCTGAGGGCTACTTCAACGCCTACGCCAACCCGGTGCACAAAGACTCCGTCGACTATGTTCTACATCTCGGGGACTACATCTACGAGTACCGACCGGACTCGTCCCTCGAAGACCGTAACCCGCAGCCGGACCGCGAGATCTACACGCTGTTCGACTACCGGACGCGGCTGGGGTCGTACCGCACCGACGCGGACCTGCTCGCGTCGCACGCCAAGTTCGCCTGGATCCCCGTGTGGGACGACCACGAGGTGGCCAACAACGCGTGGCGCAACGGCTCCAGCAACTCGGACGGCGCCGTCTTCCGCGCCCGCAAGCAGGCCGCCGTCCGCGCCTACTTTGAGTGGATGCCCCTCCGCCAGGCCGACATGGACGACAGCCTGCGCATCTGGCGCAGCTTCTCGCTCGGCACCCTGTTGGACTTGGTCATGCTCGACACCCGCCAGTACGACCGCGACCTGACCGTGCTGAACGGCCTGGCGGGCATCGGCGGGAACAGCCAGGAGGTGGAGAAGCTGGTGGATCTGCAGAACAGGACCATCATGGGCTTCAAGCAGGAGGAGTGGTTCTACGACCAGCTGACGCAGTCCTCGGAACGGGGCGCCGCGTGGCGCGTCGTCGGGAACCAGGTCATCTTCAGCAGGATGACGCTGGGCATTCTGGGGGACCAGCCGTTCAACCGCGACCAGTGGGACGGCTATCTCGCCAACCGGGACAGGGTGTACCAGCACCTGGCGGACGGCAAGATCAACAACACGGTGATGCTGTCGGGCGACTCGCATGCCGCGTGGGTGTCGGACCTGGCCTGGCTCGGGAAGCGGGACTACGACGAGACGACCGGCGAGGGTGCGTTCGGCGTCGAGCTGGCGGGCACCGCCGTGTCGAGCTCCAGCCCGATAGGCGCCCTGCCCAAACTCCTGGCGAACCCGCTCTCCCAGTGGCTTGTTAGCAAGAATCCCGAGCTGCAGTGGCAGGACTTGTTTTACCGTGGGTATTTTGAGATGAGCATCGGGTACGAGGCTATTGAGGCCAACTTTTACGGCATCCCGGATGTCAAGGTCAAGAGCGACGACGAGATCCTGCTGGCGACGTTTCTGATCAACAACGGAGAAAACAAGCTGGCGAGGAACCCGACGGTGGGAGGTGGGCGGGCGAAAGGGGGCGCGCTGAAGAACGGAAAGGTGGACTAAGGAGGCGGGTAGCCGAGTTAGACATTGTGTCGGGGTTCTTCTTCGATACCGGACTGTTGAGACATTGGAAATTTGAAAATATCTAGGCTGTCGTTGGATAGGAGATACTACCTATTGAGGCTTCTGGAAACCAATCACGGTTCATCTGACGCAAGCCATGCGATAAAACCACCGTGCCACCCTACAATGATCGCTCGGACAGTCGGACTTAGTGCTGCGCCACGGATGTCGGTAGTCGGTAAGTCGGCGTTCTCACCGCCGGGCGCCGGCAGTGCACTAAATTTTAAGGGAATCGATCCTTCGGGCCAATTCTACCGTGCCCATCCTCTGTTCAATGACTAAGGACGCGCGTAGTGGCCCCTGGTTCGGATGAGATTCCATCCGCCGCGCCAACGCCAATGCTCACCAAACCAAACGAGGACGAATAGAAGGCTGACATGCATACGGCAGTGCTCTGGGACACGGCCAACCAAACCGTCCGATCGATCCGCACGGCATCGGATCATAGACAGGAGATCGAATTTGGCAAATAATCCATCTAGGCACAATGTGACAACCATGAAGTAGACAACTTATGTGATGATCTTGTGATGAGTATATAATACCCTATGTCTCAGCGCCACCTTCACTTGGGTATCCAGCCATCTCAACACCACCAGACATCACTACAACAATTTTCCACACTGCACTCCATTCCACAAACACCATGAAGTTCACCGCCCAAACCCTCGGCCTCCTGGCCGGCCTCCAAAGCGCCCTCGTCTCCGGCAAGCCCTGCGGCCCTCACCGCCCTCACTGGAAGACCCTCGCGCCCATCCCCATCAACCCGCGTCAAGAGCGTACGTATCACCACCACCATCCCCCAAACCATCCCCCAAACAACAACCACCCCCCGCCCCGGCAAACAAGAAAAACACCCCCCACCTAACCCCCCTGCTATAGACACCACCCTCGCCCTAAACACCACCCACCTCGCCATCCTCGGCGGCATCGTGCCGACCCCCACCCCCTCCCTCTACGCCACAACCCCCCTCCTGCAACTCTACAACACCCTCACCAACACCTGGCACCCCACCCCCCTGCCGCCCCTCCCCGTCCCCCTCAACCACCCCAACGCCGCCGCCGTCGCGGGCCGCATCTACCTGCTCGGCGGCCTGGACGACGAAGGGGCCGACGGCATCTGGCGCGGCACGGGGCGCAGTTGGGTTTATGATTTTGATAGCCAGGGGTGGAGTGAGTTGCCGGAGCTGCCGGGCGTGGCGCGGGGGAGTGCGGCGGTCGGGGTGGATGAGGCGACGGGGAGGGTTTATCTGGCTGGCGGGATGACGCAGTTGCCGTTGGTGGAGGGGGCGGGCATTCAGGAGAGTGTGGATGTGGTGAGTGTGTTTGATACGAGGGCGGGGGAGTGGGTTGCGGAGGGGGCGGTGGCGCCGTTGCCGGGGCGGAGGGACCATGCCGGGGTGGTGGTGGTGGATGGGGTGATGTATGTGTTGGGGGGGAGGGATCAGGGGCAGTTGAATGTGAGGGGGGAGGTGTTTGCGCTGGATTTTGGGCGGGTCGAGGAGGGCTGGGTGACGAAGGAGGGGCGCATGCCGACTGCGAGGGGCGGGGTGTGTGCTGGCGCGGTGGGCGGGAAGGTGTATGTTTTTGGTGGGGAGGGCAACCCGGTGGAGGGCAGCGAGGGTGTTTTTGACCAGGTTGAGGCGTACGATACGAAGACGGATACGTGGGAGAAGCTGGGCAAGATGGAGGTGCCGAGGCACGGCACTTACGCGGCTGCCCTCGGTGGCGGAGTGTATATCCCAGGTGGTGGTATCAAGTTGGGAGGCGCGCCGGTGGACACCTTCAATGTGTACTACCCCTGAGTGCTAGGCCCGGCTTGGTGGTGGAGGTGAAGCAGTGTCAGAGATGGGGCAGGGACGGAGATGAGGCCGGACTGGAGATGAGAACCAAGGGGTTAAGCAGTGTATCATACTAGTCGGTCCTTACATACATCAAATACTACCTAGGCATATATCCCACACCGGATCCTTTTGAAACAATAATCATGTCAAATTAATGCTCAGGATTAATACCAACGCCCCCAATCTGGAGTTTTCCATTTAGTGCGAGTATAGACAGCTCCGGGCCATTTACATCCATGCTTGCGCAGACAATACTCTAGATATCCGAATGGTTACTTTCGAGAGCCCGCTAACAACATCAGTTGGCGCGCCTACTTCTTCCCTCCTTCTTTTCTGTCGCAGCCACTGGTGATGTCTGGTTTTTCGATGTCGGTGGCTCTGGCGGCGTCGCAACCAGCGTGCCAATCCATGCCATGCTCTCCTCCCCCTGGGTTAAAATCCACGCGCCATCCCGGCCCCCGAAGAGCCATTCCTGTCCCCAAACCCCCTTTACTTCGGGACTTCTCGAGGCCATACCGAGTTGAACAGAGGGTACTGTGCGGTCATTCCTCTCAGCCGGGAAGCTCATGACGACAGCTTTCGGATGGATTGGTTCCTCCTTTGCCCAGATCATTGTGATGCCGTCCCCATATCCATACTGGTTCAACGGTTAGCGGGATGATCCCGGCGCTATTTTGGAATGGTCCTGGAAACCAGGAGACTCACCCACTGCCTGACCTGAGCCATGATTTTATCTTCGCTCCAGCCATCAACCCGCACTTGTTTATCAAGTGACGAGTCTACATCCTCTCGGCGTGTCTCAGGGGGCATGTTTCCAACAATTGCGTACCCAACAAACGAGCCAGAACCCGGAGTGTGGAAGCGCAGAAGAAGTCGAACTCAACGGTGATAACAGGGGCTTTTGTACTAAAAGCATTGGGTGGCAGAAGCCAGTCGAGTTATTAACAACAAAGCTCTAAGCTACTGCCCACGCCACTGTTGCCTCCCGTGGTCATCTGAGGTTTGTGTTCCCAACCAACAGGCATCGTCCTCTTTGACACACATGTCAGGAGACAACTGTGTTGGCACCATTTTCAATGTGCAAATGGTCAAATCACGATGACAAAATTGCCTTGCGTAGCATCGTTCTCCACAAGTGGAAGTGGCAGTGGAAGTGGTCGTGGACAAGTTCTGTTCCGGTTGAAACAATTATCCTTACACCGAGCCCCTCATTCCAACCTGTTCACGCTGTCGTCGGGCGGGTGCGGTCGACCTCGGTTGATGCCTAGCTAACTCCTTTTCTCTTTCGTTTTTCCCGGCGTGTCAATCCGGTCCAAGAGGGCAATATTTTTGAGTTGTTTTTCCGACATTCCAAAGCTACAGCCATCGGTCGATACTTGTTGTCAGCTATTATATACTACTGTTAGATTTAGGATTTTATATCATTCACAGCAATCAAGCTTTCAAATTAACAGGCCAGTGCAAGTGTGGGCTTGTATGAGACTGAAAACACCGGAAATCGATACAGCGACTAACTACCTACATACCAGGTGCCGTGGATAAACAATTAAAATACAACTACTGATAACAATTCCCGTAGACGGGATGGTGGTTTGAACGCGGCCGGTTTTGACGCCCTTTCCATCCCATCTACGGACCGGACCGTTGGAGTTCTGGCAACAGTTGGGCTGCCAACTGGACAGCTACGAAGCTGCAGACGGAATTAGCATGCCGGATGGATACAGCGGTATCAGCATGTACTTACTCTGAATCGCCGTCCGCTGATTCGGCGTCGTCGTCGTGGCCGGGTTTGCGTAATCCGTAGTGCGAGTCGGTTAGGGAATCCGGTTGGCTGGGCGCTTCGAGTAGCTCGGAGCCGCTTATTTCGGTGTGGGATTGTGAATGGGTTGTCTGGATAGGAGCCATATCCGCCTCTGGTTGGAGTTGAGGGTGGGGCTGTGGCTGTGATCCGGGCGCAACACCCCCTTGGCCTCCCGTCGCAGAAGGGATGTGAGGGTTGCCATTCATCCCATCGCCATTGGAAGTTGGCCCTACACCCTCTGTTGGCGGCGGCGGAAGCTGCGCCTTGGCCTTTCGTTTCCGGTTTGGCTTCGGGCCCGTGTACAAAGAGCAGCTCGCTGTGTTGTCGAACCACTTGCAATTCGAACAGCTATTGTGATAGCTTCCCGGCAGCACACGACAGCTCAGAAAAGGCCCTAGGGCATATTTGGACCGCTTCTCGGCGCACTGAGCACATGCTACCGCGGAGTCTTGGCCTCGTGAGTGGATCAACAACCCGTTGACATAACTTGGTCTCTGCGAGGCGATGTGCTTGGCTGTAATCCAGCCCTGAACGAACAGGATAGTCTCGCGGCTGGGCATGCGGAAGATGTTGCGTTGAGTGTCGTGGACGAGGGACTGCTCCGTCAGAGCATCCCGTATGAATATCGAGATAGCCGGTATGGCACGGTCTCCTTTGGCGGCGTTCCATGCCTGTACCAAGGCGTTATCCTCGTAGTCTGCATCGCGTACAGTAGCGTTTGGGCGGCCAGGGGGACGACCGCGGCGTTTCTTGGGGAAAGCAGCTGGAATCTCTGGGAGAGGGGATTCCGTGGTGGGTATGGTAGGACTGGTGGTAGAAGTTGAAGTGGAAGGTCCTGGTTGTGGTTGTTGAGCGTGTTGTGTGTGTTCGGTCAGGTGATTCAACCGGTTTTGTTCTGGATCTTGTCCTGAGACGACGTCGCCAGCAGTGGGAGGTTCCGTCATCATCGTATCCCTCACCGCTCCGCTGGCATCGGCCATATCGGATGATATGAAAGAACGGAATGATGGAAAAAAGATGGGCTACAAGAAAGCGATGGTCACAAGTCGGTGGTGGACGCTTATTCTGTAGTCGTGTCGTGATTGAAGTTGGATTGGAGGATTGGGGGCTGCGTGAGTGGGTTCAGGTGCACGAACCGGGCGGATTGCTTGGCATGCATGGGCCTCGCTCAGCCTACGTAATGCGTAAGGTACCGTACGAAGTACTGCTTGTGTATTGCGGTATTAGCCGGGCGTGAACCTGCAACCGCACTGCCGCACCACCAACTCCAACCGAAACACCAGGTTGCCATTTGCTCTCGTTACACATCCGCTGCTGCCGCTCATCGTAACCCGTCTATCAGTCGCTGCCCCAGGTCCCGGCGACCGCTCAATTCGTTGCGCATCGCATTTTTCAACCATTCGCCCGCCATTCCGACCCTCGCGCAACCGGCGCCATGTCGAACCCCAACGCCCTCCTCCTCCTCGCCGACCACATCAAGCTGTCGCTTCTCGAGCAGCAGCGCGCAAAGACGCTCAACCTCCGCCGAGACTCACAAGATGGCCACATTTCGCGCTCACTAGACCAATTCCGCGAAGGTCTCGAGTCGCTTGAGAAGGAACAGCTGCGCCTAGAGGAAGCAGGCGATGAATCGTACGTCCCCTCCTATCCCGCATCAAAACTACCTACCAAACCACCTTCTAACAACCCACCAGCAAAGCCGCCTCCCTCAACGACACCCTCGCCTCCCTCCGCAAACAATACACCGACCTCACCTCCCAATTCGGCGGCCACGCCTCCAACGGCACCTCCACCCTAACCCACCCCAACGACCCCTCCCTCGCAGCCGACTTCGCCCACGCGCAGTCCTCGCGCTCCGAGCCATCACCGCCGACCCCCCCGCCAGCAGACACCAAACCGGCGCCCAAAAAAGCCGTGCGCTTCTCCTCCCCCTCCACCGACCTCGAATCCCAAACCAACCGCTCCTCCTCCAACAACCCCCTCTTCCCCTACCGCGACAACATCGAAGACGACGACAGCGCCGGCTACCGGGACCACATCTCGTCCCAAAACCTCTCCAACACGCAGATCCACGCGTACCACGCCCAAGTCCTGCACGAGCAGGACGCGCAGCTGGACGCGCTGGGCGCGTCCATCGCCCGGCAGCGCGAGCTGTCGATGCAGATCGGCGACGAGCTGGACGACCAGGTGCTGATGCTGGACGAGAGCGAGCGGGCGGTGGACCGGCAGGCGTCGGCGCTGGGCCGCGCGCGCCGTCAGTTGGGCCGCATCGCGCGCGGTGCGGCTGAGAGTGGCGAGGGCAGGCAGCTGACGGCGATTGTGGTGCTGATTGTGGTGTTGGTGTTGTTGATTGTTATTTTGAAGTGAGCGTCTTAAGGGAGAGGGAGGGGAGGGGGGTGTAGGTCCCGTGTTGGGCCTTGCCTTGGATGTGTGTGGTGTGGTTGACTTGTTTTGCCGAGTTGGGACGCCGTGTCAGGGGTTCGTTGACCACTGGCGGGGGGCCAAGGTTCGGTGGCTCCTACGGGCGGGGGATACGGATGTCTGTGTATACTGACATTGGCTGGGCTGGTTGTTTGACGATTATGGCTGGGTTCGCACATTGTATGGCGTTTACGGGGGCTTCGGTGTTTGGGTAGATGACTGCTGAGTAGCTGGTGGTCTTGCTTTTCTTTTGATATATGGCGCGACACAGCAGCCCAACGTACATTATATCCTAACCCCAGCTCTCGGAATGTAATGACATGCTTGTCGGTTTTACAGCTGCCGTCGGTATTTCCCTGAGTTCGCGATTTGACCACCGCCGACGATTCCTCTCTGCTCATGGACCCTCCATCCGCAGGGTATCATCAACAATCCACAAGCCCGATTAGCTCAGCTGGTTAGAGCGTCGTACTAATACCGGTTCCACCTGTATATGGTATGCGAAGGTCAACAGTTCAATCCTGTTATTGGGCATTGTTCATTGCTTTTGTTTGTGTCGCACGTTTTCTTTTTGTTTTGTTTTGCATTGGTGCCAGGTAATCCCGAGCTTTTTCACCCCTGAGTCAGGGGTCAAAAAACCTACTTAGTGTGGCGAGGAGGAGTGACGACTGCACCACCGAACATCAACCGAGATGCACAGCGGAGTACATCTAACAAATACGGTTCAATTAATGTAATCGCATCGAATCTGTCTCTCTTCCCATCATCATAGCAACTCCTCAAGCTAGGTTAGGCAACGCTGTGCACCAATGTTTGTCCCCCCCATATCCCAAAGGCAAAATGCTGGCCCCGTCCCCCTTGAGCTTTTGCCCACAACCTACCGAATAACCATCCCGTCCCGGTCAATCCCCTCTAGGAACTCCAAGATAGGGCTCCCACCCAGCACCCCCGCCACGCCAGCCGTTCCCTTTTTGTCTGCTGCCCAGACTTCGTGGAACTTGACGCTCTTATCGCTGGACGCAACAATAATGCAGCCCTCCTTTGCGGTGCGACTGCGGTCCTGCGCCGCCCTACGATGTCTCCCACGCCGCCCCCCTCTCCCAGGCGGCCTCGCATCATGGGGTCCGCAGGGGTACGGGATGGCATAGAGCGCGCGATGTTCGCCAGCCCAGGGTATGGCAGCCACCTGGCGGCATTCGGGCCAGGAGAAAACGGCGATGCGGACCGGATGGTCCGGTTGGGCGTAGCCGAATGTCGCTGCGATCTCGCGTCGGGTTGTGGACCAGATCAGGCTGGTCACTTGGGCAGAGACCGAGATAGATGCCAGCGCAGCGCCGGACCCGGTATGGAAGAAGTGGATGCACTTGTCGTTGGAGCCCCCGCCCGTGGCTACTAGGCTATCTTGCCAGGGACAAAATGCGATGGCCTTGACCGCGGCACCGTGAACCCACCGGTGCTTTTCGTCGCCAGGCCCAATGTGTATGACCGGGTCGTAAGAAATCCGCATAACCTGAACCTCGGTCTCGGCCTCTGATATCTCACTCAACCCATGGACATGACCCGTTGTGGACGGTTCAGCTTGGTCCACTTGGTTGGGCACACGGATTGGGCGGTAGGATTCGAGAACCTTGTCGGTCTCGAACAGATAACAGACGTTGTCGTTCCCTCCCGTGCCAAATGCATTTCCGTCTTTCGACCACGATAGTCCGCATATTTGCTGTGAATGGACCACGATACGTGCTAGCAACGTCATATCCCCCGGCCAGTTGTCACGTTCTACCTCCCATCTCTCTGGCCACTCGATGGCGTAGTAGTAAATTAGTCCGGCTTCGTCCCCGACCAGGAGGTCCTCGTTTTTGACGGGAATACCAGGGGTCATATGGTTCCTGGAAGGTCGGACCGTGCACACCGGCTTCCAGCTCAGGCAAGCGACGGCGGACGGCTGAAGGACGTCGAACCGCGGCCTTGGAGGGGAACGTGGGACAGAGGAATCCGGATCGTCATATAAGGACAGCAAGCCCAGTGTATTGTCGGATCTTCCGAATGCTAAGATGGATTTGCATCCCTCAGCGGAAGAGAATGACACGCTGGTCAGATAACAGTCAGGATCAGTTCCGGCATTGAGCAGCTGCACCCCCCGAGTTTCAGACCACCCGTAGAGAAGGTTTCCGAGGCCAACTGCTAGCGTACGGGAGGTCAGAGAATATGCCAGTATAGAGCAGTAAAAGTCATCTCGCAAATTTGGAGCGTCGAGCACCCTGTGAACATCAGCGTGCGCTACCAGGCCGAGTGAGAGTCTGAGGACTCACTTGAATGGAGCTGTGGGCAATGCTCGGTTTGCGAGTGGCTTCTGGGGTTTCGGGATAGGTCCGTCGTTGATCCACTCCGTCCCGTTCCAATGTGAAGGAAAATACCCTGGCTTGTTGCACTGGCCGCTGCGGTAGCCGGCTAGGTTGGCACCAAGGATTCGCTCTGCGCGGTCTAAACCAAGCGCGGCCGCGAGTCGGGCCTTGTGCTTCTCGGCCTCCTCCTCGCTTCTCGGTTTCGCGGTTGGGAATGTGGTCCGGAAGAGGCGAGCGTTCGTTCCACTTCTGACCAGCTGGCCACGACCGTTGTTAACTGCGGTCCCTCCGAGGCCAACAGTCCAGGCTGTGTTGGTATCAACCTGCGTGTCGTTTCCATCAATACTATTTTGGTCAAGGGGGCCTAGCACATTGCCCACTAAGCAAGGTCAGCATCAGATACGGCCTCGCATACAACATCGCTTGACTAACCTTCGTTCCGGCTAGCAACCACTTCGGCACGTGAACGGGAGCGAGATTCGGGTCCCAGAGGTGTCACAACCCTTCGACGGTAGACGAATGGATCTTCTGTGGCCGCGCTATGTCGGATAAGCCTCTCGGTTGTCGTTAGTTCCTGGGGAGGTTTTCCGGTTCTGAATCTTTCTGAAGCAGTTGTTTCCTGGGCTCTTGCGGGAATGAATCGATCGAGATAGCGTGGAGAAGCCTTGTTAAGGCCCCGTTGCGGAAACTTAGCGCGTGGGAGAGAGTAGAACGAAGCCGGCAAGGCTAGGCGAGAGCGTGGTGCCCGCTGCGGGAGAGTGGCTGACCTCCTGCGGAGATGCCTTGTGCCCTGGGATGTTGAAGGCGAGGCAAGTAGGACAGACGGGAAGTCTGTAAGTGGGCTCTCAAGCTCACTATTTAGAAACGTGTCGTCCGAGTCGGACTGGTTGCCATCGCAGTGGTTCCGGAAATCTGCCAGGGGCTGCGTATTCTCCTTAGCAGACGGCTTCGTCCATGGTATTGGAGAATCTGAGCCGTAACCGGAATCCAATGGACTAGGCGGATCGGGCGAGCTCAATGCATGACGCTCACGACGGATTTGAGGGCGGAAGGGAATGATCGGTAGCATGATCTGTGGGCGATTGACCGGTGGACACGGTTGCTAATTCCCAGAACGCACCACCAGACTCTTACCAGGGCGCGGAATGAGGAAAACGTAGCGTATGAAGAGAAGGGGGAGAGATGATCTGACGCAGTCGAGACAAACGAATGCAAAGCCGGACCCAACCTTCTCGGTCCGAGAGGGGCTGATCAGCGAGGTCTCTTGACGTCCACCATGGCAAGATCAATTGCAGGAACCGTTCTTAAAGCTGTCTCGTATGTGGAATGCGGTTAGACAATCCTGGCGGACAAACCAGCTCTCGGGGGTGGCTATTGCAATGAGCGTATCGATATATGCCGAACAGCGTAGGGAAGTTAGAGGTGAAGCTGGTGGTCAACAGGGCATGGCATATTCTCGGGAGGGACTTCCATGAAGAGTGGAAGGCAAGAACTTGGAGGCGTGACCAAGTTGAGTGAAAATTCTTTCGTATTCAACCACGGCAGGTTCGACCTCAAGGGTTCGGCGGGCGAAGGGTACCTGGTACCTACCGTAAGGACCAACATGTCCGACGTGAACAACTGACAACTCGGGACAATAACTGCGGTTTTTAAGCTGCGAATTTATAAGAGAAAGTCTCAACTTCACCGTAACTCAATACCCGGATACAGGTGCGGCCCTTTCCCTGACAACGTTGTTGTCTTGTTGGGCAAGAGCATCAGGGAGCAGCTTAGGAGAAGTTGTCGTGAGGAGGATAGGAGAACTGCCCATGGGTGCCATGGCTCGAGCATGGTATCCACGTCGCTAGGGTACGGGTTAGGGTTTCTATCGATAACCCCACCTTCCTGCTGATGAACCGCAGCTCCCGGACCAACTCGTGCACTAACAACGACACTCCGACGGCCTTGCGTTAAGCTCCCCGGACTGCCTCCAGGTGTAAGAGAAATGGCCGACGTAAGAAAGCGCGCCCTGTTCTCAATTGCTTCGCAGCCTTGCAAGGATGTTGACTGATAGCAAGGGCGCTTCCAGCAAGGTGGATCGCAACACGGCATAGCCCGCACCTCGCGCGTGCGCACCGACGAACAGCGACAGCGCGACCTCGACCGCATCGCCAAGTACCGCGACCTCGAGGACCAGGTGCGCGCACTCACGGCCAAGGGCGAGTACACCCCCGCCGTCTTCCAGCTCACGTCCAAGCTGCTGCGGCTCAACCCGGAATACTACACGATATGGAACGCCCGCAGGCGCTGCCTAATCTCTGGCTCATTCTCAAGACCATCAGCTGGGTCATCATGCTCGAGGGCGTCCTCGACTACTTCTCCTACCGCCACTACAGCAGCCTCTTCCACCAGCTACTCGTCGTCATCCTCGGCCACGACCCCGCCCGCCCGCAGCTCCCCGACAGCTGGGAAGAGTGGTACAACAGCTGACCCCACATCCGACACTCCCGAAACCGACGAATCCGCCGCCGCGGACACGGACACGGCCGCAACGGCGGCAGCAGAAGCCGAGACTCGAGACCTCTCCGTCCTCAAAACCGAGCTCGCCTTCACGATCCCACTGCTCCTCGACTCGCCCAAGTGCTACTGGATCTGGAGCTACCGGCTCTGGCTGCTCCAGCAGGCGATCGCGCGGCTGCGCCCCGCGGTGGCGCGCGGGGTGTGGGAGGAGGAGCTGGGGCTGGCGTCCAAGATGCTGGGCAAGGACCGGCGCAACTTCCACGCGTGGGGCTACCGGCGGCACGTGGTGGCGCAGCTCGAGAGCGCCGCCCTGCGCGGCCGCAGCATGGTCGAGCCCGAGTTCGCCTACACCGACAAGATGATCCGCACCGACCTGTCCAACTTCTCCGCCTGGCACAGTCGGAGCAGGTTGATTCCGCGCTTGCTGGATGAGAGGGGCGCGGATGCGGCGGCGAGGAGGGCGTTTTTGGATAATGGTGTGTACTCCCCGCCCCCCCCCTGTTTCGTGACGTGATGGATATGGATCGGCTAACCTAGGGGTGGGAAAGAACTTCAACAAATCCGCGAAGCCCTCAATGTCGGTCCCGAGGACCAATCGCTGTGGTACTACCACCAATTCCTCGTCCTCAACCTTGTCGCGCCGGACAAACACCCCGCTATGACACCCGACTTCACACGCGAGGACCGGGTGGCGTATCTAACGCGAGAGATTGACGAGATCAAGGAGCTGGTGGAGGACTACGACGATGTGAAACTGATTTACGAGGCCTTGTTTGAGTACACGGTCTACTATTGCCAGCTTGAGGAAAGGCAACCTGAGCCGAGTGAACGAGCGGGCCTCGTAGTGTGGTTGGGGAAGTTGCGGGAGTTGGATCCAATGCGGAATGGGAGGTGGGCTGATCTGGAAAGGGAGTATAACTTGAAAGACTGACACATCCATGATACCGTTAATACATTTGAAACCCAATTTCAGCGTCAAAGTTTATAATATATTCAGGGTCGCGTCGATTCATGTTCACTGGCTCGTACACTAGGTCCAGTACTCGGGTCCGTCTTCCTCCAACGTCGTTTTGTCGGGCGCGTCCCCCTCCCCAGCCTCATCCACCGATACGAGCACCTCACCCGCTCCCTCAACTCCCTCCTCCCAATTCTCCTCCCGCCCAGCTTGCTAAGCCTCAACAACTCATAATCCACCTTCCGATACCTCACCTCCCACCTCAGCCAGCCATCCAGCCCGGGCAGGCAGACCCCGAGCGTGGGCAGCGCCAGCAGCTGCAACTGTTCCTCGCTCTTGAGACCCTTCTCCCACTCCCACCAGCTCGCTTGGATACCGCTCAACTTGTGCGGCTTGGCCCGGTCGACAACCTCTTCCTCATCGGTCTCACGCTTCCGGTTTGTGTCCATCACACTACCTTGGCTTGACCCCTTGCCCTGACGCAGCGCTTGGCCCTGACCCAGACCGGCGGAACCCTGATTTAGCTCGGGCCACCAATCCCCGCCCTTCAGCAGCTGCGCCACATCAATCGTAGCATAGATAGCCGGCAGGGTGTACCTGGTCTTGCCAGGCGCGTACCGCCTCAGCACGGCCGCGAGCTCTTTCCGCTCCTTGTCGCCGGCGAGCGCCTCGCGGAAGGGCTTGTAATGCTCGACCTCGAAGGGGGCGACGCGGATGCGGCAGGGCAGGCGGTGCAGCAGGCGGATCCAGAAGCGGCCGTCGAAGGCGCGCGCGCCAGACCAGCCCGTCGTCTTCCATGCGGCGGGGGGCCGGCCGAGACGCCGGCCGAAGGCTAGCTCGTTGAAGATGGCCTCGGGCCTTGGCACGTTGGATGCGTGCGGGGCGCGTGTGAGGAGCCAGCGGAGTGGGTAGGCTGGGTTGAGGAGCGGGGTGAAGAGCACGGAGCAGATCACGTAGGGTTTGGGCGGCGGCGGTGTAGAGTCCGGACCGGCGAGGGAAGGAAAGAGCATCGATACGAGGTGGGAGAGCTGGGCGGGTTGGCTGAGCTCGCGCTCGGGGGTTACCATGGTGAGGAGACGGCGGATGAGCAGGGCGGCGATGTGGTGGTGGTGGGCGACGCGGCGTTGGCGCGCAGCTGGGGACGCCGAGGATCGCCGGGGGGTGGTGGGGAAAGAGAATTGCGGGAAAGTGACGACGGCAGTGCCAGCGTTAGGCCCAAATTCGTGGATCAGTACCCGGTCAAGGAGCCGCTCTGCCTCGGCTTCGTCGGAAGCGACCCGTTTTTGGCACCGCTCTGCGAGCCGGAGGATGGAAGGCTTCTGCAGCGCCACCGGCAGTTTGTGATTTTGGCGCATGTAGCGGACCGCATTCCTCAAGGTCAGCGTCCGGTCGGAGTTGGTGTGGTCCTCAAACCAGGGGATATTGTTCTCGAGGCAGGTGGCGATGAGACGGTCTTTGCTGAAGCGAAGGAGAGGCCGATAAACCATGACTCCACCGTCCTCGACTTCCAATGGTACCAAACGCCGGGCTCGCTTGCTACCCGTGGCAATGCCGTCGTATTCATCCACGTACGCAGTGCCAACGTCAGTCTTCAAACCCGCTTCAATCTCCCTGGCAATGACAGCAGGATCGACTTCATTCCTCAGGCCCCTCTTCAGTATCTTCCTCTCGCGATCGCCAGGGACAATGTTGTAGAAGGGGTCGCTTCGCCGCTGGTCGTCGACAAAACCGCTCTGATACACGCCGTGTAGGTCGTAGCATTCCGGTATGTCAGTTGCCGGGCGCATTCCCTGCAATCCGCGGTACCCGTGGCCAGAGAGCAGCCTCATCATGACGGTTTCGTACTGGTCATCCTCGTGGTGGGCGGTTAATAGGGTGGCCATCTGCCCGATCTTGCAGAAGGTGCCGAGCCGGCGGTAGCGAAGGTAACGGGCGAGGGTTTCAACATTAGGCACGTCATTGGGATTGGTGCCTTCCGGGAGCACCTCGTCCCAGCGAACCTTGACGACGTGCGACTTCACGCCGAGCTTCCTAGTGGCGACAGCAACATTATCGGCCTCGATAGCGCTGCCCTGGCGCAACTCATGGTTGACGATGACGCCAAACGGGCTGCTAATAGGGTGGTCGACGACCTTGAACCACTGGTCTGTTGGTCTGATCTTGGTGCAGAGGTAGGCTAGGGCCATAGAGTCAACGCCACCACTGATTGCAAGCGCTGTACCAAGGTCAGCATCAACATCTTGAGGAGCATGGGTAAGAATATCGGGGAAATAAATACCAATCGGGCGGTGAGACCGCGGCCGGGCTTGTGGAAAGCGCGGGATACATGTGGCCGCGAGGGCGTCGAGGAACTCATGGGGAGTGATTGCCCGTGCGCCGCGGTGCAGTACGGGCGGTAGCGTGGTCATGCCATCACAGGACAGCTTCAGGACCGTCAATGAGACAGAGATGTGGAGAGGTGAAGAGAATTGCTAAAGTTCAGTGGTCGATGGAGCACCCAGCAACTTCAGTGGCCCAAGCGCGATTTCACTCCAGAGGAGTCGAGTACCCGAAAACCGTGGAGCATTTGAGCCAAGACCCTAAACCCTGATCATCCATGACCTCACAGCCCAGGGTCCAAGTATGTACAGAGTGCCTGCCGGAATCGGCGGCTCAGCTCGGCCTAAAAAAGCAACAGAATATCACAGCACCGCACCTCAACACCACGCCCAAACACCCACCCGTCGACATCACCATGGTCCCATGACTACTATTCACAGCTAATAACAATCCCAACCCTCCCGCCAGCCATTGGCCCACCACCGTCGTGCAAACCTTCCAACCACCCACCCGAACAACGACCCCATACGCCCAACCAACTCCTCCCTCAGCGAAACCCCCATTAGTCACACGACCACACCACGAAACAAACCACAACCACAACCACAACCTGAGCCCCAACCACAGCGCACGCACGCACACAAAAAAAAAGAAAAATGGCCACGGCCCCGCAACCACCCCCCTTCCAAACCGCCCTCCTCGCCGGCGCCCTCGCCGGCACGACGGTCGACCTCTCGCTCTTCCCGCTCGACACACTCAAAACCCGCCTACAATCCTCCACCGGCTTCTTCGCCTCGGGCGGCTTCCGGGGCATCTACCGCGGAGTCGGGTCCGCAGTCGTCGGCTCCGCTCCGGGGGCCGCCTTCTTCTTCTGCACGTACGAGGCGAGCAAGGCCTTTTTGGCTTCCTCGCCCACCTTCTCCCCCTCCCCCCACCAAAACGGGAGCAGCAGCGGCGGCCACCAGGCGATGATCCACATGGCCGCCGCCTCGCTGGGGGAGATCGCGGCGTGCGCGGTGCGGGTGCCGACCGAGGTGGTCAAGCAGCGGGCGCAGGCCGGGCAGCACGGGGGCTCGTCGCTGCGGTCGCTGCGGCACATCCTGGCGCAGCGGCACAGCGGGGTGGGGTTGGTGGGCGTGTGGCGCGAGCTGTACCGCGGGTGGGGCATCACGGTGATGCGCGAGGTGCCCTTCACCATCCTGCAGTTCCCGCTGTGGGAGGCGCTCAAGGGCTGGGGCCGCGAGCGGCGCGTGCGTACCGGGCGGGGGTTGTTTGGGGATGTGAGTGCCCATCCGGTTCATGCGGGCGGTGGTGGGCAGGGCGGGGGCGTGGTTGGGGAGGTCAGCGCGGCCGAGTCGGCGCTGTATGGGAGTATATCGGGTGGTGTGGCGGCGGCGGTGACGACGCCGTTGGATGTGCTCAAGACGAGGGTCATGCTGAGCTCGCAGAGGGAGACCATGGCGAGCATAGTGCGGACGATACTGAGGGAGAACGGGGTCAGGCCGTTCTTTGCGGGTATCGGGCCGAGGGTCATGTGGATTAGTGCTGGCGGCGCGATATTCTTGGGCAGCTACCAGTGGGCGGTAAACGCGCTGGAGAAAAGCAGGCTGGTAATATGAGGAGGGGCGGGCCCTGTGCCGGATCACGAGCGGTTTGAAACTCCCGAGAGACCGACCGCCAAGGCGCATCCGGCTCGCTTCGCCAAACCTGCAAAACTGCCGGAAGCTTTCTAAGCTGACATATGTACAATAACAAGACTAATACCCCCAATAGACACAAACCCCGGCGCCTGGCTAACACCACACCACTCGGCGCCAACGGACAGACCATCCTCCACGGCTCTCTGATGCCAGCCCACACTATGCAGCCGGCGCCGCCGCTTCGGGTTCCTTCGTCTCCTCCACCTCCGCAGGAGGCGGCATGGGGATTTCCTTCCGGCCGTTGGCCTTGTAGTGCAGGACGATATCGTTACCGCCCCTCCAGGCGTGCGTCCGTAGAGTCGCCAGGGTCATCTTGAGCGGCAGCAACTAGAACGAAAGCATTAGATTCCAAACCAGCACATCAGCACCCACGAGTTAAACTCACCCGGTCGTTGCAATACAGCTCCAAATACTCCTCCGGCTTCAGGGCATCCGGCGCCGGCTCCTCTCCCTCGGGGACGGGGTCGATGCGCTCGGCGACATAGGCCAGGATCTTCTTGACGCGCAGCATCCGGTTCGCGTTCAGCCGGTTGTTGCCGTCGGCCGACACGATGGGCGGCAGCGTTTCCTTCCACGGGTGGAGCACGAATGAGATCTTAACCGGGTCTTTCAAGGGCAACGTGTTGAGCAGAAGCACGTCGCCTAGCCACTGCGGCGCCCGCTTCTCGATGACGTCGGCGTCGGCGCCAACCGACGCCACCGTGCCGCGGTACATCTCGGCTGAGCCGCCCGAGGTCTCTTCTTGGATAATGACCTTGGTACCGGCGGGCAGCTTCAGTACCGGGGTGTCGTTGGCTAAGCTGGGGGTGATTTTGGTCTCAACGATCTGGTCCGGGTTCTCAGCCTGCTGCTTCTCGTAATCGTTGTGCATCCTCTGCACCACGCCCAGGAAGTTGTCGTCAAATTCTTTTTCGTGGTTCGATGATGACTCCGACTCTTCGGCCTTCTCGTCGAGGACAGCCGGCTTCTCGGCTGTTGTCGTCGATAGGGACCGCCCCAACTTCTTGGTGCCAAAGGACATGCCCATGCGGAACTTCTTGCTAAACATAGTGGCGCCTGGCTTTCCGTTCTCTTTGTCTTTATCCTTGTCCTTGTCTTTGGCATCCTTCTCCTTGACGCCGTTCTCACCTGGCGTTTTAGCCGCCTTCTCTTCGGCCGGAGGAGCCTCGGTAGCGGGCGTCTGCACTGGTTTGGGGGTTCCGTCCGGGCTCTGAATTGTGTCGGAAAAGTAGTCTTCCCTCTCCTGCGATGGCCTGCTAGCTTGGGACGACCGCTTGTCGACGAGGGGGCTGAGGGGTGATGTGAATCCTTCGTGTACCGGCGGTCCAGGGGAACCAGGAGTAGCCAACCCGATTCCGAAACCTGGTGTCATAGGCGGGTACTGTGATCCGTGAGCTCGCGGTGTCGCCGAAGACAGGTCGGTCGGGCCCCAGCTCGGGGTTGAAGGAATTGATATCGCTAGCGGTGGTGCTGTTCTACCCACCGCTATCCTCGTGGTTGCACCTTGGTTTACTTTGTGCCTAAACGTCTCATCCCGCCGAATCTCTTCGTCAATAAGATTGGCGAATAGGTATCTAAGCACCCATTTTCCGAGGTTGACTACAAATGTCAGCATTTCAGCGTGGCTAAGCCGGACTGGAACGTACGTACTCCTTTGGTCTTCTCGGAATTCTACGGGCTCCTCCAGAACCAACTCGTCGGCGTACATCTCGGCGTCGAAGCAGTTGTAGGGCTCCAACACGACCGTCAGATTCCCTGAACTAATGTCGATCGAGCACCAGGGTGCAACGGCCTCGCGGGTGTTAACCTCGGGCTCCACGTCTTCGAGGTGGCGCTTCCCGAAGCTTTTGACAGGACGACACTGCGGGAGCGGTTAGCATCAAACATACTTCATACGATGGGTCTCCATCTCACCTGGATCAAATCCCACATCAAAACATCACCCGCGGTATCCAAAGTCAGGACGCGTCTCCTGTCGTTCAACAGCTTGTGCTTAACCAAACCGAATTGCCCCTCTATGGTCTCTTCTGGTAAATGGTGGATCGGCTCAACAATGCTGACGACATGCTCTGTGATCTCCGACACACTCCGTGTCAGCGCTGGGAGGGCGTCCTCATCGTCCCGGCCAATAACCAGTTGGAAGGGTGCCGTATTCGATATCCGAAGGATAGACTTGGCAGGGATCGTGGGTGCTGAAGAGTCGTTCGCCGGAGCTACTACGGCGACGGTTTCCTTGCTCTGCACCGTCACCAACGACGCGCGGTGCTGCTTGGGAGCCTCGAGAAACCGCATGCTGACACTTGTGTCTACGTCCTTCCACCGGTTGATTGACGCTGTGGCCGTTGCCGTCCAGATGCTGTCGTCCCAGGCCACCATCTTGCTAACGCCATCATTCTCCTTCGCAACGGCCACGGACAAGCCCTTGTCCATATCACCACCAGTGTCACGGACGTCCGTCTTGACCACCAGCCCGGATCGGTCACTACTGTAGAAGATGTCGAGGTTCGGGTCGTCAGAAAACATGGCCCAGACGCTATGGTCGTGCATTGTCAAGGTATGCATGCAACGGCCAGCCGTGACACTCCACACCTTGACAGTCTGATCCGAGCTAGCCGATAAAACCATATCCCCGGACTCGCTGATCAGAATGGCGCGGATGGTGTCGGTGTGGCCGACAAACTTGGTGATGCGCTGGCCCGACCTTGGATCCCACAACCGCACGATGCTCTCGGGGCCACCGTTAGCTAGGATGTTGTGGGTGACGCCCAGGGCGTACACGCTGCCCTTCTGTTCCACTTCCTCGCCACGAACATCAATCTCGAGCGTGTCGCCGGCTCCAGACAGGTCCCAGAGGTGGATTTTCCGGTCGAGGCCCCCCGAAGCTACCCAGGTTGTCGACTGGCTCGGTGTGGCGACGCACTTGACATAGTCGGCGTGCTGGCCGATGGTGACGGGCTCTAGGACGTCGCTAGCAAGAGGTCGCCAGGCCTTAACCAGGAGGTCTGAGGAGGCCGACACCAGTGCGCTGTGCTGCTGGGCGAGGGCAATGTCGTTGATCCAATGGGTGTGTGCTTGAGTTTGAGCACGGAACCGGGTAATGGAGTTTGGCCTGCCGTTGGTTTGGCTAGAGTCAGTAACAGCGGAGTGCCCGCCAGTGTTGGTAACATTGCTATTCAGGTCCCAGGCGCATATGACACCATCTCGTCCGCCAGAGTAGCTACAAAGTGTCAGCGAAGCTGTGATAATATGGATAAACCCGGTGTGTACTCACAGGATAGCATTGTCGCGATCAACGGCTAAGCCGTTGACACCCAAGCGATGACCGCCCGGTGAAGAATTAGGGGCTTCAAGGACTGGGACAGAAGAGGTAGATTAACAAAACAATTTCTCATCCGCACTTCAATCCCATATGTGATAAGGTTGGTACAATCGCTGCCCCTGGTCCCCGGGTCTAAAATACAGACCAGCCTTCCCCCAGACGCGGTCCATTGACGCGCACGTGTGTGTGTGTGTGGGTTTCGAGAAGGCCAAGACAGGTGAGCAACAAAAAGAAAGGGGAAAGAACCAACCATAGCTTATTCGTTGGCGTGCCTTCTTGGCCATGTTTAAAAATGGGCAATCAGGTGTGAGACGATCATGCAAGGGCAGAACGGAGTGAGTGGTAAGAGAGCCGAGTCTTGTGCAAACCACCGAAGATTCCGGGCCTGAGACTGAGGTGCAGGATTAGAGAGGGATAGGGAGTTTACCCACTCTGAGATAGAAATGCACATAAATCCATGCGGAGTTCTTAAAAGAGCAGATTTAAGCAGTCGAAGGACGACAGAGGGAGGGCTTTTGTGCGAATCTGGAGATGAGGAAGGTGCAGCCAAACACCAACACCATGGCCGTTGGGGAAGCAGTCGCCAAGAATCCCCAAAGGAGCAGAATGCGACCCTATATATCTTGGCACGTGGAGACCCACAAGCTTCTTGGGGTCCTTCGATGGTTCCCTTCCAAGGGATCAGGCGGGGAGAGACCTCGTGGGGCGGCCGCGGGGTTGCCCTGCACCGGAATTCCGGAAGTCTGTCAACACGGCCCCACAAAAGCCGACTTCACACTCACACGCACTCGCACCAAAATGACAGTTCCGAACCCTCTTGTTTAAAAGGAATTGTGTAGAGGCTCTCTACTAGAAAAGAGCGAGGGAGAGGAAAACAAGGTATAGTTAACAGGAAGGGAAGAACAAGTGAAGGGGAAAATGGGAAGGCAATACAGGAAAAAAGAGAAAGCAAAAAGAGAACCCCTAGGAAAAGCCGCTAAGTACAGTAATATGAGCCATTGGGTGTAGTGTGGTGACGAGTAGAGGAGATGCTAAACCAGGTGTTGATGTCATAACCAAGCTCACGTGTGCGACTCGTCGTCATCAGCGGGTAGCTCCGGACCTAGGTAGATACCTAGTTTACCAGTTTGGTGTGCCTGTTTGGTGTAGCTACACGGTCGCGGCAGTACTACCTAGCTGCGAAAATGGTGGTACATAGGTAACTTGAGTTCTAGTTGCTAATCTTCAACCACTAGGACACCACCTCGGTAGTACAGTGGTAAGAGCGCGAACCTAGTTAATTCCCCGCCCGTTGAACGCAAACCCGCTCCGGGCCTGGTGAATGACCAACTCTTCCTTTTTCGATTCCCGGCTGTCACGGTGGCTTTCGCGCTCCTTTTTTACGCCTTATCCTCCTCTTTTTGTGCGAACTCCCGAGCCCGCAACCACTCACCCACCCGCCGTTTCCGAACCTTCCTCATCACATCCCATTCAGCCGAGTTTTTGTTAAGACTACTTATAGGGGTAGCGAGGAACTTATCAAACTATGTGATTGAGAATAGTAACATCGTAAAGAACAATCACAATAAAACCCGTTTTCTTGTCTAGTGTTTGCCGAGACTATGGATAGACGTGAGCAGAGAAGAGAAAACTACCTAAACTTAGAAACACATTTTCAGTATAGAGAGGCACCTAACGCTTGACACTTCACTCTTTGATTACCGTAGTCCCAACCAACCTGGCGACTCTTCGCTCTTGGCTCCTAGATAGTTGCGCCAGCCACACTAGGATCTTGTCGATTTCCTAGCAGTCTCAGTCCTCTAAAGATTGTTCGGTAATCTAGTCCTCCTTGTGGAGAGTACGATAACTGTTCGGCTTCTTTACAAGCGGTGAATCAACCATGATAGTTAGTGAGCCTTCCATTTCTCATATGCGTCGTCTGGTAAGGCTTCCGGAAACGGATGGTTACCTATCTAACCAATTCCCTACTGTCTCCTTCTTGGCATGGCGGTCATAGAATTCGTCCAGAGAGCGGTTCAGGTCTATATTGTGTCAACGGACATACAATCCGGGTACGTGCCCGGACACCAAATCGCCATGTGTACGACGTTATCACTTCCAACGACGGAATGGTCGAGCCAAAGGCTACCAACCTATTGACCTACACGGGTAAGTTCACAAGAAGTGGAGATCTATGCTGTAGCTCAAAGCCTCAAACTTTCATTCTAGCACCCAACGGAGCATCCATGCGCCCTAACAGCCTATACCAACAATCTCTGGTATCCTGGCGATTCCATGGCAACGATGTCGTCGTGTTCTCGGTCCCCAAGGGTGAGGTCACTCATTCACCAGTGCGATAGTGTACCCCGTCAAACACGCACGCATTTGCGTCCCATTAACAGTCGTGGAAAGACACCAATCTTGCCATTGCCATTGCCATTGTCATTGTCATCGTCATTGTCAATTCCATTGTCATTTCCATTGCCATTGTCAGAGACATCGCGGTGCTTGGTATTGCTAAGTGCTTCCCGCCCTGCGACTTCGTAGAATTTCGTTCCCATACCTACAACAGCACCACCTCCTTCCCCAATTGAATGGCCCACCTAACGCCTGTGGGTCACGGGGCCCGGAGTGCAATCTGGGCATAGCACAAGTCCTCCTGGATGAACCGCTGTACGGCTTGCGCGCGCAAGGGATGGGGCTTCTTCCGGCAGCTGGCGACGGTGATGGCCCGCTCAAAGTCGATGAGCATGATCCTGCCAATCTCGTCGCACCACAATATGTTCGGCCCCCGCACGTCCATGTGGACGACGCCCAGACGGTGCATGTTCTGCACCAGAGGCAGCAGCTGGCGGTCGAGGGCCGCCTGGTCGAGGCCCAGCTCGTCTTTCTTGGCTAGGATGGACTCGCCGCCCCACGAGAGGAAGATCATGTGGATGAGCTGGATGCTGACGTTGTACCGGTACGGCCATTTCAGGTCAACGGCGCCGAGGAAGACAGGGATTCCGCTACCCTGGAGCGTGCGCAGCTGGCGATACATCTTGGCTTCCCTCTTTAGGTGCGGGATAGACTCGGTGGTGGTGGCCTTGGCAACGAATGTGTATCCGTACTCGAGCAAGGTAACCGAGAACAGAACCCCTCGGGCGCCCTGCTTCCACAGTGGTTTGATCCCCTCGTCGAGGGTCCGGTCGAGCTGCTCCGCGACCAGGCGTTGCCAGGTCTCGTGGTCCACCGGATGATGGCACCGGTCGCTCAGGTTCCCTCGGCGATGAAGTGCAACATTGGGACACCGGGAGTCCAAGGTAAATCCGCACACCAAGCCGAGGAGGCACTGTTGGGTGCAATATGAACGCTTTTGGGGGCGGCTACTGGGGCCCTTGTTGGCGTCCGCTGGCGCTTTCTTGCTTCGCTGGGTCTGGCTTCTCGTCTGCGGTCGAAGTGTGTTCGTGGATTCGTCTGTGGCACCGCGATTGTCGTCGTCATGGTCATCGTCCTTGTCCGAAGTGCGACCTCCCGTGCCTTCACCAGCCTCAGTTTGGCAACGGCGCTGCTCCAAAGCCACGACCCCGGCGCTTGTTCCATTGTCGGCTTCGCTCTCGACCTGTGGCGACCGGTCAACGCCAGGATCGTTTTTCGGCGTTGGTGGCGTAAGGCCTGAAGCGGATGGCGTCCTCGATTTCACAGCGTCCTTGTCCTGCTCCTGTGAAATGAGTCGCTCCATCAATTCCCAGTCCATCGCCCACGTCTGGAGACCTTCTGTGGCGTTCTTCCGGACAGCTTGGGACCTTTGCCGTGTCTTCAGAGCCAGGAGCGCGAACGCAAGTACCTGGCTGACGGCCGTACAGGAGCGGCCGTTGGGCCCGTGCTCGGCTACCTCGGCCTTGGGTTCGGCCAGATGAAAGAAGAGGTCGCCCGGGTTGTCCCAGTCGATCTTCAGGAAGACAAAGGCTTCGGTAGTTGTCAGGTAACTGTACTCGAGTCCATTCTCGATCATATAGTGGTATGTTTGAGTAATGGCGGCTGCAACTAGCCTGTCCGAGACATACTTGAGATGGTCGTCGGCTTGTGTGGCGCGGGGAACCGTCTGTCGATTGACGACTTCGGTACGAATGTCCATCTCCCGGAGCCCTAGCCGGAGATGGCGTGCGGTGAGCTTATGGGGAGCCTTGTACTCGACGACGAAAGCGATGGCACGTCCCTCCAAGTTATCGGGGTCGTCGACATCTGGCGAGAACACGGCGACTTGGTCAGGCCGAGTCTTGGCCTTCGATTTTCCGGTCTGGTCTTTCTGGTTAGTTTTCCCCTTGTCTTTCTGGTTAGCTTTCCCCTTGGGTTTCCCATTGGTTTTCCCCTTGGTTTTCCCCTTAGCTTTCCGTTTAGTTTTCCGTCTAGTTTTCCGCTCGGGTTCCCGGCTGTTCCCTTGGCTGCCTCCCTCATCCTCGTTGTTCCTGTCGGCTGCATCACCCGCATCATCGGCCGGTACGTGATTCTCAAACACGAGCTGGCTGATGATACCAAGCGCGGCCTTGACCGACGGCCTTTTGACCGCTTCCGAAATAATGGCCGAAACCGGGTACTGAATGGCGATGTTCTGCGCTGCGACAACGTCGGCTTCGTTGGCAAGCCTTCGGCGAACAACCTTTGCAAGAGTGGGGATTTCGTTTGCCCTTGGAAAAGCCCGTTCTTCACCAAAGACCGTGTGGATCTCCCCAAGTATTTCCTTTTGCCCTTCCAGGAAGTCTGACCAAGGCATCAGTCTCGAGGGGCACCACTTGTCAGCCGGGTTCGTGAGCCCGCCTTTTGATGTCAAGCTCTTGTTTGTTTCCACCCAGATTGTATCGTGCAACCACTGTTGGCAGAGATCCAAGAATTCTCCTAGCGTGGTCAGCCGCAGCTCAAGATCAAGACGCCGCTTGGCTTCCTCGGCGATTCTTTCTGCCTTGAGTCGTTGTTCGTGGTTTTCCTCGGCGGCCTTTTTTGCTTTTTCGGCGACTTCTTTCGCTTCCTTGGTGGCTTGTTCTGCCTTTAGTCGTTGTTCGTGGTCTTTATTGGCGCGTTTTCGCTCTCTTTCTATGTTGTCGTCAAATTCACGCTGCCGTCGTTCGAAATCGCGAATCCGGCTCCTTAGCCTCTCAACTTCGTCCTGTTGATCCATGTTATTGGTGGTAGAAATACGATATGAAAATGAATCAGTGGTGTTGGTGTCAAGGCCGGACCCTAAGGGCCTCGGCTTTATACCTCTGGCAACCATTTCGTGAAGCTCGGAGGCTGGTCGGTCTGGGTTGAACAACAGGATGATGTGTGGTGCGAACAACACTGGTGCTCGGGGAACACTTGGTGGGGTGGGAAATGTGGGTGAATTTGAAGGGAAGAGGCATTCACTTGCCTGCGTAAGGCACGAGCGGCGGAGACATCGGATGGATAACTGGCAAGTCTCTGTTTTCCATTTCTGAACAAGGTGGCGACGGAAAGCGATGCCGAGGGCTAAGCGAACTCCCCATTGAACAGAACCCAAAGCAAGAGACATCCCATAGTGTGGAAGATACAATCCGAGCTCAAGAAGAGATTGCGACCCCGGCCGAACAAGAGTCCTTGAAGCATAACCAACGAGAAGAGAAGTCGAATAATGGCAATGGCAATGATAATGGTAACGGCAATGGAAATGGCAATAGAAATGGCAATGGTAACGGCAATGGCTACGGTATTGGAAATGAACCGATCTACACTACTGTAGAACCTAGAAGAGAGGCTATAATATGAATTAAACCGGCTCGTCTCTGGTGTACAAGTTATTCAGACTTGCCACTACATGCTGGAGGGCCGCGTTACATACGGCTGTGTCACCACTGGTGAGCCACCACATATATAGCTTAAAGCAAGTATACATACACTGTAACCAGAATACATGTTAAATACATCCCAACAATACAACCCGAAACACCCTGTAACACCTACTATCTACAAGTTGGCTAGGTACATACCTAGACATACTGCCCCTTACATCCTCGCTTTCCCCAACTCCCCGGCCACATCCTCCACACCCTCTACAGCCTCCAGCACACCCTCCCCCTCGTCCCCATAATAAGAAGCCCGACTAATACCCTCCACATCAAACCCGCGATCAATAAACATCGTATTCCGCACTCTCGTAGCCTCCGCCACTGCCGCAGCCGCCTGGTCAGCCGACATCAGATCATGGTCCAGTAGCGGAAACATGCGCGCATCCATCTCCGACGGATCACCGTCCACTCGCTGCTCCTCTGGCTCAGCACCAGAAACGTGCTGGTAAACACCCAGCTCGGCACCGCCTGAACCTTTACACACACACACGCTCTCAGTCAGCCAACTCACACTTCATCTCATCTCATCACCATAAAGGGAGAACACGGGGGACTCACCCAACGCCGCCTCGGCCTCATACGGGCTCATCACGGGGTAATACGTAAACCGCCCCGTCGAAAACACAGACGAGTCCCTCACACCCGGAACCTGAGCCTGAACCGGCGCTGGAGCCGGCGCGGGTGCCCGGACCGGTGCCCGAATCGGCCCCACAGTCGGAGCCAGCGTCGGGAGCGAGATTGAGATCGGGGCGGGGGACACGGCGGCGGCAACAAAGGGGCCGGGGAGGAATGATGGGGCGACGGCGGCGGGGGCGGGGCGCATGGTGGCAGCAGCCACAGGTCGTGGTGTGGGACGGGGCCGGGGCCGGGAGCCGACGGGCGGGCCGGTCTGGCCGGCGCGGTGGGCGCTGGCCGGGTTGACGGCTAGGACGGCGCTGGGGCGGTTGGGGGTTTCCCAGTTGTGGACTGTGTGTTTTGGGGGAAAGGGGGTTGGGGTTAGTGGGTTGTTATTTGGTTTGGTTTGAGTTTGGGTGGGTTATGGGAGTGAAAGGGGGGGTAGGGACTTACGGAAGGGCGGCGGCGCAGGGTAGCCGTATGGACTGTCTGGTTCGAGGTCGCGCAGTAAGGCTAGGGCTTGGGGGTGGGTGTTAATGGCGGTTTGATAGTACAGAGTGGTGGGTGTGAGGCAGGCTTACACGGCTGAGGGGATTCGTTGTAGCGCCAGCCCGGTGAGGAACTTATGCTCACGGCTGATCGGTGGGCGGTAGGAGCCGACGGGACCAATCGCGGCGGTGGCGGCGACACGGGCAGAGATTGGGGAGGCGGGAACAAGGAGTAAGTGGGTGCCACGTACGGTGCCGGGGTTGACGGCGTACGGGCAGGGCGCGATCTGCCTCCCACAGACTGCGCAAGTTGGCGCGAGACTTCTTGCTGCCACTCTTCCTGGAGCCACTCTTCTTGCTGTGCTCTGGGAGCTGAGGGCAGAGCTGAGATTGGCGACCGGTTTGGCAGCGGCGGAACCGGACCCCGGGAGTGACCAGAGCGGCCCTCGTCAATCGGGGCTAGACTGCCTAGCTGACGCTGGTTTCCGGGGGCACTCGCGCAGCGAGATCGGGAAGGGCGGGTTTTGGGCAAGGGCAGGGAGTTGCCGCTCAGGACATCTGGGACTCGGGGGGTCCGTCGATTCTGGGCGAGAGCGGCGGGGATAGGCGGAGAACGAGTCGGAGGTGGTGGTATACTGTTGGCACTACCCCGAGATGATGTCGAGCCGCCCCGGGTCCTCGACATGGGGAAGTCGGCGCCCCCTAGTGGTGTATAAGTCAGCTTCTGAAACCGGTAACACTTGATGATTGCCTGTTACTCACGCCCAACGTCACCTAGCGATTGCTCAATGTCCTTGATTGCTTGTGTGGTAAGAATCTGTGATTCTCGGACTGGTGGGTCGTTAGTTTGACAGTCGACCTCTCAGAGATGAGGAAACGAATAACAACACTCCCAAGTCTTACTCTTTTCTGGAGCCTCCATGTCATCAGTACCCATTGAAGGAGCGGCTCGGTGTTGGAAAGTCGACTCCATGTGATCTAGAAGATAAATCACAGCTGGATGGGCCAAAAAGTCTGGGGATTGGAACCAGAGAAGTAAACAAAGCGAGAGCGGGTAGGAAACTCTAGGAGAAGTTGGTGTGCTTGAGTAAGACTGGGAGCACAGAGTAGCTAGAGCAACCAGGGTAATCCAGAGAAATAAAACCAAAAGGATGAATTACCCTTCCCGAGGAGGACGCGACTTCCGGCGTTCAACTTGGTTGCCATAGGCCTAGTAGTAGCGTCTTTTGTAACGCGTCAGGTTCGGACCGATATTGAGTTGTTTCCCTTTTCGCACGGCTCATGAGTGGCATCTATTTGCAACAACCAGTATCTCAGGACTTTCTATCTACTGTTCCCTCTGGCATGCACTCGGGGCTGTTCAGTATCATCGAACTTGTTCAGTGGCAGGGTAAGCCCTATGCACTGCCCTACACGGTATCCTACATGTTAGGTCCTCTCATCACAGTCTTAATCCCTTTCGTCTATCTCACCAATAAATCGGGTAATTTTAGTTCCCTTACATTGTTCACGTTTTCACCCCATTGTTTATTACCCCCTGAAAAGAGAACCCAGCCCTACCCAAACACCGCCTTAAACCACCCCACAAAAGCCATATTGTGAATCCTCAATGATCTGGAGGTGGCCAAGATACCTCAGTTTATACTTACTTAATCAATGATCAATTATTCACTGAGCTGGATTGCATCCCGATAGAAAAGCCTCACATCACCCGTCCCATCCCCGCTTTTTACCCCTTTTGAGGGTACCCTGGCCATTACTTACGAGCAGCCAGACCATAAGCTTATTTTTACGAATTGTGTGTCCCAAGATCGGCCTGGTGAATACCAGGCCATGCCTAAGCTTATTCCTACGTATCTATCGTTTACCCCAAAGCCAGCTTGATAGATGTCCGGACAACAAGTTTAAATTTACCGCCCATCCCACTCTGCCTCTCGGAGAGTTTAACATATATTTAGTTCTCTGGCCGCCTTTCCATACCTCGAGTCGCTTGGTCAGGTACCGAGGCAGGTTCCTCAAAGTACATACTGACTGGTAAGAATAACCATCCTGCCATCTCGCCATGGTAGTCCCGTCACTGACCACCCCGGTGAAGACCCTCTCCCCTTTCTACTGTCAACTCCATCTTCGAAACCGCTGGTAGTCGTCGAGATGTGTTCCCTGATTCTCCGCATCATGCACCCTTGCCGTGGCTGTGGGAAGTCGAGGATTGATCGAGATATAACCGTGCCATGTTCCAAAGCGCCACTCGCGCCTCCAGACTGGGCATGCTGTGGCCTTGAGAGACTCTCGCGACGTCGCCCAGTCGAGGTTCACTGGGTCGACCCCGCCTACTGTCACTATTGCCGGTTCCAAGAGTTTGCGGCGGCTATCTATCTCGACCGGGTAGTAGGTGTGCGGGAGGAGTCAGCGGCCGGAAGAAGGGGGGCAGGAGGGAAGAGTTGACGTCAGCGCGGAGAAGCGGTATGCTTTGAGAGAATATATTACACACATACATACAACCAGCATACAAGCCTAAACAAGCACAATACAATACATCACGTCGACTCTTCGTCATCTCGCTCGACATACCGCACAAGGTAGTCAGCCGACAGCCCCAAGGTGATGACCCCTCCCGTGATCCAGCACCCGTTGACGAACCACCACCAGCAGTCCTTCACGCTCTTGAGGTTGACCCGCTTAATCATGATCCCCAGCGTGACCAGCGCGCCGCCGCAACTCCCGACAAAGAAGGCCGGTCCGGCGCCCGTCGCAATGCCCGCACCGGCCAGCAGCGCGACCTGGGCGACGGCGAGGCCCGAGAGCACCTGCTTGGTCTCGCGGTCGTGCTTGAGGGCGATGCTCTTGATGCCGGCCTTGGCGTCGTCCTTGATGTCCATGTGGGCGTAGATCATGTCATACAGCACCGTCCAGGCGACGTTGGAGGCGTACAGGAGGCCCGCGGCGGCCTGGGCGGGCGCGTGGTGCAGCAGGTCGACCCCCAGCGCGGGGAAGCCCATGATGGCGCCCCACGAGAAGGTCAGCCCCAGCACGAACTGTGGGTAGTAGGTCACGCGCTTGGCCAGCGGGTAGGTCGCCACCAGCAGCAGGCTGGGGGTCGCGTAAAAGAAGCACGACAGCGGGAACTGCAGCAGCACCGCCAGCCCCGTCAGCAGCTGCGCCCCCGTGAAGACCACGCCCTGGAAGGGGGTCACGGCGCCCCGCGCGATCGGCCGCAGCCGCGTGCGCGCCACGTGCGGGTCCAGGTTGCGGTCCCAGAGGTCGTTGATGGTGCAGCCCGCGCCGCGCATGACGACGGCGCCCGCGAGGAAGAGGAGGGAGGTTCCCAGGACGGTGAGCGGCGGGGTCATGGGGAAGGCGAGCGGGGCCGCTAAAAGGGTCGAGAAGATGCAGGGGAAGTAGAGATAGTAGGAGCCCGTCGGCTTGTCGAGGCGGATCAGTTCCGCGTATGGGACCCATGACCGGGGGAGCATGGATAAGAGGCCGGTTTGGGGAGGGGTATAAGGTTGTGGTGTGGCTTCGGTGGGCGTGGAGGGTGTAGAAAGGGTGGTGGTTACCGTGGAGAGGAGCTTGGTGGTGGTGTGGTAGGCGATGAGGGAACGTGGGGGATGGCCGGTGTGAGTTTCAAGGGCGAGCCGTCGAGGTGCTGAGAGGACCCATGATGTTCGAATCGACAGCCGGGGATGCCATGGCTTGTGGGGGTTGGTTGTTTGTGAGAGCGCATGCCGTAACGGCAACCTCGGAAGTATGCGGCAGCTAGACATCCCGATCTCGATCTGCCGGCAACGAGTCTCTTGAATAACTTCTTGAGCCTCCTACAATTGTTTTAGTTCCAATGAGCCCACCAATTGAAGAGAACAAATAAAGGGAAAAAAGAAGGAGGAAACAACGAAGAAAAGAGGAAACCGACTCACTCACTCACTTCAATTACTCACACAATCTACAAAAGCCGTTCTTCCTTATCTTGCAAGTTCAATACCAAACCTTGGTAATGAACGGCCGGCTCATTCTAAGCAGCGGGTCATTCCATCCCCTCCTTATTTTCCGAATTTACTGTGGGAGAAGAACACTTTCACATGCTTCAGAGGTTGACGAGAGCCTCGACAGCAAATTTCTGCCCCACAAGGACGGGAAGGGAAGGGAAGCTCTCAGGCTCCCCAAGCTCAAAGCTGCTTGATTCTGCGTTTTATTGGTCAGCCCTGCCCCACCAAGTTTTTCAATCGCCAATTCCCCCTCGCCCATTTCATCCAGACGCGCTTTCTGACATACGATCTCAGAACTCGCGTTTCTTGCATCAAACCGAGCCCCGCCGATCCCGGAACATCGCAACCCGCTCCGGCGCTGAGGAGGTTGCCACCTATGTAGCTCATACTTCGACGACAACTTCACCGGCTTTCCATCCTCGGTTTGCGATTCCATAGACGCACACCGGCGTCGCATTCGCCGCGATGCCGATCGCGCAGCATCCCCAAGCCAAATTCGATCCGATCCCGCCGGATTTCGATTTACACTCGGTCGTGGAGAGGACCCCGAACTTCCACTGGGTACTACGCATCTCGGCTGCGCAAATCAGGAACATTGGGCCCCAGGAATTCGAGAGACTGGTGTTCCTTCACGTAATACACGGTGGGAAGCCGCTAGTTATCGAGAAATGGAACGACCGGTTGCCCAAGTCGCTCTTCAGCGCAGAATGGCTAGAGTCAACATACGACAAGAAACGTGAGGGACCATCCATTTAGCGCACTTTCGCGCGTTGTATTAGGTAGCTGACAACCAAGCAGCCGAGAATGTTCGCGACGTCGTCGGGCAGACTGACATCCCCATGTCTATGGGCCACTACCTCCGGTCGATGAAGACGCTCACGAACCAGTGGACACCTAACAATTACCGCGATGAGCGACGCCAGCGACTCTACCTCAAAGACATCGACTGCCCGCCGGAGTGGCAGGAGTACCTGCAGAAAGTCATCCCCCCGAACCTCTACTACATGAACGCGAATGTCGACGAGCGGGCCGGGAAAGGGCGCGGCGACGACATGGGCATATTTCAAGAGGGACGGTCCGCCGCACCTGCGGGTGATCTGATGAGCAGCCTGCCTGAAGAGATGCGCGCTCAGAATCTCATGTGCTACATCGGCCACGAGGGCACTTACACCCCGGCGCATCGAGAAATGTGCGCCAGCTTGGGCCAGAATATCATGGTGGACGCCTCTGGCGAGGAGAACGGAGAGCGGCCGGGAAGCTCGATATGGTTCATGACCGAGACGAAGGACCGCGAAGTCGTGAGGGAATACTTCCTGTCCATGCTGGGACACGATATCGAAATCGAGAAGCATTTTGCCCAGGTAAACGCCTGGAAGAAGGCCACCTTTCCTGTGTATGTCGTCGAACAAAAGGTGGGAGACTTCATCCTTGTTCCCCCCCTCGCTCCTCACCAAGTTTGGAACCGCGGCACCAGGACCATCAAGGTCGCATGGAACCGAACGACGGCCGAAACTCTACAGTTGGCGCTGCACGAAGCACTGCCAAAGGCAAGGCTCGTCTGCCGAGACGAGCAGTACAAGAACAAGGCCATGCTCTTCTACACCCTGGAGAAGTACTGCAAGGAAATGGTGGATACGGAGAAGACAGCCGACATTGGCTTGCTCGGGTTCGGTCAAGACCTCATTAAGAACTCGACCAGGATGAAGCAGATGGCGGCTGATTTCAAGTCGCTTTTCAATCTCTTCACCGAGGTTCTCCTCGACGAAATGTTCGCGACAAGGGAAAAGGAGATCGACTACATCGAGTTCGACTCCAACATCACTTGCTCCTACTGCAGAGCAAACATCTTCAACCGCTTCCTGACCTGCAAACACTGCGTACGGCAGCTCGTCAACGGAGACGAAGACACATACGACATTTGCATGGAGTGCTACGCCATGGGCCGCTCGTGTTTTTGCGTCTCCAATCTCAGCTGGTGCGAGCAGTGGCACTGGTCTGATTTGGTCGACCGGTACGAATCTTGGCGAGCATTGATCATTAAGAACGATGGTTTCGTCAGCTTTGACAGTTCGCCCCTCCCGTTGGAGCTCGCAAGAAGAAAGTTGGGCAAGAAGTCAGTTGCCCAAATCTGCCAGGAGCAACTCCGGATGCGGCCCTGGAAGGACATTACCCAGGCGAAGGAGCCATCCGAGCCCGAGTCAGATATCGAGGTCGATGACAATGGCCGGCCGAAAAAGAAGAAGAAGAGGAAGGCCAAGAAGGGCGACGTGTACCGTTGCCACGTCTGCCAGCACAAAGACTACAACTACAAGTTAGCCTTCTGCACGAATGAGGCTTGCCATGACGCGTATTGTTTCGGCGTGCTTTACAGGGCCTTCGACATGATGCCGCAGGAGGTGGTGCAGAACGAACAATGGCAATGTCCCAAATGCCTCAAAATTTGCAACTGCGCCGCCTGCCGCCGGGCTGGGAACGGCGTTCCCTACATTCCCAAGACGACGCTGCTCGGACATGATACCCGCCGAATCGCAGACGACCGCAGCGTTGAGACTTTGGTCGACTTCCGCGTTCACAACTTGTCCTGGCTCAAGAGTGTGGGTGACGAGAGTCGAAGTCTGTCGAGCAAGCGAATGCAGAGACTGCAACAAGCGGCCGAGGCGGAAAAGGCGAAGCAAGCCGATATGCCCAACCAAGTACCCACCCTGCCGGACGGCGCGCTGGCCGAAAGTCTGGATGCCGCTATGCTGCAGCATGCTGCCAACGGCCACCACGATCAGACCGGGACCCTTGGCCCTGGAGTTGCGCCCATGGGAGAATACGCCGTGCCTCAAGGCGTAGTCGATGGGCATCAACAAAACGGCGACCACGCAGGCCCCGCTGCCGTGGCTGACATGTCTATGGGTGTGACCCAAGATCAGTCCTCGTATCCAGACCCCTCGGGGCTCGGCCGCGAAAGGATGCTCGGCATGGGTTACTACGAGCAAGACGACAGCCCTGACAAGATTCTCTTTGACCCGTATCAGATGCCTTCAACAGAGGCTTTGGTGGCGGATGACGAGCCTGAGATTTCCGAATACCACAAGAAACAACTTCGGATCACGAAGCGACGGGCTCGGCAGGAAGAAGACGACGATCCGGACTTCCAAGGGCCACGCTCTCACCACAGAAAGAAACCCAGGCTTGAACCCGAGCCCCAGCGCGACGCCCAGGAAGTTGCGTTGAGCAACATGGACCCCGCCTTGTTTGGCGGTGACGAGACGATGCTTGACGCCCCTACAGAAGAAGCTGAGCCTGTCCAACCCGAAGCGCCGGCAGAGACCTCGCAACAAATACCCGAGCCAGCTGACGGGGCTCAAGAGACAAGTGAACCGCAGGGATACTCCCCCAACCGGCCAGCGCTCCGACACGCGCGGCCGAAGATATCGTACATCGACGATGAGAACGGAGAGGAGGAGTTCAACGACATATTGATTCCTCGTTCGCAGCGGCCACCAGCGGGTATCTCGAACTACGACCCAGAACAGGCTAGAAAGGACCCGCTCGATCTAGCGTCGGCGGCTATCTTCTCTATGACTGGCAGCTCCACGTCAGCTGCCCGGGCCACCACTGCGCCAGCGCCACCTCCTAAGAAGCGAGGTCGGCCACGGAAGTCGGAGGTCTCGGGAGCTCAGAGTGCAGCTCCAAATCATGAACCAGAGAAGCCGACAAAGCGGCGTGGACGGCCTCCCAAAGCGCAGCCTTCACTTGATGCGGGCCTTGAAAACGAAGACACCGCTGATCTTGACGCTCAGCTCGCGCAGCAGCTCGACGGCTTTGACGATGAAGGCGAGGTCATCAACACGGAGACAGCGCCTCTGGATGGGACGGCAGGACCTACAGGGCCGAGGAAACGCGGTCGTCCGCCACGCAAATCCCAGCCTGAAGCCCCCTCCAAAAGACCAGGGCTGGCCGTGGAATTGCCCTCGCAGCCCCTTCTGTCTATGGCTGAAAGAATGCGTCTTAAGGGCAAGAAGTTTAAAATTGGTCAACGAAAGGGATTAGCGGGTGCAGCGACCACCGCTCCAGCGAGAGAAACCGATAGAGAGAGCAGCCCTCCGGAGGCCGAGCGTCGATCCGCCGAACCTTCTCTTCCCCAAGAAGCAGCAACCCCCAAACCGGCCGCTAGAGGCAGAGGCAGACCCAGGGAGGAGGCCGCTCGTGACGGAACAGAGAGCGCAGACGACGACTTTGATCCTGCCGCTGAGGAGGAAGCGGTCTCGGACGAAGCACGCAGCCCATCTCCGCCCGTGTATGACGAACCCGAACCGGTCCTAGAGGCAGAGCCCGAGTCACTCCTGGAGGCAGAGCCTGAGCCTTCCCCGCCGAGCATCTCTGCAACACCGCCTCCAGCGTCATCTCTGACTGCACAGATGGTTTCCCACTCACCGTCCCCTGAACAGGAACCCGAACCCGAACCCGAACAGGAACTCGAGTCCGAACCCTCCCCGCCTGTCGAACCCTCCCCACCCGTCGAACCCTCCCTGCCCACCGAACCATCACCATCTCCAGAACCATCACCCCCGCCGTCACCACCGCGACTCCCGTCCGGCCCGACCATAGTTAGGTTATTGGACTCGGACGAGGAGGACGACTATTACGGCGGGGTTGGCGGACACGGCGGCGGGAGCGAGGAATACTCGACCGACGGCGAGGAGAGCGCGTCACGGTCGGGGTCCGGGTCGGGGTCCGGGTTGGGGCATGAAGACGAGGTCGGTGACGGCGCCGTGACGGGTGCCCTGGAGCCGAGTGATTCGGACTCGAGCGAGGAGGGGGATATACCCGCGGGGCCTGGTCTGGCGAGTCGCGGGCGGGGCGTGGCTGTGAGAGGGATGGGTGTGGCTACGAGAGGGAGAGGGCGGCCGAGGGGGGGCGGAAGGGGAAGGGGAAGGGGGCGGGGGAGAGGACGGGGGGTGGCGGTGTGAGTTGGGGGAGTCTAGTTTGATATTACGGTGTGTGCTGGGTTACCCAGTTGACTTGGTTGGGAATGGAATGGAAGGGATATCAGCATTGAGCGACGGGCGTCCTGGGCATAACGGGTTGAGTATAATTTTGGTGTTCAGATGCTCGCCTGGTTTCTATCGCGGCAGCACAATGGCTTGGGTGTGTGTCTTGGGAGAACAATCGAATCATCGGATATTGCAGTCTGTCAGTCTATGATCCTTCTTTTTGACGCAAGGCGCTGAGCAAAACGGAACTCCTTTGATGCCTGGAATATATATACAATCCCTCCTCTCGGGACTCTTTTCCCAACCCCCATTCCGCTCACCCACATCACCCAGATAATCCTACTCTGCTTGAACCACCAAAGTCAGCCAACCACCACAATCACACGCATCACCACCCACTCAAAGGTTCCCACTCAAACCCCGTCCAGAACGAGCCAGCCGAACAAAAGAGATAAACTAAAAACCGAACGGAAGAAGAAGAACCAAAAAAAAAGAAATTTCACAAACCATCCCGCATACTCGTCCCCTGCTTGGTCGTCTCCTCGGCCCTTCCTTTCGTCTGCTCCTGCAGCCGCTTCATGGCCGCCTCCCCGGCCTCCTTGGGCCCCATCCGGTCCGCCTTGACGCTCTCCTCGCTCACCGACGCCAGCTCGGGCTTCCAGTGGCCCTCGCCCTTCTTCTGCTTGGCGAGCGAGTCCTGCTTGTGTTTCTCGTAGTCTGTCGAGTTGGGGTCCGCTGTTGGTTGGGGGAAAAGGGGGTTGTTAGTTTTATTTTCTTTTGCTGGTTGCTGGGCTTTCTTTAAGGAGGGGGGGGGGGGTTGAAGGGGTGACGTACTGGAGGCGGATTCTTTGAGGGCCGCTTGCGGTGTTTGGGTGAAGCCCCGGCGCGCGGCAGTGGTGGGAACGGAGAGGACGGAGGGCCGGAGGGCCTTGGTGGCCGTGTTGAGAAGGGCACGAGCGGACATGTTGGTAGTGAGAGTCGAGAAATGTGTTACGTTGATGGATGGTTTATGTACTAGCTTAAAGTCGCCGTGTTTTTGGTGACAGTGGCTTTTTGGTAGTGATTTGAGAACCAATTAGACAGATAATTGTCAATTGGTGATTTTCTGATTTATTGAAGCAGAGTAAAATCCCGAGCTACTCGAGATACAATTCCAGCTTGCTCAGGCAGATGAGGTGATGAGGCAGCTTTTCTCAATGAGAGGGGTGAATGAGACGTCGGCAGTTGCGATGACGTCACCGAGTGTCACTGAGTGGGAGCTTGCCTTTCGCACACATTTTCCGGGCCTTCATCACTGAACTGCAGTCACCTCCAGGGCTGGTGGTTCCACTGCACGTCATTAATGAGCATTTGGCCTTGCTTGCCTCATCAATTTACCTTCACGCATCATTGTGGATGCATGCGAGGGAGTATGTTTGTGTACACGATCGTGTACGAAGTATTGTATTGCTGCTGCCATGCCCCTCGGTGCGTTCGGTCATGTGCATGCAACATTGTAGAACAGAGAACCTGGTGTAATCTGTACCCATTCAGATAAGTCGGTGTTTTAGCAAATTTGCGTAGGGTCACCGTCGAGGTCCCCAGGCCTAGGTTTTACCAAACGAATTGACTATTCTACACTCAGTCAGCTTGCAATGCGTTTTGAGCCGGAGTTAAATGCAATGAGACATTTGCTGATCCCGGACGCCGAACTCAAACCCTCCGAAAAAACGCGGCCACATCTCATCTCGGTGGTCGGAATCGAAGCCGGGCCCGATGTTTTATGTTTACGACAATCAACACGATGACGGAGGGTCCGGCCCGGCCTGGCCGTCTCGGCCGGGGAGTCGCAACCGCCATACGTTGCTCGCCCGCCTGTTTCCGTCCAGCGACCCGAAACCGAGGCCGGCCGGCCGATGTAATAATTGGGACTTCGTTGGTATACTGTGTAACGAAAAACAAGCCAAGTCTCGTGCCTCAAAAAAGTCCGCGGAGGTTTATCAGGTGACAAGCTGCTGACTCGTCTGGAGATCAGGGGAATGGAATGAGCTTGGCACGGGATACACTGCCATTCTCGTGATGTTTGAAATTCAATTTTCAGGGGCAAATTTGTCCCAACAGAACTCCAATTGATGGAGAAGAGAACTTCGAGGGTTTCCTGGTTTCTTTCGGACCGCCGGCAGCTCGTGACCCCACCACCAAGAGAACCGACGAGAGGCAACCGATCCACTAACTAATTAGTGTATGAAGGTGTCGTTTCTTTTGCCGTTATTACCGTCAATACGGAAACGTCCGATGTTCCAGCAAATCCATGCGCCACAACCTGCAAGCTGTGATCTGGCGGAGAACCGAAAGAGAGTTCGGAGCTTCGGCCCAGGTTCGAAAGAACAAGCCGACCTGAAAAGATCGGCTAGTTACCAGTTCGCCTTCCTGCACGCTATCGATCTCCGTCGGCAGGCCCGCAGGGTCAGCACGCGCAAATTCAAGGATGCGAACCGCCTCGTCACTTCTTCCTTCTTTCCCCGCTGCTGCGCCGCCTGACGATGCATCGACTCGGCGCGGATCGGTCATCTGGGGAAAAAGCAAGCTACAGGCATCCAAGTGGCGTCGAAGAGGCCCCAGCCTGGAGCAGCACCCACCTCAACAAGTCGCCCACTCACAGGGCTGCGCACAATTTAGGCTTGCAGGCTTGCAGGCTTGCACAGCAGCCGCTCGCCGAGAAAAGAGCGGTGTGTGGCAGTGTCACACCCCTCGGCCACTCCGTGGTCTGTGCTGTCGAGACACCAAGATCTCTTGGTGCACAGTGAGACAGTGCTGCTTCGGCGGGGATGCGACGATCGAAGAGGAGCTCGAACGACGACAAAGCCCCGCCTGATGACTCCATGGTCTCCATCGACTCCAAGCATTGCAGCAACTCGGGTTTCGCCTCCGACACAGTATACCGGGTGACGTTTAGAGTGAACTGGGTTCTGGAAGAACCGCTCCTCTCGCGAACTTCCCGATGCAAGGGAGCACAGCCCTGCAGTGGATTGGAACAATGCATTGTGGTTGCAGCCCGTCTTCTTCGCGAGCCATCCCAATGCCGCAGGCAAGTTCGGCATCGGCGAATGGCAAGACGTTGGACACCCAGGCACGCCAGGCCGATTTGTGCCGTTCCTCTCTGGTGGCCTTCCTCGTTTCGTCGGAAGCTGCATTGACCTGGAATTGCGGAAAAGAGGCTGGCGGACAGCGTCCCCCGCCTTTCGAAACACCCGGTTAGCGCTTGGGGCAAGGCGTGCCGAGTGTTTGGGTTTCAACCCCTCGATGCCCCTCGCCCTTCTTGCACCGACAACCCGTGCAAACCCACCCTGCGAGGGCCCGGAACCAGGGCAAGGGAGAGCGCTCCGTCCTCAATAATTGGTCCAAAGATCTTCGCTTTGCCAATCCCGTCGCCGAACATGAACAGACTAAAATAGTTCGACTTGCCCGCCCCGCTTCAGGCATGAAGGCATTCACGAGACCTGCACCATTTGAGGCCACCCTTCCCTTCGGCGCGGATGTGGTGTGGAAGAACACTCTAACAGCATAGTCCGCATCGAGGATGATTGGGAGAATGCAACCCAGGAATGGCAACGGAGGGATGAGCTGACCGCCAAACTGAGAATGCCCCTTTTATCACCCCACCATTTCGATGGATGGTCTCGGGAAGGTGGGGGTCGCTGGTCTCGGAGACCTGTCGCTTTGCATAAGTCTGGACCACTGAGGGGTTTGCTGTGTGTCAACTCATGCCGTTCTGTCGTGAGTTAGTTAATCCCCACGGTCTTCTCATGCTCCTCTTGTTCGTGAGTGTTCTCCACGGCACCCAACTGACGGTGAGAAGTTCTCGATCGAAGAGCTCATCAGTCGCCCTTTCGTCATGCATCACCCGTCAGCGCACAAGGCGGTTGATGGAACAAGCCAATGGTAAGGTACCTCACAGGCGCCATGTCCTTGTAAATGAGACGCTCGCAACCCGCATGCCGAGCCGTGCAGGGGCCAGCCAGGCACCCAGGCACAGGGCGCAGAGAGCTTCATCAGTGACCCTTCTTCCCTTCTTCCAACATACATAGATATCGGTGGCTAGACATCAGCGTCCTAAAGTGGCGGGCGCATGTTGTGGAATGATGATAATTGTGGAAGGGCAGGCAAGGACCAACAATCCGATTCTGCCGACGAACGGATGAGCGCAGTCCGCCAGGATCGATTGTCGGGTTGTTCTCTGGAGGCAGCTTGCTGTGCATCGAAGCACCGCTCCCAGCCTGGAATGTAATCTCCACTCCCGTACGGATCTGCACTGTGTAGAACTGTGGGGTGCGACCCAGCCACATCTGGTCCCCTCTGTTTTCGATGTTACGGTATCCGTATCGGGATACAGCGAAATACGACCGACGGTCTCCGTGAGGTCCGGAGGTCTCGACGTGTTTTACTCTCCGCAGCAGCCAGTCAAAGACCTGCGGACGGAAGCCCCCGCCACAAGGCTGGACCCGACCTCTGAACTTTGGCTGGCCACTCGGCTCGACTCATTTCTGCATCTCGAGCCGCCGCTGGGCCAATTGGCCGTGGAGCGCCAGTTTCATCATTTCGCGGCGCCTGAGTGGGTCTTGGGGGTTCAGGTCCCAAATTTAGTAGACCCACGCCCGGGAGTAAGGGCTTGGAGACCCTGCTCGCCAAGGAGCTAAGCAAACGCTTTGACCAGGCCAAGGGCGATCTGTTAGTGTAAAATGCCGTCTCAAAGGTAGGATAGGTTTTCTTTTAAGTGCCAAAAGCCCATTTTCAACGCAATAAATTCGGTCGCAGTTATTTAGGGTAGCTAGACCAGAGCTATATAGTTCGATTGGTACTAATATCTTTTTAACTTTAGGTTGGGGTTGGCATTTCAATTTGAATCTTCACGCAATCGGACTCGAAGGTTGAAGACAGCAACACCAACAGTTCAGGGGTTTCAGGGGTTGGTGGGACTAACTACCTTAGGCTTAGCGGGGTGTGTTTTGGAGAGTGGATTTTGGACCTGTATGCCGCCCACCCCTGAGTGCATCGCTGCCGCCCAGACCCTCATTCGACGCAGCGAATCTAACTGAATCTGGGTTTCTTTGCACAGTCGCTACAACGGCGGGCCCAGAGCTCATCTCATGTACGAATGCCGAGGGGCGAAACCCGATGCACTGGCATTGGCGCCCATTTACTGTTTAAACTCATCAAAGGCAAAACAAAACAAAGGAAAATGGTCAGCGGGAAGCAGAACTCGGATGGCAGGCTCGACATCCGCAAACTAGTCTGGATGTTGTCATTGTTTCTGCCGACTTGGACGCTCGCGCTTGGGTGAGTGAATGTACCGTCGTCTTATCGGAGCCACGTCGGGCGCCGATTGTGGATGAGGGCCGGGTGGAGCGAGATGATGGCCTGTGGGCGTTGCAGGAACAGCGCCTCAACAGCTGCTTCCAGCTCCAACCAAAAGCAAGCGAGCCAGCACCGTCCTGGCCGTTTCCGGCACTGGTTGTTGTGAATTGCCAGGGCCAAAATTACACGACAGCAACTCCAGCGCCTTAGGCCGCTTCTAGATTAGCGCAGGATCGTCCGTCCAATCGTGCGCAGTACGGGCTCCACAGTTTGATGCGGTCTTGCCACCCAGCCCGCAGCCAGAGCGACCATGGTATTGGCAGGTGAGTGAGTTCGCCCGGGGTCTGCCACCCTTGTGCATTAGCGCAACACAAGTCGTGCCCCCCACCACCTTCGTTTGTCCAACCCTTCGCCCGCTCCGACTTGTCCCTCTTTCCCTCGCCTCTTCCTTACTTTACCTTCACCTTCCCCTTCCCCACGTCCCACCAAAATACCACCCGCAAAATTGCTTTTCCAAAACCCTCCAAACCCTCCAAACCCTCCAAAAGCCGCCAACACGACCTGCGATCATTTTGACGAAATTCACATAATTCATTCCCATCACAGTCACCGCCACGGCAACCACTTTTTCCACAACCGACCCAACGAACCGATCTCGCTCTGTTCCGACTGTGCGATCAGATTTTGAAACCGCGCCACACCGTTTTGCTGCAGCTCCAACCACTTCTTTGCGCACCGTCTCAACGAACTCACCGTGCATCGACCTGCTGATTCACCAATCATAATGTCTACGTACTACCATTTCGGCGCCCCTCAGCAGCACCCAACGCCGGCAACGGCCGGCGCTGTTTCCCACAGCCACCATGGCGGGCGGAATCGCAGGGCGCCTAGGCTATCCGTCGGACAGAACCCTCAAAAACAGTTTCGGGGCGTCAGGAGTATGAAGGAGCTTACCGAGGCAGCAAATCTCTCAACCTTTCGCGTGAGATTCGAGGCCGGGCGCTCGTTCGACCTGGAGGATGACATGGAGTTCTGCCCGGGCCTGTTGACCGAGAGCGATGTGAGTCTCCGACGTCGCGAAGACCTGCTATGATAATTGGCCGGCATTCGGACTGACACTTGCGCTCAAAGCTCGTTTCGATTCACAGCTCATCCTCGGAGCGGTCGTCACTGGCGAGCAACTCCCCGCGAGGTTCCCCGACGCAGCAGCCCACTCAGGTTGCAGCATCGAGCTTCACCCTCCACTCGTCCTCGCCGGCGTTCATCCCCCCCTCGTACCAAAGTCAGCATTCGAACCCGAAGCTTTACCAGCCCTCGGCCACCCGCGCCCGCAACGCCATTCCCATCATCAACCCTGCTACCGGCATCTCCATGTCAAGCCCGCCGCCCTCTGTGTCGCCCGCGAGGATGCAACAGCCCGTCAACCGACGGTGGTGAGGTGGCTCACGTCTCGCTTCTGTGACACCCAGACGAGACTAAGCTCTCCCGGAGCCGTCGTCGTCGTTGCAATCGCGGGCTGTATAATCACTGCGCGCATTCCACTCATGGCATCTGTTCGTCTTGGCAGGCACCGACATCCACAGTAGCAGACATCGATTCTCTTTTCCCCTCTGGCAGGCGCGGGCGACACAACCAACTTCTCAAGGTCGACTGGATCCTCGACTTCCTTGGCAACCTCACGATACCCACCTGTACAAAAACAACTTACCTTTGATCGACATATGCCTCTCTTTTCGAAGCGACAAAACTTTGACCTTTTCAGATGGCGCGATAAAGAATAATCGATACCTGCCTGTTTCTTTTCGGATACGGTGCTTCCGCTTCAAAAGACGGAAGCTGCTTTTCGTTCGAATTCAACGACATGGGTGTTTTCCCGCGGCGGTTTTGCATCTTTCATCATGCCCGCTTTTTGCATCGGTGTCTCACGGCGGAGTTCATGCGGGTTTGCTTTTTTTCTTCTTTCGATACCATACATTTGGTGTTTGGGGGTGTTCTCTTTTTCTCATCATCACGGAAGCGGCGACTTATCCATCATCACGATAAAAAGTCCTAACGGTTCACGGGTCAACGAGTTCACCAAAAAAAAAGAATATCGACATATAGAACGACTTTGTGGCGGAAGGGTGGGGGGTGTTTGTTTTACGACAATGGTGTTCTCGAATCTTCTTGGGGGCTACATGGGCGAATATCTCGGTGTAGGGTCGGGTTGGCAAGACATTGTGCGGGTTTTGTTGCTGGGGAATTTCAGAGAGCTGGTATTTCCGGATCGGTTTGGGGGCGGGGCTGGTTGAAGGAGTTGGTTGATATTTCTCTTTTCTTTTTCTCCTGTTCAATCTTCCATTTGGTTTCACTGTACCATGGGTTGAAGGTGGACTGGCCGAGGCTTGTTTCCACTTCTATATCCTTATCTTTTTTGTTTTCCTGTCTTGATTTTCACGGGTTGCATCTCGGATATGGTTACGGCGGAAGGGGGGAACGCTTCGCATTTTTTGCTATGGTTCCTGGGTTGCTCTGGAGGCTTCATTTATTGCGCACACAGCCGCTTATCTCTGTGTTTGGGGCTGGCGGGGCTCGGTTGGCAAAGCATATTCGGGACTCTTGGGAGCGGGCGCGTGCAAAGCGTTGTTTGGGCAGGCGGCCGGTGTTTTGAAGCAACTTGTCTGTTCGAGAGCGGTTGTGGGATAGTTGGGTGTGGTTGTCGGTTGGGTTCATGCTCCTGATTTCCCTGGCTTTCCCGGCTTTTGGCTCTGGCTCTGGCTCCTGGCGGCAGCCCGGCGTTTTTTTGTATGCCAAGATATTGAAGCGAGCAACTATGCAATGCTCTGGTTCTGGGAATTGAACATGGCGACTTGTGCGCCTCTTCGCTCTGATTCTGCTATGCTGTTTGGGTTCAAGCGTGACTTGTGTGCCCCCGGATCATCTGCAACGTACGTCTCCTCCATACGTCAATGAAAGAGCTTTGCTTATTCCCACAGAGTTGCTTCGTTAGCACTCAGATGAACTTTACAGGTCAGGCAGGGGGGAATAAGGAGCACAGTCCGAGAGTAATTCGGCGACATATTCTTCGGAGGGGAATTACTTTAATTAAATAATGGTGAGTAGGTTACGCACTTGTATTAAACGGTTCATGTTTTATCATCCCGTTCGACAAAGTCAATAGTTAACGAGCCCCTGACGGAAGTAAATATCGAGCAACCATACCGTACCACCGCTATTATCGAGAACCTCGGTGAGACACCCAACTCCCATGGCTTTCACGAGGCGGATGCATCCAAATATACTATACATTCTGCCATGTTGGGCAATAATTTGGTGTAAATCCGGCGCGGCAACCTTCGGCCACCATGTCTTCCTCGTCCAAGGCTAGATGTCTGAGGAAGAGAGGTTCGGACACGGTCCGCTCCGGCAAGAGTTTACGTCTTTCCCTCGGCCCATTTCACTCCCATCTCAATGTGTTGGGAGGTGTTGAGTCAATTTCTAGTCTTATCAGGGAGTTAGTCTCATCCTCACCCGTCCCGTAGTTCTATTGTTTCAGCTGTATACGCGTTTCTTTTCGTATGCTTCTTTCTGTTACTCCGGTATTACATTCGTCTCCATTTCTTGATTTCTTGTTTGTGTACTATTCTCTTGCCGTCCACTGGTGTCCTAAACTCCAGGCTATGGTACTTCCCCTATCCAATTCTCTCCCGAGTTGCACCTTTGGGACATCACGAGGTTATCCAAGGCTTCAAGTCCTTCACCAACATAATCCGGGCTCTTCAAATTGTTCTATTTCGCACTTCTGTCTCAACTTACACCGTAAGTATTCCACTCGTTCTTGTCTCCAACACTGGTCTACTTGTGCCCTCCCACTTCTGCTTTCCACTCGATCCTCTTCCTCTCACTTTCTAAGCTCTGCCTTTTCACTCCCACTTCTTCCACCGTTCCACATCTCCGTCCATCCAAATTCCACGCTTAAGCCTTCGATGGTCAGGCGCTCCGATATCCACAAGCACCCGGTCTTTGCACGCGCATTTATCAACAAACAATATCGTCAGTCGGTGAGCATTCAATCTTTGTTTCGTATTTCACGCGCCGAGCTTTCCACTTCGCCGCATTCGTTGCTTGTTCGGGTTGTTAACCTTTTTCCCAGCCTCGCCCAAAATGAATGAACACGACCAACCCACACAGCCGGCTCGCCTGGGCGCTCAGGGCACTCAAACTCAAGCTACCCAAGGAACACAGGCCCCTCAAGGCACCCAAAGCTCGTCCCTAGACCTCCAGGGTCTCGACAGGTATGTAGCTCACTCCTGTAAACGATCTTCCATGCACACGCAAAGCGACCCGAGCGAAAGACTTTACTCTGGTCGGTCGTGACAAGGGCGTCGTGTCCACGATGTAAGCCTGCAAAGAAGAATAGACGCTGATCTGTTTGTCTGGCATGTAGCTGGCTCACCGACCGCATCGTAACGATCACAGTCGGCGCCGAGGAAAAGAGATGGGTGGTGCACGAGAAGCTACTCGTCAGCCAATCTGAGTTTTTTAAGAACCACTTCGCTCTGGGCGATGAGGAGATGAAGCTGCCGGATGACGATCCGAGGCTCTTTGCTCTGTTCATCCGCTGGCTTTACGGCACGGCATTCCTGCCTTCGGGTGGCGCCCGCAACTTTCGATTCCTCCCACCGGATGGCACTACGTTGACCGTCCGTGACTAGTACGTTACTCTACCCTTTACTCACCCACTCTACTCTGGTGACAACCAAGCTAACCACATCCCTTCCCAGCCTCGGCGTCTACGTCATGGGCGGCAAGTTCGGCATCCTGGGGGTGCGCAACGCGGTGCTGGACGTGCTGTACGCCTACTACGGCGAGGCGTCCGACGACCACCGGTCGCCCGACATGCTGGACGTGACGTACGTCTTCGACAACACGGTGGCCAACGCGCCGATGCGGCGCTTCCTGACGGCGCACTCGCTCTTCTTCCTCTTCAGCAAGAACCGCCGCGGCGCCCCGCTGCCCCACGACTGGGTCGCCGTCCTCAACGAGTACCCCGAGGTCGGCTTCGAGATGGTCGCCATGCTCGCCGAGTGGAACTGGTCCATGGGCTATAACGCACCCCGCATGACCATCAAGCCGCGCGGAGAGTTCCACGAGCGCCCGCAGATGCCTGCCGTTGTCAAGGAGGAGGACCCGGAGGACGCCCCCGGCCTGTGAGGGAGAAGAAGCGTCATCCTCGGAAACGTTACGATGGTAACCTGGTTTTCCTTATTTTTTTACTTTTGGTGGGCGTTTGGCTGGGATATGAGATTGGGAGCCCTGGGTTTGAGCCCTCGGTTTGAGCCCTCGGGTTTTCGAGCGGCTGGTTTGAGGGAGGAGCGGTTTCGGTTCTGAGGATCTTGCTGGTAATTGCTTGAGCATAGGGCGTTCATGGAAGGTCTTGGGTTTGCACCTGGCATAGAGGTACCTACAAGGCAGTAATAGCAAAACATTCATACATTCTCTGCCTTCTCCTTCCGCACTCCCTCCTCATGCCTTCCCATCTGCCCCCGATCCACACCATGGCGCCGCCAGCACCTTCCATACCTACCTATAGACTAGAGTGAGAAGGTCCTTGGTGCATGTCCCTTTGGGAAGTTACATCTGAGACCATAACCATATCCATTATGTCCTCCCACTCATGCTCCGGTTTCCCAATTCCTCGCACCTCACCTCCTACCCTCCTCACTACTCTTACCAGCGCTTACCTGAACGGCCACATCTTTTATGCGAAACACCTAGCTACTCACGATCTTTACCCCTCTACGAAGCTTCGAAATGGGACCCCAAGAATCTAAACAAAGACCCAGCGTTTTGGACCTGCCGCCGAGAATTCCATCTCGACGGTTTACGCTGGCCGTCAATTTTGCTCTTCGCACGAGTTCTAGTGCACAAGCGTCAGCAAGCGGCAACGATTCGGCAGCTCCGTCGACTAGAACACAGACCGACAGCGATGCCCATGCTCAGCAGCCAGAAGAACCCGGGGAACGCCCAAGGTCGAATAGCTCACCGGCCTCTACCAGTCTCGAGCCATGCCAAATCCTGAGAGTGCAGCGTCGGCGTTCGTATTTGTACCGCACGATTCGGACCCAGGCTCAAGCCCAAGCCCGATTCCAAGCTCAACAGCAAACGCCCGCCTGGCACTCACCAGCGTGCTCCTCCTCAGGCGACGCGGACAACGAGACAGGAGACACGACTCCTTCCTCCACCCACAGCAACAGCACCCCGGACGAAGGAAACCCGCTGTTCTCCGCCATGGCAGCCAACCTTCTTGCCCTCATCACCAACCCGCTCGCCATCAGGAACCGCCACGGTCCGTTCACCACCACGAGAACCATCCCCTCCATACACCCAGGCGGCCGCCCCCGAACTGTCGTAACCCGCTGCACCATGACCAGCGTAGTCTGCCGCTCCCCGGCCACCTCCACCGGGAACGACACCACCAGGAACGACACCACCGGGAACGACACCACCGGGAACGACACCACCGGGAACGACACCACGGGAAACACCACTCCCACCCCCGCGCCCGATGCGGGCGCCGAATCCACAGCCGACGCCAGTGACGAAGCGTCGCACGTGGAAGATGACTAGCGGGGCGGGGAGGATGGGGTGGAGGATGGGGACGATAAAGGTGACAGGAAAGAGAAGGATGGGAAGGGGAAGAAGGAGGGAAAAGAGGAGGAGAGTGGTAAGGGGGATAAAGCGAATGGGACTGGTGCCGCTCCTGGTAAGGAGGATGGTGAGCAGTGATTGATTGGTTTCGTTTGTCAGGATGGGTTGTTTGAGCACGGGGGATTTGGACTTGGGACTCGAGATTGTAAACGATGGGGTAATGGAAGGGGGGTAATAATGTTTGTTGTATAATAGCGGGAAGAACACACACACCAGCGTTTGTATTTTTATTTGATAGTGGATGGAATGGCAAAGCAGCGAGTTTTCTTTTAACGGTTCTTGGTCAATGATTCCATTGTATGTAACTGCTGCCCTGGCGCTAAGACCCAGGTATCGCTCCTCGTCAGCCTTCTTCGCTGGCTAATGCGGTGAATTGCCATCTAACCTGCGGAACAACGCCTTACACCGGTCCCAGGGCACGGCCAGGTTATTATGGTGTTGCCTAATGATGAATCGGCACATCCGCTGTTGGGCAGTTTCTTTACCCTTTGAGACATCCGGATGCTCGCGTCCAAACTATTCTTAGCCGCACCAACGAAGGGCAGCTCTGCCTCGATATCAAGGGTTATGCGCAGCGTCGACGCGGGGCTTGCAGATCCAGGGTTGACTTCTAGCTTTACGGGAGGTTTGAAGGATCCTCGGCTGTGTTCACCCCAGAGGAACCCAACCCCCGCTCCCCCCTCCTTCACCGATTCGACGGGCGGCCATGGCTTTACCGCCAGGAATAACAGCTGAATGCTGCTGCCCATTTTCCGGCTCGGCGGAGGTGTATCCGCCCGGCATTCCACTGCTGGGGCGGCGGTTGATGGAGCCGGCTGAGCTTGGATATTGTTTCGATGAGACTCGACATCGCGGCGGTGGTTTCATGCCGTTCGAGACCACGATGGGTCGCTGGATATTTGCCCATCGCGTGGGCTCAAGTTCCTAGGAAGGGGCGCTTCCCGGACCAGAACCATGGGGTGAAGATGCTTCGGGAATCGTGATCCTCACTTGTCGAGGTTGCGTGCCTTGACGAACCGGTTGATCTGCTCCTTGGTATGCTTGTCGTTGTACTGCTCATGACACTCGTAGAACGAGATCAGCTCCTGGGTGCAGTCGACCATGGCTTCGACGTCGATATTGCTGTCCGCCAGCCACGCCGCAAAGCGCTGCACCTTTGCCAGACGCGGGTCCGTCACCTTCTTCGGCTCCGCCGCCAGGCCGTCGCCCTGCGAGTTCCCCTGTGAGTTCCCCTGCGAGAAGCCCGCCTGTTGCTGCGACCCCTGCGACCCGAACCCCGGCGCCCCTCCTCCGCCACCGGCAGCGGCGATGGCCGCGGCCCGAGCCTGGACCTGTGCTTGCGCCTGCGCCAGCGCAGTAGCAGCCATCGCGACCCCTCCGGCGTTCGCAGCCGCCGCCGCGGCAGCCGCGCCCGCACTCCCACCCCCTCCGGCCGCGGTGGCATTCGCGCTCGGCCTAAGCACCAAGGCCAACAGCACGGCGGTCAGGGCGACGACGTGCGGCGGGTGCAGCAGCGGCAGGTCGGTCATGTAGTGGTCGTTGATGACGGTCCAGGCGAGCGACATCTCGTCCTGGGTCAGGCCGAACTCGTCCTGCACTCCCAGCAGCGAGCGGTAGGGCTGGTGGACGATCAGCTGCGAGTGCATCTCCGAGATGAGCGAGAACTCGCACTCGCCCACGCGCGCCGGGTCGTGCCCGAGCAGGTCCGACGGCCACAGAGACCGCGCCTCTTGTGTTAACATCCGTATGTGCTGTGGGCACTCCTCCATCTTGCAGGCGAGGTAGAGGGCCGTGGCGATGACCAGGTAGGGGTTGGTCTGGCGGATCGCGGTGCGTGTGTAGAAGCGCTTGAGGTAGACTTGGGCGGTGGCCATGGCTTGTTGTCGGACGCCGAGACGCTTGCCGAGGCGGTTTATCTCTGTAGAGGGGGAGTGTGTATGTTAGTGAGGAGGTACGAGGTAAGGGGTTGGTAGTGGCGAGATGGTGGGGGCCATGGAATGATGGGATAAACGTGAAAAGCGTACGCTGATTAAAGTAGATGTTGAGATGGCGCAGCTGCGGGAGGGGGAACATCTGAACGAGGCCGGGGTCTTCATCATCGAGTCGTTGACGGAGGGCGGCGAGGTCATGTTTGGTGAACTGCCAGTGTTTCCGCTGCGTTGATTCCCAGTAATTGGCCGCCATCTGCGCCGCTTCCGCCCGTTAAAGGCCGTTGCCGGTGCCTGAGATTATTCGGGTTCGGTGTCCATCGGGTTAAGAGGAGGAAAGAAGGCGAGGCTGGTTGTTCGGTTTTGTCACATTCTCGGGGGTGACGGCGGAAGTATCCGCAAGGCTGAGATGATTGGCGTCAAGATCTCAAGGGAGCAGCAAGGACCGCCGCCACTGGCAGCCCATTCTCGTTCGGGTTGGTTGGAGGCGGGGCTGCCCCGAGGGGACCGATTGGCCAAGTCCGTGCTCAAATACCTACACAAGCAACCGACGGAGGTACCGTATTGTATGTACCACCAGCATGAAATGGGGCTTGTTCGATGACGACCGTGTCTGAGACATGACGACGAAAGCGTTAAGAGAGGGAACTGGGCTGCGATGCTTACGCATCCCTGTTTTTTGGGACTGGATTCTAGTGTTCTCGGGCGAATTAAGGCATGGGAGGTCCTGCTTTCACAGTATTCGGTACGGCAGTTCGGGCACCACATCCTTGTCTCCAGGGGCGGCTGCTCCGCTCCTTTTTCTGCTTCCCCCCCTGCGGGATCTGACCTCCCAAGAATTCCCGGCAGCAAGCAAGCTGAAGCAACCGAGCACCTCACCAAGCCGCCGCCATCCCGCGCAATTGGTCACCAACCGCCGGGTTGTCTATCCTCACCCCTCTCCGAAGCTTTGCGATAGTGGAAAAAAGACTCACCTAACGTTCAATCCCTATTTGTTTGTTTCGGCATGTCTTGTCCCTAACCTCGACCCCACGAAGCCGACTTTTCCTTCGGCCCTCGAGCTTCGTATATTACATCCGTACACCCCCCCTCTTGGAAGTCCCCGGGATTTCCCTCATACGTCATAAGCGCGCCGTTTGTTTGGCCGTGCACCTCGTTCCGCGCCGACGCCGACGCCGACTCCCCTGTATGCATACCGCTGCCGCTCCCGCCTCCGCCGCCGCTTCCGTGACGGAAACACTATCAATGGCCGCTGTTGGGGATGAGGGTATCTGATGTTGTCTCAGAGCTCGAAGTGAATATGGAGGAGCCGCAGAACCAGCGCGACCGGCGTGTCGAGGACCTCTGGAAGAAGCTCGACACTGCAGGGCACGGGGAGCTTGACTTCAAGGGCCTTCAGAAGGGACTGAGGCGAATCGACCACCGTATGATGCCCTCCTCCCTAGAATTGGGAATTCCCATGCTAATTCTCTTTCCGGCACAGCCCTCAAGAATGCCGACCAGATGCTCAAGGCCATCATTGGCCTTGTCGACACAAGCGGCGACGGGAAGATTCAGTATGAAGGTGGGTTCCGAACAAGTCGTCGACAGGAAAAGCCGAGAGGAGTCGAGTTCAGCAGCTGAGACAACGTGCGCCTAGAATTCCGGGTTTTCGTCGAGGCTGCCGAGCGCCAGCTACTCATGCTGTTTCGGTCTATCGATCGCGATAAGGACGGCCGGTTGAACAAACGTGAACTACAGTCAGCCTTTCAGCGCGCCGGCTTGTCGGTACCAAACAGGAGACTGTCGGGTTTCTTCGACGAGATCGACTTGAATCGTGACGGGTTCATTACTTTTGACGAGTGGCGGTAAGTCTTGGTTGGCCCTTGTGTTGTTGGCCCCCTTTTGTTCCCTCTCTGCCTGTGCCACCTCGAGGCCAAATTTGTGACCCCACTTGGGGGTGGACTTTCTCTTTTTTCCCTCTTCCTCCCCGTTTATTATACCCTTGTCTGTTTTCTTCGCATTGTATTCCCTTGTCCCTCTGCTTTGCTGTAGACGGTTGATGGAAGTGTGTCCGGACGGTGGTGGAGTGAGAGACTTCGTGACGTGCTGCATATGGCACATCAGATGCTGACCCCCAACTTTCCAGCGACTTTCTGCTATTCATGCCCAGCAACCACGACGGTTCACCACTGGAGGCTGCGTTGTCATTTTATTCCTCAATTGTCACGGTGAATCCAGAGGGTGATTCACTCGTTAGCGATGAAACATTGGAGGGTTTAGGTACGGTCGGCTTCCTTCTTCAAGCTCTTTTTGGTTCGCTCCTCAGAATTGCCAACCCGGACCTGGTTCTCTCTCCGCGGCGCCCCGCGGATGCAGGCAGCATCTCCAATTCGCAATCGCCCGAGTTCCCTTACACCGATCAAATATCGAGCATACCGGCAGAGATGGCGGCCTCTGCTGCAACCGTCCGCTACGGCCCTGCCGTCGCCGCCACCCCGCACGTCTTGACCGACGCGGCAGTCAAGCGACCCGTACTGCAGTACGAGGGTGTGCAGCAGTCTGGCGCCCCGGAAATTGAAGACGTTATAGAGGAGGATACGGCGGAAGTTACATCCAGGCTGACAGATCTGCTGCCTGAACCAGGATATTTCCTCGCCGGTGCTATTTCGGGTGGTGTCTCGCGAACTGCTACGGCGCCACTGGACCGTCTGAAGGTCTACCTCCTTGTCAACACGAATACGCAAGCCAACATGGCCGTGGCTGCTGCGAAGCAAGGCCACCCGCTAGCGGCTCTGCGCAGCGCCAGTGGGCCCATCTTCGACGCCGTGGCGAGCCTATGGAAGGCTGGTGGGATGCGTACCTTCTTTGCGGGTAAGCGGATGCTTAAACACCATTTTCGCCTCCGCGGCGCTAATCCGTTGTAGGGAACGGTCTCAACGTCGTCAAGATCATGCCAGAGTCTGCTATTCGGGTAATTGGCCCCCATGGGTTCTCGGAAGTTCATCATGCTAACGGCCGATAAGTTCGGCTCTTACGAAGCGTCAAAACGGTTCCTTGCAGCATACGAGGGTCACAACGACCCAACCCAGATCAGCACCGTCTCGAAATTCGTTGCCGGTGGCATCGGCGGCATGACGGCTCAGTTCTGTGTGTACCCGATCGACACGCTCAAGTTCCGACTTCAGTGTGAAACCGTCCAGGGCGGGCCACAGGGCAACGCCCTTCTCCTCCGTACCGCAAAAAACATGTGGGCAGAAGGCGGTTTTCGCTCAGCATACCGCGGCCTTGGCGCCGGTTTAGTCGGCATGTTCCCCTACAGCGCCATCGACATCGGCACCTTTGAGATGCTCAAGAAGTCATATACTCGGGCCATGGCACGATATTACGGCATCCATGAAGACGACGCGCAGATAGGGAATATTGCCACCGCGATTCTGGGCGCGTCGTCAGGGGCGCTGGGTGCGACCATTGTCTACCCGCTCAACGTCCTCCGAACACGCCTACAGACCCAGGGCACCGCCATGCACCCGCCCACATACACGGGTATTGTTGACGTGGCAACCAAGACCCTCCGCAACGAAGGAGTGCGCGGTCTATACAAGGGCTTGACGCCCAATCTCCTCAAAGTGGCACCGGCATTGAGCATTACCTGGGTGTGCTACGAGAACATGAAGTCTCTTCTGGACCTCAACTAAGGAACCGAAGACACAAAAAACATTGGTTATTTGAGGTAAGGGTCGCCGCTAGACGGCGCCCTGGTGGCGAGTTTCTCGCAGCATTGGGAATGGGCTGTGGAAGAGAGGACAGCATCTTCTTCGGCGTTTTGGCATTTGGGTGGTGCTTGGCCCGTTGCGCTTTGCATTTCAACATTTCTTGAAGTCTACATGGCCACGGCGTTTTGGGTGGCAGGAAGATACCAGCTAGAGAGGTCATCAAGAGCCTGCGAACAACCTTGGATCGCACACCATAGCAGGGGTCATAGACGACGACGACGACCTCGACGACGACTAGACACCGGCTTTTAGAGTCGGATATGGCAATTCAGTTTTGTTTCCTCTGGCAGCAATCGAGCAGATCAAACGATGGCGCCCTGCCTCGTCATGCGTTGCGTTTCCTGGGGTCATTTTCTGCATGCAGCAGCTGGCATGGTTCCATACTGTGTAGATAAGATGGTAGGAATATGGCAGCTTCGTAAGCAGGTGATAGAGGGGGCGAACTGCAGCCGCAATTGGGACTTCTGAATGGATGCCCTTCGATATTACTCCTCCCCTCAGTCGAAATCCGTTCGGGTAAGGCGTGACGTGCTTCGTCATCCGATGAAGTCCCCCGCACTCGCCTGCCCTGTCATCCTGCAGGATGGCTTCGCAGCTTCCTATTCCGGCAATGACTCAGTCGCCCTTGGCCTCTCTTTCTCCTTCCAGGACGAAGGTCTTGCGCAACCCCTTGGCACCTTTTGGTTCGGGGGCGGTTCTTGGCCCTGGGGAGAGGGCGAATCCATGTGCTTGTTCCCCGTCCCATTTACGAGCACGCTGACGAGGCCATGGCCAACAGTAACATGCAGACCGCAAGACCGGGATGGCCCCCTCACCGCGTGCTTCCAAGGAATTCAATGGGTGATTGATTGCTTGTCTTTGGTACGGAATCGTCAAGCTCTGCTGCAGAACTCTTCTCTTCCTCGGTGACTTTCATACACGATCCTGTCACTTTCGTGACCCAGTAGTTGTTGTATCACATATTCAACCTCGTGGTGGCACCACTCCCTTTTCTCCAGATCTTGAGTATCGGTGTTGTCCAGTGTTCGATTTACCTGCCTACTCTCAAAGGCTTTGCCAGTGAAGATAGGGGTCGAAAGAAGCTTTTTGTACTGTTTCACTCTGGGCTTGGCTCCCTCCCGCGTCGACTCCCGACTGACTCGGGCCGGAAGTCATGCCTTACTCGGACAATCTCTACTCGACGCTGGATGAGGAGGTAGATTACGAGCCAATTGGTGAAACCTCGACTCAAGATGGATACCGGGGGTCAAGTCTTACTTCCCAGGACGCGTGGTTGAACACCGCTGCGGATACTCACACAGACCACCACGCCGGCGACGGCGAGGATCCACACCTCTTCTCGCCTACTGATGGCTACTTCGGCACGGCGACTACTACTTCACCCGGGACGGTGGTGCCAGCGTCGTCCCAAGTGCCACATGTGCCCAACGTTTTCGTCGATGATCCGTCTCTGCAACGGAATCCCGCTGAGGGAAAGGCCAAGGAAGCAGAGCAAGAGAGACTTGGGAATGACCAAGGCATCTCTAACACAGACGATGGGCACACTTCGGTCTATCCGTCTCAGAGTACGGCAGCGTCCCGAAACGGAGTCTCGGCCGGATACACCACAACGTCTACTCAGCAGAGTACCGCCCCGAGCTTGCAGTCAGGGGCCACGTACTACACGCCGTCATCGTCTACCCACATCCCTCGCGTTGCATCACCAAACTCCTACACAACTTATTCCACATGGAGATCTGTGCAGCGGGGCGAGCACTCCCCCTTTCTCCCGAGAGAGGCACCACCTGCTTACACACCATCCCCGGCCTCGCCGTCTAATCAGCAACGCTTCGGCGGTTACCGGACTTTCTCTGACGCCCGGGATGTGACTGTCAATATGGGGCGCTCGGAAGACGCCCAGGGGCTTTTTTCCCACCGTCCCGAGAGTATGCGGGATCATAACCCAGACGGTCTTGACGAAGAGATTCCCACTTGGAGAGGCCGCATCAGGAGAACCCGGCGGCATGTCAACGGGGGATGCTGCAAGATCGTGCTGATCGCTCTGGTCCTTCTTTTCGTCTCAACGGGATTCCTCACTAGCGTCATCAGTGGTACGAAAGATAATGTAAGTGTGACGCGTCCTCGTAAAGTCAATATCGGGGACTTTCATTATTACAGTTCTTTGTCGTCATGGATTCATTGTCATGTTTGTTTACTTACATATTTAACCATTCAATGTCTTCACCCCCTCCCCAACTCATCCTCAAACTCTACTGACTACCATCAACACAGACTACACACCAGCCCCCTAGCACCAACAAACCTGAACTTGAACACGGCCAGCCCAACATGAGCTACCCCGACATCGATGGCGATATCCGCTGGGACCCCGCCCACTTCTGCAAAGATGCCAAGATCGACCGCCACAAGCAAACATACAGCGTCGACTTCGGCACCGAGAAAGACCTCATCCTAGTAGAAAGGACCGCCCGCGACGACCACGAGCGCGGCTGGGGCCCCGTCCACGTCCAAGGCGCGGTGATCCTGCGCCGTGCCGACCCCGACGCCGAGGCTTCCACCGTGACCGTAGAAACCGTCGTCACCGACGAGCGCCTCCGCGTCTACAGCTCCTGGGACGCGGAGGCCGGCGCACTCGAGATCATCGTCCCCCGCCAAGTCGAGTGGGGCCGGGACCGGCCCCGGGCCTGCGTCAACTTCAAGATCACCGCGTGGGTGCCGGAGGCCAGCGCGCTGCGCCACCTGGTCGCCGACGTCGAGCACCTGGACATCAAGCTCCTCGACAACCTCTCCCTCTCCGTCGCCGACGGCACCAAGCTGTCCAGCATAGTCGGCACCATCACATCCGCCTCCACCGGCTCCGCCGCGCGCGACGCCAAGCTCGTCGAGGAGCAAACCACCCCACCCCCAACCCCCCAAACCTTCCACTTCAACTCCCGCATCATCGACGTGCGCACCACCTCCTCCCCCATCCACGGCGCCTGGCCGCTGTACGACTACCTCGGCCTACAATCCGTCTCAGGCAACATCCGCACCGCCATCCACCCACAAGACGCCGAGCCCGGCGGCACCGGGCCCAACCCGGCCGTGCTGTACATCAAGACGCTGTCGGGGGACGTCGACTTCCGCGAGCCGATCCACGCGGCCGAGGGCACGGTGCGCATCGGGCGGGCGCTGGGCGGCGGGGAGGAATGGCGGCGGGCGGCGGCGCGCGCCGAGGCCTATCTCCCGCCGCGCGAGTACCGTGTTGATGTGCACACGACGAGCGGGGATATTGCGGGTGCCGCGGCGTTTGGGGCCGCGGCGGGGTTCCGGTCGACGTCGGGGACTATTAGTCTGGAGCTGCTGCCCGTGCTGGATGTGAGCCAGGCGGAGCCCGGTGCGAGGCGTGTGGAGCTGTCGACGGCGAGCACCAGTGGTGCGACGGACGTTCGGGTGTTGGAGCCGCTGTGGGTGGATGACTTGGTGAGTGCCCAGGGCGAGGGCGGGGGTGTGAGGCGGGGGTATGTTGGGTTGGAGACGCCGGGTGCTGCTTCTCCTGCTGCTGCTGCTGGTGGTGGTGACTTACAGGAGGGGGGTGGCGGTGGGAAGGGGAAGGGGAACCCGTTGCGGTGCTTGTACGGCATGCATACGACCACGTCGGCCAAGATTAAGCTGAGATATCCGGAGAGCTGGGAAGGGGATATCAGTCTGTCAACGCTCACGGGGGCACTCCAAGTCGGCGGGGATGGGGTGAAGGTGATCAAGGTGGGGAGTGATTGGCCCGGTGTGAACAAAATGGTGTTGGCGAGGAAGGGGGAGAAAGGGGAGGGGGGAAGGGTGCAGGGGAAGAGTACCAGTGGGGATGTGGATACCTGGGTCGGGGAGAAGTGAGTTGGCTAAAGCTAACGGGTAACGGTTCATTGATATTCAGAGGGCTCAAGCGGACACGAATCTTGGAAGGTATTTGCTTTGTGATGAGAATATGGTTGATGATTTGAGTTATGGAGGCATTTGCTTTTGGATCGGGCCATGTGTGAGGACTAGAGCCACCGGGGCATTTCCTTTGCAATGGGGGCATGTTGAGGACTTCGTTTGCAATAACGGGTATCGTGAGAAAGCTGGAATGGATTTCTTGTTTATTACCGAACCAATGCCATTTTCCGCGCGCTCCGCATCTATGATCTCGGCTTCTCCTTCTTCTCCTTCCAGAGAGCAAGCAGACCGACACCAGAGACCTTGACAACTGGGTATTGTTAGTGGCAGCAATAATTGCCTTGGACGGAGGTGACCAACCCTTGAACCGCACACCGGGAATATCACCCTTCGCCTTGCCCTTGCGACCGAAACCGGCGAGGAGGACCTCGTCGTTCTCATCGACGAAGTTCAGGCAACCATCGTTAGGTACTGTGGAACCGTTAGCGCCCGTCGTTTGTGACCAGAAATCGTGGTTTCTGAGCCTCGTTCTCGTTTCGCTCGGGGATTCGTACCGAAAGCAGTGACCTTCTTGCCGTTCTTGATGAGCTGGACCCTCACGCACTTGCGAATAGCCTGTACCACCACCAGTTAGCCGTCGTGCCGCTTTGAGACTCGAATTCGAAAAATTTCTTCGGGGATATTGACGTACGGAGTTGGGCTGCTTGGCTTCGACGCCGACCTTCTCGAGAACAATGCCCTTGGCGTGGGACGAGCCACCGAAGGGGCTACCTCCATGTTAGTCGAAATCGCTCTGGTTTGGCGTCATTCATCGGCCGTTGCGCACCTGGACTTGAAAGCAGTGCCGAGAGCACGCTTCTTGTACGCAAGATCCGCCCACCGCTGCTCACGGCGGTTGTTGCGCAGCTTGCGGGCCGCGTTGAGACCACGAGGCTTTCCACCGGACATTTTGGCTGCGAAATCGAAATGTTAGGAGTTGCAATCGAGAGGTAGTGACGGCGAGAGAGATCGAGATGACGGTAGCGCCGGGATGTTACGTACCGATTTGTTGATGATCGCGGGCTCTGGGTTGCCGTTCGTGATCTGGAAAGTTCGCTTCGCGGTTACCGAATTTTTGGCGGACAGCGAGTTTCACAGTAGGGCGAGAAAACCCTAGCCTCTCAATTGGGCAAGAGGTTCTGTGCCGAGCCACAGCCCCACCAAAGTGGCGGAACTCAAGGTTGGCCAGTGCACGATGCTCACTGACACAGTACTTAAAATACGCAGCTTCAATCACATGCACTGTGCTGCAAGAGGTTCCTCCCGGGGATCACGAAGTCACTGCAACAGTTTCACGACAGCCATCCAGTATTATCACTGGCATAGCGAGTCGATTTTCACAACATACACTCCCGGCAAACCAAACAATGTAACAGCAATGTCCTACCTCTCCAAAGGCAAAAAAACGGCCCACGATCCCCCGCCAACCCACCTCTCCGCCTCCCATGCCTCGCTCACCGGCCCATCATCATCAGCAGGGGGTCAAGCACCCCCGTCCGCATCAGCAGCATTCATGACACCCACCTCCCTCGCCTCCCTCACCTCCCCAACCACCACAGGCTCAGCGGTGGCAGGAGGAATCTCCCACCTCCCCTCCCAAGCCGGGCCCTCCTCCCACATCACCCCGAGCGGCCTCAACATCAACCTGCCGGTACCCGTCCCCTCCCTCCGCAGCCGCGAATCGACCCGCACCACGGACCGCACCGACGCGCTCTGGGCCGAGATGCAAGCCACGCTGGAGGCGGTGGAACTCACGGCCGGTGGTGGTGGTGGTGGTGGTGGTGGCGGCACCGGCGGCGATGGCGCTTCCGCCCACACGAGCACGGCGCGCGTCTTTGGCCCCGACCACGAGCGCAAGCTGGACGAGCTGCGGGCGGCGCAGATCGCGCTGGCGCAGGCGTGGGCGCGGAGCGAGGCGGACGACGCGATCGAGACGACTGCTGCTGCTGCTGGTGCGAGTGCGTCGGTTGGGGGTGGGCTGGGTGCCGGGGACGGGGCGGCGGCGGGCGGTGTGTCGGAGGGCAGGAGTGTGGTTACGGATGCGGCGGGGGGTGCGGGTGGGAAGAGTACGGTTGGGACCGGGAGTGCGAGGCCGGGGAGTAGTGGGCTTGGGATGGGTGGTGGTGGTGGTGGTGGTGGTGGTGGGCAGGAGAGGGCGGGGGGGAAGAAGATGGAGGAGGAGACTGAGGTGGATATCTTGCTGGCGAGGAAGAGGAGGGAGGCGAACGATCGGTATTTTCAGAGGGTCAATCAGGGAGTGCTTGATGTGGTTTCCAAGTTGGAGGAAGTAGCTATTGCTATGCGGGCGGTTGAGCAGGAGAGCAAGGAACTTTGGGGGGACGATAATGAGAGTATCGCAGGAAGCACAAGGACTTGATAGAGGGGCACGAGCGGCATCTACGGCATTATTGGGATTAACGAGCGGCGCGGCTATCACTTTGCCAACTAGGCAAGTCTATCGGGAGGTTTTAGCATTGCTCGGGCGTTGGGATGAAACATGGAGTCATCATAAATTAATAAGGATTTATTCATGGTCAGAATCTCCATTTGCCCGCAATGATGTTGAGGCTCCGAGGTTGAGTGCCAGTGTGTTTTAAGCTTGCGCCAGAGGACCCAAGTGTGAAATCTTGGCATCGGAGTTGCTTGGATCGGAGCTTGGTGGGGGGGCGGGGCTTGTTGGGACCGAGCTTGGACCAGTGTGTTTTCCCGCCACCCCGCTTACACAAGAAATAGAGGCGAAGAGGTGCAGTGGCATGCTGAGAACCAAAACAGCTGAGTCCTGGAACGCTGAGAGTTTTGCAAGCCGCAGAATGCTGCCACATGTTGTGGGGTTTCCGAATAGCCCGGTGTGCCCCCCACTTCCAAGCCCATTCATCCGGTTGGCCGCTCGGCTCGCTGGAGCTCCTTGATTCGCAGCGTAAACTCATCCGAAGGTGCCTCGGCGAACGGGAAGCGTAACGACGACCTGCGGCTGTAACTGCAACATCAGGCGGAGCTTGTGTTGATGAACCTCGAGGAAGCGAAGGAGGGCTGGGGCAACCTGCAGGAACATTGACTTAGTCGGCATCATGTAAGGTCTAAATAACGGGATGAGGTTGGAGAAGAAAGAGTATGCGGTTTAAGGAATATTACAATACAAGTATCATCGTTGAAGACTGGCTGTCCTTCCATTCTGAGCCACGAATTCAGACCTGCACGATAGGCTGGTAGCTCTGCGCGTTGCACCCAGTTCCTTGCACCAAGACGGGCCCGCTACCCTGCGCTGCGCGCCACCTGCCTTGCGCCGATTCGGGCTAAAAAAACGCCTGCCCGTGCCGGTCAAGTACACGAATACAGGCGATCCCGTCAAAATTTCAGAAGCCAACTCGCCATCTCACAACACAACCTCTGCTTCCCAACCGACGTGTGGTCAATTGCGCTCCAAGTCTCTTCCAACCTCCTCCCCCGTCTCCTGCGAATTCGCCTTTCACCCGGTTTCCTTTTCCCTCACCAAACGATACCCAGCCGATACCGGACAAGATGGGATACCTCGACGACGAAGTTAAGCGCCTTCAGGGCATCATCTCCAACATCGAGGGCCGGGTGCAGGCCCTGGAGAGCAGGCAACTGGGAGGTAACCAGAAGAAGACGGCGGAGGAGATTCGCATGATCCTCATCGGCCCTCCCGGCGCTGGTATGTGACGTTGCCGACCGACAACGACGGTCGCCCAAAACTCGCAAATTGGCGCACTCACACGGCACAGGCAAGGGGACACAAGCACCCAAGATCAAGGAGAGGTTTAACTGCTGCCACCTGGTAAGCCAATTGGGTCTTGGACGAGCTCACCCAACCTTCTTCGGTCGCTAATCTTACTTTCTTCGGCGGTAACCAGGCGACCGGCGACATGCTGCGCTCCCAGGTCGCCAAGAAGACGACTCTCGGCCGGGAAGCTAAGAAGATCATGGACGCGGGTGGCCTTGTCAGCGATGACATCGTCATTGGCATGATCAGGGAGGAGCTTGACAACAACAAGGAGTGCAAGGGGGGGTATGTTAAGCGGATGCGCTGGCAGAGGTCCACGTTGTGTGTGCTAACACGTGTCCCGTAGTTTCATCCTCGACGGCTTCCCCCGCACTGTCCCGCAAGCTGAGGGCCTCGACAAGATGCTGCGCGAGCGCAGCCAGTCGCTGCAGCACGCCGTGGAGCTCAAGATCGATGACCAGCTCCTGGTCTCGCGCATCACTGGCCGCTTGGTCCACCCCGCCAGTGGGCGCAGCTACCACACTACCTTCAACCCGCCCAAGGCCCACATGACGGACGACATCACTGGCGAGCCGCTGATCCAGCGCAGCGACGACAATGCCGAGGCCCTCAAGAAGCGTCTTACCACCTACCACAAGCAGACCGCCCCGGTCGTCGACTACTACAGGAAGACGGGCATCTGGCAGGCCATTGACGCTGCCCAGGCCCCTGGCCAGGTCTGGAAGAGCCTGCAGGCCATCTTCGACGGCGACAAGGCCAAGGCCAAGAAGGCTGGCAGCGGCCTCCTGAACAAGCTTAGCTCGTAGATGGGCGGCGCGGGTACGGGCCGGGCTGTCGCATGGAGTGAGACTGAGATAGGGCGGGCGGATAAAGACTTGAGGCGGTGGGAGCTCGACATGCTGCTCTAGTTCGGTCGCCTTTGATGGAACACCAAATTAGACTCGCGGACCTCGTCCGCGCCCGCCCTTGGGCCGGAAAGGAGGGAACGGATCCCATAAACTTGCGTCTTTGTCGCTCAACGCCATCCGATTCACGGACTTCTTTGGTGTCATTGGAAGGAGTTACGGAAAACCGGCTGATACCCAGCGCCAGACGTGGCGGGTCTCGGATGGGATCCGCCGCGTATGGCGAGGTTTGTGTGATAGAAGCCTGTACTTCAACATTGTAGAAATGCTATAACCTGCCTACACCTGGTTCCCGGTCTCTCCCCTCATTCGAATGTCCGGTGAGCCAAGCGCGTGGATCCAATCTCCATTTTTCTTCTGCCCGTCAACATTTCACTTTTGTTGGCGAGCCAACCGAATGGCAGGGAAGCCGAGCCATCGCTAGGTACAGAGGCCAGTAAAGCCATGGTAAGGAGGGAGAAGAATGTCATCAATAAAATGTAATGTGATAAGGCTTGATTCAACCACGGTGGTGGCAGTTCAACCCAACCGAAACAACGATTAATTCCAAGGTCTGCCTTCACTCCAAAAGCTTCTCGAGGCGGGTCGACTCGGCGTTGTTCCTTTAACTGGCTTCATAACGTAACAACACTCAAACGGGGCAATGTTCTATTCAAGGGGTATATCTAAGAAGAATTTACGGCCACGGTAAACCGATACCTAGCTCCAGCTACCCGTCGTGGTTGAGCCCGAAAAGCCCACCACCACGAACCCTAAACCATCTATTTCCTCCTCTTGTATAAAAACAGGGTATTCCATATGCAAACCATCCCCCGATCTGGCCCACGAACCCATCGTCGCAAGGGGGCAACCTACTTCTATACCACGTCGCCGTCCAAAATTAAAAAGAGTAAAAGTGTGAGGTTCTCACAAAGACGGCGACGACGACTTCCCCGACGAGGACGGCATGGCGCCACAACCCTCAGCCACGCAGCAAACAACCCACGCCCACGCTATGCGCAACAAAGACCAGAACAGGCCGCCGACGGAGCGGCCGTCCGGCAACGAGAAGGAAAGGCAGACGACGAAGAGGGACCCGCGCCGAAGACGAATCAGCTGCTAACACTCCCGGAGCCACTACCTCCTCGGCGTAGCTATCCCGATCACAGATTCAGTCAACATCGGTGACCTACACATTGGGAGGGCGGGGGGGTAGAAAAAGGGACTGGCGAACTCACCATTCACCATCTGCCGCTGCTTGTTTAGCCAGCTCCGGGGCGCGTCGTGCCGCCGCTGCAGCACCACGTGGTTGCTCTGCAGGCGGCTGGTGAGGTCGTACCAGGCGGTGGTGATCATGGCGTTTTCGCGCTGCAGGTTATTGATGAATTGCTCGGTAGCGGCCTTGGAGAGCGTTAGATTGTGGCCTCACCGTAATGCGAGAGGGAGTGGGAGGGGAAAGGGGTTGATTTCAGGGGCACGCATGGCAACACCACAGGTAAACAATGGACGGGAGTTCGGGGGAGGATAGACATGGTTATTAGAAGCAGAAAACATACCTTGTGAGCGGCAAATGCGCCGCCATTCTCTGCAAGCTTGAGCCGTCGTTGGAGATCGTACTTTTCTTGCTCCGACTTTTCCAGTTGCTATTATGGCAAGTGTGTCAGCAGCCCGAACAAATATTCAAAATGGTTGTGACCCAAGATCCATGAATTAACTTGAACTGGTCAAGTAAGGGGTGAGGGTGAAATGGAAGTGGAGAAGATGGAGGACGGTCAGAGTATCCCGGGACGCAAAAGCCTCGCAAACCACCCCTTCCTTTTCTCCCGCTTCTTTTCCCACTCGGGCTTAAGGGGCGCCGCCTGTGCCCGCGGTAATACCCCCTTTTCAGAGCGTTTGATTCCCAAAAAGGAAGCCGTATAAGGCGAATCAAGCCGCGGGGACATGTCAAGACTCACCTCCATCTTTTGCTTGAGCGCAGTCTTGAGCTTCTCAATCTTCTCGGCATCTTCCTTTCTGCCCTTGGTGGACTCCTCCTGGGCGGCGGCAGGTTGGTCAGCGGCCGCAGAAGACGCCAGCGCGTCGTCGAGCCTCTTCTGGACCTTGTCCTTGGACACCAGCGCACCCATGAGCTGATCCTTCATCTGGTCGTACTCAAAGACGCGCTGCGCGAGCTGTTTGCGTGTGGCCTCGAGCTCGGTGCGCAGCGACTCCGAGATGAGCTCGTCAGAGGACTTGAGCGTGGCCAGCGCGGCGGTCTGCTCCTGCCCGATCGCGTCGACTGTGGAAACACCGTCCATGTCAGTACTTGAGAAAAGAACCTCGTCAAAGTAGTCACGCAACATACGGTCCATCTTGAAGCGGAGCAGCTCGCGCTCACGGTCGGCGGCATCGCGTTCTAACTCCTGCGCGCGCTTACGGACGACTTCGAGGTCGCGCGTGGTATCGAGAAGGTCCCGACGCATGTTGACGAAGGCGGCGTCCCTGAAATAACTTGGCATCAGTAAATGAAGGTTGGGATTCACAGCTAGGGCGGCGTCTATGCCGAGAACTGACCCTTCGCCCGTGGCGTGTTCAACCAAAGCATTGATATGCTCTTGGGCCACGGCCTGCTTCTCCATGGCTTCTGTGCACTTCAAGCGATAGTGGTCCACCCTTTGGTTGGCGCCGTCCAGCTCGCTGCGGAGCTTCTCGTTCTCCGAGGCCACGGCCATGTTGTTACGCAGTAGGCTATTCTCAGCCTTGAGGCGCTGGAGCTCGAGGCGAAGGGCAACAGTCGGATCAGAGGTGGTCTCAAGCTCCTGCTCGAGGCTAAACTTGGCAGTCGAGGCGCCTGGGCTTTCAGAACCTGGCTCGGGCATATCGCCGAGCTGGAGTTGCTCCTGGAGCTCCCTGATCGTATTCTCGTCCAGCTGTCGCTTAGAGTCGAGATACTCGACTCGCCTCTTGAGCTCCTCGTTGGCATCTTGCAGGACATTCTTGGACTGGAGCGTGTAGATGATCTCCTGCTCGTTTGTGGTCAAGACCCTGACCTTCTCATCGATCTCCTTTTGAAGCTTCCGGTTTTGCGCCTTCACCTCGTCAAAGTTCCGGAGGTCTTGCTCTAGCTGTAAGATCTGCTCGTCCAAAACCCGGTTCCGTTGCTGAATGACGGTCAGGTCCTGGGCTTTCTTCTTGTAGTTTTCCAGCCCCTTGATTAGCTGCTGCTGCTGTTTTGTCTCGTGCTCAAGCACGGTGACTTTGTCTTCGAGGTCTTTTAACCGCTCGGCCTTGACGCGCAGGGTCTCGTTCTCCTTTTCGTATCTTGTCGAGCGCACCGTCTCCTTCTCCAACAAGTCCTCCAACCGGTCAATCTCGGTCATCTTGTCGCGGATCTCGTTCCGTAGATCCTTGATAGCGGACGTCACGTCGGAGCCCCTAGCTCTTTTGAGGGTGGTAAGCTCATCCTGCGCGTTTCGGAGATCTCTCAGCATCGCCTCCCGAGTGTCGAGGAGCTTGTCTAGACGGGACTGCAGGTCGGCGTTTTGCTTCTTGATAATCTCGACCTTGCCCTTCATCTGTTCCAGCTCCTCGGCCATCAAGTCCGGGTCTCTGAAAGCATGAATGCCCATGTCGGTATCCACGTCGTCCGCCTGCGGCTCTCCTTCCGCCTTTCCCTCCCGGTCCAAGCGCAGGTCGGTCTTCTGGTTGATGATCTTCGCGATCTCGCCCTGGGTTTGACTATCGAGCGTGAGGATATTGGGGACGTATGTTCTCGAGAGCGATCCCATGCAGGCGGCCGTGAGGAAGGCGGAGAGAAACTCGCACAGGGCATTGTCGGTCGGGTTCTCGGCGATGGCGCGAAACTCGGAGGGGGATGGGGCCAACAGCGGGTTATCGGTACGGAGGAAGCCTGCTAGGCCACGGTAAACGATTTCAAGGTTCTGGCGGTTGTCGTGATCGGACTGCGGTGCGAGGACGAGGCTCGACGCGTGGAACTCGGGGGCCAGCATCTGCTCGAGAATGTGACCGAGGATGATGCCATCTCGAAGGTCCTGCAGTGTCTCGGCCTTGTGCCGAGTCTCGAAGGTGTTGGCCCATTTTAGGAGGGCCGCCTGGGTGAGAGGGCTGTATTGTGTCATGGTTACCTAGGCGGGTGTATGGCGGTGACAAAATGCTGTACTTGGGGCTTCGGAGCGCCAATCTACCTAGGGAGGAGGAAGCGAGACCCTTTCGGGCGTGATCTCGAGGACAACGACGGGGCGGTTCTTATCGGGAAACGCCCATTGTGCGGCGCTATAAAACACAAAGAACAACAATAGCTGTGCTGGAAATCTTGCTTCAGTCCGGATTCCCGTGTTTCATCATTGCGCTGTGTCGTGTTTCTTATGAAGAAAGGCATTGTTCAGGTCGGTTTTCAGCGACTCTGGGGCATTTGCCTGGGTCCCACCCTGCGCCCAGGGCGATCCCTGACCGAACGGCTGTGGCCTGTCAATTGGCTGCGGGGAGAGAACAGGGGCTTGGTCGCAGAACGCCCTCATGCATAAACCAGAGCCGCTTTCGACAGTTCCACGGGATATTGGACCAAGGCGGAATGGAATGTATGGCCATGGCCACTCTGAACATCCAGTTCGGCTGTTCTCTCTAGCAATTTGTATTGTGTTGGAGTCACTCGGTAATCTGTACCGTTGCTGGCATTCTTTCTAGCCGTCTTAGCGGTGTTCCGTTATTTCATAAGAAATGCATGTTTGCTGCTCGATGTCTCATTTGATCTGCACTAAATCCAACGGTTCGCAAGCTGTTCCCTTGCTTCCGGCGCGCTGCTTAAAAAGAACCACCCCCATAGTTAACGCCTAGGAAACCCCCTATCCCTCTCTTTCCACCGCCAGTGAGCGCTGTCTCACTCGAATCTTCCATCGTCGCGGAATACCTCGTGGCTCGTTATCGTGTGATCGCCTCCCGTTGTGGTGTAGACGGAATTCCTCTCTTAGAGGCCGACGCCACCACCCATCTGGTGAACCTCCTGGTCCTCCTCAACGAGTACTTGGTACTCACTTCCCCATGCAGAAACAGAGCTGAGTACTTTCTCGCCGACCTTTGCCGCAAATCCCCTATTTTAGTTAGCATGCTATGTCAAGAAACAGCGGGCGCATAATGAGTCCTGTGAGGTGTGTTCCTGAGGACCTACTTGATTAGGGTGTACTCGTGGGTGATCATTCCGCCAGCGTCAACTATAGCTTGCTTGGCCTGGGTCACAACCGAGTCGGGCGTCTCGGGCGGGTACGTGATAAGAACCGACTTCTGGATGTCGACAGCGATGGCACCAGAGAGCAGCGTGAGCGCGGCGATAAGGAACGAGAACAGTCTCATGATTGCGGTTTGGTGGGTCTCCGTGCGATTAATTTACGGCTTTCTGGAGGTAACTAGTGTAGTCCCTGAGTTGCGGAGAGTGCAGTTATATTCCACTTTCGCGAAAAGTTGATGTTCGGTAAAAGCGGACGCTGATTATAACTTGGAGGTGGTGGTTGTTGGGTGGCAAATGGGATCTACCCTAGACCGACTTGCGACAGGAGCGGCCCCTCGTTTTACATGTATTCATGGACGGGAACGCATTGCCGCGTAATGGCACGCAGGAGTGCACCGAAACAGGCAGCTACGTAAGGTACCACATTGGCTTAGGTAACCTGCCTCTTCAAGAAGGTCAGAGCTTCCATGTTGGCCCAAGCGCCCTTTCCTCCCCTCCAGCCTTGTGCTCCCAACACCACTTTGACAACCTTGAACTAGCCCGATTAGGGAGTGACCTTGAACTTGGCGAGGCAGCGAACTGCGTGACGACGACTGACACAAGCAACACCAACGAAAAACAGACAACCTCAAACCCGCGATTTTGACCCCCCGACCCACGACCACGCATTTACATAACAATCCCGACTCTCTATTTTCCTCCTAGATTTTCGTCATGCCAGCCACAACCGCAGAGACGCTGTCGCTAGTGACGCGCAACGTCTCGGTTGCCCCGCTAGTGCTGCTCTCCGTCGTCGACCACTACAACCGCACAGAAGCCTACAAGAGCAAGACCAAGCGGGTTGTGGGTGTTCTATTAGGGCAAAACGATGGCAAGAATGTGCGGGTGTCGAACAGTTTTGCAGGTGAGCATTTACTGCTCCTTGGGGCGCCCTCGATTGTGTTTGCTGATCGGGCACTGCAGTTCCCTTCGAGGAGGACGACAAGGATCCCTCAGTCTGGTTCCTAGACCACAACTACGTCGAATCGATGAACGACATGTTCAAGAAGGTCAATGCGCGCGAGAAGTTAATAGGGTGGTACCACTCGGGTCCGAAGCTGCGGGCCTCCGATCTCGAGATCAACGAACTCTTCAAGCGCTACACGCCCAACCCGCTTCTGGTCATCATTGACGTCCAACCGAAGGAATCGGGCGTCCCGACAGATGCGTACTTTGCGGTGGAGGAGATCAAGGATGTATGTGCTTTCTGGCATCTTTGCGTACGTGGTTGCTGACCAGGCTTGATCAGGACGGAACCACCACATCCAAGACCTTTGTGCACACGCCGACGATTATCGAAGCCGAAGAGGCCGAAGAGATTGGTGTCGAGCACCTCCTGCGCGACATACGAGACGTAGCGGTCGGCACCCTCTCTACCCGTGTCACCAACCAGCTCCAGTCGCTACAAGGCCTCCACCTCCGCCTCCGCGACATCCAAGCATACCTGCAGAAAGTCCTTGACGGGCAACTCCCGGTCAACCATGCGATCCTGGGGAACCTCCAAGATGTGTTCAACCTGCTGCCAAATCTCTCTACACCTAAGCCTGGCGCTGCGGCGAATGGGGCTAAGGGCGATACCGAGCTCAACTACGCGATGAGTGTCAAGTCCAACGACCAGCTCATGGCCATCTACTTGAGCAGTCTTATCCGGGCGATCACGGCCTTCCACGACCTAATCGAGAACAAGATCCAAAACCGGCAGCAACAGGAGGAGAAGGAGGCGGCCAAGAAGGAGGGCGAGAATAGCGCCAAGGACGGCGAAAAGAAGGAAGGAAGCCCAGCTGCCAACGGCGAGTCCAAGGAGAGCGGCGGAGACAAGGAAAAGGAGGGGGCCAAGGACAAGAAGAAATAGGCTAGATAGAGCCAGGTTGGGACATGAATGACTGTACGAGATTTCGTAATGGCCCGACCAGGGTGTGTTGGAATTACGGCAGTGGTTCAAGTAGCCGTTGTATTCTTAAAGCGGCTTTCAACCATTCGGGAGCCGCATTGCTCACGGTGTGATTGTTTGCGCCTTGCTACGCAATACTCACACTGGGAGCTCCCACCCTTATCTCATCATTAGCCTTGCTGCCAACCTTTAAACCTAGGTTGTTACACATCCGCAACAATACCCGCCATCTCTTCCCTTCCCACCCTCCTTTCGACCACATACTGACCCAACGCCGCACCCCATCTCTCACCCAGTAGGCACGCCAGCAAGTGTTTGCATACCGGAACCCCCTCCCCAACCCCAACCTGTATCCCGTCCAGGCTCATCCCACCAAACGACCACTCCGCTCCTGCCTCTGCCTCCGCTAAGACTTCGCCGAGTCCGGCGGATGCCCTGTAACCATACCGCATGTCCTTTTCCCTGCCCTCCCAGCTGTGAGAGGCCGTAACCTCTCCCTGAACAGCGGCGAAGGCAAAAGCAGCACAACTGCAATGCCACGCGTCCAGCCGCACAATGTACCCCTTCTCATGGCCACCCATACCCATCCCACCAACTCCCTCCGTTTCGTCGCCGTCATCACCATGCTTCCGTCTGCGCCGCTTCTCGCGAGCAGCCTCCGCCGCAGCCGCCGATTGCACCAGGTAGAACGCATTCCCCGACCGCCCTCGCTCTTCCACCCCCATCCCCCCGCCGCGACCCCCCACTCCAACCTCCCTCCTTCCTCCCGCCCCATCACCTCCCGTCCCATCCTTGCTATCCCCATACCCATACCCATCCCCATCCCGACCCCCACCGCCAGAACCAGAACCGGCACCCGAACCACCCGAACCGGAACCGAGCAGCGCCACCCCCGCGACGAGCCCGCGCTCGAGCAGGTCCAGCGCCGGCAGCGCCAGCCCCGGGAAGAGCACGTGCAGGGTGACGATCAGGTGGCGGTGGGAGGCGGGCACGCGGCGGAGGGGGTTTTCGCTTGCTTCTTCTTCTTTTCCTCCTCCTCCTCCTCCTCCTCCTCCTCCTCCTCCTCCTCCTAGTGGGCTGGGGTTCCGTGGTGGTTGGGTTGGCGTTAGCGGGATGGCGGAGATGGCGTTTAGGAGGGTGGTTAGGAGGGCGCGGGTTGGGGGGAGGTTGGGGGTTGTTGTTGTTGGGGGGGGGTTGTTTGGTGTTGTGGGTGGTTGTAGTGGGAGGGATGGCGTTGCCATTTTGATGGGTGGGATTTGGGTTGGTTTTTTTTTATTGTATGGTTGGTTGTTGTTGTTGTTGCGAGAGGTTGAGTTGATGCGGGACCCGATAAGAGTGAGGAGAGGTAAGGAGTCGTCCTCAGGCAGCACTCATAGCACCGAGGTACAGCTGGTGTGAGAACAGGCTGGAATACACTTCTATCATGGGTAGACTACATTTTCAAGTTACCAATACAACGCCTTGCTCTTCCATAATCTATACCCATTCCTTGGGGTTTTGCAACACCTCAACCAACCGCGCCTCCCTGCTCTTCGGCTCCGGCTCGTACATGTACTTCCAGCTCGCAGTCAGGGGCAAGCTCATCAAAATGCTTTCTACTCGCGCACCCGGGGTATTCAACCCAAACGCAGTCCCTCGGTCGTGCACCAGGTTGAACTCGACGTACTTGCCCCTGCGAATCTGCTGCCACTCCTTCTCTTGCTCGGTGAACGCCATATCCTTACGCTTGTTCACGATAGGGATGTAGGTCGGCACAAATGATTTGAGCGAGTCCTGGACGAAGGCGAACAGGTTCTCCCGGTCTGAGACCGACTCGTCGAGATCGTCAAAAAAGATCCCGCCGATGCCCCGCGACTCGCCGCGATGCTTGTTGTAGAAATACTCGTCGCACCATTTCTTGAACTTGGGGTAGTAACCCTTGTCGTGCTTGTCGCACACATCCTTTAGTGACTTATGGAACTGCACCGCGTCCTCGTCAAAGAGGTAGCTCGGTGTCAGGTCGCAGCCGCCTCCGAACCACCACGCGCCCGACGACCCGTCTGGATTGGCTGTCTCAAAGTATCTGTAGTTGAGGTGCACTGTCGGCGCCATGGGGTTCTTGGGGTGCACAATCAAGCTGAGCCCTGCGGCGAAAAACTCGAGGCTCTCGGGGATGTTGTTCTCGTCGGCGATGTTTTTGTGGTTGGCGCGCATTTTGAGAATGGCTGGCTTCGGTAGAGTGCCATACACGACACTAATTCCGACGCCGGCCTTTTCAAAAATCTTACCATCCTGGAGGACACAGGTGATGCCGCCGCCGCCCTCCTTGCGCTGCCACTCGTCTACACGAAACGGGGTGCCGTCCACCTCTTCCAGAGCCCGCACGATAGCTTTTTGTTGTTCCTTTGCAAACTTCTCCATGCGGAGGCGCATGGGAGAAACCTCGGAAACGCCTTGCTGCGTTTTAAGTTGCTGGTCGCGCTCGGCAAGGGTCGGGGTGTCCATTCGTAGGGGTTCGTCGATCGCCTGCGCAACAGAGAAGTCAGCGGGATTGTTCGCAATAGGAACAGAGTCCAAACATAAACCGCGGCATACCATCTTGTACGTGAGCGGCGCCGCGATCAAAAGGGTAAAAGCGATCCAGCCCAAGTACCTCCTCGGCGGCGCGAGGGTCTGGTCGGGAGCGCCGGGACTGTGGAAGCTCGACAAGGCCCTCCGGGAGGCCCAATTGGTGTTGACGGCCGGCGTACTCCTCAATTGACCGCGCGACTTGCATTGCGCAAGAAGGCGGAGGGCTGGACGCCGGGAAGCCATCGCGGCGGCGTCTTATGTCCAGCGACTACGTGGCGGGAAGATGCCGAGCTCGAGGAAGAATCAGGCGATTCTGGACGCAGACATAAGGCCACTTTCCAAATGCAGCAATCGAGAAACCGGCGCACACCGAGGGGATGCTCTCTTCTTCAAATCTGCTGTTCCAGCAAAAGCCTGCCTAACTCAGCTGATTTCGCTGTCAAAATCAGATGTTCCCAAATCCAGAGCTCGAAAGTGACCCAGAGGAGCGGAACCTCTGCCGGTTCCGGCCCCGGTTCGGTCTGGGCGCCGCGGCCTACCAAAGCCGAACCACCGCGAGGATGGACCTTGCGGCATCCTGGAGGTGGGGCATCATCCGAGACATCTCCATCACACCGATGGCATCCCCCTAAGATCCCACAGTACGGAGTCAAGGGGCATATGGAGGGATCAAAGACGAGAGGGCCGAAATAAAGAAGGCGGATAAGGGAGACAACCTGGTCATGCCAAAGAGGGAGCGGCCCGAAATGCATACCGCGGGGTTGCGCAGACACCGAGTGAGGTACCTTGGCGTGCAATAAAACGCGCGAGACCAATCCGTCCTGTCTAGCACAAAAGAGGGAGTACACAGTGTGCCGATGCTCTATTCCGGTTAAATCTCTAAATAAATAGGTATATATACCATCATTGAATATAATCAAGGGAGCAGTCCTTAGAATGAACTCCGTGACGTTCTTGAACGACAACCGAAGTGAAGTGTACCATCGGATGCGAGCACCTGAGCTCGCTGAGCAAGCAAAGTGGCAAGCACCTGGCCTCAGCTGGCCCTTCTGCGGCCATGTGAACAGGCCGTCTGATTCATCCAAGGCTCCCGCCACGCTAATCCTAAAGCGGCTGGTATGCTCCCTCCCCATTCAGTCATCGGGTCAGCCCCGCCTCCACCAACTGCGCCGTGCGACCCCCCAGAGCGTTTATCAAGGCGCCAGCATACGCAACCCAGAACCTCGCCCGACGTCAACCCTCTTCCATCAACAACCATCTTTCCCGTCCAGCACAGCAACTAAGGTACATCCACAACCCGTCACGCACCCATAATCGGTCCACTCGGCGCCCATCCTCGTCGCGGAAACAACGTCGCTAACATTACGTTCGCTTGTTCGTAGCCATCACCGAGACCTCTTGCATCGGCATCCCCAAGTTCATCCATTTATCAACCTCGAACCCATCAAAATGCGGAGCAAGTTCAAGGACGAGCACCCCTTCGAGAAGCGCAAGGCCGAGGCCGAGCGCATCCGCCAGAAGTACGCGGATCGTATTCCAGTAAGTCGTCCTCTACAGGCGGTGAAGCCCGCCCTCGATAGCTCCTGGAGAAACCCCGCCGCAGCCCGTCGCTCTCCCTGGCCGTCCGCACATTAACCAGCACACCGCAAATTACTGACACCTTCGGTTTAGGTCATCTGCGAGAAGGTCGAGAAAAGCGACATCGCGACGATCGATAAGAAGAAGTACCTCGTACCATCCGACCTCACCGTCGGCCAATTCGTCTACGTCATCCGTAAGAGGATCAAGCTCTCACCGGAGAAGGCCATCTTCATCTTCGTCGACGAGGTCCTGCCACCCACCGCTGCGCTCATGAGCAGCATCTACGAGGAGCACAAGGATGAGGACGGGTGAGTCGTTTCCGAGTCCTCCGGTCGCATGGCCTGCCGCTTTGCGCGTGAAGCTAACCGAGCCCCATCACAGGTTTCTTTACATCACATACTCGGGCGAGAACACCTTTGGAAACTTCGAGTCCGCCTGAGCCATGAACCCTCGACTTTGTTCTTGCATTTCTAGATGCGTTCGCGGCGTTTTCGGTTATTGGTTTGGGAAGACTCGAGAATGAGGGGTTCCTTGAGAGAGGACGGAATGGACCATCGTATACTGCCTTTTTATTTTTTCTTGGCTTTTTAGGCAGTGGCTACGTGACTGCGAGGGCCTGAGGACGGGATATCAACACACCGCAATGCGCCTGGCTAGGCGGTGACCAGGTAGCGGGCCGAGAATGACTCCTCGCCGGCTTGGTTTACTAGTCTTCGGGTCTCTTAGACAGCATCATTGGTGGTTTCTGGTTAACGCCGCAAAGTCACTTGCTCTTCCTTCTCCGCCTTGCTTCTATATGTTTACCGCGTGACGCAAGATGAACCAGACAGAGGGCTCCTCATGTTTGCAATGGCCGCCTTGGCCTATCAGGTAGGAGCCTAAGGGGCTCCGGCCGGGAGTGGGCCGGGCCCCCGTCTCCGACTTGGCGCGGCATGGTGGATACGCCGGGAAACTGGGCGAGGGAAATAGCCGGGCAGTTGATCGTAGTGCTCCAGAACTCGAGGAATACACGTGTCTCGATTCCCTGCCCGAGACGTCTTGCTGCGTGCTCTTTGCGGCTTCTGCGGACCTATTTAACGTGTGCCTCTCATGAATCAACATGTGGTCCGCTTCGGTCTGTCATGTGTATTAGACTAAACCTCTTTAGATGCTGCCGGCCTGGATATTGGCCCTCCTTCAGCCTTGGGCTGGCTGTTCAACCCTTGTGTACCAGGCATCGAAAGCTTGGGTCTTGAAAGACTTGAAACTTAGCAGGCCTTTAGCTGCATGTCCTGCACCACCGCCTCTTGAGATCCTCGACTGTACATGATAACCAATCAGGTAACAAGCGAAACATCACAAGTAGTTACAAGGTTGTCCGGTTTCCATGCTAGGGCGAGCTGAACAAGGGGCAACTGGTTGAACTGAGTTCATAGCAGAGGGATCGATGCCACATGATGGTTGGTAAATGACTAACTAGTTGACTCGAAATCCCTTAACTCGTAACTGACGACCAGGATAACACAACTCTCTGAACATGACCATCACAGGAACCAGATCGGAAGCAATAAGTAAGGTAAGCAAGCAAATAAACAAGACCCTCCGCACGAGAAAAGGGTCCAACTATTCTACACATAAGAACAAAGCAATGCCACCACCACGCCAGACTCCCACCTTCCTCTCGCCTGCTTTTCTTTCTGGCCGATGATAGATAACTAAGAGACGAAGAATGATGCTCTTGTGCAAGCCACCTCCTCCTCCCCTGCCGCCGTCTGCATCAAAAACCTCCACCCTCACCGCCGTTCATTAACCACCGCCATACCATCCATCATTGATTCATCCTCCTGACTGCATGGGTTTTTGAGATAGCGTCCCACTAAATATCAAGACATTACCAGAAACTGGATGAGAGAAAAATAAAAAAATAAATCCCCCTCTCGTCTCTTCCTCCACCGCCTCGAAAGTGGCGATTATGGCGTATTGTGATAGGCGCGCGAGCGTGAGCGTGACCTCGTCTTCGTTTGAGGAGCGAGATTGCCCGAGGCCGGCTCGTAAATTGTGAGCCGAGAGGAGGGGTGGAAATAGAAACAAGTGCAACTCTGGCTGCGAAGGGAAATAGAAAATAAGGATTGTACCTCTCAAGCATATTCCGCGCGTGCATAACGCATGAGATGGGGATATGTGACGCCGATGGGATGAGGGATGAGGGATGCGGGATGAAAATGGACCACCACCTGTAAAACAAAAAAGGGAGGGGGAATGTGGGAAAGGAAAATGAGTATATGCATTGCTTGAGCAAAACGTATCTCAAATGCATGATATCGAAATCAAAGTAGTTTTGACTCCAGCCCTTCCACCCAAAGATAACCCAAAGACAACCCATTCCAAACAAGGTCCAAAGCAAAAAACAGCAGCGGTATTAAAATTCCCAGGCCCTGACGCCGAGATAACACCGTAGTAATAGTACTCCAAGGTCAACAGCGCGCGTTAAGACCGAGGTCAGCCGTTGGGGTTCCAGGGTTGCCCAAGAACACCTCGCCCGGACCAAGAGTCAACGTGTCGTGTCAAATCCGGTACCGGGTTAATCCAGCCTCGTCTAGACGCAACCGCAGACATGATAGGTATGTCAGGAGAGTTTGTGTGATATCGATATCGACTTCTCGGAGAGAAATCTCCGATCCGTGAGACAGCCGGAAAATTCCGTGTTATACCGGATTGTTCCCAGTCTTGTGCCGTTTCGTCATGCGGGGAGTTGGAGGCTGCTTCCCCTTAATCTGTACCCCGTTCAGCTGCGGAGTTCCGATAGGTACCGGCGTCGGTGCTGACGCGGGCGCATCCTCTTCAGCCTTCACTGTTGACGGCCTTCGCCTTTTATTGTTCTGTGCCGGCGACGTGTTTGCACTCGGTCCACTGGAACTGGTGCCCTGCTGACTCGCCTGGAGCTGCATCATCGGTGCCGACATCGGTACCGGAACCGGGCTGCCGACCATATGAGGAGAGCCTGGCAGCATTTGGTTGGCCATAGCAGGGCTGGCGCCAACCTGGAATTGACCGAATCCGGGAGTCCTCGGCCCGCCCTGTGGCATGGGCTGGCCGTTCATGACTTGAGCGGAGGCGTTGACCTGGCTGAGATACTGATCGAGTGCGGCATACGGGGCCAGTCCAGGGTGGGCATGATAGTAACCGAACAGCGGGTTCATCTGGCCCATGATCTCGACCATCTGCTAAGAGTTAGTGCTGTATCGATAAAGCGGGGGCGATGCGAACCGATGGTACCTCAAGAAACTGATACACAGCCTCCGTGATCCCCATACCCCTCTTGACCATGGAGTGAGGGAGCTCAATATCGGGGGGAGGGCCGGGAGGGGCCTTGGCCGCCTTTGGTTTGCTCTTCTTGCTCATCTCAGGAGACTGCTTGGGATCCTGCACGTTGAGACTGTGCCACTCTTTAACCCAATTGTGCGACGGTCTGGCGGCTTGAATCACCAATCGCCTCGACACATACTCCTCGTGGCCCGTCGTCTCAAACTCGAAGATGTCGAACTTGTGCTCACTGTCGAAGTAAACACGGAGGGTGCCAGTTGCAACAAGCTGTCCCGTGGTGTCAATGATTAGGTGACCTCAAGTGTCCCGGAGGCAAAACTTACATGTGCGCCGTCGTCAAACCAATAGATGAGGCTCGCCTTGTCGTTCCATATCATGTGGCAGTCGTTGGGCATCGTCCTGTCTGTCGTCCCCTTGTCCATGACCAACTGCATTGACTTGACCCCGCTGTCAAAATGGGTGTGGAAATACCGGGCAATCGCGGGATACGCAATCTCGTAGTGCTTCTGCTGGACTTGATCCTCGTTATCTCTGATGAGAATCGAATGCTTAAAGGCGCCTTTGTGCGAGAAGAACCGCCTGACGAAGCCGTTCCAGTACTCCAGGTCGTCCCGGCCCTTGAGTCCCTGATGAGGCGTTAGCTCAAGTACCGAGTATAATTAGTCGGCGCGGTAACTGACCGAAAACCCACTGAGGTGCTCGCTAAATTGCATCAGCTTCAGCAAACACATGCCCTTTAAGTTCATGGGCGGATCCCGTCTCTGTGCTTGTGCAGCATGGTGTTGTTGTGCCTGCGCCTGTGCCTGCGCTTGTGCCTGCATCTGGGCGACCAACTGAGCCTGGTGTTGTGGTTGCGTAGTTTGAGGGGTTTGCGGCACAGTCTGAGGCTGCTGCTGTTGCGGCTGGGCCTGCTGCTGCTGCTGCTGCTGCTGTTGTTGTTGTTGTTGCTGCTGCTGCTGCTGCTGCTGCTGCTGTTGTGGTTGTGGTTGTTGTTGTTGTTGGGGTGGTGGCTGTTGTGGTTGCTGTTGCGGATTCGGTTGCGGTGTGTGGTTTTGAGGACCAGGAGTCGGCGGTGCAGGTGTATTCGCTCCGGGTCCGGACTGCCCAGGTTGTCCGGGTTGGGAGCCCGGCGGTTGTTGCTGTTGTTGTTGGCCGGGAGTAGGTTGCTGCTGGGGAGGTTGCGGCTGTGGTTGCTGTTGCTGCCCTGGCCCTTGTTGCTGGGCCTGCTGAGCCTGCTGAGCTTGCTGAGCCTGCTGAGCTTGCTGAGCCTGTTGAGCCTGCGCTGCTTGTTGTGCCGCTTGGTGTTGGGCATGCTGTTGCTGCTGGGCCTGCTGCTGAGCCTGCTGCTGCTGTTGCTGCTGCTGCTGCTGGGCATGTTGTGAGTGTTGAGCCTGCTGAATGGCGGCCATTTGGGCCTGTTGGAGATTGAGGTGTTGCGGCGTCATCGGGTGCTGGTTCGGGTTGCCTCCTTGCTGACCCATCTGTATCTGTTGCTGCTGCATGGCGATTTGCTGGGCGGCGAGCATATTGGGCTAGAGATGTTTGTTAGCATAACATTCACTAGCTGAACCTACGCATTTTGCCATAAATCAAAAGCTCCAATGCGGCCGAGGCTGCCTTACGTTCATGGGTTGGCCCTGCTGTTGGTGATGTTGAGCGAGTTGCGCCTGTTGGAGGTGGAAGGGGGAAGCTACCGGCATCCTCCTGCCTCCCATCGCCGCCATGTGAGCGGCCTGTGCTGAGGTCATTTGATTCATGGGTACACCCATTGGCTGCGTGCCCATGTTGTTATACATGGCGTGCTGGGCCATCAACGCCGCCCTTGTCTGCTGCTGGTGTTGCAACTGCTGAAGCCTCTGCTGTTGCTGCATCTGCTGGTTATTTGCGGCGTCTGAGCGTTGCGGTTAGCGCAACTTCCAACGCGAGCACACGCAAGGAGTTACGAGGTACCTACACATCTGGTTCATCTGGGGGTGGAACATTTGTTGGACCTGTGCCGGATTCAAGTGTTGCATGGCATGGGCGTTTGGGTTTCCTGGTGGCATACCCCCCATGAGGGCGGCAGCATTCATTTGAGGGCCGGAGCCGGACACTCCCATGTGCCCAACAAGTTGGTGCGGAATGCCGCCCGCGCTCGTGCCAGGCTGACTCGGGTTGTGGCCCATGCCGGGAGCCATCGGGTGTCCGGGGGGGCCGCCTTGGTGTTGCTGCATTCCGCCAGGGTGCGGCGAAAAACCTGGCCCCATACTAGCCATCATCTCCAGAGCTGGCGGTTATCCACCAAGTGGATATTGATCCAATATCCTCCGCTCTATCGCATGCGAAGCTGGACGCGGGTGGTCGAATGTGTGAATGCTGCACGTTCGTCGGGGCCGGATAGCGAGCGTGTAAACCGGCGAGACAGTCGCGTAGCCGTCAAGAAGCGTTGGATGATCGCAAACAGAGGCCGGACGAGCGATTGCGACCGTGGCGCGGATTGTCGGGGGGTGTCGCGGGTGGTCTTGACGACGGTCCTGTCGCGGGTTATGCGACGTCCCGGGCGGGACAGTGGGAAAAAAGAGCGCGGTAACGCAAGCGGTAGCGATGATAAGAAGAAAGCGATGCGCGAAATGACTATGCGACCGCGAAGTTCGTCGAGGCGTTGGGTGGACGTTTGGGCGAGATCGACAACTGCGGCAACGACGTGTCGCGGTGGGAGGACTGTGGAGTTTGGGGGACGGGGGGTTGGGATTGGCAAGATTAAGGTAGGGAACCAAGAGCGAGCGACTGGGTCCGTGGGCGTGGTAAAAGCGGGCGCCCGATTGAAAATTGGCGTCGCTCCCAGCAAAACGTCGAAACTTTCAGCCGTTTTGTCACCCTTTGACTCAGCATAAATTTTCCAGCGACCGGACTACCGGAGCGAAGACGGCGAAGTGATAAATTGAAAATGTACCGTTTGAGGACGGGTTTGTGGCCCCGGCTTCAAATCACAAAATGCCAAAGTTGGAGAGAAATGGGAATCAGGGGATCAAAGTGAGGCGCCGAAAGGTTGCGAGAGGCTTGGCGGGGAATTGGAATCGGGGCAGTTTTGAGACGGAAGGGCTGCGGGCTGATTTGGCGACTTGGGCCCGTGCCACCTCCACAGCTGTGCCGGAAGAATCTGGAAATCACACTGTGCGTGTAATGCCCGACGAGGGTGGATTCTCGTAATTAGTATACACAGTAGAAGAGGGAACTGGGAACATGGGGAGCTCTATTAGTCGGCCATGCATCCTGTATACGGCAGTTTGTTGATACATATATGTACGGATACCTTGAAGGGAGCTCCCGTTCCTGCAATCGGGATGTCCAAGCCTGGGAAGAGAAAAGAGCGATTGGTCGAAAGGCTTCCATGGTTCCACTCAGAGAGTGTTTTGGAGGACCCCGCTTGCGAATCCCGCACGTTTTATATCACGTGGTTTTGAAATCTCGATTTTTTTTTTCTCTTATCGCTATCGTCAAGCTGAGTATTTCTTGACCGCGGCGCAGCAACCGATCTCGAAATTCTTCTTCATTTCTCACCTCCCAAACCTTTCCATTCCGACTTGCTTCTTAGAGTCGCCGCAAGCGCGGCCGCAGGTTTCAGAGCGCCAGCACTGGTTTACACACGTCCTACGCACGAGTGTTTCGTGGCTCCGAACAAGCGAGGCGAGACTGGATTGGTTCGGGAAGGTCGACTCAGCGTTGACTGTGGCCACCCGAACGACAAAACAAACAACTGCCAAAGCGAAGAAGGTAAGCCAGTTGCTTTTTCACTTTCCCTACACTTCACGCCTTCCGCCGTTGGATGATGACAACACAACTCATGTCTTCATACCCAACTGAATCGACCATGAACGAAGATTTGTCTCGGGTTCCCTTCTACGGGAGGGGCCTGCTACTTGCCAGTATTTTTGTCTGACACGGCGGATGACAATTCTCATCTTTTCCTTTTGGTGGAGCTCGAAATTATTTCAGTCTCCACCGTTGCTGTTTTTTTTTTACGACTTTGGTCGCTGACCCGGCAACAGCAGAATCTTCGAGAGCAGTTTTCGCCGGGCATAAATATTTGCCTTGCTTGCTAACCTCCAGCAAACCTCGCACACAACATCAATCACCAAGGTTAGTTCACCATTCCTTTCTCCCTCCCAACTCCGTATGATGAAAATTTTCCCTACATTCGCAGTTTCCACTCGAGTCCTAAAAGAGCCTTTTCTGGACAAATGAGAGCGAATCCTTCCTTGGATGTCTGACGGAATCAATCACTGTTGTTTTGTGATGATCATATTTGAAGGTGCCAACGGCTAACCTCTTATTTCAGGTGTCTCGACGAGAATGGGCGCTTTTGGTACCCCAACGAGTAGTTTAATACAATATGATTGATATACATACATTCCACGTGTCGTTGCCGTCCTCATCGTTTGGCCTGTGAAATACCCTATTGAAATGCCCTTTCCTCTGTGAACGACAGAGATGTACCTAACCACGTAAGTTTCCCGAGAGGTCCGTTGGTTTCGGATCTTGCCGCAGCAAGTTATCCAGCACCGGCGAGAAGCGTGGAAAAGTATCGAGCTGCCATGCCGCCCATATTGTAGAGTCGAATTATAAATCTCTCACATCGCCACGAAGCACCATGCTGGTGGATGCATGCACCATGGCATTAATATTCACAAGGTCTCTTGGGAGTGTGGTTGATGGTTTGTGATTCACAAAATGTACTGTATTTGTTACACGCGCCGCTAATATCATCGACTCTCGTCAAGGTGAATTCTCGTCAAGGTGGATAGACAGGCACACAAAGTACACACTGACTGAGGCTTCGCCATGCCAAAAACGCCATCCCTTCCCCTACCCCCATCACCTTCCGTTGACCCTGTCTTGCCCTTCCCCGGTTCCGGATGATCGATCCCCAACCAAACATCTCAATACTCCAACCGCCCACACACAAACCACCAAACCCACAAACGCCAAACACACATAAAAACGCATGCGACAAGCCTCCAACCAACCAACCAACCAACAAACAAAAACCGCGCCCGCCCCATCCTATCCTATCCTATCCTATCCTATCCGTCCCCGGGTATCTCTTCAAACCGCAACCCCCTCCTCCAGGACACTCCCAATCCCACCCCCACCCCCACCCCCACCAGCACCAGCAGCCCCAAGACTCCCCGCCATCGACAGCCCGGACCCCAACCCCAACCCAGACCCAGACCCCGACGACTCCACCAGCGGAGGCGGCAGCGGCAGATGGGGCGGGGGCATGCCCAGGACGACGCCGCCGCGCTTGGTGGCGCGCCCGCCGACCATGCCGCGCCGGTTGCGGCCCGTGCGGCCGCGGCCCAGCCAGTTGAGCTTGAGCAGCTTGTTGAGCTCCTCGACCATCTTGTTGCCCTCTTCTTCCCCGTCGCGAGCGGCTGGACCGCCACCGCCGCCGCCGACGCCGCTGCCGACGCTGCCGCTGACGCTGCCGCCGATGCTGCTGATGCTGCCGCTGACACCGCCCGGTACGGCCGCGACGGGCGTCACGCCGACCGAGGCGAGCACGCTCATGCACTGCAGCATGCGGCCGACCATCTCGGTGACTTGCTTGGAGTCTTCGACGTTTTGGTCGCGGAGGCTGCCACCGGTCCCGCCGCCGCCGCCGCCGCCCTGGCTGGTGGTGGTGTTGTTGGACATGGTTGTGTGCAGGGCGAGGTTGAGGGTGGAGTTGGCGGCGGCGCTGATGGCGTGCATGCTGCTGGGTGTGAAGGGCCGCAGCGGGTGGGCGGCGCTGTCGCTGCCGAAGGAGACGTTGCTGATGGCGCGGCTGCGGTTGCCGCTGCCGGAGCTGTCGCCGAGGAGGGTGCTGCCCGCGCTGTTGTAGCTTGCCACGGAGGGGTCGAGGGAGGTGGCGGTGCCGGGGCGGTATTGCCCAAGGGCGCTGGGGAGGCTTGTCGAGGCGTAGTTGTCGGAGGGTGAGTTGGAGAGCTGTTGGTTTATGCTTTGGTTGTGGTAGCCCGGAGAGGGAATGGGGAGAGGCGGGGAGCCGAGCGCCATAGAAGCGAGGGATTGGGGGAGAAATTCGAGAGAGAGGCGAGAGAACATAGCCTTGAGCGTGTCGTAGCGTGGGAGGATGACGATGTCGCGGAACGCGAGAAGGACGAAGCGGCGGACTTCGAGAACGGACGATGCTGGAGAAACGGTAACGCTGTGGCTGCGGCCGGGCTTCTGGGTGACAGATGATGTCCCATCACTTGTCGAGGTCGCCGCCGGGATGCCACCCCAGAAATCGCGGGCTTGCTCGGCGGACATTAGGGGCCCGTGACCTGAAAATTCCAAATCCAACGGTAGGAACACGGCCTGCATGTAGGGAAGGATACTGGTAAAAGTGAAGATCCACAGCTCGACGAGCGCCGGAATTAGCCTATCCTCGGGAGTCTTGCGAAGGGTGTGATCGAGGCTAGAGAACCCCGTCGCCAAAAGCTCTCTCATGTCGTCCACGATGATATTGGGGCTGCGTCGGGCTAGGCAATACTGAATGTGCATCGTGACCACACGGTTCAGGTCCTCAACCGGCAACCGGAGATCCTCAGCCTCAAAGACGACGAGCAGCTTCGCTTTCAAAAAAGGCCAGGCATCATCATAGGTCATGTTGTTCAAGCCGTACTTGTGGCTGTCAAACGGCTCGTTGAGGTAGAGAGTGGAAGCCTGAGTAGCGGAGCCGGAAGTGACGCTACTTGAGCCAGGCCACTCGCTTGTGACGGCACTCGCGGTGTCGTCAAACGATTTCTCCTCCTTCCTTCTCTCCCGAAAGGCACGCCCTCCATGCCGAAGGTCGAGGGCTGATTTGAAGCCCGTAGTGTTCGGTCCTGGGCTCTGCGGCAAACTAAAGTTGTAAAGACTGCTCGGGGCGCTTGGGTCGGCCGGCCGCGAGTTGCTCATGGCGGACGAGAGCGGGAGGTGGTGGTCATCCTTGAGCTTGTGCTTCTGCCGCGACAAGAAGTGGTGCTTCTTTTCCTTCTCCTTGCCCTCCTTTTCTTGCGGCATGTCGGCGGGTCGTATTGTGGCAGCAGACGAGTTTGGTAAGCTGTAAAATGACTGGGAGCTGGACTCCAAGCTGGTAGTGCTAAAGTTGCCACGTTGTAGATTTGCGAATGCGTGTCCAACCTTCCCCGGACTAGGAAGCGGCTTGTCCTTGCTATCACTTTTGCTTCCGATTTTTACTTGCCGCGAGAAGAGTTTCACCTTCGACTTCTCCGGCTTTTGAGGCTTCTCGGAGGCCGGAGGCGGAGGTGGAGGTTGAGGCGTAAATGATTGCGAGGGTATCCCGGGAGATGCCTGAGTGGATCTCGGGAAGACCAGGTTGGCGGCAGCTGTAGCCGCGAGAGTATGGTTGCCAGCAAGGCCATTGTGGTAGGTCTGGCCACCGAAGGCATTATCACGAGGCACGCTCGCCTCGGTGAGGCTCAGCATTGGGGGGTTCATGGTAAATGAACCGCCGCTCGCTCGTTTGGCTGGCGGTGGATCATCCCCGGCAGGCGCTGGCGCTGTTTGTGAACGTTGTCGTGCATGTTGTGCCTGCTGCTGTGCTTGTTGTGCCTGTTGTGCTTGTTGCGCCTGTTGCGCCTGCTGCTGCTGCTGCTGATTTTGGTGCTGCATAACGGCGGCCTGAGCAGCAATCTGGCTGGCTGACATCTCTCGGTGCGCCGGAGGCACGCGTTTCGGGGAGTGGTTCGAAAGACCGATATGTGAGAGGTTGGAGGTGCTTGTCGAGGGCAGGGTGGGTTCGAACAGACCGGCGTTCTGCGAGTGCTTGCGCGAGTGGCTGACGCCTCGACTGGAGAAGGTGGGTGTGACGGGCGAGGAAGTAGCTGGCGGGAGCGTGAGAGGCGAAGGTCCGTTGCGCGGAACACCGTCGCTGGGTGACTGCGGCCCCGCGACGGAGCGGGCGGCGGAGACGGCGGTTGACACAGTCGGGCGCGAGAAGTTCTGCAAATTGGTGGTGCTGCTATTGTTGGAGCCGCTGGTGAAGCTGGCGTAGATGGGTGTCGGGGCTGGCGCAGTCTGTCCTCGAGTCTTGTGGACATTCAATGGCGCCCGTTCTTCGCTTGACAGCGAGTCCTGCCGGTTCTGTCGCGTGCGCGAGAGATCTGTCGTACTTGCCGGGTTGCTCGCAGGCAGGGGCGAGAAGCTCCCTGGAGCCCTCGGCGTGGGTCTTGTGGGTTGCATGGGTCTTGATGTCAGAGGAAGGAGTCGATGTATCACATCTTGGCTCGGTGCACCGGATTCGGCGGTTTGCGACGCCCAGCCCTGTTCACAAGGCCATGCTCCAGAGCGGTATCGGTGTGTTCGATGCCGTCGGGGTCGAAAAAATGGTTAAAAATTGGCCGTCGGATATTGGATATCGTCGAGGATCGTTATGGAGGGGGTTCAAATCAAAGAATACGGGAAGCATGGAAGTGCGCTAACTAACAGTCGACAGAAGTGCGGCTGCGCAGGGCAACCCAACCAACCCGCTGTGTTGGTGTCAATTCGTCATCCCCTGCCGCAGCTGCAGCGACCGACGGAACGCCATTGTTTGACCCGGCGACGGCCAAGGAGCAGGGGAGGGGCAATTTGCAACCCCGCAGCCTGCCAAGTTTCCGGCGGGGCATTGTTGAACACAGCTGCGCAATGGAATGGATGTCAACATTTCTACCTCGCTCCCATAATTTGTCACCAGCAGAGCGGGAATCTTCGACTGATGAAGCGACAACTGTCCACCTCACCCCCGCCAATATCGCATCCCGACAGGAGGTGTTCTAACGATACAAGCAATCCCCTGAAAAGAACCTCCAAAATGGCCGCCCAACAACAACCCACCCTCTCAGCAGCCTACAGCTCGACCACCAACGCACCCTTCACCATCTCCCTCCCACTCACCGCCGCCGCCGATAGCACGACTGTCGAACTGAAAGCCAAATACCTCTCCGAGCTGCGGCAGTCCGTGATATCTACCCAGGGGCAGATCAACCGGGAGCTCACGGCGCGCATGGATGAGGACAAAAGGCGGGAGGCGGTCGCAGCGACAGCCAACGGGGCTAAGGTCGTCGACGACGAGAAGGAGGAAGAAAACTATGGCGAGGAGGTGCAGGAAGGAGAGGATTAAAAGCTGCTCAACCAACTTGGGCCATTTATTCAGCCATAGCCAGGACGGGGGCTGCTAAGAGGCTAACAAGGGGTATCCATCTGCGTTCGTTGAATCCGGTTCTACCTACACTACAACCACCTGCCAACGACCAAACCTAATAAAAAACGATCAGGGGGAGCCCGGCCTGCCGATACCATAAAAAGGAAAATCACAACCCATCACCCCCCGGCCCTCCCCCACTGCCCATACCCAGACCGGATACTCTCCCCCGCCGGCGACAGCGCCCTCGACGCCGACCCATTCACACTCACACTCGCACCCCCAGCACCCGCCGCAGCCGACCTCCCCAAACAACCATAATGCACCACCACACTATCCGGCAAAACCGCCACCACACTGCCCCCAATCCGCTTATGACACACGCCGCACACGCGCTCCTCGGCGATCACCACCCGCCTGTTGCGCCCGCCCTGCCCACCACCACCGGGAATGCCATCGCCCAGGAAGAGCAGCGACTGGCTCGCGAAGAGGGCCGTCTTGCGCAGGCCGGCCAGCACGCGCGTCTCGTTGACGGCGCTGTTGGCGCTGCGCATGCGCCCGCGGAAGTACGACTCCAGCTGCCCGACGGGTAGGCTGTCCGGCACGAGGGAGAGCGTGGATGTTGCGGGCAGGCGGGAGCCGTGTTTGGAGAGGAGGTCGAGGGCGGGGGTTAGGTTGGGGCTGTATTCGGGGGGCGGGGTTAGGTAGAGGGAGAGGAGGGTGTGGTAGATGGAGGGCTTTTCTTCGGCGGTTGTGGGGGGGTGGTTGGGAGGATGGTTTGGCGGCTTCTTGGGGGGCTGGGGTGGGGGCTAAGGGGGGTTGTTGGGTTTTGTGGATGTGGTTGCAGTATCTGTGGGAGAGAGGGTTAGTAAAAAGAGATGGGTGGATGGTGGGAATGAAGGTGGTGGGACCGTACTCTTCGGCTTTGGCATAGTCTTGCATCTTGAAGACGTAGATCATTAGTGCCTGTCTGTGCTGCCCCATATTGCTGAGCACCACGGCTTGTGCTTCGTAAAACGGCGGGTCTGGGTGAATACTTGTCAGTCGAGCCCCTTAAGTTAGGACTTTCGGTGGAAAACTCACCGTCTTTGGGAATCAAGCCCCTCGCCTTGCCCAGGCCGTACTGTTTGCTCTCCCTCAAGAACTTCACTAGCCGCTCCAATAGGGCATCCCACTCCTCCCCCCTCTCCTTCTCTTTGTCCACCAGCTGCTTGATGAACAGCTCCACTAGTTTATCATGGAAGTCGGGCGTCAAGTCATTCAGCTCGTTGATGATATGCTCCAGATATCGGATCTCCAGCCCAATATCAATACCATCTAGAAAATCCAAAACCTTATCCCTAGGCAGCGTCTCCGCATTCTCGGAATCGGCAAGGAACACCTCCATGCCCAGTTCGGGGTCTTTCTTCAACGTCCATTCGGAGAACTCCAAGATGACATCAATCATCTCGGGCGGCAGGCCCTGCAGGTACATGACGGTCCGCTGCGGGCCGTGCAGGGCCGGGGCGGCGTCGTCGGGCTCGTCGGGGCTGCCGAAGCGGCGCAGCAGGCTGAGGGCCTGGTGGTGCAGCTTCTTGCCGTAGAAGAAGTCGACCAGCTCGTTGAAGCGGTTGTGCTCGACCAGGCGCTCGTTGACGACGTCCGGGTCGCAGAAGTTGGGGATGCGGAACAGCGAGCTGGCCAGCGTCGGCCGCGAGTACATGAAGGCCCGGAATAGCGTCGTGTCGAGCACCCGGAAGGTCGACTGCAGGTCGCGCTCGAGCTGCTCGTCGCTCTCGTCTGGGGACGAGAGCAGGAGGGTCTTGAAGGCCTCTTCGGTGGAGCCGGACTCGGACTTGCGCGGTTTGAGTTTGCCTGTGGTTGGGTCGAGGACGCGTTGGAGTCGCGTGCGGGCGCCGGCTAGGTAGCTGTTGAGACCCAGGACGGCGGCCATCAGGTCTTTGTCGGTCTGGGACTGTTCGTCCATCGGCTTGCCCTTAATGCTTGCTGTCTCGTCGTCGGAACCCTTCTTGGATGAGGCTATGCTGGCAGTCTCGGGGTTGAGTTTTCGATTGCCCATAAGGTACTTAGCGAACCCGCCACCTCTAGTGGGCGAGGCAACTTGAGCGGCGAGATCGGGCTTTGTCTCCTGTTCATCGCCCGCTTTCCCGTTGGCACTGTCCTGCTCCGAGTCGTCCTGCTTCTCTTCCTCAACCCCTAGCTCTCCCGCAATAATCTTGGGGAACAACCTTAGTACCCGTTCTGGAGGGGCATCGACTTCATCCTCGTTGAACAGATCCATCGAGTCGCGGTACTTCTTTTGGCGGAACAAGAACTCTGCTTTTTGCATCTTGACTTCCCGTAACGTTTCCGTCTTGTTCTTGAGCAGCGCATCTTCTAGCATGCCCAGGATGCTGATTGCCTCGTCAAGTCTGCCGTTCTTAACCAGTTCATCAATCTGGGAATCATAATCCGTGGCATCCATCCTCCACACCACCCTGTCGCTCAGGACATGGAATCCTTTGCCGGCGTGCGCCAAACTGACAGTCGGGGGCGGGAAATGAAGTGATGCGGCACCAGGAAGACCGATAGTCTGTAACAGACTCAGGGTATCTGGGTTGCGGACTTCTAGGCTGCCTTTCGCCGGCGGTTGAAGCGCCAGTATGTACGGGTAGCTGTACCCGATCCCCTCCGGCGCCGCCTGCCATGGAATCTGGCGCTTCTCGATGGCCTTCCCTGAGTCATCGATAAACAAGGTATTGATATCTTTCGCGAGGAGGAGCTCCCCTTCCGCCAGTTTGGCCGACAGTGGCTTCGGCATGTAGCCACCGAGGCCCATGTACCCCATCCCGGCGGCGCTCACGGCACCAAAGCGCCCTTGGCCACCGGCCGCGTTTCCAATAGCCCCGGGTCCAACGATGTCCTCAACACTGCCGTCCTCCACATCAACCATGACGTACCCGCTGTTCATGCCGCAGACGAGCTTGGTCGCATTCGCCCATGTGATGGACCTGATTGACTCGGCCAGCACAATCTCCGCCACATCCGGCGACAGCTCGCTCTCGTGCCATGACCACAACAGCAGACGACGCTTTACGGAAACGGCCAGGCGCGAAATAATCTCGGGGATGCCCGTGTCTGGGTCTTCGACGACGTTGCTCGTCACCGCAAAGGTGGAGGCATTCTTGGTACGGGACAGCGGGGCCTCGATGGGCTCGAAGGTCTGGTAGTCGTGGATGGAAACGGCGTAGTTGGAGAGCGAAACGATAATGTTGGCCTCTTTGATTATGGCCAGCTGCTCGATGGCGCGCGTCGAGAACTTCTCTACCTCTCGCAAGAGGTCGGTCGGCTTGGCCGCCTTGGGCGTGGGCGGTGGTTGACCATCCTGCGAGGTCGCTGCGGTAGGGCTAGCAGGATCGGTAGAGTTGGTAGGACCGGCGTCTTCGACTTGCGCCTGGGCGGCTAATGTGCTGTCGGCGGGCTTCTCGTCGGGCTTCGCGTCGGGAGGAGTAACTGGCTCGTTGACTCGGTAGATGCGCAGGGAGCCTGTGTTGAGGCCAACGAGAACACGGTCGCCTAAACACGTCGGTTAGTTAGTTGTCACAAAGAGATGTTCCGAAAATAAGACTAGCGCACCGTAAGCTAAGATGGACTCGATCTTGGACTTGTCCCGTTGCTTGAGCTCGATGATGGGTCGAGCTGTGAATGCGGACAGCATGGCGGCCGCCAGCTCGTCAAGTTCGTGCGCTTAACGCAATTATCGATACATCAGGAGCTGTCGGAGCCGACTTGTCAGAAGAAGCTGCCTGCTGTTGTTGGTGTTGTGAGCTTGGGGTTGCGAATGCCTACCTCGGCCTTCGTTGCCCCGGCCGCATGACGGCATGGGGCCGTTGGTAGCTGGCTTCGATAAGGGTTAGGGTCTGGTCACGAAGAGCGCTGTTCGTTCCTTCGACCCAAGATTCGTTCGACATCAAATCAACAAGGGCTTGCTTCCCTCATGCCTCTAAATCCTTAAACTCAATCCGCAATGCGCCCCAACGATGCCCAGATGGAGATAATGTGTCTATTATGGGACGCTTAGGATGACCTCAGGCTGTTCAATATTTGCCTTGCCCCACGACCTTGAGCCTGACGTTACTAATAACACCGTCCTGTTCCCGTAAACAATGTTCCCGACTAATAAAACTTGGCTACCTACCTACCTAATAAATCCTAACTACGCCAAGTTAGCCACCTACATGTTGAGCATGTAAGAAGTGGTATGGTAGAAACGGATAACAAGTAAAAGGCACAAGTTGAAAGGTAGCCAGGAGGCATGAAACATAAATTCCTCCGGACTCTACGAGGAGTGGAGGAAACCGCCCCTGGCTTCGACAGCAAGCCATATCAACAAATACTCGATAATGGGCTCAGCAGCCTAGAAATCTACTAGGTAAGGTAGTTAATAAGTCAGCCCCGAATATTATTTGTTGAACGGAGTATCCTTTACACTAGAAGACAAAGGGAAATCAAAATTAGAAGAGGAAACAGGAATCTATAATTTTCCGTGTCTGTAAGCCAGAGTCTATGAACTCCTATTCCAAGAGCAGCCCACCCATCCCGCTAGTATTAATGAACCCCAATTCAAATTCAACCCCCGCTAAAACAATAAATATCCGCTACCGTTTACTGGCTTTCACTCCCCGTATCCGTCGCCATCTTTTCCGCGTCCGATTTCACGCTCTTCCAGCTCGCAGCTGACCACCTAGCACCGATTACCAGGCCAGGGTGAAAGACCGTCAGGAGAATGCAGGCCAAGGCAATCATGGTCCCCTCCAGCACCATAAACGTGACTTCGTCGTTGGCCAGCGGGCCATTGAAACCCTCGGAGAGCTCAGCACACCGAAAGACGGAGCGCACAAAGATGAAGACACCCGTGAGGACGACAGCGACAAGAAACGCGGGCTGGAACGAGCGCCGCGCGCGTAGATCCGCAAAAGCCGGGTTGAGGGAAGCCGTCGGGGTAGAGCGGACGCGCATCCAGAACTCAAAACTGAGCGCGGCGAACAGGGCGAGGGCGACGACCTGCCAGGCGACGCCGGCGATCATGGTGTTGATGCCGGCGCGGAGGGCGGGCGAGCCGAACTCGGAGATGGACGCGATGGCGCCGCCGGCCGCCTGCAGGATGAGCGCCACCACGTCGCACCCGATGAAGATGTACGTGTACACCTGCGGCCGGAAGCGGGCGCGGTCCGGCGCGTATATGACGACTAGTCGTGACAGGCTGAGGTAGATGGCTGCGGCGAGGAAGGCCGGGGCGATGGTGAGGCAGACGAGGTACCTGCAGTGTTGGGGGGGTCTGGTTAGATACCGGGGATGGAAAGTAATCAAATAAAGGGGGTGGGGGCGCTGGGGTATGAAAGCTTCGGGAGCACTTACATGATAAAGAATACGTCCGTAAACATGTTATCGCGCATCAGAACCCTCGCAATGTACCCGAGGAGCTCGAGGATGAGCCCCCCCGACATGGCAATCAGGTAGCCCCAGGTCTTGTGGCGGATGCCGAAGTAGATCTGTGGGAGTAGGCAGAGCCCGAAGACGGCCGCGAACAGGGCGTTGCCGGCCAACGAGGGGAAATATGACATAACGCCGAGGTGGAGGCCCTCAAGCTCAAGCGGGCAAGTACATGACGTGCATAGCCTGGGGTTCTGGAGGAGTGTCAAGTTGAATGTTGCAAGCGTGGTGCCGCTCCAGTCGGGCTCCCCCGTTGCGCAGACCATCGTGTTGAAGTTGGGAGGGGCGAGAGGTATTCGTGGGTGGGTTGCAAGTATGTTCCGCTGGATTATTGTCCCTTTTTGTGTTCTGAAGCTGGATGATATGGCTGATATCTCACGGATGAGCGCAGACACCGGCGAGCGTGTGCTGATTATGCAATCTCCTTAGACTTGAGTTGAATGGAGAAGGAATGAAGCCTGAGGGTGTAAGAGAGTACATATACTCGTAACTGAATTTAGGACTAGGAACATCTTTGGTAGCCTTTTCATTTTCATAGCCCCCAAAATACGGCGTTGAGATTACCTTTGGGCTATGCTTGTGTGACGCGTCACCTCCCGATTCCTTCGTTCGATAGGTATTGCTGAGCCTCATCCATTTTGAGTTACTGGGACCAGGAGTCCGAGATGACGACCGCCTTGGCAACTCCTGCGGCTCAGCTCATGTTTCCAACGGGCATGGGCTCACTCTTCAACTTAAGAGGCCCATCGGTCATACCGTTGTCATGTCACGTTTTCTACCCGAGCGACGGAATAGGAACCCTGAACAGTTCAGACATCAACCTCTACCCTTGTTTTCCTTTCCCCCTTCTTCATTTCTTTCTTCCTTGCCTATTTTCGTTCTTTTTTCTTTCTCTCTTTCTTTGTTCTCTCTCTCTCTCTCTTTTCCTTTTCTCTTTTCTTTTTTTTCTCTATTTCTTTTCTTCCGTTCTTTCCTTTTCACCCCATTTTCCGTTCCGCAATCACCAGTATTTGTCCGATTATCAACGGTCGCGTTCTCAACACGTCGAGAGACGGCGAGTCGTTGAAACAGGTCTCCGGTTCTCCTCTTGTTCTGACCCTCGTGGTTAGACGTTGGCCGTGCTTGGACTCGACATGAGTTTGAGTTATTGTAATTTGGCAAAACACCGGAGAAAATGCACATGGGCGTCATGCGTGAAGTGCTGATCTCGAAAGGGGGCCCGCATGACCCAAACCCTTTCCCACGCGCTTCCCCAAACCCTCCAAACAGGAGACCGAGTCAGGGCTCATGGTCAAGGGGAAAGAAAGGGGTTAGGGTTCGCACCGGCGGTGAGATGCTGTTGTACGTAACGTATCGCAGCCGAAGCCCATCATGTACGTAATTACAACACGCATGCCCCCAACTTTACGGGTTTCACAGCCGGGATCACTGTTCGCCAAGGCGTTCCAGGCTCCCGACCACCCAACGGGCGGTGGAGTTATGGTGCACAAGTGGGGCCGGTTGATGCCGTCTTATCGTGGGTGTGCGCCTGCAAGGTTGGGGGAACGAGAAGCAGCCAACTTTATTCGTAGTCACGCTGTTCATCGAGTCAACGGATGCCTTCGAGGCAAAATCATTGAAAATTCCACCCCCGTCCTCATCTTCGTCCCCCTCCCCCAACCGATCCGCTGGTCTTCGCGCGCAGCAGACGCCCGCATCGACCATACAAACACCTCTAGGCAATCTCGAGAGGGGAGGGAGCCCGCAGCGTACCACGTCCGATAACCCGTCCGACAATCCACCCGACCAGATCGAGTTGCAACCGTACCCGGCAGCCGCCGAGAAGTACCGCGAATTTGCAAGCCAGCGCCAGCACAAGTACGACGTCAAGCGGGCCGAGAAGCGCAGGTGGCTCGAGCAGCAGGACGAGATGAAGTTCTCCCACAGTATCCAGTTCAACGCCGTTCCAGATTGGAGCAACCACTACATTGCATATAGCAATCTCAAGAAGCTGTAGGGAATCCTCGGTCCTGCCGTGATTCATCGGAACCTTGTTTCGCTGACATCTGTTCCCAGAATATACCAGCTCGAGAAAGCCATCCACCAACCAGCCGGCGATGCCGAGTCCCGACCACTGATACAAGATGACGATCCCGAAGCCGTCTTTAGCCGCGCCCTCGACGTCGAGCTAGAAAAGATCACCTCTTTCTACGTCCTCAAAGAGAACGAGCTGTTTGAGGAGGTGGACCTGCTCCTCAAGGATGCCGAGGAGTTCGAGGAAGAAGCTGGCGTCGAGGAGGTTCGCCCACCCACTCGCAGCATCGAGAGGACAAGTTCAAATCCGGGGCGGCTTCGGAGAGACAGCACGCGCAGCCAGCTATCTACCGAGGATGGCATGGAAGATAGCGACGAGGAAGGGGACGAGGAGACGGGTCTCACTAGCAAGAGGCGGAGCAGAAGCTTCGGAGGGCGCGGGGGTATGCGAAGTTCCATGATGACCGACATGACGGCATCAACGGACTTCACGCGGTCGATGCGGAGAATGAGCATGAACTACGACGACTACGCTGAGCAGGCCGTTCTCTTCTCATCCGGGATCATGCTCAAGAAGCGGATGATCAACATCTACGTCCAGCTGTGCGAGCTCAAATCGTATATCCAGCTGAACCGAACCGGCTTCAGCAAGGTCATAAAGAAGTTCGACAAGATCATCGACCGCCGGCTGAGGCCCAAATACATGAGCACATTTGTCGACACCGCCTACCCCTTCCGCGCAGATACGACGAGGGGCCTGGAAGAGCGGATCACGCAGATGGTGCAGGCGTACAGTGTCATCGTCACCAACGGTGACTCAGAGACTGCGATCCGGGATCTCAGATCGCACCTGAGAGAGCACGTCGTATGGGAACGAAATACCGTCTGGAGAGACCTGATCGGATTGGAACGGCGAGCCGAGGCTGCCAGCCTGGGCCATACCCTTCTCGGGGTTGACGCTGATGCTCAGAGGACGCGGCTGCAAGGTGATGATGAGCTTGTTTTGCCGACTAAGGAGATAACGACCCCCCTGGGCCGCTTCGTTTGCCCAACATGGTTGCTCACTTCGACGACGCTCACCCTTGTTATCATCCTCGCCCTCTTCTTCACTCTTCTCTACATTCCCATCATGGAGAAAGCCGAGCAGCAGAACTGCCTGGCTATGCTGGTGCTCGTCAGCTTGCTCTGGGCCACCGAGGCGCTCCCCTTGTTCGTCACGTCGCTCCTCATTCCTTTCCTATGCGTCGTCCTTGAGGTCTTCCGCGACAAGGAGAAGCCGCACGCGAGGCTGGGTGCTAAGAAGGCCACTGACGCCGTCTTCGCCGCGATGTGGACGCCTGTCATCATGCTCCTGCTCGGCGGCTTTACCCTCGCAGCAGCGCTTTCCAAGTGCGGCATCGACAAGCGCATCGCCACCTTCGTCCTCAGCAAAGCCGGCACGCGCCCCAAAACGGTTCTCATCGCTAACATGGCCGTTGCCGCTGTCGCCAGTATGCTGATCAGCAACGTCGCGGCACCCGTCCTTTGCTTCGGTATTATCGAGCCCATGCTCCGCAATCTGCCCGCCGGCTCCCCTATGTCCAAGGCCGTCATCATCGGCATCGCCCTGGCATCTAATATTGGCGGGATGCTCTCCCCGATCGCCTCGCCCCAAAACGTTGTCGCCATCGGCATCATGGAGCCGCCGCCCACCTGGGGTCAGTGGTTCTTCATTGCCATCCCGGTCGGCATCATCTCCCTCTTCTTCATCTGGCTGCTCCTGCTCTTGGCCTTCAAGCCCGGCCGCGGCACCACCATCGTGCCCGTCCGGCCCGTGCGCGACCCCTTCACCGGCGTGCAGTGGTTCGTCTCGGCCGTGACCATCGCCACCATCGGTCTGTGGTGCGCCTCGCACAGCCTGGAGAACGTCTTTGGCGACATGGGCGTCATCGCCATCATCCCCATCGTGCTCTTCTTCGGCGTCGGCATCCTGACCAAGGAGGACTTCAACAACTTCCCCTGGACCATCATCATCCTCGCCGCCGGCGGCCTGTCCCTCGGCAAGGCCGTCAACTCGTCCGGCCTGCTGCACACCGCCACCCGGGCCATCACCGAGCATGTCGAGAACTACAGCCTGTACGGCATCCTGGTCGTCTTCTCGGGCCTGATCCTCGTCATCGCCACCTTCATCAGCCACACCGTCGCCGCCCTGATCATCCTGCCGCTGGTGTACAACGTCGGCAAGGGCCTGGACGAGCCGCATCCCAACCTGCTGGTCATGGCCGGCGTGCTGATGTGCAGTGCCGCCATGGCGCTGCCGACGAGCGGGTTCCCCAATATGAGTATGTTTCTCCCTCCCCTTCTACTCTTTTTTGTCCTCCCCTCCCCCATTTCCCTCACCAAACCACCCCATTACTAACACACCTCACCCACAGCCGCCATCATGAAAGAGGACCCCGCCGGCCAGCGCTACCTAAAGGTGAAGCACTTCATCCGGGTCGGCGTGCCGAGCAGCATCATCTCGCTCGCCGTGGCCGTCACGGTGGGATATGTGGCGATGAGAGTCACAGGCATGTAATAAATGAATTGGGGAGAACGAGGCATTGGATTGGGAAGATGATTTGGTTAAAGAGAGACCGAGCACCACCTCCCTGGGGGAGAGAAAGGCAAATTTGGATTGGAAAGGCGCGTGGGGGGGGGGGGGGCTCCATTTGTTACAATACACTACAACAACTACATGAGGTGCATGGCGGGGTTGGGAGGGGGCCGGGTTTTGTTCGTTTGAAGAGGGCGTCTCTCTTTGTTTCTTTCTCTTTGTCCCTCCGAAATACCCGCGGATAGAATAGTATCGGGAGGCGCGGGCCCTGGAGGCGGGCGGACATACCGACAATGGCTCTTGAGGAGTTGATAATTCGTTCAGTGTCACCTTTTTCTCTGGCTGCATTTGTGGTTCCGCTTCAACGCAGAAGGGTTCAATCCAATATATTTCAATCCCCATTACCACGCCCCAAATGATTGAGTTGATCATGTCACACATTATACCGACCGGTTCCTTTATTCCTTAGGTACCCTCTGCCGCCGTCTTCCCGCTGTTCCCCTCCTAATGATATCAAACTAGAAAATAATTGGGGTATCAAATAGCACGGTATACGGTATTTCTTAACCACCCATGATTGTTGAGGAGAAACCAAACCCAGCACCGGAAACCAAATCATCGGAAAGTCCTGAACACCTCATCCCATCCCCCGCCCGACGTCGAACGGGCCAACCCCCAGTTTCAAAATGCAGCAGTAGCCTCCTTCTGCGAAGGAGTCGTCGGCGAAATCGGCCCACCCATGTTCCCGTTCGCGGCACTATGTGCGTGGCCATGTTGCCCGAGCGACAGCACCTTTTGCAGGCTCCGCCTGAACAGCGCCTTGCCCGATGACCCGGCGCCCTCGTCGGAGTGGGAATGGGACTGCGAATGGCCCAGACCATTTTCCTTATCTTTCTCCTTGGTGTCCTTCACCTCGTGCGTCGTCGCCGCCGTCGTGGCAGCTGTCTTATTCGCCCCACCCGCCGAGCCACCAAACAACCCGACGAGGCTTAGCCTCCTTCCCGACGTTGGGCCTGCGGCTGCGTTCTTGTTCCGTTGCTTTTGGGCTTTCCACTGGCGCATGGCGATAACCTCGGCGTTGGCTGCCGGGACAGGGGCCGGGACAGGATACAGAGTTTTCGGGGGCCACTCGCCGTCGCGCTTCCAGCCGACGACGCAGGCACGCAGCATGTCGGCGAGGTTGACGGGGCAGGACGGCTGTTGGCTCTGAGAAACGACTCTATCGTAGAGGGAGCTGTACATGGATGGCTGGATCGAGGAGCGCATGGCGTTCTGTGGCGGCAGGAGTGGGGGGGCGACGGGGACGACAGTGTGGACAGGGTACAGGACACCGACGGCATTGGAGTCTTGCGAAATTGTCCTATGTGCGCCTCCTGAGTCCGAGTCGGAGGTTGTTGCTGTGGATGAGCGGGGCGCAGTCGTAGAGATGGGGGAGGTTGGCACGGGGGGCGAGCCGGAGGTGATGATAGCGCTGTGGGAGACCGACGACTGCGTTTTTTGGTGGCGCCAGAAGAGGCGACGGCCGGAGGAAGGTGAGACTGGGCTTGCTGGTTTCGGCTTCACCCGCACCGTTTTTGCGCCTGTCCAGGCGTTGCGGCGGGCCTCGAAGCATGCCAGCCCAGTGTTCCACTTTGTCTCATCCCGCACGGCTCTCCTTCGGCATGCACGCTTCTTCTCGATAGAATCGTGGACGGCTGCGCCAACAGCCTCTGGACTGTCGAAGCGAAATGGAGAGGCCGAAGGTTGGGGTTCATCGTCGTCTGATAGATCCGACGTCCATTCTGCCCGTGGCCGGAAGTGCCCAGGATCGTCCGAGATGGTGCTATACACTGACGCTGCGTCCGACTCGGAGTCGGCCTCCTCCCCTGGATCCCTCGTGGTTTCCTCGTCGGCTGTTGCTAATGGAGGGGTAGAGTCTGGTGCAACATCCGCCGTTGTTTGGACGCCTTCTACTTCATCGGGAGCTGACGTTTTTGTCGGAGTCGGTTCCGAAGTCGCCACGGGCGGCCAGGTGAATTGCCAGTCGTTGCGTATCTTCTCAACGAGGTACTTCCTTACGGCTTCCCTATTCCTGGTCTTGTCTTTACTGACAAGATCGGCGTCGATATCTGGCGGTGGCGGGACGCCCTGTGGGAAAGAATTGCGGAATTTGGTGAGGGTCGTCCTCGGCGACCTATACAGATCCGAAAAGATCATGGTGGATGGAGTTGTGTGAAGAGAAAGCTCAGGAGCGAGGTGATCGCCACCGGTGGGCGCGCGTGACGCTTCTGGGGTAACAGCCTTTATAGGAATTGGCTGCGCGGGGAGTTGGAGCTGGCTCTGAGCGTGCGGGGCGACCAGCCCTGGAAGTGGTATGATGGCCTCGCCAAGCAGGCCGGGCTTGCCCAGACCTGTTGAAGGGTGCAAGCAAGGGTTAGTGATCTGCGTATTTTAACTTGGAGGCCAAGCTGCAGTGACATGTGCGCCTGCAGCCTCGTGCTTGGCCGGCTGTCGGAGAGGCCCAGAGCTGATGAAGTCGTACTTATCCACAAGTCGCGATGCTTGGCAATTGCGGGATATGTGGGATATTGAAGGGATCAAATGAAAACGAAACTTGAAACTTGAAGGTCAAGATGCTTGGTGTCAAGCGAGACCAAAAGAGGAAAGCTCGAAAGGGCAAGCTTGCAAAGCGGTCTAAACCGCGAATGGGCGAACGAGGAAGGAACGAACAAGTGACATACCAGGTTTATCAAGTCCAACCAGGTTTGGTGCTGCCTGCGAATTGGGATTCACTGTTGAGGAATGACCCGGTTGTTGAGAGCACTGGCAACCAGCTGGGGAAGAGGCGATAGAGGCGTTCGAGGCGTTTTGGCCGTGCCCACAATCGAGCCCATCCCTCTTTACCATCGGGCTGCTTGGAACAGGGATCAGCGCTTTGTCTGACGGTTCGAGGGCCCCCGATGAGATCAGCGGCCCGTCCTCGACGCTGTGCATCCTGTTCGGCGTTGTGCTCAGCTTGGTCTGCTGCTTCCGGATTGGTTTGTCGAGGACCTCCGAGTCTGGGGAATGGCGGCAGGGTCCGACGCCACCTCACTGCCCGGTCCTGTCAATGCCCTGTCAATCAGGTCGCTTGACAAGGCCAAAGAAACGCCGTCCCCCGCTTTCAGCTTGAAGTGTTTCTCTGGCTCGTTTTCTTTTGTTTTGTTTCTTGGCCTGACGACTTAGTACCGTTGCGTAACTGGAGCTAAGACAGAATGTCAGACAAGACAGCCTCAAGTGAGAGAATGCTTGATGTTGAAAAAAGCGTCGGCGGCAGTCAGCCGGTGGTGGCGCCAGGGTGGGGATACCGAGTTTCCTGCGCAGCGGGGCCGTCCGTTTTCGACGATCGTGTGACCAGGATCGAGGTTCCTCAGGGCTGCACGCGATCCCTCTCTTTCAACGGCACGTCCAATCACTCCGTTCTCATATGCGCCTGCAAGGGAGTTCTTCCCGAAGAGTATCATTCGACCATGAGGTAAAAACCGCCAATCCTACTCCAAGGACTGTGTAAGTACGGAATATATTATTCAATTCCCCAAATCCCCCCCAGATACAGGGTTCACAAATGCTTCTTTGCTTTTTCCCGGCATTCAGCTTGCAGCAGGGCTGTCTCGGAGAAGCCTAGCCTCTGTGGAGCATCTGCAGCTTTCCGGTGCATGTATCAAACCCCCCGGAAGCGACAGTCGGGCGATGGGCGGTGAAGCAGACAAGCCGACGAAGCCCACATCCGTTGGTCGGCCGAGTCGAGCTGGCGATAAGTAATCTGGACTGCGGGTACGAGATAATATGCTGTGCTATCTCCGCCGATAATCCCTCGCCTAAACCGTGCTTCACCGCGGAGATGAGCGCCAAATCACATTCCTTCTCCTATTGAAATAGTACATGTGTGTACAACAGTGGCTCCTGATCGTCCGTCCTCAGAACTCAGGGACTCCCACCTCACTCCGCAACAAAATCCCCGCCAGTGGCAGTTCACCTCCGGTCAATACACCCCTCAAATATCCCTCGAGTGGCCACAACCCCACCATTGCACCAATAACTAAGAGCCCTCATGCATGTCGTTGAAAGTGACATGTCGTATCGCATTACAACTGGCAGTAGTCCGTTCCCTGCTAGGGTCCCATCTCCGTCGCCAAATGCAAGATTCCGAGTGTCCTTCCGTTCCCACCCCAACTTCACCAATCACCGATAGGCCACGTTCTTGAAATGGAGATTGACCATGGCCATGTGCCGGCGCCCCTCTCCTAATCCAGCGCCTTCACCCCTAATCCCGTACTATGTATGCACATACCCTCTCCCCTCCCCGCCTACCGACTGCTCGCCGGAAAGCTGCGGGTGCTCAACAGCGCGCCCTTGACGCGGCGGATATTCTCCTTGGCGCGCTTGATCTCGTCGTCGGGCTCGTTCTTGTTGGCGCCGCCGTACATGGAGAACCCCCCGACGAAGTCGGCCGCGGCCGCCGCGTTGAGCTTGTCCACGTCCTGCTGCAGCACGTCCATCGTCGTGTGCACGTCGCCCAGCGTCTCGCCCTGGTCGTCCACGCTCTCGTTGAGCGACTTGAGCGACGCGGTCAGCCGCGCGAGCCGCTGGCTCTGGTAGGCGGTCGGTGCTTCGTCCTGTTGGGGCAGCGGCTGGTGGAGGTATTGCGGGGATGAGGGGCGCGAGGTTTGGATGCCAATGTCCCGGTGGAAGAGCTCGGTCGGGTCGTCGTAGCTGCTAACCGCGTCGTCGTCGCCGTGCTTTTCGGTGGTTGTGGGGTGGCCTCTGGGGTCTTTCGTCTTGGGCGCTGGGATTTCGGAGACGACTGTCTCGAGTTTAGCGACAAGTTTTGTGAGGTCTTGGTTGGCTGTGTCGTGGAGCGAGATGCGCGCTTCGGTGAGTGTGTGGACCATTGGCTCGACGACGAACTTGCTCGCGCCGTAGACGAGGGTGGACAAGCCGCCAAAGGCGTAAAGTGTGTTGAGGAAGCGGTTGACCGTTACCAGAGGCGGTGGCCGTTCGGGCTTGGTCAGGAACTCGGGGTATGTCACGATCGGTGGTCGGTCTTCCTTCTTAGACGGTGGTGGCTCTATCCTCTCTTCCGCAACCTGATGTTTGACGCCCCGTCAGTTCATGCCTGCGACAGCCGGCACGGTGGGAACATACCGAGGCTTGTGATTCTTGCCGCCCATCCTGGGTCACTTCGTTTAACAGCCCTTCGATATCGCTATCTACTAGTCCCTTGCTCTTGAGAAACTCGGCTTTGCGTTCTGGTGTTGTATTCTGAACCTCTGCATCTTGGAGGAACTTCTTCGCCTGCGCGAGGGTCTCTTCGCGGGGGGTGGTCTGCTCAGCCTCGGGAGCGGGAGCTGGTGTAGCGCTTTGTTGATCTAGCGGGTTGGCTAGGACTTCCTGCTTGTTTCCCTCCTCGGATTCGCCCATTGTCGTAGATGTTGGAACTTGGAGACTAGGATTGGGCTTTTGACGGGTGTCCTTGTATGTATAGGTGGTGGTGGGGAGAGGCAAGTTGTGTTTGTTTGTTGGACGGACTCGGTCCGCGACTGGCAATTCGGAGCTTGACTTGTGACGGGACAGCGACTGCCGAGGCTCGCCTTGCCCAGCGGGAATTGGGCCCTGGCCCGTGCATCCTAACCGGGTCGTGGGGCGATAGCCCCACCCAGCAACAGACCCCGGCTCCCCGGCCAAAGCTGGGGCTCCCGGTGGCTCTGGTCGCGAGAGAGCCTGGACCAGCCTTGTGAATGTAAGATCCAGGTGGATTTTGGTGTTTTGACTATCCAGCCGTCAATTTGAAATCACGCTAGTCGGGACTCCTTTTCCATTTACATGTGTATACCTGTCTTGATATATATTTTTCACGACTACGCGGCCAGCTATTCTCTACAACCGTCCTGGTTTAGTGGTCTCCAGTCTGCTAGACCTCGCCATCACCGTCCAGAGACGTCACTGTGCTTGGTGCGTATACAGTCCCATACCTTAGCTAACTGAACCTACCAATTGATGCATATGGCATCTTCGCTTGAGAGACTCACAATCGGTATACTAATTTGACACACTCCAAGTTCTTTGCAGGGCTCCCGTGAGAGAAGCCTCGATAATCCCACCGTTAGACGCAGGCAGCGAGCTGAAAGCGAGATCGATCGAGATCAATTGGGACATCCGAGTGCCAGCCACAACCGAATTTGATCACCCAAAATGTGAGTGATCTCATGCATTGTGAAGCCACTTTCTCCAAATGCTGCGATGAAAAGGGGCTGCGCGACTGCGGGATGTTTCTGTTGTGAGATGTGGTCATCATCTGCGCCGCGCAAGTGTCGAGTTGTCGAGAGAGATGATGGGACGAGGATCCACGGATACCCAGCCTGAAATGCAGTGTTGTGTCGCTGCAGCCATCAATCACAGCTTTGATTGCTTGTGAAACCTGCCGTCATTTCAACTGTGCCGGCCGTGCCTCCATCCAGCAACACACAAAAAAGCGAGCGAGAGAAAAAAACATCGCAGCCAAGGACTGCACGCCTTGCTTGTTCAACGCCAGCGGCGCTTTTCAGACCGTCTCGGGCCGGAAATCTGCAGGATCCGGATAGCGAATGCCGGGTTTGCGGGCGGATCGCGCGCTTGGCTGACTTGTCTGTGGGCACGCGGCTTGATGCCCCTGTGGCTTCTCTCCATTGGCACGCTGGCCTTTGATTGAGCCTTCTCGCCACGGCAAGCTTATTCGAACGACACGTCCGACATGCCTGATACCCTGAGCCACCTCTGAGCCGGATCCCCCACACCACCTGGACCCTAGACAAACGGACAATACCATCTCTCCTCCCTCGCACAACATCTCGGACTTCGGCCGCCACGACCATCACAACCATCACAACCGTCACAACCATCATCACCATCACCACCATCACCGCTTAATCATTCACAGCATCCCCATCTTCTATCGCGGGGATAGATAGACACACCACGGCACCACAGAAGCAGCAGCAGCAGCAGCAGCAGCAGCCCCATCAAAACCAGCATCATGTCTTCGCGGCCGCGTCGCTCGGCCGCCCAGCGCGCCACCGTAGCAATCACTGACATGGCCGACAGAGACCGAGAACCCACCGAGCAGCGCACCATGTCATCGCGCAGCTCCCGCCGCTCGGGGAACGGCATCGCCTCCTTCACCCGGGGGCCCGCCACCTCGTCGTCCCCGGCCACCAGCAGCAGCCCCGCCGCCGGCGACGCCAACCAGCACATCCACCTCACCGTCAAGCTCCCCTCCAGCAAGCTACGCCAGGCCACCAGCAGCGGTGCTACTGCTAGTAGCGGCAAGCGCAAGTCTGGCGGTAGCGTCACGGCCGCTGGTGGTGCCGGTAAGGGCGGGGCGGGTGGTGCGGGTAAGCGGACGCGGGGTGGGAAGAAGAGTTATGTTATTGAGAGTAGCGAGGATGAGGAGGAAGAGGAAGAGGAGGAGGAGGAGGATGACGAGGAGGAGGAGGATGAAGAGGAAGATGATGAGGATCGGTCGGTGGAGGGATCGGAGATTCAGGTTGTCCCGCGGAGTTTTGCTAAGGCCGAGAATGAAGATGAGGATGAGGAAGAGGATGAAGAGGATGACGACGATGAGCAGATGGAGGATGTTGGCGAAGATGATGCCGAGGGTGATGATGACGGCGACGATATGGATGTTGATGCTGAAGGCGATGACGACGACGCTGACGCGGATGGAGATGTCGACATGGACCTAACCCCCGCGCCGAGGCCCCCAACTATCAAGGTCACCAAGCCTTCCAAGAACACGTCGACTCCAAGCAAAGGGCGAAGCGCACCTGTGGCAAGGCCCGTTGCCAGGGGTACAGCTGTGCCGAAATCCCGGGTCGTCAATGATGACGAAGAAGATGATGACGAGGAATTGAGCGAGCTTGAGAGTGAGCCTGAGGACGTCACTGTTGAGGTCGCCAACGCTGAGGAAGACGCCGAAGGCGATGAAGAGGAGGATGTTGATGCCGAAGGGGAAGAAGAAATCGAGGTGGCCGACGAGGACGCCGAAGGCGAGGACGACGGGGAACTCATGAGCGGCGAAGACGACCTCAGCCGTGGCGACACGCCCGACCTATCCAAGCTAACGGCCCGCCAGCGGGCCAAGCTGGGCGATGTCTCGCACGAGTACATGAAGCTATCCGATGGTAATGACCCTTACCATTTTTCTTTCCCCTCTTACGGTGGATTCTAACACATCACAGAGGTCCAAGCCAAAAAGCACTTCACCGCCGAAGAACTCTCGATGCGCCGCGCCGAGATGGCCCGGCGCAGACGCAACCTCAGTGATAAGCGCAATGAGGAAGTCAAGGTACGATCCCCACCTCCTTCCCTCACGAACCAGGGCATGATACTAACACCAAATCCCACAGATGGAAACAATCAACAAGCTCCTCAAGAAACAGGCCCCGAAAACCACCCGCAAAAACGCCCTTTTGGCCGCCGGCGACGAGACGCCCGACTCGGACGCCCAGCGTGCTGATCCCATGTTCATCCGCTGGGTGAGCACCAAGACGGGCAACAGGGTGGCCGTGCCCGATGACCTGCTCACTGGGCCCGCGGGCGAGGTGTTTAAGCCCAGCGGGGAGGGGCTTCGGGGGAAGATGGTCGAGGAGGTGTCTTGATTATGGATGGACAGGGAGATTGTACACTTGGGACGGTTGCTTTTGCGCTTTTACTCAGAGTTAAGAGTGTTCATTGGCGTTTGGGGGACCGGCACACGGAAATGGTGTGTCGGTATTGCTGATCTGGTAGTAATAGAGCCGATTTCTTTCTTCAATACGTCGGGGTCACCTTGCCTGTTGGTGAGGGAGTGATACTGTGCTGCGCTACTTTCCCCCCAGTCTTCCTCTTCCGCACGTTGGGGCATACCCCACACCTCATTCCCAGGGCAAGGCTCGTATTAACTAGGTTTGTCATTTTCCCTTGCCTAACTCGATGAAGTTATGGTTCTTCCCTCTGGGTCTGATTTAGCTGAATAGCACAGCTTCCTCAGTAGCATATGCAACAACCATGTAAGAGTACCCTATCCTGCCATGATCTAGTGGGAGTGGTTTTGCTGTTTCTGTCTGGAATAATCTGAAATCACAGGAGATATTCTGCCCGTAAGTTGAAAGTGGCCCAACAGTGCCAATGGTGTTTTGCGCCTACAGTGCCTACTCTGAAGGCCATACACGCTCTTGAAGTTTTAGAACTTGGAAACTTCAAACCTCGCAGCACTTTCGAGCAAGGTTTCGCGGGGTAAGTTGGTAAAACTTTTCGTTGCTGGTACCATTTCCCGCTTCTTCCTCTTGGTGTTTGTGAACCGACTCTCTTTTCCCAAACTATACCATCGACTTCCATCTTCAACAACCAAAATTCTGCTTCCGAGTTCTTCCGCAGTTGATCTCAAAGTTGAGGATACCATTCCTCATCATTTTGATCTCGACTGCCTAACTTCTCAACCTCGTTCGCAAATCCGGTCATCGACCTCGAGATAATCCGCTCCCAAAGGCGACTTCTCCGTTTCTCGAGTGGCTTCGCGGCCGCAAAATCGTTCTCTCCCTCATCTTTTCTCACTTCTTCTGCTCTTCTTCCGGCTCACTGCTCGACCGATCTCGCAATTCGCACAACCACTCGTCAAAATCGCCTCCAACACTCACTCATCTCGCCGCCGACTATGCGGCACTGATTTATTATCGACTCTCATCACATTGTAACCGGTTTATCGACTCGATAAAAACATGTCTTCTATCGCCAGCCCGGTCGCTGGCGGTGGTTCTGCTGCCACCAAGCAGTCAGGCACTGCACATGCTGTAAACGACGAGCTTGTCTCACACCCTACCCCCTCTTCTCAGTCCATCTCCGGGATAAAGGTTAGTGTTATTAAGGAGATCGATCCGACTCGACCAGTTTGCTAATTCTGACCATCAGGATTTCGCCTCTTCTCTGTGCACCACGCCCGTTGATCAGGGCGTCAATGCTGAACATGTCAACAACGACGACAATGGCAAATCACTGCCCAAGGAGAATAACCACACGACTACTGGCCCCGAGCCCGCCAAAGCCCCTCAGACGCCAGCCAAGAAGACATGTAACTCGGCCCACAACTATGGTGAGCTGAGCGGTTCGGATCGCCGCGAGCAGATTCCGGTGACGCATGATCTCTTGACCTTCCCGATGACCGCCCATGAGGAATTCCAAAACAATGGTGGAGTTAGCAACTCCGCCATCGCTATCAACCAGGTCACCGTCGGCAACGGTGTTCCCTTCAGCACTTCAGATATTGACAGCCGCCCCGACGCTGCGTCGTCCAATATTTCGACGGGTAACTCTGCCATACCCACCTCTGGCTCATCTGCCGACTTCAGCGGTATCTACAATGGATCAATCCCCACGGATAATTTCAACAGCAATATCCTTTTCGGTCCGGAGCTGCAAAAGGCACTTTTCACTGATGGCGGGGCCTCGGCCGACCCCAAGCTGCCCGGCTCAGAAAATGCCAGTGGTCCCACCCCTGACGGCGCTCAGCCCGTCCAGATGGCTCCCGTCATTACCGAAGAGCAGGTTATCGTGCCGACCACTCCCCAGCGCCCACCTGCCGACCCCCCTCGCCTTGTCGACATCCCCATGATCAGCGCTCCCACTTCGCCTCACCGCTATGCCGGCCCAGTCAACCATAACACTATGCCTTCTAAGCCCGACACGATCCTCGCCGACCAACTCCGAGGAGACTTCTGGATCCGGTACCGCAAAGAGATGCAGCTCCTCGCCACGTACAAGAAGGCCTTCAATAACTGGACCCTCTTCACCACCACCGAGTCCAACAAGTCCAAGTCCGACTACGACTCCATCGCCGAGCAGCTCAAGGCATCCGCCATCACAGCTCAGGTCGCCTGGACCAAGAAGCACGTCTCGTTCGAAGGATGGAAAGCCTCAATCCCGGCCTTGGCCCCTATAATTGCCAACATCCACGAGGACGCTCGAGCGCTCAAGGCCGCCGAGAAGCAAAAGGCCGAGCGCACCGAGTTCATCAACGACCTACGCGGTAAGCCGGATAAGCAGCAGCGGAGCGAGCTGGCCAAGTACGAAAACTTCACCTACCTGATGACGCAGTCCCGCGAGCGCGAGATGTGGCGCGGCAGGGTCAACGCGCTTGTCAGCGCCCAGGCTATTATTGATGAGCAGCAGCGGATTGCTGCTATCGAGGCTCAGCGCCAGAAGGCTGAGGCAGAGGCTGCAGAGCGGCAGAAGAAGGAGGCCGAGGCCGAAGAGCAGCGCAAGGCGGAGGAAGCCCGGGTTGCTGAGGAGACGAGACTTCGCGATGAGTTTGTTGCTGCCACGGCGGCTCAGGCTGCTGAGGAGAAGAGGGTGAAGGGAGAGGCGCGTGTTGCTGAGGCCCAGCGTGAGGCTCAACGCCTGGCCGACCAGCGCCTCATCTGTCAGGGGTTTGGAATTCCCGAGGACCCTCAGCTGCACAATACTGTGATGTGTGACTTGGACGGGAATCTCATGACTGGGGCGACCGCCGATCTTGCGGCAGTCTCCCTTGAGAACATCGCCTCCGGCAATATCGAAAACTCCCAGATGCATTCGGGCAATGCTCAAGATTTCCAGTTTTAGGGTGACTCGGATAACTTTGATCAGCAGTTCCAGACCGTCTTTTCGTCTCAGGATACCATCCAACAATCCCCGGATTACATGCAACTGCAATCCGATGAGCCTCTCGACTTCGATGCCGTTTTCGCCGATCAGGATGCCATGTTCCAGGCCGGCGGCCAGCCTGAGATGGACTTCACCGTCCCGGACCTGTCGGATACAGCTTTCAATCAGCAGTTCACCTTTCCGGAGCTACCGCTTGCTGAGGGCCAGCCAGGTGTGGGCAATGCAGGCCAGATTAGCGAAGACATGGCTCAGCAATTCTTCTCGGCCGACGCCCAGACGCAGCTCCCGTCCATCTCGGAAGTCATGTCGACGACCACTGCTGCTGTGAGCCAGCGGGAGCCGGGGAGCAGCACCATCACCGCCGAGACTCCGACGGGCAAGAAGAAGGCCCCGGCCCGCAAGAAGAAGACACCAGCTAAGGAGAAGACACCAGCTAAAAAGAGGGCGACGGCAAAGAAGGCCACAGCCAAGGCTACGCCGATTCCTGACCAGGTTCAGCAGCAGACTACCGAGCCTTCCTTTGGCCTTGACCAAGTCATGGCGTCGGACCCTTTTGTCTGCTCGCCTACTTTTCAGCAGTCTACCAACAATGGCCAGGGCATCTTCAATATCAGCATGCCAGCCATAGGACAGACACCCGGCCCTGTTGATACATCAGTGCCGCAGACCACTCAGATGACCGGCATGGACGACCAAATGTCCTCTGGAAATGTCAATATCACGGCTCAGCAGACGACGCAGATGCCGATGGAAATCCAGGAGGCTTTTACGGCAACTAGTCCCGCTGCAAAGCAGCAGGCGGTACAGATGCCGGCCACGGAGCACACGCCTTCCGGGACCCCCGGTCCCATGGCGCAGCAACCCATCCAGGCACCCTCGAGCTTCACCATGTTTATGAAGCAACCGTCTCAGCCGCCCACCCGGGGTTCTTTGCCCGAGATGCGGTGTCCGCCTTCGGCTCACACCCCGACTCAACCTAGCACGACCCCGGCGTCGGAAAACAAGCGCAAGGCGTCTATCAGCCATGGCATGGAGATTCCTACCAAGCGCCGCCAGAGCGTGAACCAGCAGGGCGCTGTGGTCTCCATTGCTCAGCCGCCCCCTGTGCCGGCCGTTCCCCAGGGTCTTCAGAGCCCAGCTCAAGACAACCAGACGCCTTCTCAGGCCGTCCAGACCCCTCAGCAGATCCCCATCGACCCTGCCCTCCATTTTGGCATCTCACCTCCCAGCGGTGGGATGAAGTTCGGCACGGCGATCAAGGCCGGTGTTTGTACTGCCATCGCGCATGTCGTGAAGGAGGCCAAAACCGGTACCGTTTTTTCACAGCCGCTACTAGACGGTCCTATCGAGGACTTCCGGTCAGAGTTCATTGGCCATATCAAGCAGGTTATCAAGACCCACATCGTCGCCGTGAATGCTACGAACCCCCAGGATGACCAACAGGCCTTCCTCAAGGGCGCCTTCAAACTCCTCCAGGGGATTCTCCAGGAAATTGAGCGGCGAGGCTGCGTCTTCAAGAAGGCTCTGCTTTCGGGCCCGGTCAGCGGTGCTGATTTGATCCCAGCCAGGAGGGGCATGTCGGCCGTGTACCAGGCAATCATGGCCGAGTACACGTCCCCCCCGAGGTTCGACGGTGGCTCCGCCCAATCGGCCAAGGTCCAGCAGACGCCCACCCGCACATCCACCGCCCATACCCGTGTTTCGAGCCAGAGCAAGATGGCCAACGGACAGGCTTTGGTCGGCAGTCCTCGTCTCCCGGGCGGTGCCGCTGCCCTCGGCACTCCTGCCCCGGACTACACGAGCTCGCCCCAGATGAACAGCCACGCCGCCAGCTCGTCTCCTATGCAGCCGTTCCCGACGCTGTCAGTTGAGGTCGGGTACCCCTCTCCCATGCAGAACTATCCCGCTCTGCCGTCGGCCATGGACGGGCACACCACAGGCTACCCGCAGCATGGTGCTTCCACGGTTCCCACCATGCCCACCACCATGCAAGCTTCGGATGCCATGGCCGGTATCCCCGAGCCAACCAACTACTTCCCGACGCCGGCGGCGCACGAGCAGCAGGCCGAAGAGCTCAAGCCCAAGCCCAAGAAGACGCCCACCAAGCGCAAGTCGCGCGCCCGCAAGGCCTCTACCGCCGTCACCCCCAAACCTGAGCCCACGGCCGACAACACGAGCACCCTGGGCTCTAACCTGGCCCACCCCATGGCCCAGGAGACCACCCATGGCACTACCACCACCACTGCCACCAACAACGGCACAACCCAAGACACCAACACCACCACCACCACCACCACAAACAAAGACACCCCCCCCTCCAACCCCTCCAAGCAGTGCATCCCCCGCCTCTACTACCAGTTCACCGACGGCGCCTTCTACATGGAGCTGCGCAGCGAGGCCGGCGAGGAGACACACCACCGGATGGCCCGGGGCACGACGGCGGCCGAGCACATGCTGGGGGAGTTCGTGGCAGCCGCCCGCGCGGCCGGGGTGGCGACGTGTCCTGGGGGCTTTGTGTTTCGGTTGTGGAGGGGGGTGGAGGGGAATTTGGAGGATTTGATGGAGGGGTTGATGGGGGTTATGGGGAGTGGGGAGGGGGGTGTTGGTGTGGGTGTGGGTGTGAAGGGGGTTGGTGAGGGTGTTGCTTTGGGGGAGGGGGAGGAGGGGAAGGGGGAGGGGGAGGTGTGAGCTTCTTTCTTCTTCTCTTTTGTGCTTTGTTTTCTTGCTCTTCGTCTGTTGGGCGTGTTTCGGGCTTGGTTCAAGCTTAGTTCGGTTTGGCTCGGGCGGGAAGGCGAGAGGTTAATGGAGGTTGTGGATGTTGTGGGAGGGAGGACGGGAGAGAGCAGGTGATGAGATGATGGTGGCGGTGGCTGGAGGGTTGGATGGGAGGTAAAAACAGAGAAAGAGTAAAAGGAGTGGCGGTAGGAGGTGGTATGGAGAGGACACAAGATTGACGAGCTCTCCGACCTTATATAGTTGCGGCTAGATGTTCTCTCTGTAGCGTACACAGAACAATGACCAATTGCTTTACATTACAATTGACCACACCCGAGTGCCCCGTGAGTATCGTTGACATGGAGGAGAGAGTGTGCAAGCCAACGACTTGTCAATGCTTGAGCCCAATCGCGCACGAGAGAATTATAAGAATAAATCCCCTTTAAACAAATGAGACTTTAGCACACAAAAAGACGCAAACACAATAGAAATAGGAGAATCCTCATTCCCAGCCACTCGAACTTGTCCTTGACAAGATGAAAAGAAGGAACACCAGTCGGCGGGCGTGCACTCAATAGCTTTTCCCGGTTCTGAGCCAGAGCGGCTATTCAAGCAAAGCTCAAAACAACAGCTCAAACTGGGAGTCAAACAAACAGGGCCGGATACTTGTAGGACTCGGGTCGATCAAGGGAGTGAGTCGACTTACCACCCCCGGACTTTTGCTTCCTGCTCTGTTTGCCCGAAAAACACATCACATTCAATCATCGGTCCTGCGTGAAAGTTGATGGGACGTTGAAGATGCAACCTCGAAGACCCACTCGAGCTGTTTGGTTGGGATTTCTCGGTGGGTTCGGAACTCGACTCCTCGATAAGGCAAAGTCGGGCGCTTCGTCTTGGCAGCATAGTCTCTTTACCAGCGACATCTCCGCCGAACTGGTCACCTACCCGTCCCACACGTGTTGCCAACCGCAGAGATGGTTCGAATGACTGATTATTGCCAGGCCGGTGGCGTGACAGCTGGTCATTTTGCGGTCCGATTTGGCGGATCTACCGGGAACGGGTTATGAACTTAGTATCCGCTGACTTGAGAACGGCCTCAACACCACCACAGTAACCACACCATCCGGGCAAGGGTCAGATGGTCGGTGGTGTCATTGCCCCGGAACCGCAACGGAAACACCCTGATAGCCTGGAACCTTGAAGTCCATATCTCCACTTCGGCTTTGGAACTCGGCGGGGCAATCGGGAGTGTTGACGGCAGCCTTCGGGCCTTAGGCCGAGATTACCGTGGTTGCGGCCCAGTTTTAGCCGAACCCGTCCGTTTCCTACCGGACCTTGTCGCCTTACTTTTCGTGATTGACACCAGGTCCCGAAGTGAGTTCCGAGTCCCGACGTTAAGGAGTGACTTACGGTGAGCGGTACTCGCTCACGCTGCTACCGTAAGACAAGACTACTTGTAAGGCAGTCGATGCCAAGCTTGGCATTCAAAACCGCGAAGAGTGTTCAAAGAAGGCAATCATATGGCACCTGGCTATCATCGAGAGCTCGGGCTATTCAAGAGTTACGGCAAGCTTTGATTTATGAACCAGAAGACTAGCAGGGAGAGAAAATAAAAGAAAACAAATGTGACTGCAAACGACCTCGAGACAAGGCTTCAACACCCGCTCTTATTCATGTAGATTCGTTTAGAAAGGAACACCTGGTCTAGCCAACCTCACATCCTAGACACTGTTAGCACTGTAAACGGCAAAGGGGAGCGCGGAGACCTACCTGTTTACCGGCTTGATACCAAGCAACTGCATTCCATTTCCTAGGACCTGTCGGGCATTTTCGTACAATGCCGCGCGGGCGAGAGCTGCTCCAGGCCCTTCTGGAGCCCCGACTACTTGTAGCACATCATAACTCGAGGAGAGCTGGTGAGCTAGACGGAACAAATACGTCAAGATCGTCCATGGTTCCAGGTTTTTGAAAGCGAGCCCGATGACATCGGGATATTGGCCCATGGTCCGGAGCAGGGCAGCAGAATGGTCGTCCTCCAAGTAAGAATAATCGATATCACCCTCAGCCGGGTCGATACCAGCGAGCTTTGCTTTCCTGGAGATGGACGAGAGCCGGGCGTGACAGTACTGTAGATAGGGTCCCGTGTCGCCTTCGAACGACGTCATTCGGTTGATATCAAACGGATAGTTGTTGATCCTCTTGCCGGACATGTCCTGGACCATGACAGCAGTAATCCCAATCGTGTCGGCGACGGCGTCCGGGTCTTCCACCTGGGCGTACTTGACAGCGTTTGTGCGCATGACGTCGTGCATGGCACTCCCACAATTGTCTAGGATGTCGCTCAGCAGCTGAACCTTCCCTAGTCGTGAAGACATGCCCATCACCTTACCAAAGTTGACATGTTTCAGCTTCGCCGCAAGGTCTGGGTATCCCATCAGCTCGACTGTCTTGAAGACGCGCTGAAAGTACAAATCTTGTTCCGAGGAGACGACGTAGATCATCTCGTCGAACGAATATTGCTTTGCTCGGTCCAAAATGGCCGCGACGTCCCTCAACAGATACGTCGTTGTCCCCGTCCGGCCACGCAGGATGGGAGTCCCAAGGTGCTTCGCCCCATGTTTTGCGAAATCAATCATCCACGACCCTTGACCCTCTTCGTAAACACCCCTTTCCTTTAGGATTGACTCGACTTCTGCCACTGTCGCCGGGTCCACCTGAGATTCGCCAGCATATACATCAAAATTGATGCCCAACCGAGCGTAGATGTCAATGTACCGCTCGATGCTGATATCACGGAATCGTTTCCACAAGGCGAGGGCTTCCGGTTCGCCGTCCTCCATACGCTTGAAGAAGGCATTACGCGCCGCGAAGAGCCCGCGAGACTCGATCTCGGCCGTGTCTCGGCCTTCGTCCCTGGCCTGCTTGCTAGCGGCCTTCTCGGGTTCGAAATCGGCGTAGATCTTGACGTAGACGTCAAGGAGATGTTTAAGCGGCTGGGTCTTTAGGAGCTCCTCCGAGCCGTACTTCTCCCAGCCGACAGCCAGCAATCCAAACTGCTTTCCCCAGTCTCCGAGATAGTTGATCCTCACGACATCCCAGCCCGAGCTTTCGTAGAGATTGGCGATAAAGGCACCGATGATAGTGCTGCGAAGATGCCCGGCGTGGAACTCTTTGGCAATATTCGGCGACGAAAACTCGACGATGGCCTTTTTCTTGGGCCCAGGAGCCGTGGTCCTACCGTACAACTCCTTACGCTCGTGAATGAAAGGAAGAATTAGGCGAGGGAGGGTCTTGGGCGAGTAAAAGAACTGGAGATAGCTATCCTGAGGGAGGGGAGGGTTGACCAGCAGGAGGGTCGGGAACTACACATGTATACACTAGAATTGCCAGGTAAGGAGCAATAAAGTAAGTGGTAGACTGATAAGTAGCTCCTATACCTTGGAAGACAGCTCAATAGCCAACTCGTTCGGTTTCACGCCCTTTATCCTGAGGCGCGGCACTACGAGGACCAGATCTCCCTTGGACGGAGTGCTGGTCCGCTGCAGGGATTCATAGAGCAACACTCGATCGCAATCAATCAGCTTCTCCAGCTCAGCTGCAATATATGAACGATACACATCGTTGGGGTTGTGGATAAGATCTGCGGATGGGAATGTTGGAAGTCGAATTGGTACCCCAAGTTTCTCCAAATATGCTTGGAGGCCAGGGAGAGAGAGGGTGTCCGAATTGGTTGACGAAGCCATGGCAAAACGGGTATACTACCGACCACGCACGTACACAGAAAGTCATACGATGAAGAGATGAACCTGTGGTTTAGATCCCACTGCTTATTTCTGTTCTCAGCGGTGATTATTTACGTTGGGAGAATGCTAGAGATGACTCATGTAGCTTCAGCCCCCATCCACGCCCAGTCATTTTTAACTTGCACGGCGCAGGATGCAGAGATCGTAGCTGCTGGGATATTGGGTGACTGGGTTAAAACCACAATCCATGGATCTTTGCGAACCAAGCAAGGCGACGGCTCTGGGCAAAATCCAAGCACCACATCGGACTTCATTCAGCTCGCTTACTGTTGAAGCGGGATGGCCGGACGGGGAGTTGCCCGGTGACGGCGATATGCCGCAGCTGTGGCGAGGATGCAGCTAAGGATGAACGCTACTGAAATACCTCACGCGTTGTTGGTCTCGCCATGCCCGAGCCGCAGTGTTACACCGGCCTTTTGTTGGGTGTCGGACCGAAACAGACAGGACAGCAAAGTTGCTCGCTAACAAGGTCGCAACGGAGGCGATGGGAGCTGCCCCACCAACCCACCTCAGCGCAATCTGTGATGCAAAGGAATTGGGAAAGAGCACCCCACCTTCGCGAGGGGCTCAACCATTTTTATTGTCGCTCATGCCACCACAACACGACCGCGCCCTTCCCTTCTCCATCTCCCCGTTGATTCAAATCACATCAAAAATTCCCTCGGACGATCCCCCGTCCCAGACAACACGTAAGACCTTCTAGTCAACACCGAATCTCTCTATCACTCCAGGTAAGCAACGAAAAGCCTCCCCCACGGACCCCGCACCTGCCTCATCCCGCCTGTATCGGACCTGCGCGACCAAACAGAGATTCCCATCTTGCTTTCTTCCTGCCCGGTTCCGGACTGAGCTGGAACCCGAGCCTTTAAAAAGCTTTTCCTGTCCCCAGTCTCATCCAATCTTACTACTCCCTTCCGTCATCCATTGAGCTCTGCAACCTTTTGTTTTGCACCTACCCCGCGCTCGAGCTACCCCTCCAAAACCGCACAGCAGCTCACTCATCTCCCGCGTCATAGAGAAAATGGCTATCAAGGTCGGCATCAACGGTTTCGGCCGCATTGGCCGTATCGTCTTCCGCAATGCCGTCGAGCACGAGGATGTCGAGATCGTTGCCGTCAACGACCCCTTCATTGAGCCCAAGTACGCTGTAAGTTGCGCGTCATGATTCCCCCGGGACAGCTTCTACCAAAAAACGTCGGAGCTAACCGCAACCGTTCTGCAGGAGTACATGCTCAAGTATGACTCGACCCACGGCGTCTTTAACGGCACCATCGCCGTCGAGGGCAGCGACCTCGTTGTCAACGGCAAGAAGGTCAAGTTCTACACTGAGCGCGACCCCGCCGCCATCCCCTGGAAGGACACTGGTGCCGAGTACATCGTCGAGTCGACCGGTGTGTTCACCACCACCGAGAAGGCCGGCGCCCATCTCAAGGGTGGCGCCAAGCGCGTCATCATCTCGGCCCCCTCGGCCGATGCCCCCATGTACGTGATGGGCGTCAACGAGAAGACCTACGATGGCAAGTCCCAGGTCATCTCCAACGCCTCGTGCACCACCAACTGCCTGGCTCCCCTCGCCAAGGTTATCAACGACGAGTTCGGCCTCGTTGAGGGTCTCATGACCACTGTCCACTCCTACACTGCCACCCAGAAGACCGTCGATGGCCCCTCCGCCAAGGACTGGCGCGGTGGTCGTGGTGCTGCTCAGAACATCATCCCCAGCAGCACTGGCGCCGCCAAGGCCGTCGGCAAGGTCATCCCTGAGCTCAACGGCAAGCTCACCGGCATGTCCCTGCGTGTCCCCACTTCCAACGTTTCCGTCGTCGACCTCACCTGCCGCCTCCAGAAGGAGGCCAGCTACGACGACATCAAGGCCGCCCTCAAGGCCGCCGCTGAGGGCCCCCTCAAGGGTGAGTTTACTTTCTGGATAGTCCTACGGGATAACATAAGCTAACTGCTCTTAGGCATTCTCGGCTACACTGAGGACGACATCGTCTCCAGCGACATCAACGGCAACCCCAACTCTTCCATCTTCGACGCCAAGGCTGGTATCTCGCTCAACAAGAACTTCGTCAAGCTTGTCAGCTGGTACGACAACGAGTGGGGCTACTCTCGCCGTGTCCTCGACCTCCTAGCCTACGTCGCCAAGGTCGATGCTGGTAAATAGCTCAGCTGCACCCCGCGGCTGTAGTGGAGGGCCGGTAGCCCTCTTTTCCTGGTAAGCGATGAGTTAGCCGGGTAATAAAATCAAGAAAGTCCCAGCAACCAAGTTCCGAAGATGTGCTCGCCTTGTTCCGTGCTGATCTACATGTCGTCCATATGATGATGTCAGAACCGGATGTCCGGATTGTGCAGAAGCTCTGCTATTTGTCCATGCCTCGTTTTCTGGCTGTGTGAGGGTTCCCCGTTGGGAAATTCCGAATGCATAATGCCGACTCTTCCCTTTGACTACTGTCGGCTTGGAAAATGATTCATCATCTGGCTAATGCACATTGTCTCTGCTTGTCTGTCTATGTTTGGTTCATGGTCCATATTATTAATACTCCCTACTCAAACAAATACATACTGACAACTTCTCTGACTGGTTGGCCGACTGACTGACGCACTGGCTGATAGACTGAGTGCCTACTTAGGTGACTGCTACCACCGCGGATCCTCTGATAGTTCCTCTTGATATGATATAAGGAGAAGAAAAGAAAAGTAAAGGGAATTAAACAGACGACGGCCGGGCCGAGAAGTAAAGGAAAATGGAGGAAAACAGCGCCGCCCCGCCTGCATGCTTGATACCAACCCCCTTTCTGCATACTCCCAATCTCCCCATCCTCCTCCAGTCAGTCAGGCAGCCAGCCGGTAAGTCAGTCAGTTAATCCAGACAATAGCTTCTCCTGTGCAGCACAACATCCCACCACACTCTCGTCATAGTCGGTCTCCTCCAATAGTCAAGGGGCCTTTAGCCAACGGCTCGACACACGCCCTTATTCGTTTTGTTGTTTTGCTCTTATCCATCGGCAGCGATTAGCTCTGCCTGACTGGACCTGAGAAGGCCTGGCCAGGTCTGCTTGACCGGAGCTGATCAGCCCGGACTAGGGTAGATAGCCTTGCCTGGCCGACTTAATCAACACTGATTAGGTACCTAGGTAGGTAGCCCAGCCTGAGCAGAGCCTCGCATACCCAACCAACCAACCAGCCCTCCCCCAGATCAAAACACACAAAGCCAGCCTAAAAAGCCGCCCCCCCCAACCCCTCACCAGCGATATTCTTCAAGCTCCGCTCGCTCAAATCACTCTTGAGCTCGAACCCTTTGCTCTCGCGCTCGAGCTTGTCCCACACGCGCAGGCTCTTGCGCAGCTTCTCCTGCTTGGCGCGCAGCTCCTCGCGCAGCCGCTCCTCTTCCTCGCGCAGCCGCCGGTGGTGCGGGTCCAGCTCGATCGGCAGCGAAGACGGGTCGATCTTGCCCCCCGGGATCAGCGGCGGCATCGTGTTGAGCAGGTTCTGCGCCAGCGTCGGCCGCGCGTGGCCGGCTAGGGGGTGCCCGCTGCCGATGCCGCCGCTGCCGATGCCGCTGGTGCCGGATGATGGGCCGGTGGGGGGGTTGAAGGGTTTGGAGGTGAGGGAGGGGGAGCCCGAGGCGGAGGAGGTGGACTGGGCTCGGGGCCCTGTCGGGATGCCGCTGCTGGGTCCGCCGGGAGGGACGGTGGGTGAGCCGGCCTGGCTGCTGCCCGAGATGGAATGGCGTCCTGGGCCGGCTGGCCAGCCACCCCTGCTGCCGCCGCGGCCCGTGAAGCTCGCGCCTCGGGGAGGTGGGACGTAACCACGAGGACCTGCGGGCGGAACGGTGGGGCTGGTAGCGCCATGGCGGGACGGGGTGGGACCCGGTGGGAGATGACGAGGGGAGGGTGCAGCTTGTGGTGTTGCTGGGGCCGTGAAGTTCCTCGCTGCCGCGGGCCCTGTGGGTGGCACTCTAAGGGCGGCAGGGCCTCTCGGGGGTGACTTCACCGGGGTCGAATTGGCATCTCCTGCGTGGGGCTTTGGGGTGGGCTGGCTGGCTACGGCTGGTTGTGAGGATTGAGGAGGCGGCGGCTGTGGCTTTGGGGTGTCACGAACCGGCGGGATTGCAGTAGTGGGCGTCGGTGCGTTCGATATGTGAGATCGCGCAGCCGGAGACTGCGGTACGGATCGGTCGTCTCGGCGTACAGATGTGGGCCGGGGTGAGGACCTGCCTGACACAGATCGTGAAGGCAGCGCGGAAGAGTGTACGGAGTCCCGAATAGGCGGTGGTGACGGGCGCCGATACGATGGTCCCACGTAGCGGTCATCGCGATCTCGTCGATCCGGCGTTCGAGAGCGAGGGCGATACATGCCGCCTCCCCGTGGCCCAGGAGGCGGCGAGCGTCTCGGGGGTGATCGGTCCCGACGAATCAGCGGCCTATCCCTCTCAAACGGGGACCGCGATCTCCGCCTAATATCCCTCATCTCAAAGTCCCGGCGCATGGGCGACCTGGGCCGCTCATCCCGGTCATCCCTCCGGTCGTCTCTTCGGTCGTCCCTTCTGTCGTCTCTTCTATCAAGGCCTCGGTCGTCCCGGCGTGGGGAAATGAATCGGGGAGGTGTGCGTCTGATAGGGCTTCGTCTCGGTGAGAGGCGCCGAATTGGGCTACGAACCCTACTGCGGCTTCGCCGCCAGCTTTCGCCGCCGCCTCGCTCTCTGGACCGTTCTCGCCTGAAGCGGTCTATGCTACGCGACCGGCGGCGGGGAGATCTGCCAGGTACGTAACTATCGCTAGCCACTGGCGGGGTCCGGGGCCGTTCCCTCAACGGGCTTCGGGCGCGGGGTGGTGGTGATCGATCACGGTTGAATGGTCGGTAGGATTCTCCGGCCCCATAACGGCGAACTTCTCCATCCTCGTACCTACTAGGGTGGGGATTAGTAACGGTGTAGGGACCAAGCCGAAGAGACGAATTCGAAGCATAAGAAATGGGCCCTTCGGGAATGCGCGCCAGATTAGGGCGCAGTGGAACGACAATAGAATTTGCGCCCGTGAGCCGGGAAGGAATAATGCGATCGCCATGAGCAAGTTCCGCCTCACGTTCCTGGCGCTGACGGCGTTGCGAAGAGGAAGACATTTCCTCAAAGGAGCCGTCCAGCTGGCCGAGGCCGATACTGCCGTCGTCGATAACGAGAGCGGGGACTTCTTCGCTTCCGATACCAGGCTGGGCGATTTCAGCAGCAAGCTGGTTCGTGTGCAGCCCGCGGTTTCTCATTTTGCGTTCGATATGGGAAGCGGCGTCTACCATTTCCCGGGTCGGAAAGCTCGTCATGGTCTTTGGAAGTGGCAGCCGCAGCTGGTTGAAGAAACTCGAGGTCGCGTTTCTGGATTTTCTTGGGCTGGAAATCTCTGTGGTGTTCATCCGAGCTTTTTGTTGATACTCGGGTGTACCGTAGCAACCCTGGGCGGACTAGCAGCTGTCTGACCCGACTGCCTGAAACCAAGCTCGACTTCCTGACTTGGCCGATTTCCTTCGATTTGATGCCCGAATGATATTGGCTTTTCTTTGCCTTGGGTCGTAGGGACTGCTCTGGCACTGGGGCTGTCCGAGATGTCGGCCGCAAAGTGCCGTGGTGTGAATTTCCAACGGGAATGCAAGAACCATCAAGGCGAATAAGCGCAAGCTGAGGTCTTTGATACCTCGGATCCTCCCGGGCCGTGGAGGTTGGATGGGTAAACCCTAATCCCTCCGATCCAGACAAGCGCCAAAAATAAGGTTGGGTGTAGTAGGGTGAGGCGATTTCGGGCTGTCCGGTGTGCAGACCTGTCGAAGTGGGCTTTTGTGTTTGGGTTGGTAATCAATCCAAGACCTGTGCAGGTTGTGGGTTTTGGACAGAGAGCGCCGATGACGCTCTCTGTTTTGTCTCTTGTTCTGCACATTGTAGTTCCCGACCAACAGAGTGTGGACCGGGGAAACTTTGCCGCGCACCAAATGGATCAAATCGCACTGGCGCAGTCTGTCACGGTGTAGGTACTGGAGAGGAATGCCCAGCACAGCGGCAAACTGGGTATCGGACAGAGCTTTGAGGGCATAGGGACCGTAGCACCGCAGCCACTGTTTCATCCACTCGGGATTGGCGCGCTCCTTCTCGTGAATTATGTCCTCCCAGCGCTTCACACAATCCATTTGTGCTTTCTTGTCCAGGTTTGAATCGTCGAACCGTGGCCCGAGTCTCGCCAGGCGGGACTCCCGCTTGCGCCAGGGAGTTCCGGAAGCCATGAGCGGCAAATCAAATGGCGACGAGTATGTGATCTTGTTGCGCTCCATAGACTTCTAGTGCTGGGGGAGTGACAAAAGTAGCTGGAAGGGCGGAATGCTGGACGATGTGATCGGTGGCGGGACGGAGCGAGAAGATTTGAACTAGGAAGTATCGAGGGGAAGCGAGGCCCAGTGAGGCTGGACAGAGGGTTCATAGCTGGGCGTGGGCGGTCGGTGCGTGCGTGACTTGTCGAGTCTGTGACGTCGTCGTGGTAGATGGTCGCGGTAGATGGTCGTGGTAGTTGTCTGTGCCCCAACCCCCCATCCTTGGAGACTTGTTCCAGCTTCTGGCTGTCTCCCTCTCTTGCGACGACATCCACATGAAGTTATCGTCCCCTCCCATCCCCCCCTCCCTCCTCTCCCCTCCCGCATCCCACTTCCTCAACTTTGACGATCATGACGAAACCAAGACATAAAACGAAATTGTACTTACTTTCTACCTCGGTCCATAATATTGGCTTCGCAGTCGTGCAATGATATCGTCTGACAATAACTCGGACTCGATCCCCGTGCACAATGAGCGGATCGTTGTTTGGGAAGAATCGGACGAGGCTGAGGAATCGCTGAAGATTCCCAAAAGTTCGAGTACCGGACCCACTAATGCGATACCATGCAGACGCGTAACGCGCTTAACTTTAATCTCGCGGACTGCCGCGATGGTCACGTGCCTGGTTCGCGCTCGCACGGAAGGGCGGGTTAGGGTTGATTTGTGTTCAGGCGTTCATGTTCATCATTAGGTTGCTCCCAACCACCGTCACTCAACAAGCTAGACAGTGTTTAATTTGCAGGTATTGTACGGGCGCCTCACTGCTCCTAGCGAGCAACATGCCCGCCTCGCTATGTCCATATGCGACCATGTGACCATGTACACACCTCCCCTTTGAAATCAGAAGCAACGAAAATACCCCAGCCCAACCCCATGGGCCCCCCATCTGAATCCCATCCTCCTCTCCAAACCCGTATTACTACGCAGTACATAGTACACACATGCTCTCCAACCAAAATCCCACTAACCCCGTCCCTAATCACCCATCCCCCCCCCCTCCCCTCACCACCCAAGCCCAACCCCTCACCTCACCTCACCTCACCTCACTTTCACCTCCCCCCCTCCTCCTCCGACTCCAACCCCTCCCCCTCCCCCTCCCGCTCCTCCCCCATCCTCTCCATCACAAACTGCTGCACATCCGCAAAGTGCTCGGCCATCATGGGCGTCAGGCCATTAACCTGCGCGCGGATGACGTTGCCGAAGCGGCGCTTCATGACCTTGCGGTCAGACCAGCAGGCGTGGTCGTTGGCGACATAGACCTGCGAGTGCTCCTTGTACCACGACGACAGGTCGCCGTCGACGTCCGACTTGACGGGCCGCAGGCTGCCGTTGACGAAGTTGACGACGCCGGCTACGCGCGATTTGACGTCGACTGTTTGTTGGGGAATAGAGGGGTTGGTTAGCGATGGGTGAGAGGGGGGGTGGGATGCGGGAGAGGGGGGGGGGGCTGACGTCGGTTGATTAGTAGGACCTTGATCCCGAGGTAAGCGTTGCCCACGCCCATGAGGAAGATGTCCTCGACTGTGTCGTAGAGTTGAAGGTAGTTGTCCCAGATGTAGCACATCAATTCTTGTACCTGGGCTTGAATAGTGCGCTCGTCGGCGCGCGCGGTGAAGGCGTCCATGTCCTGGTAGCGAGGATTGTTAGCATGGGCCGTGGCTAAGAGGGAGTTGTTGTAGTTGATTCATACCTCCGGGTGCGTGATGTAGTGGGGCACGTTGACGTCGATAACCCCGAAGCCTTGCTGAACGGCCCAATCGACATAGCGTGTCACGCCGTCCGTCTGTCATTGTTAGTTGATGCTAATTAGCGGCGGTACAAGAGTACGTATGCTTACCACCCATGCGTTGTGAGGCTCCATCGTGTTGTCCAGCGGATGGGGTTGCGCATGGAGCTCCGGTCTAGGAGTGAATGTTAGTCAAGCCGTAACAGACCAAGCAGGCCCCTCACGGGACGGTAACTTACGGGTCATGGACAATAACCACAATCTTGCGAGCAGTCTGGATCCCCCTAGTCACTAGCACCTGGTTCTCGAAAGACTTGAAAAGGATATCCCGCTGGATGTACAGCGGCAGCATGCCATGCTTCTCCGACATGACCTGGCGTTGCGCCCTCCGTACCACGTCATGCAAGCGCGACGATTCTTGTGCCTGCATCTCTTGAACGTCGACGACGCCCGCGCGCATGCACTCCCAGTACGGGGCCTGGTACGCCTGGACCTTGGCCAGCACCTTGGCCGCCTCCCGGCTGATCTTGGGGACCTCCATCTTCGGGGGCGGCTCGCCCATGAGCGTCTGGGCGACGGCCAGCGCCGACTTGGAGATGGCCTCGAGGTCGTAGCCGCCCTCCAGGCACACGGCCACCTTGCCGCCGGCGAGCGACATGAGCATGTGCGTCATGTGGGCGTAGCAGTCGGGAGAGACGAAACAGGCGCCCAGTTCGTCGCCGGCGGCGGCGTCGAAGCCGGCCGAGATGATGACGAGGTCTGGGTTGAACTCATGGGCGATCGGCATGACGATCTTCTGGAATGCTGCCATGTACTCGCCGTCGCCCATCCCTTGGTCGTGCCAGCCAACGTTGACGTTCTTGCCTAGGCCGGGCCCGGCGCCGCAGTGCTCAAGACCGCCATCGGGGGTCATCGGATTGTCGGGCTTGCCGGGGTAAAATTCGCCGTTCCTGTAGACGTGGAGAGAGATGTAGAGGATGTTGGGGTCGTCGTAGAAGAGGTTCTGGATGCCGTTGCCGTGATGGACATCCCAATCGAGGACCAGGATCTTGCGGCAGAGGTCAGGGTAATCCGCCTGGCAGATTTTGGCTGCGATGGGAACGTTGTTGAAGAGGCAAAATCCCATGGGCGCGTCGAACTCTGCGTGATGCCCTGGCGGCCGGATGACGGCAAAGGCGTTCTTCACGATGCCAGCAACCACGCTCTTGCATGTCTCAATCGCCCCGCCAGCTGAGATCAGGGATGCCTCGTAGGTCATGCTGCCGACGTAGAGCGAATCTCTTCCCTGGTCCATTCTAGTAGAGAGCTCGCGTAGCTCGTGTGTTGACTTCCGCGATAGACCCTCAACCCACAAGAAATGCCCTGGGTGGTGAACAGCGCAGATCTCCTCCCTAGTTGCTTCCCTTGCGGGAATCCGCCACATGTACTTGGTTGGCTCACTCTGCATAATGCGGATGAGGTCTGTATCGGACCCCGTAAACACCAAGCCGGCCTTCTTGAATGTCTTCATGATGTACTCGATTCGTGAGGGGTCTTCGGGATGATGGGGGTTAGGCCCAAAGTCCGCGTTTGCATGTAGCTTCATCCGGTCATCGTAACAGCAGCCTGTTGGGAGCAGGCCCCGCCGCCGTAAACGATCCTGATAGTTAGCCGGGTCGGACTCCTGGTCGTCATCCTGCGCGGTTCCGTTGGCGCTCTGGCCATTCGTGGTCTCTAATGAGCTTTCTCCCGTCGTGGTTGGATCTAGAAACCCGTTGGAAGGCGAAGGGCCAGTAGCCATACGGTGGTCCTCACCATCCATGACGACATCGTCATCGTTGTCATCCATCTTAGGCTGAGTGCCCGCGAGAAAACGGCTCGGCGACGCAGCTATATCAGTCTACCCCGGAAGGGCAGTTGGTAGAGTTCGAATAGATCTGGTGCAACAACGAACGAGGCGTTGTAGGTAGGTTGTAAAGATGTACAGTCTCGCTGAATGGAGACTACCAAATGTGTTGGACCGGTCCCAAGGCCTATCCTTCAGATGACGTGACTGAGCTCTGGTGACTGCTAGGACAAGGCCAGCAAAGGAGCGACAAGGACAAGGCCAAGCAAGATGCAGACGATAGAGTTCTAAAGTCCGAGTTAGAATGTTTAAAGGTCTGGGTAATGCCAAAGGATGGATGGTGGGTGTGTGGGAATCCTCAAAGTTTCTTGAAATGGGATTGTGTAGTAGAAGTAGTGCAGTGCAGTCGTGAGAAGGCGGGCGAGAGAAAGGAAGAGAGCATACATATGTCGGGAATGGCACGAGCTTCGATGCATTGGCGACTTGCACCTCTGGGCCTCCCGCCCTTTCTCGTCCATGCGTCGCGCACAGGCACTCAACAGATGACGTGATATTATACCAAAAGAGATAGCGTTGACTTACGAAGAGAAGGGTGACTTTTATTAATGACCGCGGTTGCGTGGGCCCGCGGTCAAGTAAGTGGTCGGTCACCGAACTGCTTGGGTTGGTGTTTAGGGAGCGCGAGTGGCTGGGTGAATGGCGAGCAGCCGCCACCCCCACTACAAAATAGTCAAAACACTTGATCCTAGCGCCTTGTTTTCCAACACCCCCCTGTGGCAAACACGATGTAGAAGAAATTATTGGTATATTGAGCGATGGAGAAAATGGTTGGGGCACTTTTTTATTTAGAAATCCTTTCATGATTATGCTGGATTTTCAGGTCAAACGGCTGCTCCAATGTACCAACTTGTCCCGTCGTGGGGCCCGGGACTGCTGCCAGCATCAAGATATGCCTGACCGAGACCTGGTCTGGCAATAAAGAACCCGGGCGCAAATGGTCTTTTTGCCGAATGCAAGTGAAAGAATAGAGCAAATTATTGTCACCCATGGCCGTCTATATCTGAGTCTAGAGGGAGGAGCACGGAAGCCTCGAGCCAGATCCAGCCTTGCTTAACGCATCCAAAAAGAACCATCAGACTCGAACACCCGCTTCACATCCTCTAGCAACGAAGGCGACTAAAAGGCCAAGCTAGCTAGACGGAGGATTCCTACAAGTTCGGTTCCAATCTTCCACGCCTAGTGATGGAGGAGAGCCCAGGGTAGTTGGCATCGCCTACACCAGCGTCACCATCGTGGACAACACGCCGCGCTTCCACCCTGAGGTGTCTGTGATCGAGTATGCCGCCATAGGGTTCTGGAAACCCAGCCTGGGAAAACGGCCCCAGGAACGACAGGTCACGTTCCCGGAAGACGTTCACAGTGGCTTCCCCGAAGGTCGCAACGTTCTCCTCGATCCTGGACCATTGCATTAACAACTGCTATATCTTGGTGGCAGGGAGGAGTAGATAAGGCATGGTATGTGCGTACCGTGGGTGTCGAAACCTGATGAAGTCGATAACGCTTGATTTGGTGGCATACCTGTGCCGATACACAAGCAGGTGGAGGATATCATCGGGCAGCAACTTCATCATGGTGTTGACGATATCGCTATTGACGGGGTAGTCCCCCCACCCAATGCGCGCTCCCGCTTCCTTTGACAAGAACTTGTCCTTTTGGGGTACCATTCTGGTCAGTACTTCAACCTCACGGAACAAAAGCCACGAGGCCCTTTTCTCACTTACTTCAAGCCCCATGATGGCGGTAATGGAAGGACACACTCTCCCCCCAACGGCTCGACGGACCGTTTCCCTGCCCAACAACATCAGCTCACTTGCTCTTAAACTACGGCACTAGGGAAACCCCGGGGGATAGGAGCGCAGTCTAACATACCACAGATCATAAGCCTCGTGCAACCTCGCCGAAGAAAACTGCCGCATATACGCACGCCTGGCATCGACACTATTCTCAACAGCGCAGGTCGCATGACCATGGAAAATACGCGCGAACTTCCACCAGAGATACAGCGCCTGGCGCAGCCGGCCGAGCTCGTGGGGCCGGAGGCTCCGGCTGAACATGGGCACGCTGGCGAAGCGGAGCCGCGGGTACTCGGCCTCCCAGCGCTTGACGACCCGGCAGAAGTCCAGCAGGCGGGCGCAGGTCATGCCGTCCGGCACGTCCGCGTCGAAGAGCGTGTCGAAGAACTCTTTGACGGGGTGGAAGTCGCGTTCGATGATGCTGGGGAGGATCCGGTACCAGTGTAAGTCGGTGACGGACCTGAGCCGCTGGCTGGTGGCGCGGATGTGGTCGAACGTCTCAAAGTCGGTGTATGAGAGGATCTCGATTAGGGTCTCGGCCGGCAAGGAGTCCAGTAGGATGGGTAAAGCTGCGGACTGCTGGCCAGCAACGGCTTGCTGAACGGTCTCGGCAGGCGACATGTTGAAGTCCTCGGCCAAGTGTTGTCTAGACTGGTGTTAACAGCCCGTTGAACTGAAAACCAAGACGTCTCGAAGCCTACCAATCTTAATTAAAGGGGAATAAAAGTCGATTCACCACAAACGTCAGAGTGTCGCCTGGGACGCCTCTCTCACCAACAGCTCTCAATAGCCGCTCCGCTCACTTAAAGAAGTGAAACCAAACCAAACTACAACTAAGAAAAGGCCAAACAGTGACAACAGACACGAGAGTTTTGACTCCCGCCTTGTCAACTGCCGGACCACAGTACCCCAAGTCTCCTATTCCTTATCAACCCCGACGTTGGGGCTATCAAAAGGGAGGGTCGTAGTGAAGCTGCATTGGCAGCGGCCGCATCGCTGGTTGGGATCGGCCATGGTGTTTGTAACGTGTGTCACGTCTCGGGAGCGCATTGGAGGCATTGCCATCAAACAATGGCAATGACTATGTGTAGTTCGCTTGTTGATGGGAAAAGTGCCAACTTGGTTATTTGTTGACATGATATGGGAGATGGGTGACGGGCGATGGGCGATGTTGCATCCACCGGCGTGTCACCCCGGTCAGTTACCCCGGGCCGGAGTTCCCCGTCAGCCAAAGGTCCGTGCCTGTGTGCAAGCGACAGGGGTCAAGGTTCAACATGTTTGTTGGTGGTTCAAGTCTCCGGCCCAAAAGGTTCACAATACATACCCAGGATGATGCCGTAGACTCGCTGGCAAACTGCTTTCGGATGGGGACAAAGGTGGATGGCTTTAAGTCGAAGCTACGATTTGCCGGCGCGCGAAACAATCATGGCATCCGCACACAAGACTCAGTAATATGTCTCCCCGAAGAACGCCATCCCAGAATCCATTCCAAACTCTAAGCAAACAGTTCGCGGGTATCTAATCCACTGCGGTCCTTCTTCCCGCCGTCCTCCAACCCAAGACCTCTCCTCCGCGCCAGCGTATCCCGTTGCTGCTCCGTCCGCGCGACATGCCTCCCCGCCTTCGCCTTCCGCAGGTCGGAACGGACCTGGTTCGGCGAGATGAACCGCTTGTTCTCGTACATGATCGGCCCACCAAACGCGCCCTCCTGGATAATAATCGGCGTGAGTACGAACCGCGGCCCGATTTCAACGAGGCTGACGTCCGTGTCGCTGTCACCACCCTTGCTCTTGCGCCCCTTGCTCTTCGCCGCCTCCTCCTCCTCGTCGCCGCCTTCGCCCTTGACCTTCTCAACCTCCCGGACCTCGTAGTTGCGGATCCAAATCTTGCCGTCGGCCACGGTGAAGCCCATAACGTGATCGATGAAAGGCTTGGACTTGCGCGCGCCTTGCGGAACGCCGAAGATGTGTAGGAAGATCTCCTTGATAACGCGGAGATGCGGTTCCGTCTCAAAGGCACCGTCGAAGGAAAGAATTGGTCGTGAGCCCTTGAGGCAGTTCCCTGTAAAGTGGAGTTCCTCCATTGTGTGCACTTGATGCTGGTCAGCGGTTGTTTGGACCCATAATACGTCCCAGGCTCAAAAGACCCAACTCACTGTTTTGGGCGTGAAACTTGACTGTCGGGCCGTTGGGGACCTTGCTAAGCCACATATACAGATCCTTTCCTTTCCTCGCCTCGAAGAAAAGCACGTTGTTGCAGTTGTAAAGCTCCGCTAGCTCGTTGAGTTGGTACAGCTTCGACTTGGAATCGAACTTGACGTCTTTCCGGCCGTGGGGAAGCATCGCCGCTAGATCATTGAGGAGATGACGATGCCTATTGCTCAAGTTAATTAGGGGTCACCAATACCCATTGACCCAGTCCGTACCTGTAGGTGACGCCTCTTGACGAAAGGATAAGCACCCTCTGCTTGTTTTTCCTTTCAACAACAGTGCCATTGGCATCCGTGTCCTTGCCGGCCTTGGAGGCGCTCTTTGATAGTGACTTGTATACTGCTGCCATCTTGTCGATGTGTTCCCCTGAAAAGGCAGGCTGGGGAATCGGGGCTTGGAGATGAGAGCGGATGAACGCGGCAGAGCGGTTCTAGGTGGTTGGAATAAATGTTCTTGGTGGGGCCGCGATGCAAGGCAATCGACGAAAAAAAGTTGAGCTGCCAGCCGCGCCCCACTCTCTGATAAGCCTTATCGCTCCCGTTCACTTCACCGTTTCAAGCAGACGCGGCTCGCTGAAACTCGAGACAAAACGTCAAGGAAAATATGTCCAAAACTGGCCTTTTTGGGCCTGCCTACTCTGCACGCTGCAAACGGGAAAGGAGGTTCATGTGCTTAAATGTGGGACTCCAGCTATGACCACGAAACCCGTAACCTTCGAGGCAGGCGTGAGGGAAGGACGCCTCCAACCCCATTGGGCGTCGATTCGTCTCTCCTATCTTCTACCCCTCGCGCTCCTCAACACCCCACTGAGGGGTGATCATGACTTCAGCTCGACATTTATTGTCTACGCATCTAAGAACGGTGTATTGCCTCAGGTCCATTCAACTAAATGCCTCGTGATCCGTCCGTCGAGGATGGTTGGTAAACCACCGCGAAATCCCAGCAAGCACAGGTAAAGCACCAAGAACAAAAAAGAACAAAGCTGGAAATAAACCCCTCAAGAATTCACCACCCCCCAACGTCCCAAAGGTGCAGCAGATCCGTGTCCCCCATGGCCATAAGAATTTCCCCAGTTCGTATCAGACATAAGTGACGCCATGCAATCGTGCCGGACCCGGGTATTAACAGCAGCCCTTCGACTCCTCCTTTGCCCCCTCTTGGCTGAGCGAGATGTTATTGCCTTCCCTCGGGTCGAACTTCTTGCCGACGTCTGCTCCTTCCTCCGCCAGGCTCTTGCTCGACACGATCTGGTAGATAGCTGTGCGGCGCGAAAGGTTAGCTCTGGCGGGCCAAATAGAGAAAATAGCACAGCGGGGATCATACAAGTCAGGATGTTCTGGAAAGCGAGGTCGACGTTCGTGGCCTCGAGGGCGGATGTCTCGATAAAAGAAAGCCCGTTCTCGCCTGAAACAATCGTCAGCTTTGTGTTCCCCGAGCGGCCACACCACAGCCACCCCCCAATGGCGCAGCAACATACTGGCAAAGTTCTTGCCGTCCTCTGTCGGCACGGCTCTCAGGTGCCGCTGATCGGTCTTGTTGCCCACGAGCATGATGACGATGTTGCTGTCGGCATGGTCCCGCAGCTCCTTCAGCCACCGGGTCACGTTCTCGAACGAGAGGCTCTTGCTGATGTCGTAGACGAGCAGCGCACCGACAGCGCCGCGGTAGTAGGCAGAGGTAATGGCGCGGTACCGCTCCTGGCCCGCCGTGTCCCAAATCTGCGCCTTGATCGTCTTGTTGTCGATCTGGATCGACCTCGTGGCGAACTCGACGCCGATGGTCGACTTGGAGTCTAGGTTGAACTCATTGCGCGTGAATCGGCTAAGCAGGTTGGATTTTCCGACACCCGAATCTCCGATGAGCACCACTAGGAAAAAAGCACGGGATCGTCAGTCGAGGGTTTTACGCGACGGTGGATGGGGGCAGGCGCATCGGGTTGGGTCGGCTAGGCACCTTTGAATAGGAACTGTTCAAGTATCTCGGGTTAGCGCAAGGCACGCGCACGCAAAACATGAGGGGAGAAGCGGGAACCGGTGGCTTACATCGTATTCGTCGTTCGCCATGGCTGCGGTGGGAGATTATGCACGAAATGAGGTCGGATAGTCCCGCGAAATGGTGATGTGTTTGTGCTTTGTGCAGGCTGGTTGATGTCGAGGAGAGTTCAGGAGGATGGTCGGTGCGGCTCAGAGGTGGGTCGTTCCAGGTTGGTTCAGGTGCTGCAGCTGACGACGAGTGGTGGCGGTGCCAGGGTCTTCATGAGTGACTTTGTCCGAAAGGCAGGGTTGGGTATGGCGACCCGAAGGAGTAAGCTGGAAGGCAACGGAACAACTCGTTCTCTGATAACAACAGGTAACAACTGGATAACAACAGACTTGCTCCTCGGCCACGCGTCCAGGTCACGTTCCACTTGATGCCCCAAGACTTGTTACATTTGATTCTTCAGGTCTTCAATGAATCACTGTAGTCGTAAAACAAGGGCAGCTCCAAACGGTGGATATCACGTGCAACTTGGCGCGGCAGTAAAATAGGTCGGTACCTCCGGAAGATGTGAGCAGGTAACACTGATACGATGCTTTCGCCGTTCGCAGTTCCCCATGATCGTGTCTACGGCCGATCATTTCCACAAAAATACGAGTAGCCAGTCGTGAAGCATGAGTACCCTGATCCACTTTATCTAAGGGAGGTATTCAACGAGTATTCGAGTGCATGGAAGTTGTGTCTTCCCCAGCGCCCTGTTTTTGGGAACGCGCCAGGGTTGCCGACCGCTCAACCGGCGCAGGTTGCTGATTGGCCCCAACTCTTTCTTCTTCGAACAGACCATCAAAAGGTTTCGCTCACCTGCTCCTTCCTGGGCAATTCTCAACCTAAGATCAAACCAACATTGAAACGGTTCCAGGTTTTCATGTTGCCTGGGGCAAATGGCACCTACCAATTAGTTACACCCGGTTAGGTTTACGGCCATGTACAGATGTAAAATTATGTACTAGCCGTCGGACCTGTGCGTTCATACCCGATTGGATTGGGTGTCTCACACTTTCTTTGTTCCTCCACGCGTCGCGACCGCCCACCCACCTCCGACAACAAACACAAAATTGGGACTGGTCAATTTTCCTTCCCAGTAACTCGAGTTTGTTCACAGAGAGACCGGCACACACGGAACTCAGGCTGACTCTCAGCAGCACAATATCATTTTTAATTGATTCCAGTTGACTCACAACTCCCATGTTGTCCGCCTCAGCACTCAAATACCGATCAAAAAATCAAATAATCGGCAATAAGTAGGCGGGGGTTGGTCGAGGCATCAGGCCTTGGTTCATCCGTGGTCGAGTCACTAGGTTGTTGGCCGACCAGTTCCTTTTGAACACACAAATTCAATCAATCTCGGATGAAGATTCATACATCTCTACATTGCTGACCGTGCCACCTCCAAGCGGTCAACTCGCCATGTTCAAGATCGACCCTAGGGCATTCGAGCCCGTCTCTCCATATGGAGATGAGAGCGATGACAGCATCTCGGTGACATCAACAGTCTCGGGGCATGACCCCGACCAGGAGTTCGGCGTGGAGAATATCCTAGCCCAGCGCCAATTTAAGGACGGCAACATGTACTACCTCGTAGAATGGACAGACTTTCCACTACACGAGAGTACTTGGGAACCTGAATCAAATATTAGCGCCGACCTCAAAGCGATCTGGGAGGAGGACAAGGCCAAACATGCGACCGGCGAACTGAAACCTTTCGATATTCAAAAGTTCGAGGACGCGCAGGAAGAGGCAAGCAGGGGGAAATTGTCTCGTCACCGCCGCCGAAACCGAAAGCGAAAAAGGTTAGGCCTGGAATTGACAGAGCCTTTCGACAAGAATTCAAGCGACGAGGAAGCCGTGGAGGAAACCGGAATCGAGACCTCACTCCCAGAACCCACGCAAGCAGTGCGGCCTCAAAATCCGCAAAAGAATGCAAAAGAGGTTTCCAGCCCCGATTCTGCGACTACCCCTGCTCCAACACACGTTGTTGGCAGCTCCCAACCGCCGAACGAGGTCAGGCGGCCAAGGGGCACGGCTGAAGAACTACCAACAGACACGTCCTCGGCTATAAGTACCAAAAGAAAACAAACCACCCCTCCGCAAACGACAGGTTACCAAGGGACAGCGAGGCCAACGAGAAAAGCTTCTGCAGATGCGGTGCCGAAATCAAAGACCAGGCCGACAATTTCCATTCCGACCAAAACCGCACCATCATCCAGGCCAACTACGTCCGGCATTCGTAAAACTCTAACGGCCAAGAAGAGCGCAACACAGCCAGCGGGCAATATCTTTACGAGCGGCAAAATAAGAAAACTACGGCCCGGCCTTAAGGATACGATGTCGGATCTAACTAAAGAGCCGAAGTTGTTCGCCAAACACCGCCAATGTAGACAGGTATGTTAGTTCAAACTACATATGCCCCCTTTTGACCACCCTATGTAAATGTCTATTGTACGCTCTAAATATAATCGCCTTGGACTGTTTTGAAACCGTTCTTACAATATAATAAAATAACTAACATTAGATATAGGCCTACTTAAGAAGTCGCGATAAAGAAGACATTGCTCCTAATGTTTCACAACTGGACCTGCTCGACCTTCGTAGCAAACAGACCATCAGCAGGCAAAGCTCAGGGCGCTCGGTCTTAAGCCCCACCCAGCAGGCGTTTTCCCCCCAACAGGAAACTTACTCGCCATCGGAACCTCCGCAAACAAGGACGTCTGCCATTAGCCCGAAGTCAACCCTCACAGACACGCAAGGGGGGCGGTCGAAGAAGAAACGGAAGTCTGTGCGGTTCCTGGAAGATGATGAAGACCAATCTTTTCTTGTTCAAGAACCAGAACAGATAGATATTGATGGCCCTTCTACCCGAGAGGCTTTCCCTCCTCCTTCTCCTCGACAGAGACCCAGCCTGGACCTGAACCGTTGGACACCGCCGGTTCAAGGCAACCAGAGCGCAGACAAGAAGCTAGTACTCGGCCAGTCCTCCGTTGACGTCACCTTCAATGGCCTCCCGCGTGAACCATCGGGCCAGCGGGCATGGCTATCGGATTTCCTGGCGGAAAGCACTCTCGAGTTCAGGCATACTTGCTTTTCTGGGACGGCTGCTGCCAAGATGAACACACTGGTCCAAGAGCGGCTTGCTAGCGGGACAATCACATCGGAAGAGAGTGAACCTTCTCTGAGGCGAATGGCAGAAAACTTGACGGCTGGCTTGCTGGCCCTTTATTACGGCCAAGCGGAGTACAATGTCTTGATTTACCCGACGAAATGCGACGAATGGAGAGCAATTCTGCCCGGCATGCAGCCCGCGAGTCCGTCCGAGGAAGTGCTAGGATATCTCATATTCGCCTCCCTAGACAATCTCGGGCTCATGCTACCGCCAGCAGCCCCCCCACCGGAATCCCGAGTGAAACTCGGAGACTCAAAGATAAAGACCGAACACAAGGCCGGCGCCTCGGCGCGAGAGTTGCTGGTCAAGCGGATTTTCAATTTCGATTACAAGAAACTCCTTCCGGTATCGCTGCTCCAAAGGCCGCCTTCCGAGCATGCCTTTTTCCTGGCGATCCCGGCCTCGCGAAGGGAAATCGGACAAGCGCTCTACCACTGGCTACGCGGCAAGAATTCCGAATGCCAGGTCTTCACGAGCCATGATGCCGGAGGCTGGGACACCTTCAGATCACGAGTCGAAACTATTCCTGGCGTGGTCATCATCCACGAGACACTAGGATGGAGCTTGCGCCGCTTCCCGAATCTCTCGCGATATCTCATCACAAGAAATGACGAATACTGGTGCATCTCTGAGCCGGTCCACGGTGTGCCCCTCTACCCGTCCGTTTCGATACCCGAGTATCCGGTGCCCCCGGGGGATATGCACCTTGCACGGCTGTTCCCGTACCGCACAGCCATCTTTCTCACGCCTAGCTTCCTGGTCTCTGAACCCCGGCGCTCACTCGAGTTTCTCGCATGGTTCTCGAAATGGGTTGGGAAGTTTTACTACCGCCTTGTCACCGCCTACAATATCCACGAGTACCTCGCAGAGCTGGCCGAAGAGAGGTACCAGGCCCGGCAAGATCTGCTGAGCTGTCCGAGCGACATGCAGTTCGACGTTGAGGCCAACCTCAACGCACTGAGCCGAGATGACTGCAGTTGCCGGTTCGCGATAGCTGATCTGGCCGCCGATCTGCATGTTGAGCGGATGGTCCAGGCCGGGCCGCTCGCCCATGACGAGGACAGCAGTCCAGTCATATATGCCGACTCGTCGATCGATCCAAATGACGAACAGAGTTTGGTCAACTGGTTTGGCTGGTGGGCCACGCTGAGAGCCGACCAATTCCGCAAGTTCCACGTCATCGGCTCGAGCCAGGCGATCAAGATGCATGGATGCAGGAGGGGAGAGCGACGCGTTCGGATACCGAAGTACTCAAAAGTCACGACGAATGACCCTGATGCCGTCTTGGAGGTCCTCCAGGAAAGGAACGACCAAGTCGAGGCATCAGGGGCTGATGCCTATAAGGATGACGGCAGAATGCAAGCCTCTCGCGCCGGGCAGGTCGGGCAGGCCGAACATGGCTTTAACAAGGGGCGGTGGGCTTTTCGAAGCAATATCATCCAAGTAGAGGATATGGCCTGCTTTGCTTCTTACCTCGACAGTTTAACCGTCTTGGATGGCAGCAAATCACAATGGGGTCTGTATAAATTTCCTATCTCCTGGTCGGACTTGGACATGGCAACGTATTTCGGCGACATGGCCGCCAAGTACCGCAGAATCTCGGACTGGTTTAACTTCACCTTTTCCTTCGGCGGTTGTCAAGGGGGCAGCAATATTTCTAAACCACCACACGGCTACAATACCTACATTGGCTTTTTTTACACCATCGATGAGGAATGGGACTCCCCCGACCCCAATGTTCCAAAACGACCACTCGAGCGCCACCCCTGGATTGGCATTTACCGACCGGTCAATCCACACCGAAGGCCATATGGGCGGTGCGAACTCATCATCTGGGACCCGGCCGCGAGGACCCGCTACCCCAACGGACAGGTCCCGGCAGAAAAGGACCTCACCTTCATGCAGCGCCAGATGATCCAACACGTCCGCGACCACGGCGAAGAAAAGAACTACGGCACGTGGCTCGACCAAGTCTGGTTCGGCGGCTGGGACTGGCCGGCCGAGTGCGACTCCCCTTACCCGATCGACGTGACGCTGCGCTTCCTGCGCTGCGTGCTCAGCGACATCCGCAACTTCCTCCCGGCCCCCGAGCCCGTCATGGAGTCCAAGGGCTGGCGCCGCGTCGCCCTCGGCCCGCCCTTCTCCCCATCCCCGACCAAAGCCTCCATAACAACAACACACCATCCAACAGCACCAGGCCGCTCCCCAGCCACCGCAAGCGCTCGCGACTCCCCCTCCCTCTTCGTCGACCAGCACCCGCCAGAGGACGTCCCCATGGACCTCGACAGCTCCTCAGCCGGCGGCGACGCCAGCGACGACGACGACCTCGAAACGGAGCAGATCGACGAAACCCGCGTCATCTTCCACCCGCCGCGCGGCTACCGCAACAAATTCCAGACGGGCGTCTTCCGCTCCCGCTGCCTCAACCGCCTGTACGAGGAGGCTCGGCTGGCGAGGGCGCGGGCGCGGGATGCGAGTGGCCCCTCCGCTTCCTCGTCGTCGTCGTCGTCGTCGTCGCACATGCGGTATGCGTATGTGCCGACCATGGACTGGTACCGGGAGCAGAAGGCTGAGGGCAGGGCGTTTGCGCATGTTAATGTGGAGTCGTGGGAGGCTGTGTTTGCGGTGTTGAAGATTGGGGCGGGGAAGAAGGATGGTGCGGGTGGGAGTGGGAGTGTTGGGAGTGGGAATGGGTATTCGGGCGGTGGGCATTCTGGTGGTGGACATGCCGGCGGTGGTGGTGGTGGTGGCGGGAGTAGTGATGGGGGCGAGGGTAGGAGTGTGCATGGGAGCTGAACTGGGAGTGTGGATGGCGGTGGGAGGGGCCAGTCGGGCCCAGATAGGGGTTGGGATTGTGTTTCTGGGGAGGTGAAGTCCGGAGGGAAACGGAGGGGAGATGGGGCAGTCCTAGTCGAGTATGAGGAGTGAGGGGGTGTTGATGGTGACGGAACTGGTGAAAACGGAGACGGGCTAAGAGCACAGGTGAAGCAGCCTCTGCCACCGAGAGCAGTGTTGGAGGTCAGTCAGGGGACGCTGTCCGAACGATGTGCGAAGTTGCTGCTGTTGGCTATGGGCCCGCGACCGAAGGCGCCCACGAGCTTCGAGATGAGCACTTTTGGTGCTACAGCCGATTCATGGGGGTGGAGATGGAGGCACTTTCCTTGGTTGGATTTCAAGACGGACTATTGCTGGACGCAGATGCTGCTCATTTTCTTGGGCATATTCGGACGGCCTAGGACTTTACACTGTCATGCATATTCCTTAGTCAGGCCTATTGGCCGGCTGACGGCTCACGGCGGCTGACATCTGTTAGACCAGGTAACTGACGGGCCAAAATTGTCTTATGTATGTATTTTAATTAATCACAATTCACTCTCACTCAGTCCACCCATGTGTTGTAAATATGGTCAAGATCTGCTCACCCAGTCCCTCGTTCTCTCGCCCTCTCACTCCCTCTCACTTAGCATAGGTATCTCACGTTGTTCGTATAGAAATGGTTTCATGAATTCCAAAATATCCAATCCCGGATTCCGTCAGATAATAGCTATGACGATAACAACCGGTGGTCACTATTGATCTATACATATAAAAAGAAAACCCTAGTTCGACGGAGGAATGCCGAACTTGGCAGACCAAGGGTCGTCGCGCCAGTCCGTGATGACGGTATGTTCAATGCTGCCAGAAATAGACTCGACGAGGGCACTACCGTTCTCGTACTTCTGCCTGACAAACTCAAAGGCGAGATCAATGCCGGCCGTGACCTATTCGGTTGTTAGATTTCACGTTTGCGCGTGAGGAGGATACTGCGGGCACGCTTACCCCTGACGAACTCCAGACCTTGCCGTCCTCGACCCACCGTGCAGGCGAGACCCTTTACAAGACAGTCAGTAACCGGCGCCCCCGTTACGAGTTTGGCAATGCAGGAGAACTTACCACTTGACCTTCGGCCCCATCGGCGTCATCGTATTCCAGGCAGCCTTGTTGGTCGTCGCGCGGTGGCCATCCAACACGCCCGACTGTGCCGCGATGCCCGCGCCGGTGCAGATGGTGATGAGGTACTGGAGGCTGGGGAACACCTTCTTGATGTACTCGATCTCGGGGCCCAGGTCAGGGCTCCGGGCGGCGGCGCCGCCGGGGACGACCAGCACATCGATGGGCGGGTTATCGGCGTAGGTGTGGGTGGGGTTGAAGGTCGGGTAGAAGGACGAGTTGAACTGGTTCATGGAGGCGCTGACCGGCTCAGTTGTGACGGGGTCGAGCGTGCGGCCGAGCATGAACATCTCGAGGTGGGTCTTCCGGGACACGGCCTGTAGGACCTCTAGAGGCCCGAACACGTCGATGATGTCGAAGGCTCGCGGGAGCATGAAGCCGATGCGGCGGGGGGGGTTCGGCATCGCCGCCTGCACGGCGTTGGTGGGTGCTTTCTGGGGTGGTTCTGGCAACATTGCACATACCATTCCCACAGCTCTTTGAGTCTGAGCGAGGAGGCAGGGCTCCCGCTACAACCGGGTTGGCAAGTGATAGCGAGGCCAACAAGACAGTCAGACCTTTCGCAAGGAGCCCGACACTGGGGGCGGCCGGCATCATGATGGAGGTTTCAGGGGTTGTAAACAAAGACACAGAGACTTCTCCTTCTCCTATCAACAAGCTCACAGAGTGGGTTGAGAACTAGGTAGCGGTGATGAGGAGGATAAAAGGAGAACGAGACTCCATTCTGGGCTTATTGCCTCTATTTCTATCCATCGTAAAGACGTTCAAAGAGCCCCTGAAGACCATTCAAAGCTCCGAGGCGCTTCGGAGTCTCTTTCTCAAGGCTGTCACAATTGTCACTTGAGATCGCCCAAAACATCACCAACGGAAGCAACTGGCCCGCGGCACGAACGAGTCTTCCAAGAGCTTCCGCCGTTCGTCACAAACATTTGCCGCCCCCTGTCTCGCCCTTGCAGACAAAAACGTGCGCAATAGGTAGGCGCGCGTTCGAGTCCGAGGTTGAACATGGCAACTCCCTGTCAGTCCCCGCCATTTCGGTTCAAACTGCGCAAGTTTAAGAAGCTCTGCCACTAAGCTGCTTTGTTGGGTTTCCATCGAAGGGACGGAATCCGAAATGCGGAGTCGTAAAAGCGTATGCGAGAGAGCCAGAGGCAGCCCAGGAGGTCGGTGGGTTGGCAAAAGGAGAAATGTGGGCATTTCTCACAGTATGCGAGGTCACAATTGGTCTGCCCGAATTCTGGGGATTGTTGGGGGCCGTTGGAGCACGAATGAGCACATTTCTGCCGGGTTCCTGCGACAGCAAGCGGCAACATCGCACCTGACGGGTTTGCCAAGAAAGAGTGCCTCTTAGGAAAGTGCGTTGAACGGTTCAACTGGCGCCTGGCAGCGGCGACCTGAAACTCGTCCTTGCCATTGCTGATCTTGGCATTGATGTGGAGAAGTGAGGAAGGTGAGATCGGTGAGGCCGGCGTGGAGGAGGAAAATGGGTAAGGAAAGTCCACTACGGCCGAGGTTCGAGATGTCAACAACAGAAGGGGCCACTGGTGGTTTTTAGGCAAGATAGCCGCTTGGAGTAGAGCTCCCTCCCTTATCTGATGAAGCTGCAAATGATGTCACCTCTTAGATAACCCCCACGCGACCCCTCGCTAACCCTCACTGAGTGAGAGCTTCTTGCCTCGAGAACAACATTTATTTACCCCTCCTGTGGAGATGTCGTCGGAGACATCGGATATTGATTGTGCTTACTACGACTTGAGCAAGTTAGAATAAAAACCTCAAAAATTTGTATTGCACCAGTTGTCAACCGGTGAACATCCAAACCCCAGATCCCAGGCGTCACAAGACCAAAGTACACAAACCATCTTGAAATTACAACACCACCACCACAACACAGCCCCGCAATGTCCGGCGCAACCCACACTCACGATGGCGTGCATCTGCACTCGCACGACAAGTTCAACCCCGCCGAGCACGGCCACAGTCATGAGATCCTAGACGGGCCCGGTAGCTACCTCAACCGTGAGATGCCAATTGTTGAGGGCCGCAACTGGGCAGACCGGGCCTTCACCATTGGCATTGGAGGGTATGTCATCCTTACGCCCCTCCCTGGCCCCTTTTTCATTTCTCCTCCCGCCCGCAAGTCCTTCCTCCAACCTTCACCGCCTCAGTTCCCGTACCCGTCCCCATCCCCGTCCCCATCCCCATCCCCGTTCGCCGTCCAGCTCCAGTCTTCCCACACTCCCCCCTAGTTAGCCCCTGACCACTCACTAACCTCCCCCACCCCCCCTTTTTAGCCCCGTCGGGTCAGGCAAGACAGCACTAATGCTGGCGCTCTCGCGCATCTTCCGGACGAGCCACTCGGTGGCGGCGGTGACGAACGACATCTTCACGCGGGAGGACGCCGAGTTCCTGACGCGGCACCGGGCGCTGCCCGCGGAGCGGATCCGCGCCATCGAGACGGGCGGGTGCCCGCACGCGGCCGTGCGCGAGGACATCTCGACCAACCTGGCCGCGCTCGAGGACCTGCACGCCCGCTTCGCCACCGACCTGCTGCTCATCGAGTCCGGCGGCGACAACCTTGCCGCCAACTACTCGCGCGAGTTGGCTGATTATATCATCTATGTCATCGACGTCAGCGGCGGCGACAAGGTGCCCCGCAAGGGCGGGCCGGGCATCACTCAGAGTGATTTGTTGGTTGTCAACAAGACCGACCTCGCCGAGGCCGTCGGCGCGGACTTGAGCGTCATGGAGCGGGACGCGCGCAAGATGCGCGAGGGCGGGCCCACCGTGTTCGCCCAGGTCAAGAAGGGGGTGGGCGTCGAGCACATTGTGAACCTGATTCTCAGTGCTTGGAGGGCGAGCGGTGCCGAGGAGCAGCGGAAGTCCGTGGGTGGGCCGAAGCCGACGCCGGGGTTGGAGGGCCTTGATGGGCCCGCTTGAGGAACCATTTACTGGAGGGTGGATGGACAAAGGTAAGAAGACTGTAGAATCAAGGGGGAGGAATTGCCATTGGTAGGAATATATCCACGGCAAAGAGGGGAACTAAAGTACGGGCAGTAATATATCATGATTCCCAAACGCCGTCGTCATAAGCCCTGTTTTGGGCGGTCTATCTATGCATCTTCGTTCATTCCGCATCCATCGCGTCTCCTTCCTGCACACGGTCAAGTAGTATCCCGTCCATTGACTTGGCGTTGCGCGGCCAAACCCGCTTGTACAGACTGACACCGATCGAGTCCTGCGGGTTGATCCGCCCGTCGAACGTCGCTTTGAAGTACCCGTGCGTGCCCAACGCCTCCTTGAAGAACCCGCCACGGCCCCTCCTGGTCCATAGCGGCAGCGCCCTGAACCACTCGACGTCCTCCCGGTTGAAGAACATGTACCGGATGGTGACAATCTTCTTGTGGATGTGGTACGGGTGGCCCGTGAGGATGGCCCGCTTGGCAATCACGCGCGACGTCGACGGCGGGAGCGTGGTGCCCGTGGCAATCAGCGTGAAGGGCAGTGGGGGGTTGTCCTCGTCGTCCTCGGGGGTTACGGCGGTTTGCTTGAAGAAGAGCACCGGCATGGAACCCCATGCGACCGGGCCCATGAACGTCGCCACGGCGGACTGGCCGGGGTGTAGGTACCGGCAGTACTTGTGGACGTCGTTGGGTGTGCTGCCGCCCTGCGAGAACAAGGGGTTGATGGCAAACCTCCGCGGTCCGTACTGCACGATTAACTCCTCCTTCGCCTTGATCGACGTCGGGCAGTCGGAGCTGAGGTTGATCAACATGTTGACGACCGTCCGCTTCTGCTCGTGCCTCAGGAGCGAGATGAGAGTGATTGGCCGGCTCGTGTCGTGTGTCTTCTGGATTGCCGGTGTCACTCCCTTGATGTAGACGTGGACACGAGTACCAGGGGCAACACCACCAACCAGGGCCTCGCGAGCTGCCCGGATACGAGAGGCTTGGTAATCGGGGATCCGTAGCAGCCGCTGCCACTCCGCCGGCTCGTACGCGCGATCCTCGTCCTCCTGCCATGGGCTCGACCTCAGGCTCTTGAGGCCTCTGTACTTGGCGAGCCGTTCCCGGGCAAGCACACCAGGATGAAGCTCGACTTCGTCTGGGAACTCCAGGTCATCCTCGGCTTCTGTCCTCTTGCTCTTGCGGTAGGCTTCGAGTGCCTCGGCGTCCTCATCCTCATCGGGCTCGACGAACGCTACTGACTGAGGGTACTCTGACGGCCCGGCTTCTGTCATAGCGTCCCCGGCGAGACCTTCCATTCCATCTTCTGGTTGTGCCTCGTCCTCTTCTTCCTCGTCCTCCATGTCATGGTCTTCCAACTCGGAGCCAGAATCGGAAACATCATCGTTGTTATCTAAAAACCACGCAGCCTGGTACTTTGATGTGCCTTTGGGGACCTTCTTCGGCATTTGCAGCTCCTGGACTTGGTCGTCGTCGGAGAAATAGTGGTGATCATCCAACAATACACCCTTTTTGGAGGCCGTCATGGTCGTTGCGGCATCCATATCTTCGTCATCGTCCATAATAGCCTCCTCCGGCGCAAGTTCCTCGAGACCGTCCCGATCCTCGGTCGGCTCCCCGAGTGTCACCTCTTCCGTATTTTCGTCCTCCATGGTATCATCTCCCCTCCTTTTCCGTGTCGCAAGCGGTGCAGCTGTGATCTTCTCAATCTGGAATGTCCCCCATTCCCCGACTTGCACCAATCGGTCAGCATTTAGGCCCCTGCCCCTGACTACGCCGGTCAGAATGGTAGGCGCCATCCCCGACCTCGCCCACTCGATGTCCTCAACAAGCATCCAGCTGCGCTCCTCCCTCCACCGGATTCCCTTGGGTGTGGTGCTGCATAATGACCGAATCAGATTCGAACACTCTTGCCGGTTTTCCAGGCTGTAGATCTTTTCTTGCTCCGGGTGGAAGTGTGTGATGAATGACTTGAGGGACGAGACAACGGAGAGCCTCTGCTTGGCGGGTTCGATTTTGTTCAGCCCCTGGACGACAGTGAACAAAGTCGACATGCCTTGGCTCTCGACACTTCGCAGGATCAGTTCGCCCACTTCATCCACCTCCACCTCGGCCGACAGAATAATGACGACGAAGTCGGCAACTCGAGCGGCGTCCATACACGCAGTGAACTCTCTCTTCACCGGGATGTATTGCAGTTTCTGCTTGAACCTGTCCACCGGGACCCGGAAGCAGCTTTCGTGTACTTCAGTCTCGATATCAACGCTGCTGTTCAGGCTGCGAATCGCCGCGGCGACGTCGGTGTCGGCGCAGAGAGGAATGACGGCAACGTTTCGAGGGGCGCCATCTTTCCCGGCAAAGACCGATGCCTCCTTTTGATGCTCGCGGGCCTTCTCCTGCTGGAGCTGCTTGGCCCGGTTCCGTCGGTCAAGTTTCGACATGACTTGCTGGTGTGGTGTCTTGCGTTGTCCCTTTTCGCCTGCAATTCGCCCTGATGAAGAGAATAAGTGGCTATTCCAATCTGAGGAGAAAAAATGCTCCAATATTCCTCCCTGTCTTTTCTCGGGCCCCTTTTTAAGTGCTTGTTTGGAAGTATAGAGCTTCGGCGTGAGTCATACCTTTTGCAGCATCGCGCAGTTGGCCCTTGGTCGACTTTCTGGACTTGAATCCCTTGTGCGACACCTTGGTCGTTGCCCGGTGGGAGTGGCCCCCGCCTACTGCGCCCGGCATCTTTCCGTCGCCGCCGGCTTTAAAACGATATGGGAGGGACGCCACTTTGCTCGGCAAGAAAATGGACAAAAATATAAAAGGCACAACACGTTGAAGCACTGAACGACTTAATAGATGCGGGTAGCGGGGAGCGACGATGGCGGGGCGTCTCTGCCTTTTTTTGACTTGTGTGCCATATCTTATCTTTCCTTGTGCGACCAATTAGGAGAAGGGACGTAAACTTTTTAGTGGGCCCGGCTCAAAAATGTCGGCATGCCTCGAAGATGGATGGCGGCCGCCATTCTAGTCCGCAAAACCGTACGAAGATCCATCTTCCCCCCGGCTTGCGACAAGAATGGATACCACAGATACCGTCGATACCCCAATGGCATTAGTTGAGCAGCCCAGCGGGGCTCTCACTGTCAATAATGCCCGAACCGAATTCCGTTCCAAGGCCGAGCTGGAACGCGTCCGTCGACACAGACAGGCGCAGAAGGCCTACGGTCGCGGTCGGCAGATCGATGTCAAGAACGTGAGGGACAAGAAACTGCGGCGCAACCTTACGAACCTCGAGAACAAATACAAGACGGCCGCTCTGAAGGCGAAGGAGGCCGAGATCCTGCTCGAGAATGCCTCGGGCTTTCTCGAGGCCGAGACAGAACTCGAGCGGACGTACAAGGTTCGCCAAGATGACATCCAGAAGGAGGTCGGCATCGAGGTCGCGCAAAAAAAGTTCGAGTTGAAGCTGAATGATTTGGGGCCCTATGTCTGCGAGTATAGTAGGAATGGGCGGGATCTCATCCTGGCGGGGAGGAAAGGTCACATCGCGACAATGGACTGGCGGGAGGGCAAGCTGGGCTGCGAGCTGCAACTGGGCGAGACAATTCGGGATGCCCGCTTCCTGCACAACAACCAATTCTTTGCCGTGGCGCAGAAGAAGTACGTCTACATCTACGACGCCAATGGTGTCGAACTTCACTGTCTCAAGAAGCATGTGGAAGTTTCGCACATGGAGTTTCTCCCATATCATTTCCTGCTGGCGACACTGGTAAGCAGCCCCGACAACAGTGTTGACCGGCCATAACTAACGACTCGTAGAGCATCAGCGGCCAATTAAAGTACCAGGACACCTCGACCGGTCAAATAGTCACCGAAATCCCGACCAAGCTCGGAACACCCGTCTCCCTTACACACAATCCCTACAACGCCATCCTACACGTGGGCCAGCAAAACGGTACCGTCACGCTGTGGTCGCCGAACTCATCAGAGCCCCTGGTTAAACTCCTCGCGCACCGAGGCCCAGTCCGGTCACTCGCGGTCGACCGGGAGGGGCGATACATGGTGTCGGCAGGACAGGACAACCGGATGGCTATTTGGGACGTTCGGAACTTCAAAGAGGCAGTCTCCAGCTATTTCACAAGGTCGCCAGCATCCTCCCTTGCGATATCAGACACAGGTTTAACAGCCGTCGGGTGGGGTACCAAGACGACGGTATGGAAGGGCCTTTTCTCGAAGGACAGGGCGGTGCAAGAGAAGGTCCAAAGCCCGTACATGACGTGGGGCGGCGAGGGGCAGGCAATCGAGCGAGTTCGGTGGTGCCCTTTCGAGGACGTACTAGGGCTCGGGCACACCGAGGGCTTCTCGTCCATCGTCATCCCGGGTGCCGGCGAGGCCAACTACGACGCGCTCGAGGTGAACCCATTCGAGACCAAGAAACAGAGGCAGGAGGGCGAAGTCAAGGGCCTGCTGAACAAGCTGCAGCCCGAGATGATCGCGCTGGACCCCAACTACATTGGAAACCTGGATTTGAGGTCCGAGCAGCAGCGAAAGGCCGACAGGGACCTGGACGCTCCCGCGGTGGACGTCGCCGAGGAGATGAGGCACCGGGCCAGGGGCAAGAGTGGTGCGCTGAAAAAGTATCTGAGGAAGCAACGCAAGAAGAACATCATCGACGAGAAGAGGGTCAAGGCGGAGGAAATGTACAAGGAGATGCAGGAGAAGAAGGACGAGAGGCAGAAGGAGCGGCAGGCCGAGTTGGGGCCGACACTGTCGCGGTTCGTCAGGAAGGACTAGAGAATGATACCCGAATGGAGAGCATGTGGGTCATGCCGGCGACGCTGCGAAGTCTCGCCCACCATTCTACATCTCTAATCGTACACGTAATGAGAAGATGCCATATCACGAGCGAGTTTGTCGCCGCCCCTTTGACTCATGAAATCGTACAATTGAGCCCTCGAAATCAAGATCTAGGCCGAATCAAACTCCAAACGCTCAAGGCGCCGGTCAAACCCAGACAGTATGCACCCGCCGTCTATTTTCCCACCCATAACCGTAGTTTTTCCTTAAAACTCCCAACGGATGTATCCATTACAGCAGCTTCAGATGTCCCGTGACCATGTCGACCAAGCTCTTGGGCGCGGGCCCGACGCCCAGCACCGTCCTGCTGCCGGCGGCGATCTGGGTGCGCCCTTGGTCGGCGATGACGCGCGCCGTCACGCCCAGGCCGCGCGCCTTGCCCATCAGCTCCAGCAGCTCGTCCTCGCTCTTGACCTGCACCGCGATCTTGGCCTGCCCCGCGCCCTCCCACGCCCGCAGGATCCGCGCCTCGGCCGACTGCGGCGCCTGCTGTGCGGTCCGCACCAGCGCCTTGTAGCATGCGAGTGTCGCGTGCGAGCATTGTGCCGCCATCTTGCCTGTTCGTGGGTTGCGGACGTCAGCCTCCTTAATTCTGTCGAGGGGGGGGGGGGGGGGGGGGGGGGGGGACGAGCAGGATAGAGAAAGCAACAACTCACCCTTGGTCATGCCCAAATCCGTCCTCACCACCAACACCATCTTGCACTCCTCCTCGCCATCATACCGCACACCCCCCGCGGCAGCAGCCTCCACCCCTCCCCCACTCGCACCCACACCCGCACCCGTGCGCGCGCGCAGGCCCTGGCGGCGGTCGGCGTCGGCGCCGTTGGCCCAGTTGGGCGCGTGGTCCAGCAGGGAGTCGGCCTCGTCGATGTCGGACTCGTCGCTCTCCTCCGGGTCGCCCAGGTTGGCGGCGCGCTCGGCGGCGAGGTCCGGCGAGATGAGCGAGCCGCGGATCGTGTATATTCCTAGGCCGAAGCCCGTGATGAAGGCGATGAGGGTTGTCGTGACGATTACGGCGGAGGTGGTTTCGGACATGGTGGCGGCGGGTTGGTTGGAGGTGGGTAGTGGGTGGGTAGTTGGGTGGGAGGGGAATGGTTGGTTGGTTCGTTGGTAAGGGGGGTGGTGAGAAGGGGGATTGTTGGCGTGGAAAGGAGCTGGTGGTGGTGGTTGGTTTTTGGTCGTCAGATCAGATGCCTCCTTAGAATTCAATTGCTTGCATTACGGCGCTCGCAAGCAGCATTTCCCAGATTTAAGCTTTTGGGACCCACTCATTACGGGCCCACCTCCGATTGCACCGGCACCTCATGGACAAAAAAAGGTTCGCGTAACGACTTGCCAGTCTCCTGCAATGCCTTGATCTGGTCCTCGGCTGATGTACCAGCACGAGGCAGAAACGGCCATCGCCCACGCGGCCGCGAGTGCAAAACGACTGCACGACAGACGACGAACGCCGGTCAGCATTCAAGTCGGCGATCCGGTCTACCTGAACCTCCACCACGGGTACAATTTGCCAGGAAAGCCTCACAGGAAATGGTCCCAGCAACGAACCGGACCATTCACCACAGCCCTGGCGATCTCCGAGGGGTACAGCCATGGCATTCTGCCGTTATTCTTCGCCTCGGTCCAGGTGTCAAATTGTCCGCGCCAAGTTCCAACCGGAACAGGAGATCCGCCGCGCTTCTGGGCTTGAATCCGTAGGTGACTTCGAGCGGTGAGCGTCCGATAGTTTCGCTGTGTGCCAGGTTGAGGTTATGCTGCAGCGCTGGTATAATGTCTGTCCACGGCGCCTCCTGGTTTGTTGCAATGTGGTACCGGATTGCGAGTTCGATCGTCTGGTTCTTTCGTTCCGAAAGACCGTCCGTCTGCGGGTGATACGATGTTGAAAACAACAATCAGGGCGTCTGGGACCAGGTTTAGGCGTCCTGGAATGTGCCGAACGTCGAGCTTGTATTGGGCTAGGTAGATCGATGCCAGGATATGCCGCGGGTTCAGCTTGACGAGGTCTGTAGTTCTCAGTGACGATTGGTTGACGATGCCTCTCGTCGACTGGTGGTCCGTCAATACGACAATCGGCTTCTCCAAAGCAGATGTCGATAATGGAAATCCCGAGTCCCCGACTGTAGGAACAAAACGAAAGCCATCCTGAAGCCCAAAGAAACTCTATTTACTCCATTTCCTTTTCTTTTACCCTCTTTTTTTTATTTGTCGATCTGTTTTCATTTGTTCTTTTTGCTTGATTTCTTGCTTTCCTTTCGAGTTCGGCTTTTTTTGGCCAGAGGGTGACCGGCACGAAAGAAGGACCCGGCAGCCGTTGTTAGAGATAATTAAAACGGTATGTATGTGCTGAAGGTAGGGGCCTATTCTAACTAAAAAAAGACCCTTACTATACCTCGAAATGAGGTGGCGGATCAGGGCTCGTTAAATAGTTCAAAGGGTGCCGAACAAAGTGCCACACATGGGAAGTTCATACTTCTTCAACAGCGAAGTGGCATGGGTAAGAGGATAACAGAGGGCAGATATGGTTAGTTCACAGCGTACTGGCATGTCAAATGTCAATGTCAGGTTAGAGAACAACAAATCACAGCACGGCAACAGCGAGACACCAGTTCGAGGTCAGGGTCGAACCAAGACCTCTCCCTCTACAGCTTACCTCAACCCGACATCTAAGCCCATACACCGTGTCAGTACAGACCCAAAACCGATATATTAACAGAGATAGAGGGTATAAGCACCTTTGTTGATACCCAATGCTCACCCCCCAAGTTCGAACCCCACCCACCCACTAAGCCAACCGCACGCCCGCCTCCCTCCTCTTCTTAGTCTGATGCGACGCCGCCGAGCTCATGCCCACATTCTGGCTGGCGTCCAGCATGCTCTGGGTCATGCGCCTCTTCTCCTCGGCCAGCTTCTTCAGCCGCTTGTCCGTCTTGCCCTTGCCGGACCCCTTGCCGTGGAACTGGTGGGACAGCTCCTTGAAGGCCTCCTTGGCGTCGAGGCTGCGGCCGTCGCCGTCGACGTACTTGAGCTCGACGTCCGGGCGGTACCCTTCGCGGAAGAGCTGGTCGATGACGCGCGACTGGTGCTGGTCGCGCATCGTGTTCTGCTGCCGCTGCCAGTCCTCCTTCTCGCGCGCCGACATGCGGTCGAGCCGGCCGCTGGTGCGGTCGCGCTCGCGCTGCGCGCGCGTGTCCTGGTCGAACAGCTCCATGCGCCGGTGCATCTCGTTGAGGAAGCGCTGCCGCTGCCGGAACTTGTCGTTGACCTCGGCGCCCTTGCCCTCTTCGATGAGCTGCCGGTCGCGAAGTAGCGAGAGGGTTGCGCCCATGCCCTGGCCGACCGTTTTTTCTTCTTCGACGCCGGTGGTCGGGACCTCGGGTGTGGCTTCGCGTGAGGCGGCGCGGGGTTGGTCGACGTCGTGCATTTCCTCGTCTTCCGAGGATTCGTCTTGTTGCATGGCTGTGACGCCTGGTTCGGGCTTGGGTTTGCGCGGCTTGCGGTCTTCCTCTGGTTCATGACGCAGGCCGTCGACGAATCGACTGATCTCGTCCATGACGATGCCCTTGTCCTCTTGGGCCTCGCCTTCGGGATTCTCGGTTGCTTCGCGAACTTGTCTTGCGATATCCTCCGGTCGCGTCTTCTTTCGCTTCTTCAGTGCCTCCCGTCTTTGAAGCGCCAGAGTTGCCTGCAGGTCCTCGTCATCCACGAAACTGTCATCCACTACCTTTCGCTTCTTGGTGAAGGCGGCAGCGCCCGAGTCAACGTCCATTTCTTCCATAGGCTCGTCGCCGCCCGCCGCATCGCCGGGGAATAACGCATCGTCATCATCGTCCCGCCTTCGCCGTGTTGATTTTGACTTCTTCTTTTTGGGCTTCTTAACCTTGACTTCCGACAAGTCGAGGTAATCCGATGTGGGAGCCGGAGCATCTTCTGCAACACCAGTTAGTATAGACGCACCAGGCTGTGATGAACCGTGGGAAAACTGACCAAGTACATCGAGGTCTACCACCTGATGTTTCCTCTTTTGAGCCGGAGCCGCTAGGATATCAGCTAGTTCGGTGGTCGTCGCGGCCGAGTCCAAGGTGAAGGCTGTCTTCTTCTTCCCGAATATCTCCTCGTCATACTTCGATAATAGGCCAATTTGGCCAGTCTCGTCGACGTCGTTCGGGTCGTAGACTGGCTTCTTCTTTTTCAGATCGAGCCTCTCCCGCAGCTTCTCCTGTTCACGCAGTGAGAGGTTCTCGAGTTCATCCCCTTCGTCCTCATTCTCCAGCACTCCCGTATCTTTCAGGGTAAGGACTTGGTCGTCGCCGTCGAGGAAGGTGGCCATGTCATGGGCAACCTTGACGCCGGCCAAGTCTGCAGCCGTATGCTCCGCAGCTTCGGCCTCAGCTGCAGCACTCTCCTCCGCCGTCTTCCGCGCCGCATCGATTTTCTTCTGGCGTTTCTTCTGGTTCTTCAGCCATGACTTGACGTCCACTTCTTCATCGTCATCAGCCAAGCCTTTGCCCGCGACCACAGCCGTGCGCTGCGCCAGTTCGCGCGCCTTCTTGATGGCGGCTGCCTTCGCTTCGCGTTTCTTCTTCGCTTCTTCGGCTTCTTGGGTTTTTCGGAAGTTATCGTAGGAAGCCGCTTCGCGAGACTCGAGGGTGCTGACTGTCTTCCCGTCGTCGCCTAGTTCGGCTTCGGGGGTCGCTTGTTTAGGTGGTGGCGCTGCTCCCGGGACTGGCAAGGGCTTCATGCCCATTTGCAGCCGGACCTTGTTGATCTCCTCAATCGACGCGGCGTCCATGTTGATGATATGCGCGTTGGCAACGTCGAGGTAAGAGGTGGAGTGGCTGATGTTCGAGAAGCACCGCGAACTTGAAGGCCAGGGAAGTTGTCAAGGACCCTGGGCGAAGGCAAGGCGCACCAATGCACTGGATGATAAGATAAGCTTTTGGCGAATCTGCGTCGGCGGGCACAGGCCAGGCGCCCCCCAGGGTGGTGCCAGCCAGGCCGCAAGGCTGGAAGCAGGTGACCCCACTTTCCAAAATTTTCTGCAGGTATTTAGCAAAATATTTTTGGGAGCTCTTCCTCTTCTTCTCTTTTCCTCCTTCACGGATCTGTGTCCAGCGATCCTCTGCCGCTCCGGTGGTCAGGGTCGATTGCTGCGGCAGTTCGGTGAGCCAAGGAGCCATCTACCTTTCATGATGTCAATTTCCACCCGACAGGTCCCAGATCGATAGAACTTCGGGGTAGTCTCGTTCGCTGTAAAAGGTTTGAGCGAGGTGAGCCGGAGTTCAAGACGCTATATTCCAAACCGTTCGCCAAGACCGTCGGTCTATGAAGCTGGGGAAAACCATGGCGCGTCCTACATCTCTGCACTCTGCAATGTTCTTTTTCGTGGCCAGCGTGTGCGACGATTGCTAAATGAGTTCGACGGGTTGCCTCGTCTGTGCTACCCGCTGGAATTGCTCTGCTTTGCCTCGAATCACCTTCCTCCATGCGGTTACGCGACCCCATTGGCCGCCGACACTAAAAAATGAATTTGTACGGGATTTCGAACGTGAGCAAAAGGGCCGAGACGGTTGACCGGCATCCACGCCTCTCCTGTGTCATTGATGCTGCCAAGTTGAAGGACCTCTTCGTCATCGGCTCGGCGAGAGAAGCACCAGGGACAGACACTAGGCTGGTTATTTTTGGGGGCTATCACTCCATCTCCAGGGCATCGTCCTACCACGCTAAGGAGATTCCGGTTGAGGTTGATGACAGACATGTGATCGTGATGCCATCGCCGGCACGAGCTTCCATTTCTGGTCTCGATTACCGGTGCGGGGGACGGCAAGGGCAGCTCCGGTTCTTCAACCAAGCAACCTACGGCCCGATTCTCGACGTGATTGCGGGGCCGGCACTACGCCAACCTTGGCAGGCACGAGTTCATCTCGTGGGAGTTGAGTTATTCGAGTCGCGGTTCCCAGATTGTTTCTCGTCTGGGAGAAGTCGCGTCATCGGGAACTCTACTCCAAAACCAGAGGCTGTCAGTTACATCTGGGTCTCACGCTGGATACCTCCCTCCTATCCAGGAACTGTGTATGCTGCTCTGCAACATCCCATCAACTCATTAATTGCTTGCCTCTGCTCTGCGAGCTTGATTCATCGTCTTCCTTACAATTAAAACCTACACATTATACGAATAGGGACGGATGTTACCGAGTGCTTCCCATGTGATTGCCCTTCATTTTATGACAAGATCCAATGGAGCTTCTCCAAATCGTACTCGCTTCTCTCCCCTGTCCTCCCCTCTTCCCCCACACTGCAAATCATCGAGCACTGCGGAGGATCGGTGGCGCTTGTGACACCCACAGCGAAGCACGGGTCGAACCGATCGGCGGCGACTCAGCGGCGTTTGTCCAATGGCCTCGCTAGATGGAGATCGGAACGGTGTACCTTCATAGCTGAACTGATGAACCCCATAGTCGTAGCAACCTTAGAAAGCAACTCCGCCACCCATGTTCTTCTGGTAACATCTCTCCGCTACCCATACCCCTGACGGCCCCGAGCAACACTCCGAAGAACAGCCCGAGGAACAGCCCTAGCGCCCTGCCACTGCCTAACCGGTCATCGTCAACGGCCGAGTCTAAAAGCCCCAGGGTTGCATTAGAGCACGGCAGCTGCATAGGACCACAGGGAGAAACACCGAGCACAAGGCGCCGTTGAGTGCGTGTCGGCCCTTCCCCCGCATGCAAAGCATCAGCCCCCATGGGGTCCGACTTACACCCCGGTTCTGTACTAGTTCCAGATCTGGAAGTGTAGGTAGTGTGAGACATCGAAACGAGCCGAGGGCTAGAGTATAAGAACGACTCAGTATGGCGGATTTCGTAGTCCAACTTCAACAACACCTCCCATCCGTCAACGCATCCGGCCTCGTCTTGCCCGCCATGCACGCTCTCTCGTCGCTGTTCGTCCTCGGCACCTGTGCCGTCCAGACGGCCCTCGGTCGTCCGGAGGCCGCTATCCGTGCGAAGCGGGAGGGCGCTATCCTCAAGCGCTCCGTCGACTCGTTCATCGAGACCCAGACCCCTATCGCCTGGAGCAAGCTGCTCTGCAACATCGGCCCCGACGGCTGTGCTGCTTCCGGAGCCGCCCCCGGCGCCGTCATTGCCAGCCCCTCCAAGTCCGAGCCAGACTGTAAGTGGCAGCTTAGCCATATCGGACAGACTTAGGTGACTTACTGAAACGCACCAGACTGGTACACCTGGACCAGAGATGCCTCCCTGGTCCTCACGGGCCTCGTGGACTCCTTTGCCCATAACTACTCGGAATCCCTGCAGACTACTATCCAGAACTTTGTTGTCTCGCAGGCTAAGCTCCAGGGTGTCTCGAACCCCTCGGGTGGTCTCTCTGACGGGACCGGCCTCGCCGAGCCCAAGTTCATGGTCGACCTCTCCCAGTTCACTGGTGACTGGGGCCGGCCGCAGCGAGACGGCCCGCCTCTCCGGGCTATTGCTCTCATCCGGTATGCAAAGTGGCTGATCGCCAACGGCTACAAGGACACCGCCAACGATGTCGCCTGGCCCGTGATCAAGAACGACCTTGCCTACACCGCCCAGTACTGGTAAGTACCCCTGAGTCGGGTTGAGCCCGGGGGATACTGACATTCTCTAGGAATGAGACGGGCTTTGATCTGTGGGAGGAGGTTCCTGGTAGCTCATTCTTCACCATTGGCGCTTCTCATCGGGGTTAGTGTTCCCCTTCAAGTGCGTTTGGATGACACTAACACGACACAGCCCTGGTTGAGGGAGCCGCTCTCGCTGCTCAACTTGGTACTGAATGCGGTGCCTGCCTCACTACCGCCCCTCATGTTCTGTGCTTCCAGCAGAGCTTCTGGAAGTCCTCCGAGGGCTACGTCGTCTCTAACAGTAAGTTTATTCTTTCCGTCACGAAGGCCACCCTCCAACTGACAGCCAAAGTCAACGGCGGCGAGTCCCGGTCTGGCAAGGACGCCAATTCGGTCCTGACCTCGATCCACAACTTCGACCCGGCCGCTGGCTGTGATTCCAACACGTTCCAGCCCTGCAGCGAGAAGGCGCTCTCCAACCACAAGGTCTACGTCGACTCGTTCCGATCTGAATACGGCATCAACTCGGGCATTCCCCAAGGCAAGGCCGTCGCCGTCGGCAGATACTCCGAAGACGTCTACTTCGAGGGCAACCCGTGGTACCTGGCCAACTTCGCCGCGGCCGAGCAGCTCTACGACGCCATCTACGTCTGGAAGCAGGACGGCTCCATCACCGTCACCGAGGTCTCCCTCCCCTTCTTCAAAGACCTCGTCCCCTCCATCACCGCGGGCAGCTACGACACCTCCTCCCCCACCCACCAGACCATCCTCGACGCCGTCTCCGCCTACGCGGACGGCTTCATCGAGGTCGCGGCGCAGTACGCGGGCGAGGGCGGCTCGCTCGCAGAACAATACGACCGGAACAGCGGCAGCCCGCTCTCGGCCGCCGACCTGACCTGGTCCTACGCCGCCTTCCTGTCGGCGGCCGACCGCCGCGCCGGCATCGTCCCCGTCACGGGCTGGTCCGCCGAGGACGCCAACACGCTGCCCGAAACCTGCGAGCGCGTCCAGGTCGCGGGAACCTACGCCCAGGCCACCGAGACCGCCTTCCCGCCCGGCCAGACCCCCAACCCGAGCGCGGCCCCGGCCCCGGCGCCGTTTCCCTCGGCCTGTGCGGATGCTGCGCGCGTGTATGTGACCTTTGATGGGCGCGTGGAGACGCAGTGGGGTCAGTCGGTCAAGGTCGTGGGGAACGTGCCGGAGCTGGGGGGGTGGGATGCCGAGAAGGCGGTGCCGCTGTCGGCGTCGGGGTACACCGGTGAGAATCCCCTGTGGAGTATTACGGTGCCTATTGCGGCTGGGACGGCGGTGGAGTATAAGTTTGTGCGTGTGGGCGCTGATGGCGCGGCGGAGTGGGAGTCGGATCCGAACCGCGGGTTTACGGTGGAGGCGGAGGAGCAGGCTGCGAGTGGGTGCTCGGCGCAGAAGGTGGAGGGTAGCTGGCGGTAGGTTGTTGAATGGGGTGTGTAAGATGTTGGGGGGGTGGAAAATTGGGGTGTGTGATCTGGCTTGTCGTCGGGTTTTCAAGATTGAGTGATCCTTTCCTTTATATGGGACGGAGCAGGAGCAAGAAAGATCATTGCCCGGACATGCTCATCTTTGGTAAGGTCTAAATCCAACGTCTACGCTCTCTAATCATCTCTAAAGTTCTCTTTGTGTGATGCATACTCCATGCCACGGCCTCTATCCTGTGCTCCTCTCCGATACTCTCTTTCACCTCATCACTCCCCTTCACCTCCCTCTCCTCACCCCTTACTACTTGCACCCCTTCACCCCATAGCTCCCCTCCACCCAACCTACCCCCTCCCCTCCCCCAAACACAACCTCTCCAACTCCCCCATCACCACCCCCACCGCCCACTCCAAAACCGCCCCAAACTCCACATCCCCCCCCTCTTCAGCTTGCATCCCCGGAGCCAGAATCCCCTCCGCCCCCAAAACCCCCCCATCCAGCCTCCCCCCCTCCACATCCCCCCCCTCAAACAACCAACGATGCGCTTCCACATAGTTCGGCCACACGACCTGCTCGACATAGCCCGGCGGATCCGTCCAGAAGCCGTCCATGTGCACGTAGCCGTCGCGGGCGGTGCGGCGGCGGAGGGCGCTGGCGCGGCTGGCGCGGAGGAAGAGCTTGATGTCGAGGTGGGTCATGACGGTGCGGAGGGGGCTTTTGGTTTTGGAAGTGTTGTCGGGGTTGGTGGTGGTGGTGGGTGGGGGGGAGTAGAGGAGGAAGCCGTCGAGGATGCAGATGCGGGTTTTGGGTTTGGGTTTGGGTTTGGTTTCTTGGGGGTTGGGGTTGGTTTCTTGGGGGTTGGGGTTGGTTTCTTGGGGGTTGGCGTTGGACTTGGAATCAAGGGTGAAGATGGAGGAGCCTGGCTGGCCCGGGGTGAGCCAGGTGTTAACTCGTGCGGCGCAGGCGGCGATCTGCTCGGGCGTGGCCGGGCAGGGGCCGACGGTGTTGAGGTCCTCGATGGAGTTGACGTTTGGCTGTGGAGGGCAGGCGGGGGGCCGTTTGGTAAGCGGGTCTGGGCTTGTTCGTGTTGTTCTCGGGGATGGTTGGGATAGGGGTGGGGGTGGTGATAGAGGGGAGAGGGGCGGTGATAATGGGCCAGGTGAGGTGAGGGGGGCACAGCCGTGGTTGCTGCGGCGGGAGAGGGTGTTGGGGCAGGTAGTGCTGGGCACATTGCTACTAACTGGGAATGTGCCCGTTGCGCGGACGTGGGCGAGAGCGGCTTCGAGGTCGGGGATGGAGATGGCCTCGGGGCAGTCCCAGTCGGCGTGCCCCTGGTTGATGGGGAGTCTGAGAGCGAGTTAGCCAGGCAAGGACAAGTCAAGTGATATAGTTCAAAGTTTTTATATTAATATTAAAAAATAGCCCAAAACTCACTCGGATTCGGGCTTGTAAAAGTCGTCCTCGTGGAGAATAAAGGTCTCTGGGAACATGTCCCGCAGAAGCCTCGCGAGGGTAGTCTTGCCACTCGAGGAGCATCCGCTGATGCCGATGATGATGGTGCGTGGCTGGTCCATGGTTTATGGTTGCCAGGAATGAATTGGCTAATGGTGTATTTCTTGTGTATGTCAGAAAGTGTCAGGAATCCATCATCGAGGGACTTGACATGATATATGGAGAGTATATGATGAGTGAGAACAACGACCTCCAGATGACTGTGTAGCGGGTGGGGTGACAAAACAGGAGACGACAGTGCTTAGCACTGTATATTTAGTGCCTACTCGCGCGGGTCAACGAGCGCAAACACGGTGCTACGCCGCGGCCCCGGCACGTCACCTCTGAGAGGAAGCGGGCGATTAAACGAGGCGTCAGGATATCCTACAGATTACACTGTTTGCTCCTTGTATTATAGCTTTCTTCAAGTTCCCCAATGTTGAGCACTGCTTCGAGAACGCGGATGCTTCACCCAACTGCCGACATTACTCTTGTTTTGCCCTGATCCCGCATAGCAACCTCTCCTGCGCATGGTGTTCCAATCATTATCATTACCACCAAGCTTCCTTTCCTTAAACCACCTCCCAGGCAACCCCGTGTTTGGCTTGCCGCTGTTTCGTGATGGCAGTCTTGGCTTTCTGAACCTCAAGTCCAGCAGACATGCCGGGTAACCACTGCCCAAGCAGCCCAGGTCATCGACTGCCGTGTGTGGTGCTCATTCGTCACCGGCACCATACTCCTCCCTGGCCATTTTCCCCGGGTGCATAAACTCGTCGACATATGGGGACGCCTCCTCTTTGTGGCGTGTCGTGATGAACCAGGTCAACCAGAGGATGAAGACGAACATGGAGACCCAGACCAGCACGACTTGGGGAGAACGCCGCCGCCGGGGGGCATAAGGAGAGAAATATGTCCGGGCCATGCTTGCTTTAGTGCGGTTGGTTGGTGTCCGTTGTTGATTGAGGCTTTGGGTTTGAGCCGCGTTTGTATGACGAGTGGGATTCGGGGTTTGATGTTGGAATAGGTATTATCGAATGAATGATGATGGAGCTTCGTTCGTTTTTCGTTACGGGCGCGTCTTGATATTTCCTACGCTGGGCACAGACCACTTAACCGCTGTACAGATTAACAAAGTGGAAGTTACAGTGGGGTGCGTCTTCACCCAAGCGGCGTGGGGGTTTTTTTCCAGTTGGCGCCTCAAGCCGATGATCGTTCCAAGGCTCAAGGCGTCAACTGGAAAAAAACTCAGAACCAAACAGACGGATTGCTTGACGGCTTAAGAAGTAAAATACTCGCTGCCTGCCGAAGTGACAATTTACAAATATCGTTTTCCATATATATTTCTCATCATTTCATCGTCGGACCCGAACGCCAAAACTGAAAGCAGACAAAAGAGAACATCTTACATCCCACACCCCTTTTCCCTTTGTTTTTCAACACAAAACTCAAACCTCGGTCTCAACATCAGGCTTCCGCCCGCTCAGACTGCCGACCTTCATCAACCGCCGAGTGGCATAGACGGCCTCGTCCTTGGCAAACTGGACGTTGCGCATGGGTTTCCTAGGTACTCTGGTCAGCATCAAGTGTTCTGATCTTGTTTATTCTCTCGCGAGCAGAGTCCAACCTACCATTGCATCAGCCCGCGGTGCTTCCGGTGCAAATCCCGACTGCGGCTGCGGTAGTCCCTGTATTGCGCGATCGGGTTCTTGCTGCTGCTCGACTTGTTGCTCGACTTGCTAGTCGCCCCGGTTGCTCCCGTGGCCCCTGTGGCGTTGCTGTCCATAGACTTGCCGGAGCGACCATCATGGCCATCCTCTTCTCCCTTCCAGGTATAGTTCTCCCCTTCGCCGTCACCACTGCTCCCCACGCTCGCCCGCCCCTTGCCCTTGTCATGCGTGGCATCGTCAATACCCAGATCCACCTCCTCGTCACTGCTCTCCTCTTCCACGAGGTCCTCTTCATCCGTCTGCCCATCCCGCCCATCCCGCTCATCAACCTCGCCATCCCTCCCCTCCCGTCTCTCCTCCTTCACAAGCGCAGCCGGATCCTCACCAAACGCGCCGCTCCAATCCGTGCCATCCTTGGCCAGCCACCGCCTCTTCTCCTCCTCGGGCGCCATGGCCAGCACATCCCGCCCATGCGTCAGGCTCACCTCATGCAGCCGCTGCACGGCGGGGGGCACCTCGGGGTGGACATGCTCGGCGCGCACACCTTCGGCAAAGCACGCCTCCCACGTCTCGATGGTCTCGCGCGAGTCGTTGTCGCTGACGAACCGCAGGTGGTCGCGGTCCGTGCCGGGCTGGAACCGGCCCCGGAACCGCAGCCGCCCGACCTCTTCGGCGCGCAGGGCCGGGACGGACGCGATGTTGGCTTCGGTGATGTAGTTTTGCGAGAGGCGCAGCCCGTTGTCGCACCGCCATACCGGGATGTCGAAGTCCCGCTCCTCGCCGTCGGGTATGTCCTGCAGCCAGAGCGAGGCGAAGGTGTCGGCTTTGCGCCGCAGGCTGGTGCTGGAGGGCGGGTGGAATTCGAAGAAGACGGGGGAGCGGTAGCGGTAGCGCACGGGGAGGCGGATGCGCTTGGATTTGTGCTTCTTCTTGGTCGTCGTCGTCGTCGTCTTCTGATGATGATGATGATCGTCTGGGTGCTCGTTGTCCGAGGCGTCGCCGTCGCCGCTGATGTCCCAGGTCAGGCCGTTGCCGTCGTCGGCGCGGCGGCAGACGTCGCCCTTGACCGAGGCGGAGCTGCCACCTGTGCGCATGCGGATCTTGGTGTGCGGCGATGGGCTGTAGCCCGTCGTGGTGAGGGCGTCCGAGGTGAACTCAAAGGTGCCGACCTCGCCGAAGCCCAGCTGGGCGGGCGGCAGGCGCAGCTCGACGGAGCGGAACAGCAGGCTCACGCGGATGCGCCCGAAGCCGATGCCGCCGTCGAGCGGGTACCAGCGCGTGCTCTGGCTGCTGGTCTGCAGGATGTCGGACAGGCGCAGCGGCACCACGCCGATGATGGGGTCGTGCTGCCGGTTGCGCGAGTCGCGCACCGTCACCGTCACCACGCACGACCGCCAGTCGCGCACGAACCGCTCCGTGCCGGCCTCGAAGATGGGCCGCGACGACACCACCTTGGTGCGCGTCTTGTAGACGAGCTCGTCGTTGACCAGCACCGTGCAGTACGCGCTCGGCAGCTTCTTGCCCTGCTCCTCCTTGATCTCCCCGGCCTCGGGCCGCGCCGGCTCGTACTCGCGCCCGCCGCTGCGCTTGCCGCCCCGCGAGCCCTTGACGTTCTCGAGCTCGAGGTTGACGATCTGGTGCACCACCACGCTCAGCACCCCGCTCGGCCAGAGCGGGTCGGGGGGCGTGTGCACCACGGCGTCCTCCTCGGCCGTCTCCAGGCTGCCCCGGTCGTCCCGCAGCTCCTTCTTGTCGCGCAGGCCGCGCGGCAGGTTGGGGTCGAGCCCGTCGGTGCGCAGCGCCCGCCGGAACTGCGTCTTGCCGAAGTAGCCCACCTCCCAGTGCAGCTCGCCCGGCATCGTGCTCCCGGCCTTGACGCCCTTGAGCTGCGACGTCTGCGGAAACATGCGGCCCGGGTGCTGGATCAGCTTCTGGATGCTCAGCTCCACCTTGCCCACCACGTCGTCCGCCGACGACCGGTCGCTGTCCCACAGCTCCAGCGACAGCTGCTCGTCCGCCTTGATGACGTCGGCCGTGATGGGCAGCGCGCAGCACTCGGAGAAGAAGGGGTTGAGGTCGTCCTGGATCACCCGCGTGCAGTACTGCGGCTTGCCGAACTTGGAGAAGGAAACGCAGATGTACGGGTCCGACCCGCCCCCTTCGCTGCCGCGCCGGTCCTGCTTGCTGAGCCCGACCGCCTTGTGGATGCGGATGAAGAGCACGCCGAGCGCGTTGGTCTCCTTCTTGATGTCGTCGCCCTGCAGCATCTTGCCCACGTCGAGCGTCATCGACTTGGGCGCCACGTACATGTTGGCCGCCGCCGCGATCGCCCAGTTGACAAAGTTGGAGATGAGCGGCAGGTTGAGGATGTTGGCGCCCCTCTCCACCAGCGGCACGCAGCTGGCCTCCACCTTGGGCAGCCCCATCAGCGTGAAGCTGAGCGTCTTGACGAACGGCGGGTCCGGCGCGAGCGCCACCCGCAGCCGCGCCGTCGCCACGAGCCGGTTCAGCTCCACCCAGATCGGGAGCGGCACCCCGAACAGGCCGCGGACGCCCAGGTAGAAGACCAGCTGCATGCCCATGTTTTTCGCTTTGGACGACACATCGCCCGACGACGGCAGCGAGTGGTACGCCACGGTAGCCTCGAGGTTATAGAAATCGCCCCCTTCCTCCTCGGCCGCCAGCTCCTGCGGATCCTTGACCTCCGCATCCCTCTTATGAATCTCCTCCTTCAGCTCCTGCACATGCCCATCCGGCAGCGCCCTCAAACTCAGCACCCTCAACGGGTTACTCCCCTGCGAGATCTCATTCACCTTCACATGCTCAATCACCCCGGGCACACTCGCCTGCATGACATCCTCCAACGTATCCGCCACCGCAGCGAACATATCCGGATTCATCAGCCCCCACACCAACCCGACCGCCGTATTCAACCACTCGACCGACTCGGGAATCAGATTCACCACCGCCGTCTCCCCCCTCTTCCGCTCCGCACTCCACTCATTCGCCCTCCCCCGCCTCACCACATCCCTCGCCCACAACCCCACCCCCGACGCCACCCCCGCGCCCAACAACACCAGCACCCACCAACTCCCACCCCCCAACACCCTCCCTAGCACCACGACCCCCAGGAACAACCCCGCGCAGAGGACGTTCGCGCGCGCTTCGATCGCCGCGTATGTCGGCTCGTAGCTGACGGCGGGCGTCGGGTGGAAGAGCACGTTGGTCTTCTCGCCGTGGATGGGCACGTCGGAGGTGGAGCCCTCGGCGATGGGGTCGGGGGGCGCGGTGATGTCCTGGGCGACGCGGTAGGCTTCGCCGGATTGGGAGGGGTGGGTTTGGTGGGTTGTGGGTTTGTGCAGGTTGGCGTTGGGGATTGTGATCTATGCCTCGCCTCGTTAGTGGGTGTGTGTGGTTGTGGTTGTGGTTGGGGTTTAAGGGGGTGGAGGGAGGGTGTTGGGGGGGAGAAAAGGGGGGCATAGGGTTGGGAGGGATGGTAAGGGGAAAGGGGAAAGAGGGGGTCACATGGTGAAGACGGAGGAGGGCAAGGGGAACTAACCATTGGCTCGTCGGCCGCCTTCATGTGCTCGCTGCTGATGTCCTCGATCTCGACGTCCTTGCCCGTCGTCGGGTCGCGCACCGTGCGCCGGTTCTTGCCCGGCTTGCGGTAGCCCGGCGACACGTGGTCCCTGACCTCGCCATGGTGCTGGCCGTGCTTGGTCGCTTGTTTTTGTTGCGAGTCGATCTGGGCGTCGCGCTCCCGCTTCTCCCGGTCCAGCGACTCGACGAACTGCTTGATGTTGGGGATCCGGTTGCTGCCCGAGTAGTGCTGCCCCGAGGGGTAGACCTTCTCGTCCGTGTTCATGGTCGCCGTGTTAGTGGGTAGGTGGGCTCATGTGGTGGTGGAGGCCCAACTGAGCCTTGAATGGGGCAAGGTAGGTAGGTAGGTAGTATCAAGCTCTTGATGTCTTTATGCTTTATGAGAGGCTAGTTAGCTGCGAAGCCCCAAGCTAAATCACGGTAGGTGGTCCGTAGAATGGGTAGCGAGTAGTTTACGGTAGCAATGGAAGAAAGGTGCAAGTTATACCACATCACGGCAGCCCTCCCACATGGTGATGATCACTGTAACACAAAGCAAGCACACAGCTGCTTCTACTAATATATATTACTGCGTGGCAGCTCTTACGTAGCTCTCCCTCCCAACATCCCGGATCAAGCAACAAGCTCAGCTGGCCTTGACTCCAGTGACTTCCAATGGCATGGAACAGCCACACAGCGAGGCGATCCATCAAACCCCAGATCGAAAATCTGGTATGTGTTGCCAGGGTCCTGTCGAACACTCACGGCACTCAATGAACAAAACGACAATCGATGACGTCGATGTGGTGTGAGCCCCACTTTCCCACTTTTCCCGGTGCGGAACCCCGGCGGGCGGGCTCCGGGATGACGTAATGGGGCCGACACCACGGGCCGGCGCTTAGCACACATGCCACAGGTTACAGCAGCACTCGGTTACGGTAGTTTGTGTGTCGGGATCGAAATGGTTGGTTGGCGGCGTCTTTGTTAAATGGCGTCGAGACACGGTCGTTAGCCGCTATGGAAAGTACTATTTTGAGCTGTGTAGGCAGTGATGAAAGTACTGTACATAATCTGTAACTGCGAAAGCTTGGGTACGATGAATAGGTAAACAGCCACTTATGGTGACGGGTCAACACCTTGAGGGAGTGGGTTGGTTCTGGAGTACAACGACCGCAGTAAGTGTACGAGTTTGCTCGTGAAAGTTCTCATCTCAGCTCATAGACACTGTTCAATTTGATCTTGCACGAGGGTGGGAAGTATTGTTGACTTTGTATATTTTACATTTGTTTTCTGGTTGCTATCTTTTGAGACTGTCCTCGGCAGTCGGTTATACACTACATAGATCTCCATCCCACATCCCACATCCCTCATAACCTCGTATCCAACTCATAAACAAGTACAATAATACCGACCCAGGTATCAATAATAATGCTCGCTGTCCTGTATCCCATCGCTTCATGATGCGCCCTTATTTCCTTGCCTCTGCAGACACCAAATACTTCAAAAAGCCTCCTCAGAAACCACATCCCTCCACGGCACCCACCCCTGGCCGCCCCTCTCCCCAATCGGTCGCGCAGTCATCGTCGGCGTGCCCTCATCCATCTCAACATCCCCATCACCGAAACCGCCAGCACCAGCACCACCACCAGTAGTATACAACAACCCCAAACCCAAACCAAACCCCTTCTTCCCAACCCTCCCCTCATCACCCTCAACATCCGCTTCATGCTCCCCCTCGTCAGCCTCCACCGACGTAAAGCTGCTCGCATCCGACATCTCGACATCAACCTCGTCGCGGCTGTGCAGGCTGCTGCCGGTGCTGGTGGTCGACTCCATGCTCGGTGTGGGCGGCTCGACGACCACCATGCCGCCGAGCGGGGGCGACATGCCCATACCCATGCTCAGGCTCAGGCCCATGCCCATCCCTGTCCCCATGCCCATCCCTGTCCCCATGCCCAGGGGCTCGGGGGTCAGGTGGCGGACGCTGTTGACGCAGGAGGACGAGGCAGAGGACATGGAGTCGGGGGTGGAGTGGCGGGTGGGGAGGAGGGATGTCGGGATGGGGGTGAGTTCGCGGGTGTGTTGTGGTGGCTGGAGGTGCTGTTGCTCTTGTTGTTGTTCTTGTTGTTGTGGAGGTTGGGATTGGGGTTGCGGCGCGGATTGCGGCGCGGCTTGGGCCGGTGCGGGGGGTTGGATGGTAGGAATTTTCGTTGCGGCGCGGGCAGGCGGGACGGGGATGGCCAGGAGTGGTACTTGCGCCTGCGTCTGATTTTGCGTCTGTGCCTGTTCCTGCGCCTGGGTTGCTGCAGCGACTGCTTTGGCGAGCGCCTGCTGATTTCGCGTTCGCGGCCGCGGGGCGGGGACGGCGAGGACGGGTACCGAGGGAGGGGCGTCCTTCTTGGCCGTCACCGGCTCGGTATCCACGGCCTCGCCCTCCTCGGCATCCTCGTCCTGCCCAATCGTCCACACCCACCGCCGCTTCTTCTCCTTGCGCTTCCCGCCCCTCTTGCGGATGCCACCGCCCGTCGGCGACAGCGCCAACGGGGTGGATGCGTGCATGTTGGCCATGCGCCGGCGCATCTCCTCAAACGGACCAGGCGTCTGCCCTCCGTCGCGCGTGCTCGCCGCATCAGCCATGGCCTGGTCGAGGAGACTGTCGTTGTCGTCCGAAGACGCGACTGAGGGGGAGATAGGCGTAGCATCCTCCGCGAGGAGGTCGATATGGGACTTGACGTATCGGCTGGTTGTGATTTCCTGCGTCAGGGGGCTGTTGTAAGCCACACGGCGCAAAGCCTTTTCCTGTAGCCGGAGCGATTGTCGCCTGGGAGATTCGGGAGACATGGTGCTGAGCGGCGGGAGAGGTGAGTTGCGAAGAATGCTGCGTAAACTGCGCGGGTGGGTGTAGGGTAGCTTAGTGTTGTTGGGCATTGTGGTCCGTCTCCTGGGATTCTGGTTCCCCGGCGCCGGAGTAGGAGCATCCAACCCCGGCGGTGGCAGGGCAGTCGCGGGCGTTGCAGTGTCAAAGGTAAACACCTGACCGCCGTTCTGCTCTTGCGGCTGCGCTGAGAGGGGTGGCGTTGCCGTCATGGCGCTGGGAAAGAAGACTTGCCTGGCCACGGCCGGAGACATTGCCTGGGCGGTTATGGGGGTGTCGAGGTAGGGCCCCAGGTACGGCGTGTTTGCACTCGGCTTCTTCACTTCGACGTCCTGTGTCTGCAGACGCAGGGTTGGCTTCCTCCCGCCCACGAAGGCCATGGGGGGCTTCTCCTGGACGGGGGTTGACCGGTCGACAGCGGTGGCGTAGACATTAGAGAGGGTATTAAACGACGTCGGCGACTTGACATCAACGGCGGCGGCGAGACACCTCGACGTCCGCATAGTCGGACCGTTGGCGAGGGCCTTGATTTGCAGCGACAGCCTCGGCCGCTTCGGGGGGCTCTGGGGGGGTCTAGATGTCGACGACATGGCGAACAACCGAATCCAAATCCAAGCGAACAACAAACGGAGCGGGGCCGGCAATCGAGAGGTCTCGAATTAGGGATGTGCGATTAGGAAGGAGCAGGCCACCTGCGGTTCCTAAGCCAGCTAGGAATGAATAGGGCAGGCGAGCGTGCGACCTCGTCGGTTGGCCGAGTAGACGAAATGGTGATCAGAGCGTGAGCGCTAGGAAGAGGGCGGGAATTCTAGGGGAGGGCGGCTATATGTGTAATCTGTACGGAGTACTTGGGAAGGAGGGAAGGTAGACTTTTTTCGTGTGTTTGCCTTGTTCCCCCCACTGTGCTGGGGCTGCTTGCTCCTTTGCTCCTTCTCTCTCTCTCGCAGAGCTGGCGGCTAGTGTGGCATGCGGGAGGGGGACGAGGGGAAGAGCAGGCGAGAAGGAGCAAGCGCCAGGGCAGTTCGGACGAATACAATGAAGGAGCCCTGCAAGCCCCTCAGCATCCTGGCACACAGTACGGAGACGCTCTTGACGCTGTCGGAGCTGTCAGTCAGCGGGAACTGCACTCCAACTCATTGGGGACAGGGGGTGGGTTGGGTGTGACAAGGAAAAGGCCTCCATTTTTCGATGCAGAGTGACGCTCCAGCCACCGTGGTTGGCTGGTCGCTGAAGGAAGCGGTCATGGTGACTGGCCAGCACACTTCCTGCAGCTTGCAGGCGCAGGCGCTGGCTTCGCCAATAATGGCAACGGAGGGAGCCAGGATCCAACAAGAGACCCACCTGCACCTGAAGTCACATCGCGTCTAATCCCGCCAAGTCGAATTTAGAACCCCCGATTTGGCAGGAGGCTTGCGTCCATTGCCCGCGCTAGTGAACAGGCGCGATCGAGAAGTCGAGACCAGTGTTGGTGGTTTTCGAGTCATCGACAACGCCAGTGTGCGAGACTGACAACAGGTGACGAGGGTCGTTGAAGGATCACTTGACCGTGACCTTCTGTGTTCTAGAAGGATTTTATTGTCCCTTGTGAGGTGATTTATCACTTTTTTCCTTCTTTTTCTTTGACAAACACCGTCCCAACATAAGCGCCGCCGGTCAGCCGCCCCCAGACCGCAATTAAGGTAGGTCTCCCGTATAGCGACCGACCTCGCCGCCGGCTTTTGCCACTGTGGACTGGGCCTCGTAATGACCATATTTACTCCGTAATGAGCGGTGAATCCACATGGGCATCGTCAGCGTGATCCGGTCGGCTGGATAGAAAAGCCACGAAACGTGGGTTGCACAGGACGCGGATTGTGCCGGGAGAGAAATTTGACATTTTGGTACGAAAATAGGTCAAAACGAAACTGATCTGCGGAGCCGGGGCCAACCCGGTGCTCGACGGCGGGACGGATCCCGGCTGGGACGGAACAATAGGATGCGATAAAGGAGCGGAAAAGAGGGATTGTGGGGAGGAAGAAAATAAATGCTAAAAAACTAGCAAACGCCATTTGCGGAGCATCATGCGAATAGGTTTTGTTGCGAGCCGTGGTGCCGTGTTCGGTCTCACGACAACCTATGGAGTGAAAGTTGCCCGGAGTTCACGGAGTTCGTCCCAATCCCTGCGAAAGTCTTGAACACATGAACGCCAGGGCACGCTAAAACGGCGCTATCCGAGCCACGCACGGACATGTTTCCACTGGCAGAGTTCGGTCGCCCGAAGTCGGCCTAAAAATAGACAACAAATTCAACTCAATTGACAAGTTTGGGATCGTCCCGAGATCTTGGCCCGACACAGCAGCCACCTCCGAATTACCCCAGAAGATGAGCCTGTAAACAAAACATCAAAATTGGCCCGGCGATGCCCTGGATGACACGTTGACGCGTCCACTTACCTGGCAATCGACCGCAGCAGAATGGATCCCTCACCCAGCAAAAAGGCGCCACGGCGGCGCGACGACCGGGTTCTGCTCCATTTTGTACAGCCTCCCTCCCCAGACGACGACTGAGGACTCTCCGTCTGACACGGCGATCTTTCTGCTTTTTCTTCCTAGGACCTGGACTGCTTCTATGCGCAGTGTGTCGAGAACCGCCAGCCATCCCTCCGCGCAGTGCCCCTCGGCATCAAACAGAAGGGCATCCTCGCCACGTGCAACTACGTGGCCCGCCGCCATGGTGTCAAGAAGCTGATGCCCATCGCTCAGGCTAAAAAGATCTGTCCGGACCTTGTGTTGGCTGATGGCGAGGATCTGTCTCCTTTCCGCGACGTGTCCAAGCGTTTGCACGCTCTGCTCCGGTCTTACTCGTGGAACGGCAAGGTCGAGCGACTGGGGCTCGATGAGGTATTCCTGGATGTCACCGACCTTGTCTCGTACAATGTCGCACTCTTGAACAGAAGCTCCCTGAGTCAGTCCTATTTTTGTCTCTCTCGGTCAGACCCGGAGATTGGATTCGAGTATGATGCCACGGCCTTTGCTGGATGCGTGCTCGGCGGCGATGGCGTCCAGTCCTACGAGAACGTTCTGTACATGCGGCTTTTGGTTGCGTCCCATCTTGCCAGATATCTCAGGTTGAAGATCGAGGGGGAAGGCTACACAAGCGCCTGTGGGATATCCACCAACAAGCTGCTCGCGAAATTAGTTGGTGACAAGAACAAGCCGCGGAACCAGACAGTGCTCCTTGCCCTCCGCCAAGAAGATGTTCTCTCCTTCATGGACGAGCACGGCCTCCGTAAGGTCCCCGGGATCGGCTCCAAGACGACCCGCGTGCTGGAAGGCTTCGTCCTCGGCAAGGAGCCGGAGCCAGATACGCACACGATGGAGTGTTCGACCACCGTAGGCCAGGTCCGCACCCACCCCGACATCTGCCCGGCAACCCTCTCCCGGATCCTCTCCAGCCCGGGCTCCGAGAAAAGCCTCGGGACTAAAGTCTGGACCCTGCTCCACGGCGTAGACGACACCGACGTCAAACCGGCCCGCGACATCCCCACCCAGATCAGCATCGAGGACTCCTACCGCGGGCTCAACCACCCGTCCGAGATCCACCGCGAGCTACTCGCCATCACCACCTCCCTGCTCCGGCGCATGCACGCGGACCTGCTCGCGGAGGAGGACGATGAGCCTACTCACCCCACCACCGCACGCAGGTGGCTAGCGCGCCCGAAAACGATCCGCCTCTCCACGCGCCCCTATACCAGCCCGCAGGACGACAAGCCCTACAACTGGGCGCGGCAGTCACGCAGCTGCCCGCTGCCATCCTTTGTCTTCCATACCACCAGCAGCGTAACAACAACAAGCCCTGCGGACCTCGAGCGCACCGCCTCGCGCCTCGTCGCCGAGACCCTGCTGCCGCTCTTCCACAAGATAAATTCCCCACCCGTTCCTCCCGCGGCTCCCTCACCTCCCATACCTAGTGCTCTCACTCCTTTCTCTCCCCCTAATCTTCGCCCTGAACCTGACCCTACCAACCCCAATACTGAACCCGGCTCTAACCCCAGCGCGGGGAAAGTTACCACCACCGCCGCCGTCGGAGGGTGGAATATCGGCTTAATGAACGTCTGCGTGACCAACATGTCCGGCGACATAGGCGGCAGCAGCGGCGGGGATATCGGGGCCATGTTCCGGCGGCAGGAGGGGGTGTTGCGGGAATTTACCGTGTATGATACCGCTGAAGGCGGGGATAGGAGCGTGGAAGAGGGTGGTGCCAGTGGCGATGATGACCATCATGAGGGTAGTCATGAGGGTGGCGAAGAGAAGGGAGTAGGGGCAGAGGGGTTGGTGGAGATGGAGACGGAGGCAGAGGTGGACGACGCATGGGACAATGACGAAGCACCGGACGACCAGGATGCCGCGCTGTGTCCGCTCTGTGAGCGGCTGGTTCCGCGCTTTGCCGTGTTGGCGCACGAACGGTACCACAGCCTAGGGGACGCTTGAGGACAGTGATACCTGCTGCGAGGTTGAGTATGTAATGGTAATGATATCTTGATATGACGTTGTTGCCTTGGGTATAAAACCTCCGTGTAGGGATGTAACGTAAAAACACTTCTGCCATCCTCCTGGGAATCCATGTTCAAAACCAGGAGCCGACACCCGCCCAAAATAAATAGACAACCACATCAGCCCAGAGACAGAACCGTAAAGGTCGTCGACAACAATATGTACATAGCGTAAGATAATAACAACAAGTAAAGCTATGCTTGTGTTGAAAAGCCAAGAACCGATACAGACATAAACCCTGATTTTACACCGAGGCACTAGCGCCAGCCTCCCATGGTAGGTAGGTAGTTCTCCCGGTCGCTGCCCATGACCCAAGCCAAACCCAAACAAAAAGTCACGTAGATGGACCCAACCACAACGCCCCGCCCATACCCGAAATATCACAACTTCTAGCAGCAGCAGCAGCACCGCCAACAACGAAAGGTCCTACCCAGCAGCCGAGCGCGCAGCAGCCACATCCCCGCCATTCCGCTCGACCGCAAAGCTCAGCAACCTCTCCAGCTCGCGGTTCCCCTCCTGCGCCTTCTCGATCCAGTCGACCATGCGGCACAGGCCGTCGGAGCGGCTGAGGGCGTTCATGGTGAGCTCGGGCACGAGGGCGGCGAGGCGGCCGTAGCCGCCCTTGATGAGCTGGCGGCGCTTCTTCTCGCTGTCGACGTGGTTGAGCCGCCGCTGCTCCTCGGTGAGCACCGTGCGCGGCGACTTCTTGCGCGCGCCGCGCTTGCCGGCCCCCGCGTTCCCTCCTCCCGACTTGCGCGGCCGCCTGCTGGGCGCGGCCGCCGAGGCTGATTCCCCGCCGCTGAGCTCGGGTATTGTTGCGGGGATGCCGTGTCCGAGCCCGCTGTTTATTGTGGTCGCGGTCGATCGTCGTCGCGGTGGTTCGGGGGTTGTTGGGCTGGCAGCCATGGCTAGGGCGCCCGTCTTGCTGGTTTTCCTCCGCCTCGCTGGTGGTTCTTCGGGTGTCGGCGGGATGTGAGGGATGGTCCTGCGCCGGTTTAGGACGAGTAACGAGTTCCCCGCAGCCATGCTCGGGGATGGCGGCGCCCATGCGGTGGGACTGGCGGCTCTGGTGGGCCCGGCGCTGTGGTTCGGTTCTAGGCAGTTTAGATATGCCAACTGGCCGGCCGCAAGAGCCTCGGTGGTTTCGTTTGCCGAGGCTGGTACAAAGTTGGACGTGGTGAAATTTGGATCCGACCCGAATCGTACATCGAACGGCGAAGGCTGGCTCTCTTTAAAGTGCTGGCCGAACAGCCCTGTGTCGATGGGCTCGTTATAGCGCCTCTGTTGGAGTGTTTGTTGGGTGGATTGTTGGGTGGATCGGAGCTGCTCGGGTTGGATATGGCCGGGCTGGGTTTGGCTGGTTGGGGACGTGTGCGTCTCAAGGGCTAAAGCCTGGTGGTCGGGGAATAGGCTCATGCTGTAGGGGCCGGTGTTGCCGCCTACGAGGGTAGCTGCGGCGGCAACATCGTCCGGCGTTGGCGGGGCGTCAAAAAAGCCCCGCGGGAACCGTGGCGTTGCTACTGAGGTGGAGAATCCGAAACCGATATTGGTCGACCCTTGAGGCTGGTGCTGCTGCAAGGTGGAATGGGTAGCCCCGAGACTCGTATGGCCGAAATTTTGAAGCCGGCGGGGTTGCTGGAGCGATTCCTGTAACGGCTCTTGTAGGTTGGAGGTGCCCGCTTCTTCAAGGTTCGGTTGACCGGCGAAGTCGACGATGCCGAACATCTTGGTGAACATGTTGTCGTCGGGCTCTCCTAGTGTGACCTGGTGGGCCACGACGTTGGCGGGAGGCATCATCCAATCGGCCGTGTAAACACCCCCGAGTCCCTCTACTGTGGCCATGTTGGTCACATCTTTTGGGGGGTAGAGTGAGTTGAAGAAGTTGTTGAGATATTGATGATCGCGATTGTCAAGGAGTTCGGTGCTACCTAAGACTGGTGAATCTTCTCTCTTTGGATGTTGAAGTGTTTGATAGCTCATGTTCTGCCCGTGCGCAAACAACAGTGGTAGCTTGCAGGCACGGTGCGATCATTGAGCGCTTGGTGGGTAGGGAGGCGTGCGAGAGTAGACAATATTTAGACGTCGTCAGTTTAGGGTGGGTAGGTAGTTTAGAGTCGAGGTCGAAAGCGGAGTGTGGGATGGGAAAGTCGGGTGAAGAAAGGCTTTGTTCTGGTCTTCGAGGTTGTCAAGAAGTTGGAATGGGACAGGGGCCAAGGGTGCTCAGGGTCTGCTGTGGGGGTGGTCCAGCCCACCGAGTTATCGAGGGTGCGGGGGATCCATTTGTGATTGGGTTTCGAATTTCCTGGGGACGAGGGCCAGCGGGGAATTTTTGCGTACTCCAACAAGTGTCATGTGCATTGCGAAAATTCACAGGGCAAGTCAGGCATTTACAAGGTCCATCGCCGGATACATGTTATGCCTACGGGCATTCTTCAAAGTAAATGTGATATATCTGCGGACTGTAAATGTATCTGGAGAAGGAAGTTTTGGCTCCTCCGTACCTATGCAGTTATGCGGTAGCAGCTGGCCCACTGCTTTGGTGAGGTTCGGTCGGTGTTGGGGAATTGTCACATGCGCTGATTTTTGCTGCACCATTCGAAACACCCCGCACCAGATGGAGGTTAGGCAGGTACCACTGCCCCACCGCCGAGCAGCGCGAGGGCATCCTGGGGCCCAGTGACACGCAAACTTCCCTGTGCTTCCCCGGTGATGTAATCATGGCCCAGTTCCAGATTCTTGCACGTTTGGCATCCATCTTGGGTAGGTTGTTAACGAATAACTAACCTGCAAGATACGATGATCGATGATCGACGAGATTGTTCGATCTTGAAAGGCTGCTTGGCAACTTGGGTTTCGATTCCTGCGTCGTACTCGCAAGATGCCTGGAAGGAGATGGCCAGGTGCCCTCCCTTTTTCGGAAGACATTAGGTACATATCGACATCAAGGAGGTCACGTATGCATATCCATCCTATGTAGGAAGCTGCAGCATTGCATCGGGTCAAATAGGGTTGTCAACCACACGACCTGTTCCGAGCCGTCGTCAGCCGCATCGATGCCGAGACAATAGGGTACATCCATCTGTGGAGGACTTTGGCAGATCTGGGGAAGTGCTCCAAAGCACCGCACCTTACCCGTGGACTTGGTAGAGTCCAGATTACCGAAATGGCGGCCGGACCCGTCGGTGCAACATTATCCATAGGTGCTCCCGAGACTACGGTTCGCGATCTCGTGTCTTGCGGCTCAGTTGGCTCTCGCTTGGGATGGGACGGGACGAGAAACAATCGGGCACGAGGGTTCAGAACAGCCCGCCCCTGTTCGCTCAAATTGCATGCATTGCGGGGAGATGGGGCTGGGACCAGGGTCTCGGGTTGTCCTTTTATTATGTACTCGGATGGGGCACAGGTTCCGAGGTTAACTGCAGCTTCTTGATTTGTGGCGTCCTCAACAAAGTTACTTCGCACCTTCCGTCTTTGATGGCCTGGGACCTTGCGTTTACCAATCTTTAGCATAAGATCGGCATCCGTTTCTTGAGTCAAAGCCCTGGAATGGTGACAGCAACACTGCATAGTTACATGGATGGGTTGCTCTTTCAATGTCCAAAGCCGGAGCTAGTGTACATTCCATTGGTCGCTTAGTCTAACTGGCACCGAAGCGCGCCGAGGTAATCACATATCGGCCCCTTTATTCGTACCCATCCCACATCATCAACCATCACATATTTCATGGCTGCATCAACCCTCTCATCACGGCGGAGGTGGGACAGCGGGATCCCCCCGATTCTCCGGCCCCTGATACGCGCCTACTTGTTTGGGTATGGATATGCAGTTGGCCCTCGACTACTCACCCTTTTGCTACAACACGCCGCCCGATACCGACGCCGTAACAAGCGGACGACGACGGCACACGAGCCACAGACGGAAACACCGACAAAACGGCATGAGCCTTTTCTGGCAGCTGTCCGGCGTATTTTACTAGTACCTCTCGACAAGCAGAGTTTCCCTACCTTCTGCGCCGCTCTTATTGGCGGTACCACAATTTTCGAGGTATGTCCCTACTTGGGAATCACCCCCTTGATGACGCCTGCAGCGCACTGACTCGAGCAAACCCCGTGTTTTCTAGCTTTCTTTAAGATCTCTATTCGAACGCCATGCCGGGAGTATCCCTGACCTTGTTCGAAGAAGGTGACACGACACCCTTGTCAGCCTCCTTGCTGCTGCATTGCTAACCAAACTCAATTACTAGGCTCTCGCGGTGGGTGGCCTCCTTTATCGCAGCCTGGATGAGTCTAAGGCTCTTGCAGTCCAAGCAAACCCCCAGCTTCACAGCTGTTACGGCAGCAGAGCCTGGACCGGATGGACGTCCCCAAACCGTCGAGTATGCAGGACGCACCCTGGACCTAACCCTCTTCGCGTTTACCCGCGCGCTGGATGTTGTGGTCGGCGAGCTATGGCACCGGCGGCGCACTCGCCGCGTAGCCGCGGGGCAGTGGACAGCACTGGAGCGTACCATCTCCCGCTTCGCCGACCCGGCCGTCTTCGCCCTGTCTAGCGGGCTGGTCATGTGGACGTGGTTCTACCACCCACCACGACTGCCGGCCGCCTACAACAAGTGGATATCGACCGCCGCCGCCGTGGACCCGCGCCTCATCGAGGCCCTCCGCCGCTGCCGCGACCGCACCCTTCTATACGGCCGCGACACAGGCCAAGCCAGCCTCCTCGGCACCATGTGCGACGACTACGGCATGCCCGCCGTCTGGGGCGACCCCGCCGTTTCGGTTCCCTTCCCCTGCGAGCTGGTCCACATGGGCTGCGGGCCCTCGTGCGAATGGCACGCCCTGTCGCGTTTCGCCCGCTCCTTCCGCTGGGCCATGACCTCGTACCTACCCCTCTCCCTCGCCCTTGCCATACGCGGCGGCGGCCGCGGCAGCAGCAGCAGCCACAAGAGCCGCAAAGCCGCCCTCCTCGCCATCCTGCGCCGTGCCACCGTCTCAGCATCCCGCTCGTCCGCCTTCCTCGCCGCCTTCATCACGCTCTTCTACTACGGCGTGTGCCTCGCGCGCACGCGCATCGGCCCACACCTCTTGGGCGGTAAGAAGAACGACCCCACCACCACCACCACCACCATGCGCCAGACCATCGACGGCGGGGTGTGCGTCGGCACGGGCTGCGTGCTGTGCGGCTGGAGCATTCTGCTCGAGAAGGCCGGCCGCCGCAAGGACATGGCGCTGTTTGTGGCGCCCCGCGCCCTGGCCACGCTCTTCCCGCGCCGTTATGCCATTGACAAGCAGTGGCGCGAGACGCTGGCCTTCGCGGCCAGCACGGCCGTGGTGATGACGTGTTTTGCGGAGAATCCGCGCAGGGTGAGGGGGATGATGGGGGGTGTGTTGGGGTCGGTTTTTAGGGGGTGAATGTGAAGTGAGTGTGTGTGTAGAGAGGGTGTAATGGTAATAATCATAGATTTATTTGTAGGGGTGGGTGGGCTGTTTGTTGTTGTACGAGGGGTTGTAGAAGGTGCATACATATAGGCTTGTGTAGAGATAGCATGGAGCATTGCAGCGTTGGCGGCATTGGGAGGGCTCATGTACAAGTAATCACAAAATTCGATTCATCGGGAGTGGACCGTAAATGGTTAGACACACGGATAATGGTCAACATAGGACGAGTTGTAACCCAAAAGAAATGGAGTCTATTCTTCCATCTAACACGCTTCAGGCTTCCCTCCCCAGTTTTCAAAGCACAAACAACAATAACTCCCAACTCCAACCGGCGCTTGGTATCCTGCACCATCATCTCTTCAAAAAACGGCAAACAGAAACCAAAAATAATCTACAGCTTAGCAGGCCCAGTGACGGTCTTCCCCGCCCACTCCCTCTTCCCCAGCCCCTGGCTCAGCCCAATCCTCTCCCACCAGAACCGGCACGCCTCCCTCTCCAGCTCCGTCATCTCCACCACCTTAGCCGGCGTCCCCTCGCGCCACCCCCCGCCCATCTCATCATTGCCCTCCCCAAACACCATGATCTTCCCGGCGCCGCCCGCACCCTCCGCACCCTCCGCACCGTCCACACTCCCACCACCACCAAGCGGCGAGACGAACGCCGGCCACGCCACCCCATCACCACCACCACCACCACCACCACCCTTCTTCCCATCGTCCGGACTGGCGATGGCGCTAGCGACAAAGCGCGCCCAGCGGCCGTGCATGGCATCGGCGACGGCGCGCATGCCGGGCCGGCCGTGCATCTCGTACATGTCGTGGGCGGCGGCGATGGCCTCGTCGCCGTGGTTGGCCGCGTCGTGGTCGGCGGTGGCCGCGTAGCGGTAGACGTAGACGTTCCCACCGCCAACCCCAACCTCGCCATCGTCGCCGAGGGCCGCCGACATGTAGTGGGCGGTCTGCAGCACGGGGCAGATGTAGGCGTAGTGGGCGTAGGCGGCGTCGAGGCGGGCCCACTGGCGGCCGGCGCCCTGCGGCACGAGGCGGTAGGGGCTGTTGGGTTGGGTGACCGGGTCCGGGTAGAGGGTCTCGAGCTTGTCGAGGTCGGCCGGGGTGAGGGAGGGGATGAGGGTCTGGAAGAAGGCGCGGAACTCGGCGGTGGTGTTGGCGTCGGCGGGGACGAAGAGGGTGCCCTCGTTCGTGTTGAAGCCCGTGATGATGGGGATGCGGAGGTGGGCGCCGGCGACCCAGGAGCTGATGGGGAGGTCGGGGATGAGGGGCGCTGTGGGGGTGGGTGTGAGGTCGTTGTTGATCTGGCTCGAGTTGGCCAGGGTGTTGGTGCCGTCGATTACGGGCTGGAAGGGCCACGTCACGCTGTCACAGTACATGTCCCAGACGGCCTGGGAGGCGCGGATGATGGTGGTGATGGGGAGGTTGCGTAGGTAGGTGAATATCTCGGATTCCGGGACGCCTGCGGCGCCGGCGGCGATAAGGAATTCGCGGAACTGGACGAGGTGGCGCGGATGGGTAGGGTAGAAGACGGCGCGAGCGGTGGTGGCGCCAGATTCGAGAATGGCCTTGTTAAACGGGGGTTTGGTCGAAGAGCGGCCATAGTACATGATGTGGTGACCAATCGAGTGTGCGCCTGCGCTGAGGCCCATGATGGTCACGTTCTCGGGGTCGCCGCCGAAGGCCTCGATGTTGTCCTGGACCCAGCCCAACAGCATCTGCTGGTCCCGCAGCCCCAGGTTCAGCAGCCCTTCCCGGGCGGTCACATCCGACGGCAGGAAGCCCAGCGCGCCGACACGGTAGTTGAAGTTGACAGCTACCATGGGTGCGTCAGCCCAGGCGACGAAGCTGGCCATGTTCCGCTCGGTCCCGTGGCCCTTGTTGAAACCGCCGCCGTGGACATAGACCACGACGGGTAAGTGCGGTCTCTTTTTTGCGCCGGGCTCCGTGATGTCGTACCCATCCTTATCGACGAGCCCGGCGGGCCGGTAGATGTTGGAGTTGAGACAGTTCTCGCTCATATTACGAGCTATCATCCCCTCGGCCGGGCATATCTTTCCCCATGCTACGGCGCCGAAGGTCTCTGTGGACTCCGGCAGCGGCTGGGGCGGGCGGAAGCGGTTCTGGCCGCCCGTGTCCTGAGCATAAGGCACACCGCGGAAGGCCTCGACCGCCTTGGGAAAGCGATACGAGGCCAGCAGCGTGGTGCCGACATACGTCCCCTGGCGGAGGACGACGGCGGGGCGAGTGGCGGTAGAGCCGGGTGATGTTGGTGAGGTGGTCATGGTGGTTGATGGGTCAGTCGTCGTCCCCGATTTATCCTTGTTCACGTCCAGCGGTGAACTCGACAGTCGACCATGCCCATACCCGTAGCCGTTGAGGTAGAACCACAGCAGCACCAGCACAGCAACGACGGAGAGCCACCACCAGGCGAACATTGTGCGGCGGGAGGCCCGGCGCTTTATCTGGGCCACGCAACCCATTGATGCGAAGAGCCGGAGGGAGGCGCCCCCCCAAGAGCCGGGATTGGCCGTCCTTGTCACCACCCTGTCTTGTCCACGGTCAGAGCTCCCAGTGCTCCAAAGATCCACCGGAATTGCGGAGAGATCTTGGCGCGTCTCAGTCTGCTTGCCCGGCTATAATCTGCCGTCCGTGTGCCATAGTTATTGAGTCGGGGCGTACTCCAGTGTCGCAATGAGGAGTCGGAAAGGTCAGCGGCTGGCTGACGGTATCCGACAGGTTGTGAGAAAGGGAAGACAATCGGAGAACAGCGGAAAACTGCGGAAGAGAGCGCGAAAGAAAAGATGACGCGGTGGGTACAGCATATATTAGGGGCAAGCACGGAGGCGGATTGATGGACGGTGTTCCTCTGGAATCCTTATCCTCCAAAATGGTTCGTTGGGATGTCGGGTAAGGTCTGCACACAGGTCGGGCAATTTGGGCAATTTGGGGGCCAAAGAAAAGGGAGAGAGAGTCGCACGTGCATCAATTGATACCGAACACGCGGGGAGCAGCATCGGGCTGGTTAAACAAAACATGGCTGCGGATATCACAACTCGACTTGTAAATTTCCGGAGACGGGTGGACGGGCCCCATGTTGCAGTTCCACAGTTTTTGTGCAGGTCCACGTTTTCGCGGGTTGGACTGCCCGCCGGAGTGTCGGAGAAGCGAGACTCGGCAAAATGAATCTTACCCTAACCCTACCTATAATGTTCTGAGAGAGTGGGAGAGACAAGAAGAGTGAGCAGAACATAGAGGTCAGAGACTAACATGCTTCAATTCCTCAAGCCACCTAGTCTGGTGACGCCAGAGAAGCCGGCTGCCTAATAAACAAATAAACAAACAATAACAGTGTCTCAACGACAGGGTAACTAACACTAAACTCCTGCCCAACCCGGATCCTATAGTTGACGAGGGCGCCATAACCCGGCGCATACGGAGTACACGCCCCGGATCTAACTCCCCCGTCCAAATAAATAACAAAATGCCAAACGGCCAGGAAGGAAGAAAACGCATAACCTACCAAACAGACAAACTCCGCAAACACAGTCGCCATGCAGCGCCCCAGTCCACTCTGTCAGAGCACACCATCCCAAAAGCCACCCCATGACCTCGAGGTAGGTAGGTAGGTAGGTATGTCGGTGCGTTGGCTGAGGGTTGTGATTTCGACGGAGGATATTGTGGACCTCCGTCGAAACGGTCACAATCCCATGGCAGCTCAAGACCAAGACCATCAACACTCCCAACCCACAAACAGCCGCCGTCCATTGCCATCAGCTAGCACCGCTCAACCGCCAAGCCCAAGCCCAACTCCAATGACCTCCCACAAAGGTACCTCCCCATCGCCGACCACAATCAACCCAAGTCAAGTCAACTCAACTCCAATCAACCCAACTCCAGTCAACCCAACCCAACTCAACCGAACCCATTCACCTCACCTCAACCCAACTCAAGTCAAGTCAGACCAAGTAAACTCATCCCCTCCCCGCAACACCCTCCACCCCCACAGCACCCACACCCACCTCCTCCACCCCCCCCTCCTCCCTCACCATCCGCCTCCTCCTCTCCTCCCCCTCCCTCTTAACCCTCTGCTTCTCCGCCCACAACCTGCTCAACTCCCGACTGCGCTCAGCCGCCTGCTCGCGGGCCTCACGCGCGGCCCTCTCGCGCTCCTTCTTCTCGCGCTCGCGGTCCGCCGCGTACGAGTTGTCGCGCGCAAACACCTCCTTGCCCCGCAGCTTCTGCTGCGCCGCCTCGCCCGCGCTGACCTTGCTGCTGCGCGAGTGGACGCTAGCCGTCGAGGTCGACGCCGCGCGCGTGAGGCTTGTTGTTGTTGATGTTGTGCCGGTGGAGAGGTGCGGCTCGGGGTTGCGGCCGCGGGTTGGGAGTGTGGCGGAGGTGGTGGCGGAGGTGGGGGTGGTTGTTGTTGTTGTAGTGTTAGTTTTGGAGGGGCGGGTGTTGGCTGAGGTGGAAGACGAGGCGAAGAGGGTCGACTGGCGCTTCTTGGCCACGGGCGTGACCGTCGTCGTGCCCGAGTCCGCCGAGCTGTCGGTCCCCCGCGTCTTGAGCCGCGCCAGGCTGGCGAGCGTTTCGCGCGGTACCGAGTTGGGCACGAGGCTGCCGCGGATCGGCCGGGCCTTAAACTCGCGCCGCTTGCGTTCCTCCTCTTCCTGGGCGCGGAGCTTGGCCTCGCGCGCCTCGCGCTTCTTACGGGAGATGGCCTCGCCGGGAAGTTCAAAGGTCGACTGGGTGGGTGGCTTGGCCGACTTGAAGTGCGGCTTCGAAGGCGAGTAGGCAGCCGCCAGGGCGGCGGCTTGCTCTGGTGAGATTTGTTGTGACATGCGCTGCTCGCGCTGCTCCTTGAGGCGACGGGCCACGGCCTCGCCGGGAAGTTCAAAGGTCGACTGGGTGGGTGGCTTGGCCGACTTGAAGTGCGGCTTCGAGGGCGAGTAGGCAGCCGCCAGGGCGGCGGCTTGCTCTGGCGAGATTTGCTGCGACATGCGCTGCTCGCGTTGTTCCTTGAGGCGCCGGGCCACGGCCTCGCCGGGTAGTTCGAAGGTCGACGTTGTCGGAGCTCTGCTAGACTTCGCAAGCGGCTTCGGTGGGAGGAGGCTTGTGGGTCGGGCCACCTTTCGTGCGGACGAGGCGGTCGCCTGTTCACCATCCCCGGTCGATGTCGGCTTGCGCACCGAAGCGCTGCGCTCCACAGTCTTGCTGCGGGCAGAGGCCGGTGCCCGGACCGAGGTGGCTCGCTTTAGCGGTGTCGACTGCGCGCTCGCGGCCTTGAATTGAGGCGTGGCACCCTCAGGGGAAAGCATGCGCTCAAGGCGGGCGACCTGGGTGAGGGCTTCGATCTCGTCTTCGAGCTGGTCTAGGGCCTCGACCGAATCCTCGATCCGCGACAGTGGCCGGGAGCGGTCACCGTCGAGATCGGCGCCAATTTCGTTGACCTCCACGATCAGCCCTGGGCTCTTGGGCACATCCAGATGTTCGTAGTGGCGCCCGGTCATGGACGCATCTCCTAGGCGGAGCTGATCTGCAGCTGCTACTTCCATCGTATCAAACACAGGCGCCCCGGCGACGATGAACTCTTCCTCGGCTTTGATGCGGGTGGCTAATAAGGTATACACGTTAGTCGACTTGCCGCCTTCGGGCGCCGCACCGCACTGCGATCCGCGGTTGACAAGGTTGCATCCAAAGTACAGCGTCTTTTCGCCCCGGCGCAGCTCCGCGTCGTCGTGAGAATCGCCGCGCGGTCTGCGCCCTGTGGCGGCAGTTTTGACAGGAATTGAAAGTAGCCACTCGAACTGACCTTCCTGGTGCCTCGACAGTTGCTCCTTGGTGCTGGGAAGTTGCTGGCTAGCCAAGGCAAGCGGATTGTTGTTCTCAAAGTCTAGAACCCCCTCAACGTCAGCGCATAGCGCAATAGGTTTGCGACTCAACACGGTTGCATACCTTCTGTGTGGGACTTGTCGCAAGGAGTATCCTTGGTGTTGGGCGCTGCCGATGAAACTCGGGGAGCAGCTTCCACCACGGGGCGCGATACGTTCTCCTTGTCGCTATTATTGATGTGGAGATTGTCCAGCCGACGAGCGAGTGACTCAATACTGGTCCTGCGTCTGACGTTCTGGATATTGTTGAGCGGAAGTTCGCCAAGAGCCGATGTGGTAGTGTCGCAAGGGGTGTCTTTGTGGGAGTGGTCGTCGTGGATGTCAAGCTCGACGCACGGCCGAGGTCGCAAAGTGGTTGCCATGTCTCTTAAATACTACCACCGGAAGCCCCCGAAATAAGCCCAGTCTGGCCAGGTGCTTCGTCTCGCCGATGGCTCCGTGGATGTGGGGGACCGGGGGGGATTGAAATGCAATTTCGCGAGAACAAACACGGGATTGGTCAATGCCGGGAATGAGGGGTGTTTGATCCCCAGGCTGGACGGCTTTGAGATCTGGGGGATATCTGATCAGAAAAAGAAGCTCGGTCGCGATGACGATCAATGATGCTTGTTAGCAATTGGATGCGTGAAGCAGATACACAATATGTGTGGGAAGCATCGGGACAACAACCGAGGTGGCGGATTGGGGGGGTAATAAGAGGGTTGCATTGTTTACTTTCCCGCGGTCCCGGCCAAGAAGGCATCGCCTGCCATCGCCCGCGCAACTTCCGCGGCAACCAAACTGCATTGCTGTCTCACCTTCTCGGCCGCCACTGAGTGAGACCAAGCCTCCGTCCTTGTTTCCTCCCAGCTTGTCCGATCCCTCCACTTTTCGTTCCAGAAGCAAGAAAGTACTGTCGACTTCGATGCGGCTTCCCGAACGTTTCTCCCAAAACGCGTGAGGCGGCTAATTTGCTACGCCGGACAAAATTGCTGGCCAAGGAACGCGACGCGATGACTTTGGTGCCCTACCCCGCGTTAGAGGGGGAGGCACAGCATGCGCTGCCGGGAAAATGAGGGCATCCTCAACATCCTTCCAATCTAAACTGTTTTGAGTAGAGTTCCCCTCGTGGGAAGTTAACACTGGATTGGAGATGCCATTGTGCTGTGCGGTAGCGACTGGAGAGTCTCTGCTTCTGGCCATTCTGGCTGACTTGTGAATCCCGTCAAGTATTCATGTAGGATGGGATGTGTTTCGTGGCTTTCGTGGCTGCAAGCACGGTGATGCATCATCCTGATTTATCCTCGGCCGCTCCTTCTGCGTGTGCCTGAAGCGCGGGAGCATGCTCCGTCGGAATCCGAACAAGCGTCTGTGGGAGAGGTGTCTCCTCGCCATCTCGAGGTTCACTGGTGGGCTTGGGGAGTTTGGCTGCTTCAATTTAGCCAAACTCGCGATTTTAGGTGACTGGAGAGAAAGACTTACCCGATGCCATGTTGATTGCCCTCAGCACATTATGCCAGTTGCTCAACACCAAAGCGATGGCTAAGGTAGACAAGCGGTCAGCAGGCAACACAGTAGCAACGGCAACAGTTCCGGCTCAACACACCCTCTGTCCCATCAGAAAGCGTGGCGAGCTTCTGCTCCAAAGCTTCCATCTGAGTGGCAGCCTCCGCACTGAGATGGCGTAGTTCTTTGAGATTCTCGAGCTCGGCCTTTTTCTCGTTGACCCGTGCCACCAGCGCAGGAGACTGGCCCCCGGCGTTTGCGGATAGCGACGGTTGCCGCATGTGAGATGCCAGTGGCCTTGACGGAAATCCAGACATTTTGCGTAAGTTTTGTTACATGTGCCCCGGAAGAGTTGAATCAAGAGCAATCGTTTCGTGAGTGACCGACACTTTGGAAATGTCTTGGCCGGAAGCGGACTGGCCGCAGAGCATGGTGGGGCACGGTGGAGTGGTGGTGAAGCTCGGATAAACGCGCTAGGCCGCTTTAGGGAGCAATGTCAACATTGAGCTGAAATTGTCCCGAGACTTCATCAACCGCGTCGTTGCATCATCACCACATCGCCCGCACGACCACGTCACCCCATCGAAAAATTGAAACCCAACCGCCTGCCACGCCTTATATATCCGCAAACGATCTCCTTCCTGTGTATTTCCATGCCATCATGAACAATGGCGCGACTCAACGAAGCATCCGTGCCCGCCGACAGTCATCTCGAGATACGTGCGTGCACTCCTCACCCACCGCTCCCTGACGGAGAGTTGGCAATTTTGAGGCTGACTTGCGCTTTACAGTACGTAGGAAGTTTTTACGCCAAAATCGTGACATTGCAAAAATCAACTCGGACCAATCGCAAAAGATCAGGCGACTCGAGAACGACTGCGCGCGTTTGCTGTCCGAGAATCTTGACCTCCGCGGCCAGATTCTACGACTGGAGAAGCAAGTCGAGGATAACAGTGCACAAAGGATAGCCGATCATGCCCTCGAGGTCAAGGAAAAGTTGGAAACGCAGCTGTCCCAGTTCACGGCTTTGCTAGGGAGCCTGGGGGTAGAGCCGCCCGCCAAGAGACGTGCTTCGGAAGACCGGATGCTCTCAAATGCCCGGCAAAGTATGGTTAGAAGCCCACCGCAGAGGAGGCGGCGGAATACGTCGATAGACTCAGAGACACTCGCCGAGATGGAGGGGAGACTGCCCCCGATATACGAAAACAAGACGTACCAGCGGGCTACCATGAAGTACGTTGCGCTCCATTGTTAGGAGGTTGGGGGTAGACTAACTTGTGTTCAGTGGCGACGAGATCCTCGCTTTATGCGCTGCTGCGGATGACATCAACGACTCGCCCGACTTAGGCCCGCCGCCTATTTCGCAATACGTCGAGGAAGAGCCTGTAAAGCATTCGCCCGCGAGACCAACCGAGACATATGTGCCCGAAAGCCCAAGGAGGTTGCTGGAAATATCATCGCCTCCAAAACTCGACTACAACCGGCAACCATCCAGAAGCCCCGAACCGAGGATAGAAGCGGAGGCAATCGTGATCCCGGATAGCCCAACCAAAGACGCAACTCCTGCAAAGAAATCTCCGCCAGAGCCGGCGCCGCAGCCAGTTAGGGTTGGCGCTAAGCGGAAATACGGCGACGAAAACGGAACTGCCCAGAGCACCATGCCACTGGCTGGCCAAGAGAATACCGCCCTTACTGAGAAGAGTTTCCCTACCCGTGCCGGCTCGAAGAGGAGGAGTCTCGCCGAGCTGGCGAGTGCCAAGCCGGAGAAGAAGAGCGCAAAGCTGCCACTTTCGGCCAAGAGGACGCCGCTTGCTGCGAAGAGCACGAACGAGAACGTATCGTCGCCTCGGAAAGTGATGAAGGCAGCGGCACCAAAAAAGGGGGCTAAGAAGGAGCAAGCTCCGCTTCCGGTCGATTCGGCCATGGTCGACGAACCCAACGCGACGAGACCGCCGGTCGAGATTGTGATTCCCGCCGATCACGCCTTGCTCGAGTCCGTGACCGCTCTGCCCTCAGCAACCCCGAGTTCTCCGACCACGCCGCGTCGGTCTGCACCGGAAGAGACGCTTCATGATACACCCCCGCCCGCCGATATATCCTCGACTGGTGAGACGATTCGCCCGAGCCGCCGTGCTAGGGCTGCTGTCAGCTACGCAGAGCCAAACCTACGAGACAAGATGCGGCGGCCGACCAAGGAGCTCTTCGATGCCGTCACTGGAGAAGGCAAGTATGCTCATCGGACCTCCACGAAGGCGGACGATCCCCACTTGGCTCTGCCATCTGCCACGAAGATAAAGCTAGAGCCGGGCAGCTCTGCTAGCAGTAGCAAGAAGATCATCTCTGTTTGTGATCCAACACCACCAGCTCAGCAACAAGCCCTTCTGAGTCCGCTGGCGCAAAAGGACGCGTTCTCGGAGACGTTACCTGACACGGTTGTCACGGAGAGGCGGAAGCGGCCGTCTGCGGTTGGCAGTGGTCGGGAATCTCTTGCGGCTTTGGGGCGGTCAGATGGCTCAAGTAGGGAACCGAGTCCAGCAGCCACCGCACAACCCGAAGCACCCACACAAACGAACAGCAACCGCCTGAAGAATAGCCTCGCCAGAACTCGGAACGACAACCCCGCGCCGCCGCCTCCACCTACCGCAGCAGGAGATATCTACGACTTCACCGCCTCCTCGCCTGCTACCTCTTCCAACCACCCCACACCCGACACAAGCAGCGAACTGAAACCCGCCCCTTCTCATTCTTCCACCACCACGGGCTCGAGAGCAAGAACGACCCGGAAATCCTCCGTAGCCGCCGCCGCCGCCCTCCGCGAACTACTCGACGAAGAGGAACACGACACCCGATCCAACCCGCCGCCCCCCAAGTCACGGTCTGCGCTTGCCGCGAGGAAGAGGGCGTCAATGCTCGCGCCGAAACGGAGTTCCATGCTAGAGAGCTTGGAGGATAGTTCCGGTCTGTCGGCGGCCGATGCTGATACTAGCGGTACTTCGACCGAGGGGGATGATGCCGTGAGTCGGAGAGAGGGGAGGGTTTCTAGGAGGAGGAGTATGATGTTATGATTTTTTTGTGTTTCTGTTTCTCATCCTTCGGGGTGGGGGTTGTGGGTGATGATGATGGGGCCTGCACAGCGTTTGGCGTTCTTTTGTTCGGTTGGATGGACTTTGGGGTTGGGGGGGGACGAGATATGGCACGGCTGGCTACCTACCGAGGTAGCTGGACTGTGTGGGTGTTTGGTTTGGGTCTTGTTTGATTGAAGATGGGGTTTAGGGTAGAAGTTGCTCGCCGGAGCTGCTGCTCTTCTAGTTTGGGCGGTTGATGATTCGATACCACCTTGTTAATCATACCGATGAATGTTGTCTTGTTCTGTACTTTGCCTGGCAGTGGTACAACCTCCGTTCTCAATCATCAGGCAAGAAATGCAAATAATACGTATCGCAGAATGACTTAATAGCGAAGAGTTGACGGTTTATTTCCCAATTAACTCAGTCCGCACGAGGAACGTCCGCCGCGGCGACTCTTTACCCTTGCTCACGAACACCCCAGTGCAGGGAGACTCGCGGCAAACGGTACGGTCCCTCCCGCCCTTCGCCGCGAACGTATCAGATGCTCCTATCGCCGATATGGCACGCCATCCCGATCCGTAGGATGTCATTCGTACCGGACCGTCGTCTCTATTGATACCCTATTCCCCAGGAAGTCCTAGCGCTTCGCACACCAAACACACCCCCCACCCCCCTTCGCCCTGCCGGTTCTGTCTCTCCCGACGCTCGTCGTTCAGATGCCCTCGATAGGAATATCGTCGGCCACCTCTCCGTTGCAATCATACCGCCCTTGCCCGCATTTATCATGGCGCCCCTGTCGGCTCGACCGGCTTGGTGTACGTAACCTTCTCGACAGCCACATTCTCGGCCCCATTCTCCCCTTTCCTCAACTGGTAAACGTATAGAGTCAACGAAATCCCTTGTACCTATCCATCATCCCCCCGGTTAGCAACCACCAAACAAACACAACCCTCCCTCCCCAAGCAAGGGGGACTTACATCCATCAAGCAAAAGCTCGGCACCACCTCCTCCGCATCCCCCTTGACCTCCCCACCGCCACCAGCCACCCAATCCGTCGTCATCGCCCCGGTCGCACTCCCCGGATTCACAAAAAACTTATCCATATACTCGAAGCACTCAAAGCGGTGGGTACCACCGCTCCAGCAGAGGACATCCACATCAAGACGATGGGCCTCAGCCAACAATACATCAGGTTCGTCGCTGACGAGCGTGAAGCCCTCGAGGAAGCCGACGCGCACCGAGCCGTGCGTCACCACCTGGGTCAGCGGCAGGCCGGCCGCCTCCACGTCGGTCCGCCCCCGCACCAGCTTCAGGTCCGCCGCGATGCTGCGCAGGTAGTCGTACGTCGCCCGGTCGGTTAGGTTGCCCAGGCAGAGCGTTTGTGCGATCTTGCCGGGGGAGAGGAGTTTCTTGAACTGTTTGTTGGGGAGGGTGGGGGGTTAGTAGGTGGGTGCGATGGATGGATGGGTGGAATGGGTGGAGGGGGGAGGGAAGGGAAGGGGGGGGGTGTGAGCCTGCGCGTACCTTTTGGGGGATGTCGAGCGCGCGGTCGGGTATGTGCAGGTCGCCGATTACTAGGATCAGGAACGCCATTGTCGAAGTGGTTGTTTGTTGTCGCGAAGCTGACCGGAAAACGGGGGTAGTCGGCTGAGGAGTTGGCTAGGGGAGGGCCGGCTTGTGAGGTAATTGGGAGAGATCTGTTGTGGTGTGTGGCTCGGGGATACGTTCGTCGTGTGCGGCCGTGATCGTGGGGCGTGGCCGATTGGGGAGCTGGTTCGAATGCGCTGGGCAGCGATGTTGAGCTGGGGTCGCGATGACGACGGTTCGGATGGAGCTTCACCAGAGCTTCCCTTACCAGGGGAAACAAGAGTCAACTAAGGGTTAGGGTTTACTCCATCTCGGCCGTGCACATAAACCACTGCGGTCGGAGTCAAAGCTAACGTTCCATCACATCTCGAGTGGGGCTTCAATACTTTGAGTGATGTTTTCCGTGTCTGCGTACTTCGAAGCTCTGGGGCTTTCACCGTCAACTCTCTATCTAGTGCAGAACACGGTGCAACGGCGCACATCGGTACTCTCGAGCTTGTGCCGGGTTGACGATTCACGGCTGCGGGGTGTATTCCCCGCTCTTGGCAACCGGCGACGGAGACCGGCAACACCGGCCGGACGGGCCCGGCCTGAGGACAAGCAAAGGGGGTTGCTACAAATCTGCGAGTTAAACCCGTGAAGGGACCACTGGTCTGGAACGCGGCAGAAGTCATCCATGCCCCGCCGACTCTGGTGTCACGGTGTGTCTGGCCATTGGAGTTACGGGCATTCTCTAATCCTAAAAACCCCGCTACCCGCCCTTAGTAATAAATGCCGGTGCGTCCGTTTGCCGATTGCTAAGTTCCGAATTCATGCAACTCCGTTGAATGAGGCCAATTGAAATCCTGACAACAAAAGTTGAAGTGAGAAATTACTTGGCAATATTTGCATGCATAAGGAAGTTACCCGTAAGGTCACTAACTATACTTTACCTTTTGTGCTTTCGCAGTGCAGCCCAAGGCAGCTTTACAAGTACAGTGGGGATTTCGTGCATCCATGGTCTTGCTACCCGAGGTATTCAAGTTGGCGCAGACTCCGCGCTCGTTGTTCAGACGACTAATAGCACCGGCCTCGATGCCCCGCCAAAACCCGCCGGACAATCCCCCCGCCCGGCTATCACTCATCTCAAGGCATCTCGCCCCCGTGTATCCGATCAATACCCCCTACACCGTCGAACGCCTCCCGGACACCATCGACACCTCCCTGCTACCCAAAATACAGGAACGCAAGCTCTCTACCTCGGCCAAAATGTCGTCCCAACCCGCACATCCCACGCTCCTAATCCCGGGCCCGATCGAATTCGATGATGCGGTGCTGCAGTCCATGAGTCACTACAGGTACGCCGTTAATAACTGCACTACCTATCGAGCGTGTGTAGAGCTCAGGGGCTGACGGAGGAATCCATAGCGAGAGCCATGTTGGTCCCGGCTTCGTCGCAACCTTTGGCGAGACGCTCTCGATGCTCCGCAAGCTCTTCCAAACCACGGACCCCTCCGCGCAACCCTTCGTTATCTCCGGCTCCGGCACTCTCGGCTGGGACCTCGTGGCCGCCAACCTGATCGAGCCCGGTGAGGACGTCCTCGTGCTCGGCACCGGCTACTTCAGCGACGGCTTTGCCGACTGCCTGCGGGTCTATGGCGCCAGTGTCACAGAGCTCAAGGCGCCCGTTGGCACCAAGCCGCAGCTGCCGGAGATCGAAAAGGCCCTGTCGGAGAAGCGGTACAAGGCCATCACCGTCACACACGTGGATACCTCTACCGGTGTCCTCAGCGAGCTCAAGGAGCTGTCAGCTCTCGTTCACAAGGTCTCGCCTGACACCCTCATCATCGTCGACGGCGTGTGCAGTGTGGCTTGTGAGGAGATCGACTTTGATGCCTGGGGCCTAGACGGCGTTGTCACGGCTAGCCAAAAGGCCATCGGCTGCCCGGCCGGTCTCTCTATCTCCATGTTCAGCGGTCGGGCGATGAAGGCCGTCCAGGCCCGGAAGACGCCCCCTGCCGCGTATTTCGCGTCCATGAAGAACTGGACACCAAGTAAGCCTTTCCGGTGCTGGTCCGGGAAATATGCTAACGGACACAGTCATGCAAAACTACGAGGCCAAGAAGCCCTCCTATTTCGCCACCCCGTCCCCGCAGCTCGTTCACGCCCTGCACACAGCGCTCAGCCAAATCCTAACCAAGCCCATTTCCGAGAGGTTTGCCGCCCACAAGGCAGGTTCCGACAAGATCAAGAAGGTCGTCACCGACCTCGGCCTGAAGCAAGTCGCCGGCAACCCCGACGAGCAGGCTCACGGCATGACGGCCATCTACCTCCCCGAGGGCGTCAAGGGTGCCGACCTCCTGCCTATCCTCGGTAAGAAGGGTGTGGTGTTTGCCGGTGGTATCCACAAGGAAATCGCTACCAAGTACATCCGGTTTGGGCACATGGGCGTTAGCTTGGTAAGTTATGTTCCTTTGTGGTCAGATTCTGAAAAGGGATATGCGCTGACAAATCGACAGCTCGATCCGAAGCGGACGGATGTTGACCACGCCCTGAAGTCTTTGGAGGAGGGCTTGGCTGAGTGCGGGTACAAGAAACCATAGAGGGTACATAATACAAGTGTAAATAGCCTAAACCCGGGCTCATAGACAATAAAGCTCTTTATAGCAACTACCGGAACGCGTAACGCAACATCTACGATGCAATTGTGTGTGATATCTTTCATGAGGGGGGAGCCTTTTGTTCTTCCCATCCCAGGGTTAGGGTGGCTCTTTGCAGGCTCACAGTGGACTTGGCAAAGCGGCACAGTGGAGTCGCGCTGGAGCTTCCCAAACGCCAGCACAACAGGCGCTGAAGGCGGGGTTGCAGCGACAATCGAGAGGCTGGTGGGGTTCGGCCTTTGGAGCTTTCGACCCGATCCTCAATCTCTTTTCCATGCTTCCGTCATTCCGCTCAGCCCTCTCTTTCAAGACCTTGACCGCCCTCCCGGACCCTGCGTACATACATACTTGCACTTTTTCCAAAAACCCCCGCATCAGAACGCAACTGACCTTCGTTCTGCATCACCCCTCAACACCAAATCTTAACTACCTCCTGCGCATTGGTCCGCACCCGCTCGCCAGCCTTTCCTTGGAGATTCGACCTACTACGTAACAAGGCGTGCGACCATGCCGGTCTCCATCGAGGAGTTGGACGCCACCGTTCGGGCCTTCTACGAGGGCCGCGGCGATCAGGTAAACATACACACACGAAAACCTGCTGAGGCCATTCAGCTTCTATGCGAACCCTGATGCTGACGACTCGTGTCATTGAAATAGCAAAAAGCTGCCCAGGCCGCTCTGAACCAGGCACGTTCTCGATCACCGCCCCGCCGAGCTGCCCAGCGATTTTAACTAACTGTTTGCTGCAGTTCAAAGAGGATCCCGATGCCTGGTTGATGGTGGATGATATTCTGTCGAGGGCGACGTACGAGCAAACCAAATGTTTGTCCCCCTCGGTCCGGCGCTGGGAGCATCGTGGAGTTGCTTACATGAAACAGTTCTGGGTTTGCAAGTCCTCGACAATGTGATTACGACAAGGTGGAAAGTCCTCCCACGGGACCAGTGTCAAGGTAGGTTTCCCGTATCCTCGGTGGTGTTGACGGCGGACGGGCGGCTGACACATACTAGGAATTCGCAACTTCGTCGTGCAATACATCCTGCAGTGCTCCAACAGCGAGGAGGCTCTCAAGACTCACCGCACTCTTCTAAACAAGCTCAACCTCGTCCTCGTCTCGGTTCTAAAGCAAGAATGGCCGCACAACTGGCCTACGTTCATCAACGAGATCATCTCCGCTTGCCACTCGAGTCTGTCCGTATGCGAGAACAACATGATCATCCTACGCCTGCTCTCCGAGGAGGTCTTCGACTACTCCGCCGAGCAGATGACGTCGACGAAAACGCGCAACCTGAAGACAACCATGTGCGCCGAGTTTTCCCAAATCTTCCAGCTCTGCCAGGAGATCCTCAACAGCGCCGACCAGCCAAGCCTCATCAAGGCCACCCTGGAGACCCTCTTGCGCTTCTGCAACTGGATTCCGTTGGGATACATCTTCGAGACACCGCTGATCGAGACGCTCCGGACAAGGTTTCTCGAGGTGCCAGAGTTCCGGAACATCACGCTGCAGTGCTTGACCGAGATTGGTGGCCTGCAAACAGGAGGCCCGGGCCAAATGAACACGTACGACGAGCAGCTGGTCAAGATGTTCACCGAGGTCTTGACATCCATTTCCAATATCATCCCCCTGGACATGGACCTCAAGACGACATATCCGCAAAGCAATTCCCGCGACCAGGAGTTTATCCAGAACTTGGCCCTATTTCTCTCCAACTTCTACGGCATGCATTTGCCGGTATGTTTCTGTGGCTCAAACACATATTTTCTAGCGGTACTGACTGACTGGCTCTGTAGCTCATTGAGAACCTACCGAACCGAGACTTCCTTACCCACGGTCACTTCTACCTTATCCGGATCTCCCAGATCGACGACCGCGAAATCTTCAAGATCTGCCTCGATTACTGGCTCAAACTTGTCCAAGAGCTGTACGAGGAGATGCAGTCGCTGCCCATTTCCGACATGACCTCGATGTCTCTGGGGGGAGTGATGGGTGGCGGCGGCGCACCAAACCCGGCTCTGCTCACTAACTACCCGCTCCGCAAGCACAAGTATAACGAGGTCTTGTCAAACCTGCGGGTGGTCATGATCGAGAAGATGGTCAGGCCGGAGGAAGTCCTGATTGTGGAGAACGAAGAGGGCGAGATCGTGCGCGAGTTCGTCAAGGAGACCGACACGGTTCAACTTTACAAGACGATTCGGGAATGCCTCGTCTACCTTACCCATCTGAATGTTATCGACACCGAGCAGATCATGACGGAGAAGCTGGCGCGGCAGGTGGACGGGTCCGAATGGTCGTGGCACAACTGCAACGTTCTCTGCTGGGCCATCGGTTCGATTTCCCTGGCCATGAACGAGGAGACAGAGAAGCGGTTCCTCGTCACCGTCATCAAAGACTTGCTCGGACTTACCGAGATGAAGCGCGGCAAGGACAACAAAGCCGTGGTGGCCAGCAACATTATGTATATTGTGGGACAATATCCGCGTTTCCTCAAGGCACATTGGAAGTTTTTGAAGACAGTTGTCAACAAGCTCTTCGAGTTCATGCACGAATCCCACGAAGGCGAGTCAATCCCTTTATTTCTGAAGAACGGTTGGCTTGCTAACACACACTAGGCGTCCAGGACATGGCCTGCGATACTTTCATCAAGATCGCCAAGCAGTGCAGGCGTCACTTCGTTGCGCTCCAACCTAGCGAGAACGAGCCGTTCATCGAGGAGATTATCCGCAATCTTGGTAAGATCACTTGCGATCTGACTCCTCAACAAGTTCACACGTTCTACGAGGCCTGTGGCTATATGGTGGCGGCTCAGGGGAATAGAAATCAACAGGAGCGGCTGCTGTCTGAGCTCATGGCCATCCCGAACGCGGCCTGGGATGAGATCATCAAGCAGGCGACCATGAACCCAGCCATCCTGCAGGACGCCGATACTATCAAGATCATTGGCAACATCATGAAGACCAATGTGTCGGCCTGCTCGTCTATCGGGCCCTACTTCTTCCCCCAGATCGGCCGCCTATACAACGACATGCTGCAGATGTATGCGGCAACCAGCCAGCTTATCTCTGAGGCGGTTGCCCGTGAAGGTTCGTGATTATCTTAGTAATGTCTCTCGGGTGTGTATGTGTGCTTACTGTCTTAGGCGAGGTTGCGACCAAGATGCCCAGGGTCCGCGGTCTGCGGACCATCAAGAAGGAGATCCTGAAGCTTGTCGAGACCTTTGTCGACAAGGCGGAGGATCTGCAGGCGGTTCGCACCCAGATGGTGCCTCAACTGCTCGACTCGGTGCTGGTTGATTACAGCCGCAACGTCGCTGGCGCTCGCGATGCCGAGGTCTTGAAGGCTATGACAGCTATGATCACCAAACTTTCGGTATGCTTCGATCAAGATGACTGTTCTAACAATAGCTGACACCTACAAACTAGGGCCTTATGGAGGACCAAGTACCCGTGATCATGGAGAACGTCTTCGAGTGCACTCTAGACATGATCAACAAGGACTTCTCCGAGTTCCCCGAGCATCGCGTCGAGTTCTTCAACCTTCTCCGGGCCATCAACCTTCACTGCTTCCCTGGTATGTTATTTCAGCTAGTCTTCTATTGGATCGAACTAACAAACAAATCGCAGCCCTCCTGAAGCTTGATAACCGGCAGTTCAAGTTCGTCATCGATTCTTGCCTGTGGGCGAGCAAGCACGACAACCGCGACGTCGAGACGGCCGGGCTGAACATGTGCCTGGAGCTGATCAACAACATCGCCGAGAAGACTGACGTGCAGACTTCGAATGCTTTCTTCAACCAGTTCTTCATCACGATCCTGCAGGATGTCTTCTTTGTCCTGACGGACCAGGACCACAGGGCCGGTTTCAAGACGCAGTCGATGCTGTTGATGCGGCTGTTCTACTTCATCCACCCCGCCGACGCGACGCAACCGAAGATCCAGGGGCCCATCTACCAGCCCGACCAGGCGCAGGCCGGCACGAGCAACCGCGAGTTCCTAGGCAACTTTGTTAGCACCCTATTGCAGAACGCGTTTGGCAATCTCACTCCGTAAGTCTTGGTTCCCCGGCGCAGGCACAACAACCAGGCAGTCATGATCTAATTCGTTTTCTTTAGCGCCCAAATCACGGCCTTTGCCGAGAGCCTCTTCACCCTCAACACGCAGTACGATAAGTTCCGACTGACGTTGCGCGACTTCCTCATCGCGCTCCGCGAGTTTGCCGGCGACAACGCGGAGCTGTACCAGGTCGAGAAGGAGCAGCAGGAGCGCGACGCCACGGCGGCCGACCGCGAGCGCCGGTCCAAGGTTGGCGGCCTACTCAAGCCGTCAGAACTCGAGGAGGACGAGCTTTGACTACTGGGCGAGGAGCTAAGGACGGAGTTTGCGCCCTCCCATGATGAGGTGGGGGAGGCGGCGGCGGGTGATGGTGGTGGTGGGGGCAGTGGTGACGGTTGGGAGTTTTACGGGTTGTGACATCTCCTTCTCGTCTCGGTGGCTTCGGCTCGTTCAAAAAAGGGGAGCTTGGTACTCAGATCAGATCAAGGTCCCGGGCCGCGGCTTATGGGGAGGAACGATGTGTTTTCTTTCTTTATTCTAGGGTGTTTATCTCGCGGACCCTTTGTAGTGATACCAATAGAAGAGGGTATAATCTCTGTATCTCTCTTGCCTCTTGGTTTGTGCTGACAGGGAACCTCTGTGCTTTCTGTGCTCGGTTGCTATGGACCTCCCTGTAAAAATGGGTATGGATGCGGCACAGTGTCTCTTGGGCGCGGGATACACAGTGCATAAATGCGCCTACTCCTACAGGGGCCCCTCGTTAGCGTTAGCGCCGGAAGCGCAAGGCTTCCCGCATCTGTCGCTGCAGCTCGGACACTGAAGAAGATGCACTGCTGCACCCCACAGCCCGACCTCCCGCAGCAACCAAACGGGTCAACATGCCGAGCGTTCGGGTGCACCCAGGTCGTGTTTTGGCGCGACCCAGCTCACGGATTTTGGGTTTTGTTCCTGCATATCGGAGAGCATGAACTGTCATGGTTTCAGGTGCTTTATGTTTCATTGTTTGAGATTTTGAGTTTGGCATTCGGATCCGCCCTCGTTTGTTAGGTGATCGGGTCCCCAGGATTTGCTTGGAAGATCGCCCCGAGTTTCGCCAACTCACTCCTAAGTTACCTCAACTTTCAGCCGCTTGCTGACCTCCCGGTCTTCAACCCTTTGTTGACCTACTTTGTTGCGAGACTTCTTCTGCCTTTTTTTCCCGGGCCCGACGGAGACGGCGTTGGGGATTTTGGCCCGTTTCTTTTTTTCCTTCCCGTTCCGTCTTTGACGTCAACTCCGACGTCAACATCTGCACCCAAGGCTCCCTCAACCCCTGCTAGGTTACAGAGTCCCTTCTTGGCCAAGGGGCTGGGTCTGGGCTTGGGGGCCGCCGTCGTGTGTGTTTGTTCAGCTTGAGCTGTATTATCCTCTCGACGCTTCTCTTCTGCTACTTGCACTTTGAGCACTTTGAAAGAAACCGTTTTTATGAGTTTCGAGCCGTCAATTCGGAACTGTCTGGACTGGAACGACTGCCGCATTCCATTCGGCAGACCTCACCCCCGGAACCGAGGGGTCTTGGATGAAAGACCACGCCATCTCCACATTCCAGACAACGGAACAACGGGACAACGGGAGCATCATCGTCATGCCTCCGTGGCCTGGGGGAGGCGGCTCGCACCGCCCGGCGGAACCCACACCCACACCCACGCCGGGCCGAGATCAGCACTTGACGCCTCATTATGGACGTGATAGGCCCACCGTCGGGCGTTACAGAAGCGCCTCCCGGGTCTCGGAAATCGATGCCTGGGATAACATGCAGAACCACCAACTGCAAAACGACTCTAGCTCAGACGAGGATCTCAACCCGCGGCCCCGCCATACCCGCTCCGTGAGCCATCCGTTTCCCTCGCTGTTCTCCAGCAAGAAGAAGAGATCCACTCCCGTGCCTCACCCCGACGACTCCGGATCCGATTCCATGGGCGAGGGGCCCAGCTTGAAGGGGAACCCTCCTCCCGTGCGCGGGCATCGGAATGGTTCTTCTTCGGTGGGGAGCAGGGACTTTGCCACGGGTCGCTGCATGACGTGCGGATCGTTGGTGCGTTGGCCCAGGGAGCTGCAGATGTTTCGGTGCACCATCTGCCTGACTATCAACGATGTATCACCCGTGGACCGTGATGCTAGGAGGGAGGATGCCCAAGAGATGGCCGTGATGTTTGAGGAGCAGCCAGCACCGAGAAGTACGAAGCCCGCTCAAGCGCCTGGTCTTGTTTGTCAAGGGCTGACCTGTGATGCAGACAAAACAATTTCTCGCAGATACACCAAGGTTTTAATCGACCAGTGCCTCCGTGATTTTCTAACCTCGACCTTGAAGAAACAGACTGGCAGCACCACCTCTAATAAAGAGTCTCCGGTCACAGCATCGTTTCTCTCACCAAACGATACTAGGGTGCCCGCGCCGTCAACCGCGGCTCCTCCGTCCCTGCGACCCAAGACTTCGCTGAATTTTGAGCCACGGTTAACCCTCGGTCCACCCAAAAGTCCGGCTCTGCACCGCCGTGCCCCTAGCTGGGCCGGTTCTGCATCGAGAATGTATTCTACGTCTCCAGAGAAACGGTCTCCACTTCATAACCAAATGCCACAAAGGCCTGGGGGGCGCCCGCGTCATCCGCCGCCGAGTCCGGGAGAGGACGTGAAGAGGGTATTCAAGCCGCTCGAAGACTATATCCTCCAATGCTTCACTACGTTTCAGTGTCTAAACACATCCTTCTTGGTACCCCGACCCCAACCTCATGGCAGCCACGGGACCGAAACTAGGTCCCGTCGCCCGTCCGAACACACTGGCGTTCGTCGGGAAAGCCGGAGCACCAGTTACCCCGTCCCCGACCTAGACCCCAAGCTTTTGCTTCTGGGTAATTTTGCCGAGAACGGCACGTGGTGGACGGGGCACGAGGATGCCCTCCCATCGAGAACACCTTCCGGCAGGATTCAAAATGGCCACTCCATCGTGAGCTCGAGGAATCCGTATATAGACTGGGCGGCGTTGGAGGAGTGGTACAAGAACGCCATCGAACCGGCGCGGGGTTGGTCGGCCGTCTATGAGAGCCTGGTGGCCGAAGACCCCGCCCTTGCCGTATCCCCTGCCGCGCTGCAGGACATCGAGGCTCAGGTTCTTGCCGGGCAGGAAAATGTCCAAAGGGCGCTTCTGAAAGCCTCCGAGACCATCCTCAGACGCCCCGGGCGGCCCCTCACCGTACCTCGAGACCTCCGGTTTCTGCTCATCATCACCGCCAACCCCCTTTTACACGCCTCATACAAGCCGTATGCTGGGATATATCAGTCCACAAACACCGTACCCACACCGAGCGGCGCCTCTTTTCGTGGTTCTGGGCCTGCGTCGGGCCGACATTCAGTCATCATCAAACGGATTGTGGGACTCATGTCCAACACACCCGTCGAGTGCCACAACCATCTCGTGGCCTGGTTCGCCCGATATTCCGAGCAGTCGTTTGTGCAAACAAAAGACCTGGTCTCCGGCTTCCTCGCCTACCGTTTGATCCGGCAGAACGAGAAAAAATACGAGAGCCAGGTCGACTACATGGGCGGCCTGATCCCCAACATGGGGCCCAGCCATTCTCCCGCCGCCCTACACGCCGCGCTGGGGCACTCGCAGCGAGCCAAGAAGCAACAGGAGAAGAATAAACAGGTGGTCTACCAGGAGGACTGGCAGATCAAAGCGGCCGCGCAAGTCCTCGGCTTCTTATTCGCCGCCAACAACATGGGCCACGCCCACCGCGGGCTGGCCAACCGCCCCGACAGCCCCGGCAACAGGCAGCGCGAGCTTGTGCAGGCGCCGGGCCAGATCCTCGCCACGAGCGATTTCTACATGACGCTGCTCGACGACGCGGACCTGGTGGGCGAGTTCGAGGCGTGGGAGCGGAGACAGGGCAAATTCTCCTTCTGCCAGCACCCCTTCCTCCTGAGCATCGGGGCCAAGATCCAGATCCTGGAGCACGACGCCAGGCGGCAGATGTCGAATAAGGCGCGGGATGCCTTCTTTGACAGTATCCTGACCAACCGGGTGGTGCAGCAGTTTCTGGTCTTGAACATCCGCCGGGAGTGTCTGGTGGATGACAGCTTGAAGGCCGTCAGCGAGGTGATTGGGAGCGGAGGGGAGGATGTCAAGAAGAAGCTCAAGATCATCTTCAAGGGCGAAGAGGGCGTCGATGCCGGGGGGTTACGGAAGGAGTGGTTTCTGCTGCTCGTGCGGGAGTTGTTCAACCCCGACCACGGTACGTCCCGTCTCTCAACCCACCTACAGACCAGTCGGTCAGGTTCACTAACTTACCTGTGCAGGCATGTTCCTCTACGACGAAGACTCGCACTACTGCTACTTCAACCCCAACTCGCTCGAACCCTCGGAGCAATTCTTCCTCGTCGGCGTCGTCCTCGGCCTCGCCATCTACAACACCACCATCCTCGACGTCGCCCTCCCCCCCTTCGCCTTCCGCAAACTCCTCGCCGCCGCCCCGCTTCCCCCCTCCCCATCCCCCACCACCACCACCCACCAACACCAACACCAACAACACCAACCCCAACCCCAGTCCCATCCCCAACAACAACAACCTCCCCACCAACCCCGCCAACCCCTCCCCCCAACCCTCGACGACCTCGCCGAATACCGCCCCTCCCTCGCGCGCGGCCTGCGCCAGCTGCTCGACTACCCAGGCGACGACGTCGAAACAGTCTTCGGACTCGTATTCGCCATCGACGGCACGCGCTACGGCGCCGTCGACACCACCCCGCTGTGCCCCGGGGGCGAGCGCCGCGCCGTGACCAGCGCTAACCGGCGCGAGTATGTGGATGCTTATGTGCGGCATGTGCTGGAGGGGGCGGTGAAGAGGCAGTTTGAGCCGTTTAAGAGGGGGTTTTGGACGGTTTGTGGTGGTGGGAACTCTGCTGGGGGAGGGGGTGTGGGTGGGAGTGGGACTGGGAGTGGTGGTGGTGGGGGGGCGTTGTCGCTTTTCAGGGCGGAGGAGATTGAATTGCTGGTGCGTGGTTCCGCGGGGGTGTCGGATGACGCGCCGCTGGATGTGGATGCGCTGCGCGCGGTTGCGCAGTATGATGGCTGGCGACAACAACGGGGGTCCGGCGGACGGACAACGACCAACGGAAACGGCGGGGAGGAGGACGCGGAGGAGCGGGCGCAGGAAGAGCAACAACAAGCGGCGGAGCAGGAAGACACGGTCCGCTGGTTCTGGGAGGCCTTCGCGGGCGCGGAGCCCCGCGACCAGCGGCGGCTGCTGGCGTTTGTCACGGGCAGCGACCGGCTCCCCGCGCTCGGGGCGGCGTCGCTCGCCATCCGTGTGGCTTGCCTCGGCGACGAGTGTGGTCGCTTCCCTACCGCCCGCACCTGCTTCAACTCGGTCGGTTTGTGGCGCGCGACGGACCGGGATCGGTTTGTGGATGTGCTGTGGAGGGCGGTGTGGGAGAGTGAGGGGTTTGGGTTGAAGTAGGTGAAAGGGGGAGGGAGAGGCTTGGGTGACGGGGTAATGTAAGGGGGGAAGATAGGTAAGGGGAAGGTAAATGTCGGTGTATATGTGGCATGTAAAGAACTACTTGAGCCATATGGTGTGCTTGCTCTTCTCGACAGGTTGGAGGAAAGGGTGTCATGGCGTAGATAGATGTTGTGAGATTAGGTAGAATTGGTATGTTTAGAGGTCAATATCATTGGAATGCCAACCCATCTATTGCATTATAAGTAACCTCAACAAATCCGGTTGTATACTTGTACAGACGAATGCCAGAGATTGTGATGATAATATAGATTCGTCGTTACTCTATCCTGTCCTGGTTCAGCGTGGTCATTTAACTGGGGTTAGGGTTAAATGGCGGCCTCGAGAATGTTGTCGTTTAAAAGCACATTTGGTTGCTGACGCGGCCGATGCCGACAAGAATAGTCGGGTGTTCGTGGCGACTCACCATTCTATCTATGTATATTGCTTTGCAGATGATACAGATAGCTGCAAATACCTATCCAACGGTTGTCCAGCCGCAATGTCGTGTAATAATGCTTTAACCTCTGGATTCCTCTCGACAGTCTGTCCTTGCGTTGCGAGCTGAACGGCATTGTATTTTCTCAACTCTTGAGCGAACCAAGATCATGCGCTCTGCTCCTTGCCAAGACGGGGCACAGCCTGCTTGAGGAGTGGCCGTTGCCGAATCGTTGATCAAGCTGGGGGCCTCCACTCGGTTGTGCGCTCAACACGAGGTTTTGGCACTCTGTGAACTTCCCCCATTGGAGCGAAAGAAGAGCGGGAAAGTTCGAAAGGGTTTCCAAGTTTTCAACGGCCAGACCCCATTGAACAAGCAATCCTTGCCGGTTGGCTCGCTGCCCCGCACTTGAGGATCCGGGCGGGTGGTGACTTGCAATTGATCGGACAAGCGATTGCAAGACACTGAGATGGGGGACTGCAAGTCATTACTCAGGCAGTTAACTAACAAGGTCGGCAAAATAATTGTGGGAGACATCGACGAGAGGTCACTCACTGCATGTTGAATCGGCAGGTTACTCAGCGCCATTGCCCGGGTGGGACTTGCTTTTTCAGACTCTGATACTGTGTACACAGGAGGGACCGAAGTCCACCTTCAAAATCTGGTGGTAACCGATCGTCCCGAGCTGACACAGACCCTGAACCATGCATTCCTCAGGTTTTGTTTGAGTCCACCAAACGGGCGAAGTCTACCCATTTCAAACAGATCAAAGCCGACTTTGTGGCCAGGTCCGGCTTTGATCAAGCCTTCTTGTCAAGGCCCTCGCTCTTGTCCCCTCCCTCTTGCAATGGCACGAACGGGTTGCGGATAGAATTCCACCGTTTTTCTAATCTCGTGGAGATCCAGCCCCACCAAACCTAGCCGAATTAGCGCAGGAACAAACGGTTCCAGCTCGCCTCGTCCGAACCACTGATTCTCGACGTTTGTCCAAACGACGACGAGACCAAGGTAAAACTTGCTTCTGCCCTGGGCAGCAATTGGGCGATCAGCCGCCTCGACATAAGCGCAAGGCCGTACTGTGTAGAAAAACCCGACCATCGTGCACGTCCGCCACAAGCAACGTATCTTTCGGGACGGTCTCCCATCGCGACGTGGGACAATTGGCGCGTGGTCACGGCCTGCGGGTCTTCGTACCGCTCTCGCCGCTTCGCCGGATTGGGTGTTGCAGGCCGCACTGCCCACGACAGAACCCCTGCAGCTGCCAGATGCCCACCTGCTGCATGTCCAAGCGTACCCTGCATCTCGGCGGAAATAGAAAGCTGCCCTCAATTTCCTGCAATTTCGCACTGTCAGCTCAGCGTCCTCTTCCCTCCTCCCGCTCACGACCTCGTTTTCCATTCCTTCCAGTTCCCCAGGTTGTTTTGACGACACGAGACGACATCGTCGAACGTCCATCCCAAGCGCCGGTTTTGCGTTTTCTTCGCCGCGCGCCTGTTTTCGCTTCCAGCGCCTAGGGCTACTAGTCCCGTCGCGCCGACACCCAACTGCAGAGATCAGACGCCAAGTGGCCCCGTCGACGCCCAGGCGTCGCGCTCCGAGCCAATCCATTCGGTCTCACTGCTTTGCTTCTCAAACGACCCCTTTCTGCGCCATATCCAAACCTCGCCGTCGCTTGAGTATTTGCGCCCGTGCTGTCAGTTTCGCCGTCATCGTTGGCCTCGCCGTTACCTGAAGGTTAGTAGTTTGTCGCGACTTGTCTCTCTTTGAAGCAGCCCGTAGCTGCACGAGGGCATTCTATTAGCGCTGCAGCTTGGAGCGGGTTGACCCGCACCGTCGTGAGAGGCGCAATTCAATGAATGACCTTCCCCCTCCTGCCCTGATTCACTTGACAAATTGTAACGCATCCGATCGTGTCATGTCGCGCAAATTCATGACTAACATGCCAATTCCATACAGAAACTTTCCACGCCTTAGGCGCCAATTCTTTTCCATGTCGAACGACACAACCGCGGGCGAGGACGTGCCGACGTCGACGCCGTCGGCGCCGGACCCGCCTGAAACTACAAGTGAGGCGCCTCCACCAGAGCCGACACCCTCCTCCTCAGAGGAGCCTCCTCCGCCGCCCCCGACAACGAGCTCGGAGGATCCACCCCCACCGCCAACGACCGAATCGCCTCCTCCTTCATCAACCAGTTCAGATGACCCTCCACCCACATCCAGTAGTTCGAGACCACCACCAGAGAGCTCCTCAACCCCGGATGACGACCCGCCACCGTCAACGAGCACGGCCTACACAACGGTTACCGAGTCCCTCCCTCCAACAATCCAGCCTACCGACTCGACGACAGCGCCCACTTCAACAACGGGTTCCACCATCGATCCCACCGATGAGCCAAGTGGGGGGTTGGACCCCAATGCGAGGACCGCGGTTGCCGTGGTTGTCCCCATCGCAGCTGTTGCTATTCTGCTCCTTCTCGGTATTTTCCTGTGGCGCCGGAGGAAGCAGCGCAAGGACGCTGAGGAGCAGAGACGGAAGGAGGTGGAGGATTACGGCTACAACCCCAACGCCGACCCTACGATACCCGCGGTTGCGGGGGCTGCCTACGAAATGGGGGAGGACAGCCCGTCGGGCTACCGTGGCTGGGGGTCCACCACGCTTGCTGGTTCGACCACAAGGAAAGCGTCGACGACCATGTCGGGCGGTGCCGGCGCTTCTTATTCCGACGCTGCTTCGCCAACCAGAGCCGACGCACGATCTGGCGAGCCGCTCATGGGCGATGTGCCTCCCTCTCCGGAGGGCGAAATTCTGGGCGCCATGGGACCGTCGGCCGCCAATAATCGTGCCGATGTGCGCCGGGGGCCCTCGAACGCCTCGTCGTCGTACAGCGCCGCCGGCCGATCCGACGGCTCCGGCGACGGTCCTATCGGTGTCGCCTACGGAGGCGGTGCGGGCGGTCCGAGCGCCAGCAACCAATACTACGACCAGTATGGCAGCGGAAACCCCTATACGGACAACGGCTACGGCGGCCAACCTGCCGATGCCGGCGGCCAGCCGGTCATCCGTGACGTGACAGCTAGGAGAAACACACGCATCGAGAACTCGGCACATTATCCGCAGCAGACTGCTGGCATCTCGCAAAACTTCTGATCAGCCACAGTCAGGCACGCCATCTTCCCGTCGATACCACCGGTTCGCTTTTGTTAGATGATACCTTTCCGACATCGGACAGCGTTGCTTTTCATTGCTTCTCATACAACCGCTCTTGCCGCAACCATGGCTTGTTTTCTTTTTCTCTTTCGACCATTTCGGCGTTCATGAAGAGGCCATACGGCAACATTTACTAAGACCTAATATCCCGGATCTCAAAAATCTATGGGTCACCGTCGTTCAACTTGAGTTTCATTTTACTTATTCTCGGTACATTTGTGTTTTCTGCATATAAGGGGGTTGCCATGGGGCTACGGGGCCCTGGGGCTTGGGCTGTGGGCGAGCTACGGGATACCGAAAATATCGTAGCTGAGACCCGAGGTCGGTTGGTCAGGGGGCGTGACGGGTTTGGGGGGTTGGTGTCCACGCCAGGAATACCCAGGAAAACAGTGGGAGGGGTCTAGATAAGGCTAGCTGTTAAGTGAGGCCGGGGAACAAGGGGTTGATGGATATGTATCAAGCAAGATATGATGAGATTCGGCACCCACGGTGGAGTGAGTGTCAAGTATTGTACGTGTAGGGCTGGATCTAAGATGAGACTGACCGCTGGTCTTATCCGTCATCTGACATTGTTCGCGTATGCGCTATTCTAGCGACACCTTTTATTATGTTTGAATACTATTTACTGCACCGGAGCCCAAGGTTTCTAGAACAAAATTCATCGAGCATCAACAAGCTCGGAGGATGAATTATGAGTTGTGTACCTATGTCCGTAAGTTGTAAGTTGTTAGTGAGGTTTGTTGTTTGTTCCCCTGAGACGGAAACTCTGTTGATCCGGCTGCCCCGCTTCAGGCCCGGACCAAGCTCATGGAGGTGGGTCCGACTTTCTAAACTTTTCGGGGCATCCCACCTTGAGCAGCGAGCTGCCTGGCCGACAGAGAACCGCAACTTACAAACGCGAACCCATAATTTCGCTGCTTTCCACAACCTTCGCCTCCCCTCTTCACCGTGGTTTGACAATCCCGTCCCATACAGAACCACCACCGATACCAAAAATATTTAAGGCGAATAGCCAAAGACAGGCAAAATGCAGGCCCCTGTCTTGGTGATGAGTACGTCTATGCTTCCCCGCTACTGCCCTCCCCCGCGAGCCCTCTGTTAACCTGAACTCGCTCGCAGACACCCAGAGCGGTGAGAGGCAAACCGGAAGGAAAGCCCAGCTCTCTAACATCGCCGCCGCCAAAACGTATGCTCGCTGCCCCGCCCCACACCGATATCCCAAGAACCCCACATGCTGATATTCCACCCCTCCAAACCAGGGTCGCCGATATCATCCGGTCATGCCTCGGCCCCAAGGCCATGCTCAAGATGCTGCTCGACCCCATGGGCGGCATCGTCCTGACGAACGACGGCCACGCCATCCTCCGCGAGATCGAGGTGTCGCACCCCGCCGCCAAGAGCATGATTGAGTTGAGCCGGACGCAGGACGAGGAGGTGGGCGACGGGACAACAACTGTTATTATCCTAGGTCAGTTGGCTACACGGAGCTTATGGCCATAATTCGCTAACGAGAGCGAAACAGCGGGCGAGATTCTGGCACAGGCACTCCCCCAGCTCGAGCGCAACATCCACCCCGTCATCATCATCTCCGCCTTCAAGCGGGCACTCAAGGACGCACTCGAAATTATCGAAGATATCTCTCTCCCGATTGACATCAACGACGACAAGGCCATGAACCAGCTTATCTCCTCGTCGATCGGTACCAAGTACGTGTCGCGGTGGTCGGAGCTCATGTGCAGCCTGGCGCTCAAGGCGGTGCGCACCGTCACGTGGGAGGTGGGCAACGGCAAGCGCGAGGTCGACATCAAGCGGTATGCGCGCGTCGAGAAGGTTCCCGGCGGTGAGATTGAGGACAGCCGTGTGCTGGATGGCGTCATGCTCAACAAGGACATCACGCACCCCAAGATGCGCCGCAAGATCGAGAACCCACGCATCGTATTGCTCGACTGCTCGCTCGAGTACAAGAAGGGCGAGTCGCAGACAAATATCGAGGTCACCAAGGAAGAGGACTGGAACCGCATCCTCCAGATCGAGGAGGAGCAGGTCAAGGCCATGTGCGAGCACATCCTCGCGCTGAACCCAGATCTCGTCATTACAGAAAAGGGTGTCTCGGGTACGTCTTTCCATGTCCTTTACATCCTAGACACGCTAACACCACCTTTTAGATCTCGCACAACACTACCTCATGAAGGGTAACGTGACCGCCCTGCGGCGGGTACGCAAGACAGACAACAACCGGATAGCGCGGGCGACAGGCGCCACCATCGTCAACCGGGTAGAGGACCTGCAAGAGTCGGACGTGGGCACCGAGTGCGGGCTGTTCGAGATTGAGAAGATCGGTGACGAGTACTTCACTTTCCTAACAAAGTGCAAGTCTCCCAAGGCTTGCACGGTTCTCCTCCGCGGGCCGTCCAAGGACGTGCTCAACGAGATCGAGCGCAACCTGCACGACGCCATGGGGGTCGCGCGCAACGTCATGTTCCACCCCCGCCTGTCGCCTGGCGGCGGTGCCACTGAGATGGCCGTGTCGGTGCGCCTAACTCAGCTGGCCAAGAGCATCGAGGGCGTCCAGCAGTGGCCGTACAAGGCCGTCGCCGAGGCGCTCGAGGTCATCCCGCGGACGCTGATCCAGAACGCGGGCAAGAGCCCCGTCCGGGTGCTGACGGATCTGCGGGCCAAGCACGCCGAGGGCAAGAGCTCGTGGGGTATTAACGGCGACACGGGCGTGCTGGTGGATATGAAGGACTATGGTGTGTGGGAGCCCGAGGCGATCAAGGTGCAGAGCATGAAGACGGCGATTGAGGTATGTTGTGCTCGACAAAAACTTGTATTATTCCATGAACAGTATGCTAACGAATTGTTGCGCAGTCCGCGTGTCTCTTGTTGAGAGTAGACGATATCTGCAGCGCTAAGAAATTGCAACCTGGCGTCGGCACCGGTGGCGGCGGTATCGACGAGTAAAGGTTGTAGGGCTGTTGGTGGTATAAGGCCGGCATAATACCCGTTAGAGGAAAAAGGGCCTTGTAGGTAGACAGAAGGCCGATCAGCCACCTGCTCAAATCGTGTCCCCCATCCCTCCTCAGTCATCGTCGTGAATAACCAGCCCCGGCCCGTCCGCCGCAACAGGGGCTACCTGTTTTTCTCCCGCATCCGCGTCCGTCTTCCCATTTCCATTCTTCTTGCCCCCATCCACAACCCCATCCTTCTTTCCCTCACCCGTCCCTGCCCCAACAGCCCCAGCAGTATTGCTATCACCCCCATCCGCCCCCTTAGAACCACCCTTCCCATTCCCGCTCCCATCCACCCCTTTAGCACCACCATTCTTACCACCACCATTCTTATCCCCACCCCCATTCCCACCACCATTCCCCCCCTTCTTCTTCTTCCTCTCCCTCCTCTCCCGATTCCGCCTCGTCCGCTCCTCGTCCTCCCGCTCCCGCTCCGCCCTGCGCCGCTCAAACTCGCCCACCTCCCGCTCCCGCGCCAGGTCCTCGTCCATCTGCCGCAGCCGCTCGTACTCGCGCCGCCGCGCCGCCTTGTACACGTGGAACTCGCCCGATCCGGCGCCGGCGGACGAGCCTTGGACGTTCGTGACGATTTCAGGTGGGGGGGGGAGGGGTTTGCGGGTGGAGCCGCTGGGAGATGATGATGAGGAGGTGGGGGGTGGTGGGAGGCGGATTTCTTGGGTGGGGTTGGAGAAGAGGGCTGCGAGATGGGTTGCTTGCGAGGCGTGGGGGGATAGCGCGCGGCGGCGCTTTGCTGGGGGGGGGGGCATGTCGGCCATTTTTGTTTTTTGTTTTCTTATTTCGATTTGGAGGGGTTGGTCGGGTTCTGTTGGCTTGGTGTTTTTGAAGTGGGAGGGTTGGCTGTGATGCGGGTGCTTTGGTGTTTCTGCTCGGTCGAGCGGTTGCGTCGAGGACGAGGTTGAGTTGCGACGCGACTGAGCTTGGGGCGAGGTGCAAATTTAAGTGGGTCGGAATGGTTCGAGGGTGCAGCCTTGGCAATGGGCTTGGCGGTTGTGCAGATTTCAGCCACTGCAGCCACAACTAGGGGGTATGTGGCGCAGCAAAGAAAGTACAGTGCATACGAAGTAATACGAAATATCTCCAGCAAGCAAGAAATGGGGAATAATCCGGAGACTCGAGAGATGCACTTGTTGGATAGCCATCAGCGCTTGTGTAGCCGCCGCGGTGCCATCCACACCCAACCGCAGCCAATCCGGATGCTGGGCGCTTGTTTGAGCATCAAGGAAAGTGCAAGCGACCAGGGCAGCGGCAACTGCCGAGGGCAGCCCTGCGCCGCCGTTGGGACTTTGCAGGTCATCTGATTCGTTGGCGGTCAGGCACGGGCAAGGGCAGCTGCACCAACGTCCTGATGCAGGGTGGCACCAGAAGTGGCGTGAACTTCAGGCGACAACCTGGAAGCAGTTGGCAGTGCAAGATCAGTCCATTGCAACACGCAGATGCATCTCCAATTCTCGCCCGTCCTGCAGTGTACTCAATGGATTCCAGGCCACGGCATTTGATTGCACCAACTGCGCCTCTGCCTGTTATCAGACGCTGAGAAGCGCGCGGCCAACATGCAGAAAAAAAGTAAGGCCCTGTAAACTGGTGGGTCCGCGGGGCACTCGATGCCCAACTCGTCCAAGCCCCTCGGCCTGGGCATTGGTAATACCTTTCCCACCGAGACGTTTTGATGGCGAAAGCCCAGGGTACCAGGCTCGTTGTGCTAGGCAGCTGACCCAAGGCTCTGGATGAGTCGATGACTGTTTTTACCAGGGTGAATGGAAGTAATTGCATATCATACCCGCTGCTCGCTGTACATATATCCCACGAGTTCCTAAACACATTTCAAACACGATCAACTCCAAGCTCGCATCTTTTTGACTGTGCCGTTGCCCCGCTATCCCGCTATCGGCTACTTTGAAACAAACTCGAGCTGCCCCGTGTTGCTCCGTACCTCCCTACCTTTGACCTCGGTAGCTGTGTACTGTAGCAGCTGAGCACACGATCACCTACTATAGTTTCGACAACACTCAAATCATCCTCCATCATCTTGGAATCCATTGATTCGTCATGGGTAAACCAAGACTTATCATCCTAGTCCGGCATGCCCAGTCCGAGGGTAACAGTACGTCACATGTCTCGGACCAGAACCAAAAACGCAAGCTTATTTAACCAACTTCTTATCCAGAAAACCGCGACATTCATCAAACCATCCCCGACCATCGGGTCAAGATTACACAGGACGGATGGCAACAAGCATACGAGGCGGGTCGCCGCCTGCGAACGATGCTCCGCGAGGACGATACGCTACATTTCTTCACAAGTCCGTACCGGAGGACGCGAGAGACCACAGAGGGTATTCTGGCGACATTGACCAGCGACGATCCCGAACCGAGCCCCTTCAAGCGTGACAATATCAAGGTGTACGAGGAGCCGCGCCTGCGCGAGCAGGACTTTGGCAACTTCCAACCATGCAGCGCCGAGATGGAGCGCATGTGGCAAGAGCGCGCAGACTACGGCCACTTCTTCTACCGCATCCCCAACGGCGAGAGCGCCGCCGACGCCTATGACCGCGTCAGTGGGTTCAATGAGAGCTTGTGGCGCCAGTTTGGCGAGGACGACTTCGCGAGCGTCTGCGTGTTGGGTGAGTCAACCCTTACTACCTCCCTTTTTCTTAAAAAGTACACAAGCTGACAATGGCCCCTCCAGTCACCCACGGCCTCATGTCCCGCGTCTTCCTCATGAAGTGGTACCACTACAGCGTCGAGCACTTTGAAGATCTGCGCAACGTAAACCACTGCGAGTTCCTCATCATGCGCCGCAACGACGACAGCGGCAAGTACATACTCGAGAACAACCTACGAACGTGGTCCGGGCTGAGGAAGGAGCGCGCGCAGGAGCTGGTTGGGGACAAGGACAAGGGCGTCAAGGAGAACGGGAAAAGTAAGGACGTCTCCACGCTCGCGCGCGCTGCTACGGTTGAGGTCCGACGTCGCTGGGGCGGTTGCCCGAACGGTTGCGATCACGACAAGAGTTTCAAGATCCGCCAGACCCTGGCTGACCTCGTGAAGAGCGACAGTATCATCTCTAACCACGCCGTCGGCCTGGCCGTGAGCGAGGACGGCAGCAGCGGCAGTAACAGCACCGCCGTGCCCAACGGCAACGGCGCCAAAGCCGGCTTGACCTGCGGCATCATCAACCCATCATTCGACGGGACCGCCAACAGCCAGACGCTCGTCAACCGTCGACCAGCCGCAAAACGGTTCCAGTCCCAGACCACCGACGAGGCCAGCGACGCGCCCGAGTTCACCGTAACAGGGCCCCAAATCGACGTGACCAAGGCCCGCGATGAAGTCGTCTCCAGCCCCGACGGCACCCCCTCCTTCATCTCCGTCGAAGATCGCCTCCGCTCCCGGCTCAAGAGCCCCAACCTCCCACCGCGCCCGCTCGAGCTCACCCAACTCCACGTCGGCCGCGACTTCGGCGGCACCTACAGCGGGCACAACAGCGCGGGGAGCGACGACGCCGACTCGGAAGACGACCGCGGCGGCCACCACCGCCGCGCAGCCGCCATCGCCACCCCCTCCCCCTCTTCCACAGCCAGCACCTCCAGCCCCACCACCGCCGCCGGCGCTGCCAACGGCGGCACCAGAACCCAACAACCCGGCCCCACCGGCCTCGGCATCCCCGCGTCGGCCATCCCCCTCCACCACCGGCCCCCCAAACACTTCCACCCTCACCACCACCACCACCACCAGAGGGAGAGGGAGCAGTCCCGCATGGGCCGCGGCACGCGCGCCAACCGCCTGGGCGACCACCACAGCAGCGACGGGGAGCACGAGGCCGACTGCGAGCATGAGCACGAGCATGAGCATGAGCATGGGAATGAGCATGGGAATGGCGCCGCCGTCGCAGGGGGGGGAGGGGGAGGGCATGAGGAGAGCGGGTCGGAGCTGACGCGCGAGTTGGCGGATGAGGCGGATGAGGTGCTCGCGAGGGAGGAGCGCGAGGATCGGAGTATTATGGGCAGTGTTTACTGACTGGGTGGGTAGCCTGCCAGGCTACGGGGTGGGGTGGGGTGGGTGTCTTTTGTTTGTTGATGGGCGTAATGATGTCTGCTGTTGTTTGTTGTTGTGTGGGTTGGGGTTTTTTTGGAGTTGGAGTTGGAGCAAGCAAGCGAGGTTTCGGGGGATTTTGGGTTGTTTGTTTTGTTGGTATGGGAAAAACAAAAGAGAAAAGATTGGCTGGCGGGAGGGAGGGCGGTCTGCCTGTCTTCTGGAGGGCACTTCCCATGTATGGTTTCTTTCTATCTTGTGGGAGCCAACCCGTTAGGATGGTCGGGCGTATAGCGGGGATCTTCTGTCTCTGCATGCTTGGCTGGTTGCCCGAGCTGATGATGGAGATGGAGATATGTTGCAAGAGGACGAGGAGGATATACCACACTCAGATTGTTTTTGCGGTGAATATACACAGAATATTAAGAAGGATGGCTTGACGAAGCTGTGAGCGGAGTTTGAGAAAGTGACTCCGAGGCAGTGAAACAGGGTCAGGATGCCGACCGAGTGACCAACGGCGGCAGACAGAGAGATGGTCTTCCACATCGTGAGCGCTGTGCATGGCGGAGTATTATCTTGTACCTTTCTTCTGCGGAGTTGGATTCACTTAGGTGGGGTAAGTAGCAGCAATGTGAGCCTTAGAGAATGGAAGTTGAGTAGTTGACTGGGGATTTCCCGAAGGTTGGGATTAAGGGAGGTATCAAACATCGTAAAACAGCGACGTTGATCTCCCAACCTTGTCTTTTCCCAGCATTCTGAACATCCCTTCGTCCCTGCCCGTCACCCCCAGCTCATACCCTTCCTCTTCCAGCCGCAGTGACCGCCGTCGAAAAGGCGTGGTGATGGCAATTGTCGGTGCTAGGCATTAGAGCTTGCGCTCCGGGCAGCGGTCCGGCCAACCCAACCCGCCTCATGGAGTTTTTAACCAGTGCAGTCATGACGCGGATGTGCGCCTCTTCCCTAGGAACTTCGTCGCGTCATCGAGGGTTACGCCGGGTCCGAGTTTAGCAGCCATCTCGGACTTTTGGGAATGGGTGGATGGGTGTTTTCGGACTGGGTTGCTTGGGAATGAACTAGGTTATAGGGTGTGAGTTGTCCGGGCGACATTTATTGTTTTGTTGTCGTGAATGCGATGATGAAAAGTCGATAGGCGTGAGGCGGCGAGAATAGGTAGGTAGCTTACAGGAGGCTCAACATCTTAGATTTCATACACAATCATGATAATCACGTACAAGCGGCACACAACTACGATAGATATCAAACACTGGAACGGAGACAAGGGCTTACAGCGGATACTTGATATTAAGACCGACACTTGGTGTTTGGACGGGAAACAGAGCTTGGGATGGACAGAGTATTTAGCGCTACAACAGCCATTATTTTCTATATACATACACGCGCAGTGCGTTCCTCTCTAGAAACACTGTGAACACCTCCAGTCTCGATCGGTTCTGGGTTGCTGTGCTGAGATGTATCCCCCTCAACAAAGGGCTAGCAAGGCAAGGAATGGTATATCTGAAACAGTGAGCTTTCCTCTCTGTCTTGGGCCTTCGGATGTGGACGAGTTGGAAGACGAGAAACAAACGAGCGACGTTGGCCAGTAAAAGAACTAATCTCTCCCGAACCAGCCAGAAGCAAGAGATGAACGGCGGGAATACATGAAGTGCTAAACTCTCTATCACAAGATCTGAACATGAACAGTACTGTAGCACAACATGTCACCTATTATTATTTCGCCTCACTCAACATGTGACCTGCACCGCGCTGGAGCTAGCGACGTTTGAATATTGTACTTCGTTGCATCGACCCAACCATTTCTCGCCTTGGGGACACAACCCGGAGAGGAGGCCGACAACTTACCTTTTGCAGTGCAACACCGGCTCTCATCGGCAGTCTAGAGAAGGTCACGGTCTTCTTGACGAGCCTTCGGGGGGATATCACACAGTTGGCGCCGGCATTACCACCTCGACCAGCCTCCTCTAGCTAGGTACCATGTGATTTGATTGACCCAGGCCTATCACTTCCAACACACAGTTGTGTGATATGACTCGTCCTTACTTGCTTGTCATACGGGCGAGAGAGAGGTCGACAAGTGAGAGAGACACTGACCCACGGTACCCTACCTACCTATTCGGTCGAGGCGGAGCAAACTCGGCGCTTCGTCACATCAACCACACCCTGAGATCCCGGAGCGCAAACAGCCGAACGGATAGTCACACCTTCTGCACCGTCGTAACACGAGCCACAAGATCCGGACGGCCGCAGCAAACATACGCACGATCCGGCAGCCTCCCGAACTAGGGCGGATATCTGCACACTCACCCAACGACGCCACTGGGCTCGGCCAGATCAGAATCATCGGATAGGCCGGGCCTCGGGTGGTCGCCTTGATTTATGTCATAATATCCCCTCAGCCGGCCGCCCGTGTCTGTTACCCATGACGTCTAGAGTGCCACTACCCGGCCGCAACTGTCCTATTCTCACCCCATCTTCCACTTTCTCACCAAACGAAGTGGCGAGGGAGGGCAGCGGCGTCGATGGTGTGACATCGAATGTTCCGAAGTGAAAGGGGAACGGTTACTTCACGCTGTGTCGCCTGGTGTGCTACTCCGTCCTGGGAAGCCAGCTGGGCGTACTATCCCCAACTGGGTATCTTCACATATAGGTGATTGTGGAAAGTACAGAATGGGAGACACCGGACGTCACAATATCCATCGGTTTGCCACACCGCAATTTAAAAGGGGGCAAGTTCACGCGAGCCTCGAGCTTCGCAGCCACACTCGGCGCCTAAGTAAATCTGTAAGCTAGCACTAGCCTAGAAGGTCACTTGACGACTCAGGGACTGGAGTCTGTAGACAAACCCAGGCCAGCTGAGCTTTGGGCGGATAGGGGGGAGCTGCCGACGGTCTGGATCGACCTTGATATGCTACGCTAGTAAGACCATTTTATCTCTGGAATAGATAGGAGAAGCAAAGAAAGTAACCACAACCTCCCACCACCTGCGCCTTTCAAGGGTCACTCTTCAAAACAAAACAAACCGGCCTCAAACTGGTGGCCTCAGGGCGGCCGCCCAATGATGTAGATGGAAAAACAAGGTCTCTAACACAGCCATTCCTCACATGGTCAGTCAGTCGACACAGAAAAAAATCAAGAAGATGGCACATCAGTCTTAGTCCACCCCCCTTAACTATCACGCGGGAAATAATGGATGGGCAACCCCACAACCCCCATCACCACCACCACTACCCTCCCTCATCTGATCTCAAATCTGCGCACCTATCGCCCCAATGCACCCACCCCCGGGCCCGTCCAGAGTCCCGGAGGGACAAAGACACTGTCTCGGGCCTTCAGGGGGGAGAAAGAAGCCGGCACGCATCCAGGGCAGCCAGCGCCAAAAACACAGTCAGTCAAAAGTCAGCTGGCCAACCCCTTCCCCCTTTCCACCACCCGTGGGAGCAAACCACGGCACCCAGCGCGTAACAACACCACCACCACAACAGCACAAAGCATAACAAAAACACGACATTACAATCTCCTCCCAAGTGCCGCCGCGGCCACCCAGGGCAGAACCAATCACGGCCCCGGGACACACCACTCCCTCGCTCCCTCCCTCGCCCCCCAGCACCCATCGCTACAACCCTACAGCCCCCTTTGACACAAAACCTCCCCCCCATATGGGCGAAGCTAGACTAGACTAGGCTTGGGCTAAGTGGGTTAGGCATACCAGCCAGCCAGCCAGCCAGCCAGCCAGCCGGCCGGCAGGCAAAGTCAGTCAAAGTCAGTCAAAGTCAGTCAAGTGAAGTCAAGTGAAGTGAGTGAGCCCCCGGTGGCGCTTCCATCTCGCAGGACCAGCGTCGCACCCTCCCCTCATCCGGGTAAGCGCCCTTGCAAGAACGGCGCGGGAGTTACGTAGTGTAGTGGAGCTGGGGGAGGCCGCGCGCAGAAAGAGCAAGCAGCTTGTTAGCAATCTGGGCCTTCCGACTGGCTGAGACCAGGTGAGAGATATTCCGGTCTCAGTTATGTACTATTGTGTAAAGGGAGGGTGGTAACGCAGAGACGGTTACGGTTGGGTGGGAGTGAGTGTGGGGAGTTGTGGAGTGTGGAGATGATGATGGTGGTGGTGGTGGCAGTGGCAGTGGTGGTGGCAGTGGCAGTGGTGGTGGTGGCCTGGTGTGGGCGGCCGGTGGCGGATATGCACGCCATGCTCTTGCATGCGCCCCTCCTCCTCCTCCTTCCAGCCGGTTCTGGCTTGCACAATATTGGCTTAGTGTAGGTGTCGAGGAAGGCAGGGCAGGGGAGGGGGGGCAGTTTGGGATGGTGGTGGTGGTGTCAGTCGTTGAGGTGCTTGGCGTGGTATGCAATAGCTCGTTGGGTGTTACTGTGCTGGAGAAAAGGGGAAAGTGACGATACGGATACGTAAAAAGGGGGGGAGGAGTGGCAAAACTTGGCCGGGCTGGCATCAGTTGGCATGACAGTGTTTTTCCTCGACGGTGCCCCCTTTTCCTCCTTGCGGAGGATCAGCTGTCGTTCTGCAGCAGATGTGTCTCGTAAGTGGATGCATATTGGAGCCAGGAACGCCGACAGGTTGCGTTGTGGTTGCGGCAGCAACGAACATCGTCTCCTCTGCAGGATACGGTTTCAGCTAACTCTACTCGACGCCCCAGCCTGTCCCGTCGTCTGGTCCCCAGATGTGCGCCACTAGCCTGCAGCACCTGGGAAGCCCGCTTGAGGCTGGAGAGGTCGGCTTGACTCCTCAAGTAGAGTGGGTGGGTGTGAAGCAGAGATCGTCTTGCGTGGGGGAGCGACCTATGAGAACGGGGTCGGCAACCACCTTCGCTCCAGACTGTTGGTGAGCGTGTGTGCAGCACCGAGTAGAGCGGGCGTACATGACGCTACTGCGTCGTACTGGGGCCCCTTTTCGGGCAACCCGCGTTGGCGGCCGAGTGTGTTGCTGCAGCTTCGGGAGGGTGGCTGCCAGAATGAGGAAGCCGGCTGCATTGGGTGCGTGCCATCTGCCAATCCCACCACCACACCCTTTCTTGGGGTGGCACGCACTTGAGCTTGCACTGGCAAGGGAAGTGCCTGTCTTAGCCAACGAGGGAAGAAACGATGTGTGGGAAGACAGATGCAGGTAGGACCCCTTCCTTTCCAGTGAGATTAACGATGATAACAACTTCCTGCGAGTCCCTGCAGATCTCTGCAGACGAGAGCAAGAATCCCGCGCTCTGTCTAAGATGGCAGGCTCAGAATAGCCGACGAGGACGACGACCACGACTGTGTATGGTGTGATTGAAGAGCAGGCACTGACAGGGCAACGGGTAGAAACAAAAGAGACTTGGGATCAGATGCTGCCGATCGAGAACCCCGCCACGGCTATTTCGTAATCCAGCCCGGCGAAGCCCGGTTTCTTGTTCATGTCGGCCAGTTTCGCGAACCCGGCCGTCAACCCCCCACCCCCCCCCCCCCCGGGGCGGTTGCGTTGCTGCAGTGCGTCGGCGGCGCCGTGCGGATCCGGTGCGCTGGAATGGCGAGGATGACGAGGTCTGTCGCCCAGACTGACTCCTGCACAGGATTCCGCACATTACCACAGTTGAGCTTCGTGTTGGGTGCGTTGAGGGAAGGGTTAACGAGCGTCAATCCTCCTGTCCCACGACGGACCCGGCGCGCGCGTCGTGGTGCATGAATTGATGAATTGGGACCTTCGACGCTAGCGCTGGTGAGGTGCCACAACGCGCGTGTCATGTGGGAGGTTTCGGAGCATTCTTTCGTTTCTTACCCATCCCATCCCATCCCAATCCCGTTCCATCCTCACGGATAATGCTCGTCGCTCACTTGCTTGCTTGCTTGGACAGTTGATGAAGCGCGGGGGTGTGCATGTCCTCGTGGATGACAAGAGCGCTAGTGCAGAGTGCATCATCCCAAGAGTCTTGAATCATACCCAGTTCTCTCTCGCGAGTTTCTGGGATGAACCCTCATTGGTACCATCATGTGCTGGTCGCGCCGGTTGGTCTCGAGAAGTTTTGGGATGCAGGCGCTAGCGATTCCTCCAGTGAGCGGCGGCGGTTGGTACCGACAGCTGCATCAGCGGTGCCGGGTGTCCGAGAAGGGGCTTACCAGAGTACAGTATGTACCTATTGATGAGATGAACGCTGGGACCAAAGTGCGAATTGCTTCCTCCCATGTCCTCAAGTGAGGACGCTGAATCGCTAAACTAGCATGTCTCAAACTCGACAAATTCATCAAAAACAGACAACACTGATTAGGCCAGGATCGAAGGAACCTCGCTTCTCCTCCAGGTCCCGCTGCTGCTGCTGTGCTAGGCGAGTACGAGCGCTGCAGGATCGAGCTCGTCTGTTTTCTCCAGTCCCGGACAGTTGGTCCAGGTCCCTGCCGACGACAATGTGTGAGCGACATGGAATTGAAACACAAAAAGAGGGGTGCTCCTGGGCCTGTGCTGGCATTTTTGGGGAATCGCCAAGGCGCTCTGCAAAATTGTGGCGCAATTCGACAGGGACAAGGCCTCATCGACTTGACTCCATCTTCAATTTCCCCAGGTTTTCGCTCCCCATCGACTCCATCCTCCGAATCTCAAAAGCGTTAGGCAAGACGATCTCGTTCGCAGTTTTTAGCAACAGTCAGATGAGTGCCGAAGGTGTGCGGTTTCTACCCCGCCTTTTCTTGTGTTTCTGGACATTCCATCCACAGGAGTCCCATGCCGGACGCCGTTGCCCGTCGTCACCGGGCGGGGTCCTGATGCAGGAACCTGACATGATGGGATGGGGTTTGTTGGGTGAGGTCGTTCGACTTGTGTCATCATGGTCCCCTCTTCGTTGACAAAGTCGTCCCTGGAACCCTCTTGTTTGGGTCGTTGCGTTAGCGCCGTCAGCGAGTGGCTCTGTACACTAGTAATCGCAATGCTGCGGTGCGGGAGCGGAAGAGCACGTCCCAACAGACCGGCATCTTCTGAGTGAAACACGGCCTTCCCTCTCCTTCCCGTGCCCGGTACCATGGGAGCCCAGGTCCAAGTTGACCAGACCCAAGTCCAGTTCACCGAACTCGTCACCACACCGAGACCGAGACGACGAGACAGGAAACGAGACCGGCAGCCTTGTCTCTGCGCCCACCGTTGCCTGCCGGGAGCCCGTTTGTGAACAAAGTGCAGGACTCGGCCTTCACTGCCTCCTCGCACCAATCCTCTTCTGAGGTCGCCATCCCCCTTTCTGTCGCGCCTGCATTTGCAGATTGCGGGGGCAGGGGACCACGAGGCCTGCAAGGGGCTTGGCGGCGACTGGATGCGCTTGCCTTTTTCCTTCTTAGCCTGGCTCCACTCCGAGCAAGAAAGAAAAAAGTCCGCAGGCGCAGCTCCACAGAAAATGCGGAGGGCAAGGCAGGACAAGGCTCAGAGGGTTGCATTGGCCCTTGACTTGGCATCAACAAGGAGAATTGGAGAAAAGGGACGAACGCCCAAGAACAGGGGCTTCGGCTTTTGCTGCCACCCCTTGTTGCCGTCGAGGCTGCCGTTGAGCCTCATTAGTGTAGATTTGGGCACTGTGTCATTGTATCGCCCTCGGTGCTTATTGTATGTATGCACATACTTGTCCTCGGGCGTGTTCGAGACCCCGAGTATTCCGGCGTGGCTTTCGCTCAATCTGGCAGCAGAGCAACCCGGGCAGCAGTGAATATCACGCCCGCGAGCCTCGGGCCGGCCGGAATCAGACGTAACGCCCGGACGAGACAAGAGGCACATCGTCAAAAACACCCGCTGCAGTCTCACCTCCTTTTGGCCGTTTTTCAATATTCCCACATTTCGCTTCTGTGTGCCTTGGCACGGCCGGGGTGGCTGACCAGAAGCAAAGAGGAAAAAAAACCGTCTTCCCCCTGTCCTGTCGCCTTGCCGCTCAACACAAAGTGATACAACAAACTACAATGTAACTAACCAAACAGTTGCTTCTGCGTTTGGTTCGCGAACCCTGTCGGTGAACTCGAGGAGCCTCCAGACAAGACAAGCGCTCTGCACAACCTGGTTGGCTCAAGCTGAAGTTGCCGAAGCCTGGACGATGTTGATTGGCCGGACTCGCCGCGGCAGAAGCCGCGCCGTCTTGGACCAGGTTCAGATCTCGCGATGAATGTTACGCTGCCTTTGACGACGGGCGGCATGTCCGGGGGCCAGGGGAACACAAGTTGAAGATCTCGATCAAGCGGTCCAAAAGAAAACAAAGGGGGGGGCGGCAAAACGGCTGTTTTGTGCAGTCGAGACTCGAACTCGTTGGCGGGAGGCGTCTTGGAGTCGCGTGGCAGTGGCAGTGGGAGCCACGGAGATGACCCCGGCGCTAACTTATGTTGAACAGTCCTCCCTGCAGTCACCACTGTGCTCAGATATCAGATACTTTCCGTCTTCGTTCTCCCTTCGAAGGAAAAGGGGCAGGTAGTTACGCAGTAAGGTGGTTCAACAAAGATGGGCCGCTGTTGTTCAGGGGCGTTTCAACGAAGCCGCGGGCCAGGCCCGGTCTCGCCCGCATGCAACTTGACTACATGAACGTTGACGCCCGTCTCTGCCGCCGTCTCATTCAGCCGGGGCAAGCTGCTGCAGGTCCTGCATGGCTTAATAAAGTTTGAAGCTTGGGAGATCTGAACTGAACCTGTCGGGGCTCGGTCAGGCGATTTCATGCGCGGACATCATGTCAGCCAGAGAGGAGAAGAAAAAAAATCTCTTCAGCCGAGACCAGTCATCGTGCCGTTTGGCTTGGGCACTGATGCCACGATAGGTAAGGTCCCGATCGGTGTCCTGGCTGAACCCCAAGGCACAATTTCAGCTTTCTACGCCCACCCCACGAGGAGTCGAACCACCAACAACCGAAACTTGTCCTGTGCAGGCATCGGGCGACTCGGCAGGCGGCCAATGGACGGCCTGACGCCCCTGGTCAACGACGACAAGGCCAACAAGCCACAGGCCATGTGCGTGAATGATCGCCGATTTTGATAGCTCATTCTTTTTGGGCACCATCCAAGCGGCCGGCAGCACGAACTCCTGCACGAGCAACCGTTCCTCCGAGTGTCCGCGGGCTGAGACAACAACGGGGGCCGGGGGTCTGGATGTAGAAGAAGGCGCCGGCTTTTTCGGGGGACGAGGCCACGCCGCAATTCCAGTCGTTTTTGGCATGACATGTCGGACGACAGGCTTGAGGCTGAGAGCATTGCCAGGATGTCGAGTCTCTCTTTGTGTGTGCAGTCTCGGAACTCGCTCATGCCGGCTTCAGTGGAGGCTCAAATGACTTGAAAAAAAAAAAGAACCAAAAAAACCCTTCACCGTCAGCACCGAGAATCCTTCTCGCCCACCTGCCAGGGTCCCGGACGGTGATTGGCCGGTTCACCGAAATGGGCAGCTGATTCGTCGACCACACACACTGAGGACGATCAGACTCAGCAACGCCGCCACCAACTCACGACGCACGCTGAAGAGAGAACAAGACACTGTCTGGCGTGCACACGAGCTGCGAAAAGAAACAGGAAATCCCCCGAGTGATCACCGCCCATGGATTTCCCACGTTGGATGGCGTCCGGCGTCTTTTCGTTTGTTTGTCTCCTTCTCCTTCTCCCGTAATCCGAGTCCATGGCAGCGTCTCGATCCCGAAACGCGATATGATGCCGTGGCTGGCGCTAGTGAGGAATGTGCCAAATCCCGGGGAGAGATGATCAACATCACGACAGCAATAAACATCAGCCTGTCCAAGAAGAACAAGATGAGTGGCAGCAGGCAGCTGAGCATCCCCATGCTTATCATCCATCTCACCAAGCGCTAGCGTTAGCGGACGTTATGTTATCTTGTTCTATCGCGAGTCTCCCCGATACGCGGTGCTCGGTAAGCAAGCCAGCAGAAAAACCGGGAAGAGGTTCAACAGGAAAAGTTTAGCGCAATCTGTCTCGTCTGCACAGATCGACAGCTGCACACCCCCCCTTAACTGCCTGTCACAGTCCCGTTCCGTTCCTCCCTGGGCTGGCACGGCTGGGTTTGGGCTGCTGGTGTTGGTGCTGGTGCTGCTGCTGGCTGGGCTGGGAAGAACCAAGCGAACTCCGCCGAGCACATTGTCTCAGATGGGAGCATGATGACATCTTGTTGTCTCAGACTGAAGTGCGAAAGTACCCGGCGACTATCGGGCCAGTCGGAGAACCAACACGAGAAGGTTCTGTCTGCCGCGAAACTCCGAGATGGCGTCGTTGGCACCTTTGCGGGTTTTAATTTTTTTTTTTTTCGTTTCTCGTCGTTGCGTGTCCTCGTGCGGACGCAGACAGGGTGTTCTCATTTTTGCCCCCTCCGAAAAAGCCGAGACGCGCGACCCCCGAGTGTACCGGTCGGTCACTGGGCCGGCCGGCGAAGCTGACCACGCCCGGGCTGAATCAAAGGTGCCCGTTCGCATCAGCACACGGCGGCCGGCGGGTGTGTGGATCGCAAATCTCGGTTTCAGGTGAACCCGTAATCACGAATCTCAGATTCCCATCCTTCTTTTTCCTTTTTTTTCTTTTTTTGTGCTCTCCCCGATCGCGATCGCGAACGAGAGAACAAAAAGGAAAAGCAAGCAGATGCCGGCAGGCTTCGGCAGTGCAGCCGATCCGGGGTGGCTCATCCCCCACAGCGATCTCGACATGGGGAGCGAGCCGGGGACGGACCGAAGAGAGAGCGACAAGGGCAAGGACAAGGTCGAGGTCCTCCCCAAGGGCGAATCGCCAGGCTTGCCGGAGGTCTGTGGAGCAAAGAGACCCTTCATTCTCCGAGATGTCCACAGCTGCTGCACCTTTGCAGACGAAAGGGAAATGGTGAGAGCAACGGTGACATCCAATATGGGTTTTGAGCTGCACATTCTGTTTTCTGGCGTGATTCCTCACTCGCCAGAAGCACACAGCTGATGTTCATTTGGGGATTGGACCGGGGCGAAGGGAACTTCCGCTTAGGAGTCTCCCACTTCTTACCCCAACCACGGGGGAGCCAGTTGGAGCACCACGCCGGGAATAGTGGTGCCACCGCCCACGAGACCACAGAGTGTCATGGCATTCGCCGGACGGGTTTCTTGGATTCTTCAAAAGTCGTACTGGGCTCCCGGCACAACCCCACTTTGTGGCATGGCAAAGGTGCCGAGGGGCGGTGGACGGAGAGGAATTGCGGTGCGAGAGTAACAACCGAGAAGGAGGCAACTCGGTTGCCTTGCCTTGATCAGTTGAGTGTGATGGCGTTGACGAGAGCGACGCTGGGCAACCCTCACAGCGCTCGGCTGAGCATATTTCTGCTGCGACGATAACACAACAGGCATTTCGTCATGTTTGAGACGGGTTGCCTCTTTGCACACAACATGCAATTGACGAAACGTGGTCGGGCGGTGATTTGTTGAGCTTGCAGCAGTGGGCGCTGCAGGTGAATCCGAAAGGAGACAAGCTCAGGCAGCTCCCCACAGGCGATGACACAGGGGGGTACGCGGCAGGCATCATGGATCTCAGAGGGGTTGGTGGTGAGGAATCGGGCATGCGTCGTTGTGCAAGATCTCCATGATCGACTTTTGAAGGGTCCTGTTTTCAATGCTTCAACGGCAGTCAAACTCATCCCTTGCTCCGCCGTGTGGTGATCTCTCTGCCTGGAGTGGACCACAACATCTTGTGACAGAACCTCGAAGCGTGAATAACTGCCGTCTGTCTCACCGGACATCTGGTTGTTTTGGACACAAGACAGCCAGACGAATGTGGGCTTGCCAGTCACGAGCGCCGTACATAGCTTGAGCACATAAACATCTCATCAACACTCCGAAATGGCATCCCGGCGTTTTGCGACATGCCGTGGCATTGGACAATGGCAACGGCACTGGTCTCGATGGCCACCCAACAGCGGCAGGCAGCATGCTGCTCTCCTGCAGTGCTCACGCCGGCGCTGGTTGGCATTGGCGAAAATCGAGGGTCTCATGCGGCCGACGGCGCCAACCTTCCTCCTGCAGCAGCTGCAGCAGGAACTGCACGCCCGAGAGGCAGTCGTAGTAGTTCGTCCCAGCCGTGAAGATTGTGCCATTGACCAGTCCATGGGCGAGGGCGGCCAATGGAAACGGCCGCCCGAGGTCACTGCCCGGTCTGCTTTCGATGCAACTGGAATTGGATTGGGGAGACTGGGGGGGAGGGGGGACGCCGGCGGGGCCAACGAAGGCAAAGGTCGCACTGCAGCCTGCAGCTTCAACAGTCGCCAGCCTCCACTCGATAACAGCAGCGTCGTCGTCGTGCGCGTCCGAGCCTTCCCTATCAGTCTTGTGCCTTGCAACCCGAGAAATGTTGCGCTGCAGGGCAATATGGAAGTCGAACGAGAGAGTGGAACCCCCACGCAGCTATCTGCTGTTTTATCTGCTTTACCCTGACGAGCTCCCGGCAATGCGACGGAGACAAACATGAGACTTTGGATGAATTGTTAATGATGGACAGGTTGACATTTCTGGCGACATCATGGCCGCAGCCGCCCAGTTTCAGCATTTGAGTTTCGGGGCCAGCCCATGCCAGCCGAGAGGGGTCTTCATTGGATGGCCGAGTGGTGGCTTTTGCCATTTCGTGCTTACACGGTGCCTCCTCCCCTGTCCATGTGTCTGTCTCCTATGTATGATCTAGTTTGTTGATCTTGACCCGACCGATGGTCTTGTCCCCCCGACGGAGGCCCGATACGTCGTCCTGAGAGGGCACAAGTAAGGATAGCTCTCACCCTCGATTTCCCCCCATGAATGGCGGTTTAAGAGCTCTTCTTTCCCGGCATTACAAGCGTGGCGTGTATGGCATGTACAGCAAGCAACAAGTAGCGCCGCTAGACCCCAGAATCTTCCTTCTTGATCCCAACTGGGCTGTATCACTCGGTAGACCTGGTTGCTGGGCCTGTTGTGGTCCTCCTGACCCTGATACGGGCCGACCAAAGTGGTGGCAATATAGGGTTTAACTCATCTCCGACGCGATGGCACTGCTGTCGATGACGCCGCCGCCGCTGCCGCTGCCTCGAGCTGGCCTTCTTGACCTTGCTTGCGCAGTTCTTTGACGACGTTCTGGGGGGGTTGTTAGTATGACTTGAGAGAGGAATAAGTGGATGAGACTGCCGGGGGTGCTTGTTGAAATGGCGGGTAAGAATTGGGGAAAGATTAAGTTGACTGCCGTGCGGTGTACACGTACCGCGAGGGCTTCGGGGTTTATTCCTTTCTCAATCATGGAGATACAGATGGAGAGTGTCTGGCGGTCAAGATGGCAGTTCTAGAGCGGGTTGTCAATTGACTCGGCTCCTGTTGTTTCGGTAACAACGCCTACTCACCAGGATCGTGGAAATCTCGTGCAGGATATTGACTGCTTGTTGAGCAGCCGCCTGCTTCTCGGCCCGATCGGTGGGTGGCATCTTAGTTGGGGAGAGGTTGAGTGAAGTGCGATGTTGGAAACGCCTGTGATGCGCGTTGCATGTTTAATTGGTGGGGCTTCGCGCGCCTGGGCATGGGCCTTGCAGCAGAAAAATTAGTTATTGTTATTCCTGCTCTCTCTGGGTGAAGGCGAGGCACGAACGACAGGCCTGCAAAACGCCTGATCGCTGAGCCCGGGCAATGCCTGAGGCCACCATACCTGCACCCCCGGGTGGTGCGCGGCGGGCACGCAGCAGCATCGCGCAGCGAGCAGCAGGCGATGGGCCGACCGGTCTGGGCTGGACCACCAGTTATCCGCACACTTCTCTCGCCTTCTCGACAGACTTGTTGGACAGATGGGACGATAAAATTTCAGATAAAGGTCAGGAGAACAACAGATAGCGATGAAAACCCCACTTCAACTTCAATCCGCCTTGGTTCATTACCTATCTTGGCAATCTACTACTCGTACATAGGACTGGTACGAGTTTGAAGTCATTGATGGAGAGCATGAGCACCTTCATGACTTTGTGAACATCATTTTGGCAGGCAATGGCGATGGGGTGCATGTCAATTGCGCACGCAGCACACCTTCTTGCGAACCTCTGGCCTGCTCGAACACCACCCACGGGGGTGCGACAAGACTGGGGCCACTGGGCGCACGCCGGTGCAATTCTGCCAAGATGGCGTCAAGTAGCCAGACTCCACTCATTCGCTCACAAATGACCAGGGTGGTGCCACGACCAGGCCATGTTATGCTCACGCCGTGCAAGAAAAAATTCTTCTTGCACACACCAAGACAACGACCCCTGCTCTTGGTCTTTGACAAAAGGGGGCTAGCGCAGATTGCAGCCTTTGGCCCTTTGCAAGACCCGCCCCACCACACCTCCCACCCCTGGTCGCGAGTGGAGAGCTACTTTCTCCCTGCGTACCTCAAACAGCGGATTGCGGCGCCCGAGTACCTTGCGGCACCCTCAGGTCATGTACCGCAGCGGCGCCAATGTCTGAGTCCTCGTGGGTCCTTTGTGGTCATGGGCCTCTGCCTCACTCCTCCTTGCCCACACACCCGCAACAGCCAGGGCAGGCGGTGCCAGGATACTTAACCCAGGCTGCCCCAGCTCCCCTCAACCTCATTCCCGCTTTGGCAGCAAGACAGCTTCGTCGTTGATTTCCCACACACTCTCCTTCTCGTCTCCACCACGCTCCTGCCTTGGATTGGCGTCCATTGCTATGAGTCAACAAGCCTTCGTCTTCTTATAGTCACCGTTCTTCCCTTGGAAGCAGCTCGCAGCTCCGGACCCTCTCTCTCCAACACGAAGCAACAACAATCGCGACTCCCCCAAGACGCAATCACCACACGCCGTCGAGCACCAGATACCTCGCACACCTTGCCTGTGGTACCAGCTCGTCGCTTCACTCGACCGCCTGAACACAACGTCGTCCTCGTCCGACAACGTCCATACCACCAACCACAACCATCATCATGTCTTTCGACTGGGAACATCAGTTTTGCCTGGGTTGCGACAAGCAAACCGATGGCGCCACATACTGCTCGGAATCCTGCCGCCTGGCTGATTACGAGAAGACCTCACCATCAACTCCCAGCTCTGCCGCGAGTTCTCCGGCATTGAGCGGTCCTCCGCCCGATTGGACTCTGTCCAGGCCGACAACAACGAGCAACACCAAGTTCTACCTGTCGCCGGCATACGACTTCGGTCTCGCCCAGCCAAGCACCCGCAGGGGCTCGACCCAAAGCCAGACGCTCTCACCTTCAGCATCCCACACCAGCCTCTGCTCGATGCGGAGCAGCTCATCGGCGGGACTCGATGCGGCACAGCTGTCTGAGAAGGCGGCGAGGGAGCTCCGAGCATACGCCCGCTCATTCGAGTCGGTCCGCCTCCAACGCAGGCGCTCGGCCTAGAGACGACAACAGCCTCGGGCTACCGCAACATCCTCCGCGCTTTCCTTCGACACTCTACTCTCAGCAGCGACTATACCACCCCCACACTCAATCGAATCACGCATCCGTTCAGAAACACCACACGACTCAGTCTTCCACCACACCATCTCCTTTGTCTATCGGTCCACGGTCTTGTTGTAACAAAAAAGAATTTGCATACATGGGAGCACAGCATCATAAAAAGTCTCTCGGGTCCAGGGGTTGGGTTGGGTTCTACAATTGTTTTGATATTTTGGTTTACGGGTCCTCGGTCAAGGCGTACTTGGGTTTCTGGGCGAAAGATACCGTGTATTAAGCAGCGATACACTTCGACGGCGGGTTTTGTTCTCTTTTCCTTCGGCTTCTCTGCATACTGGGCGGGTCTCGGGGGGGGAAACCACATGGACATTGGTGTTGGGCAAGGCACGCTCAGATTGTCGGACCTGGTTTTGGCTCAGAACTACGGGAATTGGCGTTGGACACAGCATCTCAAGAGAGCTGTGGGGTGCTCGAGCATCCTCTGGGATTGGGATTGGGAATTGATGATTCTGTCATGATAGGAATTTTGGATGGGAGTTGCACCACAGTCGTGGGCGGGTGTCCCCGTCTCGGGTTCGCCCTGCACATACGGCGGGCAACTCTTCGAGATTGGCAATCATCAAATTTGAAGCATTTTCCAATCCACCAACCGTATCATCCTCACGAGCAGCGTGCCATGTTTCCCCTTCAAGGTCTCCACAGTATGTCTGGGGCGCCCAATGCCTTTGGTAATTCTCCACTACAGCCAGTCACCACTCAGAGAGCTGTCTCTCTGCACATGGCCATCCAGCCATTGCCATCGTGCCAGAGAGGCAGAGCGGAGTTGCAATCCCCGTTCCACAGCTCGACGATTGGACCACCTTGCCAACCATCATTCGACTGCAAGGCACGCTCGCTTGGGTCGACAGAGTTTGACTGCCGCGGCGAGAGTTACAGTCATCTCACAAAAACGACAATTCATCAATTGACTGCTTGTGCTACTCCACTTCCCTCTCCTAGTCGGTCGACTTTCAATTTTTTCCTGTCATCTCGCTTTTCTGGAAATTTCTGGCACGTCAGACAGCTCAGCGCCGCGCGGCGCAACCGACCACTGCCAGCTCCACGCCGCAGCCCATTACTTGGTACGAAGAGCTCCCTCTCTCCAGTCGAGTGATCCGCCGTCCCTCCGCAGTGATCATCGAATGAGAGTGGAAACCCGAATGTTCCATCTTTGGCAATCGAAATCCACCCAGGGGCAAGACCGCTACGCCTGCGCCACGTTACACCTATCTGGCTCAGTCTGGCGAGTTTGGTTCTTGCATCACTTCACGATGACCAACTGAAGGAGCAAAAGCTCCCGAGGGTTAGGTCAACTTTTTGCATCCCAAGATGGAGCGAATTGAGTCGAGGCACAGCCCAATGGATGCTCCCCAGCTTGTTCCATCCCCCATGTCCCGTGGCGAGTCGGGATTTTTCGATCAACACTAAAATCTTTGTCCGGGATAACGACATTGACTCATTCGCACCTCATCTCGAGTGTAATTTGCGACTTGACGCCCGGGCCAGAACAGCACGGTGGAGCCATTTCCAACCATGACATGGTGAACATTGGCCCCCCTTGCTCTAGACTTCCATTGATGTCCGCCGATGTCCGCTATCAAGCTTGCACAAGTTCCGGGCGGTGAGCCGACTCAGGAGTGTCAGGCCACGAGCACCCCCGAGCTTCAAGCCGGACGGAGCCCTCCGTCTCCCGCCACAGACCGCTCAACCTTCACGGAGAACTCTTGCGGGGTTGGGTCCGGATCGGCCTACGCATGGGCGCCCCCAAGATCGCGAGTCAACCATCAATTGGCAAATCCTTTACGCTATCGGGACTAACCCGACAGCCCGGAGACTTTCGGGCGGAACAAAAAAACGACGGCGACACAGTAAACGAAACGACGATCGACTTCACGTCTCCCCACAACCCCCGCTTGTGCATAACTTTCTTTTGTCGTCACCCCCTCCTGCATGCCCGGCACCTGCCCCTTGCTTAGCTCCAACGGGCGGCCGTGGAGAAAAAGCACCGAGATCTGGGGAAGGGAGATGGAAGTTTCGCCTTCGCCATCGACCAACCAACTGACTAAGCTTTGCACCTCGCCTTGAACTTCGCATCTCCATTTCCGCGGACGATCGAGTTTGGAGCGTTATGCCACCACGGGCGGAGCTACGGCACTGCCTTGTCGGCGGGATCATGTCATAAACATGTCGATGACAGCACAAAAGCTGCGAGTCAGCCATGGGATTGGGTCCTTCCTCTCCGACTGGCTGGCACGGCTGGGCGGGACCTGGAACAACGAAGGTCGACCCCGCGGGCCGGGCAGACTCCGGACAAGAACAAAGGAGACTCCTCCCGTTGGCCTCATCCACCCCCGACGTAGTCTACTGATGAATCACTTGTCACCTGTTTATTCATCATCATCGCCGTCATCGTGGACACAAAGCCTGTCTGCCGGGCCCATCGGCATTCATGCAAATCGCGGGTGCCCAGGATCTTCTCCGTACTGTGTAGTTCCAGAGTATAGTTATCCCGTGGTTAATAACACCCGGGATAACGAATGACAAACCCACATCAAGGAAAGAGACCGAAAGGACCGACCAAACCTCACCTAGACAGGCCCGCAAAGATAGGCAGGTACATACATGTGTGTGGGCGAGTTTCCACGTGGTGTAGGTATGTATGTAGGTAGATATCCCGTCCCGTCCTGCTGGCAAGTGGCGTTCAACCAAAAAAGAAAACCGGCTGGAACGAAGAGAGCGAGATCCCCCTCATGCAACAGCCCGACACACCGATCTGGCCGGGGACCGACCGGTAAAGCCCCAGAAAGGGCGGCCGCCTGCCTCTCTGCTGCCGGTCTGCCTGCCTGCTGCCGTCCCGCCTGCGCGCCGGCGCCATGCAGCCTCCCCTCAGCTCCCCCCCTTCGGGCAAGGAGGAGGGAGGTGCAGGGAGGGAGAGAGAAGGTTCCATTCGGTGAGGCTACCTCTTTCCTGACCCTGCAGGCTGCCCGGCCTGCAGGCAGGCAGGCAGGCAAGGCCGTTGCCCGGCTCGTGTGTGCACGACATGCGGGAGGTATGGCGGCGGCGTCTGAGCCAGGCAGGCCAGGGTCTGCGGTGAATCCGATGCCGATGGAAAGGAAAGTGGCGAGTTTTTTTGCATCCCGTCCGTCCCCCCGTCCCCCTGACGGCATGTTTTCTACGCAGTAATTCTCAGTGCGTGCTGCTCCCCCATCATCACTGGCACCCCCCCACATGTCTGGCGTGCGTATGTCCTGCATGCAAGCGCGGGTCGCGGGTCGTGGCTCTGGTGCCGGATGCCCCTCCCCCCCTCTTCCACTCCTTCCACGGCCCCCGGGCTGTGTTGCGGTTGCGACGCTGCCCTGCCGTGCTTCGGTCTGCCTGCAGCCAGCGCGCAAGGGAGGAGAAAGCCGGACCAGCGATGGGTGGTGAGGTGACATTTTGGCCGTTGGGAGGGAAGAAGTTGTGGGGCGGCTGTTTCGGGGTTCATTTTTCTATCTGGCTTGTTTTTTGGCTTACTATTTTATCTACGTTTATGCTTTTGTTGATGTTTGTTGGCGGCGCTATTTTTTTGGGTCTTGGAGAACTCACGCCGTTTGATGGGCTGACTCCTTCGCCTGGGCGCTCGTCCCGATCTCGGCCGCGTTCGCGGGTACTGTTACCCTCAGCAGCAATCCTTTCAGCTCACCTGCCCAGTCCGGTCCACCTTCGGGCAGTCACTGCTCTCCGAGTGCCGGCGTCGAAATATCCAATGAATGAATACATGGATGCCCTGTATCGTAACCCTTACGGCCCTTCACGCTGAAACGCGGTGAAATCCAGGGTTTGCCAGCGCCCTTTCATTTCGACGTATAGTACGCGTAATCAACGGTGACACACAGTGAAGCTCTTGGATAATGCCGAGACGTCAAGGTCAATCTGATGGCCGGCGCAGCGAGGTCGATATTAACTCGACACCCCATCCCGACCCCCACCGCGTAGAGTGCTTCTCCTCGAGCACAGCATATCATAGCATGTGGTTTTGGGGGCCAGCAGGGTGCCCTACATGTTCGCCACAGGACCTCGTCTCGCGGTATTGGCATGACGATATCGGGTATTGGTGTACCGCAGGATGGGGTCTTTTTTGACGACCATGCACCCCAATACTGGCCGAGACCGGCAAGGCAGAAAAACCCTTGCGGCCAGCTGGACCGCAAGGCGATCAAACATGAGCTGAGCGGTGCGGGTCCCCTTGGGCAAGCCAGAGTGGATTCTGTTTGAACATTCCAATCATGAATGACATCGAGGAGTCATTGTAGTAAAAAAGAATTTGCTAGTCTTGTGGTTGCCTCGGACGTCTTGGCCTTCGCTTGAAATGCCCCCAAAAGGGAAGGGAGACTGGAGCCATGGGAAACGTTGAGCTGGGACCGGAAACTTCCGTTGTTGGGCGAAATGTACTTTGTCCGAATAAAATTCTCCCTTCCCGAAATTGGAGGGTCGCCAATCAAGACAACTTCAAGCCGCCGAAGCTCAAGGCAGACACGTCTGGTCAGTTTTGACTCATCCATCCTTTGAAACTTTTCCTGTCCCTTGCAACAGCCAGGGAAAGAAGACCCCACTCTCGTTTTTTGTGTGCAGGGATTCCGGCGATCCCGCTGTGGGACCCGTTGAGAAGCCCCACAAATGGCATCATCAGCCGCGAAGGTGCGCGCATCACCCGCACCCGCCTATCGATACGATGGTTGAGACTCTGGTTGTCGGGGCATAAAGCAATATTAAGCCGGACCAGTAATGGGTGGGAGCGGGAAACTATGGTTATAATGGTCTTATTGATATCTTTAAGTTTCGGCTGGGGCCTTGGATGTTTTTTTCACCCTTGCTTCATCTATCTCGGGGCCAATCAACATCCGATTTCAGTGTGCCTTGTGCGGGCAGCGCCGAGTTTCAAGAGCCTGCTGTTGGGAGGTTATGTAATCTCAGGCAGTCCGCTTATTGGATTCACTTTTGAGAGGTCCTTCCCGTGCCGTGCTCTGAGTCTGAAACTGTGGAGACCGCATGCCCGCTTCGTGTTTCTATTCAAGTTCCGTTTCTCTGTTCCGTTTCTCGTCTACATCGCGGTGTGAGCTTACATAGGCAGTTACCAGGGCCGTCCTCCAGCGTTTAGCTACAGCGCTTAGGGGAGCGGTTCTATCGTAGAGGTACGTTAGAACCTCTAGAGAGACATTCAGACCTTTAAACGCGTCCTTTGGGGGAGCTTTTTGCCCAGGCTGAGTCCGATCAACAGCTTAGGCTTAGAGGAGTTAGCCGGGAACATTTACGCCGCAACTCTTGTAAAGAGATAGATTATTTAGTTATAGCGCTTGCCGTTCGATTCAGAGCTATCCTCAAGCTCAACAAGGCACTCAACAACCTACGCCGCTCGCCACTTCTCTGGCAACGAACGCTCTCCAGTGCACTTGGAAAACTTTGGTTTCAAGATAGTGTACCCCACGAACCTTGGGCATTTACCAGGGACGTGAGGATGAACATGAATGATAAACCCTTCATCTCCCCTCTCGCTTCTCTCCTCTCCCGGCATCAAGGTTGAAATACATCAACTCCAGGATAGATTGGAACTGGCAGACAGCCATGAACGCCCCAACAAGAACAGATCCAAGTACCAAGAGAATCAAGACCAGGATCGACACAACATAATAATGACTCTGCATCGCCCAGCCACCCTGAGCCGGCCAGGAGTCAAACATGGCCTGAATCCATCTCGCCCCCGTCATCCCAACCCAGCGTAACATCAAGACCTGCGTCGAAAAGGCAGCAAGATAGGGTAACGCGAAGAGTAGCTGCCGTGGTCGTGAGGTGATGTAAGGTGTGAGCCATCTCGTCCAGTGCGGCCGCCTAGCATCGTAAGATTCCGGTACCTGGTTAGGTGCCTTGATGATTGTGACGATACAGGAAACGACGGTCAAAAGTCCCAGTACCCAGAAGACGGGTTGTGATGTGAACTCATTGATGGCTCCATCGTCGGTGGACATGATTGTGATGGGATATTGTGCCCGAGGATGTCTTGGGATTTGATGGGATGGATGCGTTTTGTAAGATGCTCTGGAACGGGGTGTTCGTTGGCGGATTGTAAAACAGACGCAGTTGAGGCTCTGAGGAAGCCTGGAGTGAAGAGGGGTAAGCGCAGAGTTCGGCATATCCGTTACATGTAGCCAATCACCCGGATGGATCTCTTGAGCACATTTCTTTCTTAGAAATTCTATCTATATTAGGTAGGTATTTTGATTCAACTCGCAACGGCTAGGTATAATGTCTAGATCTGGTTTATACTGGAGAAAGCCTACCCGGGACGAGGGGAGAATATATACTCGGTCTAGGTATGTCCTCTCCTTTATAGCGCCATGCAAGTGATCTTGGAGGAGCGCATTGACGCTTTCCAAGAGAAGAAGGGGATTCTGAGCCTGGGAGAAGAGATGAGAAGGGAGGAGGGAGGGTTAGACAGTTAGATGGCATAAGCGAGCCCATCCCACACATCATCGACGACAACCCTGAACGACCGGCGCGATCGTTCTGCCTTGTCTGCGCCGTTTATAAGTCGTTACGGAGATGGCGACGGTCGAGGAACGCAAACGGGATCGTGTCCGGCAGAACATCGGTCCGTTTGAGTACGCTGTGTCAAAAACCGGACTCCGGCGTCAGATTGATTTCAGCCCAGTTTAGCACACTTGCTGCGGAATTACATAACTATTTTGCGTGCCCCACTAACATCAGCTAACACCTTCAGCTGAAACTGCAGCGCCGAAGGAATAGTGGACGTTTGGTGCACAGTGAATACCACCCACCACCGAGAGCTTGGGAGCTGCTTGCCCAGATGTTGGGTCTTGGCCCAAAACCCACAATGAAACCAGGAAGGAACGAAAGATCACTCAAGACACGGCCACGTTGTTGGCCAAGCGAGGCAAAAAAAGCGAAAAAGCCGAAAAGAATTTTCATCATGTCTCGCCAAACATGCCAATTGACGATGAAAAGTTTCGCAATGACACATTGGTCGCCGCAGCACCGCGTCGAACCCCAGTAAAGCCGCTTAACGAGCAACTCAGCGCTCTCAGCACAGCAACTTCAGGCCGCCATCGATCTGGGTGAGATGGGGCAGTTCATGCCTGTGCCTGGTGCTGGGCCGCGCGCGCCGCATGCGGGTGTTGTTTCCGGCGTCCCTGATCGGCATGGATCTGAGATCCCGTCGGTCATGGCCGACGTCGTAGGTCGTCTTCTGGAATTCTGGACCAAAAACTGCGACAGCCGAACCGATGAGACCTGAAGCTCCACAGCTCCACCCCTGCGTTGTCTCCCAAGCTCCCCTTTTGACCATTGCTGTCAGTTAGTTATTCATCACGGCTGGTGGCTGATGTGATATGTTTGCTACGAATACGCAGTATGTACAAGCAACTCCACCGGGGGAGGGGGGGCCCTTGTTGACCGCATGGCATTGGCCCGACGAAACAAGCCCGGTTCATGCTGGCCGACGTGTCGGCCACTCTGTCGCCCTGCCGCGCCGCACAGTGGGTTTTCGATTTCTTGCTCGCGGCCGTGCGACAAGGGACTGGGCGAGCTGCAGAGAAGCCCGAAGAACTCCCACGGGCGGTTCCTGATGGGCAGCGGGGCCGCACCTTGTTGGTCGGCCGATCCGGGCGGACGCCTTGGCCGGCCATTCTCCGGAACCTGTGGCTGGCTGGTCTCGGCGCACCCTGCAGGCCACCGCTCCCTGTGAGTGGCCTGGCCCTGTTCCCCCCTCGGCATCCCGTTCTGCGCGTCGTGGCGTCCCACACACCGGATTTGTGGGAGGACAGCAGACGACGGCGATGCCTGAGAGCCCGGTTCGGTCGCTCTGTGAACGCAGCAGGCAGTGGATTCGGGACAGCCTTCTCTCCCAAAGTTTGCTCCCTGGCGGTCGGGCAAGAAGCGGGCTTGCTTCTTCCCCCAACCCCCTCCCGTCCAACGATTGGTCCGTCCCGGATGGGCGCCCGATCCATGCCTGATCACAGAGCAGCAATTGTCGCCTGAGATGCCGAGTATCCCCTCTCGGATCCCGTCCGCCCGACTCCATCCGGCGTCCGCTTCACGGACCCGGGCCACAAAGTGGATCCCTCTCGTCCCACCAACCTCGTGCTCCCCCCTCCCGCGCCGTCTCAGACCCTCCTCCCCCCAATGAATGACGGGTCTCGGGACCAGTCAACAACTCGTGTTATCCAATGGCTGCCAATATTTTGGCGTCTGCATTCGGCGTCATCCAGGAACGGAGTGCGAGCCCAGACCCCCGAATCGGAAGCGTCCGGCCCTAACATGACATGACATTTGACAGAGACAAGGCGGTTTCGGGGGCATGGACCAACACGCTCCGCGCAAGATTGCAGGACAGCAACGGGCCCAGTCCCTTAACCGGGGTCTAGAATCCACCGATTACCTGTCTATTCAGGATGAAACAACATCAGCCCTTCCCACTCAACATCCCTTGCTTGCGTCCCATCTCTCTACCTCCCCTATCAGCGTCGACCCGGTGGGGCTCACCCCCGACGCCGCCCGTTGTTGCCGTTGTAATCTGTATGTACGTATGATGAGATGTTGTCGTCGACGTGGACACGCATTCTTCGAGTCCCCCGCCCAGGTTCTCATCCAATATGTCTGTTTGTCCGTCTGTCTGACGTGCTCTGATTCAGGGGGGGGGGGAGCCTGGTAGGGCGGGCAGGAATGTTGAACCCTTTCAATCTCGTCTCGGTTCTCTCCCCCGGCCCAATCTGACCTGTCCTGTTCCAGTGATTTTCCTGTCTGTCTGACTGTCTGACTGTCTGTTTGGCTGTCGCCAGCCGTTGGCTTTTCCCTCTCTCCCCGTGTCGCAGACAACGGGTGGGGGAGATGACGCCTTGTGTCTCACAACTCATTCGAGCCGCGGCGGGTCTGGCCTCTGTCTTCGGGGTTCCAATTCCAGACGGGGGTTCGATAGTTCGATAATCTGGGTAACCGCCGGCGGGAGCCCCCTTCCCCCCCCTCTCAGGTCGTGGAACGGTGGAACGCCCGTGTCTCGGACTGAGAGTGGGCTGTGTGCGACGTCGCCCAATATCCAGTTCAATGCTTGAGGGGTGAGCCGGCGCTTTCCGAGTGGTTGACCCGGATTGGGATCGTTTTGGGCCGTGTTTTTCTTATTCTTCCCTTCTTGTGCTATGTTGCATTCGTAACGGTGGACAGGGCGGGTACCTTAGCTGGGGCTCCGGAGTACGTGGACAAGATCCCGCTGTTGTGTTCGTGGGTGGTCGGTCGGCTCGCTCCGGACCAGTCGAGCCAGTGCTTTTTTGTGGACTGTATGATTTTTATGAATTGAGGACCGGGGCAAGAACAATCGCATCATGATGGCCTGTTTGAACTTGATGGAGTACTGGGGTCGTCGTTTGCTTCACCTCATGGTGTTCGCGATCATGCTGTGGTTAGGCTGACGCCCCTACCCAGAGGTGTCGCCTCACGAGGGGATTATTTGCCTCATCGACGATCCGTCATGAATATAACAGGGCGAAGGATCAAGTCGGCGTCAAGTGATAACCAGAAACTAGCAAACCCCCACAGCGCGGCTCGAGTGAGCATCGAACACAAACACATGACTTCAGCCTTTTTGATTTCGAGTCGCAGTACTAGACGATCGGTACCTAGTCGGAGCCTCGACCGTCGCCACTCTCGAGTCCCGAGTGTGCCACGTCTACCGGCTGCGGTCTTACCATTGCGGGGGCTTACAACATATCCAAGGTCATGGGACCAGTGCCTCCTCACTTCTTCTGTCAGGGGCCAGGGGCCAGGGTCCCGACCAGTTGTGCCGGCTATCAAGTGCCGCCTCCGCATGAAGCATCTCGATTCAACGCTCCCCACGTCGCCTCCAATTCTCAACCAACCCTGTTTCAGGGTTCTGTTAAACCCCTCAGTCAGCTCGAGTTGTTTCATAGGGCGGGAGACCTGTTCCCCTCTGATCAGGATCCGACCCTGGCGGCCTATCGTTGACTAGGTCGCCGCCCGATGGGAATCCGATACCCGGTGCGGGAATCGGTCCGGTTCGCGTGCTGCGTGGCGAATAGTCGAGAGCAGTGGAACGCTGAGTTGGCGAGCTGTCAGCTAATGGAACGAGTTCTGATCGAGCGGTTCGTGGTGGCGGACGCTGTTGCGCTTGAGCTGACGAGACACGTACCTATTACATGTAGCTAGCGTGCGGCTGGCTCATCGGGGGCGGCTTCCGACTCTATGGCTGTCGGGTGATGACCCGGACTTGCCGTCTGCATTCGTGACTGTGTCCGATCAGAGCCGCTTGGAGAGGGGCGACAACAACTCGCCAATCGCTTGCTGTACCCTTGATTCGGACCGCAGGTAGTGGTGTTTGGTTTCGCCCCGGAGACAAGACAAACTATTAGACCAAAAGGAGCCAACAATATTGGGTCATGTCAAACAACCTCCCAATCAGTTCCTCTTCGCACGAGTTGTACTGCTTGACTTTGCGCACAACCACCTTGGCAACGTCCTTAGACCAGAACCTAGGTAGATAGCAACTCCTCGGGACCGATGAAGAGACGTTTTGAGAACCAGGGTAGATGTGATCCATAAACTCTGAGTTGGGTCCTGGCAAAGTTTATGATGGCGTCTGCTAAACAAATACCGGCGAGGTACCGCTAGCGTCCTCAACTCCTATCCTTATTTTGCGAATCAGAATGCTGGCTTGCCTAGGTTCAAGTTGGCACGCAGAATGAGGAAAACAAGGCGTGGAACAACAAGATGGTTGAGATAAAACTCGGAACAAAGCCCACGCAGCAGGCCCCCGCTCATTCACTCATAGATGAGTTCCAAGCTGCCCAATGTTACCGACCACCCCAGTGGCCTAACGGCATGGGGTTGGTCTCTGGTGTTTCGAACTGCTGGCTAGATTCCTGGAAGGTCGTCGGTTCGAGTGACGCCGGTGCCATCAATTTGCGCCTGAGCCTCGCCTCCGCGTTTGTGGCCTCCGTCTCTCATAAAGAGGGCGGGGGGTCTGGACCATATTCCTGGAGAGCTGTATTAAGGCAACATCAGGTAGCTTAAAGGTGGTGTAAAACCATACCCCGTGGGTGATGCCATGGAAAAGAGTTTTCCTCGGACGTGCAACCTGGAAATCAACGAACGGTCCCGCGTGAGGGGCCAATACCTTGGAGTACCTGGTAAGTTGGCCAGTTTGTCGACGAGTTTTTTGGCTACTAGATATTTGAAGATAGTCGACACAAACATGATGGCGAGGTGGGAAAGTAGATGATCTATTCAGCTAGGTCTCTGGGTATGTACCCTAGGTAGGTAGCTACTGAACTTATAAACTACGAAGTACCAACCTACCTGGTATGTATATATATCTCTCTATCTCTGTATTTACTCTAAACTGTGTCTCTTCTGTATCTCCATGTCTGCCGACAATCAACATCCCCTTACTCATCCTCCCAATCAACCCCCCGATATTCAAACCACCTCCTAAACTCCTCATCCTCCACCAACTCCTTTGCCAGCACCTTCTCATACCCAATCGTAAACTCCAACCCCTCATCCTCACCACTCCCAGCCCGCGCGGGATACAAAATCAACAACCCAACGTCCACCCTCCCCCAGAGCTGGCGATAGGCAACCGGCTTCCCAAACCCAAACTCAGCGCCCTCCCCTTCCCTCCCTCCTCCAATCACCGCCGCGGCCGCCCTATGATCCGAAACAGCGACCGCCAGCGCAGGCAGGTTGTACATGTCGGCCGCGGCGCGCGTCTTGTCGCGCAGCAGCCGGAACTGGTCGTGCAGCGCCTCCAGCACCGCCCACGTGCCCCCGGCCTCGGTCATCGCCCGCACCCACGCCGCCACCCGGTGCAGCGGCCAGACGTCTTCCTCCTTCTCCTCTTTGTCCCCAACCTCCTCCTCCTTTTCGCCGCCCTCCTCCTCCCTTCTGTCGCCCTCCCCCCCCTCATACCCCTCCCCCTCACACCCCCCACCCTCCCCCCTACCACCAGAAACGGCCCCAAGCTCCGCCACCGTCGGCGCGACCGGCACCCCGGGCAGCGGCAGCCGCGAGACGGCCGCCGAGAGCAGGTTGCGCTGCATGCGCGCGGGGATCGTGGGCGACGGCGGCACGCCGACGAGGTCGAGATCGGTGCGCAGCCTGAGCCGCTGCCGCATGTCGATGACGGTGGCCCACAGGGGGCGGGCCGAGCGCGGGATGCGGGAGGCGTAGTGCGCGTGGCGGAGGCGGGTGAGGATCTGCCAGAGGAGGGCGGTGGTGGCGTCGTAGGTGGATATTTTTGGGGGGGTTGGGGTTGGGGGGGTGGTGGTGGTGGTGGTGTTGTTTGTTGGGTTTGTTATGGGGGTGGTGGTGGAGGAGCGGGAGGAGGCTGAGGGGGGTGGGTGGGCGAGGGCTTTGAGCTGAGCGGCTTTGGATTTGGGGAGGTGGAAGAGGAGGGCTTGCCGGCCGCCTGGTAGGGGTAGGGGTGAGGTTGGGTCGTTGAGGAGCGACGAGGGCGCCGTTATCTTCTGGTCCTCCGGTACCGGGCCCTTGGCCAGGCGCCGCGCGACGACCAGGCAGGCCGGGTCCCAGGGCGGGTAGGGGGTGCCGGTGACGGAAGCGCGGCAGTTCTCGGCGAGCTGCTGGATGAAGCTGGCCCAGCCGGTGGTGTCGTTGGCCAGGTGGTGCACGTGGGTCACGAGGACTAGGCCGCCGCGGACGAAGCTGGCTTTGAATCCCAGGACAGAGGGGCGGCGGTCGGGGTGTGCTTCCGGGTTGTCTCCGCCGTAGCGCATCTGCGGGATCTGCCAGAGGTCGAGGTCGCCGAGAACCTGGGCGCGGAAGTGCGCGTCTTCCATGTCCTGGAGGGATGGGTACTTGTCTTCGTCCTCGAGCGTGTCCAGCCACTGGACGCGGAGCTCGACTGTGTTTTCCTTCCTGCGGACAAACCAGTGATCGCCGTCGGGGCCCTCCTCGATGGTGCTGCTAAGATGGCGGGTCTGGCAGAGGGTTCGCTCGAGACCACTGCGAAGCACCTCCAGGGCGTTGGCCTTGTCTCCATCGTCCAGCTTGAAGTAAAGGGCGTAGTTGTTGAAGACGCATGTACCCACGTAGTCGAGCGGGGAGAGCCTGTAACGCTCCTCGTCGGGGTCATTTTCCCAACCGAGAGGATGAATGTGGTAGACTTGTTGCCCTGTCTGGTCTGACATGACTATTGTGGAGGTGCTTGTGGTGCCTATCTACTTAACTACCTATGGTCGAGTAAGTGTGGGCTGGTCAACCGCAGGTTGGAGGTTGGAAGTGCAGAAGGGTTTGAACTCTCGAACCCGCCGGCGGTTGCTACCTGATGCCCCACCACGGAGCTCTCCCAAATCTTTCCTGAAACGGCATAGCTTTTATTCATCGTCGCAGGTTATCCGCCGAAAAAGAGAGCGCTGAGCCGGCTTAGACTCCTCAGAATGAGCTGTGAGGCATACCTACCTACCTTAGTATAAGAAACCGGTCTGATATCCGGACAGTCAAACCCTTCAAGGGCAAACGCTTCCTTTTTCGTATACTACCAGGTCAGCTATCCTTCAATGCCCTCTTATAGCCCCGCTTTGGCAGTATATCAATCTCCATCACACGGGTAAAGTTAGGGCCAACCCATGGGACACATCCTTCTTGGGAACAGGATTCGCTCTTTGCTCTTGGACAAGCGGAATGGGGACCTCGACGGGTTCTGTCATCTCTGTCGCTCGAAAGCCCTCAACCTCACCAGACATCCCGTCATGGTGTATTTCGTGCCGCAGTGGCGAGGAGATGTAAGCCTGATACCTCTGCGCTTGTTGATCTGGCACGACGAAGAAGTTGTCAAACCAGCTTGCCAACTCATCACAGACCTCATTGAGCAGGTCCGAGTCCAGCGCGAGACTGCCCGTACTAGTATCGGCATGCGCCCCGTGGTCGAGCAGCCTGACCCTATCACATAGCATAACCAGTTCTAGGCTCCATGTCAGTGAAGCTCTTTCGAGGAAAGAAAAAAGAGAAAACACAACACAGAGAGAACGATACCTCTAGGGGAAGTGTGAATGCTGCTATACATCACAGCGGGATGCGTCGCATAGCCCGATACCTGTTCCTTCAGACGCTTCAGGGCCTGCGTATAGCGAGTACACTGCGTCGCCCGGTTACCACTGCTCCGGTGCGCTATGCCCAATATCGTCGGTTTGCTCTCGGCCTCGAGCTTGGTTGCCAGATCCAAGATGGTCTGGACCGACTCGAGGACGGGGTTCTCGTACGACCGCTGGGAGCTGCCGGACATGCGGGAGAGTCGAGAGAAGTGCGACTTAAAGGACCGGAAGGACAACACCGAAGCCTGTGACCCAGCCGACTGGGCTGACTGGTTCGAACGACGAGAACGGATGGATGCGGTGTCTTCGACTGGCTCAGCGGCGCCGCTCTGGGTTTGATCATTTTGATTTTCGGGGGCATCTCCCGGGTCCTGTTTCCAGGAGGCAATCCAATGCAGAATCCTGCGTCTAGGACAGGCGACAGTAGTCAGATAAGTATCACTAGCACCGTATTTAGAATACTGGAGTCCCGTACCTGCGCTTTTCCTCCCTTCTCGAGGAAGCCGGCTTACCTGACTCAACATCCTTCGAATAGTCAGGCTCCGGGGACGGTGGTTGATGATTAGAACCTAACATTGCACTTGGTGACCTTCATCTTTTGCTGTGCGAGTGTTAACGGAAGAAGTTTGTCTTGTAGAGAGTAGCAGTACAACTTATACAAAGATCAAGTAAGAACGCCGGGTCCCATGAGTGGGTGGTGCCTCTTTCATTTAATCGCTCTGAGCACCAAGAGCCTCATACCCATAAGCAAGTGGCGAATTTGGCGAGCCTTGTTCCGAATAAGAGCAGAGCCTTCCGGAGGCGCAGAAGGGATGCCTAGCACCGCCTATAGTGACGTACCCAGGGGAGAGATCAGCGGCGCTGTGGTGTAACCATCCAACCAGACGCCAGTGGCCATGCACGGGGCCTGATGAGGGAGAAACCGGGAAAGTATAGAATGATCCGAGCTGGTGTCAGACCGAGTCACCTGTGGCTTGCCAGTCAATCATCATGGCCGCATCTGAGGCCCAAAACTTTGTGCAATATGTGAATCGGTCGCTGGACGAGGAGGAGAGCTTCCACTTCCTACGCTTCGAGTTCCTCCAACGATTGAATCTTAGTCATTTCCACGTCAAGCTAGCCCGTATCAAAAGCCGAATTCAAAAGCAGGAAGAGTGCTCCGAAGATGAACTAGAGACCCTGCAGGGCCTCCTGAAAGACTATGGTATGTCCGAATCTTGGTTTATCATACTGTATCACACTTTATCATATTCCGTCATCCCCGATGACATACCAGGTAAGGTACTCAACAAAATCAACTAACAGCCACCCAGCAACCGCAATACGCGACTACCGCTACCTCCGATCATGCCGACCGGTCCCCCGAGCCGAGATGCGGCTGCGCAAGGCGCTCCTACAGCGCTACTTCCAGTCGGACGACGACTTCCAAGACCCCTTCCACAGCCACTACTGCTTCTTCGAGGACGAGAAGTCCCAAGTCGATCCACTACGAGCAACACTGATGCAACGCCTACCCGTGGCGCTCACCTACTCGTCCGAGGAGCGGCGGCAGCGGCCGCGCGAGTACGAGGAGGGCAAGGCGCCCCTGCTGGCGTCGGCCTTTGTCGACCGCTCCGTCCGCTTCATCACCGCCATGACGGGCGGCGTGTTCCTCGTCGGGCCCATGCTGATCATGTCGCTCCACCCGTCGCAGACCAAGAGCCTGCTCACCGTCTCGGTTGCCCTGGTGGTGTTCTCGCTGGTGCTCTCGTTTGGGATCCGCGTGTCTAATGTTGAGACCCTCGTGGCTACGGCGACTTATGCTGCTGTGCTGGTTGTGTTTGTTGGGACGAGCTCGGCGGGCGTGGGGAGTTAGGATAGGGGATTGAATGGGTTGGCAACTTTATTTCTTTTCGGTAGCCCAGGGGGGATATATATATATATATATAGGTAATCATAATAGCAAGCAAGACCTGACAACATGCTGGTTAAAAAGAGTAGGTCTCCAAAACTTGGGATACCTTTTGCCCTAGGCTTTTAAATAGTCAGAACTCTAGCAGAAGAAAACTGAATCAAAGAAAGCAAAATGAAGTAGAAGAAAAACCACATGCACGTAACTTGGGGAAAAAAGCAGATCCTAGTATCAAGGAAAACTACCTATCACCCAGTACCTAAGGGGAGAAAAAGGAACCGAAATCAAGTAAAAGTTAAAACCACAAAGTTACCTACCTATGCATAATAGTTATACCTGGGTAATTTCTCCAACCTACATGTGCCTATAAGGTCTCTCAAAGTTGGAGTACTTTCTTTTGGCTGCCGGATCATGAATTTCGTTTTATTCCTGCTACAATTTACAGAGATTAGGCTTAACGGGTAAGGAGCGTAGTCGAACTCATTCCTCAAGCCTGATTGTTATATACCTAGGTAATGAATGTTGTTCGAGTGCCACTCTACTCCCACTCCCAACGATGCAGCCCGCTGTAAACCTGTAAGCGGTAAACTGCGGAGCTGATGATGTTGCGCAGCGGTCCAATGAGGGGTAGGGGTGCTTAATCGGTCGACCAACTCCAATACTCGACGGAATTGAGTCGGCTGCCTGGATCATCCTATCCTTTCCGTGCAAGTGAAAGTGACACGTCGACCTCTTGCTTCAACTACCCGGAAGTCCGGAGGGCGCATGCCATGACGGACGAAAACCAGACCATGTTACGGTCTCTCCAAAACATGATGGCCCGCCGCCGAATGGCACCCCAACTCACCACCATGTTCCCCACCATCCAGAGCTGGAAGCGCGGCGAGCTGGCACCCCAGGAGTACCACACCTTCCGGGACGGGCTCTGGCACCCCGTCGAAGCGCGGGAATCGACAATACCGGCGGCGGGGGCCACAGCGCCGCGGTCGCTCCAGTTCGCCGTGCTGTCCTGGAACATCGACTTCATGCGGCCCGAGGACGACGCGCGGATGGCCTCGGCGCTGAAGCACCTGCGCGGCCTCGTCGCCGGCAAGCCCGTCCCCAGCGTCATCATGCTCAACGAGATGACCAAGTCCGACCTCAACCTCATCAAGCAGGCCGCCTGGGTGCGCGAGGGCTACAACATCACCGACGCCAACACCGACCACTGGGAGTCGGCCAGCTACGGCAAGCACCCCCCCCCCCCCCCCCCCACCTTCTTTTCCTTTTCTTTCATCACCCCCCAGACAAACAGACAGACAGACAAACAAAGAATAAAACAAACTAACCACCCCCCCCAGGAACGTGCATGCTCCTCCCGCGGACCCTCCCCCTCACCACCATCTCGCGGCTGCACTACCCCAACACGTCCATGGCGCGCGACGGGCTGTTCGCCGACGTGGCGCTCCCAGGGGGGCGGGCGCTGCGCCTGTGCACGACTCACCTCGAGTCGCTGCGCGTAGACCCCCCGCGCCGGCCGGCCCAGCTCGCCGCCGCCGCCCTCCACCTGCGCCAGGCTCATGCGGGTATCCTGGGTGGGGATCTGAATGCTATCCAGGAGTTTGATGAGGGCTTGCCTGGGGAGTGCGGGTTGAGGGATGCGTATCTGGAGGGCGGTGGGAGGGAGGGGGATGAGGAAGGGATGACTTGGTAGGTTTGGGGTTGGTTCGTTGTGCTTTTGATTTTCTTTTGCTCTTTCTTTTTCTCTTTCCTTTTCTTTTTTGGCTTTTCTTTTCTTGCTTCGAGGCTCGTGATGCTGCTCTGATCTTTGATTCTAAGAGAGGATGAACTGACATTATTGCACAGGGGATATCAGTCTGGGTCAGGGCAGAGAGAACGGTATGGACTGGGCAGGTTAGATAAGATTCTCTTTTGTGGCGGGGCGTTGAAGTTGCTGGCGTTTGAGAGGTTCGGGATGGGCGTTTTGGTCGAGGACGAGGGGGCCGCATCGCGGTTGGTGTACGGCGATCTGGAAAAAGCCTGGGTTACGGACCATTTGGGGGTGAGGGCCGAGTTTCGGGTGGAAGTGCCCGAGGAAAAAGAGGGTGCGGCAGAAGTGCAGGACGGGGAAACCCCGATTGTCGAGGAAACACCAGCTCAGGTCAAGACTCGGGAAGAGGGCTCAGAAACGAAAGCGGAAAAGAGCCCAGACACGCAGGAGCCGGCCCCGTCGACCTCAAGTTAAATTTATTGATTGACAAGCCGATCTACAGTTGACATATATTGCCATTCTGTGCCATGGATCCTATCCGGAACCATACCTGCGGAATGATGTTCGCATGTAAACCAAGAAACCGGAGCTGCAACCGGGATTATCGGGGACACTGCCTGCAAAAAAGCTTAGCCCGGAAATGAGTGGAGCCCCGAAATCAACTCAGCTGTCGCCCCAACAATTCAGCCCCTGCTCCTGCACCCCGGGCCGGCAGCAGGCACCCAATGATAGGGCAATTATAGGCAACGTTCCAGGCCCTGCCCACTGCCAACTTCCCCTGGCTTCTCCTGTTCATGTTCAATCCACCAGACTTCCGGTCAGACGACAGCCCTAGAGCCCACCGCCAGACGCAGCCGATGCTTTGCGATGGCCCAGCTGGTCTCCGATTTTATCATCACGCCCGTTCTCCGACAAGCCCGTCGCTTCTCGAGCGGGTTCGCCGCCGATGAATCCCCCGCCATTGAGAGCCCCGCGATACGACGCCAGCGAGCCCAGTCGACGGGGTTCCCCGGTGCTGCTGGTACCGCGATATTGGAGGGAGATGAGCATGCGAGGTTGACAACCGGGAGTCCAGTACGGCCCAACCGCATCCGACAAACTCGAGCCTCGGCCGGCCGTCCCCTTTCCTCGAGTCCGGATGGCCTGCGGAGCACCCCGGAGAACCCGAGCCTGCTGGGATTGGGCTTACGCAACAATATCGGGCTGAATGGGCAACCCAGCACTCCTGCCCCGACGGAAGCCAGCACCCAAGCCGCATGGCCGCCGCCAGAAAGCAACAGGGCGACGCCGCTCCCCGAGGATGACGGCATGGGGGACCTCCGCCGAAGGATTCAGGCCGTCCAGTCACTGGATGTCGCCCAGGACGCCAAAGCTCAGATGATGCATGAGCTGTTGACGGAAAAGTACACCAAGCTACAGCGGTCACCTGCGCCTTCCCATAGTACCGCCAGGCCGGTGTCGCGAGCAAGCACATCCACGCCTGACAACCAAGAGCATACGGACCTAGCTGGGACGTTGCAGGCTTTCAAGAAATGGAACCCGCTCGGTGACGCACCCGAGCGCCTCAACCTGCCACTGACTGAGGAGGATCTCACGCCGACCTTTGTGCCAGAGAAACGTTCTGGCGACGCAGCGGAATGGTGGTCGGTGACGGAGCAACCGGACGACGAGGAGAGGCGCCTCGGCTGCGAACATTACCGCCGCAACGTCAAGTTGCAATGCGCCTCGTGCGAGCGATGGTACACGTGCCGCCACTGCCACGACGCCGTCGAGGACCACGCCCTCCCGCGCCAGCAGACCAAACATATGCTTTGTATGCTCTGTGGATGCGCTCAGAAGGCCTCGGATACGTGCGTCAAGTGCAGCCAGTCAGCCGCCTACTACTACTGCGGCATCTGTAAGCTTTGGAACGACGATGCGAGCAAGCCCATCTACCACTGTTCCGACTGTGGGTTGTGTCGAGTCGGCCAGGGATTAGGCAAAGACTTTTTTCACTGCAAGGTGAGCACCCTTTTCACACGTACGCCGAATCTGACGGCTGAAGACTAACTGGCATATTAGAAATGCATGGCTTGCATCTCCACGTCTGAGAGCAACCACAAATGCATCGAGCGGGCCGTCGACTCGGATTGCCCCATCTGCAACGAATACCTCTTCAACTCGCCCAAGTCGGTCACCTTCATGCAGTGCGGCCACAGCATCCACCTAGTTTGTCTCGAGGAGCTCAAGAAGACGTCGTACCGGTGCCCGCTATGCAACAAGTCGTGCGTGAACATGGAGTACCGCTTCCGGCAGCTCGACATGCAAATCCTCCACCAGCCCATGCCGGCCGACTACGCCGACGCCCGCGCCGTCATCTCGTGCAACGACTGCTCCGCCAAGAGCCAGACCGCCTACCACTGGATCGGCCTCAAGTGCGCCGTGTGCACCTCGTACAACACCACCCAACTCCACCTCCTCAACATGCCGGGCGGCGACGCCGCCGCCGCCGAGCAGCAACAGCAACAATCCGAACAGCAGCCGGTAGCCCTCGACCCAGATTTCCTCGCCGAGGAAATCCGCCGCCGCAACCGAGCCCTGCGCCGCGAGCAGGAGCGGCAGCGAGACCAAGAAAGGGACAACAACGCGAACGGCATGCAAGCCTTCGCCCTCCTCTCCACATCCCCCTCCTCCTACTCGCGCGCCTTCCTCACCCGCCTCCTCAACCGCGGCAGCACCCCGTCGTCGGAGCCCGACCCCCTCCCCGGAACGGATGCTAGCAAACCCGTCTCCGCCTCGTCACCGGACCTCGTCCGTAGCCCTGTGACGATGGCCACCGCCAAATCTGGGTCTGCGTGCGGCTCGGTCGACGGAGACGACGACGACGACGACGAGGAGGAAGATGATGGCGAGATGGACATGCTGGACCTGTTCAGCGCGCGGGATCGGGACTTTGATCGCGTGACGGGGCTGACGTCGGCGGAGAGTGCGGTGGGGTTTGATGATGATGATGATGAAGAGGATGATGAGGATGATGATGACGATGAGGGGGATAGTTCGGAGGATGAGGACCGTGAGGGGGAGGAGGAGGAGGAAGATGAGGATGATGAGGAGGATGATATCCTGCTGCTTGGGCATAGATAGGACCTGATGGCTTCTTGGCGTGCGGTTGTGGTGGCGGTGGGGCTGGGGGTTGTTGCGGGGGTGTGTGAAGGGTTGGTGAGCCGTTGGGGGGTGAAGGGGCGGCGATGATTCGGGCTGGGCCGGGCCGAGCCGGGTTGGGTTGGGTTGCGCCCGGTTGGTGTCTTGCTACCTAGAGGATGGTGATGCGGATTTGGATTTTCTGGGCTATTAACTTGCATTGTGCATTGGGAATGGTTGGCGGCAATGTCTTGGCTTAATGGGGCGTGGGATTCGCGTGCGAGGAGTTTGGGTCGGATCAGCCTGGATGGATATATGGGAGGGAAGGTATCGGTCCTCTGAAGCGGAATGGTGGCTTTTGGCATTTCGTGCTTACACGGTAGCGGGTCGCATCATAGGTTAGGACGATAGATTACTCGAGCGTATATCATTTGGGTAGAAATCGAGCGAGGCCGGTTACTTGCTCCCGCTGTCTGTCTGTCTGTCACTACCTGGCTATAACGTAGTTCTTTGGCCTTGACCCTACCAATGGTATTACCTCGTGGTTCAACTTCTGCTGTGTAGGGTATCTCTTGGAGTCCGACTCTTTTTGGCCAGAGGGTGGTCAAGTCCTGCTGTTCTGGTATACACATATATACACCCCCCCTTCCGGTCATTCAAATCATCGCATAAAGGATAATGGAAATAAATCCCACATGCTGCCCCCAACCCCTGACTTCGCTGCCTAAACCAACCCGCAGGATATCACATAGTATCATGAAGCTCTAACCCCTTTACCACCCCCCTCACGACCGCATAGCCTCTACAAACAACTCCCTCATCCCCTTCAACAGCGTAGCCAGCTCCCGCGTCTCGTTGACCCGTTCCAGCACCCTCTCCAGCTTCTCCCTCTCCAACTTGGGCCTACAATGCCGCACATCATAGTCCCGACTACCGGTGCACAGCTCAAACCAGGCCTCCCGCTCCCAATTCTTCTCATCCACATGGGTATACACAAACTTCAGCCGGTCCTCCACGCCGGCGCCCTCGATGCGCAGGCACAGGTTGGTGACCCAGAAGTCGAGCTCGGGCACGTTGAAGCGGGCCTGGGCCTCGAGCCGGGCCTGGTGGGCGCGCTGCGCGGCCAGCCGCGCCTCGATGTCCCGCTGCGCCGCCGCGATCTGCTCCTTGAGCCCGTCCCGCGCCGCCGCCTGCCGATCCCGCTGGCTCGTCAGCTGCGCGATCGCCCCCTGCATCTCCCGCGTCTCGGCCGCTTCTTTGCCCATTGTTTGTTGGTAGGTGTTGGTCTTGAGCTGCAGGATTTCGATGTCTTTCTTTTTCATGCGCTGGTCCTCTGTGTGTGTGGGGGGGTAGGGTTAGTGGGTGGAGGTGAAGATGGGGGGTGAGGTTGGAGGGCAGAGGGGTGACGTACCCTGCAGCTCGGCCACGTTCATGTGGAATTGGTTGCGCTCTTCTAGCACGCGCTTGCGCCCTTGCTCGATGAAGGCGTCGAACTTGGCGGTGAACTTGGCCATGCGATCGCGCAGCTCGTCAAAGCCGAAGTTGATGTTGGGCAGCGTGTCCGCTAAGGAGGGGCCGCCGATGGGTGGCCGGCTCGTGGACATGGAGGGTTCGAATGCTGACGACATTGTGGATTGATGTTGTGGTTGTTGTCTGGTTGGCGATGTGTTCCTCCTTGCTCGGATACGGTGCGACGTTCAATTTCGATGGCGCGGGTGGTTCTAAAATGCTGGGTTTGCGACGATAATGCGCAAATGCGGGACGCCCATGGGAGTGGGTTGTTTATCTGCTTGCCGTCTTTGGCGGGTTTCCATGGCGTCGACTGCCAAGACCGAACGGCCTTGGTCCACGCGCATAACGCGATTGGCCATCCTTCCCATGCCCCGCTAAAAAGTTCCCTTATGATCTCCGTTTTGGGTTCAGTTGACATTCAATCCTTCATCGAATAACCTTTCCGAGGTACATACAACTGATGCACTTAGGCTTTGAAATTCGGAGAGAAGGCATCGTATTAATATTTAATCCAAGACGAAACGACGCACCAATCACCACTTTTCGACAGCATCGCTCGATGTTGCGCACCTCATCCGACGCAACAAACGCTCACTGCGATTCCGACCTGACTTGAACAAACCGACAAACACTGCTTTCTGCGTTGCAGAGCAGAGAGAATGATCGCGTGGTCTTCATACTTTCAACTTCCCATCACGATAGGTCCCAATGGATGATAGGAAAAACGCCGTCCAGCCTACCCGGGCCAAGGCTCGCCGGGTTCCCGCGGACGGCATCATTGGACGCTTAACGTATACCCCAGCCCAAGGCGACGAGTGCATCGGCCAGATAGGGAGAAACCTGGCAAAGGATGAGAGTGAGTAGTTTATTTTGATACGGTATTTCGTCCATCCTCTCGTTCTCGTGTTGACAATATAGCCTCTCACTTTAAACAAATAACGCCATTCACGCAATGGTGTGCTCCCGCGAAGGCTCCAACCTCGCCACTCGGTGACTTGGGCCCTGCCCAGGTTGCGAGATCGCAAAAGTACTGGTTGTCCGAACATCTCCCCGAGGCTGCCGTGAATGATGAGGCCATCGAGTCCCTCCTTCTGGAGGAGATCGCCTCGTCCCAAACGAACGCAGAACCTGCACTAGACGAGAGAACACCACTGTTCTCCGTTGGAGAAGTGGCCGACTTGCGACAGGGCGACTCGGCAAAAAGCCACCCGGTGTTAGCCGTTGCTTCCGGCGTCTCTGGAAATATCCTACGCCTGATCAGTCTCGCCCGTGAGGAATGGACCTGGACCGCGGCGGATATCAAAGTGCCCCTTCATGTTGCCGACACCAAGCTCGAGGGGGAGTGGCGCCAGGACGGCGGCCCAATCTCCTTGGTCAAGTTTGCCCTCGACCCAAGGAGATACGACCCTATCAGATGGCTACTCGTCTCCAATGGTACATCGACCACCGTGTATGAGCCCGAGCTCCGGATGATACCCATGCCGGTTGTCAGGGCCTCGATACGGCCCTCCGGGCAACCCGTCGGTAGCCAAATCTTTGCCGATCCGCTCTTCACCATATCCTGTGAGCGCACCGGCGGGAGCTTGCAGGCGGATGTCTGCTTCGTTCGGCATCCTGAAGAGGACACACCTCGGATAGCCACCATTGACCAGGCTGGATACTGGAGTCTATGGGAGATCACAGGTCGCCGGAACAGGCCGAAGAATCTAACACCAGTCATGAGGATGTGCGGGAATATCGTATCGGGATTCATCCCGAAGCTGCCTTCGAACTCCATGGCGGAGCCGCAACCACACAAGCTCTTGTGGTTGTCCTTTGGGCAAAAATATCGCAGGCCGCCCAGACGCTCGGTGAGCCGCGCGAGAAGCCCGCCCGAACAATCCCGCACCGAGCCCGAACCACAGCCCCCGCGACGACTCCTCTTGCTATGCGGCCCCCAAAACTTGCATCTATTCGACCTCGGTACCCGAAAGATGCATCCCGTCTCCCACTTAGTGTTGCAAAAGGACAGGCATCGCATCCTCGACGTAGCCCCCTCACGACTAGACCCTGCACAAGCATTCATTCTCACCACCGTCAACCTTCTCTGGGTGACGGTGAAAGAGGGCAAAAACGACACATTAACCCTCGACGTCCTCATATCTTGTCCGCACCAGAAGGACGTCAGCGATCCAACCCTCCGCCTGGACGTCTCGCCTGGCGCCTACATCAATGATTTCATGGCCTGCTTCGCCTGTGTCCGCTCCACCAAGAACACCGAGATGACCGTGTTCTGGTTCATCAACCCGGAACCGGGCACGCCCGTCCGGTACCACCGCGACCTCGTCTCGCTCCAGAGCCCGTCCAACTTTGTCGGCCTGGGCATCCTCCCCGCCGGCCGCCGGATGGGCAGCGACGAGCCCACGTCGGAGGCGGGCCGCGCGATGCGGAGGGCGCGGCTGCGCTTCTTTCAGCTTTTGACCCTCGGCCAGAACCTGGATGTGCACAGCGCGCTGTGTGCTTGGTCCAGCGAGGCGGCGCTGTCTCTTTTGCCGCCCGATACGAAGGAGACGCTTGAGACGGGCGGCAATAGGCGGCTTAGACTGTTGCAGGATTTGACGGATGCGTTTGCGGTGCCGGACGAGTTTGATGAGCGTGCCGTGTTTGGCAAAAAGGGGGTCGAGTCTTTGGCGCTGGAGAAGTTGAAGGCAGGTATCCAGCTGCGTGTCGATTTCAGGCTCCTTGCCCAGCGGTTGTCTGCCGTAGAGCCGGCCACTATGGGTCGCGATGGGATGTCGTCTCAGATAGGCGGGGTGGACTTTGGGTTTATCGGGGACGCGATGGAGCGGGGAAAGGAAGACGACTATGTGCCTCGACATTCATTGTACGAGATGTCTCCTAGCCCCTTTACCTCGTCGAATCTGCTAACGATCTCTTAGGCTGGATCTGGCAGTATCCCGAGGGGCAGGTGTCGACCTCATTCACTTGGCCCGCGAATGGGATGCTCAGCAGGAAGCGTTGCACCGACACGCCGGCGAGTGGCTTTTCGTGCCAGAGGCACGTCGTCCGCTCATCGATTTCGGACCCGACGACCTCGTCGATAAATTACGAGACCTGTTTCTCGGACCCAACGGGGAAGAAGGCCCTCGCCGTCAAAACCGGGAGGAAGTTTTGCAGAACATGGCAGCCGAGATGTTCCTTAGCAACATCGGCGTCTCGGCGCTACCTCGATCTTGGACAGCCACCGAGAGCCAACTCTCGAGCTCTTTACCCTTCCCCAGCTCACCTTCTATTATGCCCTCCCAGCCGCCACTTCCGAGCTTCGTCAAGGGAAAGGGGAAAGAAAAAGTCAAAGCCGAACTATCAGAGGAAGAAGGTGACGCCGTGGTTCTCCGCCTGCGCAAGTACGCCACGCTGGACACCTCCCCAACCACGCACGGCGAGCCCGTCCTCGCCCTCTCGCGCTGGGACCTGGGCGCCGACCCTGACGACATCACCTGGAAACCCGGGCAGGACCTTGAAGCTAAGGATGCCCTCAATCGCCGGCGGCGCAAGATGGAGGCGCGCCGGCGAAAGGCGGAGCGGCTGTCGCAGCGCATCTTTGGCGACGATTCCATGATGCTGGATTCGTCCTCGCAGTCCTTGGGCGGCTTGTCTTCGCAGCCGTTTCCAACGATTCTTTCGACGGGGCCGAGCGGCAGTAGCCAGCGCCAGAGTCAGAGTCACAGTCAGAGTCAGGCCCAGATCCAGCAGACTCCAGGACGGGCGTGGGATTTCTCGTCACAGCAGCAGCAGCAGCAGACGGGGGCGTTCGGGTCGCCGAGGGTGTTTGCTGGCTCACCCCTGAGGAAGGAGTATCGGCGGGATTCGGGAATGGCGAGAGGGGGGATCTTCTCGTCGCAGCTGGCACAGCCGGAGCAGGGCGGCCCGTCGCAGGGCACGCCGTCGCAGCCCAGGTCGCAGGTGCTACCGGGCTTGTTTGGGGCGCGGCCGTCGTTTTCGCCGTTTAAGAGGAGCCCGTTGAAGAAGATGAAGAGGAAGAGTGAGTTAAGGTTGAGTGGGTTTCGGTAGGGTGGTTGTGGGTGGTGGTTGAGAAGGAGAGTGGGACCAGATATGTACATCTGTAGGAGATGAGGTGTGCTAGCTCTCCTTTAAGGAAGCAATCTATAATATATAATCCTTTTGAAGCGGCCTTTGCTTATCCTGTGAAACTACTATCAAATTCTCCGGCGCAATATGTGGTACGTCGACTCTGGGTTGCATGGCTTTTCGCAGTCCACCTCCGAAATTGTTAGTGCTCTCTCAGCCAAACAATAACTGCACGAAACTTGACTCCTCACTCGACCAATACAACTTTCCCATCCAGCAACCAACTCAGTTTAAACACTACCTACACAAATTCAACAACCAACAACCAACACCCCATCTCCAAACTCACACCCCCAACTAAATAAACAATAAAAAAATCAACAACAGAAAACCACCATGTCCCACCACTGCCACGACGAACACGCCCACTCCCACTCCCACGGCGGAGACGACCACCACGACCACGACCACTCGGACGACATCGCCCCCGCGCTGCAGTTCTCCCTCTACCAGCACATTCACTTCGACCAGGTCACGGCGCTCAACGAGGCCGACCACGGCGCCGCCCGCGCCGTCGTGCGCAAGACGTGGGCCGAGCGGCTGAGGACGGAACCGGAGCTGGCGAGTGATGTGGATGAGCAGTTGTTGGTTAATGTGCCGTAGGTTTCTTTGTTGTTGTTGTTATTATTATTTCACGGCATTGTTTTGCTATTCTTCTTCTTCTTCTTTCCTTTATCGTTCGGTAGGCGTAGTTTTGGGTGGGTCGGGCCGGGTGGTTCGAGTTGAAAGGGGTCGCGGTGTTGAGTGTGACTGACTGACTAACTGAGGGACAGGTTCACTGGGCAGGTCAAGCTGCACTCCATCCTCCTGCGCACGTCGGACTCGGACTCGGCGCCCAAGACGATGCGCGTCATCATCAATCGCGACGACGTCGACTTTGGCGTGGCCGAGGAGACCAGCGGGACGCAGGAGTTTGAGCTGAGCCGCACGGGGGAGGTGCAGGAGTTGGCTGTGGTATGTTTTCTTCTTTTTTTCCCTCTCCCTTCCTTATTGCGGGATAACCTCACCTTAGAGTGTGGCAAGCTATGGGGAACTGACTCACTGACACCCACATACAGCGCCGGGCGCGGTTCAACGCCGTCCGCCGCCTGACGCTCTTCTTCCCTGACAATTTCGGCGACGGGGAAGAGGACGTCACGCGGATTTCGTATCTGGGGTTCAAGGGGGAGTGGATGCAGCTGGGGAGGGCACCGACAAATATCCTCTACGAGGCGGCAGCAAACCCAGGGGATCACAAGATCAAGGGGACGAGCGTGAATCAGATGGGGAGCGGGATTGGAGGGCGGGGGCCGGGCGTCTAGACACGACAAGTGGAAAGGGGTGGTTCTACGCGGTTGCTTGATGACGGTTGCTTGGACTAGCAGGCGAGCGGCGCGACTACATGAAATCATCTTCCCAGTCCTCGGACCGGTTCTGGTTGCTCGTGGCTTCCATGTTCTCCTCGGTGAAGATGTCGTCGTAAGCGTGGTCCTTCTGCCATTTCTTCTCCTGGCGCTCCTTGGCGACGCGGGCCTCCTCCTTCTTCTACGCGGGTTTGTTAGTGGTGTTGTAAGAGGGCCGAGTTGGAATCGGGGAAACTCACCCGCGCCAGCTGTGCGGCCTGGTCCTTCTTGCGCAGCTCTCGTAGGTGGTCGTCTTTCTCCTGCTTCAGGTCGGGGTATTTCTCGACCTTGGTCTTATTGAGCCGGTTGACAATAGGGTTCTCCCGCTGAGGGACGAGTATCTTCTTGACCTGCGGGGGTCAGTGTGTGTCTTGGGACTTCCGCAGGGGGGGTGGAACCGGTGACAGACCTTCCTGTTGTCCTTGAAGCTCACCTGGCCGGCGGCCATGCTGCCATCCTTCTTAAGGTTGGACCAGGGGGTGTAGATTATGGTGATGTTATCCTTCTTGTTGCCTAGGGGCGTCAGCCACAGCCAAAGGGGTTCGGATATCACTTACCCTCGATCGAGTTGGCCTTGGTCAGCTGGGCCAAGTCGGTGATCAGCTCCTCCGGGATATTATCCCATGTCTCGCCCTCGCGCAGGCGTAAGTAAATATGGGCGCTAGATAGTTTGTCGACGTGGAACTACTAGAAATGAACATCGTAGACCAGGAACCGAATCAAGAGACCTCATACCCTGGGAAGAGTGAGAATGTGACTTGGGGAGGGGGGCTCACAAACTTACCACACATCCTCCTCCCAACCGAATTTGATCAAGTCCTCATCTGCACAATGAACATACGAGTTAAAATACTGAGATAGATACATAAAAATGGAATATATCTCACTCACTCTCGAACTTGTCCTTCCCGACGTAGACATATGCCGGGGGGGGTGACGACGTTGGAGGTGAAGTAGAAGACCATTTTGGGCAGATATAACCTATCAATTTCAGTAAGAGGAAATGAAGCTCGGAAAATTGAAATCAGCTACTGATGGTCTGCTAGCCCTTGTGGGTGAGAGGGGGAATGCACGGCAGTGAATGAGAGTTTCACGAGTTCTGCCTGAGCAGCGTGCAAATTAGGGGTTAGGGTTGGCTACCGCCAAATCGAGAACAAGGTCCCGGGGTCCCCAATTTTATCGGAACGGAGCTCTCAATTTTCTGCCGCGTGCTTGGGGTTGACCACATTTTGAAATCGCGACGTCCGGCGACGTCGAGGCCGTCTCGTCCACACCATCCACACCGCACATACGGTACCAATCGATGCCATCGTAGCCGGAAATCATCTCGACTCGAACCGATCAAGTACCGACACCGACACACAACACAACACACAACACAATACACACAATGGCACCCCGGCTGCCAGCCCACTGCTGGCGGCTGCTTGCCCTGCGCCCATCCCCCGCAACGGCCACCACCACCCCCACCACAACCGCCGCCGCCGCCGCCGCCGTCACGACCCGAAATCCCCTCCTCCTCCCGACCACACAAACCCGCACGGTCAAGACCGGCTGGTCGACCCTCCCCGCGCGAGCCAAGCCGCACCGGTTCAACCAGATCACATCCGGGCTGCCCGCCCCCACCGCGGGGCCCGCGGCGGCCCTCAAGCGCAAGGAGCGCACCACGCCGATGCGGGCGGGCGTGCTCGCGGTCAAGAAGGGCATGACGGTGTTCATGGGGCGGACGGGGGCGCGGATCGCGTGCACGGTGCTGCAGCTGGACCGGGTGCAGACGGTGCTCAACAAGACGCGCGACCGCCACGGCTACTGGGCCGTGCAGGTCGGCATGGGCGAGCGCCACGCCTCGAACGTGGGCGCTCCGCTGCTCGGGTACTACGAGGCGAAGGGGATCGCCCCCAAGGCCGAACTCGCAGAGTTCCGCGTGCGGGATGAGTCTGGGTTGTTGCCCGTTGGGGTGCAGCTCATGCCGGACTGGTTTCATGTTGGGCAGCGGGTGGATGTGCGGGGGAACTCGCGCGGGAAGGGGTTTGCCGGTGGTATGAAGCGCCATGGGTTCTCGGGTCAGGAGGCGAGTCACGGTAACTCCAAGAACCACCGCACGATTGGTTCGGCCGGTCCCAGTCAGGGTAGCGGTTCGCGTGTGCTGCCGGGGAAGAAGATGCCCGGGCGGATGGGCGGGGAGCGGGTGACGGTGCAGAACCTGCCGGTGCTGATCGCGGACAACGAGCTGGGGATCCTGGTGGTGAAGGGGTGCGTGGCGGGGCCCAAGGGGTCGGTGATCCAGGTCCAGGACGCGTGCAAGAAGGACCCGCCCCCGCAGACGTGGATCGACAAGGCGAAGAAGACGCTGGAGGAGCGGTTCCCGGACGCCGAGGCGCATCTGCAGGCCGCGCGGGAGCGCCATCTGGAGCTGAAGGCGGCGAGGCGGGAGAAGAGGATAGAGGAGATGATGGCCGAGGGCGTGAAGCCGGACGAGGAGCACGCCGATGCGATTGAGGAGCTACTCGCCGCCGACGAGGCGAAGAAGGCCACCGCCGAGCGCGCGCTGCTTTAGCTGCACTTGCGCCCCGGAGTGGTAACGTAGTTGTGTGTCGTTGTTTGTATCATATCATACAATATACAGTAAATGTACAGTACGTGTAAGACGCCTCCGCCTTGGGACTTCCCCTCGTCGCCTTCTTCCACATCCACATCACCGCCAGCGTGGGGGAAACACGCTCTACCTGTTTGTTCACTTCCTAAACCCCCTCGTCGCCGCGGCAGCCGGCTCCTCCTCCACCAAATCCACCACCTCCGCCTCCCCCGCACCCGTCATCGCCCGGAACGGATCGCCATCCTCCAACAAATCAATCACCACCCCGTCATCCGTCTCCAAGCTCCACTCGGTCGTCTCGAACATGCCCCGCGGCGAAGGGCGGGAGCTGGTGAACCTCATGACGCCGCCGGCGCGGGTGCCCTTGACGCGGAAGGTGATGTCGATGCGGCCGTGCAGCTGGTTCATCTCGCCCGAGATCCAGGGGATCTGCTGCGCGAAGTAGATCTCGTCGCCCAGGTGGGCGCGCGCCCGCTCCGACGTGCGCAGCGCGTACAGCGTCGCGCCCACCACGGGGCTCGACAGCTTCTGGTAGTTGAAGATGGAGACCGAGGCGACGACGATGACGGCCGCGAAGAGGGGCAGCGTGCGCGACCACCGGAAGGTCGTCTGTTCGAGGCCTGGGAAGAGGAGGAGAAGACTTGGGGTTAGTATGTGTGGGTGTGGGTGTGGGGGAGTGCGGCGGCAGCCGGGGAGGGGAGAGTTGAAAGAGAGGGGGGCAATTACTGGGTAACTCTCGATCTGGGCGGCGCTCCATCAATGGCCCATCGCCGGGTTTGGGCGCCGAGACGAGCGTGCGTTTTTGCTGTTGTCGCGTGGCGGGGCTTTGTGGTATGTTCCTCGCTGTAGACACTATCCTCCTCCGCACTAGGGCTGCTTGGGCGCCCACCCTTTGCTGGGCTAGCCTCGACAGCATGGTTGGACCTCTGTGGTGGTTGAGAGTTAACTGATGATCAGCCCACTTTGGTACCGAAGCTTGATCGCTCCAAGCAGATAATTTGTGCATATCATGATGTTATGCATTTATCGGCTACGAAGTGCAGCTGCTCCAATCGATATGTAGGTATCCTTGGCACCTTGGCCTCTCTCCTCCCCCTGCTCCTTCCAGAACACTTCCTCAACCTTCTCTCTTTCAATTCTTTGTCCTTTTCGGAGATTGACACGCACGTGTCCCGCTCCGTTTCAGCCCACGCATTGATTTCGCCCACCTCCGGCTTCACATTTGGTCATTTCTATGTTCTCATCCCGTGTTTTCCCACCAAAATCCCGGCGATGTGGTACAGTCCAGACTTCATCCAGACCATGACCCATGCCCCAAAGAACCGCTATCTCTTCTCGTGTCAGAAATATGTGATGGATCAGAATACATGACAAGTGAGAACTTGATAGCTCTAGGTAATCTCTACAGAGTGGCGCGTGAGACCTTGAATCATCATGACGCCAGCGGATGAATCCCATTGATCCTCAATCCCTCATTTCGCCTTCGCCTCTTGAGACAGCCACATCGCAACCCTGACTCCTGGTTCTTTGTCTTGCATCCTCAACACGCAAGAATATGCCTCCTGCCATGGCTTATTCACACCCGTCCCTTTGTCTGTCCCGAGACTATATCCCTTGCCCCTATCTCAGTGGCCATGCCCACCAGCCAAGTGGCTAGACCATCAACCTGACCTTCACACAATACGCGCTCTGTTAGACAGCAAGTCCAAGTCAGCCATCATGAGGCTCCGCCATTCGTTACTGCTGCCCATCGGGCTCTGCCTCTTCCTCCTCGCGGTCGATGCCGCCATCACCATGGGACTGGTGTCCTCCATGGTCTCCTTCCTGCACCATAACGGCCGCGGCCCCTTTGCCGTCGCACCCGCAGACGGATCCCCGTTCCCACTCACCGGCTTGCCGGCAAATCTAGTCGTTGACCAAGGCCACACGGCCAACGCAGCCGGCGGAACAGCCCTGATCCTGATCGGCTTCGGCGGGAGCATCGCATTGTGGCTGGAGCGACGGTCACGGAAGAAGGTAAGTCTCTCTCTCTCTCTCTCGGTTCACAGGAGATACGATGCTGACGAGAGTGTGCAACAAGTGGGACCGATCCTCCCCGTTCTTCCACATCTGGGCCGTCTTCGTCCTGCTCAGCTGGCTCCTCACCATGGTCGCCCTCATCTACACTTTCGTCGAGACGGCCAAGACGGGCGGCCAGGTCATCGACCTCAGTGTCGCCCGCGCGAACCCGCCCCCGGCCAGGTACCCCGACGGCAGGTGGACGCCCGAGAACTGGTATGCCGCCGTGCTGGACCTGCCGCTGGCGAGCGCGGCTCAGCGGAGGGTCATCAATGGCAACCTGACCATCATGCGGGCGTGGCGGTGGAACCTGGTCCCGCTGTTTATCCTGGGGTTTATACTGCTGAGTCTGGTGGTAGTGGAGTTGCTGAGGATGCGGCGGAGGGATGCGCAGCCTGTGTCGATGGTCGAGGTGCTTGCTGGACCGTTCAAGCGGCCCAGCTCGCGAGGGGGGGTTGTACACTAGAATGTCGAGGTTTCAGGGCGGCTGTCGCGCGATTGCTTTCAGTTGATTGCTTTCAGGATACCAAGTCTGTTGTCTCGAGGGGCCAAACATGTCTCATCTCATTCTATAATTCAATAATCACTGGTTGGAAGCTTTCATCTACCGTGATTTCTTATCCCATATATTTCTGGGACCCGCTATCTACATACCAACTATTCATTTATCAAGTAACCGTTTGCTCCCCCACCATTAACGTCATTCCTGCTGCAGCCCAAACTCCAAGCAACTCTTCAGCCTCGCCGCGTTTTACACAAGGCTCCATCCATCCAGCCCTCTCCAACAACAAAACCACCACAACCCCAACACCCCAACCAACCCAACCGAGAACACCATGGCAAAACCCACCGCAGCAACCCGCCTCCGCCGTACATTCCACTACCCCCTCCGACGACGACGACGACGCCTCCTCCACCGCCGAAATCCTCGATGAGCAAGGTAAACCCCCCCCCCAAATAACCAACGCAACCACCAACAATTACTAAAAAACAAACAAAAAAAAACAACAGAACAAGAAACCCTCATAACAACCCTCACCACGCAAAACAACGCCCGCAACGCCACCACCCACCGCCTGCTCTACCTCCTCCCGACCCTCTCCGCCATCCCCTTCCTCCTCGACCTCTTCCTCCCCACAACCCCAACCCAAACCCAAACCCACACCCACACCCAACCCCACCACCGCCTGCTACCCCTACTAGGCCTATCATCGCTAGCCGCGACGGGGTGGCTGCTCGCGCGGCTGGGGGTGACGGAGACGGGGTTTGCGGGGTTGGATTCCGGCGGTTCTGGTTCTGCGTCGGGGTCCGGTTCTTCGAAGAAGGTCGATTTGGGAGGGGCAGCAGCAGGGTTAGGAGGAGCGGGGAGGGGAACGGCCGCCGCCGGAGGGAGGAGGAGGACAAGACATGGGATACTCGGCGCAGGGGTAGGGGGAGAGGACAGGTCGCCGCTGGAGGCATACCTGCCGTGGCTGAACGCGGGGCTGGCGGTGCTGGCGCTGCTGACGGGGCTGCTGCTGCGGGTGAAGCTGGGGACGCAGGCCGGCGGCGGCGTTGACCCGCTGCTGCTGGGGGCGCTGCCGGGCGTGGTGTTGGCCGTCATTGTGGGCGCCAAGGTTTCCATGGCGGGCATCGACCCTGAGAGGGAGTTGAGCGGGTACAAGTATCGATACAAGGGCGCTTGATTCGGTTGGCCGGTTGATCAACTGCCCAAATCAGGAGTTGCGTTTTGATATGACGGCATCGTGCGGCGTTGGTTGGGAATGGTATGATATCCTCTAATTCGAAATATAGACACTGGAATTACAATGACACGCCACTCTGATGGTGTCGATGTATACGTCTCCTTTTATGTACCCTTAACCGTAAACCTGACACGCCCATGCAAATACTACCCCCTACACCCTGCCACCTACACCCTACACGTCTATCGACTCGTTAAACCGCAACACACCATTCCCCTTGAGCACCCCGTCTACTCCCTTCGGCAACCGCGGGAACGGATCCAACGGGTTGCTAACCGCGGGCGCCCCGAGGCATGTGCCCGATTTATCAACGACCAACGCCAACCCGTGCGCTTTGATTGCATCCACCAAAGCCGGAACCATATCCTATCATCGTTAGCATTCTGCGACAGTCCCCGTGGAAACAAGCAATAGCTTACCAGCAACCTCTCGCAGCAGATCAACCCCATGAAGTTGTTGCTCTGCGCCGCCCTGACCGCGTCCTTGATCGAGACCCCCTTGTGCTCCGTCTCGCTATTCCCTTCCTGCGGCTGCCTCCCCAGGTCGTTGCAGAAGAAGACCGGGAAGTTGGGCTGCTTCCAGTTCAGCGCCGTGCACACGCTCTCGTTGTACGAGCTGAACACGACCGACCGCACCGCCTCCGGGCCCTGCCCCTGCGCACGCTGGGCACGGGCGTGGTCGAACACGACGGCGAGAAGGCCGTCGATGGACGCGTTAAGGTCAGCGCTCAGTCCTAGCCCCTTGAGGGACAACTGCTCCCGTTCCTCGGCCGTCGGGTACAGCACCTGGATGTTGACGTGCATGTCCTTCGGGAGGAGGTCGAGTGCATCGTGGAGCGTGGTGCCTCCCGAAGAGGCGAGGATCTGGTGAACCGCGCTGATGTCGTCAGCGCGAAGGGGAGAATGAGGCCCGTTGCCGGTGGCGGTGCGGAATTGAGCCAGCGTCAACCGCGACACAGGCACGTCGATACCTCCACAGCTGACGGTCCATTGTGGCCAGAGTACCGGAACGCCGTCGCTCGTGTGTTGTACGTAGATGCGAACAAAGTCGCCAGATAAGCTGGATCCCGTGACAAACGTGCTGCTAGTCATCGCCGGCGTCATCGTGACCGTATCCACCTGGCTTGTCGCCTTCCAGTATGTCTCAAAGTCGGTGATCTCCAGCGGCTTTCCCTGGAATGGCTTGATGATCTGGGCGTCGAAGGTGACCTGCCCGATAGCGCGCAGCCGCGGGTCGAACAATGGGAGACAGCAGCTTCCAGTATTGCTGTTCAGTAGAGCTCGGAACGTAGTAGGTAGGGCCACCGTTTTGGCAATGACCTTGGCGCCATAGGCCGGAAAGACGTCAAAGTCGAGCGTGAAGGAATCGAAATTATCGATCTGGAACGAGACAAGCCGGGTGTCTTCATGGAAGGGAAGCATGACGTTCTTCGGGATGATATCGGAGACCTTGGACGAGATGGTAAGCCGCGCCGCGGGATACTTGCTATCGTGGAAGAAGACCAGAGGCTGATCACCGTTAACCCCGAAGTTGAGCTGCACGACCGTCTTCGTATCTAAGAAGTTGTGACCGTAGCGTCGTAGGGGAATGATGGGGGGCGGAAGCTCGAGTATCGGAATCGCGTCCATGTCCAAGGACATTGGGAGGGGTGCGCTACTGCCCATCATGGGGGCAAGGGGCCCTGATGCCTGCGGCTCTGGTTTCTTAACCCGGTTGAATGGCGTGAGCAGTTTCATGCACTCCAGGTGGCCCTCCCAAGCTGCGTAGTACAATGCCGGGAGTTCCTTCTCGTCCAGAATGCTTGGATCCGCGCCGACGTCAAGAAGCGCCCGGAGACAGGGGACGTTTCCTTCGCTTGCCGCATGCACAAGCGGAGTCCATCCGTAGAGCTTATCGAGTTGGTCCAGGTCCGCTCCATAGTTCTTGAGAAGGAGGAGGAGCTCCGGTGTTTGTCCTGACCTGGCCACCAGGTGCTGTGGGTAGAGTCCTTCAGCGTCGGCCAATAACCCGGCACCGTGCTTGAGGAGGAGCTCAGCGATGGCCAATGACCCATGCTCACATGCGAGGTTAAGAGGGACATGGTCGGTATCGGACACGGGGTCCAGACGAGCGGACCGTTCAAGCAACCTCCCGACACTCTCGAGGTGTTTGTGAACGATGCAGTGGATGAGTGGCGTGTAGTTGTCGTGGTCGATGAGATTGATCGTCTCGGGTGCGACTGCATCTCGGTTAGTTTATGCTACTCATTACGGCCATAAGCTCGTACCTGAGAGGAGGGTATCAATCATGTCGAGCCGGCCATGCATGCAAGCATAGTGCAGAGGAACTCGTCCGTACACGTCGGTCCTGTCAACAGCCACACCCTTTGACAAGCCGTACTCGAGCACAAAGTAGTTGCCGTAGATGGCCGCTTGGTGCAGGCAATTCCGCTCGTTGATGTCGTCCTCGGACTGTATATCCACCAAGCCAGTCTCAAGTAGCAACCGCAGCGATTCCGGTGGCCCCCCATTGATGGAAGACAAAAACGTCCGCGTAAACCTCTCCAGCAAAGGGCTGTTAGGATCCACAGTATCCCGCATACGCCCCAGCAAATCGCCGAGGGATTCCACGTTGCCAGAAAGAACGGTGTCGAGGAGCAAGGTGTCTGCATCCCCCTCATCTGTGCCTGGCAAATGCTGGCTGCTGACGATGTGTTCTGGGCGGCCCTCAAAGGTGACATTATCCCCATCGGCCCAGGCGCCGATTTCCTGGAGACTTGTCGTGGCCTGGTCCGACAGCTCGCTGATGACGGTGGCGTTGAAGAATGGCTGGACCTCGACCGCCCGAGACAGGTACAACTCCTTTGTCTTGGACTTTGAAGTCTTGTCCCACTTCTTGAGGATCTTGGAAAAGGCGGTGCCGTTGATCTCAATAAACTGTTGCAGCTTGTTCAAGTCGTTCGCAAACTGTTGGAAGCCCTCCTGGAGGGTGGTGAACTTGGCAGACCGCCGAGAAATGCTATGACGGGACTGCAACACTTTTTTCTTGTCCAAGAGGGTCTTGAGACGCACTTTGAGCTATGTCAGGGTTAGCATCGCACGGTGTTTAGGTGTGGGATGTGGAATGACGCACCTCGGCCTCTTTCTGTAAGTAAAAAGCGTTGACCTTTTCGAGTTCTCGTTCCTAGGTATTGTGAGCAGTTTCCAGGGCTGAATTTCGGTCTTCGTCCTTACCAGCTGGAAGAAGAAGGTCGCCTTGTTTGCCTGCAGGGCAGCCTGCGAGTCGGCGGGCCCTGCGGTAGCGCGTTGGGCTACATCATTTTGTGGTGGAAGGATAGGGGTAGCCGAGAGCTTCTTGATGAGCTACGGGTGCAGTGTCAGTGATGGTGCACAGACTCATGCTGTCTCTTCGCCCTGCTTGGTCTTTCAGTCAGCCCTAAGGCAGACCGACGCCAGCATGATGGATACGAGGAAGAGGGGCGGCGCACCTTCTTGAGCGCCTTGTAGTTGACGAAGCTTGCGGCGTACTCAGGCACCTCGAGCTGGCGCTTCTGGATATGCTTGCCGAATTTCCTACGTGAGATTTAGCAGGGATCATGGCAGAGCAGCAAAGGAGTGAAACTCACATGGTGAGGGCTGTGCCAGTGAGGCTTCAACCAAATAGGGTCACAGCGTTGCTAGCAGCGGCTTCATGTAGGAAGGAAATCGGTGATTGGTGAAAGGGAGACAGAAGAGCTAAAGTAAACCAATGGAAAGGGACGGTGGGTATCGAGAGAATCTGTAACCCCCGAGACGATGTGACAGATGGATGCTTCTGGAGATTGTGGGTTGGTTGTGTGGGTTGCGGGCGTGGAGGGGGGGGGGCTGCCCAAAACTGCAAGCGGCGAGTTGAGATCGTTCGTCCGTGTGAGTGATTTGGAGCGAGGAGTTTGAGGAAATGGCGCTGTCAAGGAAAAAAAAAAAAAAAGAGAAACCGAACGAAGGGAAAAAAGAGCGGAGAGATTCGGTATAGCCTCGAAACCCCCGGGTACCCGTGCTAGTATCTTTTGACGTTTCCCGGATATGCCTAGGTCAGGCCGTTGAATATGGACTTCCCTGATCTAGATGCCAAGTCAGCCAACGTACTGAGACGGTCGGCGCCGAATGCTGAATGACAAGCGGCTGTCAGACCGGGTCTCGGTGGGTGGTGGTGTGAAAGCGTAAATTCAGGCGCCAAGCCCCCGACAAACGTGGAAGGCACGGTGGCACGTCCCTCACGAAGACTGTATTTCCGCAAGGAAAGAACCGCGAAAGAGCCACGGAGCAAGCCCGACCATGGCCTGAACTTTCAAAGTTGCCAACTGACAAAAGCAGGGGAACGAACAAATGAAACTTCGTCCCATCGGTCTTAGTTTCGAACGCTACTGCTTGTGCTGCGGTAGCTGCTTGGCACCAACTGCCCAACAGCATCATCAAATTCTCGATCTTTCTTAAAACACCCCACGAGTCAGGAACCACGAAAAGAGACGTAATCCAAGGCAGATCCAGTACGGTAATAAATTACTGTGCCATGCGCACACAAGGCACGGGATACCCAACTGAGGTGTGCAGGCGGCCGGGACAGTCTCGTAAGCCGAGTTACACATGCTCGCCTCGCGCTCGCCCGTGTGGTCAAGTTCCGCTCTTCTGGGAACAGGAGCCGCTAACTGGAACTCGTGCAGCAAGCAAGACGCAAGAACTGCCCTGATGCAACGGTCTCTTGCTCTTCCTCGGCGGCCAATCGGGTGGAGGGATCGAAACATGTGCTCTTCTTGATTCGATGTGCGGATTTGACAGATCGGAAGCCGCCAGGCGGCGCGGCTCCATTGCGGGGCATGCTGCCAGATCCAGCGGATGAGGGGCATTTGGGGGACAGCGAAGGTTCAGTGAGGGGGGAAGGGAAGAACCAGGTGGGGCTTCGGGTACGACCCTCTTTAACAACAATCGACGGGAAGACTTGGCAAAGCTTGTTAACAAGTTTGTCATTCCTCCACCTGTCGGTTGGTGATGCCGGCATGGGTTCTTCGAGGGGTTCCAGAAAGGGTGGACAAACACCAGCTGATATTGGCTCCACTGCGAACCCGTCGTCATCTTTTGGCAGCATTGAGGGGTGGTTCGATGCGGAGCCAAGCCAGTGGTATTCAACCCTGATTTGGTGTGAGCTCCGGCTCACCAATGGAGACGGCGTGGCACCTTCAAAGGGACTGTGGAGGTCCTCGTGGGCCCGAACGACACACCTCGGGGCAAACAACGGCCAAATGTGCGGGTAAACATAACGAGGCTTTGGGGGTTGGTTACACAGTCGGGGAGAGGGACAGGCGACCCAAATCACAGCCGCTCCCCCGTTTAGACACATAAGCACAATCTCAGCTTAACAATCAACGCTGTGAATATTCAATACCTAACCACAAGCACGTGCCGCCACCCCCTATTTAGTCCCAGCACCACCAGCAGCACCCCCACTACCACCATCCCCCTTGCTCTTGTCCTCCACCAAACTGTCCGCCATCGCGTCCGCCGTGGCCTGTTTCAACCGCTCGGTATCCTCCATTTTAATCTCCCTGGACCCTGTCTTATCCTTCATCTCCCGCTCGTCGTCGCTGTCCCCGAGGCTGAACGGGTCGTTCTCCACGATCGGGTTCGGGTCGACCGGGGACAGCGGCTGCCACTTGCTTGCCTTGGCCGTGCCTCCGGGACCGGGGGCGGCGGCGTCCTTTGGCGGGATCTTGGGCGACGCGTTGTAAGCGTCGATGTCCTCGACCGTGTCGCGGAACGAGACCTTCCTGCCGTCGCCTGGCTTGGGGGACTTGGAGGGCGGGGGCGGCTTGAAGAGGTTCGGGTTGCTGCCGCCAAAGGCCTGTTGGGGTTGGACGGGCGCTATCAAAGCAAGTCAGTCCGGGTGTTCGACGGCCATGCTCCGATGCACAATCAAACTTACTACCGTCACTGCGGAATTTCATCCCCGCGAAGTCGTCGCTCAGTAGCTCGGGGTCCGCATCGTAGCGGTCGTAGTCATTGCTCCTCCGCGTTTGGTCGCGCGTCGGCCGCCCCATGAACTGACCACTTGCCCGAGCCTCGCGCTCGCGCTCATCCTCCTCGTCGAACTGGTCGTCGATCCTCTTCTTCAGATTCGTGAACCACGTGTTGACCTTGCTCTGCGTCTCCACGAAGCCCTTGCGCAGGCTCTCCTTGATAACGGGTAGGTCGTCGTCGATGAAGCTGTGCTCGCGGTCGTACGGGTCGTCCTGCGGCCCGAGACCGGTCTGCTGCCGACGGGCGTGGCCGCCACCGGGATGGCCCCGATTGGAGGTCCTGGCCTCGTATGCGCCCACGTTCTCGTAGTGTTCGGCAAGCTGGCGCGCGTATATCTCGTCGGCCTCGAGCTGCGACTGGTCGGTCGAGGTAGGGCCCAGGGGGTCTACAACGGGCCTCGGGGGCTGCGGGGGCGGACGGTCCCGCTCGGCGGCATCGGGGTCTGTCATCTCGAGGAGCGCGTTGAAGGCGGACTCGATGCGCCCGCTGCTAGCCCTGAGTACGGCTTTGATGACGCTGTCATCGACGGTCGGGAATGCCTCCTTCAACATCTGCTGGCTCTTTTGTTCCTCGGACAGCGGCCGGGGAGGTCTCGGTGGAGCAGCTTCGTCTGATCCGGTGGTGGTCGCATTTGCTGAGGCAGGCGTTGTTGCGTTGGACTTGGCAGCAGCGTCCTCGACATTCAGCGTCCCTTGCTCCTGAACATCGTCGTCATCCATCTCGAGAGGTCGAACGGTCGTAGGAGATTCGGGCGCCTGGGGCGTATTGGTCTAGAAATGCATATGTGAGCTGAGACATTCCGCAGATCAGGAGGCGCATCGAATTAGGGGCGCGGGTAGGGGGGCCTGCTTACCGCTTCGGCCGACATTTCGAGCTGTCTAATCGAGATTTGGAAAATGGGAGGTGAAAATTATGAGACTCAAGGGCGTGGGAAGATGGCCAGTTTCCTTTGGTCGAGACTTGCTTGCGCGTTTATCAAGGAATGAAGCTTGTTTGCTGGGTCTGGTTCGGAATATCGCCTTCGCAGCTGTCGCATGCGCCCAGATTACGTAGCCCCTCATGCGGCCCACCCCTCAAGCCACACCCAGCTGACGACTATCGATAAGGCAGACCGCCAAAGCACAAGTACCCGGCATAAACTTGAGTGTGCATTCTGACAACTATGAAAGGCCGCTACTTGATGGGACGGCAATACGGGTGGCAAAATACCATATTCGGGTAATAACTTCCAAAATAAAACCATTTGTTTCTTGTAATTTGCTTAGTGGACTTGTTATCGGGCCGGCCTCGATCTCCTCAGTTTCGCGAAGGGAACCGAGTATTTTGTACCAATTCAATCCCTGTCCCAGCCGCGCCGGAGTGACGTCTCAGCTCTCCTAACCACCACTCTTCCATCCCTCCAATCTCGTGATATCAGTGAGGGCTGGACAGACTTCAGCAATCAGCCCTCCGCCAACCACCCCCACCTCCACCTCGTACCACGCGGAACGATCGACCCAAATGTCACAATGGGCAACTCTCCCAGCCGTATAACGGCCCAAGACCAGTCCGTTCTCACCTCCCATCCTCTCCACTTCACCACCCCTCCCTAGCTAACCATCACGGTTTTACAAACAGAGCAATCCTCGACCTCAAAACGCAGCGCGACCGTCTACACCAGTACCAACGGCGCATCACGCACCTGACCGACCGCGAGACCCAAGCCGCGCGGCAGCTGCTAGCCAAGGGCGACAAGGCCCGGGCGCTGCTGGCGCTGCGGCGCAAGAAGTACCAGGAGTCGCTGCTGGGCAAGACGGACGCGCAGCTGGAGCAGCTGGAGCGGCTGACGTCGTCGGTCGAGTTCGCGCTCATCCAGAAGGACGTGCTGTTCGGCCTGCAGCAGGGCACCAAGGTGCTCAAGGAGATCCACAGCGAGATGGGCGGGATCGAGAACGTGGAGAAGCTGATGGGCGAGACGGAGGAGGCGATTGCTTACCAGCGGGTTCGTGTCCCCTCTTTTTTTTCTTTGGTTCTTCTTCTTTGGCGATCTATGGGGTTGGGGGGGTTGCCATGTTTTGGTCGCGTGCCTGGATGGCCGGTGTGCTAACGATTGTTGGGGTGGAAACAGGAAGTCAGCGAGGTTATCGCGGGTAGGATATCCGTGCAGGACGAAGAGGAGGTCGAAGATGAGCTTGCAGCGCTCGAGGCCGAGGTAGCCAAGAAGGAGGGAACGCAGCGGTTGCCAAGCGTCCCGGATACCCAGCTCCCGGCGCAGAATATTCGGGAGGAAAGGCAGGCTGAGCAGCCGGCACAGAGCGCGCAGACGGAGAGACAGGCGATGTTGGCTTGATAAACGGGGAAGAGGAGTTCGGGGGTAAAGGATTGGATGCATGTACGGCGCTCAGGGCTTATATACTCGTTTGATGGTCAACGAGTTTTGGTTATACCTACTCATGCTGGAGCTGGTTGGCGATGCTCATCTGCCATGGTTGAAAACAATATGTTACAGAAGGATGGGGTTTCCCCAGCCTATGCCGTACATACAACTTCGTCCGGTCTATCGCCAAATAACGCGCGCTGAATAGCCGTCCAATGCCCCGGAGCGGCTTTCCAATGCCAACAAAACCTGAACTAATCCTTGCCACCACCAAGTTCCCATGGTATCGCATTCAGTTCGCCAAGCCGCAACGCCCGCTTCCCCACCACAAAATGTCCGTCAAAACAGTTGTCGTTAAATACAATACGTGGTTCTCGAAGACCCAAACGAGATTATACATATATATCCAACAGCATGGATACAAGCCCCAGGGGCTTTATTGAGCAGGCCTCTTGCAGAGGTCTGCGACCAGCCGCTCAGTCTAGCGTGATCACCTCATCCCTCCTCGGGGTTGGGCGCCCGGCATGCGGCTGGTAGGGAAGGCCCGGGTACGGCGGAGCCACAACCGAATGCGAACGCGACCGATAGATGGGGTCTCCCACGTCGTAAAAGGGGCCGCCGCCCGCTTGGGTACGAGCCTCGAGGCTATACATATGTTAAATACTGGTGCGTGGGAAGCGTGAGAGTTCATTACCTTGGATGGGGACGGGCATACTCAATCCCAACCATGCGTTCCTGCCTCGGGTATCCCTGGAGTTGCTGGGCTGCGAAAGGCACATTTTCGTTGTGAAATGCTGGGATCTCGACCCTCCCTACGACACGCTCGATCCGCTGACCTGGACCGGGAGGTTGCCGAGCATCGTATCGCGCAACACCGTCGACAAACTGTTGTTGTGGGTTGCCCTGCTGTTGCGCCGCGGGCCGCTGGCCGAACCGGCTTGCTTCAACGGGCGTTGGGCGCGGCTCGTGCTGCCGGGGAAACTTGTTGGAAACTCGAACAATTTCCACAAAATCGCCCGGCAGACTTTCGATCCGCTGGTCGATCCCGGAATCACCATACAGTCTGTCGCGGTCATCTAGCCAGCCGCGGCCGAGGTGGCGAACATCGGCCCGCGTTGTAGGGGATGGCCGGCGATTGTCCGAAGACACATACGCAGGCTCCATCGGCGGCGGTTCTCTGGGTGGCGGGCCGTAGTCCTGAATTATGATCGGCCGGGATTCCGACCTAAGGATAGCCCCGTCGTGCCCAATCCAGACCGGCCGTCTCCCAGGTCGGAGGTCCAAGTCATCACGGGTCGCGGCACCATCCCACCGTATCGAGGAATGCCGCGAGCCCAACCCGCTGGAAGTCGCTATAGCACCACTGTTTCCAGCGCTAGCGCGTTGTGGGTTTAGCAGAATGAAAGGTTCCCGGTGTTGATCGGGGACTGGGGGCATCCGGCTTGGACCCGAACGTGGAGGGAGCTTGATAAAGCCTTCCTTTGGAAAATCAGTACGGTCATCTTCCGCCGCGGCGACGGCACCAGCAGTTCCCGCCGGCCGGTGAGTTGTCCTGCTGATCGAACTCTGCCCGGCATAGGAGAGACCGGGCTTGGGCTGGCGATATGAAACGGGGAATCGCGGGGGCAGGCTCGGCGCCCCCGGGGAAGCAGGCTCGATAGACGGTAGGACATAATCCTTGAGATCCTGGCCATGATGATCTACTCGTTCAAGCTCAGGGGCCCCATCCGGGGCGGCCCAAGACCCAACTATAGGTCTGAACCCACTGCTGGAGGTGTGCACCTGGGTGCGAATCTGCTGTGGTATGTGGTAAGTCGCCGTTGGAATGGTCCTCCGTGGTTCATCGATCTGGTTCCCCGGCTTATGGGGTACATTCACAGGAGGCAGGGAACTACCGTAGGGGTCGTGAGCATGGTACGCCGACTCCACTGGGCTGCGGGTTCCCGCCCCAGGGTCTGCACGACCAGGCTCGCCCGCCCGCCACGGCTGTGGCCCATGGCTAGCGGGCCTGTCTGCGGCCCGGGGGCCAGTGGTGGTCATCGGCCCGTCGTTGTCAAGCCGCTGCCGTTCCACGGCCTGATGCCAGGCCTGATCCCGAGCCGCTTGATAACGCTGGAATCCCCGCTGTCCCCACTTGACCGCCTTCTTGTCTTTGCGAGAGGGCTTCTTGACCCTCTGCGGAGCATGGATTGCTCGAAGGCCTTCGTTGCGAGAGCTGTTGGTCGTCAAGGGGGCCGGCGATGGGCCAACGGCTGGCAACTCTGCTCTGGCTGGCACATCGTCTCTCATCACGCGATCCACGAGGCTCTCGTCTGACGATGAGACGGTGGAAGAGTCATCTTCATCGTCCGAGTCGGAGTCGTCGCTCTCGGAGTCCGAGATGACTATAACCTCGCAAAGGATCTCGTCAAGCTGGTCCCGCCCTGTCTCCTCGTCTCCTCGCCACTTGACTAGGATGTCGAGACAGAGCGATTCAACAGCCTTCCTTGCGTTGACATAGGCCGTTTCCTTCAGCAGCTGGTCGTACCTAGTGTGGTTGTGCCGGATGTGCGCAAGGACCGCCAACTGGACACGGCGTGAGAGGGTGACATCAGGGGCGAGCCCAACTGGCGGGCCGTCTTTGCCGGTCGGCCTCGACTACGGGTTCGGGGTGAGATGGTGCACTCTTATAGATCTCTGAGATCATTCAGCTTGTGGGAGTGTGTGCTGGACCTACCTTATTGAAGGCATGCTCGATGATGGTCTGGCGATCAGTATGAGGTATGCGAGGAAACAGATCCCTTATAGCTGCGTCAGCCTGCTTGTTAATGTCCTCTTGTCTCTCTGGAATGGGCTCAGGTAGGCCGGGGGCGGCGCCAATGGCCTCAAACTGGTCATCTCCGAGGGTTGCGCGTGCCTGTTCCACAATAGTTTGCCGAATGTGGTGGCCGACTCGGTTTAGATGAGAGCTGAGCCTCTTGGAGAGTCCATTCATCGACTAGAAAGGCAAGATGTTAGTCCAGAAAATAGCGGCGAGGCGTGGGCCTGACAAACCGTAACAATAAATATCATAGCATCCTGCTCGCGGGAGAGCTCTTTGCATGCCGTTGTTAGAGCAGGATTCCCGATAGGAACAAACTCGAAACCCGGCGGCGGCTCCCGTTTTTCGGTAAACTAGCGCTGAATCAGTGTCTGGGCTCGCTTGAGCGGCGGTTGAAGCGGTGCAAGTCGAATACCTCGAATTCGAGCTTTTTCTTCTTCTCCTTATTCTCGATGAACTCGAACCACGACTTGTGCTTGGAGCTAACCCGTGGCTGCTCGGGCCTTGCCACCAAGCCCGGCGGTAAGGGTGCTGTCCAGTCTATCAAGTTGCCTTTGCGGTCTCTCTTGTGCCGCTCCTTGGCGTGGTCGCCGGTGCCCACGCCTGGGGCACTCTTCTTTTCTCTTCCCATCGGGATCGGTAATTCAACAGTTTACCACGGCGCGACATGTACGCGACAAGCGTCTCGCCAAATCAGAGTCAAACACGAGGCCGCGGCGAGCGCCGGTCCCGGCTACCACGGCCGGAACTCGTGCTGTCAGGCGCACAAGGCTGCTCTCCCTCTGAAAAGACACCCCGGGGCCTCTGGACAATCAATCCGAAAATGCAAGGAGATATGCGCTCAATGACAGGGCAATGGTCAAAAGAAAGGAAAAACAAGGAAAGGAAACGCAGAGTATTCGATCCTGTGGCTGGCAGGAGAATGTCACCCAAACGGAGTATTGCGCTTGATTTCCCGTCGCGCTCCTCTCGTTGCAGAGGAGACGTCAAATCGCGCTGCAGAGGAATGGAAGGGCGTTGACGGGAGTTTGCAGCTGCAAACCTCTCCCACTGTGGCCGGGCACAGATTTTATCTGGAATGGCGTCGGCACCTTCAGGTCGACTCTGACGACGGGGGAAGGCGCAGGGTGGAAGGTTTGCTTGGTCGCAGCAGCCCTTGGGCAACTCGGGGTGGAGCCTTGTTTGCTTAAGGCCTTAGGCACCAACGATCCCACAGGCCGCCCACGCGCACGAACTCCTGCGTAACTCCACACAATCCAGGCGTGCCAGGTTGTGTCACCCGACGACCTCTGACTTCCCAGTTCGAGCAACCTCTGCCTGCCGACTCACTGTTGGCGAATCAGAATCACTGCCCGTGCTCTGCGAGACTCGGCTTATAATCACTCGAACATCATCAGGCCGGCCACCGAGCCGCGATCACAAAGACATTGTTTTAACTAATGAAAGCGGTATGCACCCGGCTCAAACTTCATTGCCACATTCATCTTCCTCGCAAAATCGTAGTTGCGAGTGTGGATTCAGATTGAAAGGGAGCATCTACTTGTACTACCAGGTAGTGGTTCAGTGGCCAAAATACGACGACGTAAAGCTTTAAATTCCAAAAACCTTGTCGTTGAGGCTTCTCGCACAATGGCGGACTTTGACCTCGGGGCAGTATTCATCCCTGCCCTCCACAAGCCAGCAGAGCTTTTGGCCATCGCGAAACACCGCAGGTCTCTCTTATATCTCATTGAGACATCCCCTGTAACCATCGTTGTGGGCCAGACCGGCTCTGGCAAAAGCACTCAGATTCCCCAGTTCCTCGAACGCGCTGGCTGGTGTGCTAATGGGAAAATCATCGGCATTACTCAGGTGCGTTTTCATAGTATGAGCAGTGCATTATCCGGTGGCGGCACTAACATCACCGTCTTCTATTAACTAGCCGCGCCGCGTTGCTGCCACAACGGTAGCGGTCAGGGTTGCCGAAGAGTTTGGATGTGAAGTTGGGAAAGAGGTCGGCTACTCAATACGTTTCGAAGATGCCACTTCCGAGACCACCCGTATCAAGTTCCTCACTGATGGACTCCTCATACGAGAAGCCCTGGTGGACCCCCTTCTCTCTCGTTACTCTGTAATCATGGTGGACGAAGCCCACGAGAGATCCATCAGCTCCGACATTTTACTAGGGTTGCTAAAAAAGATTCGCAAGAAGCGGCCAGACCTAAGAATCATCGTCAGTAGCGCAACCCTTCAAGCAGAAGAGTTCCGCGATTTCTTCTCGGAACCAAAAGAAGAAACGGCGAACGACAAGGAGGATGTAAATAATGCGTCCATCGTCAGTTTGGAAGGGAGGACTTACCCGATAGACATCCTCTATCTCGACTCAGCGGCCGAGGATTATCTCGAGAAAGCCGTCTCTACGGTTATCGATATCCACGCAAACGAACCCAAGGGCGATATCCTTGTCTTCTTAACCGGGAGGGAGGAGATTGAGCAGGCCGTCCAGGCCATCTCGGAGCGATCCGCCCAGCTCCCTCCGGGTTCTCAAGCCATCCTGCCATTGCCGCTCTATGCTGGCCTGCCCACCGACCAGCAGATGTATGTGTTCGAAGAAGCACCCGAGAACTTCAGGAAAGTCATATTCTCTACCAACATCTCCGAGGCATCCGTGACGATAGACGGTATTGTCTACGTTGTGGACTCCGGTTTCGTCAAACTTCGCGCTTACGATCCGAAGACGGGAATTGAGAGTCTGACAGCAACGCCTGTTTCCAAAGCATCTGCAGCGCAGCGAGCAGGACGGGCCGGCCGGACAAGGCCCGGCAAGTGCTTCCGATTGTACACGGAAGAGGCATATCAATCTCTCCCTGACGCCAATATCCCAGAGATACAACGCTCAAATCTCGCACCCTTCGTCCTCCAACTCAAGGCCCTGGGCATAGATAACGTCCTGAGGTTCGATTTCCTCACGCCGCCCCCGGCGGAGCTGATGATCAGGGCGCTGGAGCTGCTCTACTCACTCGGGGCACTGGATGAGTATGCCAAACTCACCAAGCCCCTGGGCCAGCGGATGGCTGAGCTGGCGGTTGAGCCTATGATGGCGAAGACACTTCTTTCGGCCCCTTCTTTCGGCTGCCTGAGCGAGATCCTGACGATAGCAGCCATGACGAGTCTCGGTGGGAACATCTGGATCCAGCATGAAGGTGAAAAGAAGAAAACAGAAAGCGCGAAACGAAAATTTGCCGCGGAAGAAGGCGACCATCTCACCCTTCTCAACGTCTACCAAGCGTTCGTGACAAAGGGCCGGAAAGAATCCCGCTTCTGTCACGAAAACCTCCTCAATTTCAAGTTGATGGCGCGGGCGGTCAGTATCCGGGCTCAGCTAAAACGGTATCTCGAACGATTCGGACTCAACGTCGACGAGTCTCTCGCGGCACATACGACATCAACGGCGAACAACAAAGCGGAGCAGATACAGCGATGCTTGACGGCAGGCTACTTCGCTCATGCTGCGAGGATGCAGCCAGACGGGACGTTCCGGAACGTTTCGGGGACGACGGTGCTTCACGCCCATCCGAGCTCCATCATGTTCAACCGGAAAGCGGACTGGGTCATGTTCCACGAGGTCATGGAAACGGGGAACAAGACGTTCATACGGGACATTACTCGGATCGAGAAGTCCTGGTTGTTGGAGTATGCGCCGGAGTTTTACAAGACAAGCTAACGACGCCACGCTTTTCGGGATCTGGTCAAGGGGTGAAACATGAGTTTGGGACCACCAACTCAGGCTGGAGATGAGTTTTCTTGGTGAAGACCATGTCGTGGCCATGGACAATACCCACACTTTGTGTCTCCTGTTAGGTACCTGCCGAGCTCAAAGCTCGCGTGCCACTGATACTGTCGGGTAGGGCCGTTGCGGGTACCAAGATGATCGGATGCATGTCATCGATCGCCCACAGACAACAATGAACCCGGCCTCCTGGTTACATGTAACTACACTTCGTATGTCTGCATGTATGGGTGTACGAAAGAAATGTGTCGCACGACTGCTGCACGCTCGTGGCGGCGGCAATCGGTGACGAAATCGTGGAGGGGCCATTTAGCGTGTCTGGTGTGTCACTCAAAGCTGAAAATAGAGTTCCGCTCGCCCACAGCAAGTAAGGCAGCCGTACAATTATGCCGTGTCACCTCACTAACTCATTCCTTATGCAAGTTTGCGGGAGGCAAATGTGATGTGCTTGCGTTCGGCAAACCAACCACACACAATCGACCGTTGTTTCAAACTTTCGGACACTTTAACCACTCAGGAAGAAGTGGTTCGGACGGAAAGAAACCAAACAAGGACGGGACGGACGGGAACAGAACAGAACACATCAGACGGACGAACCGCTTTACCAAACAACCTTGGAAGTCCCAACACAACCGAAAAAAACAACCATGAAAAAAACCATTCTGCGCAACGTCCACCTTCTGGGCCTTGCTTGGTTCTGGCATTGAAGAGACAATTCCCCCCTGATTACTTAATGAACCTGGATACTGCTTCTTTCTCCTTCAGGCGAAATGAGTTAGCGCGACTGGTCATCCGTTCCTGCATCTGGCCTGGGGTTTGTGCGGGGCTGCAGGCTCTGACTGGCGGGACCATTGCAACGGTGAAAGCCGACTTGCAGCTGCGCACATCAGGCCGCATGGATGTGATTGGGCGTCACCCTTGAACGATCTCCACGAGGTGGGTCGGCAACACTCCCCCTTTTTTAATTGAGACGAAATTAGCAATTTCTATTCGTCCACTACCGGGCCCAGGTCAACAACAGCAAGACAGTGGAAGCGGTGGGAGGTGGGCGCAGAGCCTCCCTGGCCTGTCCCTGTGCCTGGCAATCCCTCGACGGAGATTTGGGAACCGATGGAACAGGGCGACGGGGGAGGAGGCTAGGGGTGCCTTGATCGTGCCGTCGCTTCAGGGCCGAGCCTGCGGAAGGTGCTCCCGTCCCAGCTCCTTCTTCCTCCCGCAGCCGTAAAACCTACCTAATTCCTAATTCACCACCCACCACCACGCTCTTTCCACCCCCTTCCGCTCTTTTGCACCCAATCCTCCGGAGCACCGATCACGACTCCGAAGCCGGGACGGCCACCAACTTCACATCGTCTCGAGACGTGTGATCTGTCACTCCTTTGACTCCCCGTCTTGCCAACAGGCGCGCCATTCATTTCTACACCGACAAGCGACGACGACTTCGCCTGTCACGACATTCTTTTAGATCGCAGCTTTGGGTTTTTGGTGGTCTGATCCCAAATTATTCGCGGCTTTACGGTGAACTCGCTGCGTGGTTTCCGAAGTCGGCTCTGGTCAATCGCCAATTGTTGGGAATAGATCGACTATCAGTTCTGGTATTGCTTTTCCGCGTCGAGGACCAGGAGCTTCTCGCCATTTTCCGTTCTGTGGCACGACTGTTATGACAACACGCTCTCGCACTGCCCAAGGTCGACAATCTCTTGCTGTTTTCTCAAACGCCAACCGAAACATACTATTTGACGTCAGCCCCGCGGCTATTGCCAAATTGGTGCTTCGATCCGAGAACGTGTGTTGGGAGAACACTGGGTATCGATGATGGAGAGCGGGATTGTTGGGGGCGCCTACGCCATGGGCTCTCGAGTCCCTGTCAGGCGGCGCGACAATATGGGCACGACGACATCGTCCCTTGGATTTAAGGTCCCGTCTCGGGTTCTGTCGGCGCGGGCTGAAGAGACGACTGAGTGCAAAGATCCCCAGTTTTGCACGAAGCCGTATTCCGCGTCCACGATGACCCTTGCCATCGTTCTCGGAGTCTGGTAAGTGCGCCGAAGACTGCAGCCAGCTGATGCCCTTGACTTACATTGTCCGCAGCATTCCGCTCGTCGCGGCCATCTGCGTCTTTACGTACCTTCATATCAGAAATAAGAAGAAGCAGCGAATGGAGGACCTGAATGATCCCCACAAGTCGTTAGATTTCGGATTGGAGGGAGGTGCCCGTGCTAAAGGGTCACGCAAGAGTCTTATTAGCAGGGAGAAGGACAGCCAACCACGATTCAACCGCCAGCAGATGTCGATGGATATGAATCTGTCTAGCCCGTACCTCCTGCCGCCCGAGGTTCACAACTCGCGCGAATCCCTCAATTCCCTGGCTAAAACGCTCCACACCAACGAAGACCCCTACAGGCCGGTCGGGCAGTTCAATGGGAGCGAGGTTGGCTCGATCCGTTCGTTCTCCAAGGGTCACGAGGGCGCCTCCATCTACACTCGGTCAAGCAGCCGCGCAGATGCCACGCAGATGTCTCCCGGGGGCTATGGTTCTCCTTCTCGACAAAATTCCATCCCTATGTCACCTCTCATGCCACCTGAGCCGACCCACATGAAACCGGATCAGCCGTCGCCAGACCCGACTCTCATGCCACCAAGTGCCCCTCCCATGGGACCTCTACCGCCTATTGGAACCGCGTCTGCGGGATCGCCCCGGGATATGAATGAAGGTCTCGCCATCGGAACCGCGATCCAAGAGCCGCCCGCTGTTGCGCAAAAGTCTCCCGGCCTGCCTCCGCCATCGCCTTTGCAGCCCAGCCCGGCCGATTCGGGCGTGGCTGTGCAGTATGATAGTGTCGATAACCCCTTTGAGAAACCGGTAGCCCAGGAAGTCCCGACTCCAACGGAACCCTCGACCGTGGGTCTTGGTCTCTCCTCTCACCCCCAGCCTCAGCGTGCATCCATCCGGTCTTCCACTTCATCATACGACAGCCGAACGACAAGCCCGCCACCGAACAGGGCCCAGCATGCTTCTATGTCGGCGCCGATCATCGAGGAACCGGAGCCTCTTGATTACTATGACTTCGACTTTGCCGACATGCCAGAAATGCCTCGGGGTCAGCGCTCGCCTTCGCCGGCGAACCCCAATGGTCAACTTGATGTGGATGAGCCAAGAGGCCGGAACATGCAGAGGACCTCCCAAATGTTTGAGCAGCAGAGTGCGGCCCGCCAGAGCGGTCTGGGCGTCCCTAACCAGGATAACCGCCGCCTCTCCGTTGGCTTCCGCCCACTGCCGCCTGATGAGATCATGGAATCCGAGGACCCCGAATACAGGGCTAACCGCATCCGCTCCTTCTACAAGGAGTACTTTGAAGACGTCTTGAGACCGGAAGACAGGCCGCCGATGCCACCGATGCCGCTGATGACGCAACAACAGCGGCAGGCGCAGCAGCAGCAGCAGCAGCAGCAGCAGCAGCAGCAACAAGGGCAACAGCACCATCAACACCAACATCATCAAAGTAACACGAGCTACTACGAGGATTATGACCCAAGCTATGCCCAGGATGCCCCGTATTTTGATCCTGCCAGCAACTCGTTCGTTATGCCCTATGCGCAGCCCGTGTCTCGCAGGGCAATGACCCCTCCACCGTCGGGCCAGAGATTCCCGGGCCCAAGGGGACCGCCGCGTGGGTCCCACGGTTCTCCGGCCGGTATGAGGTTCCCACCGAACATGCGGGGCCCTCCTCGACCGGGCTCGTCTGTGTCCAACCAGCTGGGCAACCCCTCGCGCCCAGGATCATCGGCGTCGGGTGCCTATGGCCGGGTCCGTGCCGGGTCCGCCATGTCGGGGAGCCGATCCGGTAGCCGGTTTGGCGGTCCCCGCAAACCAATGCCTCCCCCTGCCGACCTTCCCACGCTCCCCACCCCATCCAAGCTTACGGACGACTCTTTCGGCATCTTCAACGCCGCTGATTTCGCACCGCCCGAGGGGTTTGCGGAGCGGGCTCGTGGCCGTTCTCAAAGTCCTTCCGGGGAGCGTCGCCCTTACAAGATGCCCGTGCCTTCCCACTCGCCCTTAGTGGACACCGTTGAAGACCTCCCCGCGCTACCGAGCCCGTAAGTTGATGCTACGTATTTAGTCTCTGGTTGAAGCCTTACTAACACCACAATAGTTCTCTTCTGCAGAAATCGAGCACCTTCACAGGCCTTGACTTTGCTCCGCCCCGCAAGTTCGCCGACGCGGACAACCAAAGCGATGCCGGTTCGATCCGCAGCAACCGCAGCGGACTCTCAGCCGCCCACGCCAACGCCATCCGCGGCGGTGCGGGGCGCGTCAGTAGGCTCCCGGGTGATCAAGTCTTCACTCAAGCGGCCCTGGGCAAGTCGCTCAAGCCGGCATGGGGCATGCGTGATTAAAATTGCCACTTCATCACTCTCCACGTTTTAATCACGATCGTTCGAACAGGTTGGCTGGCCGGCCATCCACGGTTTCTTATTCCTGTGGCCAGCCGTTAAAGGGTTTTATGGCATACAGCTGGTGTCATGTCACGTCAACATATCATTACAGCATGTCTCGGGCGTCATCGTAACAATCGCTTGGTTCTTATTTCCCTCTGGTCACTTCGTTTCTTTCGAACAGCAACAGCGCAGGCGGTCTCGCAAGCAAATCCTTCCTGTTCCAGCCTCATGGTTACATACGCACCTGAGCATGATGACCTCGCTCTCGGATACAGCATCTATCCACCCATGTACGTTTTGTGGTGTCGATCTGTACATACAAGCTATTGCAAAGCATGGCATTTTTTGGTTGACGGTTCGGTGGTCGATCGCATTTACACAGCTATCTTTATAGACGGAGAGGAGAATTGGGGTTTGGGCTTGGGTAATGCTATTCAATTGAACTTTATTGCCACAAAGGCTTTCTTTCTGACATGCGCCATGGCGCTGTTGTAACATGGCATATCATCATATCCTGATTGCTAGGCTAGTATGCAGCTCCTGAGACGGGCATATATTCGCGTGTCCCATACGAAGTATGCACGACCGCATCAGTCCTCAAACACAATCGCCGCCTTGATGGCCGTCTTGTTCCGGATGCTATCCAGTGCCTCGCCAAACTGCTCGAGCTTGAACACCTTGTTGACGATACCCTTCGTCTTGATCTTGCCCGAGTCGAGGTACTCAACCGTTTGTGCTATTCACATTTGTTAATTCTGTCATACATGCATACAAGTCAGGAGAGAGGGCAACATACGGAACATATGAACTTCGGAAAACGATCCAATAATCCGCAGCTCATCCCCAAAGATCTTGGACGGCGGCCAGGTGACCCGCGCCGCGTTGGCGTACACACTGTCAAGTCACGAACAACGCCCGTCAGCACAGCCACTCTTCATCACAAATCCATACACCCCCTTCTTCACACCCAAGCAACCAAGACCGGACAGAGTGGAAACCCGCCAGCAAAAAAAAAATTGGAGATAGGAAGGGGGAAAGGGAGAGAAGAAGACGAACCCATAAACAACCAACGTCCCGCCCCGGCGGCAGTAGTTGATGGCGTCCTCCAGGATCCGCACCGACCCGGTCGCCTCCACCACGATGTCGAACCCGTGCGGGTTGTCGCGCTTGATCTGCTCAAACTGCGCCGCCGGGTCGCTCCGCGACAGCTCCACGTAGGTGTCGGCCGCGTCCAGCTGCTTGGCCAGCTCCATCTTCAGCCCGGCCGGGGCCGCGATGGTCAGGTTGGTTACCCCGTTTTGGCGGAGGAGTTGGGCTAGCATCTGGGCGGTGGGGGTGGAGGTGTTAGTGGTTGGGTTGGGTTGGGTTGGGTGATTCAGACGGGAAAGGGGTAGGGTAGGGCAGGGCGGGAGGGAGGTGGCTTTACCAGTCCGGTTGGTCCGGCGCCAAACATCAGCACGCTGGATCCCAGCCGCGGCCGGATTCGGTCCAGCCCGTGGGCGGCGCAGGATGCCGGCTCGATCAGGGTCGCTTCGACGTCGCTGAGGTTGTGGATCTGGAAGACCTTGGCTTGCGGGTAGGCGCAGTACTCGGCGAAACCGCCCGGCAGGTTGATGCCGTGGCCGGTCCACTGGGGTAGAGTCAGTTAGTAAAGGAATATTTCGCCCTTGTTGTGGTAGTCCAAGCGGGGGCCGAGTGAGGACGTACGTTCTCGCAGAGCAAGCCTTCGCCACGGCGGCAGTAGAAGCAATGGCTGCACAGCTCCGAGTTGTCTGCTGCGACGCGGTCGCCGACCTTGAAGCTGGTAACTTTGGGGCCGACGGCGGCCACGACGCCCACGGTCTCATGACCGGGGATGAGCGGGAATTCAGCAATGAACTCGCCTTCGTGGATGTGCTGGGAGGAATATGTTAACCGCTTTGTTGCGGGACCTCGCCGAGAGTAAAGTAGATTACCAAGTCTACATGGGAGTTAGTCCAGGTCTCAGAAGTGCTCGTTCAGGGTCAGTTGTCATACCTGTTCCGCACACACCGCATGCCTTCACCTTGACGAGGACATCATCCTCACGCAACACGGGAAGAGGCACATTGACAATTTCAAAATCCTCAGGCTTGTTGTATCTACATGATGTGTCAGAGTACGAGGGTGTTTAACGGGCTAGGCCATAGGATCCGAGCATTTAGAGGAATGCTACCAGCCAGACCACTTCAATAACTCACCTCAACGCCTTCATCTCCTTGGGAAGCTTCGAGACGGAACCCATTTTCTTGGTGTTGAGGGGTTGCCAAGTAATTGTTCTTGTAAGTGATGAGATAAGTTGACGCTAACTAACAAAGCGTAAGAGCACATTGAACCCAAGGAAGGGTGGAAGGGAAAAGAGGGGCATGTTTATATCGAGTCCCAGGACAAAGAGGGCGGCACTGGAAGCCGAGGAAGTGCCCCTGTGGTGCCTTGATTTGGCATCGACAACAACGCCCCAAACCTCAAGAGTCAAGGATCGACCTGGGCTGACTGTTGACCACAAACCATTTGACCCACTCTTCTGTCTGAACTTGGCTTCTCCCCGCGCTCCCATGTGCCACCCGAGCCACCTTGGTATGGTGGCAAACCAGATTGGTGGAGCTCGGTGTTGTTGAATGGTTTCTTGGTTGACATTAGCCGAAGTGGAGGAGCTGTTTTGCCTTAGACGGCGTTGACAAAGCAATGCAGTTTCAAGGAACTGATAGGCTGACTCGAGCATGACTGATTCAAGTTGTTTTCAACGTCAGCAAGCAATGGGTGAATAGGAATCACGGTGAAACCTTAGCATCAGTATCAACATCGACTCGATTCGCTACATTCCGGAACCGGCCGAGTGCCTTCAGCTGAACGATAAAAAGCTCCCCTCGGATTGTTCGTAAACTCATCAATTCCCGCGACCGGCCGGTCGACAGTAAGTACTACGAGCAATCGAGTGCGAGTAAAAATCGTATTGACCGTAAATGATGACCCTGAATGCAGAAGTTTTCCGAATGATCTCTAACCACCAACTCCACGCGCAAACCACTCACGGTCCTGGCGAGTAGGTGCATTGCCGGTCGACCCTATTACTCTCTGAGACGTAGAGTACATGTCGTGCCATGCCGTTATGCCGTTGCTGGCAACCCAAGAGATAGAGAGATTATCCGCCATCCGCTTACGAGGGAGGGGCCTCCTCACCACGGCCGCCACCACGGCCACGGCCGAAACCGCCACGGCTGTTGGAGAAATCAAGTCAGTAAACCGAGTCCAAGAACCGTACCCCGCATAACTTCACCACCGGGCCAACTTACAACTGGGGAGCAAAGTCGCTCGGCGCACCACCCTCCTTGCCCTCGCCAGCATCCCGGCGCCTGTAGCCGCCCTCACGGTCACCACGGTCACCACCACGGCCACGGCCACCACCGAACCTCCGCTCACCGCGCTCCTCGCCCAGCATACCGCGGGGCGGGGCGTGGGACCGCTGCTGCTTGATGTGGGTAGCCGGGACAATCTCGGCGGGGAGGTGCAGCCACTCCCGGAGGTAGTCGAGACCCTCGGGGGTCAGGGTGTAGTAGTAGTATTGCCACGAGAACTGGGTCTTGACGTAGCCACGCGAGGTCAGGGACTGGCAAGCCTTGATGACGAAGAGGTTGCGGATGCCGGTCTCGTGGGTGGTCTCATAGCTGCGAGGAGTAATGAGTTAGCATCCGAGGGTCTTATTGGGGACGAGTGCTCGGGTTTCGTGATGTTGAATATCGCGTATCGCGGTTGCAACGCAGCATTTCGATCGAGGAAAAATCGGGGGCGGTTGTGTGATGGATTCGGTTGGACCTACTTCTTTGCCGCGACCATGACGCCCTCACGGAAGAGGTACTGTCTCAAATGTTAGCTCCAGCTTCAATCAGACGCGTTCGCCCAGAAAACCACCATCTCTGGTCTTCTGGAACGAACAAAAACCAAAAAAATGGCATACCTCATGGATCGCCTTGCGATCAGCCTTGGGAATAAGCATCTTGGCGACTAGACCGATGTCGACACAATTGATGGATCTTGGTCGGTGAAAGTGTCGGCGATGGGGAGTCGAGCTCTTCAAAATTCAAGATCGCAGTGATTTGTGGGCTGGCGGCGCCGAAATTCCCATCAGGTAGTAGGGCTCGAGATTAGCGGGGGCACACGCTCTTGGCAGCTGATAATTCTGGCGCAGCTGGAGACGCCTGGTGTGGCGTACGGACCCACCTAGTAGTCACGTGATCAGTGCGCCAGACGGCTTACCTAAGCACCTAAGTCAACGCCATGCAGGTGCCATTGCGCGACAGGGATTGGAAGTTCATCTTCAGCCCGGTTCCCCATCCTCGATCATCCAAGATCAACGCGCAGCAACCCGGACAGCACTTCCCACTTCGCGTCGTCGATACTGCGCCGTTTTCAATACATCCTTTAAAGGCCACAACCAGCCCACCGGGGCGGTCAGCGGATCCCGAAGCTCATTCCTACGCTCACCAACGGCGATCGCCAGTCAATTGAAAGGCCTCCAGCGCAACCTCTGTCGACGATCAAGATGGCGCCGAGTAAAATCAATGTCCTGATCACGAGCTTCGCCGGCACGGGCCTCCCTCCTACCCTCTCCCTCGCCCTGCCACCAGCAACACCCATAACCACCCTCCTCGACGAACTCGACAGCCGCCTCCCCCCATCCGCCACAACATCAACCACACGCCTGCTCCTAACAACCCTCTCCAACCGCTCCATCCCGCTCACCTCCACCCTCCCCCTCTCCCACTACCTCTCCACCACCGAAGACTCCCCCCCCACCAACCACCACCACCACCAAGATGCCAGCACCACCACCATCCTCCCCCTCCGCCTCTCGGCCCCCTTACCCGGCGGCAAGGGCGGATTCGGGTCGCAGCTGCGGGCGGCGGGCGGGCGCATGTCGAAGCGCAAGAAGGGCGGCGCGGGGTCCGCGGAGGAGCACGGGTCGTCGCGCAACCTGGACGGGCGGCGGCTGCGCACGGTGACGGAGGCCAAGGCGCTGGCCGAGTACCTGGCCATCAAGCCCGAGATGGACCGGCGCGAGAAGGAGGAGCGCCGCAAGCGCTGGCAGGAGATCGTCGAGACGACCGAGCGCCGGCAGGAGGAGATCAAGTATGGCAGTCGGAAAGTGGGGCTGGATGGGAAGTGGGTGGAGGACCGCGAGGAGGCCGGCGAGCGGACCCGTGAGGCGGTGTTGGAGGTTATGCGGAAGGGGGTGTATCGGGATAATTTGGTTGGGGAGCGGGCTGCTGCGGGGAGTGGTTCGTCGGCGGATGAAGAAGGGGAGGATGAGGTCATGCAGGATGGCGAGGGGGAGGAGAGTGGGAGTTCGAAGGCGACCACGCCTCCTTCGGAACCGGAGCCGGCGCGTGATGTCAAGGGAAAGGGGAAGGGGAAGGAAGTTGTGAATGGGAATGGCAATGGGAACGGGAATGGTCAGGCGAGGAAGTTTGTTGGGTTTGATGAGGATGACGAGTTTATGAGCTCGTCCGACGAGGAGAGTGAAAGCGAAACAGCGAAAGCATAAGGGGAAACCAGAGGTGGCTGGTTGTAGTATTATTGTGCTGGTTTAAGAGCTTCTCGTGTTGGACAGAGCACTCTTGGTCAAGGGCTACGGTGGCGTTAAGGATTCTGCAACGGTTTACAGAAATTGATGATACCAGTCACTTTGCGTTCGCAATTTGAAGCACAACAATACTTTCCTCTCCTGCTCACCTCCTGTCACCGGGTAAGCATACAAACCGAGTACCCCAACTCTATGTGCATTCCCCTGACTGCCCTGAGTCTAATGTAACATGGTCCAGGTTGGATGCATTCTCCCGCCAGCAACTAACTTCGTTCACAAAATTCCCTTACTGGTCCAGACGGGCCGGGAAGTTGCCAGCCTCTGCGGGTGCGTTAGTGTCATTTCGTCCGGATTTGAAACTCGGCCGCGAGAGTCATACCTCTCTGCGCATCCCACCGCTCATACCACGCGCTGGGGCATAGGGACCGATAAGCGAGCCAGAACTGCACGTATCCGTTGGTTTAGCATCTGCATTCTAAAGCATATCCCTCCCAGGGATACCTCCAACAGCAAAGGCGGGCGAGCTAACCTGGCGGCAGGGGGCGAAGTCCTCGCCCTTGGCGATGATGCACTTGTGGTAGTCGACGTAGTTTTGCCAGCAGTGCTTGGTCTGGTTGACGTTCGGGAAGCGGGCGTCGGCACCTAGGGAGTAGATACGTTCGTCAGATCGAGTTGCACTGATCGTTTCGGCCCATCCCCCCTCTCGTCGTCATAGTCCCCCCTCTTGCTTCCCCCAATTCGTTCGCGCAACAGCCAATTCGGATCCAACTCGGGGTATCTGCAAAATGAAAGCGGCGGTGCATACCAGCTGCCGAAAGCGTTAGTAACGGGTTCCGCACGATCGAACCGAGATCAGGCCATGTATTTTCGCCGAGGGAATTTGCGGCGTTGGGGAGCTCTCAATCGTACCTGTGACGAACTTGAAGGGCTTAGTAACGCGCTCGTCGTCGGACATGTTGGGCGAATTTAGGAGCTGACGGGGCGAGGCAGCTTCAATGCGGCTGGCGGATTGATTGACGTCGTCGTCGTCGTGGGAATTGGCCAAAGTTTGGGAGAGGTGAGGTCAGGTCAGGGCACTTTCGGCTTCGGGAGTCCACGCTCCAAGCACACAGCATCATGCGCAAAGCGGGCCGGCAGAGTGTGGACAAAAGATGTGAGGGGCAAACGGCCTGGGGCCTGCCAGATGATCCGATTTCTTTGTAGCCAAGGCTTGGCTGATGGGCTCACTGGTCAAACAACCCTGAAATCATGCTGCTTTTTGTGGGGACCAGCTCAAGGACCCGAGCTCCTCTCTCCCATGGTCGCTAAATCGTGACGCCAACTTCCCGAAGCTCAGAACCCCCCCCAAACGGGCTGCTGCGCAACCACAGTTTTCCCCCAGAGGAATATCTCCCCTCACCATCATTCAAGATGTACGCCACGCGGGCTCTGCGGATGTTCCGCCCCACGACTCGCATGATGCGGCCGGTGCCGGTAGGCAATCCCTTGCGCCAGTTTTACTCAATTGCATGAGAACTGACCCGCCATGTTTACCAGAAGGAGGAGCAATCTGGTATGTAAAGCCATTCGCCAACTGCAACCCCCGACGGCATCGTCAGCGGTCCGGCTGCAGTGGGATTGAGTGGCTAGGAAGACTGACATGGACGCCGTCGACTCGTAGCGCACACTGTTTCGCAGCGTCTCCGCCGTCTCAAGCGGGTTCCGCCTGAGTTGTGGCCCCTCGGTGAGCACCCACGATATGTCCTTGCCCGTTTTAGGCGGCATGTTATTTACACTCGTCATAGGTATCGTCGTCGCCTTCGCCGTCTCGGCCGCCGTTTACTCGAGCCTCCGCCACTTCATGGTCGACAAGACCATCCGCCTCAAGAGGCAAAACCGTGCCGCCGATGCGCACCATGGAGCCCATCATGAGGAGCACCAGGAGGGTCACCAGGAGGAGAAGCACTAAGGGAGACCAGCCGTGTGTGTGGGTGTTAGGGACGGCGGAAGGGTCACAGGTAGACTTAGATGGCCGGAACTTGTATACGAAGAGCAGATGGAGCTGGCTGAAGGTACCGGGAAGCTATTCAGGCTCGGCGTGTGTCAATACTGCTCAAGGCGTGAACACAAACATGCATTTCCTTGATCTGCAAAGCTCTTTTCGGAAGCAGTCCCCAACGCCGCGGCTATGCATTTCCTTGGTATCGACTTGAACCCTCTGTCTTAGACTCGCGAAGCCCACATATAACTGTACGGTATCTGTTCCTGAGTTCCACCGATACAAACCATCATTCCGGTTTCGGCCCAGCAACATCCAGCCCCTCTAGCCCCTGCATCGGGTCGTCGGGCCTCGCGTTTTGAGCCTGGTCCGTGGCGAGCCTGTCCTCCTCGCTAACAGCATTCTCGGCCAACCACCCTTCCTACACCGAGAGGTCAACACCAGTCCCATTTCAGAAGTGAAAAATAAACTGAGGCAAAAAAGACTAACCTGCTCCCAAACAGCGGTCTTCCCGCCGAGCGCCTGACCCGCGCTCTTGGGCGCCTTGGCCGCCGACACCTTGATGACTCTCCCGAACAGCTCGGCCTGGTCCATGTTGTCGATGGCCTCCTTGGCGTCCTCGACGTCCTCGAACTCGACGTAGGCGAACCCGCGGTGCGGCTCGGCCGCCGCCGTGCTGGGGTTCTCGTTCTTGGGCAGCGCCACGTCGGCGATCTCGCCGAAGGGCAGGAAGGCTTCTTGGAGCGTCGTCCGGGTCACGGCGGGGGCGAGCCCGCCGACGTAGACGGTGGATTTCCAACGGGAGGTGTCTGTCATTTTTATGGTTTCGTTTTTTTGAGGTGGTGAGGAGGGACGGGTTGCGTGTCTGAGTGAAATGGGCAGCCCGGTGATGAGGTCGTCCTCTCGTTTTTGGCTCTCTTAAATTGGATCACGGTTGGTCGCTCCGTCGTTTTATCCACCGCCGTGCTTGAAAAAGTCGCCAGATTCTTGTGGGACTTATTTATGCTGTTGTATAAGAGTGAGATTCGCCCGTTGTTGATGAAGATGGATATCACGTGCTTTGGCAGTTATTAAAGTAGAGAATGGATGTTGAGCCGTGAGAAGCTTGAAGTGATGCCCCGCCTGCCTGCCCGTTCTAAGCTCTCTTGAATTCGCTGGCTGTGATTTTAACTTTGATGCGCCATCCTTGACTTTAGCTCCGGCAAAAGAGCATATTGTGGTTGAACTGATGTAATAGAAAAGAAATATCTTCTATAACTATAACTAAACCTAATCATTCAAGTCTCTTATTTAATCAAGGCTCCTACTCTTTGTGGTTGAGGAGTGAAAGGTGCGAAGGCCAGAGTAGCACAGGGTTAGGGTATCTTGTCGATTTCGTTGTCACTTGCGGTTAGACAGCCGCCAAATTCTGGGGCGCATCCCCTGAAGACGCATTGCCTTGCTGGTTGCTTGCCCTGGCATCAAGGGCAATCTGGCAACAGGCCGCACCGATCCCGACTTGCACCGAACTGCACCGCACACCGTCCACCCTACGCCCTCACGGCTCGACGCTTGACGCGGTAGGGATTCTGGTGTTTAATTTCCTCTCGACCCAATTGTTTCGCCTACCCTTTCAATAATTCGAATAACCACCAACAACCCCCACTTTACAACGTAACACCGCCCTCGTCGTCTCTCCCCGAGTCGATCCCTATCCGACCTTCGCCATGGTCCGGTTGAGAGAGATCCCGCGGACTGCGGCCTTCGCCTGGTCTGCCGGTCCGAACCCAGTATTGGTTACAGGCACCAGGTCCGGCGCAGTCGATGCCGACTTCTCAGACGAGACCAAGCTCGAGCTATGGGACCTCAACCTAGACGCTCTCGATCAGGGCCTGGAGCTACAGCCGGTAGCCGGCATCAGCACCGAGTCCAGGTACGCGCATCGCATGGCTAGGCGTAGTCTCGACGCTAACACCATGAAAGATTTTACGACATAGCATGGGGCGCCCCCAGCGACGAGCACCCGCGGGGTGTCATCGCCGGCGCGATGGAGGACGGCTCGCTACAGTTGTGGGATGCCGCGAAGCTTCTTGCTGGCGAGGAGGCAGTCATGTCGCGCGATACCAAGCATACCGGGCCGATCAAGGCACTACAGTTTAACCCCCTGCGCCCCCAAGTACTCGCCACCGCTGGCTCAAAGGGCGAACTCTTCGTCTGGGACATCAACGACACCTCGACCGCCTTCCGCCTCGGCACCGCTGCCGCCCACGACATCGACTGCGTGGCCTGGAACCGGAAGGTGTCCAATATTCTGGCGACGGGCAGCGCTGGCGGTTTTGTGACAGTGTGGGATCTGAAGACCAAAAAAGCCTCGTTGACCTTGAACAACAACCGCAAGCCTGTCAGCGCGATCGCTTGGGACCCGACCAACTCCACCAACCTCCTGACCGCCACCTCCGACGACAACACCCCGCTGATTTTGCTGTGGAACCTCAGGAACTCTCAGGCGCCCGAGAAGACCCTGCAGGGGCACGACCAGGGCATTCTGTCATTGTCGTGGTGTCAGCAGGACCCGGGCCTGTTGATCTCCTGCGGCAAGGACAACAGGACCCTCGTATGGAACCCGCAGACTGGGGAGCGATATGGCGAGTTCCCGGAGGCCACCAACTGGACCTTCTTGACGCGCTTCAACCCTGGCAACCCCAACCTCATGGCCACCGCCTCGTTCGACGGCAAAATCACCGTCCAGACGTTGCAGAACACGAATGCCTCGGTTGTGCCCGCCGCACAAACTAGCACGGACGACGATGACTTCTTCGCCAAGGCGCCCACCCAACTTCAGGGCGCGTCGTTCTCCCTCGTGAGGGCGCCAGTTTGGCTCGAGCGGCCGGTCGGTGTTTCTTTCGGTTATGGCGGCAAGCTTATCACCTTTAAAAAGAATGACACGCCTGCCGGTCAACCCAGATCCTCCAAGATCCAGATATCCAGCTTCTCGGTCGATTCCGATATCGGCTCTGCTACCGAGAAGTTCGAGGAGGCGTACAGGCGCGGAGATGTCGCCGCCATCTGCGACACCAACGCTGCTGACGCCCAGACGGAGGAAGAGAAGGCTGACTGGCAGGTGTTGAAGGCGCTGAGCGAGTCAGACGGGCGCACCAAGATCCTCGAGTATCTCGGTTTCACCAAGGACGAGGAAGCCCCCAGCTCTCCCGAACAGGCGGAGGCCACCGAGCCCAAGGAAGAGCCGAAGGAGACGGGGCTGGCCCCGCCCCAACCCAACGGCGACGACGCGAAGAAGAAGCACAAGCGTGTGACGAGCATGTGGGGTGATCTTGACGAGGGTGATGATTTCCTGTCTGACCTCACCCCTGCCAAGGGCGCCAAGACGGACAAGCCCTTCCAGCTGCTGGGCGAAGGCAACACGGCCGAGGACCAGGTAACCAGGGCTATCATCCTCGGTAACTTTGAGAAGGCCGTCGATATCTGCCTGAAGGAGGACAGGGTCGCTGATGCCTTTATCCTCGCCAACTGCGGCGGAAAGGAGCTTGTTGACAAGGTGCAAACTTCCTACCTCGCTCAGAAGAAGGGCAGCCCGAGCTACTTGCGGCTTATCAACTCGGTCATCGGCAAGAACCTGTGGGACGTCGTGTACAACGCGGATCTTGGCAATTGGAAGGAGACCATGGTCACGCTCTGCACCTTTGCTGAGCCCTCCGAGTTCCCCGATCTTTGCGAGGCCCTCGGCGACCGAATTTACGAGTCTGGCTCGAGGAAGGATGCCTCCTTCTGCTACCTCGTGGGCTCCAAGCTCGAAAAGGTGGTGGATATCTGGGTTGTTGAGCTCCAGGAAGCGGAGCAGGCCGGGCTACAGGAGGCCAGCAACGACTCCACCTTCTCGATCCACGCCAGGTCGCTGCAGCACTTCATCGAGAAGGTCACCGTCTTCCGCCACGTCATCAAGTTCGCCGACGACGAGAAAGAACTCGCGGAGGGCTGGAAGCTTGGGTCGCTGTACGACAAGTATACTCAGTACGCGGATATCGTCGCCGCCCACGGCCAGTTGGCTGTCGCGCAGAGATACCTGGACCTCCTTCCGACCAACTTCCCCGCCGCCGAAGTGGCCAGGAACCGCGTCAGGCTCGCTACCCAGAAGGCTGCCCCCCAGGTCCCTCAAGTTGCCCAGCGTCAAACCGCCCCCATCTCTCGTGCGGCCTCCCGTGGCCCAGCGCCGATGGGCTACCAGCAGCCAGCGTCAATCCCCCCGCCCGGCCCCAGTCACTCCAACCCCTACGCGCCACCCGCTCCAGTCCAGGCCGTTGCGCCGTCGCCCAATCCGTACGCGCCTTCTACCGCGTCCCAATTTGCGCCGGCCGGAGCGTCCCCGTACGCACCGGCTGGGTATACGCCTTCCGCCCCGGCACCCGGGGGATATGGCGCCCCCCAGACCTTCACTCAGCCAGGAGCGCCGGTCCCTCCCCCTCCGAGAAACACTGGTCCTCCGCCCAAGATCCACAAAGATCCGGGCAGCTGGAATGATGTGCCTATGGTCACAAGGCCTCCGGTCCGCAAGACTACACCGAGCGTGGCACCTATCACGGGGCCTTTTGGCGGCCAGGCAGGGTTGCAAAGCCCTCCGCCTACCGGGCCTTATCAGCGGAGCGCGCCCACTCCTCCGCCTCCGCCTCCCAAGGGATCTGCCCCCCCTCCTCGCAGCGTGACATCACCACCTGTTGGGCCGCCGCCGTCGGGCCAGTTCCCCGGGCGTCCGGCTTCGGTGACGTCAAACCCCTCCAACCCTTATGCGCCTCCACCGGTGGCAGCAGGCGCCGGGATGCCCTCTCCGATGGTCCCTCCGCCCGCTGGACGGACCGCATCCCCATACAACGCTCCCCCCGCCGGTCCCCCGCCGTCCAACAGATACGCGCCGGCACCGTCAGCGCAGCCATACGGCCACGGGCCCACATCCACCCCGCTAGCGCCTCCTCCGGCTAACCCGTATGCACCTGCACCGGCGGCTCAACAACCCATGGCACCTCCTCCCCAGCAATTCACCGCGCCGCCACCTCAGGCCTCTCGGCCACCCGTCGGGCCCCCGCCCATGTCGGGACCTCCCCCGGCCGCGGGCGGCCCCCCGCCAGCAGCCCGAGCCCCCCCGCCGCAGCAGACCCCTCCGCCGCCGCGCGCGTCGGCGCCTCCCCCGCAAGCGGAGCGGCACCCGGCGGGCGACCGGTCGCACATCCCGCCCGGCGCGCAGCGCATGGTGGAGCTCCTGAGCCAGGACATGCAGCGCGTGGCGTCCAAGGCGCCGGCGACGTTCGCGCCGCAGGTCAAGGACACGCAGAAGCGGCTCGGCCTGCTGTTCGACCACCTCAACAACGGCGAGCTGGTCCGCCCGGACACGGTCGAGCAGCTGACGGCGATTGCCGAGGCGATTGCCGCTAAGCAGTATGATGCTGCGTCTAAGGGGCAGATGGATATCTTTAAGGATAAGGTGGAGGAGTGTGGGCAGTGGATGGTAAGTTTTCTTCTTTGCTTCTTCTCCTCCCGGCTGTTTGTTGCTGTTGTTTGATGCTAATATTGGGGGGGGGGTGTAGGTTGGGCTGAAGAGGCTGATTAGCATGAGCAAGGCTACGCCTTGATTGTGTTACGGGGTGGATTCAGGGGTTGGTTCAGGGGTAGGTTCGGGGCGGGGAGTGAAGAACGGGCGGTTGTGTTTATGGTTAGGATTAGAATGTAGCCAGGCGAAGAGAAAATGCGAGTTGATAGATTTATGACTTGGGCGTGCTGAGTGGAGAGTGATTGAGGCTGGAGTTGGGTAGAGTCCCCTCTCTGTGCATGCTCAGGGGGACTGTTTATTCTGCAAGGGTGTGTTCTGTCAACTGCCACGTCTCTCAGCCAACCCGAACCCTTCACGCTCAAAATAAATTCGCCGTTGAGCTCCATCGATAAGATAAGAGCAGGGACCTTCTGGATGCGACAACTCAGCAAGCCTCCACAAGACCGCTTCATTCAACACGTTTGTCCACTGAGCGAGCTCGACGTCACGAGGGCATATCGTCGCCCAACAATTTATAATTTGCGCCAACCTCCAACCACACACCACTAGTACTATCTACACACTCACATAAACGCTCGACCGGGAAAAGAGAGACAGGCAAACGATGACGGAAATGTTGACATCAGACGAAGAAGCTGCCGCGGCACGTGCTGCTGAGCAGGCGCGCCAACGCAAGGCCCGTCGCGAGGCGAAGATTAAGGCCGGCGCCGGGGATAGGTTGAATAGAATCACCGGTTTGGGAGGGGGCGTTCCGCGAGGTGAGTTCCGCCATAAGTAGATATCCTGTCCAACCAACAAACAGCTAGTTAACCACCCCCGTGTTCTCTAGACCCCGCGCCCGCACCGGCAGCCACAGCGACGACCACGACACCGAGCGCTCCAGTTAGTACCGCCGCAGCCCAGCATGCCGATCCCGAAGAAGTCGACATCTCGGAGCACTTCTACCAGCCCCAGACCACCGCGCGAGTGCCATCCCCCAACACCAACATCTCCGACGCCCAGCTTCGCCAGATGATGCTCGGTGTCGACCAGCCCGGCACCGCCACCCCTCCCATGCCGGGCATGCCGGGTATGCCCACCGCGCCGCCAGGCATGGAAGAGGACCCGATGATGCGCATGATGATGCAGATGCTCGGCGGCGGTGGCGGCGCCGGCGGCATGCCCGGGATGCCCTTCCCGCCGTCCACAGGCCCCGGCGGCGCGGCCCAACCCTTCCCACCTCAACAACAACAACAACAAGCCGCCACCACCCGCAGCGCCACCCTCTGGCGCCTCCTCCACGCGCTCATCGCACTCGCCCTCGGCCTCTACATCGCCCTGTACACGCCCTTCACGGGCAGCAAGCTCTCGCGGGACAGCGCGGCCGCGGCAGCCGCCGGCTCGGCCGAGGCGCGCGCCGACCCGACCGTCGCCGCCGCCGCGTCGTCGCAGAACTTCTTCTGGGCCTTCGCCACCGCCGAGGCGCTGCTGCTGGGCACGCGGCACTTTTTCGCCGACCGCGGCCGCAGCCGCCTGCAGACGGCGGCCGCGGGCGGGAGCGGCATGCTGGGCATGGTGGTCGGGTTCTTGCCGGCCGGGCTGAGGGCCAAGGTGGAGATGGCGATGCGCTACGGGGAGGTGCTCGGGACGATCCGGGCGGATGTGCTGGTTTGTGTGTTTGTGCTGGGGGTGGCGGCTTGGGTGAGGGGATAGGTTTGATTAATTAATTAGCTGGGTGGGAGGTTTCAAGTAATAGAATAAATAAGCTTTGGTTTGCTGTGTAGGTTGTGTGGATGTGATGTGTTGCCTGACGTGTGGATGTAAAGTCGAATCCAAGAGCCACATGCCTAGCCCCTTGATAAACACTAGTTAACTGCCTCAAAATAGTCTTGAGAGGGCACCTTTTGCTCGAGGAATTCCGATGTAACCGATCAGAAGTAGGTGCCCGCCATCGAAGGTTTGATCAGAGAGTATATACTGTATGCCCTCGCACGCGCCTCACCATTCATTAGAAACCCAACACAATGGCATAGACGGGTTCAAGCTGACCTCGATACACAGTTGAGAAAACACGATACTAGATAGACGAACACGAAAGTGCAACTTCCAGGCGTCGATAACGTTGATTAATCAACTTGGCTCACTACTATTACCCTAACGGACATAGCACACATAACCACCCCCTTTACACGCCCAGTTACTGCTCACCCTGACAACACCGCCAACAGCACAGAGATAGGCAGCGCCGCCACTCCCCAAAAGGAACCCATACTTCCCACCCGCCCACTCTCCACAAAGTAACAAGGAAAGCGATGAATCTAGCCGGCTGTATCAGATTCCACTAGTCTAGTAGTACCCAGCCAACATATATGATGTGATACGACGCTCGCGGCCAAAACCGACAAAACACCACACCAAACCAGACCAGACCAGACCAGACCAAGCCAAACCACACCGAACCGACCAACCATCGCAGCACGCCAGGTTTCAATCTTGAAAAAACTATGTATGCACAAATCGCTCCACGACCCTCCCAAACCCAGAATCCAACCCAAGCAGGCCAGGCCACAAGTAACCCACGCCAAAGATCCATTCCCGAACCGAGCCCGGGCCCAATATACCAACCACCCCAAGTCCATGCCGATGCCCATGTCCCATCATCATCAACACCCCCACCCCGCATCCACATGGTATATATATATATAGTTAAGTATGGAGAGTAGAAGACCGAGAACGACGGGGAAAACATAAAACGCGGCATAACCCCGAGAAGCCCATGCATAAAGAGGTATCTAAAGCAGAACCAAAAAGGGCGTTTGTTCCAAAAAAGAAATTGAAGCAAAAAAAAAAAAAAGGGCAAAGGAAAAGGAGGGGAAAATGTGAGACGCAGATGCAGTACCCATGGCCCATTTCGCCCGTCCATCCATCCATCCATCCAGCCATAACCCCGCAAGCGAAAAGGACAGACAGGATGCATAGGTAACAAAAACTCGCTCAGCACACAAACACACGCACGCACACACACACACACACCCCGATCCCGTCTTCAGACCGACGTGACACGCACATCCGCCTCCGCCGCCTTCTCACCCGATTTCGGTCCACAGGGTGCGGGAGGTGGTGGTGGCGGTGCCTCTCCGGGCTCGCACGAACCCACAGGATTGGCTTGTGGGTTCTTGACGACGACCCGGCCCTGCGGCTGCGCTTCAGCCGGGGCAGCCGGGGCAGCCGGGGCAGCGGCGACCGCAACCGCAGCCGCGGTCGCAGCCTTGGGCCCCTCAGCCTCAGCCTCAGCCTCAGCCTCAACCTCGGCCGCGGCCGCAACATGCGGCGCGTCGGCGGTCCCGTTCGGCACGGCGGTCAAGGCGGCGTCGCCGAGCAGGTAGGCGTCGAGCTTCTTCTTGAGCACCTCGGAGCGGACGGGCTTGGCGAGGTAGTCGTCCATGCCGGCGGCGAGGCACTTTTCGCGGTCGCCCTGGATGGCGGAGGCGGTCATGGCGATGACGAGGACCCTGCGGACCGACTCGAGGTCGTCGTCGCGCAGCAGCTTGGTGGCCTCGTAGCCGTCGAGCACGGGCATCTGGACGTCCATGAGGATGATGTGGTAGGGCGTGCCCTTGCGCGCCTTCTCGCGCAGGCCCTCGACGGCCTTCAGTCCGTTGTCGTACGTGTCCACGTTGGGATACCCCAGCCGCTGCATGTACTGCAGCGCGATGCGGGCGTTGATGACGTTGTCTTCCGCGATGCAGATGCGGAGCTCCGACTTGGGGATCTTGGAGAGGTCGGGGGTTGCGGGGGCTGTTACTGCGGCGGCGGCGGCGCTGACCGAGGACGGGAGGTCCTTGAGCAGGAGGGAGCTTTGTTGTCTGGCTGGGTAAGGTTTGACGGGTTCCGGGAGGGTGCCGGGCGGGGCGAGCTGTTCGTCGCCGGCGACGACCTCCGGTCGGGCCTTGTCGAAGGTAACGGTGAACCAGGCGGTGGTGCCGACGTGTTCTTGGCTTTCAAGGCGGATCGTGCCCTGCATCATGGTCTCGATGAGTGACTTGCAGATGCTCAGGCCGAGGCCGCTTCCGCCATACTTGCGCGCCGTGCTCGCGTCCGCTTGGCTGAACGGTTGGAAGAGGTTCTCGAGCTGCTGCGGCGAGATCCCGATGCCCGTGTCCTTGACCCAGAATGTCAGCGTCGCGTTGTCATCGACTTGCTGTTCGATCCGGGCGCCGATGGTGATGGATCCATCCTCGGTGAACTTGAGGCTGTTTCCAATGAGATTGCCCAGAACTTGATGGAGCCGGATCGGGTCGCCGTAGATGAGCATGGGCGGTAGGTTGATATCCTGGATGATCTTGACGTTCTTTTTGGACGTCTTCTCCCTGTTGCTGTACGAGGCTGCCCGGACGACTTCGCGCACCATCTCCTCTGGGTTGAAAGCGATGATGTACAGCTTCATCTTGTCGGCTTCCATTCTCGAGAAGTCGAGGATGTCGTTGATGACCGTCAGCAGCAAGTCGGCCGAGACTCTGATCGAGTCGGCCATCTCTAGCTGCTCCTTGTTGAGGTTGCTATCTCTCAACAGCTCGGAATTGCCGATAACGCCATTCAGCGGCGTGCGCAGCTCGTGGGAGACGTTGGCCAGGAAAATGGACTTTGCCTTCGTCGCATCCTCAGCAAGCTTGACGTTGCGGATCGCCTCGGCCTCGGCATTCTTCGCCTTGGTCTCGGCCTCGATCGCCTTGGACAAGGCGCGTTTCTGGAGTGCGACCATTGAGATGTTCTCTGCCGAAACCTTCTCGACCGACTTCATGGCCAGCGCATTGGAGAAACTGATGCCGATCTGGTTCACAAGAAGCTGCAGGACACTGACGTTGCGGTCCGTGAACGAGCCGGAGGTGCCTTCGAGATAGAGGACACCGAGCAGCGGCTTCGACCCGTGGCAAATGGGAATGGCGATGACAGCCTTGCTCCCCGGATTCCGCCGCAGCCAGAACTCGCCGACGTTGCCGAACCGCTCGTCGTTGAGGAGGTCCTGGAGGAAGACGGCCTCGCGGAAACGGGTGCAGTAGAGCACGACGTTCTCGGCGACGAGGTCGGTCACGCTGAGCGGGATGCCCGGCATGTGCGCTTCAGCGCCCTTCTCGGGGTCACCGCTGGCGGCGACGCACCAGTCGCCGCCCTTCTCGTCGGCCCCTTCGTCCTGCACTACGATGGCGGCGAGCGTGGCGGACCCACTGCACGTTTGGAGAATCACGTCGCACATGGTCTTGAGGAGCTCGTCGATCCTCAGGACTGAAGAAATGACCTGGGAAGACACGAGGATTGCATGCAGATCGATCATATCGAGGGCAGGCAACCCGACGCCGGCCTCGGGCTGCATCGAACCGCGCCAGGCCGACATGCGCTCGCCTCTCAGGGCGGCCACGGCGGCCTGGGTGGATTGCTGGGCATCCTCGGTGCCGTTGTCATCGACATTCCGGTACTGAACGGTCGCAGCATCGGCAGAAAAGTCGGTCTGCACCCCCTGATCGAGCGTGCGAGGGTTCCGCATGGCCCGTTGAAGGATGATGCTGTGGTCACTCTCGATATGGTCCGCAACGCCCGTAGCGCCGAACTGACGGAACAGGGAAACGGCTTCGCGTAGCGCGGAGCGGGCGGAGCGGCGCGCGTTGTTCCTGATGAAGATGTTGGCCATCAAGTAATTTCCGAGTGCTTCTTCGAAGGTGAAATTGTGCTCCGAGGCATGATCTAGCGCCTCTTCATACTGCCGGATAGCTATTCCGTGATTCCCGAGCATTTCCGAGACGGAGGCGTCTAGCAGCTTCGACCAAGCGAGATAGTTGACGTCATCGACAACCTGCCAATCTTTGATGCGTTTGCTGAGCTCCTCCACCTTTTTGACCCCCTGGTTAACGTGTTCCTTGAGGCCCTCTGCTCCTGGCGAGAGGGGGTCTCCTAGCCGGCGAAGGACGGCGCCGGCCAAAGCCAAGCCGTAGAAGAGCATCGCCAGCCTGGTGTTGCGAGCCGACCACAAAAGATGCGCCCGTTCCTGGCAGGCCTTGCCGAGCTCAATCGCCTGGTCGTAGTGCCCGTAGAGGAAAAGGGGTACAATCTCCATGGTTTCGTAGATCAGCAACGACCGGCCGCCATTGTTAGTGTTCGCCATGAGCCAGTTCTTGTAAGTGATGGTGTCATGGTGCTCGTCGCTCATAACCACGAGGGGGTTCGCGGACCGAGTCTTGCCTTGCAACGCACGGCAAACTTGTCTGACAGCAATGAGGAGCGTGCCGCCGCGCGTGTCGAGATGCCAGTTGGGAATCTCTTCGCAGCCATATTGGCAGAAGGCTTCGAGATCGGCGCAGTTCTCGCTGGCATAAAACTTTAGCTGTGCTGCGAGCGCGAAGCTGAGGATGGTTGATATCCTATCTCCGGCGGCCAGGGTGTAGTCCACCATCCCCTCAATCTGCCCGACCGACACGTCGATGGGATCCTGCACATGACCGACAAAGTTGGCATATATCATGTAGCCCCGCGAGATAGAGAACGGATCGCGGGATTTATCTAGGAGCTCGAGGCAAATGCCGGCCAACTCGGCCGCCAGCTTGGCGTTGTTGAACCGCGACAGGGCGACGATAGACATGTACAGGAAGCCCATGCCCGACTGAGGGTAGCCCCCCCGGCTGAAGTGCGTCTCTATCATCAGCAGAGTCAGCTGGTAGAAGGCAGCGCACTCGGTCCACCACCCGGCGCTCGTCGTCTCCGCTAGCACCGCGCCGATAGATACCAGCATCGGGTCCGGCGTGGCAACAGGGCTAAGCACCTGTTCGCGATTCGTTGTCCGGATTTTCTCAGTCAGACGCTCGAAATGCTGATCGCACTTCTCCATGCTCGGGGAGTTATCGACGGCCATATCGAGAGCAACCAAGCACTGTTGTAGGGAAGCCAAGGCCTCGTTCGAGTCACCAGCCTGGGCAAATATCCTCGATTGCAGCACCCATGCGGGGGCCTTGTCAAAATCTGTCCTCGCGTGGTCGAAGATTGTTTGCAGAAGCACGCTGGCAGCACTCTGATGGCCCATAAACAAATAGCACTCGGCAGCTTGCAGATAGATCTGGAGAGTCTCGTTGTACGACACGTCCTCGGCGCTCTCATCCCAGGGATTCGACTGCAGCAGGGCCACGGCGTGACTGAAGTATTTGGCCGCTGTGGGACGTGCGCCGCTCTCGGTCGCCTCATGTGCGCGTTCAAACAGCAAGTTCCGGAAGGCTCGCCGATGCGGTATCCGTTTCTTGATGATGTGGACGGACTCGCAGATATGGGAAGCGGCATTATCTTTCAGGATCGGGTCGCCCGAGTAATGTTTGAGGAGCACTTGCGCGATCGCAAAGTGCATCGACCGGGCATTGCACTCCTTGAGGGCAGCCGCGGCTTGGATATAGCGGTCGTGGGCGAAGCGGAAGTGATCATCTCGGTCGCAAGGGATGATGATGAAGGCTTGGATGGCGGCTTCGAGGCCCGCGACGACGTCCACCTCGCAGGAGGCGGCAACCAACGGCTCACCCGGGTTTTCTGGGCGATCTTCCACATACCGTTGCCCACTCATCAGCTTGCAAATCAGATCAAAAGAGAATGTCTGGCCCAGCAGGGCGGCCCAGGCAAGAATGGTTCTGGAAGCCGCCGGCAGCTCGCTCAGGCGGCGGGTGATGAAGGCAGTGTCAAGGACGTCGTAGTCTTGCTCCCCTTGGAATTGATCAAAAAGCTTATCCAGGTCATACTTCCAGTGGCCGGTGATGTAGTCGTACCAGATGCACTTCTTCCGGTAGCCCGCGCTGAGCATTTCCCGCATGTAGAAGGGGTTTCCCGCCGTCTTGGATTGGATGACCAGGGCCAGAGGGAGGACTCTTTCCTTGGGCAGTGAGAGCGTCGCGGAAACATAGCGAACTATGTCCTCTTCACCAAGCGGCGCGAGGGTGATCTTGGTCATCCTTGGACCGCCGCCCTTGGGGAAGTCGTCCGATTTGGGGGGGGTCAATAACCTGCGCACCGCCTCGGGAGCGATGTCCTCTGGGCGGTATGTTATGATGAGCATGAGTTTTAACCTGACGCTAATGATCTGGCTAATGAGTTCTAGGGATTCATCGTCTGCGTATTGCAAATCATCCAGGCAGAAGCAGATGAACTTGTGTTGGGTGAACACCCTCAGCACATCGAGGAAGGTAGTCATGAGCCGGTTGGTTTTGGTCGAGGCGCCGGCACGGAGGAATTCACGCGAACTTGGCGCCGAGCCGGAGGACGCTCGGAGGGTGGAAGGGGTTGACACGGATGCGGTGTCTGGGGAGGAGCCGCGCTTTTCGAGGTTGGGCCTAGGAGCCTGGGTACTATTGGAAGAGGGACGTGTGAGCGGCGAATCGGCTGCCGGGGGCGGGAGGATAAATTCCGGGAGATCTAGGATTTTGTGCAGCATTGGCCAAACCGGTTGGACGTGATGCTTCAGGGACTGATGGAACGCCGTCTCCGTGTTCCGCTCGCCCTGCACCTGGCGGAATAGAGAGGAGAGGAGCTTCAGCAGAGGCCCAAAGGGCGTCCGCCTCGCCCGGTCGAACTTGGCCGTCGCGCAGTAGCCTCGTCTGCGGGCGTCTGGGAGAACAGACTGGACGAGGCAGCTCTTCCCGAGCCCCCCGGCTCCTTCGATCAGGACGATCTCGCAATGGCCCTGTCTCCTGAACTTGGCCGAGCCGAGTTGGCGAGCCAGGCTGGCGGACGAAGAATCGGTCACCACGGTGGCGTTATGCCGCGAAGCCTCCGAATTGTGGCCATCACCCGTATGGTTGCTGTCGAGCAATGAATGCTTGTCCCATGCACGAGGGGGGCGAGGGCCACCCGACAAAGTCGAGACGCCCGACGACATGGTCGACAGGGACGCCGCCGCCGAGTCGGTGATTATGGGCGGAGACTGTTGGGATCCAGACTTGGACTTGTTGTCTCCCTGTGGGATCGAGGGGCTATGGCGGTTTATCCCACCGGCCGAGCTTCCGCCGTCGCTTGAGCCGTCGGCGGCGTCGTTGAGATCGGTACCAAAGCTCGATGCGTCTGAATTCCGGTTCGTGGTGCCGTTTTGGGTCAAGGTGTGGTTTTTGGCGACCTTCTCGATGAGGTTCACGAACTCGGCTCGTTCCTGTTCTCGGCCAAGCATACCGGTTGGTAGCCTGAATGAAGATGAGACGTCCCTGGAACCTATCGGCCAGTCGCGGAGCGCTGCTGAATCGCCATCGCTGAGCATCTTTTGGACGGCCACGAGGTCGTAGCGGAGACCACCGGCCGAATAATACCTGTCGGCGACGTTCTTGGCGGTGCACTTCTGAATGATGCGGCCGACGACCTCGGGAACGTCCATGCGTATCGCGGTGACGCTGGGTATCCTCCGGCCGAGCACAGCCTGGACGATGTCCAGCGGTGAGTCTCCCTGGAACACGAGCTGCTGCGTCAAGAGACTCCAACACAGGATACCGAGCGAGTAGATGTCGGTGCGGGTATCCGGCTCGGCCGGCATCCGCCCCGTCTGCTCGGGGCTGATGTACTGTAGCTTGTGCTTGACACCTATCGCCTTGGAAAAGGCCGACCACCCCGTGCTCGTTAGGCCGTGCTCGAAGGATCGGAGCCCCGACCCGAACGACACCAGCTTGACCTTGTTGGTTTCGATGTTATAATGGAAGGCGTCCCCACGGATCTCACCATGAACGATACCCTGCCCGTGATGCACGATCTCCAAGCACTGTGCGGCACCAATCGCGAAATCTAGAAAGTTTTGTAGGCTGATGGGGGGGGCTAGCCTGGGGGTGACCTTCCGACGTGGTTCCCACCGATCACTATCTCTTTTGGCAAAGTAAAAGGCGGGCCCAAAATCCAGAAGTTTTACCAGAGAATTCGGGCCGGGATCCTCATAGATGGCAACGATGATGGGTCCTCGGTCACCGGGCGCCGACGGCAACCGCATCACATCCAGTGGCTTGACCATGCGCTCCCCTTTCGGGTCGACGCTGGAGACTAGGCTTTTCGAGATGTAAAAGGCCCTCTCCTCGCGGAGAACGTGGTACGACACCCTTGCGACCACGTGCTGCTCAATGGCGGGGGCGTCCGTGGCGGCGGCGGACGACCGGTCCGAGATGGACTCGGTCTCTGACGAGGAAACATGGGAACGATGGTCTGAAGATGAGGCTCGGCTAGAGGGAATGAAACTAGGCGCGATAAGCGGGTTGGCCGCGTGATAGGGCGCGGGGGGCGTGATGGTATTCGCGCCGGACGGGCGTGTCGAGTGAGGCGAGACGAACCGCGTGCCGAAGACTTGCCAGTTGTCATAAGTCGAGTGGAAGGGCTGTCGGGTATCGTCCCAAGTGTATCCTGCGATCTGGCGCAGCCGCTCGAGGATGCGGGCCGGGGATTCGAGTAGCTGTTCGTCGAGCGGCCATGCGGAGGCACCGGCGGCGGAGTCCATATCGTCGCGGACAGCCGGCCGGAGAGGAGGCGGGGGAGGCGGGGAGGAGGAGGAGGAGGCGGAGGGGGGGGAGTACCTGAGGGATCCGCGGGTCTCAAGTATCGAAGGCTGGCCGGGCGGGAGTCAACGTTGAGCCTGTCATGTTATACCGCTTCTGCTGCTTGTTGGTGATGATGATAACCATCGCCCGCACACTCGAGTCGTTGCGAGGGCAAAACGGAGATTCGGCAAGCGGGGGCGTTGGCAAGTGGCAGCAGTCTTAGAGCGGGTCCCCGAGCCTCGCTTGGGACTCTCCAAATTTTGCGGGTGCCGTGTCCGGATGCTTTCCGGGGCCGTTTTGGTCAACCTGTCCGGGGGGGGGGTGTGGAGGTTTTTCTCCGGAGGGCAAAAAAAAAAACTAAGAAGAAGGGGAAAAAAGAATAACACCACTTCTCGGCGGGGTTGTTGGCAGCTGCTTGCAAAAAAGGTCCGTGGTGGCGGTTGGCTTCCGTTTGTGGTGCGTGTGCGATAGAGGAGGCGAGTTGCCTGTTCTGTTGTGCGCGCAGCGGCTGTTGCCGTTCTTCCGGGAGTGCAGCAGTTGCCTTACCTAACTGCGTCGTGGCGGCGGCGGACCGCGAGTCAAGACTCGAAAGAGCTCAAGTCGCCGTCCCAACAGGGCGATAGCGCGGTCTCAAAAAAGGTGGTCGTTGCAGAGCCCGTGGGGACGGGTGGGATGGGGGAGAGCGGGGGGGGAATCTTGTGGTGCAGGTGACCCGGGAGCTGGTCAGGAGGAGCTGCGTGCCGAAACGGCCGAGTACGATGCGGTGACGGGCGGCAAACCGAGAACTAAGGGTACCACCTGGTCGTGGTAGCTTCCTACCTAGCAGCAGAAGCAAACGTTGCGGCTGGCGGACGCGGGGTGCGGGTCCAGGGTCCCGAGGAATGCAAGAACGGACGGATCCGTCAGGATGAACCTATATAATAATCTACGAACTCACCGGCAGCGCGGGTTGATTGCATTCGGTTGTCTCAGACATCGACGGCTCACCGCACAGACAATCCTGGCTCGTAACATGCTCGCCGCGAATACCGCTCCCTCGCCCGTGTGCGCACATTGGGTAACCCGCAATTATTTTTGAAAGTGGGCTTTCAAGAAGCGGTCGGATTTTCAAAGCTTCCCCATCTGTGCCCATTTCCCACGGCGGCTGGGGCAGGGGCTGCCGTCACATTGGGCTGCCCCTCTTTTAGGTTCCTTCCAAACTCCCACGGATCCGGTCAAACTCATCAGGCATGCAAAGTCGGGCATGCGCGGGGCCCAGCCTGAGTTCCAAGGCATTACTACCTAGGTAGGTAGCGAGGTACTCTCACTGCTATGCCATTATCTGCATAGGCGGTCTCCAAAAGCGGCATCTTATCGCAACCCGAATCTTCAGTCTCAACTTCGAGTTACCATGAGAGGGTGATGGACCCCTAGCGCTATTTCTGGCAGAAAAGCGCCATTGACGTCACCGCTCCGGGCAAAGCTGCAGCCAATCCGAGCTCCGGTTACACCACGCCGGGCGCCTCCGTGTTGGCGACAAGCCACCCTGCGCGGTTCACGTGGAAACCGACACTTGAACCGAAATACATGCAGATTACAAACGATGTCTCGCGAATAAACAACGACACTCAGAGCACATCATCTCATTTCTCCCTCGATATTGTATTATATTCTATCGCCCGGCATCGGTCTTTCTGCCGGGCCAGTGGCTGAAAATTCCTCTAGTATCTAAGGTGTCTAGCCTTGGCTGGCAATGTTCCACGAGAACCTAGGTTGTAGCCCTCGGTTCTAATGAACCGTCCCGCAAATCCCGCTCTCCTCTTTTTTAAAATTCCAAACGCACGCTGCGGCGAAAAGAAAGTGTCATGCAAGTGTAACGAGAAAGGTTAGTTCCCGCCCATTATGCATGCGGCCCGAAGCCTCGGCTTATAAGCGCCTAGCTTCCACGACAAACCGCGGCGGTTAAGCCTTGGGCCGGGAAGGGACGCCGCCCGCGTTGTAGAAGGTCTGGGCGAGCCGGCGCTCAGTGTTCTGGCGCGAGTTGACAAAGTCGGGGTAGTTGAGCGTCAGCTCAACGGCGCCGCTGACAATGTTGTCGACCGCCTCCACACCGAGCATGAACGAGTGGTCCTGGTTTCCGACCTCGTACCTCCAGCTGCCGAAGCGGCCACGGGACCAGATGTCCATGTCCTGAAGCTTGGGAAGGAGCTGCTTGAGGACACCCTCACGCTCAAGCGACGGCGTCGGGTAGCCGTGGTCGAACTTGCGGTGGTAGGTCGACACGATCTCATCCTCGGGCTTGATCATCTCGGTGTTGATGAGCCCCTGGATGCAGTCCTTCAGCAGGTTCTCCTCGTCGACTGGCTTCATGGTCGACTGCGAAACCTCGAGCATGATCGACCAGTACGGGCCTTCCTTGGCCTCGCTGGTCTTGGCCTTGCTACCGTCGGCGTTGTACAGCGTCGGCAGCTTGGCATCGGCCTGCGGCTGGTTGTATGGCGAGTAGTTGGAGAAAATGGTGGCGCGGTAGAAGGGGCAGTTGTCCTCAGGGAAGTAGAGCTGGTACACATGTTAGCGATTCATGTCGAAAGAATGGCCTTTCCTGTCTTACCCAGCACTTGTCGCCAATGCGCTCCGGGCGCTCGCCGCGGATGCCAACACCAATAACGTGGGTCGACGAGTAGAAGAGGCCCTTGGACAGAGTAACCAGCTCCTGGTTGCCCATCTTCTCAACCAGAGCGTCCACAGCCATCGTGTTGATGAGCTTGCCGTAGCCGATAGTGGTGCCGTCCTTCAATGTGACTGTCTTCTTCTGAGCGTCCACCTTGGTGACCTCGCCCTTCTGGCCGTACACCTTCTTCTCCTTGGGAAGTGTGTCCGACACAGCGATCCAGATACCGCCGGTTCCGTCCCTTGCGGGGAAGCGGAAGGTGGAGTTGGGACCCCAGTTGCCGGCAACCTTGTTGAGGATGACATTCTGGGTGACCAACTTGAGGTTGGGAGCGGCAACACGCTCACCGAGCCACTCGCATTGCATCTGTAAAATTATGTGAGCATACGATCAGCCGGGAATCAAACGAGCATCCGTACCTTAGTCGTAGGCACGGCCCAGACCTTGTAGTTGTACGGCCGCATGAAGACATCGGCGACACCCTCACCACACGTCCGGAGAATCCACTCGTCGAAGTCCTTGGGCTTCGTAGTAGCGACCCGGGAGGCCATGGAAGCGTCAATGAGCCCGTCGATGCACTTGACCTGGTCCTCCTTAGGCAGCATCGAGATGTTGTTCTGGAAGGGGTAAGGAACCCAGAGGTTCTTGTACCGGACGTACGAGATGCGCTGGTGGGTGTACCAGTCATCGTCCTTGGGCAGGGCCTCGTTGATGCAGTCGTCAAAGTACTTGTAGTGCGAGAAGATAACGTGACCGCCGACATCGTAAAGCTGTGAGGATGCTCCCGTTAGCAATAGAACTTGCGATGGCCGACAAGCCGAGACTTACGAATCCCTCAGGGGTGACATCAGTGGACGCAAGACCACCGGCCTTCTCGTTGGAGTCGATGATCATCCAAGACGGGCCATTCTAAATCACCAAGTTAGCAAACCTCGCCGGTAGCGCCAGAGCGGAGGGGCGGTGAGCTCACAATGTGGTCGAGACGCTTGGCTGCGCCCAAGCCAGTCGGGCCGGCACCGATGACGAGAACGTCGACCTGGCTGTGAAATCTCCGTTAGTAACCTCGTCTCCAAGTCACACCAGCACACCATTTGCTCCTGTGGAAACGTACATGTCCGCCATTTTGGGAGAGAAGTGAAGATCTCGGGCAAGTGCGGGGCAGGGCACTTTTGCAGGAGTCGCAACGGGGTCGCAACGAGTGCTGTTGGCAGAAACAGTAAAAATCTAATAGGCAGATTTATAACGCTGGGAACGAGCTGTGGTGTTGAGAGCGGGACGGTTGGAAACGCGGGACACAAACGCGGGGGTTCTTTCTGGTGGTGGTGGTTATGAAGGCGGGCAGCGAGCTCTTGGACCCTGGCTGTTGACTTTGGGCTCGTTGCCGGGATGGCCAGACCGCTATCAGGCCCCAGAAAAAAAGGGGCGAGGGAGGGGTTGATGGAGGGGCTAAGATTGTCCCAATCTCGAAACGGTTGGTCTGGTGGGGGGCCAATTGCACGATGCAGCGAAGCGGCACTGGGGAACCAGGGCATGGGCCGCTCGAGCCCCATGTCTCTTGTCGTCTCGAATCTTTCAAGGAAATTCTGCGATGTCATCCTCCCGCAACCCGATTGCCTCACCTCAGACACTGCATTTTTTATTTTTTATTTTATTTTTTTGGTTGGGCGCACAAAAGCTAGAAAGCCACCACTCTGTTTGTCTGCATGCGCGGTCGGCACCCGACGCTAACCCCGGTTTCGCCTGCATGTGCACGACACCCGACAGTCCGTACGCGCAATGTCGTACCGGATGCCATATTCTCCATCTTCCGCCATCCTGTGTTTTAACGTCGCTACCTTCCTGTGTATGTCCAGCCACCGCAGCATTTGGTTTAATTACCGGCCACAGTTGCAACCCGCAAAAGTTCGAGCAAAGGCCGCGAATCGGGGCATCCGATTCTCAATCAGGTAATCGCCCAATGTCTCCAGTGCCGGCGACAGGGAAAAGGCAACACAACCCACCACCAGCAAAGCGAGCTCAGCTGGGAAGTCCGCTCTCAAAATGACAGCGATTGTCGTGCCGCACCACTGAGACCGGGGTTGCAGGGGACGTGGCAAGTGAGCCTTGTTTCGAGTTGGTGCGAGCCGCTAATCAACTCCACATTGCTTGACTGCGTCTCGTTTCACCACCTCGATCGCCAGGGTGGCACACCGAGCCCTTTGGACGATCACCAGAACGAAGGTGCATCGCCGCCAACGAGACTCGAGCGATCAGCCTCGGGGCCCGGAAGAAGGCGTAAATAAAAGGGGACTTGCTGGAGCAAGATCGTCCGAAGTTTTTTGTCCAGCGCGATAACATACCTGGTGGAAGACTTGGGGATGAAGGTGACGTACGAAGTACCTTCCAGTTACCCCACTGATCCAGCCATGTTCCACGACCCTCGACAAGCATAGGTTGCACCAACGGGCGCGACCATGTGTCCCCGTCTGGACATGTGGAAGAACCAACGATGATTGGGACCGGCGAGGAGGAAGATGGCGTTGGTTGAAGGAATATTCTTTGTGTTCCCCTTTCGTTTCGACGCATCCTAGGATCTGCCCGTGGGATCGATGTGGCCCGGCCCAGAGTGCCCATACGACTTGCAGTTCACCCCTCATGCGTTTGTGGATAGATGCACTTTCTGAACCTAAAGAAGAGTAAGAGAAACGGGAGAGAAAAATAGCATCCAGTGGTCTAAAATTGATAGAGACATTCCGCCTTTTCCTTGCCTCCTTGCTTTCGGTTTGGCGATATCTCAGGGCGTCGAGTCCAAGTTCAGGTGGCAATGAACAAAAACCTCGATGAATAAACAACGTGGCCGCTATGACGACGATTCAGGTGCCTGGTTCCCAAAGGCCCGCCCGCGCTGGTCTTTGTGGCTGTGTCGGTTACAGACAGTCGCGGACGACGGAGAGCGGAGGCACCCAAGGGAGACCTGACCTCGCATGCTCGGGAAAATCCAGAGTTAATCGACTCAGGAGTGGTCCAAGTCGAGTATCTCGGGGAAGCCCTCACGGCCGGTCTCAAACAAGCCTGGTCTAACCCGGGAAAGCCTATTCTTTTTGGCTTCCAAACATGGATGCCAAGTTGGTGTGCTTCATACCTCCATAATCACTCTATTCCGTAACTACCTTACCACCTTACCTCACATGTCGGGTTCACAAGGCGGCGGAAAATCTCATGGGTTTGCCCAACCATGGGAATCTCATCATTGGCTCTGTTACAGCGGATATGAGCGATCGCCATGCGCTTCTGCCAGAACTCCCGTCGTGCACGAATCAAGATGCGCCCGGTCCTTCTTGTCCCGTCCGCTCCCGCCGGTCCGAAATGTGTTGTCGAAGGCGGGGATGCGGTGTAGATCACAAACAGACTGAAGGAGAAGGAGGAGGCGCCGGTCAAAAAACTCAGCTGTACAGCCCGATTACCTAACCGAAGTCTCCCGCCGAAATTGTTCGAGGGATGGTCCCGTCTGAGCTACCTGCAAACAAGGAGACCTTTTGTCGGTCGGTTGTTAAACTCACCTTTTGACACAGAGGAGGACTTGCAGGGGGCCATCGCGAGCGTGCTGGTTGCGAGCAAAGTTAGCAAGCGTTTGAGTTCCACAGCCACAGCATGTGGGCGGCGGGAGGTTGCTGATTTGATGCACGACAGACCCCCAGCGCAATCTCACCCCAATCTTGTTTTGCAGATATCGGCTCGCATCTCCCTTGTCCGCCGCGATACACCTGGGATGTTGCTGATGTATCCGTGGTCGACACCGTTGCACCAGCTTGCTGATCTTTTAATCCATCTTTGATGTTATCATGCCCGCCCTTGCCAAGCGAACTGATCCCCACGAAAGCCAATATGAGGAGTGTCTTACTTAGAGAAGCCGAGTTGCCTGTTTGAGCCAGCTGGTATTCGGTGGCAGTGTAAATCACGGACCGCATCAATGCCTGCTTCGGTGTGATGAGAACCCGGAAGTTTTCTGTGCATTGTGCCAATCGACGGCCGTTGACGAATTTTTGACCAGCAGCCTTGGCTCCTCAGTCCCTTGCTCGTTGAAGACGCTGGCGCCGTTGCTGAATGCTGTGGGCGTGTGGCTCGGGCTTGGTGGAAAACTACCGCCAATCTAGGCTGTCCCCAGCACCAATCTCCCAAAACCATATCTGATTGGCGGTGGGGAGAGCACGCAACATCGCCGCCCGCGCCCCACTCATGAACCAAGGCCGGCCTGGCTTCCGTTCCGAGGGTGTGCCCCCTGCAACACCCGCTGCCCCTGAAAAAAGTCAAGTCCCAGGCTGGCCGCCCCGTTCCAGAAGCAGCCCGCGACATCGCAGTCTGCAAGACAACGACCCAATTAATGGCAGAGGTCCCCACGCTCCATCTTCATCTCTCGTCGCCTTCGCCGAATTTCTTCGACAACTAACCACCTCCCATCCGGTCCGTCGCAGCTGGCTTGACCATCCATTCGTTTTAACCTTCCTGTCCCACGTCACCGCCTGCGTGCGCCTCCAACACTCCTCGCCGTGCTTGTCGTCTTTCCGAGACCTACTTCGTGCGCCTTACCATTCGACATCGCTGCCGGCTTCAGCAACTGTAATTGAACTCATTATACGGACGAGCACCCGCAACGTCGCAGCCCCCGGATCTCAAAATGGGAGTCGAAGATAAGACACGCGCTTCGGGCGACCAGCCCCGGGAGCAGAGCGACGCCGTTCTCCCCACCGTCAACCCCGAGGTCGAGAAGTCGCAGCCTCCCAAGGCATCGCTCCATCCCGCATTATACGTGACGTGAGTAACAAACCGACCTGAAATGGTCGGCGGGCACGCACCCCGCGATTGAGCAGACGGCTGACACCCTCGGCTTGCAGTGTCTGGATCTCCCTCAGTTCATCCGTCATCCTCTTCAACAAATGGATTCTCTCAACGCTTGGCTTTGGTAAGAACACCACAGAACTGGAAGATGGGAGACCGAAAGTCGCAAAATGCTGAGACTTGACAGCCTACCCGGTCCTCCTGACCACGTTCCATCTTGCGTTTGCGACCATCATGACACAACTTCTCGCGCGGTACACGACGCTGCTCGACGGCCGGAAGACGGTCAAGATGACGGGCCGCGTCTACCTCCGCGCCATCGTCCCGATCGGTTTCTTCTTCAGCTTGAGCTTGATCTGCGGCAACCTCACCTATCTCTACCTCAGCGTCGCCTTCATCCAGATGCTCAAGGTGAGTGCCACTTACTACCTTGACAGAGCATGAAGGACCTGGGCTAACTCGAAACAGGCTACCACCCCCGTTGCTGTGCTCCTGTCTAGCTGGGCGCTCGGCGTCTCGCAGCCGAACCTCAAGGTCTTCCTGAATGTCTCTATCATCGTCGTTGGTGTCGTCATCGCCTCGATCGGAGAGATCAAGTTTGTTTGGATCGGCTTCATCTACCAGATTGCCGGCATCATCTTTGAGGCGCTCCGTCTCACCATGGTCCAGCGGCTCCTCAGCTCCGCTGAGTTCAAGATGGATCCCCTGGTCTCGCTGTACTACTTCGCCCCGGTGTGCGCTGCCATGAACTTCGTGGTTGCCCTCTTCTGGGAAGTGCCGAAGGTCAGCATGGCCGAGGTCTACGACGTCGGCCTCTTCACCTTCTTCCTGAACGGCATGTGCGCCTTCCTGCTGAACGTCTCGGTCGTGTTCCTGGTAAGCATCCCATCTTCCTGGTGTTGTAAGGAACAAGTCTTTTTAACCATTTTGCGACAGATCGGCAAGACCTCGTCCCTCGTCCTCACCCTCTGCGGTGTGCTCAAGGACGTCCTCCTTGTCCTCGCCTCCATGATGATCTGGGGCACCCAGGTCACCGGGCTCCAGTTCTTCGGCTACAGCATCGCGCTCGGCGGCATGGTCTACTACAAGCTTGGTTACGAGGCGATCAAGGGCTATGCGGGCGAGGCCGGCCGGCAGTGGGCCGAGTTCGGCAACAGCCGCCCCGTGCTCCGCCGCATCGCCATCATCGCCCTTGTTCTCATGACTGTCTTTGTCGTCCTCGGCGGGCTTGCCCCGTCGTACGATGCCACCGTCTACCTGGATGAGGCCAAGAACAAGATGGGTCTGTCCAAGTTTTAAGCTGTGTGCGGAGAAGTAAGAGACAAAAGGCAGAAGGGAGACAAGGCGCGGTTACGAGGAATTCCGCTTTGGCATATTCATTTAATTTCCCCTTTTCCCACCGTACGACGATTTAATGCACAAAAGGGAAAGGACGAAAGCTTCCTTTCGCCCCCAGCCTTTGGGATCGGGAAGTGGACTATGGATGCATGGGCGGGCAGGGGGACGGGAATTTCTAACTGATGACACGAACATGGCGGCGCCGGCGGTGGGATACTCGGCGAGTACATAATGCACACTACTATTGTTTTTTCTTCCATCACCACCATCTTTTGGTCCGGTTGTTATCTTCTTTTTTTCACCCCCATTGGTTTTTGCACTTTTGGTCCAGCCGAAGAAGGGAAACGGCGGGCTGTAGGCATCATAGAACGACGGACGGGAGAAGAGCGCACACGTAGGCGTGGAGGTGCCGGCGTCACGAACACGGGGTTTGCTTTGCTCGCATGGCATTTTGTGGGAGAGTTTGTTTTCGGCGTGGCTTTCGAGGCGAGCTTGAGGGGAAAATAGAATTGTAGATATAACATTCATAGACTCCAGTGCGCTGTGTCTTGTGGGCCCGAAGCAACCAGCGTCAATATCGAGAGTTTGTGTTGTATCTGTCCTCCTGGTTCGTGCGTTTTTAAGACACTTGGCTTGGTAAAGACCGGGAGGAGAATGGAAATGGGGCGTCTTCTGGTGTGACACTCTGCGAGGGCTAAATAAGTACGCTCAGGCTGATTACGAGACGCGGAGATAATCGTAACGAATACACGGAACGCAGTCACATTTCCCAGAGGCAGCTGTCACAAACGGAGCAGTTAAACACGTCGCCAAAGACATCGTTGCTCGTCCTACTCTGCTGGATTCCCATTAGGCCAGGACATCATCGGTTACTGAGTGCCACGCTCCCGCCCGCTCCGCCCCCCTGCCTGCCTTGCCCAGACCCGGCTTCCCATGCTGAACCGGCGGCACACGCGGGCTGGATATCTAGGAGGAACGACGTGAACGCCAGACGAGTGTGTCGTCAAAATGCCGTAAAAATTCAGCTAGTGAGCCTCAGATTTTATTCCGTGATGATTGCTGTGTACAGCCCGAATAACCCGTTCGCCCCGCCCAGCCAATTGTGAGGAAAAACCGATCAAAAGCCTGTGTCACATTGTCAGTACAACGTCTCCCTTGCGCAATGGTGCGCGGTAAGGAGTGAGGACATACGCAGAGGAGTGAAAAACCACCGGTTCTTGCCGCTCGTGTAGCGCTCCTCGAGCACCTTCTTGACGGTCTTCTTCGCCTCCTCGCGCTGGCTGACCTCCTTGAAGGTCTCGGCGTTGAGGACGGCCTTGAGGCCCTCGAGCTCGAGGGTGTAGCGGGTGGGCATCAGGTGGTTGTAGTTGATGACCTTGATGAAGGGCTTGACCTTGGAGCGCTTCTCCTGCCTCGTCTTGGACATGCGGCGCGTGATCTTGCTCGGGTACCGCTCGATGCCCGCAACCAGGGCGTGGCCGTAGGGGTGCGACTTGTTGCCGCTGTCGACGGGCTGGATGATGACGACCTGGAAAGCAGGAGTCAGCACTTTGTTCCGCGTTTCCATATTCTGCGCAATCAATCGCCTCCACTCGTGCTCCCTGCCGATGCCTTCACATTGTCCACCTCTTTTTCAACACTGCTCCTCTCACCCAGTGCGCCCCGTGCCCCATGCGACTCTCATCCCAGATACTCGGTGTTGCCAACAAAATAAACAGAGGTTCGTTGCGGATGGCGTACCTTCTTGCCGGCATAGCGACCCCGGGTAACGAGGCAGACCCTCGACGTCTTAAGGAACTTCATTTTGTCGGTTCTGTTGGGTGATCGCAGGGTCAGCAAGCCAGGAAAGCTAAAGCGATATACCCCTTGTGCAATCGGGCGCAGGTTGGGGTCACGACATACCTGTTGTTTCCTCGGGCCTTTCCTGAAGTCGACTGCGGGCACAGAGAGTGAGGGCTGATTCTTGGAGGTCGTTCCCCGAAATAATTTCCAGTTTGTGGGCTGCCAAAATTCAAGTGGGCAAACGACGCGGATTGGTCAGTACCGATGACTAACATTTGGACCGTGCACCCAGCCATTGCGTGCATGGACCAAGCAGCCCCCCAGCAGAGGTCGGCTCTCATGAGCCCCACTCAGCTGCCTCAACTCGACTCCAAGCGAAAGCCGGACCGATGGAGCAGTTGGCTTCAACGCTTCAACTCCAAAACTTTCTCAAGTCTGGCTGGATAATCGCCCGTATTTTTCATCCACACCTTCTTGTTCGAATCTGTCCAATTGGCGCGTTAGCCCCCGACAATGGCACCCCCAGTATACATCATCTCTCGGGTCGCGGATCCGATTTTCGCCGTGTTCATCGGCGTTTCGGCAGCTGCGCTGAGGATCAACCGTGAGGAGAAGGACAAAGGCAAGTCCACGCAGGAGATCGTTGAGACAGCCCGTCGGTACGTTTAGCTTTCCGTTAGTATTCCCTGGGGTGCTCTACTAAGACAAGTCCGCACAGTCGCCTCAGTTTCTTCAAGAGCTCATAATATATCTATTCTGCACGCTTTCTACGCAAATACGACAAACCGCTCGCACGAATACGCGCATGACAGACCTGAACGCCGCCCCAAATAGCTCGACCATTGATCACCCCGTTCATATGCACCGACGCCCCTATGCCAACCGAGCATCATGCCAAACCCGGCCCGTACTCCTTCTTCATCGCCTCCCGCACCATCTGCCCGCAAAGCTTCGCTGTCGGGTTCGTGCTTACGGCCAAGCCCTTTGCGATCTCATTCCCGTATCTACCGCCCATAGCGAAATCCCGCGACGCGTGCTCCTCGAACTCCAATTTCGACCAGCCAGCCTCTGGCCTGTCCGCGTGTACCGAAGCCGATTTCGATTCGAGTAGTTTGGACGTCATAAGATACAGGGCGGCGCGCTGGGTGTGGGCATTGGATAAGGCCCTCGCGGCCTGTGGAGATAGTCTGGAGTATGCAACCTTCGGGGTGAGAAGCGAGATGGCATGGTCGAGGTCACACAGCATCGTCTTGCCCGTCTCTAACCGCTCGGTGTCGTCGACCTCTTGAACTAGTGCCTGCGAACTTGCCGGCGCACCCGCAACAAGGATCAAGTCTCCGTACAGCCGCCTCAAGGCTTGTGCCCTGTTGTTGCGGGCGCTCGCATATTGCGGGTGATGCTGGATAAGCTGGCCGAGCTTGGAGACGCAATCGCGATACCCCCCGGCAATGTCGGTATTTGTCGCCCCACTGGACTTGTGCTGCGCCTGCTGCATCTCGAGCTTCTGGATGGACATGATGATATCGCGTTCTTGCTGGGCTACCTTCTGGTAATCATTGGGGTCGGAAATGTGCGGGTCCTTGGGAAGGGACGGATCGACTTGGACCAAGAGCGACGGATCGAATTCTGGATCCTTGATCTTCTCGAGAACATTAATGTCTCGCCGGCTGAGGTCAACGTACGCCATGGTGATGATGGTTTGCCGAATGTGGGATCCGTGCTTTCGACGATTTACAATATTCTGTATTGTATCGATGGACAAACAGAATGGAGGCCCGGGCCACGAAGAAACGGATCGGCTCGAAAAATAAAATAAAGGACAACAACCTGCCGTCTTTGGTTCGAAGCAGTCGTGGTGGTGGGTATACCGAGTGGTGGGCAGTATGGATCGTGGAAGCACGGGGTACGGTAGCAGCATTTGCCAATCGAAGCCTGCCTATTTCACTGACAACCCATGGCAGCTAGACCTGGGAAAGCGGTCTCGTGCCTCTACCCATGACCGGGCGATTTGCCCTTCCGCCGTTGCTGACCGTCGCCGCTTCGAGCTCTGACGGCGGGGGGCGCGGCGTGGTTGCGGCTCTCGGCAACCGGCGGCATTGTGCGGCTTTGGCGGTTGATCCACCCGACCACGGTGAGATTCCGCTTCTCCACCAACCAACGGCAGCCAAACATCAACGCTGCCTCAACTCGGCTTTACTTGCGTATCTCGTCATTCTATGCGCAAATGCGGAAGGTTGGGGGTTTTTGGGGTCATCTGAAGGAAGCTACCACCCAATTGCTGAAAGCCGATGCACAGTGGGCAAAAGCCGGTCAGTAACTTGCCGCAAGACCCGAGAAACCCCTCCCTTGACGGAAACGGGCTCGGAAGGGGCGCATGCTTCGGCGTGTCACAGCGTGTGTAATGCCCTTGCCGCAGGGAATCAGTGCCTACACAGTACAAACTGGGTCTTGGGGCGTATGGTTGTGGTCAGAATGTTGGTTCCGTCTCCGTCTGATTACTGTGTTGGATCTTGGGGGGAACAGGGGCACTGACCGTTAAGCCGAGTGCTTCACTTTCAACCCTCAGTCCCATATAAGTCACTGTTCCCTACCCACCTAACCCAGCATCTACCTACCAACCATTGAATCGTGATCCTTCTTCACACACCTCGTGCAACCCCAACAACTCATTAGTATATCTTGGCCAACACCGGTTTATTTTCACCTCAGTGTTCCTCCCAATCACTATCCTCCCTCCCCTATCAATCACACCCCATAAACCTGCTGAGTGAGCATGTCACCGTCTGCCATCTCGGACAACGATATTTCCCCTGGGGCCTCGACCTACGCAGTCCAGAGCCCCTCCCCCAACTTCAACGGTTACGACCACATCACCTGGTGGGTGGGCAACGCTAAGCAAGCCGCCGGCTTCTACACAACCTACTTCGGATTCAAGACTATCGCCTACCGCGGTCTCGAGACTGGCAGTCGGTATTTCGCTTCATATGTTGTTGCCAACAATGATGTCCGTTTCGTTTTCACATCGCCGATCCGTTCGGCCAAGTACCTGCCCGAGGATGAAGCCATCTCGGTCGAGGATAAGCGTCTCCTTGAGGAGATGTACGAGCACATGGAGAGACACGGTGACGCCGTCAAGGACGTCGCCTTCGAGGTCGACAGCGTCGACGGCGTCTACCATAAGGCGGTGGCCGAGGGCGCCGACGCCGTCCAGCCTCCCACGACGACGGGCAACAAGGAGCACGGCCACGTGCGCACCGCCGTGATCCGCACCTACGGGGACACCACGCACACGCTGATCGCGCGGCAAAACTTCCGCGGCGCCTTCCTCCCGGGCTTCCGCGCTGTCCCCGCGGCAACGGCCCCCGCGCTGGCGACGCTCCCGGACGTGCCCCTCGCGCGCATCGACCACTGCGTCGGCAACCAGGACTGGAACGAGATGGTGTCGGCCTGCGCCTTCTACGAGCAGTGCCTCTCGTTCCACCGGTTCTGGTCGGTGGACGACAGCCAGATCTGCACCGAGTTCAGCGCGCTGAGCAGCATCGTCATGGCGAGCCCCAACAACGTGGTCAAGATGCCCATCAACCAGCCGGCGCCGGGCAAGAAGAAGTCGCAGATCGAGGAGTACGTCGTCTTCAACAGCGGGCCGGGCGTGCAGCACATCGCGCTGCTGACCCCGGACATCCTCGCCGCCGTCGCCGCCCTGCGCGCCCGCGGCGTCCAGTTCATCGACGTGCCCAAGACCTACTACGACACCATCCGCGCCCGCCTCAAGACGGAGAAGCGCAACTGGGAGCTCAAGGAGGACCTCGATGCCGTCGAGCGCCTCAACATCCTCATCGACTACGACGAGCAGGGCTACCTGCTGCAGCTGTTCACCAAGCCGCTCATGGACCGGCCCACCGTCTTCATCGAGATCATCCAGCGCAACGAGTTTGACGGCTTCGGCGCCGGCAACTTCAAGAGCCTGTTTGAGGCCATTGAGCGGGAACAGGACGAGCGCGGGAACTTGTAGATTTTTTGTTTATGAGCATCTTTTTTGGTGGTTGTTTAAGCGACGTAGAGTTATGATACCGTTTTTGCTTTTATAGCTAGCATCCTTTCAATGAATGACTGATGCTATTCTCTCTCCCTTTTTGAAAAAGTTATGGTGTTTTCCTGTCCCGGCCGTGAGATAATGCCCGCTATGTTCCCATGAAAGCCATCCAACGCCCTCTTGCAAGTCTACGTACTCCGATTCGAACCTAAAGAAAAACGGTAGGCCAAGTGTTCTTGACCACCCAACACCCAACACGCATATATCACGCGGCGGCGCCTATGCATCTATAACCATCGCCTCACTCGCGCCATTCCCCAGGGCGTGAGCCTGGGCCTGTCCATTCACCGCCCCTCCCTCACCACCCGCCGCCTGCCCCTCCGCTCCGCGCGTGTCGCTCTGGCAGCCGGGGCAGTTATGGATCATCTCGTGGGCAAACACATCACAGTCGATGCAGAAGTGGTTCCCGCACACGGTGCACGCATACCGGCCGCTCTCGCTGACACCAGCCGCCTTGGCCTCGGGCGCCAACGCAGTCCTCTCTTCCGCAGCAGCAGCAGCAGCAGCACCAGCAGCGCCAGCAGCGCCCTGCCCCCCCGCCTTATCCTCCCCCCCACCACTGCCACTATACAGCGACGGCACGGGCGGAAAAGCAGCCAGGCAAGCAAAGCAGGCACCACTACCACCACCACCACCACCACCCCCAGTCCCACTCCCAACCCCACCCGCAACCCGGCGCGCAGCATCCGCCCACGACACCTCGACCCAGCCGCGCAGCGGAAACAGGTGGTGGTAGGAGCGGGCGAGGTGGGTGCTGAGCACGAGGGTGAGGGCGCACACGGGGCACTCGGCGGGCAGGCGGCAGACCTTGGTGCGGCAGCGGGTGCAGGCGTACCCCTCGCGCGTGGGCCGGTTGTGGCAGGCGCACAGGCTGACGTGGTCCTTGGAGGCGAGGGCGCGCGAGGGGAAGCCCATCATCAGGAGGGAGGCTTGGTTGTTGTTGTTGTCTTTGGTGGTGTGCTGCTGGTTTTGTTGGGGGTTGGTTTTGTCGTTGTCGGTGGTGGTGGCGGTGGTGGTGGTGGTGGAGGAGGGGTGGGTGACTGGTGGAGTTGTGGCGGCGAGGAAGAGCTCGCGGAAGTGCTGCTCGTGTAGGGCGACGGCGTAGTTGGAGGGGTCGCCGCCGTTGGTGCGGCTGCAGAGCTGTTCGCAGATGGCCACCTGCGCGGCGAGGCCCACGATCGAGACGCGGATGCGGTCGGCCAGGAGCTGGGTGATGGTGTCGTGGATATCGCCGGGGTCGCTGGACAGGAGGGCGCCGTAGATTATGAGGACTTCGCGCGTGCCGTGGGAGGGGGTGTGGCTAGTGGCTTCTCGTTAGGAGATCGATCAGGGTTTTCGTCGGGCAGGTTTTACAAACAATAATGCGCCGCGGCACATCTCCAGGGCGTTTTGCAGACTTGGATTGCCCTGCGGCTCCTGCTGCTCGGCCCATATCCGCAGTTTCTCGATGTGCTCCGCGGGGTTCCCGCCCATGTCGCTGATCCTGACGGCGATGCCATCGCGCATTCCCACAATTCCCAGCTGGCTAATCGGGTTTTGTTCAAAGTACTCCCGCACAAAGTCGACGGCGTAATTGAGCGTTAGCAGGTACCGGTTCGGTAGCAGGTCCTTTTCGGCCATGGCGAAGCTCATGTCGAGCACCAGCATCACATGTCGGATGATGCCACGCTGGAACGGAGTCGTGTCGCGCATGAGCCGACGTCGCTTCTCGGCCTCGAGGAGTGCCCCGACGGTGATGCTCCCATCTTCCGTCTCGACCACATGCTCCCACGACCGTTTAATGTCTTCCCATGCCGCCTTCGAACGGCCATTTTTACGGCCATCGCCTGCCTTCCTATTGCCGCGGCCGGCCTTGGATCGAGTACCGTAGGAGCTACCATCCGCAGCGGAGGCCACGCGGGGATCGCCGAGTTCGTCATCCGAGAGGTCCCCAACGTATTCGCCGTCCGAGTCGGCCATTCTCGTCGGTGGCCTGCGTAATTCGATGCGCCGGGTTCGATCAAAAATCCGTGCTTCTATTGGGCTTCTAGAAATAAAAATCAGGGAATCCTTATGCCATCACATTAGCCCGCCCGAATGTCCGGTGTTGGACTGCGGCAAGCGGTTTCGTGGCAGGAGGTTCTCGAGGTTGCGGTTTGCAAAAGCGACCGCGAGGCTGCCCATCGAGAACAAAGGAAGGGAAGCTTTCAGCAGCAGCCTCGCAGCCTGGTGGGGTTGGTTTCTCCACGCCAAACCAATCACGTGTCAGATGAGAGAGAACCCCTCCCCCAAGCTTCGATTGGCTTATTTGATGTTCGGCTCGTTTTTTCTTGGCTCGGAATGATTTGAGTTGATTGAACGATTCTGGTTTGTCGTTTGAAAACCCGTGGAGCCCGATTACGGTCGTCTGTTCGTGCGTTCATTCCACTAACAATGGCTGACGAGATAAAAAGCACCGAAACTCTTTCCAATTTCTTTTCTTTGTTTTTTTTTTCCTGGACTTGATCCGTCTCCAGGACCCTGACCATCGGCAATCTTTCGCCCCGGAAGGCCACGTGGATGGGAGACCCACATTTCCGGGTCCCGTCCCATCTTCCCCTCGAGATCAAGTGTTCATGTACGAAGTATGTATGCATGTACTGTGTAACCTGTACCAGATTGTCTTTTACCGGTGAGAGGGTACCTTAGGCGGGCGCCTGGGCAACGCGGGTAGCAGGAGCAGAGGAGAGAAGCTTGTTTCCCGATACTCGTGGGTACCTTTGCAACAATAGTGTAGGAGAGCTGAGAACGGGTCATTCCGTGCTGACAGTCAATGAGTGGCTCGAGTGGATTTCGCTGCACATCGGTTGCAGACAGTGTCACTATTCTCCAAACTGTAAGGCAGACACTGTGCTGTGGTCTTCAAGAAAGCTGGGCAACCAACCGGCAACCTGGCATCTCTGCATGGCGACCCGCAAAGGGTGTCAGCCGCCTCATCGGTTTTGCTCGCGAGCTGTGACGTCATTTTTCAAAGATCGACAACGTCCAATCTGCAACGGGCGTGCCCCCCTCGGGCCGCTCGTCTGGGATTTCAACGCGAGCGTGCGTGTCAGCGTGTCAAAAGCGACTCTCCAGACCGCCAAATGCATTTTTCGAGAATGACGATGTCTCGGTGGCCGTTCTGGTGGTTGACGGGGAAGCTGCATCGGTGGGTCTCTCTCTTTTCGTGGGGGCAGCGACTGCCTCGGAGTGTCACCCGATCAACCTCCCGGATCAGACCAGCTCCAAGCACTGTGCTCCAGCTCCCACCTTCACAGTCCCTCGTGTGCTAGTCCCGGATTCCCGACAACCGAGACATTTGCACGAGGCACATTGAAATCAGGCGTCGCGCCACGGCTTGCCGCTTGCAGGGGCAAACAGGAAATCACTGACATTCGGTCCCTCCATGACTTAACCTTAAAAACCCAGAGACGGACACACACGGCGCACCCGAACTTGCACGCTATTTCCCGCTTCGGTACTGCTTTCGTCTTCTGTCCCGGCCACGGACAAGCGAAATGTACATTCTGTGTTAGGAACTTGAATGGCTGTGCGCGGGCGGGCGTTTAATTTCATCACTGAGCTGCGGTAGGGATTTTCCTGGGTGAACATTTGAGGCAGGAGGATCCCAAGACAGGTCACTGGCCCGGCCCCGCGCACCCCTGCCAGTTCCAAACAAGAACGGACCCATGCTGGTCCCTGAATGGGCACAATGCGATTCTCCATCCCGAAGCCAGATCATATGAGAATTCCCCGCGAGGGAGGGGCTTTCCCGAATACTTGTTAAACAGTGACGAGATAACTTGGCCAGATGCAAACCAAAAATAAAGATTCGGATTTATTTGATGGTGGTACGACGGGGTACATACATGATTTAGACATGCATGCATTTGCTGCGGTTCCCACCCACAGATTCATCCCACAGCAGCTTCCATCCCCATCCTCCCCCATTCCTCACTGCGACTCCACACAGGTCGCAGCGCCTGAACCAGACGGTGTGTGATGAGCCGCCTCCACTTGCGCATTCTGCAGTTTAACCAAGAGGAACGGGGAGTGACTGCGCTCTCGCGGTGGGTTCACTAATTATTCAGGGTCCCCATGCTTTAGGACTCCCAAAACTCTCGCCTTGTCGCCTTCTCGCCTTCTCGTTCTTCCGTCTTTGTTGAGCCTGAGGTTCGAACTGGCTGCAAGCTGACCGGGCGGGATGGTTGAATTGTGGGCTTTTTATTTTAGCATTTTGGCATTTTAGCATTTTGCACTGTCTCAACTCGGGGCACAGGCGGGCGGCATAACGTCATAGTTCCCGTTTTTGGTCACTGGGGGCGTTGCCAACTCTCACCTCCGAACCCACCCAGTTCCTCTCTTCGCAACCCACCCTGCCTCGGTGCCTCCCTTGTCTTCCATTGCCCAGTATGTAACCCACTACCCACTGCCCACTGCCAGTGCCGACAACGCGTAGCGCACACATAACCCACACACCACAACTTGACCACACAACGCAACGCAGGAGGCAAGAACAACCTGTAACCTTCCACGCTACCTTGCCTACCTGCCTGTGACCCAAAACAGGAACGGCAAGAGCGACTCTCACACATTCTGGCGCGCACGTCGATGCCTTTCTCCTTCCGTCACTCCCTCCGACCTATCGATCACCATACCGACCTTTAATCTTTTTTCAACCAGCCTTTCCAGTTACCCACCATTTCCAATAATACCTACCCCCGACAGTTGCACACATACAGTGCCGACTTCCCGGCTGTGCCCTGACGTGTACAGTACCAGTGACACACCGTTCCATTTCCATCCCCTCTATTCTCTTCTGGTACTACTACTCCTTTCTTCTCTTCTCTTCCCTGGATATATCGTGTACCGTCCCCGGCCACTACATTGGATGTTTGCCCGACCCCAGGCCCGAGCCTCTGTGGCCGCCCCAAACCGACGTCATCAGGATCACCACCACCCTCGATGAGGCATGCAGACACGAGATTGCGAACCACATACGCCCGGGACGGGATCTTCAGACCAGGACAGACCCGAGAAGGCCGACACAGAGAAGACGGCCGTAATACAGACAGCGGAGCGGGCTGGGGCGAACCCGCGCTGTGCGCATCTTCCGCTCTCGAATTGGCCCCCTCCCAATGATGCTGTGCTGCCGTCCCATTCGACAACCCCGGTGACCGCAGCAGCAGCAGAACCACAAATGTCGAGTGGCCCGGTCAGTAGGGCGGAGGGGCCACAACTCCCGAGCCGTACTGGCTCAGGTCCTCCGCCGCCCACCAAGAAATCCATATCCTTCGAGAACGACTTCGAACCCGAGCCCGAACCGGCCAGCCTCCGAGGCGAGGCTCCGCAGGCCGAGGAACAAGACCCGTCCCGGGACGGCGAAACCCCACGAAGGGAGGCGGGCCCTCCGTCGCTGGCCGCTGAAAATGGTCAATCTACGCCAGGGAAGGTTGCGGGGAGGGAACCGAGGGACTCGCAGCGGGAGTTGAACGAGTATCGCGAGAAATTGGCACGCCAGATGGAACAGAGGGAATTGCCGTTAAGAGGAGGTCAGGCGCCCATGCCCGGGACCCACAGGGTCTCTCCCATACAAGAAGAGAACTCGCCCTCCTCGTTGCCCCGGTCGTTGGGGTCCGGGTCCGGGTCCGGTTCTGGGTCCGAGCCGCCGGCTACCTCGACCTCGGCGACTTCGACAGCGTCCGCTCGTACCATCCGAGGGCGGCAAGCCCCCCCCACGCCTGGCCCGGTGGCAGGGACACCCTCCTATCCGTTCCCCCGCATGGCTCCCGCCACGTTTCTGTCCTCTGCCGTTCACCGGCCCTTCACCACGCTCTCGCCCACCGTCCCGCCCGATGGGCCCCGCCCGCTATCCGAGGTTTTCAAGGGGCAGGACACACTCGCGTCGAACCCTTCTACCCCGGCCTCCGCCCTGAACTTCCTACCGCCCGGCTGCTCTCGGGAGATGCCAGACAACCGTGAATTTCCGAGTCCGAACCTTTACGAGTTAACCCTGATGCTCGGGGCCGAACCGGGGTTGGATGCATGGTGGCACGCCGTGGTGCAGATAATGGTCGACGTGTACAAGGCCGAGAGGGTAACGCTTGCCATTCCGGCCGATCCCACCGATATCGAAAACGTACCATGGGGCCAAAAGGCGACATACAATGCCCATCGCGAGGATGACATGAGTTTGGGATACCTCGCCAGGGGCTCGAGCTTCATGCCGAGCAGCACAGGCGAATCTTCCGACCGCTTTCCCCAAGGCGGGATGCTTTCTGCGAAACAAGCACCGGCTCGCCCCACCCTGCAGAGTCGGCATTCGTTCACGTCATATGAGCAAAACCGGGCGGCGGCAGCAGATGAGCCGTCGCCTCCTAGTCCACATCGCCCTCGCCTTCTCTCGAGGAGCAAATCTCATCACCATCCAACCAAGCAGGCACATGATGCCGCCAGTGAGAACGGCAACCCGACTAGCCTCAACAGAGAGGCCCTGGAGCAGCACGACGCACTCGAAGAAGAGCAGCCAAAAATTCCAAGCTGGGAAGTGCCCTTCACGGCCGAGAGGGAAGGGCGTGGGAAACTACTGGATGTGCTGCAGGGTCTCGACTACGAAGCCGATCCCCTGATCGACCACAACGGCATCGTCCGCATCCTAGAGCGTGGCCGTGCGGTCGCCCTCACCAGGTCTTACCCCTACCTCAGCAGCCAGGAAACGATCGGTAAGAAGCCCGTGGACCCTCGCGCCGCAGCAGGAGCCAAATCCCCCGAGGGGCCCCGTCAGAAGATCAGGAAGCCACGGTCAGACTCAATGTCAAAACTCTCCTCCATTCTTGGCAACGCCACCTTATCACCTGCATCCGGCCGTGGCCCGCGGCCGCAGACGTTGGAGAGAAAATATACGATCGCTTCCCGGCTCGACGACGAAGGCCCTAAACTGCCGGCTCCGAGATACGAAGAGTACGAGCAGGCCCCGCCGTCACCATGGTCGCAATCCCCGGCACCTTCTCCCGCCGTCAGGGCCGACCCCGCCGAGAATCCCTTCTTCGCTGAGGCCATGGTCGACGAAGAATCTTTCAACCCGTCATCCACCCCCGCTGATTATTCAGCTATGATCCCGCCAGAGGCCATCGGTGTCGACAACTCCTGGACAGTGTTGCATATCCCACTTACGCACGTGCTGTTATCAGCACCTAATACGTCCTTCAAGCTCGACCCTTCGCTCATGGAGCAAAAGATCTCGGCGCGGAAAGCCGGAGATACCGCAGCAACTGCGAGCCTCTCTCCCGAACGTCCCGTCAAGGAGAAGCATTCGCCGATTGCCATCTTGTCCATCCTGAGTCCTATCATTCCTTATCCATCCAACCTACGCCACTCGCTAGAACACCTCGGCCCACATCTCGCCACCTCTTTCTCCCTCGCCCGTCACTATAGCCATATGGAGACAGAGCTAAACGGGTTACAAAAGCGCAGACCGCACACGGCGGGCTTCGGGGCTCTCGGGCCCGACGGGCGACCGCTGGCCGACTCAACCGCCCTGACCTCGTTCGCCTACTTGCCCACCGCCGGGGGTGCCGGCTCCCGAGATTCCGTCGCCGGCAGCATGACGAGCCCCAGTGAATGCTCCGGCCCCGCACGTAGTGGTGCCGGTTCTCCCGTTGGGACACCCACCTGGGACCTGCCGTCCCTCGGCCTCGTCATGGACAACAAGTGGGGGGCTACCGCGAGTCCTGCGCCTACCACCGCAGACAGCTACTTCGGTTCGATGGTGAAGAACCCGCCGAGCGCCGGCCCGCGGCCGAGGAGGAACTCGCGAGAGACGTTGCCGTCCGAGAAACGGTCGTCTCTGCGCCTGTCGGCGGGCAAGATGCAAATGCACGACCCCGCTACCGTCAGCCCAGCCATGACAGAGCCCCGAAGGAGCTCCGAATCCTCGCGCCCCGAGCCAGAGGAGCTCCCATCGGCCGGTGCCCAGCCTAGACGGCCAGCGCCGAGCGAGAAGGGTAGTGCAGCGGCATCTCAAGTCGAGAGTCATCAGAAGATGGCTGCAACGTCGAGTTCGACGCCTCACCGCCACACGCAACTTCATTCTTACGGCGCCGACTTTGCGTCAACTTTCCAATCCCTCCCACCGAGTTCGACCATCGGCCGCGGGGTCCCGCACCCGGCAGCGCCCAGTAGAGCCGGGTCGATGATGCAAACCGACATGACGCCCCCGTCGGACAAACTGAAGGGCCTTATCCTGGACTCGTTGCCCGCCCATGTCTTCGTGGCCTTGCCACAAACAGGCGAGATTGTGTGGGTAAACAGCCGCTTCCTCACATATCGCGGCCAGACCTCGGGCGACCTTGCTGCCGACCCCTGGGCCAGCATACATCCCGCAGAGCGGGAAGAGTACCTCCGCGAGTGGAGCCATTGTGTCCGGTCCGGTGAGCAGTTCGCCAAGACGGTCCAGATCAGGCGCTTTGACGGCCAGTATCGGTGGTTCTATGCCCGAGCCGTCGCATCCAAGGACAAGCGAGGCGTCATCATGCAGTTTCTGGGTTCGTACATGGATATCCACGATCAGCACATGGCAGAAGTCAAGGCCGCGAGGCAGGAAGAGATCTTGGCGTCCGAGGCAAAACACCGCCTACTGGCCAACTTGATACCACAGATGATCTTCACAGCTACCGAGGACGAAGGCATCACGTTCGCAAACGAGCAGTGGCTGTCTTACACAGGCCAGGCAGCCTCCGAAGGTGTTCTCGGACTCGGATTCATGGACTATGTGCATCCAGACGACCTTGCCAAATGCCGAATACCTCTGGGAGGACAATCAGTCCAGCAGCAGGACTCGAGGGGAGGTCTCAAGAACCATGGCCGCTCCTTCTCGGCCGACTACACCGCTAACCACCAGGCGGCGAAGCACTTGGCCGTTCCCGATAGCGGTACCAGGGGCTTTGATCACCAGCTACTACGGAACAACAGCTCCAGCAGCAGCGGTAGCAGCAGCAACGACGGTACCCCCTATGACCTTCCAACCGCAAATCTCACGGAACTTGCGAAGAAAGGGGTCATCAAAGTGTCTACCGACAGTAGCGGCCGGCTGTCGTACACAACCGAGATCCGGTTGCGCTCCAAGAGCGGCGAGTACCGATGGCACCTTATCCGCTGCGTCGAGATTGACAACGTCGACTTTGGCAACGGCGCGAGCTCGTACTTTGGGTCGGCTACCGACATCAACGACCTCAAGCTCCTCGAGACCAAGCTTAAGGAGGCCATGGACTCCAAGGGCCGCTTCCTTAGTAATATGTCTCATGAGATCCGGACGCCGCTCATCGGCATTTCCGGCATGGTTAGCTTCCTTCAGGACACGATTCTGAACGAGGAGCAACGCGACTACACGAACACGATCCAGACGAGTGCGAATAGTCTACTCATGATCATCAACGACATCCTCGACCTCTCCAAGGTCGATGCCGGCATGATGAAGTTGAATTATGAGTGGTTCCATACCCGTTCGCTCATCGAGGACGTAAACGAGCTCGTGTCAACCATGGCCATCGCGAAGCGCCTAGAGCTCAACTACGTAGTCGAGGAAGACGTGCCGGCCTGGGTCAAGGGAGACAAGGTGCGCATCCGCCAAGTGCTGCTCAACGTCATCGGCAACGCCATCAAGTTCACCAGCCGGGGCGAGGTGTTCAGCAAATGCAGGGTCTTTACCCCCGAGGGAGTGCTGCCGCCGACGGACGAAATCATGCTCGAGTTTTCCATCATTGACACGGGTAGGGGTTTCAGCCAGGAAGAAGCCGACCTCATCTTCAAGCCGTTCAGCCAGATCGACGGCAGCAGCACCCGGCAGCACGGCGGGAGCGGCTTGGGCTTGGTCATCTCCCGTCAACTGGTCGAGCTACATGGAGGGAGGATGGAGGGCTCCGCCATCCCCGGCAAGGGATCCACCTTCACCTTCACTGCTAGGTTCGGGCTGCCTACTGAGGACGACCATCCCGACGCCATGCCAGTTCCTCAGCCGACACCGGGGCTGGTCCAAAACACGTCTGTCGCCCCGGCGCAACCGCCGTCGGTGAGCGCCCTCCGCGAGCTACCCTCTAGCAGCCCGTCCACCACAGCCGATCCCGGCTTCACCTCCCCAGCAGCGGCCTCTAGCGGCAGTTCCGAGCTCTCCGGGTCATCCGGCCGCACCCGGGGGACGGACCGCTCTTCCATGTCATCGGTGAATGCGGGCCTCGTGCGCTTCAGCCAGGCAGCCCGCGCCAGCGGCCAAGATCTCTCCCAAATGAAACTAGAAATGCCGGACCGCAGGGGTAGTCCGGGGACCACCACACCCACGGCCAACCCAGAAAGCTCGGCCAAGGAGCAATTGCCGCCGCCCATGTTCTCCATCCTGGTCATCTGCCCGCAGACACACAGCCGCGAAGCGACGACCAAACACATCGAAATGACGCTGCCCAAGGGCATCCCATACAAAATCATAGCCGTCGCTTCGGTCGAGGAGGCGCATACCTTCATCCGGTCCGAAGACACGCCCCGGTTCACGCACATGGTCGTCAATCTCCCCTCCCCGGAAGAGATCATCTCGCTCATGGACAAGGCCTCGCACTCCGGGCCCGCCGCGCTCGGCAACACCACCATCTTGATCCTCTCGGACTCGGTCCAGCGCCAGGCCGTCTCCAAGCTCGTCGCCGGAACCAAACACGAGGATATCCTGTCCGAAAGCCGGGTGACATATATCTACAAGCCGGTCAAACCCTCTCGATTCGCCGTCATCTTCGACCCGGCCAAGGAGCGCGACCTGAGTATCGACCACAACCGGTCGACGGCCCAGCGGCTGGTAGAGGACCAACGCCAGAACTACATCGACATGGAGCGCCGCATGGGCGGCAAGGGCTACAAGGTGTTGCTGGTCGAGGACAACCCGGTCAACCAGAAGGTGCTGCAAAAGTACCTGAAGCGCGTTGGCGTCGCCGTCGAGCTGGCCGCCGACGGCGTCGAGTGCACCGAGATGATGTTTGAGAAGGGCTGGGGGGTACTATGCGCTGATTCTGGTATGTTCCTCCCCCACTCCCATTCCCCCCTACCTCTACCCCTTCATCCTTACCCTCCCACCACCAACTCCCACAAAACAGATAAAGCAGTTAACTAACCACCACCCACCCCGTTTCACAGTGCGACCTCCACATGCCGCGCAAGGACGGCTACCAGGCCTGCCGCGAGGTGCGCGCCTGGGAGACGCAGCAGCGCCGCCTCGGCGCCGAGGGGCCCCCCTTGCCCATCATCGCCCTCTCGGCCAACGTCATGTCGGACGTCCAGGACAAGTGCGTCGAGGCCGGCTTCAACGACTACGTCACCAAGCCCGTCGACTTTATCGACCTCAGCCGGGCTTTGGCCAAGTTCTTTTAGGAGTGCGGTGAGATTTGAGGTTCGGGGGTGAGGTTGGGTGTGATTCGGGGGTGAGGTTAGGTGTGATCCAAGGGCGGGATTGGGATTGGGATTGGGATTGGGTGGTGTGGTGGTGTGATGATGAAGGGGGGGTTGGGGGGGAACGTACATTGTTTTTTGAAACGTACATATACACCTGCCTACCTTTCTTTCTACTAACGTACATACTTCCTGTCTGTCTATCAATAAAGGAGGAAGGGATGGATGGATGGAAGGGATGGGGAGGAGGAAAGCTGCTTGCTTGTTTGTTTACTTGCTCGCTTTGCTGGTACCGACGGGGAGGATATGGCTCGAAACTTGCTGATTATTACTTGGCCTGGCGTGGCTTTGGGGCGAAAAGGGCTGTTTTTGAGAACCTTTTTCGCATTATAGGCGTTGATTGTATTATGCTCTTCTTCTTTTTCTCTGATTACTTTTTTTGTTTCGTTTGGCGGGCTTTGCTCTTTTCGGTGTAGAATATGCTTGCGGCTGTGCGGTTGAGTTACTTCTTTTCTTGCAAAGGGAGGTGAAGGGAAGGGGACATGGGAAAGGCAGGGCAGAATACCAATACGAATTGTTGTATGTTGTTAGCTTTATCTGAGGTTGGTTAAGTGGGTAGACAACGTACATACTTCACACATAGATAACGACGAGGTGGGAGCAAATCAAGCATCCCCTGAGTTGGGGAACGTGTCGGCGCGGGTAGAAATTAGTGATGTCGTCTCTTGACTTTGGTGTTGTTGCGTTCGGGTTGTGAGAAGGGAGTGAGAAGTATTGACAACGCCTGGGTGTGTTGTTCTCTGCGCCTTAGGTCTTGAAACGGAACTCTCCTTCACTTTCTAGTCCTGCGGCTTTTACAAATACCCTTTTCACCTTGTTTTGTTCGCTAGCCGCCGCCAGGGCTTCATCATAGCCCTACCCGTGGTGATGGCCCCTTTTCAGCATCACAAACATGGACGATATTGGGTCTTTTTGTGAACGCTAGTAACTATCAGGAAGTTGGCCGTTTTATTTACCGAGCGGTTGACCAAGATGGCCTACTACTCCCATCTCTTGTATAATCAAGAGTATGGTTCTATAGAGCCGAGATGCCAAAGACCTCGTTCTCTCCTTGCTCCCCAAACCCGCCCATCTTCGCAACTCAGCTGCAACTCCAACCAGCGGGCAACCCCGTCCCCGGACCGTAACCATTCCCAACCGACGCGCCGCGCCCGCGTGTACGACACACAAACCTCACACCGTCAACCACCATGTCTCGGGAGTGACGGGCATCGGCGATCAAGCCACAGGACAGCGCCCCCGCGCGCGAGGAATCCCCCCTCAGCCCGGCAGTGCCGAGATGTACTTGCCGACCGCTGAAATGTGGCGCTTCCTCTGCCGTCCTCGTCCCACCTCACAGAAGGAAGCCAGCGGGCTTGGGCCGGTCAACGACGCAGCCCCGTGTTTGTTCTCCCGATTCTGCTGCTTTTGAAACGCGGCGAAGGGGGGGGGGGACAACTGGAACGGGCGGCGCCATCTTCTCAAACGCATGCATGCTTAGAGAGAGAGAGAAACGACGATCATCAACTCTCCGGCCGGCCGCCGGCATGGGTGTCGGGCATGTCACGAGGGTACGCGTCCGCTTTTTAAGGCTGCCTGGTTCCGTGTGAGGGTGATTGGGGGAGTCAGGCACATCAGGGAAGATCGGTCAGGTGTCACATGGGGTGCCGTGGGCATGCAATAACGAGGAGGATGGGCAACGGTTGCCGGCTGTCGCCATCGTCGGCGTGCTTGCTGCTGCCTGCACTGTCCTGCAAGCCGCCGTATCGCCCCCCCCCCCCCCCCCCCCCCCGGTCGGCAGGCAAGTCTCAGACAGAGTGCGTAAGTCGGCGACTCGTTGATGGGGGCAGTGGAAAAGGGGATACGTGAGGAAGGCTTGCAGCCGCAAGCTAAGTCAGTGTCACCATCATTTTCAGGCTGATGAGGGTGGACGTCGCCGCCTTGGCGAGTCGGTGGCTTGCGACCGGGTTCGAGATTCGCCGCCCAGGGGAATCGGCGCCAGCGTTGCAATGCCCCGTCCGTACCTGTCCATCCAGACATTTCCAGCCGCGGGTTGTCATCGGTTCCAGACTTGACTAATCTATGGTATCGGGAACAGACGTCTTTGCCCCTGAATAATAGCCCCCCATGGGATGATCCAGACGCGGACCGTGCCAGGTTGATGTAACCTAAGTAATTGGGGATTCGGAGCCAGAAAGGAACGGTGTTTTGGCGGTTGCGGCAAAGGTGCGGGATATCCGATCAAAGTGTGGAAAAGAGGCCCACGCTGTGTTGTCCTCAAACTCGGGTTGTCAAACTAGGCCACTTTTAGTCGAAACCATGGAATGAAAACATGAATCAATCCCCTGGGGTACTTCTCTGATCATTGACTCGATCTGAGGCAATTCATCAAACTTGATCCCCCATCAAGCCGCGGCCGGGAATCCAGGAGTGGCGTTTGCAAACTGTGTAGTCCTGCCGCATCCCGCAAGGGATCGAACAAGCAAGGACAAACACGGAACGAACACGCTGGCGCGCCCGCCTCAATCATGCCTGTAGTCGTTAGCTTCGAGGACCAGTGGCGGGCAGCCACTTCTCTTCTTGTCTCATGGCAAAGCCATCGCTTGTGTGACACACGGAAGTCCGGTGAACCTGTCGGTTCCCGTGTTTCGTTCCTTCTCGAAGCTCGGTAGACGCGGCCAGGTACCCGCCGAAGGCGGCCGAGGGGAGTGAATGGTTTTTAAACGAAAACTCGATGCTAGTTGCCGTCGTCCGCGCGGATGCTTAGCATATCCCAAAACTGGCCTTCCTTTACTTATCGGTCACAAATCAACGTAGTAAAATACCAGGGCCGCGTATGGCATGATATGTGTGTGACAGGAGTCTCCCGCGCACCAGGTCTCTCATCACGAGGCTCACCGGAATTTGGAAGCCTAGTCCGGCCCAATGGCTGCTGTCCATCCGGCGAGTGGCGATGTTTCTCGACTCTGCCATATCGACGAGTAGGCGTGAATATCGGGCAAGCCCCAGCTGTGGCGAGGTTGATGCACTTTACAGAATAGTTGCAGCCCGATTCGGGGGCGATCTGCTGGCACCCCTGGTCCCGTTCCCGCCGGGTTGAGTGATCTCGAGGATATCCACGAACACGTCAGCCTAGCGACCTCCAAACCCAATTGGAACACTTTGGGCAGCTCGATGACGAGTCGCATGGCCCTGAAGAACCCGGAGCAACACGGCAGGGCTCGACACGAGGGCAAGCCGCACAAGACTTGCTCCTGTGGAATATTCGCCGTCTCATTAAGGCTCTTGAGTGTCGCTGACAGGGAAGAGGATCGCAAGGATGGAGTTGTCCGGGGACAGAAAGCGGGTACTTGCACGTAAGTATCGTGGCAGTTATATCTGGGCCGTCGCGGTCTTCCGGACCCCCTCCTTCCGGACCGGTGAATTAAGGACGGTGGAAGCACGCTTGGGCATCGGGCCGCGTGTGGTTTCCGAGAACCAACAAGTCCGGCTCCGAAAGAGTGCATCGAGCCAGTGTGACATCGGCTCGGATTTGTGTTCCTTTCTCGAGTCGCAAGAATTACTCAGTCGAGAAGTGGTCTTGTTTCAGGTTGTTGTCACTCAGCCAAGGGACCCAGGTCTAGCGCACGCAAGGGTGTCGAACGGCTACTTGTACAAGCCCACAGGATGTTTGTATGTACCGAGGTGGACTTCGGTAGAGACACCCGAAGTGATTTCAGCCACCACCACGGGAGCGTGGGGGAAAGTGCATCTCTTGACGAGGATGGAGACGCTAGGGACGCCACAAGTTCACAGCACATCTGCAAGTTCAAGGGTCAAAGATCGGGAGTGCACCGGATTCGACACACACAATCCACGTAGCAATAACGGAAGACCGCGCAAGTGGTGTTAGTTGGAAAACCGCCACTGGTCGAGTGATTGGAGGAGCGTATACTCAGTTTCATGCCAGGGGAGTGGTGTATTGTTTAGACGCCGAATATTGATGACCGAGGTGGTACTCGGTGACGCAAGCCGTGATCAAGAGCATGTGGCGAGGACACGTTGACCAAGAGGCTTGTTGGATGTGAGACCATTATGTGTGGCAGTTTTACTGGGCGCTTTATCGATCGACCACGAGGCTCGTGGCGGGGAAGATGCACACAGAATGCGGTGTTGTTGTGAAGGTTGTAGGACGGCCATAAATAACCAAACAACGTGGAGGGTGAGGAAGAGGTGCGAAGTCGGACAGTGGCTGAAGAGGTGCTGGCTCTGTCGAACTCTTCCCCCGAATTCCACACTTCGTTCAGCATCAACACAGCACCATACCGCGGCTTTCAACCATGGCGCGTGCTATGACTTTGATGACACCGCGGTAGAAGAAGTCTGGCACGGCGGTGGGGCGAGCTTCAGAGAGGATGTTGTTGCGAGTCGAGGTGTTAAACGAGCAGCAGGGCCCGGCTCTGGTTCTGTTTCAAGTAAAGCATTCGAGGTTCCATTGGCCGAGACGAGCTTTTTTTATCCCATGTGGTCGGCGCTCTTGGTGGTTGCAGGTTGGCCCAATCTGACATCCCCTGACTGGCGGAGGGCATTGCTCGCCGTGCCACAAGCTGGCGTCGGGGGGTGGGAGCTCTTGGGTCTCCAAACACGTGCCGCCAGATGCGCAGTTTCTACCTTCGCTATGGTTAGCAACTTTCGTGGAGAACCTGGGTCGTTCGGGGCTTACAGCCTCGGTCAAGCCAGCAGCAGCGTGCATGCTGCAGCTTCTGAGGCGAAATGTAGCATGGGGCCGTGTGTGCAGGCAGCTGAGACCCTTGATCCGCTCAGCGCTTTCGAGTTGGCAAGAAGATGTGGATGAAACCAGTCGTAATGTATCAGACATCCTCTTCGACTGCAAGGACGGGGAAATTGTCGCATTGGGCATTTCACTACCCAGTCCCCGGGAAGCGCCTTGTCGGAAACAGCGCCCGGAAACGGATAGGTAGGCGTTGTCAGAACAAGAGGAACGACATCCCGTCAATCGTCGGGTCATCCGCTGGGTTGCAGCAGTGTTCATGCGCTGGCGAGGGTGGTGCTGGTCTGCATCTGCAGGGCCTCGGGTGGGTGAGGTGCCGCAAGCGTGCCTTCCAGGGCCACACCCTCTTCGCAGCAGACTTGAAACCCCAAGTTAGCGCTCTCAACATGGACGGCCCAGTAAATGAAACTCCACGATGGCGAGGGAGTCGCCCTGGCGTAGCTGAGGTTCCACTAACCTCGACCATGATCCAGTCAGCCCCCCGGGCCTTCATTCAGCGTGCGTGCATACGCGACCATCGTCCACGAAGCGCGTCGCGATGCACGGAAACGCGTGGACGCTTGGGAGCCGCAGGTTACGGGCAGTGGGAGATAAGGTAAGGTTGAACGCAGATCCTGTGTCTAGTGAGACTCCGGCATGTCCCGACCGAAGGGTTGGAGGAATCGGTACGGCGTCGCTTGGTGTTTGGATGAACTGGTGGTTTCCATACTTGGGTACTGCGTACACAGTCGGTGGTGCTGGGATAATTTTCCGGTCGGAAACGTACAGCATCGGGCCATTGGATGGAACCTGTGACTTCCAGAGCCTGGCTGGTTCGCCCAGAGAAGGAAGGAGCCACAGAAAGTGATTGGTGTCACGGTATCGGTCCACGGTATCACAAAATCACGGTATTGGGCAGGTACCGAGTTTCTCGAATTTCTTCTTGAACTGAACACATCAAATGGTCTGGAAGCTACCCAGGTACCTAAGGTAGGGACTACGGAGAATTAACACAACCTCATCTCACCCTCTCCTGAGTTTGGATACTCGGACAACCTCGCACCTATGTAAAACAGTGTCCGCGTTTTTGACGCAATGCGGGGAAACAGGTGCAACATGGTAAAACAATTAGATCAGCCCTAGGCTCAGCGTTGGCGTCGAAAAAGGTGACAACGCTTTGGCGGTTGCTTCGAGTCTGAGAAAACCGACTTGAAGCGGTTTCTGAAGCACACCATGTTCGGTTTCGACGCTTGGACCACTGAATGGACACCTGCCACCAAACGAGCACCAAACCTTACACGTAATCTGTACTTGTAAGGTCAATACATAATCTGTACGCTGTTTCATCTCAGGGCCCGCGTGGTGAGAACCTCGGTATCTACCTTAGGTTGGTAAGCAAACGACTATCTCTTATCCCAATTCTTATTCTAGGCATTAATTACTCGTCATATTCCAAATTTTCTCTTTTCTTGAACGTCTTTCTTCTTTTCCTCGCCCGTTTGTTCCGTCTTTCCGATCTCCACAATGCACAGGACGTGCCCTGCCGCAGACCCCACGTGATTGGTTAATGGTCGGCCGGTCCCTGTACCCTGTCGCCGCATGCACGGTCCACTTGCCTGAAAATAAACTCGGTGGTGTTGTTTCTTCCACCCGCAGAATTTCAATTCTGGTTCGAAGCATACCCGAACAACAGTTCGTCCCGTACTTTTCGATGCCTTAAGTCGCGTGTTATAGCCAAGTGCCGGCGTTTCCTGCCAGGCACATACCACAACACTCCGGTGTCATCATTCCAATTGATACACTTGCTAGCAATATCCCTGGGTCCGTGGGCCGCACCTGCCTCCCCCGATCTTCCCGTGCCTCGATCGATCTGCCTGGGATCGCGACACTTCTCCTGTTGCTCTTGCCAATATTAACGTAGGTACTGCTGGTAATTTTTATCCAGGAAGGTACGGTTAAGCAAGGGTTATCAACCCTTTTCCCACCGTCTCTGGCAATTCCCATTGCTGGGCAGCACCGTGACCTTTTCAAGTCTCATCTCCACCTCTACCCCGAATTTGGCCTCGAGCAGATTCAGCGCTTTACCCGTTTCACCACCCTACCCGTCCCCTGCCATCACGCGCAGCGTTGGATACAACAGTTTACCGCGGTAAGGACTCTGCTCGGCAGAAACCATCTCTCCCGTGCCCGCCGTCGTACCGCCTCCGCACAAAGCACATGTTGCAATGCGGCTACAGGCGCGAGATCGACCGGTTCCCCACCCCCCTCCCCCTTGCTCCTGGGAGTCAACTCACATCACGAACCCAACAAATCAGTCCTCCCTCACGGGTGACCTGGACGCATAACGCGAGTTGTCAAAGCACCATATGCTCCATCCCCGATTGCTACTCTGATCGCCGTGACGGCATCATATCGAATTAGACTAGCAGCGGAGACAGGGAGGCTATGTAGGTGCGCTGCTACCTACCTCCTCCGATTCACATGGACAAACTGGGCACCGACCCTCTCCCTCGGGACCGCCAGCCACTGCACGCATTCAAGGCAAACGCAAATAACTTGAGGACGGCATTGAGCCCGACATAACCGTCGCAGGGACTTGGCTTGCCTCCCTCCCAGCCGCCACATCTGCGCACAGAGCGGTTACCTCTTTGAGAAGTCAGTTCATCCAGGCGCCCCCTCATTACCCGCCGCCCACCCTGCGCAGTGAAGCTCCCCGCAGCTGCACCTGAACCCAAACGGTCGTGCTTCGCTGTCAGGTGTACCTCTCCGACCGAGCATTAGATGCGTTGTGACGTTGAGCTTGTTGTCTGAGCTGCTTGGCTTGTTTACCGGCCAGCGATGCTTTGCATCTGGATCAGGTTTCGGCGAGGCCCCTCGCCTTCTCCACGAGCTACCCCCGTCGTAGAAGGTGTTCTTTCGCATCGTCACGACAGAAAACCACACATTCTCGCTGACTGGGAAGTCGAGTCGAGGGGATGGATTCTCTGCTCTGGGCCCGCCGTTATTCTCACCCCTCTGTCTATGTCATTGATTCGCGCAAGCGCCCTGGTCATTTCTCGCAGATCCGCCCTGCATCTCCTCGACCACACCCCCCCCTGCACCAACCCAACCCTGTGCTCGAGTCCGCTCTGGAACAAGTGGCCAAGCGGACTGACCAGGGCCCGGAACGGCGTGCTAAAAACAGTCTCAACCCACTTTCTGCATCTCCCCCGTCTGAGCAAAAGCGCCAGCCAGCCAGCCTTGTCCGAGTGCGTCGATTCCGGTGGTGTGGGCAGCACGCTTCCTCCTGGCTTGTGAACATGGTCAGCAAGGATGGTTTTGCTGCTCCCCTGCCGGTCTCTGCTCACCACCTCAAATTCCCGGTATCCTGGTCTCATCTTGGCAATGTCCCCGGGAGCCATGCATCTCGAGTTCCTCCTTCGCACACACTCCTTCCGGCAGGCTCCTTCCCGTGGCCGCCTTCCACTGATCAACAAGCCCTGAGCGTTTCGGTGGTCTGTTTACTCGCCCGGTTTCCCGTCTCGAGTCTCCCGGGACCCTCTCGCTGCTCGAACCTCCAGACCCTGGCGTCAATCTTTTCTGATACGCGCTGCTTTCAAATGAAATAGCTCAGGGTACCTCAAGACACCCTCTTGCTCCACATTGTTTCCGCTCGCTTGCTTGCCTAAACGGTAAACGATCAAACTGGTCTACAAATCGTTGGTCCCCATCCGTCTTGTCGCCCCTCCGCCTCCCCCAGGCCGTCCTGACTCGTTCGCTCTGGTCTGGTGGGCACCCTCGCTGTGCCCTCTCGTGTCCCTATATCTTGGGGGAACAACAGGATTTTGCAAAGCACTCCCGCTTGAACCGCGGCGGCTTTCTACATACATACATACGATACGCATCCCAGATTGTCGACAGATCGGGAACGGGCAAAGAGGCACGGAGCCCAGAGCCAGGGTCACCCTCGCCTCTGCCGCTCGACACTAACTCCGCCTCGAGCATAGTGGACTGCACCGGAGCTGCGTCTCTGTCCTTGGGCATCCTGCTCATCCACCGGCCACCCCCACCTTTCTCGTACCTTGCAAAGTACTTATATTTCTTTGCAGCGCGCCAATGGCCAAATTCGGGTGGGCTCTGTCATAGTACTTCGACGTTTCATCACCACACGCCCCGCCTGCTACCTTCTCTGCGACCCATCACTAGGCTGGCCGCCACATCCAGCTTCCCCATTCAAAGGTTATTTCCACTTCTTCTTTCCCCCTTTCCCCCTTCCCTTCAAAACCAGCGCCACCCTCCACTTCCGTCCCGACATCCCACCATCCCTCAACCTCCCCCCTACATTACACAGCTCCTTCCCACTCTTTCTCCCCTTCTGGCTCGTCCCATCGGATCACACGAGGATGCTTACTCTCAACAAGCCAGCGCAGTACGGCTACCGGCCCGTCCATGATCTACCAACCCCGCCGAGCACATCCCGCCCTTCTCCCCCCCTGATATATCCGGATCCGGGCCAGAAGCCGCCGCCTACCGTCTCCGGAGGTAGCAATCTGTCTGATCAGCTCATGTCGGCGCCTCATCGTGGTTTGCCTCCACCGGCGGCTCTACCTTCAGTGCAAGCCCCTTCCGGATCCGGCCCTCCGCAGCCCCCGTCAAGCCTGTCAGGAGGCCAGACCGTCCCACCACCGCCGGCCTCGCAAAGCCAGCCGTTGGGCCAGCTCCCGGCGGCTCCGACATGGAATGAGGAATCGATGAGAGTTTGGCTTACTGCCAAGGCGGAGGAGGACAAGAGGCGGCAAGAAGAGGAGAGGACACGGCAGGAGGGCTACCGCCTCGAGCAGAGGAGGATGGAGCACGAGATCCTGAGGACCTCCCTAGAGGGAGGGATACCGCCACCGCTGGTGCCGGTTGTCTTTGCAGGCATGGGCGGTGGAGCGCTCTCACCGGCGGCCCTGGACTGGGCGCAGCAGTTCATGATGTCGCAAACCCCCCAACAACACCCCCCCGCACTGATGCCGCCTGGGACGGTCTCCTCGGATCCCCAAAGACGAGACTCACAGACCCAGATGTACGCACAATACCCGGTTTCCGGCGGCGCCGTCCCATCCACGCCGGGCTCGGCACAGGGCCCGCCGAGCGCGTATGCGTCTGGCTACCCTGGTTCCCCCACGAGGCCCAGAGGACTCAGCATGCCGGGGGCGATGGCGGGGCGAGCACTCGCCGGGGGCGGATCAAACTTGCCCAATCTGAACACGAGCGTCCCCGGCGGACCAGGTCAACAGCCGGGACTGGCGCAGCATCAACAGGAACCACAGGCGTCACCGTCCATATACTTCCACCACTGGCAACCCCCAACGACGCAGAGTGGGGGACGGGGCGGGGCAGAGCAGCCCGCCACGCCCTCAGGTTCGTCCAAAACCAAATGGCGCTCAAGATGAGGCTCTCGCGCGGGGCTAACTGGCTCGTTTTCACGTAGTAGGGGAATCGCCACGGAAACGGAAAGCGCCAGGGCCGCAGCAGCCAGCGCCGCCGCCGTCCACAGCACTTCGACACCGATCGCCGCCCTTTTTGCATAGCACGGGCCTGTCAAATCCGCCGCCCGGGCGCAGGAGAGGGCATTCGCGGCAGAGGAGCGACCTGGGGTCATACCGGCCCGGCCCTGGTCGGGGACGTGGGGAGAGCCTAGGCCCCGGGCGAGAGACGTCACCGATGCACACGTCGGGGGCAAGCTCTGCGCGGGATAACGGCGAGCCGCCCTCGTCAACCCAGCACCAAAGCCAGGCACCATCACAATTTGCGCCCCCACCAGCACAAGGTCCCTCCGGACGGGTTGGGGCGCATTCGGTTTCATCACTCCTGTCAGACAACCCGCAGTCTCCTCGGGCGACGACACACTTCGCATCCGGGGCCCCGTCGGAAGGCCGGCAGCACCACCAGCACCACCGCCACCAAATGCAGCAACACGCGCAGGCGCAATTTGGCGAGAGCGAGCGGAGGCAGTCACCGCGGTCGTCGGAGGAAAAACTTCGCGGTGGTGGTGGAGCCCCGGGATCAACAGCCACGCGACCGGGAGATAACAGCTGAACCTTAATTTCATCGCTGTTTCAGCCCCGCCCAGCCGGTCCAAGCTCTTTACGGCTTGGGTCTGGCTGCCCCCTTTCCCTTTCCGGCAATATGAACGGGGCGGGATCCTCACCGCGCCGTTGCAAGGGTGATGGCGATGGGGGGGGGGAACAAGGGCCGAGTCAGGGGAAGGTTCCTGGAAAAGGAACAGTGCCACGTCTCCGACAAAGCGGACTGGACCCCCATTCGACCAAACCCACCAGGAACAACTCCATCGACCCAGAGTCCACCGGGACCACACCGCGCAGCAATTGGCGGATGTTTGAGCCTCGACCTCATCACAAACACGCGGCGGCAGGGGCTCTTCCCAATTCGTCGAGTTATCCCCGCCCTTGGACGTGAGGGAAGCCGTTCCGGATTCCGGCAAGGCATTTGACATGTTGCCCGTTTTCTGCATCTTCGCCAATGTATATCTTCAAATGTATTACACCAATTTTGCGGCGTTTGTACTGTACTATTATCACGATGTTTTAATGTGTTCTTGTTAGTTTTTTTAGTTTTTTTATCAGGGACAGAAACGGTTGGCTGGAAGGCGGGTCAGAAAATGGGGCGTTCAAATCGACTTTAATCAAGATGAATTAGGGGGAATGCCAAATCCAAAAAAGATGCATTCAACAACAAACAGGAAAACAAGGGGGGGGGTGTGTGCCTTTGGAGGTATTTGTTTTGCTTTTTCCTCTTTTGCCTCTTGGGCGAGTAACTGCTGTGTAAACTCGGGTGGCAGGCACGCCATTGCACAAGATTTCTCGGATGGGTAAGGCCGGGGGGAGAGAGACTCGGGTGCCAGTCTGGCTTGACTGAGGCTCGGCTTCCCGAACCGCTAAGACTGGGTCGGTAAAAGCACGGACGCCGAGTCGCGTTCTTCGGTGATCAGTTCGATACATACGATACGACGATACATTGCATGGGGAGGAACGACCTCAATAGGGACAAGATCTCCTCGGTAGGCTGGAACGAACGGGGGAAGACATCGGGCACGCCTGCGAGTGGCGGTTTGCAAAGTGCATACGAATACGCAGGAACATTCAGCTTCCACAGACTTGAACACAAATCCGTTGCCCTGGTTTCCCACTAGCTGCATTGGCGCGCCGAGCGATGATGTCGTTACACAAACTGCCTGTTTCGTGTACCAACGGCCAAATACCATACATACGGTGCATTACGAGTACCGTGACGAGTACATTACAGTGACGGTGACTCGGGCGGTGGGTTTCAATTTCGACGGCTCGAGTTGCTCTTGCACAAACTGCCAGCACGAGGTGACTAATAAAGGAAGGAATATCCCGCTAGTCAGTGGAGACGATGGCGTGGCCCGGGGTGGAAGCGGCAGTTCCGGACTGAGTCGAGTGGGCAAACTCCCCACAAGAAGCTCCTTGCAATTCGAATCCCCGCTTCGGTCGTCTCAAGGGAATCTGGGTGTCTGGGTTGGTTTGGGTCATCACATGGAAACAAGCTGGAAGTCAAGCGAGGTGGCCGAAAAGCCGCTGTTCCGCAAACAGTCAGCATTTCCCTTTCCAATCGGTCATGCTTCCACAATCGGCAACGGGCAGGACAGAAGCAAGAACTGGGGTCACGCCAACCAGCGACTCCCAGGCGCTTGTCAACCGCCGCGATGTGTGCTAACTAACGTTAGAGCAGATCTGCCATTGCTACAAGGGACAATTGATGGACATGCTAAAAAAGAACTCGATGGCAGCTTCCGTGATTTCGGGGGTCACTCTACGGCTCGCCCCCCCGCGCGTGAGAGAGCGCGCCAGGTTCGCCACAAACACACACCACACACCTGAACCAGCGGGTAAAGAGTTATCCAAACGAGAAACGAGGGAGTCGGAACACTCGCACGGCCGGCGCATCATGGGCGTTTTGACGGCGCTTGTTGATCGGTGATCATCACGAGAGACGTGTGTGCGTGTGTGCAACGGTTTGTCTTGGGATCCCGACAAGGCAACCATCTCGTCGGCGGCCGGGTTCAAAGAGGAAGCCGTGGGCCGTGACACAGGCGCCCAAAACGGCCGACCAAGCACAACTCGAGCACGGTCCTCACGAGCGAACTTCTCGAAGTGGACATCGGACAATTTCTCATTCGCTGTGCCGAAACTCGACCTGCAGAAGAAGGTCGAAGACCCATTTCCCGCCCTCCAAGTCACAGTCAGCAGCCCGCGAAGCACGTTGAAGAACACGAGCGAGGACTGGAATGCCGACCGCCTGTGGGTGTGCTCAAGCATGCATCAAGCCGAAACCCACGGCGGCGAGAGAAGGCATGACGTTGCTTAATATAGGGCTGTGCAGCTCAACCCTGCTTCCGAACTGGGACCAGGCTTCTGGCACCGACTGGGGTAAAAGCCTAAAGAGGTTTGGCGCCATCGGGCGGAGGTGGGGGGAGGGGGAGGGAAGAAGGGGGGTGGGTTTGGATTCTTGGAAGGGTGGTGTGGGAGATTCTGGGCCGTTCAATGTCTCCTCGTACCCGCGCCTCTCCACTCCGAAAGCACCAGTCAGACACACCAACTCGCCTGCGCGCTTGCGCCCGCACCCGCGTCCATCCTGTCACCGGAATGCTGTCCAAGATGTCCATTTCTGTGCGCCAACTAGCGCCGGAAGCAGGCCAATTGTCTCGCTTCTCGCTGCCGGTAATTCTTCATCCCGGTGCTCGGTGGGGGGGACGAGCATTCACCAACCGCAGATGCACACCGGCTCTGCCCTCGGGGATCGAAATGGCCTCACCAGTCTGCAGTTGAAACACGCCACATGGCGGCTCCCGTCGATCGCTGGGTTTGGACGGAGTACGAATACCACCTCTACCCTCGCTGCTCGGACCCAGACCCGGCCGGCATCGGGGCCCGCCCGTCCGCCCGCCCGGAGCCTACCCGGACCCACACACGATGCCGAACGAACGAAGACGAACAAGCGCATTGGATTATCAATCCTATTCCTGTGGATGTCCGACCTGCATTCCTGCATGGCGCTGGTGTCTCGTTTCTCTTACATACAGATCTGTACTCCCGGTCGCTCTCTCAGCCATAACAACCATCAGTTAGCCGTCAGTCCCAGGGACGTGTTGTCTTTGTTGGGAACCTCGGAGAATAGGCGGCTCGGTCTTTTCGAGAACACAAATGCAATGAATGGTAGGATGCGACGCTGGAGAGGACAACCCAGCCGCCGACCCCCTGCGGCAAAATGGATAATGCTACACTCCAAGTGCTGTGTCAGCTCTTCAGGGCCCCTTTTCTCTGCGTCGTTGATGAGCGAATATCTCAGCCAAGCCGTTTGAGAGAGAAACTGGGTTGAGTGCGGACCATCGGCGGAACTTTCGAATCAACCCTGGTACTTCGCACATGGACGTGATGGGTTGGTATGTCCACACGTCGGTCTCAGCATGCTGGTCGGATTGGCTCGATATGCGAGCCACGCTTGCGGTTAATCGATGCCTCTTATATTAACGAGCAGCCAGTGGCGCCTTCCCCGCTGCCTCCGATACCACCTCGTCCAAACCCACGGGATACTTGACGATCATATAGAGTTTAGCCTGTCGGCGCTTAATCGTAGGTGGGACGAAAAGAACGACAGAGCACAAAGATCGCCCAGATCGATCAAGCCCGGCAAGGCGCGCCTTCGCGCGGCTGAGACGAGAAGCGGATCAAGAACGCATTGCATTGTTTTTGCCATATCGTTTTAGGCAGCACACAGGTCAACGCCGCGGCTTTTCGGGATGGCACTGCGTTTGAGACTTCGATTTCGTCCGAAGCCCTGCCCTTGGTTTTGTTGCTTTCGGGCCCCCGTTAGCCCTGCTCAACCGTGGTCGATGAGACACTTTGAGATCCTCCTTAATACCGCCTCGTCACGCCGCCCTCCCAAGGGCCCGAGGGGAGCCTGCGAAAATCTCCGGCCGAGTTGGCGTTACCGAGAATCTATTCGGTTCAGCCGCTGATTTCTCGGTTCCGAATTTCCACCTGCAGCGGTTGCCAGCTCGAAGGGTTGATTTGGTCTCGGCAGGGCACAGGGAAACCGGAGATCACGGGCCGCTCTGTTGCGTGACAGAGTCCTTTGTCAAAACACCCACAGACCGCTCTTACTCTGCAGTTTGGAAGTCCGTCCGCCCGGCCGCGGCCAGATCAGCGGTGCTTCTGGAACAGCGCGGGCATCAGAGCCCTGCTTCTTCCCGACCAACCGCAAGACCCAATGTCGCTGACCGAACACGCACATACCAAATAACTACCCCGGCCCGTATCAAGTGATACACGCTGACTGGCACCTCAGGTTAATTGAAAACCATTCCCGCACAGGAACTGGATCGGACCAGGGCTGAATGTGTGGCTCGATATCTTCCAAGATTGCCTCCTCCTCCGGGAGTTGCCAACTTATTCGGGAGCGCGTCAATACCTGCACGGTGTAGATGGCACTGTGAGTGCACGTGTGTGCTATTGGGGAGACGTTTCCGTATTCTTCCATCTCGCTCCAACGGTCTGGTCAGGGGTGGCAGGTATGTAGTTATGGGGGGGTTCGTCGGATGACGCACAGGTGGGCGGCGGCTTGATATTGGTTGCTAATCCGCCGCCGCCGCGGGCGAGAGCTGGGGACGAGCCGCCGCGGCACACGGCAGTGTTCTCCGCTCGTCTCGTAACTCCCTTTCTTTCGTTGTCATTTCTCTCTTCTATTGACTACCTCCTATGGTTCGATGACCGGCTTGACAGGCAAAACTACCTTCCAGAAAGGAGTCTATCTGACGTACTTTCCTTGAGGGACCGTCACATCGGCTAGGTAACGGTTCCATACCCACCATCACCCGCTCGCCCGGTCTTGTCCCGCGGACCGCCCGGCAGCGGTTGAATACAGACAGAGTCACAGACGAGCCCATAGACGCCAATCCCGCGCTCGCCCCATCGGGGATTGGTCGGCCTGCGCTTGGGGACGCGCAAACCAAGTGTCCTCGCGGCTATTTTTAACTCCCCTTTCCGTCGTCTCTTGCTTGAGAGCTCCCTTGCCGCGTGCACTTGCCGTGGTGTTGTGTTAGTTTTGTTACCTGCGTACGTGTCGCTGGGTTGCGTAATTCGAAGGGCTGCGTTGTCTGTTTCTTTCTTACCGTCGGATCGGATAGCTTCCGTTCCATTTATGTCTTTCTGGGGCGGGATGGACGTGCGTTACGTGCTCGCGTCGGCCTTGCGGGGACGGGACATCCTCTGGCATACATACCACAGGGCGACTTGGGGGTGGGCGAGCGAGCGAGGAAGGGCATAGAATCTCGTCATCCAATACTCGGTATTCGGTGTGCGGTTTGTTGTTGCGTGTACTGTATATGTGTTGGGACGCTGGAACTGCTGGGGTGGTTCCTGCGCGCCGAAAGCTCCCATGCTGAGCAAAAGCAAGTGTGTGTTGACATGCACGCCACTCGCTTCTCGCGAATATAGGGTTTGTTGTGATGTTAATATCGCGTGGGGGGGGGGGGTGACCTACCTGCCTCCCCGCTTACCTGCTTACCTGCCTATCTGCTTGCCTACTTACTTGCCTGCATGCCCGCCTGCTTGCTTGTTTGCCTGCCTACCGGAAGAAGAAGGACCGGATCTGTTATGCAAGCAGGCGCGGACACGAGGGTAGGGGTATATAGCAGGTATAGTGAAAAAAAAAAACGCCACAGTCTGACAGGCGCTGGGTGGGTGGGGATGGGCAAGTACTGTGTAGGTGGGCGGGTTGGTAGGTGAATTGGGGGCGGACGGGTGGAGGCGCGCAGGGCTGGGAAACGTCTAGCCGCTACGAAGTATGTGTGTGCGTCTTTCTCCTTCCGCTCTGTGTGAGTGAATGCGTGTGTCGTGGCGTATGTTGTATGTAGGTGTGTGTGGGATGCCGATGCATTGGAAAGGGGGGAGGGGGAGGGTTGCCAGCGTTTAACGGCATCTTCCATGCTGCTGCTGTGGGTGGGGTCGTCACGCAGAAGAGAAGTGACAGCGCCGGGTCGTCCGTCTGATAACAGAGCTCTCTTTTCCGAGCTGGAGCGGGAGGTTGCCTGTGCCGCTCGTCTGCACCTTGCTTCTGTTTTCTTGTTTGGGTGCTTGCTTGCTTGCTTGCTGACGGCATGCGTTTGCTTTGCGGGGGTGGGATCCTTCCAGCCTCGGGCCCGCGCCGTGGGCTTGCATGGACATGGAGGACGAGTGGTCTTCCGGATGGGGAAAAGCAAGGTATCGTGGGGTATTGGGAAGGGGGTGCGCCCGCTGAGAAAGAATTTAACTTTCTGGGCTGGTATGGAAGTCTCCTGGGATATCGTTCTAGTGGGTGGATGAAGTCAAACCTTAGGGGCTGGTGGCGTCCGAGGATGGGGTTCCCACAGGAACAAGCAAACGTTCGTGTCCGGCTCGACTTGAGCTTCTCGGCATTGACCTGCTTTTTAAGTAACACATGAGGGAAATGTAACGGGCGCAGATGATGTCGAAACCCTTTGCCAGTAGACCGGCAAGGCATGTAAACAGAGAGGAGGCGGCAAACGAGGACAACAGGCTGACCTCCGCGGAGCTTAAACACCGTGACGGGCAAAGCCGAGAAGGGTGGTGTGAGTATGTTATGTGCTATTCCCGCGGTCAACCTGTTGAGAACCAGTCGAGAGCTATTCTGCACATGTGCCGTGACACTGTCCCGTTCCCGACTCAACCTTCAGAGGCAAATGTGACGATAATCAACTTCCCCAAGCCGGCCATGCCGGTTCAAGGCCCCACGGCGACGTCGCTCATCGCCAGTACTTCACACAACAAGGCACTCCTCGACTGCAACATGCCCACTGACCGACGGTCAATAACGCTAATCAATTACATACTAACACATACAAAACATAGCCGCGTGCTTGCTACCACACGGGTTAGGTTACAAGTAGGTAGAAGAAAACGAATTAAAAACCGCAACCACCCCAACCGCACGAGCATGGCGTGCTTCTCGCAGAAAGCAATAAACGTCAAGGGGTATCAAACTCTCTCTCTCCCAACCCAAACAAAACGGCGATGGCGATGTGAGCCCCAAGGCCAGGGGCAAGCATCATCAAACCTCCCGAGAACAAAAACAAAGGGAAGGAAACTGGAAAGAGCGTCACCAGTAGGAAGGGGGAGCCACACACGCCACCCATCGTCGCGGCATCGGTCAACCCACCAACCCACCAACCTACCAACCCACCACCATCCCGAATCTCCATCCCAACCAACGCCCAAGTCACCCGCCCCGAAACTCGCACCGCCAGCAAGCCCACGGCCCCTAAGCCGTATCCGTGCCCCTCGCCTCCTTTTGTTTATCCTTCCCCTTTTCCTTTTCCTTTTCATGTCCCGCCCGCTCCCATAACCTGCCGATCCCCCTCCCCTTCTTTTCCTTGACCCCATCCCCCTTCAGTTTCCCCTCCCCATCCCTCCCATCCTCCGCCGCCATACCCTCCTTCCCAACACCCAGCAGGCCCTTTCCCCCTTTTTCCTTCCCAGCAGCAGCAGCAGCAGCAGCAGCCGCAGCAACCTCCCTCTCCCCACCCTTCTTATCCCCCCTCCCCCCGCGCCCCCTCTCCCACCCCTCCCACTCCCACTCCCACAGCCTCGCCCGCCCCTGATGCCGCCGCCACTCGGCGCGCGCCACCTTCATGAGCAGGTCCTCGTCCTGGACGGGGATCCAGGCCGTCAGGGCCTTCATGGCGTTCTCAAAGTCCGAGTCCAGCAGCACGTCGCGCAGGGCGTGGATCAGCGCGGCCGAGGTCGCGTGCAGTATGTCGAGGCCCTTGGGGAGCGTGCTGGTGGTGGTGTCGCTCTGGGGTTGTTGGGGTTGGGGGGTGGTGGTGGCGGTGTAGTATGCTGGTGATGGTGCTGTTGCTGTGGTGGGGGAGGGGGTGAGGGTGGTGGTGGTGGTTGGTTCGGGCGGGCAGTCGCCGAGCAGCATGAAGACGTCCCAGACGCGGAGTTGGGCGGGGAAGGGGATGGAGAGGTTGAAGAGGGTCAGGTACCAGCGGGTTCCGTAGGCGGTTGCGGAGATGTCGAGTTCAGCCTGCCAGAGGGAAAAGATATCGAGTTAGCATGTCGTATGTCATTGTCGGATACGGCAAGCCGGGGTAGCAAAATACAACGTACGAGTTTCGACGCTACATCCTTTCCCGCCCCCGTCAACCACCGCTCCTCGAGCTCCTTCAGCGCACCCATCAGCCCCTCAAACCCGGGCTCATACAACCGCTCTAGTCCGCGGTACCGCCAGAGCCGCACTAGCATGACGAAGGCCCTCTCCTCGTCAAAGTAACACAGCAGCGTCGCGGCGAGGCTGGCCATGCCCTGTACGTAGCCCGTGTCAGGGAAGTGCAGCGAGATGGCGTGCAGCACGCGGAACAGCAGGCGCTGGCCCCCGCGGTAGCGGCGGCGGAACATGATGTGGCCGTTGACGGTGCGCGGCACGTCCAGGTCGATCTGCACGTCGTCGGGCGAGGCGACAGCCTGCAGGCGGCGGAACTCGGCGATGAGGTAGTCCTCGGTCTCGCGCGGGGTCCTGTTGTGGACGTGGTTGTAATTGTGCGCGGCGGCGCTGGTCGCGAGGAAGGCGTACCAGGCGGCGGAGCGCCAACAGTCGGGGATGCCCTTCCAGGTGCGGTCGATGAGCTTGGGGGAGGCCGTGTCGAATGTGTACGACATGCCCTGGCCTTGCGGGCCCCCCGAGGGCTGGGATTCAAGCCCGGGGTCGGGGGCGTTGTTGTCCTTGCTGCTGCTGGCGATGCCAGTTTTTACGGCGGTGGCCATCTTCCGCCACTTCTCGGAGCGCTCTGCTTCTTTACGTTTCGACGCCTCGAGGGTCTTGCCCATTTTTTCCTCGTCCGTGATGCCGGTCAAGCCAGCTTGCAGGGATAGCATCTCACTCGCCTCGTCCATCCATCGACGGTCGCGATTGTGTGGGAGGCGGTTGGTGGCCGACCGAATCGACGACCGGGTGGATCGTCGAGAGATGTTCGACAGATCGGATGAATACGTGTTGAGTGACCGCGCCGAAACCTTCCGGCTGGGGGGGCGGATGAACCCGCCCGGCAGCGACGTCGAGTAGGACGTAGATGGACGCTTAGTCAAGACGTTCCTCCTCCTAGTCGAGAACGGCGATGATCTCAGCTGCGACGACTCGGCGCGCGAGACGGGGCGCTTGGGGCTGATGAAGCCATAGCGGTCGACTTCGGCGCCGTCGAGGTCGGCCCAGTCCTCGATGCCTCCGGCACGCTCGTACTCCCGTCGGACCTGGCTATCTCGTAGCGGAGACAACGAATTGGCCGAACGCGGAGTAGTTGTAGGGGGCGTGGGCGTAGGGTTGAGCTGACCGTCGCCTTGGTGGAGACCTGGTGCTGAAGGAGGATCGGAAAGTCTCGAGGATCTGGAAACGGGTCGAACAAGTCAGCGGGCGAGGCCAGGTAAGATCAGACCTGGAGAGCTCAAGGAAACCATACACAACGTTCTCTTCCTCTTCAAACGGGACCTCCGCTGTGGGCTCAAGGCGGTCGGGATACGAGACACGCCCCCCATCTTCCCAATTCAGGTCGTCGCCGGATTCATAGAGCGATCTCACCTTTTGTGATTCCCTCTCTACATCCATCGACGAGACGCGAATGCTGGGGACGGACGGTGCGTCTGCTGGAGGCGGCGCACGGGGATTCTCCGTTGCCGCGCCGGTCACGTCGGTCTTCCCAACGCTGCCATTGTTATTGTCGTCGGTCGCGGTTGTCGGGGTCTGGAGCTCGGTCGCGGCGGACGCGGTAGTGGTGGTCGCGTGTCGCCGTTGATCGTCGGCGGGAGGCGCATTCGATTTCGCATCGGGGGTAGACATCATCAGCGACTTGAAGAGGCTATTCTTGCCGCCAAACATGATGCTCCCCCGCTTGGAGAAGGAAAGGGCACCAAAGTCTTCCCAGAGACTGTCGTCCGGGATAGGGGTGTTGATCGGCGCAAAGGATTTGTCGTTCGTTGTCGCAGAACGGAAAGGGGTCTGGGGATCTTCCTTGTCGGCGCTCGAAGGCCCTGGCACGCCTGGCCCTGTCGCCTGTGGGGGGAGCTTAGGCGATTTGGGAGACCTAGGCGAGCCCCGCAACGGGTCCATCTCGGGAGGCGCTGCCTGTGCTGCAGCCCTGTCGGCGCCAAGATTCTTTTTCCGCAGCCTTTTCGATCCGTCAGATCCAACGCCGAAGCTCTTGCCGATTTTGGTGGTGAACGAAGTGCGTCGCGTCGGTGATGGCACCGATTGCGTCGGCGAGCTAACAATCGATTCGAGGTTTTCGGGGCGAGGCGGGATGGACACCGTCAACGGGGGTGGTGTAAATTGGCTGACGAGAGTCGACTGGGGTGCGTTGACGATCTCTTCCTCGTCATCGGAATACACCGATGGTGTATCAGCAATGTCATCCAATATTTTCTGATGGACAGGGTCCTCAGCGTCCTCTTCTCGGAGGGTAATGGACGACGATGTGGGGGCACCCGAGTCTCTTTTCCACTCCTCGGTCCGCGACGGTGGTGATGGCCTCTGGGCGCGGAACAGCGGGTGCACCTCTTGCGGCGGCGGGTTGACGGTGATGGGGAATGTCGGGGCAGTTGAAGACGTGAATGTCGACTGGGTGCGGGCGAGGCGACGCGGGTTTCGTGGCGGAGGGAGGGGGATCGGGGGCTCTGCCTGCTTGGTTTCCTCGTACCGCAGTGCAACCAAGCCCGTGTCGTCTCGGAAAGGGGCAAGGCGAGCTGATGCTGTTGGCCTGCCCCTGTGGCGCACGCTGCCAAATTTCTGAGGTGCCATTGCTTCGAGGTTGCAGCTCTTTCCCAAAACGTAGCAACGGCCGCGGCGCAGCTCCTTTCCCTTGCGATGGGAATCCCTGTGTCGATTGATGCAGTCGAGAGCAAGCACAGAAAAGGAAAGGAAAAAAAAGGAAGAAAAAAGGGAAAATATCAAGCAATGCGAGGTCGTGACTAGGCTCAAGTACTCGTCGATGCCGGAGTCGAAATGGCCGACTACTGTGCTGTGTGGGTGCAGTGGTGCTCCCCACGGTTATGCACTTTTTGATGTTTCGTCCCGATTCGGTCGTGCTGCGAGGGCGACGGCTAACTCCTTTCACTTCGGGGCCAAGGATTCCAGTTCGAGCAGAAGAGGGGTCAGTTGGCGGTTCAGAACACAAACTGCAGTGCCAGAAATAGAGATCGGGGTCGGCAGGAGGGGGGTTCTTAATTATTCCCTCATATCATCTACCTACCGACCTACCGACCTTGGCTTGCTTCCATCTGCGAGCTACTTTACCTACTTGGTGTGGGCAATTGGAGCCTTGCTTTTGCCCGGGGTTGTGTGAGCCCAATGGGGTTGCGAGTGGTCGTGGATGTGGCTTCTTGCAAGCCCGGACCGACTCCGCTCTTCTTCCTTGTCTTGTGATGGACCATGATGCGGTGAGTTGATAAACCGAGTCAACGAAAGTGTTCACGGCCCGGACCATCCAGAGACCGCCACACTGCCGTTCTGGCCGTTTGCTGCCAACCACCGAGTGTGCGTTCCAGCGGCCCGCATGTAATAAACTCTAGTCGAGAGCGGGCATCAAATGACCAAGCGGCACTGGCACGGAGGGTTACTCTCCAATTTGCCGGTAGAAGCAATTGCCTTCTTCCATTGCGACTGTGAAGCTCCGGCCAAAGAACGGCTTGCTCTGATTACCGGGCATGTCACATAAAAGTTTCCGATAAACCTGGATCGGGGGCTTGGACGTTGCAGATCACTGTTCAAATCAAGTCTGGCGCAGAAGCTCGATCAAAAAGACCGCTTCTTTTCCTGAGGAGATCAGCAAGAGCGAACGAGTCGGTCAAAGTGTCTTGCATTGCGTGGGTTACAGATGTATGACAAGCATGTGTTTTGTGCCGTTAACACTTACAAGTCCACTCCTGCCCCCATCAGGACGTAACAATGGATGTTACGGGTTTGTATTCCCTTTCCTTCCCGCATTTTCCCTGTCCTTATTTTCCCTTTCTTCTTTTCTTCTTTTTAAGGTCAATCTTCCCCATTTCAAATTTCCTGAGAACCGACTTTTTTTTTTTTTTATCTCGAGGCCAACGATCGTCCAAGTGCCGACGCAAAAAGAAGATCGCCGTTACGGTAAGGCCAAGATCAGATTTCGATCTGATTCAGAAAGTCCAACGGAACCCCACTCCGATTTCCCCGCGCCATGGCTGCCGATGTGGGGTCGTGATTTTCTCTCGTTCGGTTTGTGACTCTTTCCCACATCTTCACTCGTCAATCCAGACCAAAACCCCACACAATAAGGTAGCCATGCCATGGGAGACAGACAGCAAGGCGGGGGGTTAGTTCGATCAGCGAGTGGTGTTGCGCATGACTGTTCGCAACGGAATTCCAGGGTCCGGCTCGACGGTGCGGCTAACTGATTGGACCGCCGACGTGGCACCAATTTAGCCAACTCATCCATCCCCCATCTCGGCCATTTAAGCCACGGAACGGAGTGTGATGGGCACCAGACAGTGGTGAGGAGATGCCACTGGCCGTCGTCTTGCTGCTTCTGCCTCCGCGCTGCCTCTTCGGGGCCCTCGGGGTCATTGGTTCCCCGTGGCGAGCTGAGGGGAATTCCAAGTGTAAACCGCTGGCCAAAACCTGCGATGCATCATGATCGATCAAAAAAAGGCCGATCCAATCTTCAGCTGGTGGTATCATCGTCACGAAAAAGCAAGTTTGCATTCAAAAATCCAGAACTTGTGCCGTTTTACCCCTGAATTGGGCGCCGATGGCTCACACGCCACCACGATAACCAGCTGCAAGTCAGTCTGCGTGTCTCACCTGTCCCGCGGCGCCAGCAACGCAAGCAATCGCATCTCCAACGCCATTCCATCCTCTGATTGTCCCTCTGAGCCTGACCCAGTCCACAACGGCCAGCTGTCACCGCAATCTCCGATCATGCACAACCTCAGATCCAATTCCAACGCCCACCGCCCACTCGCAAAAACCCCTCAACCCCAACCATACCATCGCCATGTCGTAGTCAGGTAGGTAGGCAGGCGGCAGGCGGCAGGCAGGCAATCAGTCATCACCCAGAAACCGCCAAACCAGCAATCTCCCATCACCCACGACCCCCCTCCTCCAACCGACCAGACAACAAAAAACGAAATGAAACCAACCCTCCCAAACCCACAAACCCACAAACCACGTTCCACGTTCCACGTCCCACAAACCCAATCCCAAAAAACCAACCTGCCGTCACCCGCCCATCCAACCAGACACCGCCGCCGACCAGTCTTGGCGTGCCATCGAGCCCAGAGCCCAACCAGGCCCGACAAGTCGTTCCCCGTCCCTTGCAGCTTGCATGAAGCCCACGAGCCAACGAGGGCCAACGAGCCAACGGCGGGGTCAGCGAGCCAACGGGAAAGCTCCCATATGTCGCCGCGGGAGCGGTCCGGGACGGGGAGGGTTGACCAGCTATGTACATATGTAAGGTACTGTGTGCGTACATGGGAGGGGGCAAGAGATTAACTAGTGGTAGCAAGGATTGGGAGGACGCAAGCGGACGAGGAGGGGGAGGGGAGGGGAGGGGAGGGGAGGGGGAGATTAGGTTTATTTGTTGGCTGCAGGCACGTCAGTAGGTGACGGGGGCTTGCAGTGTTTCTGTAAACCAACCTGCCTGGGTCTGCATGTGGAATGCTGGGTTGGCGATGGCACCCGTCTCAGGGGCCCAGCCATGGTAGGTTTGCGTAGCTACTACGTTTTCCACGCGAACGCCGAGAGAGGTGGGTGACAGGGCTGGGGAAAAGGGGAACAGAAAATGGCGACGAAAAAAACGGCGTTTGTCTATCCTGGTCATCCCGATGGCTAATGCTCTCGTCGCTCTCTCATCCACAACGACGGTCTTGAAGCCCCCTCCATCCGGCAGCTCGCGTCGCGAATTCATCCTCGCACCAAACCGTCCGTCCACTGCCTCGTCCGGCCAGTCACCAACCAGTCACCAACCAGCCTACCCGGCGGTGTGGGATGTGATATGCAAAGTCCCGTCTCCTTGCCCCTTGCCCTAGCCCAAGAGCGCGCGCGCCAGCCAGCCCGGCCCAATGCAAATGTCTTCCTTCACCGTGCGACTCTGAGCCACCATATCTTGCCATGCCATGCCATGCCGTGCCACGTCTCCCCTTCACCCCCGCGCGTCGTCACGTCGGACCCACCCCACGCGTAAACGGCAGCAGCAAACCGCTAAATTTCAAAGACAAACATGTCGTCAAGCATCCTCATCATCCCACTCGCCCTCCCCGAACCTTCTCCCCCCACCGGCCCCATGTCCACTACCATTACCACCTCCGCCCCCACCACCGCCCCCGGCCTCGATCCTCTCCAGGAACTCGGCCGGGATCGTCGGTATGTACTTCCTCTCTCGCTCCCGATTGACCCCCCCGAAGCCGGCGCCATAGCTCACCAGCATGTCCGTGACGCTCGGGAGGGTGAAGGGCAGCATCAAGGCCGGGTCGAAGAGCAGATTCGGTGGGGCCTCGTCGTCTCCGTCTTGTTCTTCCTCGGCCGTCGCCGTTTCCGGTTTCGGGGTGCCCGGTGTTGAGGCCGGGGCGGCGTGGCCGTTGGAGGATTTCCCCGGCGTGGCGGGCGGCGAGGAGGCGGCGGTGGCAGCGGCAGCACGGTTCCGCTCCCTCCTGAGGGCGGCCTCTTTCTGGATGGCGACGAGGTACTTCATGGCACTCTTGGGCAGGCCTTTCTCGCCAACCTCGGGTCGGTAGTGCGTGGCGGTGTGGATGAGCTGCTGCGGGGTGAGGGCCTTGAGCTGCTGTAGGGTGCCGACGAGGGCCTCGAGGTCGTCGGCGTCGAGGGACGAGAAGCACTGCAGCCACTGGAGTAGCTGGATGAGGGGGGATAGGTGGCGGCGGGCGGCGTCGATGGTGGCCTCGCCCGACGACTTCATCTCACCCTGCTCGTAGTGCTCCGGCTGGCGGTTGTTCTGGCGCGCCCAGTCCTCGAGCGTCGATATGTTCATGCGGATCTGCATGGCCTTGGTGCGGGCGAGGTATTTGCGATTCGACATGATGCGGTTGAAGAGTTCGGCGCCGAGCCAGTAGATAAGCTGCGAGACGATTTGGGCCGTGATGACCGAGTGGACGTCGTAGAGGTCGAGGACGAAGAGGGTTGAGGAGAGAAGGGAGGTAACGTTGCGCGGGGAGGGCTTCGCTCGCTGCTTGGGGGACGGCGGCCGTAACCGCTTCTCGAGGGGCTCTTCCTTGACTTCCTTTTTCCGCTTGAAGATCTTCCACTCGTTCTGGAACGTTATGTCTTCGAAGCCGGGTATTGTTTCGTGGTCCAGCATGGCCACGTCCAGGACCTTGTCGAGCCGCCGCTCGGCATCCCTCACTATTAGTATGAATATTTCGTTTATAAGCTCGGCGAGCTGCGCCTGGAATTCGGTAGTGGCCTCGACAAGGCCGGCGTCCTTCTTGAGGTAGTGTAGTAAAAGGGTGGCATTCGACATCCAAAACGCCAGGATAGTCATATCCCACTGGTGCTTCTCCACCATGGAGTTGATCTTAGCCATGGCAGTGATGAGTAGCTTCGCCAGCAGCTCGGGGCTGGAGTGATAATGGGCGTATCGCGCACCTAGGAAAACCATGTTTGCGGGTACCGGTTTCTGAGATGGCGAACGTTGAGGGGTCATATTGGTGATGACGATATCTAGGATCCGATCCAGCTCGTTCTCCTGAAACACGAACATTTGGTCGTGGAGACACCTTGACCAATCGAACTCCTGTTGTTCCTCCTCGAGTTCTTCGGGGGACTGATACGGTTAGTTAAGAGGAGGGGATGGGAAGGCTCTCAAGTCTCACCTCGGGCTGGTCATCCATGCCCACGTTTCCAAGGTCTACTTCCAGGTCGCGGGCACTCTCCATCATCATGCGGCGCCTCATCTCGTTCTCGGCGAGCTCCTCCTCGAACTTGTCCTGACTTAACCCTGGGTTATAGAAGTCGTCAACCGCCCCGGCGGTCCCGATGCCGTACCCGCTGAGATAGAAAGACATGTCGCTGTCGGGAGCAACGAAGTCGAATGCCGTCCTCCCCGACGACGTTTTAGCTTCGGTAGAGGCGCCGTTATCGAGTAATAGCTTCGCAATGCCCTTGTGCCGGTTTGTCATGGCCCACATGAGGGCGCTCCACTGGTTGCGATCCTGCTTGTTGACGTCTGCTCCGGCGTCGAGGAGGGCTTGGACAACCGATTCGTGGCCCTAGGCTCGACATTAGTGAGGAATGGTGGGCGCCGCGACCGCTCGACTCACGAAACAGCTCGCATATATAAGGGCCGGCGTGCCCTCGTCATCTGGGGTATTTGTGTCGATGTACTGCCTCGCTTTGCCCTTGAGGACCTTGGTGACCGAGTCGACGTTGCCATTGCTCGCAGCCATGATGAATGTCTTTTGTAGTATATCCCTTTTCTCATCTGCGGACCTATTCTCGTCGGTAGCGATGGCGTCCTCGTCTTCGAAAGCGGCGCCCGCTGCGTGGGCGGCCTGGGCGGCGAGCATCTCCATCAGGCGGGATTCGCTTTCCGGCCCCCCCTTGGTCAGGTCCTCGCCGTAGTTGTCGTCGAGTGCTAGGTCGCCAAAGGTCATGGGCTTGGCGAGCATAGGTGTTGTCAAAAACTGTGATTGTCCTGCGAGAGTCATGCTTAGCTAGTTTGATTTATAGAGGATGTGTATAGGTACAAATAGCTAGTTATGACGTGAGAGGAGCGCCGCAAGGAGTACTAACCCTGCCATCCATCGTACATCTCGGTCTCGGGCACTAGTTCGGTTGGCACATGTCGCCTGTCATCGAGGGAGCGCGGAAGGTCGGAGGGCAGGTCCCTCTTCCTCGGCGGCGACCCTCCATCGCCGGCACCAAAACCTCCCTCAGAATCCCCGAGATCCATGGCCCAGGGTTACGTGGTGTGGCATGCGGCTGCCGTTCATTCCCTCATGGGCGGACGGTCTCGGAAATCGTAGTGCGCATTCAGGGATAGGCTCTCAGTTCGTAGGGGTGGCGTCTCGGGGGTCGATTGATAAAGGGGGCGCTCGAGGGCGTCAGGAATAGGAGGATGCCGAGTGATGCCGAGTTTCGCTGTCTTGGTCGTTTCCCCCCTCCAAGTCCAAGTAATCTAATTAGGCGTGCCTGAAGTTGGCTTGGCCGTCTTGCTGAGAGAGAACACCCCACCTTGATGGCCCGTGCGTTCGTTCGATAAGGGACACCTCCCAGGCAGCCTGGTCCTTCTCCATTTCAGTTTGATGAGTGCCCATCGTTTTCCTTTTGTGCAACCGCTCTGGCACTTTGGTCATCATTCATGTGTCACAACTGTGATTGATCACTTGGGGTACCAAGGCAAGAACGAGCTCGGGTCCTCTTTCTCCAGATTGATTATGATTGTTTTAGTTCACAGCACCTGCTCTAAGGCATCTTCAACAGACACGTCTGCGCATGTATTATATTTTGCACTGTCATTGATGTTACTACGTTGTACGACTATATTCTTCACCATTTGTGACGCTGTTTGGGCCTCGTACCGCTTGTACCGCTTTGATTTCTTGTTGCGTCCGATTTTGGTGCCCGCCCCCCTCAGGTTTGTTTCAATCCATCCCATGGTCAGATCCAATCATCAAACAGCCCTCTTCCCAAAAGCACGCAGCCTCTTAACTCCTCCATCAGGCACCATGATGAGCTTCACGTGAGTGAATGCTTTGTCTTTCACCAAACTTTCTGTGGGGTGCTCCGCATCGGGGCCGCACTTGATGGGTTCGGCCATGTTCACCCAACCCTCGGCATCTGCGGCTGGCTCTGACTCGCCCTTCCAGTCGATCGCTTCGAGCCTAACCTGCTGTGGGTAGTTGCCGCGGAAGTGGGCTGTGTCAACGAGGAAATTCTGGATATATCCGGGTGCTCCCAGCCTAATGATAGCCCAGTCGATATGGCCCTTGGTCCGGGACCGCGCCGTCTCCCACCCATCACCCATATGCTTGCCACGGCCGGGCAGGATTAGGTTGTCCGGGGAGCTGTAGTGCTTATTGTTGCATGAGACGGCCACGCCGCCGTTCTGGGCAGCAGCAAGGTCGAATATGGCCTCCTTGTCCTCTGGGAAGACGGGCACGGCGTGTCCGAAGAGGCGGAACCGAGCGATACCGCCATCGGGGTACATGTTCAGGCGAACGTGCGTGTACTGCTTCTTGGTGGCGTTATCGAGCTTCCACCCGAACCTCTGCGTTGGCCCGCACTCCTGGATGCCGAGGATAGTCTCCCAACCCCCGCGGCCGCCTTTCCATGACAGGACTTCATCGTCGTTTTGACTGAAGCAGCCCTCTACCGAAATGGCGGGTGCGTGGTTGCCCGTGAAGAAAGCTGTGTTCACCTCTGCGCCCTCTACTGTGCCCGAAGCCACACCCAGGCGGATGACGACCCAGTCGAAGGGCTCCGGGTTGTGTCTCCTCGTCTCCCAGCCGTCATACCAGGCGCCTGTGTGAACGAACTTGCCAGCTTGTTGTATGGGTGCGGTCGGTTTGATCAAGTTGATTGCCTCGGCGAACCATTGGTCTGAGAAGCCCAGGACCCTACCGCCGAGGTCCTCCGACACAAGATCTAGTACAGTCAGTCACGCCAGCGACGAGGGCTGGTTTGTCTTTTAGCTGAAACGGGTGCTGACGGACCAATGGAGCTAGACCGGAAGGTCTGGTCGATCTCTTCGGACGGGATCCGGGTGGCCTCGACGGCCTCGAGCTTGTACTCAATGTCCTCCATGACGTCGGCGGCAGGAAGTAAATATGAAGATTAGTGGCGTTGGTCGTTGGTTTTTATGTGGGAGCTACAACACAACTAGGTAACTACAGCACGGTATATAGAGCTAACATAGATAGGAAGAGGGGGAGATCAAGGTCCAACAGGAACGGCTAGTTAGGTTTCTTATCTCGCACCTGGGACGGACGTCCCACCTTCTTCTACACAGTAGCATTGGCACACTCTGGTGGGCACCGGCCGGCTCCGTACGGCCTCTTGCGGCCTGTGGAAACTTAACGACGTTGCGGAGGCGGGGCGGCGGGGCCCATTTCGACCTGACGGTGCCACTCATCATATCTCCCCGGGTATCAATACGTAAGCATTGAAGCAGCTCGGCATACTTCGTACAAGACAGTGAATTTCCATTTTGCCATCTTGCGCCCATGCTGTTTGGTCGGATGTGGAAGCGGGGCAGCAACCGGGTTCGCGGCACACAACTTTCATGCCTTTGTCATCGGCAGGCAACTCGGCCAAGCCACCTCGGGAGCGGATTGTAATTATATGGCGTTTATTGGTTGGAGTATCGAGCTCGCTGCCGTCATCGCGAGTCTCAGCTGCACCATCGCTGAATTTGGTTAGGTCTTGGGTTTTCAGCTACGAGGCATCGCGATCACAGGCGATCAATACCTACTCTTTCGGATGGGGCTTCCAAAGTGAAACATTACACAGTCAGAGACCAATCTTCTTTTAACTACAAGCTGCTGGCAAACTGTGAGAAAAGCACTGGGCGCCGGAGCTCAGCTCAGCCGAGCAAGGTCCCCTTTTCGACACTTACATAACTGCGATTTTCCCCGCAGCTTTGCTGTACCCATCCATTTCACCTGGTTCCTGCATCCTCCAAGCTTTGCACGGGCATGAGCATTTATTTGCGACCGTGCTGAAATTCTAGATCAACGGCCGCTTGAGGTCATCGAGTACCTGCGTGGCAAATCCAAAATGGCTTCCACAGAAACACCACCGCCAACCCAAGGCGAGCCTCCCGCAGCACCTACTGAGAGTGAGCCTCTGCTCGGACGACCCGGGGACGCGACGCAGAAACCCGACGCCCCGATGATCAACAACTTTTTCCTCGGCACGGGCTGGATCGCCCAAACCGGCGCCGCACTCCTCGTCGGCGTCATCTGGTCGTCCGTCTTCACCCACGACACCTACATCCTCGTCTCTCCGCATCCCCTCCTCCAATCCCTCGGCGTCTACACCATCCTGCAGTCCATCCTAATCCTCCAGCCCACCACTACCCCATCCACCAAATTCCTCGGCCAGCGCGCCCATTTCTTCATGGTAAGCCCAAGATAACCTCCCCCCCGAACCTCGGGGTCCATCCCTCTCCCCAACCCAACCCCCACCACACTAACACCACACCACACCACACCAACTAACCCCCCCACCCCATCAAAACAGCACCTCCTCTCCATCACCCTCTTCATCGCCGGCACGACCATAATCGAAGTCAACAAGCACACCAACAGCCTGTCCCACCTACACTCCACCCACGCCTGGCTCGGCGCAGCCACCCTGCTCCTCCTGCTCGCACAATACATCTTCGGCTTCACCATGTGGGCGACGCCCGCGGTGTGGGGCGGCGAGGAGGCGGCCAAGGCCGCGTGGAAGTACCACCGGTGGACGGGCTACACGGCGCTGCTGCTGCTGCTGGCGACGGTGGCGTCGGCGGTGGAGACGGATTATAATAAGGGGGTGACCAAGGTGCCGATGTGGGGGGTGCTGCTGTCCGAGGTGTTGATTGTGGTGGGTGTGTTTCCGCGGGTGCATGTGCGGAAGCTGGGGTTGAGGACGGGAGCGTAAGGGGGGATGGTGGGTTACTTACCCATGTCGTGATGAGAGAAAGGGGAGGATGAGGTTTTGTGGTGGGGTCGGTTTTTGGCTTGTGGGATCCCCCTGTGTTTGGGTTAAGTTAGGGAAGGGGGTAATTGATGTCTCGGGGGTTGGATTGTTATACGGTTTTTATGTTAGTATTCCATTGACAGGGTGTGCAAGGTTTACAGCGCTGGGAGTTTTCGAGGTAGAGTGATCTCTTGATTTACTTGAAACCTTGCCAACTACCTCGAACATCATTAACTACTCACTCCATCGTCTCTCGGGGTATACAGACGCCCAACATGTTCTCGCTCCATGATACATGCTGCCACAAACAACACACAACCGCTGGCAATATCCGCTCCCTCCAAAGCCAGCCCCCCTGCTCATTAATTCGTCCCCTTTCATCATGCCATGCTGAAGCCCCCTCCCCCAAATTGTTTGTCTCAATCCCAGTGGCCGCTAGGCCAAGCTGTCTTTTGGCCCTTCGGCCGTCGAATCCAAATGTGCCCGCTCGCACCGTGTATTATTTCGTATGCTTCTGCCCCCGTATTTCCGCTTGGTGTCTTTTCGTTTTCTGCTTTTCGATTCGCACTCGATTCGCTCTGGACGCCGACATTCCGCCTAGCAAAAACAACCGCCCCCAAAAAGGTATCAACAAAAAAAAGAGTGTCGTGAAATCCCAACCGCCGAACTCCAATGCCCCGTGTTGCCTGCCCCGTGGTGCGTCGATAGGACGCGGGTATCTCGATGGTCGTGTTTTAAGGGTAAGGGTTCGCCGGATCCATCGGCCAGTCGTCCTCGGTGATGCTAGACCAGAAAAGCCAAACCAGAACCACAGACACCAGCGTGAACAAAGTCTGGAAGAGGGCGCCGTCGATCGCGTGCGATGTGCCGTTGCAAATGTACGGGCTGACCACGAAGTTAAAGACCTGGCCCGCGGCGAAGGTGACTGCCGCCGCGATAAGGAACATCATCGGCCGCGTCTCGCCCAGCACCCTCAGCACAAGGACCGTCTCTAACACGAAGTAGAGGACGATCCAGAGGAGCGGCAGGAGGAGGTAGAGCACGTAAAGTGCGATGTGCCTGTTGAGACCTCCTTGGCTTAATTCCCAATACCCGGTAAAGGTGAATCCGGTGTCGAGGGCGATGTAGCCGACGCCGATGAGGAACAAGAGGGAGGAGCCGACGAGGAGGCCGAGGGAAAACGGAGTCCCGTCATCCATCAGCTGGTATCCGACAATGCCATTAAGGAACAGGATCCATGTGGTCGCCGCAATGGCGCTGACATGAATGGCGCTAAATGCCTGCGATGACGGTAAGACCGGGAACACCATCAATCATGGGGTGCTTACTCACCAATCGCACTCTGGAATCCAACGGGAAATCCCCCACTGAGAAGATCTCGCATATTGAGATCAGTATGTATCCTAGGAGAAACGCTTGCATTTCTCTGCACAACGGTTAGCGCAGAAGAAGGCGGCGAGATGCACATGTAGGCCCACTGACCTCCGCCCGACAGCTGCTCGTTTCCTTTCTGAGCGAAGCAATAGCAGGACACTGACGGCAATTGCAATTCCGCATATTATTATGGACCCTGAAAAGCGTCAGCCACAAGGCATAGGATGAAGTCAGTGAGGATTATCACGAACCAAGATTGCCCAGGTGCTGGTCACCGGGCAGGGCGATGCCCCTCAACTCGCAGCCATCCCATGTCCCTCCTGACTGGTCGCCTGTGGGTGATAGAAGCTGGAGAGGCAGAGGTGAGTAGAGGTCCCTCGAGTTGTAACAAAATTTTCTTTGCGAATTGGACTCACATTGCAGATTGGCAGAGTGGTGTCGCGACAGAACTCCTATCCCACAACATGATTAGCATGCGCACTCTTCCACCTGCGACTCGTGTCCCTCACATTGAAATTGCCAAACTTTGTTGAACCCATTGTGGAATGTGAGACCCCGGCCGTGCTATGTGTGGTCTGTGATCTGTTCGAGCGACGCGGCCGTGATGCGACGGGGCTTGTTCTTTTTTGTTCGGGCGAAATCAATCAAATGCAATGCAAGGCCGTTGTTTGTGTACAGCTGAAGAATTGTTGTGTTCCTGTCCTTCCTCGTCCGCCTCGTCTCTCACCGACCATTCGAAGCGCGCGAAGCGTTGGCCGGGATATGCGGTGGTTGGCGGTGGGGACCTGAATTGAACGCAGGCCTGGTGCAGCTGAACGACCGAGTTCCCAACTGGCCTGCCTCTTCGCGCAAATGCGAATTCCACCTCTTCTATCTCATACGATGTTGCCCAATGGCTTTGTGATGATGCGCGCGCATGCGATAGCAGCTTCGGAGAGGGCGTTTGAGGGGTATCAGCTCGTTCTTCGGGGCGGGCGGCCGCGCTGTTGCGGGATGATTGCTGTGGTGACCAAGCTGGGAGCGAAGTGCAGGGCCCGGCTGGGTTTTGGTCAGAGCTCCGCAATATAAAACTCAATGCCCCGGTCGCAGGCTGGGGAACTGGCACTCCTCCTCGGCAGGAACGCACGATGGCGCGCCCCGTTTGGCGTGGCACGGAGACCGGCCCACACAGGGATCTCTGAAGCGCGATTGGACGGAGGTTTTGGGCACTTTCCTTGCCAGGGACAAAGCCCAGCCACTTGGCGAGATGACACTGAGACTCGACCCAACCAGCTTTTGATTCACTTGGCTGGAACGGTAGCATGGAGCTGTTTCCTGCCCGAGAACCGAGGATTTGCGATCCGGGAATCCCAGATGGCAGATGCATTCCAGGCGATGGCGATTTGGATTTGTGTCCACACATTACGCAAGGAAATCTATATATATGCAGTGCTTCGCAATGCTCGTTGGCTATGCTGCTGACGGGACGGCGCAGGCTGCGGGTGTGGCGGCAGGGATGCCCTTCTCTCGTCTCGAATGCTGCCCTCTCTCTCTTCCGATTGAAACCTTGGAAGGGATGGCGAGAACAAGCGGTTTTCGTAGCCGTAATTGGCGGCCCAGAGAAATTGGGCTGGGAACCCGCTGAAGATCTCTCGAAAACCCAAATTTCCACGACTCTCATCTCTGGCAGAGCGGAACCTGGGGTTGTTTGGGTCGTGTATGCATGATGAGTTGGATGTGAGGAAGGCTGATGACGACGCTCCGTCACGCATCTTTGTCTGGTAGGGACGAAGTAAGCGGGACTGGTTGGCCTGTGGCGCCGGCCCGTATCGGCCATCCCAAAGGTTGAGCTTGAGCCCGGTTGGTTGGCTAGGTTCCTTCCTCGGTCCATGGTCGTCCTTTCAATGCCCCAGCCTGGGGCCATGCGCACGCCTCAGTCAGTCCTTTTACTTTTAATCTGTATGCGCCCATCCGAGATTACAAGTAAGGTTTCCCCCGGGACTTCCATGTCTAGTCCAATTACTCGCAGGTTCGGCTCACATTCACATTCTCGAAAAATGCGAGCACCCGAAGGGCCATGAGGAGTTTGTTACACTTTTTGATCATTATTGATGCTGTCCGAGGTAATGCAAGATCGAAATATCCCGAGAGAGATGCGGGGGGACGAGGGCCGAGGGCCCGGCAGGCTCCCGTTTGTGACCCACTGTCGGCGGATCCGGCCCCACGATGCCAACCCGCCACCCGCCCAGCCCGGCGATTCATGCTCGTGACTTTCCGCTCCGGGAGGGCCTTGTAAACCGTCGCCGCCCCGGATGACTTCGGCGGCAATGGGGCTGATATGCCCTCGGCCCACGCTCGAGTCATTAAACACATTGCACACTTCGCAGGGCACACTTCGTACACCTCCGCCGTTTTCTGGAGGGGTGACACTAACAACCTAATCCGTGTTGGCCATAAATTCGACCGGGCAGGCGGTCGTGAGATTTAGCACCGACCCGACGGCCTGATGGCGGCACGGCAGGGCCCCGGCCAGGCTGTTGGGAGATCGCTGACAACCCCAAGTTCGCGAAACAGAGAAAAACTTTGAGGGTGGTGGCGGTTGATTCCGTCAGATCTCGCGAATCTCAAACAGTTCGAGCAATCCAGGATCTTGCCCGACCGTGCACGCCACCACGTTCCAGGTTGGCCATCTCTCTCTCCCAACTTGAAAACTCGCCTGGGGTCTGCTGGGTTTTAATTTCGTCAAACCCCTTCGAAGCCCCGCTTCGGGGAAAAGAATTCGTGCTCGTGCGCAACGGTTTGTTTCACGCACGATTCTCAGAGTGAACCCATCCATTTGACCCCATTTTAACCCCCCTCATCTGGGCTGTCAGCCTGATCATTTCTGGGTCGCCAGGCTGAGGGTTCTTGCCCAGATGACTTCATGCCCCTCGGAGGCGGATCCCACTGCGCATTCCGCGTGATGCTCCCTGCCGTCCCGTGGACCCTGAAAAGGGTGAGACAAAACCGCAGTTTAACCGCACAGAAGCAATGGGCAGAGGACTGCGGTGCCGCCTTGCCGAGATTTCGTAGTGATTTGCGGTGATGTGCGCCTGGAGGGCTTACTTGGCAAGCCGTGGGAGGCAGCAGGAGCAACAGAAAGGGCGGAAAGTTGGACGTGGACAGGGGTGATCCCCTGTGTGGCGGGTTAGCGGCTTGGCCGCCATGGGGGTGCCGCGCCGCTAGCGAGTCTTCAGCGGACGGCGCGGTCCCTTCTGTTCGCCAGACTGCTACCAACTCCAACCATTCTTCTGCACCGCCGCCGTGACCCCGAGACCCGGAGACCCGACACCTCTTTTGCGGCAACCTCGTGACAGCTGACCGATGAGTCCCTCACCAGCGGATCCCGTCAAGCTCGGACAACACCCCCCGACTTCCCCCACAATCATTGTGCATCTGCACTCCACGCGGACGCGGGCTGCTGCCGAACAGCCCCATTACCTTCAAGATTCCCTCCTCCAATCCCACCCGACTTCCCTCCAACATTCCCCTCCGCACACTTCCCGCCCACGGCGAGCGACCAGATCCTCAACACAATCAGGAGCAGTCGACATCACTGCTTGCACCCCACGGCCGCGGCCACCCCGTCGACCAAGCCGGCTACTCGTCCGAGTCTGAAGAGGACGACAGTTCGTGGACAGACACGGGTGACATCGCCGAGCAGCTCGACGACGAAGATCCACTGCGACAACGGGTGACAGAAACACTCGACGGCGACGACACGCTCGCGGGCGTCTTGAAGAAGAAGCATCATAGCCGCCACTCAAAGCGAGTCCGATACAGGGAGCCGCTGTCCTCTGGCAGCAGCCGGTCAACGTCTCGACACGCTGGCGTCATCGACAAGGAGGCCATCCAGATTCCAAACATCGGCAACCACAAGGCATCCAGGGCGGAGCGCCTGCTAGCCACAATCATGACGGGCGGCTCGAGTTCCATCCACGGCCTGACGGGCAAGCCGTTACTGTTAGTCGCTTCCGCCCGCCTGATGCATACGTGTTTGCTGACAGCTCCCATAGGTATTTTACTTCGATTTTTGTATCATTAGGTGTCTTCCTCTTTGGATATGACCAAGGTGTCATGTCCGGCATCATCATGTAAGCTTGTGTTACCCCGCCCCGCCGCCAGCACTCCCTCTAATGGATGGTCCTCTCTTGCAGCGGCGAGTATTTCAAAAAGTATTTCCATGACCCGACCCCGGTGCAGATCGCGACCATGGTCGCGATCCTCGAGGTCGGCGCCTTCATTTCTTCCCTCGTCGTCGGCCGGGTCGGCGACATCATCGGACGGCGGAAAACCATCTTCTACGGGTCTTGCATCTTCTTCGTCGGCGGTGCCCTGCAGAGCTTTGCAGCGAACATGACCATGATGATGGTGGGCAGAGTGCTGGCCGGTCTCGGCGTCGGCATGTTGTCGACCATCGTGCCGGTCTACCAGTCCGAGATCTCCCCTCCTCACAACCGTGGCCAGCTCGCGTGCATCGAGTTCACAGGGAACATCGTTGGATACGCCACCTCTGTTTGGGTTGACTACTTTTGCATGTTCATCAAGAGTGACCTGTCTTGGCGTCTACCCTTGTTGATGCAGTGCGTTATGGGCGGCCTGCTCGGTCTCGGCAGCTTGATCATTGTCGAGTCACCCAGGTACGTTTTCTCGCTGCTTGTGAACCCTCTTCGGTGTGCTGATCGATTCGCAGATGGCTGCTGGACAACGACCATGACGAGGAGGGCATCGTCGTCATCGCGAACCTTTATGGTGGCGGCGACATCCACAACCCTCGTGCCCGCGAAGAGTTCCGCGACATCAAGATGAATGTGCTCATGCAACGGCAAGAAGGCGAGCGTACTTACAGCGAAATGTTCAAGCGGTACGGCCGCCGCGTGTTCATCGCCATGTCGGCACAGGCGCTGGCCCAGCTGAACGGCATCAACGTCATTTCGTACTACGCCCCCTACCTTTTTGAGCGCGCCGGCTGGATAGGGCAAGCCGCCGTGCTGATGGCTGGTATCAATGGTATCACGTATGTGCTGTCGACCATCCCACCGTGGTACATCGTGGACCGCTGGGGTCGCCGGCCGATTCTGCTCTCGGGCGCTATCGCTATGACGCTTTCGCTGTCGTTGATCGCGTACGTGCAGTATCTCAACATCGACGCCACGCCAAAGCTGGTCGTCATCCTCGTAGTCATCTACAACGCGGCGTTCGGGTACTCGTGGGGACCCATCCCCTGGCTCTACCCCCCGGAGATCCTGCCTCTCAAGATCCGCTCCAAGGGCGCCAGTCTGTCGACAGCTACCAACTGGGCGTTCAACTGGCTCGTGGGCGAGATGACGCCCATCCTGCAGGAATTGATCGCCTGGCGGCTGTACCTTGTGCACGCCTTCTTCTGCGCCGTCAGCTTCGTAGTCGGTATGTCTACCCCCCACCCTCTCCCGTGCTTCGTTTCCCTAAACCCCAGACCCTGTCTAACCTTTCCGGCCCAGTGTACTTCCTCTACCCCGAAACGTGCGGCGTCCGCCTTGAGGACATGGACGCCCTCTTCGGCGACTCGACCCGCGCGCTCGGCACCCCGGCCTCGGCCACGCCGGCCATCCACGCCGAGTCGGACGCGCTCCTGCGGCCCGCGTCGCCCATCTCGGCCCTCGATGCCGCGAGGAACATCTCGCCCATGGGCAGGCACCCTGCGAGCGCGGCGATCCCGGGCCTCGATATCGACCCTCCCGTTGACGTGGAGGCGGATAGCAAGCCTAGCCAGAGCGGCGGTGGTGGTTCCGGGGGAGTTGGTGGGTGGTTCTCGCGGATCATCGGACGGGGAGGGAGGGGTGAGGGGAGTGGCGGGGAGTATGCCGCTGTTGATCAGAGGGAGAGTTAGATAGATGCGGTTTGGGAGCACCAATGGGGACTAGCTAGACTCGTTGGATAGCTAGATGGTTCTACAGTAGGCTTGGGTATCACGCGGTGCATATAGATGGCGCGGATGCGTGACTGCCGCTCGGGCGGCAGGATATTTCTGGGATGTGTTTTTCTCTTTTTCTGGGCTTGGGCCTAATGATTCTCGGGCGGTTACCTAGATGTCTGTCTTTGTTGGTGTAGTTCAGTGGGACCATAGTCTGTCGTCGTTTCTGTCATAGCGGTAACGGTGTTGAATTGAGGGTCTGATCTCCCCGCCGTTCCACCAGTTTGTTTGCCGTCACTTTGGGAATTAGCGGTGTGATACACGCTCTACTCACCTACGCAACCTCGCAACCCCAATTCCCGAAATCTTTTCTTGTCCCCTTGACCACAGCTGGGAGAGTCTCTTCACTTTGTCCATTGATTGGCCCGTGCACTCAGCACCCCAAAATCTCGCCTCCACCCAACTCCAACTCAACTCAACTCAACTCATCATGGAACTCAGCTTCACTCAACTCACCTCATAACAACCTCCCGTCCACTCATCCGACCTTCCCACATAAACCAGGAGCGCAACACCCACCCCCATCCAAAAAAAAAATTCAAAAAAAAATGGCCACCCCCCAAGACCTCGTGCAAGCCTACCGCAAGCTACTGCGCGCCGGCCTCCGGGCGGTGCAGTTCGCGCAGCCGTCGCGGACGACGCTGACGCGGCAGCTGCGGGCGGGCTTCCGGGACCCGCGCGGCACCTTCGACCTCCAGCGCGTCCGCCACACGGTCTGGTTCCTCAACGCGGCGGCCCAGCAGCGCGGGCTCGAGCACCGCATCCTCAAGAACCTGTGCCGCGTCCACTGGGAGCGCGAGAACGAGGCGTCGCGCACGCCGTGGCGGGTGAGGGTGCGGAGGATGGAGATGGAGGAGCAGGGGAAGGGGAGGAAGGGGAAGTGAGTTTTGCTCTTTCCAATTTTCTTTTTTTCTTCTTTTCCCCCCGCCTTTTGGAGGGGTTGGGGGGTGGTTGTTGGAAAGAGTGCTATGCTAATGTGTGATGTGTGGGAAAAGGGATGAGGATGTCATCAAGGGCACGCAGTACGAGCATTATGAACGTACGGTTGCTATGCTCAATGATACCATGGGGTTGTGTCTGCGATGAGAAGCTTCTTTGAGAGCTCGTCGCGGGTACCAAGTCCTGTCTGCCGGACCGGCTGCCGGACCGGCTGCCGGGTGACAGCCTCCGACTCCAATGCCATGCCGTGGCCCCACCGAGAAGATTCCCCTCGCGGGTGTCGTTGCCGAGCTTCAGCACCTTCGGCCGTCCCTGCGGCTGATGCCGGTGGGAGCCGAGCCGTTGCGGTGCACAGCGGCGGGTTTCACAACGGAACTGAAGATGCATTTCGGCTTCCCCAGTGAGGTTCTGATTGGAGTCTGGGTTCACTCCGAGGAAGTGCGACTGGTCAAACAAACTGGCTGCAATTCAGGAATCAAGGGACTCGGACCCCAACTTCGAGGGCCCTCCCACCGATCGCCCCCAGCAGATCTACAAGATATGCGGTTGGCTTCAGAACTAGCGCTAGTGGGACGAAAAGGTCGAGCAGGATGCCGGTTGTCACACATTCCATGTCCCAGTGGGAGGGACCGCAGTGGGCTCACTCTTGGTTGGCATCATGTACTCATCGGCGGATTTGAGAATGGGAAGTATATCGATGGAGACATCTTGTGGGAACAGCATCTGATGCTCACCATCCTTTTCGCCATCAATGATAACGAAATGCAGACCGGAGACAAAATCACAGGCCGCGGCGGGTGGCTCGTTGCTGACTTGTTGTGGTGCTCCGCTCGGCTGCAGACAACCCACCTCAATTCGGCAATCGATGGTGCAGCAATGACGTTACCCCTTGTTCGACTGCTCACCGGGCATGAAGCCATCGTCGCCTGTTCCGCACACCGTCCACCACCCGATAAACGTAACGGCGGCAAACGGTGGTGTGGTGATCTTCCTCATGTTCCCCGCTTCTATATGTAGCCACAAGAGTTACAGCTCTCAGTGCCGCTTGCCTTGCTCGAATCCAGTGAACGGACGTGTGACGGAATTCGCCGAGTTCGGGCCCCGCGCTAAAAAATGCCCCGGAATCGAGCGCTCGCACCTCACTAACCAACCACCCAGTGGCGGAGAGCTGAGCTTTTGGACCTGAACTTGCATGACCACACCACATGGAAGGCAGCTTCTTTGTATCGCAACCCCGCAATTGAAGCTCGGCCAACCATCCTACCCTCCGCCATCTACCCTCATCGAACTGTAATCGCCGTTACACAGCCTAGGAGACTCGAGTTGAAGGCCCCGCCGTCCGCCGATCAGCCAATTGACGCCCGACCCGTTACGGGCAGGGCATCCATATCGACGCCTGCGCAGCTGCCCCTCTCCCTTTGACTCTCGGTTCTTTCGTCCACCTTTGCACCCATTCCTCCTTCATTTCGTAACCCGCCAATGCTGCACCCGAGCACCCATTGACGAAGAGAACGACAAGGGGCATCCCTTCCAGCAACCCGGCGGGGGTTCTTATGGACCCTCACCTGCTGGCTCAGGCCCTTTCGCGACCGTGCTGCTGATGACTCTGGTCTCGGACGCCCCCGAGACCACCGTCTGTTAGCTAACGGCTGCTCCGTGAGAGGTGCCCTGCCGAGACGCGATAGCACGAACGAGAGAAGCGGCGCGAAAGAACAAAACAACGAGAACGATCAACGGGAAGAGCCAGGAAAATAGCATGCCTACTGAGCTTCAGACCGCCCCTCACAACGACCACCACCACGCTCCCCTCCTACAAAATGGTCCAGCCTATGGACACCGCCCTCCATCTCCCACCATGCCTTCTTCGCCCCCTTCGCAGAATCACGACGGCCAGCAGCGACTACAACAACAAACGCAAAAACATGACAGAAACTTGAGCAAAAGGAATGACACCGACGTCGATGAGGATATTTGTCCAGACCCACGGCTGGCAACGGCGGCAGCCGCAGCGGCCGCCCTAAGTCGCAACTCTTCTTCTGCCCCCGGCAGCCCAACATCACCTGGCAACAATGCCGTCTCGAGCTACCAGCGCCTGGTCAAGCGCTACCGCGTCGAGGTGGCGGCGTCGGCCTCCAGCGTGCTCTCCACTCTCACGACATTCCCGCTCGACAGCGTCAAGACGCGCATGCAGACGTACCGGTACGCCGGGTTCGTAGACTGCGTGAAGCATACCTACAACAAGGAGAAGCTCCGGGGTTTCTTCCGTGGCGTCACGGCGCCCATGGCCAGCATCACGCTCGTTCGGACAGTCTCCTTCTCCATTTACCAGCGCTCCAAGTACACCTACTGCGACTGGGTCAAGCGCAAATTTGGCGTGGATGTTATGGCACACGTCAGCTCGTCGGGGAGTTACCCAAACATGTGGACCGTGGCGACATTTGGCGCGGCCGGCGCGACGGCGGGGTCCTGTATTACAGCGATTGCTTGTGAGTTTAGTCCGGAGGGCTCGAGATTGGGTCTCGACGGGAGGTTGTGATACTGACTGTCCTGGTCAGGCCCTTTCGAGTTGACCAAGCTCAGCGCTCAGGTGTCGGTCCTGCTAGCGGACAAGAAGAACTGCCCGAGGCCGGAGAGCCATGCGATTGCCGCGAGTTATCAGAACAAGGGAACCATAAAGACGCTTGGGAATATCATCAAGCACCGGGGCATTGGCGGACTGTACACGGGATTCAGGTTACACCTGAGTAAGCATCGCCTTTTCTATATTGATCATGGTAGCGAGGAAGGCTAACTCCAGTCCGCAGTGCGCGACACGCTCGGCACAGCAACCTACTTTATGACGTACGAGAGCAGCAAACAGCTCCTAACCACCTTCGGAGGCGACGGCACCCATTCGAACCCACTCGCTGTCCTGGTCGCAGGCGGGCTGTGTGGTATTGTCTCATGGGCCTTAATCTGTAAGTCATCCCCCCAGTACCAAATATACTACAAGGCATTAAGCTAATATTTCCTCTATCCAGATCCAGTTGACTCCGCGAAATCAATCTACCAGCGCAATTCCTTGATGTACTCCAAGGGCCAAACGGTCGAACCGGTCAAGATCCGATTCTTCCAGCGCAACATGTACCGCGGTTTGGGCGTGTCCATGGGCCGGTCGTGTGCCGTGAACGCCGTCTTCTTCTCCTCGTTTGAATTCTTGAAAAAGCGCATCAAGGCTTGGGAGGATTAACCACACCCCTCCTGAGCCCCTTTCTCATCCCTGTATGTCAAATGAGCCTGTGTATTCCCACTATCTCTGTCTGTCTATTATTCGGCTCGGACATCGGGTCAGCTTGACTTTTCCGTGGCTTTTTACCCGCCCGCTTGTCTGGCAGGGGCGAAATTGTACAATTCTTTTGGCAGGCGGTTGGCATGGGATTCTTACCTGCCTGGGCGGTGCATATCATGGGCTGCGTATCTTGCATTGGCTGTCTTTTTCGTCGTCACATCATTCTTCCCTTTGGGGCGTGGGCGTCAAAGGGAATGGGCGTTGTTGTCTTTGGGGTGTTTGTCAGATTACTCACTTGTGGAAGGTCGTGGATGGGCGTCAATCATTTTTGGTACCGGAGCGCGAAGAGGAGGGTTTAGCATATGGTTATACAACTTGCGGAAATGGAACAAATTCCATCGTCTTCGAATGACCTAGCCGTGGTGCCTTCAAAAAGCCAACACGACATGACCTTTGCTCTTATCTCTTGAGCTGTGTCCACCGAAAAAAGTATATGGCTGCTGGATGTTGGGAGATCAGTATTTTGTGAAAAAGACCGATTCGATACTCCTCAACCAGTTGCTGGTTATGGAGGGAAGCCTCGCAGACCTCAACGTAGACCACCCCCTCATCTACCCCCCCCGTATCGCCGACGAGGTTCTCCCCCAAATGCTGCCGGCGCTTGCCTACCTGTCCGGCCTGGGGTACGTCCACCGCGACATGAAACCCGAGAACATCTTTTACACCACCACCGCCGCCGCCGCCCCCGCACCCTCGAACACCAAAAACAACCAACCAAACACCAACCAACCCGCCACATCTCCCTCCCCTCCGATATCAAAATCAGCACCACAACCTCTACCACGCACCCCCAAACGTACCACTTCCGCCTCGGCGACTTCGGTCTCTGCGAGCACACCACTCTCATCCCCACCGACGGCTCATTGCACAGAACCTGGTCGTACCTAGCGCCCGAGCTGCTTCCAACCACCACCCCAGCAACCACCCCCTCCAACGACGACCAGCAGCACCACCGCCGTCAGAATCAGCATCAACAACAACAGCAGCAGACGCAGAGATCAGACGTGTGGGCGCGGTGCGTAACGGTGCTGTGGACGCTGGACCCGGACGGGGTGTGGGGCGTTGCTGGATTGGGGGGTTGGGAAGTGTGGGTTGATGGTGGGGGGGAGTGAGGATGGGGTTTTGGGGATGTTATTTGGAGATGTGGAAGCAGGCGGTGTTGACTGTGTTAAGATCTAGACCATCTATTCGTAATGAGTTGTTTCCTATTTAGTTGGGAGGGCGACTTACACACGACGAGGGTTAGGGCTGGGTGATACCGATCTTGCCTTCCAATTCTTTCACTCCTTCCTTTCCTTCTCACACCTCCACTATTTCTTCACTTTTACTCCTCCCCGGGCTCCGTATTATCAGTGCTCTTCAAATACTTCCCCTATGCCTTTCCTCTCTTCGTTTTCCCCCTTCCAAGTTATGTCGGTCGTGTGTCATTCCCCTGGCTTCTGATTGGCTTTCTCACAGTGCGACAAGTACATCATGCCGCTCAAAGGATTATACTGCCCAAGTTTGGCCACGTATTCATTTGGTTGACTTCAGAGGAATGGAGCAAGAATTTATCCCGGAGTAGGTATTAGATATGAATTCGTACTTAAAGTGTCATTGACAAACCAGGTGAGCGCCTCGGGGTAACTTGGAAAATGCATGACGAGAGTATTGTATTGACACAGTGTACGGCAGCGGTACCCTTCGCAACGCTCACAAGTTTTTTTTTGCCATTTCGTGAACTGAGCTCATCCATGATTACACAAGCAGCGCATCTCGGCCACTGCATCACAGGACTGTCAGGTTTGGTCAAGACTGACGACGTAAACGGCTATCTCTGTTTTATTTTGTCGTTTTTTGCCTCTTTTTCTTGTTTTCTTTTAGTCTTTCCCTTATTTATTGATACCAGCAGACCATGTCACGGCGGCAAGGGACCAACATGAGATTGGGGTTAGACCGTGAGGTCTACCAAATAATTCTCAAACTGGAGGAAGAAGGGGGCGAAAGCGGACGGAAACCCCGGCTCGCCGTAGGATCAGTTTACGACAGCATCAAGCGCTCAAACTCAAGCCTCGCCCGCCAAAAGAAGAAGACACTGGAGGAGTCGATCGAGCGCGTGTTGACGGTACGGAAAGACCAATCCAAGGCCGACGAGCAGGAAGACTCGGATGATCTTCTCGAAGCCCAGGAGCAAGAAAGGATAAAGGCGGCAAAAGCCGAGCGCGACCAAAATATCATCAATCGCCAGATCGCCAAGTCTTGGGGTTTTGCCAACAACGAAAAGGGCGCCAGCACAGATTCTACCGTCACACCCGCCGCAACACCAGCTACAACTCCCGGCGTGCCACCACCCGAGGCTACCGTGGGGACGCCCAATATGGATGCCCCCGCCGCCACCGGGGATAGGCAAGCGAATGGGGAACCGAGACCCAAGAAGCGGAAAAGCGGCCCCAAGGAAGTCGACCGGAGCCCTCCTTCAAGCGTGTCCATCCTGGACATTGCTGGCGTGGACGACACGCTCGACAGGCTACTGGATGAGGTGTGGTTTCCGCTCTGCGCCGGCGAGGCCTGCGAGAAGATGGGCTACCGTTACGACAACGGCGTCCTGCTCCACGGCCCGTCGGGCTGCGGAAAGACAACACTCGCCCATGCCGTCGCCGGGAGCGTAGGCGCTGCGTTTATTCCGGTGTCTGCGCCGTCTATCGTCGGAGGCACGTCGGGCGAATCTGAGAAGAACATCCGCGACGTGTTTGACGAGGCCATTCGCCTCGCACCCTGCCTTGTGTTCTTCGACGAAATTGATTCCATCGCGGGGAGACGAGAGAGCGCAAACAAGGGCATGGAGAGCCGTATCGTGGCAGAGATCATGAACGGCATGGACCGGATTAAACAACAAACTCCGTTAGGCAAGAACGTGGTAGTCCTAGCGGCTACCAACCGACCCGACTTTCTAGACCCGGCCATTCGCCGCCGCTTCAGCTCCGAGATCGACATGGGCATGCCGAACGAGACGGCGCGCGAACACATCCTCCGATCACTGACCCGCGATCTCAGCCTCGCAGACGACGTCGACTTCCGGGAGCTAGCCAAGCTGACACCCGGCTACGTCGGCAGCGATCTCCAGTACGTTGTCAAGGCCGCCGTGTCGGGCAGCTGCCGCGGCAAGCTCGAGGACCTCCTCCGCAGAGCCCGCGCCCTGGGCGCCCCCGACTACCTCACCGCGGCCTCGCAGAAGCAGCGCGACTGGGTCCTCCTCGAAGACCACCGCCGCGCGCCCTGGGAAGAGAGCCACATCACCATGTCCCAGTTCAAATCGGCCGTGTCGCGCGTGCAGCCCGCCTCCAAACGCGAGGGCTTCAGCACCATCCCAGACACAACCTGGTCTCACGTGGGCGCGCTCGACGAAGTGCGCAAGAAGCTCGAGATGTCCATCATCGGCCCCATCAAGAACCCGGAGCTCTTCACGCGCGTGGGCATCAAGCCGGCGGCGGGCATCCTGCTGTGGGGGCCGCCCGGGTGCGGCAAGACGCTGGTAGCCAAGGCGGTGGCCAACGAGTCCAAGGCCAACTTCATCTCAATCAAAGGCCCGGAGCTGCTCAACAAGTACGTAGGCGAGTCAGAGCGGGCAGTGCGGCAGCTGTTCGCGCGGGCCAAGTCATCGGCGCCCTGCATCCTCTTCTTCGACGAGATGGACGCGCTAGTACCGCGGCGCGACGACTCGCTCTCGGACGCCAGCGCGCGCGTCGTCAACACGCTACTGACCGAGCTCGACGGCGTGGGCGACCGGTCCGGAATCTACGTCATCGGCGCCACCAACCGGCCGGATATCATCGACGAGGCCATCCGCCGGCCGGGACGCCTCGGCACCAGCATCTACGTCGGCCTGCCCTCGGCCCCGGACCGCGTCGACATCCTGCGCACCCTCTTCCGCAACACCGTCTCCAAGGCCCGCGCCGACCGCCGCCAGCTCGAGGCCGCCGCCGCCGGCACCACAGCAGCCGCCGGCACCGGCACCGGAACCGACGTCGACATGACCGACGCCACCACCCCCTCAAACACCACAAACACCACCACCACCACCACCACCGCAACCACCGCAACAGAAACCCGCGAAGCCGACCTGGAAAAGGTCGCCCTCGACATGCGCTGCACGGGGTTCTCGGGCGCCGATCTGGGCAACCTGATGCAGGCGGCGGCGCAGGCGTGTCTGGAGCGGGCCTACCTGATGCAGAAGCAGGCCGCCAGCGGCGGCGGGCGGGACGGGCCGGCGGCGGATCCGGTGATCACGTCGGCGGACTGGGAGAAGGCGCTGCGGGAGGTTAAGCCGAGCGTCAAGGATGCGGGGCGGTACGCGCTTGAGGGGTAGTTAGGGGTGGATTACATAGGTAGTTTTGTTTGTGTGAATCTATACAGCCACCCCTCAGGGGTTGTTTTTGTTTTTGTCTTGTTTTTCCGCGCAGAAATGTTCTTCTCCGCGGCGGTCTTGAACCGGAGCGGCGAACGAGCTGAATCCATGATGATACCTGCTTATTGCAGGGAACACGTTTCTCCGCCCTGTTCTCCCCTACGTGGTCGCTGCTCCGGAGTCCTGCTGTAAACCAATGGCCCTTCTCGGGATTCGGGATCTCGGCAACCGAACCAATTGGCCTCCCCGGGTAGGTGTTGTTCACTTGTCTGCCGACACGTCACCCAAAGCTCAACCCACAGAAACAGGAACTGTAAAGCGTCATGCAGAGTAGGGAATCGTATTTTCATCAATCGGGCTGCGCCGCCCAAGGACATCTCGTCTAGTAGTAGTGTCGTCGTCGCCCTCTATGTTGTACAAAAAGTAGAAGTAATAAATGGTTGTGAGTGCTGTACAAGAGCCGCCCCGTCTAATGCAAAAAAGGCCATGGCAAAAACGGACCAACTCCCTGTCTCCCTCGCAACGGCAACCGGCAACCCCTAAGTGAGGGTTCGCTCTTTTGTGATGAATTGGTGTGGATAATATTACAACGACGTTGAAACCTCGGTTATTCCGGGATTTATGCCGTGGACTCCTTGAGGTAGCTACGGGGCATGCGTTAGTATTCTGTGGTGAAGTATCTCTGGCATAAGGAAAACATACGTGATCAGGTCGTTCCTGTCCTTGTCCTTCTTGAGGCCACCGAACGCCATCTTGGTGCCGGGGATGTACTTCTTGGGGTTCTCGAGGTAGGCGAACTGGGGGCAGCGTTAGCAAACAGAGAAAACAGGGTCTTGTCTGCGGCCAGGTAGACATACGAGAGTCTCCTCGTTCCAGGTGATGCCCTTCTGCTTGTTGGCGTCGGTGTAGGCGTAGCCGTCGACGGCGCCGGTCTTGCGGCCGAACAGGCCGTGCAGCGCAGGGCCGATCTTGTTGCCGCCGGCCGCCTCAACGGTGTGGCACTGCGCGCAGCGGGTTTTGAAGAGGTTGGCACCCTTCTTGGCGTCACCTGTGGTCAGTCTGGTCAGCTAATTGTCCCTGCCGGATCGACGGAAAAACGGGTTTCTGGTGGTTCTCGAGTGGCTGGTTCCGCTGCGCAGTGTGTTGGCCCTTGTGCCTCGCTCGCCGGCTCGCGATTCGGTTTGCGCCTGAGAAATGACGCAAGGTCGCGGCCGGTGATGAGTGCTGGCTTCTGCGGGCGACAGCGGCGGAACCCCCCCAAGGTTCTCGAGGTACACGACCTAGCCTGACAAAGCAAGCCGTCCTCAGAGCCTCCTAGTCGTGTGTTGGGGTGCCAATGGCTGACGGTAACCATACTATGGCGGCTTTTGCAAGCGGCCATATTCGAGATCGGGGGAGCGGAAGCGAGTAACGGGCGTAAGATACATACCAGGAGCGGAACCCATTTTGACGGTTGGGAATTAAAAGTTAGAAGTGTGTAAAGGTAGGTGTAGCTGAAGAAGAGCAGGTATCGTGAGCTGAGGTTGGAGGTGAGAAAGGTAGAAAAGAGTTCAAGAAAAAATTCAGGGTGAGGTGTTGGTTGGCTGAGCGCTGTGCCATGCCTGGTACCGGATTTTTCCTTTCAATGACCGCTGCCAAGCCCCAGGGCGAGCCACAGCGGGTTGGACAATTCAGCCCACCTTTTACGTGACGCGTGCCAATCAGGTCACGAGAGTTAGTCAGTCTCTCCGGGCAAACTCGGGAGTGACCGGCACCCCATCCGGCATGTCCCTGTTCCCTGCTTTCTGGCAGAACACAGCACCCACGCCTTTGAGCGGCAAGGGTTAGGACTGCGCTAACCAAAATGGGATAGCAAGAGGGACCTTGCAGCAACGACCTCACGCATGCGATTTTTTTGACCACTCGCCGGGTCGCCCGATTGAGCCGCACCACAACGTCCGCTGCTCCGTCAATTTGCTGATTGAACGCCGAGGGTCCGTTCCGGCCGCCAATTGCAGAAGTGCAGCTGTCTATCACCCATCTGGCTCCGTCCATCCCCCGTGCGGACCTCGCTCAAATATCATCCGAACTCGACGGCAACCATGGCATCCGCAACAGCCTCCATCCCCCGCTTCCTCCTCCCACAATCCGGCCTGATCTGGCGGCGGGCAGCCCCGACCCCGACCTCGGCCTCCGCTCCGGGCCGCATCTTCCTCCGGCTCGCCAGCACCAAACCGAATCCTCCCCCCGGCGGGCGAGTGCTCGCCAAGCCCGAGCGCTTCAACCCGCCCTCCCACGGCGCCCGTCTCCCCAAGAACACCCCGCCGCGCCACTACGGCGGCGACCTCAGCTATGAGGAAGTCTCGGCGCAAGCCGTGCGGGACTACCCGGGCATGGCACCGCCAGAACATACGCTCGCCCACAAGTTCCTACACAACCGCTGGATCCACGTCGTCATCACCGTCGTACGTATTCCTCTCCTCACCACCACCCTCACCCTCACCCCAACCCAACCCCCCCCCATCCCCCACCACACCCCCAACTAACATATGCCCCCCCCACCAACCAGGGCACCCTAACAACGCTCGCCATCTTCACCTTCACGCTCTCCTTCAAAGAAACCTCCCCCTTCGCCGACATGCTGCCCTCGACCTCGGACTTCTTACACCAGCCCTTAGCATCAGCGCGCATGGTCGTCGAGGTGGTGCGGCTGCACGAGGCGCACAAGACGGCGCGCATCAACGAGAAGCGGCGGCGCAACGTCGACGACGTGGCCAAGCGCGCCGCCTACCGCAAGGCGCACGGCATGCCGGACGAGGTGGGGCTTTTCAACCAGCCGATGGCGCGCATCCGGCCGGATGCGGACGCGGGTGCGGATGCGGGTGTGGATGATGCGAGCCCCGTGGCGGTGGGGAGGGGTGGGGAGGAGGCGGCGGTGCCGGTGGGGGCTGCTGCTGCTGCTGTTGCTGGGAGTAGCGAGGCTAAGAAAGATGGGGGACACGAAGCGAGGCGGTTGACGGAGGGGGAGAGGCAGGCGGTGGTGGACAAGGCGAAGAAGGGGTGGCTGGGTATCTTTTGATTGGGCTGGATGGCTTGACTATGTAGACATACAAGGGGTGGATTGTACAATAACCGGCGGCGCAGCTGCAAATGGGTGGATGGCTGGATGGACGGACGGACGGGAAGACAAAAAAGAATCATGACAATACCACAACCCCCTTCACACCCTCCCCCCCTTCTCCCTCCCACACCACCCACACACCACAACCCCCCACAAACACACAAAATCACCCCAAATCCACCGCCTCCAACGCATCCAACACCTCATCCACGACCCCACCCCGCTCCAGCACCTTCTGCACCAGCGCCCCGAGCACCCTCCTCTTGGCCCCGCCGCGCGGCGCCTTCCACACCCCCTCGACGGCCTCCGTCTCGGCGGTCTGCGCCTCCAGCATCTTCTGCGTGGCCCCCGTCGCAGCGCCGTTATTCGCGCCGTAGGCCGCGTTCGCCGCGTTGGCGACGCCTGGCGGGGTTAGCCGCGAGGGTGGGTCGATTGTTCGGATGGAGAGGAGGCGTAAGTTGCGGCCGGCTTCTGTGTCTGGTTCTTTTAGGTCTGCGTTGTCGGTGTGGGGTTTTGAGGTGGAGGAGGCGGTGCTCGTGACGGATACGGCGAGGGCGACGTCGGCGACGGTGAGCTCTTCCTTGGAGGGGTCGAAGATGATGTTGTTGCCGACGGCCATCACGAGGAGGGTTATTGGTGGGCGGGTTGCGGCGGTGGTTGTTGTCGGGGAGGTGGAGGAGGTGGTGGTGGGGGTGGTGCGTGGGTAGAGGTAGGGGGCGGCCGCCCAGTCGTCGTCGAAGAAGGGGTCTTCGTCACCTTCGGATTTGAGGCGCGGGAGGCGGGTCGAGAGGAGGGCGAGGTGGGATGTGAGGGAGAGGAGCGGGAGGGGGTAGGAGAGGGGCGGGGAGATGAGGATGATCTAGGGATGATGGTTAGTGTGCGTTAGGGGTTAATTGACCGTGCAAGACGTACATCGAGGTAGAGCTTCCAGTGAAAGCGTCGGTTGATCCACAGGCGCTTCGCAAACTCCCCGTCCGAAAGCAGCGCCTCACTCAGCATGGCCGATAGGAAGGCCGTCCCCGAATCGTCGTCCCTCAACCCGGGGATCTCAACCGTCATCTCCACCCACGCCGCATCCCCCTTCCTCTTATCCACACCCTCTCTCGCCTCCCCATCCCCATCAGCATCATCACCCCCCTCCACACCACCTTCCTCAAGAAAGATAGTATCCTCCCCCGGTCGCTGGGCGGTCCTCTCGACCTCGGCCTTGACGCCGACGATGGCCTCGGTGCCGTCGGCGAAGCATATCCTGGCGCTGCCGTTGGTGCCGGGTAGGATGCCCGTCTCGGCAACTAGCGGGCGGAACTGGGTCGGGGAGCGGCCGTCGGGGCGGATAGGCGGGGTCAGGGAGAGGGAGGCGTGCAGGTAGGCAAGCTCGGCGGGCGAGAGGAGGACGTGTTGGCTGGATGCCATTGTCGCTTGTTTTTCGGGGTTGTTCTATTATAATTTATTTTTACTCCTTTCCCCACGCCATGTGTGTCAAGGTCGAAATTATTGTCCGTCGGTTGGGAAAAGTGGTCGCTTTCCTCCCTCGTTGGTTGGTTTGGGAGCTTTGTTCAGCAGCTTGGCCTGTTTGGGGTTGCGGTGCTGAAATTTTGGAGGTGAGGGGCGCTGTGAGGCTGATGTGGGGTGAGGCTGCATGGAGCTGAGCAGGGGCTTTTCATGGGATTACACTACCTAGTTAATCTGTCGTTAGGTATTCGTACCTCCTTGCTTCGTATGTACAGATTCCATACCTACGATAACTTCCAAGTCGGGATTGATTTAAACACTTATGCGACGACAGTGTTCTCAATGCTTGACCACCAGCGACAACCACCATTAACGAGAGAAAACAAAAAGCAGTGTTTGTCTACGAGTTAACTACGCTGTTGGGTACAGTACCCCCGAACACCCATAATCCGACACATTGCTCGACCAACAGCTTTCCCGGGCAACCCAATCCAGCACGAGAACATCCGTAATATCAAGCAACCGAGACCCGGCAACGTATCGGGTTGTATTCCTCCAGCTCCCGCTCTCCTTAAACATCTTATCCATCCATCTAGCCCACGGCACCTGTCAACAACCGCGTTGCGCATTAGGGAGAATCGGGTTAGGGCTCATCATCCCCATGGTCTGGTTCAGGAGTATTTTGGCGCCATAGGCGAGAGAGAAGTTGAGAATGTGCAATTGCAGCGGCCTTTATCCTCCTCCTCTCCGTCATCGTCAACCGCGTCGGCGTCGGCGGTGCCGGGGATAGCGCGCTTACGAAGGGCGTCGACGACACCATCACCCTCCGAGTCGCCGACAACGACAGTGATGTAAGGCTTCACGCTCTCGGCCCCGGAGGCTGCGTCGGTCGCCTTTTCGTTGATGAACATCCGGCCATGTTGAAGAAGATGAGTGAGGAGACTGGCCTCTGAGTCAATGATCCGGGAGACAATGCTTAGGCCAAAGGCCTCCGTTATCCCGTGATTTCGGCGTGTCCAACGCCAGGTCGTTGTATGTGGCGCGGTACGCACCCACGCGTAAATCCGATTCAGGACCCTGGCGAGCGTGTCTTGTCTGTCCCGGAGGAGCGACAGCCGCAGTCGCTTGTGTGGTGCGTGTGTTGATCTCGGTTGTGTGTCGGTAATGTGCGCGCTTCCTCAGTAAGGTCCTGGGTGAATTCCTTACTATGCGTGATAGTGATCACGCCACCCTCGAAGGTCTTCAGCGCGCCGGACAGGGCACCGAGAGAGCCACGGTTGAGGTGGTTGTGGGGCCCGCCCAGGTAGTTGGTCGGCTCATCGAGGACGATCAGGTGAGGGCCCGGAGCGGCCAGCACGCCGTATAAATGAAGGGGTCCTTGAGTCGGGTTAAAACATCGGGACGCCAATAGTAAAAGTAGGAGACGGAGTGATGATGATCGGGAGAATGGGACTGGTTGTATCGATGAGAGGCGGGATGATTGTACGAATAGGACGAAGGTGTGTGAGAGAAGAGAGGAAATGGTGGTCCAGGAAGAGAATGGAATGATGGTTAAATAAACGAGAGGAGCTGGATCCAGGCCGGCAACAACAGAAGGAGGTAATGCTCAATCCGCGGTATCATATTCTTTCACGGAAAGAACAAGGATGGGGCGGTGGTTGCGATGAACTCCCGTCTGCAACTCGGAAACCTTCCCAAGTTGGAAGTCGAAGGCACACATTGTAGGCACACACCAATACTGCTCCTCCCTGGGCATCTAGGCGGAAAGGGAAACTACCACGTTGAGGAATATCATCGTTGTGGCTAGGGTGAGAACTAAGTGGACGGCGGGAAGGGCCAACATGAAGAACAGGAAAGGTCACGCTTTCATTCCTAAGGAGGTTACGACCCACGCAGTGATGACCCCTTCTCCCTTCCTGACCAGGGCAACCTGAGTGCCTCTCACAGCCCTAACCAGTACGAAACACCGGAATACCAGGAAAACAACCCAAACGGAAAACACACAACCGGTACAAGCTAGGTCGGTACCTAGGGAGGTGATTATTATGACATGGAGGCCACTTTCCAGTCCATATCTTCGGGACCCCAGTATCCGCATAATACATTCCACGTCATCATCATCCCGGCCCCAACAGAACAGAACTACTCAATGAGACAATACCCATCCCATCCCGAGCCAGCCAAACATCCCACCCAGATACCCAGGTAGGTAGGGCAAATCAAACCCCCATAGCCGTAGCCCTCAACCCCTCAGGCACAGCCCAGCCATGGGCATTCGCCGCCCTCACAAACGCATCCACCGCCTCCGCGACCCCATAATCCCCCCCCACAGACACAGACACCTCTTCCCCCGCACGCTTCTTCTCCACCGCCCCCCTCCTCAAAAACCTCGGGTCGAGCCTCGCAGGCCGTGGCTCCAAATTCGCCAGCGCCATGCGCACCTGCAGCAACACACTCTCAAGACTGTTCGCAGGGGACCACCCCGAGGCGGTCAGCAGCTCCATGCACATGGCGCCCCCCGCGGTGACGTGCCCGCCGCCGCCCTCGAGGAAGGGCAGGAAGCGCGGGCGCACGACGCGCACGAAGGGCGGCGAGAAGGGGAACTCGGCGCCGAAGCGCAGCTCGAGCACGACCGAGGTCAGGCCGGCCTGCTTGAGGTCTTGTGCGAGCGGTAGGGTGGGGTCGAAGCTGTGCAGCTGCACGATCCATTGGAACAGGTTGCTGACGCTGTCGAAGTCCATGTACCAGCCGAGCTCGTGGAGCGGGGTGCTGGACTGGGCGGCCTGCATGCGCATCAGCTCGCGGCTGAGGGATTTGGTGCCGGCGTCGGTGGCGAAGGAGGGTGGTTGGAGGCGGGACAGGGTGGAGAGGTCGAGGGCGCCCGGGTCGAAGTCGGTGAGGGTCCGGTCGATGTTGATGCTGGTTGGGGTCGGGGGTCCGTCGCTGCCGCTGTGGGGGTTGGTTAGCGTCTTCCGGGACACAGGGACTGGGGGTTTCACGTACCTGCTGTGAGCGGCTGCGATGTCTATGCTCGAGGCGCGCGATGCCGGCTTTTTACTCGGCGGGCCGCTGGGTTCGTCGAGTTCGTCGTCCGAGCACAGATAGACCAGGTCCTCGACGTCGTCATCATCGCTGTCCTCGAGCAGCTGCACTTCCCGCTTGGGAGTACCAACCTGCGCAACGGCTGATGGGCCAACGGTCCGGAGGGGGATGGCAGTGAGGGGTATCTGTAAAACCCGGTTGTCCTGGCCCCGGACCTCGCGTCCTTCGGCTTGCGGGTAGAACTGTCGGTCATCGTCTGTTTGGTCTACTACTGGTAACGTAGGACCCGTTCCCGCCCCGAATGGCGCTGGCGGCTCGGCCCTCCCGGAAACAGTCCGGACAAACAAATAACGGCACTGGTGCCAGTCCAGTTGAGAAACCACATAATGCGGCGTCTGGGAGACGAATTTCGTCGGCTCATTGATGATCTCGTTCAAACTCAGACAGGTGTTGATATTGAGGTCTGAATTCGGCCATGATTGCCCCCCTCTCGAATAGGACATGCTTGTGTCGAGAGACGGGCTAAAGTAGACACCATTCCCGTAGGCGCGCCCCGAATTGATGTCTTGGAAGTCGAGACCGGTCCGCACGATGCTGTGCCAGTTGGCGAGGTTGCTCCCGTGCCAGGCGAATAGGGTTGGGTTTTGCTTGATGTGTTCGCATTCAGCAACCTCTTGGAGTGCCCTGTTGAACCGTAATTCCTTGTCTGGCGAGCCCTGGGCGAAACGGAACTGGACCCATCCTTTCATCCCCAAGATGCGCTCGTGTTCCCGGTTCCTGCCCCTGCCAGCTGCTCCAGGGTCATCCAGAGGATCCGTGCCTGGGGTTTGAGTGCCCGATACTCCCTGGCGTGGCCGAGCAACAGCCCGGGAGCGGTCGACTTGGAGAATGCAAGATCGGTTCGATGATACGATCCATTGAAGGAGCGATGCGGCGGCCGGGGATATGCGCTCTAGGGACCGGAGGGTACTGTGTGGATGGCTCGCTAGCCACTCCTCAAGGTCGAGGATGGAGGGGAGAGTATCGAGAACGTGGCGCATAGCGCTGACCTTGCTAACGTCCTCTAAGGAGTCAAAGTCGGTGTCGTAGAGGTAAACATCGGCAATGTCAGCTTCCGACTGGGTCGAGGGCGATTGTGGTCGAGCCCAGGAAGCGCCGGTCTGTGTTGGCACTACGCCCCCGCAGGCGAAGGACTCGCCCATTACGTCGACGACGGCTGTTTTGGTGGCGCTATTCACCTCTCGCACGCGTGCGTGCCGGGCAATGCTCTGGCCGGGCTTCCGAAAGGCGAGCCACTCGGTCGGTGCCAGACGACCGCCAAATTCGTTGGCTCCTATGTCCTCAAAGACGAGGTACTCGTTATTTGGCCCCACCTTCGCCTTGAAGGGTATGGCCGTGGCGTTGTCCAGATCCGGGACCCTGAGGCGCAACCCAACCGGGAGAGTGCGGATACTGAGCTTGTTGTTTGGACGCGGGGCGGTTGGTTGAATGGCCGCGTAGCAAAGGCTAACAAGTAGATCGACGACATAAGGCTCTGTAAGAACCTCATGCTCTATAGAAGGACCGAATCCCATGGCCATGTACTGGAACAAGCACAGCGGGTCAGAGCAGACATACGGACGCAGGGCCTCGAAGCCCTTCTCGAGTCGACGGTGACACCGCAGGCAGTACTCGGTGCATTTCACAAAGTACCGCATAGCGAACTGCATTGCTATCAGCGGGAGGCTGCGATTGCCTTCGGGGTTACCCTCTAGAAGATGGTCCGAGCCGAGGACATGGTGGTGGTGTTCGGGGGCTCTAGGTGTGTTGCTGGAGCCGCCCCCAAGAGATGGATCCGGGGCTGGGGGCCGGCACTCATCCGCGACGAGCCCAATCCTCGACAGCAAAAACTCATTCGCACTTTCCCAGTGGACGCCGTGAGCCTGACGAATCTTCAAGAGCGAGACGAAGCGCTCGCCCAAGAACGAGTCCAACGAGTTGGAGACGAGGAGTTTCTCAAATGCGGCGCCATCATCCTCCCGCTCTGTATCGCTCGTATCGAAGTAGTTATCGGTGGCCAGATAACGGTTGGGCTCGGAGAAAGACCGGAGGGCTTGTCGGAGCGACGGCTTGTATGTTTTGCACTTTCCAATGCGGAATGCCACCTGCGTGTGGGCGGCGGCCTGGTCTATGACCTTGTCCAACGGACTGTAAGGGTTTTCAAAGCGCAGGATGAGGACGACGTATTCTGTGGGCTCGACATCCCACGCCTCCAACACTTGGTCGGGCAGGGCCAGCTTGTCGACTCGGATGGAGATGGCGACATGGCCGGTGGCGGAGCCCTTACCGAAGCTATCGAGGAAGCCCACTTTGTAGCCTGCGTTCTTTACCTGTCGGAGGTCCCGCCTGATGCGCTGAAGTAGCAACCTCTGGCCTTCTACCGGTTGTAGGCTCTGCCGAGAGGGTCGCGGATCCAGTGATGGCAAGCCGAATTCGTCTCCGTCGGAGGGGTAGTCTGCGTCAAACTCAGCATCGTAGTCGTCGGCATCACTCTCTTCGTCGGCTTCATTCGCGCTCTCAAGTCCGCCGTCCAGGGCGCGGCAGACCTCCTTGTCGAGTCGACTCCCCAGCTCAGTTACCATCTCGTAGACCGACATGCCGATGAGGTACTCCTGCGTCTCCTGAATAGCGGCGACAACGGGCGGTGGCGGTTCGGGGTCATTGGTCCAGAGCATGAACATATTTCCGTCGGGATATTCGCTGACATCCTGGGCTAGGGCCTGGATGCGTACATCCCCCGCTAGACTTTCGTGGTGGTATATAATGACGATCTCGCCGTCGGAATCGCCGTTTGCCACGGAGAGCACACCGGGGATGGCGCCACTGGCCGCTTTTTGGGCGACCGTGGAGACATGAGTCTTGAATGTCCTGAAGCTCATGGCTGGCAAAAGGGAGGGAATTAAAAGGTGGGAAGAAGGGGCTATTCGCCAGCCTTATTTCGGAGTGAAGCAGCAATCCGTGGAGAAATTGCCTGGTTGGCCAGTCTGTCAGGTCGATCAATAGAATCCGTTGGCGTGAATGAGCGATGTAGAGAAAACCTACAGCATTCGCTCCCTCTGAAGGTCGAAGGAAGGAAAGGCAGGGCGGAGTTAAGCTGACAAAATGACACCTTATATAGGTAGTTACGGGATGGGATGTAATTGAGACCAAGCAGTATGGTGATGGGGGAATTGGCTGTAACCACGATAACGCTTCGTAGATGGGTTGTTACGTGGCCTGCTGCAAGTACCCTACGGTCTGCGAGTCGATGCTGTCGTCATTGACCGAAGAGAAGCTGGAGGCACAGACGGTGCTGTTGAGGTTCGAGGTCGCCTGCAGGCAGCAACAGCGGGGTTGGCTTGTGAGTCGACAGCCCTGCGTCGTGGCTCTCTGATCGGGCAATTCCTTCCATAGAACGCAGTTTATTTATTCCTCAAAGGTCCAAAGTTGGGTAAACGGGATGTGAGGACTGAGAAAAACAATCCAATCAATTCATTCCAAAGCTGGCTGTGCACTGTCCTGAATGGACTTTACAGCGAAAGACAAACATCGGGCAGACCGGGTCATCACCTCAGCCTCTTCCCGGGGGGCAGCTGTTCTGCAGAGAAATTGCTTTGAGTCCTGCATCTGGTGAATACCAAACGTCACATTGATGCATGGCAAAGTGCAGGGCAACTAGAACAATGTCCGAGTTCTCAACCTGCGATCAGGCCAGGCAGGTCGGGCTTTGTTGGTTTGTCCAGCTTTCACCATGGCTAAGTCGGTCTCTCGGTGTGTAAAGGATGTCGTTTAATAATGTGGAGCCTTGTCCCAAATGGGCACTCAGCTTCCATGACCTTGGTGATCCACTCATCCACTCAGGTGTTACCAGCTGTCATGGGCTCTCTGAGAGGAGGGACAATGAAGTGAGCTGGCCAACCATCCCCCCAAGATCATCACCAACAACCCAACCTTTCCGTGATTTTCGTTTATTTTTTTATTCGTCCAAGTCCGGTGTCGCGTATTCACGGGCGACTCAGAGCTTACGCGCCGTCGAGGGTTTGCACCAAATTAAGGCAACCGTAGGACCGAAGAAAGCTACACAGTACTATAGGTACCGAGCGATTAGGGAATCAAGGAACCTAGGACTTTGGACCCATCCATCTAAAAATTCCGTTGCCAGGACTGGGACAGGGGTTTGTTGCTGTTCCCGACAAAGCAAAGGAAGCATGGCCTGGGACTCAAAGGCAGCCCGGCGGAGGCAAAGCAGTGCCGCCTCGGGGACAAGGAGCATTGCCATTCACGCGAGGCAGCAGGCGAAACGGGTCACTCAACCACAATCTCAGCATGTAGCCGACCCTTTTCTTCAAGACTTCTTGAACCCCTCGTTTGATGCCGCCTCATATCTCAACGCCACTCTGCCCCCGCTGCAGACCTCTTCTCGGACACCGGGAAACCAAGCCTCAAGCCAGGGGGCGGTACCCCTCGCAGAGCTCTCCATCCAGACCCAGACGGCACTGTCCCAGCTCAACGCCCACACCACCAGACTGACCAACACCCTGACCGAGCTGACCAACGACATCCTCCGGAGCGGCAGCCGCCTAGCCTACGAGGTCGAACTGCTGCGCGGCGAGACCCTGGGCCTGTCAGAGACGCTGTCGGAGGGGCTCGAGGACGACATCGCCAAGTTCGTGCCGGGCGGCGTGCGGGACACTGTCGCGGAGCCTCGGGCGACCGCCGACGGGCATGGCGCGTCGTCGTCACACCAGCGGCGCATGTCCATCCTCACGGGCGCCCCACCCACAACCGCACCAGCAGCAGCACCAGCAGCAGCCGAAACCACAACCACCACCCCACCCGCCGCAACCGAAACAGCACCAGCACCAGCACCAGCAGCACCAGTAGCAGCACCAGCAACACCCGACGAACCAGCCTACATCACGCAACTGCGCACGCTGACACTCGTACGGTCGCGGCTGGACGCCGTGATCAAGACCTTCGGCGAGGCGATGGAGTTCGTCCTCCCACCCTCCGAAGTGTCCGTCAGCTCCTCCTTCCTCTCCGTCTCGGCGCCCGACGCCGGCGGCGCCAACCACAGCACCGAGGAGAAGGGCCAGCAGGTGCTGCGGGCGCTGCGGGACGAGATCTCGCGTCTTTTGGAGGGGGGTGGTGGTGGTGAGGGTGGTGGAGGTGAGGGTGGGGGTGGTGAGGGTGGTCAAGGTGGGGGTGACCCGATTGCGGGTATCGAGGCTGCCGCGCGCCGGATCGAGCAGCTCAAGGACCTGGCGGCCGTGTGGAAGGGGACGGCGGAGGAGAAGGGGCGGGCGCGGTTTATCGAGTCGCTTGCTAAGACGGTGGAGGATCGTCATAGGGAGCTGCTGCGTGAGGTGGAGCAGGCTGGGCGCCGGGCTGGTGTGAGGTCTCAGGTGGAGGTCGGTGGTAACGCTGCGAAGGCGGCTGGTGAGGGTGCGGCTGATGCTGCCGGGCAGGCTGAGGCTAAGGGCTACGGTGCGTACGGGCTGATCAGCCAGCTGCAGAAGTTGAGGAATGGGCTTTGAGTGTGGTGGAGGTTGGGGTAGGCATATGATATGGCCTTGGTATTGCTGAGTTTACAGGTTGGATGGCTCTCTGCTGCTTTATAGCCATTTTCCACAACCACAAACTCACCCACTTTACTGTTGACAAAAAAGTATCGCACAGTGCCATCCAAATCAGCTCCCCCATAGCCGTATCAACGCATTTGAAGTGTGCTGCGTATTCGAGGGGCGCCACCAAGCTAGTGTCCCTTTCGTGTGCGCACCCCTGAACTCGTCCGAGGTCGCCCCGTCGAATATGGCTTGAAAGTAGAGCCTGCCAGTCCTAAGGAGGCGGACGCCAGTGACGAGCTTCCCCGACCAGTGCTTGCGGGTACTATTTAGAGTAAAGCGTGCCTGAATCCAAGCCCCGGCCTGTATAACTCTGCTCCTTCACTCGCACAAAATGTCCTCAAAACCCCATCTAATACATTCAAGGACCAAGAAAAACGAACCCCTGAACCGGTCTGTCCTCCGTTTCCCGAAAAAGCACCATGGCGAGCCAGTGGTCAGTCGGTGCAGGGTGGTACTCTTACACCGCAAAACCATGATAACCGCATGGCTATCACGAGACCAGGGCGTGATGCAGTGTGATAAAGCATGATTGCGTGACCGGGTACCGTTTCCGTTGCCTTATCTTGCAGTGATGGTCGGTGGCCGAACGGAGCTGCCTCCGGATTGCTTCTCTAAGGTGGATCATGACACAACAGTCCCTATGGTGGGCGTTTTGGTTCGAGTGTATTAGCTGCGGGATGAATTACACATGCTGTCTTGCTACGGGTAATAGTTCTACTACTGATAAGTGAATCTTGCCATATACCTTGGATCTCTACACTAGATTCTTGTATGATCCGTCGAAAATCGCTGCTCTTGTAAAGAAAACCAAGGTACGCAGACTTCTTGCCCTTGGTAAGCGGACTGTCTCTCTACAATCGACACCGTTAGTTACATCCCACACCCATTTAGGTGAGGACGCTTCCTCGGCATCCGACGGGGCCTGAGGTTTCCAACTCCGGTGAGATACAGCCACCAAGTTGGTGCCATGGCCCGTCTTTAGGCCATGCCGTCCAGGCTCTCGAGGAGCCTTCGTCAGAACAAGAGGAAAATCTGGATTACTGTTACTTTGCTTTGATGGCGTTGATATGCTCTTGCCCCCAACCGTCCACTCTAAAAGCACCGCGAACCTAACCCGTCCGAGACAATGCAAATCGATCAAACCAAGAGTGCCGCCCAAACCCCGTGTGATTGTGACGATGTCTCTTATCGAGCACCGGCATCCCAAAAAGACGTGGCCTGCCCATGAATACCTAACCCGTGTGTATCGTAGGTCCAGAGGAGAGGGAAGGGGAAGGGAAACAGAAACGCAAAACAAATCTATCACGGCCCACCACCCCGCAAACTCCCGGAGACAGATGCATATTTGCCGCAGCCAATTCCCTGGTGGGATGACCAAAATACCACTTTCCCGTGGAGCCGAGCCCAGCAAATAGAGCATGCCCGCCATGACAGGTCCATCAAGGAAGCAAGAAAAGGTACTATCACCCTTGAAACGGAGAAGAACCCTATGTACTCCGTCTTCCCGAAGATGCGCAAGTGTGCATAAAAACAAAGACAAAGCCGCCGACACTAAAAAATGCTAAAAAAAAGAAAGGAACTAAAGAGGAAGCCGACTCTGGGCGAGTCAGAAAAGGAACAATGCCATGTCAAGAATGATCCTTGAGCGATAAAAATGCCCAAAGAACCCGGTGGATTCCGTACTTCGGAGTCACGGTATAGCGAGCAACGGTATTTCCGGCGTTGGAAAGAAAGCGATCACGCATTCCTCTCCCTGCCGAAATCCACCTCCTTTTTCTAGAAGGGCCGCGTATGGTAACACCGAAAACGGAAATCCGAGGGGTAAAGCAAGTCCAGAAGGACCGGCCCGTCTCTCAACATGGCGCGCCTCGAGACTACCTCTTCATGGTGGAGCGCTCCAGCGCGGTCTGCAGCTCGGGCCGGTCCTTGAGCAGCTCGCTGGCCTCGGCGAAGGTAAACCACTGGCGCGTGCGCTTCTCCCGCTCGGGCCAGTCGGTTTCCTCGCTGGTAACGGTGGCCTCGTAAAACCTGTAGAGCGTGCGGGGCTTCTCCTTGGTCGAGTCCTTCCCGTCTTTGGACGAATCCTTGCTGGAGCCTTTGGATGACGAGGCTGAGGGTAATAACGACGCCTTCTTGCGCGGGTGCGTCTCGCGGATGTCGCCTAGGTCATAGTCGATTTGTACGAAGATGCCGGCCTCCTCCCAGGCCTCGCGGGCCGCAGCCTCGTGGCACTCCTCGTCCGTCTCCCAGCCGCCCTTGGGCAGCACCCAGCCTTTCCGCCTCGCCGACTGGATCAACATGACGTACGTCTTGTCCTGTGTTAACGGCACCATGCCGGCAACCAGGCGCTCGCCTTCCGAGTTGTATCCTGTTGCGGGGGAGAAGAGGGAACAAGTTAGTTTCTGACCCGCCATGTTCGGAATCCGCCGTCGGCTCGTCGTATCACTAGGGGAAGAGGAGAGGCAGAGGGGAAGGGGTTGGTTCTCTTCCCTGAGTCGAGGGGCAACTCACTCTGATTACTCCTCCCAGTCCGTGACTCCATCGAACGATTATTCCCGCTTGCCGCCATGTTCCCCAAGATTTCCATCAACCTGCTACCGAACTTTTGAAAGATCCGAGGAGTTACCAAGAGGGCTTGGTGTGGGGGTGTTAACTGGAAGAGTCGCGAGCTTTCGGGCAGCAGCACCACGGTCGCGGGTGAGAGTTGTAGAGCGGCGAGAATGCGACCTGTCCTTAACAAACCAAAGACAGCATGGTCATCGCTCAAATATCGGGGCGGGGTGAGGCGGTGAGTTTCCGGTAGACAAGGGTTGCTGTCGCCTTGATTCACCGGTGAGGGATGGAGACGGGGGATATGTGTGGTTCGGTGACCCGGGACCGGCGCGAAATTGTGAAAAATGTCACTGCACGGATTCCGTGGAGGTATTCGCACGGACGGCAGCCTTATTTTTTATGAAGAACGAGGTCGTCTGTGGGGTATGAACGAGTGAACGAGGCCGATGGCTTGTCGCGGCGCAAAGGGTCTCGTGCAACGGGCTTCTCCGGTGCAGGAAGGAGGTCGGGTGGCGGTTGGGGACAGCGCAAAAGCGAATGAAAGCCCAATTTCGACCGAGGTGTTTTCGAATCAGTCAACGAGGTCGGCCGGGCGACAAGACTCGCAATTCGGACGAAGATGTCGTGGTTTTGCGGAGCTGGCGTAGAAACAAAACTTCTCGACCGTCTACGCGCACGCGCTTGGCAACCGGCAACCCAGGCACGAGAAGTACTGTGTAGGAACCTGCACGTCTGGGCAGGCAACGCACGCTGAAATCCCCGACAAGCTTTTCAGGAGATGAATGTGCAGTGTGCTACAGTCGTAGACCACAGGAGTGTACTGTGTAGAGCTGATTGATGCGGCGAGGATGAACCAGGTGACGGGGGGCGAGGCACCTCGGGGGGTACGCAAGGCAGTCTTTCGCACCTGCCTGAGCAACTGTGATGAAACGGATGGGGATATCCTAGAAATTTCAAGATCAGGGAGCGCTGCGCTGGGGCGGGCAGGCTGTTGGGACCCCCAGCTCGGGAAGGAGGGGCAGTTTCCAGGTTCCCGGGGAAATTGGAGTTGGTCTTTATACTCTAGGTACAATGCAAGGTACATGACAAAATCCGAGAGAAGTCTCTGTTCCGGCCGGGCCATCGAGGCAAAAAGGAGGCTAGCAAGCAGCTCCCTGCAGGCTGACCTGTTGCACGCATCTGGTGCGGCAGGTCAGGGGGGTCGCTTCTGGCTGGAGACTGCTCCAATGTGTCCATGTATGTACCCCACACATGGCGGACGACGAGGTGGGTGGTGGTCTGGTCATGACGGAGACAAGCGTGGGCAGACTGGCAGCAGGGACAAAAAAATGGATGGGGAGGACGGAAAGGGAAAAGCACAGGCTGCGGAAAGGAGGCAAGCTCCGACAAGAGAGCTCTAAAAATTTTACCAATCCCGAACGGCAGGACAGCGAACGAAAACGCTCGGTGGAGCAGCCGCATGGGTGGTACGTGGGGTACGTACCTCAGATCGGTGACCGGGGCAAGGGTTACCTGTCGGGGGTTCCGCGTTCCGCTACCGACGCTGGGTCCAGAGCGAGGCGATGTGTCCCGGATTGGCAGTTACGATGACCGTTGTTGGGGTCGAAGACAAAGAGAGCGGGTTGAGAGAGAGAAATAAGGATGGCCAATTGGTCGTTCAACAAAGTGCATTTTCTATTCTGCGGTGCAGGTACAGTACGTTACCTTGCATCTTGCGTGGGATGAGACCTACCGAGTCAGAAAGTCTCGGTTGGAAATGCACTAACAACAACAGCGGAGGGCGCTGAGGGACCTCAGGGAAAGGGGGTTCTTTGAATGGGGGGGAACTTGTCCAGAACTTGGTCCAGCCATAACGTTCGATTCCCCGGCCCGCTTCCGAAACATCCCGAACCCGAGACGGTGGAAACTTGAACCTGAAGCGGGTATTCGTAACGGCGGACTGCATGGTATGTCTTCTTCAAGTTTTCGTTCTTTCAGCTGGGCTTGTTTGGTTCCTTCCAAAGTCCAGGTTCAAGAGGTGGCGCTTTCCATATCTCTCTGCCAAGGTTGGTTGATGTACACAGTAGCCCCGCACTCACCAACCGAGAATAATAATCTGAACCCAACACAAGTCACCTCAGAGAATGGAACCAGCTGACGACATGCAACGGTCAAAGTTGGAATTTACGCAAGCTTCGACTCTGCAAATTATCAGAAATGAAACTAGCTAGTTTTGGGGCGGTTCCCCCCACAAAACCAGTCTATTCTTGCCCGTTGAATATGCCCCATGGCCTTCATTCGCTGGCTTGTGTTGTCACAGCCTGGGTCACGCCTGGGCCACGCCCCAGTCACAGTCAACGACACGCTGCAAAGAATGCGGGGCAGTGACTCCCGCTCGCCTCCGCGGGGCGATGCAGTATCGACAGTGGGGGTCAGTGTCTGAGCTGTTCATCTACCTCTTCGATTTCACCAACCGTCCATGCCCCAAAGCATCTCGGCTGCCTGTTGCGCTCCCACACGGTCCTCCTCGCCACCAGTCCTCACCACACGGCTGACGCTGTCTTCGAAATCAACCGTCATCCTGCATCCTTCCTTGTGCCTCGCTCCCCCACGCTGACTCGGACCTCACGCGCGGGGCATTGGACGAACAGTTTCTCTCTCTCTGGGGTCGGCTGATCTCAACACAGGCAAGCTCGGCACCGACTGCCAGGTGCTTCTCCGGATCTCACCCCGCCGGGTTTCACCGCTTAGCAACAGGTCGCCCGTCGTCTGGCTTTCTCGATCCTTGGACGAGCCTCCGGACGGCAACCACAGACCCCGGAATTCACGCCACGCGGCACCACCTCATTACTGCAGCCTCGTTGACGCCCGGCACCCGTTGCCCCCCCTCTACCATCACCGGGCCGGTCACCCCCTTCCCGACCGTTGGGACGTGCAACCCCTGAAGGCCAGCAGCTGCATCTTCCACCTCTTCACCGGGACGATAGATATATATTTTTACACTCGAGCCGCCTTACGACCTCCGGCGCCGCGGCTGTGGCCCCGCCCGTCCGCCGCCCGACTGCCCCGCTAGATCTTGCCCGGCTCCGGAGAAGCTCGGGCTGGCCCTACCCGCTTGGTTCCACCAGCTCCTGTGCAGAATGGAAACGGCAGGCACAAACATGCAGACCCCTGGCGAGGTTGCACCGCGGTACTCGTTCCTTTTTCCAATCGGTGAGTCCCGACGTTTCAAGCCATCTCACCCAACCATTCGGGCCATGTGCGTCAATCGCACGCTGTCGTTGGCCAGTCTGCCCCGGCGGCCACGCGATCTCCTCCCGCATTCTGCCCCGAGTCCGATCTCGTGTCAAACCCCGTTCTGGGTTCACAGGTGACGGGCGAGCATCCATCTCAGTGACAGTGAACAAGTTATCCCACGCTCAGCCAGCGCTGTGTCCTTTTCCATCTGTCAGAGTTTCAGCCGCCGCCACAACTTCTCCCCGGCCACTCCCCCATGTTGAACAAGGGGGGATCACGTTTGGTAAAAATGTGGCCTCCTTCCCTTTCCGTTTCATCACGTGTGTTGTGTCCCCAGCGGGACGGGGGCAGCCTTCCACGACGCCAAATCCAAGACATCCCATACCGTTACAGCCTCCATCGACGTCAAACTTGAGCTGCACCTGTACTAACCGTGACTCCGAACACACTAGGCTATAGCAATTCATCCGAGTGCGGGTACTGCCGCCGGACTCGCAGTGGTCAGTCCACAAAACGTGAATGTTCCCCTATTTGAGAGTAACATATCCTTTGCCCCCATGCCCCGTAAATTCTCCGGGAAAAAGCGTCCGCCCAGACATGTCTCACGCCGCGACCTCGCTCACCCCCTTCTCAGCCTGCCCCCCACTCTTCGATCACACCCCGGACGGGCGGCCCTCTCACGAACCGACATCCTGTCCCAACCCGCGTCCATGAACAGGGGCACGTCTAACACTTGAAATTTCATAGGTTATTCTTACTATGCTATAGCAACATCCCTGACGCCAACCTTCTACCAGAAGCTCGTCGACCGATGCTGGAGGCGCTCCGGCACTCTCTTGTACCGGCCGAATCAGAAGCACTCGTGTTGCCCACACTACACTCTCCGGCTAGACTCAACCCAGTTCAAGCCCACCAAGGATCAGCGCCAGGCCGTCAACCGTTTCAACCGCCACATAATCGGTAATACATACGCCAGAGAGGCGGCCCGTCTGCATCCACGGTCCCGCGCCGAGGTAAGGAGGCGCCACAACGTCTTTGACCTGGTCGAGAGGATCCATGAATCCGAAGCCGAGGTTCTCAAGTCCCCGCCGTCGCCGGACTATGCGTTCACTGTCACGCTAGAGCCGGATACGTTCACCGAAGAGAAATACGACGTCTTTGAGAACTACCAGCGCATCGTCCACCGCGAGCCCGCGGACAAGATCTCGCGCCATGGGTTCAAGCGCTTCCTGTGCAACTCCCCACTCAGCCGGGAGACCATGGTCGGCCCGGACGGCAAGGAGCGCCAACTAGGGTCCTTCCACCAGTGCTACCGTATCGACGGGAAACTGGTCGCCGTGGGTGTGCTGGACCTCTTGCCCGATTGTGTTAGCGCCGTGTACTTCCTCTACCACGAGTCGATCCACTGGCTGAACCCCGGCAAGCTGGGCGCCCTGCGCGAGATTGCCCTGGCCCGCGAGGCGGGCTATCGCTGGTGGTATCCGGGGTACTATGTACACAACTGCGCCAAGATGAGGTACAAGATCGAGTACAAGCCGCAGTATGTCCTGGACCCGGAGGATCTCCAATGGTATCTCCTGGATAAGGAAGCCCTGGAGAAGTTTGACAAGGGCCATTATGTCTGTTTCTCGAAAAAGGAGCAGGCCGTCGGCGACGTCGATACCGAAAGGGAGGGCGTTAATGACACAAACCACAAGCACATTCCGGAATCCTCCGAAATCGACACCATCGTCTCTACTCAAGACAACGCAGTAGATAGCGTAGCAGCGGGAACCCACAACTCGACCGCAAGCGCAGGCTCTGAAAAGACCCCCGAAGAAGTCGACGACGAAGAAGACGAAGAAGAAGAAGAGGAAGAAGAAGACGCCTTCCTACTGGCCAGCAACATGCCGGGCATCCCGTCGCTCGCCGACATGGAGCAGGTCGACATGGACGGCCTGGTGCTGCGCTCCGACTTCTCCGACACCTTCATCGTGGCGTCGCACCTCGTCATCTGGGACACGGAGCACGTCAGCCAGTTTGGCTCCCTCAAGTCGCGCATCGCCGAGCTGGTCGCCGCCGTCGGGCCGGACCTGATTGGCGACGTCTGTATCGACTTTCGCAAGCGGCCTTCTTCGTAGTAGTCCGGGGTTGGGGTTGTTGAGGTGTGGGTGGGTGAGTGTGGGCGGGTTGGTGGCGATGCTGGGTTGGGTATTGGGATGGGGGTGGGTGTAGTAGATTGCCCATGTATGTATGTATGTACATATGTATGTTGGTGTCGGCATGCATGCATGGATCCTCATCGGGCGTGGGAGGGAATCGAGGAGGGGGGAAGGCTGGGTGAGAGTGAGACAGATGGCAGATGGCTGCGATCTCGTGCATTCTTTTCCACATGGCAAGAGGCGGCGGCGGCGGCGGCAAAAGACGGGACAAGGTTCAACGCGCGAGAGGAGAAGGGAGAAAAAAAAAGACGCTTCGGTAGACGAATTGGGAAATTGATGGTGTTGTCCTCTTGCCACTTTGGATGCCCCAACCTCCCCCTCCCGTTCGGTCAAGGAGGCCTGGGCCCCCCGAGCCTACGTGGGGGTTTGTTTACTTGACCGAAAGGGGCTCGTTGTCGTGTGACCGATCGTCGACATGTGAAATACGGGCCGGGCGAGTGCTAGGGCCCGGGAACTTTGTTCTGTTGGCTCCTCGCTCGCACATGAGTCAGAGATTGTGTGTGTGTGGGTTGTCCTGCGTCCGGGGCGTGGTTTATGCGTCGGGGAGGGGGAAGGTGAGGCTTTTTGCAAGGCGAAGGAGGGTGGGATTGGGAGTGATTGGCCTCGAGACCAGGAAGAATCGAGACCATGAACCGCAACCCGTCTCTGAGACGGATAGCTCCCATGCCATTGGCACGTAGGGAAGAGATAACCGGTTTGTTGGCAGCTGTTTATGTCATGACCGATATTGAAAGCGGGTTGTGGTCATGATGCCGATGGCTCGTCGCGGAGGACGGGGGCAGACTACATCTTGGAAATTCCCACAGTTAAAAGTACATGATATAGGTACCCAAAACCATCAAGAGCGTTGGGTTGTAATGTGGTGTCATGGAAACTCACGGGAACCAAACCCTGGGAATTAATTACGTGGAAAAGGCTTGACCTACGATGTGGATGACTCCTTCCTCGGAAGCATCTTCACAATTGCAAGCCAGCGTGCTCCTTCCTTCCATCTGGATGTCCTTCGGTTCCGGCAAGCCGAACTCGCTAACAGCCATGCCCCGTAAACATGGAAGGTCCAAACCAGGTTCCATGGTACCTCTTCCAGTTGTGATTTTGAATTTTCACTGCCAGTGGCAGATCAAACCCACATTGTTCATGCTTGCTTGCGGTTGTTACCACCAATGCCCTAAGCCTTTCGGCCATGCGGCGTCAGTTTACCGTCATCAAATGTCGGCCCTCCAACTTGCTTCGGGTTGGAGTTGCGATGCTGGCTGCCTCTGTCGATCTTGGAAGGATCAAGGTTGCCGGGAGGACGCCGAATTTGTCTCTCACGCTTTCAAGCTCCTGCACGGTGGCTCTTCCCGCCCCGTGGAGTGACTCCCCGTCCGCAGAAGAGCTGTGTCAAGCCACCTCGGCGGGAGAGATCTGGATCTCCAAGGCTGGCTCCTGCCGAATAGAGATCTTGACTTTGATAAACGATAAATTACCTGACGCTGAGAGCCTCGATCCAAGCATCATGAGTGCCATTGCAAACCTTGCCTCCGATTGCCCGGTATGTAAGAAGATTATACTAGTCGCGCCTTTTATCCTAACATCCCAGGTTTGGAAACACACAGGACTCGACCTTCGGACAAACCATGCCTCCCACGCTCAACCACGTCAGGGCCATGCCCACGCTTCATACTTCCTTCGTCATCCCGACCTATCATCCGAGATGATAGCCCATCCGAATATTCCATCCGCTCAGTTCCAGGGATTGAGATGCGAAGCTAACTACAGCTTCAAGTCGTCAAAGAAGGGGAACCGTATCAGGACTGGCACCCCGAAGCCACCAATAACCGAGCCCCTGAACTCCTCCCAGGACATGGAATCAACGTCTCAGAACCATACTTACTCCCTCAGAAGCAACCCTAAACGGAGTAAAAAAGCAGCAGTGGCGGCTCAAGAGGAGGTCGGCAATACGAATCCCCCATCAACGTCAGAATCGCCGTTTCCCGACTACCAACAAGAAGACATTGAGTCGCTGGTTGCCGAGGCCATTGCCGACATGGCTTGCGTCTTGGACTTTGCTTTCCGGAAACTAATCGGCGTCAGAGGGATTTCTCCAGGGATGAGGACTATCAAGAATCTGGCGTCACCTTCCCTGACTGAGATTGCTCCCGCTGTTTGGGACCTTCAGTATCTTCAGGTGAGGCGCATCGCTGTTGAGGTGACGATTATCACTGACGATTGCTAAAGACAATGTCTGTCCACGCACAAATCATCCCGTCGATCGCTACTGGAATTGCCCGTCTAAAAAACGCCCGGTCCGCGAGTCTGCGGGAGAAACTCAACAATCTAACTCACCAGACGACGTTAGGAATCGACGGCCAGGAGTTCGCTGACTCGGAAGCCGATGCTACAGACGAGGTAAAGAGGCGATTATGGTTATTGTGCCAAACTCAGATTCAGCCAGAGCCGATTAAACGGCCGTTCGCCACCAAACAAGGGGGCGAAAACACAGGCACGAAGGCGCGGCCGCAGCAGCTCAACTATGCAGGGCAAGAGTTGGAGATCCCCACGGTCTGCGTCGATGAAGACGGTAATGGAACTCGCGTTGCCATGGAAAGCTACGGCCTGGAGCCAGACTACGATCCCTACGTTGTTTTCCCTGGAGCCCCTTTCGAAACAGGCCACCTCGAGATAGACACCCTTCTGCAGATGGACGAGTCCTACATGTCTAGCGATCAAGTTTCGCCATCAGACGATTGGACGCACAGCTCCGAGGGTGACTACTTTTACACTGACGGACAAGGGAACGTCTACCCGATCGAGAAGCAGGAGAACTCGGAAGGCGATCATTCAATCGACTGGCCGTCAGCCTCACAACTTGTCGACTCTGACGGCTACAGCCAGCAGCATGATGAGGACCTCGAAGAACTCTGGGATCAAGCTGCAAACCAAGCATATATTATGTCTTATGAAGATGGGTTCCCTGTTTCGGGAGTTCACACCCGCCCGAACGATGCCATAAACCAACCATTCTTGCCACCATATCCCGACGATACACCGCACGACAATTGGGCTTGGGAATAAGCTCGACCAAGCCCTTAATTGCCCAGAAGATTCAGGCGGCCATCGTCTACAATCCAGGCTGAAAGCCCCCTTCGACCGACCCTTTCGATAACCCTCCAGCCCATAACGCGTCGTGTTCGGGGGCCGGGTTACCTGCACCCGCGCCGAAGTTCAAGGCTCACAAGAGAAGGATTTTGGTGAGAGTTTCGATTCCTTCCCGTGTTTCCCTAGCACCTCATCCTCTCGCGGAATCGGTCCTTGAGTCCCCAGATTCCGTGTCGTCCGTTTGAACACTTCGATCGAGAAAGCGCCCTAGGAAATGATCACCGCCGTTCCCGGCCTTGAAGGTCGACCCCTCATTTCTTTGGCGCCGGCTTCTTCTTTTCCTTCTTCTTCTTTTGTTCTGGCTTTAACGTGGCGAAGTGGATGTACCATATCAGAACACACTGCAGGATGATGGCGACAAGGACAATGAGGAGGATGGTGAAGAGGATGGGCTGGTCGTTGAGTACGGCAACAGCCTCCGGCGTCGCGCCGATGCTCCCGAACCAGTCGAATTGCCCCATTGCGTCGTTGATGTTTCGATTCTGCGGGAGGCTGGTGGTGTCTGGCGACCGAGGAGGTTGGTTGCGGTTTATTCAGTAAATGGAGTGACCGCCAGCGGGATGATCAACTTGGGCGATCGCCTGCGCCGTGGCAAGCGATTTTGGACGAAGAGAATGATATTATTACAAGAGCTGTCACGACGGAGAACCAAAAGAGAGCCGAACAGGGAAAACGGGAGAGAGAGGGAAGAAATGGGAGGAATGGCAGGCCGCTTGGCGTGGCCGGGTGAAACTGGAGACGTCACAATGAAGCCGAATTGAGCAAAGGGTGCAATCCCCTGTCTCCCAGTGCCTGGGCAGATCTTGGGATGCGGGTGGGATCTGGGGTCGTATTGGTCTTGGACCGGCGGCAAGAAACGGCCAAAGAAGGGGGCCGGACCCTCGAATGAGTTTCAGGCCTGCGCCAGAGTCGAACGACTTTGATTAGGTAAGGCAGAAATGATTGGCGAGGAGCTGTGCATCGTCCGAATATGGTTGATGGTTAAAAAGTGTCGCCAAAAGGCCGTTGAGTCGGAGCCGAGTATCATTATTTAATGTTACAAGTATGTTTTCTTTCCTTTCCATTTCGTGATGGGGTTTGGGGGTTCCAAAGAAAAGAATGGGAGCAGCGCAGGGCTGCACATGACTCAGCAGGCGATCGGCGGCGGGCTGAAGCCCCACCTTTCACTGGCTGAGGGTCCCAGTCTTTGATGCCTGGTAAGTTAGGCATGAATTAGGTACTTGGTTACATCTCCAGTCGCACCCCAGCGAGCTCGGGCCCAAAAAAATTGGTGGCCATCTGAGGGTATCGAAACCCACTTCTCAGACCTCAGTGCCAGCCGATAGAACTGAACAAGAGGTGACCGCCGGAACCTGTCGAGCACCATCCACCAGTAACCGGGGTGCGGCCGAGTCAATTGGTACCGAGAGAGATGAGCGTAGCGCGTCCAGCCGCCAGGAGGCTCCTCTCCGGACGCCTGGCCGCGGGGCCGGGTGGTGTAGCGGCATGTGCTGCCCCGGCGACGGCAACATGCCACCAACTCGGGTTTGCCCACCAGTTCCACAGCTCTCCCCAGCTGTCAGCAAGGCGGAAACCAAGGTTCGCCAATGTGCGGGCTGCCGATATGGGCCTCATGGACGAGAAGCAGATCGACCAGTTCACAAAAGAGCAGTTCCCCAAGTACACGCCGGAAGAGATCGACCACCTGCGGACAAAGTACTCGCCCGCCCAGATCGCCGCCCTCGAGGCCGGTGAGGCCGCCATCGACCCGCGCGACTTGACGGTGCAGGGCCGCCTCCGAGTCGATCCTTACACGATGCCCTACATCGACGACTTCGCCGAGACCCAGCCCATCATCGACAAGCGGGCCAAGAACAAGGAGGCGCCCGACCCGGGAGCGCGCTTCATGAACCTGGACGAATTTACCGAGGATCTGATCAAGTGGGCCGACAAGTTCCAGGACGGCGAGGTGACGGGGACGCTCAAGACGACGGCCGACTTTGTGTCGGACGAGTTCAAGAAGAAGCCCGAGGGGCAGTGGCCGGGCGAGGTGCGTGAGGCGGCGCACAAGGCGTTCCAGAGCTACCTCGAGGGCGAGGTCAGCAAGCAGGCGAGCAAGAAGGACCCCGACGACACGAGCGGGCCGACCGACGCCGACATCCTGCAGTACATCCTGGAGCGGTCGGGCATGACGGACAACAACCGGACGACCAACACGTCGCTCGCGCACGCGCTGCCGAACAAGGTGCCCGGCGTGGCGGGCATGTACAAGAACGCCATCGACCCGGAGGACGAGGGCCTGGACGACATCGGTATCTACCAGGACCTCAAGCGGCGCACGGGCCTGAGCGTGAAGGAGATCCTCGGCCTGCACTCCAAGCAGCTCGTCCAGCGTCGCGTGGCCAACCAGACGCGTCTGGGCAAGGTGCAGAAGGCGTCCATCATGTACGTGGTCGGCAACGGCAACGGCTGGGTCGGCATCGGCGAGGCCAAGTCGACCGAGCCGAGCATTGCGGCGCTCAAAGCCCGCCTCCTGGCTATCCGCAACATGCGGCCGATCCGGCGATACGAGAAACGGACCATCTACGGCTCCGTCACGGCCAAGGTGTCGGGCACCATCGTCAAGATGAACGCCCGCCCACCAGGTATGTCGCTACTGCGGTCTCTTTCGCCCCTAAATATATTTATTTTGCATGCACGACCACCAACGATACTAACGGATGCTGCTAGGATTCGGCCTCCGCGTATCGCACCGCATCTTCGAGATGTGCCGGGCCGCCGGCATCCAGGACCTCGCCGCCAACATCCCGCGGTCGCGCAACCCCATGAACACGGTCAAGGCCGCCTACTGGGCGCTCTGCAACCAGCCCGACCCGGAACAGATGGCCATTGGCCGCGGCAAGAAGATGGTGGACGTGCGCAAGGTGTACTACGGCGGGGCCATTTTTTAATCCAATCCATGTATTATTGGTTTGTTTTGTCCGTCCGTCTGTCCGTCCGACTGGCGGGCGGGCGGGCTGGGATGGGTGCGGTAGACTCCACTGTAGAATCTTGTATAAACAGCGCGGTGTGGGGGTGTACATGTATGCCATGCGGCCTGCTTCTTGCAGCGTGCTTGGGTATGGTGCAGTGTGGTGGGATGGGCCGTTGTCCTCTCCGGCTGCGAACCCCCCAGCCAACTCGGTCGTCAAACCTATGCTTGCATCGCTAGTTCCCACCACCTTGCTTGCCCACAGGCACTCAAAGCCCCGATCCCCACCGCGGGGCGTGGTTTCTCCAGCCCTTTGCGCCGCCTGTCCTCCACAACACGAGCCACCATGCACCTCCATCATAATCCACCCATCCATCCATAACCACGGGGTATATAATAACATAACCATCCACCTATTCATAACCCATCCCACCCAACCCATCCCACCCAACCCATCTCACCCCTCCAGACCCCGATAACCCCCCCCTTGCCCATCCCCATCCCCATACCCATACCCATACCCATACCCCCTACCCCCATCATCCCCATCCCCATCCCCATCCCCATCACCGTGCTCCTGATCCCCCGCATCCCCCTGCGCCCCCCTCCCACCCCAGTCAATCTCCTGCTGCAGCACGATGCTGTACACGCTCGCCTTGAGCAGCGTGAAGACCAGGCTGGTCTTGCGCTCCAGCTCGCGCAGGCCGTCGAGGATGTCGGATGCCGGGGCGCTGGCGAGGTCGTCTAGGACTGTGGCTAGCTGTTTGCGGGGAATATATATATATGAGTGTTCGGCCGTGTTGGAATGGGGAGTTGGGGTGGGGAGTTGGGGAGAAAGGGGGGGGGGGGGGGGGGGGTTGTTGAAAGAGAGGAGGGGGAAGGGGGGAACGGACGGTTTTCATGTTCTCGGCTAGGCGTTCGTATTCCTCTAGGACCTCCTGCTCGAGCGGGGAGAGCTCGGGCGGGGAGGTGAGGAGGGAGCTTTGTGGTCGTGGTGGGGGGTCCATTTTTGGAAGTGGTGAAGTGGTGATGTTGGGATGTTGGTGGTGTGGGTTGGGTTGCTGAAAGCATGGAAGTATTGAGGGTTTCACAGACGCGATCGACGCGCTGGTTCTGGTGTGGGGGACGTGGGGTTGCTGTGCGAGGGGTGTGTAATGTTAAAGTGGTTACGGTAATTTACAGGACTGGCTTGACGCAGCAACGGATGAACCCCTGAATCAAGAGATGAATAGGGGTAAATATAAACAACGCTGGAAATGGCAATGGGCTCTCGCCGGAATACGAATTGTTCGGTGCTAACTCTACAATAACACGAACCCCCTTACCTGCCTCAATATGACTTGGTCTTCCGCCTCCCAGGCTTCTCACACGCCGCCACACCATGAGGGATATCATCCCCATCCCTACACTTCTTGTATAGGATCGACCTGATGGCACCAAACCAACCTAGCTGCTCTCTTCTCCACGCTTTTGGCACCGATCCACGCTCCGGCCTCTCCAAAATCATCACCGGTACCTGCCCCAAGCTTATACTCCTCCGACGCCGAGACAACCGGATTGGTACTTCCGCGTCCCCAGACTGGGACTGCGCTGCCGATGTAGAAACCGTTGGCATGTCGATGATCCTTTCCTCGACATCATAGTCCACAACAAAGGACATATCATCCCGTGGCCCAGGCGGCGGTGGCTTTTCCCCCCCATGGACGCTATCATGGACCCTATTTCCGTGCCTAATAAAGATCCTATTGTGCGGCACCTCAGCTCCGACAGGACCGGCACCCTCGTCATTGCTACCACTGCTCTCGCCCTTGCCTTCGGGGCTCGGCATGACATGGTCGGGCTTGATCTCGACCCATACCTCGGCCTTGCGGATCGTGTCGGCGTAGATGAGAAGGACGGCCAGGCCTGCCAGGGGTATTGAAACGGCCCAAAAGATATAGAACCCGCTACCGCCGGGGCCATAGATATCGCCCATGGAGAGGATGCCTGAGATGAGGGGTAGCGGGATGAGGATCCCGCCGAGGTAGCTGAGACGGTCGAGGGCCCGCTGGTTCTCGTCGACCCGTCGTTGAGGGGGTTGGCCTTGGCGTGAGGAACTTCTCATTATGTTCTCTCTAGTGGCCGTTTCACGTTTTGAGACGACTTGAGCACGAGGTGTTGTCCGAAAGTTGGTTGGGGGGGAATCAGGGGGGCTGGCTTGCCTTGACTCGAGCCACCCGAGGCGTACTATGAGCCGACCGATGAGCTTATGCCAATTCATGTCGTCGATCTTCTCATCGTTGAGCTCTAACATGCGTATGAGTTTCCGGTAGCATGTTGCCGTTCCTTCGTGAGTGGCCTGGAGTTGCGGTTCCAGGAAGTCGAAGAGGTCTTGCCAGTGGCGGTAAACCACTTCCGATACAAGGCCTGGCAGCTGGTCGTCAGGGTCCCAGTTCCACTCGACTATCTCTAGGAACGCCTCCTCCAGGCTCTCAGTGACCTGTCCCTCCGTTTTTACTTTGCTGCTGCCCGTCACCCTCCTCGCCTTGCGCACCCCCTCGCCAGGGACTCCCCAGACATCCCTCTCCAGAAATAACACACTCCCCATCTTTCCCCGCCACAACCCGGCCCGACAAAATACAACCCCAAACTTTCTTCCCCCCTCGCCGCCGAGAACCATGACGGTCGGGCCGGCTCCCAACTCCCCCGGGACCTCATCGCCCGCCCGCTCCACCACCGCCGAACAATCCCCCTCCAGCTCCACAACCTCGGGATACTCCCAAACATATCCGCCAAAGTCGTACCTCCCAAACTGCTTTACGATCAACGGCTCCCTCCACATACGTCTCCTCTCGGCGTGTCTCTCCAGCCGGCGGCCGCCAGCCCGGTACGGCCGTCTCTGCGCGAGACAGGCCACGAACTTGGCATCCACGTCCAACGCCACCGGGCCACGTCCCTCCTCATGTCCTTCCCTATATCTATTGTTATTCCCCCCCTCACTCTCCGACTCGTTCTCCTCTCCCTCTTTCCTTCTAGAAGAAGCAGCAGCAGCAGTAGCAGCAGGAGAAGCAGCCAAAGCAGGAGAAGCAACCGAAGAAAGCCGCTCGCCCTCTCCCCCACCACCACCGCCCCCCTCACCTGTATGATCCACAACCGCGTCCACCATATCACACGGCAACCCCCGCAATACCACAACCCGCCGCGCCGGGTCGTCGCGGACCTGTGCCTGCGTCGCCAGCGCCAGGCGCAGGTCGGCGGGGCTCTCGACCGGAATGCGTTGCATGTCGCGCCGTCGGGATGTGGCGGGGTTGCGGGAGGTCCATTGGAGGAGGTAGCCTGGTGGTGGACGGGAGGGTGGGTTTGGGGGGGTCTCCTCTTCTTCTGAGGACATTTTTATGTTTTTGTTTGTTGGGGTTGTGGTTTGGTGTTGAAGGGCTGTCTAATTCTAATGGCGTGTGCAGTGGTGTTTGATCGTTGTTGTGTAGAGATGTCGACGATAGAATCTAGACCAAAGCAACACTGGCGACGAGGCAACGAAATCTAAAATGAAGTGAGGTTGAAAATGAGTCTGTTTGTTTGGGACGTGCACTCCGGGTCCCGCAACCAACAACGACGAGGCAGTCGAGTCAGATGTTGGAAAGGCTCGCCAACGACCGCAGCAACACTCCGAGGCAGCAGCGGCCTCTCACCGAGCCAGTCCCGCCTTGTATGTTTGCCACTGCACGTTTTCCAGGTTGACTCTGACCGGACCTGTCCGACCTCAAGTGTCGCCCAATAGGCCCTCTCCGAGCTGCAACGAGGCAGCATCCAAATGATCGCCCGGCATGCACCGACAACTACCGACACAGGCCGCCGGGAATAGCCAAGTCACACGGTGTCACGGCATACATACTGCAGAAGTGAACCCCCTCACCCCCACACCCTCACACCTCCCCCCGATCTTGCTGCGGGTGCGGCAGATCAGGCGCGCTAACCCTCACGGGATGATGCGGATGCATCCATACCTCGGTAGGTAAGGTAGGTCGAGACATCATCAGCCCTAACAAACCGCAATGCAATCAACCATGATTCAATCAATAAATCAACCACCCAAGTCAGGAGAGCAGCAACAGAAATCCAACTGCTCAAACTCCCCGTGACCGGACACCAAATCCCACAGACGCTGTATTGTTCTGTTCATGTCTCGCTCAGCTGCTTATAACCCCCCATACCTCCGTAACATTCCAGCGTCCACCCCTCCCTCCCATCATCCATCCCATCATCCATCCCACCCACCCACCCTTTCTCCCTTCCTCCCTCCCTCCCTGAACAGAAAGGGAGATCAAAAAAGAACAAGCTCTCCTCCATCGAAGAGAAGCGTAAAAAAAGAACGCCGTAAAACTCCATCAGATGAAGCGTGAGTACATGAACATGAACCGCGGCCCACAATAACCGCTCTCTTCCTCGCCCATGCCCGAACCGACCGAACCAGCTCTGCCTCTCTCACCCGGCGCTCACTCCCTCCCTCGTTACACCGTGCCGGCCTTGTCTAATCGAATGAATGGACTGTGGGTGATCTGAGGCCATGGAAAAAAAATGCCACCCGTAACGATCCATTCCAATGCCCCCCTCTTCTTCCTCTGCTCTATCCATTCATTCCCCGGACCCCCCGGACCCCACACCTCAACTCCGCCCCCCCGAATTCCACTCCTCCTCATGATGCAGCGTCACACTGTTAAACTCCTCAAACGGGTCGGGGGTCTCTGCACCCGGTGTAGCGAGTCCGCTGTCAAGGGGCACGCCGACACTACCACCACCGCCGCCAACACCGTCGCCCTTCATGGGGCGGGAGCCGCTGATGTCGACGCTCTCGCTCTCCTTGACGTTGCGGAAGTTGACCGTGTCGATGCCGCGGCCCTGGTGCGGCACGATGGGCGGCTTCATGTGCCGGATCAGCGCCCACTGCGTCGTGCGGAAGAAGGGGTGCGTCTTGATGTCGGACGCGCCCGCCCGCGCGCCGAGCCGCCGGTTTTCGTCTTTGATGAGGAGCTTGCGGATTAGGGACTTGCAGAGGCTGGGTGTTTTTGTTAGCGTGGCTGTGAGCGAGGGTTTTTAGGTTGGAGATGGGAGGAGTTGGGAACTCACTTTGATATTTGCGGCGCGCCCGCGTGATCCGGGAAGGGGATGTCCTCGCGGAGAATGTTGGCAAAGGTCGCATTGCGGTTCTTGCCTTTGAAGGGCGTCGTGCCGTAAAGCATCTCGTACACCAAGATCCCTAGCGTCCACCAGTCGACGGCGCTGGTGTGTCCGCTTCCCTTAATTACCTCGGGCGCGATGTACTCCTCGGTGCCGACGAACGAATTCGTCCGGAAGTTGGCAATGCACGATTTGGTGTCGATGGTCGGGAGCGACGTCGAACTCGTGCCGTTCTTGCCAATGATCATGGTCGGCTTGCCGCCGGGGTCGGATTGTTTTGAGAGGTCAAAGTCTGACAACATGATGTGGCCAGACTGGTGGAGGAGGATGTCTGGGGCGGGTCAGCGGGGAATTCCAGCGTGTGTTCGCATACCGCAGCTTACTTTCTGGCTTCAAATCCCGGTAAATAAATCCCATCAGATGTAGGTACTCCAACGCGGCAGTCACCTCGGCCGCGTAGAACCGGGCGTCCTCCTCGGATATGCACTTCCCCGGCCGCGTCTGCAGCGCACGGAAGAACTCCCCGCCGCTGCAGTATTCCATGCAGAGGTAGAGGTAGTCCTCGGACTGGAACGAGTGGTAGAGCGTCACGATGAAAGGGTGATTGCTCGTCGCCAGAATTTCCTGCTCCGCCAGCGCCCTCTTGATCTTGTTCCGCTTGATCATCTCCTTCTTGCTCAGCACTGTGGTCTGTTGTCAGCATGTGCCCAGGACCGGGAATGGAGCACCTCCGACTGACCCTTCATGGCATACAACCTGCTGCTCTTCTTTTCCCTCACCAGGTACACCTTGCCGACATCTCCCTTGCCGATGAGCTTGATCTTGTCGAAGCTCTGCGGTCCCACCTCCACATTCCTGACCTTGATCGAATTCGAGCTGTACGTCCTACGGAACGCGAGAGCCGACTGGGTCGGCGGCGGCGGCAGCGAGCCGAGGCCGTCGGCGTCGGGCGGTGCCAGACCACTCTCAGATGTCGCCTTGCCCATGCCGTCGGCGAAGCCCAGCGCATTCGGGCCGAGGCCCTCCTCCAGCGGCTCCTTGCCCATCTCGGCCGTGGCGGGCCGCTCGTCGTCGGTGCTGCTGCCGTCGCCCTTGGCGCCCTTGGCGAACAGGCCCTGGGCGTTCGGGGCGCTGGCCACCCTCCGCAGCTTCCTCGCGAGCTCCTCCTTGCGGGCGGCGGTGGCGGCGGACGCCTTCTCGGTGCCGCTGGCGTCGTCGTCGTCGGGCGGGTTCACGTGGACCGAGGGGGTGTCGGGCGGGCTCGGCGGCACGGAGCCCTCGTTATGGTGGCGCAGGCCGGGCTGGCCCTGGTGGGCGAAATAGGGGTTCGCGAGGGCGGTCGGGCTCAGCGTCTCGGTCTCGAGCGGGTTGCCCTCGCTGGCGGTAGTAGCGCTGCGCAGACGGCCGACGGTCCAGAACTTGGTCTGGCGAAAGGCGCTCTTGGTATCAGAGCGCGGCGCGCCGTGGGCGGCATTGTGCTGGGCAGTGGTAGTGTCGGCAGCGGCGCGGGTCGCGATTGGCCGAGTTTCGGGTGAACCACCCTTTCACCTTTTGGTGAAAATGGATATCGCCATTCGCGTTTTTGGTGGACGGCATCCTGGAGGTCGACGTCGTGATGATCATGGGGAGAGCACCATGATGTGGATGTTTCGGGGAGGGAATGCGGTGCAGTGCGGTCGTGCACGATGCGGATGCGGGTTCCAGGCGGCCGATGGCAGGGAGACAGCGAGACAGGGAGCCGAACCTGGCAAGATTGGTGAGCGGCTGACGCTCAGTTTCGGGGGTGGCGGCTGCTCACAGCGAACAGCGAGCGGGCCTGCCGGCAGGGGTCTAGGCGTTCCTCCAACAGCAGCCAGTGCAGCCGCAACAGCGGGGAGTCACGGGATATGCCGCCCGACCAGAACCGGAACAGGAGCCCAGGCACCTTCCACTTCTTGCCCCTGCTCCGTGCCTACTTTACGAAAACCTGCACTGTCGGATTTCTGAGGTACTGTACCTGGCCTGGATGTATGTGCTACCTGTTCATGAATTTCCAGCTTTTGCTGTTACGAATTGCCTTTGGTGCAACGTGGGTATTCCCCATCTCCATCAAACATAACACCCGCCCGACAGATTGGTCACCCCAGGCGCCAAGGTGCAGTTGAACTTTCCGAGAGCCAGGGGGGTTGACGGTTGACCAGGGCCTATCATTAACCATTCGAATTCGGCCTCCTCTTGCTTTATCCCGTGTCAAAGAAAGCATTTATAGCTGCAATGGTTGGTCCTAACCATCTCTAGCAAGATGGGCATTCACCAAATCAAGTTGTCGGACATGTCCCGCCGATGCCGGGAAGAACGGTTGGGGTCCTCGTGTCGCGGCGTCTTGAACACGTTTCGGCTTACAAACCCGCCACCTGCCCTGTTTGGAGAGCAGTTGTCGTACCACTGAGAACAAGAAAAGTTAACCCGAAACAAGAGTCGGTCGAGGCGGGATATTTTGTACCGGTTCTTGGACCAGCCGAGTCATGCTACCGAAGGACCATACACTGCACAATATACTTGTAGTTATCTTGACATGCTCGAACTGAATTTAAGAGTTAATTACAAAGTAGCCACCAATGGTACCCAGCATGCCGGCCCACCCGGCGGCCCTCCACCTGGCCGACAAACATCAATGGCGGGTGGCCAATTTAGGGGGCGCATTGCAATAGTTAGCTGTCTCAATGTGCGAGTCAGGCCTTGTGTCGAATGACATAGGGTGGTACGAGGCTGTGAATGCTATTGTGTCTTTTTTGTCTCAATAGTTGACTCAATAAACTCCCCGCTAGGCCATATACAATGGCCAACGGCCAACTCAGAAGACAATATACGCTGCAACGCTGCTCGAACCAGCGCTCCGCGTCGTCCGCCAACGCCGTGTTTACCAGTTATAACCTCTGTATCCTATATTTACATGTTACCAACAGTTCCATAGACCAGAGCTACTCGACTCGTCCCAAACTCAAACACACCGCTGCCGTTCCCGCCCTCTTAAGAGGAATATATATATAGAGAGAGAGAGAGAGAGAGAGAGAGAGAGAGAGAGAGAGAGAGAGAGAGAGAGAGAGAGAGAGAGAGAGAGAGAGAGAGAGAGAGAGAAACCACCCGTAACAAACCCTACCCACCCACCTTCACCACCCCCAACCCCCAAAACCCCCCCTCGCCTCAAGGCACCCACCCCCCGCGACACCCCCGTTCCGCATACTCCCTCAGCATGCGCTGCCGCGCCCGCTTCGCGCCCAGCACCTCGCCGATGATCTCGAGCTCGCGCGCGCCGTACTCGGGCTCCGCCGGCGCGTGCCGGTCGCGCAGCACCAGCACGCGGTTGACCCGCGCCTGCCGCCGCTTGCGGTCGTCCTCGTTCTCGATCTGCTGGTCTGCCACGGAGGGCGTCACTTGTTCGCCGCGGGCGTTGAAGAGGTACGTGGGGAGGGGGGGTTTGTTGTTGGTGTTGTTGTTGCCGGTGGTGGTGGTTGCTGTGGTCGTGGTGGCGGTTGTGGTTGCGGTTGTGGTTGCGGTTGTTGTTGGTGACTGGGTTTTGGGAGGAGGGGGGGGTGGTGTTGCGCGGGCCGTCGCCGACGTGCCAGCGGAAGGGGAGGAGGTGGGCCGCTTCGATGTGGCTGGCGAAGGATTCGCGGGAGGGGAGGGGCGCGGATTTGCAGGAGGCCCATTTGCAGGGGAGGGCGGTGGTGGTGCGCTGTGCGGTGGGCGATGGGGATGGTAATCTTGGTGGGGAGCGGGATGGTCGGCCATGGACAAGCAGTAGATGCTTTCGTAGGGTCTCTATGTTCTGAAGCTCGGCTGGGCAGCCCTCCCACTCACAACGGAAGGCGATGAAGTGCGGGTTGAGCTTGAGGTAGACCTGGCGCGCGGTGGGAGCGGGCTTTCGGCCTGGGCGGCGCCGCACTTTGTGTTCGTCGGCCGGCTTCGGTTTCGGCCGCGGTGTTGCCGACCCCGGTGGCAGCCCTGACCGCATTGCTGCATACGATCCATGTCCCCGTCTCCAGCCAACTGGGCGACCACGCTTCTTGGGCTGAGGAGTGATGTCGGGTAATTTGACGGGAGCGGAGGCAACGGGAGGCTGCATTTTGGGAGGGTTGACTTGTGTCTTTGCCGCCGGTTGTTGATTGTTGACTGGATTTGGCACAATATCCGAGGTAATTAGGTTGGGTTCGTCGCTGAAGTTACCGGCGAGTTCATCTGCTGGTGCCGTGAAAGGGAGTCGCCTAGGACTGGATTGAAGGACGACTTCCACTTTTGGCAGTCTTCTAGCGGATGCTCCTGGAAAAGGTTGCCGGTTTCTGGGTGTTGTATCGCGGGGTTGCTCTAAGAATTGTTTTTGATCTGGACGAGGTAGACTGACTGGTAGTTCGGCTGCCGTCTGATCTTCTGCCTCAGCATCCTCTGGTCCTTGCTCATAATCGGCATGTTGTTCCCCTTCCTCCTCATACATCTCATTTGAGTCATATTCGAATGGCGAGATTTTATCCTCAGCTGCGGCACCGAGGGCATTGAGGTTAATTCCCGTCTCATCCTCCAAGTCCCAGTCCGGATCGTAAGGCATCTCGTCGAAAAACCAAGAGCCTGCTCAAGGTTGGCCAAGTCGATAAAATGACAGGTCCGAACCGTCAATAAATGGCGGTTACTTTCGTATCTAGTCAATGCTCGGCAATTTAACGGTAAAAGGAAAAGAAAAATAAAAGAATTATCACATTGGTGAGTCTCGATTCAACTCATGCCACACCGAACTGTGTGAAGGTCTCAATGCTTCAAACAATGATGGCGACTCGACGCGACTTAGCCGTGATGTTTCGTGATTGTCAAGTGTGTACGGTAACTTACACAAGATAACCCAAGCCAAAGCGCACAGGCCACATCATCACGAATTACAGAGCACGAAGATGTATAACCCTAACCCCGTATTTACCAGTCTCCATCCAATGCTCGTCTTAACAACTCCGACACTTCCTTCCCTGTTGGTAGGCACAAAAAATAGAAGGAAGAGCAATCGGCAGAAGGATTTGATGTAAAGCCAAGCCCACAGACAGCGGAGACATATCGGTAGTTCACCAATTTTCGGTTCCATTCAAGTCCGAGAACACAAGAAGACATTATTAATCACATTCGTATCTGGAGTCTGGGTTTAGGGCGGGGTTACTACCTAATTGCGAGAGTCGTCATTCGGATCACCATCTCAGGGACTGAGCACCTCATCCTGAGGAAAAGCTCCTCCCTAGAAGAGGCACATATAACACACCACACATACACCCACCCTTCCCTCAAATCCACTTCCCCCCCCTCTCACACTCAGCTCATCCAAGGTCAAACACCAAGACATCCACACCTCCACTATACCCTGCCAACCAGAACAAACCACCAGAAAACCACCATGGCTGTATCCAAATCCTTCTACGCAATTGTAGCCGGCACCGGTGCCGGCACGGGCCGGTCCGTCGCCTTGCGCTTCGCCAAGTCTTACCCGGTAGTCCTGCTGGCCCGCAACCCCTCCAACTACGAAGACATCGTGTCAGAGATCAAGCAGCAAGGCGGCGAGGCGCTAGGCATCAGCGCGGATATGTCGGACCCAGCAGCGATAGCATCTGCATTTGAGAATATCAAGAGCGAGTATGAGGGGCGCGGGTTGGGGTTGGCTGCTGCTGTGTGTAAGTCGTCTGGCAGCCGTCTTACCTGAGACGGGAGTAGTAAAGAAATGGTTCCCAAGAGCTAGTGGGATGCTGATACGGCCGGAAACACAGATAACGTCGGCGCCAGGCCCGCGATCAAGCCCTTCCTCGAGTTAGCCCCATCCGACCTCGACGCCAGCCTCGACGGCAACGTGTACGTCCACCTCCCCCCTTCCTCCCCACCCCCATCCCAACCCCAACAACCTCAACCCCTCCTCTGCCAACCCAACTAACCCCCCCCCAAACCCAGACGCGGCCTCTTCCACTTCGCGCAAGCGACCCTCCCCTCCCTCCTGGCCTCGGTCCCGACCTCCCCCCACCCGCCAACCCTCTTGGTAACGGGAGCGACGTCGTCGGTGCGGGGCTCGACACGGTTCAGTGTGTTTGCGGCCGGGAAGTTCGCGGCCCGGGCGCTGGGCCAGAGCCTGGCGCGCGAGTTCGGCCCGCAGGGAGTCCACGTGGCGCACGTGATTGTGGATGGTTTGATTGATATGCCGCTGACGAGGGAGTATGTGGTTAATGAGGGGCGGGAGGATGGGAAGATTAATCCGGATGCTGTGAGTTCTCTTCTTTTTTTCGTCTGTGTGTGTTGGGGCGCTTGGTTTGGGGTTGGGAAGTGGTGTTGGGTTGTTGCTGACTTGGTTTTGATAGATTGCTGAGAGCTATTGGCATTTGCATACCCAGCATCGCTCGAGCTTTACGCAGGAGCTGGATCTGAGGCCGTATGTTGAGAAGTTTTGAGGGGGGCATGGGGTAGGCCGGTCTAGGAGGATGTGTTAGTGGGCTGCAGCAGAACAGGGGGTATCCTCAAGAGTAGTTGGGCACATTGTGGTAAACGCTCGCGGCTGACAGAGGGATGCGGAGAGAGGGCTCGGGCCAGTTGAGCCCTGACATCGAGATATATTTGGTCGTCACTCCTATATAATCGATTCATCCAGCCTGCGCCTGTGACCTGGGAACTGATCAACTTGTTGTGTAGCCTTGCTGAGCCCGGGTACGCCTCCCTGTGGGTCAATCCGAGATGCTCCACAGAACAAGACGTCCGGAGCAGCGCGGCCAACGCCGGATGCCGGTGGAGGGGGAGCGCTCTGTGGGCTCGCTTCCCTCGTCCGGCCGCGCGGCGTCGTGGTTTGGTCGTTGTGTACAACGTCATTTCAAGTGTTGGGTACTTCTTCCGGCTCTGCCGCCTCATCTGGCACGCCATTCGGCTCACTACTCGGGGGTGGAAGCCCGTGCATGGCAGCAACTCGTTCCGCCTCCTTCCGCTCCCTGATCGCCTCGGTTTCCTTCCGCAGCCTCTCGAGGTTCCACGCGCTGTCGTCTTCGTCTTCTGATTCGTCGTCCTCCCCGCGCCAGTTGCCGCTCTCGAACATGGCACGACCGGTCGCCTCTTTGGCCTTCCGCAGTGCTTCCTCGGCCGCCTTCTTGTCCAGACGCTCCTTCTTCCACTTGGCGAACGACTCCGGATTCACCGGTGTGAGGGTGCCGGTAAGCTTGTGTCTCTCCGACTCGAGGAACTCCTCGATGGTCAGCGTCTTGAGTGGCGACTTGTCCATCAGGGCCTTCTCTGCCGCCCTCTGCTCCTTCGTCTTGAGTACGAATCTAAAGGGCTGTTAGCTTGTTGCACCGTAAACACAAGTCCGCTCATACGTACCCAGGTGGAAGAGCATGCTTGTACATGCATTTGTCGCCGCCATTGGGGCAGATCCAGAACCATCCGTATTTGCCGTCTTCGATGGCCTGGATGAAGAACTTGCACACCTTGTCCGTGGATGTGCGCTGGTTGCCCTTCTTGGACAGGACAACGGATCGGAGCTTCTCCTCGTCCCAGTCGGCCGATGTCTCCTGCTTCTTCGTCTCCTCCTCCTCAGCCCTAGCATCTTGATAGAGGTTGATCTTTTCGACCTTGCGCTCGACGTCGAGGTTGTGGGCGAACTTGCACTTCTTGCCCTTTTCGCAATTGCCCTTCTTGTAGAAAATGCAGACGACGGTCTTGGGGTCCACGCCGAAGGGTACCTTCTGAATCTGGGCGGGCTTGTTGAGGAGCGCATCCGTCTCCCGCTTGGCGTCCTCGGCTGCCTTCTTCTCGCGCTCACGGGCGGCCTTCTCGGCCTCCTTGCGCTTCTGGGCAGCACCGCTGCTGGCTTCGAGTTGGGCAATCGTTTTCTTGGCCGCAGCGCCCTTCTTGTTCTTCATGCCAAAGGTCTTGTCCTCGACCAGCTTCTTGGCATCCGGCTTCTTGCCGCCGCCCTTGTCGGCTTTTTTGGGAGGCATGGTGGGCGAGATTACGGTTTTGGAGTGACGAGGAACGGTATGGTGATGGTGACACTGTTCGCGGACCTCGTCGAGGGAGGAAGTGGTGTCTCGTGTGGTAGTTGTCGAGTTTTTGCGCCGAAGGCAAACTCGCAGGTTCCAGGCGGGGATCCCCACGAAGAGTGGTTGAGTGGAGGGTCTTGAATGGTTATGAGTCCCAGTTTGTGCCCCACGCTGCCGCCCCAGCCCTGACGTGTGAGCCTGCCCGCCAGTGAGCGTGGGCTGTGTAAGGCAATTGACGCCACGTGACCCACACCTGATCCCTGTCATCTGGAGGGAACCTCGACCCCCGAAGGGTGCCAAGTCGCTGGCGGTACATTGCCTGCCGGATGTTTGGTGACAGCTCTGGAAAGCTGGCCAGATCCAAGCCATCCAAAGCGCGCCATCCTCGAGACACCGGCCACAGAACAGCAGCAGACGAGCGAGGTACATACGGCCCTTTTTCACCCTCACGCGATTCCGCGTTGGTTATTTCGCAGACTAATTGTATCCCCAGGAGTCAATTCCATCTTTCACCTCCTCAACTCTCTCGCGCTCGACCCGCCGGCGTCCACCCGCTTTCACCATGATCACAGACACGGAGCTCTACCGCCTGGCCATCGTCCTCGGCTCGGCTGCGATGGTGCTTATCATTCTCTACCACTTTTTCGAAGTCAACTCTGGCGAAGAGAGCAGCACATTGAAGGACAAAGCGCCAAGGAAGGCAGGGGCGCAAACTACACCCGCATCAACCAAGACAAAATAGACGGCGTGGTGGGATTGGGTGTACGATACAGTGATGGAGGGTACGACTCGTTTTCCGGTTCGAGACGTTGCGCGGCGCGGCGCTATGATCGCATGCCGGCACACAGGGCCTTTCCGCGCCGCCTGGGATGGTCGATACAGCGAGCGAAGTTGGTGGTGCTAGGCAGGAGAGACAATGTCCGCTAGGGCCGCAACGGCATGGCAGGCCGGATGGCAGAAGGCTAATATTTTCGACACATTGGTGGTTTAGGCGCCCTGGTCTTCTGTGCTGGAACTGCGTCGACCGTGGGCGCAATGGGTGTTTGCAGGCGAGTCACGTTCTTGCCGCAGGATATGGTTGGTCTCTTCCTCGTCCGAGCTGCTACAGCGTATTTTTCGAAACAAGGAACAAGTGGCAGACGACTCTTCATTGCTCAGTCTCTTCGTCAGCCTGTTTCCCGAACTATAGTCCCGTGTTCTACGAGATCGTGCACCCCCTTTTGATGCAACACCTTAAGCTCTGTAAAGCATTCTCCAGTACAATGCGTCTCATTCTCGGTTGCGCGTTTTGCGCATGGTTGGCCATTTGCGCGAGTTCTCGCCCTCATGCACATCGACACGATATAACCCAAACAAAGCCCATCACATCTGCTCGAGACTTCCATCACCCCTCCGAGTGCGGTTCATTGCCCCCGTCCTCCCATATACAATTCATAAACGCCTCAGCGGCATCGGGGTCTTTCTCCCACTTCCACCAGTCGTAGAAGCTCGGATTCGTTCCATAGGGCCCATCTTGGCCCAAACCGCGGGTGCACTGCAGCATTTCCTCAGGGATAATGTCCCAATCCCAATCCCTCGACAAACCCCACTCGATGAATGCTTTCTGCAATTTAAGAGGCTCACTCTTCAGTGCCCGCTTAATGGTATAGTCATCCATACCAGCTGGGAACGGGTGTGGCGTGGTCCAGGCACGGCTGAAGTCGATAATCTTACCGCCCATGTAATTGAACGTGTTGATGTCGCGCACGAGGATGCCCAGTTTGTGGAGGTCTTCGAAGTCATTCCATATCTGCGGTACGTCTTCGGGTGTGAATGGGTCATCGGCGCTCACAAGCTCCTTGACGATGGCCCGGACGGAGAGATGGCGATGTTCTGTGTCCCGTCCCCAAAAGTCGGTGCCGTCTTGTTCGTATTCTTCTTGCGAGAATTTCGGCCTCCCGGACCTTTCCTCGACCTCGGCAGCTTGTTGGGGTGTGAGAAATAGGTATCCGTGAGCGCGGGCTGCGAGATCTTCACGGCCTTCCTGCTTGAGCCGCCCGTACACGCGGCACTCGCAATGAAAGGGGTCGAAATAGTCGCTATAGAGCTGGGCGGACGCGAGACGCCAGATGAGGTCGATCCCCAAGTCTTTCATCAGATACTCGGTAGAAGTGAAGAGGAACTGTAAAGAAAAGGAATGAGTTGAGAGCTAATTCCCATCCAGGCTACTTACCATCTTGAGAGCGTAATACGGCTCCTTCCCCCCAATTTTCACTTTCCATACGAGGCCGTCCATATCTTGGTTTGGGTTACCAAGCTCTTCGATGAATTCGATGGCTGCGTGAGCGGTGCGAGTAAAAGGTGCGAGCTTAGGACCTGGCACCATAGGCAGGGGCTCTGGTGGATTAGGAAGTGGTGCGAGAAAAGACCCGCCCATGGTATCGTGAGAGTTAGATGCACCCTCTTGTTTGCAAAGTCCGTAAAATCCCCACACGGATGTGATGAAGAACTTGGGAGGCGTCGGCGGAGAGGATGGTGCAGTGGATTGGGGGAGCGCGGCTTCGCAAATGGGTTTTGGGTCGCGGTTGGTGTGGTCCTTGTGCGCAGACTTGTTGTGAAGTCACAACATACCTAAGGCAAGGTACCTATCTATACAGATTACACAGTACGAGGGCAGAGCAACCCACGTAGGCAAATGAGCGTCACATGATAATCACGTGGTATGGGGGCTGTGTGGGAATCTTTCCCACTTACCCCTACACATTAGTTGCGCAGGACAGATTATTTTGAACACAAAGTCAGTAGATAGGATTGCGTGTTGCGTTCTCAAGCGATTCAGCCCGGCTGAGCTGCACGCAGCACAAGAAGCGAGAATCCAGAGTATGACTTGATTAGGGTTGGGGTTGTATATGCGTCGATGAAGACACACCGCATTCTGGCAGTTGTATAGTCTAACGGCGATGGATGTCCAACAGTATCATGCGTGGAATTTGTGGGCATATACGTATCTCCTAATCACTTGGGTACTACCTAGATTCTTTGAGAAAACAGCTGCCCGGCCCCTTCTTCCCCCCTCGGGTGGGGTCAAAGTCAAACAACGGATAAGAAAAGGAAGAAGAGAAAAGGAAGAAGGAGAGAAGAGGAAGATGGAGAGAAAAGGAAGAAGGAGAGAAAAAGAAGAAGGAGAGAACAACTCGTTCCTTCTCCTAACCACCTAACTAGCTGACGCAAACATCAATCCTTCACGCAACGAACCTCCAAGGCCCCGCCAACAACCTCAACAATGAACTTCTTCTGGCGAAGCCGCGGCGGAGGGCTTCGATTTCCTCGTACGTGTGGTTCTTGGCCGCAGAGGCAATTGCTGGGATGGTTGAGATGAACCAGGGTTATGGCCGGTTTCGAAGTCACTGGTGAAGCTGTTGCCGGCCTGTTCCGTCAAGTGGACGAATTCCTCGTACTCTTTTTTCCATTCAGATCCGGGGATTTTGCGTTTTGAGATGACGTTCTGATAGACGTTGTCCTTCGTGTCGTACTGCCACCACGTAAGTCTCGCCATCCGGTCTAGTGGTGTGTGTTTGCCATCGGTGGTTTCCATCTCGCGGTGGTCATCGTTCATCCCCATACAACCCAATGCCCAGATGGCTAAATTGACCGTGAGCTTCCTTTTGCGATGCCAGGGCACCGAGGCGTACTCAACGGCCGCATAGTGTCTCCTTGGGTTCTTAGTCAGCGGGTGAATGCGCCGGACACGGAGGGCCACTAGTTCAGCCTGTGTGAGGATGAAGGCGTAGCGTGTCTGTGCGTAGCGACAATACGTTGCGATTTGTTTCAGGGGATAGGTACGCTCCTCGAAGACGTTCATAATGGGGGGCGGACCGTCAAAACGAACTGGTACATCCATGCGGACGGCTTTAACATCGGCCTCATCGCGAGCGAGCCATTCCGACTTCCACTTTTGGTGGAGGTTGCCGTCTCCAACGGCGTACGTGAGCTTTTTCGGGATAGCGCTATGCTTGTCTTCTCTATAGCATATATTCGAAGTGTTCTCAATGATTGCCTGTCCGGCGGAAAAGGTTGGTTAGCACGGCGTTCCCGAGAAGGAAAATGAGAAGGAAAACAAGAAGGAAAATGAGAAGGAAAACGAGAAGGAAAATGAGAAGGAAAACGAGAAGGAAAATGAGGAGGAAAATGAGAAGGAAAACGAGAAGGAAAACGAGAAGGAAAATGACAAGGAAAATGAGAAGGAAACTGAGGGAGATGATTTTGAAAGGTACGGTAGATAAGGTAATAATATCCTGGCCGCTTAGAAACTTACCCAATCTGGCTCCACGGAGATATGAGTTTTACTAAATCTGGGCCTAGTCCATTGTATTCGCTTCCATTCGAGTGTAGGTTTCGTTTGTGTCCCTCTCCCTCCGAGTGACTGGCGAAGGTGGGTGGCTGCTGCCCTCAGCGGTATCTTGACGACCAAGCGTGACAAACGGAAGGCCAACATGTTCATACTACCTTTGTGTATGATTTTGGTTGTGCTCGTGTCATCACTCAACTTCGGGACAGGTTGGTAGTCGGGTTCGAATTGTTTGATGTCCTGATGAAGAACTGAATGTCTCCATATGCAAGCTCGATGGCCTCAAAACTGAAATCCGTCCACGCCTGAACAGAGGGGTCGATATCATTGAACTCTATTTGATCGAAACGATCGGTGGCAGACCTTCTGGTTTCATCGTAACTTGGGCCAGCCCATTCATCGTCAATCTCTGGGTTTCTATCGTGGAGCACGCCCAGGATTTTGAGATTGGCGGTGTTGACTGGTGAAGGGGTTCTCCTAGACATTGCTGTGGCGTGTCGTGGGATGACGGAATAGAGGAGAGTGTGCAAAGAAAGTTTTGTGTGAACGGAGATGTTACGGTTGACTGGCTACCTACGGTAGTTGGGGGATGTGCAACGGAAGGTACCTAACTGCTAACCTATGCAGCCTTGCGAGTGTCACAGTGTGTCGAGGTCGACGTGTGTTGATTGGTTGGCGGCGAACACCAGCAAACATACCAACCCGGCGAGGGGCGGCCACAGGAGCGCGCTGCGTCTTTGTCGCGAGTTCTGGCAGCGAGCAGGAACTTGAGGACCGACAACGCTCAGTTACTCAAAGCAGTTATGGCAGGAGGCATTACTGTCTACATGTCACATTCGTGCGTGGCTACCTAGGTACCTGCTTGCTTCATAGTGTAGGTGGTAGGTGGGCATTGAACCCACGCGATTATGCTGTGTGCCATCCAAGCCGCCGAGTTCGGGTCCTCTGTCGGTTAGCACGTGATACCAGCGTGAGAACCTTGCATTCTGGCCAGACGTGGTCATGTGACACCCGCCGCTTCGGCGCCCCCCCTGGGCTGATCAGCTCGGGGCCAGCTAGGCTCCCAAGGCCAAGTCGCCGCCCTCAAAATCTCGCGCGACTTGGTTCCGCTCTTCCTTGCCTCCTGCTCTTCCACTCTCTCCATCCGCCACTCCATCAACCCAGCGCATTCCCATCCTCTTCACTTGCGCTCGAGTCCGCATCGCTCGTTCGCCTAAATAATTTAATCGTCCGACGATCAAAAATCGGCCATTTCTCTTTTTTGCTTTGCTGCTTGAATCACACCAGCCGCGACTTGACGCGACGTGCAGCAGCAAAGAAAGACCAACTGATCCGGTCATCGCCCGATCAGCTTCTCGAATCTGCCATTCAACCACCCAGCGAAGCCCATCGGCCTTTCGCATCGCGCATCTCTCCTAGTTAAAGAGTCGCGCATATCCACCAGCCATCCATCAAAATCCAAATCTATTACATTCCTCGCTTACCGTCGCAATCATGTCCGGCAAGCTCGACCAGTCTCTCGACGAGATCCTCACCAGCCAACGGCGCAACCAGCAAGGCCGTCGCCGCTCCACCCGCCGTACGGCTGGCACCACCCGACCTGCTCCCGCTGCTCCGGCCGGTGGCATTCAAAAGAGCACCAAGCCCGCGCGCGGCGCAAACAAGCCCACCCCCGCTAGGGGCGGTGGCGTGACTGGCGAGAGCAAGATCATGGTCAGCAACCTGGTAAGTCGATTCCAAAAACGCACCGACCAGATATGGGAGTTCGGGGCTAATATCTCGCTAGCCCAAGGATGTTTCCGAGGCCCAAATTAAGGTATGTTACTACCGGAGAGGCCACTAAAGGTTTCGAACTGTTTGTCGGCGCACATCTTCCGCGGCATATTCTATCGGCATCTTGTCCTCGTGGACCATAGGGTGGTTATTCCCTCCAACCCGACGCTTGAAAGCGACTGTCATGATGCCCCAGTTCCTTCCGATGCGCAGATCTGGCACCACCTCCTGCGTCATCACGGCTATCAAAGCCCCCGGAAGTTGAGCGAGCTCGCGTCTAGCTGCAACCTCATCATCGGGTTGCCTGGCAAGCACCCGTGATTGAGACCCTGCGCAGGCAATTAGAGCGACGGCGATATATCAGGCAGGGCGCCTAGCTGGGTGTTGTCGCCGCATTTCGCCTGGCTGGTTACCGGGTCGATGATTATGCGGTTCAGCGAGCTTAGCAGTGAGCAAATGGTGCAGCTCTTGTTCTCTCTCCCTTCTTGGCTGGGCGGTGGCATGGAGGCGGGGTCTTCCTTCGTTCTGGCGGTCCTCGAGACCTCGGTCGTGTAGGGAAGACAGGATACTATCCCAAAACTGGGTCGAGTTCGCATGGTTGGGTCACGTCGTACACTCTGTCGCCTCTCAACAAGGGCCCGCGGTTCCAAACGCGGAGTCGGTCGAACGGTTTCAGCGGAGGTTGGACGTGGCTTACCTGCTAATAGTAGGGGAGGCTACCTTTGGAGACTCGGCTCACTGCTCTGCTCGCTGCTTTTGGTTGCCCAGCTCTAGGACGGCCGCATAACGGAACGCCTCGATGATCTGTGGACCTATTCCCGGATGCGGACGGTCGGACTCACAATCTTTGTTTGACGCTAACCACGGATTCCCCTCGATAGGAGTACTTTGTACAGTCAGTCGGCCAGGTCAAGAAGGTCGAGATCTCATACGGGCCCGGCGGCGTCAGCCGTGGCATCGCGCACGTCTCATTCCAGCAGGCGGACGGCGCCAGCAAGGCTTTCTCCACCCTGAACGGTCTGCTCATTGATAGCAAGCCTGTCAAGGTAAGGCTGATCTGCCCTGGTCAACATGTGAAGAAGGTAGTGGCTAACATCGTCCCAGGTCGAGGTTGTTGTTGCCTCTGCCGACCTTATCCCGCAACCCAAGTCGCTCGCCCAGCGTATCGCGCAACCCAAGGTCCAGCCCAAGTCTGCTGCCGCGGTGAAGAAGAACGCAAACACCGGCAAGGGTAGCGCTGCCGCTGGCAAGGGCACCAAGAAGACAGCCCGGGGCGGTCGTAGCAGCCGCCCGGCCAAGAAGACGGCCGAGGAGCTCGACTCGGAGATGGCGGATTACTTTGTCGGTGGCAACACCGACAACACCGCCAATACCGCTGCTCCCGCCGCGGCTGCCGGCGGTGACGCCGCGATGGAGGAGGATGTCCTCTAAGCGACGACTTGGTCCTGCTAATCCTCAACACGCGTGGCGTTTCCTGGGACCAGGGTTTAGCGGCATACGTATGTACGAAATGAGTCTCGGGTGGTCTTTCATATGGAATGATGATGGGTTGGGCATGGCTTGGACTTGGCAGCTTTTAGCATCTCTTAGGAACAGATTGCACTCCTCGGTAGTTATGTCGGGTGTACTGTATAATTGGCTTGGCGGTTTTATTATACCCGTTTACGCTTTCGTGGACTCCAGAGGTGTGTTCATGTGTTTGATCCCTTGGCTCTACTCATGTACTTTGTGTCATCCTCTGCCCCCTTCTAGGCACTACCCAGTGCCTTTACGCGAAGCGTCTCTCTACATTACTAAAGGCACTGGAAGACGGCCGGTCCCGGAATCGTGTAGTTACCCGCTGCATCCCCAGTTAGCAACGGGCTGAAGAGAAACAAAGAAAGAGCAAAATAAAGGAAAGGGGGTGTGGAGGGAGGAAAAAAACTCACGATTCCAAACATCAATAAAAATCCCCACATCATCCGCCTTGTACGCCCCCGGAAAGCTGACCAGGCCCTCGCTCGAGTTGACCGTGCTGGCGCCCGTCACGCGCAGCTGGTGGCACGACGGGTAGAACTGGGCCTCGCCCTCCGCCCACGCCGAGTGCAGCGCGATCAGCTCGTGCCGTACCAGGTATGCTTCCAGGCAGGATGGGATCGTGTAGTTGTAACCTTGGTTGTGGGTGGAGGGAGAGGGGGTTATTGGTAGGGGAGAGGGTGGAAAAGGGGGGAGGTGAAAAGGGGGAGTGCGAAAGGAGATCTTACGACGGCCCAGATGTCGTCTGGGTAGGACTTGTCGGTGGTGTGGCGGCCGTCGTGATGGACCTTATAGAAGACGGGTCTAGTTGCCATCGTCAGTATACCCCTTTTCTTCGAATGCCCAACTAAACGACGAAAGAGCTCAACGTACTCCTCTCCCGGCAGCCACTTGTCACACCCCTCATCGGGGCACCGTGCCATGTAGGTGAGAGCGGGCCCCATGTGCGAGTTGGACGACAGCGTCCACTTCAGGTTGACGGTCGACCCGGCCTCGGCGGTGGCGTGAAGAGGGGCGGGCTCCGATCCCACGGTTCCCTCGCTGCTGATGCCGCCGCACTGGAGGTCGATTGAGGTCACATCCTAGACGGGGCCGTTTGGAAGTGATCTTGCGGGAGATGCGCTCGGGTGCGCCGTCGGTCATGCATGGGTCTTGGCAAGGTTGGTATAACTTGGGACGAGGTAGATAGAGACACCACTAGCAGGCCGGAGTATGCGATAGTCTACGTGCTTGCCTGGTGGAACTGGCCGGCGATGGTGGCATTGTCAACTCAGCCCTAGGCCGAGACTGAGGCCGCGGTTACAAGGCTGGTGAGTGCCCTTACCTAAATGGGCTTGGGAGGAGTTCTATGTAGTCAATACATACTCTGTGAATGATCGACGCATGGCCGTTCCCGATCCCGATCACACTCATTGGCGCGTCTAAGGAACAAAGGGGCTCCACCAACTTCAAGGCCGGGTTCTCTGGTACATAAATGGATCTCCCAGATGCTCCCCCATCTCAATATCCGGGACGTGGAACCGGCATTTGTGTGGGGTAGCGAGTGCCTGACCCAATACCACCTCTCCAGCCTTTACCAGGTTGGACCGGTTTAGGTAACAACCGCTTCCCACTTCCGCGTCCCAGGAGCGCAGTCAAGCCCGTTCTCCCTCACAATCGACTTGGCGTCACCGGGCGTTTATCCCCAACCCCGGGCCGGCACGGGAACCGAGAGACGTTGATCCGCATCGGAGGCACCTTTCCCGCGCTGGATTCGTGATGGAGGCTCTTCACTACCGGTTCCTAAATGATCTGCGTGTCGGGAACGTTAAATCGATATTAGCCGGTCCAGGAACATGGAATTCTCTCAATAACGAATGAAACATGAAGGTAGCATAGAAACAACATGGATGCTCGAGCCCACCCCTCGTCCTCGGTTATAGAAACATACATAGTAGTCGGGCGAACCGCCAACCCCTTAGTTCAAGGTTTGTACCCAGCCTCGAAGGGGTTATACGTAGTTGGGTAAATTTGGCCGTGAAGCTTCTCACGATGCTGAAGTCAGTCTTGATCACGGCGCTGGCCCTCCTTGGCCCGGCATGTGCCCAAGAGTCAGAGACCTTCACGAACCCCATCCTATACGAGGACTTCCCGGACAATGACATTTCATTGGGGCCGGACGGCGCTTTTTATTACTCGGCGTCCAACTTTCACTACAGCCCCGCTGCCCCTATTCTCCGGTCCTACGATCTTGTCGACTGGGAGTTCGTCGGCCACTCGATCCCTCGCCAGAACTTTGGCGACGGCTACAACCTGCCGCCCACCGGCGAGCGTGCCTACCGCGGCGGGACATGGGCCTCGACGCTGCGCTACCGCGAGAGCACCGGCCTCTGGTACTGGATCGGATGCGTCAACTTCTACCACACCTGGGTGTACACGGCCCCCAACCCCGAGGGCCCCTGGACCAATGCGGGCAACTACGGCAACGGGGTCTGCTTCTACGACAACGGCCTGCTGATCGACGACGACGACACCATGTACATCGTCTACAGCTTCAACGACGGCAAGCAGGTCAACGTGACCCAGCTCGCCCCCGACGGCCTCAGCACCGTCCGCACCGAGAAGGTCATCGAGCCCGGCCAGGTCAGCGTCGACAGCATTGAGGGCAACCGCATGTACAAGTTCAACGGCTTCTACTACATCCTCAACGACCACCCCGGCAGCACCGCCTACGTGTGGAAGTCAGAATCCCCCTGGGGTCCCTACGAGGGCAAGCCCCTCGCCGACAACGTGCAGAGCCCGCTCCCGGGCGGCGGCGCACCGCACCAGGGCAGCCTAATCGAAACCCCACAGGGCGACTGGTACTTCATGTCCTTCACGTGGGCCTTCCCGTCCGGCCGACTGCCGGTACTAGCACCGATCGAATGGCAAGACGACGGCTTCCCGACGCTCGTAACCGACGCCACAACCGGCGCCTGGGGAACCTCCTACCCGCTCCCACTGCCGCGCAAACCGCTCAACCACAGCTGGGCGAGCACCAACTACCCGTTCACCACGCTGACCACCCTCCCGCCCACCTTCGAATGGAACCACAACCCGGACACGGACAGCTTCACCCTGACCCCAGACGTCGGCCTGGTCCTCTCCACCGCCACGGCCAACGAAACCGACGACCTCTACTCGGCGCGCAACACGCTGACCCACCGGGTGCACGGGGAATTTCCCACCGCCACGCTGGAGCTGGACGTGGGCGGGATGGCGGACGGGGACCGGGCAGGCTTGGCCGCCTTCCGGGACCGCAGCGCGTACATCGGGGCGCACCGCACGGGCGACGAGCTGCAGGTGGTGGCGCGCTTCAACATGACGCTGGACGAGTGGGGCGGGCCGACGCTGGATCTGGGCGAGGTGGTCGAGACGGTGCCGCTGGGTGCCTTTGGGGAGGTGGGGACCAGGTTGTGGTTTCGGCTGAGCATGGATGTGAGGCCGGATGGGGCGCATGAGGCGGGGTTTGAGTATAGTGTTGATGGGGAGGCGTTTGTGGCGGTGGGGGGGAAGTATGAGCTGTATACGGGCTGGGCGTTCTTTTTGGGGTATCGGTTTGGCATCTTCAACTATGCGACGAAGGCGTTGGGCGGGAGCGTGACGGCTGTGAGCTTTGCCACCGGGTCGAAGTGATGACGGGGAGTGAGGTGATGATGGTGAGGTGATCCGGGGGTATTTGTAGCTTGTCCACGTTCTGGACCTTGTTCATACAGAGTATTCCGGATCTTGTTCATGTTCTTCTGGACCCATGGTGCATTCCGGTGAGGTTGTAGGTGACCTCATAACCGTCCCTTCCAGCATGGTCCATGGGACGGCCATCATGGACGTAGCGACGTCCGATCTAGCAATGACTCCCATTCTAACTTTGCCACTTCGTCTCCGGCGTTATCATCATCTCCGTCCTACGTCCCCAATTCTTCTCCCTCCCCATTTACCATCCATCACGTCTTTGTTGCCCACCATCATGACTGCGACAACCGCCGACTTGGGAGCTTACATCTCCCGCATCCATAACCACGGCGGCGGCGACGACGACACCACCACCACCATCTTCGGCACCTCCCCCGCGCACCGCCGCCCGCAACTCCGCCGCCACCGCCCCAACCGCGTCCTCCTCTACCCGGGGTGCTTCAACCCGCCGCACGTGGCGCACAGCGCGCTGCTGCGGCGGGCCTTTGAGAGCACGCCCGACCTGGGCGTGGTGGCGGCGGTCGTGCTGCCGCTGGACGACGACCGGCTGGAGGAGAAGCGCCAGGATCGGCGGGCGCGGAAGCAGCAGCAGCAGCAGCAGCGGGAGCGGGTGCGGGCGCGGCGGGCAAAGGTGAAGAAGGCTAGCGGCGGTGAGGTGGGTGAGGCGGGTGAGACGGGTGAGGGTGAGGGGGAGGGGGCCGACGAGGCCGAGATGGATGGGCTCCTCCTGACGCGGGAGCAGCGGGTGGCGCTCTGGAGGGGCTGGGGGGGGTGGTGGTACCGTCGACAGGGGGTTCGGGGGTGGGTGGCTGTGGGTGTACGACCGCAGCGAGGAGGAGTGGCATGAGTTCCGGGAGCGGCTGGTCGACGCCGTGCGGCGGGACGGGTTCGAGCTGGAGTTTGTCTGCCTGGTCGGGGCGGACTACGTGGGGCGGCGCGGGGTGCCATGGGGGTCCTGGGATTGTGAGAAGTTGGTGGTTGGGGACGCCGGCAGGGCGGTGGACTTCGTGGCGACGGACGGTGATGGTCGGAGCCGGTTGTTGTCCCTGGCGTGGTGCGAGAAGTGGGAACCCGTGGAGGAAGACGAGGAGGCGGCGCATCAGCGGGTCATGGATGACATTGCCTGGCTTGTTGGTGTGTCGAGCTTTTATGACTGCGGCTATATTCGCCGGCAGCTCGACAGAGGTAGGTGAACGCTTGCCTACTCCCTCCCGTGAGTGTCCAACGGCCCGCTAACTTGAGTTGCAGACCCTCGGTTTTATGAGAACCTGGCCCAGGACGGCCTAAGGACATTCACTGAAAGTACAAGAAAACAGTGGATGTGCCGTCGAAAACGCAGCCAGGGACAGTGGCTTCGATATGTCCCATGCCCCGATGACGAGCGGACGATACATACCGGCGGATCGACCAAGATTCGGGATAGTATCGCAAGTTGCCCCACGGGGCAGCTACTCAAAAAGCTCGAAGGGACAGTCCTGAACGCCGAGATGTTGGTGGAGTTTGTCATGGATGCAAGGTCGCCAGAAATGCACCATACCTACCGCATCTTTGGACTCCCTTAGTATTATACTGTGGTCCCGTGTCTCCTGGGAAGCGTCTTGCTTGGGACGATCGTCTTTTTAAACGGTGTTCGCTGTCTGAGTCGCTAAGCTGGCTATTTAGAACCCTGGTCGTCTCAAGTCAGCCGGCAGGACTTAAAGCATAATGTATAATAGCTTGTCCCGCTATCTTCAACAACCAGGGCACACTTACAAGCCCTTGACCGAAGCTCCCCCTTGTCCAAACGGCACAAATTATTGGGGAAACACGCCATCCTCGCTGTCCATAACTTGTCCTCTCAATCCATACCCAGCTCCCTTCATCACGGCCCTCTCGTCACGTTCGCCACCGACTCCGCCTGGCATCATTTCTCCCGCCTGCCCTTCCCCTCGCCTTCCTTGAACGGATCTACCCACAACTCGTCCGGTGGCCAAGCAACCATGCATGCGCCTTGCCTGACAAATTCAGCGGCCTCTTTGGCCGTGTAGGGAGCTGGCGGTGGTGGATTCGAGTTCTGTCCTGAGTTTGGAACGGCATGCTTTACCGCCTTATCTGAACAGGTGCATCTCTTTGGCTCGTTGAACGGCATTGTGACGATGTAGTATTGCCGGCCCGGCGTTCGTGCGGTTTAAGGAGCGTTTAAGGTCGGGGTTTGGTTTGTTTGAAGTTGATGCCTTAATCCCACATAGCTTAGGTATTGAGGAATTCCCCGACAAATGAGAAAGTAACAGGAGCCGAAGGTAGATATGTTTGTTTGACGAGTTCACTCTCTCGATAAATGGCGCACTCCGATCGAAATCGGCCTGGATGGCCACGAGGACATTGTGGCACTGTGGGGTAGGCAAGTTGATTCCTCCCTGGCCGCCACCAGAAATCTCGAAACCTACAGGGCCGAGTTGGGGGGTCAGCCTATTTCCCAACGTGGACGACAAAGGAACAATACCGCCTTGGGCTCGTCGTGTTGCCTCGGCACGGCCAATCAACCTTGGGGCACACTGCGAGTTGTCCAAAACATCGGGATAGTTTCCCCAATTTCATGCTTCCGGTCGCACTAGGCCTCGGCCGCTCCCGACGAGGGCCAGCTCCTCCCGACACTGTATCCTTGTACTCCCGCGGAAGTTGAAATCTAAATGATCAGAAATTTCACCGCCATAGCACTTGCAACTGACCGCGTAACATCAACTCAAGGCAAAGAATAGCTCCATTCGCCGAGGCAAGAGGAATAGACCGGTCTCAATACATCAGATTGCTCCGCCGCCGCGCCTGTTGTTGGGCCACACGGGCCAAGCGCCTTATATTCCGTTTTGCTAGTCCGTATTCATACCGCGACGCTTACCCGAAGCTGATATCGACGTGTTAGGTTCGAGACCGCGCGGGACGCGGGAAGATGGGCCCTGCTAACAGCTTTGCTTCTTCCCCCTCTAAGAGCTGGTGACTGCCTCCTTGCCATCATCAGCCTTCGCGGCCTTCTCGGGCTCTTCCTCGCCCTCCAGTGGCGGCATGTCGTCGTCTGACTCGTCATCGTCCTCATCGCCGGTAGGCATGCCGGCACCGCCGCCGAGCTTCGAGAAATCGATGCCGCCGAAGTCACTGCCGCCTGCAATGGTGGTTAGCGAGCCGCATATACAAGAGGGACCGAGGTGAGGGCGGATCTGCGATGTCGCATCTGCTGCTCCCCCTTTCCGAGTCTCAGGTTGCCAAGTACGTACCCATGCCTGGGAGTCCACCTATGGATAAGCATGCGTTAGCCAACGAGACAACAACAAGCTTCCGGGCCGTGAACACAACAAGGTCACTCACCCATACCGCCGGGGCCGCCAGGGCCGCCAGGGCCGCCAAAGTTGGCACCAAAGTCTTCCTCGGGCGCCTCGTTCTGTTCGTCTTCATCCACCCACTTGTCAAAGTCAGTCTTGAGGAAGTGCATCCTCTTAGCCTCCTTGAGCAGACGCGGCCAGTAGGTCTCGCCGAGTTCCTTCTTGCGCAGCTTCATCTCGACATCGCGGGCCGTGTGGTTGGTCTTGCTCTCAGCGGGGTCGATCTCGGCGAAGAACTCAAGCTCGACGAAGTAGGTCTTCTTGAGCGTGTCGGAGCGACCCTCGAACGTGAGGCCAGTGGGCTTGAGATCGAGCTTAATGTTGCCCGCAGGCACGTCGGGCACGTTGATGGTCAGGTAGACGAAGTTCTTGTCGGCGTCGACATTGGACGAGCGCTGTGCCCAGAGGACTGCGAAGGCAAAGAGTGGTTAGCAGGCAGCGCAAGGCGAGTAACGCAATCAGCGGGGTAGACCAAGAGCTCCGCGGCCAGGACAACAAGTTGGGTTCAAGACGATGACAATCGCAAAGAATTGACAGAAAACAACCTACCCTCGGGTGTCACCTTAGTTTCGGCCATTGTAATCTGTTGGATGACGAATTTATGAGCTTGTGATTCTCGATGTGGTGTGGAAGGGGGTTGAGGAGGGGTAGCTCGAGTGCTAGGAACGAACGTTTTGCTACTCAAAATCGAATTATAACCGTGCCCGGAAGTCAAGTGGCTGCAATGAAAGCGAAGTTGTGTTCCTGAACTAAAATGGAGGTGGTAGTTGAAAATGTCAAGTCGGAAGGTTCAAGTTCGGTGGGAGAGGAACCTAGGCGCGCACGAGGTGGGATGTTGTGAGGCTGCAGGTGACGGTGGAATTCGCCAGAAGCCCAAAGATTAACTTGCACGGGCCATCTCAGGCTGAGCTGCCCCCCCCACCTCCGGTGTTCCTTCCCGTCCTAGCTGCGAAGGGTGGAGTCCTAGGTAACTTTCAAGCTTTCCATCCTTAGAAGCACTCACGACCAACTTGATATTCCTCCTGGGCTTTTTTTATCTTGGCTTTGATGGCTTTAGAATCCAAGTTGAACTTTGTTCTTGGAAAGCTCCCTACCCGGCTCCTAACGAGAGGGCTGCAGCCTTAGTTCCAGATCATCAGTTTCCCCTGCCTCACTCGGTTGTTTCTTTCCCTATGAGGGGTGCCCAATCCAGGGGCAAGAGCGGGGAAGTCCAAACGGGCACAGCATAGCCCGCCGACCGGGCATTGGGTTCGGACGCCGAGGGAGCCATAACGATCCATTCACCAGGTTTATCATTGATTCCGGAGTTGTCCAGTAAATCGAGTCGTGCCCGGGTCTCCAAGTTACCCTGTTTATGGATGGACCGAGCCCCGTTGTCAAGTCTCGGGCTGTTTCACCTCCAAACTTGAAAACCCTGGGAAATTGAGAAGACGGAACCGACGTGCGGATGGTTAGATGGTGGACGAAAATCTCAAACAGAAATAAATTAATGTGAGCTTGGTGTCAGTTCCAACCTCGCGGCCTTGAATAATTCCCAAATTCCAACGAAAGAAGAGGTCTCTTTGTTCACATTTTGCGGCAGCTGAGGCGCGCAAGATGGCGGGGCTTCAGGGTCGCGCGCTGCGGGTCTAACGGCTGGGCGAGGTTAGGCGGGGTTGCCTGCCTGACCCCTGGCCTAGCCGTCCAGGTTGCCCGGTGAGGCTCAAACGCTTGGCTGAGGAATCCCAACGACGTCAGCGCCCGCGCGTCCGCAACACCACAAATTCTAATCCGACCTATTGGCCGTCGCGGCAACGCTTTAGGCGACCGCGTCCAGAAACAGCAATCTTGAATACAATTGAGAAAAACCGCCGCCAGCCCGCCGCTCGCCGACCGCCGACCGCGGCCACAGCAGCAGCCATGGACACGATCAGGAACATGTTCGCGAGGCCAGACCCTCAGGCCCAAGTGCGTCTTCTTTTCGGGCCAAAAAACGACAATACCTCTCACTAACCATACCAAACTACCCGCAGTTCCGAAAATGCAACGCGCTCCTCCGCAGCAACATGCGCAAGCTCGACCGCGACATCGCGGCGATCAAGCAGACGGAGACCAAGACCAAGAACCTGATCATCGCGGCCAACAAGCGGGCGCAGCGCGGGGACCCGTCGCGGCAGAAGCAGGCGCAGCGCGAGGTGCGCGACTTCGCGCGCGAGCTGATCCGCACGCGCAAGGCCGGCGACCGCCTGGTCACGGGCCGCGCCCAGCTCGCCAGCGTCCAGATGCAGGTCAGCGAGGCCTTCGCCCTGCGCCGCATCGAGGGCAGCATCAAGGCCAGCGTCGGCATCATGAAGGACGTCAACTCCCTCATCCGCCTGCCGCAGTTTGCTCATACCATGCAGGAGCTGAGCGTGGAGCTGATGAAGGCCGGTATTATCGAGGAGATGGTCGGCGAGGCCCTGCCTGATGATGCCGACATGCTTAGTGAGGAGGAGGAGGAGGCTGAGGGCGAGGTTGATAAGGTCCTTGGTGAGATCCTCAAGGACCGCATGGAGACTGCCGGGCCCCTACCCAGCGTACCGCTGCCGCAGCAGCCTCAGCAGCAGGTGCCAGCTCAGAAGCAGCAGCCACAGGCGGAGGAAGAGGATGAGGAGGAGGATACCGAAGCCATGATGGATCAGATGCGGAACCGGTTGGAGGCGCTGAGGAGTTAGAGGTACAGCGGGTATGTGCCATAATACTTTGGGATGTGGATTGTGTTGTTGGCCGGAGCGGGACGGACATTGGGCATGGCGGCGTTTTGGGCGTTTGGGATAATGCTTGTTGGCGAGCTTCGTCACGTACACATTGCTTGCGAGGGGCTTACACCCGAGTATATTGGGGTATACAGACGGTTTGGTTGCGAAATATAGAGCTGTTGCGAACGAGTTATGCACCCGGTTACAGGATGGCCAAGTGCTGAGTTGAACATCACTCTTGGCCGGACTCTGCCCCCTTCATATACTGCCGCTGCTATGATGGGTCACTATGCTAAATAACATGTCGTCAATTAAATGCTACTGACAGCGGCCACCGTGGAACAAACCCGACCCATACCACCGCCTTCGCAGGCACACTGGACAAAGTTATAGCAACTCCGCTTCCCATGAGTTCCCGTACAGAGAACGTAACCCCATATGGTAATCCAGGAACACAGGGACTCGGCTACAGCAGTAGTGCTATAATTGTAAATGAAGAAAGGCTACTCTTAACCTCTTCGGTTCGGTGATGCGTAATATACCGGTTCAGAGTTCGCTGGTCTCCCAGCCTAGCTTCATTAAAGAAACAGGTGCTAGTAAGTCCATATGAATTCGCTCTTCGCGCCCTAGAGCTTCGTAGCCTGTCAGGTTCGGGGGTTGAAACATGAAGGTGATGGCAAGACCCAACCTTCTTGACCCGACTTCTTGAAGCTCTCCTTAGAGAATGCTATACCTGCCCTGCCGTCCTCTCGCTGCTATCTACGGCATCTCCTATATGGCTCAATATGTAGTGGTGTTACCTCACAACCTCCAAGGTTTTGGGTACTAAGGGGGCTATATGATCTCTACCATCTCCTCGCTTGGGACCTCGCACTTAAGTCTCCTATCCGGCCCCTCCCACCCCCGCCGGCTTCCATCCCAACTCCTTGCCCTCCACCTTCCTGCCGCATCTTCCCGCCAGGGCCATATATACATGTCCTGCGGTCACATTGTCACCGCCTCCTCCCAATTGAAGTCAAACACTGGTTTGGCTCAGCGGTACTGGGAGGAGGACCGGTTGGACACCAATCGAAAGAGGAGCGGTTCGACTCCCCCTCGCGGCGCAAAACCCTACAGTAAAAGGGGTTTTCGTAGCCACCAACCTCCATTAATAGACCAGCACAAATGGAGCTTGGTGGTGAGCTTTTTGCTTTTACATCCGGCAGATATAGTTATTGAATACCGAGTTATCATGTATTTATTAATATCGGCGGTCATTGCACCTCTACTTATCTAAACTACACGACGCATTATGTTATCGAGATAATAGTTGAAGTTACTCCATTACGTTGCATGCAAAATAACCAAGCAATGATCAACAGTTCATTAACAACGTGGATCCTATACCAGCTCGAGATTCAACAAGTATCGAGCTTCAAGTAGGATAGGAAACACCCACAACTTTGTCTCATTCCAGTGAACTGGTCGTGGTATCTCGTGGCTCCTTCAAGGACCCGAAGAAGATTGCCAAATACTGAATGGCCAATTCTCTATCATGGTGCTGAGGTTCAACACCACCCATAAAAGTTTATCGAGCTGCTTCGGGTTGGTGAGGTGAACCCAGTGCCTGCAAACGGGTTGTCCACCTAGAAGACCGACTGTCCACGATTGCCCCTTCGAGATGCAAGATTAGTACTTGGTGAACGAGAAAATACGACTTGCGTTAAACTCGGCTTGATGGTTTGACTTCCCAGTTGTATCGCTAGGACCCGCGACGACTCGGAATATGAGATGTATTGACTTCTAGGTTGTCAAGACTGACAAAATGCCTTGCATCTTATTACCACAAGCGGACCACCAGCAGCATTTCTTATGAACCGTTCAGTGTTGATGCAATTCACTATTCCTGAATCTTCTCTATCAACTTATTTCGAGGCTAATACACCTCGATGCATTCCGGGTACAATTCCCGCGGACTTCAATTCCCACATGCACGGCGCCCAAACCCCCGATAACCGAGCTGATAAACCGATAATATGCTGAACGCAGGATGAGCAATCTCAAAAGAGGCGTCCCGCGGCGCCCGCGGATAACATCACCTCGGATCATGATGCTCACCCGCTCCGATACGATCGAACAAGAACCCCGATGCAGAGCACACGATCTGATAGGACCCCCCCCCCCCCCCCGGGGACGATCACATCGCACATTCAAAGGTCCGTCCTGCCGTTGTTGTGTGATTAGACATGCAGAAGCCAAGCCAAGCCCGCTCCGAGTCGTTCGTTCCCTTTCCCCGCGCACGCCCATTGATTTGTCCCACACTTTTTGTGAGCTATCACACCCAATTGGCCCGAAAACGATCGGGGGGGCGTCCTGTCACATTGAGCGCCGGGAGGCAATATTTGTTCAGCTTTCGAGTCTTGTTTGTTCCGCTTGTCGCGGAATGGCGATGAGAGGAGCGACGAGTCACTTTTTGTTCTTCTTTTGGTTTTATTGAGGCGTCGCGGCGATGTCTTGGGGTTGGTAGGGTAGGTAGCTGCTGGGGTGAAACCTGGGCGTGAGAGAGCGGAGGAGAGAAACGTGATAGATTTGATATGCGGCTTTTTGTTGGAGGATAGCAACCACGTGTGGGTGTGTGTGTTTCATTCTAGAGGCAGCACTCGAACCAGTTTCCTGCTTGACACCCCTAAGGGGAGGGGTAAAGCGGGTTGTGATGTGATAATTAGTTGAACCCCAAGCATGAGTTTCATGAGACTTCCCACTTGCACGCGTCCATCGTCGCGATAGCAGTGTGATGAGATCTGGATCTTCAACGGTCTGTGATTGGAGCTTGGTCGTCGCTCGCCTTTCGTCCTGGGTAGCATCGTCTGCATTGGCGCGCCGGAGGATTGTCGGACTGCAACTCCTCAGGTTATTCTTAGGCCCGCCGAGGACAATGTATCAATGACAAGAGTGACCCGCCGGATCTCGCGGGGCACTGCCTGAATACTCGATGGTTCTATCGCGGAAGGGGAAGGTGTTGCATTGTCGTACTGCCTCTGGACTCGTCAGTTCGGTGAAACAGCCGCTCCGTTCTATCCTCTCTATCACGATGACAGTGACTCATCCCAAACAAGCGTGGTGTTTTCCTGAGGGATTGGCGTATTGCAATCTGCTGACGACGATGGGCGCTTGAGAACGGAGGAAACGGAACCTGAAGGGGCAGCTGATACTACTGATGAACAAGGAGCAGAGACGATATTGGCTAGAGCAATCAAGCCGAATAAGTGACAGGATTGTCAAGTTTGAGCAAGATGGGACGCGTATGGTTGACGAGGAGGGAGCCCACACCAACCGGACGTGTAAGTCGGCTAAGCAGTGCTAAGCTCCACTCGCCCCCGACTCCTCCGGGCCGGGGGTCCACCTCTCCGGATTGCCACCGACGAACCGGAGCGTTGACTCGGGGCCCACCCCGAGTCAGGTACGGCCTGCGGCCTCTCCTGCAGGCGGCGAAGCTTGGCGATGCGCGTCAACTCGTTGACGAGACGGGACTGATTCTCCAATCATCCTATAGAGCTGAAAAGTCAACAGATCATTGGCGGCGGCCTCGGCGACCATCACCGGGCTGTGAAAGGCCGCCACCGAGTCAGCTGTGGGAGTGCAGTTACCGAGGGATCATAGACGGCGACAGTGAGGTCCGACCGCCGCAGGAAAGAAACAAGCTCAACCTCCCCACGCGATCACGCCTTATTCCGCACGTGCAACCCCACGAACCGTTCTCTCCGATCAGGCAACCTTGGGAACGAATCCTCCACCAAAACCCCAATCTCAACCCTGTGCTTCTTCTAAAAATGAGCGCGCCGAGACGCGACAGATGACACCCGCCCGAGGCATCAGGCGCCAGACCCCCCCATCAGAAAACGATGTGAAAACAGCTCAATCCCGTGTCTCAAACCCAAAGTCTCAAACCACATACCGATCACCGACAACGCGGTGCTTCCGAGGAGCTCACCCCGCCGCGACACCGAGCATCCATCCCCCTCTCAGCGGCCCAAACCGCGCGGGTGGTGGGGGGACACTGGGGGTTCGACGCTGCAGCCCAACCTCGAGCCCACGTGTTTGGGATGGAGCCCTCTCGCGGATTGGTCTCGCCTGGGCGTTCTCCGCCACTCACCGGCCCCCACGCGCGCCCCCCGAACGCCCCCCGACCGATCCGGGGGGTATTGGGGATTCCATCCCACGCGCACCACGCCCACGGTGGCGGGGAGTTTTCTTTTCGCGCGGATCCAAACCTCTGGGGAGATTCCCAGCGCGTCGGGGCCGCCAAACGTTGATCTCAGGGGTATTCCGAAGGGGAAGGTGGAAGGGGGGGGGGGGGGTCGGGGTTCGGAACCCTTGACAACCAGCGTTTTGGGCTCGACGGAGTCCGAGCTAGGTGGTCGCAAGCAAGGATGGAAAAGGTCTTTTTCGCCGGAACAAGCAATTCCTTCGAATGAAGAAAGAAGCGTGGAAAAAGCCGTTAGTGGACGCGAAGAGCCCGATCCCGGTCTTCCGGTCGTTTGGGACCTGGCAGACCTGGGGGCCTGGAGGGGACCGTGGAGACTTCATTTACCAACGGAGGCAACCGAGTCCAGGATGGATTCGGACTTGCAGAATCTGCAAACGGTGAACGGTGAAAATCTCTTCTCATGAGATGGGGACCTGGCCGACTCGGGGGCAATTCACCGACAGGACAAGGGGGAGGTAACGGCCGGGCCGGCCGCGGCGAGGGTTCCGGCGTCCGGGGGCCCTCCCAAAAGCATGGTTGACATGGGTGGTTGTCGTCGCATCTGTCGCATCTTCGGCCAGGGGCGCCCCAGTCGTTTTTATCGGTGCATTTTGAGTTTTCTGGGACCAGACAAGCTCTCAACGGAGTCGACAGGGTGACACGCTCTCAGGACAGATTGCGCTTTGACTCCTTCTCCGGGTCGATTCCCCGGCCCCCCTGTGCAACCGCTCGCCCCGTCAGCTGGAACGGCTGGTCAGCTTCCCCGGATGTGGCTGAAGATGACGAGTCAGTGTTTGTTCTGATTTATCGTGTGCCGGATGCACGACGACCTGCAGCTGCGGGATCCGGCTGTCGGGGAACACGTCCGCGGCACCTCCAACCCTGTCTTCCGGCGGAGGATCCCACCCAACAATGACGGGGTTTCGAAGAAGGAATGAAAAAGGAAAAGAAAAAGGAAATGGGATAAAAAAGCTGCCCTTGTCGTTTTCTTTCTGGCTAATTAACCCGGCTCGAGCCCGGCGAGGCCGGCTCCCACCGGTGTGGTTTGCTGTGGATCCGGGCCATGTTTCATCCCTGCTTCCCCGTCGCTCGCGTCAGCTCCATCCACCATCGCGAAATGGCCTGGCTGCCTGGCTCGAGCCTGGACCTCGCGACATGGGGATGCGAAAAGCAAAGGACGGGAATTCCAAATCCCAAATTCTACGACGAACGGCGGGTTAATTACCGCCTCGGTCGCGTGGTGATAACGTGCCGGCAACCCTCGTACTCCAGACTTGCCACCTTCTGTTCGCGTGCAAGCGCTATCACGATCTTCTTCGCCGAACCCACTGATAAGCGGCGCCCGGTACGGGCTGGACCGCCGACTCGGTGGGACACACCGTTCGAGACACCCTCGACGGTCAATCCGGGGGAGGCGGACACCCACGCACCCTGAGTGCCTGAGAGGAGCGGAGCGCCGTCCGCCCGCCATGAGATTAGCGGGCCAGGCTAGGAGGTTAGGGCGGGCGGGACCCGCATTCCGGTTCATCTGGCGCCTTCCGCCTCCCCGGGGCGAACCCACCGACACTGACTGGTCCGTTTCGCAGGAACTGCCCGTGCTGCCCAGGGCAGCTGCGTGTCGCACAGACACGCAGCACGGCATGCAGGAGAGGAGTCCAGAGCTGGAAAGTGCGCTTCTCGGAACAGCGGTCAGGGGAGTCTAATGCGCCCAAACGGGACAACTCAGCTCGACTTGCAGCAAGGTGAGTGCTGGTGAGGGGTACCAAATTTGCAGACGGTGTGCACGAAATTCCCAAATGTGGCAATCACCTGAATCTGGAATCTGGAAGCCCCTCTGCTCTTGCCCTGGTTCACAAAGCGCTGTCTGATTCAGATTGCCGGGGAATCAGTCACAAATCTTCCGACAGGAGACGGTGAGGCTTGCATATCAACCTGGAAGTTTATCAAAAGTTTATCTCGTCTCTAAGATCTTGTTTTGGCGCTATCGGCGTCGGATGCAACGGGGCTGTCCGCATTTCGGCCGGTTGTTTGACCACACCGTCCAAAGTGCAGCAATCCAGCACGCGGATAACGCAATCGTCGGAAGCCACACCGGCAAACTACCTACCGAATCCCGACTTTTCGCGCCCGTAACGGCTCTGCCCGCAACCGAGATGTGCGGTCGCGAACGTTCCCTCCGAGCTTCGGTCCCGCCTCCCACCCACCTTTCGCTCACGATTAATAATGACTCGCATCCCGTCCTATCTTTAACGAGAGATAATGATCGGTAAGGTGAGATGATGTAAGGGACGCCGATGTAGGGTAAGCAGCAGCAGCAGCTTCTCTCGACGCCGCTGTGCTTCCCCAGTCTGACTCAACGCCGCAGGGCGGGATTCGCCTACGTCGGCATGGGATCTATTCCCGGGAGCGGGCGGCTAGATAGGCAGCCCTATACGCGAAAGAACGGCGAACAATTACATAGAAGCCCGGTCGGTCGGTCTGGACATAGGGCTGCGCCCTCCTGCATGTAACCACTCGAAGCTCACTCGCCCACGATTACAGCATGCCAGCTGCCCGATACGCACCTGCCTTGATTGTCCAGACCGTGATACCGTCGCAAAACGGAGGCCCAAGTTCGAGGGAGGTCGATAAGGCACCTAGTGACTGACCCAAGGGCGGCAGCGCTTGTTGCGCGTGAATTCAAGATAAGGTGCGAACAGCATCCGGTAGGTAGGGAGAACAATAAAAAAAACACGGGCACATGAGACTTGTGAGCCCAACGTGAGGGGTCACGGTGACGTTGCATGCCACCTAGTCACCGGTTTTGGCAGCTTCGGGATGCGGTGAGGTGGGTGAGTTGGACAGCAAAGACGCACCTTGGTGTTGGCAAACGTGGGAAAATAGTAGGGCTTCGCAGAGTTATTTTGAACAGCCGCCGCAACCAACAGCGGCGGCGCCCTCACACCCCCCCTCCGGGGCCCCAAAACATGCGGGTTGGCGGCCACTTGTTTCGCTGTCGTTTTTTTGTGGTGCCCGCGAACCTGATTTCATTTAGCATTAGCCCTGTTAGTGTCTCGTCGGGCTCGTCTTGGCCGGTGTCGGTGCCGGCAAGGTGAACGAAAGGGGGTGAGGCAAGCACGTTTCTGGTTTGTTGGTGTGAGGCACCAGTCATAGTTCGAGTTTGCGGAACGGATGGTTTGTGCGTTGGTGATAAGTCAATTGTGAGGATGCCAACATCCAAGCAGAGAAAAGCAAGCAGCCGAGCCGAGACAATCAGAACCATCAGGTCCCCCAACGGAAACAAGCAACACCATGTTTGCGATAGAAAGCGCCACTTCGACGCGATAGTCATGACCAGCTGCCGCCTCCCTCACCGTTACGCCCGAGAGGCGTCTAGCCCGTGGTGTTGTTTGTTTCGAGACTCAACATTAAAGTGACTCGTTTCGCAGTTTGCCGCTTCTCAGGCGGTGAGGCGCGATTGTGGCAGCTTTGGGCGTCGGAATTCATGGGGTAACAGGGGGCTTTGATCTCCCGGGGAGCCAAGCCGGGGAAGGGGCGTCCAGGATGGGCCCCAGACCGACCGTCCCAACTTTGAACCCTTGCTTTCGGCAAGACGGAGATGGGCCCGGAACTGGGGGGGGGGGGGGGGGGCGCGATTCATGAGAAACCCTGAACGGGGGGAGGCGGCCCAGCTCGCTCCGTTTGCCCGTTTGCAAAACGCTGAGAGAATCGGTCATCCCATGCGAACCCGGGGCACTGGGCTCTGGGCCTCGTTTGATGAGGCCTTCCCCAGCTCAGCCCCCGGATTCGGGGGCACGCCGAGTTGCTGACACGTTCCTCGTGTCTGGGGGCGGCGTCGCGATAGGCTCTCAGTGACTCTTCGTTTGTCTTTGTCCGACCTATCCCGATTTCAAATCCAGCACAGAATGCCGACGTGGTAGCAGAAGCTTATGGTTGTGTGCCAGTAATCTGTAAGCCCGACGCACACCCCGAGGAATAAAAACGTATTTTCTCTCGTGTGGGTGCGAAATGCGAGGGACGGATGGCGGTCTGACACCGCAACTTCAATGCTCACTTGGGCATGCGCCGTGTGCGGTGAGGAAAAAAGGCCGCTTCTGTTTGTCCAAGCGTATGCGTGGGGGCTCCGCCGGTACCAATCCGGGCCATTCGAAATTCGAGAAGGGGGCCGTGGTTGGGCGTGCCGCCCCCAGGCAGCCCCGTTGGTTGGGTGCGGGCAAGTTCAGTGGGAGTCACGATCCATCCCGCGGGCACGAACCCGACGGCCAGCAGCGTCCGACGCCAAAAGTACCTTGATAAATTCCGCGTGCCACATCCCGCCTCCCCCGTGTGTCAGGGGCCCCTTCCAACACCCCCCCCCTTGCTTTGCTTTCCCGAGTCACCGTTTTGACCCCCTCGGCATTTCCATTTAATCTGCCCCACGCATCCTGGCTCCTGGGACGGATTACCCTTGCTGCCTTCCCACCCACTGTCCACCCCACGATCTCTGGATATAAGAGGAGCTTCATCCCATCTCTCCAGATCGTTGCCTCCTTGATTTGCCTCAACAACTCCATAACATCAACATCATCAGTCTGTGTCTAGGATCATAACAACAACAAATAATCCACCGAGCTCCACAACAACCCCAACCAGGCACACCACTCCACACTACGTCATCCCACATCAGCAAAAACACGCGTTTCACACAACAACCAAAACCATGTTCGGTTCATACAGCTCTTCGAGCTCATCGAGCAGTTCTTTCGACTCCTTCACATCCCGCAGCCCCTACAGCAGCATGGCCTCACCCATGGATATCGCACCGCGCTCATCGTCGTCGCGGCGGGGACCCGACCCGGAGTGCGCCTTTCCCTCGTGGCCGCGGAGGTCATCTCTCGGAGAGGGCGAGTACGAGGAGCGGGCGACGTCATACATTACCGACGACGAGCTGTTCATGGATGTGTTCGAGGACGACGCCTGCAGCGTCTCGAGCAGCCAAGGTAGCGCCTCGCCCGTGCACTCGCCCGCCGCCCCAGTCCTTACCGAGGCCGAGTTCCTCCAGCTGCAAAGGGAGCAGCTGGCCTACCAGCGCGAGATGAGGAAGATCGCCCTGGCCGAGAAGGAGATGCGACGGAGGCAGGCCGAGCAGGACCAGCAACGGCGCCGACCGGGTCTCAAGCGCCGTACGTCCTCGGCCAAGAAGGCGACCAAGAGCAAGCTCTCGGCCATGACTACCATCACCGAGGCCGAGTGAGCGGCTCCCCACATGTGGGCGCTGACAGCGGCAGTTTCCACCCCTATCGGTAAGTGCATATCCTTATCGCATTTCCCATGTGCGACCAAGCAGGTGGTGCATTACCCGAAGCTTGCCGACACGGGCCAAGAAAGGAAGTTGGACTAACACATGGCAACAGCAATCAACCTAGCACTGAGTCATACTCGGGCGTTCGTTATCAACATCCGCTGTTGATTATCCCATCGCCCGGGACAGATGCAACGCCTTCCCGAAAGTTCTACCGAGAGTGGAACTCGGAACTTGCCAGATCTTTGCGAATGGCAACATCAACAGAACAGGGCTCTCAGACATTTCGATGTCTTCGGTTCCCTCAGTCTCGGACCTTCTAGCCGAGACGTCGCCCGGGAACCAAAACAGCAACAAACCAGTTTCGGCAAGCGACACAGAGTTTTCAACCAGGTCGGGCGCTCGGACACGCACCGACCGAGCCCAAGCGAAATCCCATTTATTCAACAGGGAAGGATCTCAGCACGGGCATTGAGGACCGAAATCTATGGGTTGATGGAGGGGCACCACCAAACAAAACGGCCCGTGAGCCGGGCCTTCCATCCGCCCCTTCACCGCCTGCGATGCCAGGCAGCATGCGCAACCGGCAAATTGCCGAGAACGCACCCGACCCGCCCATCCCGCCGACACAACGGGATCGACCAATAGGATCCACACCCACCTCCACCTGGGGCAGATCTTGGTCTGGACGCTCTGATCGGCCAGCCCCGGCCCCGCCGGTTCGGCATCCGATTTCCTTTCCAGGAGGGCATTTGCGAGCGCACGGTTTTGTGCATCTTTTTACCCCATTCGGCCTTTTTCTTTTCAAAAACGAGTTTTCTTATTCTGCCATTCATCCTTGCCACCGGCTGGTTGAGGGCTTTTTTATTTTATCCCACATCGCAATTTTTTAATCATGGCCGGGCTTAATAAGCGGTGTGTTGACTCGGCGGGATGGGACTTCAACACCGACCCGCCGACGCCACTGTCTGTCATCATCGGGCCAACTTTTTTTAATATCTGTTTTGTCTTACTTTTTCTATTGTCTATCCTACGGGACCAAAGCGGCATCTGAGCATTTGAAGCATTTTCAGGAATTGGGAACAAAGCGGGTTGCACAACATACCACGGGGGCTATCAAAAAGTTGGCGGTCATTTGCACTTACACACGGGTTCAGTACACACTGGAACGAACATTGGCATTTGGGATCATCATCATCTGGAGTTTTTGTTTTTTTCACTTTCTGATTTTTGCTGTTTCGGTTTGGATACCCCTACTTTTTTGTACGTGCTGATACCCCGTTTTGTATTGATGGTTAGCTGCCGAGAGCAGCATGGAGTAAGAGTTGGGATGATTGCTCAGGGCTTGGTTCTCTGTGATAGATATTAGCTAGTGTAGTAGATAGTCTCAATCCGATGGTTGCCATCAGCTTCAACGTCCTCCTCGCCCGTGATTGTTCCGCCATCTGCACTCCCCACTTGACCTCTGCGTTTATCTCTGGCTCTCTCCAGTGCCTGACAAGCGATCAAGTTAGGACATTTCAAGCTAGCCGCAGACGCGCGCTTCTTCCCGAGTGCCTCTACCCTTTCTTGTTGAGAACCGCGCCGGGTCCACAACGCCAACAACTCCAGGAGACGGGAATTTCAGTCAATATACCACAATATAGGACACCGTATCTAAGAACGGTATCCTTTTTTGGCGACGGAGATAACTAACATGATAGGAGGTGCACCTTGTTTCCTGATACAGCGAGTTGTTAATTCATTGCCATCTTCATTGGTGGAGTCACTTTTTCCGCTTCTTCCAGCCAAGACCTCTCGCCAGCGCTTTGCCGAAGCATGGTGTTGTTGAGTTAACGGTAGGGTGGCCCATGTTCTTTCTCAATAACCCGGTTTGTAACGTGCTTTCCCACCCCCTACTCTGAACTAGAGCTTGGTGTTTGATGTGGTAGCAGCCCAGCTCCCGAATGTTACGACCGGAATCTTCGGAAAGTGCATGAAAACAGATGAAATCCCGTCGAGTTTGGGGTTTTCGGGGGGATGAGGGGCGAGATCACTATCTACATGTGCCGGACTTGTATTGTCCTCCAAGTATCTTGAAAGTAGGACGGAGGTTCTGGCTCGTTTCACCCCCCCCCCCCCCCGAGGAGGCTTTTGTGGCTCTTCTTGCGGCGACCAACACTCACCTAGTACGCCTTTTTCCCTCATAAGAAGAATATGGCAAGGAAATAATCGTCCAAGGAAGAATTGAAGGAGGTGTTGGGGCGCGGAACAGTGCCTTTCAATCCTCGTGACTCTCGCCCGTTGTCCCTCTTACGGCAGGCAGCCGGATACGGTCCCGGGCGGAGTTGCGTACAGCACGGACGGTGCCTTGACTCCGACGAGAGGGAAGGTAATGTCAGTGCCGTGGTACACCTTTATTCACAGGGCATCTTGAGTTGAAGCTCCACACCCATATCACTATCATGCAGCTAGATCCAGATACCTCAACTGAAGAAGACCCCCCCAAGTAGCCAACACTAGCCTTATAGAACGGCACTGCCGCTGATAATAGCCGCCTACGTATGAACGGGATTAGATAACCCCCCCTCAGACAACACCTTCGCAAAGAGACCGATGAGTCACCATCCGCGAGCCTCACCACTAAACAGACCAGCCCGATGCCTTGACGTGTTCCCTGCCTACGTAGACGACGCAGTGTGAGTAAAAGAACACTCGACAGAGCCTCGATATTCTTCTCGACGCAGCCATGCGTTTTCTGTAAGTTCTCGTATGCCCTATCGGTAATTATTCTCGAGTCATCTGGCCACCACAGCGCCATTAACAGCGAGTGAACCTCGACGTTCTAGCCAAGAGGAGTATCACCAACGACACAACGATTAGAATATGGGCTGCGATTCTTTTGTCGGTACCTTCAGTATCTTAGGTCGTCATCGTAGACTCAACTCTGTCTCGCAAGTTCCTAGCCGAAGCTGGGATGAGGACTGCCCGGTCATCTGCATCACGGAGTACGATACCGAAACAAGGAACATGAAGAGAATGATATAACTATATATGTATATCATGAGCCGAATGTATTGATACCTGTAATATCAGAAGCATAAGCCAAGATTTGCTTGCTACCCATCCTAATTAGCATCCTAACTAGATAGTCTTGATCATGTTGAAGTGGGGACACGGGGGTGGCGATGGGAGCTCTACGTCACTACTGTCAAAACGCCCATCAGAAGGCCGTAGAAGAGGAAAATTCGGTCTACTATCGCGTTGAATTTGTGAGGTCTGGCGTGAAAGGGAGCGCCAGTACCTTGACCTTGTCATCGCGTTCTTCCCTGGGCATCGCGGACTGACTGTGGTCGCCACCAGGGCCATGGTCTCCTGCCTCCATTACTTTAGACAGCCCGAGTAGTGAGGTCTGCCCCACAACTATACGTACCATATATTCCTGCATCCGATGACAAGTTGGATACTTGAATGACCGAAACTGGAACTCAATATCTGGGGTATACAACACTAGGCGGAGCAGACTCGACTCGGTATCACAGCTCGCAGGAAACACTTCTCTACGCCATGGACTCTTGGTCCGCGACTCCGAAGGTACAATAGTATGGGACACGGCAGATGATATGGTAGCAGTTCGGGGAGCCCGAGTTCGATGGCAAGACACCTCCCTCGAAGCTCGTCGTTGGTGGTTCGTCACAACTCATCGTCGACTTCAGGCGAGCAGTCCCTATCCCAGCGAAGCATACATTCGCCGCTTCTGTTTTAGATTCGGCCCTATCCCCTCGTCAACTCCTTGTCTCCGGTCTATGATGTGCTGGTCACATGGTGATCTCTTGATGGTCAAGTCCAAGTGCCCATCCGTGACCGAACAACCATATATGCCCGGCAAGCCCTTATTTGATTTAACAAAGGGTCAGGCGGCAACGAGTGGAGTCCCTTGTGTTCTCGTCACCTTTAGCGAGCATCTCATCTCCGTTTCCCCCGAGTAAGACGCAGGAGACCGGCGAGGGTATTCCATGACCTCGGTCGCCTTTTGAGGGCTGAGGCGACGAGTACTCCATGTGGTGATCATCCCAAGCTGATTGCGGAGACTCTCGGAACATGTGATGAAGTGGTTACCGGTGTTGGAAGGAACTTTTGCCACCTTCGATCGTGATATGAGCCTCAGCTCAGCTCTCAGGCTTAGCGTGTGATGGGCATGCGGCCCGATCCAGGCCGGAGGCGCGATCAACTTGGAACTCGCCGTCTCTTTCGGTTTAGGGCGCAAACCAACATGGTCCTTTTGGTCCTGTGTCCTGGCCGTTGCCAATGCTGGCAGGGATCAGGAGCCTTTGTTGGCGCCAACAACGGATAAGCCGTGACGATCATCTCTGCATCTGCGTCTCTTCCCCGGAGTTCTCGTTGACCGCGGCCGGGTGGGTTCGAGGTCGGCCCACTAGCACGGCCGGCAGGGCTCAACAGGCGGAAGCCATGATATCGTCTCATGCTTCTTAAGATTGACGAGAATCAAGGGCAACGGCCGTACTACTACGCAGGGTTCAGCAGATAAGACCAATGCGCACGGATGTCCGGAACGAGATGTTGCTTAGTTAACGCGAGAAGAGACGAGTAAACCATGCTAGACTTTGTTGTCGACGGTGCCGGGGATAGAAGGAAGACAGAAAACATCCAATCCACTAGTAGAATCCTTCAATAATGAAGTGCCGACGGAAAGCCCGTGATCAATCGCATCAGCGTGATCGAGTCCGGTGGCGGCATGTCACCTTGCTTGGCGTTTAAATCGGACCCTTTTTCGACTTGTGTGATCCGCCGGCATGCAGTCGACTTTCCGCGCAGAGCACACAAGAAGAGCCAATGGACGCCGCAGGCTGTCCTGGTCGAATCACGATGGGCCTTTTCACAACCCACTTCTCTTCTCCGTCATTGTTGAACAAAAGTTGATCCCCACCAAACCGGAGCCGGCACCCGGTCGTCGGCTACGAGCAGGAGTTTGGGGGAAGAGAAAGCGCATTTCCGGTCCGGAGTGTTGGCGGCGAGCTGCACATGCGCGCTTCGTCGTCACGTTCCTCGGTAGGTGAGTTGTCGTCTGTACTGAGGAGGGGGTGAGACAGGGCGAGCGGTGAAGCTGTAAGTGGACCAAAGCAGACAATGCGGACTCGAGACTGAGAGGATGAGGCGACGATTGAGGCGCCGAGGCGTGGCTCTTTGGGGCTTGACTTCGTAGCACAACCACTGGCCGGTGGAAATACATAGTACGAAGGGAGGTGAGGGATGAGGGACCCGAGACCGGGCTGCAGGTCTTCGAGTTCATTCGTTCATATTGATGTTCATGCGATGCGAGGTGCCCTCGAATTGGTTGAATTGGGGGGTGTTGTTCATGATGGGTTTGCATGATCCATGCTGCACTGCACGGCTCGCACTGCATGCGCCTGTGGATGACAAGCGGCAGAACTTCCCTGGTAGGTGTGCCCGAGGTCCTGTGTTTGTCAGCTCGGCGGAGGTGGTGTGATACCCAATTGCACGATTACGGGTAACGTTATTTTGCGAGATCCTGCAGAGGAAGGAGCCAGTTCGAGATTTTCTCTCAACCAAGGCGGGGAAGAGGCCAATGGCGGAGAACTCTTGCTCGGTCCGAGTCTGAGAAACTCAAATGGGATGGCTGAGAACCCCGAGCTCGGCCACGACCTTGTGTGAGTGGTTGCGTTGCGTTGTATCCAAGAGCAGGAGTCCGGGAAAGCAATGCTGATGCTATGTTGGTGTGTGGTGCGTTTAGATTGCGATGCGCAAGGTCACCGTGCCCCCGCGGGCCGCCACGGTCCAAGCATGACGATAATTAGTTATTTTTTCCCCCGTCATCCCGTTGCAGTCAGCCGAACCAACAAGCTTCACTGACAGACGAGGCGAGGCGGATGGGATGTGATGTTTGATGTGCTGAAGAAACAGTGCAAGGAAAACCCTTGAATCCTTGCGCTTGACATGGGATGAAAAGGAAGCTGCCGCCGGCCCCGCCCATCTTTCCTTGCCTGCATGCGGGGAGGGAAGAGGCCAAAGCTCCCCTCCCGCCGGTTCCGCTTTGACCTTCGGGCCCTCCCCGGTCCATCAAAATTTGAGATTGCAAGACCAGATCGGGACACCATTGACAGTTTTGACATCACTCATATCGCAGCCGAGAGACTCTGCCCGGGGAGAGAAGGTCAATTGAGTTATTTGTAAGTCATGTACTATGCATATTTCGATATACTACGATCCTCTCCCCTTCTGACCGCTCTAGATCCCTACCTAGGTAATGCGAGCGACGGCCGGCGGTGACATCCGGGGTTCCGGAAGTGCACGTCGCGGGACAAACCCCACGCTGTCCAACGCTGGACGACAACGAAGATGCCGAGACCCAAGCTCCCCTTTCCACCGCTACCGCCGGGTGACGACGCCGTGGGCCTTCCAGAACAACCGTGACGCAGATGGGGTGACGTGACATTTGGCTCGTTTGCGGTGCCCAGGGCATATGCAACCACTTTAGTCTGACGTCTGACAGCATATACGGCCATGTCAGGGACGGCGCGCGACGACTGGCTCTTCTTGGTCGATGACGGGAGGGCGGCGCAACCGCGACGCAGAGGGCCACACAGGCACGATTTTCCAACCACACAGGGCCACCACAGGGCCACCGGTCCCAGCGGTCGGGTATGGGCCTCTCAACGTGGCCGCCTGGCCGCCGTGTCAAGAAGCATGACCTTGCAGCCCGGCCACAGCTCGTGGCCGCGGGGGCGGGGGGCGCCCGCCCTATCCTATCCCGTCGAGGCTTTGCGGGGTGGGTATGAACGCAGATGCTATCGTGATGCATGGCTGGATATGGAGATCGATGGGGGTCACCAGGAAAACCCGAGGGCCCAGCGTAACCCAACCGGAAGTGCTGCTTTGGGTTTCATCGCCTGCGAGTGCGCCGTGCCTGCATCTGGTCGAATTTCCTCCTCATTTCGGCATCTCCATTGGCGGACCGCTCGGCGATGCGGGGATTGGTTTGGGGGGCGAACTGGTCACTTATAACTTATCATGAATGGCAGCGGCCATTGTTGAGCAACGGGTGAGTGTTTGTGTAGTATGTATGGATGAGATGATTTGAGTAGCGCCGACTGCGATGGGCGCATCTGAAACAATGGCCCAAGCGAATCAAGTCTCGCAGCTGCATGACCGTTAGTTCGGACGGATGCACCGAAGCCATCGGGAGAGATCCGGGGGCACGTGTTGTTCTGATGTGATTGGAAAGCGGTGTTGTGCATTGACAAAACCCCCAAATTCATCTGGCCCGACCATGAGTGAGGGCCTCTCCCTCGAATGTGGCCGACCGTTGAGTGTACCAAGTAGGTCTGCGACTTAATCTGCAATTCTCAGGTAAAGTGGGTGCAGCTGCAGCCCGGTATGGTGGGGTGTCGCACATACATACACCAGAGTTTGGGGGTTTCAGAAGCCGCAGGAGATTCGTATTCAAACAGCACCGCTGGTAAGCTCAACGCCGAAGTTCGGGCTTCACCGCATGGATTTTGGCAAAAAGACGGTCTGCTGTGTCGTGATTGCCAGCTCGACTTGAAGCGGGACAAGCCGGGAAGGAGAGCGGGGTTTTTAATGACTCGAACTTGAAGCTGACGTTCAGAGTGTCCAGTGCCCAGTCGTGCTCCTCGTGCCAGTCCAAGTTCCAGGTTTGATCGAGTGCCCGTTTCCAGGTTAGGGAGTGTGATTCTGTAAAATACGGGTAAACATCTAACAGTCCACAGATGTAATAATCTGTCCACGCAAATCGCAGAACCCCTTTGTTTTCAGGGGCACCATGGGGTTGGTTGCAAAATCCCGGAGATTCGGAGGCAATATCAAATGCCAACTGCGACTGGCTTCATGACTGGTTTCAGCTGGTCCCATTGTCCCCCATCCTTTGAAGGACTCGACGAGTCGAGTGACGAACAATAGGATAATACGGCAGGGACGTTTCGAAAGGTTGAGGGTGGGAAAGCGACTGGATCCCTGCGAGCACGGTGATAGCAGCCGTGATTGGCTGCATAACAGGGATTTACCGGCCAATCGCCAGACAAGGCGCTTAGGACCCTTGCCCTCAGGTGTGGTTCCCCACTTCTCCCCGCCGCCAATTCTTGTCGCTCCCCCACTCCACAACCAACCACACATCGTGAATCTCGGGGTTGCAAATTCGAGGAACAACCCACGATTCAGACGGAAGGGTGAGACGGGACGGAAGTTGCTCGAGGGCGGCATCTGACCCGAAATCCACCGACCTGCATATCGGGATACAGGGCAACAATTGCGAAAATCACAAAAAATTGACAACACAAACGAAAAAGAAGGAAAAAGGAAAAGAGCAAAAAGGTGCACTTTTGCGTGCTTCCCCGATGATGGACGGCACAGCTGCTGCGGGGCAGAGTTCCCGCCTGCAGATCGTTGCAACCTCACAGGTAAGGTACCGCTCAGGTTCCTGGAGTTCATCTCTCTTGCGCTACGACGAGGACGGCAACTTCGAGCACACAGACGGGCCGCAACGGGACATGCCAGCGCCATGACCGCTGCCCAATTCGCAATTCAGACAGCCTGAGTATTCGTACATACATACGTACTTGGTCGCCCCCGGGCCACGTTGTCATCGTGGAGTTCGTTCGGCGCACCCGGCCTCTCGGCACCGAGGCGGCCTCAGGGCCACGCTCTCCCTCTCAGCCCATGACGTTGACCCAGTAACTGCCACGAATAGGTGAGGCAAGACGGCCAGCAATCCGCCTCTTCCTCTCCAGCTGTGAGGGAAAAAAGGTCATGCGGGCTCGTCAGCAGCGACGCCCAAAACCCGGCAGCGGGTTCGAGTGACGGTCAACGGCCAAACCAGCAGCAGCGACCTAATTATGGCAAATATTGGATGTACCATGTACGGCGGATGCTGCAAACCAACCACGGTTGATGCGGACCGCTGCAAAGCACTGTTCGAGTCCGGCCTCCTGTGCTTCCCACCAGTGATGGGGACAGATCGAAGTCACTCTCTGCTCCTGCAGACCGGGGTCTCGTCCAGCCCAGCCGCAAGCCGCGTTTCTACTCGCAGAACACCCCGGTTGCTAGTCCCGCCCTAGTCAATGCGCATCTTGCCATCTGCCTTTCCCTGCAGCCCCCGCGGGACCACAGAACACCCCCCTTGGCCCTGGTCGGCCCGCATCTGCTCCCAGATTCGCGCAATGGGGTGCAAGCGAAGAGGAGGCAGTGAGGAACCCGAACAGCACGCAGGAGGGAGCAGGAACAGGCATTCTCATTTTATATGTGCCCCATGGCGCCTTGCCCAGTCGCCGGTCGAGCCCCATCCGATTTAAGCGCCTACGATGGCTAGGGTCGTCTTATTTTCCGGCACACCCTCGTGGCAACAGTGTACTTGTCTTTCCCTCTCCCACTTGCCCTCCCCAAGGTTTCTGCAACCCTATTCTCTCGTTGACGCACATTGTGCATGCGCCAGAGCGGTAAAAAAGAACCAGCAAGAACCAGCGCGGTAATTAGGGGGCGCAGTTTCGGCCGTCCCAGACTTATACGCTACCTTACCTCGGACGGCGACTTCACCCTCTCTGCCGCTGTTATCGAAGCCGCTCACCTACCCGCCCAAGGTCTCTTTTGCCGCACCACAAGCGCCGAGCGCACTTGACGGCCCCCTTACAAGGTTCCGTCCGTGAGGCGAGGCCGGTAGACTTATCTTTGCCGCCCCCGTACAGGCCAGCCCGCACACTCCCCCCTCCCCTGCGTCTGCGGCGGCATCTGGTTCCCTTAGCCCCCCGAGAAGAAACAACCCCGGTGCAACCGTGCGGCCGACCCAATACCTTTCCAACCCTCGTCTCGAATTCGCTTCCTCCTCCCGACTTCCCCTGCTACAACGTGCCCACCACCAGCACCCTCCTTCGCGCCGGACATCCCGTCACCACAGAGACACCTCGTCCTCGGCTGCACTGGCATCCCTAAGCACGACAGCCGTGGCGATCACTTACATCTGCGCCAACTCGTCTACACATGCGGCGGGATACCTTGAGAGCTCGGCTTTCGTAGGTTCACGGAACGTGGAGGAACGTACCGATTACGGGAACTGACAGCGGGAGACATTGTCCCATGTGATGGTTGGGGTTCGGATTGTGTAGCCTCGCTGCTCGCCCTAGTTCGCCGCCCCATCTCTGGCGCGTGCTACTTACCTACTGATCGGTCGGTATGTTGTTCTTTGTTTCTATGCTCGTCGTTCCCCGTGCGTCGCCGGCTGCCCTACCGCGTGATGATGCGAGAGACTTTACTGTCGATTACAGGCGGCTACTCTCGCGCGCCAGACCGGCGTCGGATGGTTCCCCCCCCTGCAATGCAAGCAGCCGACTAATATACAAGCAGGTGGCTCTTGGTAGTCCCGTGATTCAGAAAGACCGAGGACTTATCTAGTCCCCCCGTTGCCCACCATGTCTGCTGCCGGCCTTCATAGTTCCCGGAGCCGTGCTGGTTCAAGCACCGCCACCCATGAGAAAGGAAGGGCCGCCCACATGCACGGCTACGCCATGGCGACGCCAAACAACACCCTTAATGCCACACGCTACTTCGACCCGTGCGCCGCCACGGCGTCCATGTTCCTCTATGCCCAGGGGACCTCGGTAGTGTGCTGCCACTACGACACGCTAGCGATAGAGAGGTGATTCACGCGACACGCAGAGGAGGTGCAGTTACTAGCCATCGACAACCACAGCGACATTGGAGCAGGAAGATTAGTGGTCAGCTACGACGTGGGGCAGACGGCCATTGTGTGGGATCTCTTGACAGGAGACGAGGTCGCCAGGTTTGCGTCGTATGAGAATCTCACATGTGCATCTTGGATGCGAAACGGGAATGTCGCCTTTGGTGAGTGCGACGTGCTACGGCTTCCTGCTGTGAGCGCTTGGCTGACGGGATCCCAGGCAACTCGCAAGGCAATGTGATATTATTCGAGCCCACAACGTCAGAGCACCTCTCCGCGAGGACGATTGATCAGATCGCCATCACGGCCATCTCACCAGCAGCCGACTGCAGGACGTTCGCCATTGGGTACGTTCAAATGGCCGCCCCTCGATATGTGACTTGAGGCTGACACAAAGGTACAGCTACCAAAACGGGTCGCTCTTGATCGCGACTCTTCAGCCAAGGTTCACAATCCTCCACAACCTCACAACATCAAGGGGGCCATCCCCGATCGTGACCCTATCATGGCATGCCTCATCCTCTCGGTCAAAATCGGACATGCTGTCCGTGCAGACGAACGATGGCGACCTCCGTGTTTGGAGCGTGTCCAAGGCTTACAACGCCGATGACCCGGCCAAGATCGTCCGTATTTTGAAGAGGACGGAAAACTACCTGACGGGTCCCAACTGGATGGGCTGGTCCAAGAACGGCCGGATTATTCAACACTCAGAAGCGTGAGTGCCGATGGGAGGCCGAGATGTGATGGATCAAAACGCTAAACATGCACAGTGAAACGATCTCATGGGACGTGCGGACCAAGCACGTAACCTACGATACGATCCCGACTCTCGAGACCATCCGCGGCCTGGCTGTCTACGGCCCTTCCGGCACGCTTTTTACACTTGGAGCTAACAACACGGTCCAGCAATTTGACCTCAACGCGCCAGCCATGTTGGTCCAGAACGTACAACACCCTGCAAATCTGCTCCCACCATCACCCCCTATTTCGCTCGAGGCGGAGGAAAAGAGCCAACCCGGTAATGTATCCGAGTCGGAATCCCAGGTACAAATTACATTCCGCCCAACCGATATGTCCGATCAAGAAGAGGATGGGAGGTCGCCTTTAGCCCGGTATCTGCAAAGCGAGTCGGACACCGAACAATATCGTCCTACCACCCCGGCTTCGAACATCTCCCGGTCAACCGTCTCAATTTCATCATCCACATCCCAAACGGCGGCCCGGCGGTATCCAGCTTCCACCGTGTCGCGGGGTATGACAGAGAACACTTACATCTCGGCCGGCTCGTCGCTTCGTTCGGGCGTCACCCAGCCCCGTGAAAGGAGAGAAAGGGAATCAATGTCGACAACTAGCTCGATTTCGATGGGGAGCTCGCACTACCGCCCCGCCCGCAAGCCATCAAGACTACGCAACGAGGTGCCACGCAGCCCTGAAGAGTCACGGGTCGTCGATTTGTTCAAGTTCACCAAGAGCCGTCTCGCAGATGTGCCATATAAGGCGCCATTCACCAGCGACCACAGCCGCCTGACAAACGATGACCTGCGGCGGCAGATGCTTAGTACCATTTTTGGATGGCACAAGGACATTGACGAATTGGTCCGGGACGAGATGTCCCGTCACCCTCTTGGCTCGACGAACCGCATTCTGCTGGCGAAGTGGCTGGGCGATATCAACACCGACATCATGGCGATGGGGTCCGAGAACATGACCTCGTCAGACTGGATGCTTCTGGCACTGAGCGGCATTGGTGGACAGGCATCCCAGCACAAGCTGGGTCGTGCTTATGTGCAGCGGTTGCTCGAGAGCGGGGATGTCCACGCTGCTGCGACAATCATGGTTGGCATGGGCGACCACAACGATGCGGTCGAGATCTACGTTTCGCATAAGAGGTACATGGAGGCTCTCGTCCTCACATGTCTCTTCTTCCCGGCAGCATGGGAGCGGCAGGAACAGATTGTCAAGAAATGGGGCGAGTGGGCGGTGCAACACGGCCAACAGCAACTGGCTATCCGTTGCTTTGCTTGCACTGGCCGCGAATCGACCGAGCCTTGGTCCTCCCCATCCGCCCAGCAGCTCACTTTCCCCAGCATCACGCAAACGGTTCCCGAGCTGCTCAGCCCTCCGCTCTCGCCTCCGGTTATGAACCACGGGCCGCAGAGGAGTATCGCAAAGAATTCGGCGCTGAAACTGATCACTTCTTTCGACCCGCACGCGAAAAACAGGCTACTCGCAAACATCGACGACGGCAAGACTCCCATCGCCGCTGCAGCGACGCCCATCATGGAAACGGCGCTCTCTCCCGGCGGCGCTGACCCCGCGACTGCCATATTGCGAGGAAATCAGAGCCAGTTCAACACCCCGGCATCTGCTCGCCCTGTGCAAGGATTTGGCCGCCAACGCTTGCCTTCGATCGGTGAAGCCCCTGACTCGGCCCAGCGCGATCTGCTGACTGCCATAACGCGGCAGGAGGGAGACCCTTATGCCAACGCGTTCCAGTCGATGGAAGTTCAGGATACCGCCATCAGAAAGCTCGAGCTCACGAGACCGAATACTGCTAGCCCAAGATTGATGAAGAACACGGGTAAGGGGCACCCGCCCCCGTCACCGTCCCCCGCGGCCGTTGCTGCCTTGATGGAGGGCGGAAAGTACAGGAGGAATGGCTCCCGCAGCCGCATTCCCGAAGGTCTTGATTTGTCCTTGCCCTCCTTCAGGGACTCTCTGCCGGACGACGTCGCTTCACCCGAACCATCGGCGAATTCCTCTGTCCGTTACCACTGGCCGTCGAGGCGGAGAGGCCCTGGGTCTGTTGCCAGCTCTGTGAGCGTCGCCTCGGCAACGTCAAGCGTTGCAAGGAGCCAGCGTGGATACCATGGCAACCAGGGCAAGGGCCTAGACAACTATGACCACAACGTAGACGTCGTGCCGATCAAGAAGCAAGCTCGTGAGAGCAGCCGCGATGGCCGCAATGGCCGAGGTACCAGCCGGTCACGCAAGGACGACCGTGGAAAGTCTCACGACCGCGGGCGGGCTGCGTCCCGGAGCTACACCCCCAAGGGCGGCAAGCGCTCACCGAAATCGCCAGTGCCCATGTCGCCCGAGGATCTGATCAACTTGGCGACGCCGAGGGAGGACTTCGACCAGATGAGCCACGGCGGCGGTAAAGAAATGCTGATTGATATTTCCAACGACGAAATGGAAATGGAACCACCGAGCCAGCCGAGCACGGTAAGGAAAGTCGGATACGCCAACCGAGACGGCTCCCGGGTGAGGGCTTCGAGCCGCACCGCCAGCCGGAACGGCCGCAGCTTGAGCCGCGCGCGCAGCCCCGACAAGCGCCATGTCCCGCCAGCACTGGACCTCCGTGGTCGCTCCGTATCCCGTGGCCCGCCGTCGAACAGGTCGCCATCCTCGCCGCAGCCCATGTCGGCGAATCTGCAGCAGCATTACTACGGGTCGGATGATGAGGAGGACTACAGGAAGGCGCTCGAGGACCAGGAGAGGTTCCGCCTCAGAAACAACCGGAGCACGAGCAGGGTCAGGGGAGAGGTTCCTGCCTCGCCCATGTCGGTTCGATCGACCGCATGGTCCACCCGCGAGGCACCCAGGGAGAAGGAGAAGTCGGATCTTCGGCGGAACACATCACACGCCGGAACGGAGACCTCTTCGCGCCGCAAGATTCCTGCTCCGTTGCAGACCCCGGCGCCTATGCAGCTTGTTACTGACAGCTCGGGCGATCTGAGGGTCATCAAGGATGAGAGACAGCTGAAGAAGGAGGCGGCCGCCCGTGAGCTCGAGGCGCGCCGCAAGTCCCTCGCAACGAGACCCTCGGCGCCGCCGATCATGCATCCTGACGAGATCACCCCCGCCCCGCTCACAGGTACGCCGCTGCCGTCGCTTATGGAGCTTCCGAGCACGACGTATGTGCCGCCGAAGAAGGAGGACCTCCCATTCCGCAGCGCGAGCGTGGACCCCAGCGCCGGGAGGAGCATGTATGCGAACCGAAACAGGCCGGCCATTGGGCTTCCGGCAACGCCTAGGGCGATGCGGCTGGTCATGGACTCGGAGTCGAGCGCCAGGAACAACGTCCCCGTCCCCCCGATTCCGGCCACCTTCGCGCAAGCCTCGCCTGCCATGCCGCCACAACCGCAGCAGGAATCGCCAAGCAGGCGTTCCCCGGATCGTGTGGAAGAGAAGCGGGAGGAGAAAAAGGCCGACGACATCCCTCTGCTACTCTCGTCGTCTGTGTACACGCCGCCTCCGCCAGCCCATTCCAGGATCGCAGCCCAGATCGGCAGGTCCATGTCTGCTCCCCCCCAAGACCTGGTTCAACCGCAGGGCCATTCCAGGCGGCCCTCGGCCGTGAACTCGATGTCCATGGGGCGGAGGCCATCCCATGATGCCAACGCTTTCCCCACCCGGAGGCCATCTCACGACGCCAATGCATTCCCGGCCCGCAGGCCGTCGCATGATGCCAACATCCCACCCCCGCCTCCGCCGCCGGTCCCGCCCATGCTCAAGGAGCTGCAGCACCTCGCCCAGCCGCCCCCGCCCCCGCCGGCTCCCCTCCCTCACGCCGGCGGCGCCAACCCGGTCGTCTACGGCGGCAGCTCGGGCATGATCGAGATCGTCATGGACGACGATCAGCAGCAATCCCAGCAGCAGCCGCAGCAACTCCAACAACAGCTCCAACAACAATTATACCCGCAACAATACCAACCCCAGCAGCAACAGCAACAGCAGCACCAGCAACCCCCTCCACCGCCGCCGCCGCCCATCCCGTCGGCGATCCCGGTCAGCGAGGCCACGGTGCCCATCATCTCGACGCCCAACCCGCGCAACGGGCACAACCGCGGCCGCAGCAGCGTCGACAACAGCATCGCGGGGCGCATCTCGCGCGCGACGGAGCGCATGCGCTCGGCCAGCCGCAGCCGGGGCACGCCGTCGATCAAGTCGCCCGAGTTGGTGGGCGGGGCGCCGTACGAGAGCGTGCCGCCGCCGCCGCCGCCGTCCCACCCGCCCGTCAGCATGGGCATGAATTACCGCGTCCAGAACCAGGTCGTGTACCAGCAGGTCCAGGCGCAGGTGGCGCAGCAGGAGGGCCGAAACGAATACCGCACGGGGCTGCATCAGAGTGAGATGATTTAGATGGCTGGTGGTGACAAGCGCCCATACCTAGAGGAAATAAATGGTTGGGCTCGACATCTGTTTACCTACATACACACATACACACAACCGCATACAACACCCACAACGCAACGCGTACTCACACCCCCGGGTCGCCCCCGCCCATGATGGACGATCAACGGAAAGATGGGATATGAGATACACCACCGGCCCGGAAGAAGCAGGATATCACGGATTGATGGCCGAAGGAAGGCTAATGGAGACGGACGCCACAACGAAGGGAGCAGGGCATACATTTCTTCACGCCCTCCTCCCTCGCGTCATGTTGTTTGGCGGATTTTCGGTTTGCATGTCGCATTTTGCATTTGATTTCCAATACTTATACGTTTTTTTCTCATTTCTTTTTCATCGTTTCGGGATACCTTTCATCTCCCTTCTCATGACTTATGACAACTCGGCTGGGCTGGTGGTTGGACGGATGGGTGGACCTCTCTGTTCTCTGTCGGAGCGACGGGGATGGACGGACGGTAGGAAGGCGGGAAGCAGGACAAGGAGGCAATGGAATACCAGATTGGATATAGGGGGGAAGTGCGTGATGGATGGATACCTCGGCCACTGGCAGGAAGGAGGAGGAGGGGCGGGAAAAGGCAACAAAAGCTGGTGGGTGGACGGATGGACGGGTTCAACTGGGTTGAGCGGGTGTGGGATACATTGTTGCCTCGCGGCACTGTGTTGGATGGTGTTTTCGTTTCGATGGGGGAGATTTGCATTGCTGGATTTGTAATGGGTGATTAGTAGCAGTTGCAGTACCAGAAGTTGATATTGTTTGTTTACATGGTATGGTGCCTTGTTATGTTTTGGTGTGTTGTGTTGCTGGTTGTCATTCAGGGGTTGTAACTGGTGTGGGCTGACTGATATCACGAATTCCTCAACCCTGGCGGGTTCGAGTTTGGGCTTTGAGACTGCATCTGGATGGCCACCAACCGCCTCCATAACCTTTTCGTCCTTTCGGAATGGAAGAGAACGCATTTGACGGGCGATGGCAATCATTTAAGGTCATTGTTGATAAATAACAAAGTGGCAAAAAAATGACAAAAATTGGAGTCGACATCCCCATCTCGCCGCTCTACCCCAAGCCCCCAGCGATCGTGATCCAGCGCGCCATCTGACGGTGAAGATGCCTCTGCAGAGTGAGACCTCCCTCAAGTGTCATCTTCATTGCTTAGGGCCACGCGCAGCGATCGCAGGTTACCCGTGCGAGTGGGTGGCCACCGCGAGATTCGTGCTGGGCGCCGCTGGGGGGTTCTTATGGGAATGGAGTAGAGACTGCGAGAAAATCGAGTGCCTCCGAAACCAAATTGACCACTACAGTCGGAATTTTGGCGCCCGAAATTTAATACATATACCCTGGACACGCTTGGGCCGCAGCGCAATTGGGGGTTATACCAGGGTTAGGGTGGTATCGATAACGAACTTCATGTTGCGACTCGGCGCTTTCCCTTGGGCGCGTTCGTTGTTTCGACTTCAACATTGCGCATCCCAGCTCTTCGACCAGCGATTGCGGAATTCTCGACGGGAGATATGGCACAATTCTTTCCCGCCGAACAATGAGTCGACTAAACAAACGAACGAGCAACCGAGAAAGGTGACACGACGGCACAGCTCAGCACCGCAACGAGCATCACCGTCCTAATTGCGACCAAGTCAACCCCTAACATCAAGAACCACCACTACAACCCCAACCGGCACAATGCTCACCACCGCCCCCCACCTCTACATCCGCCGCCCCTCCCCAACAACCGCCGAATTCACAGTCACCACCTGCCCGCCCCGGACCATCCCCCTCCGCCTCCTCCTGCTCACCATCCACCTCCTCCGCCTCCTCATCGTCTCCGCCGCCCTCCTAACACTCTACACCCGCTTCGACCCCCTCCCCCCGACCACCACCGAACAACAACAAGAACAACAACACGAACCCCTCCTCACCCTGCTCCTAGCAGGCGACATCGCCCTCTTCCTGCGCGCCGCGCTCTCCACGGCCCAGCTCTCGCAAGCGGGCACCACACTCGCGGCCGCGGCCGCCCCCCTCCCCGACTGGGCGCTGGCGGCGGCAGCCGCGGGCGCGGTGTACGCGGCGGCGCGCACGCGGCTGCACACGACCGAGTCGGTGCTGGTGCTGCGCGGGCTGGGGATCCAGACGTGCACGTCCGGATCGGGGTCGGGGTCGGGGTCGGGGTCTGGGTCTGGGTTTAAGGGGGGTGGTGGTGCGGGCGGGGCAGCGAAGTGGGGATGGGGGCGGCAGACGCGGTTTATCCCGACGGAGAAGATACGGGATGTGTTGATCAATGAGGCGTTTCGGGGGTTTGAGGTGCGGTATTATTTGGTGGTGGTCGTGGAGGGGGAGGAGGATGTGGTGGTGCTGTTTCCGGGGCTGTTGCCGAGGAGGAAGATTGTGGAGGCCGTTTGGAGGGGGATTAGGGCGTGTTTGGTTGAGGGGGAGGTGGGAGGGAAGGGGTGATTGTTTTACGATTTGTTTTATTTTTGAACTTGGAGCTGTGAGTTGGGATTGGAATGAATCGGAATGGTTGGGTGAGTGGTTTGGGGTGGTTTATTCGTCTACGCTGTCGTCCACCACGCTGCTGCTCCCAGCCTTGTTCGCCTTGATGACGCTACGCCAGTTCTTGGTCTTGGCCAGCTCCTCCGCGCTCGCGAACCCCTTTCTCTGCGCCCACTTGTCGTTGACCTCTTCCGGCGACGCTAGCAGTCGCTTCTTGAGCACGGGAACATACGTCCCCGCCGCCCTGGCCGTGTCACCGCCCTCGTACACCCGCTGGCTGCTGTTTGGCTTCTCCGGCGCGCCCGACTCGGCCAGCCTTCGACTGAGGTCGGGCTTCCGCGCCACCGAATCCAGCAACCGACTTGCCAGCAGCTCGTCCATCCTGCGTTCGCGCCAGTACTCCCACAGGCCATCCACCAGCCCGCCCGGCCCGTGGAGGTGCGACGGTTTGTCCTCGCCCAGCCAGATCCAGTCCATTGCGTCCTGCATGGCGGTGTTGCCCTCCGCGTTGGGATCGTGCACGTCGAGCGCCGCCTGCTCGGCATCGTCGACCTTGGGGAAGACGCAGTCCCACAGTACGAGGGGCACCTCCTCGGCCATGGCGTAATTCGGCTTGCGCGGATTCTTCTCGACATCCAGCAAGTCCGTTACCAGAGACGGCTTTTCGAGCCCCTGCCCAACGAGGAATAGGATGGCGATCATGTGCCGGATCTGGTGCCACAGGAAGGCGGAGCCGCGGACGTGGAAGTAGTACACCTTGGGGTACTTGGTCCCGTCTTTTAAGCCCTCCGACCTGAAGCCCTGCTGGGCCAGGTAAGGCAGCGCCGAACCCGCGTCTTCCACTTCCACAATATCCACCTCAAACATCCTCCGCTTGAAATTCGAGATCTGCTTGACCCCATCGACCTTGCAGAAATTTCGGAAGTCATGGACACCCTCAAACAACTTGGCCGCCTCCCGCATAGCGTCAATATCAAGCCATCCCTCATTCCCCTTCTTCCCCTCCGGATCCATCGAGGCAGGTAGCGGCGGAAAAGCGGGCTGGGTAAAGAAATACCGGTACTGGCGCTCCCGGCACGAAAACCGCGCCGAGAAATCCTCCGGCAGCGTCGGTGCCCACGCGAGCACCCTGATATCCGGCGGCAGCAACCTGTTCAGCACCCTCGGATAATTAATCTCATCCGCCACCGGATCCCACGCCGGCTTGCCACCACCATTTCCATCCCCATTTCCATCCCCATCCCCCTCCCCGCCTTCATCACCACCCTCCCCCATCACCACATCCCCCCCCTCCCCTACAATCCCCCCCTCCACCTCCTTCTCCACAACCACCGGCCGATTACTCCTCACCCGAATCCCCACCACCTGCCCGAACGCGCTCACCCCGCGGTCCGTGCGCCCGCACTTGGAGTACTCCCAGGGCGCGAAGTCGACGCGGGCCGGGTCGTCGGGCCAGATCAGGCAGCTCTTGGCCAGCGCCCGCCACAGCTCCTCCTCGACCGTCGACACGGCCACGCCGGCCTGGTACTCGAAGCCGCCGTAGCGCTTGCCGAGGTAGGCGAGCTTGAGCGCGACGAGGCGGGTGGAGTAGCGGGAGGGGTCGAGCTTGGAGGGCTTTTTCTTCTTTTTTTCTGGAGGGGGGGTGGTGGTGGTGGTGTCTCCTTTTGGGGTGGGGGTGGGTTTGGGCTTGGTTCTGGTTTGGGAGGGGGGTTGTTGTGTCGTTGGCGGGAGTGGTCCTGAGGTTGTTGGTGTTGTTGTTGTTGTTGTAGATGGTGGTGGGTTTGGGTTTGCGCCGGTCTTCGTCTGGGCCTCGAGTTGCTGTTCTAGCTCCTTGACGCGCTCGAGAAGGCGGTCCTTGGACCAGTCCTGGTAGTTGAGATCGGCCATTTTGGGTGAGGGTGAAGATGAGTTTGAAGATGAGGTTGAAATTAAGGCGCGGTAGCCAAGTGTGTGTGGAAATGAATGAGTTGCACCTGAAAATGATGGCAACAGCAACGCAACCACTAAACGGCCTTGCGCGTGGATGAGGGCCTTCCGAGCGCGGTGCGTAGTGTTCATAGGGAGGGCCGTCACAAAACGGTCCCCTTTTCACCCTCAAACTCAGAAAACTGTCATGAGTCTCATGCGCCCCTTCAGGTGGCCGACAGGTGAAAGCGACTGGAATTCCAGCGGTTGATGCCCCCCCGCAAAGCTGGACAAATTTTGGCGGGTCTCGGTCTTGGCGTCGCGATAAGCTTTGGGGGGTTGTTGATAAGGACGATGCTTCAATACTGTATGTAATATCAAGGAACCCATTGAAGTCAAGACACTCACCCTGTCTCGTCAAAGGCATGATGGAAGAACACACAATTACAGTCCTACTGCTAGGGGATGAGAGATGTGGGAAATCGACTTTTCTCTCGTCAGTATTCTAAACATGAGTTCCAAAATAGCGACCCAACATGCTCGAGAAACCGTTCTGGCTAACCCAGGCCATGAAACACAGACGAATAAGCCAGGGCCGCCAGAACCTTCAAGGGAAAGCTCCCATCACCCTCCTCAGAGATATCGACCAGCCGTTCATTTTTGAGATCCGTTCCCGCAAAGGCCAGTATCGCTTCGAGTTTTACGATACCAGCAGCCCCGAGAGCTGGAGACTCCTCCGGCCGGACCTCGTCATCGTCTGCTATGACATAAGCCAGCGGCTCAGCCTCATCAACCTCCAGCGGGTGGTATGCTCCCCTTGATCCGAACCCCCTTTGAGCCCAAGGTTCCTGACAATACCCCCCCAGTGGATAAAAGAAGTCCGGTCGGTATTCCCGTCAAGCGACGTCCTCCCAGTGCTGGTGCTCGGCCTCAAGCGGGACCTGCGATCCGAGGACGACCCGAACGGCATCATCTACCCGCAGGAGGGATACCAGGCGGCGCAGGCAATGCGTGTTGACAAATACATCGAGTGCTCGGCGGTGACGGGGGAATTGATGACCGAGGCCTTTGACGACATTTGCAGCACCGCCGTCCAGACCACAACCGCAGACGGAGGGCAGAGCGAGGGCGGCTGCATAATTATGTAAGCGGATGTGACAACGGGACCGCTGACTGGGGGACGGGGTGGCGACTGCATGCATGTGCCTCGTTCGGTCGCTCAGTAGCCGTTCTCGACCGTTGGCACAGCATCGGCGTCCATTTCGTCGGCCTCTTCACCGCCCTCGTCCGCCTCGGCGCTTCCTAGTACTTCTGCGATGATGTCGACAATCTTGTTTTGATTGTCATCGTCAAACCGCTCTTCCATATCCTCGATTGCCGTGCTCAAAAGCGCAGTAGATGAGGGGCGAATGTTGAGGATGGAGAGCAGCTCGCCCTTGGTCAGTTCGCTGGGCAGGTTGGCCTCGCGGAGCTTCTCGAGCAGGAGGGATATGGTTGCCGGGCTGTATGTCTGTGTTTCTTCTTGCTTTTCCAGCGGGCTAGGCTTTCCGCTGAGATATTTAGCGACCTATTCCTTGTTCGTTAGCTCGGCGTCTGAGGGAATGATCATTGCTCATTGCTTGTGAGAACCAACCTCTGTCATGGCTTGGTGAGCATTGGCAGGCACTCGCCGGTTTTGTGCCTTATTCCGCTTGCGCTGGTCGACCAGGTGCTGGTAAACCTCGTAATTGGAGAGAAGCGCGTTTTGTGACTCGAGAATCTTCATCTTGTCTTTGCTGATGGGTTCACTTCCAGAAGGATTCTGACGGGGATGCTGAAATTCAGACTGCGGGGGTTGAGCGAGGCTCTGCAGAGACCGGCCAGCTGCACCGGGCACAACAACAAAAGTTGCACGGTAGTTTAGGTAGACAAGCAAATTATTACACAGCTTTCCTGATCGCCACAGCCTTCGTATGACAACCTATGTATATCGCCGTGATTGATTGTGTGGCACGGGCTGCTGCTGTGATGATGCACTAACGTGGGCAACCAACCCAAAAGCTCGCTGTGTCAGAAGAAAACGCGGTAAGGCGTGAGCGATCGCTCAAGCCGACCGTTGGAGCCGGCTCCGAGACATGGGAGCTGATCTGGTGCATCTGCAGGGCACGTCCCAATTGAGCGATGCAAGCCAATCATCCAATGCAGAATTGCCCCTCCGAAAAATTCTCGCATCATCATTGCCTCGCACGCCTGAACGTGAGGTACGTACCGACCTGGGGTGTGCTTTCCCCGGCCGGCCAACGTCAAGAACCTGGAACCACGAGGCGAGAACTGGATCACAACCCGCAAAAGAGAGAAATTTTTTGTTTTAATTCCTAGCAGCCCCGCGGTCAACTGTTCCACACCGCGGGACCGATCTTACCCACATCCCAAACACATTGCCGCATTGAACGGCATTCCCACTTGGTCAACTTTGACTCGACTCAAGATGATTCCCTTGTGATTTCCCTTTCATCTCCCCTCTCTCTCCTCTCCCATTTGATACTTTCTTTCTTCCCACTGCTCTGAGCTCTTATTCCCTCTTCCCTGCTCCTCACCGCCCGGCCACACCTAGCCGTGCTCGGCCCCTCTTCAATCTCAGTTGCCCCAGTACCCTCGGCAATTTTCTATTCTTCGCGACCGACTTCCGGTGTGAGGCATCTGTGCCTGTTGATTGTCCTGTTTACTCCCCTGTTCAACATCGGGAAACGACCTGGAACAGCAACATCATCAAAGAGCCTCATCGAGTGCTGCTTCACCAGTGCCGGCATCGGTCGTGCGGTGTGATCGAGGCTCCGACTCTCGCCTGCACACCTTGCATCGGACGCCTGTTCCGCTGCTGCACCCCAACCTTTCTCAAACACGGATTGCCTGCCGCCACCCTTCCTTCTCCGATTCTGCTCCGCTACTTTATTCCTCAATCGCGTCATTCAATTCGGCCCAGCCTGGTCATTCCGATTGACTCAATTGAACCGCCATCATGGTCCGAAACATTGTGGTCCTCGGCGGTAACTCGCATCCCGCCCTCGTGGAAAGCGTGTGCAACATCCTGGCTCTGCCCGCGTGCAACCGTATCCTCACCAAATTCTCATCTGGAGAGAGCCGCTGCGAGATCCAGGACTCGGTTCGTGGCAAAGATGTCTACATCATCCAGACTGGTTTCGGTGGCAATGGCAGCAAGCTCAACGACCACTTCATGGATCTGTGCATCATGATCTCGGCGTGCAAGACGGGCTCAGCCCGGAGGGTCACGGCAGTCCTGCCCTTGTTCCCCTACTCGAGGCAACCCGACCTCCCGTACAAGAAGACCGGCGCTCCCCTTTTCAAGGCACCCTCCGACAACGGCAAAAAGGACTACACCTTTGACAGCGTGCCGGCGACACCTGCCCCTGGTGTTCCCCGGAGTGCCGGGTTCGTCAATGGCACCGACATCACAAACCGGCTCACCAAGACGACGTCATTGCCCAACGGAACCAACGGGATCAACGGGACTAATGGGATCAACGGGACCGGTGCCATGTCCCCTGTCAAACAGACCAACGGCGACGCCTTTTTCGGTGCCAACGGCCAGAGTATCGCAAGCCCTGTGTCGGGTGCCATTGGCAGTTACACGACACACGACTACGAGAACGTGTCCCACGTCGGCGCATTCCAAGCGAAGCCCGGGTATAAGCAGTGGGTGGCACAGGCAGGAACCCTGGTGGCCAACCTCTTGACCTGTGCTGGCGCTGATCATGGTATGTCCCCCCCGGGTCTCGTGGGCCCAGCCGTGGCTGAGAGTCTGGGCTCGTATTGGCGAGAAATCTTAGCCCCTCGCTCCTCTGGATGTATCGCTAACATGAGTTGCAGTAATCACCATGGACCTGCACGACCCTCAAGGTATGTGGAACAGAAAATTGTGGCTTCGCGTCCACCACGTGGCAAAGCGGCGGCTCTGTTTTCCCGCGCCTCATCAACCACTCCTCGGAGTTTTCTTTGGTGTAAATGCGTTGTAGGTGCAAGAGGATACTGACCGGCTTCCAGTCCAAGGATTCTTCGACGTCCCCGTCGACAACCTGTACGGCAGACCTCTGCTCAAGCGGTACATCCAGACGCACATCCCCAACTACAAGGATGCCGTCATCATCAGCCCTGACGCCGGCGGTGCGAAGCGTGCGACGGCAATTGCAGACGGCATGGGCATCGAGTTTGCCCTCATCCACAAGGTAACATCTCTCTGTGTCTCCCCTCTCAGCCACTTACCAACCCTCGCTGCAGGAACGCCGCCCCACCAAGATCACGGACAGGCAAAACGCGAGTATGATGCTCGTCGGTAATGTAGCAGACCGGGTCTGTATCCTCATCGACGACCTCTTGGACACGGGCAACACCATCACCCGGGCCGCCAAGCTCCTCAAGAAGGAGGGTGCCACCAAAATCTACGCTCTCCTCACCCACGGTGTCTTCAGCGGAGACGCCATCAGCCGCATCAAGGCATCGGCCATCGACAAGTTGGTCGTGACCAATTCGGTTCCGCAAAACGAGCACAAGGCGCTGCTCGGGCCCAAGCTTGACATCTTGGACATCTCGCCCATCTTCGCTGAGGCCATCCGACGTGTCCACCACGGTGAATCGATCAGTGTGCTTTTCAACTACGACTAACCGCATGAACCTGCGGGCTATGAAAAAAAAGAAAGAGAAGTGTGCATATCGAACACACGGCATCTGGCGTTGCTTCCAGCCCATCTTTCGTAGGTGTGGCCCTTTACCCCTTGGACAGTATACAGAAAGACATTGCATTGGTGGTCACAGTGGAATGTCCGTCTTTGGGGCATTCGTTCGTACAGACACTCTCCTTCGCAGCAAGGGTCTCTCTTCCGGCGTTCGGGGTGCACTTCTTCTTTTCTCTCTTCATCTTGTCGGACTCTCATATTCGGGGTAGAAGACAGGCCGGGAGTGGTCACCGGCCTAATACCTAGACAGCCATGCAGAGAATGCATGCGCACACTCATGTCCCATCGAGGATGCTGTGGTGATGTAGTGGTCTGGCTGTGTCGTCGCCGTCTCTTGCCACTCACTAACAGTGAAGCTGGGTCTCGTGCGGCCCCTGTGCTCGCGCTTTTGGAACAAGGAATGCCCGACACGAGGACATGACTGCGCATCTGCCCTTATTTACCCTACGGACGCCGGTTGTTCGGAAGCGACACGGCAGGTCCTATGTAGCCTGGCAAGCTATCCGCATCTTCTTGGCGTCCTCATTCCCTGTACAGGCAAAAGATAGCCAGAGGCATTGGGCGGACGGTGTTATATTCCTGTGTTAACGGAATACCAACATGCATGTTGAAATACAAGTCCAATGACCGGTTATGTCCCGTTCTTGTTTACTGTTCGGCAAAGGACCCATGCAGATCCGAGACCCGGAGCCGATGGAGGGGTCAGCTGCCCCGGTAATCCGGCTTGGCATTGGCTTGGGACCCCGGAATGACGTCCTCCCTTGAACGGATCACTCATCTGGGTTCCGTTCTCTGGCTGCGCTGGCTTATGGAAGAGTGGAAGAGTGTTTTTGGGGAAAATATCAATTGGCTATCATATTTTCCGGATCAGTAGTAGTTTCCCTGGGCATACATATGAAGTTATAATCGAGTCAGTTGATGGGTTATAAGATGAGTGGCTCGGGCCTTCGGAGTTGGGCCGTAAGAGCCAGGGTTGTTGAAAAAAAAAAAACAGAAATTGAGATTACCATCCAGAAAGCGCCACGCTCAATGGAAGATTTTACACCAGGGTTCCTCCTATATCTTCCCGAGATACCATGATAACTATTCTGCGGAAACACTGCCAGTTCTCTCCCGTTACGTGCCGAAGTGATCAGTCGAAACAAGCTTCCCTGTGACAAATCTCACTGGCTCTTTCCGGACGGTTATCCGGCACTCGACTTACACACACATGCACACACCCCGGCCACTGATAACCCGTTTTGAGTCTCCTTAAAACCCCGCCGCACCACCAGGAAACCAACCATCCCTACGCCGCACTCACAACCAACGTCATAAGCTTGTCGTGAGAGCGAGGGGTATCGAAGAGGCTTTTCTTCTCAAAGACAGCACAGCCCATATTGTAGCAACTCAACCCGTTACCAGCGCGACGACTAACCCAACAAAACACACACGAACTGGTATCACCATCCCCTTCCCCCTTTTTTCACTTCCCCATCTACACCACCAACCCACCCACCACTCACCCACCAACACACCACCCACCTCGCACTCCCACAAACACACCACCACCACACCACAGCCCACGATGGCGGGCCCTCCAACCCCGACCATCATCACCACCCCCTCCCCCCCTCCACCCACACAACAACAACAACCACCTCCCCCCTCACAACCACCCCCCCAACAAACAAGATCCCCAACCCCAGCCCCCACATCACCAACAACCACCCCCCGCCGCCCCGCCTTCCCCCGCCAAATAACAGCCACCTCCACCCGCTCCTTCCTCGCCCTCAACTCCTCCGGCTACGAGACCCCCATGGACGACGGCGGCGGCGGCGTGCTCGGCGGCGGCAGCTGGCCGTGGGCTGTTACGAATACCATGTCCGCGCCGAGCGTGCCGGGGTCTAAAATCAATGGAGGGAGGGGCAGGTCGCCGGGGGTGACGCTGCAGTTGCCTGGTGGGGGTGGGCATGGGTTGGGGAGGAGGGCGAGGACGGATTTTGGGGGGTTTAGGGATGGTGGTGGTTTTGGTGGTGGTGGGGGGAGTGGGGTGGGTTCGCCGACGGAGAGTCTGAATGGGGTGGTGATGAGGGCGAGTAGGGGGTTGGGCGGGAGGAAGGTCGGGGTGAGGGAGAGGATTGGGTGCTTTCAGTGGACGTGGTTTACTATGACTATGGTGGGTTTTGCGTTTTCTTTTTTTGCTTGCTAAGGGGGAAGGGGTGTTTAGGGGAGGGGGTGGGTGTTATTCTGGGGGAGGGGGAGGCTTGTTATTCTGGGGGAGGCAAGTGTGGATGTTCGATGGTGATATTAACGATGTGCGTGTGAATAGGCTACGGGAGGCATCGCCAACGTCTTGCATTCAAGTGCGTTTCCACATCCCTTTGCTGTGAGCAGCGGGCTAACCTTGGCGTAGTACCATACCAGTCACAATGGTTGACTGGAATTGGCATGGCCTTTTTCTTCCTCAACCTCTGCCTATTCATCATGAACTGCATCCTCATCTCGTTGCGGTTTTACTGGCGCCCCGGGAGCCTCGTAGACTCGTTTAACGACCAGTACGAGAGTTTGTTTATCTCGTCCATTGTGAGTAGACTTCCCGGCATAGACACCCCCTGAGCATCAACCACTAACACCACCCAAGATCGTTTCGTAAGTCACCCATAGCGTCAACCGCCTGGAACCGGCTGCTCATACACCCCGGCCACAGAATAGCCACCATCTTCATTACCATCACCCAGTATGGCATCCCTTACACAGGCCCCTGGCTTCTGAGCGTCATCGAAGCCCTCTTCTGGGTCTACATCGGCGTGAGCACCCTCGTCAGCGCCAGCCTGTACCTCACCCTCTGGTCCACGCAGTAAGCCCCCCCCCTTTCCCACAAGCACCCCAACCGCACCCACCACAACCACAACAACTAACACCCCCCTCCCCCAATTAAAAAGAGTCTTCCCCATCCACACCATGACCCCCGTCTGGGTCTTCCCGGCCTACCCGCTCCTCCTCTCGGCGCCCTTCGGCGGCAACCTGGTGTCGGCCGCCAGCAAGGCCGGCCGGCTGGACGGCATCAACACGGTCCCCGTGGCGCTGGCGGCCGTCACGGTGCAGGGCACGGGCTTCCTCATCAGCTTCATGATCTGCGCCGCCTTCCTGTACCGCCTCATGACCCAGAAGCTGCCGCGCGACCACCAGCGCCCCGGTGTGTTCATCTCCATCGGACCGAGCGGCTTCACTTGCGCCGGTTTAGGTATGTCCTCCCCCTTTTTCAAGTCAGGAGAAATGGTTTGGCCAACAACAACAAACTAACATCCCCCCCTTTTCCCCTTGAACAGTACAGCTAGGCTCGCAAACGGCCGCCATCTTCCCGCCGGGCTTCGCGGGCACGCAGCACGCGGCCGACATCCTGCGGCTGCTGTCCTACATGGCGGGGCTCTGGCTGTGGGGGCTGAGCATCTGGTTCTTCCTCGTCTCGGTCGGGTCGCTGTGGAAGTACCTGCGGCCCGAGAGCAAGGGCAAGCTGCGCTTCCAGATGACGTGGTTCTCGTTTGTGTTCCCCAACACGGCGCTCGTGAGTTGCTTTCTTGGTTGTTTCTTGCTGTTTTAAACTTGGTTGCTCGTCCGGCGAGTGAGTGAGTGAGTGAGTGATGCTGATGGTGTTGGATGCCCGCGCAGGTGACGGCTACGGAGGCGCTCGGCGGCGCGTTTGACAGCCCCGGTCTCAAGATCTTTGGGTGCGTGCTGGCGGCGTTTTTGGTGTTGGTGTGGATCTTGGTCTTCACGGAGATGCTGCGGTGTTTGTGGAAAAGAGAGTTGTAAGTTGCGTCCTTTTCATTCCCCTTCCCACCACTGCTCCCCTAGGCGCTGCAAGGCAGCGAGACAGAGAAGAGGAACACCGGGAACAGATCTACTAGAGTCAGATTTGACTAACATGGAAACCAGGCTTTGGCCCAAGGACGATGAGTAGAAGTCTGTCATAGACAAAAGAACTGGGATTGGTGGTAAAACCCTGGAGGATATTTTTCGAAAAATGAAGCGTCGATCTCCTTGAATATACGATACGGCAGAGTTAGAGGATTGGTGAAGGGCATCGGTGTTCGAGTAAGCATTTCTGAGGCGTTGTTTTCGGTAGTACACGTCGGGGCACACTGGTTCCATGAGGCAGCGGATAGATATACCCCCGGATTCACATAATAAGGAGGACACAGGCACTCGATCGTCTTCCCGTAATTACAGCGACATGAAATAGAGGTGCTTTGCAATTCGCTCGTTGCCGTGAGAGGTCTAAAATTTGAAATGTTGCCCCGTTTTCCTTAGCCGCGAGGGAGAGATATCCATTCCCTTTCCGCTCTGGCCGCCTTTTGGATCCCCCGCTTGTACCATTATGATCAGGCAAGATACCGTCAAATTTAACGCCGTAGTTTTCGTAAAACCTCGAGCTGTATGTGCGTCCCTTTCCATTAATTCCTAACAGTTTAGAGTGGGCCACACCGTGGTGTTCTGGCACACAACCCTCTCTGCGCGTCATCGCAAGATGGGTGGTTACCCTTGCTTGGCCGCCCTACTTGGCCAGCCAAGGGAACTTCTTCTTGGTCGATTCCCCCACGCCGCCAGTTGAAGGCTCAACCTGCAGGCTGCGCTGGTAGATTTCCTGCGTTTCAGTCAGCAACAGCACGTAAAACAAAAATCTTGGCCGAGAGGGAACCCACCTCGTCATCATTCGCCATCCGACAATCCAGGATCAACTCCTTGCAGGCATCGTGTCGTTGCAAGTTCGGATATGGCTGCCCCTGACTCTTCATGATCGGCAGCAGCACCTCCCCAAGCACCTCAAACTTCTTCCAGTTGATTCGGTCCCCGTTGGGCCCCACAAACGTCTTGCTGCCCTCCTCGGCCGAGACCAGATCACGCCTGTGCAGCGGCATGAAGGGGATGCGCGGCAGCGACGAGTTTTCCCACGCGAGGCGGTAAGCAAAATGGCTCTTTTGCGTGCCCATCAGCAACACCAGCCCGGCAAACCGCTTCTGCACTTCCGGCGAGACCGCGGCACGCGTCTGGGCGAGCCGGTGGATCGCGGTGCCGTTGATGCCTGCCAGCACGGCGGCCAAACCGTTGTAGTTGTTCATCTGGCGCAGCTTTTGGGCGACGACCATGAATTTCTCGAGGCAAGGGGCGCGGTGCTTTGCCTTGTCGCGTATGAGAATCATGTTGCAGACCCAATGGGCGACGTGGTTAAAGTGCGAGACCATGCGGTTGACGTTCTTGAGGTTACGGCACTTCTCCTTCTGGTCGTGCGACAAGCTGACGTGTCGTACCTTGTCGCGGATACGGATCGAGCTGAACATGACCCAGTCTATCCGCGTCAATTCGTCTGCGATGTCCTCGACATCGAGCTCCATAAACATGTGGTACCTGAATTTGTTGAGGGGAAGTATGGGCGATGGTACCAGCGTGGCTGCCTCGCATTCGTAGTCTTCGACCGAATGGAAATGGAGCCGTGCCGGGCCCCGGGCGCCGCGGCCCTCCAAAGCGGACAAGTCGGAGCTTTGTGACGGGCGCCGTTGGCTGGGAACACCCGAATCATCCAGCTGCAAGGAGCTCATCGACTCTGCGATCCCGCTGCGTCTCTGACCTGCACCTTCTTTGCCCTCGTTTTCATCTGCCGGGTCTGATTTCGCCCAGCCTGTATCGTCGTCCAGGGTGACCTTGTGGTCAAGATGCACTCTCATCTGCTGTGCGGCTGCGACGAAGACCGGCTCCATCGACAGCTGCTGGATCAGCTCCTCCAAACTCCTCCTCGTTGCCGACCTGGCAAAGTCCCCGGGGTACAGTGATAGCCATTTCGCCACCACTTCGATTGTTCGCATTTGCGTCTCTATTTTGATTAGATATTCCACCGCCCGGTCGACCCGCAGGCGGCCCAGCCGTGCGCGGATGGCCGCGAGCAGCTCGTACGGTGCGGCAAATTTCCGGTACAGGCAGAGGAAGACGTCGGCAAAGTTCTGGTCTGCTTTCGACATCTTCGGGGCAAGAAGCCTGTCGACAAGGTCGTCAAAGCTCACACCCGTCACCTTGGCCGGCCTGTCAAAGCCGTCCTCGCTCCGCCGCAGGATCGGAATGTCTTCCGAGTACTGGTAAGACTCCCCGTCGGATTCGTCAACATCGAGGAAGGACTCCCCCCCGCTGTCCAGGCGAATGCCCGGGGTCCGCAGCATGCTCGACACGGTCTGTTGCTTGCCGTCCTCGGGAATGGCGCTGCTGGGGTTCAGGTTGCTGCTGGAAGCGATGCTCTGATAATCCAATCTCGGAGATCTCGACGGCGGACCTCTGTGACCTTCGTTGGGAGGCTGCGAAAAGCCCCGCAGAAGCGAGAAGTCGGAACTGGCCCTGCTGTGCTTACTGTGCTGGCTGATTGGGCGGCCATTATGGAGATCCATGGGCGCATCTAGATTTGCCGTCGAAGCAGCGCGCCTCCTGGGACCCGAGCCTTCCGACTTGTCTGGTGCTTCTCGTCAGTCCCGTCTCACAACGTGTTACCGGTACCGAGCCCATGGTAGACGGCTGGCAGGCTCGTGACCGCTCTGCTGATGCGGCCGCAGCACAAGTGGGGCAGGGATGAAGCGCCGGGGACGTAGATCTCACCTCTCCGGTTGGCCAGCGCGACTCTCAACATGGCTTGCAAGCATTCCCGAGCAGTGGCTGGCGCGTTGGCCGCGGTCCTGAAATGGCCGGCGCACGTCGCGAAGGCGGATGCGAGCCCCGCCAAATCCGGGTGCCGCAGGTCGTCGGGAGTGTCGCATTTCGTGGCGACGAGAACGGTCGGCAGGGAGGAATTCGCGAGGGCGGCTGTGCCAATGAGCATGCGTCCGGTAACGCGTCAGTTCGGGATGGGAACTCACCCATTATTGGGGGCACTTCCCGCATGCTCCCCTCATTCACGGCATCGTACAGGATCAGTGCGCCATCCATGCGGGGCACCGAGTGTCCTCCGATTTGCTTCGGCCAGTGTACGGGCTGGTTCGGGTCCAGCTCGATGCCCTCGAGATCGAGTTCGACGAGCGTGACTAGATAGGAGGCACCATCGAGTTCGTGGCGTAGGGCCGTGATGTTGGAGGCCGACGGTCGCGGTGCCCGGCGCAGGTGTTGTATGAAGGTGGACTTGCCCACGCCTACGGCGCCAATGATGGCTATGTTGATAGGTTCCATATCGGATTGGGCATGCTCGAACTGGACCAGTAGTCAGCCTCTCCCGTTCTCTCTCCCTCCTTTCTCTCTGGCGCGTTGCGAGAAAGCGTCTGTAGCCGCCGTGACGGGGGTTCCTCCTCCTCTCTGGGGGGAGGGAGGAAGAGCAAAAAAGAAAAGTCAAGGTGCGTACCCAAGGGGTCGGATTGGTATGGCTCAGGGATTCTTTTCGCGGCGGGATCCACGGCTGTCGCTCCTCATCACGGTGACCAGCACTCGTCGTCGGGGCGGTTTGCGGGCCGGGATGGGGATGGGTCGCGGGATGGGGTTCGGGATCGGGGTCAGGGTCGGGGGTGTGGTAACGAACGAAAAACGGATCGTCGACGATGGAAGCGAATGAATCCCTAGTGCCGGCGGCAGGAGGGTCGTCGACGAGAAGAAAGGTGCCTTCGGAGCCTATGACGGAGGAAAGTTGTCCGGATGATGGTGCGAAGCTTGGCTCGCCTGTTCTCGCCGTCGCAGCCGCTGCACGCGGACCAGCGCCAGCACCGGCAGCACCAGCACCAGCACCAGAACCAGCAGCTCGCGGCGGGGTAGCCGGCACAGACAGCTTCGGCAGCGCTCCTCCGGGACGGTCTGACACGGGCTGGTGAGTCTGTGCCCGCATGGCTAATCAGAGGACATGGCGGCGCGAGAAGACAGCGAGAGCATACCGCTTTAGGGCCGGATTGGGGGAACGGAGATGGAGTTCAGCAAGCTCGAAGAAAGACGCCAACTGATAATAAATTGAATGAACAATCCCGTTGATTGGGCTGGGTTGGATTTAGACTCCTTTCAGGGTCAGGGTCTTGGGATCCATCAAGGGATGCCGCGAGACCAGGGCACGGCTTGTCTTCCCTCCCAGCAGCCGGGGCAGCAGCAACCCAAGCAGCACCCAAGCACACGCCCAAACAAGGGGTCCCCGTCGTTCGCCTGTTGTTTTGGAGCAAACGCGGCGAGTCTGGAACCACTCGGACGTCGGGTATGTGGGCTGCAGCGTCCCGAAGCAAGCAGCGGCCAGTTCAGGAAATACTTCCAAGTGGGTGCAGGCTGCGCGGACCCGACCGTTGTTCGTTTGCAAGAGATTTCCGAGTTGGAAAGTTGAAACTTGGAAGGCGAGGTGGGACGGGGAGCGAGGCGGTTTGGTGGGCGGTCTCCAAGGCTTGGCTGCTTCTTGTGGTGTTGTGCAGCTGTGAGTTTAGGGTTCTGGGGACTGGGAAATGACTGTGGACCCCCCAAACTTGTGAAGTTCCCTCTGGGCCTGCCCTTGAAGAAATGGAACCCAAGAAACCCAAGAAACCTGCCGAAGCCCTCCATGTGTCGATGCCAAGAGATCATCCAACGGCAAATCCGAGCAGAGGAAGGAGCAAAGACCGACGAAACAAACGCCAAACACTTTCTTTGCTTTTTTTGGATCTTCCAGACGCCCAAACGGTGCCGATCTTGAGGTTTTACCCCGACATGCCCGACCAACGAATCGCGATCTGCTACCGGCTAACAGAGTACCACCTACCGAGTTAACTGACTAGTCAAACCAAAGCAAACAGATCAGCGATGCCGACACACCCGTCGCATTTCCATAGGGAGCACCTCAACCGTTGACGGAGTTGTTTTGAAACATCACTGATATCAACCGCGTTTTGTTTCGACCGCATGCCGATCGATGGCTTCAAGGTCTAAGAGGCACCTCGAGATTCGAAAAAGTACAGACTACGGGCATGCCTCTGAGTTTATGTGAGCGGAGGAATGACCCGAGCTTGGCTGGCTGTCCCTCTCAGTTATCAGTTATCAGTTCTCAGATGGAGACGACGGCACGCGCATTGCATCGAACTGCATGTACAGTACATACCTTGTTTGTGTATGTACGATGTATGTATGTATGTACATGTGCCTAGTTTCCACCATAACGTTAACGACGGGCTGTCTCCACATTCGCCATGCACGTTGGCATCAGAGGCGTTTTCTTGCTTCGGCACGCTCTTCCAACCGAGGACCGGTTCCTGCAACTACTGCATCGACCGCGCCGAACGAAACGTGGTTTCCGACTCCTCCCATGAGGAGAGATGAGGCTCGTCGGTGCCGTCGTTTGCGGAGTGGGGGGCTGTTGCCTTCCCAGATCATATAACCATTGTTAACTAGCAGAGAAGTGATTGACAATGTGGACTTGCTGTGTAGATGTCACAGTCCCGTCGTCTCGAACAACTGTCAGATGAGGATGGCCGGCTTCGGCTCCGCTTCACTACTCGGCATGGAGACCACGTCCGGGTCTGGGCACCGATGACTTCTCGAAGCTGGGGAAAAGGGCAGACAAGCCAGTGGAAAAAAGACTTTCTCATTCCCAAGGATCCGGACCGGGGTGCTTGACTCGGCGTCTGTTGAAATTGGACCTAAACCCGATCAAACCACCTTAGCACCAGTCTAGAGCTAATTTTACCTAACCCCTTTCCCCAGCTGCGGGTTGCGTGCTTGACACTTGCCGAGTGAGACACACATGTCTCTTTTCTGGTTCACACAGAAGAGCAACGAAGAAGATGAGGTGTTGGATAATTCCGTTTTAGCAGACACAGTATTCACAGGGGAAAACGCACGAGAAACTTTGTTACAGGATCACAATGAAGGACAAACACGCTTCCCCCAAGAACCGACGGAAAGTCTTTTGTCCGCATTTCTCTCGATCAAGTGACCAGCCAGTGCTAGTGAGCCCACTCGGATTGTTAGCTTGCATCGAGACCCCTGGAAGACGAGGCGCCGACCAGTGGAAGACGCGATCCCCTCCAGTTTCCACGATCGATTCGGGCATCTGATCAACTTTATCCAGTGCTAATGCGACTCTGCATCTCAGGGCGCAAGCATCTGCAATCCTGACTCGCTTCCCGTTGGCCGCTGTCATGGACATCCCACAATAGCCGGCGCCATGGCTCGAGCATGGGACCCGTGGAAGGCCAATCGCCCTCATTTCAACGGTCGTGTGCTCTGCAACCCTCGCTTGAGCCTGGCTGCATTGGCGACAAGGGGAGAGAGGCCGGGGCCGGCGTGGGTCGGCATCTCCACGAACCGCCCCCCCCCCCCCCCCTCTCCCCCGGTTTCCCCCATACATAACTAGGTAGTGACTTGACTGTGATCTCGCCCAGCGGCTCGAACTTCCAGACACCTTTTTGACCGCACAACCTCCCGAAACTTGTCGTATTGCTTGATGTCTCGGCCGTGAACGGGTCTTCCTCTCAACCGGGGGGTTATCGCCGATCTAAGACACTGTTACCACCCTCCTGCGCCAAGTTCAGACACAAGCCGGCGCTATTTAGAACCCCGCAAGCAAGGATTTTAAGGGCAAGACGTGGAAGGTCTGAATCGAGACGTTACTCGAAACCGCTGCCGCTCAAGAATCGAGGCCGGGTTGATTTATTTGCTTGGTCATTCCTTGACCCTTCAGTCCACTTAACTCGAATCTCCCACTAGTTCTTTGTGGACTCAATGCTTGCCGAATCGCCCTGGACCATGCAGTACAGGATGAATTACACCAGGGATCACGTCTATGGAGGCCACAAGCCGAGCGGGAGACCGTACAAGGCGGCAGCCAGGGTGCCGGAGGGGCAGTTCGACCCTAACGAGCTCACTCGCCGGCTTTATGTCGTCCTGGCCGAGCAAAAGGTGCACGCTGAACGGAGACGACGGGCTCGCGGCGAAACATCAAATCAAAAAGATGGCCACGGCCAGGTCTCAAGCAGTCGAAGCAAAGAAGCACGCCAGAAGGCTGCCGAACCACCCGCCGACCTCATCACGGAACTGAGGAGGACGGAGTCGACCAAGCATAAGCCATCGCACCCAGCAACCGCCGGGCCGGGTCCAGATTCCCAGTCCGAAGCCTACCGCCACGTCCCGCAAGAGGCGGCCAAGCAGTTCACAAGAACAACCACGGTCGAAAACATGCGCGACACCAGCCTCATCCACAAGCTGTCCAAACACGCCCTCAAATTCCACTTGGAAGGCCCCAAATCAGTCCGCCCGGGCGGCGGCAGCAACGGCGCCCCCGAACCCGCCCTCGCCCCAGGAGAACTCACCCGGGCCCTCCAACAAACCCAAACGCAGCGCAACCAGCTCCTCGACCGCAACCAATTCCAACGCACCCGCACACTGGAAGAAGCCGCACGGCTCGAGCACCCACACCCGCACGCAGCCCCGCGCCGCACGCACACCCTCGAGGACGAGCTCTCCCGCATCCTCCCCGGCAGCAGCAGTCACCACTCAAGCAGCCAAGCCAAACACCTCCGGCGCAACAGCACCGGCAACACGGTCACCACCCACCCGACCGACAACCCCGCCACCACCACCACCACCACCACCCACGCGCGGCACTCCCTCATCGCGTCCACCGCGGCGCCCGACACGCTGGTCATGGACACGCTCCTGGAAGACGACAGCACCACCACCACGACGGGCGGGGATGAGGAGGGCGACGCGTTGGGGCTGGGGCGGTTCGCGGCGGCGGAGCGGGCGCGCGTCGACTGGACGCAGAGCGACGAGGCAGCGGGGCGGGTTGGTGGAGGGGGGCATAGCCACAGCCATAGCCATAGCCATGCGCGTGCTACTGGGGGTGGGCCGAAGTTGTTGCTGCTCTCGCCGCTGCTGCGCAAGGCGGATTCGCTGTGGACGCTGCGCGGGCGGCGGGGGAGCAAGGACTCGTCTGGTGGCGAGGAGGTGCAGTCGCCTACTACGCCTACGGCGGCGGCGGCGGCGAAGGGGAAGGGGTTCTTTGGGAGGTTTAAACGTTAGTTTTTGGGTTTGGGGTGGGGTTGGGGGAGGGAGGTGGATGGGGACGGGGGGATGGGGAAGGGGTGTCTTACCTGACGGTTTAGCTGGTGTTTGGCTGGGATAGTAATGATAATGATATGATGAACGTGTCGTTTTTTTGGGGGGGGGGGGGGGGGGGGGGGGTTATTCCTTGTGAGATGGCCATTCCACATGCCGTCCGCTTCTCGGTCTTGGTCATATGCTCATATCTTGCGCCGCCCGTCTAAAGAGAAAAAAAAGGACCGAACCCCCCTATGCGAACCATCCCAATCTTACAATATCAAAACAACCCTAACCAACCATCCAGACCCAGAAAAATCAGCCGCCCTCCTCCCTCAACAACCGCTCGATACACTTAGCCTCCTCCGCCGCCACTTCCTCCCTAACCCTGTCAATCCCCTCCCTCTTCTTATTCAGCAGAAACTTCACCAGGTCGCAAAACTCGCGGACCCCGTCGCCCGTATCGGTGGGGTCCGTCCTCGCCTTGCGCAGCGCCTCAGCGCCCTTGCGCAGGCCGACATCCTTCGTCCACGGCTGTTGTTGTCTGTTGCGACCCGAGTTGAATTGTTCCCTGCCCCCAGCATGCTGCCTATGCCGGCCCGTATTTGCTGTGGCGGCGCCCACGCCGTATGGAGAGTTGGGGTTGTCGGCGGGAGGGAGGGTCGTCTCTTGGATGCGGACGAGCTCGGTCGCGAGAGAAGGGTATCTGGTGAGGAGGTGCTTGAACGCGTCGCGGTGCTCGAGGAGGATGCTGTAAGGATCGTCCTGCGCGGGATCTGGCTGGGGTTGGGCGATAGGTTCAGGTTCGGGTTTCGGCGCGTCGGGCGGGTGGTTTTCCTTGTGCTGCTTGTTGCAGGCGACCGAGCAGCTGTGGACTGGTGGTCAGTACTGCGCCGTTAATGGGATGTTAAGACGAGGCAACGTACTATGGCATGGAGCACCGAGGACACTTGTACTTGCCCGGTTGTGCGCCGCATACGCCGCAAAGCTTGGGCTCTGGCTTCCTCGGCGGGGATGGCGGCTCAGCATCCGAGCCCGAGCCCGGATTTGCGACAGGATCTGCTGCGCGCGGCGCGGTCCGTTCGGGTGAAACAACACCGAGCATTGTCGACTGCTGCGGAGGGCTACCGTTCTCTGCGGTCGGCATGCCGCCGATACCGTTGGCGCCGTCCTGGCCTAGACTCATTGGACGCTTGCGGTTGATTAATCGTGACCTGGGCAAAGGTGGTTCAAGTGTTTTGTTTTGCCTAGCGCAAGAGTGCGCGATGTTGAATTCTTGTTACACACAATCGCGACGCGGAAAAGTTACTTGTATTGGAGATTGGTCGAATCGGCTGCTTCCCGAGCCGATGGCGGCACGGCGTTGCGACAATGGTCGTTCTGGAATCCCACTTCACCAATCCCGGGCCGCGTGCTGCAGGTGATCGGCTTGAACGGGGAAAAGGTTCGTTGTTGATTTGGGCAGAAACGTTCATTGGAGGTGGTGGATTTGCCCCCGCCACTTTGAGATGGCAAAGCCCGAAAAGCAACCCGCAAGGTGCCGACAAAAATTTAGGGGCGCCGAGGCTGCTATGACGCAAATCCCAAGGGTCTTCAGCTGTGGGTCCCCCTAGGGCCGATCGGAACGACTGGGTTTGTCAGCGCCGCAGTGCCGGAGCGGCAATGTTCGGGATATCCCCACAGCATCCAAGACCCATTGGATGTTTGCTTCTTTCTCCCTTCAACCTCACGTCTGCAATCTCTGCAGCACACACAGCATAGGTACTCGCCGAACAACACCACGATGCCGTCGAACAAGCTATTACGAGGCATTGCGCCTCTAGTATCCAACACCGCGCGCCCCACCAAACCCTCGACATGCCTCCGAATTCAACAACGAACCACAGCGGCGGCTGTTAGACGACACGCCCACACCGCACCAAGCCGCCGCCTCCTCCTCCCATCCAGCACATCCCCCGTCCGCCCACGCCTCCCACCAACCCACCCGCAACCATGGCAGGCCCTCCTCCCCCAAACCGCCCGACGCACCATCTTCATCCAGACGGAGAGCACGCCCAACGCGGACGCGCTCAAGTTCCTGCCCAACCACCGGATCCTGCCCGAGGGGCTGACGACGCCCTTCATCGAGTACCTGAACCCGCGGGCGACGATCGCGCCGCCGCACCCGTCGCCGCTGGCGGCGCAGCTGATGAACATCGACGGCGTGACGGCCGTCTTCTACGGCGCCGACTTCATCACGGTGACCAAGGCCGCCGACGCCAACTGGGCCCACGTCCGGCCCGAGGTCTTTGCGCTCATCACCGAGGCCATCACCTCCGGCCAGGCGATCGTTAACGTGGCTGACCGCAAGGAGGGCGGTGCCGCCGCCGGCGAGGGTGAAGAGGCCACGGCCGCGGAGAAGGATAGTTTGGCGTACGACGAGGATGATACCGAGGTCGTGGGCATGATCAAGGAGCTGCTCGAGACGCGCGTGCGGCCGGCGATCCAGGAGGACGGTGGGGATATCGAGTTCAGGGGGTTCGAGAATGGCTATGTGATGCTCAAGCTGCGCGGCGCGTGCAGGACGTGTGACTCGAGCACGGTCACGTTGAAGAATGGGATCGAGGGCATGTTGATGCACTATGTGAGTCTTGCCTCTGCCGTTGGTTATGGTTTTGTCGGGAGCTGTGTGCTAATTACTTGCAGATTGAGGAGGTCCAGGGCGTGCATCAGGTGCTCGACCAGGAGGAGGAGGTCGCCATGGCGGAGTTTGCCAAATTTGAAGAGAAGCTCAAGGCGCAGAAGGGCGAGGTGCCTCCTTCAACGGTGGGAAAGGGCTCGCTTGATACTGCGTCTGGCTGATGTGCTGGGCGGTGTTGTGTTGTTTGTAAACCGCGCCTGGCTAATGTACTTTGGGGCATGCTACGACGGCGTTTCGGACATACAAAAGGCTTGATACTCCCTTTGAAGGCGGTAACTTTTACACCAAGCCTGCAGGACATCTTCATCACCGAGGCAGCTGCTGTCCCGTGCTGAAATTATCATGGTAGGACGGGAAGCGCAGTGGTGCTGTACTGCGCAGATCCCACAACCGTTCCCCTTGTAATGCCGCGATCTCCAAGTCGTGCTCTGGTACGCTCACGTGGCCTATATCGTCATTTTGCAGGAAACTGGTGATACCCAGGCGGCGGCCCTGATCTTGTCGCCGTTTGCCATAGTCCCACGGGTACTCCTGCAGAGGATCGGCGTGGGCGGAGGGGGTTCTCTTCCTCCAAGCCCGCAGGCTGTGCTTGTTATATTTCGCCACACGGTGGACGAAAGCTCCAATGGGGAAGCTTCAAGTTTGGTGTACAGATTAAGTATTTCAATATCAGCGCACGAGCCCGCGGGCGTCAGATGCATGCCAAGCAACTCGAGGGTTGTATCACCAGAATTGAATAAGTTGAAGTCACACAGAGCCGGTGAGCTTCTCATTAAGATCGCGGGCAGCAATAGGTCAGTCCTCGACTTCTGGAGTCTTCCGTTGGATGCCACCGACGCAATGTCTTCGAAGCGAATATTAAAGCTTTGCGGGAGCTTGTCAGCTTGTCGTGCTTGTCCAGGCCGGGGGCCTTCGAGAGGCCTTGCTCCACAGCGGGGAGTTCATGTGGGCATGATGCTTGGAACGTTTGGAGGTCGGGGCACAGGGATCGAGCAAAATCCGGGGTAACAAAGATGCCCATCCCCGCCTCGAGAGCGGAAACATCCACGCCGAACCAGATGCACACCGTGCATAAAGGTCGCGGGACATCACTGGCACGATAAAACGTGACCCAACGTGCTCATCATGCCAAAGCAAACGACACAGTCTTAGGTCCCCTAACTAATTTCACACGACGCAGGGGGTTTGGGAGAAGAGAGCTTGATGTTATACTACCTCTCCGAGGGCACTTGAGGTTTGGCCTGCGATTTAGGCTGATGCGCCGGCCGCCATATGCATTCGAGGGCGGGCAATTGCAGCATGGCAGAGGAGTAAGCTCCGTTGCTAGGTGGTTGCTTTGTGCACTCGGTGCTGGAGTCGGCTCCGCCTTCATGATCAGATTATATCGGTTGATGACGCTATTACCTGACGATAGTGACCTAGACAATGCCCCCCGGGGCGGGTTAGTTGAGACGAAACCTCGTCGCGAGAACAGATCCGTCCAATATGGTTGTGCCCACGGTTATTCCACCAGGGGAGACGCAGTACCAACAAGACGCATGACGGGCTGTTGTTAACGGTAGGGGCCCGCGTGATGACTCTGCAGCCATCTGGTCTCCGCCCGTTTGTTTGCCTCTTGTACCGTGTAAGGCCGAACATCACCCATCCATTACCTTCGAATTCGATGCCCGTGCTTGGTAGCGATATCGACCGCTCCGACGACTGGCTGCCAGGGCATCATCTCTGCGGGGTATGAATGATGCGGTCGCACCACAGAGCCGGCATTCTCTCGAGCCGTACATACCTCGAAATCGTTTGGCCGGCACAGCCATTGCAAAGGCGGGATGAGAACATAAAACTCGAAAGGCCGGTGAGCGCTGGCGAGGTCTTGTGAGGAGGGACAGCCACTGAACTCGGTGAGCCAGGCTCCCTTCGAGCTGCATCTCCCAACCGTTTTCGGCCGCCTGCAGCCCTTGAAAACGTGTGTTTCTGCCGTCGCTAATTTGTATGTGGGGTCTTCCTCTCAAGAATGCAGGGCCGTGGTGGGCTCGGGCAGTCGAAGATCCCGTCCAAAGTTTTGAAGTTGGGGTTTTCAGGAGCACCGCAACCAGGGAGTCGTGCCTATGAATAGGTACTCGGCGATCACACGAAATTGCTACTACGTAGCTCCAACGGAACCCTACCAATACACAGTATGTCGTGTGCGTAGGTAAGCGGGGGGGGTTTCCGGTGCAATTGGGTCGCCTGTGAAATAACAAGCTGAAAATATCCTTTGAGTTGTTCGCTATCCAAACTTGCAAGCGGTGCCCATGTGCTGTTAGAGGCGACAGCGCGTCTGATGGCCCCAAGCTGGCGCTGCCGAGGATGGAATGGAGGGAGGCGTTGCACAAAACGGACCTGGAAGCCCATGGGCCCCTCCTTCCCCGCTAGAACCCCTGCCTGCTTGCCCGTTGTGGACAGGTCATGGATCATGGGTCTTTTTTCGCTGCACAGTGTGAATGGAGGAATCATTTTGTGCCAAGCCGGCGTACCAGACCGACCCCACACGACGATGCAGCTCCCACGAGGTATGCGAGGCATTTGGTACCTTCAAACCGCGCCTAGTTGTTCCATATTTGAGCCTACAGCGAGTTTTTAGGGAGGACGGTACAAGTAGGCTATAACTTCGAAACCGTGACGGCTACAAAACGTTGCGGAATCATACTCGGTATATGGAAACACGCGAAGTTGGTCGAAGAGTCCAACCCGAATCACGACGGCGACGGGACATATCTCCGGCAGACTCCGCTCGCCGATCTTCCCAATTTGCCTCTACCTTCTATCATACCATAGATTCTATACCTTGGCAAGTTATGCGTTTGTTTTCTTGCTTGTAGGATGGGCATTTTATTCAATGTCTGAGGTAGGTTCTTCCGCAAGACAGATATGCCTTTACCCAGCGAGCAGATACCTTTCTACCAATTTCTTGAAAACTTGTAAAACAGAGGACTCTTTACCTCTCATGACACTCGAGGCGTCATTCTCCTTGCATTTATCAATATCGGTGACGCTTACTGTGTAGTGTCTTGTTAGCTGTCGCCGGGTGACGTTTCCGGATCGTTGGCTCTTGGGATGCTGTGGTCGAGGCCTGGACAGTGCAGGTACTGCACTAACACTTCCTTGGGCTTGGAAGCGACCCAGAGCGAAGCTGCAATGGATGCTTCCATCACACCCCACTGCCTCGAAAATGTGCAGCGCAGGGAGTGCCTCGAGAGCTTGTCCCATTGAACACGGCGCAACAGCAACACCATCTGATGTGCTGGAGTCTTCGAGATTCTACTTCTCCACCCCCCTCAGGTCTCCTTTCGCCCCCGACGTCCGTTCCCGAACGCTTCATTCGAATGTGTTCAGACCCACCGGTGTCTTTGTCTCAGTCCCCACTGAACGATTCGGCGGGTCACCTGAATTGACAAAAAGACGGCGACGTGCACGAGGCCGCCTTCTACCCGATCATTACAATTACAATATTGTTCTCTTTTCTCTTCTGCATTCCATCTCGAATCCATTGACATCCATAAACACCTATTCCTCGTGAGATAACTGGGGTGCTCGATGTCAAGCCTTATTCTTCGCATTGCCACGGCGTCAACGTATCGAGCGGCCTGGTCTGCCTTCGGTTAGTCTGACTGACTCGACTGGGGTCCCGACCACTCATCGAGCTGCGCGCCTCCCCCAGCTTTCCCCGCTCACACCTCGACGGGGGACCACTCCCAGGTGCACGAGAACGCTGACCTCGCGCCTCCGTCCCGGAATCTCGACGCCCATATCTTCACTTTTACCCTCCCACCCCTCTCTCTCCGCCACCACGCGGCCGCCCTTCTCATTCTTTTCTATAATACTGCAGGTTTAGCGACGCTTAGCGAAACCATTGCACAAACTGCCAAAACTGATCATCTAGGACGCACAAACCGTTCCGCCCGCAACACGCGATCTGCGATCTACGATTTGTCTTCCCGCACGTCGGTTGAGCGCCTCGCGCCTGCAATGGGAGATCGCGATTAGCGCTGCGCATTCTTCCACCGAGACGGCGCACGCCATAACCGACCGCAACCTTCCGTACATCAATTGCCTGATCGCTTTCCGTGACAGCTCGGCTGTCCCGTGATCGAATTCCCTCTCGCTCGTCAATCGAGCAGATCACGAGCCGAACCGTTCTCAACCTTCTTCTTTCAACCACCCTCTCGAACCGCACTTACGCGTCGGTCAAAGTCGCCGCATCGATTTCTTAGAAGCGCGCGACAGTACCGTGCACGTCTGGTCCTCAAGCTCCTTGTCGCGAGTCTCTTCTTGACGCTCCCTTTTTTGCAACGGTTCCGAGTACATTGGAAAAGGGAATTAGACGTTTAGACGGAAATACCCCGTCGCTCCAGACATAATCCAAACTTCTCTTCTTGTGAGTGCTGTACTTCCATCTCATGTTCCTGATTCCGAACCATACACCATCCCGATTTTCCGCTCGCTAGAGAAGCAAGACCCCGTTCCGTCATCTCATCGTTGCCCCTTTATATTTCAACCGCAACCGCAACCGCAACCACGCACCACCCTATCGACCCCCGCTAACCTGCGTCTACTAGTTGGCTATCCTCTCGCACTACGGTCTTTGTTCATTAGTGCGCTCCCACACCTATCTCACACCTCTCACCATTCGCATTCAGGGCGCATCCTCGTTTCCTCAGCACACACAATGAGTTCCAATACGACCAAGCCTGGGGCTTCGACGAAGCCAGGCCAAGGCAATTTCTCAGCCGGCCCGCCGAGTAGTCACGCTTTGCTGTTGGAGAAACTGAATCGGAGGTCCACACCCGACTCGGAAGCTCTGGCAAGCTCGGACGACGAACCCGAGAACCACCGTCAGGATGTTCTTCCTCCCCCGGTCCAGCCCCCGCAGCCGGTTCGCCGGTCATCTTGGCTGAACGATACGTCCCAGCAACCTCTACCCCGCCAGGCCCAGAGGAAGGGGTCCTTCGCCGGTAACTCGATGTCTCCAACAAGCTCCCACCCAGGTACCCCGTCCGGCGAGACGGGAGTCGCGGCTTGGGGTTCTCACCCGGCCAGCGGCGGAGTTCTTGGACGGCCTCACCCGGGCGGCGCCTCTTTCTCGTGGGGAACTGGCATCTGGAATAACGAGAGAAAGGAACTCCCTTCACGTCTGACGGAGGTTCTACCCTCGCCCACCTCCATCGTTGCGCCTGGAGGCTCCAACAGCTCGTTTTTTGGTGGTGACGTCGGTGTGACACAAACTTCGCCCGCGCCGAGAGACCCTCCCAGTTCACAGATCCCATTCGCAATTCCGTTGCACCCGACCCCGAAGACATATCGCTCTCAGTCCTACTCCGTGGGACAACTTGAACCCGAGGCCGTCGCCACGAGTATGGCTCCGCCGCCAGTCATGGGCACCCGTCGAACCATGGGGCACCCCGGCCTCCAGCACCGGCCTTCCAGGCCAAGTATGCTCAGCGAGATGTCGAATGACGGCAACATGTTGGGAAAAGTGAACGAGGACGATGACGACGACAGCAGCGGTTCCATGCAGGGAAGCCAGCATCAAGACGCGGCGAAGACGATCGAGATGTTGACGCGGGAAAACCAGATGCTGCGCCAACAGCAGCAATACCATGCGCGGCTTCGTCCGAGGGCCTCGACAGCGAGCGCTTTTGGCCTGAACTCGAGTTATATGCAGGAGACGGTGCCGGAAGAATCCGACTACGCGGTCGACGAGCACGACGAACTGAACGACGGTTCTGATGCGGCGACCCGGATGGGTCTTCAGCGGAGGATGAGCGAGTATGGCGTCGGTCCTTATAAGAGCCCCTACATGGTTGAAAACCGCAAGCTGGAAAATGTCAAGAAGGCGTTCTGGCAGAGCTCACCCGGATTTGGCGGCCTGGGGGATCTCCCCCAAAGCCGACGGCACTCGTTCGCAGATGTTCCCACTCGACAAGGTTCGATCAGCTCCATGGGAGGAGACGCTGCCCAAGCGCACGAAGCGGCGGCCCAAGATCTTGCCCTTGCCCATGATTTCTCGGCTGCGTACCCCGAAAACCACAGCTACGCCGTCAACAACCAAGGTACGGATCTTCTGATGAACAGTGACTTAACCAACCTCCTAACGATAATCTTAGTGTCGCCCTACTTTACTGGCGCCGCTGGCCTCGGCAGTGCCCAGCAAGGACTCTCCCAAGCTGCGTACGGCAGCCACCTCCCCTCTCCCTACGCGGGGGTTCCCGGGTCTTATTCCCACCGACCCACTTCGCCCCATCGCAGCATGTACGGCATGGCCCAGCCGCGGCACAATCAGTCGCTACACATCGTGGTCTTCAAATGCCAAAGGGCCGATGTCTTCTATATCCAGGAGGGTACTGGGCTAACAGTCAAACCGGGCGACCTGGTGATTGTGGAGGCTGACCGGGGTACCGACCTGGGCACGGTTTCACGGGATAACGTGGACTGGCAGACTGCGAAGGAACTCAAAGAACACTACGCCGAGGAGCAGTACAGATGGCTCATGATGTACTCGCAGAATGCTGCCGCGGCGCACGAGGGCGCTGGCGCTGGACTCATGGCAGCGGCCAACGGTCTCCAGGGGAGCGCGGTCGGCGGCATGGGCCCGCCAAGCCAGCACCACCATATCCAGGAACCCGGTTCTGGCGAACTCAAGCCCAAGTTGATCAAGCGCCTTGCCCAAATGCACGAGGTCATTGCTTTGCGAGAGAAGGAGGGCAACGAGGCCAAGGCGAAGCGGGTATGCCAGCAAAAGGTCAAGGAACACGGCCTCAACATGGAGATCCTCGACGCCGAGTTTCAAATGTGAGTCTTGTCCTGCCGCCCCCGACTGGTTAAGCTGTGCTAACTTCTAGCAGGGATTGGAAAAAGCTGACCTTCTACTACTTCGCCGACACGTACATCAACTTCAACTCCCTTGTCACCGACCTTTTCAAGATCTACAAGACACGCATCTGGATGTCGGCCATAAACCCGGCGTCGTTTGCCAGCCCTACCATAGGGCTTCAGGCGCCCAGCGGCGTCGGGCCTGGCGCGGTGGTAGACCGATCGACAGCACCGGCACGCCGCCAGGAGCCGCAGCAAGAGCCGCAGTCTGCTTACTCCGGGTCCAGCCAGGGAGGCGCCGGCCTCCAGTCATCGTTCGCGGCACCATTCAACGCCGACCGCGCGGTGGCCCCCGGATCGAGTTACCCAGCCACCAACTACCCATATCACCCCTACGGCGCCTTTGCCAATACGGGTAGAGCAGGGGCGATGCCTTACCCCCCGGGTATGGGTCAAGGGCCCGATTCCTTTACCGGCACCTTTTCGCAGACAGGAGATTTTGTTGGGCGTGCACGCTACCCGAGCCCACAATCTGCCGCCAATGCCCAACATGATCAAACCATACCTTCTCTTGGGGCACATGCAGACATGCTTGGGTCATTCCAAGGTCTGTCACTGAACTCCCGGTAGAAAATGGACGGCCGGCATTCGCACATCTGACGCATCCTACCCTTCTTCCTTGTCGTTTCAACCTCGACCTCTCCAACTTCATCCAACTCTCTTATCCTGGAAACGCGATACAGAAAAGAAGACCAATGCACAAAAGATATACATATAACGGACGACCTCTTTTTGACGAGATTACGGGACATGCCGATACCACCAGACGGGTTGTTGCGAGCAAAGCGACTTTCGCCTACGCTTGCCTTGGAGAGTGTGGGCTAAAGAGAGTTCCACTACAGATATTGTTACTTTTCTTCTTTTCAGTGTCTCTTGATATGGGTTCAAGATGGCTTTACTATTCCGGCTTTGCACCCTTTTCTTTCTCTTTTTTTTTCTTCCAACTTTAATACTCCAAAGATTCAGTCAGGTTGAAGACGGAGCGCGTTCCTTTTTCTTTTTTTTTTTCCCTCATCACTTTCTTGTTCTTCTCTTCTCTCAGCGGCACAATCGCCCATTTGTTTCCTTTGATGAACTGAAAGACTATTTCCACCATAGACAGAGGCACAGAGAGAGAAGGCTCAGGGCTTTTTTTTTCCGCAGCGGGCATTGTGCAATTTTCGAGGGACGGGCTACAAAACGGGGACAGCTTCGAGTTCGGTTTGGTTAGGGATGGGATACCTCTAGAGAGCATACAATCAAGACTATGTTGGCTGTCGGGCTGTTTTACCTCACTTCCCCTCGAGCCTGTACGGCCAGGTTGTGTCGGATGGTTCAATGTGTTGTTTATTTACCCAGATGTACAGTAAGGTAGTCAACCACTTGTAAAAATGTAGCCGAGAGCCCTGGGCAGCATTCAGGGTTGTAGTTGTGATCTCATGTTCATCTTCTTATTGGCACCATGGAGGCCACGATATTCGTATCGATTACGTCGAGTGGCACTTTCCCCGAGTGTCGTAGGGTGTCAATTATAATGGATTTTGGCAGGAGCAATGAACAGCTTGGCCATTCAATCTTGGACTCCGGGAAGGCATCACCTGCCCATTAATCTCTCCATTAGGTACTAATGAAAATTCCCGTCTTCAGTGGAAGGCCGGTGCGAGGTTCGAATTCCATTCTCGGGTCTTGTGCTGTACATCCAACTTTTTTGTTGGACACCTGGTCGTCCCTTCGCTAGGGATTCAAATTCCGTCCTCACATCCCATCCTTACGTCAAGAGTGCTTAGTACCCATAGCCCTACCATGCCGCCGAAGCGCAAAGCCAAAGACGCCACCGCGTCCCCGACCGGGCAGCCAGCGTCTCGAAGACGGTCGAGCCGTACGTCCAAGACTTCGCCGGCCACTGACGGAGATGAAAGTGATGCGCTTTCCGCGAGACCCTCAAAAAGATCTCGTGGAGCATCTTCGCGCACTGCGAAACAAGACGATGGCGGCGATGGCCTTGGTAATTACGGGGGGTAGGTGTCAACCATTCTGCCGACCACCCTTGGCATCCCGCTGACCTACACAACAAGAAGTTCCTCAGGGCCAGCAACGATAGAGCAGCACCTGATGGGCCAGAATAAAAAGTCCAAAGAGTTCATCCAGGGTTTCAAAGAGCAAGTCGCTCAAGGGCGAGCACAAACCCAAGCAACGTTGTCGAGGCTCAAGCAGAACTTGTGCGTACATACCCTCACAAAAACCCGCCTTTCTCACACACATCTCCCACCCCTTCTTGCCTTTCCCCATATCTAATCAACCAGCACACGCCCAGAGCCAAGCCCCCGGACGCCGGCAACGGCAACCTCGCAGATATCTACGCCACGCTGCAGACCGCCGCCCAGACGACGCTCTCCACAAAAGACAACCCCCTCTTCGAGCAGACCCAGCACCTGCTACGCCTCAGCCGCGCGATACTTGACTGTCACCGGACGGCTGAGAGGGATTCGCGCACGCAGGAGCTTGTTTCGCCGCGCGAGGTGTGGGAGCAGGACGAGGAGGGCATGCGGAAGCTGCTGGGATATGGGAAGGTATTTGGGGAGAAGGTTGTTGAGGGGTGGATCACGCCGCATAGTGAGCAGGTTTGTGATGGCGAGGGGGATGATGATGGGGAGAGTAGTGGTGAGGATAGGGAAGGTTCGAGTGAGGCGGAGAACTTGGCAAAGGGGTTGTTCGAGTGGAAGAGGAAGGGGTGGGGATTGCTGAAGGGGGACGAGAGCTGGGGGGTTGCGGCAAGGAGGCAGATGGTTGCGCTGGCAGGTGTTGTGAGGACGTTGCCTTCAACCTAAATATGATGAGTTGGGTGTGGGCGGCTTGAGTTTTCTTGGTTGGTGAGAGACTTCGGCGAGGATGTGGACCTCGAAGTTGGTGCTCGACTTTTAGATCACTTGCGAAAGTCACGGTGAGAGGAACGTTGCTTAGGGAAATTTAGGTGCTTAAGGATAGTGGCTTCATATATGTCAAATCCCGACGGGTAATGCACAAATAACCGAAATATCAAGTACTGTGTAACTCGGTTGGCGATTGCTTTCCGAGAATGCAAACCATTGGCACACCTCGAGAGCAAACTGTCGAGTTACCCAAGTTCCGCCAAGACTCGTCGTCGTCGAACGTGAGCTCGGACCACCGCTAATCCAGAACGGGCTTAGCCGCTCAGCCCTTCGGTTAGGGCTTTCGCTTTCCACAATTGCAGAACTTCCCGAAATTTTGTTCTCCCGATTCTCACGAACGAGGCGGCTTCCTTCAACCCTACTAACACCAGGAATTCCAGGCCGGTGCGTATATCCCGATTTTCATATTCACGACGGCATTGTTCGCAGCCGTTTGCTTCACGCAGCCTCGATTTCCTTGTCCGACCCGCTTGCGACGAGGTACTAACCGACGAAATTGGACAGGCAAAATGGGTGCCCTTAAGTACCTCGAGGAGCTTTCCAAGAAGAAGCAGAGCGATGTCGTCTGCTTCCTTCTCCGGGTTCGCTGCTGGGAGGTTAGTTAACGCACCCTCGAGATTGTGGACGGTCGCTTGCGGTGGTTCCTCGACGACGGACTCGATTGTTTCCAACCGAAATCCTCGTCAACCGAACCACCAGCTCGCGCCGTTCTTGCTATACACTCGTTGAACATTTGCTGAGAGTGCATCAATATAGCTCCGCCAGTTGAACGTCATCCACCGCGCTTCGAGGCCCAGCCGCCCCGACAAGGCTCGCCGCCTCGGCTACAAGGCCAAGCAGGGCTATGTCATCTACCGCGTGCGTGTCCGCCGTGGTGGCCGCAAGCGCCCTGCCCCCAAGGGCGCCACTTACGGTAAGAACTACCCATCTATCGCAATGCGGCGCAATTGCAAGTGGAACAATAGAACGGACGGCTGACCCGATCCTTCAACGCACAGGCAAGCCCACCAACCAGGGTATCAACCAGCTGAAGTACCAGCGCTCGCTCAAGTCGACCGCCGAGGAGCGTGTCGGCCGCCGCTGCGCCAACCTCCGCGTCCTGAACTCGTACTGGATCAACCAGGACTCTACCTACAAGTACTACGAGGTCATCTTGGTCGACCCCCAGCACAAGGCCATCCGCCGCGACCCGCGCATCAACTGGATCGTCAACCCGGTCCACAAGCACCGCGAGTCCCGCGGTCTCACCGCCACCGGCAAGAAGTCGCGCGGTCTCAACAAGGGCCATCGCTACAACAAGACCCGCGCCGGCCGGAGAAAGACCTGGAAGCGTCACAACACCCTCTCCCTGTGGCGTTACCGGTAAACGTCTCGCCACAGACGACCGTGACGGATATTACATCTGGGGCGGTATCCTGGCTGTGGCTTTTCTGCTGTTTCGTGCAGTGGGGCGGCTCATCGGGCAGGCTGGCTCGCCTGGCAATTGCGGCGAGGCCAAGCAGCGTCGTGCTGGTATTTGGGAGCATTGGGATGGTGAATTCGGCTTAGCTGAGCAAAAAAGGAATGGACAGGTGCCCTGCGTGGTGCTTTACGATAATTGTCCGCAACCTCTGCGTTTATGAATGGCATTGTGATTCCCCGGTTTGGAGTTGGGTTTTGAAAGGATCTTTTTCTCCATTTCTGTTCCCCTCTGATGGTCCTTGTGTCTCATGCTTTCCCGCCTGTCCTCTTGGTTCTTTAAAGGCAACCAACAGAACATGCCCATGGCGTATTTGTTCCGTCTTGGCCGTTTCTAATACCAACCATTCCTGATATGCAGTAAATGGTTACCTTGCCCGCACAGCCCCCCCCCCCTCTTTTCCACATTGCCCACGCACATCGCCGCCGTGGCCCTGATGCGGTGCGTATCCCGTCGGCTGCCAAAGACTCGGGCCATCGTTGTCAAGCGCCTACCACGGTTCCGACGGTTGAGAGAGAGGGGGCGAGAGAAATAGGGGGAGAGAGAGAAACAGAGAGAGACACGCAGGTTGAGGGGCAACTAACTATTCAGCTCCTCTCGGTAGCTATGGAGGGCCACGTCGAGGCTTGACGGAAAGCTGGATGCAAGCAAGGGTATGGTTATGCTGGTTGGAAGGGACGGCATTTTAAAGCGCCACAAACAACAATGCGGTGGATAAGTCGGGTGGTCTGGTTTTGGCAATTTCTCTTTTTTGTTAGGGTTTGTTGCGTGAAACGATGGGGTGGCTGTTCAGCTTGGTAAATGGCGACGGCGCTGGCAGGATGGGCAGTGGACAGAGATCTTCTTCACAACATATCCCGATGTCGTTTGAGTAGAGCAGTTACACATGCCGCCCGGTCCGTTCAGAAATACCAAAAACAGCCAGAAAAAAACACATCACAGCAGTCACGGCAAGGACAAATATAGAAATGCGGCTTTTTGTTTGCATCCTCTCCTCTAAATACAGGCAAACCAAGGCAGGCGAGGCCAGCGCGAAGCCAGCCAGCCGGAGCCAAGCTGCTGCTGAACGGCACGGCGCAGCAGCATCACCGATCCATGACCACCCCCATTGCGTTCTCCATGAGAATCACAACTGCGCGAGGTCTGCCGACCCCACAAGAGTTGATTCCCAATACCGGACCCAGGAACGGAGATCGAGAAACCGCTCGGGCGCGAGGCCGAGACCGCAGCAGAAGAAACCAAAATAGAAAATCCACCGAAGTCCGGTGCTGCCACAGACCGACGTCTAGTGGGGCAGCATAGATAGATAGTGTAGAAGAGAAACGCCGAGACCAAATGTGAGCACGAAAAAGAAACCGTAAACGCCCAAAAAGCGGTTGCGGGAGTGGGGCAGTCGAATCTACCCGAGACATCCAGGACGACCCAAACCCGAACGTTGCCTTTGCAAATCCTCAGGGAACTTGGGATTCGTCCGCAGTGGCCGAAGAAGGCGCTACTTGACGGCTGACGAGCAGTGGTATGGGTGATATGAATGGGGCGATAACCGAGGGGCCTCAGTTCCTGGCCGACCGCTGAGAAATGAACCAAGACGATGCGTTGCCGTTGCGAGGACGGCGCGCAGAGCGCAAAATACAGCCCGAGTCTCTGGCCAAAGCAGCTAACAGGCCCTGTATCCCGAAAACCGGCCGGTTTGCAATATCTTGTCGAGATGATTGTTGATGCAAATGGCGTGGAGAGATGCAGAGATTTGGCTGAGATTGGGATAAAGTTATCCGGGAGGATCGAGGTCTGAAATCGAAGAGACCGAAAAGAAAAAAAGAAAAACCGAAGACCGAAATGACGAAGGGAAATACTGGGGAGGAGAAGAATACGCTCCAGACCCTCTATGCCGTCGCGACTGCCTCACACCTATCGAGCGGGTAGTGTACAACAAAGCAGGCCTCCCCGAGACGGGACCATGACTCCCGAGGAGGTGCTTATGCTCGATGGTGATTTTTTGCCGTCGCCCAATGAATACCGTGTTGCATCGTGAGAAAACCCGAAATGCCGTGCCAATCGTTGCTAGTGGAAACAGTGGGATGAGGAAAAGGTCGTGACGGTCATAGCATTGCGATGATGCCTTTCGTAGCTAATGTAGCAAGGGGGAAGGGAAGAGGACGGAAAGAACGCGGATGATCAAGCCCAAGGCTCGGCACTCCGCGGGGGTGGCGAGCATGGGGCGGCGAGCGCAATGGTTAGACCCACTGGGCTTCACCGTTCTCAGCGTTCCCCATGGGGCCGTTGTATTGAGGCGGGAACTGCTGTGCACGCGGCGGCTGTAGGGGGGCCTGGCTCTGCGGAGCAGGGACGGCGATAACCGCGCTGCTCGGATACATGGCGCCCGCTCCGTGGCCGCCGTTCATGCCGGCGCCGTGGGCCCCATTCACGCCGTTGGCGTAGGCCCCGGTCGCGAGAATTGAGGCGCCATTGGGCATGGCACGGTTATGAGCCGGGCGGATTGAGATTTGACCGCCAGCCGGGTCGGTCGGCAGTACTTGGCCGGTGTTGTTCGGGCCTGTGCGGGTATCGTGGGTCTGAATCTTGGCCTGGATGCGGCGACCATAGGGAGTCGCGCGAATGCTGGGGAGGATAGGGCGAATAGCCTCGATGAGCTGGTGCTTGGACATGGGAGTCGCATAGTCGAGGGCGGTCTGGATCACGTAGTTGCCGAACGAGTCGCGAAGCAAGCGGTCAATCTCGCCGGGGTTCAAGAGTTCCGAAACGATCAGGTCCCGAGACGATTCGCCAGCGCAGCGCAAGCACTTCTCGACGACGTTGGAGCTGAACTTGTGCTTGGAGAGCAGGCCAATGCGGCCCTGGAACTGCTTAACGAGGGGCTCCGTGAAGGTAGACTCGTTGAGGTCAATGATGTACTGGACCACGTAGTTGCCGAAGGGATCTTGCACTAGGGTGACGGCGTGGTCGGTGATACGCTCAATGAGCCAGATCTTCTGGGCACCATCGGCATGGTCAATGCAGCGCTGGAGGACGCAGCAGCCATGGCGGTGAGTGCCAACTTCGACGCAGTGCTTGCCAACAGCGTCGAAGATGAAGGAGGCATCGGCAGCGCTGAGCTTGTTCAGGCACTTTTGGATGACGTGGTTGCCGTTGAGATCCTGGATGAGTTCGACAACTTGGTTTCGGAGGGCCTCAACGATCAGGTTGATTTGAACCTGCGTGGTCACATGCTCGATCATCTTCTGGAGGGCTCGAGTACCATGCTGGTTCAGGGCGATCGTTACCATGTTTGTCGTGGAGTTCTGGATCAGGACAGTGCGCTCGTCATCGTTGCAGTACTCAAGCAACTTCTGGCAGAGGTAGTTGCCAAAGGGGTCGGTCATCAGCTCCACCACGTGTTGGTTGGTCTCGAGCCAGATCATGTGAATCTGGTCGGGGATGCGGTTCTCCAGCTGCTTCTGCAGGTAGCGGCAACCGTGCTGGTCCTTGCAGAGGGAGTAGATGGTGCCGCCAACCTGTTCAAGAGGCAGATTGTTGAACCGAGCCATGGCTATTGGAAGATCGTTAGGGCTTTGGAATACGGGGATAGGCAGCGCGAGGTATGGGCTGGAACTCACCTTCACTGTCCATCTGGCGGCGGCTCTGGATGACGCGAGCCTGGCTGTCCTGGTGCGGGCGAGGAGCCGGCGCCTGATTGTAAAGCGGGTTGTAGCCGGTGAAGTTCTGTTGCGAATACATGGCCGGGGGATTGCCGTTGCCAACCGACATGTTCTGCATGAGCATCGGGAGGGAGTTGTAGCCAGCAGTGGGCGGGCCGCTCATGGCATTGTAGCCGGTGTTTGTGGGGAAGTACTGATACGGCATCCCGGGAGCGGGTGCGGACACGGCCGGCGGCGCAGCAGAGGAAGAGTGCTGCTGCTGAGCGGGGGTAGGCCCGAATGGCGCCGCGCTAGCTTGCAGGGTCGACGTGATGGACGGGTAGTTGGAAGACTCGCGGCCATTAGCCGCAGAGGCATCCGAGGAGAGCTCGCGGTTATGACGACCGGCCATAACACCAGCGGGGATGCGGCCAATGCTGGCATTGTGGTTGTGGAAATGTTGCTGGGCGTGGTTGTTCGCGTTGACACCCAGACCAGTAGTGCCGTTGGGCTTGACAGTCGGCACGTCGTTGGCCGAATATGACTGGTGCAGCTTCGGAGGGGAAGTCATGATGTGGGCGGTAGGCGATGAGACGACCGAGGTGACCGGTGCATCCAGCGCTGCAGTCGTGGCTTCCGGGAAGAGCTTCATGCCGTCAATCGAGTGCCGTACATTGGCCGGGCGGCTGTTCCCCATAGTACTGGCCTCGGACGGCGAACCGAGCGACGCACCACCGCTGTGCTGGTTGGAGCCCATGGTGGTCATATTCTGCTGGTAACGATGCTTGTTAATGCTGTTCCAGCCGTTTGAAGGACGATGTTCTTGCCCAGAGGTCTGGGAGAGGGTGAGGTTGGGGGCAGCGGAAGAAGAAGCAGAAGACTTGTGAAAAGCAAAATGTTAACAGGCCGACCAAATACAAAAATTGAGATGCGGTGGGCTGTTGACAATGGAGATTTTGGGCAGGGGAAGCGAAGGTGTAGAATATGCGATTCTGCTGTTAAAAGCGAAGAGCAAAACCGGTGTGGAAAAGCAGATACAGCAACGCAAGTCGCAGATGCCCGATGATGAATGGAGCCGGGGGAGAAATAATAATTGGAGTTGGAAGTGAAGTGGTGAATGGGAAGGGCTGGGTCGTGGTGCAACCATTGTTTCCAAGAGATGATATGGGACTAAAAAGTTGAACTGCAGCGCCAATTTGCTAGAACAGAAATTGTGATGCAAATCCGGGTTTCTGAAACTTGCAAAAAAATAGCAGAAACAGGCAACTTTTAAGGATGGAAAGGAAAAGCAAGGGCGAATGGGAGTGTCAAACCGACCGCTGAACTGCAACCAAACCAAAGGAGGATGCCAAACTCACCATGTTTGGATATGCCTGTTGCCGGAATAAGGATGGGAACGAGTCGTTATTCCCAACCTGGGTCGTGGGAGTCGTCCTGGCCTCTGGGGGGGCCGAGTCCTCGTCTCCGAACAGGAAACCAGTCGTGTTGTTGCTGTCCTCGAGGCCAATGTCGGCCAAGTAGGTCCGGGACCGAGTCACGGGCATGGAATATCGGTTTAGTCTGTAAATAATGTTTTGTCAGTGACCGAGTTCGCCTCGATGGTCCGCCTTGCCGCGAGAAAATATTACTGTTGTGTGTGTAAAGCCAAAGACGATGGGGGCGTCAGTGGCTGGTGTTGGAAGACCGACCCCAACGCGCTCAACAGTATCACTTGATCGAAATGCTGGCGGCTGCAGGCGTTGTGGAAGAAGAAAGTGTGTGTGTGAAAGAGAAGGTTGAAGGTAGAGGATGGGGATGGGGTGAAGATGGAGAAAAGGGATTAGGTATAAATAGTTATTGAAAGCTCTTAAAGAAGGCTAAGGAAGTGGGCACGGCTGGGATTGTCACCCTTCAGCGGAGACAGAGCGGGAAACTGCGCGAAGCTCTTTTCCTACCCGCCGCTAAATGGTGGGTGAATGGGCCGTTGATGGGGTGGTGAGTAACAAGAATAGGAAAGCAGGGGAGGGATTGTTATGAATAGAGGTTGCTGGTCCGCCCGCCTTATTGTGCAGGTCAACCCGTTTCAAAGGGGTTGTTGGGATGAAATGGACCGTGGATCCAAAACAACATCTGGGGGATCTCGGGGAGGAAAGGGCTTGATGGGGTCTCAAGCCAGCCGAGCGGACCGGAGCGACTTTCCACGATTTGCGAACAACAACAGGAAACAGGGCCACTTACGCATTGGTTGAACGATGGCTTGTGGGGTCCTGGCGAACAGCCTCCTCTTTCTCATCCTCGTCGCTGTTCCTCCTCGAGCTCGGCACCGAGTGGGACGGGGCGTCGTCAAAGGGGAACCGGGACGGCAGAGTGCCGGAAAGCGGCGACGTGAGGAGCGAGCCGGACCGACCTGGTCGGTTGTTGAAGATGCCTGGCGGAGACGCGAGACTCGAGGTGGAATAGCGATTCGGCCTGGAGAAAATCGAAGGGAAGCCGCTAGTTTCACGGTACTCCGGGGGCGTTGTCGGCTCTGACTGATGCCCCCCGTACCGAGTGGCCAAGTCCTCTTGCATCTTGTGAAGCTCCCTCTCCTCAAGCCGCTGCTGGGCGTCCAGCTTGTGGATCTCGGCCTCGAAGCGCCGCCTATGCTCCCGAAGCCGCTCGTAATCCAACCTTTTCTTTTCTAGCTGCGGCCAGAGTTAGCTAACTATTCTTTTAAAGGGATCCGCTCATAGCTCGCGGCTACGGCAGCCTCTCCGAGGCAAGACAATCCCGCCGCGCCTCAGTAGCGGCCTCCAGACGCCCCAGCGGAAAACCAGCCTAGGCGCCGTGGAGTCGACGAAGGCACATACCAATTGAACTTTGTGCATAGCCTACCGCAACCATTGTCAGCCCAGTGTCATGAATCTGCGGTTGGCAGCAACAAGAGCGGAAGCAGCAGCAGCGGCAGCAGCAGCAACAACAGCAGCAACAGCAGGCGCCCATGTCCCCAGCCACATCAATCCCGGATTCCCAAAGAACGTACCGTGGTCGAACCGAAGTCTTGCGGTTCGGGGGCGGCGCGCGGAATAGTGGTAATTGATGACAATGTTGGTACACGACCGGAGTCAGTAGTGAACCGGCGCGGGAGCAGAGGCCCGTTGTTGCGCGGCGGCGACACGAAAGCGCCGCTGCCGGTCACTTGGGGGTCGGCGCGGGGAGTCTGCTGATTTCGGAAAAAGTCGTCCATGCCGGCTGCCCTCTGCTATTACACAGCAATCTTCGTACACGGGGAGCGCGAATTGGACGGCGGTATATCTTCTCTATAAGTCTGGAAAGGATTTGCGGTCAGCAGTCTGACTTTGACCGTGGAGGAGTCCGACGCTCGAGGCGAATTGCGGGCACGCCCCCTCTGCTTGTCGCAGCGGCTGACCAAAGGGAACCGGGGGGCGGAGGGGAGCAGGCAAGGCGAGGCATGGACAGGAAGAACTACGAAGAACTCGGAGTCCCTCGATTGTCCATCCTCCTCGAAGCTCTCTCCGTATTGCCGGTGGTTGCTGTGCCGAATCGCCCTGGCGCCCCCAACCATCATCGGCTAGCCGTGCCCCCCTCTTGCGGCTCCCGCTTCACGTTTCACGCCTCACTCTTTTCGCGACGGACTCGAGTTCGAAAAGCTCTGCAAGCGCGGTTGCAAGCAGAGCGCAAAGGAGACATGCACTGACCTAGAGAAACAAAGTCTGTTGGCACACGCTACGTCCTGGAGACCAGGCGCAACAGTAAAGGGGGTCGAAGCAGTAGTACAAAAGAGCGTGGGATGGAGGAGGGCAGTTCGAAAGCGCCGCGTGCTTTGGGTGGAGGTTCGGTTTATGGAACAGCCTGCCTGCAGGCGCTGGACGGACGGACCACTGGCAACGCAGAACCTGAAAGTTACTGGCCCCGACCACTCTACTCGGGGTTAGGTCAGGTTGGGGGGGCCCAAGCTCGTGTGCGCTAAAACATCCGGTCCATCATCCATCCCCCCACCCTCTCGATTGGGTTACCAGGCGCCGTGGGTCTTCGCCCTGTCCGTGCCTGCTGCCCCTGTGCGACCAGCTGCTGGGCGGGCTTGCGCACTCAAAATCAACATGGAAACGCTGGACATGGATAGGTGGTCCGGCATGCGAGTCCGGTCGGGATTGGACTCCGATGATGAGAGCCTCGACACTCGACACGCGCCCCCCCCGCCTCCAGCGGCTCGTAGGCAAAAAGAGGAAAAAAGGGAAAAGTGGGAGGCCTAAAGGGGACTGCTGCGGGATAGCACGATAGGTCACGGATGAGAAGAGCAGTCATCAGTCGAATCCAATTCGCAGGCGAGACGGGATGGCGAGGGTTACATGGTCAAAGACGGCGGCTGCTTGCTTGCTGCCCAAGCCCGCCAACCCCGGATTTTCTGCCCTACCGGGGTGTTGGACCATTTCGTGCGTGCATTCGCCTCCAGCTATAAAAGAGGCGATGTCGCCCACGCTGATCAGAGGAACGACATGCAGGCCCGGCACACTAACCGGAGGTTCCCTTCCCTTCATGCACACTGACTTAGTACACAGTAGGTAACGCGGGGGTGCTCGCTCGGCATGTCAATTGACAGAGGTACTTTAGGTATGCACCTCTTCCTCAAAGGATCCAGCCCTTCTCGCCATCCATATGAGAAACAGCGATTCATGGCCTTCCAACTGCTGCATGCTGACGGGGTGGTTTCGCCGCCCTGATATATACACAAACAGGTTACCCGGGAAAACAGCGGTGTACGAGCGCAGGAACAATGGAATGGGTGGCAGCACGACAGGACGGTACCAGCAGCAGTCAAGGCCGGCTCCAGACAACTGTGACACCGACTCGTGGGTTGCAGCCCGCCCCCCACCGTCTCACCTCACACCTTCGACCAGCTGGCGGGTATAAGACAGGCAGGTGTTCCCCAGGTTCGGACCCGGCCCATGCGCCTGCATGGTAATTTATGTCGGATGTTGCGTTGTGACTGGCGGTCTTGATGGTTTGCCGCTGGCGGCAGCAAGATGCACAGTACCGAATTTGGACGTCCAGATAGGGGCCGGGCCGGGCTGTACTGGGCTGGGTTCGACAATATCGTCAATGAGGGAAACGCTTCCTCCTCTCTTTCTCCACCCTCCGATGTGCGGAGATCAGCTAAAATCTTGGCCAGCAGGCGAAAGCATCGTTCTGAAGCAAGAATGATGTACATACTAACAAGGCGAGTCGGTCAGAGGAGGGGTCCATGTGCTCGGAAGTTGAAGCCAGTCACCCAGTGGAAAAGGGAGAGGCTCCACCTCCAAGGCGCTGACAGTCGGGGTCTCTCTGGTTCCGCCGCTTGCCGGCACATCTGACATTGGGTTCCGCATCCTTCAACAAGGTGTCATGGCCACCCCACTGAATTCGCGATTTGATGCAACGGCAAGGTGGCAACATCGCGGGATGCTGCCCGCTCGTCAGTTATGTAGAAGCATTGGAAAACATTGAAGACAGACCTCAACAGACCCAAACCCGAAGGCCCAGTAACGGTGGCTCCCCGTGCCGAAGGAGCTCGGTGGTGCATTTAACCGGGTTCGCGACTTCACGCAGCGCTCGCTACGAAACCGAATCGACGGGAATCTGACTATCAAACATAGACAGCAGACGCCTCCGGATCGGCGTGGACACGGCCCGACTTGCTGAGTTCCTGTCCTGGTGTTTTCGGAAGCCGGTCGTCGACCACAAGACGATCTCGAGAAGCCGGTGCGTCCCCCGTCACCCCGTCCACGCTCCTAGTTCCAGAATCACCAAGTAGATCAGCAGATGAGATCTTCTTTGCTCGTCACCCTCGCTTCCCCCCGCCGCCAACGGGCCGCAACCCCTCTTTGAACGTTGCAACCAGGGGTCCTCCTGTGGAGCTCCCATCCCTGTCCACACATGTCGAACACCCAGCCCCCTTTTCTCAACATCCGCGCAGAAGAATCCTCTGTTGTGTCGACACATCCCCGAATTCGGGGAGGGGCCAATTGAGAAGGGCAAGCGCGCTTCCCACGAAAGACGCAGGGCCAATGCGAAGAGCTGGTTTTGCGACAGGTTTCGATAGCCCCACCTCTGCCCGACGAGACGCAAGGAGGCACGGGAGGGTATCACAGCCGACCCCGTCGATCTTGGTGCGACTCCGAGGTTATTGGCGGTTGATTCCACAAGTCCTTTTCCGAGGGACCTGGGGGCCGTCGCCAACTTCCATGACTCGAGACGGGAGTCGCGGCCTAATGAGAGCTCAACAATCAAGGCCTGCCAATGGCGAGGCACGGCCATTCCGACGGCGCATTGGTTCGTCAGAGAGATGTAAATTATGCAGCTGCGTGAGTTGTCGTGGAGGGGTTACCTTACCCAAGAGTCAGCCTCATTTTCCAACCCCACACTCGGTGACAGGCAGAACCTCGCAACCCGGAGCAGGAGCGTAAAAGTCGGTGAGCCCAATTTCAAGGCCGCAAACCCACTGCCTCGGCGTTCTTCTGAGATGGATGGACAGTGGGTGCCTTGTATTCATTGATCAAGTATCGGAAACTCGACAGGTTGACTTGAGGAGAGATCACACTGGACTCGCGGGCCCTCTGACATGATGCCCCGCTTAAGAGCCCCAATTGAGTACAGAGGTACCCACGCACCCGCATACCCCAATAACGAACCGCTACCATCGCCGAGTCCATATTTGGTATGAAACAAAAGCGGGCGGATGATTCAATTGCGGTTCATTCGTGCTTCGGAACGAGAACGCGGGATGAGGGGTTGATTCAAGGCGGGGTAATCGTTGAGAGGCTCAGAGCTGCCTTCTCTTTTCGGACATCTTAGACCAAACGATCCGCTTCAAGCCCGCGCCCATTGCCTGCACGTAGGCCGGGCAATGCAATGCTGAGTTCAAAGTAGAGAAACTCCGGGTCAGAAAGCATATGAAATTAGAACTCGTCTAATGTCGCCCCTAAAATGCATGTATGTACTTCCCTGCGATGATGAATATAGGACAGGAACTTTTTCGCCCCGAGATCCAGAAACTTGCCCGCCTCAACGGAAAACTAAGAAAATGACCAACTTCCACCTATGTTACTGTGTCTTCGTCACACTGATGTTGATGAACGTTTGAGCTTTGGCTCCAGTTCCCAGCATGGACTGATGTTGCGATGTGGGTCACCTGTTGTCCCCAACCGGGCGGCATGGTCGGGGCTTATCGCGATAAGGACGGCGCCGTCGCGGGGCAAAAAATAATTGTTTGGCCCGCGTCAGTTGCAGCTCCGGCCGCCGCCTTGCACAGCACAACCGAACAGCCAAGATGGGTGCGATCGACGACGGCTTCGAGGCGCTGCTAGAGCCCTTCTACAACGGCAAGAGTTTAACAGATCCAATATCCACCAAGGAAGACAAATACCAGTTATTGCCGGCATTCCTCAAAGTCAAAGGTGAGTCAACGCGGGATTGAGGCCGTTGGGGAGGTTGACGGCATTCGCGGAATTTTGCCGGGTGCGCGTTGCTAACTTCAGATCGTAGGTCTCGTCAAGCAGCACATCGACTCATACAATTTCTTTGTCGAGCAGGAGATCAAGGATATTGTCAAGGCAAACCGCTCCATCCGCAGCGACCAAGAGAAGGACTTCTGGCTCGAGTTTACCGACATCCGCGTCGGCACCCCGACCCGCAATGACTACAGCGATTTCAAAGCCCGTGATGAGGTCACGCCCATGGAGTGCCGACTCCGGGACATGACATACGCCGCCCCCGTCGTTGTCGACATTACATACTCGCGCGATCGGAAGAGGATTGTTCGGAAAGATATCCCGCTCTGCCGAATACCCGTCATGCTCAAGAGCGCAAAATGCTGTCTCAGCGGTGCCAACAACGCCCAGATGGAGATTATGAATGAATGTCCCCTAGATCCCGGCGGCTACTTCATCATCAACGGAACCGAAAAAGTCATCCTCATTCAGGAACAGCTCAGCAAGAACCGTGTCATCGTCGAAGCCGACGAGAAGACAGGCGGCGTCTCAGCGTCCGTCACAAGTTCAACACACGAGCGCAAGTCCAAGACCTACGTCATTCTCAAGAAAGATCGCATCGTCCTCAACCACAACGTCCTCGTCGAGCCAATCCCCATCATCATCGTTCTCAAAGCCCTCGGTGGCCTCTCCGACTACGAAATCATGGAGGTTGTGGCGGGGGGAGATGCGCGATACCAGGACGACTTCCTCATCAACTTCGACGAGGCTACCAAGGCCGGCGTGTTCACGCAACAACAAGCTCTGGAGTACGTGGGCTCCAGAGTCAAGATGGGAGGACCTAAGAAGGGGCGATCAATGGCCGCGCCGCGCCGGAGCCCTGTCGAGGAAGGGTTAGATGCGCTGACAAACATCATCATTGCCCATGTCACAATCGAAGACCTCGACTTCTACCCGAAATCAATATATATCGCCATGATGGTCCGGCGTATCCTGATGGCGGCGCACAATCCCAAGCTCGTCGACGACCGCGACTTTGTGGGCAACAAGCGGTTGGAACTGGCCGGGCAGCTACTCTCCCTGCTCTTTGAAGATATGTTCAAGATGTTCGTCGGCGGTTTGAAAGGAAACATGGAATACTTCTTCAAAAAGCCTAACCGGACCTCCGCCTACGACCCTGTAGGCCCCATCAGCAGTCAGGGTCAATACATCACGCAGGGTTTGAATCGGGCCATCCAGAGTGGGAATTGGAACGTGAAGCGGTTCAATATGAACCGCGCGGGAGTCACACACGTCCTGAGCCGGTTGAGTTACATCGCGGCCCTGGGTATGATGACTCGTATCAGCAGTCAGTTCGAGAAAACGAGGAAGGTGAGCGGCCCTAGAGCCCTCCAGCCGTCGCAGTGGGGTATGCTTTGCCCGTCCGACACTCCTGAAGGCGAAGCCTGCGGTTTGGTCAAGAATCTGGCGCTCATGACGCATATCACCACCAACGCCGAGGAGGAGCCTGTCAAGAACTGGATCTTTGGTCTCATTCCCGGCGTGGAGCCCATTCGAATGTACACCGGAACCGAAATGCACAAGCCGGGCTCCTATATGATCCACGTCAACGGCACGCCCTTCGCTATTACCAAAAATCCGAAAGAGTTCGCATCGCGGTTCAAGACGACGCGTCGCCGCGGCCACATCTCTCCGTTTATCGGAATTCACATCAACGAGCATTTCTCGGCAATCCATATCGCCACAGATGAAGGGCGCATCTGCCGGCCCTATATCATCGTGAAGGACGGGAAGCCGAAACTAAAAAAGGAGCACTTGAGACTATTACAGTTTGGGAAGTCAACATTCGACGACTTTCTTAAAGGCAGCATCATAGAATACCTGGACGTCAACGAGGAGAATGACGCATTGATTGCCATCAGAGAAGACGACGTCAACCAGTCGACAACTCACATGGAGATTGAGCCCTTTACGATCCTCGGAGCGGTCGCCGGACTGATCCCCTTCCCCCATCACAACCAGTCTCCGCGTAACACCTACCAATGTGCTATGGGTAAGCAAGCCATCGGAGCCATTGCATACAACCAATTCAACCGCATCGATACCCTTCTCTACACGCTCGTCTACCCACAACGGCCTATGGTTATCACGAAAACTATCCAGCTCATTCATTACGACAAGCTCCCGGCTGGGCAGAACGCCACGGTCGTCGTCATGTCGTACTCGGGCTACGATATCGAAGACGCTCTCGTGTTAAACAAGGCGTCGTGCGACCGGGGCTTTGGGCGCTGCCAGGTGTTCCGCAAGTACACGGCCGAGCTGCAACAGTACCCGAACGGGCGAAAAGACAGGCTGGGAGGTGTCCAGAAGGATGAGGGCGGCAGTACCATCGCCAAGCACGCCTGTCTGGACAAGGACGGGCTTGCTGTCGTGGGCTACCGGGTGCACTCCGGCGAGACCATGATCATGAAGGAAACGCCGATTGACCAGACGTCGACCGGGATCGGTAGCGACCGCGGATCCGACGACTTCCGGCCAGCCGCGATCAACTACCGCATCCCCGACCCGGCGTACATCGACAAGGTGATGATCTCCAATACGGAAAAGAACACGAGCATCGTCAAAGTCCAAACTCGCCAAACCCGCCGGCCGGAGCTCGGCGACAAGTTCTCCTCCCGCCACGGCCAGAAGGGTGTCGTCGGCATCATCGTCGACCAGGAAGACATGCCCTTTTCCGACTCGGGCCTCGTGCCGGACATCATCATGAACCCCCACGGTTTCCCGTCCCGCATGACGGTCGGCAAGCTTTTCGAGTGCCTCACCGGCAAGGCGTCTGTCGTTGCCGGCGAGCGCGACTACGGCTTCGGCGACGCGTTCCGCTCGCATCCCGTCGAGGAGATGGGCAAGGTCCTGGTCGAGCACGGCTTCTCCTGGGAAGGCAAAGACTACTTCACCTCGGGCATCACCGGCGAGCCGCACGAGGCGTACCTGTTCAACGGGCCCATCTACTACCAGCGCCTGAAGCACATGGTGCAGGACAAGATGCACTCGCGGTCGCGCGGGCCGCGCGCGATCCTGACGCGGCAGCCGACCGAGGGCCGGTCGCGAGACGGCGGCCTGCGGCTGGGCGAGATGGAGAGAGATTGTCTGATCGCGTACGGCGCCTCGCAGCTGCTGCTCGAGCGCCTCATGATCAGCTCCGACGGCACCCAGGTCGATATCTGCGAGCGCTGCGGCCTGCTGGGCTACAAGGGCTTCTGCCAGACGTGTGCGAGCACGAGCCAGGTGACCCAGATGACGATGCCGTACGCGGCGAAGCTGCTGGTGCAGGAGCTGATTAGTATGAATGTTGGGGTGAGGATGCAGTTGGAGGATAAGTTCCCTCATCCGAGGTGAGGAGGGAGGGGGTGAATGTGAATGGGGTGGCGTTCGGGAAGGGTGTGACATTTTTTGTTTATGTATGATATTTGGGTCTGGCTATCTGGTTTAGCATGGCGCCTGAAGATCAAGGAGTTACAAAAGGTATGGTGTCGGTGATGGATAGAAACCAAACTAACAAATTTTGTCCGTCTTCGGGGTGCATCTATCCCGTGTGGTGGTGGTAGATATGTTTTGGAAAGAGTCCACTTCATGCGTGCATCTCCAGAAGGTATTCATAATCCTAACAGGTCCTAGATAACCAATACTGGATAACCCAACAGTGTCATACCGCTCTTACCCTCACAACTCACAGAATCCACCCCCCTTTTCCACCTCACCACTTGCCCCACCTTTGGCCAGACAGGAACCCCAACCCCTTTCCCCAAACATCACTCCCCTTCAGCCTCGCCCTCCCCATCCCCAGTGCCCCCCTCATCCTCCCTCTCCTCCCTCCCCTCCCCAACAGCCCTCAACCCTCCCATCCAAACCTCAAACCCCACCGCGCCCCCCCTCGTCCCAACCCCACTCTCCTTCGCATGCGCCGCAAAAACAACCTTCATCCACCGCTCCCACCCGGACCCCCCTCCAGCCGCTCGCAAAGAACTCGAACGAGCACGGTATGCGGCCGGCCGCCGCGACAGCGCGATGCGCGCAGCCACCTGGGTCGTCCACACGAGCCCGAGGGCGGGTGTCTTGAGCGCGTGCTGGGCGCGGGGGTCGTCGCCCCAGCCGGTGAACCAGCGCTGCTGGTGGTCGAGGAGGAGGGCCGGGTGGGTGGGTGGTTCGTCTCCGGGGGTGGGGTTGAAGGGGTTGGAGGGGTTGGAGGGGGGGAAGAAGGGGGTCATGGAGGGTGGTGGTGGTTGTTGTGGATGTTGGGGTTGTTGGGGGTGGCTGGAAGGGAGGGGGATGGAGGAGGGCGGGTCGACGGCCAGGTCGGCGGCGTGGGTGCTGGATGGGGGAGGGGGGCGGCTGCGGGTTGCGAGGGGGGATTCTTGGGTTTGGCGGAGCCCCCCCGTGTTGAGGTGCGGGTGATGGTGGAGGGAGGAGGCGGGGGTTCTGGAGTTAGCATAACCCCCGCCGAACCGGTCTGCCACCTGGTTGGAGACGACCACGGCGAGGTTGTGCCGCTGTGCGAGGTCGCGCAGGTGCATGCCTAGCTTGACGAGCTCGGTGCTGCGGGCGCCCATGTTGGAGCCGTGCTTGCCCCCTGACGAGGAGGCAGAGCGCTCAAACTCGGCGCGGTAGTTGGCGGCGACAGAATCGAGGACGACGAGGCCGATGCCGCGCCGTTCGACTTCAACGGGGACTTGGAAGGTCAGAATGTGGTCTTGGCTTTCAAGGTCTGGGGTGACGGTGCTGATGATGTTGTCGAGGGAGGGCCGCTGCGAAGGGGGCAGGCGTTGGAAGAGCGGGTTAGCCGAGAGCATCTGGGCAAGGCGCCGGGTCGATAGCGGGGCTTCGGTGCTAATGTAGAGCGCCGGGCGGCCAAGGCCGTGGGGTGGCGGGAGTTGGACCGAGAGGAGGAGGGAGAGCAGAAACTGGGTTTTGCCGGCGCCGGACTCGCCCGTCACCTCGGTCACGTAACCGGCCGGGATGCCACCGCCCAGGGCGCGGTCCAAGTCGGGATCGAGGGTGCTGATAGTCTGCCATTGTGCGGAGAGAGAGGCGACCGTCTTCCTCAACTCGCTGGTGGGCGGGTGTTGTGCATCTGGTTCCGGAGCAGGCCGGTCCGGGGCATCCGGCTCGGGACCCGCTTCAGCACTGGACTCGGCTACCTGCTGCCGGGCACGTGTTTCCGGAGCCGGATTTGCAACGCCGAGGTCTGCATGGAGGGCATTCAGCACCGCACCGCACAAACGCTTGACATCTAGTAACGGGAGATGGGTCCTCTTCCCAATATCAGCTGCCTCGAGGGTCAAGAGGTCGCTCGTGGAGATGGCATGCTTCTCCAACGCGGGAATCAGCCTCGCGAACTGCCCGACAGGGAAGTGCGGGAGCACGCGCAACAGATCCGTCATGGGTCAGAGGGAGACATGGGACACACGAGATGCATGGACCAGGGTGTGTTTGCTTGTGAGGCTTTTCCGTTCGATTTCCTGATGCTGCGATTTCGACGTTTGGCGCCGTTGTGACGGTGGGAAGGAAGGCGATGCTCGGCGGACTGTCGTCGGTCGCGAATGGCTGCGGAGCTCCGCAATTGCTGCAGCTGCAGTTGGCGATTGGCGATTGGCAATTGGCAAACGCAAGCAAGATCAGGGTTGCAGCTTGCCGTTGGTGCCGTGCGGGTTCCTGCGCAAGGCGTGGTTCATGGATGGAAGAGGGCCCATTTTTAGCCTTGTGGGGGGGACCGAAGTTCCTTTTTAGCACAACGCAATTAAACTCTCGATCGATGCAGGGGCCCCAGGCACCAGCTTCTGAGCTTTCCCCAGCACTTTCCTCGCCTTCCTCGCCTTCCTCACCTCTTTGACAGTTCTCACCCCGGGCGACTGCCAGGGTAGCGAGGCGCAGTGGGGGCCATCGGTTTCTCTTTCCCTCTGGGCACGGTCCTCAGGAAATTCCCGGAAGCCCCTCCATCACTTCGAAGATTGCCGCTCGGGTCAGCCCAGGATTTCATCCCCCGTTCACTCCCCGATTGCACCAAAGGTAGACCCCTGCTCTACCCCGGCCGTGCATCTGCACCCCTGAGAAAGTGAGTGCTTTAACCCCAATTAAGACTGGCGTTGGCCTGCCATGGCTGCAGCCAGCGTATCAACCCCCTGTCTTTCCAGAGACTTTTGCCGGGAAGACGGCATCAGCGTTTCTGGGCCTGTGTTGCAGAAGAAGCACGCAGACTCTGGGCTCGGTCGAGGACTGGGTCGAGGACTGGGTCGAGGGCTGAGTTCAATTTTATCATTCGGAGGCCCTCGACGGCCCCCTCGGGTGCATTGTTTCTTGTTGTTTCCTTTGCGGCTCCGTCCATCCACGAGTCACCGTGACACGACGTCGATGTTGTCCAACACCATCACAATCATTTAGCATTTTTGATGTTTATTTATTGATATTTTATTTTGAATATCACCACACTCTTTTAGATACACACGGTTAACTAACCAACTAACAACAATGGGCTTACAACTACTCTACGGGGCTGCCCTCCTCGGCGCCTCTGTCCAGGCATTCGCCTTCCTCCCACAACCAACAGACCCCTTTCAAGCGCTCCCAGTCGAGAATGGATGGACTCCAAAACCAACACCAGCACCAGAAGGCCATGGACTGTTCAAGCGTCAGATCAGCCTCCCCTCGACCTATCTTATAGCCTCGGATAACACCTGCGGCTTCATCAATGGCAATTCAAGTAAGTGAATCGGCACTCCCAAACTTCCTGAACGCGTTCTAACTCTCTCTCCAAGGATCCGCGTATGCCTGTCTCGACGATGACATGCAGTGTGCCTTCATCCCGTCCTCGGGCAAGATTCCCGGCGCTGCCGGGTGCTGCAAAGGCACAGACTGTTCGTTCCGGATCGCGTGTATTGACAGGAGTGATATGGACGACTGTGACGAGGACTGCGAGGACGACCCCTTGACCTTGAAATGGTAAATGCGGCCCACAAGTGTCCACGTCCCGTTTTCTGTCACTAACACCACTCAGTTCCGGCGCGGCCAGGTTCTGCAACACGGTCGCCTTTCCGGGAGGCGTCACAGACTACTACTGCAGCGCAAGGAGACGGACCTCGGCCCTTGAGGCGGAGACCACTCACAGCCGCGACAAGAGCAGGAGCATGTCAACCGTCAAGCCCAAGGCCACCTCAACCACTAAGAAGTCGAGCACGTCGACCAAGAAATCGTCGTCTTCAACTTCCGAGTCATCGTCAACCGAGACTACCTCCGAGACAACATCGGAAACAACATCCGAAGCCACGTCCGAAGAGCCTGCCTCCGCCACCGAACCCCCGGCCGCTTCAACCACGGCCGACTCGGACCGCTCTAGCGCCACCACTTCTTCGACGGAACCCGTAGCTTCGGATGCCCCTTCGACGCCAATCGGCGCTATCGTGGGAGGTGTCCTCGGCGGCATCGCCCTCATCGCCCTCGCCATCTTTGGCGCCATCTTCCTCCGCCAGCACAAGAAGAAGAACGAGGCCATGGCCGAGCTCCCGCCGCCTCAGCCCTTCATGGCCCAGCCGACATACCCCAACACCCAACCACCCACCGCACCTTACGGGCAAGACTCCGCCTCCGCCCGCATGTCCGGATACGCCGCGTCCTCCGTCGCCGGCACCCCGGCACAAATGTACGCCACCCCAGTAGCCGCAACGGGCGTCGGCGCTGCCGCTGGTGCTGGCGCTGCAGCAGCAGCAGGCTCCTTCAACTCGTACCACAACCACCAACCGAGCAACCACACCGGCAACTACCCCGAGTACCACAACAACAACGCCTACTCCGAACACCAGCCGAGCCCGATGACCACGCCCGGCGGCAGCCCCCAACTGCAATACGCACAATACGCCCACCAAATGCACGCGCCGCCCCCGCTCCCCGCACCATCCTACTACAACAACTCGCCGCGCGCGTCGCAGGACCACTACCGCGGCGGCAGCGGCGGCACAGGCACAGGAATACCAGGAGGCGAGAACGGGCCAGCCGAGATCGGCGACGGCGCCTGGGCGGGCGCCGAGCTCCCCGACCGCCGCTCCACCTCCACCCCCGTGTCCACCTACAACGGCACCACGCCCGTCAGCCCGGCGTCCGCGCTAGGTCCCATGCCCGGCGAGTCACAGGGTAATGGGGGGAGTGGTGTTGGGAGCGGTGTGCCGCTGAGCCTGCAGCCGGGGATGGGGTACCGGCCGTATCGGCCACCGGGAGCGGGGGGGAATAACCCCGGGAACGCGCCGGGTGGGATGGTGGTGCCGCGCAAGGCGGTGCCCTCCGGGCCGTCGCCTGCCGCGCAAGCACAGGGTCAGGCGCAAGGGCAGGCGCCAGATCAGCAGGGGCAGGGGGGCGCCGCTGGGGGGCATCAGCAGACGGTTGCGGTTGAGTTGCCTTGATAGATACAGCGGGGTTGGGGGATGGCGGGTAATGGGAAGAGGGAAGGGGGGATTCAATTTTTGCATGAGAGTGTTATACCCCATATTGTGCTGACGTGGGCATATCACCATTTTCTTTTAGAGCGGTTGCCTTTCATGAGGGATGGATGGAGTGTTTTCGGGTTGGGGATGGTTTGAACGGGTGGCCGTGGAGAGAGATCCCGTCTGTTTTGGACACGCCCTGTATTGGACACGCTAGATTTCTTGATTCTTGTATATACTTCAACACGAGTACGAACCATGGTCCTGACTCCTTGTCTGTCCTCGAGGTTCAACGTCCATCCACAGTGAACAGAAACATGGGGGTGAAGAGTATAAACAACTGATCTTTGACGATAAATGTATCCCTTCTACTAGAAACGCTAACCAGAATCAACAAGCCAACCAGCAATCTCCTCTACCCATATCAACATCAAGCCATCGCTAGGTAGGTATCCATGCAGTACTAAAAACAACAACCGCCCTCCCCTTCCCTTCCCTTCCCTTCCCTTCCCTTCCCTTCCCAAGTAAGCCTCCAACCGCCAGTCAACCGCTAACCCCTTTAATAGTCAATCAACCTCAACTTCTTCCCGATATCCCGCCTCCGCGCCTGCACCGCGGCTCGTTCCGACGGCTTAGTCTCGCCGCTATCAAGGTTCTCGCCCCTCGCCTTGAGCGCCTGCAGCAGCATGCCAGCGTCAAAGAACCCATCTGTCAAACCAGCCACCTCGTTAGCATTTCGATCTTTCAAACAAAAGAGAGGAAACTTATAAAAGAGAAGTAAAAACACTTACACCCGCCCAACTCATCATCCTCACTCATCCCCAGACTCTCCTCCGTCGGCGACGACACACTACCATTAGCACCACCCCCGCCACCCAAATCCGACGACGCTTTCCGCAGGCCGTCCGCGCCCGTAATCAACCGCCCCCGAACCCGCATCCTCTGCGCACCACCGCCGGGGGCACCCTTCCCCCCAGCACCACCACCACCACCGACCCCCTTCCCGTCCTGATTCACACCACCACCGCCAGCAGCACCAGCATGGTGATGATGGTGATGATGATGAAGCCCATTCCGCAACCCCTCGACCTCCCTAGCACGACTCCCCCTGATCCCCAGCCCCGCCAGCCCGCCGCCGGCACGCCCCTGGGCGGAGATGCGCAGGATGCGGCGGATCTCGAGCAGGTAGCTGTCGAGGGTGTCGACGAAGCGGCGGGTCTGGCGGTGGCGGGACGAGACGCAGATGGAGATGCCCTCGTCCTTGATGATGTAGCCGATGCCGAAGCCGTCGCCCGAGACGGGGCCGAAGCCGAACTGGCGCAGCGAGGGGTTGCCGCAGTTGGAGGTGGAGAGGATGGTGGTGTTGATCTTGTCCCACCCGGCGTCCGCGAAGATGAGGGGGAGGTGGTGCGGCGCGGGGCTGCTGCTGGAGCTGGCCGCGCTGCCGTGGGATTGGATGCTGTCGCCGCGGGAGCGGGTTGTGGTGGGGGGTGGGGACGGGGCTGCGGTGGTGTTGCTTTGGGCGTGGGTTGGGGAGTGACTGCGGTGGTGGTTGTGGGTGGCGGTGCTGCCGTCGAGGAGGTAGGCGGGCTCGCGCGGGGGGCTGCTGCCGCCGCGGTCGGAAAGGTTGTCGATGGGGGAGGAGTAGCCGTTGCTACCGGAGACGGAGCTTCCGGCGTACTCGTCGACGGTGCGCTGCCAGAGACAGAAGAGGGCGTACAGGTGGCGGTCGCAGCCCTGTGCCTTGGCGCACTCGCGCGTTGTGGCAACGTGGCGCTGGCAGGCTTTGCGGAGGGCATCGATCTTCTGCTCGGCCGGGTTGTCGGCCCAGAAGGTCTGGACAAAGTTGACCGACTCGTCCGACACGGTGCGGATGGCCTCGGTGCGGCCATGCAGGTACATCTTGGTCATGGCCGGCTCGTAGGTGCACTCGATACGCCCGTATAGGCCGTAGTAGGCCGCCTGGAAAGCCATCTGGACGAAGGCGTCGGGCGAGAAGCCCATCGAGGTGATGAAGTTCTTGCCGTAGGCGCCAAAGTCGAGGCATTGGAACTCGTTCTGCTCGATCAGGTCCGCGAGTCGGGTCTCGGCGAACCTCACCGCGATGCGGAGCTCGGGGAGCATATCCCACTCCAGCTTGTGCGGTGTTGTATTCACGTCCCCGAAGCTCTCGGGGTCGCGCTTGGACGGGTCGGGGCTGGTGGACGCCCACAGCGTTGGGGCCTTTCCATTGATGGTCCTCGCAAAGCGGAGGATGGTATCCGTGTACAGATCGCTAGCAAAACGCAACACGGTGTGGCCGTCCACGCCGGTATGCTCAAAGTTGATGCCGGCGCTCCCGTTTTTGCAGACAATGATCTGCAGCTTGTCATACCACCGGTTAGTGCAGGTGCCGATTTGGACGCCCTTCTCGATTTCGCTGGTGCCGCAGAGCATGTTCTGGCAGAGCGCGGCGGCGTCGGCGGGCTCGGAATAGTCGAGGCAGACCACGAACAGGGCGGTATCAACGATGCTCAGGCAATCGGCATTGTTCGAACCGGGCTCCCGCATCAAGACGTCCCGCAGCCCCGACCACACCTTCCGGTTCTCGGTGCTAAGCACGCCCAAGGCGCCCTTGGCGGCGTCCTGGATGGGGGTCTGCGCAGCGTCGTCGATGATGGTCTGCAGGTTGATGGCGATATCCCGCTCCGTCATGATGAGGTCCGAGTCGTCGTCCAGGACATCGAACCAGTAGAACTGGCCGTGACACATGACGACGATGTGCTTGGATTCAGGGTCCTGCTCGATCTGGCATCCTGCGTCGGTGGGGACCCGGGCGGTGCCGAACAGGCGCGAATACTGATACATGCATAAGGGGGTGCCCTTAACGGTGTCCGGTGGTAGCTCTTCCTTGCGTACGGCCCTCACAAACTCCAGGGCCGATACCACGAGCGAGCCGGCCCGGGTCACCTGGTTGTTCCGGGCTGGCGTGGGATCGTCCTCCAGCAGGAAGAACGGGTTGAGGTTGAGGACGACAGGGTTGTCAAAGTTCAGGTACGAATCATACCCTTGTAATAGGAGTCTGTTAGCCGCATGACGGGCGAAATTGGGGACGGCAGCAGGGGGCAAGAAGAAGGCTTACAGAATTGCTCGATATAGCTCGTCCTCGCTTCGGCATACCGCTTGAGCTTCTCATTCAGCTCCGGACCCTCATTCCGGAGGAAGGCCTGCACGGCATGCCTCGTTTCCGCGTGTTCCCTAGCCGATTGGAGGGGCCTGAGGGAAGTCAGGTACTTCTCGCAGCTAACCTCGAGCTCCGGGATGGGCAGCTTCGGCAGGTCATCCTGGTGGGCGTAGGTGACACCGCCCTTGGGCTTGTCGTCGTGGTAGGCCTCCGACATGGCGTGCTGGCGGGCCTTCAGGGCCGGGGTGGTGATGGGCTTTGGCAAGTCGGGGAGCTCGGGGACTGATCGAGGGGTGGCGGGGGATGGCTGAGTAGGACTTGAGAGGGTCTCACCAAGAGACCTTGGCGAGGTGAAGATGCGGACTTGTGGAGGCATTCTCGTCAGCCAGGGTCGAGAGGGATCAAGCGTAGAGAGGCGAGACGTGGGTGCTGATGTTTAAGCCACGCAGGGCAGTGCGGTAGAAGTAGTGGCAGTCTTGGAGGCAGTATGATGGCATTCCACTTGAAATGCTACGGCAGCGGTATTCATACATAGAACAAGGGGCGAAGGGAACTTGGGATTCAGGAGATGGAGGGAGCTACCGGGACTCGGCCGGGCCAGGCTCGGGATATAAAGCGGCGGGTACGGGAAGCTCGGGGGAGGGGGCGGAACGGGAGAAGAGCAACATCAACAAGTGCCACGCTGACGAAGGAGGAATGGATTCTGGCAGCAGCAGCCAGGATGGCGTGGGCCGCCTTCGATGCCTGCCATGTGCATGTGGGACTCTTCCGGGACATGCGCAGGCGGACGGACGGACGGACAGACAGGGGGACAGGGTTGGAGGGAAGGGCGCGACTGCCTAGACCAGACCAGGCCAGACCGAAGCATGTGGCCGTGGGGAAGTCATGGGCAGAGATGGGGTGATTGGACACAAGTGCCGCAGCGCAGTGGGTTGGTGATGTGAAACTCCTCCGCAGGTCCTCCGCAGGCCCGAAGGCTCAATATGGGAGGCAGCCGTGTGGAATCTGCCGAGCCATTTTACGTCTCGGGATAAACGAGAAAGCAGAAATGCAACGTACTAGCGAGGGTAACGGATGGAGACCAAGTTCTCGGGCACGTAACATGTAGCTGCGGCAATTCGTCCAAACCGGGGATGGTAAGCCTCGGGGGCTGCTTGCTGTTCGGTGGTTGGGCGGAGTGGTGTTATTTGGAGGCTGAGAGAGAAACAAGGAGGCTAGGTATTCGTGGTATTGCGGGCGGAGCTGATGCTGGGGTCGTTCGCGCGTGGTCTGAAACTTATTTCTCGCGCCAGTTGCCTGTTAGCCCGTTGTTAACCAAGTTCACAAGGACAGCGAGGTCATCTGCCCGTTCTGGTGGCGCGGCGGCTAAGCTTGCACACGAACAAACAGAACCGCCACTAATGCTCATTCGGCCTTTCAACCTACCTACCTAATACTACCACGGCGCCACTGTACGGTGATCCGTGTCTCTGCTGCTGCGTCACGGGTTGCGAGAGATGGATGGGTGTTGCAGGGTATCGTAGGGAATGACGTTGTGTGACACCCCCCCACAGTCCCCAAGAGGAACCTGGAAATGACCAGCTTTCGCTTTTTTCCCCAAAGACAACCCCGACAACCCCAAGAAGAGCAGGCTCCCAGGGTGCAGGCGATGGCGCGCTGCTCGGCCCGCAATCCGGCTGCAGTCACTCGAGCGACAAAAGAGCTGGCGGCGAGACCTCCTGTGCTCTCCAGTATGCTGCTACGGGTCGACCAGGGTTTGATCTCGTCTCCAGTCTGGGATGCTGGTTCGGACAAGAGGATGTGCTGCGGTTGGGTGGCAGATGCGTCGATGGGGAACTCCAGATTTGAGGCGGGGTGATTGGCAAAATGCTCCGCACTGAAAACCGTTCTGGAAGGAGGCTTGGGTGGGGTGGTAACTTCCATTCGGATGCAATTCCATTACATGCTCTTGCCCATGACCATAAAAAGTTGACCGTCACCTACCTACCCGTCAAAATAAACATGACTCCCTCCGGTTTTAAATCCCGTACCAGTGCTGTGGTTTAGACGAGCCGATAAAGGACCATTGGGACTGCTGGTATTCCACAGGAGGTACTTCGTACTTCGGACGAAGAAAGCATGTGAAGAGGCCAAGCACATCAGGCGGTCGGCACCAAGACGGGGCAAGTCATGATAAGCATGCGAAGCGGGACGCTGCAGTAATGCCTCCCGGCCGAACGGATAGGTGGGGCCACTCCGGGACTGAGTCGCAGCACGAGTTCTTTCAAGGGAGAGATCACGAACCGACGATGGGATGCTGGGGTTTGTTATGGTTTTATTTCAACTCGGGTGCTAGGTGGGACAGCCGCTTCAAAGCCAACTTGCCCAGTCAAACCCAGACCACCGGCGTACACCCTTTTGAAATTGACTAGAATGACCGTGTTACCGTCTGCGGGTTAAAATGCGCTCTTCCATTCGGAGGGCGGCTCGGGTCAAAGGACGACAACGCTGCCTCGATGCTCCATGCTCCGAGGTGGGTTCTGGGCTCTGGCGTTGCCTTTGCCGGGGCTATCAGACTGCCAAGAACCCCGCAAGCCACTGACGACAGCGGGCAGATGGCCCCGCAGAAGGGTCAGCCCAGGGGCCCAGGAACCCGGGGAAGATCACCGTTCTCTCTCCATTCATCTTCCCCAATGGATCCCAACCTTGTCACACCCGGGCTCCGGGTAACCATCCAGCCATCGAGCCAGGAGATAAACGGCGTTCCTGGCTGTGGCTTATCCAGATATCTATGCGGCTGACTACCTACACTAGTGTCCTAGTATATATATACCAGGTTGTATACCTATATACTACACTCGGTAGTTTCCTTAACTACCATCACGTCGGCTTTTCCACCCGGATTGGGTAAACATGAGTGTTGTAGTCAAGGGAATTCTTAGTTAAGCTGTGGCTTTTTAAACATACAGAGATAGGTATATGGCAGCCAGATCAAATCGCAATACAAGAGGAGGCATCAACAGCTTTTAACTTAGGTAGGTTCTAGTTTGTTCGTATAAAAACAGCAGCGACGAAACCAACGTTGACGTCGGGACTTCTTCGCCTAGTTGAAAACGAGAAGGTTTTGATATCCCGCCGCACGTGGTTTGTACCATGTATCATGCACAATCTGGAACTCCCCTTCCGCCTTCCATTACCTGGTGAGGGTGGCCAGGGTACCGTTGGTAAGTAGATATTGGGAAAGGACAAAAACACCTGAAAACATACCAACACGAGATGACATGCGATGCCCGCCAACAACCAACCACACTCCCAACCATAAATCATGCATAACCGTGTCACACCAAAATAGCAAGGGAAAAAGAAATAGTGTCGGCGTACTCATACATTCTTTCCACACAGTCGAGAGACTTTAACCAACGGTCATCCCCTGAGCTAGCCCACGATGACATTCCCCAAACAAGTAACAAACAACACCCCGCCTCCAACGAGGCAGATATCCCCGAACCTTTCCCTGTCTCAACATCATGTTTCGCCTCTTACTGGGCGATTATTATGTATTTGCTAAAACGGCATAGCTTTCATGCTAGTACAACCACGGGGCGGCCCGCCGTCGATCAGGGGTGTATACAAGTCGATCGCCACTCGTCCCCTGGGCGCCATTATTCTGACGCTTCCGTCTTGTCCCCGTAAAATCTCGGGCACTTAATAAGGCGGCTCAGGCGGATTCGGGGTCGGGGGGCTGGGGACGGGTTGCGGCTTCGGCTTTGCCTGCCTCACGGGGCGGGTCGAAGGGCGGTGTTGGGCCATGGTTGGATCTAAGGGGGATGCCGTTAAGTTTCCCATAGTAGCCAACGACATCGTCAACGGAGTGGAGTGAGACATACTGGGAGTGCTGGTGTTTGGGCGTGGTTGGGATTGAAGAAAGAGCTAGGAGGGGCTGTCAAGGTGCGTCGTCAAGATGGCTCGAGTGTGGTAGAAGCCGAAGTCCTCTTTGTGCTTGAGGGTAGGATCACAACGTTGCGTGTTCGAATGTGGAAAAGGATGGGCTTCCCTGATCCTAAACCTACCTGGCCGCCGGCGCCTCTTTAAACTAACGGCCGCCCGCCCTCCCCCACTCAGTGTGCCTCCCTATCCTAGAGGTGCCTACGTAAATTCTGGAGCACCCCGAGATGGACAAGGGACCGGGCTCGAGCCTGGGTGACATGCTCCCCAGAGTGAGACACACAGCGGCCCGATGAGGGAGCTTACTGAAAGCTGCACGTGGCATGCCACTTTCGCGGGTGGTTTGATCGTCTCAGGCGGGGGGTGGTGTGCTGGGAGATGGTGGGAGACCCTCTCGGCACGGATGTGCAGATTTTCCTCTGGCAGGAGAGTGCCAACTGCAACGCTCCGCCTTCCGTTCAACTGAGGGGCCAGTGCTGTGTATGTACGTCTATCATCAGGACCGGGGGGCGCACGGATAAAATCCATAATCTGGCGATTGCGGAACGTCATCGTCCTTGGACAGGACTGGATGCCCATAGGATCGTCCAGGCAGGGATTGCGAACCTTGTTCTGCTGCTCAGGTGACAGCCTGCGGGAACCTGGGTGCTCCCCGACGGAGGGGCCTTCCAGATATTAAAGGAGCGCCTGAAGACGGTCGCTTCAAGCCCCAGTGCACCATTGCTGGGGGTTCATGTATGTCATCGGGCTGCACGTCTGGTGCGCGTCCCGCACCTGCAGCAAGTTCCATGTACGTCGAGATTTCGAGACGATATACCCGGGTCCGTGCTCAACGTCCGCGGCCGTTGAGGCACTCGGTTGTAACATTTCGTGGCCGCATCCTTGGGCCGGAACCGCAAGACCAGACGGGAGAGTGGTATTTCGAGCGAGGGTGAGAGAGGATCAGGCAGCCGTGGCCGTTTGAAAGGCCACCCCTCCGCCGTCCGATCCGAGTTGTCCCGTCGACGTTCTGGGTAAGCCGCAAGAGTCGCCATCTGTGCTCCTGAGGACTGTCGATCCACCGTTGACACATGCTCGGACGAGCCAAAGAACAGGGGGAGATCGCGCTCGGCCTGCCATCAAGATCCGGCGCTAGCAGGCGACTCGGTTCGGGATGAGACGCTGCTTTGCTCTGACCCTCTGACCCCTTCCTCGATGGAGAACGGACGTTCGCGTGTTCCGAGATGGATCATCCATCGTCCGCTGAACCGCGGTTGCAGTCCGAGATCTGACTGCCCGGGTTGCAGAGGGGCCGCCTCGACCAAGTTCGGTATGCAGAGAGTAAGAGTCGGTACGATGGAGCGTGGGTGGGCATACATTCATTCTTTTCCATGTATCAGAAATGGAGCCGGGTCTTGACCCCCACATCACCCGCTCGAGATATGAATGTTTCAAAAAACCGGTACGTGGGGAACCACGTTGAGGCCGCCTGATATTAGGGTTTTCTGGTGCGGAAATGTGAGAAATGAGAGGATGAAATGTGGTTCTGCCATTTTTGTCACTCGCTCCCGGTCCATGCCAGTGACTCACCCGATACACACAGTAAGGTCGCTCTTGCCGGCCGTTGCACTTCAGTTGTCCGTTGTTCTTGTCCGTTGCTCCTGCCTGTTGACGTTGCAAGGTTACCTAGGCAGGTGCTCTCTGACCAGGGGTGACCCCCAACTTTCTTATCAGTTTGATGCTATCACGAGACAGGATGTAATTAAGAACCTAAAGTACTCGTATTCTGGTCCTTGATCCGCCGCGCGCTTTGTCTGCTCGGTTACCCTCCTTCCAACCAGCACCGGTGGTACTTTGCAAGTCGCAAGTTGTCCGAGAGAAGAACACGGTGGGCCGTTCCCTCCTGTCAATTCCCGAGGGACCCTTACCCTTGAGACGAAACGGGCAGCAGATCCGCTTGGCACCCCGCAAACCTCTGTTAGAGCCTCCCTTTTCGGCTTGTTTCTAGAAGCATTCTCCGCCAAGATCTTTCCAGGGTCTCGTTAGGGGTTCGTCTCAACCTGCATCCCTCGATCCACCACCATCTGCATTCTTTTTGACGCGCCCGGACATCGCAAACACCACCCACATCGGTCATAGTTCGGCCCCTTGCTCCCGGGATAAGCTAGATGATTTGCACATTCAGCCAGCCCGTAATTTGACCACGGCAGTCTTCTCCAAACTCAAGCTGCCCCTATTGTTTACTTTCACCCGGCATGGCTGTCATACTATGTAGTTTTGATGTAGAGCTCGTTTCGAACCTCAAAACCCACGGCAACCGCGACGCTTGCAGCAGCGTGACAGCCATCACAGACTAGTCTGTAAGACACCTTCCGTCTGTGGCTCGAAAGGTCATCCGTTTCGGAGAAGCATGGCTGAGACGGTTGTGGTTCTTCTACCGAGAATTTGGCCCCCAACGTTGTGAGGGAATCACACGGTCTTTAATTTACCCCAGAGGCAAAGACATACCGAATACCGAACCAATTACACTGCAATTTCTAGTTGCCTGTTCCGACAGCTCAGCGAGCAGATTTCCGCGGTCAATGTAGCCTTTTTTATCACGTGTTCCTACCTACCCAATTTCAACTACCATCTCGATCATCCCACCAAATAAATGTTAACAACACCTCCAGGCATGGGCCTCACCACCATCCCCCGCGGCTACAAAGTGCCCGTGGCGCTCCTGGACCAGTTCCTCGAGGCCAACGGCCAGGACGCGACACACGGCCAACTCCCCTTATCCGCTGAGGCGGCGAACTGCGTACCGAATGCTTGTTTCTGCGCACCGAACTGCCCGGGACGGCCCGCCAGGCTTTTCGGAGCTGCGACTTGTTGAGCCGGGGGAGGAAAGGCTGTTGCAGGCGGAGGGGGTGCGAGATATCAAGGGTGAGGACTTGACGGTTGTTCTGTACGTTGTTGTGACGGACGAGCGGATGTTCTAGTGGTCGTCGCCTTGTGCGCGCGAGGTGAGTTTCCCGAACTCGTTTGTGCGATGACTATTTGGATTGTTTGGTCTATGGCTGGTTTTGATGCCCAATGGGATCTCTATAAGTTGCGGCCGATGCGAGGCGATACTTGAGAACTGGTTCCAGCAACAAAACCATCGGCGGAAAGTCATGGGTGTCAGGTAGGCAGCGTTCTTCCCGAGTTCTGAGTCAAGCTCTCGCGTCTTACGATTGCCTGGGCTGCAGGCATTTCGATACTTCTTGGGTAAGGTAGCTTGAAGCCTGGGAGTTTCTGGTGTTGTGGCACCGATTACTTTAATTCCTGGCGTGGTAAGGAAAACCGGGAAAACAGAGAACAAAAGAAAATAACCCCACCCTGGGTAGATACCTATAGAAGTTCCAACATACCCAATGTCACCGACCACCCCCATAATGGCTCAACGTCAGTGGGGGTGGTCAAGGCCCCAGGGCGAATGGAACTCCTGGCGATTTCTCTACCGAGAGGTCACCGCTTCGAGCCGCCTCCGGAGCAGAAAGCAAAATAAAGGTGCGCCCCTTACGTAGCCGGCTAGCTCGCCGGACCCCATCCCTTACCCAGTAAACCTCCCCTCTATGTAAACCAGACCGGGTTTGAGAGGCAGCCGGTGAGCTTTTGCTTTTGTTATTTCTCCAACTTAAACCTTTTGGTCGAATAGTCAAGACTTTGGATACTCGAACAACAAAACATTTGCCTGCTTTGGCAGACAATGCATCTCTTATTGGCTCACGGTTCTGCCGGCGCTCCGATCACACGCTCCGGGGCTTCGGAGGTTCGGCGCCCCACCCCCACCTTTACTCAAGCAACTGTAAGCGAGACAGCTCAACCCCACCATGATCCATCAGCCTCAACTTTAACCTGGACCATTCCTGTGGGCACATGCCGAGCACTATCGCGATACAAGCGGCTTTTTTTGCCTCGGGAATCTATCAGAGTGATTATGTGTTTTGGTGGGGCCCAAATGAAGCCGGGCAGAGTTAGTGAAAGAATATGGTGACGAAGATAACTATCCACATTCCACAACATGGAATTTTGTGAAATGCACCATCTTTTCGTGGAAGTCCCATTAGCCTCATTGGGAGTTGAATTGGCCGAGTGTCAAATGCCATACTTACAGTACCCGCTCGCTCGGTTCCTAGTAGCCGAGCGAGGCCGAACAAAGCGACACCTGGGAAATTGTGTCGTTTTGCAGGGACAGCCTCCATAAGAAGCGGAGTTGAGCACCATACACAGCGTCTCCCCTCCCTCTCTCTCCCTCCTCTTACGCTCTCAGCGGTAACTCGATAACTCATTCCCACTCCACTCCAATTGAGGCAAACCTCACGCTTTCCAGAAGCGCTCTTTTGTTAGGATCGTAATTCCCAACACTGAAGCAATTCCGAACCCAATGGCTCCCATCAAGCCGCACTGGGTGCAGCCGTCGCACCCCGACGTTCAGGAGGTCATCGTCAACGAGGCCGCTTTCACCACCAAGAGCATCTCCAAGACTGCCCTCCCTCCCTTTGGTGTGTTCGCCAAACTAGAATTCCCGCCGTGCACCATCGCCCCCGAGGCCACGTACGCGACGGTCCAGATGAGCCGTGACGGCCACTTCAACCTGAACAGCGATCTGCTGTACATTAACCACTCTTGCGAGCCGTCTCTGGTCAGTACCATTCTTCTCCCGGAGGAGAGGGTGGTCGGATACAGCACAAGGCGTGGCCCGTTGTTGACATGAAGCCCCCTTTCACAACTTCTAGATCTTCGACACGGCCAGCATGAACGTCATCGCCGGCCCCAAAGGACTGCAGCCCGGCGATGAGCTGACGGTGTGTCAACCCCCCTCCCCCTTATTAAAACCAACAAAAAAGGGCAAAAAAGAAAACACCAACTAACCACCCCCCCAGTTCTTCTACCCCTCCACCGAGTGGTACATGGCCCAGCCCTTCGACTGCCTGTGCGGCACGCCCACCTGCCGCGGCCGCATCGCCGGCGCGCGCGACATGGCGCCGGCCCAGCTCGACGGCCTGTGGCTGAACGGGCACATCCGCGCGCTGCTGGAGGAGCGCGACGCGGGCGGCGGCAAGGAGAAGCAGGGTCATGGTGCCAACGGCATCGACGGTGCTAACGGCAGCGTGTATGACGCGGCCGCGGATGCGTCTTCCCAGGCGTCTGCCGGGGCGCAGCGGCGTGGCCCGACGTCAAGGGAATTGAGCGGCGAGATGGGCGGGGATACGTCGGTGCCCGTCTGAGGGACCTGCGTATTGCTGCAGGCGGCTGTGGATTTTCAACAATGATGCGGCTGGCTTGGCTTACGCAGAAAGGGGGGTTTCTTTTGTTTTGTTGGTATTTGATGTTCTTGTTTTGGTGCGATTTACAAAAGTTATCAACGCCTATGATCGAGGAGGGTGCGTTACGCCAATACAAACCCCATACCTCCCCCAGACCTGATTCCTGACCGATTCCCCTGCCCCTGGGGGTGATGTAACCGTGAACTCCGAGCCATCTCCAGCGCCGTGTCGATCTGAAGCGCCTCCCAAATCGTAAAGCAAGGCAAATGTTGTACATACAAGGAGGTTGGAACCCTCCCATGGTCGGTATTTACCAGACCATCACCTCCCCTTTTTGAACCTCGCCGCAAACGCAGGGCACGGCGCCTCGCCGCCCTTGATTCCGCCCAGCAACCAATCCGTCAAGCCGACCACCTTCGCACCCACCCCTTTCTCCCACTGCCCGCTCTCTTGCATATGCTCGATCGTATGGTTGAGTATCCTCCCCTCGCTGTCAAAATCAAAAATGAACAGCCCCGTAAACTCCTTGTCACTCGACCCAACAGCCTGCGCCATGCCCACCGGCGCCTTCACCTCCGTCCCACCCTCCTCCTCCCCATGCAGCCGTTCCCGCTGCCGTTCTTCCCGCGGCCGTATCCCCTCCCCTTTCCCACCCCCGCCACCAGACCCCCTCCCCATACTACTACTTTCATCCCCCCCAAAACCCAACCACCCCCTCAGCTTCCTCCCCCCACCCCCCACCGTCCGCCACCGCACAATCAGCTGCTCCCCCCCGGCGCCATCAGCACGGCGCCCACCACCACCTGGCCTTCCACCAACAGAATCGTACGCCGAGCAGTCGAGCATGCGCTCAGAAAGGATATGCAGGCGGACGTTGCCGACGAGCGGCAGGCGGTTCCACGCGATGGGCGACGACCACAGCGCCGCCGTGTAGGCGACCCGCCCGGACACCGTCGGCAGGTGCGGGTGCGTCGAGGGGAACAGGTGGAGCGTGATCCGCGGTGAGAGGATCCCCTGCGGCGGCGGGGATTGGAGCAGCGTGGGGAGGTGCGATTGCAGGATGCGTAGGGCTGTGGGAGTAGTAGTAGATGGAGTGTTAGTTGGCTGGCTGGTTCTATATGGTGGTTGGTGGGGGGGGGATGGTAAACAGGTGGGGGGGGGAGCGTACTCTTGCCTAGCTTGACTTTGCGCTCGTCAGGCGGTTTGTTGTGGTTGTTACCCGGCTCCGGAGAGAGGAGGGGCGGGTGGGAGGTGAAGAGGGGGATGTCGGGGATAAGTTTTGGTGGGGGGCTCGGATTTTGGAGAGTTGCTAGGTTCTTTCTGGGTGTTGAGAGAAGATTCGAAGTTCGTGGTGGGCGAGGAGTTGTGGAGAGGTAGAATGCGGGTGCTTCTGAGCTGTGCCACCGTTCAATTGCTGGCGGAGCTCCCCGTGGCGATGGAGCTGCACAAGCTGCCGCTGGAGACACCCGCGATGCAGACCCGTACAGAGAACATCGCAGTATCCTTGCCGGCGTGGACATTTAGTTGTCGGGTTTGTGGATTCCCTTCCCGATTGTGAATTTTAACGGGACTGGCCGACTGGCTAACGGGATATATTCGATGGGGGTTGGCTGCTCTGCGTGGTGTTGAGGTGCGGGCGCCGCAGGGATGATGTCAGTGTCTTCAACTCGACTCCAGTTTGGGTACTACGGCCCCGATATATTCTGTATGCAAGAAAGGGAGTTTACTTGCTGCGACACAGCCGAACAAAATGGGTCTGGGCTCCAGTCTTGGAATCCCATGCTGTCGGCATTTCAGGCTCCATTTCCCCCCACCTGACTGGCGCCGCCAGCTGACACACAGTGGGGAAGCCACATCCCAGCGTCACGAGCCTGAAGCGTCGTCTCGGCACCTCGGGGCACTGAGAACCCCAGTTTGAGTCACGCGGAATAGTCAAGTTGTCTGCCTGGGCCTAGGTGAACCCCTTCTTGTTTTTGGTTGCTTCTGCTTCAACCCGGGTTCGCGTTTTTGACTGCGTTTTGACGGTGAACAAGCCACACTTGCCACAGTCCAGATACGCATCACGTGATAGAGCTATCTTACCCCCCCTGAAGGCCCGCCTGTGATGTTCGCCCGGGCCAAGCTGGGCCTTGGACCAATTGTTCTGACGCCCTGACGCAGCAGCCTTCCGTGGACGACTGCACTTCTTCTTCGACAACCGACCAGCCTTTCCCATCATCAAACTCCGACCAAAACCACCCACCTTTAGCCACTTGCACTTTTCTCCACTTGCATCAACTGCAGCCATTCGCATCTGACTCCACCACATCCTCGACACAACACTATTACAAGTCGCCCACCATGAATCCCGAGTAGTACGTCGCCGCCTCTTGCTGTGCGGCCTGGCGCCTGGCGCCTGCTGCCCGCTTCTTCTGCCTTTGTTTGCTACTGCTGACACCCGCTCTTCTCTAGGGTTCCCTCCGCCGATTTCCGCCCGATCCTCGCGATCCCCGGATCTCTCGTTCTCCGCCCTATGCCTACGACTAACAATATGTTAGATACGACTACCTCTTCAAGCTGCTGCTCATCGGTGATTCCGGTGTCGGCAAGTCTTGCTTGCTCCTGCGGTTCGCCGACGACACCTACACAGAGTCCTACATCTCCACCATCGGTGTCGACTTCGTATGTGGCTACCCGAAAAAGGCGGTCAGGTTGCGGTGGCTGACTCTCACAGAAAATCCGGACCATCGAGCTCGACGGCAAGACGGTGAAGCTACAAATCGTACGCATAACCCACCCCGGCATCCCCCGCCCGGCCCAAACATGAGGCGGAGGCAGGAGAGGAAGAGCCCCGAGCTGACTTGACTACAGTGGGATACGGCCGGCCAGGAACGGTTCCGCACCATCACATCGTCCTACTACCGCGGAGCCCATGGCATCTGCGTCGTCTACGACGTTACCGACATGGACAGCTTCAACAACGTGAAGCAGTGGCTGCAGGAGATCGACAGGTACGCCACCGAGGGCGTCAACAAGCTGCTCGTAGGAAACAAGAGCGATATGGCGGACAAGAAGGTGGTCGAGTACACAGTCGCCAAGGTACGCCCCCGCACCTGCCGTCTGAAAGCTCGTTGACGGAACTGACCCCCGCCCAGGAATTCGCCGACAGCCTCGGCATCCCCTTCCTCGAGACCTCGGCCAAGAACGCCAGCAACGTCGAGCAGGCCTTCCTGACCATGGCCCGCCAGATCAAGGAGCGCATGGGCAGCAGCATCGCTACTAACAACACGAAAGCCAACGTCAATGTCGCGCCCGGCCAAGGCGTCTCGAGCAACAACAACAACGGCTGCTGCTAAGCGAAGGCTCGTCTACTGCGCCGTTTGATGTTGCTGCTGCTGCTGCTGCTGCTCTCGGGTGTTTACGGTTTCTTGCATCGGATGGGTTTTTCGGACACTATTGGGGGGGGGCGTGGTTAGATCTGCGGGGTGGCTGGTCTGAGGAAGGAGGGGTGTCCTTTGGATGCGCTGGCGGTCGGATTTCCATTCGCTTTGGGCTTCTCATTCCCACGTAGTCCTCTCCGAGAGCGGCGTTTCCCGGAAACCCTAGCTCGGATATTCCGTCTTTCGGGACGGATCCTTTCCTCCCGAGGGAACGGAGGAGGTGGAGGCGGAGGCGGAGGGGGAGGCCCAGGCGCCCCCGGAAACGGAACACGACAGACCGGGCCAGAGCAGGAGTTGTTGATTTTTCTTTACCGCTACTGCCACCGCTGCCTTACTATTACCACTTACAGCTCGCGTCTGTGTATTTTCCCATCTTGGTCATAACTGGGGTTTGTTCTGTTTTGTTTATTGATACACTGTGTTTGTGAACTAGACTCGTGGTGCCTAACCTGGAGATGCTGTTCTAATGACTACCGTCCTTGATGATGCTGGATGGCCGAGCGAGAGACTCGTCATGGTGGCTAGCGGGGACTGAGTTACCTAGGTCAGGCATCAATGCACAAGAGCTTATCTCATTCTCATTTCATATACTCACTCCTCCTCTCAACGGCAGAGCACGTATCACTCTCATTACTACTCAGTCCCCACGGCCGTTTCACGTTACAACTGATAAACTGGCGACACCCTAGACATGTTTACACAACATAACGTAACACAGTAGTGGTCAAAAAGACGTGCAAGATTTCAATCCCATTACCCACTCCGCCGCTAATCTGCTAATCTGGTGGTGGTATCACAAACGAGAAGAAGAAAGAAGAGAACAAAAAAGGAGATTGAGAAGACCAGAAAAAGAAAAAGAAAATAACAAGGCAGCTAACTCAACTCCCCAACCCAAACTCCCGATACATTTTTTACGGCCCAAGTGATCTTACACCCCCACCAGCCCAGCTAGCTCTCAAAAAAAAAAAAATCAAGAACAAACCACCCGGATCAACAAACACCACGAATAATACAGGCGGCAAGATGAGCCTCTAGACCAGGCCCAACCACCGCATCGCCTTGCTGCTCCGGCCCCTCTCAATCTCCTCGCGCCGCCGGAGGTACAGCGGCATCAGCCGGCGCTCTTCCGGGTCAGGCTCCGAGTCGTCCTCGCTGTAGTAGTAGTCGTCCTCGCCGTTGTTGGCGGCAACAGTGGCAGTGGCAGTGGCAGTGGCGGTATACTCTGGTGGGGCTTCCAGGTGCTCAGGGGACTTGTCATCTGCCTCACCGCCATTGGACACCGCCGTTGATGTGAGTGGTGGTGCTGGTGCTGGTGTTGATGGCGGGGCAATGCCGCGCGGTGAAAGGGGATCGGAGTGTTTCTTTTGGTGATGGGGACTGTAAACAGTCTGCGGAAGGGTGTGGGTGGTGGGCAATGGGGGTACCGGAGGAATGGCGTAGTTGACCTCCCCCCACTGCACGTGGCTGCTCATCGGCGGGTTATCGGTGAAGGAACGGGTGCCCCTGCTGGGCGGTGACGCTGCTGCTGAGGACGAGGACCGGGGAGGGATGCTTCGCGGGTTGACGTGATGAGGTGGGTGCGCAGGCGGCGACGACGATTCCGTTGGAGAAGATGGTGGGGTGATGAGGGTTGGCCCAGGAACTAGTGAGGTCTTTTCGGAGTGCGGTTTTATGTCGGTGGACTTCGTGCTCACGGAAGGACTTGGACACGACTTCGTCGGTGGTGATTCTGGAGCAGGGTGTTTGTAGAGTGGATGTTCGGGCATGTAGTAATCCGATATGGAGATCAAGCTCTCGCGAATCGCGGCGACAAAAGCAGCAGTCTCGAATCCAGTAGCGGACGAGGCGAGCAGAAAGTTGGCTTTGGAGAAGGAGCAGGGCCCGACGAAGGCGCCCGACTTGCGTGACCCCCGACGGTTCAGAGACCGGAAGCCCTCGCTCGCGCGGCGGCTTGTGTCCGGTATCGACAAAGACTGCTGTACAGGGGTCGAGACATCACTGTCGATGATGCCCACGACCTTCATCATCTCCGTCCCAATGAGCGTCTGGAGGGCCAGGACGGTCGGAAGGTGTTCGGAGGGATACTCGATGAGCAGAAACCGCACGTCCGGGTGAGTGGCCAAGTACGTTTCGAGATGAGGGATGATTAGCGCGGCGAGCAGGGCGCGGTCGGCAAATGGGTTGCTTTGAGTTTGCTTGGTCAGGGGCTGGGCAGTAAACGCCTGCATCGCGTTGGCGATGAGATATCTGTCTCCGTTAGCGCCTCTTCTATCCGAGCCGGAACTCCGGTCACGTACCTGATATCTAACCGCCCGCTTCGCGACAGCCCGCTGGTCTTGAACCCCAGTTTCTCGATTTGCCCGATAACCTCTGACAAACGATTCTTGGTCACCCCGCTCTCGGACCCGACGGCCATGATCAGATCGAGCCTTCTTTCGCCATCATGGGACTCGGCCTGTCCGTCGTACTCCAAAGCTCTCCATAAGCCAGCTTCTGCTGGAAACTCGGCGCCGTCAGCGGCCGAAAGCCGACGGTCTTGTAGCGGGAACTGGGAGCCGAGGAATGACCGCAAGAAATTCTGTATGGAGGCTGCCGTCTCCTGTCCGACGCTGATACTATAGAGCCTCGTATCTAGAAGTGGCGTGCTTACGGACGAGGTGTCTAGCGGATTCGGAGAGTGGTTCGGCGTGGGTAGGCCATGAACCAAGTCTTTCCGCATCCAGGGCACGACCGCACCGGGATTGCTGTCCTCTGACTGGCCTTGGTCAACTTCCCGGCCATCGCCTGTCTCGAGGCGACTTGTTCCTTGGAAAGCGTCATAATGGGGTACCAAAGGCGCCGATATTGAGATTGATTGCCGCGGAGTCTTATACCCCTCACTGAGACGCCTGAAAACAAAATTCTGCAGCTTGTCGGGTGTCTCGGGGGTGAAGAAGACGACGAGATCCTCCAAAAGCGGCAAAACCGACTCGAAAGGCTGCTGCTCTCTTGTGTCGAGAGGCCGAGAGGCCGTCGGCTCAGTTGAATTCCCGTCCCCACTCAAAGGCAATGGATCGCTTCGTGACTCTGGTACCACCACCTCCTCCTGGACGCTGTCATGGCCAACGGGTTTCTGCTTAGGCGACAGGTTCGACTCGGCGGTTCGTGATCTTTTGTGAGATGGAACCCCGGGTACCTGGTCCTGTGAGTGGTAGGCGTTTGGCCGGCTGCCGTCGAGTGCCACATCGCCTGCCCAGCGTATCGTCGAGGACGGGATGTGGATCCTCAGAGGAGGTTTGCGAGGTGCGGCTGAGGCGGGTGTTTCCGCCGAGGTGGCGTCGAGTGAGACACGGGAAACTGGGTCCTCGTAGAGCCTCGTCTGGCCGTCACTTGGGGAGGGCGGTCTGGGCCCCCGAAGAATTTCGGAAGCCTCAGTAACGGTTGAGCTCAGCCGCTTCTTGGACGGTGGGATATCGACCAGCTTAACTGTGAGATCCACGTCTGGCGTGAGCGGCTGGAGAAACTCGGTCTCCTTGTCGAGGGCGTCTGCAGCTCTCATGGCGCGAATGATGCGTTCCTCGACGGTGTCGCCTCCAGCGTCTTCCATGTATCCTCCCCATTCGTGCCGTCGACCCCACGCTCCATCGAAGACTGCTGGCTCAAGTACTTCGCCCATCGTCACGCTTTCCGAAGGCGAGCCACCGGCTTCGTAGTCTGAGAGCCTCGCAGATGATAGCCTAGCAGCGCCATTGCTCGCCAGCCGGATGCAAGTGGCATAGGCTTCCTCGATATCACCATCCGGCTCATGCTCCATGATGGTCGAGAGACATGACACCTGGGCCGACATGGTGCCCCCGTGCATGAAGACAATCCGCTTCTCGCCTGTCGATATGGAGGGCCTCAAGAAATCTAGGGCCTCTGTGTGTCGGGTTTGGGAAGCAGCGTGATATTGGCGGATGAGTTCCCGCGGGTCGAAAGGCGCATCCGGGTTGATGTCCCTCAAGTAGTGTCGAAGACTTGGGAGGACGAGTATCTGGGGAGAGGCCGGGAGAAGACGCAATTGAGTAGAAACGATTTCCGAAGGACCCTCCAAGGCAACGATACGCCCAGGGCGCTGTCGTGGGATCGACATGGTCATGATGAATCCCAAGTCAACGGCCGGTCTTCGAGATCGTCACCGCCACACTCCTTTACTGGAACCAACGGGGCAAGCGAAGCTGGGGTGAGGGACGTGTTGGGATTTCTAGAATATTAACTAGAAAAAGAAGAAAGGCCCCCGGACGGTGTTGCCGATGTCCGTGTGAGGCTTGCGATGTTTGCGAACCGTTCCCCGGCGGCGCACCCAACTGACCAACGGTCTTGCAGGCGAGAGCGAGTGGCTTCAGAAAAGGAAATCGAGATCGGCCCAAACATGGGCTAGGTGGAATCCTCGAGGGACCAAGAACGCGAGGGGGTGGCTTGCATGAAGGCCATGGGCATGGAAGAAGAGGAAAGCGAGAAAGTGAGAAGTGACGAGCAGGAGGAGGGCTTCGGATGAGAGGCCTGCACGAAGCCTGGGTGCATGCTGTACTACCCGAATTAGGAAGTGTGTGAGTCTAAAAGTCGACCCAACAACTCAGCCCATCCATCACACATGCGCCGCCTTGTTGCGCGGAGCAAACAAACTGAAAGTGGGTTGAAAGCGAATGAAAGCTCGAAAGGGCGGACCTCACAACCTGGGAAGGCATGCAGTGGTGGGGTTGAAAGGAGGGGGAATCTTTGGGTCAACTTGGGTTGTGGCTGTCCGGTTCCGGGCCTTTTGCCCTGCTTAGGGCTACAAGTAATAAAATAAAGTAAATGTATCAACGGTAACCGGTACCGGGTAAGAGGAAGGAACGGGCAGATCGAACCAGAGATGCTAAACTGCACTGCGTGACTGCATCTCTGCCCGAAGCCACGGGAGGAAGGAGAGGGGGTGGGGTGCCGGGCATGGGGTGCGCTTCTCTTTCACCCGTCCCGTCCTGTCCTGTTTCCCCGAACTAGGTGCTACCTGGTAGATTGTTTTCTTCTTATTATTTTTCCTTTCGGGAAGAATGTAAAAGAAGTTGCATCTTTTAGCAGCCGGGAACTGCCCGGGTAGCAGCAACCAAGATCATTCGGTGATTGGCCGTCTCAACCTTGAAACAGATTTGTGCGATGTGAAGAACCAAACCTTGGGGAATGCTGTGCGTAAGCGCCAGGTGTGCACACCAACGGCTACTGTGCAAGGCCCTGGCCTGCTGGCAGACCGGGACGGTGTGTCATGTAAAGGCATCGTTAGGCTCGTTTACGCACGTTGCCAGAGGCAAGAAATGGAGCAGAGCCTTTCAGCTGTGCGTCTGGCCTGCGCCGCCCCCACGACCGACTGAGCTGTGCTTGCATTCGGAAGCGAGGTCGGCCATGCAGGTGGCTGATTTCTGCAGGTAGGGCGTTGGAACTTGGAAGCCGTCCGGGTTGTGTTGGAAGCGTTCCGTCCCAGGCGGGTGCGCCTGAACGTGTGGACAAAGTAATCTGTATGGAAAGTGCCAACAAGAGTTTGCAAATACAATTGGGCGCGTTGGCAGTTCCATGCAATCGGAGACCTTGAACCTGAAACTTTATCTTTGAATGATCTGTTGTGCAGGACGCTAACCCGCTCAAGGTAATGGACGTGCGGCGGGCTGTGGGGTTGACCGGGTTGGATGCTGGGGAATCCCATCAAGCCTGAAGCGGGACTGGGCATCCCGATCTGGGATGGGATAAAAATGTAAAAATAGGGTGACTTGTCGTCTTCATCCCAATTTGTTCCCGAGATGGCCTGATCTCGACCGAACGGAAGGCGTATTGTCTCGGAGTTGGTTCATCAAAAGCGCCACCTATACCCAGGAACTACCTACCTACCTACATACGTACAGAGCTTGAATGTTTTGCCGGCTGTGTCAATACCTCGTAGTTACACAGTATATCCGGGTGCGCGACCATCGTTTTGACAAACCGACTGGGCAGGGCCTGGTCGGAAGGGAAAAAACGCATAATCGGGCGACCCCACGGCCGGGTTGTCACCTCACCGACCCACCGCCGTCATGTTCCCGGCCCCCCCCTCGCCGCCAACAGGCATCGGCCGCGTGAACTACCGCGAAAACTATAGTCTGATGCAACTCTATATTGGACGGCTGGCAAGAGAGGCGGTTGGAGGAAATGCTATTTTCTACGCCTCTCGCCACGGAACCGCATGGGAACGTCAAGGCACGCCTCGCACAGCACACTTGGGCGGCGGGTAGGTAGGCGGCCATAGCCGAGGGCTGAATAGGTAGTGCATTGGTTGGCCAAATTCGCTATTCTTTCTCCCTTTGACCTTGGCTCCATGCCGACCCACGGGGACACATCTGCTATCTCAACCTTCTTTCTCCGAGGGTCGGCTGCAACTGCCCGACTTCGACCAGCACCAACTAATGACGGGTTTCATTCAATCAGCAAGTCCAGCGTGCGTCTAGATCTTGTTTCGCCATCTAGAACCTTGCGAGTGCAGGATCAAGCTTCCCGAGACAGAAACAACCACTTGGCTCGTAGTATTCCCAATCGTCATTCCCCATTGTGGGGATTTCTTGCGGCGAGCCGCAATCCCGGTCGTCCGCGGGTAGACCATGATCCCTGGCTGTCGGATTTTGCTTCCCCTCCTATGCGGCGGAGTCCCGTGGAACCGGCCGGACGCTTGCAGCCGATCGCTACTCCTGATAATCAAACTGAATCAACGCTCGGTGGCGCTTGGGATACCACGTGTGTAACAGCGCTGGTTAACGAAGATGAAGTTAGTCACGGCGAGGAAGAATCTCCTCGGGCTACTCGTCCATGAGTGCGGCAAGCTCGGCTTCCTCTTCAGCGCTTAGCAGGTCCTCACCACCGACCTCCTTTTTATCCTCCCCCGCGGGTTTCTCCTGCTCCTCGAGGGCGGCGTCTAAGCCGGCCTTCTCCAGAGGCCATGTCCGGACCGTGCCGTCAATGCTCACGCTGCAGACCCGGTCGCCCGACCCGCCCGGGCCCCTGAGCACGACCAGTTCTGTGACCTCGTCGTAGTGTCCCACAAGGGAGCAATGAAGCTTGCCCGAGGTGCGGTCCCAGAACTTGATGTCCTCGTCCCGGCCCGCTGTGATCACCCATTTTTCCGTGACCGCCACGGCGCGCACGTGGTCTCCGTGGTGGAAGGTGTCCTCGCAGGTGAAGTTCCTCATCCGCGACAGGCACTTTGTCGTACCGTCGCCGCTCGAAGTCCAGAGGTCAACTTCGTCGCTGTCGTGGTCGAGCACGAGTTTGTAGACGGTCGTCTCGTGTTCAAGAATAGTCCGACGGTCCGTGCCCGGCGCGTCGGGAGACGTTTCAACGACCTGCTCCCACCCGTCGAGCCGTATCTTCCACCGGCGAATGTGCGGGTCGCTGCTGGCGCTGATGACGCTAACCTCACTTTCGGTGGAAGACGCATGGTCGACGACCAGGTCCTGGATGCTGAGCATGTTTACCGCGCCGTCCTGCAGCGTATGCAACCTGACTCCCGTGGAAATGTCCCAAACCATGATCTTCTTGTCGGCGCCACCGCTGATCAGGATGTGCTTGCCTCCGACAGTCGCACAGACGACGGCTTTGACAAAGTCTGTGTGGCCGACATATTTACGCCCGGGAGCCTTGGAGGCGAGATCCCAAGACCAGACGTTCTTGTCCCACGAGCCGGCGAAGAGAGTCCCGGCGTGGGGGCCGCCAACAGCGACGGAGCAGACTGGGGCGGTTGGGCCACGGTAAGCCGTCTTGGTGTCCTCGGGCTCCTGGAACAATATCAGAACACTGATTCTATTCTCCATAATTTAAACATACGTACATTGAGCTTGACCAGGCGCACAGCGCCAGCCGACTCAGCAACGAGGAGTGCGGATGAAGGGGATCTAGGGTCAGGCACGGCGGCCAAAATCTTGGATTTTAGGGAGATTGGGTTGCCATATTTGTTCCCGGCTTTGGCTGCCCGCCGGTGCCTCTTCTCCTGGGCTGCGCTGTACGATAATCAGCCGGGTGTTGCCGGGAGGCCCTCATCACTCGGTTACCCCTTTTTTCAACTCACTCGGTCTCAAAAAAGTGCTCGGGGTCGGCGGACTGCATCTCGGGAGTTGTTGTGTTCCAAATCCGGTGTGTAAAATATCTACCGCGGAGAAAGGTATTATACGTTTTCAATTCTTTGCTGCCTAGCAGAAATCCAAGTCTTTTTTTGTTGCTGCCTCGAGTTGTTGATGAGTGAATCTAGTCTAAGTTAGTGCCTGATGGAAAGCAATCGAAGTGGCCAGGCGATGGCAGCTGGCGGGCCACTTACAAAGACTGGGTGGGACGAACCTCCCTACGGTGTGGGGCCCTGACGCGAAAACTAATGGGAACGCGGGTCGACGCGTCTCCCTTCAACACCACTCATGGGCATCCCCACACTTCAACAGCACCACTTCACCGCCCACACGCAATAACAGCAACCACACCAAAAAAACATATCCCAAAGGCCCAGAATTTTTTAGCCAGAGGATCGGATGTCAGAGTTCCTCGCTGAGCTCCAATTGACAATATGACGTCTTTTATCTCCTCGCGGCCGCGGGCACGGCCAGCGCACACACAGGGGACCACACGTTGCGCATACACTCCTGACGGTACCAGGCTGGTCACGGTTGGCTCCAATAACCTCATCCGTCTCTACAAGACGGGCTTTGACGGCGAGCCCGACAATATCGACGACTGCCAGGAACAGAACCTGGCTGTGTCCGCGGGCAACACCTTCTTCGTCGCCGGAGCCGAAGATGGCACCGTCAGCTATTACACGCTCGCCGCCACCCCGTTTGCAACCAGCATGTTCGACAAGTTCCTGCTCCGCACCTCTCTGCCCGTCCGCGATGTCGCCATCTCGCCCGATAACAAGTGGTGCGCCGTGGCTAGCGATGAGCTGACCGTCAAGCTGGTCGGCATTCAAGACAACACCCAGCTGCTCACCTTGAAGGAGCACGGCAAGCCGACCAAGCATCTCTCGTTCGACCCCAAGGGTAGCATGTTGGCCCTGTCATGTACCGACGGAGTCGTCTACGTCTACTCCCTGACGGCCGACCACCCCGAGCTCATGCGCAAGGTAGACGGCGTCATTGGCCGGATGGAAACCGAATCAGAGGCCTCGTGCAAGGTGGCATGGCATCCCGACGGGCGGGCATTCGCTGTGCCGACTCCAACGAGGGAGGTTCAGGTCGTATCCAAGAACGACTGGGAGAAGCAGCGCGCCTTTTCCAAGGGACATGACGGGGACATCACTGCCGTGGCCTGGTCTCCGAACGGCGCCCTCCTCGCCACAGCCGGCAAGGATAAAAAGCTGCTGATTTGGTCTACCAAGGACCAGACCGTTCTTGCGCGATACGAGTACCCGAATGTGGTTGATATCGCTTGGCATCCGACCAAGAACTTGGCCTCCTTCACCACGTCGGACGGTGAAGTCTTCATCTGCGACGAGTTCGTCTCCGAACAGTTCGTCTCCTTGCTCAGGCTACCTCGACAGCCTGCCCCTTTCATCCATGACCCTCTCGCGGATATTGGCGCCAACAACAGGAGGCCGGAGTCGAATGGTGCGGCCCTGCCATCACGCCCTCGGAGGGGTTCCCTGGATAGCTTGGATGACCTGCTGGATGATGATAATTTTGGGGATGAGAATGACGGCTTTGCGGGTGACGATGATGGTTTCGTGGTTGACGACGATGGGGCGGGTTACACGCTCAATGCCTCCCGAAAACGTTCAGCTGATGATGACCCTCTCGGGCAGCGTCCCAACAAGCGCGGAAACTTCGTCCAACCACAACTTCACCGGGCTTTCCAGCCTGGCGCAACCCCCTGGCGTGGAAACCGGAAGTACCTGTGTTTGAACCTGATCGGCTTCATATGGACGGTGGATCAAGACTCCCATCACACGGTTACGGTAGAGTTTTACGACCACGAATTCCACCGAGACTTCCACTTTACCGACACTTTCCTCTACGACCAGGCCTGCCTGAACGACAAGGGCGCGCTCTTCTCATGCCCACCCAAGGATGACGCTCCGGCTGTGCTCTTCTATCGCCCACACGAAACCTGGACGCAGCGGACCGACTGGCGCATCCAGCTGCCCAAGGGAGAGGCAGTCCTGGCCATGTCGCTCAGCGACAGGTTCATTACCGTCACGACAACTGGGAATTATGTAAGGATATACACGCTGTTTGGCATTCCCTATCGGGTGTACCGCCCCAAGAGCACGCCCGCCGTCTCCTGTGCGAGCTGGGGGGATTATGTCCTGACCATGGGCAACGGCCCTGTCGGCGCGGACGGCATGTGCCGGCTGCTGTACACCATCGAGAACATCAAGCGGGACGAGATCTGCCAGAACGAGGACACGGTTGCACTCCCTGAAGGAGCGACCGTCAAAAACGTCTTCTTCTCTGACAGCGGCGTACGTTGCCCCCCCCCCCCCACCCTCCTTTATTCCCACTCGTCACTAACATCCCCCCAGGACCCCTGCATCTACGACTCAACAGGCACGCTCCTGACCCTCCTCCACTGGCGCGAGCCATCCCGCGCCTGTTGGATCCCGCTCCTCGACACCAAGCTCCTCCCACGACTCGCCTCGGGCCGCAAAAACGAAACCTACTTCCCCATCGCCGTCGCCGACAACAAGTTCCACTGCATCATCCTCAAAGGCGGCGACCAATACCCCTATTTCCCACGCCCCCTCCTCTCCGAGTTCGACTTCTCCATCCCCCTTGCCTCAGCCCCCCCAACCAAGAAGCAAAAGAAGGCCAAGCCCCCCAAAAAGAAACCCACCAACCCCGGCGGCGGCGGCGACGACCTCGACGAGGACATGCTCTCGGCCGACGAAGCCCCCTCCTCCCCAGAAGCCCCCTCCGACAACGACGACAACGACGACGACGACCCCTCCACCGGGGACGCCGAAACCCTGGCCCTCACGCAAACCTACCTCCAGAAATCAATCCACACCGCCCAACTATCCGACCAGGTCGCCTCATCATCCTCCTCCTCCACGGCGTCGCAGCGCGCGCGGCTCGCGCGGCTGCAGCTGGACGTCGACAAGGCGCTGCTGCAGATGCTGGCGGTGGAGTGCCGCGAGGGCGGCGAGGACCGCGGCATGCGCGCGCTCGAGATGGTGCAGCTCATGCGCGATCGCTCGGGCCGCATGCTGGAGGCGGCGGGCAAGGTGGCGGAGCGGTACGGGCGGGCGGTGCTGGGGGGGAAGATTCGGGAGTTGGGGGAGTTGGGTGGGGATGATGGGGAGGAGGATGGGGATGGGGATGGGTTTGACTGAGTTTGGCTGTGTTGGGGTTTGGGTTTGGGTTTGGGTTTGGGTTTAGGTTTGGCGTCCGACCTGCCTGCTTACCTATACACGCCTGTTTGTTTATTTACCTGTCTGCCAGGGTCTTGATGTTAAGGGAGCCAGGACTACCTAGGTGGGGCTGTGATGATGTTTGAACGAGACTGCTTTTCTCTATATACTTTGTTTGACTGGGCTCTTGGTTTGGCTTGGTTCCGTGGCGATGGTGCACATACAAGACGTCCCGTGTTTGGTTTGGTTTGGACTACGGCAATGGCATTGATGATGGGCGGTTTGATAGCATGACACGTATTCTGTATAGTATGGCCCTCACCAACTCCCGGTTCATCAGACTAAGTTACATGGGGGGAATAGTCTAAGTTGTCGGTTCCCGGGAAGTTGAGGGAAAGTGTAGATCGTGGAAACAGAATCGTGTCGATGCGTTTTGTTAGCTCCCGAAGTTTATGCTTCCTTCCGTTAAGGCTTCCACGCCTGGTGATTATGGTTCGCATTTAATACCCGTGGTGGGGGTGCCAGGTTACTCAACAAGACCGGGCCGGACTGAGGCGAGAAAGGAGGCATCACCAGGCTGACAACGAACGCGTCGATCACCTCCCGAGCTAGCTGTTTAATGCGGCCCGTCACAATTCAACGCTCGATAGTGACGGGAACTACCTTTGGGAACTCACTACACCACTTTACCTATTCCGGTAAGATAAACCGGGAGACCGCAGAAAACACGATAGATGCGGGTATTTTCTTCCCTTTCCTCCGCTGGGTAACTCACGCAAGGCTCCGGGCCCATCTGCGTTCGGCTGAACGCTTACCGCTACCACACCAGTGACCTCTACACCCGGGAGTGCTGGCTTGGCGCATCGGGAAGTTTGAAACCCAAAGGAGATGGGAGCCGGAGCAACGTTCGTGATATGGCCAAGAAAAGGAGGCGGCCACATGGAATACCGAGAGGTCTGTATGTAGGTGATCATGCGCCCGGGGCGATCGGAGGGAGGGGTGAAACATGGGCTGGCAAGTCCGGGCGTGCCATGCTGTTCTCGGATGCGTATCGTGCACGCCGGGGGCCGCTATTCTCATCCTTCTGACCCTTGCACCAAGCTGGCGTGTCGGTACCAAAAAAGAGGCGGAAACATGAAGCTTGGTTGGGGCTCGCAGGGGCGGGCCGGCGGTGGGGGGCAGCGCCAGAGAACCTTCGTGTGTCACAGGATGCAGCTCGTCGGCACCGGGCCAACAGTTTGCAGGGACGATGAAGATGAAGCTGAAGCGGATACGAAGTACCTAAAGCTGTCCATCCCAATGGCTAGCTGTTGGACGGCTACCTCTGCCCGAGAGAGCTGAGGCGGCGGGCGATGCACGCACGCGGCAACTACAGAAAGGGGCGCAAGTGTCAACCTCAGCTCCCACCATGCGCCGTTGGAGGGGCAAACTGGAAGGAACAGGTCATCCAATAGGATCTCGATGTCGCCTTGTTCCTGACATGCGGCCGCCGTTGAGATGCCATTGCTGGAAAGCTGTGCCGCTCAACCAGCAATTCGACCGCATTGGGACGGCTCGGTTCGGCTGACCGAAGATAGATGGGAGTTGGCGCTGTCCGAGCGAGATCGAAGGGGGTTTTGGATTGTTTTGGATTGATTTTGTTGCTCGTTGAGCCAGAGCCATTGAGTTTGGTAGCAGTTGTTGGTGATGGTGGCACAGACAATGCAGGAAGATCAAAATGGAAATGTTGAAATTCAAGGTTCGGCGGAGTGGGTTCCCCGCGTTCGACCTGGGGTGCAGGCAGGAGCCGCCTGCCGCGAGCCAGGTAGGGACCTCGCTTCCCCATCACCCCACGGGCAAAAAGAGTCGGACCCCAAGCGCATTTCACACCTACCTTACCTAGTCGACCAAACACGGATCGTAGGAACGAAACCCGAAAGTCCTAGAAGGCTATATTCACTTTTTTCCCCCTTCACTTTCCTTCAGAGTTCGACGTTTTGTTGGCGTGCCAGGGCCGAAAACAGCTTTGTCCCGCGCGACCTGTCGGAACCGAACATCGGGCCTGAGAGCCATGCGCCCTGCTGCATCAAGTGTCCTTTTTGGGGGGCAGGTGGTCGCTCGTGTCGGCTGATCGACATATCCCGTGCAAATAAAACAGTCCATAGTAACTAAGTAACTGACATACCTAACAGGCAACAGACAAATCACGATGCGCCTCAACGATTCTGGGTTGTGGGTGGTAACTTTTTCCTCCGATATAAACGTAGGTACCTCGTTACTGTATGAAGTAACTACCTCGGTATGTACCACAAACGGTGCTCGAGCATCCACACACCCCAGCGGCTCCCGTCAAGTGGACACATTTGTGATCTCCATGTTGGCGTCCACCTTTCTGCCCGCATCACCGACTTCCGCATCCCACTTTCACGTTGCATTTGGTCGCGGGGTCACGGAGTTCTCGCCGGGCACAGTAGTGACAAGCACCCAGCAAGGGAAAGAGGTCAGGAGGGAACCTCTTGTGTAAGTTCAGGTTAACCGTCCATGCCAAGGGGGTATGTATGCGGAGATACCTTCACAGCAGCTAGGCTTCTACTGTGTACTTGGAGAGGGAGGCAATTCTCGAGTTTCTCGGTTTAGACCGACTGTTTCATGATCAAACCTTCCCCGTGTGTGGCAAAGCATGACAGGGCCACAGCTTGAAGATCGCCATGTTAGCTGCGTTGATGAGAAGCCTGGAAGCCAACCTGACTCGGGCCCCAGATCCGCACTCCGTATCCAAATTCAGAACCCATGCCCGTGCCGGCCAAGACCGGTGCCGCTGACAGTCCCGCTTCCCGGGCCCACCTCAGTTGAGACCTTGATGCGGATTCGTTACACAAGAGTTCTGGATTCTGAGTGTGGGTGTCAGTCAAACCGAAAAACAGAACAAGGCCAACGAGCATTATAGTTAACGTTAACCGAACTTCAAGACGAAAGATTGCTCGAGTGCTGGATTCCCATCCCGCTGTCCGTGCCAAGTTCCCCGATGTCGATTGGCTCTCGGAGGCCTGCAAGACACCCACCACGAGCATTTTCTTCATGTGGCGCCGTAAAAAGGGAAGGACACGGAGCTCAGGCAGTGATCCAACAATTAAACTGCCCCAATCTGGCATGTCCCCCCGGCCCGCCGCGTTTGGGCTTCTTCCGCCACTAGCTACACTTAGCATCGGTTCCTTTTCCTAGTCTGCCGCTCGAATGGCAATCGTCTGCCGTTGGAGACTCCCGGTCCGGAGGTCGTTCTGGTTCTGGTTCGACAAGGAGTTCTGGTTCGGGGATTTAATCAATCCTCCAGCCTTCTCGAACATGGAACGGTTCGGTTCAGTCAGATCTTGGGGCAGAACGCCCGGGCCACATCCGCCCTATCCAGACAGCGGCCGTGCCCTCGCTCTCCACAGTCTGCAACCTAGCCAGTCGTGCCTCTTGACGGCGGGATCACAGCGGGTCGTGAAGCTCTGCACGGACATTTTAGTACCACGGCTGCAATGCGATGCAGCCCCTCACCCTTCCATGACACCCTTGACAGCTGGGGGAGGCTTCCATTGCAGCGCTTCCATCCTCTTTTCCATCCATGCCTCCCGGGCAGTCTCACCAACCAACCTCTCCAATCCACCGATACAATGCATGTTTATACCTTTTAGGTTGCTTTCCACGCACAAAGCAGCCGATCAGGTTATTAACCAGTGCTCGTATATACTTTCTTCCAACCTTTCTCTCAAACAAAACATACACATCCTACTGTCTGTCACTTGAATCCATCTCTTCGATTCTTTTCTTTTCTTGTGTATCCACCAAACCCAAACTGTACACAGTATTTTACTTGCAGGAAGCACCCCCTGACGGAGCCTCTGAGCGACCCCCGGGATCGCCCCTTGTGCAGTTCTACCAATCAGTCAACTTCAAGAACCTCTATCCGTCTCCATTGCTTTAGCCCCGAGTCCCTTGCGCCACCCGGCAGCGGGACCAAAATCCGAAAGAACATCTCGCTCCACTCCAGAAGCATTCTTAAGATTCTCTTCCCCTTCTCCGCCGCTTCGGTCGCATTCCGGATCGACCAGATTGAACACTGCAAGACACACACGCATCCATCCCATCGTGCCGACTGCCGAGTGCCGACTACCGACCGCTGCCAACAGCATTCGAGGGAGCTCCCTCCAGCCTCGAGAGGAAACCACCTTACCTAGTCACCAGTGAGAGAGACCGTGTACGAGAAAGAGCTGCGAATTCACAACACGAATCGTCGAATCCTCCCGGACACTTGCTAGCCGTATTCAACGCGACTTGCCGGCGCGCAAACCACCAAAACTGCGCATTGCAAAGCAATGAGGTAGGCCCCTGTCTAGTCTTCCTCGCAAGTGGTTGCTGCTTGCTTGCCTGCTCGGGCCCGGTTCCTTTTGCGAGCTGCTTGCTTCTGGCTGGCATTGCATTTGCGTCGAGAAAGTGCGCAGTCGCATACGCCGCCGCCCCGGTCCCTGCAGGCCCACTCCCCCAGTCTTTGGCTTTTTCGGCTCGTTTCTCGCTGCTGTTCACGTTGCTGACCGAGGAGCCTGTGTCAACGTTATAGGGCAGATGGCCGCTGCTACTGAAAGTGCGCCGAGGATCCATTCCACCGAAGCCTCGGACTCTTCAATGGGTGTGAGGACAATTCCTATCATCGCGCCGACCATCCAAATGTCTACACCATCCCCGGGAGAGCCCATGGATATCACGACCCCGACGGGCTCGTCCGCCCCGGCCTCGGCCACCAAGAGCCCGGACCGCGACGTCAAGGTCAACGGGGCCGCCACCAACGACCGACTGCAACCACCCGCTCCGCAACACGAACAACCATCCCACGACAACACCATGCCAGCGCCAGCCGTGACAGCGCCCGCCGTCCACCAGCCGAAGGTCCAGACGGCCTTCATCCACAAGTTGTGGAGGTGCGCTTCCTCTCCGACCCAACCTGGCTATCGCCGCTAAACCTCGTGACAGCATGCTGGAAGACCAAAAGATACAACATCTAATCTCGTGGACGGCGAACTCGGACAGCTTCGTCATTCAGCCGTCACACGAGTTTTCCAAAGTGCTTTCGTAGGGAGATCCTGCCCATTCGCCATCGCCGCTGGTCGTTTCTGACACAAGATAGGCAATACTTCAAGCACACCAACATCTCGTCTTTCGTGCGCCAGCTGAACATGTATGGGTTCCATAAAGGTACGGTTCGGGGATGACCCGTTTTTGGCGGTATTGTGGACTGTTGCTGACAGCTGGGATAGTGAGTGATGTCTTCGCGCACGGAACGCCCGACTCGACCATGTGGGAGTTCAAGCACGGCAACGGCAACTTCAAGCGGGGAGACATGATTGGGCTGCGCGAGATCAGACGTCGAGCTTCTCGCCACGCGCTGGTGCACAGGGAGTACAACAACCAGAGGCCGCCGCCGTCGCAGCCCGGGACGCCCTCGGAGCCCGTACCGCCCGCGCATGAAGTGACGAACCCGAAATTGAGCAGTATCGAGCACACCCTTTACGACCTGAGCGCGCGGCTGCAGCGCCACGAGGAGAACGCCCAGTTCATGCAGGTCAAGAACGAGGTCATGATGGACACGGTGGCCCGCCTGCTGCAATATAACCAGGATTTATCGCGTGCCGTCCTGGCTCTCACCCCCAACCCAGACAACCCGATACATCGGGACGGTAAGTGTTTGCCGTTTCCCAGGTTTGGTGGTACCAGTATAGCCTAATATTTTCTCCGATGGTAGTGGCGGCCCTGCAGTCGGATGTCCAGCGGCAAATGGATGTGTTCCGCACTCTCGAGCAGCCCCACGAGCCCGTCTTTGCCAGCACCCGCCCCTACTTCGCCAACGTGGAGAACGCTCCCGTGTCGCCGCGCCAATTACCCCAAGACGATCCCCGCAGAAACAATCTCGCGGTTCCCCAGCCGCGGCAATCCAATTACTACCGCCCCTCGGTACCCTCGAACTTGTCTATTAGCACCCGCCGCCCATACGGATCGATAGGCGGCAACAGCACACAATCCTCACCGTCATCGATCCGTGTCCAGCCGCCCCCGCCCCCGCCGCCCGGGCCGCATCCCTTGGCAAACGTGGAGCTTCCCCCTGGTAGTCTCGCGCGGCGGCACACCTCGGCCGACATCCGGGCCCACGGGTGGCAGCCGAACCCGCCTCCGTTCGCGTCCGGCCCTCCGTCGTCGCAGTGGCCGTCGTCGCCTAGCCGCCTCGCGCCCGGCGACGACCAGCGCATCCGCGATTCCTTCTCCCACTATTCGCTTCAGCCCGCCTCGCAACCGCACTCCCGCCCGGCGACACCCCCGCTGCCGCACCTGTCCAACGGCGGCCCGCCCCCCGGAGTGGACACGTTTGCAAACTGGTCGTGGAACTCGGCCAACAACCGCAGCGACAACAGGAACCTGATGGTCAAGGACCACTCGGCGCCGCCTACGCGGAGAGGCAGCATGGCCCACATCCTCAACCCGACCGATACGGCCGAGCGCGCAGATGAGGACGGACTGGATCCCAGGGGAGACGACGATCGGAAACGGAAGAGGTTGCAGTAAAGTAACGCACCCTCGATGGCCGTCTTTACCGGATGGGAAGTTATTCGACCGTATGTTCTTCGACAATGTTGAACCGAACTACGCCACAATCTTTTTCTTCGATTTGTCTCTTGTTATCATTGTAATTTTAGCGGCCGGAACATTTCGCTTCATGACACCGACAGCTCCCAACCACTAGGGAATCTAATACCACCTAATTAGCCGTCAGTTTTTTTTACTTTCCTGTCGCTTTAACAGAAACCAGGGTGGAGCAGATTGAGAAGGTGTACGCTACGGCTCTCTCCCTCCTTTAGCGTCGATTTTCTGTCTTTCGTTCTTGGCATCTATCTCTATGGGGGAGGGCATTCTAGGCCGGGTCTCCCGGGGGGTTACCGATATAAAGGCGGCGAGGGGATCGGGTCCGATCCGGTCCGGTCCGGTCTGGCCTCGCGTGTACTATGATCCTGTCTCCGGTTGAGCGCACGAGTCGAGTCGGTGGCGGTACTATCTTGCATGGCTTCCAGAGGCAAGCGGGTGGGCGGGAAAAGCGTCTCAATTCGGCTGTTTCTAAAGTATGACTTTGCCAAAGGGTTTGTGTTCGACGCTCATGTCTGGATAATGTACTCGTAGTCGAGGCTAGTTAGCAATGGCTCCTTGGTTGTGTACTCTGTGTTGTTTGCTTCGGGGTGGTGGGCGGTTGTGTAAAGTAGGCGGTCTTCCGTGTAAGATAGGCGTTTACTCTTGCTACTTGTGGTTGTGAAAAGGGGTGGGTGTGTTTGCGGGAGATGTAGTCATCACGATGTATTCCTACGGCTTGCGCAATGTGAGATTCAATGTAAGCATCTTAGACAGGGAGGCAGCTGGTGTGCAAGCATCGCACTCTATTAGCACAACTCTATGATCTCGATCCTCAGTCTCAGGCCTCGACTTCAGCCTTCCTATCTGTCCCCTTCCTCTTCTTCTTTCTATTCTTCCTTTTCTTATTCTTCTCACCGCCCACCCGTTCTTGCACTGTCGTCTCTTGCAGCCCATCCTCCCGCCCTTCCCCACCAATGTTCACATCCCCCATAACAACATCACCGCCACCATCCACCACCAACCCCACCGCCTCCTCCTCTCCCCTCCCCTCAGTCCCTGCCTTCGGGGGAACCCCACCCTCAGCATGAGAAGCAGACACCCCCGCCCCTTCAACACGCGCCCTCTTCCTCCTCGAGGACGGCCCTCCCTCCCCCTCCTCCTCCATCTTAGCCCCCCGCTTCCTCACCAACGCCCCCCTCCCCACCTCCTCCTCACTCTCACTCTCCCCCTCCTTCCCACCTCCACCTCCACCTCCACCTCCACTCCGACCCCCCCAACCAGCCCCCTTACCACCCCCACCAACACCCCCATTCCCTTTCCCCTGATACCGCTCCCGCTCCGCCAGCTGCCGCGCCGCATTGCGCCCCAGCACCTTCCGCCGCAGCACCGCCGTCTCCTTGTCGCCTTGGGACTGGGGCTGGGATTGTGCGGAGGGGGCGGCCGCATACCCCACGCCTGTGTTGGGCGCGCCGGTGCGCGACAGGTCCGAGTCGTCGGCGCTGTCGCGGCGGGGGTTGTCGTCCCCATCACCTAGGGATTTCTTTGGGGGTTTTTGGGTGGTGGTTGATTTGGTGGTGGTGGTTTTGAGGGAGGAGAACCCCCCTCCTGCTGCTGTAGTGGTGGTGGTGGATGGGGAGGGTGAGGCGGTGGGCCGGTGTTTGGCGAGGGTGGAGTAGATGCGCTGGTGCTTGGACAGGCCTAGGGCGATGCGGTTGAAGATTTGGTTGACGTCGGCGGCGGCTGGGGGCCGCGGGTTGGGAGTGTCTTGGTCGGTCATTTTGGTGTTGGCATGGGGTGGGATTGCTTGTGGTTCGTTGGTGGTTTGGTGGTTGTGTGTGAGTGAGTGAGGGACTGAGAATGGTCGAAAACTGGGATGTGAAATTCTCCCCGTTTTGTTACTAGTATTTGTAGCGGACGGGTGAGCGGTAATTCGTTGATTGATGGGTTAAGAAATCCTTAATCTACTACACGTGGGATGGTGTCCGTACTATGGAAGGTTGATGTGTTTCTTGAGAAATGTGCAGTTTGGGAAATTTCAAGGCTTATCTGATATCGGTCAAGGAGTGATATGCGGTTAAGCCACATGTGAGGGATATGCAACTACCCAACTACACCAAACAAGTCTCCAAACATATATATATCCAAATCCCGGGCAGGTCTTGTAACCCATAATTTGCCAGTCATAACCATATAACTCAAGCCATCTCACCCTCGTCGGCCTCAAAGAAGGCAACCGGCACACCATGTCCCGGAGCACCCACGATCTCGGCCTTGTGAAACTGCGCATGCCAGTCGCCGCGATATTCCAACCGCTCGTACTTTTGGAGGAGTCGCACGACTGTAAGTTTTGACCAAAGGGTTAGCCGTCATACACCTACCGGACCAAGGGAAGAAAGGCAGGGGAATGATAAAAGGAAGAGAAAGAACCCACGAGTAAATGCCATCTCCGTCATCGCAAAGTTCTGCCCCACGCAAATCCTCGGCCCCCCATTAAACGGCACATACGTCCACGACTTGGGCGTCCACCCATCCCACCGATCAGGACAGAAAACCGCCGGATCCGGAAACCCCTTCTCCCCCACCCCCTTCCCACCCTCACCCCCACCCCCAGTCCCAGACCACCCCGGATACAAATCCGCCCTCCTCTGCATCGCCAGCGTGCTATACACCACCACATCCCCCTCCAACACCACAATATCCGGCCTGCCCACCCCGCCCGGCAAGCTCGTATCACACAGCGCCGCGCGCAGGTTATACGGCACGGCCGGGTACAACCGCAACGTCTCATTGAGCGTGTGCGTCAGATACGGCAGGGCCTTCAGGTCGTCGTAGGAGGGCGCGGCGCGCGGGCCGACCAGGCCCAGCACCTCGCGCCGCAGCCGCGCCCACACGGCCGGGCAGCGCGCCAGCTCGTAGATGGTCCAGGATAGCGTGGCGGCGGTCGTGTCGCGGCCGGCGATGAGCACGGCCATGAGTTGGTCGCGGATGGCTTTGGCGTCGCGGGTGGTGCGGGCGAGGTGGTGCAGGAAGGTGGTTTCTTTGTTGTTGTTGGGGGTGAGGTCCGAGGGGGGGAGGGAGAGGGTGCGCTCGATGAATGGGGAGATGAAGCGCTCGAGGGTGCGGATGCCGCGCGTGTAGCGGTGGGTGGGGACGAGAGCGCGGAAGGGGCTGGTGGGTTTGGATGGGTTGTTAGTTGTGTGTTGGGGGTTTGATAATTCTGAGGGGAGAAAAAATGGGGTGGCCTACGCCATGATGGTCAGCAGCATTTGGATTCGTTGGACGTCTTGGAATGCGGCTACGAATTCATGTTTGGGGCTGAGAACGTGTAAGCAACGGGAGGCTGCATAAGATTCGGGGGTTGGGTATCTGACTTGTTCAGGCTGTCGACGCTCCCACCCAGCAGGAAATCGGTCGTCACGTCGAGTGTCATGCGGTAAAACAGGTCCATGACGTCCACCGTCTGACCCGAGGTTGGCAGCTTGCTGATGAGGGTCGTAGTCCACTTGTCAAATATCTCGAGGTCTCGTACGCGGTCCTTGATGAACATGGGCCGGATCAGGGCCCTGCTCTCGGACCACATCTGGCCGTCCGTGGTGAAGATGGAATCGCCCAGGAAGGGGCTCCAAGTCTCGTGGAACAGCTCACCCTTACCATACTCGCGGAACTTGGTGGTGAGTATCGTCTTAATGTGCTCAGGCTCCCGCGTCATCAAGAACCGGGACCGGCCAAGAAAGGCGATCTCGACACAGTTGGGGCATTCTGGCGTAGCCCATTTGAAAATACCGTTGTAAAAGTGGTCGAGCCTGTCCCTCGTCTGGGAATAGCCGGCGTTGAGGAAGAACGGAAGGGCTGGATTGGTTAGCCACGGTATTCATTTGAACGATGAGAACCCTCACCTGTCAGAGGATTCGTTGCTAGGACGGGAGCCCGGACACCGCCCAGCTTGCGGATCTTGTAATCAACGAAGAGCTTCCGGGACAGAAAGAAGATGGAAAGACAGCCCAGCACGAGGGCTGACGTATGCAGCGGGCCGAGGGCAAAGAGAAACTGGAGCATTTTATACAACGCGTTGTAATCTCGAAACCAGTGGTTAAGAGATCATATTGTGAGTGCTCGATAAGGGGCCGGGAAGGCAGTCAAAGATATAAAATCAATTCACAACGGCTGGGAACCTTGGGAACCTTGGGAACTTTGGCTGGTCTCCGTCTCTTATGGTAGTGTCAAGCTCTGGCATAAATATCGTCGCCCATTAGAGAAATTGAGCACATGTTGAAGTAAATCGAGGGACCGCGGTTGCGGAGTAATCCCGCCACTTCTCCGCATCTTTATACAGGAGGAGTGTAGCAGTGGGAAATGTCGGAGGTGGGTATTGGGCGATCTCTAGACATTCCCGATCCAGCAAAACCCACCGAAAACTCTCGAGAAGGCCGGTCATCTGAGACACCGGGTGCACGGTTCCCGGGGTATTTCTTCTTGGTCTATTCGTACTGTCTGCTTGGTTTAGCCAAGTTCGTCTCTTGTTATTAAGCATTAAAGCTGCATAAATATATATTATATACCAACAAATCAAAGAGAACCCAGTGCAAGCCGATATCTACCTTATATTTCATCTTACATCTGATTCCACCCATAGTCGTTAGGTTGTCATGGGTTGCGAGTAGTCCCAGTTGTGCCCATCCAAAAGATAGTTCTGTATCTGCCACCTACCTACCTGAGGTGCCTACCTAGGTATATACACATATCGGGGACTTGATTGATTTGAAAGGATAAGTTCAGCCAGGAGCGAGTGCCCGGAGCACCTCACAAGGTACGACGACGTGCAAGCTTGCGACGCCAGAGAGCGAGTTATGAAGTCCAGCCACGCCTTCGTTGAGGCGGTGCTTAGGTACCTACATACCTTAAGCTCATGAAGCACGGTAGGATTTCGAATCTAAATCTAGAACACTACCTATGGTACGGCAAACAAGGGGAGAGACGATGGATTTATGGGAATTCGTCGATTACCTATGTTGAGAGGAAGGGATCGACATGAGCGGAAACTGCAACCTCCGTTGCGTAAGTAGTCCATAGGAAGCGTCAACTTGGGGCTGCGCGGCTGCGGATGCCCGCTTGTGCCAGAACTGGAGCCTGCTCCGAGTCCGATGCGCTCAGAACTTACTTTACGTCGTAGCTCGGTGTTGAGCGCACTCGACATTGATGAGGATTCGAAAGCTGGACGGCCACCTGGCTCTGGCACGTACATGTACATACTGCGGCCACTGCAGTTGGCTACCTTATATAGCGTCGGATCCTTCACCCAGAAGTTAGGTAACTCTTTTGTCGATTACATCCCTGCTACATACAGCATTGCTATTCCGGGATTTGGGCATACCATGTGCCGCGTAGGGCTGAATTGAGATACACACCCAACCCACGCTATGCCCGTTATTAGCTCCCTGTCATTATCTGGGTGAAGCAATCCATCTTTCCCCATTCCTGGTGGTTTTTTTTGCTATGATGACGCCCATAATCAATGAATACGGAACCTAGCTCCGGTATCTCCTGGTCTGCACTTTGAAAACCGTTTCATTTCTTTGTTTTATTTTATGAAAGTCGTGACCATGGTTCTGAGATTTATTCCAAAACAAGATGATGGGCATCTGTGTTTGGTGTCATTGGCCAAATAATTAATACATGCATCAGTTTCTAACTTTCTGCCTAATCGACCACTCGACGCAACAGAGGATAAACACACCGCAATATGCAAGTTGCTTACTGTGTACCGGGAAGTGTCCACCCCAAAAAACCGAGTTGGGGGCCGGGATTGTTTGGGTATCCGGCTGCCTAGACCGGACTGGACGCCATGGAAGTCATCGTCTCACTCCCATCACATATACAATTTGTCCGACGGCTCAGGCAGCAGGTTTTCAATAAGCAGCAATTCGATCCGACGATTTCGAAATAAAACCAACCATTCGTGTTGCCTAACAGGCAAATACGCTAAATCAGAGCGAAGGGGCCGATTCAAACCCCTTCTCAGGTTCCCAGTCATGGATGGAACTTGACATCTTTCCTGCCTATTCGTATCTCGCAACAAACCCGAACATTCCCGTAATTCTAACCGCCTTGCCCCTTCACTACCACCATGGTTAACTTGGAATGGAACCATTTCGGTCCGATCCCTCCAATTGAGGTTGAGGCCATAATTGAAGCCGAGAAATTCTGTCGGGAACTCGCCGAGGCCTTCCCGGCCTTCGCGGCCGATTTCAATGGCAAATTCACAGCATGGCAGAAGAAGTGGTTTGACCCCGAGCGCCCAGCATCATCTAGGTAACCACCCTGCCCACGCTGCCCCCCCAACGGGGAGTATTGGTAGGCTGACCATGATACGGTGGTAGTGCCCTAGAGCGCTGCGAACTGCCAGAGTACGACCCTCTCCTGTTCTTGGGGCCCAAGACAATACCCCTCGTAGTATTCGAGCTGTCCAAGCCCGGGAACTTTATCGCCACCACCCTGTGTATGCACCAGACCTCCCACCCCAGCCGCTAGGCAGTACCTATCATACCAGTTTGATTAACCAGACATACCCACAAACTAGACAACCACCTAGAGACGGACAAGCACGCCAAGGTCGACCCAGAAGACGTCCTCAACCACCTCACCCTCAACCGCCACGCCAACCTGGTCGTCGAGCTGAACCGCGAGCGCCGCCAGCGCGCCCGGGTGCACATGGAAGCCTGGAAGGCACGGCGCGCCCAGAACCTCACCAACCCCCCCTCCTCCTCATCGGAAGAGAGCAGCAACACCCCAGCAGCAGCAGACCCCGACACGGCCTGCCCGGAGTACGACGCGCTCGTGGCGATGGGGTCGGGCATCATCGCCCACGTCATGCTCGAGTACAGCCGGGACCGGGCCGGGCCCTGGCACAAGCTGATGCACCAGCTGGTGTGTGAGAGGCCGGCGATGGATGTAGATGGTGGTGTGTCACTGGGGGGAGGAGGAGGAGAGGGCGAGTATGAGCGGTGGCGGGATTGGTTCGAGCATCAGGAGCATCATGAGGCGAGCGGGGGGCTGACGCCGGGGTATTTGAGGAATTGTGGGACGTGGTCGTGATTGTTGGTAGGGTTGTAAAAAGTGTATTAGTTTGGAATGGCGTTGAGAGAGGAATGTAGCATATAAAAGGGGATTAAGACATGTCTTGAACTGTAACGTAACCCTAACCCGGGGAGCCCCGGTATGTCTCAAAACAACAAGGGGCGGGTACCAACGGCCCAAAACCGGGTTGAGTTCAGTTTCTGTCCAAGAGACTGGGGAGGAAAACAGGGACCTGGCGATGAATTTCTTCGAGCTTGGGAAGCATCACTGAAGATGTTTGTAGCTTGATGCGCCTAGGTTGGTGTCCATCCTAAATAAAGATGAAGATAATTTCAAATACCTAATTATCAAGGCCATACCTGTTGTAGGTGCCTCACGATTACGGCTGGAGCTTGTAACTGTGAGCGTGCTCTTCACAACGGTTTCTATTCGTTCTGTCGGAGAGAGCCGCAGTGTCACATCAATTTGAATCGCGGATTCGACCGACCCAAGTGCCGACAGATCGGGAAGGGGCACCGAGGGGCAGCAGTTGCGGGTGAGAAAACCCTCGGGCCCGAGCTCACCATTGGCTCGGAAATTCCCGCGGCCCAGAGTCAGCTCCAAGCCTGCCAACCGCGACGCTGAAGGATGGGGCCTCTGAGCGTCATTTCCAAAAAGTGACATCGGGCCCCCTTCGAACCAACACCACAGTATTTTGGCGATAGCATCCGCCACCTCTCTCCTCTCTCCGCCGTGCCCAATTGCAGAACCCACCAGAGTCTATTTACCCTATAAACTATCACCATGTACAGACTCGGTCGCAGCCGCGCATTGGCTTCGGCCTTTGCTGCGCCCAAGGTGCGATTGTGAAACCCGCCGATAAAGATGCTGACCCCGTTGGGTTGGGGGAAGCTCCCGAAGCTGATACTGATGCTGGTGTCAAACATAGGTTTCTCCCTCCGCTAGACTCCAGAGCATTGCGCAACAACAAAGGAGAGCTCTGAGCATCCACGAGTACCGTTCTGCCGATCTCCTCCGCCAGGTGAGAGGGGTCCCTGCTCAACCCCCCCTGTTCGAAGAAAAAAGAACGCTCACTGACACGGAATGGGCGGCATCACACAGTATGGCATTGACCTCCCCAAGGGCTCCGTCGCGACGACGGCCGCCGAGGCCGAGGCGGTTGCGAAGAGCATCGGCTCCGAGGACATGGTTATCAAGGCCCAGGTGCTCGCTGGCGGGCGCGGCAAGGGTAGCTTCGACAACGGGCTCAAGGGCGGCGTGCGCGTCATCTACTCGCCCACCGAGGCCAAGATGTTCGCCGACCAGATGATCGGCCACAAGCTCATCACCAAGCAGACGGGCGCCGGCGGCCGTCTCTGCAACGCCGTCTACATCTGCGAGCGCAAGTTCGCCCGCCGCGAGTTCTACCTGGCCATCCTCATGGACCGCGCCTCGCAGGGCCCCGTCATCGTGTCGTCGTCGCAGGGCGGCATGGACATCGAGGGCGTCGCCAAGGAGAACCCGGACGCCATCACCACCACCTACATCGACATCAACGTCGGGGTGACGGACGAGATCGCGCGCGGCATCGCCACCAAGCTCGGCTTCAGCGAGCAGTGCGTCGAGGACGCCAAGGACACCATCAAGAACCTGTACACCATCTTCCTCGAGAAGGACGCCACCCAGATCGAGATCAACCCGCTCTCGGAGACGTCGGACCACAAGGTCATGTGCATGGACGCCAAGTTCGGCTTCGACGACAACGCCGACTTCCGGCAGAAGGAGGTCTTTGAGTGGCGCGACACCACCCAGGAGGACGCCGAGGAGGTGCGCGCCGCCGACGCCGGGCTCAACTTCATCAAGCTGGACGGCGACATCGGGTGCCTGGTCAACGGCGCCGGCCTGGCCATGGCCACCATGGACATCATCAAGCTCAACGGCGGGCAGCCGGCCAACTTCCTCGACGTCGGCGGCGGCGCCACCCCGGCCGCCATCAAGGAGGCCTTCGAGCTCATCACGAGCGACCCCAAGGTGACGGCCATCTTCGTCAACATCTTTGGCGGCATCGTGCGCTGCGACGCCATCGCCCACGGCCTCATCAACACGGTCAAGACCCTCGACCTCAAGATCCCCATCATCGCCCGCCTGCAGGGCACCAACATGGAGCAGGCCCACCAGCTCATCAACGAGTCGGGCATGAAGATCTTCTCCATCGACGACCTGCAGAGCGCCGCCGAGCGCGCCGTACAGCTGTCCAAGGTTGTCAAGATGGGTGCGTCGCCTTGTTATCCGGATGGATAGATCCTGTTTTCTGTGTTTGTGTGTGTGGTTAATGCTGACTGATCTGTGTGTTTTTCTATAGCTCGTGACATTGATGTTGGCGTCGAGTTTACGCTGGGCATCTAAGAAGTCATCCGTCTGAGGTTGGTTTAGCAATATAGACTGGCTGGTCGATCGACAGGTTGATGAATAGGGCTTTGGAGAGGTTCCCTTTGTTTCCTACGGCACTGCTACTACTGCGGCTCTGCTTGTGTACATCCAACCTGATGATGCTGTGCATGTTGTAGGTAATCCGTGTGAGTCTGTGTGTGGGTGGGTGGGTGTGTGTGGGTGTTGGTGGCCAGGTTGATGTGTGAGGGGTTTAAGGGGAAAGAAGCGGGTTACGTACTACTAGACTTGACTTTTGGCAATGGCATCTTTCCTTGTTGTTGTATATGCTGTTTGCGTGGCTGTTTGATAAGTGTCACTGAAATCAACATATCTCATCTATTTCAGCGCATCGTTGTATGCGTAACGGGTTAATCAGGCAGGTCAGGGTGCCAAGCCAACCCACTTTCACCTCTTAACTCCCTCCCGTACCTGACTTCCGCTCACTTTATTTATGAAGCCCTTTTATTCATGTGCACCCACCCCACGATCGTGACAATCTGCCTTGGGAATTATGGAATGACAAAAGAACCCGCGCCCCTCGAATCACGCCAATAGCACACAACCTGCCCCCCCGGATCCCGAGCTGACGTCATGCAACAAACCCCGACTCCGGGCCCCGGATCTTCGATGCTCAACACCGACGACGCCCCCGGCGGGCCCTTGCCATCGTTTAGCGACTTGAGCCTGGCTAACAAAAGCGGCCCGTATGGCCTCTCCGGTCCGCAGTGGAGTTCCCGCGACCCCCGGACTTCGTCCACTCAGTCGTTGGTACCATCGACTGAGGATGGCGACGAGGACAACCGGAAACGGAGGCTTCTCGTCGTCTACATCCACGGCTTCATGGGGAACAACTCCTCCTTTCGCTCGTTTCCCGCCCATGTACACAGCTTCCTAAAGAACCTGCTGGCGGAGACCCATGTCATTCACACCAAGATCTACCCCCGATACAAAACCTACAAGTCCATCGATGTGGCATGTGAGAACTTTAGCAAGTGGCTGGCACCTCATGAATCTCCTACTACCGACGTGGTCTTGGTAGGGCACTCGATGGGTGGTTTGTTGGCTGCAGATGTGGTTCTGTTGGTGTGTCTCCAACACTGGTCTCCCTTCAAGTGCGTAGAATGAAAGGGCTGACATACGATCACCCCTAGCCACGCCAGAGCCCATACAACACAGCATCTCCCTTCCGCCATAGGATCTTAGGTACCATTTCCCTCGACGCTCCGCTGCTCGGTCTCCATCCCGGTATCGTGGTTTCCGGCATCGCCAGCCTCTTCCGGCCTGCCCCCAGCCCACCTGGAATGAACGAGGGACAACAACTCGACTACCTGCAACCCGCCCAGTCCCAGGGACTGTCCCCAGACCCATCTATCTATTCTGAGGTTTCGCCCCCATCGGGCGCTTCTTCACCCTCTCTCAACCCCTACCCGTCCAGCTCGACAGGGAGCTCTTCAACCCTGCCGCCCCGCGACCCTTACTTTAACCCCCCATTCCCCAATGACGTGCCTTTTGTCGACCGCGGCTGGTTCAAAAACGTTCTTCACTTTGCAACCAAACACAAGGAGGAGAATCTGGTTTACGCCGCCGCGAATCACATCGTGTCTCACCTCGAGTTTGGTGCCTGCCTGGCCGACTATCCTGAGCTGAAGTCTAGGTACAACAGGCTCAGACAACTGGAAGATGACGGCGACTGGAGCCAGCCGGGCCGCGTGCGTGTCCGCTTTTCCAACTACTACACCGTCTCGACGGGAGTCATCAAGAAACCCAGGACGCCCTCGCCAGACGGCGCTTCGGGTGGACTAGGCACGCGAGGAGAGTCTGGGAGACCGTCCTATGAAACCGACTCGCTCGCTCCGGCCCTCGGGGAGTCGACCGAGGAATCCCGTGTACGGACCCCGAGGATATCGGTTGAGGAATACAGCGATGGGTCAGAACGGGATAGCCTTCAAATGCTCGAACCCATGCCGGAGCCTGAGTTTGAGCCACAGCCTGAGCTAAAAGCTGAGTCGGAGATAAAGACTGAGCTCGAGCTTGAGCTTGAGCTTGAGCCTGAGTCTGAGCTCAAGCCCTCCAACCAGCCCGCGGAGCCACCCTCCCAACAGGAGGACAACACCCTAGGTACGGATCCCACGCCCACCGCCACACCCACCGACAACGACGGCCCCCCTCCTGAAGAACAACCCGCAAACCAAAACCCCGACCTCCCCCCAATCCCCTCCGTTCCCGCCCCTCCCACGCCCCCCGACTTGGACGCCTACCCCGACAAGGAATCCCGCAAACAAGCGCTCAAGACCTACAAAACCGCCGCCAAAGCCCACAGCCAAGCCCTCAAAGCCCGCGACAAGGCCCTCAAAGACCGCCAAAAGGCCCTCGACAAGCAGCAGCGCCAGGCCGACAAACTCGCCAAAAAGCAAGCCAAACTCCTCCTCCAAACCCAACCACCCCCCACACCAGCCGCCGCCGCCGCTGACGACGACACCAACCCCTTGAAAGAAAAAGAAAAAGCAAAATCCAAAGAAAAGCCCCCCCGCCTCCGAAAGTTCTGCATGCTCCCCTCCAAAGCCAAGGCCGGCCTCGACCCGGCCTGGGTCGACGTCTACATGGAGGGCGTCGACGAGGTGGGCGCCCACTGCGGCCTGTTCCTGCCGGGGCCGCACTACGAGCGCCTGGTGGGGGACGTCGGGGAGCGGGCGGCGCGGTGGGTGTGGGAGGACGCTTCGAGGCGGGCTGTTGTTGATGGGGGGTGATGAAGGGGGGGGGGGGGGGGGGGGTTGACGGACTGAAAGAAGGGAAGAAAGAAAAGAAAAAGTAAAAAAGGAGAGGGGGGTAAGTGAGAGAGGGATTGGGTGAGAGAGGGGGGAGAAAGGGTGAGGGAGAGGGTGGGAGGGAGGGTGAAAGAGGGGGTTGAGTGAGAGGTTGAGTTAGAGGTTGAGCAAGAGGTTGAGTTAGAGGTTGAGCAAGAGGTTGAGAGGGCGGGTGGGAGACTGGAGTTGAGTTAGAGAGAGGTGGATTGCGCGTTGGGCTCTGGGGTTATTTTGTCCATGGCATTGACTACGCAACTTAGCTACGATAGGAGGAGGTCTGTGTCCTGAATAATATAATGTGTATTGTATGTACTATGTTGAGCTCGTCGACAAAACGGATTGCCTTGTTTGGCCGGCTGGGGCTGAGTTGAACTCGGGGCGAGAACCGGCCAAATAAACAACCGAAGGAGCTCCACGAGACGACGGCGCCGCACTTTTGCGTTGGCGTATGCGAGGCACGACGGGGCGATGCACACTTGCGGCTCAAGTCAAGGATCGCTCCCGGGGACTGGGGAACCGGTCAGTAAGCCAATCCCTCTTGTCAATATGTCGGGGACCCTGTTGCTTGACCCCATTGCGTTGAAAGCACCGAGCAGCAGTTAACGACTCTACACCGAAACCAGTGTCTCACCGAACGCAAGCTTCAAAGTAAAGAAGGCGGGGCGGAATTACCCCTTCTGGACGCTACACCAAGCACGAACGACGTCGACGGGAACACGACAACACGCTGCATCATTATTGCATATATTTAGTGCCTATCTTGGCCCAGCGAAACGCGCTGCGGGCATAAAACCATAGATAGACGTAGCGAGGTAGGTAACAAGGTGCCCTCCCATCATATCATCCACTGCCGGCGCGTAATCGTCGTCGCTTTCTTCCAGACTCACACGTAACAAGAAACCGTTTTCGTTTGCCCGTGCCGTCGTCAAAGCCAAGTCCATCCTAGGACGACGTGAATGCCCCCGGCGTTCAAAATGCAGAAACCATCCCCGGAAATATAGCAAGGCCCTCTCATTCTTGGGAACCGGGTTGGAAAAAAAGATCAAAAAAAGCCAAACCCCAACGCCATGCTGAATGTTTTGTTGAAATGCAAATATGGGCCAGCCTCAGCGGCTCGACGCTCGCTGACCGGCGGTATGGTGGCTGTTCGCGCTGTGATGCCAACCAAGGAGGGATCGACCGCTCTGTTCAAGGTGTCACACCTCGAGTCCTAAACCCTCCTACTTCTTTTTGCCATGGTCGCGCTGGCACCGGCAAGCCCAAAATCTCTGACCGTCTTTGTTTTGGCTCGGTTGTCGCCCTTCTCTCGACTTCGATAAGCGCGCAGGACAAGGCGCGATGGAATTGTTCTGCGTTGCTGCGAGGAATGTTTCGTCAACCGAGTCACCAGGTATCACCCTGAACACTGATCAGGTGGCTGTTTCTGAAATGCGCTGCAGACAGGGTCTGCCTCTCTTGCGGCGCGGCTCGATAGACTGGGCGCATGGCTTGGCACCGGTGACGTCCTAGGTCCCGGTGATGCCAGCACTATAAGCCGGCTGCCGGGTTTGGTTGGAGTACGACTGGTGCGCTTGATGGGACTGTTTCTGGGTCAGCAAAGGTTTCTCATCAGACTGGATCGTAGTCATTGATGAGCACCTTTTTTCTCCGCTTTTGGCCAGAGACCATGTCGCCCTCTCCGGTCGAGTAACCGGTATCGGCGCCGGCCTCGTCGTCGTAACTCTCGCCGTATCCTTCGAAGCTGCTGTCACCGTAGCTTCGTTTCTTAACGGTCCGCATCGACCTGGATGCATCCTGCAGGAGGGGGGTGCCAGTCTTAGGCCGGGAGAGGCCTTGAGGGCCTGCAGAGGGGATGGGAGTGTTGGGCGCCGTCGGTCTAGCCGATAGTGCTTGTCTCTCGCCCTTGCCGGGGCCGAGTTCCCCCAGGACAGAACTATCCCACTGAGCCCTCGGGACGACGCCCTTGCTCATGGTCATAGCTCTCGATAGCTTCTGCTGCACCTCGGCGGTGAAGCCATCTCTGATATCCTGCCCCCGGACGTGTTGAAGATCCCAGACATCTTGGGGCAGCTTCATGAGGTACGACAGGCCGTACTCTCGGTTGGGGTCTTGCTTGTCCTCGTCGAAGTGGCCTTGCACGCCCAGCTTCTTGATGTGGCCTTTATACGTTTTCCTAAGCGCATTCTTTTCGCCGTTCGGCAGCACACGGGCAACCTCGATAGCGAGCCCCGTCAATCCATATTGCTCGAAGAGATCTTCCGACGCGTCAGGCCGGGGCCGGGGGTGCGCTGCAGAGTTCATGTTAACCAAAGTATCTGGAGAATTGAGAATGGTGTCGACGGATGATTTGATTCCCCCAGAATCACATCACAGGCGGGAAAGACATAGCGGACCACATGCGCCATGGTCTGAGCGGAGTGGGTACGCCGCCTGTTGCCACCGTGGAACGTGCCGGTATTTTTGACAGGTAGAAGGGAGTCTTACGAGTTCTGCAAAGAAGGTATTTTTCGCCGACATCCAAATGAAGGTCGTCGATACCAAGATTGCGGTCCTCGACGTGAACTTTCTTCTGCGCTCTGCTTCCCATGTCATCGACATCTCTCTTGCGCTTGTGCGGGGAGTCGTCTCCCATGGCGGTGTCTTGCGTCATTTCCGACGGTATCGAGCTTCCGTTGACGCTGTGGGCGGGGGTCGGCAGCGTGGTCGTGGTCGACGTGACGGAGCCGGTCATGCTCATCATCAGGTCGCTCGTGTTAGGAGAGAACTGGGAAGGGCTTTGCGGAGTCTGAGGATGACAGGACATGATGGACCGAGGATGCGCGGATGCGGTGATGTCGGATCGGGGCGGGTGGGCGTGGGAAAACCTTGGCGCGGAGGTCGCTCTAACTTGTGGCGACCCGGACAACAAAGAAAACCCAACTGAGGCGGTCGCTCGACGATGGCGCGGCAAAGAAGTCGGTGGCCTTGTCGGGAAACCGATTCGCTTTGCGGCGCCCGAATGAACGATGCGCGCGGTAGGAGGGGTGAAGAGGTGTGTAGTCGTGACGAAGTCGCGCGAAAAGGGCGACGACGGTAATCACCGATCCTCCAATCCACCAACGCTCCTCCTGCAAAGTCGGCGGGCGACAGAAAATCGAATCCAGAGGTTACTGCGAGTCAACGGAGCGGTCCCTGAATTGTTAAATCGATATCGACGCGGATCGCAGGCCTCGTGGGGGCGCTGGGCGATAGAAAGCGGTGTGCGGTAGGAGGGTTTGTCGATGATGACCGAGAGGTGTGAGTTGAACAGGCGGCGAGTTGAACAGGCGAGAGAGAGGAGGCGCTCATTCTTCCTGCTGGGTCGCAGAGAAAGAGTGGGTCCACCGCCCAGCCCATCCGGGCCTCCTCCCTTCCCCCCCAGGGCCACCATGCACGAGAAACTTTCCTCGCGTGACAACCAATCGGGTTTAAGCAGACGCTCGGTCACTCCTCTGCTCCCCCAGCTTTGACGGGTCGGCCTGCTCCGTGTACGAGTTTCCCGGAAAGATGGCTGAAAGGTCTTTAACCTGCTTTACATTAGAGAGGACAATAGGCCTTTGCTTCATTCACCATTTCGGGCCATTATTATTCTTTATGCTTCAGCCAATTGACATTAAATTGGCCAGGTTGGAGGGCGGGTTCGCTCATTTCATCTCACCGGCCGCTGTCACACACCCCCGGATGGACCTCAACAGGGCCCAGGCAACAGGGGGAACCGTGGGGCTGGCATCGAGCCCGAAACCCGGCTTTCCAAGTTGCTGGGCTGAACGGATCGACTTCAACGATCACGGGCATTTCGGGTTTGCGGGAGTTGGTATTTTACAGTAGATCTGTATCAAGAGACGTCTACTTATTTCTTCGATACATCAGTTACCAACACTGGTTTGTTCAACACACAAGGCGTTTGGCGTGCATTGACTACCTTAGTAGTTAACCTGCGACCGGTAGGTTGTTTGTTGCAACCCCCTCGCAAAGAATCGACGTGACTCCCAAAATCATAACTAAGGCAAGGCGTCGAAGTAACAAAGAATCCAAGGCTCAGCGGCACCATTAAAACCTGCGAGTTTAGTCCATCCGTGTTCCGTCCTCAGCCACAGCCACACATCTGACACGTTGTGCGGCCGAGTGACCTCGGTCGCCTGACTCATCGGGCAACCATTGTCGCCAGCCCAATCTCTCGTCACCACCACCAACGGCAGTGATAACCAACGCTAGTGTGCCGAGCGTGCGTCTCCAGCTTTGGTTGTCGAAAAAAACCGGCGTCGATTTCGGAAGTGTCGGCGTCGCACCTGCAGCCAATCCAGCCCATCCACCACCCATTTCCCCCTCCATCCACCAATCCTCCTCTTGCTCCAGGCCCATCCTTCCTTGCCACGCTCGACAAGCAAACGTTGGCAATGAAAGACAGAAAATGGATTCTCTTGGCGAGAAATGATTTTTTTCCAAAAATTCCCCAGCCAGCCGAAGCCAACTGAGAGCGGTCAGGTATGTAGTTTTCAACTAGCAAAAACGTGATCTCGGACGAATCCTCACTGATACACGTAAAACCCCTGCACTTGGATGGGGAAAAGAAGAAGAGAACAGGATCAAGATTCTGGGGCACGCACGATATTTTTATAGACAGGGTTAATGGCCCGTGCACATCTCCAATCAGGAAGTGGGGCTTTGTCGTGAGGCAACGAGCCTGGCGCTCGCCCCACCGATCAACTGGCAAGTGGCAAGCAGTGCCTGAACCACCTAAACCCAGTCACACTGATGACACTTTCCATCCCGTCACATGCATCACTCGGAATGGAAGGGTCGGGCAGGCTTGGGTGGCTGCTGCTGCTCCTGCATAATGAATGTTTGGAGCACGTTCCATAGTCGCACCACCTGACGCTGGTAATTTGAAACGGCCAAATCATGGGTCGCCAGTCGGTCAACGATTGTCAGGCCCATGTCTCACTTACCATTCTGGGATAAGAGAAGGCTATGCGCAACACCGAGTGCACCTCGAGGTTGAAAGGGTTGAGAAGATATTTGATAAAATGTTACATTTTACAGTTGCTGTACAAAGCAAACGACCCTTCACTCAACCACAGGCCGTTCCAAGCATATAGTACAGCGTAAATCCCAACCATCTAACTGCCTAACCCTTCCTCACCGGACGAGTACCTGTCCCAGCGTAGGTTTGGCGTTCAGCCCCTTAACAACCACACGCGAAATCAGATCGCTCGAGTGCTCCTTGATCATCTCCCTCAGCGCCGTGCGCTCAATGACAATCCTGCCTGTTTCCAGCAGATCCTTAACATCAACATCCTCCAGCTCCAGCGCGCGGCCGTTCTCCCCCGCAACGTCCAAGCCCGTAAATAAGTTGGGCCGCCTGTCGCCCGTGATGAAGGTGGTGCGGCCGTGGGCCCCGCCCCACTGCAGGGCGGCCATGAACTCGGCGACGTACTTGCTGACGAAGCCGTCCTCGAGCTCGCGGCCCATGACGCCCGACTCGGCCAGCTCGAGGAACTCCTCCGGCAGCGGCATCTCCAGCCCGTCCTCGGTCACGATCAGCTCGCCGCGCCGGTACCGGTACGAGAGCGCCGTGCGCCACGCCAGGTCGTACACCTTGCGGTTGAGCTTGGTGCTGAAGTCGCGCGGCTTGGGGCCGAACGTCTTGCCGCCGCCCTTCATCAGCGGGGACTGTTTGTTGCCCACACGGGCGCGGCCGGAGCCTTTTTGCGGCCGGAGCTTGCGGTGCGAGCCGTGTACTTCGAAGCGGGTTTTTGACGAGGCCGTCCCCTGCCGTGTCTTGTCGCCTTCGTAGACAACAGCTAAGTGGAGGATATCACGGCGGAGGGGAAGATGTAAGTGCTTGGCGGACCAAGATTCGAGCGAGCGCGGTTCGAGCGTGGGGAAGGCGTGGATGGTAACAGGGACGGTGGTTACTGTTTGAAGCCAGTTAGTACCATAGGTGCCTAAAACAGGAAAGTAGCCAACGAGCTGCGGAGCCGATGCACGTACTGGGATTCCACGGCTCGGTGACGGATCGTGTGATGTTCGTGGGCTTCGTCTCGACCGCGGTTGCCATTGATCTCCTACACGCCACTGAAACTTGCCGACCCTATTTCGAACGCCCCGACTGTCAACTAGAGGCGCAAAACCGCAGAGAAAAGGGAGACGAACCGGTAGGGCCCTGCATGGCTGTGCTGCGAGACTCAGACCCCTCATGGCCTCGCTCAGGCTCTTCATCCCCTTGCCGGCCATGGCCGCGGTGCGTCGCGCAGAAGTTGCAGTTGGTTCTGTGGTGGGGGATGGGTGTCTTCGAGATCGTCGTAAATATTTCGCCTGTTTTCGTTCACGAATTTACCATTCCCATCCACGGAGAAGTCCACCACTACTGTTGCTGATGTCCCGCGAAAAAAGATCTGGAGTCGCAGCGCACAGACTCCCCGAATCGCGGAGCTTTCCGACCCCTGCACGCAGCCTGTGCACGGGTCCCACGAAATTTCGTCTGGGGCGTGATTCTGGTGGCAGCAGCAAGACTCGGGCTCGATTGAGAGCGTCCCGCTCCAATTTTTCCAACGCCCAGTTCCCCTCCACCCACCACCATGTCGAGGCCTCAGCTGGTTGCACGGCCACTCGTGCGGTCGTTGCGGCAAGCAACCGGTACCACAGCGGCGACATGTCCATCACGGCCAATTGCTCTCCGACCCTTCTCGTCAACACCGAGCCGAAAAGATGAGACGACAACCACTACAAGCACCCCGACAGAGCCTAGCTCCGATGCGCAGAAGCTTGCCGCCGACGCAGCACTGCTGGGCCAGAAGAAGCCCCCGCCATACCCCTCGATGATCAAGCAGGGCACCGAGGAGCAGCTGTCCCAGTTCATGGCTCCCCAGCTCGGTTCGAGGAGGAGGCGTGCAGCTCTCGCCACGACGGGCAACATCCCCTTCGAGCAACTGCCGTATCAATGCTTTCAGGAGGCACGCAAGATCCTGGCCCAGGACCGTGAGGAAAAGGTGGCCAAGATTGTTGCCGAGACGGCAAAGATCAAGCGTTTGGAGGCGGCCGATGCTAGCACCTTCCGTGGTGGCGAGCCCTACAAGCAAAAGCGGTTGGAAAGTCTGAGGGCGCATGTTGAGCAGCTCAAGATTCTAGCAGATATCAACGATCCGCTAGTGAAGAGGCGCTTCGAGGACGGCCAGGGTATGTCTGCTGTCTTTTGGAACATGCTATCGCCTCCCGCTAACTCTGAGCAGGCGACATGAGCAAGCCCATCTACCGGTACCTTGCCCACCGCAAATGGAGCCGGATGGAGCGCGAGATTATCTTGCAGCGTATCGAACAGTTCCACATCGTGCCCGATCTGCTGCCCAAATTCCAACCGACCATGAGTGTCAAGATGACCTTCCGCGGCTACAAGACACCCCCGGGTACCATCCTAGACAGCCGCATCACCGAGACTGCCCCGACGCTGCGCATGCAGGTTTTTGACAAGGGTGACCGACTATTTTCCGTCGTGGTCCTGGACGCCGACGTGCCAGACGCCGAGACCGATTCGTTCCAAAAGCGCCTGCACTTTATGGCCACCAACGTCCCTTGGAGCCCAACCAGGGACACCCTCCCCCTGAGCCGGCTGGGTACCGAGTCTGCCACTCCTTCCCCTGAGCCCGGCGCTCTCGCCGTCCCCTGGCTACCGCCGTACGCGCAAAAGGGCGCGCCCTACCACCGCCTGGCCGTCTTTATCCTAGAGCAGAAGGACAACGCGCCGCTCGACGTGGCCAAGCTCCAAGAGATGTACGACGGCCAGGGGCGCGACGGGTTCAGCGTCAAGAGCTTCCGCGACAAGTTCCCCGTCACGCCCGTCGGCTTCACCATGTTCCGGACCGTGTGGGACGAGAACACGGCCGACGTCATGACCCGCCACGGCATCCCCGGCGCCGACCTCGAGTTCAAGCGCCAGCGCGTCATGTCGCTCAAGCCGCCCCGCAAGGCCCGCGGTTGGGAAGCCAAGCGCCAGGGCCCCAAGTTCCGCCACCTTTGGAAGTATACCAAGCGGATCAAGGGCGTCAAGTTTTAGAGGAGGAAGCCAGGGCCCCTGTGATTCGCGGTGGCGCGGCGGTAGAGGCGTGGTGTACTTGTATCATATTATCAGTGTACCAACTACGTATAAAATGTATTGGATTCGGGCTGTATCCGGGTCTGTGAATCAAAATCGAGTAAAGCAAATCCAATAAATAAATGAAATCGAGTAAAAGTAACAGTTTTTCGGGAGGTCTAGGTGGCTTCCATTTCGTTCCTACAGTCGGTTTGGTCGACATGTACACGTAGAGTCCGGCCTTTCTGCCCATAAGGTACCGGGGCAATGAACTGTATTGTCCCCCCCGTGTTGCTACTATAACAATCCATACACAGCTAGACATGTCTTACTCCTACACCTGCGCGACCACCCGCTCCACCGCCGAGCCAGCCCCCTATTCCAATACACCCCCTGTTTCATGGCCGTCATCGTGATCAATCCACAGACGACGCCATGCCGCCGACGGCCTCCGCGATGGCCCTCTAATCCATCCCACCACCAACCACCCCTAAGAACCAGTCCCAGTCCCAGTCCCAGCATCAGTCCCAGTCCCAATCCCAGTCCCCAACTCAAACCCAGCCCCAAACCCAAACCTAGCCTAAACAATCCCACCCCCACTCCCACCACCAACCGCCACAAAAGCCCTCCCCTCCCCCTCCTCACCACCACCACCCCCAACCCCCTCCAACACCCTCACCCTCCGCTCCGCCCTCTCCGCCCTCGCCCGCCACACCACACATTCCTGTTCCACCCGGCACAGCCGTGCTCTCACCGCAACCAGATCAGCAGCCATATCAGCGGCGGTGGCGGCGCCAGCCCAGTCATCATCAGTGCCAGGGTCGGGAGCAGCGTTGTCGGTTGGGGCTGCGCCCCCGTTCGTTTCGGCGGTGGTATGCACGGTGGTGGTGGTGTCGGGGTGGAAGAGCCTGCGGCTGGGGCTGGGGGTTGAGGTGGGGATGCTGTGGGTTGGGGTGGTTGTTGGGGTTTCGGGTGTGGTTTGATGCTGTTGTTGTTGCTCGGGGGTGGGGAGTAAAGGGAAGCGGCGGGTGGTGGAGGCCGGGCTGGGGTCGGCTGTTTCTGCTGAGGGTGGGTGGTGGTTTTCTCCAAGTTGGCCGTTGGGATGTTTGAGGCGGGGACTTGGGGGGTTTGGCGTTGTTTGGTTTGGTTGTGGTTCAGGGGCAGGAGCGGAAATGATGACGCTGGGTTGTTGATGGGTGGGTTGCACGGGGCCGGGTGCCATCGAGAGGGGGGGCTCTCTCGCTTGTGGAGAGGACTCCGCGGCTAAGCCTGGAGATACAGCACCCGACGGCTTTGGTGTGCCGCCTCGCCCTGGCCGCCGTATTTCGCGGTTTCTCAATGGGATAGGAATGTTAGACCTGGAGACTTCTGCCCGTATACCGAATCCCCGTGAACGCCGGTCTCGGGCGGTTGCAGCCCACGCGTGTAGGTCAGATGCGGTTGAGTCTACCGGCCTCGGTGATTTGGTGGGTGACGGGTTGACCGTGTATGGTGAAATCATGCCGCTCGATCTGGAGTCGACTTGGCTGATGAGGTTTTCTGTGGAAGGGGGAAGCGAATGTGGGTACTTGACGGCGCTCTCGAACATAGCTGCCATGGCCTTGACCGCACTGCTGTCTGACTTTGTTGGCCTCGATTGAGGGATAGTGTCGATTGATAATCGTGCTGGGTCTGGTCTGGGACCGAGAGGGAAGGACCGGCGAGCTTTTGAGTGGATTGGCCTTTTGTCCTCACCCCTCGACAGCAGCTCTTCTTGCGGAATATCTGTACTATTTCGGGTATTGTGGTCCTCGGATGATGGCCTCCAAGCCACGGTGTTGCTAGAAATAACCTGGAACGGGCGGGTTTGCTGCACGTAGCTCGCTGCCGGGCTGGACTTCGCACTACTACAGTCCACAGAAGGCCCTCGATTTGAGAAGCATTCACCAAATATTGTAGGGATATCTTCCCGGGCTGTGGCGCTGCCGACGCGGTTCTCTGAGAAACCGTCATGTCCTTGACGCTCAGCTGTCGGAGACGATCCTGATCCTTTGTGTTGGTTTGATAGAACCCTCGTTGAGCTCTCTGACCCAGTTCGCTCCCCACTAACCTCTCTCGGATGCGAGTGGCTGGGCAGAGGGCTTCCCGTGCCCGTAGACACAAGAGATTTGCGTTTTGATCTCCATGCTGCCAGCCGCGATCGGCCAAGACCAAATATGTCCGCCCTAGGCGTATCTACTCCACGTTCGACCTTGTCTTCAAACGACCCCCTCAGTGTTGACGGTAGTGTGTCCTGCGATATCTTCCGCGCCAAAGCTCTTTGGGTCCCTGTCTCCCCCTGGCCGTGAAGGGCGGCGCCCGATGCCGCACTCTCTCTGTATAGGTTCCTTTTAAATGGATTCGCTCCCCTCGAGGTCACCCTGAGTCTATTCTCGACATTTTGCCATCTGCGCAGTACCCGCGGAGTATTTGGGGATCCGTCTCCAATCGTCAATCGAGAGGAGTGGTCTCTTTCTTGGGCATTTAATTGGGCCCGACGCGTTGCCTGGGACGTAGGGGTCGCCGTGTTGTGCGAGTATTTGGCAGATCCTTTAAAACCTTCTGGTTTGTGGTTCGGGGTTTGCGGAGTTTCGCCTGACTTTCCTGCGGCTGAAGTGGGATAGTTTGGTGGAGCGTGGTGACTTTGTTGACTCTCAGCACCGTCAAGACCCCTAAGCCTCGAATACGCGGCCGGAGACGGCTCCTCCACGGGAGGTGATAGCAACGATGCTTCGACGCCCGCGAGGCTGCTGGATAACGGCCGTTTACCCCTGGGCCGTCGGCGCGGAAGCACGAGGGGCGGGCGCAGATTCTCGTGTGCATTGCTCACTTACCACGCGGTTAGCTAGCTCCTTTCACGTTTCCCTGGTGAGTGAACTTACCAGATTCGGGAGGGGTAGGGCTAGGCGGAACTGGTGATCCACCAGGCTTGAAGAGATCGCGCGGTATCTTCAAACCGAATCCTTCTGATACAGAAGGCCGCAGCCCAGCCCTGCGCTGTGGTCCATCTCGATCTGGCTTCGACGCTCCAAGGCTCCTCATATGCCTGACGACCTCCCGCCAGTGCGTAATGAGCATTTCGGTGATGTTGTTTGCCATGTAAACCTTGTCAACCGCCAAAGACGGTTGTTGAGCATCCTCCATAACCTTGGATCCTCGCCTATCCTTCCCACCATTGGGGGCCGTGGCTGGGAATAGCGCCGGCCCCGGAGCGGTGTCGCCCACTTGCATGGCATACGAAGTGAGGAGATCCCCAACGAGCAACGGGCCGAAGACGATTCCCAGGGCATTGTATCTCATTAGATCAGAGGTCGGCAGCGGTCTCCCATGCTCATCCTCTCGTGGTGCCTTCTCGGCGGCACGTCCGATCAGGCAGAGCAGACCAAATACCGCGCATATTAAATCACGACGGAGCCGAGACTTGACGGTGCCGATAACCAAAGCTATGAGTCTCGCCCTCAGCTTGGTCTGCTTCGTCTTGAGAAATTCCGGCTCCCCTTTTAACTCATAGTGAATGGCGACCAATGCGTCGAAAAGAGACAGAGACCCTAGAATTCCTCCGGGCAAGCCGGACAAGAGGCGCTTGAAAGTGGAAGCGACGTCGTGTGGGCCAGTTTTGATGTGAGTCGGCAAATCGGGGCAGCAAGTGGTACTGGAGATATCGTTCGGATCACCATCGGCGCAATAGTGGGCGTAGAGAGCATTAACTAGGCGAACCGAGCCCGGTATTCGAAACACACCTCGGGTTTCCCCCCCTGCCATTGTGTTAGCACACTACCCAAGGGTCCAAGGCCAGTGACCGCGCGGCGCCTACCATGTTGTACGAGGTATTGTGCAGTAGCGCGAAAGCATGTGGGGAGCGCGAGGGAGCATGGTGAATATTCCGACGGTAGGTACAGTTTGCTCTTGCCACAGAGACGAACAAGAGACTGAAGGTCCTCGTCCTGGAGACCGTCTTTCTTTGCCCCATTTACGACACGTAGAGCCAAGTCGCCGATACTGCGCTTGGGCTTGACTTTCTTATCTGATTTCGTTGAGCTTGTATCGCTTGCCGCGGAGACCTGGCGCAGGAATGTGCGCGAGAACCAGCCTGGTCTCTGTTGTAGGGGGTATTGGCCTGGCTATTCGGAGTTTAGAGAGTCTTCCAGCGGGGGTCGGGGTATGAGGGAGAACTGACCAGCGATGGACTGTTCATGTTTGACGCCAACGTACGAATGCCATGCTGTAATGGTCAGCGATGTTTATGTTGAGGCGAGGACTAGGAGGAGGGTAGATCACACCTTTCTTGCGACCCTGTTATACTCCTGCACAAACTCATCGCGGACTTCGAGATCATCGGTATCGGAGAAGTCAGCAAGATCCCCACTGGACGAGGTCCAAGTCGCGCTGGTTGCATTCGCCCGCCTCTCGTGGGTTGGAATAGCGAGGTGACCGTCCGCGGTGGAAAGAGGAAGCCGAGCCCAAGTCGGTTCAGCGTGGCGGAGGGGTCGCTTTGGGAGGGAGAATGCGTCCCAGCCGGTCGGCGGGGTGTCTGCCGAGTGTGCGGATACGGCATCCATTTCTAGTTCAGTCGTAATGCCGTTCAAGCAGAATGATGATTGCTCCGAGTCGAGGCGCGGGTGGTCGGTCGCCAGGACAAATGCGCCGCGACTAGCAAGGATGAGAGTCTAATAAACGTAAGATATGTTCCTCGGCCATAATCGACTGGAACAACAAACGGGTTGCGATGGTCTCAGAACGGGAGCTGTGGTCGGCTAGGTTTGGCTGCTGCTTCCCGTCTCGCATGCCTGGGTGACTCGTACAGACCAGACCGGATCAGGTCGCCGCCCGGTTCCTTCCCTTGAACACAACAAAACAAAAGGAGATTAGGATCCAGTGAGAACCTGAGGCAGGATTCTGAGATCATTTGGGGCCATTTGTGGTTACCGTTTTTCGGTGTTGGTCGGGCCGTTTGTTGATTACCCAGTGCGCCGCCAGTGTAGCCAGTCTTCACAATTTATTGGAGTCGCAGGGAGTTTGTGTCGCATCTTTTAAGAGGACAAGAAAGCAGATCTATACCTTGGGTAAAGGAGAACACATGCAACCAGTATCCGTTATCCACATCCCGCCTTGACGCCACGCGAATGCAAAAAAATCAACGGTAGAAATAATAAATACCGGGAAGGGAGACGGCCCGCCGCCAGCCAGAACAGCCGACCCACGGCAGTCGGGCACCCCATCAGGGAGGACCATGCTAACCAGCCCGGATATTGTCCTCCTCCTCGCCAAACAGTAGGACGTGCTTGAGGATGTCCGAGAGCGAGATGATACCCTTGAGACGGCTCTCATCATCGACTACGATGAGCCGGTGAACCCTCGACTTGCGAATCGTTTCGAATATGGCATCCAGCCGGTCGTCCTCGTTGCATGTGTAGATGCCGGGGAAATCGTCGGCGCGCTTGCAGAGGGCCTCGCCAACCGATGCGGTCAGCTCGTCGTAGGCCCCGCCTTTGATGCAGGGAATGACATCGACCGCCTCAAACACGTTCAGAACCTTGTTGTCCTTGTCGAGGATCGGGACTGCCGAGATGTTGTGCTTAACCATCAGGTGAATCACGTCCAGGACGGAGCTGTTCATGTCCGCCGTTTCCAGGTTGGTGTAGGTTCCCAGCCCCAACTCTCGCACGGACTTCTTGAGCAATATAGTATGCTTCTCGTTGTTGACGGCGATGAACTTGAGGATGCGGTACTGGGTAATGACGCTGACCACCATCTCCCGGCCCGTCTCTTCATCAACATCAACCAGGGGGATCCTCCTGGCCCTCGTCTTGAGCATGCGACGACATGCCTCGTACAACGGGCGCATCGGGTGGACAGACACCGTCTCAAGAGGCAGAACGCCAATCGCTCGCTCGATATCTACCGGAGATACTGGTTAGCCTCTCCATGTTCATCTCGACTGACGACGGCTCCCTACCTCGAAGGCTGCTGAGGCGAAACTTGTCGACTTGGTCGATCTCGTCGGGAAACTGGCAGTAGTATTGGATCACATTGATGTAGTCGGTGCTCGTCAGCAAGCCGGCAAAGCTCGACTTGTTCGAATCCCATAGCGGTGCTGAAACGATGCCTGCGCATGATCCGGTCAGCATTTCTAGCCCGTTGTGCTACCCTCCGGCTTGGGGCGAACTGGCGCGCGGGGGTTGGAGGTGGCGTACCGTTTTGGATGAGAATGTTCAAGCTCTTTCGAACGAGTAGCTCATTGTCGAGAACGACGAGACGGAAAGACAATGGGAGCACATCGTAGCTAGTCCGAACTTTCAAGAACTCGCGGATACCTCGCTATGTGAGGTGTGTGTTAGCTGGGGCGCCAAATCTACTACGAAGGCCGGAACCCCGCATCGCAGCCTCTGTTGCTCTAAAAGCCAACGATTGCGGAGACAGAGCGGGCCGGCTATGGTTATCTCGGAAAGGGCATGCTCACCAGACCTTGCATCTGCTCCTTGTCCAGGGCGCTTGGAGTCTTCTCCGACATGGTGCGACTAGGGAGCTTCGGACGGAGGTACGACGAGGGCGCAACAAAGGGGAGCTCGTGACCGGAACGCAGGGGCAGCTGACTGCCATTTTCCCCGTCGGTAGTTGCGGTGGGAGCGAGGGCGGGCGGAGCGCTGCGGGAGCTGGGATGTGCCGCTTCGGGGGGAGCACGAGGGTCGTCCATCATTATCGTGATGGTGGAACACACATCGGGGAAGTTTCCCCTGTCCAGTCCAGTCGCAGTCTGGTTCGTTTTACTGGGGCTACCTCGGGCTAGAGCGTCGAGCGGACCGAAGACCGAAGACCGGAAGTGACCTGACAAACAAGCAAACTCGGCAGATTCTGGAATTTGGCGCGAGAGAAAAGTGTTTGCGACGGCAACCGATTGCCTTTACGTTTCTCTACTGTGTGTATGTTCTGGGACCAATGCCTCTTGCATGCGGCTCGAGGTGAACATGGGGAATGAAAGTGACCGGGAGTTGCTGTGTCAAAAAACCGACCTACCCTTTGAATTAGAGTTCTCCGCTTTTCTCTGCTGGGAACCGGGCGGGCTGGAATGGTAGGCTGAAGCCGCCCTGTGAAGGCTGCATTGACTGGTAATGACGGGGAGGTGTGACGCGGTGTGACCTGAAAGTCAGTGGCGTCGACCCCTCTCGTTCTTTGACAAGTGAGATCGCTGGTGATTTAACTCGACACGCCAACACCAATATGCTGAATTCTTCAAACTGACGTTAACCAGAAAACATTCAAGCCCCCTACCGGTCCCATACTCAGTTATTTCAATCCTCACCAGGTGGTAGGTAGGTCTTTACCTTGGTTGGAAGATTTGGAGAGTGGATGCGGGGAAACCAGCCCGAAGACAACCTCAAAACCTCCACCCCGCCAGCAGGGTAACTCCCAATGCACCTTAATATGACTTGAGCCGGCTTCCGTCACTTACACACATGGAGGCACTGCAAATTTCCACGGACACACTGGGTTACGCGCGTTTAAGAGGAGTTTATGCCGCTGATGGTAAATAAATACTGTTTTGAAATGAACGCAATGTGTCGAGCACACTAGAATTAAGAAGAGCAAGGTTGCAGAATCCTTTGACCGGTGCTGCCTATTGGGAACTTCGAGAGTTATCGAGGCACAGGACACAAGCATGCTGGCGGGGACTCTCCGTAACGCACCTCTCGGGAGAGTAAAGGGTGTTAAGCAAGCAACCTAATGACTGGGTGTTGGAAAAGTGAGAGGTTACCTGGATTAAACTTGGAAGCCTACCTAGGTAGGTTTCCCTTTCCCATTGACATGTATAAGAAACAAAAGGGATTCTTTTGGATTTGAGTCAACCATACAACTCAAAGTACGGACTGGGACTCCAAATCTGAATAACACCTGCCTCCACAACTGAGAATCAAAGGATGCCTAGGTTATAAACGAGACAATGTGACAGCAGAGCATGCCAGGTCAGAGACGGGTTCTGTTCTCGTTCGTCTAGGTAGTAAACGGCTAGTAAATCGCTATGCACGCTGTGATGGTTTGAGGAACGTTTTCTTAGGCCAATTCAACTTGACAATCCCGCCTCTTACGATCAGTGGTCGGCATTGGCACAGAATTGCTCAGCTGTTGCTTGTTGGGTGATGGGTGTTTCTGGTGCAGGGACTCGGTACCTTGGCCCGTGCACTCGGTCGGTCCCTTAGGCGAGCCCACTGACGCACGGCCTTGAATTCAGAGCCGGCTGCCGGGCGAACAAGGCAAGGCAGCTTCGATCATTGCTGAATGGGGCCGGGCTTGGTTGTTGCGTCTCCTTCGACGCAGCTGACCCGCCAAAACAACCACACAGCCGACCGACCGCCAGTGTCTGCCAGCGCAGCACGACCATCGCGATCGGGCACAAAGAAGGCACACTTCATCTGTGAGCGCTTCTCTGATTTACATTCAAGGGATTCGAAGCCTTCCTGAACAGTGTGCCTGTTGCGTGCGACCACCTAAGGACCGCTTCCCGCCGCCCTCCGTCCTCCGAATCACGAAACACCACCAACCTGCATTCGAACCCGACGACTCCTCAAAGCTGCCCAGGCAACCAACCGACCACGACGCTGGGTCCGTCGGTGTACCCATATAAGCGGCAATGGGCATCTGCAGCTCCTCGTGCTGTGGAGGTATAATCGCGATCCCGCCATCCTCAAATCCGCCCGGCGCTAACAGGCTTAGGCAAATCCCGCGATGCCCTCTACGAGAATGTGCTCGCCGAGAACGAGCGAGAGGCCGTTGCCGACCTGCTACAATACCTTGAAAATGTGAGAACAACTATGCTCGCCTGCGACTGACAGACCTGGGGCTGACCTGACCGATTTGTAGCGCGCCGAAACTGATTTCTTCTCGGGCGAACCCCTCCGAGCTCTGAGCACCCTTGTCTATTCGGATAACATCGATCTTCAACGGAGCGCAAGTCTAACCTTCGCTGAGATCACCGAGCGAGGTGCGTGTGCATTTTTGGGCTGAGAACTGGACGGCGATCCGGACGGAACCTCTTACAGATGAAGCTAACCTAGGCTGTTGCTCTAGATGTCCGGGCTGTTGACCGGGACACCCTCGGGCCCATCCTCTTTCTCCTCGAGAATTCTGATATTGAAGTGCAACGGGCCGCCAGTGCCGCGCTGGGCAACCTTGCCGTTAACAGTAGGTCCCTCATCGAGGCCGCGGTTGCAGCTGCGGCTTGTAGGAAGACTGCTAACCCCCAACCCAGCCGACAACAAGGTCCTGATCGTCCAACTCGGCGGGCTGCAACCTCTCATCAAGCAAATGATGTCGCCGAATGTCGAGGTCCAGTGCAATGCTGTCGGTTGTATCACCAACCTCGCTACGCACGAGGAGAACAAGGCCAAGATCGCAAGATCTGGCGCTCTTGGCCCCCTGACTAGGCTGGCAAAATCCAAGGATATGAGAGTACAGAGGAATGCCACTGGCGCGCTTCTCAACATGACACATTCTGGTACGTTGCCCGTCCAGGTCTGTGGCAGCCTACGACTAACACTTTGCAGATGAGAACCGCCAGCAGCTCGTCAATGCCGGTGCTATCCCTGTACTTGTCCAGCTCTTGTCATCCTCGGATGTTGATGTGCAATATTATTGCACGACGGCCCTGAGCAATATCGCTGTCGATGCCAACAATAGGCGGAAGCTCGCCGAGACCGAACAGCGACTCGTCCAGTACCTCGTTAACCTGACAGAATCCTCATCGCCCAAGGTCCAGTGCCAGGCAGCCTTGGCCCTCCGGAACCTTGCATCGGACGAGAAATATCAGCTTGAGATCGTCCAGGCCCACGGGCTTGGGCCACTGCTCCGCCTTCTCCGGTCTTCGTATCTGCCGCTCATCCTGTCTGCCGTCGCATGCATCCGCAATATCTCGATCCACCCCCAGAACGAATCCCCGATCATCGAGGCCGGCTTCCTCAAGCCGCTAGTCGACCTGCTCGGATCGACGGATAACGAGGAAATCCAGTGCCATGCCATCTCGACGCTCCGCAACTTGGCAGCGAGCTCGGACCGGAACAAGTCGCTTGTCCTCGAGGCGGGCGCCGTCCAAAAGTGCAAGCAGCTCGTTCTGGAGGTCCCCGTCACAGTCCAGTCCGAGATGACAGCTGCCATTGCCGTCCTTGCGCTGAGCGACGAGCTCAAGACCCATCTCCTAGAGCTTGGCGTCTTTGACGTTCTGATCCCACTGACCATGTCCCCTAGCGTTGAGGTGCAGGGGAACAGCGCCGCCGCGCTGGGCAATCTCTCTTCCAAAGGTCAGTCCCACGTACTAAGTTGCTCGATATTTCATACTGACATAAAGACAGTGGGCGACTACAGCATCTTTGTCCAGAACTGGATGGAGCCCAGAGACGGCATCCACGGCTATCTCAACCGCTTCCTTGCGAGCGGAGATGCCACCTTCCAGCACATTGCCATCTGGACGTTGCTCCAGCTGCTCGAGTCGGAGGACAAGAAGCTCATCGGTCTCATCGGGAAATCAGATGGCGTTGTTGACATGATTAAGCAGATTGCCAACCGCCAGATGATGGAGTCGGACAACGAGGCTGAGGACGATGATGAGGGCGAGGTGGTGAACCTGGCTCAGCGGTGCCTGGAGCTGCTGGGTCAGGGTGCGTCGAAGAGCCACATCGAGGGCTAATAATAACCCCCTGGTGTTGATGGGGGCGCGGGGTCCGTCTGCCCTTAGACCCATATACCCAGAGGTTTCTCTTGTTTTCTGTTTTGTCCATTGCGCATAGGAACGGCGTGGAGTTGGCGGCGTCAGTATTTCTACATACATGGGGCGGAAGTGGGGGACTCCGGGAGATGTGTACACTGCAGATGAGCATTGGGAGGGATGTTTGGGGGTGGGGGGGACGTGGGGACAATCTGGGTTGCTGGGTTCTTTCGAGGGCCTCAACCCCCTGCTTTGTTTTTCTTTTGTATTATGGCGCAGAAGAGTGATACGGATGACGTCGGGCCGCCCGAGCTACTATCATACCCCGCGGTTTCCCGCGATGCCTCTTTACCCATTACCAACACGGCCGTCCTGGATTGCTATCCTAGGCCTGGCCTGTCGTAGCCGATGTAATTAGAACCCACAATTTATACATATGCACCATGTTGATGAGACTTACATTGCCCGTTTCGGGATGGTGCTGGCGTTGACCAAACGTGTTGTAATAATACGTGTGTAGGGTTCTATCGCTTGATCAACCCTCGGCCGGGCTTTCTGCTCTCTGCATCGAGTTGGTGATCCACTTGAACTCAGAGAACGGCCTCATCGTGGCAATGACCTTGCCCCGGATCAGGGCCAGCGGCACCGGACCGAAATACCTCGAGTCCCGGGACGCTACCAAGTTATCCCCGACAATCCAGCAATGACCCTTTGGTACCTAAACAGATCCAAGTCAGCACGGGCAAGACCCGAACAGCTACCGACGAACGAAAGAAGAAAAGAAGAAAAGAAACGAACCTGAATCATACTCCCACCCCCAGTCCCAGCCCCACCCCCCGCACCACCACCACCACCACCACCACCGCCGCCGCCGCCCCCCGCCGCAACCTCATCCGGCGGCGTATCCATCAGCACGTAATCCCCCGGCAGGCCCAGCACGCGCTTGACGCCCACTTCCTCGTTGATCGGGATGTTGTACGCCACCACGTCGCCCACCGCCACCCCGCGCCCGAACCGGTGCAGCTTCGACACCAGCAGCCACTCGCCCAGCACCTCGAACGTCGGCAGCATCGACGGGCCCGACGCCGGCGCCATCGAGATCACGTACTCCCAGATCAGGTGCGTGAAGGCGACGAACTTGAGCGTGGTGATGATTACCCGGGCGGGGTGGCCGACCCAGGAGGGGAGGTGGCGGCCATGGTTGGGGGGGGTTGGGGGGGGTGTGGTGTTGGGTGTGGTGTTGGTGGGTGAGGGTGGTGGTGGTTGTGAGGGTGGTGGTCGTCGTCCTGATGGTGGTGGTGGTGAATGGGGGCTGGTTGGTTTGTTGGGGGAGAGTCGGAACCTGGTTGGCCTGAGGAGACCTCGCAGGATGGGGGTTATGGAGGGCATGAGGTAGGTAGGGTGTTTGGTGAGGTCAGCGGGTCATAGTGGTGGTTTGTGAGTGAGGTTGATCAGAGATGTTTGGGTGAACGAATGGAAGGGTGGTATGACATCCCGGACCTGCAGATATTGCCAAGCCCCAAGCTTCTGGGAGTTGGTGGGAGTTTATTGGTTAAAATTTCCCGATGACAGGGGTTTGGAAACTCGTCGCCCAGTCGCAAGTTCCTGCATGCCGAAAAGTGCAAAAGTGATTTGTTTCTTTTCAATTTCAAGCAGAACTTTGCGTCAATCAAGCTCGAGCTCTTCAGCCCACCATGAGGGCCTCGCAATGCCTCTTCAACCCGGCCACCGCCCTTTGCAAGGTCTTTATTAGCAATGCCACGGCATTGGAGAAACCGGGCCAACTGCAGCGCCTGCTGCTACCCAGCCGAACCGTTCCCATCCAGCCCTCCTTCTCCTCGCCGCCACGACGACACTTTTCCGTCTACCATGCCGCCCAACTGAACTACAGACGGAAGCCTGCGAGGACCGGGAAAGAGGCCAAAGATGCCCCCGCAGAGAGCCGCACGATGCGTGACTACGACATTGTCTTCCCGTGGATCCAGGTGCGGCAGGAAGACGGCAGACTCTCCGAGCCGCAACGAACAAACCTCGTGCTCAAGCAGCTCGACCTGGACCGGGACTCCCTCATCCTCGTCGCTACCCCCAGGGTAGATCCCTTGTCAAACGGTCCGGAATACCCGATCTGCCGCATCGGAGACCGCAAGGCCGAGATGGCGGCGGAGGCCGAGAAGCTGGCGATCAAGAAGAACACGCCCAAGATTGTGACCAAGGAGTTGGAACTCAACTGGGCGATCGCGCCCCACGACTTACGCACGAGAATGACGCAGCTCAAGAAGTTCCTCAGCAAGGGGTGCCAGGTCCGAGTCACTATGATGCACCCGAAAAAGAGGGCGAAGAAAAGAGCGTCGCTGGAGGAGGCGAAGGTCGTGCTCCAGAACCTCGAATTAGCGGTTGAGGAAGTTCCTGGGGCCAAGGAGACCAAACCGAGGGAGGGCGCCGTGGGAGAAATGCTGGTCCTGCTTCTGCACGCGCCGACTGGCAGTCCCACAAAGGCGGCGCCGGCGGCGGTCACAGAGGATGCCCCGGCAGTCACTGAGGAGGCCCCGGCAGCCACGGAGGAGGCCCCGGCAGCCACGGAGGAGGCCCCGGCAGCCACGGAGGATGCCCCGGCAGTCACGGAGGATGCCCCGGTAGAGGCAGAAACAGCAGCCCCAGGTCCGGTGGCAGAAGAGCCGGGGTTGATAAAGGAATGAGGATGGTCCGCTGCGGGACTCCTGTACAACATACTATGTATGATATATTTGCTCTTCTCCTATCTGGAACCATTGGACTTCGCGGCCTTATAAAGGACCATGCCTTAGAGGAATGGGACAAAACGGCCCTTCGTACCCTTCGTGTTTTGGCACCACCCAACTGTCTGCGTTGATAGGCCCGAGCCTGGAAAGAGGCATCGGGAGCAAGGATTAGCTTTGTGCTTCGAGAACAATTGCAGGGGCCTCTGCCCTCTGATTGGGACTCATCCTGCACGATTGCGGGGCGCGGGGCAAGGCTGCGGCATGCTCGTCCTTTGTGACTCAATTCCCCAATTCCAAACTCACAAGAAATCAAAAATTACTTGACCGAAAAACAACACTGCACAATATTGCCGAAAACGAAACACTGCATTTGCAAAGTGACACGGATCTAGTCCCAACTAGTTTCAACTACCGCCCGGGAATCACGAACGGAGAGAACGCTTCTCCATCACTTCCTGCCCCGCGCACCACCCATCAACGAAACATCCACCCCTCTTCACAAGTCGCCTGGCACCAATCACTCAAATTATGCCCGCCGAGAACACCGGAGCCCCTATCAATGGGGCTCCCATCGATACTGCAGCCCCAGCAGCACAAGACGCAGCGAAGAACGTACCGGCTCCGGCCAGCTCAAGTGCCACCCCCACCACCTCGGAAAAGCTCACAGCGGCGCAGCTAAAAGCCAAGGCGAAGGCAGAAAAAGCAGCGAGGAGAGCACAGGTGAAAGAGGCTAGAATCGCTGTGCCAGCACCATCCCCAGTCCAAGAGAAAGGCGCCGCGGGGGATGCGAAAGGAGGCAAAGGCAAGGGGAGGCAGGATGGGCAGCAATCCCTGGGCAAAGGAGGCCACTTGCAGGTACATCGAGGGTCAGTTGCTGGGCGGCAGCCATCCTCCCCGGTGCCTGAGAAAGACGTCAGGAGTGGTATCCCCGATTGCTTCAGCCATGTTCCAATGGCGAAGCGGATACCGACATCCCAGGCACACAAAGACGTACACCCGGCTGTGTTGGCAGTGGGCCAGCAGATGGCCACATTTGCCCTCAACGACAGCATCTCCCGTTTGAGAGCGACCCTTTTGGCATTTGCGAAGGTTTGTATTTGTTTCTGCCTCGGTCCCTCATGGCACAACCCGTTAATGGTGGCTAGGTCATCGAGTCGTACGAGACACCCAAGGGGAACTCGCTATCTCGGCACTTTGTCCCACACGTCCTCAACCCCCAGATCGAGTACCTCACCGAGTCCAGACCAATGTGCTTCGCTATGGGCAATGCCATCCGACTACTCAAGGGGAAGGTTAACAAATTCGATATCGACACAGCCGAGGACGAAGCGAAGGAGGGTCTCCTGGAGTGGATCGATTTTCTGATCAATGAGCGGATCACCCTGGCCGAGTATGCCATTGCTAGGAATGCCGCAGAGTCGATCAACGAGGGTGACACTATTCTCACGTATGGCCACCACCGGCTCGTCGAAAAGACTTTTATCGAAGCGAAGCGCGACGGCAAGTCGTTCGATGTTACTGTCATTGACGACCCGTTCGAGCGCAGCGGCCAGGAGCTGGCAAAGACACTACGACAGGCCGGGATCCCCGTGCTCTACTCTCCTAATCTTGGTGGTCTGCGGCCCAAGGTGGCGGCAGCCTCCAACGTATTTCTCGGAGGCGAGGCCATCTTTGCCAACGGTTCACTCCATGCGTCATCGGGGACGGCCGATGTAGCCATGTCCGCCATGAACGCTGGTGTCAAGGTGATTGTTCTTTGCGAAACCATCAACTTTGACCGAGACCGCGTGTCGGTCGACTCTCTCACGTACAACGAGGTCGACCCGGAGAGGAACACGGGGGATTGCTTCCGGCTGCTGTTTGACAACACCCATGACAAGTACATCACGGGCGTCATTACCGAGTTCGAGAGCGGTGGTGGCAATTCGCCGGCCCAAGCCATCCTGGCTCTGCTGCGGAAGCAGGAGGATCCTCTTATTGACTAGGAGGTCAGGGGCCCGGTTGAATGAACGAGGGCAAGTGCATGCGTAGCTTATGTTGCGGCAGGCACAGTAGCTAGATGGTTGAAGCCAGGTCGAGATTTAAAACTCTCAAGGAGCTGTCGAGACGCGCTGATTTTTCCAGCTCTGGGAGTTCGTTCCAGTCGGGTGGGCCATCTAGGGAATCAAGGGAATCAAAAATAATTTTGTACACCGAATCTAGCGCACCGTCTGTAGCTTGCCCAATGTTCTAGATCCTGCCGCGAGAACGGGGGACCGTAGTCTCTCTCCACCCCATCATCTCTGTCAACCGCCCAGCAAGCAGCAGTCCACCCTGCCCCAGGTAGGTATCCCATTCCATCCATCCCCACGACCGGAGCCCTGCAGCAGCAGGTAGCAACCCCAACCTCCAATCCCACCCAAACCAAACCAAATCGGCCATCAATCCATCCTGCGCCCTCACGCAACAACCTCGCCCGCCGCGGCCGCCCGCTCGGCCCGCCGCGCCCGCTTCTCCAGGATGGCCTCCTTGCGCTCCTGCAGCATCTTGGTCTGCCGCTCGTCCACGCCCTGCAGCCAGTACCCGAAGCTGGCTCCCACGCCGCCGAACACGGGGTACGCCCACAGCGCCTTGCGGTTGAAGAAGGGCCGCATCTCGATGCCGAGTTGCCAGAAGCGGACGACGAAGCCTGTTTTGGGGGGGGGGGGGGGGGATGGGGTTAGGTTTTGTTCTGCTTTGTGATCTGCTGGTTTGTTGGGGTGGGATGGGATGGGATGGGGTGTGGTGTGTTGTGGTGTGGTGGTGGGGGCTGGGGGGGGACGTTATTTACCGAAGCCGGTCCAGAAGATGACTCTGCTAACCATCTTGTCTTGTGTGGTGGGTGATCGATCGCTCGGAGGGGTTTGGGATGTCGGGGGTGGGGGTGGTCTTGTCGGTACCGCCGAGGTGAAGGAGTCGTGTTTCTCCTCTGGCGTTTCTCGGTTCGGAGTTGTGAGAGTGGAATTGGCGCCCGGGTGAGCTGTCGACACTGCACGGAGCTTCGTGATCTGACGTTGCGATGGTTTGCGGGCAATTGGCGACGATTGGCAGCTCGAATTGGCAAGCCACCTTTTTCGGGATCTGTGCGCTGCTGAGGCTTGCTTTGGTGGTGGGGGTGTGGCTTAGCTAGACACTGGCATCCTTGATTGCAGCTCCGGGTTGCATTGCTGCCCCTGTTTAGCCAAGCTTTTGGCGTGACCCACCCAAATCTTTCATGGCGGGTCCGTTCCTCCTTCAAACGCGACAAACGGAAGGACTCGGCCAGCACTCGACCATTCCGTGACCTGGCAACCGGAAAGTTGCCAAACTCTCCTTTTCCCTTAAATTGGACATTATTCTCCACATACCACGCACGTACAGCGAATGCATTAGAATGATTTGAATAGGACCGCGCGCTTCGCATCGCTGCTCGTGCTTCCGATGTCCTCGAACCGCATTGCAACCAAGAACTCCATGGTACATCGACAGCGGGTTCCTACCTTCACCCAGCCACCATAATGTCCGCCGTCGTCGATGCTGCGGGCATAGCCCCCTCGAGTGAGCCAGATGCAGTTGCGCGTCCTGTTGCCAAGAAATTCAAGGCATCCGACCTGCCACTCCCCTCAGCAACGCGAACGGCCATCGAAGGCCTGGCGCACTCTTTCAAGAAAAAGGGCGGCTACGATAGAATCCGCAAACAAGTCTGGGAGAAGTTTGAGGCTAGTGTGGGTCTCCGTTAGAACCACAGTCGTTCCCGTCGGTCACTGACGTCCAGGCAGGATTATGAAGCCCAGGTCACTAAAGCCATCCTCGAAGTCGCCGAGCAAGAGGTCGAGCGCAATCCCACTCAGCTTCTGACACTCGAACGAGGCAAAGCGGCAGCACTTATCGACGGCGCACTCGACCGCGGCGGCGTCTACCAAAAAGCAGAAGAGGTCATTGGCGCGCTCATAGACAGTCGCATGATTGAGGATGACATCCGCAATTTGCGCTGCGCCGAGATCGGCGAAGAGGCGGCTGAGGAGGAACGGATGCGTGGCTTGAAGACGGACGAGGAATACGCCGCCGAGACGGCCGCTCGCCGGGCTGAGAGGGAGCGCGTTCGGGCGGAGCTAAGGGCGGTAGAGGAAAAGAAGCGGCAACTCGAGCGCGAGATCAAGGCTAGAGAGGAGACGAAGAGAAGGGAAGTGGAGAGGGCTGCTCGGGAAGAACGGAGAAAGAAGGAACGCGAGGAGGATGAGCGGAGGGATAAAGAGCGCCGCGAACGGCGCGAAAAGGAGAGGGAACAAGAGAAGGAGCGGGAGAAGGAACGGGATAGGGAGCGGGAGAGCCGGAGAGACAGGGACCGAAGCCGCGACCGGGACAGGGAGCGCGACAGAGATCGTGATCGATTCCGCGAACGTGGTTACGACAGCTACCGGGGCACTCCGAGGGATCGATCAAGGGACAGAGATAGAGGCAGGGACAGGGATAAGGACAGAGATCGTGATCGGGGCCGGCGAGACAGTCACGACAACAGACCGAAACCTGCGACCGAGGATCGAGGAGACGAAACCGAAAAAACTCTCACCAAAGAGGATCATGACCGTCTGGAGCAGGAAGCCTTGGCCGACCTTCTTCGGGAAAGCAAGCGGGTTACGACGAAGCAGCCCGAATTGGAGATTGACGAAACTCTGGTACCTCCACCGAAGAAGACCAAGCCCGCATCCGCAATTGACCCGATTCAGCGGTCGACTCCGAAGGCTCCTGAGGCGAAACCAGTGGAAACCAAGAGGGCTGTGGTGGAGTCTAAGAAGCCAGTGGAGGCTAAGGAGTCCAGGAAACCAGTGGAGGCTAAAGATTCAAAAGATACGAGTGATACCAAGCCCCCCACGGCTCCTAAGGAGCCTGAAGCGAAGCCTGAAAAGCGGAGGTCTAGGAGTCCTTCGCGCGCTCCTCGGACTCACCACGGGAGGGATAGAAGCCGATCCAGGAATGACGACCGTAAACGGAAGGATGCTCGATCCCGCACGCCACGACCTCGTGAGCGAAGCCGCTCTCGCAGAAGGAGCCGGTCGAGGCTACGGGACCGGAGAGACGAACGGAGAGATGACCATCGGGACGACCGCCGGGATGACCATCGTCACAGTCGTCGCGATGATTCTCGCGCCACGCGCCGGGATGATCGCAAGGATGAGCGGAAGAATGAGCGGAGAGACCGCAGCGCGTCTCGCCCAAGGACAGAAAAGCGAGAGCGAAGCCGTTCCCGTCCGAGGACGGCGAAGACCGACGACAGGAGGGAAAGAAGCCGCTCCCGCCGTCGTGACCCCCGCGACCGCAGTCGTTCTCCGCGCCCGAGAACCGAGCGACGCGACCGGTCTCGCTCCCGTTTGCGCTTCGGCCGTCGGGATAGGAGCCGGTCTCGATCTAGGAACCGCGACCGCCGTGACAGGCGGGAGCGCAGCCGTTCGCGCGCTCGCACCGATCAGCGAGATCGCAGCCGTGATCGCGACCGCGATCGCGACCAACCCCGCGAGAAAGATGACAAGGACAAGGTCAAGGTCAAGGAAGAAGACAAGGAACGCCGGCCGAGGAGCCGCTCACGATCGCCGCCGAGCGCGGCCCGGCCTCCCTCTCGCCTCAACCACACCGAAAAGGAGGCGTGGAAGCAGGCCGAGGTCAAGAAGCGTGAGCAGGAAGCCAAGGCCTATCTCGCAGCCCAGAAAGAGGCCAGGGAGAAGGGCATGCCGGTGCCTGGTATTGACGATCGTCGCGCTGGAGACAGGTCACCAGACCTAAAGCGCCGGCGTGAACCGGAGGAACATGATCGCTACCTGCCCGGCGACCGCGATCGTGATCGGGACCGTGATCGGGACCGTGATCGGGACCGTGATCGGGACCGGGACAGGGACCGAGAGCGAGATCGCATGGATTACCGCGGGGGTGATCGTTACGATGGCGATCGCGACAGGCCTAGAGATAGGGATAGGGACCGCGACAGGCGCGACCGTTCTCGCGATCGCGACCGAGCCAGAGACGACCGTCGAGACACGAGACGCCGGAGCCGGTCGAGAAGCCGTGATCGCGAGAGGGACCGGTCTAGAGACAGGGATAGGACCAGGGACCGCGACCGCGACCGCGACCGGGATGGGGATAGAGACAGCCACTACCGCCGCAGCCGCCGCGAGCGGAGCGTGTCCTCCCGACGGGACAGGGAACGAGACCGAGACAGGGATCGCGACCGTGACCGTGACCGTGACCACGGGCGGACTCGGCGCGACAGCCGGCGGCGGAGCAGGAGTCGCGGCTAGGAGCCGCGACCTGTTCACGGGTTCAAGTTTATCGGGCCTGTCCAACCCACCCGGCCCTCCACAACCGTCTCCCCGCCGGATGCGGGCGGGGGCCCTCTTTCAGAAGTGGTCGTAATAAATGTGAAGGTCGAGATGTAGCGGCGGGCACGAGAAATGGAGAGACGACAGAGGTCGTAACTGTTTTTTTTAATGTATTATCACTGTTACCAGGGGGGTAAAGGGGTTTGGCGTAAAACAACCTGAGGAGCTGTTTCGGCGATTGGGAGATGGGTTCTCGGGAGTTACCTGGACATGAACGGCGCTGAATTGGGCGTCCTAGCATTGGATACCTGCATTGATTGTGTGAAGTGATATTCATTGTATGCACCAGTTGCACCCTTAACCAGCGGACTCAACGTAGGTAGCTTAGCCCCCAGGGTGATGAATACAAACACTTCACCAGAAACAACACAACCATAGCCAGCTCCCTGCTTACATTATCTATCCCCTCCATTTTATGTCTTGCCCAAATCCTCACGCCCACCAGCAAGAATCCTAAAATGGCCATGACATCCAAACCTCCTCTTCTTCTATTGGTCATCAAGATGTCATCTCATTAGTAGTAGACCCGACTCCCCGGTCAGTCGGTCGGTCGGTATTTGCGTCCCAAATCAATACAAGCCCAAACCCACCCCCTCAGTACGCGTGGGGGAAATCAAGACCACTTCGCCAAATAAACGCCATGCCACAGTTACCAAAACCCAACCCAAACCAACCAGAAACCACCCACCACCACTACGCCGTCCCCGCGGCAGCCAGCTCCTCGGCCGGCGCCCCACTATAAAAGAAGGCGCCCACCAAAAACAGCAACGTCACGGCAGCAACCGCCATGACGAGCGTCCTGCGCACCGCCGACGGCAGGCCGTGCTGCTGGTGGTGCTGATCGTCGCCCGACGCAAAGGCCCATGCGGCCTGGGAGAGGAGGACCAGCTGGTCCCAGCCGAGCGAGTAGTAGAGCAGCCCCGCGAGGGCGATGGCGTAGCCGAGGACCTGCAGCGGGGCGATGTTGGTGCCCCAGATCAGGACGGAGATGATGACGAGGAGGATGTTCTTGAGGATGCCGGTGAGGGTCATGACCAGGCCGGAGGTCTTGCCGATCTGGAGGGTGCAGGCGGGGTTAGTAAAAGGTTAGGGGGGAGGGTGGGCGGTTGGAGAGAGAGGGGGAGGGGGGGGCTTACCAGGAAGACGCTGGAAACGTTGAGCATGAAGGCGACCATGGCGTTGAGCAGGAGTAGGCCGAAACCCGCCTGGGCGAGGTCGGCGTAGTTGAAGGCGTTGGCCTCGTAGACGATGGCGATGACGAAGTTCATGACGGCGCAGACGGGCGCGTAGTAATACAGGCTGACGAGCGGGTCCATCTTCTGGGTGTCGCCCGAGAGCAGCACCTGGATCATGACGAGGCGCATGGCCTCGAACACGATGCCGCCGACCTGGAACATGAAACCGGCCAGGCTAAAGTCGATCTCGCCGAGGCTGGCGAGGGCCACGCCGGCCACGATGAGCAGGACGTTGAGGAAGCGCTTGAGCGAGGGGTCCTCGACACCCCACGCCCAGCTCGTCAGAAGGACCGCCACGGGCGCGGCGGCCTTGAGCATCTGGATGAAGGCAACGCTCAGGTATAGGTAGACCATGTTGCTGCAGACCAGACTGGCGCTGTAGAGCAGACCGATGGGCACGATGGCGCGCATGTAGGTGCGCCCCGTCATCTTCACGTTCTTGCGTCCGTCGAGCAGGTTCGTGGTCCGCGCCAGAACCTGGGTCGCGATGGTCGCGAAGACGAGGTGCCAACATGTGAGAATCACAGCTATCCATGTGTTAGTGAGCCCGCGGGTGAGGGAGGGGGTGGGTCGGCGTGAGGTCATGGACTAGGCGGGGACATACGGTATCCTGGAAACACCATGTTAGCACTTTTGCTCATCCTCTTGCTTAGTTAGATATCCCGGGTGCGCTTACTGAAACCCCGGCCATCAATCATCCATTTGTTGAAGAGAATAGTCAAGTTGGAAAAGAAGATCCAACTCCTGCATGACCCGGAAGTGTCAGCGAGATGCCCAAAGCGACCAGCCAACCAGCCCTCCATCACCACCCCCAAACATACGCGATGTAGAATATAGCATGCACCGATCGCTCAACCGGGCGCGGCTTCTCGGCCTGGCGCTCGACATCATCTTCAGCCATGTCGGCGCGGGGCGAAGGCGAGCGGTTCCGGGCTATCGGCGGTATCATGGACGCGGGGAATCGGTGATTCAGTCGGGTCGGCGGGGTCAAGGTAGACAAGGTAATTCGATTTCCGGGTGCCGAAATCAATATCCCCTCTTCGTTCGTCGGCTGGCGGGAGTGGGGAGGGAGGGATTAAGAGCGAGGGTATCGAGGGTATCGAGGGTATCGAGGGTCTGGAGCTACGAATAACTATCGACCAGCAACTTTCGCTCGAATGGGCGGGTATTATGAAATTGGCGAAAGGGAAAAGAATGGAAGAAACGTGTGGCCCGGGGGGTGAGGATCCGAATGAGCGAAAGTGAACAAAAAAAACAGTGGAGGAAGAGTGGCCTTCTCGTGTTCGAGGAAGTGGAAGGGCTGAATCAGACGCATGCACCATCGACCGGGTGGTCGGCGCTGGTCCCCTGCCGCCCCTTTGTTGAGCGAAGAAGGGCAGCCCCCAAAAAAAGGATCGCGCAGCCTGTCGGCGGGGCAGCTCCAGGCTGAGACCCCACAGGTCAGCAGCAGGGGTCCTCCCGATGGGGAACGAGCCGCTCACCAATGAAACCGTGCAACTCCATCCAAACTTGGGCGTTCCTGGCAACTTCGACCTGCGGGTAAGCGGCAAGGATTGGGGGATTGGATGATCACCAAGGCCCCCAAGTGCTGGCTGAAAACCGGTACAACCCGAGGGACGGCAAACATTGATAATATCGGGGCTCAGAATCGGGATCCAAAAAATGTAGGTAGTTATTATCTTGTACGTTGCCGCCTCCAATATTTATTCGTACCCGGATTCATACCCGAGCTTGTTGTTGACAGTCCGGATTCGGTGCGAAGCAGTTACACGACGAATGAAATGCACCAAAAGCAGCAAGACCATGCTCCGCTCTGACGCTTGAAGTCTCGGATACTCACATGGTCGTACTGCAGTCCCTGGTTGGGGCCACACAAGTTACTAGTAGCTTGTGTTCGTGATGAACCCGGCCGCTCTTTTCCGTTCCCGGTTATCCGGTCAATCTGCAAAGAAGGATCAGCCAAATATATCCGATGCGTTTCACAGGTTCGGCTTCTGCAAAAGTGAACATGCAGAATCGAGCGAAAGTCATTTGAGATGCATTTTGGCCACTTGGAAGAAGCTTGTTTCCACTCCCTGACTACTTGGCGCAGAGCTTAGCCAGCCAGCACCCTTCACACACCAAGAACCTGGGCCAACCAGCCGCCTCGCCAGGTGATAAAAATCGCACCCTTTAATAACAACGCTCGTAAGCGTGTCGTCGCCTGTCCCATACCAAATATCTTCTAAACCATAAAACCCAATCCATGCAAGATCAACGTCGCCGGAAACACATCCGCTCCGCGCTAGCCCATATATATCCGCTCCAAACCCGAGCGGGGTGAGAAGCCCAGAGTATCCCTCTTAACCAAAAACGCCGTTCGCTATGCACAGGGGAAAAGCAGCACAACCCGGAATGGACCCCCACCATTCCTCGCCTCCATCTTCAATACGCTGCGGTGGCCTAAACTTCAGGGGCTTGAGTGAGAGGCTGCGGAAAATCTGGCGGCATCTGACCCATGTCCTTATCCTTCGCGGGATCCAAATTCCCAACGACGGGACGGGCGAGCCATTCCGGGGGTTCATCAGAATCCGATGGCGAAGGTTGCCGCACATCGGCTATCTCATCCGGTCCACTCACTGGCGTCGGTAACCCGGGCGATGGAAGACTATTGTCAACCGGCACCGGAGGGTCCGAATCCACCAGGGTTTCCCCATCTTCCCGCACCACGCTTGGGCTCTGGCATGGTGTTGGTTCCGCAAGCGGCATGTCGGCCATCTTGGTATCCTCCGAGGCTCGCTCCACAACGACAGGCACGTCCGCATCCGGAATGAGGATTGAGTTGGGGTCCACGCGATCGTAAAACAGCATGAACACGCCGCCCTGGGAGAGAACAGTCCGCTCATCCACCTGGGCCCCGTGCTCGTCGCTCAACCTCCACCACTGGGATTGCGACTCGTCTTGGCTTGAGCACGACCCCTCTGCCTCGCTCGCGCTGTTTTCGGCATCCCCTGGCTCCGTCTCGTCGTCTAGGTCCATGGCGTCGGCATCCACACTCTTCTCGGGCGCGGACCCAACTGGCGTCGCCGCTCCTTCGCTGTCGCTCGTGGTTGGGGGCGAGGAGAGGGGGTGTTTTCTGTAGCAGACGTAGTGGCCGTTCTCGTGATGTCCCTGGTGTGTGACTACCGCGCGCAGTTCGTAGATCGGGCCCGTTATCTTACTCGGCTCCCGATCTCCCGCTACCATTGATACCCTGGGGTCCAACGTCCACTGCTCAACGTCCCCAACGGTAGCCGTACCTCCTTTCGAGGTCGCCTGGCCATCGGTGCTACCCAAACACCAAGGTCCTAGGTCTAGCAGCAAAGGGAAGCGGACAGCAGCCGAGTTCTTGAACATGTAGCCCGTCTGTTCGTCGAAACCAGACCGGTTGACATGGAAGACTAGGCTTGGTGGCGGGCGCGCCAGCACGACCTGCTTTGTTTTGATCGAGCTGGCCCTCATCTTCGGCGTGATTTTGCACTTCTTCGCCAGAGTCTCTTCGTCAAACGTCTCTTCCTCCAGGGCTTCTTCCAGAATCTGCAGTCTCTGTTGAAACTCGGGGACGACCCCGGTACGCTCGGCAAGAGATTTTATCACATCTCGAGCTACCATCAGGGAACATTTGACGCATTCGACGCCCTCGATAGACTCGACTTTGGTGAAATGGTCGAGACGCTCGTAAAGATCGTGTTCCGCGAGGTTACCGAGCGTCAACGTCAGGCAGTTGAACGGAATCATGCTCAGCCCTTCGCAATAACCACAGTTAACGCAAGCCACGCGCTGTGCCATCATCCCTTCGAGCGGGTTCCGGGCAGGACGAGCAGCCTCTGGCCCAGGCTTGGGGTGGCTATGCAAGCTTTGGTATCCACTGTCATCGCTGTGCTGGCTGGAAGAAGAGTCGTAGCCGGTGCGGTCGGATTCAAAGCCGGTTGCGTCTTTGAGAGCACGGGCAGCCTTGGCGATCTCATTGTCGATTTGGTCGAGGAGCTTCGAGTAGTACTCCTGTGCGTCTTGTTGCTGCCACGTGCTCATGTTCGTCAACGCCTTCGGCGTCCAGAGTGTCCTGCCATTGCTCGAGGGGTTGGTGAGCTCGGCAATCAGCTCGCGTAGCGTATCGACGGTTCGAGTGGGGGACCGATCGAGCCTCCTCTCGAGAGAGACCGCAGACAGATAGGCCGGAAGAGGCGTGAGGGATGCCAGGCCCTGCAGGATGCTGTTCTGGTAACAAGAATTGTTGTAATTTCCCAGACCAGCCGGCTGGTCGGCCACGGCTCCTCCCCTCAGCGAAGCGCCGGTGAGACCGCTCAGGCCTTTTCGCCCAGCCTGCGCTACGGAACCAATAATTCCGCTCGCATTGTCGATTCCCAAAATTCTTCTCAGGGCATCGCTTTTGGCGGCACGTGTCGGCGGTTGCGTCGTGAGCATGTGTGTCGGAAACGGCGGAGGGTTCAAGAAACGGTCAATAGCAAAAACGACGCGCGCCGGAATCACAGTGACGGCCGCGTCACATGCACGCTGGAGAAGCGAAGAAAGCCGGCGCTGCTGGTGAGCCGCCTGGTACACTATGGTGGCGGCGAGCAAGGCAATCGTGATGATCACGGTTGGGTTGATAAACCAGTTTCGCAATTGTTCGTCGGCGTTGTGCTGGTACGAACCATGAATACCACGATTGTTGAACTTGCTATAAATGCGTCCCGCGTCGGAATTCATTTCTGTTGGCGAAGGAGGGCGGCGGAGGGCAGGAAAACCCAGGTAAAACCTGGCAAATGGAAATGTCTTCTTGTTGGCTCAGGAAGCTGACGGTGTTGAGAACAGCAAGGGATACAAAAATGCCATGTCCGATAAGAGAGAGTGATTTGGCTCAGCCAAAAGAGATGAAAGAAGAGCTGTACGATTGACGGACGGGGAAGCAAAGGCGGATGAGAGAGGAAAAACCGAAGGCGATGCACATGCGTGCGCGATGGCTTCCTTGCGCTGGGGAAACACCTTGGCCTTGCCAGCTGACGCAGTAATTGGTCGCCTGGAGCTTAGGTTGTGGGGTCACATGCATGGGTGTGCGCCAGGGCGCCTGCCGGGAGGTGGGCCCGTTCCCGGACCCCACTGAAAAAAGAAACGGCAACAACCCCCCCACACCAAAAAATTCCTAGCGATAAGAGGTTCTGGGAACCACCCCGCGATACCGCGGTTGATAACGAACACGGCCAAACAAAAGATGGCCAAAGGCAGCATCGCCAAGGGCAAGAGAGGTACAAAACCCCAGAAAACTACATGACAACCCCTTCTCATACCCAACTAACCACTCCCCCCCGTTCAGGCCCCTCAATACACTCCCGCGCCGCGCGGCGGGCGACCTCACCGGGCATCGACACGGACAAGTCACTCAAGGAAGTCCGGGCGCCACAAGAATCCATCGACCGACGGCCGGCCGTACTCGCGGCGCACCATGCCGGGGGCGTGAGCAAGAAGGCCAAGTCGGGCCGCAGGTCGGTGCTGAGCACGCGGGCGCGGCGGCGGCAGGAGCGCAGCATGGACCGGGCCGAGGCCGTCATGGACCGCACCGCCGTCAAGGTGCAGAAGAGCAAGGGCCACGCCCGCGTCATCCACGGCCGCCGCAAGACGTGGGACGAGGTCAACCGGGAGGCGTTCGAGCGCGAGGAGCTGCGCAAGCTCGGGAAGAAGGCCAAGGCGAAGATGGAGGAGGATGCCGCGGTGGAGGCGTTCTATGCGGATGATGGTGATGCTGAAATGGAGGGTGCTGAGGATGATGGGGAGGGGAGTGCGGGAGAGACGGGGGCTGTCGCTGTACCAACGGCGCCCGAGCCAGTCGATGTGGCGGAGGAGGATATTTTATAGGTTTGAGTTTGTGGGTGGTTGATTTGTCGGTACTATATCATACAAGGACTTTGTCGTGCCTGCTAGGCCGCCAAAGGACAAGCTCGCAAGGGCGCCACCATATTTGACGCTCCAGGTGCTCCCACCAAAACAGTCAAGAAGCAGGTTGGAGGCAAGAGCAGGTCACTCCAGCTCAAGCGAAGGCAGTGCGATATCCAAGCCGGTCCTGATATCAAGAGACTCGGAAGCCAAAGAGCTACAAAGGAATCAAGATGCGCACCGCCAAGGCATGTCCGAAAGAATAGGGTCGTTCCCTGTGGGGAGTCAGGACAACGGCCAAGAGATTTGCCCTCGTGCAATCAAGGAAGAAAACCCCATCCAACAAACGCAACTCATTACCTATACAATCAGCTTCTTGCCCAAAGACGAGCGTCTGCTTTTGTGCTATTTTACAGCACCTGAGCACAGGCAAAGGGAATAGAAGTGAACCGGGTCCTGAAGCAAGGCCATGGAGTTTCATGAAACCGTGCCAACTTGACGCTGTCTCACCTCTTATAAGCTGTCAGTCGCGATAACTAATTTTCATAAGCGGGTTTAGCTCAGTTGGGAGAGCGTCAGACTGAAGTAAAACTTCGGTAGAATTCATTATCTGAAGGTCATGTGTTCGATCCACATAAACCGCAAGTAAAGCTATGTTTTATCATATAGGCTGTAGCTACACCTATATTTTTCCCTCCCCAAGCTCATTTCCTTGGCAGGCACTTCTATTTTGCCCCACTCTCATAGTCAATGTTACATCTACTCTTCTCTAATGACCTGATCCCTAATAGTTGACTCCCCTAATAATGTGGTTCCCCTTAGTGGTTTGTGTCGGTTTGGACTTCTGAAGGTTGATAGCCTACATGTAGCGCCCGGCTGAGGCAGCGGCGGCGGTGGATTCCGGTGCCGATAGAACCATCTAGTACAAGACAAGTAGTCAACATATACTACCCAGCCATCTCACCTAGCCGGTATAGTGCCCCTGTTGATGAAGTTGGTCGAGCTGAGATTACGGTTGTGCCTTTCGTCCTCGTGATAGGGGTTTCTTCCTCGTTGAGACTTCTCGGAACCGAATGCTCTATAGAGCTTAGGGCTGTGTTCGGTTCCCATTTACTGAATGAACCCTTCACTATTGAACTCAAGTGTGCTATTGTTTCGTTGGTTGTTGATATCCGATATGGAAGGTCATTCAAGACTAGCAAGGCACGCCACAACTCAAATATAGTCAACCCAAATCCAGCGCAAATCAAGTTCGCAGTTGAAAAAGACCAGGGGCATATTTGATTTGACTATATTTGCCTAGTTTAAATATAGCCGCTCCTCGCTACAAGGTGCTGTCATAACAGGAAGGATTTGTTTCAAGGACGGTCGCATCACCACGTGGTCATTGTTAAGCTAGAGGGTACTTGAACAGTATATAGACTCGGAGCCGACCACATCACGAACTAGTAACGAAGTAAGGTGCAGGTTATCGCGGTACTTGGGCTGCGCGCGGTCTAACTGGATATAGTCTATTAGTTATTATTCAAGGGACCTAGGTACCAGAACGGATCTGGATGTCCATAGGTCAGGTTTAATCCCGCTTGCTGCACAACGTCACCGGGGACTTGTCCGTAGCTTAGGTTTACTCCGCCTTGCTGTACAACGCCCCCGGGATCTTGTCCGTAGTTTAAGTTTAACTCCCCTTGCTGTACCACTCCCCCGACCTCCTGGTGAGCCTGAGCTTGAGGATATGCTCCCCCTTGATTATTTGATCCATTTTGCTGAGCGGAACTCGTGGTCTGGGATATGATCCACGTATCAAGGACGGGATCGCCACACCCGGCGTGGACCATCAAAACCTGCTGCAGACGACATCTTACTTTTTCCAGGTTGCTGACCGTCGTCTTCAAGAGGCGATTCCTAGATTCAAGCCCCCTATGGAGGACATTCTTGTGCGCGATCTCCCACTTCTTTTTCGCCCGGGACCTTTTTGCCGCTTTACGATTCTTTTCCAGATGCTTCTCCCTTTTAACCTCGGCCTTGTTCGAGTGACCCGCCGGTGTCAACACGAGGAACGGGGGCTCGCAGTTTTCGATTTGTGAGTTGACGTCCTCCCCGAGGGGCAGCTGCTGCTGGGATTTGGGCATCGATCTCGGGTTTTATACACTAGGTGCAGTCGTGAGGTTAGTGGTGCTCAAATTTATGGTGGAATAATCCTGCTCCTATTACCGCTGTGTCGGGCTTAACTGCGCGGTGTCGAGGATATGGTTGGGGAAATGGTAAGGCCCGTTTGGTGCTGGTTTCGTGCTGCTGGAGAAAGCAAAATGGAATTACTAGAAAATGCAAGCCTAGGAAGACTGGTTGTTGGATTCTAGTGTCGGGTGAGGGTGCCATTTTATAGTCGAACCCTCCGTAACTTACACAGTAAGTGCCCTAGCTAGGTAGCCAGAACCTCAGACGGCCGCGGCGGGGGAAGGCTTTGAACTCCAGGGATGATCCTACCTAGGTACCTAACAACAGCATCACTCGGCATTCAATGTTTGAAAATTACGGACGGGATTACTGTGTAGGCAACATGAACACAAATATGGCGGGGAAGTCATGGCAACCTGCATGTTATGAGCTGTACGGATACTGTGGAAGCCAAGCCTAGGCACCAACCCCACCACGGGGTTATCGATGCCAAGACCAATCGATCTGCACAGTGAGAGCCTCACCCGACAACAACCCAACTGGCAACTACAAAGCCGCCAACGCCGAGTGAGACTTGCATCGAAATTTGAACGGCCTACGACCTGGTGCACCTCTCATACCGCCCGCAGAAACCCCAAAAACGGAATCTGAACCCCAACGGTGCTCACAGCCATGGAGTCAATCGCCACCCCGCGCATCACCTGCGCATACCTCAACTCGTACGTTGGCAAGAATGTGATAATCGTCGGAAAGGTCATCCAATTGCGGGGCGAGGAGGCCATTCTCGACGCCGACGGAAACATCACGGCCCACCTGAATCGCGTAAGCTGCTATTTTAATCCTAGCCCCCGCTCGAGTTGAGACGAAGCAGAGGGGGGGAAAGAAGAGAATGGTGGGGGTCATCGCGGAGATGAATCACCACCTGGACTCGGTCGAGTCGAGTTGAGGAGAACCACGGCTCACGCTACGGAACACAGGAAGCGCATCTGCTCGCAGGCAACGCCGCGCAGATCATCGGCAAGGTCAACCCCGATCTCTCCGTCAAGGTGCTCACCTCCATGGATCTGGGCACCGACGTAGGTGAGTTTATTGTCCAGGACCCTGCCCGCTCACGCACCTCTCTCGATAATAGCGAGGTGAAGAGGAGGGTGCGGGAGTGGATTGCCTCTGTGCGTATGCCTTGCTAGGGTTGAGACCTAACGCCTCCCAACAGACTACGGCCTGGCCAACACGGTCGTAGAAATCTCGCACCAGCATCGCCAGCTGTTTGCCTACGATTAAGCAAGGAATGGTCATCAGGGCTGCTGCCCGGAAATGCATGATGTCGGGCCTGGGCACTCTGGCTCCGTTCCCAGAACTCTATGACGCGTGGGAAATCATAGGCCATGCAGTGGCAAAAAGGACAGACGGATACACGAGCCGGTTTGGAGCACAGAGAGGCGATCCGAGGGAGGAGGAGAGTACCCGAGTGCAGGCGGTATCGGTGCGCCGCGCCTGAGGGCTGTGCCCGGCATGTGTTACGTCTGAGCAGCTCGTCTTCAGATATATCGAGCGGTCAGGCAGTGGTCAAAACACATGCAACATGTGATAAAGATAGAAGAAGCCTTGTTTTACTCCGCTGTTAATATAGCGGGCCTAGTATGTACACAGCAATAAAATCTAACCATCTTGCCATCATTGGGCTCCGACAACCGCCCACCGCGTAACGAAGCTCTGATCTGCTTCCTGCGATACAGCCAGGCTGACAGAACATCCCCCCCGGGTCCCGACGAAAAAAAGCAACCATGACTCGTGATGTCGTCTGACAATTCGTAAAAAAAAGCCCGCTTGTGGTATCCCCGCACCATAGCCCAGCCTAGACTGCAGCCCAGCAAAGACAAGAAAAGGGCGCACAAATCAAATCCCAACAAAACAAATACAACCACAATCTCTTCACCTCCCACCCTCCACTCCCCCATCACCGCCCATCGGCTGCTGATCCCACATCCCCCCATCCTGCAACGCCCCCCCAAATTGCTCCCCCACACCACGACCACCACCACCAGTCCGGCCGCCCCTCAACAGAGGCGGACTGCTCGGCATGACCAGGTCAGTGCCCAAGAAGTTGCCAAAGTCGGCGCCTCCGACGCCGACGTCGAGGTGGCCGAGGCCGAGATCGCCCACCGACGACGGGGCCACTCCTGCTGCGGTTGTGGCGGCGCCCCCTTGGCGGGAGGGCGACCCGCCGCCGCCGCCGCCGCCGATGAAGTCGTTAGCCTCGCTCAGCAGCTGGTGCAGGGTGGCGGTGAAGGGCGAGTCGAACGGCATGGGCATCTGCAGGCCCATGGCCATGGGCAGCTGGTTGTGGTCGGCGGCGTCGAGCGCGAAGTGGGCGTGGTGGGCGGCGTTGCCGCCGCTGCGGGGGGTGCGGCGCCTGCTGGCGCTGCTGGGGTGGAGGAAACCGCCCGAGGAGCGTGGGGTTTTGGTCGGCGTCTGCTGGAGGTGGTGGCCGGCAAAGAGCTGGCCTGGTGACTTGGGAATGCTCCTGCTAGAGCGGATCGATCGGGAGATGCTCCGCGTGATCGGGCGGTGGCTCGGTGTTGGGCGGGTCGGTGTCTTGAACGGACCTGCTGCGGCCTTGGGAGGCGGTGTGGAAGGGCATCGGGGAGGCGTCCCGAAGAGTTCTTGTTCAAGTTCGTCTTCGGGAATCGGAGTGCCTTGGCGCTCCTGGTGTCCATCGTTTTCCTTCCCTACTGCTGCCGACTTCGCCTCCGATCCGTGTGTACCTGCTTGCGTCGTGTTAAGCGAAAGCTCCCCAAGAACCCTGGGTGTCCCATCCCTCCTGGGTGACGGGAAGAGCAGCCTCCTCGTGCTGCCCAGTTCGTCCTCAACTGCAATGGGGCTGTCGGCAGTTCCACTCCCCCGCGAGTGAGTCGATCCCAAGAAACGCTGTCTCGGGGAGCTCTGCAAATTTAAACGCTGTTCGTCAGCTATTGTGGCGCTCTGTTGGCGCGACTGAGTTTCGTTTTCATAGTTGTCCATAAAGAAATCCTGGTCTACCGACCCGATCGGGTCCGTGGCGAAAAACGCTCCCGAGGCATCGGAGTTGACCTGGGCATCGCTCTTTGTGCGGCCCTTCTTCGACTTCGCGTTTCCCTTGGGCTCGCGCTTCCTCCGCGGTTGGTTGAGCCGAGCAGCATCCTTGTCCCACCGGTCAGGCGGCCGATGTCCCTTGAACTTTCCCAACCAGATGCCACAGGGATTGCAGAGCAGGGTTTCTGTCCATTTCTGCTTGTCGTCCTTCGAGCCAAGGCTCTTTTTGACTATTCTGTACTTGGCGGGTTTCTCGTCTTCATCCCTCTCCAGGACCTCTATCATTGTTACGCAACCCTGCTTTTCTGAAAATTCGTGAAAGCCGGGGTCTTCATCACGGTCCTGCGTCCAAATTTTGCGCCATGTCGGCGTCTCGATGGCGCCACAATTACTGCAGAAGGGAGGCGACTCTCCCCTCAAAATCGCGCTCTCGAGTTTCTCTTTGATGGACTGTTTTTTAACCAGATTTTTGCTGTATCGCGGGGGGTCGAGATCGCTCGGGGGACACGGCGGTTCGGACGCTACTGCGCGGGGCAGGGTTAGGAAAGCTTCCGGGGCCGGCTCGCTTGTTGCGGTCGCCGAGCCCTGAGCATTTGTGACTGGGGCATCTCTCGAAGCAGGTCTCGACGGTGGTCTTGACGGCGGTCTCGACGGCGACTGAGTCTGCACGGGTAACGAAGGCTGGGATCCCGGGCGTTCGGGGATCGGCATGGGCATTGCAGCTACCGTGAGAGGCTCTTGGGGGAAGGTCCCCGGGTACCCATTCTCCGCATCGTTTCCGGTGAGTTGCATCGAATCGAGCGCATTGAAGGACGGCTGCTCCTGAAACGGCTGGTGCTGTGCAGCATCCTGTGACAGGCCGTTTCCGTCCGCGTGGTACGCTGGGTTTTCTTGTGCGGCTGGGTCCTGCTCGGACGTAGCCGGGTTTGGGGCAGTTTGCGATCGTTTGAAAGGGCGGCTTGCCGGCTTCTTAGGCACAGGCTGAGCCGGGGGTGTTTGTCGGTTCAAAGTCTTGGCCTTGCCGGCAGGGTTGAATAGGCTCTTGGTGGGCAACAGTTCTGGTGGCCCAGGGTTGACTTCCTGGAACGGGAAGTTACTCGGCTGCTGTTGCTGTTGATGTTGTTGTGATTGCGGTTGAGAACGGCCGTTTTTTCGGGGTATCGTTTTGCTTGAGACGTGGGGAGAAGGGACAGGGAGCATCTGGTCCTGCATTTGCCCCTGCCCAAAATGCTGCAACACTCCCTCGTCAAAGATATCCTCTAGCCCACCGCTCATGAAGCCCGAGTCAATCGATGGCATCGGCATGGCGGAAAGGACCGGGCTCGAGTCCAGGGGGCTGGATCGGATGTACGGGGTTGTCCGTGGGACGGGCGGCGAGGAATTCAGGTCTCCAGCGCTGTCCTCCGGTAGATAACCATGGTCGGGCGAATGGCCATTCGAATCCGCAGGCGATCGAGCATCCTGGCTCCCATTTTGCATGGTTGCCCTGTCAGACCCCGCCTGGTCCATCTGGTTCATGTGTTGCGCCTTCGCCTGGTTCGCCAATGCTCTTCTCCGCTGCTGCTGGTGCAACATCTGCGCGCCTGGAATGGGCGTGGGTGCCCGTGGAATGTCCTGAAGGTGGTTGGCAGCGGGTCCCCCAGCCCTAACGGGTCTCATATTACGCAGGGAACCGGCGGTGCTAGCAGCCACCCTGAGGGAGTCCAGAGAAACGCCAAACGGAGCAATCGGGCTGTACTCGGTTTTGGTGGTGACCTTCGCCCTCCTCTTGTTAGGCCCATCGTCGCCATCCGTGCCCTCCTCGACTGCCGATGTGTTACCGGTTTCCAGGGGCCTTTTCCTGGGCCGTCCCCGCGGCCTGCCGGTCGGTTGTTTGCTCCGCGATCTCGAGGGCTTGGAAGGGCGGGGTTTCGGCGCAGGCTCTACGGTTTGGGAAGCCGCGGGTGATGGCGCGTTATCTGCCGACCCTTGAGGCCTCGCAGGGATCGGTGCTGCACTGGGAGGCCTGCTTGTTGGCGGGACCGCAGCAGGTGACGGGGCGTTCGAAGGGGGGATGGTAGCCGGCTGGATCGATTGTGGCGGCTGACTGTCGCTCCGTGTTCCCATCGGCCTACTCTCAACCGTCGAGGGGTTGTGCTGGCTGAGCTGGGCTGGCGCGAGGGCGGGCGAAGAGACGTTGCTGAGACTGAGGTTGGAGGAGACATTCCCCATGGTGGTGTTAGATTGGATGAACGAGTTCCATTCCGACACCGCCTCGGCCGGAAATGACGTAGCTCTCGTCCCATTTGCAGGCGCCATGCTGGGGTAGTCCGTGCGTTGTGCGATCTTTGCCACGGTTGCAAACTTCAGCTTCACCTCCAGCGTATCCCGGCTTCCGCCGTTGAGGAGTGCAAGGAGGTTCCTCGTGACACGGCCTGTGACCGATTGTTGTTCAGGCCCGCGCTGTTGATCCATAATCAACGAGAGCAGGCCCTGCCCTACAAGAGGCACCTCGGGCTCGGAGTAGTCGTACGCATACACGCTGAAATCGTTATCTTGCTGGTTCAAGATCTCAGGGCTGCTCTGTGAGACCGCCTGGAGACAGGTCCGCAAGTCTACCACGCCGATAGTGGTCTTTTCGTCGAGTGGCATGGTCTGGATTTGGAGGATGTGATGCCACCGCGCCAAGCAGTGCACCTGATTATCGCGATCAAAGGAGTAATGAACCTTGACTGCATGCACGGCAGGGTTAGAGACGCAACGGGGATTGAGAGGGGACGGAACGGAAACAAAACTCACGTCCCATTGGCCTCACCTGTAGGCCCGATTCTTCTGATGTACTCGCCGCTGGCTGAGCAGCAGCATGATGGGGTGATGACGCCGCCCACATGTTTGGTGGTGGTGTCGCCATTCTTTCTGGGGTGGGTTGACAATCCAACAGCGCACGCGCGTCCGTCGTATCGTCGCTCTTGAACTATTCCGAACAACTAAACAATTGACCGTGGTGTGAGGTTAGCGGTCGTCGATGGGAACGCAGGACGTTGAGTCTCTCGTTGCGTGGGAGGGATATTAAAGATCGGTGGTTAAGTCGGAGGATAGGTAGTTAGGGATGCAAATGCGCGAAGTTCTGCAATTGCGGAGGCGGAGGTAGGTAGGGAGGTCTGCACCTGGAAGTAGAGTGGGCCGATTTTAAGAGGCTGGGTCCATTCTCGCGGCGCGTCTGGAATGGGCGCGTCGGTGGGTCAGCAGCCGCGCTTGGTCGTGCCCTGCCCTGCACGGCGGGCAATTGGGAACCCTCGCTTTTGCCGAACCGCGCCAAAAAGGACAGTCCGAGGGAAGGGAAGGGGAACGGGTTGAGAAAGAGGAAAACCCCCAGAGAAGTTGAGAAAGAGATGCAATTGAAAGCCCGTACGGTCCAAAACAATTATCACTTACACGAACCTTATCCAAACCCACCATGCACTTCAGCCCGTTTGATCTCAAGGATGGCCGGGTGCACGTGTGATGGCGTTGGTTGGCGTTTGAACCGCGGATCTTGGCGCCCCCGAGCTGGTGGGTGAAGGGACGCGGAGTGGGGCCGAGTGCGGTGCCCCACTCGCCTGGCAGCGCGCCGAGGCGCAAGCACGGACCACACCAGACAAGCTTCCAGCTTGCCTTTTGCAGGCCCGAGTGCCACACAAACGGGTTGGACTTTGACGGTCCAACAGCTTGCTAAAAAGTTCCCGTTAAGTCGAAGAGTTTGGAGCAAAATTTGGGAGAGGAATTCGCGCGGGGAGGCCGGAGACCCCTATTTATACCCCGCAGAAACCCTCCACAGCTCCGGACGTGACTTAGGCAACAGTCTGCCCCACTCTTCATCGATCGCTTTGGATCTTCGTCTTGACTTTTGGTGATGCAAGCTTCCCGCCGGCAGATGGTGTTTTTTTTCATGGGGTTGAAGTCGTGCATGCATTGGTCCATCAACCCGCCCCTTTCTCAACAACTTCGAACCCCTTGCAGCTAACTCCCTACTACTGGTCACCTCAATTCGAGGAAAACAAAAACACATCAACCGAGCAACCAGCGGCTGCATTCCAAACCTAAATTTTCATCGGCAAGATTGCATTCTTGCATATTTTCCATCATTTAGTTTTCGTATTTTCGTTGCCTTTTAAAGGTTGGCCATTTTTCGCAGAAATTTGTACCTGGGGTTTCATGAGGATTTGGATGTTGACCGATGCAGCTTCAAAGCGACGGGCAGTCCGAGACAAGTAGGTGCCTATGGAAAGCAGGGCCGAGGAAAGATCAATACATCAAACAAACAGCTTCTACCTATCTACTTCGCAACCAATTAATCCACCGCCCAAACAAGTCTCCATCTACCGCAGGTAAAGTAAGGTATCTCGAACCAACGCCCTTCACCGCCACTACTCCCCACCCAACCAGCATTACCTAGGTACCGTACTCCTCCCTCACCACGTCTTCACACTAAGCGTCCTCTCCCCCCTCACAAACTCCCCCGCAATATTCGTCCCCAAATACCGCCCCTTCAAAAACCACACCAACAGGCTCCACACCTTCCAATCCCCGACCTGTCCCGTCCCGCGACTCCTCCCCAGCGTAGCCGCGAACGTAATCTTGCCCGCCGGCTTATACTCCTCCTCCTCCTCCTCCCCCTCCCCCTCCCCTTTTTGACCCCCCTCAACACGCCCCGCCAGCAACCTCGCCAGATGCACGGCCTGGGCGTCGGCGTACACGCCCTGCGGGTCCTCGAGGTTGCCGGCGTCGCCCGCGACAAACACGTTGGCGTGCCCCGCCGCCCGCAGCCGCGCCGTCTGCTGCACGAAGCCGCGCGCGTCGAGCATGGCGGCGGGGAGGAAGGAGGTGTTGGGTGTGAGGCCGTAGGTGGGGATGATCAGGTCCGCTTGGAGGGTGGTGGGGGGTGGGGTTGAGGTTTGGGGGTTGGGGTTGGCGGTTTTGGTGAGGGTGATGGTGCTGGTGCTGTTTTTGCCTGGGCCGGTGGTGGTGGGTGAGGTTACTTTGGCGTTGGTGATGACTTTGACTTTGAGGCGCTCCAGCTCCTTTTTGGCCGTCTCGCGCACGTCACGGCGGAATTTGGAGGTCAGGGGTAGCTCCTGGTCGCTGATGAGGGTGATCTGCTTCTTGCCCGTGACGCCGTACTCTTGGCCGAGCTCGCCGGCGATTTCGATGCCTGTGGCGCCCGCGCCGGCCACGACGATGGATTTGGCCGAGGCGATGCGCTGCGCCCAGCTGTGCAGGGCGTCTTTGGTCTCTTCGGTGGTCGAGAGGTTCTTGAAGGGCATGTCATTCTTGGAACTGCTGCCGGTGGCGATGACTCTGTTGGGCTGGCTGTTAGGATCCGCTGGCACTGACTCAGGTCGAGAGGGGAACCTAGGGTATGTGTTGAAACTTACAGGTCGTCATATTGGATCGTCCGAGCAGAGCCGTCGTTCCCGCGCACCTCGACAACATTCCTGTCGGGGTCCACCTTCTCGGCCACCCCTCGCACCAACTCGTACTGGTCCGATGGGTACTTGGCGAACGTCGGGGCGATAGGGAAGAAGAGTTTGTCGTCGCCCAACATGTTGGGAAGAATGCCGCGAACCGAGGCAACATTCCAGTACAGGTGTGTGTTGGGAGCCACCAAGATGACCTTGAGGTCTTTTGCCTTGGGCGCCGTGTGCTTGAGGAGGTAATGGGCGATGGGGATACCAGTGTAGCTGGCCCCGAGGATGACGATTGTTTTTGTCATGGTGTGGATTGCTGAAAGTTAACACTTGAGTTTAATGGCACTTGCACACGGCCGTCAGTATCTAGTCGAGACCGGGAGCTATATATGATGGCCGCAACGAGAATCCGGGGCCCTGGCCAACTTTCCACACTCTTCCGCGCGCGTAACTCCACCGTATCGGCATGACTGATGTTGGGTAGTAATCATCTTCTTTCCTTTTCAAATCACTATGTAATTAGATAATTAGTCGACTAGCTGCTTTCAGCACATCAAGGCTGAAAAATAGTCGCCGACCGCCCTTCAGGTTGTGTCGGGTGGACCTAAAGCAGAACGAGATAACTCTCGCGACTCCCGCGCGCAGCTGTTCCCGCGCGGAGTCCGAATCGGGCAATTTTCTGGCTTTCTGGTGTAAGTGCCCCACAAGGAAGGGCGAGCCGAGCGCTGCCACAAACGGAAAGACGAAGCGACCTTGGCGGCCTGCTTGTCACTTGCGTGCTCCTTCGACTTTGTAAGTCTTGACATTGATTTAATGAGATACTGATATTACCTCTAAAGACTCCAGTATTCGTACTCGAAACCCGTCTGTTAGCTCTCATCCTTTTTGATACGAAAATAAGCCATATCTGAGCAATGAGACGAGCCAATCCGAAGCACCAACTACAACTTATGTATGTCCCTTAAATAGCGAGAGAGGGAGGTGCCTTGGCCATAAATAAATTCAAAGACTTGGTAATAACGGCAGTTGCCATAGACCAGCCATCCAGCAACGAGTGCCCTGCTAACACGAGAACGCCTTACTGCCCTGGAGAAGTATGTAATTTACAAAGCGACCAAAATGACACCCTTATTGGCAGAATGGAACCCGCCCACCTGCCAACGCTCTAAGACCGCTCCTGTCCCTTGCCCTTAACCGCACCGCCGGCTCCCCCAGAGTTGGTGGTCTTGGTGCTAGCACCGCCAGCACTGCCGCCCTTGGTGGCAGTGGAAGCCGCGGCGTTGCCGGTCTTGGTGGCAGTGGAAGCCCCAGCACCACCAGTACCCTTGGCAGCATTGCCAGCTCCCGTGCTGGCACCCGCACCATTGCCGCCCTTGGTAGCGCTGCCGCTTCCAGCGTTGCCGGTCTTAGCAGCATTGCTGTTCCCACTCGCCTGCTGGCCGGGGGTTCCGGCGCCGGTGGAAGCGCGGGCCGACGGGACGAAACCGGTGCGCTGGTCCTTGCCCATCTTGACGGTCATGGGCTTGAGGTCGAACTTCTCCTTGATCTCGGAGTAGACGGCGGCGCTGACGGTGGCAGCCTGGACGTTGCCGAGCTTGGCGCCCTGGATGATCTCGATCAGGCCGCGCACGCGCGGGACGGCGGCGGGCTTCACGCCGGGGCCCGCGATGCGCTTGATCTCGGCCGTGACGGGCGCGCTCGACTGGTCAAAGATGATGACGTACGTCAGGTCCGTATCGGCGCTCGCCGACCATTGCCTCCAGTGCGCCTGCATGATGGCGTCCTTGCGCGATTGCTCGGCATTGAACTTGGCATCCTCCGGTGTTGGCGCCTTGGCGGGGGTCGAACTTGCGTTTGAGGTCGAAGACGAAGCTGCAGCCGGTGTCGAGTTCGGCTTGGTCGTAGCAGGGGTAGAATTTGCCTTGGTAGTAGCCGGGGTTTGGTTCGCCTTTGTAGTGGCCGGAGTTGAAGTCGTCTTGGTTGTGGGGGGGGTGGAATTCGCCTTGGTGGTGGCCGGGGTTGAGTTCGTCTTGGCGGGGCCCGAAGCCTGTGCTGGGCGTGCTGTACCTTGTGGGGGCATTGTAACTAAGGTAAGAGTGCTTTTAGAAGTCGACCTGTTGACTGGATTGAGAGTCTGTTAAGAGTCTTGAAACGAGAAATGCAGAACCTAATGGCCGGGGAAGAAGTTGAGAAGCGGCAGTGGTGTGAAGATGCCAGACTATGGTGATGTTCCGGGTCAAATTGTGCCTTTAACTTGCTGCCTATGAATGAACTTTATACAAGTTGGTGCCAGTGTGTAGAGATAGCCGGTACGTAAAGATGCCTACCTACCTACCTACCTAAGGTAAGGTAGGTACCTAACGGCCGAGGCCCAATTTTCTCGCGTTCGCCTAGGTAGGTTTGGGTGCGGCGGCCCTGTTGCCTGTGAAGCTGTGCCTGGTTACCTGAATTGGACGTTCCATATTTCTAGACGAATTACATAGGGAACCTGGAAGGTACATACCGAGTAGTTTCACATTTTAGTCCGAAGTTAGGATGACACCTTTTTCGTCGCGATGAAACGCTCCCCCCCGCAAAAAAACACATTAATAATACTTACGAGTCCGAATTTCCCCAGCACATCCACACAGTCCGAATCGCGACCGGGGCAACTCGTGCACTGCTTCAGTGCTTGGCATGAGAACTTTCGGTACCTAGGCTACCTAGGCTGCCGCGACATACCGTCTTGGGTGTGTTGCGCTAAGGCGGCCATTAGTCCAGTGTTGAAGCGATCGGAGACGGCCCGGGGCCTGTCATCATTCATGTCAATTACCTGGTGTCCTCGGAGGCTCGGACTGGACTTTTCCCATACGCCGCCGTCAAAGGGCTTACGGCTACGGACCTCGTCACCTAGGTAGGTAGGTACCTAGCTTGCCTGCTGCCCTTCCGGCCGCCACGTCTTTTTTCAAACAAGCAACCACTGGATGCGACAGGTCCAAATAATTCTGGGCGTCTCGGAAAATAGATACCATGCCCGTGGCCGACTGCGAGACTCGGAGTGCGTGTCTAGTTCCGAGATGATCTTATTCTTGCCGGTTGGCGTATTGGACACGCAGCGCGAGTACGACCTAACTTACCAACATGAAGCAACCGAACCCGTCGAGGTCGGAAGTCAGATGAACTTGTCCTACTATTATAAAAGGCGCCCTTCCTCCGTCTTGTAGCTAGATGCCTAATTCAAACAGCAAAACACTCAGTACCGATCCACAGAGAGAAACGCTTCTTTCTCTCGACACTCCTTTTATCATTTGCCTGGTACTTTACACTCCTTCACAGTGACTGCCTTTCACTCCTTTACACCCCACTCTCCTTTTCTTCTGAGCGTTGCCTAGTCCGTCACCGCGACAATGAGTAGAAACCTGGCGCGGGCCGCTCCTCCTCCGGCTGCACCGAGGCCGCTCTTCGGCGTTGAGATTGAGGTGTTCGTGCGACTCCTCCCGGACGTCGAGGACCGCATCGTACAAGCTGGATACGACTATCCGGACAGCTTACCCGATTATTGGCTGCAATGGGATGAAAACCTCGAAAACGACTCGAGGAACCAGCGTAGCAAGCACGACCAGCGGAAGAGGGTTGGCAAAGCCATCATGGGAATCATTGATTCCGCTTTAGGCCCCAGGAATGGTTGGAAGTGCGAGTCCGACGAGAGCTTGAAAGAGTCTCTCCTCACGGAGCCGCATGATACTCGCAGATGGTGTACGTGCTCATACCCCCGTTATTACTTGGGTAATCAAGCCAGATAGGTTAACGGCGTAGTATAGGGGGCATCGAGATCATCTCGCCGCCCATGTCGGTTAGCAGGAAATGGCAAAAGGAGATAGAGACTATCTTCGACGTCGTCGGCGAGTCATTCGACTTTTGGACCAACGAGAACTGCGCCTGCCACGTCCATGTATCTCCCGGGCCGACAACGGACTATACATATTCGCTGACCGAGCTCAACCAGATGGCAAAGGGCGCCTATTACTGGGAGGATGCGCTCTGCGATCTCCTCCCGATCGAGCGCCGTGATAACCGGTACGCGAAACCCAACTACACATACTTCGCTCACCACGAGTATATGGATGTACTCAGGGATGGCTGGGGCCCCGTCTTTGACGAGCTCGACTATATAACCAGCCAAGGCCAGGCTGAATTCCTTTATACTATGTCAGGCGGACGCACCCAGACCAGATATGTCTCGACCAATTTTGATCCCTTTACATCATACGGAACCGTCGAGCTTCGTCGCCAGGCAGGCGCGGCCTCGGCCACCACCGTCATTCACCGTGTCCTCCTTGCCGTCACATTCCACGTCAGTTGCATGCGTTTCAATTTCTCACAAGTCCGGAACGCAAGAGGCTACCCAAGCGGCGAGGCACTAATCAAGGAGCTCGGCGCATGCATTAAGCTGCTCCCCGACACGTGCCTCGGCTCCCGGTTCCTGAACTGGCTCAAGTACTGCCAGGAGACCTATGCGGACGACCGACCCTCCCTGGAAACGGTTATCAACAGACAGGAGCGCAGCCTGCGCAACGGCGGCGACGTCCCAACCGCCGGAGGAGGCGGAGCGCGCAGAGGAGGAGGAGGCACATCGCGGGGCGGGGGTGCCTCGTCACCGGCGTCGTCCCGCGGCCCATCTCGGCAGACCGTCGTCCTCCCCGAGCGCACCCGCGCCCCCCCTGCCCCGGCCCCTGCCCCCGCCGCCCCGCGCCAGCGGCGACAGGCCCGCGAGGAGTCCCCCCGCCCGCTCGCGCGCCGCCGCACCCAGGCGGTCCGCGACGACCCCCCCGCCCGCCGCACGGCACCGCCCCCGGCACCAGCCCCGGCACGGCGCCAGACAATCCGCGAGGAGTCCCCACGCCCGCTCGCGCGCCGCCGCAACCCCCCACCCCGAGACGACGACCGCCGTGGGGCCCCGCCGCCGCGCCGCAGAGCGGCCGACTACGACGACTGGCGCTGATCCGGCCTCGTCCAGAAAGAAAAGCAAGGGGGGTACGTTCGTTGGTTGGTTGCCGGCCCGAGACAACGACGACGACGACGACGACGACGACGACGATGGGGATCACCTCCTGGCAGGCGGACAAGGGGTACAGCGGAAGGCTGGGACTGCCTCTGTACTCACTCTGCGCCGGCGCAGCTACTCGCCTGCCGTGTTGTTGTTGGTTGTTGTTTGCCGGGCCGGCTGCCGGCCCCCCTGGGAGACGGCGCCGACCCATGGACTACAAGCTGATAGCCATCAGGGGGCATTTTGTGGTACTGACGGGATAGCCCCCTGTTTGATAATGGAGGTTTGGGCTGGGCCCAGGTCTTGAAATTCTATTAGCTTGTTCTTGGTTGTGCATCTGTCCAAATTGAGTAGAAGCGTGCCAGTAACATGAAGATGGTGATGGTCAATCAGCCCGCTCCCTCAAACCTCGCCTTCCTTAGAGCTTAAACCCTCCAGGAACACGGTCTTTAAACAGACCGAGCGGGTCGTATTTGCTGCTCACCCCCTTTAGGAACCCAAACTCGACGGCGCCATAGGATTTGAGGGGTGCCTGATACGGTGCCGCATAGTTGAGATACTGAAATTTTCTTAGCAGTCCCTTCGCTCTGGCGCGCGATTCAATGCTAGAGATAGCCCGACGGGAGGCTTGCTCTACTACCAGGTTTGCCGCAGAATCTTGCCAGAGCGCCGAGAGCAGCATGACTGTCATGTTCCGTAAGCGCAGGTCATGAGGTAGTTGTGTGAAAACCTACTGTAGCTGTTTCCGTCTTCCGGTCGGACGCCGAGAACGTTGCCTCCGGTTTTGGCTGCCTGAGAAAACATCACGGATGGAAGTGGCTCAAAGGCAATATTCCACACCACGCCGCCTGGGGGGTTGACGGAATACAGGGTGCTGTTGAGAATATCAAACACCTCGAGCATGAACTTAGTGGAGGGTTTCAGAGTCACTGTGGCAAAAAGCCAGTTTCTAGGCGATCATTAGCTTTTTGCTCATGCGTAGTTTGTAATCAGACGGGTGGACCGAAATCCAACTCACAAAGGCGGCGTGGGAGCTTCGTCCGCAAAGAAAGCTAGCGATGTTATCCGAGAGCTGTTTGAAATGCTGGGCACGGTGGCAAGTCCAGCAAACACCGGTGGATGAAGTACAGGACGAGTGTACACGGCTGAGTTGCTGATGGCCCACGATTTCGAAGTAGAGTTATAGCGAAACACTGTAACAAGGGAGGTGTAGATATCAAAGTCCGAAGACGATAGAATGTCGGTGAACGCCTCAAAAACTGGACCTCGTTGAGAGATATCGTTGGCAAAACTCGAGACGGAGATGTTGCCCTGAGGAAACGTGATGAGATCGAAACGCGTTACAACCCCAAAGTTGTTCGTTCCCCCTTTTAGCGCCCGGTAGAGGTCGCTGTGGTGGGTTTCGTTTGCATTTGTGAGGGTGCCATCAGCCAGAATAACCTTTATATGGTTAGCATCAAGAGAATTCTAATGTGAATGCATGTGAGAGGAGACTCATACCTCAAAATTGACGACGTTATCACAAGCCCACCCGACACGGGGAGAGAAATGTGAAATGCCTCCTCCCAGCGTTAATCCTCCCACCCCGACTAATCCATTGCGGCCCCCAGCAACTGCAATGTTGAAAGGGTCAAGATATCGATAGACCTGAAGCCAAGTAGCTCCAGCCCCAACTCTAACAACCGACCGGTCAGGACTCAGCGTTGTTGTGTTCAAACCCGTCATGTCGATCGTGACACTACCCTCTATGTTTGCGAAGCCGGCGGCGGGAGCATGGCCTTGACCTTTGATTGCAAAGTTGCAACTGTCAATTCCGGCAATGACTGAGACGGCCCGGGCTACATCTTGGGGCACCGAGGGCCGCATGACGCAGGCTGGATTCAGTCCCGATTCTTGCAAGGACTAGTACGAGTTTCTGGTAGTAGTGTAGATAGGCTGGCCGGGGAAGCTGACTTTTATGCCCAGCTCCCGATGTAGTTGAGAACACTATTTTTGAGTCAACTTTTACACTGTCTCAGTCACGAGAAACCGGAACAAATCGAAACAACGACTTACACATGTACTGACACCCACAGCATGAGCACTCAATGCCCAACTCACCAACGTCCAAAGGAGCTCCATGGTGAACTGCTGTATGTAAGGTGTGTGTCGTACCATGAATGGATGTAAAAGACGTCCAGGACTCGACTCAGCAACTGGAGCGGACTAACCGCCATTTCAACAACATGCCCTTGTTACAAACTCTCAGCCTATTCGTCCTTCACAGGGGTGAATAAACGCTCCGGCCTTTACTCGGCCATCGTCCACTTGCACTGCTCCCTCTCACTCCTCTCATTCGGCCCGGTCTGCAAACCCGACTTTTCCCTACCTTATTACCGAACTAGACCGAACTAGCCAGACAAACGTTAGCAGACACTGCAACATAACATGCACCTATCCCCCCCCCCAAACCACCTTGATTTTGACATTTCTCTTCCTAAACCGACCATGGCAACACAAAACCCGACATTCCCGCTTACCGCCCGGGAAGCCGGGCCCGAATCCCCCACCCCAGCGGCCACCCTGCCGCCGATATCCCGCAAGAAGCAAGCGGCGGTGGTCTCGTCCGCCTTCGGGGCCATAGCACTGACTATTGGATACAACCAGTGCTTCGGCGTGTTCCAGGAGTATTACCTATCACCTAGCCAAAATGTGTTAGATCCGTCTCCGTCCACGCTACCCTCACCGCCGACGGCCCTGCTCGCCTTCGTGGGCACGCTGTGCTACGGGCTGACCTGGGCCGGCGGCATCCTCGTGAACCCCGTGATCTCGCGCATCGAGCACGGAATCTGGGCTCCGACCACGCCCTCTTCTCGGATCTGGCGCCGGAGGATGCTCCGCCTGTTGACGCCCAGGACAATCACCGTGTCGGGGGTCGTCGTCATGTCCGCCGGCTTCGCGCTCGCGTCCCTAAGCAGTTCTATATGGCAGCTCCTGCTTACACAGGGGTTCATGGTTGGCCTCGGGATGTCGCTCTTATACTTCCCGCTCCTGGCTCCTGCGCCCGAGTATTTCACCAACCATCGTGCTACGGCCATGGGTATTGTAAGTGTCAACTTTTACAGCAATACCAATGCCATATGACCCTCCCCAGAACCATCACCAGTCGCACTCCTACTAACGCAACCCCCAGATCCTAGCCGGCGGCGGCGCAGGCGGCCTCGTGCTCTCCCCCGCCATCCGAGCCCTCCTCACCTCCCTCGGCGGCCGCTGGACCCTCCGAATCTACGCCATCTTCAACCTGCTCGCCGGCCTCCCAATCGCCTGGGCCGTCCCACGCAGCCGCTTCGCCGGCACCAACCCAACCACCACCACCACCACAACAACCACCACAACCACCAACCCAGCCCCCACCAACCCAGCAGAAGAGCCCGCCGAAAACCCCCGCCCCAACACGCACCTCTCGCGCAGCCTCGCCGCGCGCCCAACATTCCTCCTCTCCGCCATCGCCGCCTTCCTGCAGGCGGCCGGCGGGCAGCTGCCGCTGGCCTTCATCCCGTCGTACACGGTGTCGCTGGGGCTGGGGGCCTCCAAGGGTGCCGACCTGCTCGCGGCCAGCAGCGCGGTCAACGCCGCGGGCCGCGTGCTGACGGGTTATGCGGGGGACCGGTTTGGGCGGCAGAATACGCTTGTGCTGACGCTGTTGTTGGCCGCGGGGAGTGTTTTTGCGTTGTGGTTGGCTAGTGCGCTGGCGTTGGCGCCGGGTGCTGGGGTTGGTGGTGGTGGTGGTGGTGGTGGTGGTGGTGATGGCGCTGCGGCTTCGCTCTGGTTGGCTTTCATCGCGCTGTATAGCTTCGCGATTGGCGGGTACTACGCGCTGTTCCCGGCGCTGGTCGCCGACGTGTTTGGGATTCGGCAGTATGCCGCCGTGAACGCCTTCATCCTCTTGGTGAGGGGGTTGGGGACCATGTTCGGGAGTCCCGTGGGCGGGCAGCTGCTCGGGGCGCCGGGCCAGGGCGCGCGGGCGTACGTGAGCGTTGCGTACTGGGACGGGGCGCTCCTGATGGCTGCGACGGTCTGCTGTGCTGGGGTCCGCTGGGCGGATGCGAAGGGGAAGGGCTGGCGGTGGGTTGCTTGACCCACGGGTTGGTGTGCATGATATGATCTCAACTCTGAACGTACTAATATATTTAGTCTAACTTAAACAAGGTATCTTGGGATAAGACCACATTGCTTGAATTGAAGAATCCGTCCCGTTGTCGATAAAGGCTCGGCTCATTCTGATGCTAGAAAGCTTAATTATGTCGGTCACGAACTCTCCAGGCCGGGGTATCTCGATAACATCGCCTCATTCCCACCCCCGTTGCTGTCCGCCATTTTCCTTGCGGTTCCGATATTCGGGATGCCGTCGCAGCCCTTGCTATCGGGATGCGGAAAAAACGGAATGTCTTCACAGTTGTCGGTGGTACGCGCGATCTGCCTTCTTTTGAGTTTTGTCGATGGTGAATCCACTGGGCTGAGCCAAGAACAACGCCCAGGGATTCAGGTCGACGATGAGCTGCGCTGCCGTTGCCTGAACCGCGTGGCAGGGCCTAGAACACCTTGGCAGGAGATGAGACTCCATCAAGAAGATGCCCCCCAGCTGGTGGCTTGCGATCGACGCAGAAAGGTACATCTACAAAAGGCTCAACAATGCAAGTTCGAGTCAGGCTTAAAATAAGCTCCTGGAGGCCGGCGGTCAGCATGGGTAGCCCGGCTGCCTCGTCCACAACTGCTTCGGGGCTCAGAACGACCTTTATGCTCCACGCTTCCGACTGAACAACCCGAAAAACCTCTTCTCCTTAACCTCAACCGTGTACGGCTTCAGCGGGAACGTGGGGCGTACGTTATACTCGTCACCGTCTGGGTCAGTTGCGCTGTAATGCATGACGGACTGCCACCTCCTCTGCGGAATCTCCCCTAGCTTGGTGCTGTCTGAAGCGAACGATAGTATCGATATTCTGTTCTCCTCGGCCAACTTTGGCGTCCTCGGTCTCGTCGGGTCCCGGCTCATTGGTTGGGAACGCTTGGCTTCGGATTTTGTATCTGGTGATTTTGACGGAGGCGGCGTAACTGGCTGTGGCTTTTTGCGTATCTTTTCGGGACCTTTCTTACGATCTTTGCTTGCTACCTGGCCGTTTTGGGCAACAACAAGCGACTTTTCCTTTGCGTTCTCTGGCTGGGCCTTTTTCGCCGGCCGTGAACTGGGAGATCCCGGGTTGGATGGTGACTTGGGTTTGCGCCGAGACGAGGACGTTTTGGATGATGCTCTGGTTTTAGATGACGCTGCCGATGATCGCGAGGGGTTTGAGAGCCGGCGGGAGAGGCTGTCGATCGCCTTGATCGCTTCGGTTCTCGATCCGTTTGACAGCGACATGAGTGACTGGTAGTCCAAGTCGAGCCCATCTTTCTTGCTAGAAAGGCGAAGGAGGTTTGTTATTGCGCCTTTGAGCTTCTTAAGAACGCGATCGAGAGCCGAGACTGCGCGGGCTAGTTTGGTTAGCGAGCTAACGGTATCGTCCAGCTAGACACACCCACCGTCGCCTTTCCTCAATCGGTCCCCTGTTGTAGATAGCCTGGACGAGTATGCGTGTTTGATCGAGGAACGGTCGGCCTTGATGGATTTGCGAAGATGGGAACGTCGGTGTTCAGAGTCAACTGAGCCATCCTCTTCACGGCCATGCCCGAAGGCTTTGAGCAGCGAGATGCAGTTCGCATATGTGTCGAGCAGCGACTTGATGCTGTCACCGAATGACATTGTTCCGTTGAGGGGCAAAATATAGGTTCGGTTCAACGGTAAGCGGAGCTCATCGAGAGCTGACGGCGTGTTAACTGCGGAATCATCGATATCCTGTGATACTTTGACCGCTTCGAGACTCGAGATGCGGGGTTGACGTGGTTGGGTAGGGACGGCGACCGCTCATCCTCAGATTTGCCAACGTCGAGCGTCACGAAGCACTCGTTAACCGCCCGCCCCACTGTGTCCCGCATATTCGGCGCGACGTTGACGGCCAATCGCACAGCAGACTCTGGCCGTTTGTGCCGTTGGAGAAGTTCTTGGTTGTGGATGTTCTTGGCTAGGTGGCACGGCACTCATGGCTGGTGGGCCGAGTGCCTGAGTTCGCTTAGGCAGGTGTGCGGGTCCACGGTTGGCAGCCACGCACCCACGCAGCCGACGGGCGGTTGTGGGGTCGGGTGTTCTGGCCCATCTCTGAGGGAGCCTGCCGTGCCGTGCTTCCATGCTAGGCTTCGGTGGCAAGCAACTGGGCAAGAACTTGAACCGGCACACCGGGCATCTTGGACTCGTACATACCAAACAACATTTGGGACGCTTTTCGCATCGGAACTCTGCACTCCCAATGGACCTCGACGTTGCACGTCCGAGATAATAAAAATGCGATTGTCAGCACAGATATCAGCCGCGTTACCCGTCGCCCTCGCCCTTATCTTCGCCGCTCCGACCGTCACCGGCGCTGGGATCCAACCATCACTCTACGAACGAGAGAGCCGCTCTGAACCCACCGACCATGTCTTCCCGTTCCTGAGGTGGCTGCGCGATAGCGCTGTGGAGGTTGTCTTCGGCAAACCGTCTACTAGAACGAAGGGTTCGGGGTCGAGTGCGCAGCTGCAATCCAGGTACCAGGATGATATTGTGGTACGCTTCAATGTCACCAATTCCGAGGAGGAGGGCGCCCTAGCTCAGGCGGTCGAGCAGATGTTCCTCGACGTCTGGGCCTTCACTCCGGAATATGTCGATGTCAGGTTGGACAAGGATGATGTGTCGGGACTCCTTACTCTGCTGCCCAAATCTTTGGAGCCGTCAATACTAGTCCCGGATGTCGCCGCGGCAGTGTGGGCGACCTATCCCTCGGCGTCGGTCGAGAAATCCCGGCTCGAGTCAAGCATGGCCAATGCTGCCAAACTGAGGACATCGCTGGATGGGGTGGGGAATATCTTTTTCCAGAACTACCAGACTTTGGCTGTGAGATGAACCGTTCCCCCCTGACTTCCCGGAAGTATTGGTGCTGACTCCATCTAGGTGATCACGAGCTGGATGCGCCTACTAGAGGCCATGTTTCCGTCCATCGCGAGCATGACAAGCATTGGCAAGTCGTACGAGGGCAGGGAGGTTTATGCTTTGCGAGTCGGGGCTCGCAGCAGTGACAGCGAAGACAAAGGTCCGAGGAAGACCATCCTTATTACCGGTGGCCTCCATGGCCGTGAATGGATCTCGACGAGCTCCGTGACCTATCTGCTATGGTCGGTTATCACGTCATACAACAACGAGCCGATGATTACCAAACTTCTTGAACACTTCGACATAGTGTTCATCCCGGTTCTCAACCCGGATGGCTACGAATACACTTGGCAGACGGATAGGCTTTGGCGCAAGTCGAGGCAATTGACCAAGATGCGCTTTTGCCGCGGACTCGATCTCGACCATGCTTTCGGTCATGGCTGGGACGCCGCCCAACACCAAACGGACCCCTGCTCGGAGAGCTACGGCGGGGACCAGCCTTTCCAGGCTGTCGAAGCGTCCGAGTTAGCCAAATGGGCCCGAAACGAAACGGAACACGGCGTCAAGTTTGTCTCCTTCCTTGACCTACACTCCTACTCGCAACAGGTGCTCTTCCCGTACGCGTATACCTGCTCCATCGACCCACCGAACCGCGAGAATCTCGAGGAGCTTGCTGTGGGGCTGGCTAAGGCCATCCGGCTTTCGAGCGGAGAGCCGTACACCGTCACCTCGGCGTGCGAGGGCGCCGTTGCGCGGGCATATAGCGTAAGCGACTCGTTTCCGCGTATTGAAGCGGGTGGTGGCGCAGCCATCGACTGGTTCTACCGTGAGGCCCCTGTGCCAGTCGTATATTTGGCGAAACTCGAGCTAACTTCTGAATCTAGACGAACTCCAAGCACGGTATAGCTACCAAATTAAGCTCCGAGACACCGGGAGCTATGGATTCTTAGTACCTAGTGACAACATTGTCCCCACCGGCGAAGAGATGTTGAACGCTTTGAAGTACCTCGGCGACTATCTCCTCGGGAACAACGGGATAGAGAAGTCTCTACCACACCAGACATCGGACCGGTGGAAAGATCTAAGGAAACGGAGACGTTGAAGGACCAAAAAAGCGGAGGGAGGATACCGCAAGCAGCGTTTACTGTGTAGAAGGAGTGTGTGACTAACGGGGTTTATGGCTTTGATAAGAACGTCCGGTTTGGATATTCAATCGGCGAAAGGCGTTAGGTTGTTGGTCTGGGGGTGGCTCGGTCGGTAGGGGCAGAGGCACATGAATAATGATTGATGCACATTCGAGGGTCCTCATGGGGTCATCTTCTCCACCTTGCGTCAGGCTGTAATGTACATCTCGGCATTGGATGAAATTGGATAACTAACGGACGTAAATTGTGCAGGTTGTTATATCTTCGTGATTCCATAGCTTGGCTATTCATATCAAGAAAACAAGCAGTCGATTATTACATTTCAGTTCAGTTTTAGTTAGTTACACAATTCACCTGTTCTGCTCCTAATTGGGACGGCTCGACGGTTGGCGCGTGGTGGCAAGGGGCAAATGCGAACTGCAGCCCGGTGGATCTCAGAGACTTGCTGCGATCCGTAAGGGGCTTAGCGTATTTAAGTGGGGTCGCCCAGCGCTCAGCTTGGAAGGAGCTGACCATGCTGCATGCTGACCCAGCCTGGTCCACTGCAGCCCACCACCTCCTTGGTTGAGCGAGCATTTGGCAGCGACTTGCTCAAGCAGTTGGACAACCCCTTGTTGCGAAAGACTCGTCTTCCCAAAACCGTCATTCGACAAAACCGGAATCCACACGACGACAGATCCGACGACCTGCCATTCCATCCGACCTGCAGCCAACGGTGCACACATACCGCGCGCTCCATCAATTCACTCGTTTATACCGGGAGCGCACACCTTTTCTGCAATCCGCTGTCCGATTGTTTAGGGGACCTGATTTCGCCTTATTTCCGAGCTGCAGCCCTGATCGAGACCGCCCCGCCGATTCTTCGTCTCCTCGGTAGACTCATGGACTATGACGATTGCGCCGGACTGTAACCATGCCGTTCCTGCGACGCCGTGGCAACATGGCCAGTGAGAGCGATATGCGGCGTCATTCGCTGCTTGACACTCTCTCTGCGCCCACCCCAAAGCAGCCGACCTTCAACAACTCCGGGTCCACCACCGACCTGCCCGCTCTGTCAACCGTAGCAGAGGATTCGACATCTCTGCGCATCCCCAATTCTTCGGCCGACCTCCCCCGAGATAGCATATCTGTGGCATCCACCCACCGCGTCCCTTCGATAGTCGAACCCTGCGATGGGCCCGCGTCCGTCGCCGGCTCCGATCACTCGCACAAGCGCCGACGCTTCTCCATGCTGAGGTTTCGTAACGCGTCAGACTCTCAGCTGGCTGCGAAGGCGAAACTTCATGCGGCGGCACAGAAGCCTCCACCAGTACCGCGCCGTACGTGTCACCTCGCATTGCGCGCTGTGCCCCCCGAGATATCGATGGAGCTTCGAGGTACTAACATGGGATTTTATTACAGCTCCCGAAATCATCACCACGGCCCCAACTTTCAATCCCGTCGGCCCTCGAAAGAAGACATCTCGGATGAACTTTGGGCGACTGCGCCGATCGGGCGAGCTCTCTAGGACAGAGGACGCGAATGAGACGAACGGCAGGTCCGTCGGCCACGAACGGATTTCCAGGGTCCCTGAACATAGTGTGTCGTTTGACGAACCCAATCGCCCGTCGTTTTCGCACGCTCATGTGCCGCCACCATATGGAGATGACCGCTCTTCGGGATTGGCACTGCCTCCCAACCGGCTGTCCGAGTCGTCGAGGTCGGATGCCAGCTCCGGGGACAGGGTCTATGGCAGTACCACAACGACTACCCATACCGTTCACACAACAACCACGTTTTTTAGGCTTCCGCGCAGGAAACCCAAGCAACCGACACCGTTGTTCCCCATTGCTCACCTCCAGCCAAAGAGCAAGTCATCATTCGCCGAAGACTCGAATGTCTCTGGTTCGTCCTTCGCCGCATCGGACCGGTCTGGTGCCAATGCCTCACGGGGTAGCCAATTCACCCCGACGCAGTCAAGGGCGCCGTCGAGAAACGGGGTGACAACGCCACCTCCTCCAAATCAAGGGGTCGCTATGTTGGCTCGGGCGGCCGCATCCCCTGCCACTGCCCTATTTCGGCCCAGCTCCAGACAATCTGGGCAATCTTCACCAACCCGAAGCTATATTCATAGGAGGGGTAGGTCTTCGACTATGAGCTCATTGGGGAGGAATTCTCCGCGGGATTCCGTGGAAGATCACTTGGCCCCTCCCACAAGAACCTCGATATCAAACGGCCGAAAGAGTTTCAGCGATCTTCTCGGCCTCGGTCGGCTGCGCCAGAATTCAGACATGGTGGCATCTCGCCAGGGAACATTAACCCCCATGACGCCAGGCTCCAGCGCTTCCAAAAACAACTCTCTACAACTTCCTCGCGAGTCCGTTAATCTTCCGGAGCGCCGAGAGGATGACACGCCGGCGAAATACCTTGAACGTCTGCTTGAAGTCGTCAGCAGGAGTGTGGTGGCAGCAGCCCTCTCCAAGAACACTGACGCGTTTTCGCAGTCGGTGTTACGCAGTTATATGCGGGGTTTCCTGTTCTTTGGCGACCCCATGGACATGGCACTGAGAAAACTTCTGATGGAAGCCGAACTGCCAAAGGAGACACAACAGATCGACCGCTTCGTGCAGGCGTTTGCGAACCGGTACCACGAATGCAACCCCGGGATTTACTCGTCACCAGACCAGGCTTACTTCATCGCCTTCTCTCTACTCATCCTCCACACCGATGTGTTTAACAAAAACAACAAACACAAGATGCAGAAGGCCGACTACCTCAAGAACACGCACGGAGAGGGGATCTTCGATGACATCCTCGACGTTTTCTACGACAACATTACCTATACCCCGTTCATCCACGTTGAGGATGATTTGGATATCAACGGCGAGCGGATAATTGCGCAAAAAGCCCGTAAAAAGTCAATATTTCCACACGCCGTCCCGGATCCCGCCAAGAGAGTCGCGAAGGAACCCGTCGACCCCTACACACTCATCATCGATCACAAGTTGGACTTGCTCAGGCCCAACCTGAAGGAGGTGATGCAACTGGATGACCCGTACGACTACCTCGGAACTGTCAAGTCCCTTAACATGAAGGAACTCCAAAGGACCTTCTTTAAGACCGGTGTGTTGCAGATAGTTTCCGCACGATCACGACCTGATGCTTTCATGACGGAAAAGACGGCCACGAACCCGGAGGAAGCCCATCCTGGCATTGTGGACATCAAAATCACCAAGGTCGGCTTGTTGTGGCGGAAGGATGCCAAGAAGAAGAAGACGAGATCACCATGGCAAGAGTGGGGTGCCATTCTTACCGGTGCTCAGCTCTACTTCTTCCGCAATACCGCGTGGATTAAGCAGTTGATGCACCAGCAGAGAGATCACCTTAAGAAGGGCCATGATAGCGACCCGTGCATCTTCAAGCCGCCACTGGATCAGTTCAAGCCCGATGCTCTAATCTCAACAGACGGCGCGGTGGCCTTGATGGATTCGAGTTATAACAAGCACAAGCACGCTTTCTTGTATGTCAGACACGGTGGGTTCGAGGAAATTCTCCTAGCCGAGGACGAGAACGAGATGAACGACTGGCTAGCCAAGCTCAATTACGCCGCCGCCTTCAGGACGTCTGGCGTCCGTATGCGGGGCGTCATAGGAGGCAACTACGACGGGCAAAGCCGGCGCGCAATCAGGGGATCTGGCAGCGGTAACGTCCAGGTAATCCAGACTCCTTCGGGCGAAGTGACGGTGACCCGCAGTCGGATCGACCACCAGATGGCCCAGGATATTCTGGCGGCTCGACGGGATTTCATGCGCCAGAAAATCGTCGATGCCGACGAAAAGCTGAAGGAGGTCGAAGCAACACTCGAATCTCAGCTTCGCAACTCGCGGCATCTTCAAATACTCGCGCCGATATCACCCAAGACCCGGGACCAGATGTTATTGTCTGCGGCGCGCATGGCGGCACAGACCAAATGGACGCGCATGGAAATCTGGAAGCTCAAGTGTCACCGCGATGTTTTGCAGCTTGATATGGAGGAAGAACGCCAACTTCTCGGTCTCCCACCAGACACGAAGCTGGATGGTCCGGCCAGGTCTCTCACGAGGGAGGAGTCCAAGATGAGCCACATCTCTGCCTCTCAAAAGAGCCTACGGTCCCCAGAACAGCTGTCCCTGACAAGATCATCCTCCATTGCTGCAAAGTCGGATGATAACTCTTCACCAGCAACGGAGGCCTTCCAAACACCGCCTACTACTGCGAGTGCCAGCCGGGAAGATTCATGGGCTTCACCAGGTGCCGCATCCGATCACGGTGGCCTCAGGAAGCCATCCGTCTCGACCACGGTTGGATCTGACGCGTCCGTCCCCGGGACGCCGCCGAACAACGAGACCGAACCATCCACCTCAAAGAAGCGCGATTTCGAGCAGTCAGACGACGTGGATGCCGGCGAGCGGGACCTGTTGGAACAAGCCGGGCTTCTCGAGCCTGAAATCTCGCGTTCGTCAGACCACAGGAGCACCAACGATAACGTGGACGGGGAAGGGACCCCTGAGCGGCGGGAGCGTGCCTCCAGCGGCACCCCGGCAGACCGAAGCGAGAGGAGCAAGATTCGCCGCAGTCTGCAACGCACACTTAGGGAAGGCGCTGGCCACATCTCGCATCACCGGCACCGCAGGGCCAAGGACTCGACTTCGAACGCTACGTTGTCTGACGACGCGAACCGTGATGCCCCCGATGTCCTGCCCCGAGGGACCGGATCGTTTGTGGTGCACGGGAAGAAAGCCTCGGTGATCACCTTCGGGAACGAACTTCAAATGCAGAGCCTCGCGACCGAGGAACGTATCCGCCAGCGGCTCCACCGGGACGATTCATCGAGCACCCGCACTGGCGCAGCAGACGGCAGCGATTTCCAGTCGATCTTGACCGCGCGGTCCATGCGGGATCGCGAGCATCGTGGCTCCGCCGCCAGTGCGAGCACCGCCACAGCGAGGAGTTTCAGGGAGCTGCATAGAAAATACTCCTCCGCCGCCAGGGGCATGGGTGGTAACGGTAACCTCGCGTTGCCGTCTGACGAGGACAGCGACGCGGCGGTCAGCTTCTCCGATGGGCGCCGCACGCCGCTGCCACCCATTGACGGCGAGGAGGAGCAAGAACGGGAGCAAGGAGATGATGCCAACGGAGACACGGACGGTGTCGAGTATTTTGAGCTCAGCCCGCCCCCCAGTCGCGAGGGCCGCAACACGGTGTTCTTCACCCCCGAGCCACCGTCCTCGCCGGTCATCGAGCCGTCCAAGGGGAAGGAGGTGGAGCACAGGGACGTCGCTGAAGGCAGCGATCGGCTCCCGAGCCCGCCGTTGCAGGCTGTCGGTGCCTAGGAGGAATCACATGTCGGGATTCACAACCCCTCTACCATATAAACAACCCACCCACACGATTTCATTCCTTTCGATTCGGTTTACAACATACAAGTCTCTCCTTTTTTTTTTCGACATACCATTGTATTAATGTACCGTGACGCGAAAATGTTTGCGCGTCGCCAGGGCAAGGCAAGAGAAGAGAAAAATATGGTGAATGATGTGAAGGCGGCTCGACGCGGAAACCAAGGCTTTCCTTCTTTCCTTCCTCCGTCGTTATAGATCTCAGCTACGCCTCTCTTGGGGCCTAGACTATTCTGGCTCTTCCAGAAACCAACATACACTCCCTTTTTCTTGCTGTTTCTTCTACTTTCATTTCCCCGGGTTAGCAGGGTAACGGGCAATGGCTTTGGGGGATATCCGTTTCCCTACGCATGACTATCACTCCTTTTAATACGTGTCACATTCTTCATCTTCGTTTTTCTTCTTCATTGATGGGTGGGCGGGGTAGGATGGGGGCGGTCGGATGGCATACCCGAGGACCAGCTGATCGGCGGCTGTTAGAGAAGGTCAGTCGTGTGGGATCTATGGCTGTTGCTATGGGGGGCCAGGCATCGAGCTCCCGAATCGAGATGGGAGGTAGTAGTCGGTGTTCAAAGGGCGAGTCACTGGGCTCTGGGTTTCCCCTCGCTGGGGACGTCTATATGTTGGTGTGTGACGAGCGTTGTTGGTGTTCTGTTTTCACTTCCCGTTAGCTACCCGCAAGTCCATTTTCTTTGTCGGTTTGGCTGGCTGGTTCGGTTGTTTAGTGATGGACAGGGCTGGCTGGGAAGATGGGGGGGTTGCGGCGCACGCAAAGGACGGGGTTGGGAGGGGATAAATGGTCTTGGCCTTTTGGTAGGAATTACGGTAGAGTACTATTGAGCAGTCTTTATGCAAATCAAAAGCCGTGTCATGCATTTTTTCCTCCCCTCCTTCAGAGGCCTGGTCTATCATGTGGTGGGCCCGAAAAACATGGTTTATGAGACAGGTAACACATGTATATTCTTCGACGAGCGAGGAAGTGAGCGAGCGCGCTCATTTCTTCCCCTTCTTCTTCTTCTTCCCGCCGCCCCCGCCGCCGGACGCCGGCGCCTTCTCCACCTTGACGGAACCCGCGCCGCCAGCCAGCTCGAGGGTCTCCTCCTCGCGCACGACACCGCCTTGCGTCGCATCGGCCGCCCGCTTCTTGCCCTTCTTGCCCTTGGGCCGGTAGCTGCTGCGGTCCCGCAGCGGCAGCCACCGCTCCGGGTCGGGCTGCTTGCTGGGGTCGTACGACGTGGGCAGCTTCCTCTTCCTACGCTTCTTCGCCGGCTGCGATTGCTGTTGCTGCCTTTCCTTGCCAGTTTCGTCTTCCTCGTGGGCCCGCTTCTTGCCCCTGGCCTGCTGCGCGGCCGCCGGAGCGGTGGCGACGCCTGCTTCGAGCAGGGCGGTGGCGTCCACACCGCGGGTCAGGTCTTCGACTGAGGGGAGGGCGTCGAGGTAGGGCTGGACTTTGGAGAAGTCGGTTGTTGCGAGGCTGGCGACCAGACCGGCCTTGGCGATGCGGTCGCCGGGTTGGGCGGCGAGGAGGTGGGCGAAAGCTTCGCCTGCCGAGGCGAGGTCGGCGGGGTGGGATGAGCGGAGGAGCTCGATACCTGCCTCGCGCAAGAGCGAAGTGCCTGCTCCGGAGGCGGCGGGGCCCGTTTTCGTTTGCCAGTGTGCCGCAGCTTTGGCGAGCTCGTTGCGAATGGCCGAGTGCCGGCCTTGGGTGCGGTAGAGCGACACGGCTAGGGCAACCAAGCCGGGGGCAAAACGCACATCGGCGTGGTCGGGCGTCGTGGCAGCTTCCAGGCGCTTGAGGAAGGTTTCGAGGAGGTTGATGGCAGGCCCGGGGTTTTGGAGTTGGATGTAGAGTTGAATGACGGTGAGTAGAAGCCCAACATCGTCAGGTCGGGTCTCAAGTAGGGGGAGGACGTGGCGAAGGGCTTCTTGACCAGTTTGAAGCTGGGAAGCAGCCGCAGCGCCGAGGATCCCAAGGTCACACTTGGAGCTGGAAACAGCTGGGACGGGTTCCTTGGAGAGAATTTTGGAAGTGGTCTTCCCAACGCCGGGGAACTTCTGAACCTGAAGGTTCAAGACATATCTGTTGCGGCGAAGAACAGAGCTCTGGTACTCAAATAACCTATCGTTCCCTTCACCCTCCGGTAGGGACTCGCCAAGCCGCTGTGCCATGTAGGGGTTGCTCTCAGCCTGAAGGACGAGGGCATTCGTCCGGGCAACCACCGTGGCTGAAGAATCCGGGGTCTCGTCGAGGTTGAGCGAGTTTTGGAGGGCCACGGCCTCGGTCAGTTTCCCGAGCTTCGTGAAGACGTAGGCTTGCTGCACAACAATGGGCACCAGTTCCGCCTTCTTTTCCTCCTCGGTCAGCTCATCCGTTGCCTCGCACAGATCTCTCGAACGCTTGAGGAAAACGACAGCCTTGGCAAAATCTCCACGGGAAATGCATCCGCAGGCCGCATTGTACGCCGTCTCAAACGCCTCCAGGTCCTCCCTTCCGGGCTGCTTCTCCTGTTCCGGCACCGCCCAGCCCTTGCCCTGCCACTCGAGCTGCGCATTCGTCGCCGACAAGTTGATCCGCAGGTCGTTCTCCTCGCCATAGTTTGCCCCGCCCCGGCCTACCCCTAGCTCCCGGTATATGCTGCCCGCCTGGTCAAACTTCTCAGCGCGGTATGCCACCTGGGCGGCAATGTGCTTCAGGCCCCTCTGCGCCCTCCCCGTGCTGACACCAGCATCCTGCAGCACGGCCTCGGCGGCGTCCAGGTCGCCCGTCTTGTAGAGTGCGTAGGCCTTCTCGAACACGCACGTCGCTGCCAGGGTATCGCCGCCCTCGGCAATCACACGCAGGGCATCGTCGAAGCGGTCGAGGTTTAAAAGTGCCACCACGCGCGTGTGTTGGGCCGCGCCCAGGTTGGGGCCACGGCCCTTTGCAGCGAGCACGGCGGCGGTTGCGAGGTCGAGGGCCTCGGCGTGGTCATCGATGGACGCACCTCGGAGGAGGGAGTTGAGAGCGACGACGGCGGTGTCTCCCATGATGGCGGTGGGAAAGAAGGGACTGAGGACCGTTTAGAGTTGCCTTTGCGCATTCAAGCAGTCTGGGGTTCTCCGCGGGAGGAGAACCGGGGAGTTTAGCCTTTGGTAAGGTTGGGTAGGTTCGGTTGTCAGGGATGATGGGTTGAGCCTGGCTGGCCTGCTCCGGGTGTCAATCAACTGCTGTCTGCTGTCGCGTTGCGGTGGCAGGAGGTCAACTGCGGGGCACTTCTGGCCAATTTTCGAACGACTTTTGTGGGGTGAGACCAGCAGAAGTGGGGCAAGAAGGCAGGGCTCCAGGGGAAGCTCTCGTGGCTTGGCTTTTCCAATCGCGTGGAACCGGGCAGGGCAATTGAAACATTGGAACTCTGAAAAAGGGCGACTTCGGTTCTCTCGGGGGAATTTACCTGGTATTTTTCGGCGTATCCTATCGAGCCTATCTTCCAATTTTCTTGTTCCGTCATCTGCAGGAGACCTCTCTGCGGAGTTTGGTTTTGGGAATACACTCATTTCGACCCAAATACAGATTACAACCAGCAACAATGATCGGTCTGAGACCGTCTGCTTCTGCGTTCCGGCAGGCATACTCCGGGTGCACCGGTCGGGTCCGGGTCCCGGTTTCGGCATCGGGTCCGGCGTCCGGGAGATTTCTCGCGGCCCGCGTTCAAGTTTCAGCCCCCTTCTCGACGGTTTCGCTCGCATACGACTTGCATGAGCCAGCAAAGCCCGTCGCCGATAAGCAAACGTCACCAATCATTTTTATGCATGGCTTGTTCGGGTCCAAGAAGAACAACCGGACGATAAGTAAGTGAGTGCACCTTCATATTGCCCATTGACACTGCTGGAACGAATATCACTGACTAAGTGTGGTAACAGAGTCCTGGCCCGCGACCTAAGACGACATGTCTACGCTGTGGTGAGCAAGAAGCGGCCTCCTTCAGCCCACTTGCCCCCCTCGTTGACCTCCATGACAGGACCTTCGCAACCACGGCGATTCGCCCCATGATCACCGCCATGACTACCCCGCCATGGCCGCCGATGTGGCCGACTTCATCCGACAACACGGTCTGAAAGAGCCCACGCTGATCGGCCACTCCATGTAAGCGAGCCCTCCCAATCTTCCCCAGACAACAAACATACAAAGCAGGCCTGCTCACTCCAACCACCCTCCTAAAACTAGGGGCGCTAAAACAGCCATGGCACTCGCCCTGCACGAGCCCGACCTCGTAGCCAACCTGATCGCCGTCGACAACGCGCCGGTGGACGCGCGGCTGGGGTCGGACTTTGGGTGGTACATCCAGGGGATGAAGAAGATCGACGAGGCCGGGGTGACGCGGCAGGCGGAGGCGGACGAGATCCTGGCGCCGTACGAGTCCTCGGTGGCGATCCGGCAGTTCCTGCTCGGCAACCTGCACCGGCCGTCGGCCGCGAGCAAGACGCAGCAGTTCCGCGTGCCGCTGCCCATCCTGGCCCGCGCCCTCGACCACCTCGGCGACTTCCCCTTCAAGAGCCCCGCCGAGGTGCGCTTCGCCAAGCCCGCCCTCTTCGTCCGCGGCACCCAGAGCAAGTACGTGCCCGACGAGGTCATCCCGCTGATCGGCCAGTTCTTCCCCATGTTTGAGCTGGTCGATGTGGACGCCGGGCATTGGGTGATTTCGGAGAAGCCCGAGGCTTTTAGGGAGGGTAAGTGCTGCCGGTCCTGGAATGTGATGTGAGATGTGTGGCGTTGCTAACTGTAAGTGCTAGCTGTGATACGATTCCTAGAGCCCAAGGAGTAGCGGGAAGAACCGAGACTGTAATTATGTTATGCAGCCATACCTTGTATCTGTACTCTTACTCGACATGACCGGTTATAGACTTATATATACCCTTCACAAAATGGTGGCTCCGAAAATACATATGGATATCCAAAACGACGAGCGAATGTTGTGCCAAGGCTCCACATCATAACACGACATGGACTTCACCCAGGTCTCATAATGTATCCACCATAGCCACAGTGGTTGGGTACGATATCGGTTGAATGGTTTCCATAAGGTCCTGATGGCGACAGAATCGCATTAACGATCCTGGGACGCCCATATTGTCTCCCATTAGCTCGGAGGCAACCTCGCAGAGAAAGGATATCTCCTCCCTCCTAGGAGACGGTGATGTGCACGAGATTCTAGACGAAATGGACTGGGCACGCACAGAAGAGGAAGTCAAGGCCTCTTCTTCAAAAAGACTAGGACGAGAACGTGACAGGGAAGTCACCTCGGCGTTAAGGTCGACCAAGGATCCATGTAGCCTTGTGTGTCAAGAGGCAGGCCTGGCCTTGAACGCTCAAACCATGCCATCCAGAGACAAGCAACCGCGGGAAATCATGAGAAATTGGGACGCATGGCAAGTTGGTTGACGTGACAATTGGCTGAAACTCTAGCTGGATGCGCCCATGTCCTTGCCATGTCTCCCAATTGCCCGTCGGTCTCCCGCTCACAGCCCACCGCACGTCACCAGGCGCCCGCCATTAGGTACCGTAGACCGTCCAGTCAAGGATTATTGTGCCCTCGCTGCGATATGCTGTTGCTGGTCGTGTCACGGTCTTTTTGTAATCCTTTTTGATTCCGTGCGCTCCGCCGTCGTGGACGGAAAATTCGTTACCTTGACTACTGTACCATGATACCACGCCAAATGCAACGAAAGCAAGCCCAAAGCCCCAGTGAGGTATTGCTGATGAAAACCCTGCCCAGTGCGTTCCCAATAACAACCCTTATACCGCCTCGAGGACCTGCTCACGGAACTCCCGCTCAACCTTCTGGCCCTGCTCATCAGTGCTCGACTCGCCGTGGAGCGTCATCAGGGCACCAAGGTCGAACTTGGGCTGCTTCAGCAGCTTAACCTTGCGGATGTGGACCTGTTCCCATGTTAGCTACCTGCCGTAGCCTCCCACACACTCGCGCCAGTACAACATACGTTCTGGAGGGGGTAGATGCCCTGAGTAGCCTTCTCAATCTCGCGGCCGATCACCTCGGGGATGAGCTTGGAGGTGAGCTGGGTCAGGGTGCAGCTGGAAGCCTCGCGCTGGATGATCTCGGTCATCTTGCGGCGGATCGCGCGAATTTGTGAGGTAGCGGCATATGTTGTCTTCTTAATTTGGTTGGGGCGGCGCTTGGTGAAGGCAATCGCGAACAAGCGGAGGAGGTAGTGGTCGGTGGTCATAACGGTGACGTTGGCCTCGATCAGGGTCTGCCACTTGCGGACGAGCGAGCGGAGCTTGTCCGAGGTGAAGTCGAGCCCGTGGAAGTTCGTCAGGCAGTTCTTGCCCTGGACCTCATCCACACGGAGCTTGACCTTGCGGAAAGAGTGGTCCTCGTCCTTCTGCAGATCGGCGAGCGAGACCTCGACGATGCGACCCTTCAGGGCATCGTTGGCGTTCTTGAGACCGGTGGTCCGGTTGACCAGGGTCTTGCCGACACTGATCGTCACGTTAGAAGCCGTCTCGAATTCGTAACCGTCTCGTGCGGTATGCGTCTCGCGGGCGCGGGGTCTTACTCTCGGATGGCAAACGGCGCGGGGGCCTGGTAATCGGGCATCGTCAGTTTCCGGGCATGTCAAAATAGCCGATATGCGTGAAATGGCAACTCACCTTGATGCCGTACCAGTCCTTACGGGCGAAAGGGTCCTGGGCCCTCTTCTTAAGGCCCTTCTTGCCCTTGGACAGTCTCTTGTTCCTGCGCCCGGGTATCAGCCATCGGAAATCCACTAGAAGCCAGACAACGGCTCGAAGTCGTGCAATTCGCGTAAAATATCGGTTATTTGGGGCGCAACGTACTTGCCAACAGCCATCTTGACGAGCAGCTTTGTCAACGGCGGGACAGAGGTGCTGCTTGGTTAGTGATGGAGACCGTGGAATCGAGGTCACGAAATTTGGGGGTTTCTTCGCTCGAGTCGAAATTGTGATTTCGTTGTGTGGGCGCAACCCACCAGCGGAAAAACTCAAGATGTGGGGCACAGCATAAATCGCTACAATTGGCTGCTCGGAGCTTAGGGCTCGGAGGTCCGTGCATTCTCCCTCCTGCCTGCCTGAGTGCCTGGGTCGAGAACATGAGAAGTTTACAGAGGGGCTCCAGGGCAGTTGTTCCCGAATGACGGTTTCTTTCGCTCACACGACCCCGGATGAAGCAGCACTTTCGGAGCAACGTGATTGCAACACATACACCATCATCCGTATACATCCCGACAAATTCACAAACACAAACACATATATGTACGTCGGCAAATCAAAGTTTTGATTATGATTCATTTGGAGCTTGTGGTTTTTGCGTCACTTGCACCGCAATCGTTGCAGGTTACATGAACACACCCGAATTCACACAAAACACGAAGAGCAGGAGTCAGTGAAGTGATCGCTCTCTGCAACATCTTGTTTGCATTGGGTGACTTCGTCTTTTCATAACCAATCTCGCTCCGTTTCTCCATTTTTCGTCTCTCCACCCCAATCCACATGTGCCACGAAGGCAAAACCGTCCACGAGCCTCCCAAAACGCCCAAAGGCGTATCACGGCTTTTGGTTCCTTTCGATCGCCACACGCTCCCCGGCGAGTTCCGACTCCCAGGGGATGCATTCCCGAGAGCGCCGAGGGCTTCATGATATTGAGGCTCCTCATTCGCTCCCGTCCACAAATCCACGGCCACGTAGAGCGTTCCTCCTTGTGAAGGCAATGCTCCGCTTTGATTCTCCAATCGAAACCCTTCCGAGCCCGTCGCGGGGGCTTTTGTCACGTTTTCGTGACCGTGAGAGGGGGGGTTGGTGTCCCCGACGTGGTGCGCATCGCATCGAATGGCGGCGCTCCTGTCTTTGGGGTGAACAAGCGTGGGCGTGGGGTTGAGCTTTTTCTGTTTTCCGCGGCCGAGTCATGTCGGGTCGTTTTGCCGACCAGGATCGACATTTGGCGCCTCGGCCTTCCCTTGAGACTCAGCCTTTCAAGGCGACTTGGTCTCCGACTTCTCATCGTCTTGCTGGTTCGCTTCGTACAGGTCAAAGCTGGGGAAGCTAAAGTACCGCCCAGAAACTGTTTTCGCAATTAGCACCATCCCGGCCAAAACAATACGGGGGAAAGACGTACATGGATGGGGATGCAATTCATCGAAGGCATCGCAGTTGCTGTCGGGCGAGGATGAAAGCGACCCGTGGCGGTCCATGCTGTCGTACATGGAAGATGGCGTGGGCATCATGGACGGCGATCTGGGAACCGAATCCGGCGGTGAGCCGGAGACAAAGGCTACCCGGCTCAACAGTTCCGTCGCCCTCCGGCCCGATTGTGTCGCAAGAGCATTGGGGCTGGCGTTGGAGGTCGTGATGGACGGTTCAGTCGCGGTGGCCCTAAGAAGCCTCGGCCTCCTTGTGCTGGAGCACCGGTCCGACGAATCCCTCCTCTGCATGCGAACTGACTCGGAAGTGGTTGAACCCATTGTGAATATGGTTTGGGGTTGCCGGGTTGTGTGTTGATGTGTGTTGTGGTGGCCGACTGTTGGTTGGTGCAAGTGGCTGTTGCTAACAATCGAGAAACCCGCCGAGGGTTATGGATCGGTCATTACAGGTTGTTGAGAATAGAAGTGAAGGGAGAGGGAAGGGGCGCGACATTCAAGGCTGATGAGAAGCTTAAGAACGAAACCCACTTGGGCCGAAATGCAAATCCGCTCAATGCCGGACAGTGACGGTTTCAGTGACGGCACTCGCAACATTGCCACTTGGCAGCCCATGGTACGAGTTGTCTGGCAAGGAGTGGGAGGCTAAGCCGTTCCGATCTGTTGTCCACCAAGGCAAAGAGCGAGTGGGACGGCGATGCCTGGCCGCCGCCCCTGGCTGGGCCAGGCCTTCGAGACCTGGCACTCGCAACCACCAACCCTGCTTGGGCAACCGGGCTTGCCTGACACAATGCGATTCAGATATTGGTTGCTGATGGGATGGCTGTTTCCCCATAGCACCCACCCACTTGGCTTGCCGCGGGCCGTAGCCACACAAACGAGGTACCACCACACACTCCTGCTGACCGTCCCGTCCTCGGGACCTTCGCTCACTTGGGCATCCAGCCAGGCAGGCCAACACGCCTCAAGTGACACCTACACCGGTGTCCAACTGTCCCGCAGGGCGGGGAGGAACGCCAAGGGTGGCCCCGTCAGGCTTCCAGACAAGACCGAGTGGAGTACGGCAGCCGCCGCCAGCCATTCAAGTCGTGACACTTCAGGCGCTCTGGAGCTGCATCCTGCAGGCGGTGCATGGGTGTCTGGCGGCGATTGGCGACCTGGATCGCTGGCCCAGGTATTCCAGACTGGGCCAAGACGGCGGGTGTGGACCAGCGTGCGCCAGGTACATCCATACCTCGTGAGTGCTCGTTACCCGTCACGGAAGGACGCTGGCAATTGCTGGCCCAGCCAGAATGCGAAATCCCAGGCACGAAGGCGGTGATCGTCAGCCCACCATCCTCAACCATCCGCCGTTATGCACGCCCTAAACGAGTGTCCAGTACGCGGCGACGCAGCTAAGCTCTTTGGGGCGGGATTGAGGAGAAGACGCGATCTATCGCTGTCCGTCCCCGGCCTCGTGACAGTTCCAGATCTCGTTACAATATCGGCTTGATTACCCGCCCACCGACTCTCGTATGGGAATTTTCTTCACCGGTGCTGCGAAGCAACCACACCCCGACCTCGTGGGACCGCGGCAAGCGGATGGGATTGAGATGATGAGATGATGGGACAATTCGTTCCGGACCTTGTCTCGAGCTTGTCCGCCATTGGCTTTTTGGCATTGGCGCGATTTGTTTTCCAAAACGCGCTGGGGGACAGAAAGTCTCACAGCAAACCACAAGAAACAGGGGCCGGGCGACCGATCGCCGGATTCGACTCGATCCCCGGCTTCTTGTGACCGCCCACCCGCCGCCGTTCACATCCGCTCCCTGCTCCCACGAGGAACGTGGGGAACTCTTCCCCAGACTCGCCAGACAACACAACACCGCCGGCATGTCACTCATGTCCAGCTTTGCCAGGGGGGCATCCACCCCCAGAATGATGAGGTCAAGCAAGCCAGACAGTAACAAAACCTGCGCGATTTTACCCATTCCCCCAACCCCAATCCCACGAATGATAACTTTGCCAACTCTCGTCGTGAATCATCAACCCCCCAGGACCGTTCCTCAGAGCCAAACAAGACGGTTCCCCGGATCCGGGTCGTGTCACCATCATCGTGTCATCATCCCACCAGGGATAATGACCAAGGAAAAAGAAAAGAAAAATGAAGCAAACAGAACGTCTCAGGAACCCCCGGTTCGTCCCAAAAAAAAAAAACGGGCTTGCTTCCTCCCGGGGTTTCCGTCCGATGTCACAGGCGAGTTTCCGATCGCGAGGGGCGCGCGCTCGGAAACGCCTGGAACGCCTGGAACGCTTGGAACGCCTCAGGGCGCTGGAGCTCGCTCACGCCGGAACCAGACAGACAGGGGTAGCGAACTCAAAGCACAAAGCGAATTTTTGATTGAGGGCAGGGGGTTGCCGAACCCGACATCACGTCATACATTTCCAGAAAAGCGGGAGAAACGGCCAGGTTTTTGTCGGAAGGGACACAGGGAGGGCTGTCAAGGGAGAAAGTTGTTGTTAGCTGTTGCTAGCTGTTGCTACCTAGCTTCGAATGGTCTGGCAATGACGGCTGATGTGATGTTTACTTTTTTTTTCTTGGGTGCGGAACTAACGGCACAAACACAGACACTCACAGTGGCAACCCCCCCTCTTTTCTCAGCCGGTCAGAGCCATGCCCGCTAGTTGCTGTGGATTACTCTCCTGCGGACTGGGTGGGAGTGCACACGACAATGAGACAAGCCTTGCTTGACAGGGTCAGATTTTCCCTGTCCAACACAACAAGGGGCAAGACGGACTCAGGCGGGGATGGGTGTGGGCGACGTTGGCAAACAATCAACCCCCCCGCGGCGGTAACAGCGCAGCCGCCCACGCGCGGAAATCGCGATTGTAAGTTGTAAGTGAGCGCGTGACACGGCAAGGCATTTTATTCTCTATCTCTGCTCTGCCTTATCCGTGGGGGTTGTTCTGTTGTTGAAAAATGCCTCTTGCAGGAAATATAAACCATTTTAAGGGCATTGAGAGGACGGAAGCACCCTCCCACAACCAATCCGCTCTCATCTCGCACTGCTTCAGGTGACCTCGTGGCACGGTATTGAAACGGTATTGGTTAGCCCGTCTCAGACGATCTCGCGGCCCGCAACGGCACGAGTGGCTTAAGTACCCCAAGAGCTGCAACTCGGACGCTGCAGAGGACCAGCCTCAATAAACTTCAGTGGTCGATGCTATGTCTCTTGTCAGCCCTGTCCTCCCCTATTCGTCAGCGTGTCTCAGGGTTCGGCTTACTCCTCCCATATCCGGCCCTGCACCGACTTGAGCTCCTCCTCTGTCATTCGGTGGCCGGTCGTGAAATACCCTGTGGGGGAAGACTTGAGTCAGAAATAAGGCCGAAAGGGGACGGCAGCACTGCAACAAACCGGCGTTGATCTTGGCATCGATCTCAACCCTCGAGTCCGCGGGAATCCACGACTCCGGAAGCTCGACTCGCTCGTGGATGGGGATACTGTGGGATGAACCGTTAGCATCGCCGCTCTCGGAGCCATAACCGAGCAGCTTGACTCACCCTTGCCCGACAATGGCATCGTGTTTCATGCTGGATATCGACACGGGTCAGCTTGGGAGGGGCATTTGGGGGGGGGCACAATCGGGCACGTTGTGTGCCACTCACTTGCTCATGCTGAGCATCCTGTCAATCTTGGTGATGCCCAGCCAGTGCAGGATATCAGGCATCAGGGCCTGAAAGCGCATGTCCTTGACCCCCGCGATGTTCTCGGTCCGCTTGAAGTAATCCGATGCGCGATCTTCCCCGCGCTTGCGGGCGTTGTACACGACTGCAGATCTCCGTTAGATGGCCAATGGCGCATAGGTAAAGTGCTGGGTAGCACTGGGGGTTTTCGACATACGGTACTGCGTTCGCGTGAGTTTCTGGAGCAGCAACTGGACGGATTGGGGGATAACCTACCTTTGTTACTTCACCCAGAGCCCTGCCTTCCTTTCGGAAGTAGATGACAACACCACTCCCGCCGTTCTGGGCCTCCTTGACGGCCTCCTCGATGCCGAAGACGAGATAGGGCCTGCATGTGCAGATATCCGAACAGAAGACGTCGCTTCCATTACACTGCAGGAGGTATCAGCAAGGCACCAGGGGGGTAGTTAAAGCATACCAGGACGTACCTCGTCGTGGATGCGCAGCGCGAGCTTCTTGGAGGGGTCGGACATGTTCGCCGGGTCTCCAAAGCAGTATACCGTCAGGCCGCCTGCAGCCAGTCAGACGATATCCAATACGGGAGGGTGTGAGGAGGGGTGATTGTTTACCAATGGGGGGCAGGAAAACCTTGATATCGGACCGGGTTATCAACTAGGCGCTGCATCAGTTTCACGTCTTACTCTCACAATTCCTGACTTTGATGCGGCAGTTACCTCTGGATACATGCCACCGGTGTGCTCAAACAGCGACCTCCGCAGGGTGCCCTCATCGATACCGAACCGCTCCGCAACTCCCGGGAGATACCAGACTGGCTCAACGGCGAACTTGGTCACACTGAGCTCGCCAAGCTTGTTGATGCACACTTTGCCGTCAGGAACCAACCGCCCGGTCTTCACACTCTCCTCGAGCTCGGGCAACTTCATGTGTGCCTTGGTGATAGCGATGGTCGGTCGAAGATCCACTATCACATCGTTAGCCTTGGGCGGGCGATCCAGTAACAGTGAACATGCCGTTATCTTTGTCGATGAGGTCTCCGAAAAGAGAGGGCACCAAATGGCCCCAGGGGTCCATGGCCACGATCTTCTTCTCGTCACCCCATTGGGGGAAGGGGCCAATGTTCACGGCGGGCTCGGTATTGGTAAAATCGGGCTTGTGGTCGGACTTGAGTTCTCTGCTAGCTACGGCCAAGGCGTAGTAAACAGAATACGAGCCGCCGTGAGCGCCGATGGCATTCCGTTTCCCGATGGTCGATGGTACCCTGGAAACGGTCACCGGGCCGCGCTGCAACGGATCCGCGGCACCCCACTCCAACGGCAACGGCTTGATGCCGATCTGCTTGGGATAGGTGGTGAGGACGACACGGGAGGAGAAGGCAGACTTGAGTTCCGGTGATTGCGGGGCCACCGGTGGCGTCTGAGTGCCTGCTTCGGCCGGCAATGTCGCCGATGGTGAAGGGGTGATGCCGCTAACAAGGGGTGTCACCGTCCGCTTGACCCCGTCTGTCCCTGCCACGCTTGGACGCTGGCGACTTTCCTCCCGGGATTTCTCCAAGTCAGCCACATGCTGCGACACGGTCTCAACGGCAGACATCAGCTTCGCCTGGCCCAGTGTGATGGCCTTCAGCGCCTCTTTTACTTCTTCCAGGCTGGATGCCATGGTGGTTGTTGGTTAGGGGGCAACGGGAATATCAGACGAGAGATGTAACACAGCGAAAGAAGGTGAGATGAGACGAAAAAGTAAGTGCGGGCGTTGTTGAACAGATTAGATAATAATAATAAAATCAGGTATGTACTCTGGGGACGCGGCAGGCAAGTAGGTATTTAAGGTGCAAGCTTCGAGGTTTAGGGCAATGATGACGCTGAGTGCCTTAGGTAGAGCGGTGAGAAATCAACTACGAAAAGACTAGAATCTATTGGAGTTTCAAAGCATTTGGGGCGAACTTCCAGAGAAAGAAGAGGCGATGGCTGCGAGTAGGAAGGCGGAATGCGCCAAGTTCCGGGTCCAGGTGAGACCCCGTGATAAGCGGTTGGCTTCATTGGCAGCTATCGTGGTATCGCCGGCAGCGGGCAGACGGTGCTGGCCGGGCAGCTGCGCAGGTGATCGATAGGCAAGGGTTGGGCACCCGGCAATGCTCACATACCCCCTGCCACCATGCTCCGCTACCCCACTCGGGAAGCCCAACGGCGGGGTACTGCAATCGGATCGACTGCCGCGCCAGCGCGTTTCCGATGGCTGCTGCGCTGTGTGCTGGACAGCTCGGACAGCTCGGGACTGGATCCACGGTGAGAAAGAGAGAAAAGTGCAGGATGAGCCTTGGTTTACGTGGGCGGCTGGTAATTTGTGAATGTAGAAAGATCTTGTTGATTTCCTGTGTAGGTTGGAGGGAGGGTAAACGGACGATACACAGGAATACCTAGGTATCACGGGGAATCCCAGCTTCGATGCTCAACCTTGAACCGAATCCAAGCGCTGCAGCCGAAAAGAGGATGCAAGGAATCGAATGCAGCATGCCCTGCTTCCCAACCTGGAGTGGACCCAAGATTGCGGGGCAAGGCAAGGGCACGGTGCGCACGGGCCACTACGCGTTTCCTTCGCATGGCCAAGGCTGCTGAAACCCCCACAAGGCTACAGACCTGACAAGCTTGCCTACCACCGACCTCACCACGAGCTGCACAGAAAACCGAAGTTCTTTGACAAATCGACAATAGGTAGCATCACCATTACATGCGCTTGGGCTTCAGATAACGCCATATTTGCTCCATACACGTGTACTAGCAAAGGCTGTATCAAGAGCAAAACATAGCCCCCGGTAGACGCCCGAAAACCATTTCTTCCGTCGGTCCTCGCTTCAACTACCTACCTCCACCCGCGCTCCGTCCAACGAACGATCGAACTGCGTTTTCCCGCGATCATCACAAACCTTCTCCATCAAGGACGTTACGAAATCTACCAACCCATCCAATCTTAACCACACATTATAATGGGCAAGCGCAAGAGCTCAAGCAAGCCGCAGGGGCCCAAGAAGGTATGTCGAGCGCATCTCCTCAATCATCTTGCAGGAATCCCAGGCTAACACCCCCTTTCTTGCAGCGTGACCCGCTCCCAACCACATTTACCTGCCTTTTCTGCAACCATGAGAAGTCAGTCGAAGTCAAGCTCGACAAGAAAGCGGGCTGCGGCCACCTCCAGTGCAAAATCTGCGGACAGAGGTTCCAGTGCGGAATCAACTGTAAGTTCCCATCGCCGCTGCCACCAGCACTAGCACTAGAACAAGCGAAGCTAACAAGGATGCAAGATCTCTCCTCTCCGATAGACGTCTACAGCGAGTGGGTCGACGCAGCAGGTATGACACTGCACACAAAGTGGTTTGCTCCATGCTGTGGTACGGAGACTAACAAATTTGCCTTAGATGCTGTCGCTGCCGAAGCTCGCGAGAATGAAAAGTTCCGAGAGGCGAATCCGGGGGCTAAACGCGCGGGCGAGTCAAGCCAGAGGATAGACGATCGGGAAATTGAGGACGGTTATGAGGGAGATGGTATCGTACCGGATGATGAAGATGACTACGAGTAATGCGCGCACTGTCTACGGGTGTATTTGCATGGACATGGATTGGTGATCATCGCGGGCGATATCAGCTTTACATCAATGTTGGCTTCGGTGGGAGGTTGCATTATCGACCAGGATCTGTAATACTACGATGTTTCTTGTGTTGACGCTACGTGGTGCGCTAAAAAGGGTGATTCACATGGTATAGTACCTGTCGCCAAAGTCACCAAGGCCGGGTATAATGTAGCTGGGGGGTTGGTGAGCCTGGCATTCGTGATCGAGGGCAGAAAAACTTACTTCTTCTCGTCGAGTCCCTGGTCAACAAATGCTGTGACCAGCCGAAGCTTGGGGAACTTGGTGGCAAAGTTCTGGATACCCTGGGGGCTTGCGAGAACGTTGAGGAACAGGATGCGGTCCTCGGGGACACCTCGCGACTTGAGAACATCGACGGCCATGATGGCAGAGCCGCCTGTGGAGTGATGAGCGATAAGCGGCGACGGTCACAGCAGCGGAGACTACATACCTGTCGCAAGCATGGGGTCGAGCAAGAGAACCCATCTATCGGCAATGTCCTCCGGGAGCTTATCGTAGAAGAGCTTGGGCCGGGCCGACTCCTCATCCCTCTGGATCAAGATCTTGCCGATCCTCACAGACCGGCAGCACTCCCGCAAGCCCTGCTCCATCGCTTCCCCCGCGCGCATGATGGACACGCCACAGATCTTGCCCTGGAAGGAGAGCCCATCATAGGGGCGGCCGACCGGCGTCGTGACGGTGTGCTCAACTGTAGGGAGGTGGTTGAGGCCCTCTTCTACGAGGAGCCGGATGATCCTGTTGGAATAAAAGATGAAGTCCCCGCGCTGGGTGTCCTTGTTGCGGATAATTCTACTGGTGTATTAGACCCCGCGCATGGGCGGGCCAAGAAAGGAAACCACTCACGAGAGCAGCGCAATCAGTTGGGGCGTCTGCGGGAGGATGGTGACGGTGTCAAACTCTACATCGGTTGAGACTACCGCCGTGGGCTTTTGGCTCTCGGCGCGATAGACAGGCCCGACACATTTGGTGAGCGTAGGCTTGACGTCGGACATTGTGATTGTTGTTATTGTTGGAGAGACTCGAGCCAGGAAGTGTGTGCCGAAGCAATGCGCAGGCGCCTATCAAATCAGAGGTGGGATGTCGAATCTTTGCTCGAAAACACTGATAAAAAAAGAGAGGATATCCTGACTTCGGATCGGCTGTCTTGACTCTAGCGGGACAATGATGATAAGAACATGGAAGCCAAAAGAGGAGAGAACGCAGAAGGTCTGTTCAGGCAGGAGTTGGGCGTTTGTACACAAAACAGTCCCGGCGCACGATGAATTCGCTGCCCCTCACAGCTCTCAGGTCAAGCGCACATGGAATCCAGACCAACCCCACAAAGGCAGTTGGACTGGCTTGCTTCTGATCCGGACTGGAGTGACCCACAGATAGGGTACCGACACAGTAAAGGTAATGCGATGCGTTCGGATGAACCCCAGCACACTACAATCAAGGTCATGTTCTATCACCAGCGCGCTGATATTGCAGATTACTACGAGTCTCAATACCTCCTCAGAAGAACGGTGCTTGCTGCTCTCTACGCCCATAAAGGTAGCAGGGCAGTCCAGGTGCCGCTCGGATTCTAGAAAGAGAGGGCCTGCCGAGTTTGAGTAGGGTGGGAGGTGAAAGTTGTGGTGTTATCGCTTATTACGTAGTCCTCATGACAGATTATAGTCAACCCTCACTCTTTTTTCCTACCGATGTAGAATTCAGTTTCATCTAAAATACTTAACCAAAACTCAGCGCCTTCTTTGGGAGGAGTGTGGGGTCAGCCGCTGGCCCCACACATCCATGCGACGGAAACGGGGTGCTCGGGCCATCTGCCAGAGGCCAGGCGGCAGGGTGGGGTCGCAGGTCAAGGTACCTGGGGTTCCAGTTTCTAAACAACAACCGCCGCTGGCTTCTCGCGAATCGCATCAAGCAATCCTCCGTTCCACCATCACGACAACCTCCTACGGAACCACGCTCTGCTTTCGTCAGCCATATCCTGGGCGCGCGCCTGGTGTTGATTGAAGCTCCCGCGTCCCTATACTCGCTCAATTCACTTCGTTTCCACACTGACCGCGAATTGATTCCCATTGACACGTCTCTTGGCCATCGCGGAAGCTCCGACAACCGTGGCGAGAAACGGCCCGAGTTCCACGTGACTCATTCTATGAGAATGCCTCGCTGATACCAATCTGCTTCATGAAGAACACGTTCATTGGAAGCTCCAAGCACCGATCGAAAATCAGCAGTAGCTCTTCCGTCCTTCCCCCAGTTTCATCATGATGGCCGAGAGCACCGATTCCGTCTACGATTTTGCCTTTGCCCCGAAGAAGAAAGTGGCCACCTACGGGAAAGGAGGGAGGCGGAGGACGGAGACGACAACGAGGCCGGCGACTCTCAAATACTCGGAATCAGCGCCGGCCGTTCCGTCATCCTTCGCCGAGTCACACACAACATTGCCCGACCCCCCTCGATTGTCGACGCGCGCTACCGGCACGGCTAATGCCAGGCGACAGACGACCCGCAAACCGGGGCCTGAGGCGCGCCAGAAACCGGCGGAGGAGGCCCACAGCCAGCCACTTCCCGACCCGTACGACGTCGACCCTTACGACATTGACTCGCTGGCCGACGAGACTACCAGGACAAAAAAGAGGAGGGTTACGCGGGAGTCTTCCGATAAGGGAAAGTTTACCGGTCCTTACTCAACGCCGGATTCATCCCCTTCAGGCGCTCGGTCGCCTGTTCCGATGAGCGAGGAGGAAATCCCGAGATCGGCACCGGATGCTAGCCCATCTACCGCGTCGCGACGGAGCACACCTGAGCGGGATGTTGATATGAAGGATGACGCGCCCACTTCAATGCCATTCTCTGCGAAAACCACCCGCAAGTTGAAAAACCTCAGCGTCAGCTCCAAAAGCTCGGGATTGAAGAAGCAGCAGATCCCCATCCGTCTTTCTGCCCCTGCTCCAAAGCCTGCTCCAAAACCTACAAATAAGAACCCATCACGCCCGGCCGATGGCACTTCGAGCCAGGGACCCACTGCTCAGCCAGTCCGAAAAAGGCGCTTGATTGATACTTTGGCGGCGCAAGTTCAAGACGAGATTAGTTCATCTGAGGATGAAACATCGTCACACGAGTCAGAGATTCTCGGTTCCCAATCGCCAACACACTTCCAGGCCTCCCCGCCGCCTCCACCAACGGTTTTGGCCCAGCCGAACACGCTACCACGCCCCGTCTTAGCGACCAAGAAGACCGGCCCAAAATTTACATACACCCAGCAGCGGTCCATGTTAGCTGATGAGGACCCGCTATTGGGAAGCGGTGGGCTTGGTGACATTGGCGATGGGCGGGCAGGAGGTGCGCTCTTTAACCTTGGGCGTCTTACCAAAAGCTCGACCATAAATACGTTTTCGTACCTTGATGAAGACGACGAGACGGGCAACACCGGCGCCGTTCGAAGCATTCACGAGTTGAGGCAGGCTGGTGCAAACAGCCGCTTCGCCGATGAGATGGACGACATTCTAGATAGAGTCGGCCTGCCGTCAGCCAAACCCTCTTCTCTACGGAGGGGCGCCTTGCTCGAGCTTGCTCAAAAAATGAAGCACAAAGACTTCCGCCAGCAGTTTCGCAACCATAGCGACGGAGGAAGCCTGTTCCGGTCGCTCGCAGATGAAACGGACCTGATCTCTGGATATGCAATTTTGGCCATAGTCAACACCCTTCTCGCCGCTACCACGTCGGCCCATCTAATCCAACAGCTTCGCTCGCAGGGCCTTGCTGCACTTGTGGGCAAGCTTCTTGACAATGCAACCGACATTGGGCAGCTCATGAAGGACAGGAAACAGAATGTCTCCCGAAACGGTCAGCTTACCATCACGGACATCAAATCCTCGCTTCTGGGGCTTCCCGTCTGGGAACCTTTCTCTCCTACATCACTGTCGCCGCGGACCCTAGCACTAAAATGTCTCGACCTCCTTATGCGGCAGCGCACCCACGCGTCTGTCGAGGATGACGTGCTCTCTCAGGCAGTCACAGACCACTTGTTTTCGATCCTCGCCGACAGCATTTCCAACCCCGCTTTCTGGGACATGTCCAATCAAAAAGAATCCGGGGACTTTTACCTGGCGCTCCATGTACTAGAGGGCCACTCGGTCAGCGCGATGCAGTCTCGGCTCGGTTCTGTGTGGACGAAACAGCATGCCCCCGTCGTCGCCGAGGTTCTCGAAACAGCGCTGGGGCGGCCAGCCGACCAACTTGGCGACCTCGAGAATCTCACTCTGAAGCTGGCTCTCAACATCACGAACCACAATGAGGAGGCTTCTCGACTATTTGTCGAACAGGGGTTGCTTCAGCGCCTTGCAGAGTCGGCATGCGGCGCGTTCGAGATGGTTATGAAGTCGATGAAAGCGGATTCATTCATGTCCAAGGTCCTAGAGTCTCTCATCATGATGTTGGGAGCGATGATTAATTTCTGTGTGTATTATCCGCCTGCCTCGAGCAGCCTCGAGGAACGAGGGGACGGCACAGGGTCGCCCCTTAACCGTCTCATTCGGGTCTTTGCAGACAACCACTCGAAGACAGCTGACGTAAGTCCCACCAAACTCGGTGGCCCGTCTCAACTGCTAATAGGAAATAGGCGGACTCGATGGAAAAGACCCAGCTCAACGTTGCCTTGGGCTACCTCTCGGTTCTCCTCGGGTATCTCTCCCTAACCACCTCGATCAGGGAGCGTTTTGTTTCGGTTCACCCCAAAAAGAACATGCAACCACTCCTCGATTCGATCAATGAGTTCATCACCTTCCATCGCAAGGTTGCAGAAGCTCAGGGTGATGAGGGAATGAAGCAGGAGTCGGGGTCCTTGGCTCGTCTCCAAGATCTAGCGAACCAACTGGCGGGGCTGCGATGAAACGGCCTCTGCCCACCGCTCCCACATCTGTTAATGACTCATGGCGTTAGGAATTGGCTGGGCCCGAAACACGGCTTGCATAGGGGACGGGTCTGATGAAATCCGGATTTTGATATTTCAGTTGGCAGTTGGCAGTTGGAGGGTAGGTAGTTATGGGATGATGATGCAGTTTCACTGCATGAAGGGATGTGACATTAGGACATGACATGGGGACATGACACGGGCACGAGGGAACGATTCCCGCAAACACATAGACGCAACGGTTGATTCAAGCCTAGGTAGAATGGCTACATTTACATTCAACGTATAGAATACTTTGCTCCAATCTGCTCTCTCTCAGCATCGACCCTTTTGGCCGATGATAGCCTCGACGCCCGGGGCTTGGAATTGTCACATGCCCGAGTCAAATGTCACACACAGCAGCCAGTGGCGTTCGCCTGGATGAATTCCCGGGGCGATCCAGGCTTGAGCCGCAGCGGGGCGCTGAGACTCTGCCCAATAGCCTCTCATGAAGCCCGCCAAGCTCGCCAAGGCACGCAACCGGCCCGGCAAAGTAGCCACCCCGCCCCGCCATCCCCCTCGGAGGGGCCTGGAACCGCCCGTATCGTGTTGCGGAGTAGGGGTAATCCATTGTGTACATTACCCAGTACTCGTGTAGCTGCTGCGCAACCCTTCACACAGTTCACTTCACACATCAGTTCCAGAGTTCAGGTGCAGTGTGCTGCATTGTGACTTTTGTTGACCGATTTCGAACGTGCTAGCTGCCCAGCCATCCTCCCCGGTTTGAACGATTCCAAATAGCAGGGTCTTTAGCGTCCTTTTGTTTCAACAACTTTGGATCAACACTCGTTTCAAACATAACCACTTCGAGTTGTTTGTCTGATCGCATCACGCCGCATTGGACCAGACAACCTCTCGGCGTGACCGTTATTTACGGCCCTCGTACTACCAACATCCCGAATTACCGTCGCGACGACAAGGTCATAAAAATGCCGCCGACCACACTCGCCAAACAGCGGAAGATTGCCATAGTGGGCAGCCGCTCAGTCGGTTCGTCACCCCTCCTTTCACTCTCCCACCTGTGAACCCCCGCACTAACCACCCCGCGCGCGCGTGTGTGAATAAACAGGAAAATCCTCGCTGGCAGTCCGATACGTTGACGGACATTTTGTCGAGAGCTACTACCCGACCATTGAGAACACTTTTAGCAAGGAGATCCGGTACAAGGGACAGGAGTTCGCGACCGAGATTGTCGACACAGCCGGGCAGGACGAGTACAGCATCCTCAATTCGAAGCACTTCATTGGCATCCATGGCTACATGCTGGTCTACAGCGTCTCGTCGCTGCAGTCATTCGAGATGGTGCAAGTGATCCGGGACAAGATTCTGAACCACCTCGTTCGTACCCCTCGTCCTCTTCCCTCCGATCCCCCCCTCCCCATAACAACACCACATCACACTACACCACACACATCTTACCACACTACAACGAACCCACCCCCCAACCCAACCAAACCAAACCAAATCCAACTAACCACCCCCCAAAAACAGGGCACCGAAACCGTCCCGATCTGCATCGTCGGCAACAAGTGCGACCTGCGGCCCGAGCAGCGGCAGGTGACGGCGGAGGAGGGCAAGGCGCTGGCCGACAAGCACGGGTGCGCGTGGACGGAGGCCAGCGCGCGGTACAACGAGAACGTGGCCAAGTCGTTCGAGCTGCTGATCGGCGAGGTGGAGAAGTCGCAGAACCCCGGGGAGCCGTCGGGCGGGGGGAAGTGCGCGGTGATGTGATGTGATGTGGGTTTGGGTTTGGGTTTCTTTTCTACTTTTCTTTCTTTCTTTCTTCCCTGGGGGAGAGGGAGGGAGGGAGGGAGGGGGGTAATGGGAGAGTTGGGTTGGGAGGGGGGGTAGGTGTTTGTTCCATGTTTGGGCTGGGGAGAGAGGCTATGCCCTCCCTGCCCGGCTGCATTACGTTATAAGGGGGATTGTCGCCGTCGTAAGGGGCGGGTAATGGGTTGGTCGGTTGGACTTTCAACGTTTTTTATTATGATGATTCTGGGCTTTTCAAAGTGGCCTGGACATTTTCTCCTATCTTGCACATTCGTGGTGTTGTTTTCGGGACTGGCCAGGTACAGGCGAGCATTTTGGGGACGGTCTCAGCGAAGCGGTACTCATGTTGATCTTCTCAGAATGTTGGCGTGGTGGCGCCGAGGACAACGTTTGATGTATGATGGGGGGCTACAGCAGTGGTAGAAGCACTGGCTTTATTTACGTTTACTACTTTGCCCATAGGGTGCCAGGGCATCGACATATGATCACTTGTTTTCGGACCAAACCTCGCACAGTGGAAATTGATGACAGGATGACCACGCTCCTCTATCCCCGGATATATCGGCTCATCAGGCCCCAAGTCTCATCACAAGACTGGAACTCACTGCCCAGTTGCCTACATGGCAACCAACACCAAAACTCCCGCTCGCGTCTATTCAAGACCCTTACCGGACAGGGATTTCCTTCTTCTCGCCTTCCTTCTTCTCACCCTCCTTCTTGTCGGCCGCCGTCTTCGCAAATGGGATGAACTCGGGAGCACCAGGCAGGTACTATGATCGTCAGTATCGGAGCGCGCAGTCATGGAGCCTTACTGTCTTACCTTCCGGAGCGGCTCAGGGATGTTGACACCCTAGAGAAGAATTAGTCAACAAAAAAAATCAAAAAGATGGGCGGCTCTGTGGTGGCATGTTTACATCTTCAGTCTGGAAGTTCTCCAGAATAGCGCAGATTGTTCTTGTTGTGGCAGTGAGAGTCGAGTTGAGGCAGTGAACATAGATCTTCTTGGCGTCGGTCTGCTTCTTGATACCAAAGCGGATCTCAAGGTCACGGCTCTGGTAATCGGTGCAGTTCCTGTGTCAGGGTTAGCGCTGTCCTTTAACCCGAGTGTGTCTGCACTTACGAGCAGCTGACAAGCTCCTTGAACTCGCCTTGGTGGGGAAACCAGGCCTCAAGATCAAGCTTCTTAGCAGCTTTATGTTGGTTAGCAGGATAGCGCGCAATTCCCTTTTGTTCTCCAACTTACCAGCGTTGTCTGGTGAAGTTAGCGAGCTGTCTTTAGTAATACTACAAAAGGAAAGGGGGCTGCATACTAAGAGCGCCAGAGACGATAGCGACAACCCGGTGGGGGATACCGAGAGACTTGTAGAAATCTTCCGACGTCGAGATCATGTTGTCAAACATCTCCCAGGACCTGAATATGTAAGAACCGGCACAGTCATCATCACGTAGGCGGGAACTAACTTCTCAGGGTCGGTGACACAAAATTGCTCGACCTGCGAAATATTAGACACTGCTTTTGTTGGTTGGGAATGCTGCGGCTAACCTTGGTGAATTCGTGGACACGGAAAATGCCCCAGACATCTTTCCCGTGCTGCTACAAGTCAGTGATGGGGTAACTGTTTAGGCAAGCGGCTTGAACCTACAGCACCAGCCTCTTTGCGGAAACAAGTCGAGTAGCCCGCATACCTGAGAGAGTGTTAGCACAAGCCCTGACGGATTATGCCGCACTACTTACTTCAGGGGCAGTTCCTTGGGCTGCAACCACTCGTCACTGTGGTACGCAGAGATAGGTTGTTCCGAAGTCTGTCACAAGTCAGTCGACGGCAGATTAATGACTTGGCCCCGGAATGTACTTACCGCAATGAGGTACTTGTCCGCTTGGTCGCCAGTGACCTTGTAGAGTTCCTCGTCGAATCTAAATTTGGGGTCAATAATCGTCATCGAGGCGGAGGTAACTGCTAAGGCTGACTTACTGCGAAAGCTGAGCGGTCTTCGCCATCTGATCCCGGAGCATGAGTTGGGGGGTCTGCAGGGGAACGTATTCCCTATCGTGCAGAAACTCCAGACCATAGTTGATGATAGCCCTGAAATTCTTGTTAGAACCCGTAACATAGGCTTGGGAACGGCGACCCATACTGGTTCAGGAAGACACCCCATCGACGCAGGAAATACCCGCGATGGCCAACAACCTTGACTCCCCTCTCCGGGTCATAGCCGTCCAACTTGTCGAGAACCTCATGATCTAACCCCTCGTCAGCCCAGTCCTGGAGCTAATGTTGCGTGTTTGCCCTTACGCGAAAGAACATTGCGCTTCTCAAAGGTGACGCCCTCAGGTGCCCAGGTGCGCTCGACCGTGTTATCGTCCTAATAATCGTTAGGCTACTGTGGGCTCCAGGGGCCAATATCGGTGGACACGGACCTCGGTTTTTGAGACCGGGACAGAGTCGTGGACAAAGTTGCCGATGGTCTTGACCTTGATCCTCAGGAGTTTCTCCTTTTCAGCAGCCGAGGCAAGCAGCTCTTTCTTCTCCTTCTCGAGGTCGGCTAAGGCATATCAGCACCCTGGACGGCCCAAAATGAATCGGTTCCTTCAACCTTTTTGCTTGAGTAGATCGGTAACATCCTCCTTGGCCTGGATTTGTGGTCAGATTCGAGTAGGATGGGAGCGGTTCGAGTGATGCATGCCTTCTTCTTCGGACCGATCTGCTTCTGGACTCCGTTGATTCTGGCGCTGAATTGGCTGGCGTCGTAGGCGGCTGTATAACGGATGAGTTAGGGGACCGGTTTGCGACAATAGCAAAAAGACAAACGGAGGCCTGGGCGTCAACATACTCCTGCGGTGGTCCTCCCACATGGCGATGACCTCGTCAACGACTTCTACGGGGGCATGGCGCTTGCGCTGGCTCTCCCTGATCCTCTCGGGGTTGCCACCACGCTCGGTAACTGTTCAGGGCTCAATGTTAGCCTCTTAAGTAGGGACATTCGGTGCGCCAAGCCATGATCGCGTGCAATCGTATCAGAAGATGCGGGAACTTGAACTGGGCGACGTGGATGGGTGAGGTGGAGGATGCCATACTGAAATCGTTCACGTCAAGCATTTTGACTGCTTTTAAGGCCACTAAGACAGGTCTCTAGAGTAAGCTGAAAAGGAGAGACGAGTCTCGGGTGCCGCGACAACAACGGATTTGGTGATGGTGTCGCAAACAGTCAATGGCGGGGCAGAATATTTCGGCGGGGTGGAGGGGAAGGTGGGGTGACAGATCGGACCAGGGGGGGGGGCGGGTTCCTGGTTGCTGCAGGGTGTCCGTATCGATAACGCCAATGCACTTACACAGGAGTTAACCTCAGCCGAAATTACTCATTCACTTCTATGCAAATATCGGGATCGATCTTTTATTTACGGAACAACATAACCTGGTTCGAAGTGATACCTAGGTTCCAAATCCTATACCCAAGGTATTGTACATGCGTGTTCTCGTGCTCCCCAAGGGTATTATGTGAGCCGTTAAATTTAACCGAAGAGCTGAGGAGCACAGTCTCGATATCCCCGTCTTCTTTCTTTTCCGCGCTGGAAGAACCAGTCGAGTTATCGTTATGTTGGACTTCACCCGCTGGACAAATTCACGGGTCCCAGAGCATATATGTCAACTCCTTGCGTGGCTCGCGGCGGTGTATTGAAGCCAGTCATCCCCGCCCATCCCTTCCTGGCTTTGAGCATTGATGGATGGTGATATTTCCGACTCGGGTCCGAAGACGGTGTTAGAAGGTTGAAAGTACGGTATCCCCAGGGCCGACCCGTCAAAGTGCAAGGGGGACCATATCGAGGGTTCGGTTGCCGGAAATTCGACTTGGCTGCAGGAGGTAACCTGAAAACTTGGGCCAGCGGGAGAGGGAATGCTGAAGCACCATGGGTCGAGGAACAGAGCTGGATCAAAGTCTGTCCTCTGGCTGCGGTCTAAGGGGGCAGAGGGTGTCTGGGTGCCCCAGACATTGGTATCAACGGCCGTGTCCGAAGCGTTATGGACTGCGAAGGCGGATGCGGCACCGGCATCGAACAATGTTCGAGCAGATGCGGTAGGGGCTTCCGGGAGAGGACTTGGCTTTCCCGTCGGGGACTTGGTTTGTAAGTCCCTCTGGCCAGTCGCCGTTGCAACGCGAACGCGGAGGTTGGTTTCGAAGGAGCTGTGACAGGCGATGTTCATCTTGGAACAGTTGGGACATGGACTACCGCCGAGACATCGGACCTTCCTCCGGCGACATGTCAAGCATCCTGAAGCAGTAAGTTAGCCTTTTCCCCCGATATCCCGACAGTTACTGGAGTACGCACCATGGAACGTTCGTTTTAGCGGCTGAGCCATGGTCGCCGCCAAGTAATCTCGCTGAGTGGTCCTGATGAAAACAACCCGCGAGTTTCTTGACTCATATATACAGCCGCCCCGCGGGGGCTCTGGAGCTGAGACCGGCCATTTCCATGAGTAAACATGCTACATTATGCCCGCTCTAACTCCGAGCGTAGATGACATTGCCTGTGTAACTAGACGTTTCTTTCGGTCGCCCTGAATAGGAAGCTCTATAGTAACAAGCTGCAGTAGTTGACTCAGCAACATAACACAGCCTCCGAGCCGCTCGTTGCCAACTCTAGTAGCACTGCCCACCTCGCGTATAATACGCCAGTTTGACTACGATATGGAATCTCGGGGTACTGAAACGGGTTGGTTCACTCATCATCATTATTGCCGACCAATGCTTCCCCAGTCCTGGACCATGGTAGACGCGCACCCCCGTGCGTACCCAGGTATGCCTGTTGTCCGCGGGACTCAATCCCGTCTCCGGTTCAACCGACTTGGTTTTGCTTTCTCCGGTTAGAAAATACGCTGAGATCCGTTGACCAAACCGAGAACCCTTCGCTACACCGCCTACTCATTCCGCACTATGGCCGTTGTAAGTTCCTCTACAGGGCCAATCGGGATGGCCTGTTGGCCATTCCAAACCTGTATGACCCTTACTCGGCTTCCACGATTCAGACATGGGGGTGGTGAGTAAGATAAGGTAAGCATCGTTTGAAAGCAGGACTCCCGCGGAAATGGAGTTAAGAGCGTTCGAAGATGGAACCCGAGTTAGCAAGCATACTTAGGGCTGTTATTGATCCGAAAAAAAAGGAACATGACTAGGTTGTCTGATCTACGGTTACCTTCGGAAGTTGGGGGGTGAGGACCGAACGCGGCTACAAACCGGCAGCCGTAGGAGCACACAGCTCTGCCAGTCGGTGCTTCCCATAGAACCGCAGGGGGGAGAGAGCAAAGTAAGTGAGCAGTTATTTCTTATCATCTCACCCAGCCACTGTCCACTGTCACCAGGCCAACACCCCGTAGTTCGCAGGTGTGTCGTCTCTATACCGGTGAAGATGTGTCATATACATATTCCCTCATGCTAAAGCTCTCCATCTTCTGTATACACACGCAGTAAGTACTGACGAGCTGCGCTCGTGAGTTGTGCAGTGTGTTTCCAGGAAGGAAAAAAAAGACCAAGAGAGAAAGCGATGAATATCCATCAAACTAGCTTATTTGGGTAATCAGGGGTAATGTTACCGTGGCGGGCTGAGGGTGGAGCAAACGCTAAACGCAATAAGGTTGCTTTGTCTCGCGTGTTTTAATGGTCGTGTCCACTATGGTTACTTTCGGCGCCTGTGACCTGATAGCTTTCCTCGGGGTTACACTTACAGAACCTTTACGAATATCGGTGCCGGGGACACGCAGAAGAAAAGACAAGATGGCAACGAGTGACCAGGCAACCCAAAAGCTGGGGGAAACCTAAAATCCTTCCCTTTGGCGCCAACTTCCGGTGCGGGGTTGACCCTAACCGCATAAAGGATGCCTCTTTCCAGTTCTAGGGCAAGGGGGGCAACAGCCGGCAGGCCCAACAAGCCAGCGCCGGCTGGTTGCTGCTTCCCTGCCTGACGGCCTCATGCACAACTCGCAATTCGCAACTCGCAACTTTTGCGTGCTTGGTTGGCTTTGCCCAGCCTTTTTGCCCATGCAAATATTCCACAATTCCGGATAACGTTATGACCTCGTTGCTCGACCGTCGATGGTATGTGTGTTTTGAGACCGCGCCAACCGCCAAGGTACCCGGCCCGAACAAAGAGAGGTGACACGGTCAAAGAAAATGGCCGAGGACAAGGGGATGGTATGTCCCTTTTGCGGCTGGGAGAACGGGCCAAACGGCACTGGCGAATATGAAATGCTGTTGGTGAGTCTGTCTGACATGCTAGTGCGCCCTCTCGGTACTGACGGTATCAGCATATGGAAACCTTCCATCCTGAGGGCGAAGGGGACTTGAACTCTCAGTTTGGTGTGAAAGAAAACGACGGCGCGTCTGACAGACCCGGCACTGCCGAGGACATTTCATACGTTGAGTGCCCGGCCGATGGATGTGGGGAAATTCTTCTGCTTCAAGAGTTGGACTACCACCTTGAGCTTCATTCCGAGGAGTCAGGCCATCACCTGCAGGAAGGAGAGGAGTCGGCGCCGATGCCGCATCCAAAAGCTGAAACGCCTTCTACCTCCGGGCCATCGAGGGCTCACCGCGAAGCAGAACGACACCGTCGGTCGGACCACGAGCCCGAGAAAAACGATCGCCAGGCAACCGCCATCTCGGCCTGGAAACGGCTGCTTAGAATGCCCGGGTCGTCGACCGCTCATAGGATTTTGTCGTCAAAACGGTCACCGGATGAGAAGCATACTTCAGCAGGCCATTCCAACCGCGGTAAACGGCTTGGCGTAAGTTTTGCTTTCTGACGCGCAACGTATTGATCCTGCTGATCGCGACTCATCCTTTTCTAGAAGGCCCAACTCGGAAAGTACGCGCACGAGGACCGTATGCCGGATTGGCTGGTAGTGCTACTCAAGAAGAACGGCCAGGTTACGTCTCAAGGTGAGCAACACCCACCGTCTCTTGTCATGCCACCTACTCAGCTAACAACAAAAGGTGTCATCTCTGTGCTGGCGCTGCTGCTAGAGCAAAGCCCGTCAACAAAGTACGCCTATCTTTGCCACCCATCCGTACAACATGTCTCGAAGTTGAAGCGTGAGGGTACGTCCTGGAACCCCTAACGACCTCAACCCAAGACTCACAATAGGACAATCCCACAGGAGGGTTCTGTGGCTACCGGAACATCCAGATGCTGGCCTCGTGCGTCGTTGACGCCAAATTCAAGGGGCACGAACATTTCCACGGTTCCATACCGTCCATTTTCCAAATTCAAGAGTGGATCGAGGCGGCCTGGGATCAAGGAATTAACCCTCAGGGCCGTCTCGAGACGGGCGGCATCATGGGGACGAGAAAGTACATTGGCACGCCAGAGGTACCGTACATACTCTGTTAAGCCACCTCCCGCCACCATGGAACCAGGCTGACCAGATCTCACTAGGCGTTAGCCGTGTTTCGCCACCTAAATATTCCGTGCGATGCTGAGGGGGTGAAGCACAAGGAGCCTGGCAAGTCTGAGGCACTGCTTATGGAATTTGTCGAGAACTACTTCCAGTCCGGTGTTGAGGACCCCGCGCAACCTATTCGCAAGACCAATCTACCGCCACTTTACTTTCAGCATGCCGGTAAGAACTCCCATCACGCATAGAACTGTTTACTCCTGAATACTGAGCTGACACTTCCTGTCAGGCCACTCGCTCACCATCGTTGGCTTTGAGAAACTCAAGAATGGCTCCAAACAGTTGATCGTGTTTGACCCTTCATTTCATGACTCTTCGTATATTGTGCGCCTCGTAGGCAAGACTTTCACCCATCCCATGCCGGACATGGCGCTGAAGCCGTATCGGAGAGGGAGCCGTTACCTCAAGGCGTACAAGGAGTTCGAGCTATTGAGGTTTGTACTCTCACCCCCACGTTCGTCCGTCTGGCCCGCATGGAACGTATACTAACGACTCGAAAGATTGCTCCCCGAGACGGAGGGGGTCTGAGATGCGGCACCAGAGCGGTTAGTCTGACTAGACTCAACGGGCCCGCCCGTCTTACCCATCGATTTAAGAGTCCTTCTCAGCATAGCAAAAGCAATAGTTAGGCAGCGACAGGCGTCCGGTTGCTTATTATTCGCATTTTGCATCCACCGTTGACCGATTCGCAACTCTTCTACGGCGCCATCTCCTTTGCAAACCATGCCTGGAGCTTGGCCAGCGCCCGATAGCGGTGCGAGATCTTGTTCTTTGCTGCCTTGTCCATCTCGGCGTATCTACGCCTGTCAGCAACCCTCCCACTGTATATGACGAACACGGAGCCCCGAGGGGTAAAATACTCACGTTTGCCCCTCGTACTCAAAGATGGCGTCCCACCCTGTAGCCCACCACGGATTAGCAAATAACCCTCATCACGAGTGATCACCTCACCCCGGCCCTCCAGCGAGTGACCTACCGAAATCCCCCGGCCCCCTCGCCGGCACGATCTTGCCGTCGGTGATCCCCTGGAACAGAATCGGCTCGTGGCCCGGGCCCGCCGAGTAGGCGAACGTGCACACGGCCTTGGCCGACTTGTCCTCGTACGCCGCCAGCAGGTTGTTGAGCCCCGTGTGCCCGAGGGACTTCATGAACCATTTACTGTGGGGAGGGGAGGGCATGATCAGCCATAACAACTATGAGACAGGTAGGTAGAGCACTGGGATTGCGTACATGTACGGCCCCGGCAGCCCGTTCAGCGCGTTGAAGCAGAGGCAGGTATCCTCGACTAGGACGGGGCCCTCGACCTGTTTGTCGGTTGGTTTTAGGTTCCTTTGGGATATGTCATGCGTTCGGGGGAGGGGGGGGGGGGACCGGGTGGGGGGTTTACCAGATCGGCTGCCCGGCGGCACTTGTCCAGCGTCACGTCCTCCAGTGTGCCCTGGATCTCGATCAAGTCTAGGGTTTGACTCTCGACCTGGATGGCCGGCTCCAGGATCGCCTTGACCTCGCGTAGCTTGTTGGTGTTGCCTGTGATGAAGTTGACCATGTGTCGTGCTGCCGTGGGGGTCGTCATTTTGGGGGATGATGTTCTGTTGCCTTTTTTCTTTGTGGGTTAGAGGATGTGTTGTCGAGGTTGTTTCTACTGAAGGGTTGAGATTTCGGGTTCCTGTTCTTGATACCATGTACGTCTGACGGGGTGGGGTTATAGGAGGGGTATTCTCGCTGGACGGAGTAATCAGAAGTAATTACCAACTTCAGGGGACACTCGGTAGTTTCATTCGCCCCGGTTGCTGCATATTTCCAGGAGAGCCAAACCATTCAGCCCTGGGTCCTCTGAAAAGATGTGATCATGGCGGTGTCTTGACTGGGAAAGATTGAACACAGGAGGGTTGCCCACGCCGATGAACTGGTCATGCCATATCTCATGATTTTACTCCGAGGTCACGATTCTCGGTTCTTAACTACCTAGGTATTCCCCAGCCAACCTTTTCCCTCCTCCAGACCCCTTTAAATAGTCTTCATGAGGCATTGTTCTTCTTCCACTGGTCCAACCACTGCTCGATCCTTTCGACGTTGCTCTCCATCTCATCCGCGTCCACGCTCTGTAGCTCAACCACAATCTCCTCGTCATACGACTCCTTGGCCTCCTGCAACAACACCTCCATGATCTCCGAGTCCATGTTCTCTTGGAGTTTCGTCTCGGAGTATTTCCTGAACTCATGTTAACCACTTATTACTACACCTAATCTCTCTGATGTCATTATAGAGAAAGAAAGCGATTGGACTTACCTCGCCTTCAGGCGATCATATAGCGTTGCTGTATCCGCCCGTAGCACCACGACCAGGTCGATCCAGCTCTTGGGAAACAGGTCGCACGCGTGCCAGTCTATTATGCAGCCGCCCTGCTTGGCGTCTTCCTCGATGGCGTCGAGCAGCTATTATCGTCTCTTATTAGCATCGTCCACCTCAGCATCCATATCCACATGCATATACGCCAACAGTGCACTGAAACGGGGGGTCTGAACACAACCCGGAAAAAATGGAGTGGAAAAAAGGAAGAAAAGAAATTGGACGAGAGCAAGTCAATGAAATCCGTGAGTGGTGAGTGAATAATGAGTGTGATCCAGGAGAGAAACCAAACCACAAGAGAACAAAACCCACCTTATCCTCGTCCACAATCCAACTCTGGAACTCATCGTCCCAGCCCTCATGGCACTCGCGATCCTTGACCACCTCGTTGACTGAGATGTGCCTGAGACCTGTACGCTCGGCCAGCAGTTCGCTGTGAGTCGTCTTGCCGGTGCCGGGGGTGCCCGTGATGATGATGTTGGGGAGGCTGCGAGACATCCTCCTGGTTTTTCTTTTTCTTTTTCTGGTATTTCAGTCTTGATAATCCGAGTAACTGCTTTCCTCGTATATTTTTTCGCTGTTTTCTGGGTGGGGTGTTGTTGGCTCTTGAACAAGGGTGATGCGGGTGTAAGTGGTGAGTATGAGTGGTCTCTGTTTCGCCCAAAAATATTTTTACTGTTGCAATTTGGGGGAATGTGCGGCGCCAAAAATCCCCACTGTGTCACAACTTTTAACCTTGAGTTGGAGTAACAACAGAAGCAACCGGATACTCCTTCCTAAACTTGACTCTTTTTAAGTTAAGATAAAACGAGATTGTGTGTTATATCACTTACTTCAAGCTTGTCCGTTCGTCATTGTTACATTGGCCCATATCTCAACCCAAAGCCCGTGCCATCAAAGGCACCAATACCTTGTCTCTGGCTCATAACTCCATCACTCATCCATTCATCTAGCTTCGCTCTCTTTCCTAGCGTCTTCTAACCTTTTCACACCCCCAACCATGTATCCTACCTCACACCCAACCGACAGTTGTTATGCATAATTAAGGTAGGGACCACTTACCCCGTGCCTCTTCCTGCCGCTAAAACCGCCCACCAAATAAATCAACCATCTACCTGTACCATATGTCCATAGTACCGGCAGGTGAGCAGACGAGCAACCAAGCAATCGGGGAGCCCAGGGCAGAGAAGAAGAGTTGGGTGAGGGGAGACCAAACACAAACAACAGCAACAGCAGCAACATGTCTAATATCCATCCCCAAGCCAGTCAAAGGCGCATCACATCGTCCCGGGTTCGTAGATAAATCCCACAAGAGAGAAAGATGAAGAACGAAGAACGTCGATATAAAAAATTCCCGCTTTCCCATTCCTCACCCGCTCCCGTTCCCGCCCCCGCTCCTGTTCCTCAACCTTTTATACCCCTCTTTCATAGGACCGACATGACCATCACCACCATTCCCACTCCCACCCGCGCCATCTCCACCCCCGCCGTTCGATTCCCACGGCCCAAAAAGCATCGCAGCAGGCCTCTGCCTCGCTCTCTGCCTAGGCAGCACCAAGGATTCAGGGACGGGCAGAACGGGCGAGTCGGGCCGCGCATCAGCAGCGGCAGCAGCGGCAGCAGCAGTAGCAGCAGCAGCAGCAGAGGCCGCCGACTAAGCGGCGCTCGCAGCCATGCTCGCCGGGCGCGAGGCGAGTTCGGTCTGCTCGGGCTGCTCGGCCTGGTCGACCTGGGTCATGTCGCCGGCGCTCTGGCCGTCATCATCGTACGCGCCCTCGTCCTCGCCCTCCTCGCCCATCTCGGAGCCGTACTCGAGCTTCTCCTGCTGGGCGATGGCCTGCTGCGAGACGATCTCGGCGAGGCGCTTGAGGCGCGGGGTTTGTAGCCCTGTTTGGAGGGTGTTGTTAGCCGGGATCCGGGAACGGGGGGAGCCCGGTGTTGGGGGTAGCTTGATGTGGACTTACAAGATGGGGTATATGTCTCCAGAGCGGTGATGACTCTGGGCTCGGCGATCTCGTACGGCCCGCTGTCGTCCATATCGAGAGCCGGAAGCAGGAGGACATCGCTCTTCTCCGTCACCCGAGACGCGACCGCCTTCATGATGTCGCCGTTGATGGGCTGCTCGTAGTCGGCGACGAGGTATTGGTTCAGGAGTTTCTGAATCTGGTTGGGAGAGAGCCTGCGTACACACGGTTAGTGGCCGGCAATAAGGATGGGCAGTAAAAGGAAGACTCACATCCAGCAAATATCCTGAATGATCTCGATGTCGTTCAGGGTAGCCTTCTTGAGCTGGAGGAGCTTTGTTGCTTGCTAGTGTGAGAGTTAGCACCATTATCCTACCATTAAAACCGCAGGTTCACTCACCATCAGATGTTCAAGCTGGAGCGTGCCCTCAGGCATCTCGTGGCTCTTGCACCACTCCTCGATACGCGTGATGTTGTAATTGATCTGCAGGCCACGCTTCCACGAGAGGAAGTTGCGGCGCATCAGCAGGTCGTTGAAGGCCGTCACGCCGACGAGCTTGAGCAGCTCCGTGGTGGTCTGCATGATGATTGCGTCCTCGAGGTAATAACCCTTCATGGCGCGGAAGACGTTGTTGAGCAACGACAGCAGGTTGTCCATGCTGTATGCCGGCTGGCTGCTGCTCTGCAGGAGCTTGCCCAGGAACCTGGTGTTATCGGTCGTAACGAAACCTGGCAACGACTGGGACTCGATGATGGCGGGGATGACCATCTTGCTCAGCTTCCGCTTGAGCATCTTCATCCAGGTGTGGTAAATGTTGAACTCGAGGCTCTCCAGGTCGTGCTTGACGATCTCGAGCAGGCGGTCATACTCGTAGTTGTCCGACTTTTGCGCCTCGTACCAGTCCTCGGCCAGGAAGACGAACGAGAGCATCTCGTGCACGTTAGAAAGCCAGAAGGCGCCGTGGTTGATAGACTCGTCGTCGTCGTGTTGCATGACTTCCTGTTGGATGGACTGCATGACGTTGGCGAGGAAGCGCTCCGACTCCTTGACAAAGCCGTTGTTCCACATTTCTGACGTGACCAAGTTGATCAGGAACGACGGGAACAGGACCTCCTTGTCCGAAGGCGCCGGGTTGCCCGTGGGCGACGGGATCTTCAGGTTGCGGATGAGACCCAGAGTAACCTCCTGGTGAAGAGCGTCCTCGTCGGCAAGTAGAGACTCGAGCTCCAGCTCGATGCTGTCGACACCGGGGATGTACGTCGAGCCAGACATAGTGGTTTGGCGGTTTCCGCCGGGAACAGCCATGGAGACGGGGCGCGGGTTGTAGGTCGTGCTGTACCTATCAATCTCACGAACCTCGGCGCCCGCACTCCGCCGCTTGGGCTTCTTGGCCGCCACCAAGTTGATAAGGCCGGGCGGGGCGGCGGGGGCGGGTACGTGGCCGTTCGCAAGCTCGCCGTTGAGGGGAACAGCCCGCCGGGCCTGCTCGAGTGCTTCTTGGAGCTCAGCGAGCTGCTGCCGAAGCGAGTTCTTCTCGGCCTCTTGGCGTTGGCCCTCCTCGTGCGCAGTCCCGAGCTCCGAGTTCGTAGCACGCAAAGATTCCCGCAGCTGCCGCTCCTCGTCCTGCATTCTCTTGACGCTGGCCACCGACTCCTCGAAGCTCGCTTGGAGCTTCTTCATCTCGGCTTCCATCGCCTCAAGACGGGCAGCGGCGATACCGGCCTGGTTGGCCTCGGTTTGCAGCTCCTTGGTCCGCGCCTCGAGCGCATTGTGCCGGTTCCTCCAGATGGTGACCTGGCCTTCGTAGTTCTCCACCTGCGTCTTGAGCTCCTTGTTCTGGGCCTTCATGCTACCCAGAGACTGTGTCAGCTCCACTACCTTATTCTCGAGCTTGTACGAGATCTGTTTCAAGTCACGAGCCTCGGCACGGATGACCTTGTACTCCTTGCGAGCAGACTTGCCGCGCCACAAGCTCTGTGCGATGACGACCTTCCTGCGGTAGTCCCTCCATGCCCGGAGTTGCATCCTTGATCGCCAACTCCGCTGGATGATGAGGGCAGCGTTGCCCATGCGCGTCTCCATGATCTCCTTACGCCGCAGATAGCCCTTGAAGGCAGCCTGGGCGCGGACGATATCGCCCCTGACGCGAAGGAATTGCTTCCTCTGTTTGTGTCCGCGCCAGACTCGCTGGATCGAGGTGGCGGCCCTGACCGTCCGCATCTCCTGCGCCGATTTCCGAGCCTTGTAGGCCCTTGTAGTGGCCTGGAACGCGATGATGGAGGCCCGAGCATCCAAGTATTTCTTGCGGTAGTATTTGGCCTTCAGGTTCTTCTGGATCATGATGGCGCAATCGTTCAACCGGTTGGTGCGGAGGTTCTCCAGGAAAGCCAGCATGCCGGCACGGAAGAAAATCTTGGTCAGACCCAGCTGATACTTGTCCATGCCCTTGACCGTGCTAGCGCCGAGGGCTTTGGTTAATATCGCATTTGCCATTTCCCGGATCTCTGAAGTCCACTCTGTTGAGGGTACCAGCATGTAGTATCGCAGAGCAAACTCCTCGTAGGTCCACCTCGTAGGATAACCTGCGCAGCTGATGCGGACTGTTTCCAGTACACCGCAAGCACGGAGTTGGCTCAGCACCATGGGGCCTTCGAACTTCCAGGCCTCCTTGGCCTCGTTCGGCTTGATGCAACGGATGTAGTGCACATCAGTGCTGTTGATAGTGTTCATGAGCTCGATCAGCGAGGACTTGAAGATGCCACCGAGTGTCGGCTTGCGGTTAACAGCGACACCGATTCTCCTGCCCGCCGCCGGCTTCACCGCATTAGAGCTCGCTGACGCGACGTCCTTCTCCCGCACGGCCGACGCCGCTTCGAGCACGGCGCCGAGGAACTTGTTCGTCGAGGCGCGAAGGACAGCCATGTGCTCGTCCGGAACCGTATCACGGTTCTTTTCGATAAACCCGTCCGACTCGTACGTCACGTCGACAGCATAGTGACAGACGGTGAAGGACGATTTGCCGAACCTGGGCTTCTTGTAGAACTTGTGTTTGTCGGCGGCGTAGTTGTGGTGCAGCTTTGTCACGAACTGCTCGTCGGAGCCCATGGGCAGCCTAGATTCCTCGTCCAGCAGTGAGAGGATACCGAGTTTGCCCTCGATCAGATCGATACAGGGCTGGTTGTCGGCAAAATCGATGAAGGTCCAGTCGATCTGCTCCCTTAGGTACTCCTCCTGCTCGAGTTTGAACACGTGCTGGTTGAATTCTTGTTGCAGCTTCTCGTTGGCGTAGTTGATACAGAACTGTTCGAACGAGTTCTTGGCGAAATGCTCGAAACCGTAAATATCGAGCACACCGATGAACGAGGTGACCCTGTTGAGCACCTCCTCTGTCGCAAGACTCCGGTTGATGATCTCGACCAGCCAGTCAAACAGGCTCGAGTAGATGAACTTGGCAACGGAATCCCGGACGACGATGGCCTGCGCCTGTGTGAGGTTGGACGTGATCTTTTCACCGCGCGTGACGAGCTGCTTCTTAACAACCCATTTGGCGAACTCGGTGGCATCGATGCCGAGAATCTCGCAAGCTTTCACCAGGGCTGGCTCAGTGGCCGCGAGCACGCTATCATTCCGCATTGCGCCAATCTTGACGTTGCCCAAATGCAGCAGACCGGCGAGCAACTTGAAGATATCGGCCTGGTTCGCGTCGCTCACGCCGATTGTCTTGAGAGACTGCTTGGTCGCAACAAACTCGGCCTTGTCGTCCACACCGTCGATGGTCGGCATGTTGCCCTGGTTCAGGTACTCGAACTGCTCAACCGGCAGCAGGCCCAACTCCTGACGCTCCTTGTCTGACACGCCGGCCACCAGCTGGTAAAAGATATGGTAGTTCCTCTCCTTAAGCGGCTGAAATACCAATCTTGACCGTTCCAGCAGATACGTCCTGATCTTGGCGCCGATGATGTTGGTCCCTTTGTCAAACATGATTTCGATATACTTGCCGAAACGTGACGAGTTGTCGTTCCTGGTCGTCTTTGCGTTTCCGAAAGCTTCCATGATGGGATTTGTGGCGAGGATGGCCTCTTCTGTCTTGCTCATGGCCTCGGGCCCCCTCTTGGCCCTTGAACCCGGGCTGTCGGGCGATTCTCTTGTCGCGAAGTATCTCATAATGTACTTGGCGCTGACCGTCTTGCCGGCACCGGACTCGCCCGAAACAACAACGGTCTGGTTCTTGCCATCTCGCAACATGTCCCTGTGGGATGGTCAGCAAAAGCCCCCAGACCCGTATCCAGAGCCCGCGGCCGGCGCAGAACCATACATGAAGGCCTCCTCGGCAATGGCGAAAAGATGGGGCGCTTGTGTAGCCCTCTGCTTCCCGGCATATACCTGGACCATGCCCGGAACATAGAGCGAGTCGACCCGAGCGAACGGGTTGGTTGCTATTAGCACGATACCTGAGTATGTGTATATTTCTTTCTGGAGGTATCGGAGGCGGATGGCCTGCAGGACTAGTCGGCGCCGGGCTTGTCAGCATCTTGTGTGTCCCAACAACCGAGCAAGGATGGGTTTGGTCTACCGGCAGGCTCGTTGAGGTGCGAGAGGTTTGTGAGATCATCGCTAGCTTCGAGCATGGTCGGGTTCATGAGCGGCGGCAGCGACGGGGCGTTCCCAGACTGGAGAGCCTCCAAGGAGATCTCCAGCTTCTTGGTCTACAGCATGGGAGAGAGAGGCCCGGTCAACGATCTGAACAGGCGCGGCGCCAAACACGGAATGCGTACCTCGCCATTTTCTAGCTGGAACTCAAGCAAGACTTTTGAACCGTCTACCGACTTCTTGATGACCTCGGACGCAACCCAGCCGTCGGTCGCGTCGGGCTGCCACGCTCTGGTGCCGACATCATAGCTCTCCGACATTGGATGCGATTGGGGGGGTTGCAGTAGGACAGGCGGTGGAGGAGGAGAGAATTTGTGGGGTTGATGGCTTCAAGAGCCAGCTGTCGTCGTGGTCGGCCAGCAGAAGGTCGGCGCTGTGGTCAGGAATGCGAAGGGGATCGCAGTCTGTCGGACGGCGGTGCAGCTGGAAGATGCAGAATGCGGGATGGGGATGGGGATAGGTGGATGCGCTGGTTGCTTGGGGAAGGCATTCATGAAAGGGTAGGTAACGTTATGGTAACAATGTAAGTTTCGGCGGTAAAGAATCTCCGCTCTTATGCGGTAGCTTGCGGGACGGCGTTGCCGATGTCAAACAACGCCAGGAACGTGCGTGGTTGGGATCGGAACGAGTACGAAGCGAATGGAGCAGTCGAAAAAAAAAATGACAGAATATCGGGAAGGCCGTTGTTCAAGCTCAGGGGTTGGGAAAAAAAAGAGATGCCATGGGTGTGCTGTAAGTTGAGCGTTGATAGGTGAGCTGGGCGTAACAATCCGTAAAGCGGGTGCAAAGCACAGACTCTGGGGGTTGGGTTACAGCGGACTGGACAAGGTGGAGGTTGAACGGGTGTGAGCACCCGACGCAACTCAGCCGATGTGCTGCAACGTTGAACCTGAAGTTGGGCGATGTCTGTTGGGCGACAGGGTAACAGAGCAACTTTGCCGTTGAAACATCTGCAAGCCAACGGAACGGCAATGCAGGATTTCCCGGTTGGCTTGTGGTCTTTGAGCACAGCATGGAAGAGTTGCCCTCAGATCATTGACCACCCGTCTTCATAATCCTTGACTCTCTGAGTTATGCACTCACTACACCGATTCCCTGGGCTCCACGAATCACCTGCACCTCGATCCTTTCTCTCCCTTCGCAAGCTGAGGAGGGGGGCCTTTCTAGTTTCTACACATGAAGAGAAAGTGGTATCAAAGTCGGACTTCTTTCTTTACACAGTAACAACCCGCTAACGAAAGCAAACAAAAAACCACAGAATCCATGAAAGATTCAAGAGCGGGGGTTGAGAAGCAGGGGTCTGTAATAGTGGGGCTCCCTCCACTTTGATCCCCAACCATGTGGGAATTGCTCACCGCCCAGCAAATCGACATCCCACCATTTGCCAAGACCGTTCGTTTGCACTGAACTTTGGACACCCCTGGAGTTCGCAGCATTTCCTCCCTCCAGGACTGTGTACACAGCGTCGACCAAAAAAGAAAGAGCAAAAACGGCTACACCAATTTCTACCTACACCGGGTTACTCAACTCTATACTTTTGACATCTCCGGCAGAATGGGTGTTCTCGCGTGTCTGCAAGCCCCTGAAAATCTCCACCGAACCGGGGAATTCTCTGTCGCCGTTTCAGGTGCAGCACGTCCCCTTCCGTCTTCGGGCCGAGAAAACATGGGGAGAGCAACGACGCGATTCAGGTTCACCAAACTGGGACTCGGGGTCACTTCCGAAAAATATATATATTTTGCCCAGTTCCCGTTATATGCAAAATGCTGCCGGATGGCTGCGCCAGGTTTTACCGTCTGCTCAGGCAGAGAGCATGGTTCTATGTTGAAGCAAAACAGACAAGCCGAACAATGTTGAAATTCCCCGTCCATTCCCAGGACACCGAACAACACCGACTGGTCAGCTCACAATGTAGTCATTTCCGAAGCTCCATATACTCCCGGTCCTCTCTCTGTATCTCTCGCGCCGGGCCTGTCTTCTAGTACAGAACCCGCGTCATGATGCGCGAGGTGAGCGAGTCCAGGCTGTCACGGATGTCCTTGATATCCTGGGTCTTGACATCACTAACGTCAGCCATCAGATAGGCGATGTCGCCCTTGCTGTCCGAGATTTGCTTGTCGACGTTGTGCTCGGCCAGGATCTCGTTGACCTTGCGCAGAACGCCGGGGACGTTGCGGTGGATGTAGATGACGCGCGCGTGCTCGTGCTCGTCGAGCGTGATGGAGCGCATCGTCACCTCGGGCAGGTTGACGCTGGCTAGCGTGATGCCCTGGTTAATGTAGCGCACCAGCGAGTCGGCCACCTCGACGCCGATCGCCCGCTGCGCTTCCTCGGTGCTGCCGCCGATGTGCGGCGTGAGGATGATGTTGTTGAGCCCCCGCAGGTCCTCGGCCCACGTGTTAAGGTTGTTGACAAAGTAGTCGCCGTTGGCCGCCGGCTCGTGGGGGTACACGTCCAGCGCCGCGCCCGCCACCTTGCCCGCGCGCATCGCCTTGATCAGGGCCGGGATGTCCACTACGGTGCCGCGGCTGGCGTTGATGAGGTACGAGCCCGACTTCATGCTCTCGAATTCCTTAGTCGAAATGAGGTTCTTGGTCTCGGGCGTCTCCGGGACGTGGAGAGTCACGAAATCGGCCTCTTCCAGGAGTTTCTCGAGAGTCGGTACTTGACGGGCCGAGCCAATGGCCATCAGGGTGAGAATGTCGTAGTAGATGACCGACATGCCCATGGCCTCGGCCAGGACCGACAGCTGAGAGCCAATGTGCCCGTAACCGACGATGCCGAGCGTCTTGCCGCGAATCTCCCAGCACTTGGCGCTCACCTTGTTCCAGGTGCCGCGGTGCATCTCCAGCGAGCGATCACCCAGCTGGCGGGCAAGCGTGATGATCTCGGCGATGACCAGCTCAGCAACGCTGCGCGAGTTGGCAAAGGGCGAGTTGAAGACGGCAATACCATGCTTGGCCGCATAGTCCAGGTCTACCTGGTTTGTCCCGATGCAGAAGCAGCCGACGACGAGGAGGTTCTTGGCCTCTTGGAGGACCTTGGCTGTGAGTTTTGTCTTTGACCGGATGCCAATGACGTGTACTTCCCTGCGTAGGTGTCAGATTTAGCGGTCTACTTCAGGGGCAAAACCCAGCTCCGAAGACGGAAGGGAAAAGGCTCACCTAATCTTCTCAATGAGCTGGTCCTCCGGCAACGAAGTCTTGAGGAACTCGACCTGGTAGCCCTGAGCCGTGAGGATATCCCTTCCGGTCTGGTTCACATTCTCCAAAAGCAGGATCTTGATGTCCTCGGCGTTAAAGGGTTTGAGCTGCTTGGCCGTAACGGCGGCTCTGGTAGGGAGAGACCCCGCCATAAAACTGCCCTGGCTTGCTGGAGGTGAATGAAAGGTTGCCGCGGGGGATGCTTCAAGGCTGTATGAAACGGCGTTGCCGAGCGAGGAACGTGCAATATCTCTTGGGGTCGTCATGGTGAAGAATCCGGAACTGAATGATGAGGAAGTAGGGGATGTTTTATATTCACTCTCTCGCTGAGCCGATGTGTCAAAGGCTGTGGTGGATGCTGGTCACAGACGACCCCACGGTGGGATGTTATGGTGGGGTTATGGTTTTATAGCGGGGTTGAGTCACTGCAAGGAAAATCTTTCTGGATGACGGAATTCCATTAGTTACAGGCCGCTGACTCCTCTCATCCATCTCACCTAGCGCTTCCATGCTATTATTAACCGCCATTGTCTTTTTACCGCTCTCCTAGCCTCGGATGTGGGTGGCAACTAACTTACTGGCTCATTGCCTTCCCTGATCCGGGCCTCCCTAGCGTCGAGTTTATTCATGAAGTGACTCAAGTTTGACATTGAGATGCTGAAAGGAGGCACCTAGGTAGTTGTAAGGGATATCCATGGCTACCTTGGTACCTCGCCTATTCTAGGAATCCTGAATATTGACAGGGGAGGGAACCGTTGCTCAATGTGTCACCTGTTGTGCAATTACTGTGTATATCCCACTTCTTGGGGTGCTCGGCTACGCGTTTTCCCTTTTGTTAGGTTCCAGGTTACACATTTCTCCGGGAAGGCTCCGAACCGGAGCACTGGGTTCACCGATTCCGGAGTCACACTGTCATTTCACATGCAACGCTCAAGGGTACCTGAGGTTAGACTCATGCAATGCACTGCTCTGAATACCGCGATCAAATATTCAGCACTGCTACCTCTGTTCCCATTGCCGAGACTTCCCACCAAGCAGACACTTGTCATGCCCATGTGCGGTCCCCTTTTTAGTACCGTCTATGCCGTTGCTGGGAAAATTGCCAAGCAGGCCGCAAAGTCAAACTCCCTCGGATAGCTTTGATATGGAAAACAACCAAACTTTGATGCAAGCGGGCAGGTTCCGACGTCCTCCTCATATTAGGATCTGTTCCCCCCCTAGCTACGTGTACAGCATGGCATCTGCATCAAAGCCGGATCCCGTCCCCGATGTGCCGTGTGCAATGGGGGGATCATGTGGAATGAGGCCCAAATAACGGGCCCGCGGGCTCGACGCCTCGATTAAGAACAACGGTGGATCATCGTGATGGAGAGGTGACCGTTTAGCTCTGCTTGCACTCGGCAGTCTCCTGCTTGGGCTTGGTGCCATCGTCCTGAATAGAGTTAGTACGCGAGTGTTCGGGTTAGATTCGGATGCTCTCACCTCTTCCTCTTCAGACTCCTCCTCGTCGTCGTGGTCGTCGCTGGCATCATCGTCATCGTCATCCTCGTCGTCCTCCTCATCAAAGTCCTCCAGGTCATCCTCATCAAGCTCCTCGAAAGCAAGCGCCTCGCCCGTGAACCAGTCGATTGCCCGGGGGATGAGCTTCTCCTTGATGTCCTCTCCGAGCTGGTAGTCAAGCTCCAGACGCTCCTCAATGTCGGAGGCGGCATCGTCATCCTCCTCGTTCGGAGCCTTGGGGGGCGAGAAGAAGTTGAAGAAGGACTCGGTGGGCACGGTCTTCTTGACAATGCGGGTCTGCTTGGTGGCTTGTGTTTGTTAGTGGATTGTGTTTTTGTGTGAATGGCTGTGAATGGCTTGGCAACCAACACTTACTCTTGTTACGCTGCTTCTTCTGCTCGATGCGAACGGTCAAGTCCTGGCCAGCCTTCCAGTCGATCTTGTCACCATCGGCGTGATCGTAGATAAAGTCGCCACCATAGCCGCTCTCGTTTTGGTAGTAGTAGGTCTTGGTGATGATCTTGTTGGTGAAGTACTCGTTCTCGGCGAACTCAAAGATGAGGCGGAAACCGGGCTTGTCGAGGTACTCCATCCGAATGTCGATCAGGGACTTGAGGGCACCCTCGTCGCGATCGGTAATCATCTCAGCCAGGGAGATCTGGTTCTTCATGGCCGAGAGCCAGAACTCGGGAATACCCGAAACCTTTTCGGCGTTCTCGGCAGGCTTCTCCTCCTTGATGGCAGCGCCCTCCTCCTCTTCCTCATCCTCCTCACCAGCTTCGACCTGGACGTCGGTGGGCTCGGTCTTGCCATTTACGATGGCGGAACGCTGCTCGTACAGAGGGGTGAACTTGGCAAAATACTTCTTCTCGAGATGCAAGACCTCCTCTTGGAACTCGGCCTCGAGCTTGGAGTGATCCTTCTGGATGCCCTTCAGGCCAGAGACACGGCGCTTGACCTCGGTAGGGAGTGACTCGATGTACCCGGACGACCGACCGACAAGGGAGCCGAGGCGGCCCTGGATCAGCGATACAAGGCGGGGGTCTTTGGCAAAGATGGAGGCGGCGGTAAGTTCCTCTGTGTTATCGAGCGGTCAGTGCGTGAACACCAGGTGGGTTAGGTTGGGCAGCAGACAGCTGCTAGCGACTAACCTTCTTTGATGCTGGAAATACCCGGTTGCTGGGCATGCGACGAGATGGGGGCAGCATTTGCCGGCGTGTTCTGGGGGGTACTGAAATGAACCTAGGTCAGCATCGTGTTTATCAAGGGCGGCAGCGTGCGTCGAGTGACGTTTTCAGGCTGTCGCTGCCAAGCGGGGACGTACGGAGCAGCGGGGTCGGGCCGCTTGTTCTTGATGGGCTCGGCCATGGCGACGATTATTCTGTCGATAAGGTGATGGTTTCTGGGGTGGACGGGGTGTGAATTTGGATACGACAAAGTCGATCGGCGGCGGGGATGCGGAGGGAGAAGTTGTAAAAATTCAGAAATGATGGAGTGACCGTGGCTTCCCTTGTGTTAAGAAATGTTGAGGGAGGGGAAAAGCTGCGCTGGGGCGTTCTAAGAAAATTTGCGGGGCAGTGGCTTGTGCAAGACGCTCGAGGCAGCATGGGTCCCTTCCGCCCGGAACTTTTCTTGCTGAAGGTCGTTACACTCTCGGTGAATCTTCGATGGCAACATGTGCCAACACCTCCCGTCCTATCCTTCCCAAGGCCAGGCCAGGCCTTTTTGTGCCTCAACCCAGGTCACATCCGATGAACCCATCCACCACAATTCAAGTTGACGTGGCACTCCTGTCCTCACAATTTCCTCCTCTTTTCCACCTAATCGGTTACCTAGACTGGAAATGTCGAGGATAACCAACCCTTCACCGCTCTACAACTGCTTGGTCATGGCAAGGTTGCGAGCCATCGAGGTTTGGCACCCACTCGAACCGTGAAAGTTTCAGGGATCAGCGATTTTCCCTTGCCTTTGGTCCCACCTGTCATGGATGCCTTTTTGAACCTCCAGGCCTCTTGGTGCTTGGGCCTCGAACACCCGCACACCCGCTATCAAATCCTTGGCACAAAAGACTGGGTCTTTTGTTCGCCTTGAGGACCATTCGGATGCCGGACTGGAGGCCACATGGGTGAAGCCTGCCCGGACAGCAGCGAACATGCACAGGAGTGAGAGGCCGAGTAGAGGCCGTTATCTGCGATGCTGCCTCTCCATTTGCGTCACGACTGCACTTACCCTATGGGCACAAAAGCCGGACTTAAGGTCTAATCTGTAGATGTCGCCCAAATGCCCGGCAACTGAAGGAATAAAATGACCGGAAGCCCAAAGAAAAGAAAGGTATTCGCTCCATTTATTTTATTTTATTTCTTTTCTTTACTTCTTGTATTTGTTTCTCTTTTGTTTGATTTCTTACCTTCGTTTCGAGTTCCGCTTTTTTTGGCCAGAGGGTGGACACTGGACGGTTGGGCTGTGATGACAACTTGGGGGTGTCGAGGACGCCCGGGTGTTATCTTGCTCTTCTGGGTCGAGTCCCAGTCTGGTCCTTGTGGGTGTAGTATAAGTTGGACTTTTCCGTCTCGACGTCGTCGGAGGCGAGCTTCTGAAGCTCGAACTTGGAGATCTCCTTGAGAAAACGCTGCTTTGTGTGGCCGACATGCCCCATATTACCACGATCGCACTCGAACCCAATGTGTGGGGGTTTGGTGCCGAATCGGCAATCTCCCAAGGCGCCGGGCCGCCAAGCAGTCAGCCGCCAGCGATGCAACTACCGGGGCCCATTGCTCGGCATGCCGGCGACGTCACTTCGGTAGGTTTCTTCTGTTTATCGAAGTCAGCTCCACAACTCTGTGCCTTCCAATCGCCAACCTCGTTGGAAGGTCTCGAGCGCTCAAGTGTATTGAAACTTTGGGCGAACCCGCCCAATTGTCTGCCTATGCTTAATCGATTGCTGAGCGTTATTTGAAGATGCCTGCAATCTGCATCACGCTCTGGCACCGCACGGACACTTGAAAGGCCAAAGTCGACATCGATAACCAATTACCTCTATGGACCAACACGATGATTCGTCGCATGACGACGGCCTCGGCGGCAACGGGGCCTTTTATCGGCTGGGAGCGAACCAGAGCAATGCTAGCATATTCGAGGACGTCGAGATGGCGCAAGACGAGGTCAGTGCTGATTGTGGTGGCGTGCTTTTGTCTCGCAGATCGCTAATGTATCAAGAGGTAGCTCTTCGCCGGGCCCGTAGCCGAATCGCTTCCCACCAGTGTTTCCGCCTTCAGTCACCGTCGCACCCGTGCCGATTCCATAACGAGCTTCTCATTCTATCAGGACGAGGACGATTCCGAGGAACTTAGAGAGGCTTTCGTGACTAGCAACGGGCAACCATCCGTAGCCGATCTCGACGAGCTACCATTTGAGGACGACTTCGAAGAGCAGGACGACTCGCTTGATATCGAGTTCAACGACGCCTACGGCGATCACGCCTCTCTCCGGAGGACCTCAACGCAATCGATGGGCTCCGTTCACAGCAGACTGCTTCGACGGCAGGATAGTGGTGTATCGGCTGGCAGCGGATACGGCGCGAACCGCCACAGCCAGAAGCTGTACATGGCAAACGAGGACCTCTACATTGCCATTGCGGGTTTTCGGACCAGCCGCTTCGGACTCGCAGTCTACTCACTCCTCTGCATTCTCACGTGTGGCCTGGCGTGGCTCCTCTTCCGCTGGCTACCTCGATGGCGTGTCAAGTTAGTCGGCAAGACGGCACCCCTACGCGATTGCCAATGGGTGGTTGTGGAGAATCAGTGGAACGAGATGGCGACATTGAATGTGGACTCGCGCCCGTACGAAAGGTCGTTGTCGACCGTCTTTGGATCTCCTGGCAAGATGGCGTCGTACTCCATGGACGAGGACCAGGACCCTATCGTTCGGCATCTTCGAATGATTGATTATCGATATGTCCGACTTTTCTTCCATCCCATCAAGGACAAGTTCCTGCTTTGTGCCGGGTGGAAGGACCCCTTGTGGTCCAACGTTCGAGACATTCGGGTTGGTATCGACGGTGAGGAAAAAGCACACCGCGATGTAGTCTTCGGCGACAACCTGATCGATATCGAGGAGAAGTCTGTGTTCCGACTTCTGGTAGATGAGGTAAGTTCTCAACCAAAAAACAACAACCAAAAACCAGCAAGCGAGGCTAATCGGTTATGGGTAGGTGTTTCATCCCTTCTACGTGTTCCAAATCGCGAGTCTACTCCTCTGGTCACTGGATGAGTACTACTACTACGCCATTGCCATATTCGTCATATCTGTGGGTAGTATCACGACGACACTCATCGAGACAAAATCCGTAAGTCTTTTGCGCCATTGCCACTTGTAGAAACCCATGACTAACGGCACAAGACCATGAAAAGGCTCCGTGAGATATCTCGTTTTGTGTGTGACGTTAGAGTGCTTCGGAATGGGTTTTGTATGTTCTCAATTCCTCGTCACTCGAAAACCTCGCCGCTGACAATGTTTAGGGCGCAACATCCCCTCGAGCGATCTCGTTCCGGGCGACGTTTACGAGGTCAGCGACCCGAGTCTCGGCCAGTTTCCAGCGGACAGTCTCCTCCTCAGTGGCGATTGCATCGTGAACGAAAGCATGCTTACTGGTGAATCCGTCCCCGTCTCTAAAATCCCAGCAACCGACCAAACACTTTTAAGCTTGGACTTGTCGGCTTCCACTATGCTTCCAGAGGTCGCAAAGAGCTTCTTATTCTGTGGAACCAAGATTGTACGTGCCCGGCGGCCGCAGGAAAACCAGGATGGAGAAGCCGTGGCGCTCGCCATGGCCGTGAGGACGGGTTTCAACACAACCAAGGGGGCCTTGGTGCGTTCCATGCTCTTTCCCAAGCCCTCCGGTTTCAAGTTTTACAGAGACTCGTTCCGATACATCTCTGTCATGGCTTGCGTAGCGCTGGTAGGGTTCACCGCATCACTGGTCAACTTTATCAGACTCGGGCTAGAGTGGCATCTAATTATCGTCCGCGCCCTCGACCTCATCACGATTGTGGTTCCACCAGCGCTACCGGCGACCCTGACTATCGGTACCACTTTCGCTCTCCGGCGGCTTAAAGCGAAGCAGATCTTCTGCATTAGCCCGCAGAGGGTGAACGTGGGGGGGAAGCTCGACCTGATGTGCTTCGATAAGACTGGGACTCTCACGGAAGAGGGGCTCGATATTCTCGGAGTACGCGTTGTTTCCCGGGCTGACAATCGTTTTACCGACCTCCTGACTCAACCCGACGACATTGTACCGGATCACAGCACAAACCCCGGGGGCGTCGACCATACCGACACGCGAAACGCGGCGTTGTACACGATGGCAACCTGCCACTCACTGCGAATTGTGGACGGGGAGCCCGTTGGTGACCCTCTCGACCTCAAAATGTTCGAATTTACGGGATGGTCGTACGAAGAAGGAAACATGGGAGGCGCCAATGCCGACGACGAAGAGCAAGGCAACCTTCGCCCCTCAGTCGCTAAGCCGCCGACAACAAACGGCGTGGGGCAGGGCACGAGCGAAAATGTTCCTCTTGAGCTCGGCGTCGAAAAGTCCTTCGAGTTTGTCTCCCAATTGCGACGGGCCAGCGTCATCGTGCGGACCTTTGGCCGGCCTAGCGGAGATATCTACGTCAAGGGCGCACCGGAGAGCATGCGGGAAATCTGTCGACCGGAAACATTTCCTGCCGACTACGAAGAGCTCCTGTCCCAGTATACCCATAAAGGTTACCGGGTGATCGCATGTGCAACTAAACACGTCAAGAAGCTCAGCTGGGTGAAAGCTCAAAAGATGAAACGCACCCAGGCCGAGTCCGATCTTGATTTCGTCGGGTTTATCATTTTCGAAAACAAGCTGAAGCCCACGACGGCCGCCGTGCTTAAGGAGCTCACCGAGTCCAACATCGGGTCCGTTATGGTCACGGGCGACAATATTCTGACCGCCATTAGCGTGGCAAGGGAGTGCGGCATGATCAACAAGACGGCTCATTGTTTCATTCCCCGTTTCCTCACCGGCAACGCAAGAGATCCCAACGCTAGCCTGCAGTGGGAGAGTATCGACAACCAGGCTTACCAGCTAAACTCCAGAACCTTGCTGCCCCTGCCGGCTCCTGTGGAATCGGATGCGTCATTGCCGTACGACATTGCCAATCTACGCAACTACTCGATCGCCGTCAGCGGCGACGTCTTCCGCTGGGTAGTCGATTACGCACCACCCGGAGTTCTACAGAAGATGCTTGTCACCGGCAGGGTCTTTGCTCGCATGTCTCCCGACGAGAAGCACGAACTAGTCGAGAAGCTTCAAAGTATCGATTTCTCCTGCGGCTTCTGTGGCGATGGCGCGAACGACTGCGGTGCGCTCAAGGCTGCCGATGTGGGCATTTCGCTCTCGGAGGCCGAGGCATCCGTTGCGGCTCCGTTCACGTCCCGAGTGTTTGACATCCGTTGCGTGCCCGAGGTGATCCGCGAGGGCCGAGCGTCCCTGGTTACCAGCTTCAGCTGCTTCAAGTACATGAGCTTGTACTCGGCCATTCAGTTTACTTCGGTCAGCTTCCTATACGCCTCAGCCTCGAACCTCGGCGATTTCCAGTTTCTCTTCATCGACCTGGTGCTCATCCTACCCATCGCCGTCTTCATGAGCTGGGCGGGGCCGTTCCCGGAGCTCTGCCGCAAGAAGCCAACGTCAGACCTGGTCTCACGCAAGGTACTCACCCCGCTGCTGGGCCAGATCTTCATTTGCATCGCTATCCAGGCGCTGGTGTTCTTGGCCGTCCGCAAGCAGCCGTGGTTTATCCCGCCTGTCATTGACCACGACCACTCAAACATCGTAAATTCGGAGAACACCGCCCTGTTCCTGACCTCGTGCTTCGAGTACATTCTGTCGGGAGTGGTGCTCAACGCCGGTCGGCCGTTCAGACGCTCTGGACTGCACAACTGGCCGTTCGTTGCGACCATTACCATCACCTTCTGCATCTCGTTGCTGATGGTGCTGTACCCACCGGCGTGGTTGTTCAAGCTCATGCAGTTCACATATCTCAGCTGGGACTTCAAGGCTGTGATTATCGGGCTCGGCATGGCCTACTTTGCCATTTCGTGGATTGGGGAGCATCTCGTGTTCCAGCGGCTCGCGCGGCTTGTTGGGAAGATGAAGGTGTCGCTGCTTAAGAAGGGGAAGACAAGGAAACAGTACAAGGTGATTCAGGAGCAAATGGTATTTTGAAATTTGTAGAGTTTAATGCATTTGAAGCGGCGCTGGATTTGTGTGTATCATAACACAGCATTGGGATTTTAAGCGGTTGACGATGTTGATTGCAAAAGCGCCTTGGAATCCGACTAGAACTGGTTTTATTGTATTTTTGACAGAAATCTATGTTACTTGTTATATGTCTCTTGAACTTTTGAGTCAACTGGTCAGGTCTGCTCGGTATGCCGCGATGAATAGTCTAAGCTTTCGCCGCCGGCCGATGCTCGTCGGTGCCATAGACGCACTACGACCTACACTGATTTGTCATAACCCGGGGAACGTTTATAAGACGAGTAATACGGTCTATTAGGACCAGTCCATTGCCATGTGCGCCGTGACTGCCCCGTGACTGCCCCGTGACCATCTTGGGTAGTCGGTCTTCGCTCGTAGAAAAAGCGGAATGGGGGAGGGGTATAACGAATAGAAGGAGTGGGATACGGGCAAAAGTTTCAACGACTCTGAAGTGCTAGTAGTGGAGAAAGAATCACAGGCGGGCGAGTGTCGGGCTGTCGTCGAGCCTTGCCGTCGGAGCCTATCTAGCAGGTCCTCTCTCATCCACTAAGCTGTTCTCAATGTTGCGAGGGGAATCGGGAGAAAGTCCCAAGCTCGAATAAATCGGCAAGTTGATAAAGGCGTTATTGTAATCTACAGTTGAACAAACAACACCGTTGTGTAGATGGTCTCTCGGAGTGCGTCGTATTGGTGGTAATATGTACAATGCCCCCCTAGTAAAACCTCTCCACCGTCTATCCTCTTCGATTTCGCACCTAGTGCTCCCAAGGGTGCTTCCAGCCGAGGAGAACCGGCCCTGTGAGGTTGGGTTAGCTGCTTCTCGTCGATTGAGCGACTTGTCGGGTTGGTTGGCAGTACCGTCTTTCTTGGCTCGGTAGAAGATCTGTATCGGCAACTAGTTAGCCTCTTCTCCCAGCTATTCCCAACAGAGCTTCGGCATACCCAGAACCACATTGACGCGCCCAGGCCAGTGGCCATGAAGCGGTAGATCCGGGGAACGGGGGGTCCTGCGCCGGCCATTGTGCACAATTCTTCCTCTAGAGATGGGATTGTCAGGGACGAGTCGGTGCAATCGAGGAACCTGAGTTATACGGACCCTTTCGCGCGTCGAATTGGAGGTGTGCACGGGTGATGTGTCGAGTGTTCGTCGCAGTTGGGGGAGGGGTGCGTTCAAGATTCGAGGTTGACAGCTGCCGAAGCTGGTGGCACACGGTCGGCCAGGGTTGGGGTACGTACCTGAGCCGCAAGACTTGGCGTGATGGAACTTGTCGCCTGACAATTGGGGCTGCTCAAGATCCAACCGACGAGCCGACCTGGGAGTTCCTTGACTTCATGGCCCGTGCACTGCAGCAATGTCCAGCAAGGTGCAGGAGCTGGGCTTGGCGCATCAATCATTCGCCTGCCGTCGCGCTCTTCCTTCAGTTCTTCACACCTACCTCACTTCCATCTGAACTTCTTGGAGCCTCGAGTCCTATTGTGCCAACCAACCTCGATAGAGAACTCACAATAGTCCTTTACCTTGCCATGTCACTTATTATACCCCGTTGAGAGGCCCAAGCTTCCCCCTTTTGACTTCAACACACACCGTTTCTTTCTTTCACTGCCGGCGCTTTATCAAACCCGCGTCGCATTGGATCTTCATCAAAACGCAGCAACCTCAAAACAGCCACCACAACTCGATTGCAACGGGGGTAGTCCACACGCAATCATGAGCATCCTCGACTCCGGGAAACCGGGCGCTGCGTCCTCGCCTCGCAGCTTTGCCGTTGCACACCTACGGCCGAGGAATACCTTTGCCGGATGCTCACGGATCACTGATTATGAGGTTCTGGGCAAGCTCGGTGAGGGTACTTTTGGGTGGGTATCCGTATTTTCCTTTGGTAGTTGGTTCAAATTCTGACTTTTGTTCTGCTAGTGAGGTTCATCGGGCGAGGTCGAAGAAGACCGGGGCCTTGGTTGCCCTGAAAAAGATTATCATGCACAACGAAAAGGATGGGGTCAGTACTCCTGTGCAGTCACTTTCTCTATCCGGGTTTTGTCAACTAACATTTCCTCAGTTTCCCATAACGGCGCTCCGAGAAATCAAGCTCCTGAAACTCCTCTCTCACGTCAATGTCCTTCGCTTGGAAGAGATGGCGGTTGAACACCCAGCCAGGAGCTGCAAGTCCACCTCCCGTGGGATTGTTACTGCAACCAGTTTGCTAACTGCCCGCCAGCCGACAAGCGGAAGAAGCCGATCATGTACATGGTGACGCCCTACATGGACCACGATCTTTCGGGCTTGCTCGACAATCCCTCGGTGCACTTCACGGAGCCCCAGATCAAGTGCTACATGCTCCAGCTCCTAGAAGGCCTCAAGTATCTCCACGAAAACCATATTCTGCACAGAGACATGAAGGCCGCCAACCTTTTGATCGACAACAAGGGCATCCTCCAGATTGCAGACTTTGGCCTCGCCAGGCACTACGAGGGAGAGGTACCCAAGTCTGGTAAGGGTGGTGGGGAAGGGCGGCGCGATTACACAAGCTTGGTCGTAACTCGTTGGTACCGGCCTCCCGAGCTGCTGATGCACTTAAAACGATACACCACAGCGATTGACATGTGGGGTGTGGGGTAAAGACCTTGGACCGTTCCGATTACGCGGCATACGCTAACCTTGATAGATGTGTGTTTGGCGAGATGCTCGTCGGCAAACCGATTCTCGCCGGAGAGAGTGACGGCCACCAGCTCGAAATCATCTTTGAGCTTTGCGGAACACCCACAGACGAAAACATGCCCGGTTGGCGATCGTTGCCCGGGGCAGAAGTCCTGCAGCCTCGACCCAGGCAGGGGAATCTGTCACAACGGTTCCGGGAATACGGATCGGGAGCCGTTTCACTCCTCCGGGAGCTCCTCAGGCTCGACTGGCGAAGCCGCGTCAACGCCATCGACGCCCTCAAGCACCCCTACTTCCAAACCGCACCATTACCAGCGAAACCCCACGAACTGCCATCCTTTGAAGAAAGCCACGAACTCGACCGCAGGAAGTTCCACGACAGAAGAGCGGCGCTACCACCGGCCCCCAAAGGCGGCACCGTCGGCCGCGGCCCCCACGACGGGCCCAACGCCTCCTTCAGCAGCGACGGCTTCGGCAGCAGGAACGGCGTCAACAGCGGCCGCTACCCGCGCGGCAGCCGCGGACCCGAGGAGCGCGTGCCGGCGTGGCATCGAGACCGCGGCCTGCCGCCCCGCCCGCCGCCACCCTCGGACCCGGACCACCCGGACGGCTACCGCGACAGGGGCGGCGGCGGCGGCGGCGGAGGGAGACCACCACGCGGCGGAGGCGGCGGCGGCCGGCAGGACGTCGACACGTACATCCCCAGCTACGACCGCGACGCGCCGAGGCGGGACGACCGCCGGCGGCCCAGGGACGACAGGGACGACAGGGACGGCAGGGACGGCAGGGACGGCAGGCGGCACGATTGGGACCGCAGGCGGGACTACGACGACCGCACGCGCGCTAGCCGGACCAGGAGTCGCAGCCGCTCGCCGGTGGTGCGTGATCGGGAGAGGGATAGGGATCGGGAGAGGGAGAGGGACAGGGATCGGGATAGGGACCGTGACCCGTATCGCCGGTAGGGTTTTGGCGTGCGGCGGTTCTGAGCGGGGGGGGGGGGGTTGGATTGTTGAGTTGGTGGGGGGTGGGTGGGCAGTTAGAAGTGGGGCAGGGCCGAGATAATTGAGTCGTTTGATGGTCGTTGTATCACCGCGTTCTACCTAGCGTGACTTGCGGGCGTGGGGCGGTTGATAGATATGTTGTGCAGTGATGTGATCACGGGTCTGGGAGCAGCCCAGCGATTGACGTGTACGTGACCAGGCCACGGTGGTTCCGCTCAAGCTATAGGCTTGATGAGGGGCAAGCGATCTGATGGTCAGCGGCGGATGTTTTGGTTGACACATGGGAGCGAAATGTAAGCACAGCAGCCATGCATGTACGCGGCTCTCTGCTGCGGGTTCAGCAGGTCGAACTTTTTGACTAGAGGAGAGCTCCGCCACGAGGGGAGCCTGATCATGAAGAACGTTGCATGGCGGTTGTGAGATAAGTGTGGGATGGCTTCGTGCAGATGGACGAAGAATTCGGGTTTCCAGATGGTGCCTGACGAAAGCGATATCCAGGTTCCATTCCCCAGCTTCTACCCTCAGAAACCAAATGAACTACCCTAACAAAAAGCCCCGCCAAAACGCCCCACGAACCAGCACCCGACCACCACACACACACCAACCTCCCTATCGCAGCTCGTGCTCGGACCCGGACGACTCCTCGTGAATCGTATCAGCCACCGCCACGCGGGCCTTGCCCGACGACGGCTGCGCCCGGTGCCGCGAAGCCCGAGACGACGACGACCACGCCGACGGTCCCGCCTGCGCCGCAGCAGCAGCAGCAGCAGCAGCAGGCGGCGGCTTCTTGGGCGCGTACCCGTGCCGTCGGCTCGGCGGGATGAAGGCCACGGGCCTCCTGTCCTGGTCGGCGTCGTTGTCGACTGACTCGTCTGACGACCAGTAGATCGCCGACGACGACGACGCGGCGTGTCGGGGTTGGGGGCGGGATGGCTTGGTGGGGATGGCGGCGGTGGGTTTCTGCAGGCGGCGGCGCGGGTGGTGGCGCGGGCGGAGGAACGGGAACAGCCAGGTTAGCCAGGTGACGGTGAGGTTTGTGAGGGTTGCGGCGAGGAGGCCGGAGACTGTGCCGATGGCGATGGCGCAGGTGAGCTGGTGGTTGGTTAGCTACCTCATGGCAGAGGAGGGAGGGCTGGGTGGGAGGGTGAAGTTGTGTAGGGGCATGAATGAGTTCCGTGAGAACTTACGTAAAGGAGGAAATGCTAGTGGGTGTGTTAGTATCCCATGTGTGTGCTTGTAAGATTGGGGATGGTGCACTTACCCTGTACTCTTCCACCAGCGCCATGGTCGCCTCCCAGCACCACATCCCCACACGCCATGGGATACGGATTGGCAATGTGAGGACGCGGAAGATGGCCTTTAAGCCCCAGAGTAGCATCCTGACCGGAGGAGAGCAGAGCATAACTACTCCGGCGGCCAGAGCCTTGAGGACGCGGCCGACGAAGAGGAGGATATGGCCATGGTCGGAATCCATTTCAACGTGGCAGATGGGATGGCTGCCAGGAATGTACTTGTAGGATGTATGCGGAATCTTGTCGGTCCTCACAAACAGTAAACAACTGGAATGGCGGCACCTTCAATCGCCCGTGTTCTCGAGACCCAAGCCCGTTGCATGCCGTCACCAAAATATTCGCCCCAGGACGGTCAATGTGACGGGCAAGCCCGTGTATCCATAGCTTGTTAGGTCACCGACATTTCATGAGAGATCTTCAGTGAAAAGGGAGATGGTTGAGCATTCTTGGTCTGACGTCTGGGATGCAGGAATCGGAGCGGTGACCCCGATACACCGATAATAACTTCCATGGCAGCTCCACATGAATGTGCCCCAACTATTCGGGGTTAACCTCTTTAATGTGATGGATATAAAACTGCGACCTTCACAAACACCGAGAATATCATCTTTTGACACGTTTGCAGCCCTCTCGATAACACACTCTCATAATTAGAGTCTCTTCTAACAGTGTTGCGTCACAAGGGTTGAACACCCACATCACGGGCACCATCGCCGACCTCACCAAACTCGACCACAAATCCTGCATCGCAACCTCTCACTTACAAAAACACCCAATCCCCAATTCCCAACCACATCGCATCTCCAACAACAAACAATGGACATCGACTCTCCCACCCCGCAAAACGACCTCACAACAACGACGACAACAAACCCAAACCCAAACGCACATCCCACCTCAACCCCTTCACAAACACAAACACAACCATCCACCTCCCACACCCACACCCGCACCCTCACAACCCTCACCCTCAAAACCCCCCCCTCCGCCTACGCCCACCTCTCCCTCACCAACCCCACCTTAACTACCACCACCACCACCACCAACAACAGCACCACCACCACCACCAACGCCCCCGACATCCTCCAACTCCGCGCCCACCTAACCACCGCCCTCCGGCAATTCCTCGGCGACACCGGCGCCGCCATCCCCATCGATTTCCTCGCCGTGCGGGGCGGGGAGGCGTGGGTGCGGGTGCCGCGGGAGGATCTGGGGGCGTTCGTCGGGGCGGTGACGGCGTTTGCCGGGGCGGGGGAGGAGATGATGTCTACCGAAGGGGAGGGGGCGGGGATGGTAGTAAGGGTTGTGGCGAGCGGGGACTGGTTGGGGAGTTTGGTTGGGAAGGGGGGGGAGGGGAGGGTTTGGGGTGGCAGGGGCTGATGGGGTATGGTTTCGCGGTTCGTTTTTTTGTTGTACGATTGGGGTGGATGGGGGGTTTGGTTTGGTTTGGGGACTAGCTTGGTTTGATTTTGAAAAGGGGCGGGGGTGTTCTATATCTGCCCAGCTCGCTGGCTAGTATCTAGATACGAGGCGTCTAATCTGTGCGGCGACGCACCGACGTGTGATAGACGGTTCAGCTGCACCTCCCTTGCCAGGTCCTAACTTGGAATGTTGGAGGGAGCATGGCAAGGGGCTGGCTCCGATGGGTCTCTCGACCACCCGTGATAGCCCTCTCGAGAAATACCTGGCAATCCATCAACCACAGACAGAGTAGCGCCGTACGGGACCACCTGAACGCCAACAGCCCCTCCTAGAGTGGGGAGTATGCAAAGACCTCTCAATCCCACATGATGTCTATGTTCTTGCATTTCCTGCAACAATATTTACATGAGCGAGGACATCACAGAGTTTTGGGCATAGGCCTGGCATCATGTTAGCATGGGAACAACCGACATGTAATTTGGTATTCCTTACCATAGGCTTGATGTTGGGATGCGGGACAGCGTCGAACTGCGTGAACTTGAGCTTGTAGTCGGGGCCAATATTGATATACGCGCCCCTGTTTTCTGTCATGTCGCAGTACTTGGGCGCCGAGAACACTGAGGTAGCATCATGTTAGTACCAGCTGCCATTTTCGGTCCTTGGGGGTTTAGAGTGCAACATACCGGTGATGCACTTCCCGTCGTGCTCCTCCTCGTAGCCCCCCATTCTGACCTCATGGCTGCGGATGACCGCCTCCAGGCCGTTCTTCTCACAGAACCGCTTGGTGACATCAGGGCCAAACTGCATGCCCACACCACGTTTGCTAGGGCCCCTCCCGGGCTCGGTTTGCGGGTCAGTCCAGAGCATCTCCATCATCAGGCCAGCTTGCCCGGGCTGTCGCTGCTTGTGCCTATCCAGCGTCCGGATGTCGTCCAACGTTATGTTGTCGTCCGAGAAGAGACCACCGTGTAGTACAAAGTACTTCTTGCCGATCAAAGTCGCCAACGGTAGAGCAGAGAAGCTTTCAGAGAACAGCTTGAAGACGCTGGGAGCTATTAGTATACCACCCGCTATCCTTTGGGCAGTTCGTGACCTACCGCTCGTTGTATTTCGCCTTGCACTCGCCCTCGAATCCATAAACCCTGTTCATGTCGTCTGTCTCGTGGTTGCCGCGGTTGATGAAGAAGCAGTTCGGCCGCAGCCACTTGTTGGCGTAGAGGAGCAGCGCAATCTCGGTCGACCAAGAACCCCGGTCCACGAAATCGCCGTTGAACAAGTACCAATGCTTGTCACCCGGCGTACCGTTTAACCTGAACAGCTCCATGAGATCGAAATATTGCCCTGTAAACCGTCAGCATCTTACACGGTTCCGAAGTAGGCGGCTGGATGGACTGGACCTACCGTGGGTGTCACCGCAAACAGTAAGCTTCACGTCCTCGGGAATTTCAACCTCGACCATGGTGGGCTCGTCGTACACAAGCTTCTTGACCGCCAGGATAATCTGGTAGACGTATTTCTTGTGTATTAACTTCCCGTTCTTAAACCTCTCGGTCATGTCGTCGATGAACTCTTGCGTCATTCCCCCTTCCAACCTGGCGCCGTCATAGGCGGGGTCTACGGCGATCGAGTCCACATCGAGACCCTCAGCAGCCGACGGCTCGTCCCCGATCTCGATGGCGGCGAAGAAGGCGATCTGTCGCACAATCTTTTCGCATTCGACCAGCTTAAGCTTGGCATCCTTGTTGCTCGGGTCGATCTTGACGCAAGTCTTGAAGTCCTTGACGGCTTCCTTGGGCCTCAAGATGGCGGCGTATGCTGTCGCTCTCCGGTAGTAGGCCTGGACTCCGGAGAACCCGTCAGCCTCGGCGCAGCGGTATGGGACGAAGGAGGGTCATTGCGCACCTTTACGAAGCTCGGTTTGAGTTCGATGGCTTTCGTGGCATCTCTGACAGCAAAGCCGTACGCTTCCGTCTTCAAGTAGGCCTGCGCGGAGGTACATGGTCAGTCACGCGACCAAACGACCCGGCGGGCAAGGCTGATGGAGGGGTTGTTCGGACCTGAGCTCGGTTGGACCAGAAGGTGGGTTCTTTGCTGTTTAGCTCAATGGCCTTGGTGTATAAATCGATCGCGGTCGGCCAGTCGTGCGCCGCAAAGGCCTTGTTGCCTTGGTTTTTGAGGTCCGTAGCCTTCTCTTCCGGGGTCGCCATCGTCTCGGATAAGAAAGTGCTATTTTGAGGGTGTGAACATGCGCAGTGCTTGATAAAACACGGAAAGATTAGTAGTAATTTCGAAGGCCGTCTATTAGGCAAGGCAGAACGTAAATCGCAGAGTCGGGGTCGCAGGGTCGGGTTATGGCGAACGCACTGAAACCTGAAGGCAAAGATGCGATCGAAGTTCGGTCCGGTTCTGCGGGTTGCCTTGGGCGTGCGCTAATCGAAGCGGAGGTCCAGACTCAAGCCAGGCCTTGGCGCCCGGAACCACATGGGTACTGACCCTGATAGAGGCATGCCGCCCACGCGCTGATGCTTGTAAGCGTTAACTAGCTAGTGCAACAAGGGTCCTTCACAGGGTTCCTGCAGCTTTCCTAACTTTCTTGAAACCACGACCATCAAAAGAAGTCAGTGTTTGGCATTCACTGTCCAATCGTACGGTAAGCCACTGGATATGTAATTGGAGTATCAGAAATAAGTCCCAAGAACCTCGCCGATATGATATGTTGACGGCTTTCTTGATGAGAAGAACCATCCATGAAATGCATTTGTGAGGAAATGGTGTATGGCTCAAGGATCACATACAGTCAAACTTGACGCTGTCAAAATGATGCCCCTCCCTTCGCCGCGTCTATTCCGAAACCAAACGCCGCGCTCCCAAAGAAGTCTACCGACGAGCCCGCTCAGGCTCGTCATCGCTGTCGTCCATGAACCCTTCCTCGAGGCTGTTGGGCAATTAGCATGGGGGATACTCCAACTGGGGCTGAATGTGGAGACTGACTCTCTGCTTAGTCTTCTGGTACTGTCAACAGGATCATCCCTTTGCTGGTCTAATACTCTTCTCGCAGTTGTCTCATCCACGTCGCCCAACTCCTCCCCCTCTTCAGAATCAAAAGAACCCCGCTCGGCCACCACGATGCCGTCCGAGGCCCTCGCTCTCCACGCCGACGGCGCCATAAAGCGGACTACAGCACCCTGCATTCTCGCCCTGAGTGACAGTGTCTGGTTCGATATTGTTTCGAGCGGTAGGTACTGGCTGTACCGGTTTCGATAGCGTTGCCAGAGAGGCACGAGGACGAAGGTTGCGACGAGGAAGAGAACGAGAGAGATGACCGCGGGGACAATTAAGGTCTATGAACCATGGAAGTTAGCGAGCAATATCAGTGGGGAATCATGCCGTAGTTTTCTTTGAAACGGTTCGCGCTTACCTTGATGACCGCAAACGTCGAGCCCATCGCGCTCAAACGGCCAGGTGTCCCGCGCTGCGCGGTAAATGGAATGGAACGCGAGACTACTTGTACGTAGGTAAAACCCCTTGGCCAGATGCTAAAATGACCCAGATGTCGCCGCAACAGCCGCTCAACATCTGCACCACGGGGGCCAACAGAGTGTTCAAAAAGCAAATCAAAGTGCACGGCTAGCGTTGGTCAAGGTTCCTGAATGCGATCACCCGATGCGCAAGCTGGCAACGCGGCCCATGCAATTGCCGGGACACACGTCTTGGCAACCGAATTCCATGTGGACCTTCTTGGCATCCCGCAATTATGGTGGACCCGTCAGCGGCCCCGGCCCGGTCGTTTGATATCGATCTTGCATTCCCTTGTTCTCAACCACAGACGGATTGGTGTTGGGATGTATGTGAATGATTGGATCACAGCTCACACTTGGAAACTTCTTGGACGCGCTGCAGCGATCCCGATATCTTTTTTTTTTTTTTTTTTTTACTTTCAAGGTGCTGGGAAAGGAGGGTAAAGGGAGGGAACAACGAAAGAGGGTTCTAGAAACTCTCCGATCGTCACTAAACAAAGACATTTCGGAATCTGGGTGGCAGTTTAGGACCGACTGAAATCAACCGTGGGATATTGTCAACATCGGGAATTTATTTTGCGTGCTTCCACATTGACATTTGGCTAGTATTTGGCTAGTCATGATTTCGCCGTTGACTAGGTAGAAAGTGCCTTGAGACGATAACACTCGTGTTCCAAAAAACAAGCCGGACCCAACAGTGGCGGACTCTTGAATGAGTGTTTCAAACATCCTGTGGCTCAGACCAGACCACCCTGCAGCTGCGGGGTTAAAAGCGTGCGACACCAGGATCAGCGCGGGCGACGCACAGGCCACATGCCGCGGCACGGTCCCCTGCTGCGTCGCCTCTCTGAGAAGGAACCCAGGGGTCGATCCAAGCTAGGCCTGTTTCAGAACCGCGGACCCCCTTTGTGACCTCCCCATGCTGTGCGTGTGTTGTGCGTCCGGTGGTTACCGATCCTGCGATTTCAACAATTGTGGCCGTTTCTCGCAGGGACACTCCCGGCGTCGCACTCATTACACCATTTACACTAACTAAACTTCCGGGTTGCGCTCGCGGCCGACCAGCTTGCAAATCATCCCCGGAGGCGCTTGCGGGGAACTTCGCACGCACCGTTCCTTCCAGGTTCCGACATACCACGGTCGATTACGTTCGTTCGCTCTTTTGTCGCTCCTGCGCTCCTTGCAACGCCGCGGGAGCCAAGCCGCGCCATTGTGACAGAACCGCCGTTGGCCATTTTCGTTTGACCCCGGCCCGACAACGCGATCGAGGACGGCGCCTTTCCCTTGTCGACTTCATCCCACCACCGGACTCATTGACGATCCCACGGTTACAGGAGCCGGAAAATCGCAGCCCGTATGTTAGCGTTCCTGCCGACCTCTCCCGCTCGCTCTATGTACTGTGTACTGCAGTACCCCCTGCGGCGACTGCTATCAAACCCCCGTTCTCATGCTAAATATTCTCGATTTATGCACAGAACCACAAACCCCCCCGGCGCTGCGACGATACGCTTCCAGACCCCGGCCGCTCCCCAGGAAGATGATGCGATGCGCCATAGGCCTGAGACACAGAGTCCATTGACGACAAATACCACACCCCTCCGAGTCGGCCCACGTCGCCCACGCATTGATTGACGCCCCTCTGTACGGCTGTTGTTGAGAAACCAAACCCAGGCGGCTCGCTGCCCGCCCCTCGCGAACCGGCTGTTTCACGCGTTACCCACAAACCCGACGCCATGTCTTCCTACGACAAGTCCCGGGCCTCCTCCGGGAAAGCCTCGTCATTCTTCCACCGATCTAGGAACAAGGCCGACAAGCGGAATGCGGCCGAAGAAGGCCGCCATCTCTCCGCCGACAACGATACAGGTTCCGTGAATTCGCGCCATTCACGCCACCAACGAGACTCTTCTGTTATATCATTAGACCGTCCTGGATCCGCCGGGTCCGGCATCAACACGACCGCCGGCATCATGACGACGATTCCTTACGATGCCGTTACCGCGGACCGAAACTCGCCAGTCCCTGTCGATTACCTTCACAAATCCGACCAGGCGGCCTCTCGACGGGAGCCGCTACCACACCAGCTAAACAAGGCGACGAGCGACTTCCACCAGTATCCGACTTTCGACCCATCGAGCGTGCGCCCCACCAGTCCCTATCCCAGTAGCCCCTACCCCTCCGGGCCGCGCCCCGCCCCCGGCACATCCAACATCACAATGGCCTCGACCGGTCGCCAGGCTCAGTACCAGCAGTGGGGGCCAGCGAGAGAGAGCAATGTACCAGGGTCCCATAATTCCCGCTACAGCTCGTACACAACGTCCGGCGGTCGCAGTTCAGCCGACACCGCAAGCATCATGTCAGGTAATGGAACGCCCTACTACAACCAAACCGCAGACAGGCGCTCATCCAAAATAGCACTACCTAGTGTCTCATCTCAGTCTTCCTACCTATCTCCCCACTCGCCCAGGGACAACCGCCTCACCAAGTTTCCCTCTGGGACTCAGACGAGCGAGGGATTTTACTTCCCGAAACCAGAGGATGATAACGTCATCGAGCAGATGTTCGTGGCGCTCATGCAAAAGCGCGGATGGCACAACCTCCCGGACCAAGCGAAGCGCCAGATGATCGCCTACCCGCCGACCAAGAAATGGACCCTGATCTATCAGGACCGCCTCACTGAGTGGCAGGGGGAGCAGAAGCGCAGGCAGACCGCTAAGATTGGCCAGTACAGCAACGTCGACCTCACCCAGATGCCCGACGAGGAGGGTAGCCCGGAGTGGTATGTGCGCAAGGTCATGGAGAACTCGCTCGACAGCAAGGGTTTCGGCAGTCTCGAGGTCAACCTGCGCACCCAGCAAATTGGCTGGGTCAAACGCTTCATCGAGTGCCAGGGCCAAGTAGCCTTGACCAATGTACTCTTCAAGATCAACCGCAAAACCGCCATGGGACCGACACTGGATTCGGCGACGGGGGACAAGAACCTGGACCGAGAGTACGATATCGCCAAGTGTCTAAAGGCCTTGATGAACAACAAGTTCGGCGCAGACGATGCCCTGGCTCACCAGCCGGTCCTCGTGGCCTTGGCCACGTCCCTGATCTCGCCCCGGCTTACGACGAGGAAGCTTGTCAGCGAAGTCTTGACATTCCTCTGCCACTGGTCCGAAGGCAAAGGGCACTTGAAGGTTATCGAGGCCATGGATGTGGCCAAGAACCAGCAGGGCGAGAACGGCCGCTTTGACGCTTGGATGCGCCTCGTCGAGGTCACCATCGACGGCCGAGGGAAGATGGGCAGTCTCGTGGGCGCGAGCGAGGAGGTGCGCAGCGGAGGTATCGGCATGGAGAACCTGTTGATGGAATACGTCGTGGCTACGCTCATCTTGATCAACATGATGATCGATGCCGCCGAGGGGGACCTGCAGATGCGCGTCCACATCAGGGCGCAGTTTACGGCCTGTGGTATTAAGCGCATGCTGCACAAGATGGAGGGCTTCCAGTATGAGTTGATCGACAAACAGATAGAGCGGTTCCGGCTCAACGAGGCCATCGATTACGAAGACATGCTGGAGAAGGAGAACAGCAGCATCAAGGACAACGTGGAAGGAGAGGTTAGAGACCTCAACGACCCGGTCCAAATTGTGGATGCGATCCAGCAGCGGCTACAGGGAACCAAGACTCAAGACTACTTCATCTCGGCTCTGCAGCATCTTCTACTGATCCGAGAGAATGATAGCGAGGAACGTCTCCGCATGTTCCAGCTCGTCGATTCGATGCTGAGCTACGTGGCCATGGACCGGCGCTTGCCAGATATGGATCTCAAGCAAAGTCTCAACTTCACGGTCCAGAGCCTGCTCGACAAGCTGCATACGGATTCGGAAGCCCGCCAGGCTTTTGATGAAGCTACCGAGACGCGCCAGTTTGCCGAGGCAGCGATGGCAGAAAGGGATGAGCTGAGGGAAAAGCTGGCAATGGGCGCCGATGGGCTGGTTGCCAAACTCCAGCAGCAAATCGATGAACAAGCGAGGTTCATTGATGCGCAGAGGAGGCAGACTGAAGGACTGAAGTCGGAGCTGGAGAATCTCCAGACGCTCAGGGCGAAGGAAGCACAACGCTATGAGCTCGAAACGCGTGAGCTGTATCTCATGCTCCGTGATGCCCAGGACGTTGCAGCTTCCAATGCGGCTAAAGGGGTCAAGCTGGGCGACGAGGATCCCGCTCGTATGCAGGGGATTCTGGACCGTGATAGGCTCATGGAGCGCCTTCAAATGCAGCTTGAACGCCAAAAGACCGTGTACAAGCTCGAAGGCAAGGTTTGGGGTGACGCCGTCGGCCCCTCAGACAAGCTGCGGGCACTGCGCGAGGAGATGGATGGCTATGGAGACTCAGGGGCTGGTGCGCCACCTCGAGACTTTACCAACAGCATGCTTGGGAGCGTCAAAAGATCGACTCGCATTCCAAGAAAGCCCGTCGGCGCTCGCGGGGAGCCGATCGAGGGTGTCTTGGAAGAGATTGAGGACGTTGCCGAGGATGAGGAGGGTGTCGTTTACGAGAAGCCACGGGTGGTCGAGTTCAAGCGGCCTGTCATGGACCCTAAGAAAGCCGCTGGCATGTTTAATGAGCTTCAAGGTAAGGTCAAGAGGTTCGATGGCAGCGATTCAGAGGACGGGGACGGCGTTACAACTGGTCCATCTCACCCGAGCTTGGAATCGCAATCCCCGCTCACGCCCAGTGACAACGAGCCTCCCAAGATCGAGGTCACCGACACCACTCCGACGGCGCCCGGTCCATCAGCTTTCGGGGGGCCTCCACCTCCTCCGCCGCCGCCTCCTCCTCCTCATGGCCTGATACCTGGTGCGCCCCCGCCAGCAACCGGTTTCACCGGTCCTCCTCCCCCGCCCCCGCCTCCGATGCCCGGCCAGATTCCCGGCGCGCCTCTCCCACCCGGTTTTACTGGTCCTCCTCCACCACCACCTCCTCCGATGCCCGGCCAGATTCCCGGCGCGCCTCTCCCACCCGGGTTTACTGGTCCCCCTCCACCACCACCTCCTCCCCCTCCGCCCGGTGGCAAGGGCATGCCTCCGCCTCCGCCGCCTCCGATGCCCGGGGCGGGCGCAATGTCAGGCCACTTTTTATCCCGGCAAAACAACCTCACGCCTACGACATCCCTCGGCCTGTCAGTTGTCCGGCCTAAAAAGAAACTCAAGGCTCTCCATTGGGAGAAGGTCGACTCTCCGCTCACCACTCATTGGGCCGCCCACACGCCTTCGGCAGAAGAGAGGGAAGAGAAGTACCTCGAGCTCAGCCGGAAGGGTATTCTCGACGAGGTCGAAAAGCTTTTCATGGCAAAGGAGATCAAGCGAATCGGCGCAGGGGCGTCCAAAAAGGACGACAAGAAGCAGATTATCTCGAACGATCTGCGGAAATCCTACGGTAAGTCAACTCTAAGAGGAAATCACAGGCATATGCTGACGAAGAACAGAAATCGCCCTTGCCAAGTTCTCGCAGTTTTCTGTTGAGAGGGTGGTGCAAATGATTATTCATTGCGATAACGAAGTGCTTGATAACGTTGTGGTCATGGACTTCCTGCAGAAAGACGACCTCTGCAACATCCCAGACAATACATCCAAGCAACTGGCGCCGTACAGCAAGGACTGGACTGGCCCAGAAGCAAACAAGGAGAACAGAGAGCAGGATCCAGCCGAGCTCACAAGGCAAGATCAGATCTACCTACAAACAGCGTTTGAGCTGCACCACTACTGGAAGAGCAGAATGCGCGCTCTGTCATTGACGCGCAGCTTCGAGCCTGAATATGACGAGATCACAGAAAAGATGCGCCAGATTGTCAACGTATCCGAGTCGCTCCGAGACTCGGTGTCTCTGATGAACGTTCTCGGCCTCATTTTGGATATCGGTAACTACATGAACGACGCGAACAAGCAGGCCCGCGGCTTCAAGCTATCGTCACTTGCCAGATTGGCCATGGTCAAGGACGACAAGAACCAATCTACGCTGGCCGATCTTGTCGAGCGCATCGTCCGCAACCAGTACCCGGAGTGGGAGAACTTCACCGACGATATCTCGGGGGTTATGACGGCACAAAAAATCAACATCGAGCAGGTACAAGCCGACGCCAAGAAATACATCGACAACATCAACAACGTGCAAAAGGCCCTCGACTCCGGCAGTCTATCGGACCCCAAGAAGTTCCACCCGCAGGACCGCGTGGCCCAGGTCGTCGGGCGCTGTATGAAGGACGCGCGACGCAAGGCCGAGCAGATGCAGGTCTACCTGGAGGAGATGGTGCGCACCTACAACGATATCATGACCTTCTACGGCGAGGACCCCGCCGACGAGAACGCGCGCCGCGATTTCTTTGCCAAGCTAGCGTACTTCATCTCCGAATGGAGGAAATCATACGACAAGAACTCGCAGCTCGAGGAGCAGCGCCGGAAGAACGAAGCGTCCATGAAGCGGAAGAACGCACTCAAGGCCGCGCAGGCCTCCACCGAGAGCAGCCTGGCCTCGCCAACCAGCACGGGCGCCATGGACAGCCTGCTCGAGAAGCTCCGCGCGGCAGCGCCGCAGGCAAGAGACCAGCGCGACAGGCGCCGCCGCGCCCGCCTCAAGGACCGCCACCAAGTACGCGTCGCATCCGGCGGCCAAGTCCCCGACATCGCCCAGCTCGCCGCCCTCGACGCGAGCCTGCCCCCCATCCAGAGCCCCGGCTCCGAGGCCACGGGCCCCGTCAACGACGACGACCTCACCAACACCCCCGGCTCCGACCTCCTCAGCCCCACCACGGGCCACCCCGCGGACGGCAGCAGCAGCGCAGCAGGCACGACAGCGGGCGGCGGCGGCGGCAGCGGCGGGAACGGGAACGGGAACGGGGTTGGCGAGGAGGACGACGTTGCGCAGCGCGCCGCGCTGCTGCTGCAGGGCATGCGCTCGGGCGCCGACGGCGGCGACGACCCCGCCGACGCCGAGAAGCGCGAGAACCTGCGCCGCTCGCGCCGGCAGACCGCCGACGAGGAGCGCAAGATGCGCAGGAGGCGCCGCGAGCTGGCCCAGTCGAGTGCTAGTAATGGGGATGGGGCGAGTTTGAGCCGTGAGGGTTCGGTTGTTGATGGTCATGGTGGGAGGGGGGACGAGGAGGTGCCGCCGACGCCGGGGCTGGATGAGATGGCGGCGGCGGCGGCGGCGGCGGGGGTGGAGGTGGAGGTGGAGGGGCAGGGGGTGAATGGGGGTTGAATGGATTGATGTTTATAGGGGGTGGTGTTGGTGGAATGGTGTTGGTTCCATGGGGAAGGGGGGATGTGGGAAGAGGGGGATGGATGGATGGTTGGATGGACACGGATACCTGAGCATGGATATTGAGTACGTAATGTCTACTTGGGCTCTGTTTGCCTAGATGGCACATATCACTACGGCGAGTTGCTCCGGTTGGGGGTGGTTGGAGGCTCAGGGTTTGTTGGGAAGGATGGAGGTACTTTGAATCACGGCAGCGTGTTGTTTGGTGGGGTTTAGTATCTGGAATATGGAATCTAGCTGTATGGCGGCTGCTGCTGCTGCTGCTGCTGCTGCTGCTGCTGCTGGGGGTCGTCTTGGATCTGGAGCCGGATGAGTTGAGTACGAGGCGAACAAATGTTATTTAAACTCCTCCCCCACCCAAGACAGGTTCGATGTGTGGAAGGGGTTGTCAGTCCCGCAAGATGGATTACAGCAGTATTTTGTTCCTGGCTAGCCTAGACGTATCCAATATCCGCTCATCATCTTCACCTTGGCCTGAAAACCACCACTCAAGGTGTCAAGCTCCTGCGGGGTGTTGCCGAGACGGTGGAACCATATCAGCCGCTTTAGACATTTCTACGGATCATCAAGTACATGCGAGAGGACCGTCGGCTGAGTGTCAGGTCTCCCCATGTCTCGCAATTAGCCGCGAACATCACCCCCACCGTGGTGAGGGGGAGGGGAGACGAAGCCGAAAGGAACGGCAACCCCTCATCCAGGAATGATCCATGAGCGTTCGTTTCTCCAACTTGGGTGGCTCCACCCTGGGTGTAAGGTGGGTGTAAGGTGGGTGTAAGGTGGGTGTAAAGGTGGGTGTTAGTTCGGGATGGCGCGCTGCGAGACGGAGAAATATGGGATTGGCTGTGTAAATGAGAGGCTGTGATATCGAAGGAGGTATATTGTCGTGAAGGTTATATCCTCTCCGTCTTTATCTTGCTTGGGAGAACGCACTCTCTCCGTCCTCCGTCCCTTATCCTAACTAGCCACCCTCCCTCCGTGTTTGACTTGACGACTCTCCCAAGTCCAACCCACCCACCCAGCTTGACTTACACCCTCACCCTCACCACCATTGTCACCACCACAACCACCACCATGTCCCCACCCCCCCAACAGCAGGCCACCCAGGGCCTCGTACTAGGCTACACCAACCCGCACCCCTTCGCGACCGTCGCGCTCACGGACCGCGCCTCGGTGCAAGCCCTCTTAGAAACAGTGCTGGACCCGCTCGAGCCCTTCTTCTCGCCCGACAAGGCGCGCGTGCGCGTCCCCGGGGCGACGGCCGTGCGGTTCGACCAGACGGCCTCCGAGGTCGAGGGCTTCGCCCGCCCGCTGTGGGGCTTGGCCTGCCTGCTCGCCGGCGGCGGGTCGTACCGCGGTGCGAAGTGGTGGATCGATGGCCTGCGCGCCGGTACCGATCCCGCCGCGGAGGGCTACTGGGGCCATCCGGCGGATAATGACCAGCGCATGGTGGAGATGTGCCCGATTGGGTTTGCGCTGGCGGTGGCGCCGGAGATTTGGGGCGGGTTGAGTGAGGGGGAGAGGGGGAATGTGGAGAATTGGTTGGGGAATAGTATTAATGAGAAGAAGTGAGTTGGTTTGTTTTCTTTGTTGGTGTTGTGTTTGGTGGTGGGTGAAAGGGGGTGGAAGGGGAAAGGGGAAAGGAGGCCGGATGGCTAACACGCAAGGGGGATAGCATGCCGAACACGAATTGGTTGTGGTTCCGGGTGTTTGCGAATTTGGGGTTGAAGAAGAATGGGGGCAAGTTCTCGCAGGAGAGGTTGAACGCGGATATCAAGCATCTGGAGACCTTCTATCGCGGAGATGGATGGTCTAATGATGGACCGGAGGGAATTCACCGTGGGTCACAACTTACCCCTGAATCACTGACCTGTTACGAGGCAGTTGTCTAACAAAACCAGAGATGGACTACTACTCGTCGAGCTTTGCCATTCACTTCCTCCAACTGCTCTACGCTAAGCTAGCGGGCGAGGATGACCCAGAGACTGCCGCAGAGTTCAAGAAGCGGGCTCAGATGGCAGCGCTGGACCTGGCGCACTACTATGACAAGGAGGGTGAGTTGAGAACTCTCGCAGACCAAGCTAGTTAATGCTGACTTTCCTAGGGCGGTCCATTCCCTTTGGCCGTAGTGTCGGCTACCGCTTCGCCATGGTTTCGTTTTGGGGCGCCCTGGCGTACGCTGATGTCGAGCTGCCCGCACCACTAACCTGGGGTATGGTCAAGGGCATGGCGATGCGCCACCTGAGATGGTGGCAGACACAGAACGACATGTGGAGCTCGAGCGGCACGCTGACCATTGGGTACTCATACCCAAACATGTATGTGAGTAGAGATCCCCCTTGATAGGCCTGTTGACGATACTCACGAAGAAACAGATGGCCGAGAACTACAACAGCCCGGGGAGCCCGGTGAGTGACCCTACCTACTACACCTTGTACCCTCAATGAATAAAGCTTACACTGTCTGTCCAGTACTGGGCCTGCCTGGCATTCATCTGCCTCGCCGTACCGGAGACGCACCCCTTCTGGACCTCCAAGGAGGAGAACCACTGGGACGTGATCCCCAAGGTCAAGGCGCTCAAGCACCCAGGCCACATCATGAGGTGCGTCACGCCATTACCCTGCCACCCACAATCCCCAACACCCCACCACTAACAACCTCCCAGCAACCTCGGCGGGCACTGCATGCTCCTCTCCTCCGGACAGGCGTGCTCGTACCCCATGAAAGGCACGCACGCCAAGTACGGCGCCTTCGCCTACTCATCCGCATACGGCTACTCCGTCCCGCCAGGACTCTTCACACTCGAGCAATACGCACTGGCATCACAACTGGGCCTGTCCGACGACGGCGGCGAGTACTGGAAAACGCGACGACTCTCAACCTCCACCCTCGAAACCCGCGGCAGCGACCCCGTGCTCGTCTCGCTGTGGACGCCCTTCCCCGACGTGCACATCAAGACCTACCTCGTCCCGCCCACGGAAGCCACCCCCAACTGGCACGTGCGGGCGCACCAGATCCGGGCGGCGGGGCGCGAAGTGCAGACGGCCGACGGCAGCTTCGCCATCAGCAGCTCGCGCGCGGCCGACGGGCGGCTGCTGGGCCTGTACGACGACGATGCGACCAACGCGACCACCGCCAGCGAGGGCACGCGGCCGCGGCTGATGGGCAACTACGACGTGGCGACGCCCGAGGCGTGGGCGGGCGGGTACGAGGGCGCGTTCGTGGTGTCCAAGGGTGCCGTGGGGATCCGCGCGCTGGAGGGCGCTGGTGGCGGGCGGACGGCGACGCTGGTGAATGCGGACCCGAACTCGAATTTGATTGAGAGTCGCACGGCGATTCCTACGCTGCAGGGTACGGTGGGCAAGGGGGAGACGGTGTGGTATGTGACGGGGATTTATGCGAAGCCGAATGGGGAGGGGGTGAAGAGGGAGGAGTACCTGAGCGGGTGGGAGAAGGTGCCGGAGGTGCCGGGGTGGTTGAAGGAGGAGATGGGTCAGTAGGGGACGAGGGAAGAGCGAGGTAGCTACTGTGTTATGAGTGTGATGTTTTTTTGAGGTTGAGAGGCAAAGAAATATGCTTTGTTTGCTTGTTTATCCTAGCCTAGCCGTTGAGCGAGCCTGATGCAATGTGATGGTATGCAATTCCACCGTGTTGAAAATTCAAAGCTGTTACCCCTGAGATGGTCACCACATTCGAGGCCATCTTCCGCGCGCATACTTGTTTTGACCTTTCTTTACCATTTCCGGGAAAGGGTGAGTATCATCAGGCAGATAAAAATTATGCCTTTGCATATGCCTCGATAAACTTGGCGAGCTTCTCGGCTCCCTCCAAGGGGATAGAGTTGTAGTTGCTGGCCCGGATGCCGCCGACGCTGCGGTGCCCCTTGAGGCCCGTCAGGCCCAGGCTCGTGGCCTCCTTGAGGAAGGCCTTCTCGGTGTCGTCGGTGTTTCCGTTCTGCTGATGTTAGTATCTTACCTCGATAGCCCAAAAGAGGGGAAACGACTGATACACCACTCACCTTGGTCACGCGGAAGCAAATGTTCATCCGCGACCGCACCGCCTTGTCTGGGACGATCCGGTACACCTCGGGGTGCGCCTCCAGCGCGGAGTAGATGATGTTCGCCTTCTTCTCCGACACCGCTTGCTGACCGTCCACCTTGTTGGGGTAGGTCTTGAGCAACTTTTTCAGCACTTGGCCGGCAATGTACACACTGGGTTCTGTCAGCTACCTATCGCCAGACCATCCTTGCTGGAGGATACCCACTCAAAGATGCTCAGCGTGTTGTACAAGCTGTTGTTCTTGGCGATGATCTCGTATTGCAGCATGATCGGGGGAATCGGGAGCCCGAGCTTCCGCATGAGAGCAGGGCTCGGCTGGGTCGTCGTCGGCGGTAGGAACGACTTCTTAATGACGGCCACAGTCACGCCGGTGCACCCTAGGTTCTTCTGGGCACCGAAGAAGAGCAGAGAGTAGTTGCTGACGGGCACCCTCCTCGAAAGGATGTTGCTGGACATGTCGGCCACAACAATCGGGCCGGTGCCGTCGGCATTCGGGGCCAGCACAGCGGGGAACTCGGGGAACTCGACGCCATCTACGGTCTCGTTGTCGCAGAAGTAGACCAGCGCGGCGTCCTTGCTCAGCTTCCAGGTACTCTGGTCGGGGATCTTGCCGAACTTGCCGTCGTTGATGGTGCGGGCGTCGGCGGCCAGGTTGACGTACTCGGGTCCCAGCAGACGCACAGCTTCCTGGTAGGCCTTGAGTGACCATCCACCCGTGACGATGTAGTCAAGCTTGAGACCCTTCTCGGCACGCTCTCGCAGGACAGCAACCACAGCGGCCTCGTCGGCACCGCTCCCCAGCTCGCTGAGGACGGCGGCGTGTTGGCGGACAACCCAGGCACCGACCAGGTTGTAGACGGCCGCGGAAAATTCTCCTGTTCCACCCGCTTGCATCAGCAAAATCTCATAGTCGCTGGCGGGGAAGTCTAGATAGCTAGCCAGATCTGCCTTGGCCTCGTTGATGATGTTGGTGGCCAGCTCGGAACGGTGACTGTGCTCAGCGATGCCCAGGCCGGTGCCATTGAAGTCGAGCAGAGCTTGTGCGGCCGTCTGGAGCACGTCGGTCGGTAGAGCGGCCGGGCCGGCGCCGAAGTGAGTAATGTCGGAGCGGGTAGGCATTTTCTGGTTCTTTTTCTCTTCTTTTTTTCTTCTTCCTTGGGTTCTGCCTTTCTACTTAACTTTTTTTTTATTTGGCAAACTCGGGAATATTCTTCCTTTTATGTTTCGTGCTTTAGAACTGAACAGAACTTAAAGTCAATGCAGTCAGACCGAATTTCTGACTCCTTGGACGTTAAAGTTGAATCTGACTCTTAAACTCGAAACTCCACAGCAACAAGACGCGCCGCTGGTTGTCGCGGAGCGGGGCACCTCCTTTATCGCTGATGAGTCGGCAGGACCCCGCCTTGTTTGGAGTCTTCATATCGAGACGGGAAGCACCCGCAGGAGCTGCATTTTTGGCGGCTGCCAATGCGCATGATGGGTGCCGACTCGGAGCGGGTAGAGAGTCAAGGACCTTCTCTCTTTGCCCGGTGTCGGTGTCGGCTGGCCACTGAAAATGGAGTGACACACGCCTTCCCCAGGTTTTACGCAAAACTTTTACAGGGGCTTAGCGCGATGGGCCGTGGGGTTCAGAGCACCTGCTCTCGAGCTGCTGCAAGCCGAAAAAGGGAAGTGGGGGGAGGGGGGCCACCTGCAGCGGCCGTGATGGGATTCCCGTCCCGCATCCGTCTCTTCCAGGTTCCATCTGCGTTCTTCAACTCCGAGTCAACTTCCGGCAACAGTCCCGTAAATCCAGCCCGGCCTCGCCCGAAAAATATACGGGCCGGCACGGGATCAGGTCGCTTGTTCCCGGGTCAGGTACCGCGAAAGGGGTTGAGAGGAACGCAGCGCGAGGCTGGCTCAGGCTGGCCGAGGCTGGCGTCTCTCGGTGGTTACATCTGGCGGCCGAGGCGCCTGTTGGCTTGTTGATCAGTTGTTTAATCCTCAGCATGCACTTTGGGAAATTCAAAGGCATGACGAATGATCGATTGTCGATAGTTTGACCGCCAGCAAGCAACACCAACTTTATACTCGAAGAGCACTCGAAAGCAGCCGAAAACACATTGACTAAGGTATGAATCAGCTCCACGCATTACTTCTTTGGTAGGGATATCCTTTGCCCGGCGATCTGATGTCCTCGGCTGTCGTAGCACCCGAGTTTGACAGGTTCCGTTGCAGCTGGCTAGTTGCCTGAATATCGACGCTAGTTATAGCCGGACGTCATCGGCTTCCTTAAGCAGCACATTTTCGGCAAGCTCCCGGACTCGTGGATGCCGCTTGAGCCTCAATCTGGGGTTGCCGTCGATCACATCTACCGTCACACCCGCCGAACGCCGAAATTAGAAGCCGATTACAGCGGTCAAGAGCGGTACACAAGCAAACTACCTAACTAAGCGGCAGGGATGTCGACTATCGCCGACCAACGCTTGTCTTGACGTATAAGTGACCATCGCCCCGGGGGTTTCGGACTGTCCATTCTGCTCGAGGTGGCCTGAATCAAGTCATCCTAGTTGGTATCAACAAGAAACCGCCCTCACTCGCTACATCTCCAGCCGCATACACTGTATTGTATAACTACCTAATGCAGCAACGGTTTCCTACCCCTTTAGGTTGCTGGCACACCCGACCCGCTGTGACCAAATAAACAGCCTGTGGAGCGCCTCAGGAGACTTTCCTCACCTAGGATAGGTGCAAACGTGCCGCGCGACGACGCCCCTGACTGGCGAAAACAGCCGCTCTCGCAGGTTCCCAGGTTCGCCTGCGTGATCGCCTACCAGCATGGCCGACAAGAAGACGGCAGATGCTGGGCCGTCTCGACACGCACATTCGACACCAGCAGCATCATTTCGTGCGCAGCCCCTTTTCCTTCTTCCCTCCCTACCTCTAAGTGTTGCCAACTCCCATGCCCAAGCCTAAGCCTAAGCCTAAGCCCAAGTCGAAACCAAAGTCCGAGCTGCATCATCTCTCTCTCCGCACCCGCACCCACTACTGCATCTGCATCTCATCTGCATCTGCATTTGCATCTGCGACCCCCGCTCCCCGCTATTTCTGATGAATGAAAATGAACCGTTGGAGATCTCACCAGACTGATGGATAAGCCAGCAACGCACAACTCGCCGCGGACATGGTTCCTCACCTCGTCGCTCTCGCCGCTAAGCATCCGCCTAGTCCGGCTGCTGCTGGCGCACGGTGACTACGTGGTGGCCTGCTTGCCGCCCGTCGAGATTGAGGATGAGGAGCGGAGCGCCGAGTTCCGCGAGCTCATCAACGAATGCAAGAGCAACCGCAAGGACCGCGAGGGCTGGAAGGACCGCATCCGCGGGATCCGCTGCGATGCCCGCGCTATGGGACAGTGCGGCGCCGCCATTGCCGAGGCCGTGCAGGTGTTTGGACGCATAGACATTCTGCTTTGCTGCAAGTTTGAGGGTGGGTGTGGCAGTCCGTTTGACTCCAGAACCGTTGGTAGTCGAGGAATAGTGGCTGATTATTGAATGTAGCCGTCATCGGCACTGTCGAGGAGCTCTCAGCGACGCCGTCTACACGCAACCTGGTCCGGGACCAATTCGACACCATCTTCTTCTCCCAAGTCAACTTCATCAAAGCCGCTCTGCCCCAGTTCCGCGCCCAGCACACGGGGCACATTATTATCCTCACCAGCATCGGCGGCCACATCGGCACGCCCTGCATGCCCATGTACACGGCCGCCACCTGGGCACTCGAGGGTTACTGCGACTCGCTAGCCTACGAGATTGCCCCTTTCAACATAAAGGTCACCATAGTGCAGCCCAACAAGGAGATCCAGAGCTTGACCAACAAAATCATCTTCGCCCCGCAGCTGCCCTACTACGACGCCGAGATCAACCCAGCCCCCAACATGCGCGAGATGCTGAGCAACGTGCTCAACGCCAACCCGGACACGGCCATCGAGCAGTCCGACGACGAGGTCCAGATCCGCTACCCGCACCTGCCCGCAGCCGCCTACGACAAGCTCGTCATGGAGACGGTGCACGCCCTGACGGCCATCGGTGGCCACGAGAACCCGCCCGCCCGGCACATTGTCGGCTTCGAGGGCGCCGTGGCCGTCAAGGAAAAGCTCAAGACGGTGACGGAGGAGCTGGAGGATTTTGTCGAGGCCAGTCTGGCCGTCGACATCTTTGAGAGCGAGCTCAAGACGGAGGCGAGGCAGGGGAGGTCGAACGTGGATGTTGCTGGGTCGGGGAGCGGGTCGGGCATGTGAAAATGGGTCTGGCTCTCACACCTGCTGGTTCACTGTTCAAACATAGTACCTACACATCACAACAAGGGCGTCGGGGAGAAGGGATGGCGGGTTGATTGGGTTGGGTGCCATGGGGGGTTGCAACGCTATGGGGGTTAGGGATGGGGGTTTGGATGGAAAAGCGTGCGCTAGGCGCACCGTTGATACCATGTTTGTCTGTATAAATATGATAAAAAGAACAGTAAAAACACCGCTGACAAAGCCATTGTGTTCAAAAACCATGCGCCGATCTGGGGGCCCGGGGATCAGATCTCCTCGTTCGGTCATTTTGCGAGAAAGCCCCTGACCAGCGCCGACAAGGGTGTTTTCTGGCCTCTGGTCCCTCAACCGGCACGCCAATTACAGTGGCCACAGCTCTGTCCCGCACCAAAGCTCGGGCCTCAACGGGACCGGGGCCGCTGTGGTCGGGACGGCGCATTCGAAGCTGCATGTCATCGATTTCAACAAATCCATAGGCACCTGAATTTCGGGATTTCGACGTCTGACTTCGCACACCTCACCAACGCACGCGACACTCAACAAATTAAAGACGTCCCCGCCTTAACCCCCCAACCTACGACGACCACACGCCCGGCTTCGACGCGAACCAGGCAGCGGCGCATCTCTAGAAGCTCGCTGCCCCCCCAACCCTCGAACATGTGCTACCCCTGACCCGACAACTCTCTCCGATTTCCTGCGCTGCTCCCGCACACGTCGGGAATGACCGCGGCGCAAGAATGGCTATCGATCCTCTTCTACCCGTAGGCCCGGCGAGGGTCAAAGCGCTCGTGCTACCCATCGGCCACATTACACGCGAGCGCTTCACCGCGTTCGTCAGTCGTCTCAATGCGGAGAGTGTCGTCTTTCTTCGGGACGTCACCCCTGATGCCCGGCCGCATAGGAGTAGGGAAGCCCGTATTTGCTGCTATAGCGAGTGGCCCTCTTGCTGACCCGACCGTCTCCAGACATGTTCTCCCCCTTGGCGTTCCCCGACGGCGCCATGTTCTACGACCTCATGATGCACCACCCTCCCGCCTCCCACCTCTCCCTCTCACCGTTCGATTTGTTCCGCGAGCCACTCGCCGTGATCGCCGTGGCCGACGGCGCCGAGCTGCCCCAAGCCGTGTTCAGCAAAAGACATTCGGGTGGCAAGACCGTCGAGGAAGCCAACATACGGTCGCTTTACCAGGACTTGGAGGATTTGAGGGACCGGTATCCCAAGGTCCTAGCCCATCAGGTGCTAGTCTTCGACTACACGCCGGCGAAGGAGGATCCCCTACCGATACCCGAGGGCATTGTTACCATCCCGCCCGCCGAACAGTCCAAACGAACCACGATGAAGACGGTCATGTGCGATATTTCGGCCCTAATCCTGGCTGAGATGACCACCCTTGCCAAATCGTACGAGGGAATGTCGTTTATAGACTCCCCAGGACAATCGTCAGGCCACCAGATGAGTGCAATGGACGAACCTACGGGAGCTCCGAGGAGGAATTCGCAGTTCTCGTTGCCGGTGAACCGATCTGCCTCTACAAGCGGACTTCCTGACCGGAGCCGTGTTCGCGCGTCCATGCCGCCCGTCCCCTCCAAAGGGCAACTGCCAGGCTCGGCCGATTCCACGCCCAGTGCCCGGCCTACTACCCCTGTGGGCAGCAACAAGCCTCTCCCCTCCCCGCCATCCACGTTTGAAAACATCATCGGACCCATGACGCCGAATAGCCCTGAGCAGGTCGGTCTTTCGCGCCCCGACACAAACGACAGCTTTCGAACGCAGAGTCAAGACCGAGTGTCAGTCCAAGGGTTCGGTCCCGGCGGGCTCAACGAGAGATGGAGGAGCAAAGGGAGGTCGCGGGTCCAGGTCGTGGTCGGGTCGCTCTATCTCCAGGCTGGCTTGTGGAACAACGCGCTTAAGGAGCTCACCGAGGCCGCCACGATAGCAAAGTCAATTAACGACCATCTTTGGCACGGGAAGGCCCTCGAGCTCACCCTTATCAGCCTCCTGCTGCTGGGCTGGGCCGGTATCGAGTTCCGCGTCCCCAGCATCCTGCTCCCGCCACACGACAAAGGGAATAACTCGGCAATGGCCCTACAAGAAGCCGAGGCGAGAGAACCTAACCAGCCTCCGTGGTTAAGAAACCTCCAGGTGCACATGCCCGAGTTGCTGGACCGCATCATGGGCCTGTACTCGAGGATATCAGCCGAGCACCTGCCACCACTGCCTCACTCCGAAGCCATCATCCGGTTCTGTAGGATGTCGGCAGCCATCCACACCGCCCACGGCCAGATCTGCCGGGAATCGCTCGAGATGATCGTGTTCGGCGTCCCGCCCCGGACGCCCCTGACCACGTCGCCCCGCTTCACCATCCAGCCCACGCGGACGCAGATCGTCACGACGCTGTTCCGCGCGTTCCCCACTTCCTCGTCCGAGCTGCTCACCACCGTGGACCGGGTCGTCATCCTCAGCGGGATAGCGTCCGTGCTGGGGCATCTCGGGTTCCAGCGCAAGAAGGCCATGGTCGTCAGGGAGCTTGTCTCGGTTCTGGTGGGCGGTCTGGTCGAGGCGCGCACCCGCGGTGCCGCTGATGTGGGTATCCACCCCGCGGCCGGGCTCGTTGGGCTTAATGGCGCCAGCGCCCGGGACGGGGCGGGCGGGGTGTTGGAGCTTGCTGAGGGGGATGTTGAGCACGGGATTGATTCGTTTCTGGGGCTCTTGATGAAGACGTATGGTGTTGTTGGCGGCAACACGCTGGGAGACGGGGAGGACAGTTCGAACGAGGCGCTCGTGGGGAGGATTCAGAAGCAGTCAGCTGCGAGATATTTCGGCATGCAGAGCGTGAAGCTTAACATTCTTCGGGCATGCATTAACTTCTCCGAGGCGTTGCCGGACTTTGCTGGCGTGCTGAAATACTCCAGCGATCTGCTTCGAACTGCTGGTAGTGGCATTGCTCCCGGGCCGCGGAGAGAGAATGCCTACCCCTCAATAACAAGGGAGGAGCAAGTTCGCTTGGTCGCCAACGTTCTGAAGACGTCCAGTTTGTCCAAACGCCTGGGTATTGGCAACTTGACGGCCGAGTACTGGGACGAGTTTCTCCTCCGGGGGGTCACTATGGAGGCGCTTCCACCGACGAGGACGCCCGTTCCACATGCGAAGACCGTCCTGCCCGGCATAACAACCACCCGAAGCTCCCAGGACGTCGATCCATTCATCTACAACCCATTTTTAAAGCGGCCCGACACCGCGACCGTGGACCGCACCCTGGTAGCCGGCGAGCCGACGAACTTCAGGCTGACCCTCCAAAACCCGTACGAAATCGAGCTCGAACTAGAGAGCATCCGGCTCGACACGGAGGGGGCCGAGTTTGAGTCGGCGGTCGAGACTACCGCCATCGGCGCGTACCGGACGCAAATCATGAGGATATCTGGCACGCCAAAGAGTGCAGGGACGGTCAAAGTCACGGGTGCGCTCATCAAGGCCCGCGGGTGCCGGGAGAGGAGGTTTCCCATCTTTACTGACCCGTGGGCGCCTGATGATGCGGTCAAGATCAAGGCGATCGGACTGGGCGCGCTCGATGTGAACGCTGCGGCCGTATCGCCTGCTATTGAGCGGCTCAAGCCAGAGCATATCGAGCTCAATGTTATTGCACCGCAGCCTGTGGTGATCGTTAAGTCGTCGACGCTCCCGCAGTCCTCGGTCATGATTCTCGAGGGCGAGCGTCAATGCTTTTCTGTTACGTTACAAAACCTTTCTACTACCACGCCGGTGGATTTCCTGCTCTTCTCCTTCAAGGACTCGACGCAGGAGCCCTTGCAGTTGGCGCTGGGTAACCGCGACGCCACCGCCACGGAATTATACGAGTACGAACTTGTGCTAGCCAAGAAGCAGCCACTCCGGCTGAAGAACCGCGGCGATAGTAAGAGGTTTATCGCCCCCGGCCAGACGGCAACGTTCGACTTTGAAATACTCGGTAGACCGGGCCTCACGCACGGCCTCATCCAGGTCGACTACGCGCATCTCGGTGTACCACACGACGAAGTGGCCGAGAAGTTCTACACACGGCAGGTATCGATGGAGCTCACCGTTACTGTCAACGCCAGCGTCGACATCACCCGCGTCGACGTCCTCCCGCTCACCGGCAGCATTCCAGCGCCGCTCTGGTCCCGCTCCACCACCAACAACGACGACCAGTCCACCCCGCCCCCCGACCTCACCGCCGACACCCACTGCCTCCTCCTCCTCGACCTCCGCAACTCCTGGCCCAGCCAGATGACCATCAACCTCTCCTCCTCCCCCACCTCCACCTCCACCGATGAACCCCTCGACGCCCAAGCCGTCATCGAGGTCGAGGAGCACATCCTGCCCGGCAACACGGCGCGCGTCGTGCTGCCGATCCGGCGCGTCTACCTCGAGGACCCGCACGCCTTCGTGCCGGCGCTCAACCCGGCGCGCCAGCGCCAGTTCGTCGTCAGCACCAAGATCGCCCCCGAGGCCGAGCGCGCCAGCCGCGAGGCCTTTTGGTTCCGCGAGCGCGTGCTCGACGCCCTGACCGCTCGCTGGCGCACTGCTGCCGGGCCCGGTTCGGCCGCGACCGGCTTTGCCTCCTCCTCCGGGGGTGGTAGTGGTAGGGGTGGTAGGGGTAGGGGCAGGGAGGGGGAGGTCGACCTGCGCGCGGTGCGGTTCTCGCCGCGCATGGTCGAGGCCGTGCGCGTGGACGAGGTGGACGTGGCGATCGCGGTGGTGGACCCGGCGACGGGGGAGGCACTCACGCCATTCTCCTCCTCCTCTGGCAACAATGGCAACAACAGCAACAGCGGCAGCGGCGGCGGGCGGTTCGTGGTCGACGTCGACGCCTTCCTGCAGCTGCGCGTGCGCGTCACCAACCGCTCCGCCCGGCCCGTCCACCCGCTGCTGCGCCTCACCCCGGTCCTCTGCCACCGCCCCTTCAACGTCTCCCTCGACTTCACCCGCAAGATGGCCAAGTTCGCCTGGAACGGAAACCTGCAGCAGGCGCTGCCGCTGCTCGAGGGCAACGGCGGCGTCGCCGAGGTCACCATGGGCGTCACGGCGCTGTGCCGGGGCGAGTTTGAGGTCCTGGGCAGCGTGGAGGAGGCCAGGCTGTGGGTTGATCCCGAGGAGGTGGCGAGGGAGCGGGAGCGGGAGCGCGAGGAGGGCGGGCGCAAGGGTGGGAAGTCGGAGGCGGAAGCGCAGGTCATGATTTTGGGGGCCGCGCTGGGCAAGAGGGAGCGCAGGGTGTGGCATGCGAGGAGGGGGTGTCGGTTGGTGGTGCGTGATCGGTTGGAAAGGTAAGTGGGGGAACTCGACTCACTTACTTGGTAGGGGGTGTTGGTTGGTTGGTTGGTTGGGTAGTGGGAAAAGGGGGTGTGTACACAGCAAGGAGTGTGGAACGTGTGCATATGTTATGTCTGGGCCATGATGAAGATGGTTTGGTGCTGTGGAGCGTAATGACTGGAATATACCAATGTTATCTATGTCCGTCTGACTGCTTGACTCTATTGCCAATATATTGCCTGTTCTTCCCTAAATCGATGAAGGGATAGGCAGCCATGCAGTTTTCACAAGGGCCATACCCCATACTTGGAAAGGTACTTGGGCGTTTCTAGGGGGTTAGGGTTAAAGGTGGCGGCTACGGTCGGGATAGCCTTTTTTGTCCTCTCTCATCCGAAAGACCTCTTCGCCGTCTTTCTGACCACTCACCTCTAAGTTTTGCAATTATTTATTTTTCTCAGTGAAACCTAAATTGCTAGACTCATTCATTTGCTTACTGCTTCAAGTTTTCCAATTGATTCATTTTTATTTATTATTTCCCATCCTAAACTTCCCAATCCGAAATCGGCAAGGGTGGCGTTCAAGTCGCATGTGAGAGAGAACTCGGACTCGGAGACTCAATCGGGGTTGAAATCGGATTTGAACTTGAACCTTCTTTTTCTTTTCAAACTCAGGTTGAGATAGCCACGGCCGGGAGGGGCAAAGCCACCGGAAATGCACCGCCCACGCATCCTCTTCCTTGACGCCCACGACTCCTTCTCCAACAACATCACCTCCCTACTCGCCACTCTACTCAACGCAGACGTCTTCGTCCTGCCCATCGACGACCCCCTTCTCCCATCCCAGACCCCGACCAACCTACCCAACACATCCACCGCCACTACCACCACTACCACCACCACCCCACCCAATGGCCCGAAAGATGACCCCCGCAGAGCGCGCTTCATCGCCGAGCTAGCGCGCTACGACGCCGTCGTGTGCGGGCCGGGCCCCGGCAGCCCCGACAACGACGCCGACGTCGGCCTGATGCGCCACGTCTGGTCGCTGGCTAATTCCGAGCTCCTGCCCGTGCTGGGCGTGTGTCTTGGGTTTCAGAGTCTCGTCTCTGCGCATGGTGGGCGGGTGCGCCGGCTTCGGAGGGGGTTGCATGGCATGGTGAGGGGGATTCAGCATTGTGGGGAGGGGGTTGGTGTGGAAAGGTGTGGTGGTCGTGGTGGTGGTGATGTGTTTAAGGGGGTGGGTGGGTTTAGGGCGACGCTTTATCATAGCCTGGGCGGGGATGTTGGGCAGGGAGACGTTGGGGAGGCAGAGTGGGAGGCGGCGAGGTGGGAGCCGTTCGGCGCGTGCCCTGACCTGGTCCCGCTTGCGTGGGTGGAGGAGCAGCGCGAGGATACCGGGACCGAGAGGATTCTTATGGCGGTTAAGCACAAGGCCAAGCCCTTCTGGGGCGTGCAGTATCACCCGGAGTCGGTGTGCACTGAGGAGGAGGGGAATAAGGTCATCCTGAACTGGTTCCGCCAAGCCCAGAGGTGGAATGAGGAGATGGGGAGGGTGCTGAAGCTAGACGGCCACGGGCTTGCAAGGACGGCGACGAAACCCAGTTTGCTTTCCCAACTGGACGGGTGGCCGACGGAGCACGGCACCCGGCAGTGGTGGGAAGTGCTCGAGGCGAACCCGGAGCTGCACTGCACCACGGTACCGCTACCCGACGGTGTCCAAATACCAGACATCGTCGAGGCAGTCGCTTCCGAGTGCTCGGAGCGGATAGTCCTCGATTCGGCCAACGCCGCACCGGCAACATCAAGGGCCGATGTGCGAGGGAGATACAGCATCATCGCCGCCGGGCTTGATGAGGCCCTGCGGATCGAGCATCACGTTGGTGATTCCTACGCCACCATCAAGGTTGGGTCTTTCGGGGGGTCGCCCGTGAACCTCACAGACAAAATACCACTCGACGGGGATAGGGATGTTTGGGGTTTGATAGCTGCCTTCCACCAGGCCCGGCATCTGCCCGCCACAGAACCCTCGTATACCCCTTTTGTTGGTGGTTTCATGGGGTACATCACTTACGAACAAGGCCTGAGTCGTATCGGTGTCTCACTAGAACAGCCGCGTCCGCACCACCGGCCAGATGTGTCGCTTGCCTGGGTCACTAAGAGCGTCGTGGTCGACCATCTACAGCAAGAAATTCACGTCCAGCACTTGAGTTCCGCGAATTTGGAGAGGGGCAGTTGGATGGACCAGGCAGCAGACAAGCTCCGGTCTCTCCAAAACCCTCAGCGCAGACCCTCTTTCAACAAGCCGGTGGTGGCGCCGTCAACCCTACCACTAAAGTCCCGGCGTCCCTCGATGAGCGTATCGATCCAGCCACCTCAAACGAAGGAGTACGAAGCTAAAGTCCGAGTCTGCCAAGAATACATCGCGGCCGGCGAGTCCTACGAGCTCTGCCTCACAGACCAAACCAGCATCATCCGGCCCCAGAGCGACACTCTCCTCCGCCCCAACACCGCCCACCTCCCGCCCTCCTCGCGCAAGGAGCAGCAGCAACAACAACACCTTCCCGTCCATCCGTCACCCTCACCCTCCACTCCATCCTCCTCCTCCTGGGCGCTCTTCAAACGCCTCCGACGCCACCAGCCCGCACCCTTCGCCTCCTACCTCCGGCTCGGCGGCGCGACGCTTGTGAGCGCATCACCAGAACGGTTCCTGACCTACGACCGGGGCGGGCGGTGCTCGATGCGGCCGATGAAGGGCACGGTGCGCAAGTCGGCGCGGGTGGCGACGCTGGCGCAGGCCGAGCGCATCCTGCACGTGCCCAAGGAGGAGGCCGAGAACCTCATGATCGTCGACCTGGTCCGCCACGACCTGCACGGCGTGTGCGGTGCCGGCCGGGTTTGTGTTCCGGATCTCCTCCGTGTTGAGGAGTATCAGAGCGTGTTTCAGATGATTACTGTCGTGGAGGGCCGCTTGCCTCCTGCTCTTCCTGCCTCCGCGGCGAGAGATGGGAAGGCTGCCGGCGGTGGTGGGTATACCGGGTTGGATGTCCTCGCCGCGAGTCTCCCGCCGGGCAGCATGACGGGCGCACCCAAGAAGCGGAGCTGTGAGATCCTGCAGGAGATCGAGGGGCATAAGGAGCGGGGGCTGTACTCGGGCGTGGTCGGGTATATGTGCGCTACCGGGCGGGGTGACTGGAGCGTGACGATTCGGAGTCTGTTCCGGTGGGACGATGAGCAGGTTGTGGTGAACGGCGACGAGGGCCCGGAGACCCACGAGGTGTGGCGGATCGGCGCAGGAGGGGCGGTTACTATCCTGAGCACCCCCGAGGGCGAGCGGGAGGAGATGTTTACGAAGCTTGCGGGGCCCCTGCGGATATTTGGGGAGGAGCCGGGCCGGGAGTAGTGGTACGGGTTTATTTTGGCGTCTCAACTGGATTCAATAAAACGGGGGAAGCGGGACCGGCATTCAACTTGTCTGGCGGATGTTTGCAATACGGGGGAGTACCGGCGTTCTTCACTCATAGATGGGTTAGGCCTCAACAGCGGCATTTGGGATACAAGCTTTAACGCGTTGTACATATAACATAGGAAGGCGGAAATATAGGGGAATATGACTGCACCGTCCCTCCCGTTACACCTTTCCAAACCGCGAGTTCGCCCTGTAATAACCTGCTGAAAGCCACCGTCCCCACCCGCTTGTAACATGCACTGATTAGAGCGCCTTAGCGTACACCATATGCTGTGATATGCCACCCCTGAAAAGCACTCCCCAACCCCGTATCCGGTCCCATCCCCCTTCCTCCAACTCATCCACGATACCCGCCCGGTGTCCCACCTGTCTCCTAAAACTCCTGCTCTTCTTGGAAGAACATGGTAAAGCTGATAATCGTCCCGTAGATCAGAAGCCCGCCAATAATGGACATGACCATAGCCGGGATCGAGATGAGGTTCGAATGCGCGAGCAGGACGGGCAACGCTGTCAGGAAACCACATTAGCAACCGCACTTCCCAAGCACAACACGACAGTCAACCCCTTCCCCCCAAGTCCAGCACCACCTCTCCCCCCAACCAAAAAGAAACGCAACAACAACGTACCAATACCCATCACCACCAAAAACCCGGTGCAAAACCGGCCAAGGTCAAGCACGGCGGCGCCGGAGCTCTCAACGAAGTCGTCCGGGTTCGAGCAGTGGCTGCATATCCAGTTGGGCACGGGCGCCAGCACGTAGGTGCCGACGACCAGCAGCGGGTAGTACGAGTGCCACAGCGCGCACGACAGGATGACCAGCAAGAAGCCCACGGCCAGCACGAAGGAGAGGGCGATTATCGTCTTGAGGCCGGCTGCTGGCATGGTGGCGGTTGGGGCGCGGGGGGGTGGAGGGTTGTTTGTCTGGCGGTATTGAAGGGGGCCTGCGGGCGGGGTGCGTTTCGGTGTTGTCGGCGGGTGAGGAAACGGTCGAGGCCTTGGACGACTCGAAAGGTTAGGTTGGAAGGCTGAGTGAAGCCTTGGGAGGTTGGATCGCGAGGTTTCGGGTTGGGGGTATCAATCGGCGATTACAATAACGAAATCCGTTTATTACTCGTAGTTGGGTAACTTTTCCGTAACGTACAGCCTCGCGGTTCAAAGGACGCGCCGGTGTGGTCGTCAGGTTGGTTGTGTTGGTGTGATTGATGGTTGGCGGCTGGCGATGACGGCGGAGTTGCAGCTGTGACGAGGGCCGCAACGTCGTCAGCCTTGGCTCGCTTGGCTGGTCCTGGTCCGGGTTGGGGTTAGCCTTGACCGGGGTTGAGATGATGCTTCTTGTCGCTTGTGGCCCGTGTCCCAGCTGAAGAGCGGAGCAGGGATTCAACTAAGCGGGGTTACGCAGTACCGAGTTCCAGGTACCTGCCGCCTTGCCTGGGCGACGCAGCTTGGAGCTGCCTGGCGCTGTCAGTGGAACGAAGCTCCCCAAACCAAACCCCAGCGATCCCCCCAACATCCCATCGACGACCTGCACTTCGCAACGGCAAGCATCCTCTCGATTGATATCCGCTTCGGTGACCGAAAACACACATTACGCACGGTTTTAAACTGCAGCCGTCGCCATCATGTTCAGAAACAACTACGATAACGACTCGGTCACATTGTAAGCTCCAAACGCTGGATCCCCGCCATGTCGGCCTTGGGCTGCGGCTGCGGTCCCGACCCCGACTGACAACCTTTTCCAGTTCACCGCAAGGGCGGATATTCCAGGTCGAGTATGCGGCGGAGGCAGTCAAGCAGGGCTCAGTGGTGGTGGGAATCGCAAGCAAGACACACGTCGTACTGGTAGCAATCAAGGTGCGCAACTCCCCCGCCATCCAAAAGTCAAAATGTACCAACTTGTACGTCTGCTAACGTTTTGACCAACCCCGCCCCCAGCGCAATGCCGAAGAACTCTCATCCTACCAAAAGAAGCTGTTCCCCATCGACGAGCATGTCGGCATCGCCATCGCGGGCCTCACGTCGGACGCGCGCGTCCTCTCCAACTTCATGAAGCAGCAGTGCCTCGGCCACCGGCTGACGTTCGGGCGCAGCATGCCCGTGCGGACGCTGGTGGAGATCATCGGCTCCAAGGCGCAGATCAACACGCAGCACTACGGCAAGCGGCCGTACGGCGTGGGGCTGCTGGTGGCGGGGGTCGACGAGCAGGGCCCGCACCTGTTCGAGTTCCAGCCGAGCGGCATGACGGAGGAGATGGTGGCCTTTGCGATCGGCGCGCGCTCCCAGATGGCGCGCACCTACCTGGAGAAGAACATCGACAAGTTCGCCGCCTGCGACCGCGAGGAGCTGATCCGCCACGGCCTGCGCGCCCTCAAGGAGAGCCTGGTGCAGGACCGCGAGCTGACGGTCGACAACACGAGCGTGGGCGTCGCGGGCACGGCCAAGGCGGACGATGGCAGCACCAAGGTGGAACCCTTCCAGGTGTACGACCAGCAGGACGTGGCGGCGTGGATAGAGAGCGTGGCGGACGACAAGGAGGGCGGCGAGGGCGGTACGGGCGCGGCCGAGGCCGAAGGCGAGGGCATGGAGGTCGACTCATAAACGGGATAAACCTGGAGATGCTGGAACACGGCGTCATGGTGGGGAATTCTGTAACAACAGACAGACTAGAGTCCTAGCGGCCCGGCATCCTCACCGAGGGGAGCGCCTGGTCGACCCGCATCAAGCCGAGGAGCCCCGGCGGAAAAGAAATTCTTGCATGAGTCAGAAGGGTTAGGTCTCTATTTTACAACGCCTGCGCGTGGGATCTGTCTGTCTGTCTAAAATCTACTGGTTGCTCCACGAGAGCTTGTATACCGCCTCCGAAACCTTGTAATCCCTCAAGGCCGTGATAGCCTCCTCGGCGGTCTTCGCCTCCACCAGGATGCTCTTGTTCCCCCCATGGATGAACCCCTCCTCGACACTCTTGTTGATCCAGGTCAAGATCCCGTCGTAGAAGCCGTTGATGTTGAGCACGCAGATGCCCTTGTTGTGGATGCCGAGCTGGTTCCACGTCGCCGTCTCGAACAGCTCCTCGAGCGTGCCGTAGCCGCCGCTCAGCGCCACGAAGCCGCTCCCGGGCCCGCCGTCGATCACCTCCTGCGCCATCAGCCGCTTGCGCGTGTGCATGTCCTTGACGATGGTCGTCCGCCCGAACACGGCCTCCTCCGGGACGGCCATGTGCGTGCCCGAGGCGTCGTTCACCTGCTTCGACGTGTACGTCGGGTCCCGCTCGTACCGCACCAGCGCCTCCGGGATGATGCCGTGCACCGCGTCCGGCCCGGAGAGAGCGACTAGTGTCTTGGCCACCTCGCCCATCAGTCCGACTGTGCCGCCTCCGTATACTGTGGAGAATGGGACGTTAGTTTGGTTGCGAGTGTTTGGGGGGGGTGGGATGGGGATCCTGCAAGTGTCAGGACTTACCGAGTGCCATGTTGTTGGCAGCCATGACCCGGGCTAGTGCCCGCGCAGCTTCTACATGCTCTGGCTTGTTTCCTGCCGACGAACCGCAGTAGACGCAGATCTTGGTACGCGTAGGGGTGACGCTCGAGGGCGTAGAAGTGCCGTTAGATGCCATGGTTCCGGCCGTCAAGTGAGAAAGGGAAGACGAGGAAGTGGTATTGTGTTGGAGGATGTGCGAGAGTTTTGTTCTTGCAGAAAGGTGAACCGGCGTTTTATAGGAGGGCGCAGCCTGTGTTGCTTCACTGCTGTTCGAGTTCCTTAAGATCAGATAGATGGGTGCCACGTAGTTGTCCCTCGGTGGTCGATAATGGGTCACGGGCACGGTGGGAGGCTGGCTGAACCTAGACCGGTTGGACAAAGATACCTGCGGCGTTTCAGATTGGCGAATATCGAGGTTGTGGGCGTGTGGCAGGCCGCTAACTAGGTATAAAGTTATGGACTAAGGGTGGAATGAAGCAATGAAAAACAAACCGTCATTGGCACGGAGGGAGAGCGAGGGTTTCATTGTCAGCATTGTCTTATATACATACCTACCCGACGCTACCCTTGCGCCGCTGTTGCTCATACTCTTGTTGCCGCCGCAGTCGCGGGTCGGTCTGGGTCATCCTTCCGTGCCCGGCCCACCCCACCGCGGGACCTTGATGGGGCCAAACGGTATGACATAATGGCACCCCGCCCAACGAATCGAAGTCGCGAAGTTCCTGACCGGGGGTGTGACCTCAAGAAACCCGAAGGTCAATGTCTTAAAACGGAAACCCGTGAGAAATTTTGAGCACGCTGAGAGCAGAAACAATTCCACTCGAGGAACCCATGGTCACAAGATTTCGCATTACACGTTGGGCAGCTGCAGGGCCAATGATGTGGGACCTGAAAGCTCGTGGTTGTGAATGTGGAATCGGATGGACCGGTCGGTGTTGGGGCGAGCCAAGACTCCGAGGCAATGGAACATGGACATACATACGGTGGGGCACGGTGACCCACGAACCGCACCTTGGAGGACTTGAGGGTGACCTTCGACGTCGCTGTCACAGAGTCAGAAATATTTAAGATAGTGAAGAAAACAACAAGATAGCAGGGCAAGGAAAGAAGCCGAGTCAAAAGAAAGTGGTGAAAAGAAAGGGACTTCTGTGGAGACAGCTCGAACCGGACCGCCATGATCTTGGCAGGTATTCTACACACAGTGTTGATACAGTACACCGCACTGGTTTAAGCCCCTAATTTCTTGTGGACACAGCGCCCGTCTCCCGGTGGTCATCAACAGCTTCCCGGGTTCACGCAGAACGACCAGACAACAATCGACACCTGCACTTCTCGGACAATCCCGCCAGAATGCCCGAGACAAACGGGGAACCAGGCGGCCAGCCTGAGCGGCAGGGAGGCCAAAGTGTACGTGGTCTGGGGTTCGTCTAGAAATGCCGTGACTTGGAAGAGGAAAGCTGACTGTTTTGTTTACACGGCAGTCCATCTTCAAGACGCTCATTCAAGGCGTAGCTATTTACATGGCTATGCAATTTGTTATGAAGCAGTTTATGGGAGGCCCTAAAACCACCACGGTCCGCGACGCCAACGGCAACACGGCCCAGGTTGCGACGTCGAATCAAGTACCGCCCTACAGCGAACGGGCGGCGCGTTTGGACGATGGCGCTTCCTTCAACCAGATCCCGCAAATGGTGGGCCCGATCTGGCCCGAAAACAGCGCAGTCGACATCGTTGTAACCGTCTCGCCTTCATTTGGGCTCACGCCGCTCAAGGACCTTACCAAGGACGCAGTAGTGTTTGAGGAAAAGAAGTTTCGGATTGGGAACTGGACCGACAAGCGTACCGCAGAGGGCACCATCCACGTTCCAACACCTGTTCAGCACAACGGTACGCTTTGGGGCCATTTTTACATTGGCTTGTCGGGAGCCCTCCTCGATCCGACACAGCGAGGCTACGATCCGGCTTCGGCTTATCACTTCGCCTACCCGCTGACCCAATACATCCCCAAGAAGAAGGAAGCCAAGACAAGAAGTCTCCTAGGGGATCAACCGGAGGCTGCCGACGAGCCTATCAATGACGAGCCCGAGCAGTCTGGACCCATCATTGCGAACTACTACCACCCGAACGTGTCGCTGTCTTTCATCCCGAACTCGGGCGTTTTCTCTTTCCCCCAGTCACACCCAGCAGTCCGCCAGTTTCTGCGCCTCGAAGCAACCGGTGCGCGGGATGGAACGGGCCAAAACTCATGGTACTACCCGATTCTCTTCGTCAACACATTCTGGCAGCTCAAGACGCACATGACGCTCCTTAACGACACGGTTCAGACTTTGCCCATTCGCATTGATCTCAACAACTTGGCCGAGTGGAAGTTCAAGACCATGGCGTCCATCGACATGAGTGGCAAGGAGTCGGCCCGCCAGGCTGCCTATGGGAATTCGTTGCCCGGCGGCGGCGATGGAAGTGAGATTGAGATGATCAAGGAGATTTTCATCGACACCAACCCGATCCTCCTCAGCATCACGGTTGTCGTCAGTATTGCGCACATGATTCTCGAGACGCTAGCCTTTGGGTCCGACATTGCGCATTACCGCAAAAAGAAGGACAACGTGGGCATCTCGGTGCGGTCCATCCTCGCCAATGTCTTCATGCAACTGGTGATCTTCCTCTACCTGATCGATCAATCCCAGAACACGAGCTGGATGATTCTGGGCGGGCAAGCCGTCGGCATCCTCATCGAACTTTGGAAGATCACGACGGTGGTCAACGTCCGAGTGCGCCCGGCTCCAGGGTCCATCATTCCCTACCGGATATCCTTTGAGGACAAGCACAAGCTGAGCGAGACCGAGGAAAAGACCAAGGAGTACGACGAGATTGCCTTCAAGTACATGTACATCGCCGGCGTCCCGCTGCTCATCGCCTACGCTATCTACTCCCTCTTCTACGAGACACACAAGTCGTGGTACTCGTACGTCATCACGACGCTCGTTGGCTCGGTCTATGCCTACGGCTTCCTCATGATGGTGCCGTCGCTCTACATCAACTACAGACTCAAGAGCGTGGCCCACATGCCGGCCAAGGCCATGATGTACAAGTTCCTCAACACCTTCATCGACGATCTGTTCGCCTTCACCATCAAAATGCCCTTCCTACACCGCCTGGCGACCTTCCGAGACGACATCATTTTCTTCGTTTATGTTTACCAGCGATGGGCATACAAGATCGATTATACCCGAGTCAACGAGTTCGGTCAGGGCGGTGATGACGAGGAAGAGGTTGAGAAGGAGTCAGACAAGAAGGAGAAGGAGGCTTTGCCTGCCGGCCCGGCCGAGAGCACTGCCAAAGCTACGGGGGCCCACGCACCCAAGGCGACCAAGAGAAAGTAAGAATATATCAGTTTGGCTAGATTGAGAAAGAAAGGGGAAACACCATAAAAATACAGGACTATTCCAGCCCCTTCCCTCTTCCTTCCACCACATCTTGCCGTGATTCCAATTACTTGGCCGATGTGGGTGCTCGCCGAAGACGAGCCGATGTTCCACCCGGTTCGGGATCTTGCGCATCCTAACTGTCCCTGAAAGTCTCGTAGGGCTGAGCGGCGCAGGACGAGGTGTGAAGGACATCGACCTCCCATTGGGCAGCGTGCCGCTTTTCAATCAGAGCGCCCCCTTGCTTTTGCGGATGTTAATTCGGCATCTGCCCAATCTCAACCGCGTGTTGGGAGTTTGTTCCCGCGACCTGCAGAAACTTTTGGTCCTCCGTCACTTAATGTAACCACGAAAACCGTTGCACTTGGACCATCGGTTAGTTTCGAAGCAGACCTGCCGATCCCTGCCAAACGTTAAGTTAGCGTGATGCCCTGCTGCGTTGGGCAAGCACCCCGCGAAGATTTGGAGGTACCTTGAACGCAGCTCCTCCACACCTGCAACCTTGTTCAGCTATCATCCCTGCTCCGCAAACGGGTAAGAGTCCTTCGCTGGAAGGCCAACTGAAGGCATGAACTCGAAGATCTGTTCAGTTTGAGGGAAGAAAAACCAAGCTTCTCGGCCAAACAGGCCACGTCACGGTGAGTATCTGAAGTAGGAAGGTACATCCATGGATGTACATGCCTCCCTCACTAGCGTCCCGAGGCCGCCAAACGCTCCTCCCGTCCCTGCCCGGAGTCCTGCCAAGACAACCTTATCCCCCGGAGACCTCCCAGAAGCCGGCAGCAGCTCCGAACATTCGCTCGAACCAAACAAGACACTTCTGCAGCAATTGACCCAAGAAAAGTCCGATCGGTCTGCTTTGGGTAACAGCAGGAACCGTTGCACATACAACTAAATCACCAGCAATAAAACCCTTGAATTCCACCCAACGAACAACAATAGTTATCTCCAGATTACCTAGAGCGAGCACGTCAGAGATCGGCATGCAGGGTTGAGTGTCTCTCAACCACGAACCAACCCAACCAAACCGTCAGAGGACGAACATCGAAAGCACAGCAGCAGAGAGAGCCTCGGGCGATGAGCAGCGGCTCGGGCCGCACCAGTAGGAAGGGTAGCTTGGGAAGCATCGACGGCAGCAGCAATGAAGCTCGAACCGTCGGCACCCTCCTGGCCGCCATCGCGAGATGCCTAACCGAGGCCGTGCGCATCCTCATGTTCGCCGACAAACGGCAATGGGGCCCCGACGAGTTTGAGCAGACCCGCGTGCTCGAGGAAGCCCTCGACGAAGCCAAAAAGGACTTCCAAGAGATGGCGCCGCTAGTACACGGGCAGTTCTACTACGAAAACGACCGATCCCGTGAGCTCCCCTCCCACCCCCTTTCCACCCAACCACACCCACAACCACACCCACACCCACATTACCATAGCAGCACGAACCAACAACTAACCCACACCCCCCTTCCCCCAAAACCCAGCCGAATCCCTCCACGCCCTACAAACCTTGCTCACCCGCTTCCAATTCCACACGCAAAACTTCCGCGACTGGGCGCGCCAGGGCGGGCCCATCAACCCGGTGTGGGCGCGCGAGACGGCCCAGCTGCGCCGCGACCTCCACCGCGCCCAGTGCCGCGCCGCCAGCCGCATCTTCGCCGCCGAGCAGGACGCCGCCCGCTGCCTCGGCGCCTTCCAGGTCTACCGCCTCCTCAAGCGCAACCAGGCCGCCCGCGCGCAGCTGCCTGCGTGGCAGACCGGTGGGCAGGCGACTGCTGGTGGCGGGGGTGAGGGGTTGGAGGCGGCGCGCCGGCCGGGGGATTTGGCGGCCGCGGGGCGGGGTTCGGATGAGGACGTTACTGGTGGTGGTGGTGGTGCTGGTGCTGGGGGGGGAGACGCAAACGCAGTGAGGAGGCGGCGGAGCTTGGAGGAGCTCGTGCCGAGCTGTAATGCGGTGGGGCGGTTCCAGGTGCTGGGGGAGTCGCACGACGCGGCGTTCGTGTGCGATTTCTGCGAGGGGTACATCGTCTGGCCGGACCTATCGAGCATACCGTCGGAGCGGACGCCGCTGGCGCCGACGGCCGTGACGGGCTATCCGCACTGGCAGGCGAAGGGGGTCAGTGCCGATAACGGGGAGGAGAAGGTGGTCGTGTTTGCACCGCTGGCGATTGCGAACCATATGCCCCCGGAACCGGGGGGTTGGCAGGCTGGCCTGATGTGTCCGTTTTGCGAGGAGGATACATACCTTGACGAAGGGGAGGACAGCTCCGAGCTCAAGTACGTTCAGGACGAAGGGGGGTTTCCGGATTTGGAGTCGTTTCGGGAGCATCTGGAGTGGTACCATACGGCCATGCCGGTACCCCCGATATCATCTTTGGCTTCAACCCTGCCATCGGCGTCAAATTGTAGCGTTATGTAATGGTGTTTGGGCGTTAGCTTGGGGGGGGTTGGCTTTGGGGTAAAGCACGGAGTTTCGGGACGGGTAGCGTCAAAATGGTTGGGACAAGTTTTCCAAGATACACAATACTATTGCTCGAATCAGCAGGGCCACATTGAAGGCCGGAGAGAAAACACCCAAAGTTCGGCATTATGCCCCACCCATGCTTCATTCAGCATGGCCGTCTAATATTTAGTTCATACACGCATCAACCGAGCATACACAGAAGGTAACGGCACAACCGGCCGTCGAATTTCATAACCCCAACGCCGATGCTGAGGCCGAAAACAAAGCAATCCTATACAGCAACAACCGACCACCGTTCACCCGCCAGATCCCGCTCAAAAGAAGCGCCACCACATAAACACCAGCATGATCAGCCCGAGAGCCCCAAACGGCCCGTACTGCTTCAGCATCAAGTCCCAGTTGATCTTGACGGCCGCCTTCCTGTACTTCTTGCTGTCGTCGCGCAGCCTGCTGCTCAGCTCGCCCATGCGGTCCAAGCTATCCCCGCGGTACAGCAAATCCTCGATATTCTTGGTCATGACCTTGGTGACGTCGCGCAGCTCGTCGTTGAGCTTGTCGAGGTTCTGCGTCGCGCGGGCGTCGCTGTAGGTGGCCTTGGTGCGGCTGATGAAGGTGTCGAACTCCATGAAGGCGTAGGGCCGCAGCACGGCGCTCTGCAGCTGCGCCGCCGGGTACGTCGTCGAGAACTCGGTCGCCAGGTCCGACAGGTACGTGAACGCCAGCTTGCGCGGGTACGTCCGCTCCGTGATCGCCACGTACACGATGTCCGCTGCGATCAGGTAGTGCAGCGTGTAGGCGCCGCTCTCGATCGATGCTTGTGGCTCCGAGGTGCGGCTGAGTCGCCGCAGGATCAGCTTCACTTGGGATTTTACTTCCGAGAGGGCCTGCTCGGTCTCGGAGTCGTCGACGGAGGCGCAGAGCATGAGGCCTGGTGGTGGTGGGTTTTGGTTAGTATGGGGACTTCGCTCGGGGAATGTGGTAGGGGTAGGGTTGGTTGGTGGTGATGGGGCGTACCGTCGAGCCTCGCAATCTGTGTTGAGCGGATCATCTTGGATGTGTGTGTGTGTATAGTGTGCGATTATGGTCCGCCAATATTCGGGTTGGTTGGGGTTGGAGTTGCGATTGTAAACTGTCCCTCGGTGTGGTTGTAGGCCGGCCACCAAGGTATCAAAGTACAGTAACGTGGCTTTTCAAAACAAGGACGGTGTCGTCATCAAAAGGGTCCTGGCTTGGCGGTAAAGAGTGGGTTCTAGCAAGGTATGGAGGAGCAGCTGTGTTCGTTTCAAGCCAATTTATCTTTAAAACGCCTTGCTGTGCAATTATCTGTCAATGGTATCTCTTCGCGAAGCTGTGATCGATTCTGGAAGTGGAAAAGGAGCACAGGCCCGGCTCGATGTTGAGCTCCCCCTTGTCAAGTGGGCCGTGAAAGAGCCAAGAAGCAAGGCTGGCCAATCCTGCAGTGCCCTGTATTCCAGGGGTCCAACAAACGGATCATGCTTTCACCACCCCATCACAGCTTCATTCAGCCTTGTAATCGAGGCTGGACCTCAACCTCCTCGACCCATCTCTCGCTGATCTGGCGAGTGCTCCGCCTTGCTATTGTTTCTCGGCGCCTCAATAGGCGACGGGATATTTCGACCAACTGGGGATTTTATTTTGAAAACCAACACCCCAGCTGCCAATTCTTATCTCGTCCTCGTCGGAATTGTTATTTCACACTTGACTGATTTTCCCTAGTTCGGTCGCTTGATGTGTTAGACCTACCATCTCCTCTCTACAAACTTCCCAATTTTTTGTTCGTGGAAACTCATTATTTCAACTACATCAAACACCACCCCCCCTGTTCACCATGTCGGCTGGGGTTCCTAGCAGCCCGCTCTCTTCGCCCCCAGCGAGTGTTGTCAACATCCGCCTCGGCAGCCCGGTTGAGGATGAGAAAATGTCACCCATCCCAAGTGGTCCTCAGGAACCAACGGCCGAAACAGTGATAATTGAAAAGCCGCCGACGGCCAGCCCGGAGAGGAAAGTTGAAGGAGAGAAGGAGAAGAAGTCGACCGCGCACGACTCGGATGAGAGTGGTCAGTCCAGCGCTCCGAAGCGCAAGGCCAGTATTTCCCACAATCCAGGTTCGACGAAGAAGCCCCGCCAAGTCGCACCCACGCCCCGCAAATCCGCCCAGGACAAGAAATGGGAAGCACCGTTCGTGTACACCGACTCGAAATCTCCGCTGGCAAACGCCGACCTGAGAGTGAGTATCCCCTTCCTTCGTGAAATCTTTCGAAGCCCCTAACACCGATTATCAGGCCATTCTGTTGCACCCACTCGCCTGGGACATCCTCACTCCCGAGGAGAAACAGGACGTGTTGGCCAAGTTCCCAGACGGGACCCATCTCCTGAATGCGGGCACCCAAGATGCTCGCCCGAACCCGGTCTCGCTGCGCAATGATGACAATTTTCGGTATGACTGCGCTCGATATTGCGAGAATATTCAGCTTGGCCGGCACGACGAAGAGTGGCTGAGCCAGGCTTGGGTTGCCCACGAGAAGCACCAGCGGGGCGATTACGACCAGTTTCTTCGGGAGCGCTTTGAGGAAGACTGGGAGACCAAGCTGCCGGCCGAAAACAAACCCGAAGATTCCGAGTCGGGCAAAGGCTTGAAGCATGGCGAGAGAGAGCCAAGTGAGGGATCCCCCCTCGATACCGAAGGAACTGCAGCGCCTAAGCTAGCGGGGCGGTCGACTCGATCACCCCAGTCCATCCCTAAAAACGGCTCCCCTCGAAGCAAGGGAGACGGCGAAGGCCATGGTATGGATGCGAAAGGTATCCAAACTGAGGCTGCAAACGGCAGCCCGACAGTACCCCGAACCATCGACCCATCGGCAATACGCCCAAGTGACCTGTCCGCGGCTTCGCAGGAGCAAGAAACCGACACGTCCACTATTGTCGCTCGGTCCGATTAGGAATCGGTCGAGCCATCCGCAGAGGACGAGCAGGCCGCAAAAGGACAGCGGCCGAAGAAACGGGGGTCCCGAGGTGGCGGCAAAATATGCGTTGCGGAAGACGCAGGAGGATAAGGCTAAGGCCGTCAGATCGGTATCCGGCCCCGTTTCACGATCCAAGGGAAAGTTGGTTGTCGAGATTCAACAATGCCGTCGGTCTCGGAGGAGCTTGTGATATCATCCTCAGGGGGCCTGTGCTGCTTTTGCATCGTCAGCCGCTTGGATCGCCAAGTGGCTAAGCAAAACGTCACACGAAATGAATGAGAAGCAACAGGATATTGCGTTTTAAGGGGAAAGGAAGCGGTTATGGGATTATCGCAGGAGTTGGTGTTGTCGGGATAGCATGTACAAGATACCCCCTAAGCTAACATAGCTGGGAAATCGGCGTCGGAAAGCCGAGACCGCTGCAACAGGAGCCAAATGGCTACCATGTAGGAAAATCAAGCAGATTTAACGTTCCAGGTCCTTGTTCATATGATTCAAATTGTTAGAGTGCGCTGTAGCAACGTCTGATAGATAGAGTGGGGGCTCCATTCATGCATGTTAGTGAAAATTCGATGACTCGAGCGCAATAACTGTACTTGGTAGCTAAACAACCACAAATGACTTTCCACCTGTGGTAACCTTACCTCATCCCACCTTTCCGTCCTCAACCATAAACCTTGACATATCCATCTTTACAGCGTATCACTTAGACCATGGCACCCTCTGCACAGGCGCACAAGCGGGCTCATAGCCTGCTACTTTTTGAGAAGCTGCTCAACCTCCGAGACAGCGCCAGCCCGCTCACCCTTATCCTCGACAGTTTGGAGCAGAGCGCAGAACCTCTTCTACATGAGTTTATGAGAAGGGCAAAAGTGAGTTCAATCATCAAACACCCCCCTTCTCCAGAAACTTAAAAGTTGGACATGAACTAACGCATCAGTAGCTGGAGCGTGCAAAAATCGTATTCGTCTCCTTCGCCACAATAAAAAAGCCCGCCCTGGCCGACATCTTCATCAGAGCTCGCGGCAAGTCCCTGAAGACACTCGCAGCAGAAATCACCTCACACGTCGCCCCTCCCAAGCCCAGCACCACCAAGGACGCAAAACCGGTAATCCAAAGTACTTCTCCCCCCCTCCCCCTACCCTCATACCCACCCCCCCCATCCACAAAACAACCAAACACCAAGCTAACCCCCCCTCCCCCCTTATTAGAATCCCTAATCCTCCTCGACACCCTCAACCCCGCCTCCTCCCAAACCCCCTCCCACCTCCCCGCCTTCTTCGCCGCCGCCATCCCCCCAACCGCCTCCCTCGTCGCCGTCTACCACACCGACGTCCCCGCCCTCCCCCCTCCCCTTCCCAACCACCACCTTCCCAACCACCACCTTCCCAACCACCACCTTCCCAACCACCACCACCAGTACCACTACCACCAGCAATACCAGTACCAACCCGACCCCCTAACCCTGCTAACCCACCTCGCAACGACCATCTTCCGCGTCTCGGGGCTAGGCCAGGCCGTCGCGGCGCGCCGGGCGCGCGAGCGCAGCCTGGCCGCGCCGGAGTGGGGGCTGCGCGAGGGGCGTGAGGGGGTGTTGGTTGGGTTGTTGCGGGATGGGGATGGGAATGGGAATGGGGTTGGTGTTGGTGTTGGGTTTGGGGATATGGACGGGGGCGTCGTGGTGGAGATGGAGATGCGGCGGCGGAGTGGGCGGGCCGTGGCGGAGACGTTCGTTCTTAGTGCGGGTCGTGCTGGTGGTGGTGGTGGGGGGGTGGTGGTGATGGTCATGGGGGATCATCCTGCGTTTAGGTCTGCTGTGGGCGAGGAGGGGGAAGGTGGGGAGGAGGAGATGGAGGCGTCGTTTAACCTTGGGTTGACAGAGAAGCAGAGGCGGGATCGGGAGGGCGTGGTGTTGCCGTACTTTGATGCGCAGACTGAGGTTGGTGGTGGGGAGGGTGGGAGGATTCTGTATGACATGGGGAGGGAGGATGATTTTGATGAGGAGGAGGATGAGATTTAGGGGGTGTCCAAGGTGGTGAAAGCTGGATTATTGATTTGGGCAATGGATGGGGCGCATAACTATCGCGCCTAGGTTGAGAATCACCGACTCGAGAAGCGCTCGGAGCACCCCACAGCTATCCTGCTACTGCGGTTGATTTGGATAACCTGGGTATCAATGCTGACAATATACACCCCTCCCCACCTCTGCCGGATCCCGCCCCTACCTACTTGGGCTGAGCGGCCGGTTGAACCCTCCCTGGCGGTTCATGTACTGCCTGTACTCCGTCTTCTTCTCCTTCCTTGTAGTGCCCATATTATTCCCCAGCACCTTCTTATTCTTTGTTGTACCAAACCCACCGAATCCCATCATTGCAGCCATGTCGTCCAGACCGTCATCTTCAACCATGACATCCTCCTCTTCGTCCTCATCCATGGGTTCTGCGTCAAACCGTCCTCTGGATTGGTGCCGGTCTCCGTCATCCTGGTGTCGCTGCTGCTCCTGGCTGCTTTCCCGTGTTGATGTGGGTTGTTGTTGCTGTTCGGGGCCGTGGCTGCCGTCCCGGCCCTTGACCTTAAAGGAGACGGGTGCTGTTGGCGTAGAAGCGGCTGCGCTGCTGGGTTTTGAACGGGTGGGGAGTTGCTGGTATTCTTCGTTGTCTCGATTTGGGCCTCGCCTAGGGCTCGCTGCGTGTCGTGGTGATTCTGTGGTGTTGCGGTCTTCCCTATCGCGTCGCGGTTGGTCTAGAAGATCACGACGGTTAGTGCCTGGGAGCGCGTGAGGAATAGGGCTGTTAGTACCTCTTTCCGGACGCTCCAGATCGCCTCTTACGCTCCTATCCCCGCGCTCTCGTTGCGGATCCGGCCGAATATCTTCGCGCCGTCGGTGGTGCCCTCTGTCCTTTTCCCTGTCACGGTTCGTGTCGCGCGGAGCATAACCCCGATCGCGGCCTGGGGAGCGGGAGCGGCGGCGGTCGCCTCGGTCGCGGGAGCGTGATCGATACCGCCGGTGGTCTCTATCCCGATCTCTATCCCTACCATGGTCACGAGCACCGTGTTGACGCCGACCGTTGTCATCGCGCTCCCGACCGCCATCTCGATCGCGCCGTCTATCTCTGTTGTCGTACGATGGTCTTTCGCCTCCACGGCGGGATTGCCCGTCTCGTCGGTCGGCCATGGTTGGTGTGAGCGGCGAGAAAAGGGATTACGAATATGTGTTAATGATCCAAACACTAAGGAAGGAAGATGACGTCTGCTGGGGAAATTTCTAGGCGAGCTCGGCGAGGTGCGGCTGAGACAAGGCGTTCGCAGGGTTCCAGTTGGACGCTGGAAGCCCTGGAGCAACAGGGATTTGCAGCACGCGCAGGCGACCAAACAGCGGATGATATTTAGGGTTAGGGTTAATACAATGCTGGAATATTTTCCAAAGACCCCAGCAAAAGTTCATGTTCACTTTTCCGGCTGATACACAGGGCACGACTTCCCTACGACACCAGTTGGGACCAAGTTTATGAGTCGGTCTCACATTTAGACCCTCTTCCAGTTCTTTCTTGTTGTTAAATTACCTACACTGTCCACTCACCGTTTCCAACGTCAACAACACCGTATCAGCTCATCTAATATTCTCATCACCATCAGCAACATGGGAGAGAAATCAAAGAAAAAAGCTAGAGAGCCGAAGGAAGAGGCCGATGCCGCTCCAATCCTAGCTGATGTCAAAACCAAAGAGAAAAAGAAGAAGTCCAAAAAGTCAAAGGGCGACAGCTCGGCTCTTCCAGACGCAATCGCTCCCGTGGCCGCAGAGTCCGAGGAGCTACCGGACGTGAGTATCAAGGGTTCTAAGAAGGAGAAGAACAAGGATGGCAAGCGCAAGCGGGAAGTGGCCGATGTGCCGGTGGAGATTGAAACCCCGGCCGAGGACGAGGAGGACGAGGAGGGAGCAGAACTTCCTATGAAGAAGAAGAAGAAGAATAGTAAGCCCGATGGTGATGGGAAGTCAGGGAAGAAGGACAAGAAGAAGAAGAGCAAGGAAAAGAAGGGAAAGACGGCGGGGGCGGGGCAGAGCCTTGCCGAGGACGCCACATCCGAAGAGACTCACGAGGATATCGACGACGCTCACGAAAAGAAGGACAAGAAGCAGAAAAAGTCCAAAAAGGCTGCGGAGTCTACCGAGCCGCAAGCGGCAGGGCCGACTGAAGAGGAACACGAGTCGAAGAAGAAAGGCAAACAGAAGAAACGCAAGCTTAGGGACCAGGACGGGGATGTGGAAATGGCCGATGCCGACGCGGAGGAGACTCAGGCCGAGGGAAGGGATGAGATTGCGGAGGGGAAGAAAAAGAAGGATAAGAAGGAGAAAAGGGAGAAAAAGGACAAGCCCAAGAAACGCAAGACGGCAGACACACCGGCGGAAACTCCCGAGAAGGAGGCTACGGCTCCCGCACCCACGAATGCTCCCAACGCAGATCTTACTGAACGGTGGAACGTCCAAGGTCTTGGCGGCGGCACCTCTCGCCAAAGCAAATTCATGAGGCTCTTGGGTGGGAAGAAGCATGGCGTTGAGGGCGCCGGTGAAGCAAAGGATGGTCCCCGAAAGCGTTTCGACATCGGGCACGTCTCACAGGAGCTGGAGAAACAGTTCGATGCCGGCATCCAGATGAAGTTCGGGACTGGTGGTCAGCGCAAAGGATTGGGTGCTTGAGTCGAAGCACGGAGCATGACTTTTCCTCGTGCCAATGGCTGCGTTGAGAGACACCATCGAGGTGTGAATGGCAAATAGTTTAAACCCTACCGCCGCCGCCTGCAATTTGTCGGCAGAATGATATCCGCTAATAAAATCAAAGCCTTGTTACGCCGAACAGGTCCGAATGGTGGTACATGTTTTGCAGCTCATCGACTCGACCCCGTTTAACCCAGTGTCAATGGGCCCTCCCCGCCTCGCGCGAAGCTCTCATTCCCTACCGAACCGCGCGGCCGGCTTACGGTAATACAATTCCGGTATATCCTTCGGTTTTATTATTTACTTTATGGAAGTATTCGACCGATCATCGCAGGAAGATGCGCGAGATGACTTCAAAAACGAGACCGCCGAAGACGACGAAGCCGAGGAGAACTAAGGTTTCTCAAAGTTAGTGGGTGGCCGACCCTCCACGAGCGACTGTGAGGGTAAAACAAGATATTCGTACTCAGCCAGATTGGGGAAATAGGGGACTTGGGCACGTCCTTGGTTCGCTTCTTGATCTGCTCCTCGGACTTGCCCATGCGCGCCTCGTTCCCCTTGGCGAACTTGAGGTTTGCCCTCCTTTGTTGCGGTGTTTGGGCCTGCGGACGGGTTGTTAGTACAAGATAGGGATGGTCTTGCGTGCGGAATGGCACCCGTACCATTGTGAAAACGTCGTAGAGTTAGGAGGTGGGACGAGAAGCGCAAGGGGTCGCGATTTCGGGCGTGGCGAGCAACACAAAGAGGTCGAGGTTGGTCAAAAGTGAGGACCCGGGGGTAATACGTCGAATTGACCGTGATGTTCGCTCGGAGGTTGTTGAATGTTCCGCCAAGTTGAAAATGGGAGAGTTTCGAGCCGTTTGTAATTCCAAAGAAATGGGACAGATTGCAAGCTCCCGCTTCTGGCCATCTGTCGTTGACGGCCCATGCAGCTGAGGTGGGCCGCCCACCTGGCCCCTTGCTCATTCCGGCAAGTGGAATACAGGGGTGCCACGGGAATGCAGCGGATCAACGGGGAGGCCAATTACGAACCCGTGTGAGTGCGCAGATCACCGCACTTGGCATTGACCTTGCAGCCTTGTTCATCGGCGCAATTGTGACTTCAAAGTTTACTCGAGGGCAACCCGAGCCCGCCAGAACGGAATAACCCGTTAGATACGAAGGAATTGGATGTCGGCGACATTACAAGGTAGCCAAACCCAGCAGCACCCACCCGCCTCGTATCAGATCACAAACCCCACGATGTTCCCACCCTTACGAACGGCCCTCATCAGGGCATCAACACGCCAAACCCCGCCTCTCACTCACCCCCAACTCAGACGATACGCCTCCCAACCACCATCACCAACCGTAATCACCCCCACCCCCAAGGCGCCCGCCCCGCTCCACCCCTCCGGTTAACTAACCACCGCACACGCACACGCACGCAGGGCGCCTTCTACAAGACCTTCACCCGCCCCGTGGCCAAGTGCGCCCTCCTGGCCGTCTTCGTCTACCAGCTCGTCTACTTCGGCTGGGCCAAGCTGGAGACCGACGAGATCAAGGAAGAGCGGCAGGGTGAGTGAACGTGATCGGCGGCCCGATGTCAGCTCTCTCTCTTGGGGTTTTCTCTGCCCCCCCCCCCCCCCCCCAATTCCCACTCACTGTCCCGCTCCCGGGTGTCTTGTCTACCCCGTCACGTCTGTTACTTGGCTGACTTGGTGGTACTAGCCGAGATTGTGAAGCTCGAGGCGCAGGTTCGGGGGTTGCAGGCTGCGCGGACTGCCGCGACGGCAGGGGCTACTACTACTACGGATGAGAGTAATGGTGGGAGTGGGGCTGTTGGGGTTGAGAAAGGAGAGGGGGCCAAGTCAACGGGGGGATCTTGGTGGCGGTGGAAATAGCTAGGCCGGGATGGGATGGGATGGGTTTGGATTTGAGGTGAGGAAGAGTACGGGCGGCTGGGTTGGTGGCATGACCGCCGAAGCTTGTGGGAGTGTTAAGAATAGGCACGGGGGAGGGCAGGGAAAAGGCGGCGACTATGAGATCGATCTGTATTATACACTCTGTAAACGTTGACAGTACTCTATACAGATACCCTCCGATGATTCAAGGGTAGCTAGCTGTGGCTACCACAGACCCTGGAACCGACCTCGTCGCCGTGATATCGGCCCAATGAATTCTTGGGATATCCAACCAAGTCTTCTCCACCCGCGCCCCAAGTGTTTCGGTCTATGATATCCCGACGCCCAACAACACCAAACCAACCCGGAAAGCCCCAACGCCAGGCCCAGCTAAAGGGGCTACAATGCCGCCCACCCATTACTATGTCCCTGATAACCACCACACACCAGCAGAATAATCATACGACCAGCAACCCGACAGCCATCACCACCACCATAACCCCCCAATCCACCACTGCCCTCCCGCCCGCGGACGGGGTGTGCGCCGCCCCCGGAAAATTACACGTCAGCCCCTCGGACGGCTTATGCACCCTATAGTTCCCTTCGAAGCCCACCCCGCCGGGCAGGGGACAGCCGAAGCCCATCGACGCCGGGCAGCTCCGCACTAGTTCATAACAAAGATTGTCGCAGGGCAGCACCTCCTTGTACGGGCCCGGCTTGATCATCTCATCGATCAGCGGGTTGCGGCTGTTCATGAACGCCGCCCTATTCGCCCTCTTCCGGAACGGCGCCAGGGTGGCCTCGTCGAGGGTCTCGCCGTCGGGGAACGGCTGCCCGACGGCGCGCGGCTGCAGGTGCTCGGCCGTGTTAGAGAAGTCCTCGCACCGGGGGATCGTGACGGAGCAGAGCCAGTCCTTGTAGTCGGCGGCGCAGCTGGTGCAGTTGCGCGCCAGCGAGTAGAGCTGGCTGGAGGGCGCCTCGCAGGCGACCTGGGCGAGGGACTTGTCAAAGTTGGCGTACACGGATGCCGCGTAGTTGTCGTAGAACTCGGCTAGCCGGGACGAGTTGCCGAAGTTGGGGTTGCTCGGGACCGAGTAGGCAACTTTGTCGCAGAAGGAGAGGTCGATGACCAACGCACAGTTGCCGTGGTCTGGTGGATTGATCAGTGCAAGCTCAGCGGAAATATCAGGTGGGATGCCTACCGGACTTGGTAGTGAACTCCATCGCCTCGAACACCTGAGGCCCCCTCTCAAAAGCGGTCTGCCGCTTCCCCAAATTACCACCATCTTCGCCATCTTTCACCAGAATACCGATGTACTCGGCAGAAGAATTAAGTCCGATGAAGAAGAACTGTTGCTTCGGCACATCTCCATGCCTCTTCGTCATGCTCGTTTTGACCGTACCCGTCTGCCGTTCGTCCTTAGTGGCCGCAATCTGTGCGTAGTTGTACAGCCCACAGTACGAATGCTTCACGCCGTTGATGGCCCTGTCTTTCTTATTGTGCGCAAATAGCACATATGGCTGTGTTCGCATGACCGCGGCCTGCTCGTTCGGGTCTTTGGAATCCGTCAAACTTTGGGTAATCAGCAACGCTCCTTGCGAGTCGCTGTCAACCAAAATCAAATCTTCAACACCGCGCTTGCTGTAGGTGTAATATTGGCTGTCTGTCGACGCCGTGATTCTCACGTTGTATGTGCCCGAGAAAGTTTCCGAGTCCGGTGCGTATATGCCAATGTAGACTTCCCTGTCGGTGGTGATGCTGTACGCAACTGCTCCTTCCTTGAAGTCGAACATATCCTGGGTTGCCTGGTCCGCAAGAGGCCCAGGGGCCGTATTGTCGGGGGATGTCGACACGTAAAGCTTGAGCTGGGGTGGGGCTCCCGTTGTCTTTGAGGGGTCGATCGGCTGCGGTTGCAAACAAGTATTTGCTGAGATGTACACCTTCTGCCCTGCCTGTCTCTTCTCAACGTCCAGGCCTCCATCTTCTCTATCGCCCTCAAGCTCCGTGGCGCCGGCGCCAGCGCTAGCGTGTCCTTCCCCGGGGGCATTGTGTTCACGTCTCAGTTCCAACCGATCCTCCCCCGCCTTCCGCTCAGATACTGGGGGTAATAGAAAGACGAACGGCTGTGTCACCCCTTGGTCCACGTTCATGGGGAGAGGCTCGTCGTTGTCGAGTGGGATCACATCACGCGTAGCTCGTCCAATAATGCTCCGATCGAAGGCTGAGAATTCGGCCTCATATATCGGGCCGGGCGGCACGGCGGAGTCGACATCATCGAATACAACGGGCAATGCTTCGTTCAGCTCGGCGGCAAGGGCGAAGTTTGGCGGGAATAGGACGAGGTAGAGTAGAATCAGCAGGCAGGAGGCCACAAGTGAGGCGGCGAGCCGCGATTGCAACGGGCTGAGATGCATTGTAGAAGTACGCCCCCGAGGGGGTCTTGAGATGTTGGAGTCGTCGATGTCGTGCTGAATAACTAAGTCGGTTGTTGTCGGTCGTCGAAGCGGTCTTGCGTTCCGTCTCGTTCCTGCCGATCGCACAGCCACTGAAGCCCCTGGAGCTGACCACTGAGAGAGGCCGCCGGTTTACGGCACCATTCTCTTTGCCAGTGCTGCTGCTCTTCCTTCTAGGATCGGCTCGTACAAACGTCAGTGGCTGGGCTGACCCTGGTTGTCATAACCACCCCAATTCTTCGTATATTTCGCAAATCAATATTACCCTTTTGCTGGAGAAGGGGTGCACAAATGCGCTGGATGCCGCATTCCGGATCGGCAAAGGGTCGCCGGTGTTGGTGGATCGGAAGTTGGTGGCGGGCGGATACCCCTGCTTGGCAAACCTTTGTTGGAAAGCCCGCCAAGGCTTTGGAGGTAACATGGGTGCATGGATGCCCGAATTCTTGAGATGCGAGGCGAAACCCGAAAACGGGACGAGTTTGCACATGAAACAGCCACACCAACCTTCCTTGACCAATGCATCCAATCTCAAGAACACGGCTATTTTGGTGTCCAAGGAAGCGAAGGGATGAAAACTCACACCTGCCTCCTCAATTGCAACGTGGCACACAATTGTCCAGCCCAGCACAGCACAACAGTCTCAATCGAGAGATGGGTGGGGCTGCAAAATGCTCTGTACCGCGATAAGAAAGGACTCGCCCATCGTCGTTCTTCTGCGTTGAGTGATCGACCTCGGTGTCGTACATACATCATGACATACAAACCCACTTCTACTTATTCTAAGGGAATCAATCAATCACCTGCTGTCCGAGATCCAAAGGAATTCCGCGCCCGTATACCCCGCTATTGACCCTCTCATAAGAAAACTACCCTACAGCCCTGCCAACTTGTTCGAATGGGTGTAGTCCCCGCTCCTGCCATTGACGGACTGTGTGCTCGTGAACATCCGCATTGTTGTCCAACGTCAGAAGGGGAACCAGTGTTCCACGTGTAATTCCACCAATCTCCACGATCCTGACCGAACCGCATTCAAAGCTGCGCGCTCTGTATTTTGCCGGATGGGTTCAGCGTCAAGGACCTGGGCGCCATTTACTCGGTGTGGAGAGACTCGGCCTTCGCGCGGAGGCCGCTGGCGGTGGAGCCGGGAGCGTGGAAGTAGCGGCCCAGGGCAGGAGCCAGGAACGAGCGGAAGATGATCTCGGCACCCCTAAAGCTACTGTTAAACCCTGCGTGCATCGAGTTGGGCCAGGGAAGCAAACGACTTACTTGAAGGCGGGAAGGGACAGCCACAGGAGAAAGACAAACTTGAAAGTGTAGTAGAAGGGGAACCAGTAAACAACGCTGACGAGGCTCTCAAGGACACTATCACCTAGTTAGCTTGCGTGGAAGTGTCGCCGGATTGTAGCAAAATCTTACGTGAAGAAGGCAAAGACAACCCAGTACTAGAGACAGATTAGCACAGGTTCCACAGCCAACAAAGAGCTGTCGGCCACTCACGGTCAGCCACTGAGTGTCGTCCGCCTTGTTGGCGGTGAAGAGAGCGGCAAGGGAGAAGTATCCGGGGATAACAAAGCCCGCAATGTTGGTCAGGAGCTGACCGCCGAGGTTGAAGATGATCAGGAAGAAGTAGAGCGCTCCCAGGCCGAGCACGCCATAGGCCTTGGGGATCGAGGTCTGCTTCTCGAGGTTGTTGAGCACCGGGTACTTGGAGAGCTGCGGCACCGGCCCAGTTAGCACAAAGCACATGTCGGTGAGGAAATCGGATCCGGCATTTGCAACGCACCTCTTTATCGACCTGGGCAACCAGGTTTTGGACGCGGTCCTGAGGAGAAGACATGGCTGCGATGGGAAGCTGTAGAAGAAACTATAAAGCGGTCTAAGAGGCGTTAGAAACGAATTCTTTTGCAATCGTCGGGGAATTGGTGCGGCGTTGTGGGCTCGGCACAAGAAGCTTTCGGCAGCTTCGGCGGGAGGTCGACGGGGTTTTGAGCCGACAAGACGAGAGGATTGGAACGTGAAGCAGGAGTTGCTGTTGAACTTACAGTGTGAGGTGGTTTTCGCAGGATGCTTTGGGAGAAAAGACGTGAGATGTTTTGGTGGGCGAGAATTGATTGAAATAATGAAGTTACAGAACCTCGGTGTGGGTGGCAGGGGAGGTGTGAGGCAATGACGCTTGCTACGTGTGCAAGAGACCCCGGTCACAAGCTGCAGGCCCCGGCTGGTCCTGTTTTTAGCGCATGACGCAGCGCCGGAAAGGGGTTGGTCACGTGCTTGCTTTCATCGCACAACGCGATGCAAAAAACGAAACTGGCACAATCGGACACAACGCCAAGCAAAGGTCCGATGGTGTAGTTGGTTATCACGTCAGTCTAACACACTGAAGGTCTCCAGTTCGAGCCTGGATCGGATCAGCTTATCTTTTGCTGGAAGTTGCATGTCTCTTTTGGCCATCTCGATGTCGACATTCTGCGCGACTTCAACGTTTCAGCCACACGACGACGAGACGCACCCGTCTCTTTTTGGATTCACCTCGCTCCCCAGGCCCGACCGAGTATGCCAGGGGTGGGCTGACAGGTCTCCGTGACAAAGACACAACCTGTGACAAAGACGCAACCTGTGACTGTATCCGTAGTTCGTACATACATCACGAGACAACGGGGTTCAGAGCAGCATGTAATAAACAAATGAAAACCTCAGTCGTTGTAATAAAGGTCAGACCAATATAACGCGATCCTCGCGACCTGAATCCTTCGAGTGTCGTTTGTTACTCGGATGTTGGTTGGAATCCTTTGAGCCGTCGATTCACGGTCCTCGCTCGCATTGTTGTCCGTAGGCAGCCAGCACGTCACAAATGCCAAACGGTGAACAGTTACCGCTTGGTTAACCCACTGAGATCTAGTCTGCGCAGAATACAACGGCGCATGAGATGAGAGCCACTTGAAAGCTGCATTTCTTTTTGTCGGAACAATGAAGCTCAAATTATCGATATGTACAGAGATTTGTACAGTACAATGATGGTTTGTTTGTTCGCGCGGCCCCCTCTGACAGGGGCCTGGTTCAAAGGTTGAAAGCCCCTAGCCGTACAGCCCAACAACGGTTTAAAAAGGAAGAAAATGTGATTTTTAGAAGCACTAGTATAGACTATTCTCATGCAGCCCTTCTTTCTCTGAAAAGATAGACGGTTTTGCCGTTGAGTTGGGGACTTTCGCAAGGACGCCGGTCTTAAAGTCACAGAGTAAACAGTCAAACCACAGCAGGAAACAAGCCAAGCGAGCCAATCGAGGCGCGACGCCGGGGAAGGTGGGGCTCTTGGTGCGTGCGGGGAGCTTGTGTGGAAGCATTGCCCCGGGTACCGCCTTGATGTTTGTTGATTTCTTCCCTTTCTCCTCAGAGGAAATGACGAATTGATCACGCCGAGCGGGCAGCAGCGCAATACCTCGCATCCTCGAGCTCCTGCTCGTGCATCCCCTCGAATCCCGGGCGAAGGTGTATAAGCTTTCGATCAGCAAATTTTCTTATTCTTCTTTGCAGCGCGCGCGGGTGACCTTTCATTGTCGCAAAACCCCGTCATCGTCCTGTGTTTTGGTGGAGGCAAACTGTTTTGTCCGCAACAGGAATGGCGATGGACTCGACCCACGGTAAGGAGGCCGCATCCCTACCACCATCGCGGACACCCCTCCTTCCATGCAGCGTCAACCCTCCTCGACGTCCCTTGCAGGCATCGAATGTTCCAAATACTCATCGCCTCGCAGATGCGCTAGGACTCGCCGCCAAGCCCAGGAAGCGGCCCCGGTCGCGAGGCTCGACCACGTCGATTCACAGCGCGACCACGCAGGCCAACGTGGAACACAGCTTCGCCGAGTCCGCGGACCTGTATTCTTCACAATGGCTACCTAATAACGCCAGCCATACGCGCGAGCTCCCCAACGGATCGACCCAGATGACTCCGGAGGACCTGCTGCTTGCCTCACAGCTGCAGGCAAGCCGCGACTTCGGGCCGGACGCTCCTATGAATGCAGCGATTCCCAGCGTCTCATTCCACCACCATAGCCATAGCCTCAGTCGCCAATCTCTGTCTGCCGAGTCCTTTGCCGGAAACACGAGCTTTGCAGACGACAGCCAGATGCTTGATCGGGAAGTAAACGATGGCGACGACTCGTTCAATGGGATGGCCGCGGCGACGAAGTCGGGTGCGCGTTCCAACGCCAATAACGAGATAGAGATGCGACAGTTGTTCCACACCAACAAGCACCGCAGCCTCGAGGATGTTTCCCACGAGCTGCTTGGCAATGACCGCGGGCCAAACTCCGAACGGGCACGCCAGGTTTTTGCGATGCTCTGGTATGAACCCCCCTCCAACGCAGAAGCCCTATGATGTAAACGTGCTGACGAGTCTATAGGATCAACCTCGTGTGCTCAACGGGAAAGGGGTCGGTACCAAGGGGGCGCGTCTATGCCAATTATGCTTCTCGGTGTGCCACAGAACGGATCACCGTGTTAAATCCTGCAAGCTTCGGTAAGCTCGTACGGGTGCTCTTTCCGGGCCTCAAGACACGGCGCTTGGGGGTTCGCGGAGAGTCAAAATATCACTACGTCAACTTTCAGTTGAGGGAAGAGCAACCCGACGTCCGCGATAGTCCCAGCCAACATGCGGTGCCTTTGGGAGAGAATGCTTCTTTGTCACAAAACTTCAAGTAAGTCTTCGTCAGTCTGTTTGTCAACCACTAGCAGCTATTAACATGGTGTACTAGCACCCTTCCCGCCGCCAACTCTACATCGATGCGATCCGACAGAACTCCGTTTTCCGCGCCTCCAGTCCCACACCAACCCGGATCGAAAATCATGCGATCACACGAATTCCATCATAGCCTCTACAACCAGCCGCAGGTAGTGAGCGTTGACCAGCTGCAGTCGACGATGAGCAAGACTCCCCAGCAGCTTCTTTTTTCGACTGAAACAGGGGAAACGTTCAAGCAGTCGGACCCGATCATCCTTCCCCGAATCGAAGCATACCTCCCGGACGGCACAGATCCCGACGCGGCCAAGTCCCTCGTGGCCCTCTATCGTTCATATTGCACGTCCCTGGTCGAATGTATCCGCTACTGCAAGGAAAAGGCCTTTTTTCATCTCTTCACGTCATTTCAAGGCACCCTCACCATGCCCGTGCAGAAACTGTTTGCAAATCCGGCCATCTCTCCGTGGATCGAGGAATCTGACTTTGTCCTGTATCAGCGAATGATGCGCATTGTTTCGGGTCTGACCCTTCAGGTAGTGCCCAAGCCTGTTCTCGACACGCTGCGCAACATCTCCGAGCGGCTTGTGCCCCATATCCGGGAGTCGTTCCAAGGGCAGCCTCTCCACGTGGTGAGGGCTAAAGAGGGCCCGGCTACCATCTTTGCCGGTTTGCTCGACAGGGCACTGCGGGTGAACCTCACTGCTCACGCCGCCGCCAACATGTTGTCAAACCCTGCGAACCGCGACCTAATGTACATGGAGTGGATCTCGATGATCAACGTTAGGAAGCTGGCCGAGTGCATCCCATCACGTGGCATGGACGATGTCGTGAATCTTTTGCTCAACGAGATGCGCGACCTGCTCAACCCGGTTAACATCCCATGGGAGATGGAGTGCTTGACGGTGCAGGGCGAAATTGCCTCGCGAAACGGCAGGCCACCGCAAGAGGGTGATTTTGAGGAAATGGACTCGTCAAACGTGCTGGATCGCTGGGTCAATCTGTTGCGTTCCCTCCCGAGCCGGTTCCCGTACGCGTCGGACACGAATCTTGTCTGGTGCGTCCAGAGGCTGAGCACGGCTCTGATGAGGGACCTCACGATTGGACAAGGAAAGAGCTTCGGGTCGTGGTGGGTCACGAAATGTTGGGTGGACGAGATGATCCAGTTCATGGCAGAGCAAGGCGGCTTCCTGCAGCAGAAGCTGAGTCAATCCCCGCTCGCGGTTCCGAAGCGGCAGTCAGCAAACCAAGAGCTGAACCACCAAGGATCTCGGTACAGCAGTGGCAGCGATGATTTCGGTATGTCGCGAATGCCAGAGCCGCAACCAGATCGGGCGCCGTTTCCTTCGGCTCCGACGTCCAACAGTCAGCAAGCGACGCACGACGATAGCGGAATCGGCATCCGGACACCGGACGAGGAGTTGCCGGCCGACAAGTTCAGCCTCACGCCCGCAACCGCCCAGGACCTATTCGCCGGCACGGAGCTCCAAGTTGATCTGGGGGATATATAGCATTTGTTGTCTTTAGGCAAATGAGGGTGTGGGTGCTTTTTTTTCGAGACTGTTTTACTAGGGACGGTGTTGCGGCGTTATACACAGCGGGGAATTGTTTGTCCCCCGGAGTCACGATGGGACGATTAGGATGAAAGATTTAACGGCATCATTGGGCTTGACGGCTATCAGGCTTGAATGGGGTTTGGATCATGTTGATTAATGGTTTTCGATGTTGTGATGTCTCAGGCAAGGGGCGGTTGTTTGTTGTGCTCGTTGGATGTCTTGGTTAGCGGGTTGGCCCTTCACAGGGCGGGTGGCGGCGCGTATTGTACCTCAACTGAGAGATCTTCATTGGGTTTTTTATCATTTGGCACACAAAAGCAGATCATGTCGACCACGCCGAACGGATATGGAGATGCCCATCAAGGATTCGTGGCTTGTGCTTGTGCCAGTAATCTTTACCCCTGTTGTTTTGATGTTCTGGTTGGCGCGCGGACGGTTACGACTCCCTGCTGACTTAGCCCCACATGCTGACTCCGAAAGATGCGGTCTTGCTGATTCCACTTGATTATCACACTGACCGTCCATCTACTCGGTGCTTGTCCGATCCCCAATATACAAGACCCAATTGAACCTTTCATCTCATCTTACTAGCGCCCGTTCCAAACTTCATTCTAAGTGCTCAACTCTACCGAACACATAAAACAAACACTGGGGACGAGCGCGGGTTCTTTGTTTGCCGAGGCTCACGTCACACCTTTCCTTAGTCAAGTCGTTCGTGCCAACCTCGGCCAGCGAAAGATCAACTTCTCGGTGTTCAACCCACTACGTCCCAGATTTTCGCTGTTCCTATACTCGTCAATTAAATTTGGCTCAATATAGTGCAAGATGGCCATTGAAAAGGAAGGCACTTTGGAGGTGATGGGCAACAGCCTCTATACCAAGTCATGGCTGGTACGTCATCCTCGCTCTCCCCACCGACCCCCCGAGCTCCTAAATACATCTTTCCTCCTCACCTTGTACAGAACTCACCTAGCATATCATGAACTACCTTTTTAATCACGCTGACATCCTCCCAGCCCGACGGCCCCATTAAAGCCAAGCTCATCTTTATCCACGGCTTCAGCGACCATCTCGGCCGCTACAACGCCTTCTTTCCAACCCTGGCCGCCCGCGGCATCGCCGTCCACGGCTTCGACCAGCGCGGCTGGGGCCTCTCGGTCAAGAAACCCGCCGACATGGGCCTGACAGGCCCCACCACCCAGGTCCTCGCCGACATGGCGGCCTTCATCACGCCGCACCTGCCGTCCGACCCGTCCGACCCGCCCGTCTTCGTCCTGGGCCACTCCATGGGCGGCGGGCAGGTTCTGACGCTGGCGTGCCACCCGGAGTACCAGGAGACGGTGGTGCGCAAGGTGCGCGGCTGGATGCTGGAGGCGCCCTTCATCAGCTTCTCGCCCGAGGAGCAGCCGTCGGCGGTCAAGGTGTTTGCGGGCCGCCTCGCCGGCCGCCTGCTGCCGCACTTCCAGCTCAAGCACGAGATCATGCCCGAGCACCTGACGCGCGACGTCGAGACCCGCAAGAGCCTGCTCGAGGACAAGCTGATGCACAACACGGGCACGCTCGAGGGGCTCGCCGGCCTGCTAGACCGCACCGCCGCGCTGGCGAGCGGCCAGGTGAGGCCGCTGCCGGGCGGCGCGCTCAAGAGCCTGTGGGTGGGCCATGGCACGGAGGATAAGACGACGTGGTATGAGGCGAGTCGCAAGTACTTTGATGAGTTCACGGGCGAGGTGCAGGATAAGGAGTTTAAGGCGTACGAGGGGTGGTATCACCAGCTACATGACGACGGTCCTGATAGCAAAGAGTTCTACAAGGACGTCGGCGATTGGATTCTGGCAAGGTGTGAAGAGGAGGGGAAGGCGGGGCCAAAGCTGTAGGGGGAATGCGGTATCATAGGGTTGGGACATTGTATTGGGGATGTAAGTTTGAGTGTGTGAGGTAACGATACGAATTTCTTATTCTCTCTCGTATAGATCAGCCCTTGCGTAGATTCTTGCGCCATGCTGGCGGCCACAAGGCTAGAAACTGGTGTGACCCAGATATCAGATATCGGGTTCGGTTCGGCTTGCCATTCGGGAACTTGTCCTCAGTATCCCGGAAGCCCCCGAAGACGGGATGGGATATACCCCGCTGCAAGACCATCAGGTCTAGAACCTCGAGGTACCGATGTCGTGTATAAAGCGCCCCGGATCGGCGTTCGAGAATCAGCTTTGACCATCTCCTTTCCAGTCTCCTGGGTTTTTGCCGCAACGTCGAACCTCGAAACTGGGCACTGCGCCACACCAGGAATCAAGCAAAGAAGTCCCCGGAGTCGATCATTAAAGCCGCCATCAACCGCCAACGAACAAATTCGCGCCTTTTCGTCAACGTCCACGCATTGATGAAAATATTGAGTCAATGACGTATTTGTCGCGAGGATGGGGTCGAACAGTATGACGATATTGTCTATGCATTGGGCATCATATTTCCAATCAAATCACGCGGCACCAAGGCACTCTGGGACACCCAAAGAAATATCCTCGCGCTAACAACTGTGCTGACCCAAGGTCACCGTGCCGCGACAGACGTTCCTGGTTGGATGGATCAAAGCACAGCCCACCGACCGTTCCCCGTTCACCTTCACCCCGTTGAGCCCCTGGGAGCTTCTTAGCTGTTTGAGCACCACAGCTGTAGCAGCTAGCTACAGTTGGCTATGCGCACAGGCAAGGGAACTCCTGCTAAAGAGCAGAAGAGGCACGAGACACACTGCGCCTCTGCGGGGGGATTCTCTCATTCCAGTTTGGCGGGTATGAATCGTCAAGGGTCATTTACAAAGGTGGGTGCTTCATCTGGTTTTTGGGCGGGGAACTCTCTTTTTGGGGGCACGGGGGTCATCTCTCAACCAATCTTATCAATCAATCTAGTCTTCTATTGGGGAACCCACCGTTCATCTCACCGGCATTCCTCTCAAGATCACTTTCCAGTTTCCACCGGTGCAGTGCTGTGCTTACACAGTACTGCTCAGCGTCTGACAGAATCCGTCGCACAGCATCGAGGTAACCAACAACCGATCCTACGATCAATCCGGTCACCATGGACCAACCGGATCTGTCAAATAGCATATCGCTGCACCCTCATCCCTTCAGAACCCAGTCGGACTCGGCCAGCCGCCTAGCGAGAACACAATCACCCCGCCCTTCAATGGCAGCAAACGGCGCAAGCACCGGCGTGGAGGCCACAGAGGGCGGCGACGAGGGCGCCGTTGCCCGGCATTCTCCATCCACCCCAGGCGATGTCGAGGTTGAGAGCCAGCGGGCCGGTCGGTTTCCCCTTGTCGGCGCCGGAAACGACCCTTACGGCCTGTCCCAGAGATACAAGACGGCCTCGGAGTTGGCAGAAATCAAGGCAAACACATCTAGGAAACGTGATGCTGCTCACCAGCCAGGCCCTACCGTCCCCGCCAAGGCGTCCACGACCGGCACGCTCGCGGGGTATATCAAACCCTTTGGGCGCAAAGCAACTACCGCGCGCCGTCTCGAGGGCTTTTACCAAGCTCAGAACGAGACCATTGAGCGGTTGCTTAAAAGCGTCGAGGAGCACTGCGCCGAAGCGCGCCAGGAGCAGGGCGACGACCATCTCAAGTTCAAGATCGCCGTCTGGGGCTCACTCGTCGCCAATCTCGTCCTCGCCGCGCTGCAGCTCTACGCCGCCATCTCGTCCGGCTCGCTCTCGCTCTTCACCACCATGGCCGACGCCATCTTCGACCCACTCTCCAACGTCACCCTCATCCTCACCAACCGCGCCGTCCGCCGCGTCGACCCGGCCCGCTTCCCCTCGGGCAAGGCCCGCCTCGAGACGGTCGGCAACATCGTCTTCTGCTTTCTCATGACGGCCGTCTCGCTCATCATCATCGCCTTCGCCGCCAGGGAGCTCGCCGAGAGCTCGGATGAGCTCCGGCCCTTCTTCCTGCCGTCCATCATCTCGGTCTGCATCGCCTTCGGCACCAAGCTCGCCCTGTTCCTCTACACGTGGTCCATCAAGGACAAATACTCGCAGGTGCGCATCCTGTGGGAGGACCACCGCAACGACCTGCTCGTCAACGGCTTCGGCATCCTCACCTCGGTGGGCGGCAGCACGCTGGCCTGGTGGCTCGACCCGGCGGGCGCCATCTTCCTGTCGGTGGTCATCTCGTCGCTGTGGCTGCGCACCGCCTTCACCGAGTTCCTGCTGCTCGTCGGCGTCGTCGCGCCCGTCGAGATCCAGCAGCTGATTACGTATGTCTGCCTCACCCACTCGCCCGCCATCCGCCAGATCGACACCGTGCGCGCCTACCACTCCGGCCCCCGCCTCATCGCCGAGGTCGATGTTGTCATGGACCCGGACGCCACCCTCATGGACACCCACGACATCGCCGAGGAGCTGCAGATGAAGCTGGAGCGCCTGCCGGATGTTGAGAGGGCGTATGTGCATGTGGATTATGAGACCACCCATAAGCCGGAGCATGCGTTCAAGAAGGATTTGTAAGGGTGGAGGGATGCGGGAGGTTTGCTTTAGAGTGGTGGGGAGGCTCATGTCTTGGGACGGCGGCGGCGGCGGCGGCGGCGAGAGTCACAAAAAAAGCTATAGGCGTTTTGCATGTATGGCGGCTGTATGGCGGCGGTGTGGCTTGTTGATTTCAATTGTATAATAGTTTGAAATTCTACATTTTGCACATGTTTGTGTTATTAGACCTATCTACTTCACAGTTGGCCCACGATCTCAACTCGTGCTGCAAGCTCGAAAAGTCTTGCTGGCATCTAATCCCGTTTTCTTGGTTTATATCATGAGTCTCACCCTCTTCGTAACTTCGTTCTTCAAACCGGCGGCAAAGATAAAACGGCAACCTGTTGTCTCCCTAAGCCTCAGTATGAGTGCCTTGAACCCCCTCAACTTCTTGCCTTGCCCCACCCCCGCCATCTTCCCCTTCTTTTCCTTGCTTTCCTTTTTTAGGTCCTTCTGTTCTGGGTCATAAAGGAGCTCGCGAAGTAGCCGAGATGTTACTATAGGTAGGTGATGGATCACGGGGGTAGCTAAAGGAAGTCATGTGGATTTCGGTAAATAGATCGACGGCCATACGTCCTTGATTTTGGGGGTTCAGATACTCAGTCGCGTGCTTCCTCGATGTGAAATTCTGGTCGAACAAACCGGATATGTAATCAAGCTTGCAAATGCGTTTGATACATTCAACAAAATTTCTGGCTGTATTTTGATCAGTAACAATTCGTTTGTGTTGCCAATACAATCGCCCTTGGGCTCATTGCTTTCGGTATCTGCAAGAATAAGCTGTGGGAGGCCAATGACCGGACAACGGATCTCGGGAGTTTTGTTGAGCTTGACACCCAATTCTCGACCGGTCTCGTCGCGGGGTATTGCGGGGTGACAGGGGGGCTTCCATTGATCGCGACACGATGATGCAATGGCCCCGCTCGACGCGCCTGTGGAAAGCTGCACGGCACTAAAAGGAGCGCTAACGGTTTCGTGGACCGGCGCGTCTGCAGAGCCCTGCTAGAAACCCCGCTGGTGCTGACGGTGTTCCTGGCTGCCCATGCTGTACGAAGTCGCACGGTTCCTGATTCGAGCCCCTTGAATCTCAGAGTTTTCTCGACTCGGGTACTCCGTGGCGTTGTGTGAACCGAGAGATGGGATGAAGCTCTCATCTCCCTCCTGCACCTGCAAGCCACCTTCCACCTCGCGTGTCTCAAAACAGAAACGTGCTTTGAGCCGTTGGAGGACGAACTCGAGGGGCTTGGCATTGGCGCAACATTTTTTTGTCTGGCAGGGGTTTCAGTGCTTATCTGCGAGCCTGGACTGGCCCAGAACTGGCAATGCAAAGTGAGCTGCTTCATGGCGAATGTCTCTCGTGCCACCACGCCTGTTGCCGGCGTGAAAACTGCACAGAGTTCCCGTCTTTCGTATATAGGTACCTACATCCATAGTATGTATATGTCGGCTGATTATCCCGTCGTTGACCCGCCGCTGCACGAAGCTGCAAAGCAACACAAATGGACGGTGCCCCGCGGGGAAAGGGACCCGGTCTCCCATTGCAGCTCCAACCCTCCCTGCAATTGACCCTTGTTGAACCAAGCTTGCATCCCAGTGTTGCCCGTCGCACCAAGCATGCTCGACAGCTTCCTGCGATACCAAGTTGACGACAGTGCGCAGTGTAAACATTAGGCTGGTGACCAGGGTCATGTCAAGGGGATGCGCTGATTTAGCGTAGTAGCACAAATCTTTCCCGATCTCGCCTACCTTTCGAGGTACCCTTACCCTCCTCCTCTCTCTCGAGGATTGCTCCTTCGGTGACCCCCAACTTTCCTCGGGCTCGAGCTGTCGCATTTTTCTTTACGCTACGAACACCACCTCGGTTTTACTACCTAGCTATCCATCATCTTCCGATTTGACGTCGCTAGCGAGGAGCCTTTGCACACAATGGCCGTGCAAGGGGCAGAGGATGTCTACGCCAGCGTGAGTTACGATTCTTGTTTTGTTTAGGCCGAAGCCGGCGATGCGCCGACGCGCTGATGCGCTGCTCTTGACGAGAAAAATAAAACTGAACCCAATACAGCTTCTCCTAACGGACACATATCTTCCTGGTGAGTTCGGAACACCAATTGCTACATCTGTCCAACCTCTGGAGCTAACTCCTATTCTCAAGGTGCCCTGGTGCTGGCCCATTCGCTTCGCGATGCGGGCACCACCAAGAAGCTGGCCGTCTTGGTCACCCTAGATACCGTGTCTCTCGATGTTGTGACACAACTCAAGGTGAGCTTCCTCAGCTCTCATAGGCTTATGTGTGTGCATGTACATGTTCCATTTGGCTGACCGTTGGCTAGGCCGTCTATGACTATGTCATTCCCGTTGGTCGCATCCAAAATGAGCATCCTGCGAACCTGAACCTTATGAACCGCCCGGATCTTCACTCGGCATTCACCAAAATCAACCTCTGGAGGCAGACCCAATTCCGGAAGATCGTGTATGTGGATGCCGATATCGTGGCCTACCGAGCACCCGACGAGCTTTTCGACCTTCCTCATGCCTTCTCGGCAGCTCCTGATATAGGGTGGCCGGACCTGTTCAATACAGGTGTCATGGTCTTGACCCCAAACATGGGCGACTATTACGCCATGACGGCCATGGCTCGCCGTGGAATCTCGTTTGACGGCGCCGACCAGGGCCTCTTGAACATGTACTTCAAGAACAGCTTCAACCGCCTCAGCTTCAGCTACAACGTTACGCCCTCAGCCCATTACCAATATGTGCCTGCCTACAAGCACTTTCAGTCCGGTATCAATATGGTTCATTTCATTGGACCCGAGAAGCCGTGGGTGCAGGGCAGAGACAGGGCCACGGGAAGCTCCCCATTTGACCAGATGGTGGGCAGATGGTGGGCGGTTTATGATCGACATTACCGCAAGGAGGTGCGTTCCGACAAACCTGGCCGAGGCGATCTGCTGCTAACCCGTTGATATAGACACCCCGACTGGAGCCAGCACAGCCAGAGCAACAAGTCCCAGCGATAGTGCAATATTTCGTCAAAGGCGAATTCCAGCCTACGATCCGTTATGTTGTTCCCGTTGGCGAACCCCCCAGCGACCAACCCAGCAACGTTCACGGTCAGCAACATCAACTAGCACAGCAGTATACCCAGCAACACCATTATTCCCATCAGTCTTATCCCCACCCTGAGCAGCAACCCCACCAACACCCTCACTCCCAACCATCACACTTAGCCGAGCACTCAACCGCGCCTTCCCACCCAAGCGTGTCTTCTGGATCCCAAGAAGGGACACATACTGAGGCTCGAAAAGACCAGGCATCGGACCACCAGCAATGGGGTTCTCAACCGCCGGCCCAGCCGGAGCACAAGCCCGAGCCTCAACCCCAACCAGAGATGGTACCAAGTTGGGATGCTCAGCGGTTAGCCACCCCTTGCCCAGTTACCCAGTTACAAAAGCTAACGGAATCCTCCAGGCAACCCCCACCGCCGGATTCAAGGCCCGAGGCCATGAACTTCCCTCAAACGCACTACACCATGTCGTCCGACCCGGCCCCGTTCGTCCCGCCAGAGCGCTACCCTAGCCCGCCAAAGAATATGTGGTACGACGTTCCAAAGCAGGCACCGGCAAAGCCCACGGAGAAGCCCAAGCCGCTCTTCCCCTGGGAGACTCACCGGCCGCGGCCGACCCGCGTGTTTGCGCACCTGACCCAGCCCGAACCGCCCGCGCCCGGACCGGCACCCGCGAAAGCACAAACCGCGCAAGCAGGCTCGCAGCAAGTGCCATCCGGCCCCGCGGCGGCGGCAGCTACACAGCCGGGCGAACCGCACACGCCACCGCCGCCGGCGCCGGGCCCGGCCTCCCGCACCGCGCTCTCCGCGCCCACGACGACGACGGACATCTGGTCCTCGTTCCCCCGCACCAACGCCTGGGACAGCGTGCCCGAGATCAACCGCTACGTCGACCGCAGGATGCAGAAGCACCGTCGCACGCGCAGCGGTGGTAAGGGCTTGGTCCTAGGTGGTGGCATCGGCGGCGGGAGCGGCGGGAGCGGCGGGAGCGGGGGGGCTGGTGCTGGTGGCGGTGGTGGTGGTGGTGGTGGTGGTGTGAGTGGTGGTGTGAGCGACTTTGCTACCCCGCGGCGCGGCTTTAAGGTCACCGACTTCCCCAGCGAAGACGACCGCCCGAGCCTGCCCGTCACGCCCGCGCCGATCCGGAGGCCGAGGCGTTGGGTTGCTGGCGGCGGCGGTGGTGGTGGCCATGGGCTTGGTGGTGGCTTTGGTGGTGATGGCGAGGGCGGTGGTGGTGTCGGTGGTGGTGTCGGTGATGGTGAAGGTGGGGGGGAGCAGCTGCTCCAGGGCGCCGAGGGCGTGCCGGGGCAGGCTGATTGGGTATGTGTGCATGGGAACCGGTGGGGCCCGGCAGACTGCCTGTGTGAACTGGCTAACCTCCTTCGCTGCTACAAGGATCCTGCGGCGCAGCTGCGGAAGCTGGCCAAGGAGCAGTCCGAGCTGCTGTTCCGGCGGCTCGGGGCCGGCGATGAGGGTGGTGGTGATGCGGGTGGTGGTGGTGGTGGTGGTGGGTTCGGAGGAGGAGAAGAAGAGGGAGGGGAGCAGCGCCGGACGATCCCCTCGCGCCCGCTGCCGTTCGGGTCCGAGGGCGTCCGGTCCCCGACCTACGTCGCGCCTACGCCGCCGCCGCTCGTCAGCCCGAAGCCGGTCAAGCCGACCACGAGCGCGAGCCCGGTCAATCGGATCCTGGCGGCGGCGCCGGAGATTATGGCTTCGCAGGAGGGCGCGGTTGGTCCGGTTGCGGCCCCGAGCTATCAGGGCCCGGGGCCGGCGTTTGAGAAGGGCGAGGATATCCCCACGTTTGAGACGCCGGCGCTGCCGACCGAGGAGGAGCGGGACGTTCTTGAGACATAGGACTGTCTTATAGTCTAGTGTGTGACTGCTCTTTTAGGAACCACTCCCCTTTTTTGCGGGAAAGCGCTGTATGATACGAATTCAGGTTGATCGGTTTTGGTGAAGAGGAGGCGGGGCGGGAAAGCTGGGGATGAACGGATAATGTTCGAGCGTTTGGGGGAACTCGGAGGGCATTAATGGTATTCACTGGGCTTTTGGTCTTGACATGTGGCATTTCTTTCTCCATGGTATCACTAATTATTCAGTTGGTTTCATTGGCATGTCTGGCTTTTTTCTCCCTCTCCTGTGTTTTTCAGATCGAGCATCGTCATCGTTTTCTTCTTGGGACCTTCCACTTGGTTCCATTACATCCGTCGAAGCACTTGCTTTGAGAGTGTTTATGCGGTGGGGGAGCGATGTCAAACAGACGGTATGACAATGGTTAATAATGATGACATTATAGTTATGTACATACCCACGAGCGCGCAGGAGCAACCATTGAATTACCCCATGCCCACTTCCCTAGATAAAATTCTTAGCGTGCCAATATGGACTTCACTTGGGCCCAAATGTATTCCCCTCCACTCTGTATCGATCTTGGTTTGGGAAGGCGCGAAGGCTTACGAAATAATGAAAGGCGCATGTGAACTCGACGTGGTACCACTTACTTGCCCTGCACCTACAGGAGAATAAAGAATAGCTGGTGGCCAGAAAGAGAAGTCCACTTCACTTCGTTTATTATTTTATTCTTCATCTTACTATTGTTACTTCCATTCATTTCTAGGAGATGTGAGGTGTTTTGCAGACTGACAGGGCCGTTTGGTCCTCTTCAGACTTCAACAACGATCACCTCTCGGCACTCACTTGACTGGCGCCACCCACTCAGTTCAACAGCCAATCAAAATCATTCCAATCGACCCCAAAGGGTCGCGAACTCCAGCGACTCGCGTCAACCATGAAGCGTCCCCACGACCTCATGCAGCCGTTTAAACAAAAACGCCGGAAATCGGCGGGAGTAACTCGCGCAACTCGTGGATCGACCGCCGACGAAGGTTTCTACGAGGTCCGAGATATCCTCGACGAGAAGTCCGCAAAGGGTAGATTATTGTACAAAGTAGACTGGGCCGATAACCCTACCACCGGCGAGCGGTACCAGCCGACCTGGGTAATCATCCATCACCAACACCACGTGCAGCCTCGCGCTTTCGTGTGCACCCCGCTAATTACGCTGCGCCCGAATCTAGGAACCCGCCGAGAACGTCACTGAAGCTGCCGTCGCTGATTGGCAAAGGGAGAAGCGCAGGCGTGAAGACGTCGCCCGACACGACCTTCACCCCGCCGTGGAATGCGACGGCCGGCCTGGTTTGGCCCCAAACCGGAGAGTAAAGCGCGGAAGGGAGCCCTCGGTTGTCGACGAAGAGAGGAGGCCACCGAAACGACATCGAGCATCAGCTGATTCGGGCTACACTTCCACCGAGGGAGATCTTCAATCAAGCGCCCAGTCTAGCTGGGCGCACGTGCTGTCAGTCCCGCACAACAACGGGCAGCTCGTTCTCGAGATCGTACATCCTCCCAACTTCGATCCGTCCGAATATCGTGTCGTCAACTCCTCTCAATCCGCGCCATCCTCGCAAGTTGTGGACGCCGCAGCCTCGTCGCGAAGTAGCGGCCAGCATACCGGTGGCCAAGTCAGCCAGCGAACCATCCAGGATTCGCAGGACCCCTTTGACTCCTTGCGCACCCAGTCGACGGGCCAATCGGCCGCCCACCTCAGTGAGCCTACTTCACAGGCACAAATAAGCCGTTCTGATCTCGACATACCGTCACGCCAACCCGAAACCTCCCATCACGATCTCAGCCACCCATCAGGCTTGCTCGAGGCGCACGAAGCAGCATCTCAAAACGGTCCCCATTCCAGTTTACGGCCCCATCCGCAGCTTGGACAGGATTTGGCCTCCGACGATAGTCCCTGGGGCGAAGGCTTTCTAACACAGCCCGATTACGAGCCCCCGAATTTCGGTTTCGAGGCCGAATCACCCCAGCCTACAGAGGGACCCTCAAGCGATCAGAGCTCCAGCCAACCCCGGGCGAACGATCCTGCCTCACAAAGTTTTCCTGCACGTGGAACCAACTCCGCCCCGAGCGCCTCCGACGCTCATTCACCTCTTCAGGCGGCTCAAGCAGTCTCCCTACATATTAACAACCTCGGCCTCCTTCGCTCATTTTTCGAGGGCACTGGACAAGACTTGGGCGATATAGTTCCCGAAACCCTCCCGAGACCACCCAAGACGAAGTCGCCTTTACAAATTCCCAATCAGACCGCGAGTAGGCGCCTGGGCGAAGAGATCTCACCCTCGGAAGAGGTCTCACCCTCGTTTACCCCGGAGAAAGAGAAGAACGCGCCACAACCTTCTACCCCCCCCGAATCGAAACATGGATGGTTCAGAAGAAGTAACCCCACGCCTTTCGGCTGTGGAACGGATGCGGCAGCTAGGTGCTCGGGTGTTTGGTCCCCCACCAGGTACGCCTTCTGCAGAAAACGGACAGGACCATGTTATCGGCACATCGCCTGCCGTGCCGCCCACCGAATACAGACAGGAGCCGGCACTATTATCCCCATCAGCGGTTCTTCCGCCGCCGAGTGGGACTTTTGCTGAACGACTAGAAGCCTCCGCCGCTCCGGTGGACTCGTCCGCATTAGAAACCCCGCTGGGAGAGCAGCCTCTCCCCGCGGTTAGCCTGAATCAACAAGGCGGTGGTTTGGGCCAAGACAGCAGTATGGATTTTAATATGCCTACCGAGACGCCAGCCATGGGCGGACCCGTCCAGTTCGAGCAGCAGCCGGTAACAGTGGCTCCATCGGATCTGACAACCTCGGTCGAGCACCCGCCTGTTTCCCTCGACGACCTAGCTGCTGACGACCAGGTGCTTGGTGGTGGTGTCGATGACCAAGCCCTCGTGCCTTTGAATCAACCCGATCAGTTTCAGTCCCCGCCTGGCATAGGGGGCGATGAACAAGACGAGGACGACAGTCTTGTGCGGCATTTTACCGTAACCCTTCCGATGGCCGCCAACACTCGGGCAAAGTACCTCGATACTATCACAGAAAACAAAGCAACTCTAATAAAGTTTGGCGATGTATTTGCGAACTCGTGCTCGAGCGTTCCAGATCCGGCTTTGGTCACGAAAATCGACGTCATATTCGACCGCTTGCTCAACCTTTGCGACCTGCCGGCGTATGAGGATGACCTCCCGGAGCTGAGCAAGGTGGATATGATGAAGCATGCCACCAATTCAAACAGCAAATTCTCGTTTGTTTACGAGTTCATTAATGGTCTCTGGGATATCAACGCCCGGATACTCATAATCTCTCAACCTGGTCGGGCCTTTGAGTACTTGGAAGCGGTTGTCTCGACGACAGATTGCCCGTACACAATCCTTGGGCAAGAGGGCTCTACGGAACAGGGTACCGAGGTGACCTCGGTCGTTCTAGCTGTGGCTGGTCAGGACCTCTCCGCGGTCCAGGGAGGCGTTGACGTTGTCATCGCATACGACCATACGGCCCGATCAGTAGAGCTCCCGGCGACTCTGGGCTTCGAGTCCATGGAACCAATCGTCCTCTCTTTGGTTGCCACCTACTCGCTGGATCACATCGACCAACAGCTTCACCAAGCCGAGCAGGACTTGGATAGTTTAGAACGGCGGAACGTCCTCAATCTGGCTACTGCTACCGCCATGGACTATCTTAGAAATCCCGATCGACAAAGCACCGAGCCCCATCAAGCGGCCAAGACATTTGCCGCCTTCTTAAGAAACCCGGAGAGTGGCTTGGATTGGGAGCCCCACCCGCTCCCTGCCGACATCTTCGAGATGTGGCTCAGTTCGCAAGAGCGCACTCAGGAGTCCCAGGTCGACCTCCTGGCTGAAGCTGCCGGCCGGAAACGTCGCTTGGTAAGTTGCTTTGGGAATCTAGCTCAATGGGATCTCACTAACAAATAATAGGACGGCATCGATGATGGGATTCCTAAACGGCCGAGGCTTCTCGATTCTCAGCTTCCCTCTCGCAACTCAACACCGGCGAGGATGACCGACCTGTTGAGGCAGACACTCACAAACCACCCGGTCAGCGGGCCAACCGCCCAGGTGGTCGAAGTGCCTGTGGAGCAGCTCGAGAAGATGTCGGCCAAGGTAAGAAGTCCAACTCATCAAGAAAGACCACGCTTCTCACACTGCTTAGATTGCGGAACTGGAAAGCCGACTCGCCTCACAAGCCGTGATCGAGGCCAAGACGCGTGAGCATTGCACAAGTTTGGAGTTGCAACTCCGGTCCCATGAGCGCACCGTTCAGTCGCTGGAGCCAAAGTATATGGACGCTCTTCGCGATCGTCATACTTTTGAGAAGGAGTGCAAAAAAGCCGTTGAGGCCGCGAAAGCTCAGCAAGACGAGGCGGAGGCTTTGCGAGAAAAGAACAAGCTTCTGGAATCCAAGTTCGCCGAGGCTCGCGATACATTGGCGAACTCGACAGTTCCTGAAATTGCGAGGGTTGCTCAGGCGGAGAAAGACCGCGACGAGGCCCTCGCCACGGTGCAAAAGCTCGAAAAGAAGGTCCAGGGCGTGCAGAACGAAGCCGAGTACAGCCGAAAGGCATACCAGGACACGTTTAATGCGCACACCGGGCTCAACCAGGAGCACCAGGAGCTGAAGAGCAAGGTCACCGACCTCGAGAGGCGTGCCGGCGATAACCTGCGCAAAATCCACGAGATCCACGCCCAGAACGAGCTGACCGAGGTCAACCGGCAGATCGACGAGCTCCAAGCGACGCTGGACAACCGCGAGCGCGAGCTGGAGCGCGCCAAGGAGGAGCTCAAGATCCTGCGGAACGGCCGCCGCGAGACTCGCCAGGCTAGCGTCCCGCGCAGTCCGCGCATGGGGGTTATGAGCCCCCGGCCCGCCCGCGGGGTGGGAGCCAGCAGCCGGGGCACCAGCCCCGCGGCCATGAGCTCCGATGGGCCGGGCGTTGGTGGTGGTGGCACGCCCGTGCCGGGCATGACCTTCTTTCCGCCTGTCGGCGGCGCTGGTCGCTGGGGACACCTCCGTGACTAGAAGTCTGGAGGTAACCCAAGCGCTACTAGTGGCAGCGGGCGGGAGAGCCGGCCGGCGGCGCTCGGTCCGGTGGGTGGTGGTGACCGGAAGGTGAAGAAGAAGAGGATAGCGAAACCCCCCGCAGCAGCTAAACCGGCCAGGGCGAAGCCGGTGAGGCAACAACGCAATGGTGCTTAGTCCGGTGGTGATGAGCCGGCTGCGTGTGAACTCGCCAAGTTGGAGCAGCTGGGGTTTCGAGGGGTTTAACACCAAGTCGTCGGATGTGGCTAGCACGATAGTGGGTGCTGAGAGGAGCCGCGAGACGGCTACGACGGGATGGATCCCGGATGCCCCACCAGGGACGAAGACAAGGCGGACATTTTTGGGAGAGTTTCTGATGCCTCAGCTTCTTCTGCTTGAGGCGGGTTGGAGCATGCATACCCACGAATTGCGGAGGATGGTGCTATTGGGGGGGGAGAATGAGGTAGGGGCTGGCGTCGATCATGCGTCGGCCTCCGTTTTACTTCTCATTTGCTTTTTGCTTTGTACGTTTCGATATCGCATTGCATCGGACAGGACGGCGAATATCATGGCTCACAGGATAGGTGGTAGTTGTTTGCCAGTTGGCAATTCGGGGAGGGATATGACGTCGGTGGATGGATGGGTAATGAAGACCGTGGCGGAGTTAGCATATGCGGGACATGATACCCTTCCCTTTATGGAGGAATAAATGGGCTGAAGTATATCATTTGATGTGTGAAATCGCTTGTGATAATGAGTGGTGAATAAGGATGCGGACGGTTGGCCATTCTCATGCGGTGATGGTATCCCAGGATGGGATATTCCAGGGCGAGGAAATGAACTTGATCTCTTTTCTCGGCAGTCAGTCTCTCACATCCAAGCTCTGCCTGTCCCCCACTCAACTTTCAGCATCACTTCTTCACTCCGGATCGTTCGAGGCCCCCGGTAACTTCCTTACATGTGTGGTAAACGAAGTCTAGGCAATGGTGACATATACAGATTGATTTGCACAGCCCTTTGCAACTCCGACGGAAGACGGTGTGTCTATGGTATCACCCACGGAGTTGTCCAGTAGGCCGTGCGATGTTCTCGACGAGGAAAACCTGGTACTTCGTTTATTTGGCCTCCTCCGGGTACATATCCTCCTTAAGCGGAATGCCGAGCTCTTCGCGCAGAGGCTTGAGCTCATCCAGATACTGCTGGTATTGGCCCTTGTTCTCGACCTTGGCCTTGATGCCTGTTTGACCTCGTTAGCCTGCTGCATGTATCGGGGCGGGGTCGCTCGAGAACGATATTTCCCGCATGGTTGTGGGTTAGAGTTTCGTACCCTCGAAGATCCGAACGGCGGTGGGGAAGTCGTTGACTCTCCGCGCGGCCCTAAGGGCGGCGGACACGACGGCGGGGGAGGGGACGAGATCGTAGGCGAAGGCGTTGTTCAGGTTGCGCTGCGTAGGTGAAGCTCCGGGTTAGCGGAGGGCGACGGGGTGGATGAGGCCGGTCGAGGGCGGTTGGGTTATTACCTGGAGCTCGAAAACGTCTTGAACACCGTCAAACTCCTTCTCGTAGCTACTCGGGACCTCATAATCAGCAATTGGTCGACCGAGTATGTTGTGGTGGGTGTGCTGGGTCGGGGTGGGTGGACCAAAACGGGTCACGTCATGGCTGCGAAAGCTCCCCGCGGAGCTAGGGAAAGCTCTGTTTTGCTCCACGAAACCCCGATATCGTCGACTCACCGGGCAGAAAACTCCTCGAAGGTCTCCTCCTGGTGCTCGGAGCGCAGGCGGGCGGATGTGCTAAAGCTCGGGGTGGCGAGGACGGCGCGCGCGGCGATGGGCTGCGGCCGGGCAGCGACGAGGTTGGCGCGGAGAAAGTTGGAGGGGCCGCGAGCGGCAACGCGGAGCAGGGAGGCCGACATTTTTGCGCTTCAAACGATGAGAAAATGAAAAGGCCCGAGCCGGGAAGAGTGGTGAGGCGGGCGATTGGTGGGGTGGGGAGGCTCAACAACGGTGGGCTGGCTCGAGAGAGCTTGGTTCTCAATTGAATTGGGTGCAGTCAGGACCAGTGTGCGTTTGGTGTTGATCCTGGAAATTACGGATATTGGCATCGAATCATGTTTCGGCTATGCGATGCTCTGCTCGCCTAGTTGCTTAGCGCATTATTTTTCTTGTTCTGTCTGCACCCCGCCAATGAGATCCCACACATTGAGCAGACACGCAGGGAAGTCTCCAGTCTGCCGGCTCCCCCCGTGCACGTGCCGTGGCTGGAGCAAGCACCCTCAAGTTGCAGCTGTGGCTGGAACTGCCGGTTCGACGGCCCCACGACGGCACCACTCGTGAAGCTGCCTGTATAACGCTTTTCAGTGCTGTATAGCCTGCCAGTGTGTTAGGTACCTGAATTTATAGCTATTTTGGCTAGAGAAACGCTGCATTTCTCGTGTCGTGGTTGGGGCCACCGAGGCTACCGAGGTTGACAGCGGATACGCAACAAAAATCAAAAGCGACTGCAACCACCGGCTGAACAAGATATATCAAGGCTGACCACCCTCATCTCCCGGGGCCGCGGAGCCCGGACGTTTGGGTGCAGGCATCGGTGCTCCGGAGCTCCGAAATCCACAACGCAACATCGTCGGCACCGCCATATCCTCGATGTCAGACCGGCCTTGGCGAGGCGGTGCCTGCCGTCGGAGGAGATACTTTGACCAATCGTCAACTGTTGTATGTCACTGGCTGGCAGTGCAAATGCTGACTGTTGATTCACTGGATCCCCGATTCCGTTCCCGACGGGAGCTCATTGCAACAATGAAGTAGCGGAGCGGAGCGGATTCTAGCCGAGTTTGCCGGTTTAAAAGGGGCCGAACCGAGGGAGCCGAATCGGCTATCCCCGTGGGAGCGTTGTTTTGTCAAACCTCCCAAAGGGGAAAATCGATGCAGGAGTGGCCGGTTTTGAGCGCATTGACAGGCAACCCGCTGCTTGCATCCCTCTCCCATGCTCGATTGTTTCCGCTTCCACGATCCCGGGACCCCCGTTAAAGACAGCAAAAAACAACAAAACCCGATCCAAAACCCAGGATTGCCTGTGGAGCAGATCTGACATAAGAGTATCCGTGCCTTGATTGGGCGGCAAAACTTCACATGCAGGAACAAGGAAATGAGAGCCAAGGCTAAGCTGTTCGTGGCTTCTCCTTTTCGACGGGTGGACTTGCTGAAAAATATTTGGTTCCATTGTCCGTGAACTCTCGAAATCGCGATCCTTACTTATTATTTGCGGCACGCTTTCCTTCCCGTTGTCAACTCTCCCGCGCTCTCTCGTCTTACGTTTCCGTCTTGCGAGGGTGCTGCTTTGGAACCCCCTTTCTCTTCACTTCGTTTTTTTGGCTTTCTTCATACTCGGCCGTCATTTGGCATTAACTTTGGTTTGGCGGCCTTAATCCATCATCTCTTTTTTCAACGTGTCGCGTGTCAAACCTTGCATCGCTAGGTAAGTCCAACAATCAGTCCCTCCCGGATGCAACTGTCCGCACAATGCCCCAGCAACCCGCTCGAACGGCCGCACAGGGTGCCGTGGCAGTTGTCATACCAAAACTTGCTGACACGTCGTGTGCTGTGCAGACTAATTGACTCCGCCGTCGCGGAAACTCTCGCACAATGACGACCGCGACCCCCGTCGGTGCTCTCCTCGAGAAGCTGCCGGTCCCGACTCTTGACCGGCCGTTCGGCATCCATCTTTGGCCCATCTTCAGCAAGGCTTTCGAGTACGTCGTTGGCTACTCGGCCGATGACTTCACCTTCCAGCCGGGCTCGACGCCCATGTCGACCCTGAAGGAGACGAGCATCTTCATCGTCATCTACTACACGGTCATCTTTGGCGGCAGGGAACTGATGCGCAACCGCGAACCGTTCAAGCTGCGCGCCCTGTTTTTGATCCACAACTTCTATCTCACCGCCATCAGCGCTATCTTGCTCGCCCTCTTCATCGAGCAGATGCTGCCCACCGTCGTCCGCCATGGCATCTTCCACGCCATCTGCGCCATTGAGGGCGGCTGGACTCAGCCCCTGGTTGTCCTTTACTACGTGAGTCCATTCGAGCCACCTTGCCACGAGCGTCGTAGTGTGCTGACATGGTTGGATTTAGTTGAACTACCTCACCAAGTACCTTGAGCTTCTGGATACCTGCTTCCTCTTCCTCAAGAAGAAGCCCCTGACTTTCCTTCACTGCTACCACCACGGCGCGACGGCTCTCCTGTGCTACACGCAGCTTATTGGGTCGACGTCGGTTTCGTGGGTTGTCATCTCGCTGAACCTGATGGTGCACGTGGTCATGTACTGGTACTACTTCCAGAGCGCCCGCGGCATCAAGATCTGGTGGAAGGAGTGGATCACCCGTCTCCAGATCATCCAATTCGTCATCGATCTCGGTAGGCTTCACCCCTATCTTTTTTTTCTTTTCAGATAGGGAGCGTTACTAACCACTCCTGTGTAGGCTTCGTGTACTTCGCGTCCTGGACCTACTTCACCTCGACCTACTTCCAGTGGCTCCCCAACGCTGGCCAGTGCGCGGGCGAGGAGTTCGCTGCTTTCTCGGGCATCGCTATTATCAGCTCCTATCTCTTGCTCTTTATCTCGTTCTACCTCGCGACGTACAAGAAGGACGGCAAGCGGCCCAGCGGGCGCAAGGCCGTGCGGAGGATGAGCCAGGCCCCGCTGCCAGACCCGATCCACGGCTCGGCCGCGAATGCCAACAGCTACGCCAACGGCAGCAACGGCGACGCCAAGTCGACCGGTGTTAAGACCAACGGCACCGCCACCCGCTCAAGGAGGGCTTAAGCGCCCTCATGACGAGCCTGTCGCGGTGATTGCACACACTGGCGGTTCAAGGGACGACACGGGCAGCTTTTTGGACCGCAGGAGCGATGCCTCCGGGCGCATGTGCTCATGCGAAGCGTAGCGGCGTGACAGTGTGACAACTAGGATATCAAGGAGTGCGATTTGTACAACACGCACCGCGGGGCAGTAGATGTGCCTTTTGGGAAAGGCTGGGCACAATTTCCTCGAAACCATCATCACGGCATCTCGGTATTCATTACGGAGTTAGACACGGGGAACGGTCATTTGGCGGCGGCTTAGGGTGGGGGCGGTTTTTCCTAACGATATATGGGCGACCAAGGGCGTGGGTGTATCATGATGGCGGTGAAGGTGTACGATGATGGATGGGCCGAGTCGGATTTCGCCACCAAGAGCGACACCAGCCGGATCGCTGGGCCGGGCTGGGAGGGAGGGTTGCAGGCCAGATCGCGGGGCTGGCTTTGAACGGCGGTTCGCGCGGCGGACATTGTTCAAGCTCCGGTTCGGGTCTTTCGATTTTTATGCCTTCGTTTCGTTATGTGTATACGTTTGTCCTGTACTACTGGCCTGAGCGGATACAAGCGAGGCGCACCATTAGCAGTCTTAATAACATTCAGTTGAACAAGAGGAACGGAAAGGGCCACGTTTCTGGTGTTGTCGGCTAGATGTCGCTATGAGCACTGCGTCGAGACCGCCAGAACGAGGCACTCTGGAGTATTATTAGTGCCCAACAGGCGGGGCCCGACATGGCGAGGTCGGCATCGGGCTGCTGCCGGAGATGCGAGTCTTCCCAGTTCCCCGTCATGGTCGAGGTGAGGGCCCTGATATCGCCCACGGGCCGTCGCATCATTACAACACCAAGACCAAAGGAGGGCCGAGTTCCCGAGGGGCCCATCGAGGGCCATCGAATAAGATCGGCGGTTGTGCTGTTGCTCTCCCGTCTTTGATGCAACACAACCGGGGCTGGGCCGCTGCGAGCAGTCATGGGGGTTGACCGGCGTCGGTGTTATTAATAATATGAATTTTGTTGGGCAACACTGGCTGCGGGTGGAAAGATGTTGGTGAAACAAACAGACCCCAACCAAGGAAGCCTGAGCCCGTCAGGGATGCTACCGCCGCCGGCGAGCGTACCGAAGAGAACCAGCCAGGTGGATACATGAAACCCAAAATGGTTCTCCCAAAACATCCCCGGAGCGGATCATAAACCAAACAGCCGTCGGAACCACTTGACCGGAACCGCACACAGTCCACTACCGGAGTTCGGACCGATGCCGTCTCAGGGTGACAGCGAGATTGGACAGGACCACGCACCGGGTTGTCTGTTGTTGCACCCTGCCCGCCCTGTGGGGGGTTACCCCCTTTCCAATCTCGTCCAACCGGGCTCGTGGGCGCCGCTAGAGCAGCGAGAGGGAGAGGAAATCCGGGGAACAGGGGAGTGGCATGATGGTGATGGAGCCGCATGCCCACACCCGCTCGGCCAGACCAGCTCGCTCAGTGGCTCGCATGGGGCATGCCAAGACAATCCAGTGTCGTTCTGTCAAGGAGACTAGGGGTCTACTTCCGCTTCCTATTCGAGAAGTTCTCATCCCAAGTGCGCGCGGCGATAGCGTCCCCCTGGCCCCACGACGATGCTAACATGGGAGAGAAGGGGGCCGACTGAGGAGTATAACAGGCGCCGTCTCGCTCCCCCGATGAGAATCATGACTTCTGCTTCTTCAGCTGCTCTTGAGTCCAGTCTACGACAGCCACCACTACCACTCCTTCTACTACTTCCCTATCCCCTCCTAGACAAGACATCAAGTCCACGATCACGATGAAGGCCTTCTCCCTCGTCGCTCTGGCGACCGCCGTCAGCGGCCACGCCATCTTCCAGAGGCTCTCTGTCAACGGCCAGGACCAAGGCCAGCTCAAGGGCATCCGCGCCCCCTACAGCAACTTCCCCATCGAGAACGTCAACCACGCCGACTTTGCCTGCAACACCAACATCCAGATCAAGGACAACAACGTCATCAAGATCCCCGCTGGTGCCCGTGTCGGCGCGTGGTGGCAGCACGAGATTGGCGGCCCCTCGGGCCCCAACGACCCGGACAACCCGATCGCTGCCTCCCACAAGGGTATGTGTCGCCCTCTTCACAAGCCAACTTCCACGTAACCAGGCAGGCACACTAACATGGCCTTCTTCCTCCCCTCCTAGGCCCCATCTCGGTCTACCTCGCCAAGGTTAGCAACGCGGCCTCGGCCTCGGCCAACGGCCAGCAGTGGTTCAAGATCGCCGAGCGCGGCGTCAACAACGGCGTGTGGGCGGTCGACGAGATGATCTCCAACGACGGCTGGCACTACTTCGACGTGCCGTCGTGCGTGGCCCCCGGCCAGTACCTGATGCGCGTCGAGCTGCTCGCCCTGCACAGCGCCAGCGCCCCCGGCGGCGCCCAGTTCTACATGGAGTGCGCCCAGGTCGAGAGTAAGTTTTCACCCCTCCTTGTCACTCACTACACCATCAGAAGGAAGTGACTAACACCCCCGACCCCCCAGTCACCGGCTCCGGCACCAACGCCGGCTCCAACTTCGTCTCCTTCCCCGGCGCCTACCCGGCCAACCACCCGGGCATCGTCGTCAGCATCTACGGCAACGTGGGCTCCTACCAGATCCCCGGCCCGGCGCCCCTCACCTGCTCCGGCGGCGGCGGCGGCGGCGGCAGCAGCCCCAACCCCAACCCCACCCCCAACCCCACCCCGACCACTTCCGCCGGCGGCAGCCAGCCCACCAACGGTGGTGGCAACACCGGTGGTGGCAGTGGTGGCAGTGTGCCGCTGTACGCGCAGTGCGGTGGCAATGGGTATACCGGCCCCACGGCGTGTGCTGAGGGGAGCTGCAAGGCGCAGAATGAGTGGTATAGCCAGTGCACTCCTTAGGTGGTTGCCTACCTAGGCGGGTGGTGAAGGGGTGAGTGAGGAGGTGGTGGCGGCTTCTTGTATATAGTTGAGTTGGCCTTGGCCTATTTTGGACTTCGTTGTCAATAGTTTTTGCGAATCAAAGTACATACGCAACAGTACCAAGGTCTCAGTGTTAGGGTGCGTGTGACGAGTTGTTGGCTTCTGTGACGGCGTGGGTTATACACTGGTTGTGACTATGAGACAGACCAGGTCGGCCAACCGAACGGGAATAGAAACTCGGCACCTGTGTTGACGGCCCGGTCGGTTAGTCCAGGCCGGGTATCCGTTTTACAAACACCAACACACCAGCTTAGCTTATTAGCCGGTTTGCCGGTTTACTCCCACGTTTCGGCGATCCCGGGCCCCGGCCGGAGTGGGGCGGGGCGGGTCCGGCCGGACTTTACGGCCTGCCTCCCGGCCGGGCCACCCACTGTTTGTTTCGGGTCCCCTTTCTCGGCCGATTGCAGCCTGGGCCTGGCCCGGTCGTGGATCTCCCTTGAACGGAGCGCAACGGCCGTGATTGATTGGGGTTTGCGTTGGCCAGACCGGCAAGAGGGCGGTTGGGGTCTTATGCGTTGGTTTAGTTGTCTACATTTCTACTTGTACCATGTGAGGAAAGAGAGGGGTCTGGGCATAAGGTCTCGCTTATCTCGGCCGCAGTGATGGGCCCGGCCGAGAAGGTGTGCTCAACTAACAAACTGGGCAATGGGCCAACGTCTAATTCAAATCCGCGAGAACTTCCCTCTGAGCACACACCGGGCCCCCTTCCGGGCCGCTACACGACCATGTTCCGGGCTCTCATATGCACACAAGTGAGCAGGTCTAGATCCGTACCAAGCCCAGAGAAGGAGTCCCAGGCCGTTGGGACTGTGATCACATTGTATCTAAGTCGCAAACCCGGCAAGCAAGGGTGTACATACTACACCTCCTTGCTCGATACAAGTAAGCAAGGGGGCTTCTGATCAGGTCTGGGCCTCATCCGGAGCATCTCCACCGCAGAGACGTTGAAAACGGCGACGGGCACCGTTATCTTCCCCCGAGGCGCCCCGGCCCCCGCCCACGCCCCTGAAACCGTGATCGCCCTTGCCGTCACCGGCATCCTCGCTGTCCGACCTGGAAAGAGACTTGCCGTTGCATTTTGTTTCAACGCCCCCCGGTGCGCATCCTCATGCCTGGGCTGACCTTGGGTGGGAGTGCGGACGCGGGTTGATGATGACAGGCGCCTCCTTGCATGGCGAGTTTGTACATATGTATGGAGGTATTCGTAAGCAACTGTAGTACAACGTACGTCCAGAAGTCTGGACGCGGGGAAGTGATGCACCGGTGTGGCGGCTGGTGATGCAGTCCCTGCGTTTCTGTGGCACGTTCTCATGCACTCCGATTTGGTTGATCGTCGGCGGGTTGGACTCGGGATGCCGCCATGGCCTCGGTTGGCTAGCACTCTGTCATGTAAGTGGCCTGTATGATGTATCTCATCACAGTCCAAGAGATACCAGAGTCTAGAACCACAACGTATAACACCGTAGAGTAGCACTGATGATGGTAGCAAATTCACAGTACTCCAACATGACCGTTGATCAAATCTTGATGTGTGAGGATATAAGCCAACCAGCCCTCTTCCAACCAAAGGGACTCCCTTCTGAGTGCCCATGATCCTCAGGAACCAGAGTGACACGCACCAATCCGATGGCCACATCGCCCATCGCCACCGGCGCGGGGGACAACCCTCCATCTCGACATCCCAGGGGCAGTTCAAGTCTTCCATCCCGGCGTGATTGGAGTGGTCACCAAGAAAATGGAAGGGATGGATAAGGTAGCATGTCCGACACCTGCGGGGTAGCTTTCTTGCCCCTGACTATCCCTCCATCCATCCCGTTGCATGCTTCCCAAACGAACCTTTGCCGCCGACTTGCCGACACGTGCGACCTCTCTTTCGTTTTGTTTCCCCTCCCATCGCCAGTCCCATCAAAGCTTCCGAGCCCAGCAATCGCAATGGCACTCCCATCCCACGTTTTTTGCGGCGCACTTGCATCCGCGTGTGGAGCGCTGCAGGGAGCCTTGAGACGAAGCGAGGGCGTACCCGATATTTGCATCGGACGGGTTGTGGATTCGCTGTGTGTTTACGGGAATCCTTTTTATCGAGATAACCTTCGCCGCGTTGCAACCGAGCGGGGACGGCCGGATCAGACCGGATCTCGTTAACTATCTCACCACCAAGCTGTGGAAAGGGAGGCAAGGGAAAGAGGAACGAAACATTCCAAGACACGGCTCGGCGTCCCTTCGCTTCGTCGGGGTTAGTGAAGGGGGTTTGTTGAAACAGCATCAGCATCCATCCCCCTGCTTGGCCCGGGCAGGAATCCTTCCCGAGGGAGGGAGCGCGAGAGTCAACGAAAAGAAGGATTTCTTTCTTCTAGAACAAAATCCAAGACCGGGAAGGGATGGCGACAAGTCGCCGGCGATGCGCCCGTGCAACCTCCCCAAAACTCGGTTGTCTTGCAAGTCGAATCCCCTTCCATGAAAGAGCCAGGGATGTGACAGTCTCAGCGGGACGGCATCCGAGCAAATGTAAAACCGGCATGTCGTCAGGGCGAGTTGCGCTCAGGCTCAGCCGCCTCGTCTCAGCGACTCTCAACTGGTGCGTGCATGACCGGAAACGGGTGGCGAAACAAAAGCCTCCAGGTCTGAGAGCAAAAGGCTGCGTAACCTGAGTCAGTTAGTTGCTCTCAGCTAATTGACGAGTCACCATTGAGTGAACCTATCACACGTCAAAAGGGAGATTGTGAAGCGACACGAGTGATTGTGCAAGGCAAGTCAGATTTGTTTGATTGCTTGATTCGAAAAAGTAGTTAGGAAAAAGAAAGATGCCAGGTATCCCAGTCTGTGAGCTGTCCTGTACTGTGCGCCGTGTGCGGCAGTGGTATCGTCATCCCAGAAAACCCAAGTCATGTCATGTAGATCCGCCCTGAAATCATCATTTCCCAGACGCCTCCTGTACCTTGATGAACCTGTTAAACGCCGAAGATCCCTATCCAACCACCCATTGATTGATCGCCCATTGTCCCGTCGTGACGCCAAAAAAATGCAAGTAAATGAGATCCTCCGTTTCCGGTTTCAAGGCTTCCCCATCAATTTGACGCTCCTCCTCCGAGCCGACAGCCCGCTCAGGATTCCCTTCCGAGCCGTCGCCGGGCTGGGTCCGGCGGGGGAGGTCGGCGACATGATATCGCTCGGCGGCGACGCTGCGCCCATTACGGTAGCGTTGCGCTTGACCGACCGCAGGATGTCCGTGTATGTAATTGGTGTTACCGGTGTCTTCGGCCGCTGGTCAGGCCTGTGTAGTTGCGGTTGCTGTGTTTGTTGCTGTTGCTGTTCTTGTTCGGACTCTGGCTTGCCCTGCTGCGGCTCCTCGTCGACGCGATGCACCATGGCAGGCGACATGACCGAGTTCCTGTTGTTCGATGTCGTCGCAAAAGACGTGTCCAACTTTGGGATGGCCGTCTGCGGCGAGTTGAGGTTGGGCCTGCTCCGCCGCCGGGCTAAACTGAATGACCGGGTTACACCCTTGAGCAGCGTCGTTGGAGTGCGGGGCGTCTTGACCGGCTGGGTCTCGCCTTCGAGGCTATCCAGCGCCTTGGGGATGTCAAGGCTATAGGTGCTGCCGTTGGCGTAGGGATCGATGCTGAGGAATGGCGGCCTCTTCTTGGTCAGGATTTCGGACAGGAGCATGCTCTTCCGGTTGGCCGGTGGCTCCTTGCTGAGGCGGGAACGCCGCGACGAAGTTGTGCTGGCCGGCGTGCCTGGCCGTTCCTCGGTGGTAGCCGATCGGGTTGTAAGCGGTTTGGCGGGGGGCAACTCGGTACTCGATTGCGTCCTGGTCGTTCCCAACGAGCTGCTCGACGTTGGCCGTCTCCGCGTCGCAGGCAGGTCCACGATCGACGGCTTCCCAGAAAACACCACCGAAACCGCCCGCGCTGTGACCTCATGGCTGGTCCTTGTTGGAGAAGTCGGATCGTCCACGCTCGAGTCGTAGTCGTAGTCGGAGAAGTCGTCGGCGTCCGACGACGCGTCCTCCTCGGACGAGAGGTAGACGTCATGCGGAGTGGTCGACTCGACGGTGCCACCGACCTTGAGCCCCAGGTTGTCAAGCATTCTGGAAGCTCGAAGGGCACTCCTCGCGGGGAGCTTCGGGGCGTCGTCGTTGCCAAGGTTGGGGCTCGGCGCCATGGTGTCCTGGTTGTCCATGTCGTCGAACTTGTCAAAGATGGGTTCGTCGAAAGTGGTCGCTGTGGAGAGAGGGAACTCGGGTTTATCGTCGAACGCCTGGGTAGTGGTCATGCCGATTGGGTGATCTGCCCTTCCCTCGGGAAGGGGTTGGTCCGCCAGAGACATTGTCCTCGAGGGAGAATGTGTTTCAAGCCGGAGGGCTAGTGGGAGGCGGTCAAGGGAGGAGAGGAGTGAAGTGAGCAGTGGGAGGAAAGGTCAAGCTCAAGCAAGCTAAGGTCAATGTCTCAGCCTCCTGGACTGAGATTCTTTGAGGTATGGCAGAATAGCAACGACTGGCATGGAGGAACATGTCCCGAGAGGTTGGGGGGGTGGGAGAATATTTTAATGCAGACTGCGCTGCCCAAAGGTGGGCATCACCCACCCCGGGAGCTGATGTGCGAAGAAGTGTCGAGTGCCAAGAGAAACCTTCTCTCAGAATGTTAACGGTCTGCAGAGAGAGGACCCGCCGTCACAGCCGGCCGCATTCTGTGTGGTGTGTGTGTGTGTGGGGTGGGTTCTGCGCAGGAAATGCATGTCCCTCCGTCCCGCAAATCGCTGCAAAAAGCAGGTCCGTTACGAGAAAGACGGATGAATGGGCTGCCCTCGCATGACACACCCTGCGTCCCCTGTCCCTTGCCCCTGCCCCTGCCACCGGCGATCCCCTGCTCAATGCCTCCACAGCGACCGGAGCAAGGATGCGGGGAGCTGCCGTGGCTGCGAACTTGGATCAGCCCGTTTCTTTTTTACGAACGGCCAACAGTGCCTCGAATTCAGATCAGTGAGTCCGATGGTTACGAAAGGTGCCCCCAACGCTTCAACGGAGTCATTGGCAACTCCACCGGAATGAAATCGGCCGTCTGTTTGAGCCCGGCGGAGGCTGGCTGTCGTCTGGGCTGCCATCGAGGGTTGCCAGAATGGCGAGCCCTGGTTGGCCGTGGCCGCTGTTTCAGGTAGAACCGGCCCTCAACCTTCAACGTGGACAGCGAGCGCAGAGAAGAGGAAAGTCCTCGCCAAGCCTGCGATTTTCGACGCGATGTGCCCACTAACCTCCTCTCGGTTGCAACTCCAAGAGTCAACTTCCGCGCGAATCGATCCCTCGAGAAAACTCTAATTTTTTTCTCGCATTGGAGTCAGGATTGTGTCAAGTCTTCGCCGCTGGCTGGCGGGCATTCCGGAGCCGGAACTCTCGTTTTCCATCACAGCCACGCTCCCACCGCCTCGTGTGCGCCTGTTTGCCCGTTACCAGCCTCCCAGTCCAAGATCTGCGCAGTCTGTTCTGTCATCAGTGCCATCAGCCCCAGCCCGGTTTCCCGAGGGCCTCCGAGCTGTCGACAACGTGACCGGCGAGTGGGTGCGATTCTCCAATCAGCCGTGGTTCGCCATTGCCGCCGCCCTGAGTTGGAATCTGGGTCGTCGTGCCAATCGGCGTCACCCAGGCACCTGCCCCTCACAAACTCACGAACCCACGCAATCCCGCGCTGCCAATCAAAGATTCGCGTGGGAAATCCTGGGGACCTTCAATGGTTCCCCGCGGCCGACAAGAGGCGAAACAGGTTCATGTCGACGGAGGTGCTCGCAGCGGCTGGATGGTGTTGCATGGTGTTGCACACCACCATCTTTCGCAAACGCGAAGGAGTTTGAGTGAGAGGACTCCGGGTTGGGTTGAGTTTTCGTCCTGCCCGGCGCCTGTCCGCCCGACCCTTCGACCCGTCACGATGCAACGGAGCCCGACCGACCTGCCCGGCTCACTGTGTCGACCGCCCTCCATAGTAGTTACCTGTCCAACTTGACACGGCCAGGCCGCAAATGCAAACCAGGTGCTTGCTTGTTCAGTCGTTCCTCGCGGCATGAACTCTCAGATTGATCTAAACCCGGCACGGCCTCGGAATCCCGCGCCCGGCCACCGCCAAAACGGAAAGGTGTTGACTAATCTATAGGCCGGCTGCCTTCCCTCCTTTTGCTCTTGACCCGACCTACCTTGGCCATGGCCAGGTTCGCAAGCAGAGACCGGCCGATAGCGATGGCCGCAAATAAGTCATAATTTTTGGGTGAAGCTGACAGACCGACCTCCGTCTCGCCAACGGTCCCCAAACCCAACCCACAAACACGTCCACGACTAACTATCGATAAGCCGCATTCGGGAGTGGACCCTGATCTGCAATTCTTACCCCCAACATCTGGAACACAACAACTCACCTCGCATCTCGCAGCAGGCAATTCTTCCTTCTTGCTGTCGCTCACCGCGCAGCACCGCGAACACCGCCCTTCTCTTCGTAAGTACATGTACATGCACCATGGGGACCTTGCATGGCGAGTTCGGTCCTGCAGCCGTTGGCACAAAGTGATTGTGGCGCCACCTCGTGCGAGCCATTGTCTCACAAATCAACTCGAACCAAAGCACGTCCAAGCTTCAGCCGCGACTGCTGACCGACTTTCTCTCGGATCCTTCTCCGCGTTCACTCACGCTTCTCGGCCTGGGTCGGAGGAAAGCAGTCAACGCGGCTGCGTTCGCTCGGGTCTACGCGGTAGGTACCTGAGTTATCGCGAAACCCGGGAAGAAGGTTCGTCATGTTTGTACCCCGTGCACTCCGTTTCGTTTCACTTACCTCGGCGACGAACCCCCCTTGGGCATCCTGGACGGTCCTCCCGTGCTGCTGTCCCCAATAACACCACACAAAACTACCTCGGCGCTTCAAGGCTCAAAGCGTCAACGTCAAACCTGGCAATGACCTCGTGGTCGAAAGCTCGAAACACGGCCGCTTCAGATGACTGACCCATGCCTGGGCGCCTGGATGCGACGATGATTGCACCGTTTTGAGCCGGGTGATCCCAATTCTCTTTCCTTTATTCAGGGTCACCGTGTATTCAAGGTCACTGTCTCATCCGGATTGACTCTTCGCGGGCTTACCTTCCCTTTACCTGCTAGTTCCCGATCTCTCACCATGGAGGCGGGATCCGTTCGTCTGATGTTGATGAATGCTAACCCTAATTCTGAACATTGCGTCATGCGCGATCGAGGGTTGTGGACCGTTGGTCCAAGCTTGGAGAAACAACAAGCCGCTGTTCTACATACATCGAATCTTGTTTATGTGTCCTCTTCCACCCTTCCAAAAAGAGGGGAAAATGAAAATGAAACCCGGCATCGATCTTGAATTGTCCGGATATAATTTCGTCGTCCCTTCCATCGGAACACGAACACGTCCTCTTCTCCCCCACCAGGCCCGTTTCTTATCAGAGGGCGAATGGCCCGTGCGCAAGTCCGTGGGTCTAACCGGATTTGGCCTGGGGCAAACGATGTTTCTAAAATTGTTTCAGCTCGTTCGTGGTCGCTCGTCGGGCTCCCCAGAATTTCCAGACTACATGACACTGCCGAGAGATCTGTGTCACCCACCCTTCAAACGTTTTCAACCATTGTCACGGGCATGGTTCCCTCGGGTCGTTCTCTTGGCTCCAACACTCGGGATATTTCCCGTTTAGTACAGAATCCTCGAACGCGACCAAACGGAGATTCACTCGGTCAACAGAATTCGCATAGCCAGGTCGGCTCCTAAATCAAGCATATATGACTGTCTCGTTACCCCGCCATGCCGGTGGGCTCGGTGCGGCACAGAAATAGACTTGGGGAGGCCACCGACAGCCCGGCTCTTGCGCGTTAGACAGGAGTTACTGTGTAACAGGATGAGGCTGACTTGGCTGAGCGACGTCAGAGGACGAATCATTCCACCGGCCGCATCGCAACCCTGACCGACGGATCGCCTGACTCGACGCGCGTTGCATGCCAGGCTGAGGCTGGGTTCCTAGATATAATTCAGCTGGAAGGATTTCCATCCGCATTTGGTATCACCGCCCGGTGCCCGTTCTCGCTCCGGTGCCGCTGGGAGCACTCTGCTGAGAAGACTGCATAATTGCTCGAAAAGGGACGGCGAGCCGAGCAAACATTCGACGCCGGCCACTGTGCAACACCCCCACGTGTCTGCCAACGCGCCGGTTTTCGGTGACTTTCCTGCCCTACTTGCACGGTTCTCCGACCACCTCGCGCATCCCGCACTGTATGTCAACACGCGACAACATGGCACAGAATCAATGGTCACTGAGCGAGGAGCTCCCCCCTTCAACCATGTTCTCCGCTTGCTCTCATCGCCAACCAAACATATCCTAATGTCCCCCATCCTCGCGCAATTCTCGGTATATTATGGGCAACCTACCTTGAACAGCCGAGGCGAGACCCAACCCGATGTTACATTGCATACTGTTGACGATGCAGTTGGTGATATTTCACGGCCGGGCCTGGCCCCCATTCACGTGATGCACACAACAGCGCTTGTTGGACAGCACTCCCCCGAGTCCTTCGGTTGTTCAACCTCTGGCATCTAATTATCTTCTGACTACCACTTCGGCCATGGATTCCCGCGTGCCCCAATGACAGACTGTATGACCTATTCTTAGGGTACGTCAACTGCCAGACGCGATGAAAGTGAGCGTGCTCGCCCTCTGCACCCTCGGGGCGCTCGCCCAGTTGGCAGCTGCCTCCGAGTTTAGAAAGTGGTACCCCGAGTACGGAACCGTCTTCCAGAACACCCTTGAGACACACTGTTCGGCCGAGTACGCCGCCTGGGCCGCGGGCTTGCCGGCACGCCCCGAAGAGTACACGGCCAATGGCACCACCTCGGCGGGGCAGGCCGTGGTGCAGTGCATACTCTCCAGCACGTCCGAGTTCATGAAGGCCAACATGGCCTCCGCCGCCGTGCTACTTGGCATCATGCCTTTCGCCCTATCGGTGCTTGGGTCCAGTAGTGAGGAGAGCGCCCTCCTGTACGTCATTGGCCGCCGCCCGCTGCTGACCACGTTGCTGCTCGCGGGCGCCCCCGTCGTGGTCGCCCTACGGCCGTTCGAGTACAAGGACCCCGTTGGCATCCTCCGGGCGCGCGAGGGCCGCTTCTACAGCTTCCACATCGGGCCGTCGTGGGTCGTCCTGGCGCTCGAATACATCGTCGCGCTCGCCTCGGTCGCCAACGTCGTCCACGTCACGTACGGGCTCGGCGTCGGCGTGACCACCATGATCCTGCCCGACTCGAGCTACCTGCCGGGCGTGTGGGCCGCCACGGGCATCGCCGTGCACGTCATCGGCGCGCTCTGCCTGAAGTCGCGCCTGCGGCTGCTCACACCGAAACGCGAGCCCATCGTCAAGTCGGAGCTGACGCTGTCGGCCGACAAGCGCATCACGGTCGAGACGGTGCCCGAGACGAAGCGCTTCCTCGCCCTCTCGTGGCTCACCTCCACCTCGACCACCTTCCACGTCATCTTCGGCACCCTGGCCTTCTCCAGCATGCAGTTCGTCTCGGTGCGCGACGCCTTCGGCGTCATCGGCCGCTACACCGCCTCCGTCACCATCTGCCGCGTCGTGCTCATGTACGAGCTCTCCGGCCTGCGCACCGCCGTTGATGACGGCGGCAGCTCCATCCTACCGCCTGCTGATGACGGTCAGGACCCCGTCGATGGCCTGAAGGCGGGGCCCCGCGTGTTTACCTTTGCGCCGTGAGTGTGACCTATGCTAGGCTACGGGCCGCCTACCATGCGGGAATGACGTGCATGTTAGAGAGGCAGTCGCTGTGGGGTTTCTATGTACACATATCATCTATTTTTCCCCGGCTTTATGCTCCTCATGTTCAACGTGGCAAAGGTGTCAGAATAGAAGAGACGGTGTCTGTAATTCACCGACTGGAAATCACGAGTCAGAGCTGATGAGTTACGAATTACTGAAAATACATTGACGTTGAGCAAGCGCAGAGTTGTTGTTCTCGTCTTACCCGAATTAGTTGATAGAAGTTGGCCAACCCTGTTTCTCCTCAGTTTACCCACACTTTAGAGTTGATCATGTTCTTTTCCACAGTGGGCGGGCTTGACAAAACGGAGACGGCTCAGCTTCAATGTGTAAGCCGAGCCGAAGATCGACCTGTCGTGCCACACGGCGACCGAACGACTTTCCTGTGCCGCAGAGCTGGCCAGCTAGCTCTTAAGCATCTGACATGCACAACCCGTCATGCAGAGCTACCTCATCCCGCTCTGTTGGCCGACTCTGACCTCTGCCGCTTTCCATTCGATGCGTGCAGAGAGTTAAAAACAGCAACCCACCCCGCATATCCCCTCATCCTCCCCCAATGCAGCAAACAACATCCATCAGTGGAAGATCACCCAAAAAAATCATCATGGCCCCGTGCTGACACCAATGGGATCGGCAGCTGCCCACGCCAGGCCGAACCAACCTCCCAGCTCACCTGAAGGCCCCGACTCGGATTCGCTGCTGACTTTCCAGCCGTTCGACTCAGCCCTCCTCCCAACCACCAACACTGAGAAAAGAGGACGGTGAGTCGACCACGTATGTGGAGGATTTTTGTTTATTGAATTATTGAAATGCAGGTCTCGAAGGTGGCCGCGAGCTGTTTAGACATGCCGTAGCTGGATCCTTTGTGATGGTTTGCAGTGAGTGACTGTTGGTTGGGAACTGTGTTCTGTGCAAGTAAGTCGTGCATGTGCTTCGCACTTGCGTCTGGGTCGGGTTGGATGGGTTTTTCTGGTGATAGCAACGTTGTAGGAGGAGGTGATATGGTAACGGCGTTTCGGAAACGGACCTCCGGTACCTACCTATCTGTTTAGTGTCCTTCTTTCTTGAAAGAAAAAAAAGATCTATTTTGGTCTATCGGCTTGTAAAAGTCCGATCATGGCAGTGTGGACTGACTCGGTACTGAGATGAGGGTTGATATGCCTTCCTGCTCAAACAATTCTCACCCGAATAACACGAGTACGAGGTAAAGTGAGGTTACAAGGCAAACAATTGAGAATGCTCATTGTGAAGTCTGATCCAAAACACTCTCTTTTGTATATTTTTGATAAACTTCTTATGACTGCAGCAACCTACCTGGGCTCTCTCATCCACCAATCCTTACCCAAAGCGATCGTGATAACTCCCTCCGCCATCATATATCAACAAACCCTTGGTCTCAAAGAAAGTTCCCATCGAGCTAGATAATCCCACCAAATGCCGTGTTACTCCAAAGCCAACCCAAACCCCATCCCTCTGCATTCTGTCGCATGCAGCAAAGCCGTCGCACTCGGCTGCGTTCCTTGCAGCTGCACCCCCCATGAGGATTTAGTAGAGTCGCAGTCGCCATTGAACCGCACTAGCGAGGCGTTTATGCCCGCTTAACCCCTGACTATGGAAGAATCGGTAGAAAAAGTCTGCTAGCCAAGGTGTGGTGGTGTTGTAATGTCGCCACCCTGATATTGAACTGCCCTGGGGATGGCGTGCCGTGCTTCGTTTTGAGGTAAGATCAACATGGAAAAGGGACGACATTGATGCGGTGAGGTGATTTTTGACAGCATCAGGAGCACCGATAGAGTGGAGAGCGCAAGAAAAAGAAAAAAGGAAACGGTTAGACGGAAGGTGGTAGACGGGAACGGGGATCGAGCACACTAAGTATGCAGGGCATACGACTATCCGTTAGGGACAACTCAGCACCTACATGATGTCCAGTTGAAGTGAAAGAGGCCGGGGCGTGGTGGCCACTTCCCAAAGCCTGGCACTCCAACGTTTTGAACGCTTGATATTGAACCGATAAGGGGGTATACCTAATACATCTGCCAACATTCCCAAATCGAAGAAGAAAAGGTCCCCGCTTCCCGCGAACAAGCAGGGCGGGCAGACACGAACGGACTAGGACTCCCATGTACCCCCCTCGACCTCTTAACCCCATCCACCCCATTCGTCCCGACCCAGCCAGCCAGCCAGTACCCGTCGCAATTTTTGCCGTCTTGCCCAAGCTCACCAACGCACAAACTATCACATTTTCCCTCTCCTTCCCTTCTCCTTCACACCCCCTCGCTCGCAGCCCACCACTCATCACTCACTCACCGCCACAAATCCATCTTCTCCCTCTTCTTCTCACCCGCACTGCTCTTCGGCCTCGGCCACTCATCCTCCCCACCACCACCACCACCACCACCCTCAAACCCACCCCCACCACTCAAATTCCTCCCCCTCCTCTGCCCACCCCCATCACCACCACCGCCACCAGCACCAGCACCAGGCACAGCCAAGAACCCGCCGCCCGCCCCACCCACGCCACTGACAAGCACGCTGCGCCTGGCACCAGCACCGCTGCTCCAGCCGGAGGCGTTCCCGCCCAAGACGTCCGCGCCGAGTCCATAGCTGCTGAGCGGTCTCTCGGGGCCGCCGCCACCGTCACCACCACCGCCGCCGCCGCCGCCGAGGCTGCCTCCGCGCGCACCGTGGCCGCCGCCGCCCGCGCGGCCGCCGTTGCCGCCGACCTGCACGAACGACCAGCCGAGGTGGTCGTCGTCCTCGCCCTTGGTGAAGACCTCGAGCTTGGCGGGGAGGTTCATGAAGCCGCCGGCGCCGGGCGCGGGCGGGCAGGTGAGGGCCGCGAACGGGTTGTTGCTGCTGAAGCGCGGGTTCGGGTTCGGGCTCGTGCCGAGGCCCGAGTTGGGGCCGAAGGAGCCGTTCAGGGAGGAGAGGGAGCCCTGAGGGCGGTGGCCGCGCGCGGAGAAAGGGGCGGATGGCGGGGAGAGCGGCGGGAGACCGCCGTGGGAGGGCCTGTTGCTGGGGGAAGATAGGGGGGAGGAGAAGGGTGAGTTTGAGCCACTGCTTGCGGGCCGGCCGCCGCGCCCTTCGGCGTAGGCGGGGGCGGGCGGGGGCAAACCGAGCAGGAGGTCCGGGAAGTTGGTGTCTCGGACATAGACCGCGTGCAGGTTGGGAAGGCCACCCGAGAGGAGAGAGCCGGCAAGGTAGTTGTAATAGCTCGCTGTGACGCCTGCGTATTTGGGCGTAGAGGCTGCGGCTGTGATTTCGAAGTGCAGAGTCTCGAGGCTGGTAGAGGAGAGCGGCGGGATGTTGTGCGTTCCGGCCGCCGCTGGCAAGGTAGCCGAGACGCTGTCGAGGATGGACAAGTGCTTGAGTGCGGGCGTGTAAGCCATTAGGTCCTGCAAGGCCCAGGCTCGTGCGCCGGTCCCGTTGAGTGTGAGCACCTTTAGTGCCTGCCGTGCCTCCGGTAGCATCAGCCACCCCTTGAGACCTTCACACGTGACGTTGGGGACGTCAGTCAGAATGAACTCCTCCACCGGGGGGAACGGCGGCAGCATCTCATTCCATTCCAGAGTCTCGTCGGTGAAGGACGTCGTCTGGCTGATCTTCAGCGCGCGCAGGTTTCCCAAGTAGCCCAGCACCTGGCGCATCATGCTCGGCTCCATCTCTACCCGAATCAATTCCAGCACCTCGAGCTTGGTCCACACCCTCCCCGTCGCCAGCGCCTGGAGGCTGTTCTCCGAGCCCCCCATATACGTCATCTTGCGCAACTCGAGGCAGCGCGCCTGCACTTCTAGGCGGAGAGTCAAGAACGCGGGGTCGTCGGTGTAGAGGCCCTCGGGCAGGTCGACATAATGCAGATCCGGCGTCACGGCGATGGTCCGGGCCAAATCGGCTTGGCAGGATTCGCGCAACATGTATGGCATCTTGAGGAACTGGACGAGCCGGCCGCGGCGGACGGGATCCTCGCGGAGGGTGCGGCAGAGGAGCTTCAGGCGAGCCTGTGCCGGGTCTTCGGGCTGGCCGTTGCGGTCGAAGAAGGACCGCCGCTTCCGACGCTCAGCGAGGATAGCTTCGAGGTCGCAGTAGTGGACGCTATCGATACGAATGCTGTGGTATCTGTGGGAGGAAGAGGCTTCGGTCAGCGAACCGTCGTCTGGGACCGGCGCACCACGTGAGCAAGAAAGGAAGGAATGCAATTCAACGTACAGCAGTTTGATGGCCTCCCCCTTCCACGTCCTGCAGACCGCGGCGCAGTGCGCCAGGTCGCGCAGGTCGCATAGCATACAGCCATCGTCGACCGAACTCTGCTCGCACGTGGCGTAGGTCTCGTCGCGGCTGTGGGGACAGACAAAGGTAAAGATGCGCTCAAGTATGGCTACCGGGAAGCGAGAGAGAAGTGCGGCGGAAGCGCGCGTTGGCATGGGCTGGGGCCCGCTTGTGTACTGTGAGTAGGTCCTTGGGTCGAAGGAGCTGGACGGTGGTGAACCGAAGGGTCGGTGGTTATCGGGCCGGTAGTCGACGGAGCCGTACCCGCCGTACGCCGAGCCAGATTGCTTGCTGTTCGAGCCGCTGCCGAAGCCCGGCATCCGGCCGGGCGTGCTACCGCCGTCGTTCTTCCGCTTGTCTTTTCTCCTGAAAAACTTCATTGTATCTAGGAATGTTGTGGCAATCCCATGCCAGACCGAGGGGAAGGGTGAGGTGCGAGAGAGTGCGAGAAAGAGGTGGGGTCCTGTGGAATTAAGCTCTCCGTCATTAGGCACTGACTGAATGGCCGCCGCGGGCCGGTGGCTGTCAGTGCTTGCCGCTATGTGGGCAGGGAGGCAGCCCCCAGGAGATGATCTTCTGCAGCAATTGATAGGCTCAGGTCGCGCTGGAAGTGAACCACGTTGGGTCCCGTTGTTGCAATAACTCGCTCGCAGGTCCCGCAAATGCAATGGCTCGCTGCAGAGCACAACTGATAAACCCCAATCGAGGCCGCTGTCACTTCCCCTAAGTGACAAAGCCTTTTTGTATCAGAAGGATGAAGGAAGGATCGCCGGTAGTCGAGGAGGAACCAAGGTAGGTGTCCATGGATAGACATGCACCCGGTAATAACGCTGCCTGAAATGCATGTCAGATCTTGGGATCCAGGAACCCGGTCCTCGCTCTGTCACAAGGCCGGCTCCATGTTCAGGCTGATCAGTTGCTAGAAAGGACGACAAAGAACAAAATGACTTGTCGCACGGTTGAGATGAGAGGAGTGTTGTGTGGAGGGGTCGACCATCGTTGAATTGCGGGGCGCGGGCGCGAGATTATAGGGGACGCCACTCAGCACCTGCCTGATTCAGTCTCAAACCCAACTTCCAAGGTTATCTCCCTCCCAAATGTTGTGGCGTTAAATGTTCAAAGATCATCGAAACACCGATGCTTCCATAGGTGGATAAGTCCCTTTTATGATGGACATGTGTGCGAGAAGGTCTGATTTGACTCAGTTCAAACTGACCGGCGCCCAATGCCACACGGACGCGATGGTGGGTGTGAGCTCTGCGAACTTGGAAGACGGACCAAAAGCGTACGGGGACGACAATCCAGCGTGGCTAAACTTTTGCGAGTCAATTTACAGGTGGCGCATGAATAAATAGATAGATACACAAAAACCTGGCTCATGGCCAGTAATTACCTCCCCGGTGGTTCGTCTCGCTGTCGACCACCAGCTCGAACCTCGTACAATCTGGCGGCTGATCCTAGACCACCGCTCTCTCCAAAAGAAAAAAAAAGACGAACACGCTATATACGAATGCTGATGATGCTTCTGTGCTTTGGTGGACTGGGCGAAAAAAGAGCAAAGCTGCTTTCATTGGTAATGCAATTTATGATTGTCAAACCATCAGAGCCCCTTTTCCTTGGGTAGCCCGATTGATCAGTTGCCGTTGGCCGGGAGGCTGTCCGGCGGACTCCCGGCTGCTCCGGCCGTCTTCGTTCTCAACGTGAGCGGGAAAGGGTACTCATCAGGGTCCTCCTCCTCACTGTGCAATGCATTAGCAAAATTATCGAAAGTAGCGGGGCGTCAGTGTCACTCACGGGAGCTTCCATGCAACATAGTCCTCGGTACTCAGGCCCTCCCGGCCTTCCTGGAGGCTGGCAAAGTCGCCGGGAGTCATCATGCCGGTCCGATCCCTAGGAGATCCAGGCACGGAGAAGGGACGCGAGATCTTCTGGTCCACGCCTGGGATGAAATCCTCCTCCTCCTCGCCTTTGAAAGACGTGGGATATGCCCGCCTCAGCGCGAGCTGACGGGCCTTGACATACTCCATACCCATCCGCTTCCAGTCGAGAAGATCACTAAGCCTCTCGGTCCGGTTCCGTTGGTTGATGCGTTGCCTCCGGCTCTTTTGGGCAAAGTCAAACATGTGCGATGTGAGCTGGTTGACCGAGTCGTCAACCCCCTTGGTGCGGCGGTCGACGATGTAGATACCGTAGTCGCTGGAATTCTCAATCAGCTCCTCCATGTAGCAGCCGAACCCGGAGAGATTTGTCGTGATGCTCGGCACGCCCATCACGGTGCACTCGGCGGGAGTGTAACCCCACGGTTCGTAGTAAGACGGAAACACACCCATGTGGGTGCCCCGAACAAAATCGTCATAATCGAGCGGCAACACCGGATTCGCCGAGTTCAGGAACTCGGGGTGGAACACGATCTTCACCCGGTCGGTAGGATGGTTGAAGAGCTGCACCCGGCGGATCTGGTTCAGGACTGGATCTTCACTGTCGTTGATCATGTTATGCGTGACAATCGGGGGCAGCCCGTGTCGCTTCATGGCGAACAGACGCCGGCGGAGCAGGACGCGGTCCTGGCTCGAGATCAACTCCTTCTCTTCCGGCATCGGCTCGCCATCGTGCCACTTCAGCGACCGCTCAAAGATGCGCCGGCCGATGTTCCTCTCAATCGTGTCCACAGTGTCGCGGAGAGACTTGATCACCGCCTGGCCCTTTAGAGCCTCGACCGTCAGCGACGATGTCTGTGCGGGCATGATGACAAAAGCGACGACCGTCATCTTACTGCCGGCCGCCTTGAGCCTGTGGTTCAAGCGAGCCAGCGACTCGATGAACATGTCGACACCCTTATTCCTGAACTCGTAGCGCCCTGCCGTGAAGAAGTAGAGCGTGTTCTCGGGGTCGAAGTCGTAGTGGCCATAGAAATGGCCCCGTACAAAGTCGTGAATCTTTTCCTTGGACTGCTGGTGCAGGTTCTGGAACTCGTGAACGGCCGCGAACTTTGTGACGTTGAGACCGTTTGGAAGCACACCGTCGGGCTTGCGCTTGAGCAAGTGCTCGCTCTCGTAGGCTGTGATATGGGAGACGGTGGTAAAAACATCGCAGGCATGTGTAGCAGCGCGCTCGATGCAGTACCGATGGTAGATTCCGCGCTTGCCGGCTTCCGCATCAACGTCGAAGTGCTGGAGGTTGTTGTAAAAGTCGACTGAGCCGGCGCACAAGTACCGACCTAGTAGTGTCGCGTGGGTAGTAAAGATGGTCGTCACGTCGATTTGCCGTTTCCGAGTCAGTGGCAGCGCAACACCCGCCAGCCACTCGTGGAAATGCGCGATGACGGCCTTTTTCTTCTCGTGACATACGTACTGTGGCGCTGTCAGTTCGTTTCTTCAGAGCGCGCACGAGTCAGTTACCCACCTCCCCCAGAAACCACGCAACGAGGTAGCCGAAAACAATGGCTTCGTTGGTCTCGTCGTCATTGTCGGGCGATGGAATGGACGCCGTGTTCCAAAGATCGGCCTTCCACTCGTTCATGTAGCTGTATGCCGTTTTTGTGTCGAAGAGAAGAACCCTGGGCGCGCCCTCAATCAACCAGCGACCATACAAGATGCCAATACCGCGGTCTTTCATGGATTGGATTGTCGCGGCGAGTTCGGGGTTGGTGGGCTCCACGGCCTCGACCTCTACGGCTGCCTACAACCATGTTACTACCTCTGGGACGGAAAAAACACCTCAATCAGATCAGAGGAATCACGTACGGATTGGTGGTTAAGGGGCCCTATGAGGGTGTAACGGTCGCCATATTCAGCCGTGGTGACCGGAGCCTTGGACTTGATAACGGAGTAGATGCCACCGACTAGGACCGCAGGTTAGCTGTTCTGCCGTCCGATCAGAGCGTCTGAACTCGCATACCTCTGTGCGCAACTTCTGTCGCAATCTCGAACAGCATGTGGTTTTTAACCTCACGCGGCTCACGGTCTATCTCTTCGTTCGCCATGGTGATGAATCGACTAGGCACGAACTAGAAGGATAAAAAGAAAAAAAGGGGTTTCTCGAGGGGGCCGGTGCCAGTCAGCCGCGAGTGCGATGTCGCAAGCAGAATTTATTCAAATCACGAGAGTAGTCTCAACGAAGGCCCGCGGAGAAGGATGGAGGTACGTCAACCGACAAGACAGCCTCCGCAGCTGGGTTATTTAAGTCGAGATGTCGGCGGAAGGCCTGGCTGGAGGAGATTTCTGAGGAATGGGATCCAAGCAAGGAATGATCGGGGCGAGCCGAGATTGAGGCCGGACGAAGGCGGGCCACCTGGGTGGTTTATAGCGGCCGGATGCAGCACAGGGCGGCGGGGTGACGTCGGATCTAGGCGCTGTGTCGCAGGAACTCGGGTGCGGCTAGGTCGACGGCAAAGCACGTTGGGGGCAGGGCGAAACCCAAATTGGAAAGGCGTTAGTTAGAGAATCACCAGGATTTGAAGGCGGGTCGAGGGAGGCGGAAGGGGGAGGCGTTTGCCGCAGATGGTGGGTTGGTGAGAGCTGACGGCCCAGATCGTGTTGGTTGGTGGGCAGGGCAGCGACGCCGGAGGCAAAGTGGGGAGTTGTAGCATGGGAGCTCAGTTTTTTGCGCATGGATGGCAACAGGGGTGAGCTTTTCGGTGCCGCTAGACTGCCCTGCTGCATGCCTGCCGACATGGGTGAAATGAGTGCGTTCGTCAGGTATTTCAGGACTGAACTTTTCTGGGATGTTTCACAATTTCACCAGCCACCTGCTCACCCATCCAATCGTCCTTGCCGCATGCAAACTGCCATCTAGGTAACCACTATAACGACCTACCTTACCTCCCGACCTACCTGGTGGGATCTCGGCGGGCCTTCCCGCTTAACTCCGTGGTTGATTCAGTTGCCTAGGTTTAGGTTGTTGAGAATAAAAATACAAGCACCTACCATCCTATGGCAGGTGAGAGGTTCGTGGAGGGATATGGTAATTATCCTCAGGCCGCTGTGAGCCGCTTTCCTGACCGTACGAAAGATATCGGCCCATACGAATCGTATGTTACAGGATGTTCCCACCATCGCGCGCTGATCGAGCATGGGGGCCCACCAACCGGCCTGAATGACGACATTGGTTCCAGCTTGTCGCTGGGGCCCCGCGTCGAGGTTCCACAAGATCATCACGAACTGGCGAGCCCCCATGAACACGTAGGGCTGTTGGTACGGATCTGTACATAAATGTTATTATCACGGTTTCCTATAAAGCCTTGTTGCTTAAACCAGAACGTATACGAATAAGGCGGGCCAAAATAACAAAAACACACCTGAACTGAGCTGGGTGAGTGCGTGGTGGCATGAGCAGTTTCATTCATGGAAAACGGCAGTTTTCCACCATCGGCACGATGCCGTTCCACGGGCGGATCATTACTTCACCAACGTCTCACTTTGCAATAATCTTGGTTAGCAGGCCAATCACCGTTCACTGTAGTGTGCCATCACACCAACACCACCTAATATCGGGCCCCCTCCGCTTTACCCCAAGTAATCTTTTGTGTGAGCTTTCTGTCGCCAAAAGATTCGCACGGAGAGCTATTTAGAGGAAACCCGGCATCGATAACAATGCCATTTTTAAACGTGACAGCTGACAAGCAATGTCATTGTTCAGATGTCTGGCAAACAACAAAGGGACAACCGGCCCGGAAACCCCTTTCCTGCTGCCCTAGTTAGCAGCCCCCCTTTTTCTTTATGGCTCTAAGAATAGCACATGCCACAAAGACAACAAGACAGGAACAACCTGGGAAATCATATTTAACATCGGCTGTTGCCCACCTGCACGGGCTCCTTGGCCTAATGCAAAAACAGGGCGACTACGTACGACCGATACTTTACTTACAGAATATTCTTAGTTCCAAAACACTTGACTTGATTCGACAACGATGGCATACCAGCAAGGTAGGGGGGGCGGCCGCGGACGGGGCGGTAATCATGGCAACAATAACCGCGGCGGCAACGGCAACGGCAACGGTAACAACTACAACAACAACAACAATAACAACAACAACAACAACAACGGAAATAACCGCGGCGGGAACGGTGGGAACCGGAATAACGGCAACCGAAACTCGGGCAACAACAATAACCGTCAGCGAAATGGTGACAGAAACAACGGCTGGAATAACAACAATAACAACAACGGCAACAACAGGGGAGGTATCAACAAGGGCAACAGATACAACAACAGGGGCAACTCGAACGGCAAGAACCATAGAACGCCTTTGCACCAATATGTTTTGAGCAGTTTGGGCGCGGTGGATGCCATTGACCCAAAACCATTCAACGAGTTGTTAGATGCGGCTACCTTGGCGGGGGGCTTGCTAGTCGACTCTCTTTTTCAAATGGGACTCAATCACCGGGAGGTCGCCCGAACGCTGGGGGTTCCCTTGAGCGTTTTGTTGCCACTCCACAACCTGACCCGGATGCTGCTCGATGGTACTAGGGGGCCAGACGCCGAAGGCGATCACCTCATGATTGACGCCGAAGGCCAGGTCAGCGATGGGGAGAGCATCACGAGTTTACCGAGGGGCGGTCGGCGAAATACGCTTTCCAGCATCGACCAAGCGCTCCTAGGGAGATTGCTGACGAGTAGTATGCTCGGGGGCAGTTGATACGTCACAAAGCGCATTGCGGCCGGGATGGACTAGACAGGGAGGCACATGATGAATGAGACGGACCGACATATCATACACCTAACCAGGACCCAATCAGACGGTAGGTGACCTTTGGGGTAATTGTATAAATTTGAAACCTAGAATATGAAACATCGTTCGCGGGAGAGGACTCGGAGGAGCAGTTGATGAATCGTGACAGTTTGAGGTGCGTGACAATAAAGTGGCACTAGTGGGTAATGTACATACCCGTATGTGTGGGAGAGGGTGGTGAATGAGCTCGATGCCATTGGATACAGACGCGAGAACGAGAAGTCGAATAACTTTGAACAGCAGGAAATTGCCATCTACCAAGTCGCATCAGTTCAGACGGGCGCGGTGGGGGCACGTGATCTCGACCTGGTCTGTGCATGACTTCCCGATCTTAACTTTCGGTCGGGCGGCCCACGCCAACTTTCCTCCACTCATCTTTCCACGACAACATCATGATCTCTCATCGAACATGCGTATTCGGTACGTCTGGTGGAGGTATATGCTTCGCCAATCTCAACGACCCTCGAAAGTCCTTTTGATGCATCATGTTTTCACCTTTCTCCTGTTTGGGCTCCTTTTTGTCGGCAATGGGCGCTCCGTTTGAGCTGCCAGCTGCGGGGCTCGCCTGCAGAGCGGTCGGCAGGCGTCGCTCTCGTCTGGAACAACATCATACCTACGCGATGAGAACTCAAGGCTGAGATGAAGGCGGGTTTGAGATTGTTGGTAACGAGCGGCTGGGTAGTGCGCAGCCTGGCAACAACCTTGTTACCCATCCGCGCGCTGAACCGGAGAATGCATGGAATCGCCAAATGCCCAACCCATCGCTGTTCGCCATCGGGAATCGCCAGAACCCTCGGTTCCCACACACGTGCCGTCTTGCTTCGCTACACAGATGCGACACACGAAATATTGGGAGTTGGCCGCCGCACTTTCGGAACGCAGCGCAATAGCATTCGGGCAAGAATGCTGGACCCTTCCCCTGATACCCGCGCACCGTACACCGGCATACTATGCTTCTAGGGAGGAACGTCGGTCTCATCCAAAGTCCCGTCTACGCGTGACGGCCCCTCGCTACTCTCGGAGACCGGCGTTCGAGGGGAGCTTGAAACACAGTGTGGTCTGCGGCACCGGCGTTCGACGCGGGTTTCTAACCCAAACGGTCGGAATCCCTGACCGGCACCCAACAACGGATTGCCGTGGGAACCCAAGGCCATGTATGTGGGCAACCGGCTGTCGCTGTCCTCATATCGCGAAGCGTGGTGATGAACGGTGGGACATGGTCAGACAGCAACCAACCGCATTAACAATGCCTTTGAAACCTGGCCCGGTTCACGCAGTATCCGGACAGGGCTCGCGTTGCTACGCCAGGTGGGTTGGAATTGGGCTGCACTCGTAAAGCATATCTTGCCGTATATAGTGGTCTCTGCTTGGTGATCAAGTGTTTGCAAGTTTCTGGCCCATTCGGTCTTGGGCTTGTGGCTGGTTGGATCATGGGCGGGATAGTCTGAGAGGCCGACTTGGATGGATGGGTTGGGTTACTCGCGGCATTTTGCTCCTTTGTTGGGGGCCGTTGGGGACAAGCTGGTTGCCCTCGACCTCCCGGGCGCTCAAGGCAAGCAAATGCGCAGTAGGTTTGGGCAACGGACGCCCCGGCTGCACAACAATGACCGGTCGGCTAAGCGGCTCTGACCTGATGACGGACTGACCGTTCGACATCACTGAACAGCTTGTCGTTCACTTCGCAGACTGTTGAGCTGTGTGAAGGGGCAATGCGATTGCCCCTCATGCACATCTTCAGCATCAGTCGAGCAGCACTCGGATCAACGGTCCGTTTCGAGTTATTACAACTGACAACGGGCAGCGAAGGGCATGGTGACTTCGGGAGATGCTGGTCGAGCTCTTTCGTGGAGCGATTGTTCACGGCTTGCCGTCGAACGTGCGTTTTTCGCATCCACCGACCGCATCGCAACAACCCGACGAGCGACGAGGAGAGAGATGGTCACATCACACACCCTGCGACGAGCTCTTCTGGTGTTTATCTAGCCTGCACGTCGCCTTTTCCTGCCGCTAGGACCCTACGGTGTTGTTATCTCAGGCTGGCTGCTCGTTGGCTCGCTATTGAGCTGGGGCTGCCTGGGTCTCCCTCCCGACTGAGGAAGGTCGATTGTCCGCGGTGCAAATCGCCAAAGTGGGCATTTCGTGTTGCAGCCGGCTTGGGTGCCCCGCCCCTCCGCAGCGCGCTACCATGGGAGCCCGCAACAGGCGGGTTGGGCCAGGCTTGCCAGTACGCGTCCAGCGTTCCCACAGAGGCAGACCCGCGAACAGCAACCCCTGTCATTCGCCGCCCCGACCAACTAAAACTCAAATGTCGAATCTCGCATTCATGGACGACCACTTTGCACACCATCGGCGCCGAGACAACGCTGCATCACCAAATGGCAGCAACAGCCACCGGGACAACCAGCACCGCCGTCAGGACGGGAATGACCTCGGCATGACTACTTCACGAAGATCCATTTCGCCCGCCGCTGTTGCCGTGAACCGGACGTCAGACTCGATTACCAGAGAGCGAGACCGAACCCGGAAGCATCATCCCTCTAGGCCTCTTCCCTTACCACAGCGTTCTCGAGGCCGGTCGATCGAGCCATCGCAACAAGATACCCAACGTCGGCACCGCGATCAGGCCCGCAGCCCCAACCGTCGCAGTGATCGCTCGTTTGAGCCATCCCGTCGCTCACCACGCAGTCGCCGAGACCGCTCCCCTGAACCTTCCCGCCGCCGCGAGCCTCGCGCTTCACCGGATCGCCGTCACCCAGACCACAGGTCGCCCGGGCCGAGGAAGGAAGTCCAGGGGCGCCCAGAGGACCGCGCCCGACGCCGTGCATCGCGGTCGCCCGTTCCAAGCAAGCGCCGACGGAGCCCTAGTCCGTCTTTCGATCGTGCATCGCAGCCAAAAAAGGCCCGGCAAGACAGCATCAATCAAACAGGCCCTGAGAGGGGCGTGCCACCGAAAAATCAGCAGTCAAACATCAACCGAGGCCCGTCCCCTTACCCACGTCGCGCCCGTTCCCCTGAACCTCGCGACCAGCTTCCAAGGCCCAGCAGGCGGTCTGGCCGGTCTAGGTCTCCGAGCCCTCCCCGTCGCCATAGATCTCGGTCGCCTCGGAGCAGCCGCCCCTTTCGACAGCATCCCGAGGGGGATTCTCGCAATAGGAGTAGGTCTCCTAGGCATCGGCACCGATCACCTCGACCCGACCCCAGACGTCGATCTAGATCACGCCGCCGCAGTCCCCGCAAAACCGCCCCAGCGGAAACTCAGGCGCGGCCTTCATCAGATACCGGGTCACGTCGGAGAGGAAGTGTTGATCAGGGTCAACCCCACGCTATACGCGGACCGGCTCCGTCCAAATCACCCCGTGACAGTCAGCACCCCAAAACAGCCAAGAGGGGAAGGGCCAGCAGCCACGAGCGGTCGCGCTCGTCCAAACACTTCGACCCCGCCTCCGGTGCCAACAGCATCGAGGTGAAAATGGGTGCCCGGGGTGGTTACCGTGGAGGCTTCAACCCCCAAGCCGGCTATCCGAAGGGGCAATATGATTCCAGGAGCTACGGCCAGTCATCGGGCCATGGAACCCCCGTTTCGTCGTTCCACGGCTCGCCGACGGGTCAGTCACCTTATGGTGGTAACGGGCGGGGCTGGAACAACCAACCGCAGTTTTCCCCTCAAGGGTAAGTTCAGACCTCACTTCGTGCGTCGTCCATTTAAACTTTTTATTAATTAACAACAAAATACAGTGGTCAGTTTTCGCCACCATATCCCCACAACAGTTACGGACCTCCCACGGGCCCCCAAGGGCACTACCACTCGGGCCAGGCACAGTCTCCTCCTTACGCACCGACCGGGCCCGCCGCCCAGTACCCATCCGGACCGTACCGCGGAAGCCACAGAGGCGGGTCATTTCGGGGCAGTCAGTTCTCCGGTCGCGGGGGCCTCCGAGGCGGTTTCAAGAGTACACAGTGGCATCCCCAGGGCAGCGATTCTCGTGGTCCGCCTGACCCAACCGAGGGTTCGGATCACTCCCATGCCACTACGCACCGGTCCCCCATCAGCCATGCGGAGGCTCCGGCGGAGAAGGGTGACGCCTCAATGGCGGACAGCGACAACCCCTTTAGACCCTCCAAAGACTTACAAGTGGAAGATACTAGCAAGGAAGAGGAGTCGAAAGAAGACAAGATGTCGGCTCTCGGCCGGGCCCCTCCGACCGGGCCGCAATCCACAACACCTAATAAGTTTAGTTTCAGCATGAAGAACGCGGTGAAACCAGCAGTGGCCGCACCGAGACCCGAGATATCGTCCAAATTCAATGCCGCACCAGCATCACGCGAACCCCCGACCAAGCCCGCAGCCCAAAAAGCGCCACCCACAAGACCAGAACGGGACCGGGACCGGGATCGGGACCGAGGCGGATTCCCCAAGAATGCTCCGACTGAGCCAGCGTCGGCACGGTCCCGTCCCGGTGTTCCGACCGGCCCCAGCGACCGCAGGGCACCCGAGCCGCCTAGACAACCCGATCCGGCTCCGCGGACACGGAAGGTGAAGAAGATTGTGAGGCGTCTCAAGGAGAAGCCCACCCTTCCGGCCGACTTGGCGGCATCCAAATCCGTGTACTTCAGGAAACCGGGCAACGAATCCGTCGTGGGCTCAGGCACGTACGGCAAGGTCTTCAAGGGGCTGAACGTCTACACTAAGAAGCTGGTAGCCCTCAAGAAGATACGGATGGAGGGCGAGAGAGACGGTTTCCCGGTGACGGCTGTTCGAGAGATCAAGCTGCTCCGGTCGCTCGGACACAAGAATATCGTCCAGCTCCAAGAGGTCATGGTCGAGGCCAACGACTGCTTCATGGTGTTTGAGTACTTGTCGCACGATTTGACGGGTCTCCTCAATCACCCGACGTACACCCTGGAGCCGGGACATAAAAAGCATCTGGCCCGACAGCTTTTTGAAGGACTAGACTATCTTCACACGAGGGGCGTCCTGCACCGCGACATCAAAGCTGCCAACATCCTCGTCAGCAACGAGGGTATCCTCAAGCTCGCCGACTTCGGCTTGGCTCGCTTTTATGCCAAACACCACCAGCTAGACTACACTAACCGGGTCATCACCATCTGGTATCGGTCCCCAGAGCTGTTACTGGGTGAGACACAGTACGGCCCGGCGGTGGATATCTGGAGCGCCGCCTGCGTTCTCGTGGAGATCTTCACCAAGCGAGCCATCTTCCCGGGCGACGGAAGCGAGATCAACCAACTGGAGAAAATACACGCGGTGCTTGGGACTCCGAACAGGAAAGACTGGCCGAACTTGGTGGAGATGCCCTGGTTCGCGCTCCTCCGGCCTAGCTACCGTAAACCGAACGTTTTTGGGGAAAAGTACAAAGACCAGCTGACCCCGGCCGCCTTTGACCTACTCACGTCCATGTTTTCCTACGACCCGGACAAACGACCCACCGCCGCCGAGGTCCTTCAGCACCCGTACTTCGTTACGGAGGAGCCCGCCGCGCGGCAGGCGATCGAGTAAGCTACCCTTATTCCTTTAAAAAGCTTCGTGCGTAGTGCTAACGTATCCAACTATAGACTCAAGGACATCGGTGGCGAATGGCACGAGCTCGAGTCAAAAGCGCTCCGGCGTGAGAAGGAAAAGAAGGAAAAGGAGCGCGCGCGCGCCGCACAGCAGCAGTCCGGGACGAAAGAGGAGGGCCCCGAAAGCGGCAGCACCCGCGACAGAGAGCGGAAGCGGCCAAACGAAGGCGGCGATGCTCCGCGGGAGGCCAAGCGGCCGCATATCGATGCTAATGGGAAGGCATAAATGCCTGGATAGGCAGATCCCCACACGAAGAGAAGGAGGCGACGCGGTGGAAGGCATGTACGACCACGGTCTTGTCACAGATTTCGGGTCGTGGTCATCTTATCTCTTACAAGCATGGGCGATGAGCGGGGCATAGCGACGGTTTAAACGGACCGAGTAATCTTCGTGCCGGCTTGTCTTGCATACTCTAGCGTACCAAGCCAGGCGCGGCTCTGAATGAATACTGGAGTGATAAATTCAAGTTATGGTCCGAATTATAAGCTGCCTGTGTTAGGTGATAGGGATTCTATTTAATGCGATCGACTGGTAACGAGGGGCTCATAATCAGTTGACGATCGCAAAGACTACCTAGTGAGCCACATCAGCAGACCCTACCTATTGGGTCAAGCTGTATGATAGGTAGGTTAGGATGTTTTCTCTTGCCTCGGACCGTTCGTTGATGGTACTATTGCTAGACCTGTGACCCAACTCTTAATTTATGTGTGACCGAATACATAGGTAGTCAACCGAGTTCTGCAGAAACGTGAAGCTTGAATATTTAGTTTTGCTCCGAAAACAATGACACCCGTTTTTTTACGGCACCTTGACCCTTTCTTAGATAATATCGAATGATAAATGGGAATGCTTTCCATACCTAGTGCTAGTGCTTAGTCTGATAACTGCTTATTCAAGTGCTCGTTCCTGGCTAAGAAACAAAGACCAAGAGGGACCGCGTCATATTCCTCAACTACTGCCGGCGAGGAACTTGAATTCCGGATACCGTGAACTAGAAGCTTCACTTAAGCATAATAGAAGCAATAATTCCACAGCTGCCTCTCTATCTCCAGCTCGTGCCTAAAATCACCGAACTGGTCAAATACACCATCAACCATCCTGAGCCACCGCTGGTGAAACCTGGTCGCATAGTACGCTTTGGTATAATCCCAGTACTCCGGCAACCACCCGGCGCTTTCCCAGTCGACAATGCCGGCAAGCCCCCCATGCTCATCGACAAGAATATTGCTCGGGTTAAGATCGCCATGCGTAAACACCACCTTATGCCCGCTTCGCTGAACGACCTCTGGCAGCGCTCCACATCGTAGAGTATTATTGAAGGCATTCTCGCTCAGGAACGGCCCCACAAACTCACCCCAAACTTGGTCGTCGTTTAGCGCAGCATTGATTCGATCGTCAAAGCAGCGCCCGTCGGTGGCGTTGGAGATGATATGCCTCCGACCTCGGGGCCTAGGAACGGCGCGAAGTGCTGTCATGTGTCGACGCAACTCGGAGACCAGCGTGGCGGTGTCTTCGTCGCTCATGGTGTCGATACACAAGTCGAGCCTATGGCCGGGAACCTGCGTGGTTAAGAGGTACGTGTAGCTCGAGTCTGAGACCACATCCAGGGCGCGGGGAACCGGTACGTTCGTATAGCGCCGTAACAGCCCCAGTGTTGCGTACTCGTTAACCAGGCTCTCGCGTCGGGTCGAGTGAACTACCTTTAGATAGAGGCCGAAAGGGAGCTGCTGCACGTTGAAGCTGTCGGTGAAGCCATAGATGTCCTCACCGAGAGATGCCAGACGGCGATATATCCGGATCCGTATGTTTCCGGGTACGAGGCGCCAGACCATCTTGAGTATGGCGACGTGGGTGTCGAAGAAGGGGAATAAATTCGGGAATACCGTATAAGTTCGTTTACGCTTTTTACTAGCAATTTGTTGGGCAATGTATGTCCATCGACGTGGAGTGGCGAAGCGGGATGCAATCTCCAAAGCCCAACGCCTCGGAATATTGATATTCGTAGAAGAGACATCAACGAAATGGCCACGTCGAAAGTCCTCTACCTCGTCCAATACGGAAGGGTAGTACGGTCCACCTCTCAGGTTCTTCAGAACTTCATACTACGCGTTTGTGAGTATGTTTTGTACCTAGTACCAAGCGGCAAGCCTGAGAGAGTAGCCTACCCTGGACCCCCTCCTGTTGAGCGAAAGCTGGAAATACCCTTGAGCAAAGGCGGCCGCGGCAGATTTACGAAGAAGCCAGTGATTCTCGACACGGTCATACAAGTCTTCCTCAGTATCGGAGAGTAGCCGATCCATCAGTCTAGGTGCTAGAAAGGCTTCAAGCATTTCGCGACAAGACTTCAGGATACATGGAACAGTTAGCCATCGAGATCTCGGATGAGGCAACGGGCTGACCAGGTGGTACGCACATTGGTTTCCATGTCTGCAGCTGCGAACTTTATTCTCGGGAGGATGGGCACGACGATCAAAGGGTCCCAGTATGAAGCCTGCATGCCCGTGATGCAGCACTTCCAGCCATCCCTCCACGTAACGCTGGCAACGATGTTTTTGTCAGGTGCTTCGCAAACACCATCACGAACAACTGACTCCCGAGTCAGCTTGGCAACCTAGACGGTAAAGGTCTCCTTGGTCGGGGTACACTACACATGGCAATAGTACGTTTCCAATCAGCGAGAAACGCTCTCATATCGGGTTCGGATGTGTTGGGATCACTAGACAAGTGCTCGAGCAGAAACGCTGAAGCCCGATCACGATCGATGGCATCGTCGATAAAACTCTCGAGAAGGGGTCCGTTTGGGTGCTCCAGGTCTGATCGGCGAACGGCTGCGATCGCGGCTTCGTAGTCGCTCAATGGCGCGGCCATGATCGATGCGGCTGTACCATAAGCTCGTCTGTGTCGATGAAATCCAGTACCTATACGGGTGTGAGAAGGATAAGATAGCGGTAAGGATAAATAAACAAGGCAGGGCATTTCAAGGTTGGCTGAAATTTCGACCAACCTCATCAGCTCCTTCCTGCGGAACACAAGAACACCAACTGAGGAGACTACCTTCAGCGAGACTTGCCGCGCAGTACTCCATGCTTCCCTATCTTCCATGAATGGCGGGACACCCCAATATAGAATTCTGTTGTCGAGATTGACACGCCTTGACACGACACCCAGGCTGCCAGACAAGGTAAGAAGACGTAGTTATGGTTCTACATCGAGATTAAGCTTCCATTCTGATCTGGTCGTTCTACAACCGTCAATCTAGTTCGGCCCAACCAAAGGCCAGTCCTCCCACTGCCCGAGTGTAAGGCGACCGCCGTTCTCGGTTCTCGAGATTAGTGGTCATTGTACATACCCATCATACGTATCAGACCCCATCCATACATGATCATACTAGGTCTCCCGCCCCAGCTTCTCCAGTGTGCTGTTCGTCCACTTTATCCACACCTTCGGCGCCGCCGAATATCCTTTCCCCAAACCCCATTCGTAAAAGCCATCCCTCATAAACCCGGTCATCATATTCCTCGACTAACCCCAAGTGCACCAGTCCACCTGATATACGCAGGGCGGCTGCCCCCCAGCCCCAACCTTCCAGGTTGCTTACCCCCTCTCCGCCTGCCCATCCCCACCATTCCTCAGCAGCTGTCTCAAACTCCCCTCAGCATGGCTACCCGCACCAACACCATCGACCACAGACCCCTGCTGTGACTGACCCGTCCGCCAAGGCATCCACGCACCCCACGCCGAGTAGCCCCCACGCCCACCACCACCGCCACCGCCATAAGTAGCAGCAGCGGGAACGGCGGCAAACTCCTGTTGGTGATGAAGGAGCGGCAACCCCCCACCCAGCGCATACCCCTCATCACCACCCACCACACCCACCGCCCGACCACCCCTCTCTCCCGCACTCGACAGGGAGGTCCGACGCTCGCCCGTGCCGCGGGAAGTCCTCACGCCCAGGTGGCTGCCCGATGTCTGGGGCTGGGCCGGCCCGCTGAGCAGGGCCGACGCAGGCTTCGTCCCGGCGTCCTTCTCTTCCCCCTTGTTTTTCCGTGTTTTTTTGTTCTTGCTCTGTTGATCGGACGAGGACGGGGACGCGGAGGGGCTGGACTTCTTCGCTGCGCTGCGGCCGTTGCGGGTGTCCATGATGGCGGTGGCGAACGAGGCGGACTTTTTGCGGGCTAGTTTGTTGTTGGTGGCGGCGGCGTCGGCGGTGGTGGAGGTGGGACTTGGGTCCTGTTGTTGTGGTTGTTGTTGGTGTTGTTGCCCTGGGGGCGTGTCCGCGCTACTGCCGCTGTTTCCGGCGGACGCTGCCGCTGATGACCCCGATGCGCTCGGGTTATCCCACGCTTTTATGGCTGCCCTCCCTCGCACCTCGCCGACTAACTCGGCTGCGGACTTTTTCTTGGACTTATCTTCCTCGGATGACCGGCTCGAGGACATGATCGTTTCTAGGGTGCCGTACGCGGCACTCCGCCGCTTGGCGCCTGCGTTCCGTCTCCTAGAATGGGAGGACCGGGCCGCGTTTTCGTCGTCCGAGGTGATGGCTTGCAGGGTCGGCCCGGCAATGGAATGGCCGTGGCTGTGGCTGCGGCTGTGACTATGGCCTTTTCGGGTCCGTGGGACAGAGGAGGGGGGCGCGCCTGATGTGAAGGAAGCGCCAGAGCCGTGGGGCGCCACGTGGACTTCATACTGGTTGCTTAGGGAGTACCGGGAGCGGGCGCATATCTCGGCTATACGATCTAAATCCGCTCCAATATTGTTTTCGCTCCCGCGGGTCTCTAGGTCAGCCATGAAGCTTTTGAAGGAGAAGGCTTCCAATGGGGGGAGCTTCGGTTCCTCGGGCTCTTGGCGGGAAGACAAGGGCCATGGCCATGGTAACGGTAGTTTGCTGGTGGTAGTTGTGGTGGTGGCGGCGGCCTTCTTGGCCTTATGAGGACGAGGCATGTTCACTCCGCGAGCATTGCTATTATGAGTTCCTATGTTGTTGAGTCTGTGCGTGCCGGAGCTAGTGCTGCTGGTAGTACCGACACCAACGTCGCTCAGCGTGGGCTGGATAGGACGGCCTGGTCCGCCGCTTCCTGGTGTCGAAGCCGACGGCAAGGGGACGCGCCTGGAAGCTCCTCGGCTGCTGCTCGGCGGCCGATGCTGCCGCGTCCTGGCGCTACGAGAGCCTTGGGATGGCGGGGGTCCGCTGTAAGTACGCACGAGGACGGGTTGTGAGTAAGTGCTGCTTCGGGCACCAGAGGCCTCGGGAGTGTAGCCGTGGCGCTGGACTGCCGACGGGTACTTGCTGTTCAGCTTCTGCAAGGCGGATGTGTGATTAGTGTTGGCAGGATCCGTGAGCGGAACAGGTCTGCCCTCGGCGGTAGATGCGGCAAGTGATGCCGACGGAACCTTGCTGCGCTGGAAGAAGATGGGCGGGAACGAGACGGGGAAGGATGTCCGTCTCGGCTTGGACGAGTCCTCAGGAAGTGACCCGGTCGAGGAGGACGGGGGGTTGGAGGACGAGGAAGAGGAGGAGGGCCCATGGGTATGAAGAGTGGGACCAGGGGGTGGCGAGCAGTCGTCTTGGTCCCCGCGGTGGCATGAAGAGGCCGGCTCTGCGTTGGCAGCGTCCGCAGCATCGACATCTGCAGACTCGGAGGCCATCAGGCGAGGGGTGGGTGGCTTATTGGATATATACATGGTAAGCGGGCGAGGCCGATGCAGCATAGACAAGCAGCACGGGTAGGGGTCGCACCATGCAGGCGTGTCGTGGTAGCAATCGGAGGAGGAATATCAGCAGTAAGGCCCAGCAACACGCGGGTCGAGCGGGCAACAGCGACGACCCGTGAGACCCGGACGACGGGCAGAGGCGTCAAGGGGGCCCGTTGAGGGGTCAGGGTCAGTGCAGTGGGTCAATGGACCGAGACGACGTGTTCGCGGACGCGGACACGGACGGTACGAGGACGGCAGTAGAGGCAGCAGCAGCAGCAGTAGCGGCGGCAGCAGGAGCAGGATCAGCCAGGCGTGGGCGGCATGCCAGTTCCTGGCTGTGTATCGAGCCGAGCGGCGTTTGGATGTCGGGGTCGTTGACGTGGTTGTCTGGTTATGGACCACCGAGTCGGTTCCACTGATTGTGCCTGCGTCCTGCGTCTCGCGTCCCGCAGTAAGTTCCCAAAATGCGTTGTGTGTTGCGGGTTGGCGGGTTGCAGGTTTGGTGCCGTGGGTGCCCCGTTCGTTCAGTCTCAAACTCTCAGCATTGCCCCTCGGCCGCCCGGAGCCCCCTCTCGTCTGCGCTGCTCGAAATTCCTCGATTGGTGATTTGATGATTCGATTCGATCGCTAAAGGATAATGTCGCCCGCATGCGCATTGGAAACGTCAGATTGGCGGGTGCACAATCTCCGCTCCGAGTCTGCTGTTTCTCTTCCGTCACTGCCTTCCAGGCAATTGTGACTGGTTGGCAGATCAGAGAGAGCACAAAGTTTGAAGTCGCCGTCATTGGCCGACACCAGCTCGCGTTCTGCAGGCAGGCGTGGCTGTCGTTCAGAGGTCTGGCCGCAGGCCACTTGCAGTGAACGAGCAGGGGTCCGGAGGCGGGGCCAATTGGGCCCACCACAAGCTTCCCCGCTGAGTGCTGGGACCTTGGGCATTTTAACTCCTTCCAGAACATGCCTCACCACTTCCCCGGTTGAGTTCGGGTGAAAAGAGGGATCTTTGCCAGTCTTCCTGCTTTAAAACCCCAAGAACCCGTGCTCTGAATTTGAAACACGCGCCACGCGCTCAAGCTCGGATCCCTGCATATTCAGGAAATCGCGAACCCCATGCCCATCTGACGGGGGTTCCTTCGATGCATTCGAGAACCACACTAAGGTTGTTGTATTTGTATCTACCGGGTAAGGTAGTTGGGGACTGTTGTTTCTCTTCTTTTTGGAGTATTATAAAAATAGTTTAGGGATGCCGTGTCTGCTTTTTTCATCGCCCGAATTCGACCATCATCAGCTACGAGCCCTCACCCGCGACAGGATAACCTTAGTATTTCCACCGAGACCCGGTGGCACCGCCCGACTGCACTTTGTCGCTGAATATAAAGGGAGCCCGCTTGAGGGGTGGACCCCCGACCTTGTACTTCTCCCGTCGGTCGTAGTAAACAATAAGGAGGTAGAAGGCATGCAGAACGCCGGGCAGCCAGCTGTGAGCCGAGTCAGCGTGGTTAGCTCAAAAGAAATTGAAAGAATTTACCCCCTTGATAAGGACGAGACACATACAAAAGCCAAACAGTAAGGATTATGTTTATCAGCAAGTCTGCGCCGCAGCCGGCCAGCATGGCGACTCCGATGGGAGGAACTGCGGTCCGTTAGTTTGGTTTCGGGGATGTGTGCTCGACGTTGGGAGGCGAGCAGGGGTCCACACTAACAGAGGATGCTAAAGAGTGTAATCACGACTCCTTTGGCGCCGTCCATCTTGTCTGTTTGGTTTTCGTTCGTTTGTTTTGTGACTATGTTGGAAAAACAAAATTGGTAGTCATTGCCTTTCCCATCGTTTGAAAATTGCCTTCATTGAATACTACTACTCGGTGTTCATTCTCATGAGCGGCAAGTGCGATGACGTAGTTTGTGCACGAACCAACCACTCCTGTCAGAGCCCAGCACTTGCCGTCTCAACGCCTCACCCGAGTTTTGAGAACATCCAACTACTTCGTACCTATCCGTCCTATGCCCTAGGTAAAGTTGCGAGCGTGATTATAGTAGGCGTAAACGAGCAAAGAATGATGCACTGGAATCGTGTTTGAGATCGAACCTTAGAGTGACCTCGGTTGGAGTTGGCGGAGCATTCGTATGTTGGAAATATCAAACTGCCAGTCAACCACTCGAAGCAGCTGTGGAATCGAAATTGATCGAGCGAGCTTGGCTCGCTTGGTTACCGACCGGCCTCTCGTCAGGGGCTTTTATTATTCTGTCGACATACGAAATGGAAGTCCCTCCCTTCGTCTGGAGTTAGGTAGCCACCATGTCCTGGCAGCCACGCCTGCGCCCCACCACCAAATTCCAATCTCAAGGTCGCAGTTCTCTCGGATGCACTTCCGGCGCTGGGATGCATGCCCCACGCCGAGGGGAAGGATGCCTCGCCCCGATAAAAAGGGGCCGGCAACGGTGTTGCAGTCAGATTGACATCTTGACCTGAGAGAGCATGGATTATGAATCATTTTCGATAGCTTTCCCTTGGCAAGTTCCGAGCAGCTGGAGTGGTTGTTCGTGCAACACAACGAACATGCTGTTTCCAACTGATCGCTTTGCTGACCACTTCGTTGAGGAGAGAGTTTCAACATGTGAATATCCGCCAATACTTGACAGGCAATCTGGCGGGCTGACCATTGTCGGGAAATAAACAATTGTTGAGACGAGTCGGCGATGGGCTTTGGACAAAAGGAACGCAGCTCGCCTCCATTTGAAGGTCGAGCTGGCCAATGGGCGAGAAGGCTGTCAGAAAAAGGTGGGACAGAAACTGGAAGCCCCTGATACCGGACGCAAAGCAGTGGTGTTGAGTGCCTCGGCGTGCTCGGCAAACGGCGTGATCAATATTTCTATTGGTAATCAAAGTGCAGCTGAACAGACGCCTATCCTTCAGTCAGTGAGCAGGCTTGCTGCTTGCAGGCTGCATCGACCCTGCAGTCAAAATGGTTCGTGGGAGCAAGTCACCAGCTCCATTACGACACGCACGGGCCACATACTGCGCTATCCTCCGGCACCCATCGGCCGCAACGGGAGACGGCGCAGCGATGACATGGTGGAAGTCTGCAGCAATAAAAAAAAAAGGGCGGCGCGGTCTGGGGAACTCGGTCGTGTTGGAAACGGTCCGGGGAAGCGTCCAGCAAAAACCGGATTTTCAGCGCTGCTGGAGCCGATTCCTGGCGGTACGGAGTCCTCCTCTCGGATCAGTAAGACCAATTGTTAAGATGGAGTTGCGGCCGGGCCAGCGACCACTGAGTGGGCAGTGGTAGTTGAAGCAGTCCACCTCAAACTTGCCTACCATTTTTTTCCCTCTTGCGCGTCTCCTCACCTTCGGTTTCCCCTTTCCGCCCTCCGCCCTCCACACCACTCTCCCCTACTTCTCTCTCCACCCTTTCTCCTTGCCTCCGAGAAAGGGGCGCGAGCTTCAATCGACAAGCTCTTTAAGGACGCGTGCACCGTACCAGGTCTGCGTGGTTGTGGGAGCCCTGCATTTTTATTCGTTGTTTCTGCACAGTCTGCTCCTGCCGCAGGTACGAAGCTAGGACTCGGACCGTGCTCAGCTCCGCAATTCCCTTGCTAGGTTGGTTGTCAGGGTGGACTCGGTAAACCGTGGACCTTTCCTGCTTCATTTTCCCGAAAACCCGCTGTTTGCTGCGGACGTCCACCGGGCGACAAAAGGTATGCGCTGCCGGACACCGCTGCTTGAGATTGATGACTCGATTTGGCTAACACGCCTTTTGGTATTGTCAGGCAGCATCTTCGGATAGCCGCATCAACTATCTTATAACCCTCGAACGAGTTCGGCCCTCGAACTTGATCGCTGCTCCGAACACGCAGCAACCATGGCGACTCAACAGAACCCGCCCTTCAAGGTCGACCGATATGTCGTCGTCCACGTAGCGACTACCTGTGATGAGCACGGCGTCTACGTAACTAAGGACTCGGCCGAGGTCATTGAGCTTGGTTGGATCCTGCTGGACGCAAACACGCTGGATGAGGTGGGCCAAGCCAACCCCTGAAAATTCGAAGAAACTATCTGTTTCTAACCAGCACTTTCTTGCCTGTAGCTTCACCGCGAGAGCGTCCTCGTCAAGCCCGTCAACACCCCCATCACTCCCCTCTGCAGTGAGTCCTGCCTGGCTTGCCCCTGCTACAACCGAGGCCTCCTCGACGGCCAATTCGCTTCCTTGCGCTACACCGACCTCTCGTTGCTGACCAATTTTTGCCAGCGAGCTTGACCACTCTCACCTGGGAACATGTTAGAAACGCTGGCACCTTCCGAGACGCCGTCAACCGCTTTGATGCCTTCGCCTCCGAACACCTGACCTCGCAGAACCTCGACTTCGTCTTCGTCACGTTGGAAGCCTGGGATCTGCGCGTGCAGCTTCCCCGTGAGGCTCGCGATAAATCCGTCGTGCTTCCCCCTTATCTGCAACACTCTCGGGCCTTCGAGCTCCGTACCGAATACCAACGGTGGCAGCAGCACCACCCGGAGTCGCTGCCCTTCGGGCCCTCGTCGTTGGCCAATATCTGCGCCGCCCTGGAAGTCGAGGCGGTCCAAACTAGTGCCCCCATCAAGCACAACCTGCCCTTCCACCTGCAGGCCCTGGCACCGGCCTCGCCTCGCCGCGCCATGGAGGAAGCTGTGACACTGGCTCGCGTGCTCCGTGGTTTGATCCGGAAGTCACAGCCGCCCCATGAGCATCCGGACGTGCTCACTCGTCCCATGGATGCCCGTGCCGACGTCCGTGCTTTCCTTTCGGAGCGCAGCAAGGTGCTGCACATGTCTGGCCTGCCCCACGACACTACCCAATCGGAGCTCGAGAGCTGGTTCACCCAGTTCGGTGGTCGTCCCATCGCTTTCTGGACTCTGCGCACTCCAGAGCAGCACAAGCCGACCGGCACCGGCTTCGCTGTCTTTTCATCCCACGAAGAGGTCAGATCCCCCCACCCCATTGGCTCGTTACGCTGCTAACCATATCTAGGCCGCCGAAAGCCTGTGCATGAATGGGCGTGCCCTGAATGAAAAAGCGATCGAGGTATCCCCGTCATCTAGCAGAGTCCTGGACCGCGCCGCCGAGATTCTCACCCCCTTCCCCCCGAGCAAGAACAGACCTCGGCCCGGCGACTGGACTTGCCCGTCGTGTGGCTTTTCCAACTTCCAGCGCCGTACCGCTTGCTTCCGCTGCTCGTACCCTGCCGTCACTCCGGGGCCCGCTGGCGAGATGGGCTATGGCTACGGCTATGCGCCTCCGGCCATGATGCCCCCCCCTCCCCACATGGGTCACCACGGTCATGGCGGTGGTGGTGGTCACGGCCGCATGGGCGGCTCTGGCGTCGTTCCTTTCCGCGCCGGTGACTGGAAGTGCGGTAACGAGGTCTGTGGCTACCACAACTTCGCAAAGAACGTTTGCTGCCTCCGTTGCGGAGCCAGCCGTGCTGGCGCTGCTGTGGTTGCTGACTCGGGCTACCCTTCCCCCATGGACGCCCCTTCCTCGTACGGCATGGGACAGGGTTCAATGGGCGGTAACCCCGGGCCCGGCCCCGGTCCTGGCCCCGGTCCTGGCCCCTTCGGCTCTGGTGCCGGTGGCTTCAGCTCTGGTGCTGGATATGGCCAACACTTTGGTGGCCCCCCGAGCACCTACGCTCTCCCGTCCGGTCTGGGCGGCGGTGCTGCGCCTTACCCCCCGCTGAACACCCACTTTGGCCCTGCTCCGGGCTCTCACTCTGCTGGACCCTTTGACAGCCGCGCAGCGGAGGCGGCTTTCCAGTCGGCAGGCAACGGCCCGGCATCGGCTGGTCCCAACAACAACTTCTACTCGCAGAGTGAGAACGACCCGTTTGCCTTCCTATCGTCGGGGATCGGTAGCCTCTCGGTCAGCAACCAGGATGCCCGCCAGAACGGCAGCGGCGCACCCCAGAGCAAGTCGCCCGCATAAGCGTCGGCCGTAAGCATCCTCGTCCGTCGCCGGATGGTAGGAACAATCCATTGCTCAAAAGCTCTCTGCTCTTTCACGCGTGGCTTTTCTTCTTCGGCAAGTTTGGGAACGAGGGATAGAGGATCGTGTGGGCCTTGGCAATAACTACGGCAAGTTTCGGCTGTTTCATCATCATGGTGCGGGTGTGGGTCATGGGCTTTTGGGAGAGATACTGCGGTCGGTTACTTACGGGGTTTGTGTGGTGATGGGGTGGGGACGGATGGATGGCGGGTTCAAAAAGTACAAAGGGCTGGAAAGACAAAAAGAACATGCCATTCTTACAGGGTCCCCTCAGGGCGGCGTTTTCTCGAGCCGACAACGCATTGTACTGGCTCTCTCTTTTCGGCACGGGGTCACAAAGGGGGATCTAGGAAGCGTGCGATATCCTCAATCGCCCGGGTTACTCACACGCATACGGTTGTTTCCAATTCTCGTCGACTTCGAAACTCGCAACAATGGGCACATTCGATTGAGTCAGGCATGGGCTGGGCAGGTTTAGGATCGGGGCGGGCGGGCGCGTGGGAAAAGGGGGGGAGAGGCGTGCATAGCGAGGGAGTGTACAGGGGTTATATCTGGCCTTCGGTGCTCGTAAACGGCGGCTGGGACTATATGCCTTTGCCCTGTTTCTGTGTGTTAATCCTGTCCTCTTTTCTATTTTCTTGATCATTGTTTTCATTTCCCGTTTCCTCATCTATTCAACTAGTATGCTCCAGATTGAGGTCCTTTCTTTTGACAAAAAGTTTGCTGGAAGGGGGTCGGTCAGCGGGAGTAAAGCGGAACATCAGGGGGGCCGGGGGCGAGCGGGTGTTGGTTTCGGGCTGGAAGGGGAGGGAGGTCATTATTTTCTCGTTGATGTTGATGTGTTAAAGTTATTTCAAGGTTTTATTCTTCGTTTCTGTCTCCATATCCTCGAGCTGACTGTTACATATCCCCCCCTCACGCCCCCCTTCACCCTACTATCAGGACCCCCCAAGCTACCCTAGGACTCCGTCAACAGATTGTGTTACGTCTCTCTAACCCTTCCTAGGCTAGGTCGTTATGGGCTACGGCTGCGTTGGTGCGGGAGGCGGCAATATCATGGCAGCTCCAAACCGTGCGCGTGTTCGTTCCAGGCTCTGGGACTGTGTTTTTCTTTTACCTTTCTTTGCCTTTCTTTCAGCTTATCATTAAGGGGACGGCCCACGGACGGTGTGAGGCGGCAATATGTTTTAATAATACCTGCATTTGGCCCTTCCATGCTGTTCCCTGTGTTCGCGGTGCACACTGGGCACATTCGCCGCGTTATTGACTTGGTTTGACTCAAGTGTTTTAGTGCTTTCCATCACCGCCATAGTCACGATGTAAAAGAGTTAGTAAGTAATCAAGGACCAGACTTAATTCCAGGATACGATGCAACAACTCTTCTTGCGGGTCATTGGAACGTGCAACCGGTGGCAGCGTTCTGTCAACAATGACAACCAGACGAAAACCTAGCACCTAGCCACCGACCTCGACGCCCCAGTGCCAGACGAGAAAAAGACGTTCGATTCCATGACGGGCCCAAAGACTACCCTACCCAACCCACTGAACGTCATGAGCCAGCCGACTCAACTACCACGGCCGAAACCAATTCCTTAACTTCTTCGTGCGCTCATCCTCGCCAACGTCTTCGTCCACCATGTACGCAGCGAGATCAAGCTCATCGGTGCCCTGCGCCTCGGCCATCTGTTGAGCAACTTGCTGGTAACCATCCTGACCCAGACCCACGTTCAGGCCGCCCATCAGCAAGTTGATGTCGTCCTCCTCCTCCCCATCCTGTCCCCCATCATCAAACTCGTCCGCCATCTCCATATCGTCCTCCTCCTCCACATCCTCTTCAGTCGCATCACTATCCTCCCCATCCCGAACCACCACCTCCCCCCCTTCAATACTATACGACTCAGGATTCCTCAAAAAGTCATCCCAATCCAGCTCAAACTGCCCATCCCCCTCTCCCACCTCCCCCTCCCGAACCCCACCCCCGCCAACTTCCACACCACCCCCCATCAACATCATCACCGTATCCGCATCCTCCTCCCCCAGCCGCCGGCCCCCCTCCCCCGGATCCCTAACCCCACCCTTACCACCACCACCACCCCATCCCTCATCCCCACGCCCATTCTCACCACCCCCACCACCATCACCATCACCATCCCCATCCCCATCCCCCACATCAGAGTACTCGACATCCGCCTGCGCCAGCAGCATCTCGTCCGTGTTCTCGGAGAGCGCCGTCGCAGGCGTGTGCAGCACCAGGGTCGGGTCCACGTTGTAGATGGGGATGTTGGGCAGCTCGTGCTCGTCTTGGTCTTCGTCTTCTTCTTCCTCGTCGGAGTATTCGTGTTCGGTTTCTGTTTCTGTTTCATTGTCGGAGGGGGGGGATTGTTCGGGTTCGGTTTCGGTTTCGTCGTTGTCGTTGTCGTTGTCTTGGGTGTGTTGTTCGTGTTGGGGTTGGGGTTGGGTGGGGGTGTGGTTTGGGGTTGGAGGTTGGTGTCGTTGGTTTTGGGTTTGGGTTTGGGTTTGGGTTGGTGTGTGCTGGTCGGTGTCGGTGTCGGTGTCGGAGTCGGATGAGCCGAGGTCGGAGTCGTCGCGGAAGGACCGTGGTGGGCGGAAGGAGTTGATGATGCGGTTGACTTCGGAGGCCGGGATCTGGTCGAGGATGAGCTCCTCGTCGGGGATGGTTGAGAGGTCGTCTGGGTCGAGGAATGGGTCGTCGTGTTGGTCCGGCTGCGCTGGCCGCAGGGTGAGGTTGGAGAAGCGCTCGGCTGTTGATGGGGGGGTGTTGGCGGGATTTTCGTCGTCGTCGTTGGCGTCATCAACGTCCATTGCGTCGGGGTCGGAGTCGGAGTCAGGGTTGGTGTAGTTTCTCGCGAGCCTGAGGCGCTGAGGCCGGGCGAATTGGGCGAGGTGGCTCTCCATATCGTCGGGGGACGGGTTGAGGAGCTTGAACTTGGCTTTGAGCTTTTTGGTACTCATCACCTCTGAGGTCAGCTTGGCGAGGTTGGCCCAGGCGATGTCGTGTTTCCATCGTGCGCCGTCGAGCTCTTTGACCTCGTCCATCTCCTCCTGTTCCGCCTCTAGGATCATCGCCTTTTCTTCTTCCGTCAGTGTCTTCCACCGCGCCTTGCGGGCGTGCTTGGGCTGCCACATGCCCAGCTCGAACGGGACGTTGCCACAGCCGGAGTGGATGAGTTCGTGCTTCAGCGGCTTCCACCCCTTGCACGCCGGCGGCAGGTCGTCATCGCTCATGTACATCTCCTTGAGGCTCGGAACCAGGCTGTTGCCCGTGTTGAAATCGACATGGCCAAAGATCATCATCTCTTCAACGCAGCAATCCAGATCGAGCTGGCGCCGGGCAGACTCGAGTGGTATCAGTTCGTCGGGCCGCATCAGGTGGTCGGGCCCGGTGCCCCATCCCTCAAAGTGGATGACCCCCAGGCGGTCGATATCGACACCTTGTACCGCCGGGAGGTTTTCGTCTTGAAGCTGGTCGGGGCCTACATCGTAGCGGAGCTTGAGCTGGCGGATCTCTGCCACTGTGCGGTATTTTATGCCGCGGAGAAGAGCCCAGAGGGGAGACAAGCCGCGTTGGCCTAGCATAAGACGCATCAGCATGGTCGACTGCGGGCCGAAGACGGGGTCGTTGAAGGCGAGGATCAGCTTGACCATGAAGAGCTGGGCGATGTACATGTCCTCGTTGCTGAAGAAGTCTGAATTGTTCAGCAGCATCATGCGTGCCTGGGTCGTCGCAGCGTCCATGATAAGCCAAATCTTCTTGAGGGTTTGATGAGAGCCCTCGGGCAGGCGATGACCCCTCCGTGCCAGACAGGCGATAATGTCCCGGACCCGAATTTCACGGTTGACGGCCATCTGTAACCAGAGTAGGCCGGGTATCAAACGTACCTCGCCTTCCTCGCTGTTCAGGGGCGGTTGGCCCTCGACCTTCGCCTGGCCTGGCTGGGTCTTGCTCAGCTCTTGGTCGTTGGGCGTGACGCGGCGACGGCAAGGGTCTTGGATGAACCAGCGACAGTAGACAGGACTAGAGTAGATGCGCGCGGCGGTGGGCGCCATGTGGCTTGCCCACGCAAAGATGCTGCTGCGCATGTGTTCGTTGATGGTGTAGTGGAAGTTCTTGCTGACGCTGTAAAGGTGGACGATGTCGAGTGGCCGCATGTGCTTACACACCTCGACGATGAGCTCGGTGCAGCTGCACAGAGAGGCGAGGAGGTCGAAGCGGTCCCTTTTGGGAGGTTGAATTAGGGAATGCCACTTGGTAGTGGCCTGCTTCATCATGCGGATGCGCTGACGGGCGATCTGGCGGAACTCGGCGAGGGCGAACATGTTGGTATCCCCTAGGCCACCTTCGGCGAGCATGGCTTGCCAATGCGCCTCGAATTCCTCCTCATCGTCCTCTTCAGTCCCCTCGTCGTCATGGCCATCCTCAGTATCGTCATTTTCCTCTCCATCTTCATCATCCTCATAGAACTTGCGGGCCGCGAAGTCGTTAAGTCTGGCTCGCTTGAACGAGTGAGAGGGCATCCTGTTCATATGATGGACGATTTGGTGCACGTTGGGCCTGATGCCTCTGGCCTCGATCTCTTCGCGAGTGGCATTTGCGCGGGCAGCCTGAGCGAGGGCGAGTCGACGCCGAGCAGCATTTAAACTACCACCGGTGCCGTTTCCTGAGGGTGATGACATGGCGAAGTCGGGAAAAGGGGAATTAATTCGAACAACGGACGGAACTAAGTCGGGGGTCGTATCTTCCGGTTAGAATGGTAGGGAAATGGGAATGCGCTGAGCGATGTGGCTAATCAATGGCACGATCCATGGAGAGAATAAAGAAGACAAACAATGTGAGAAGTTGAGAATCCATGTGTGCTCGAGTTGATGTAGTCGAGGCTGCTGCCGTTGTTTTGTTGGCGGTGATGGTCATTGATGATGATCATCGTCGGTCATTGAATAAGTAAATATGTATTGAGGTGGCTGTTGATATTGTCGTGGTTCTCGTATTGTCAGTCAACAACAATAGCAGCGACAATAGAAAAGGGTAAAAGAACAATACTAATCATTCACCCACCAACCACAATAACATCAGATGAAACCACACACCGGTTTGTTTATGTTTGTCACGCGGCTTCTTGGCCTGGCCTTGTGGCATTCCGGTTGCTTGCTGAATATAGTCTGTCCCTAACCGTTCTCATTGATCTTGTTCCAAGGGTTTTCAATGTCGGTTCGTTGACAAGATCTTCTGATGAATCTGCACGGGTTATCTCGCCCTCTTAGCATAGCACTTCGTGGGGACCATAGAAAAACGACTGCTAAGCTTACAACAACCAAAATACAACTCCCACAGGCTATCGTGAACCCCATTGCCTTTAACGAGTAGTTTCTCTCCAGTAACAGGGTTACTCCAGAGTCTACTTTCTCAGCCTCCGCTCTGCTGCTTAATCCGCGTCGTCCTTCCTCTCTTACTCACTCTCACCCTCCTCCGTTTCCTCCTCCGTTTCCTCGTACACCTTCTTGCTCCCCTCCTCCTTTTCCTTCCCTTCCTCTCCCACCACAGCAATCAACCTGGCCCACGCCCCTCTGGTTGTTACATTTGCTCCCTGCTGGTCCTGGTCCTGGTCCTGCTCTTGCTGCTGCTGCTGCTGCTGCTGCTGCTGCTGCTCCTGCTCCTGCTCCTGTTTCTGTTTCTGCCCCCGCCCCCGCTCTTTCTCCGCCCCTTTCCCTTTCTCCCCCTTCTTTTTCATCTCCATACCAATCTGCTTGGCCCATGCCCTTCTGGTCGTTAGATACGTGTGCTGCTGCTGCTGCTGTCTTCTGGACGTCTCCACGGTTGCCTTGAACTTAGATTCGGAGTCTGCCCTCTCCGGCCCCGGACCGGTAGTTTGGTGTGTCGTCCGCCGCAACCCCGGATTCTTACCATCCCCCTTCTAATTGGACGCGTCCATCTCGTTCATCGGCATCTCAATGTCGTCTTGGTTAACGATGGAATCCGCGACCTTCCAGATCTGGAGTAGGTTGTCTTCGGCGGCGCTGCACACCAACCACCGGTCGTTGAGGTTCCAGCTAAAGTCGGCCAGGTGGTTGGTGTGTCCCCCGTGCATGAAGAGCAGCTCCGGCGGACCATCTTCCTGATCCTCCGGCAGCTGCTCCTCGCCCGCGCGGCTAAGATCCCAGAAGAGGACCCGCCTATCGTAGCCCCCACTACCTAGGATGCTAATTTCGGTCGGGTGCCACGAGAGCGAAGTCACAGCGTCGACGTGCCCCTCGAGCGTGTGAATCTTCTGCTTGAGGTTCCGCATATCCCAGATGCCGATCGTCTTATCGGCCGATGCTGTGGCGATCAGGAACTCGGTCCGCGGGTTGAATGATAGCGCGTTGATCGCATCGCTATGGCCATCGCGGGCGACGACAGCCGCCTTCGTGGTATCGGGACGCCGCACGTCGATGATTTGGAGCGTCAGGTCGTCTGACACGGTGCCGATCCAGTGCTTAACCATGGGGTGGTACTGCACGTCGTTGACGATATGGTTATGGTGTGTGTACTTGCGCGACGGCTTGAGCGTCTTGCCGTTCCCCTGAACCGTCTTGAGGTCCCTGATCCTGCGTTAGTCGCTACCTTCTCGAGAGCCAGCTTTTACATACCAGAGCAGCACTGTCTTGTCCTCGCTGCCGGTTGCCAGACAGCCCGCCTCGTGGGGGTTCCAACTCAGCCCAAAACCTTCCTCCTTGTGGCCGATGAGCTCGATTTGGGGGTTCGGCGTGCCCGTGGGTGTCAGGCTGTGCTTGGTGCGGTCAAAGATCAAGACCTTTCCATCTACGGCGAGCGTGGCGATGATATCGGGGTTCTGAGGCTGGTACCGCGCCTTGTTGACCTCGCCAGGGTGATCAATCTTTTGGGTGATGTTAAACTTGATCACGGCTGGTTCCCCCGACGACGCCTTGCCGCCATAGCCACCGATCTCGCCGCGCTCCTCGTCATAGTCGCGAGGGTTAGGGTCGGAAAACTTGGGCAGCTCGAGTTCGGCAATCTGCAGATAGTTGGGCTTGCCCTCTGCAGTGTGTGTTCCGATGAGTAGTCTGTGGACTGTGCAGTTCTTATCGCTCACGTCCTTGACGTCCGGGAACCACTGTGTGGTCAATGTCGGCCACTCTAGCGCCGTGCTTCGAACGTATGTTAGCCTGGATTTCTTAACATCATCAATTCGGCTTTCCCCACCTCAAAATCATGTCATAGAGGAACGGGCTGTTCTTCTTCCATGTTTTGTACTCTGGTCAATATTAGCGAGTGCCTAGGTAGTAGTCAACAGGATTCAAACGGACACGTACCCTCATTGATGAGCCTATTCTCCATGTGAGCATCATCTTGGTCGTCCATGCTGACTGCCGCGTAGTTAGAATCGAGTTGCCTTTCGTTATAAAGGAGAATTCGGATGCATACCATCGACGTCGTCCACAACTTCGTTGGGAGCCATCGTGAATGTCCTAAACTAGAACTTTGGCGTAAGTTTGAGACTATTTGATTGCTAAGCTTTTGCTAGCCAGAATTTGGTTTGTTTGTTGGCAGGGTTGTGAAAGGCGGGTGGGAATAGAATATCAAAGTGTGGTCGAGACGTGAGGTCGGACCTTTTGCTCTTTGCGTCTGCAGGAAGCGCGATTCAAAGGACGCGACGTGATCTTTCGTTAATTGATGGAGCTTGGCCTCCACTGCCCAGCAAAATGCAGCTTGGCGGGTTTTGGTAGGAACGCACAGACCATTTGATCGCCGCTGTCTGGGGCTCCAGATGCTGGTGGTGGCGTCGGGACCTTGGTGGGGCTGCAAATGGGTGGGACAGTCGGCCAGTAGTCACCGGCCTCAACTTCCCCTGCAGCTTTCGGGCAAAAGCAGAACCACCAGCGACAACTGATCGCCAACATCTCCCTTCCGGCATTCTACCGCCGCTTCCTGGTCGAATTGTTGTTCTCACAGTGGTTTCCCTTATAGACGAGAAGACCTGCCTGGAGCGTACTGTTCTTGGTTTTGAGGGTCCCGAAACATTGTCTTTTTGTACTGCTCTCTTTCGCCGCTTTGCTACCGACCTACCTTGCGTTCTCCCAGTCTCAGAAAGCCCGGCCATTTTTATTCAGCGCCGGCAGCCATCCCACTCAGCTTCCTCCCTCCGTCTACAAATACCTAGTCGCCATTTCTTATCGTACCCCCGCGGTCCATGCCGACACGGAACAAGCTACCTAGTAGTATCAACGTCAACAACCGAATTTCCGAACCTTGAACCCACAACCACAACAGCAGGAAGTAGCGCTATCTTGCGCGCCTTGTTGCCATCATGGGGTGTGTATTTGCCGAAGAGTTCACATCGATGCGTTCAGAGTGTTAACTAGCCGTCTAGTGTTCCGAAGTTTTTCAGATGGCTCTCGGAGCGCTATCCTGCCATCTCGCAGCTCATCGCCGAGAACCGGATTCCCGAGTTCGACTGCCTCTACGTGCGTGAACCTCTTAGCCTCCGACGTCACCGGCGACGTCCTTCTTCCACAGTTTCTAACATATTTGGGTAGCTGGATATGAATGGTATCATTCACAACTGTACACACAAAGACTCGGATGATGTGCAGTTTCGCCTCAGCGAGGAGGAGATGTTTATAGCCATCTTCAACTATATCGAACATCTTTTTGGCAAGATTAAGCCCAAGAAGTTGTTTTTTATGGCCATCGATGGCGTGGCCCCGCGAGCAAAGATGAACCAACAACGTGCCCGCCGTTTCCGGACCGCTCTGGAGGCCGAAAAAGCGCGCGACAAGGCCATCAAGGAGGGCAAGGAACTCCCCAAGGAGGAACCGTTTGACAGCAACTGCATTACGCCCGGTATGGCCCCCCCACCCCGCGACTACAATCTGAACAACCCCAACCCGAACATGAGGCGCTAACTCCGTGACTACAGGAACCGAGTTCATGGCCAAGCTGACGCAGCAGCTCAAGTACTTCATCAACAAGAAGGTATCAGAGGACAGGGACTGGCAACAACCCGAAATTGTGCTCTCCGGCCACGAGGTCCCGGGCGAGGGTGAGCACAAGATCATGGAATACATCCGGAATGCGCGTGCCCAACCCGAGTACAACCCCAATGTCCGCCATTGCTTGTACGGGCTGGACGCCGACCTCATCATGTTGGGATTGCTGAGCCACGACCCGCACTTTTGCCTCCTCCGCGAGGAGGTAACGTTCGGCCGTCAAGCAAAACACAAGTCAAAAGAGCTGGAGCATCAGAACTTCTATCTGATGCACCTCTGCATTGTCCGAGAGTATCTTGAGCTCGAGTTCCAGGACCTCAAAAAGGAAGGCGCCATGACCTTTCCGTTTGACATGGAAAAGGTCATCGACGACTTCATCCTCATGGCCTTCTTTGTCGGCAACGACTTTCTCCCAAATCTCCCTCACCTCCACATCAATGAGGGCGCCCTGGCTACCATGTTTAGGATATACAAGTCTGTCCTTCCCAAATGCGACGGTTACATCAACGAGAACGGAAAGGTCAACCTTCAAAGGCTCGGTCGCCTTCTGGATGAGCTTGGAAAGGAGGAGTACCGGTTTTTCGAGCATGAGAATGAGGACGCGAGCTGGCTGCGGGGCAAGAAGATGCTCGAGAACGACGAGACCGAGAAGCTGAGAGCAAAAGCCAAGGGGAAACTCATCGTCAGCTCCGAGCAGAAGGCTCTTTGGAAGCGGGTTATTCGCAAGTTTCTCACCAATCGCGGATCTCAGACGTTGGACCTTGGCGCGGGACTTAACGCCGCAGATCGCAAGTTTGTCCAGGATCTCGCGGAGGCCGCTCATCTAGAGTGGGCCACCAAGCCGGATGACGAGGGCCATCGTCACTTGATCCTATCCTACCCCGCTGGAGATGAGGAAGACGAAGAAGACGAGGAGGCCCAGTCGGCGGTGCTGCGAATCGTCAAGAGATACGACAATGCCCAGACCCTTGACCTCACCTCGGCCGACGCGCAGGCCGCTATGGAGGCTAAGTACAAGGAGAAGTTCCAGGAATGGAAGGACGAGTACTACTTCAAAAAATTCGAGGATTGGACGCAGGACAACAAGGAAGAGGAGCTCCGAAAGCTGACTGAGAACTACGTCCAAGGTCTGCAGTGGGTCCTCTATTACTATTACCGCGGCATCGCCTCGTGGCCCTGGTTCTATGCCTACCACTACTCTCCCATGATCTCGGACGTCATGAAAGGGCTGAATGCCGACCTCGACTTCAAGCTAGGACAGCCCTTCAGGCCCAACGAGCAGCTCATGGGCGTCCTGCCGGACCGCAGTAAAAAGATCGTCCCCACAGTGTACTGGGAACTCATGACGGACCCCAAGTCACCCATCATCGATTTCTACCCCCGAGACTTCGAACTGGACATGAACGGCAAGAAGATGGACTGGGAAGCTGTTATCAAGATTCCGTTCATCGAAGAGAAACGGTTGCTGTCGGCCATGGCTCCCAAGGATGCCCTTCTCTCCGACGACGAGAAGGCGCGCAACGACTTCGGAGTTGCGCTGAAATTCACCTACTCTGATGACGTGGACTTCGTCTATCCTTCTTCTTTAGTGGACGTCTTCCCAGCGATCGCCCACTGTCACTGCGTGGAGAACATATTCGACCTCCCTGCTGTGGAAGGGCTGGAGTACCGCGCTGGCCTCACGGACGGTGCCCTGCTCAATATCGAGGCTTTGGCTGGGTTCCCTAGTCTGGCGACGTTGCCGTATATCGCTAGTCTCGGTTTCCACGGGGTCAACGTCTTCCAGCAAGATAGTCGGAACGAGAGCATGATCGTCAACCTGCTAGAAACCGACCTGCGGACCAATGTGGAGTCAGCTAAAGTCAAGATTGGTCAGCGCTGCTTCGTTGGCTACCCTTTTCTGCAGGAGGCCAAGATTATGAAAGTCTCGGACGAGCTCTTCGATTACACCCTTGCCGAAGATGGCAGTGGCCAGGTTGTCGCCAGGAACCATATGCCTCGCGAAATTGAGGATTGGAACAAAAAGGCAGACAGGATAGAGAACTTCTACAGCAAGCGACTGGGCATCCTGATCGGTCATGTTGACTCGCTGGTTTCCGTCCACATGCTCAAGGGCCTCATCAAGACCGAGGAGGGCGCTACCGTGAAGGAGTATGGAGAGATTCCCGGTATGGAGACCGAGTATGCCTCTCAGGTCATTGTGGACGAGGTTGTCAACGAGGATGAGCGCTTCATCGAGAAGGCTGCTCTCCCTGTCGAGGAGGAGTTTCCTCTCAAGTCGGTTGGCTTCTTCCTGGGCGACTACAACTACGGCCAGCCTCTGGAGGTTGTGGGTTACACTTCTGGGAAAGTCACCATCTGGCTCGCCGTCTTGGAAAAGCGTGAGCCAGACTTCGCCAAGAAGATCATCCACGATGCGCAAAAGGGCATGCATTACATGCCATCTTACATGGTGGCCAAGCAGTTGGACCTGCATCCCCTTACCCTTAGCAAGATCACCTCGTCTTACTTTATCCGGACTGTCGGCGACCTCCGCGTCAACCTCGGTCTCAACCTTAAGTTCGAGGCCAGGAAGCAGAAGGTGCTGGGTTACTCTCGCAAATCGCAGACTGGCTGGGAGTTCAGCCCCGCTGCTGTCCACTTGATCGTGGAGTACATGACACGGTTCCCCGACTTCTTTGCCGGAGTCAAGCGGAACCCGTCGGGCGCTGAGCTCACCGAGTCGGATCTCTGGAGCGACCCCGCCGTTGGCTCTCCTCGAGTCAAGGAAATAGGCGGTTGGCTCAAAACACTCAAGACGAGCTCCATGGAGCGTGTTCCTCTTGATGCCGAGCAGCTCGACTCAGACGTGGTCATGCGGCTCGCCACCGAAGCAGACAACTTGCAACTTAGCGCGGTTCCTTCCAACCCTAAGAAGATGAACGGGGTGCCGCGCAACGCGCTCATGAGGCCCGAAGACGCCGAGCACCGCCTCGGCAACCAGCACTTTTCCCTCGGCGACCGCGTTGTGTATGTCGCGTCTACCGGCAAGGTCCCTATCGCCTACCGTGGCACGGTGATTGGCATCAGCCGCACGCCCACCGCCAAGCTCCTTGACGTCGTGTTCGACGTCACCTTCATGAGTGGCACCACCCTTGGAGACCGTTGCCCGCCCTTCCGCGGCCAGACAGTGCCTTCGACGGTTCTCCTCAACCTCACCAACCACCAGGTCGTCGCCGGATCCAAGGCCCAGGTCGCGCGCCAGCCCGTTAGCCCGTCGGTTACGACTCTCACGGCGCACGGCGGCTACCACATGAACGGAAAACGCTACCAGGACGCGGCTGCCCCGGCGCCCCTGCAGGGGACCTGGCGCGGCGCACTGAACGGTGGGGGCCGTGGCGGACGAGGCGGAGGTGGACGCGGCGCCATCCAAGGCAATCTGCCTTACCGCCCTCATTATCAGCAGCAGAATCAATCGGACGGTCTCTACAACCCGGCAAATGGTCAGGGCGGCCGTGGTCGCGGCGGAGGCCAGTTCAGAGGTCGTGGCGGCGGCGGTGCCCCCTTCAGAGGCCGTGGAGGATACTCTGATAGCGCTGGCCATGCTGATGGGAATGGAATCGCACACCCGGCGTCGGCTCCGCCGATTTATGGGGCCGTGCCGCCTCCGGCGATCCTCGATGCGCCGGGTCGTGGACGGGGCCGTGGCCGTGGTGGGCGGGGACGGGGTGACGGGCAGGGGTACAGAGGACGGGGTGGTGGGAGGGGTGGTGCGCAAGGACAGGGCCAGACGGCGGCTCCGCAGAGCTAGTTCCCTGGGGTTCCGTCTGTGTCCGCCAGGCTGGGTGACGGTGTTTCGGGGTATTATTAGGAAAACGGATATGGATACGGATGCGTCATGAGTCCATGGATGATGAGGCATGATGATTGCTACGACCTAGGGAAATGTGGCGGGATACAGTTCGCATACAATTGCACACCTGATCTAGCACGCATTCTGTGGGTTTAGGGATCGGATACCCCTTATTAGTGGGTTGGTATGAGGGATAGGAGTTGTAGGTCATGTCTCAAAAGGAGAATCCAGGGGAAGAAAAAATCTATTATATCTGCGAACCGTCTGCCTCTTACGTAAAGACCGTCCATTTCCTTCTTGGGGACCACAATGCGCAATCATCGCCTAGGAGCACAAGACGGGATCGGTGATGGATGAAGGAAGAGATGGTATCAAATGGCCGAGTAAATTTTGAATTTCTTCAATTAGACTTCATGTAGTCTGGCTACCTCGCCGCGCCCGCCTTCTTCTCCTCCTTCTTCTTCTTGATCGCCGGCAACGCAAACTTCTTGCTGAGGTTGTTCTTGAGCGTCTCCCACTTCCAGAAATTGACGTCCTGGTTCCACGTCAGGAGGCCCACCCACGGCTGCACATTGTAGTGCAGCCTCAGCACCACGTCCTCCTGCTCGGCGACCTTGCCAGAGGGGTGCGTGATCTGGTACTTGGGGCGCTGGTTCTTGAGGGTGAGTTTCCCGCTGTTTTCCAACCCATGTTAGCAACCAACCGTACCGGGGAGGGGTATATTATACAGAGAAGATAGGATGGATGGACGAACCGGCTCGGATCGATGCTCTTGCCCTCGGCGCTGCGCTTCAGCTTCTTCATGCCGACGGGGCCCAGGTTCGCGAGGTGGTCGGCGCTCGGCGCCGTGATGATGCTGTCCCAGATCACCGCCTGGTTGCTCGCGTTCTGCCCGGACCCGGACCCGCCCGCCGACGGCCACTCGGCCGTCACGTACACGAACAGCTGCTTCGTGTTCCAGGTGAACAGCGTCGAGAGGTCGGCGTCGAGCGAGAACTTGATGATGGCGTATTCTTCTTTCTTGGAGGAGTAATAGTGCGGGCGGCCGCGGACGCTGGAGGGGGGGCGGTGGTGCGTGTTAGTGGGGAGGACTTGACGACTCGATGGTAGGGGAAGAGCAGGACGGATGGGGGAGGGCTTGTTCGTACACTTGGACATTGGTGGTTTTTAGGACACCCACGCTTGGGGTGCGCGGAGAGAGGAGATCGGAGGCGGCGATAATGGCGGCGACCGTGAAGGCGACCGTGGTGAAGAAGCCGAAGGCGTTCTGGAGACGGACAACGGAGGAATACATGGCGGGCGATGGTTCGGGGTTGTTGCGCGCTTGCTCCTCTGGGAAATAGAAAATAGAGGTTGGAACCGCGATGTCAACGAGAAATGGCCGGCGTCACTTGGGCCTTGTCATGGGCCGGAAGCTGGAATGAGAGGTTGTCGGCGAGTTCGCGACAGCTCCCTTCCGATCCCAGCGATGTTAGTGTTAACGATAAAGGCCAGATCGTTAATCGCATGCGACAATCGGGGTTCATGCAGAGCTCCCTTTATGTGCATATGTACCTGCCGTGGCGCGTGCAGATTAGCAAGGCTTGGCAAGTGTTACAGTGGATAAACTGAGGGTTAGGGCTGTCCGATCGCTGGGCCTAGACCGGTTCCCCCCCCTGTGGCACTGTGATGTAACCTGTAACTCGTGGTCGGATTGTCCTAAAGCCGGTTGTTGCGCTGGATCGACATCTTTCTTGCTTGCTTTCCGTCGCCGTTTCCGCCCGGCTCCCCGATCAACAAACAGGACCACACAATGCGAATATCTTAGCTGCGAAAATGGGTGCTAGCGACTCGAAGCTCGTCTTCAAAAAGGGCATCTTTCGGTTGTCCGAGGAACGGCATATTCCCCCGGGTGATGCCTACTGGTCCTCTGTTAGTTGCCGTTGCCCTTGTCGTGATCGTGGTGGTCACCGTAAAGGGTTGGCTTGCCCTTCGATACATCTACTAACCCGCTATAGTTCTGGGAACTGCCCGAATCACCCGAAGATATCTTCAGCCTCTTTACCCCCGCCGATGTTCGCCGAACTCGCGACAATGCGCTCGAGAACATCGAGAGCTTAGTCCAGGCCGTAACGAACCGCCTGTTCATGCTCCGTCACCACCCCTCCTTTCCCGATCCCGAAATAGCTCCCGATAGAGAAGCCCTCAACTGCATCCGAGTTCTCACACGCATTCTCCCCTTCATTTACGAAAAGGAATCGTTGCATCAGTGGGAAGACAAGCTGTTCTGGTCTCCAAGGCGCAAGCCCACGAGGAAGTCGTCCATCGCCAACGAGATTCTCTTTGACGGCGGGCAGGACGTGCAGCCCAAGCCTCCCGTAGAGGAGTTTGAGGATGCGAAGCCACTCGCCGAAGAACTCATCGACGCCCTGCTCGACTTCTTGTTCTACTCCGACCTCACGGTCCCCAAGGCCCCGCATGGCAAGCCAAAGGTCACCTACGCCATTTGGCAGAGCGGCGTGGGATGCAACACGTCGATCCCAACCACGAGGGAACACGAGAGTAACCGCTGCGAGATCCTTCGCCTGCTCTTAACTTTGGCGGGCCATAGCTTGTACCTCTCGCCGAGCGTATTGCCGCAGCAAGGGACCAAGGCGCTCACTTACATGTGCACCAACTCGGACAAGCAGGTGGTACTCTCCGTGCTGTGCTCGCTGTTGAACACGGTAAGCAGCATATTCCTCCCCGTATCATACGAAATACTGACTTGGACAGACACTTAAATACAACCCGGCCAGCTGGCGGGTGCCCTATAATGCCCTGGTCTTCAAGGATCCCAAAGAGATTCTCGTCACGTACACTCTACAGCTCCTGTTGGCGACCCTGCTCTATCCCATCCCAGAGCAAGCTGGTGTTGCGACACCCAAGAACTACTACCGCCACTTCCTCGGCCGGCTGCACCGGCCACAGGACTTCCAGTTTGCCGTGGACGGGATGACGCGGATACTGAACCAGCCCCTCCAAACCAACTCGTCATACATACCCGGAGCCCACTCCTCTGTGAGGTTTGCCCCCGAGATAATAATGTTGTTTTGGGAGATTACTCAGTGCAACAAGCGGTTCCGATCCTTCATCATCGACACGGAGAGGGCATATGACTTCGTCATCCTGATTTTGTTCTATGCCCTCGAGTACAAGGGGGATGCCTCGAAGCAGGGCGTGGTGAGGATGTGTGCTTTCTTGCTGCAGACCCTCAGTGTGGAAAAGAACTTCGGGGTGAACCTGAACAAGCCGTTTGACGCGCAGGATACGTTGCCCCCTGCCATCCGCATTACCGGGTTCAGGGGCACGTACGGGGACTTTCTCCTCCAGGTGAGCAAATCGAGCTACCCATTGTTGCTTCATACCATAGCTAACTCTAAGCCAGTCCATTTTCGTGCTCATCACTACGAGCCAGGGAAAGCTGACGGCCATATACCCTGCGCTCTTGGCCGTCATTAACAACATCGCCGCATATCTGGAGGGGCTGAGCGGGCCAACCTGCGCTAGAATCATGCAATTGTTCAACTCAATGGCTTCCCCGTCCTTCCTTCTAGCCAATGACAGCAACCACAGCCTTCTGCGGTCATTGCTGGAGGCCATCAATGCCATCGTTGAGCACCAATTTGGCAGTAGGTTGCCCTGCGACGTCGTAGAAGCGTTTAATACTGACCGCGAGCAGAAAACCCCAACTTCATCTTTTCCATTCTGAGGAACAAAAAGCGATTCGAGGCATTGCGTTCGCTGACGCTAGAAAGCGGCCAGGAGGAGATAGAGCGACGCAACCGACGGAGGAAAGACAGCGTAACCTCCCACGACCCACTGGAGCCCAATTCGACTAGGAGTTCGATGGAGAGCATCATGAGTCCGACGGCACAGCCTTCAAGGGCACCGACACTTGGCGATGTTCCGGAGGAGGACAATACCTTCGCGATCGGTGACGACGATGACGAAGATGATAGCGACGAGGAAGCGCGGCCGACACCGGCAGCCTCAAGCCCGAGTGACAACCCGTCAGCGGCTTCTTCTGTAGCATCAGCGGCAGACGACGACGTACCGAGACAGCTGCAGGGCATGTCAGAGAAGGCCCGAGGGAAAATGCCGGCAGGGGCGGCCAACTTCTCCCGCCAAAATAGCACCACCAGCCTGGGAAGCCCTGCTGCTGGCCAGTCCATGTCTGGGCAGTTCGAGCCGTCTGCCCACTGGATGGACAGCTGGCTGCCCGAGTTACCCCTTCACACGACGCTGACTGTCCTGCAGCAGCTGTCGGTCCTGGTCCCCCGCCAGGCTTTGGCATCGGACGCGCCCTCGCCTGCCACGATCGCTAAGATTCGCGAGGTGCATCTCGTTGGAGTCGAGCCGTCGCCGGTCCGGGTGCACTCGTTTGAGTGGTCGCCGCTGGCGCTCGGATGGTACGAGTCACTGCTCTGGGGCTTTATATTTGCTAGCGAGATGCAAGTGTCAAAGGGAACCGTGGGTGTGTGGAACTCAACGCAGATCAAGCTGTTCCGGGTCCAAGAGACGGCGGCGCAAGGCCCAACGTTCACCTCGCCTCGCGGTGCCGTGGATGCGGTGGGCAGTAATATTGTATCGCGGATTGGATCAATCAATCTGCGAGGTGTCGGAAACCCATCCGCGCCAACACTTGGGAATGGGCAGCCTCCTGCACGAGGCACATAGATGGCCCGTGGCGCCGAGGGGGCAGAGGAATGAGACCAAACATACCGGTCGTCGGGGGTAGGCGCACAGCCTCGGGGGTGGTCTTTTACGGGCACGAACATGTGGATACGGGAACAACGAGCGATCGAGTGTTGGATGGTAACACAGCTACACGGCCTAGAGGGCGACGGGATTAGTGACTTACTTTTCTGGGAATCAGAGTTATCAAGTATTTCTCCGCCCGCCCAGAGCGGACACCTGGATTGCTGCCGCGTAACCGACGACGACAGCACACCCCCGGGCCGTGACAAGCAATTCCGCAAGCTCCGTCCTCCTCTCTTCAGAACGTACCCCCAACGAGACGGTGAGGTGGACCCCCAAAGCATCAATGGCTTTGTCGCACCCCCACTGTTTCATCATTCGCGTAACGGCTCTGGACCCTTGTGGCTGATCGAATCAGACACCCCTTCCCCGGATTCCAGCCACGACCATATCCACAGCCGACTTGGCGAGGACCCTGGATTTCGGAACAAATGGTCCTCGTGGGCTGTTGGGTGGTGCCACAGCTTCTGGTTCCCCCCCCCCCCTTGTCATGTCCTCGCGACCTGGATATAACGGCACGCATATATACGTATAGCGGGAGAGCGGATTCGATAGTACGTGCCAGGAACCTAGAGTTTAGATCCCCTGCGTACTTAACGTGTCTTGTGTCTCACCTCACCCCATCTGTTTTGTCCTTCCGCGTGTTCCGTGTTGTGTTGTGTTGTGTTGTGTCGTTGTTTACCGCCCCATCTTGTCACCCAGGCTTGTGCCTGAGCCAACATTCGAAGCTCGTCTATGCTTACCCTAACCACTGCTTGTGTGTGCGTGTAGGCCCGCGGAGATGGCCCAGGCAGTCACTTCTCCGGCAGCCGACGAGGTCAAGCCGTACAAGATTCATGTAACCAAGCTCATCAATATCTCACTCGAAAGAAGCAGTAGGTAAACTAACTCACATGTGCAGATTCCCAGCAAACATCTTGACCTCACCCGCCAAAAGCTCGAACTCACCCGTCTGCCTCACGAACCCTCTCATGCTCCGGACTCAACCACATGGGCCCCCAAACCGATCATCGAACCACTCATCGACTACTGGTATTCCTCCCCTTCCCATCCGAAGCTCCTCCTCGTGCTCCCATACTAACGGGACCACCCACAGGCTCGAGTCCTACTCCTGGCGCACCACCGAGTCCCGCTTCAACACCAACCCTCACCTCCCCCAATTCCGCACCGCCATCACCCCGCCGGGCCACCAGGCCCCGATCCGGATCCACTTCATCCACGCCCGCTCCCACGCACCCAATGCCGTCCCGCTGCTGCTCATCCCGCCCTTCCCGCTCCCAGCCCTCTCCCTCGCTCCGCTCATCCCCCTCCTCACGGGCGCCACCACCGCCACCACCACCGCCTCCACAGAAGGCGGCACCCAAGATGAAGACCAGCAGCAGCACTTCCACCTCATAATCCCCTCCCTCCCCGGAACCGCCTTCTCCGACCCCCTCCCCCCCCACCTCCACTCTTCCCCCGAAACCAACACCAACACCACCACCACCACCAACCCCATCACCACCACCGCCGCCATGCTCAACACCCTAATGCACCGCCTCAACTACCCCACCTACCTCACCAGCGCCACCGCACCCGGTGTCGGGCCCACCACTGCCGGCGCTACCACCGACACTACTACTGCTGGTGGTGGTGGCACGGGTAGGGTGGGCGAGCGCATCGTGCGGCGCCTGGCCACGGCGCACGCGGCGTCGTGTGTGGGCGCGCACTTGATCGCTCCGTTGCTGAGGGCGCCGCCGCGGGGGGTGAGGGGGTGGTGGGGGCGGTGGGTTGTTAAGAGGGTGTTGAATCGGGGTGGTGGTGGTGGCAGAGATGGGGGAACGGCTGGGGCTGGGGCTGGGGTTGGTGGTGGTGGTGGTGGTGCCGGTGGTGGTGGGGGGTTGGGGAGGGTGGTAGAGCCGGATACGCTCGCGTACGCGCTCTGCGACTCGCCCGTGGGGATGCTTGCTTTTGTGCTGCGTGGGTTGAGGTTGGCGGCGGGGGGTGGTACGGCTGTGTTTACGCGGGAGGAGGTGGTTACGCTGGTGAGTTTGATGTGGTTGCCTGGGCCGGAGGGGATGCTGCGGTTTTGGGCGGGGTGTGCGAGGCATTGGGAGGAGGAGAAGATTGCTCGGGGACCCAAGCCGAGGGTTGCGATTACTGTATTCGCTGGGACGGCGGGTGGGAGTCGGAAGGGTAAACAACCTGAGACCGTTACGGCTACGGCTGTGGTGGATGGGGAGGAAGGGACAGGTTTGTGGCCCACTGCGGAGGAGGTCGCTGCCAGGAAGGAAAGCTACTACCCGCCCGCCTGGGCCAACACCCTCTTCGACGTCGTCCATACCCAGCGCGTGGCCGGTCCGAGCAGCGGACTGCTCGCCTGGGAGCAACCCGACGTCATCCTCGCCGGGGTGCGCGGCCTGGCCAAGGCCGTGCTGGCGAAGGACGCACGCCTCGTACCGGTTGTGCCTTCAGCAGGGCTTACCGTGGGACACGCAGCTACCGGAAAGCAGGCCGCGGGAGCGCTAGTGGGGAGGCCAAAGCCCGTTGCTGTTATGAGTTTAAACGTGGCGAGCAGCCCAGCGGGGGCCGTAGAAACAATACCTATGGCGGACGGAGCGGCCGCGCAGGATGACGACAAGGGTAAGGGGAAGGATGCCGGACTCCTCTCCCCGCCCGCCGCCGGCCCGAGTGCTGAGGATGGCAGCCCCGGTATGCTGGTGAACACACCTCCCCTGGAGAGGGCTTGACGTGGGAGCTTAATCCGACTTGCCTAACTGGCAGTTTATGTTGTCTTGGTTTGTTTATTTATTTCCCCTATTTCCTACCGTGGTCTTAGGTAGAGCGGCCAAGAGGAGGAAACACAAGATACCCATATACCCACGTATTGTGCTTCAAACCCTATGCTCTCTACCTCGATTTAACACGAGACACCGATGATTGATACCAGGTTGAAAGTTTGCGGGGTTTCGCGCACTCGAAAGCAGACTCAAAGATGACCCCTATGACTCCGGATCCATCATGTATCGTGAGGCGGTTTTCGACTATTTATCACTATAATAACACAAGTCCAAGTTCAAAGCCGGCCATCACAAACATACATACAACCGTCCTTCAGTATGCAGAGGCTTTGGACATTACGCATGCAGCCAGCTATTTCCCGAACTCCTCCTCCCTTTTTCATACAGCCACTTGTTGTTCAGCCCCACGGTTGACCGCTTCCCTGTCGCCGGCGTCGGCGTCGCAGGCCCCTCACCAAACGCGCTCGAAGCGGTGCTCGCACCGAGCGGGCTGGTCGATCCAAACGACGCTGTCCTCACCCCTCCCATAGCCTTGTGTCGCAGAGGACTGACCGTCGATGGCGAGTATTGCGGCGCGTTCAGTTTTGATGGCGAGGTGCCGAACCGGGGCGACGAGTACTGTCCAGGGCTCGGGCTGGCGATGTTAGAGAGGGGCGAGCTCGCGTAGCTCTTGATGCTAGCGGGCGACCCGGCGAGCGATGGGGTTCGCGAGTACCGCGGGGGTGTGCTGTAGACCGAGTTCGGCGTCGCCGGTCTCGAGCTCGGCGGGAGGCCGAGTAGCTTCCGCTGGGCGGGTGTGAGGGGGATGTCGGTGAGGTCGTCCTTGGGCCGGTACAATGGCAGCAGCGCGATGACGATGTTTATTAACGGCACAAGGATCAGTGTCGCAGTGATCCAGCCGCTGTACTGCTTCCATAGGGGGCTGATTCTGATCAAAGGCTCAGCATAATTACGACGCGGTTTGCTTCGCGGGGAACTCACACCCAGGACGGCACAAAGGGCAGCACCACCTGCCGCACCAGCCCAATGCCAACTAGCGCCACGGCATTGTAGACCATCTGCCTAATGTTCTTTTCCGAAAAGACATTCTGGCTCTGCCGCCGTGTGATCTCGGCGAGGCGGGGGTGCTTCCAGTTGCCGGGGCTATCTGAGGCCGCTGGTGCGGTGGTCTGCTTGACGGGGGTCGACTTGATCGGCGTCGTCATCGCGAACGACATGGCGCTGATTGTGGAGTTGCCGATTGTTTGTCGGCGGGATGGGAAGGCAATGATGGTTCTCGACGAGTATAGCGGCGGAAATGCGGGCGATGAACTAACTAACTGCAGTTCATGCGCAGTTCAGCGAGGTACTGTCGAGGATGCGCGGGGCGAGATTGGATATAAATTGTCGATTTCTGCTGTATAATGTGGTTAGTAAAGCCAAATGGCCGGGAGGTCGCTATGAGGCGACGTTCCACTGGGCCGTGTTCTCGTGTGTCGCTGATGTTCTTTGTGTGTTTGAACCCGGTTTGGAGACAGCCCGCGATTTGTCGCGAAGTCAACAATTCATTCATCACCAGGCGACGGACTCAGGCAGGGATCTTCTTGTCAGCTGACGGCAGTTGTTCAGCACAAGTGCACGGCTCTCTGCTGTGGAGCTTTCGAATGCCGTGATGCCCCACATTTGGGCAGCTCTGTTCTGGAGCTCCCCACCGCTTGGCTCCATCTCTCCCGGGCATTCCCATGCCGCTGTTGGACATACGGATTACCTCCAAATTGCTGTGTAGGAGGCCCCGGATTCCGTCGACTCGACTTCGAATCCCACGGCTTCCGGCATCTCGGATCCGACCCTTTGTTGCCTTGAGACGGTACTCATCATCATCAAAAAGCATACGAAGGAAATCAACCAATTCGCGTTGGTTAGTCCGTCAGAATGGACACGCTGTTGCTCCGTCTCGACGAGAGCGTCACTGGGCTCTTCGGGCAGTGGAATCTCTGGACTAGCGCCATCTTCACTGTCCTCGCCGGATTCCTCACCTACCAGATTGCTACGCGACAAGACCCGGACACCCACCCTTTCCTCCTCGCCCGTCAAGCCCAGGGCTCCGCCGTGCGCCAACCCGGAGAGTCTCCCATCTACCGAGCCCAGGGTTCCCCCCATGGCATGCCCCTTAACGCCAGCTTGAACGTGAAGGACCCCGGTGCCTCCAAGTGGTCGAGAGGGCGCGATGGGGATCTGAGGGATATTTGGCGTCAGGCCGTCGCCGGCGTGCAGGAGGACGGGCCGACGAAGGGAGCAACTGGTCGCATCCTGACTGTGCTGGGCACCGACAAGGCCATTGAACACCAGCTCGGCGATATCACCCGCCAGATCAACCTGATCGGCCAGCACATCGCCGACCAGGGCGGCAACCGTGTGGCCATCTATCTCCCGAACTCGGTCGAGCTGATTGCCACCCTATTCGCCTGCGCCTTCTACGACTTGACCGCCGTGATCCTGCCGTTCGACGAGCCCGTCGACGCAATCATTTCCATGCTGCGCCGGTCCGCCGCCGACACCGTCGTGACCGCCCCGGGCTCCTTCCCCTTCGACGTCGTTGTCAACAGCTACCCTGCCCTGCGCCAGCTGATCTGGGTCGTAGATGAGGGTAGCAAGCATATGGACTGGAATGAGGTCCCCCAGGGCACCGGAAGTAGCGTCAACGTGTCTACCTGGCAGGATATCATCAACGACAGCCCCGTGGATGCTGGAAAGAACCTGCCGCGGCTAGATGAGCAAGAGGCGCCCCGCGACGTCACCGTGTTCTGGCAGTCCAAGCCCGGCCAACAGGAGGAGATGGTGCGCTTCACCTCCGCCAACCTCATCTCCGGCGTCGCCGCCCAGATCTTTGCCGTCTCGACCTCCCAGCGGATCGGACCCTCCGACCTCTTCCTGCCGGCCGACTCCCTCGCCAACACCCACACCCTCGTGCTCACCCTAGCCGCGCTCTTCTCCAACGCCTCGGTCGCCTTCAACTCGGTCGCCCCGCAAGCCGACGACCTCACCGTCGCCACGCGCGGCGTGTCCCCGACCATCCTCGTCGCCACCCCGGCGGCGCTGCTCAAGACCCACCAAGACTCCATCGCCCGCGTCAACGCCTCCCTCGTCACCCGCGCCCTCCACCGCATGCGCGTCCGCAAGCTCACCCAGAGCGGCGCCATGCCCATTGCGGCCGCCGCCGGCGGGCCCGGCAACAAGCTGCGCCTGATCCTGACGGCCGACCGGGCCGGCGCCGCCTCCCCGCGCCTGTCCTCCGCCGTGCTCGCCGACCTGCGCGTGCTCACGGGCGCCCGCATCGTGTACGCGCTCACGGCGGCCAGGGTCGCGGGCGCCGCGGCCCAGACCGGCTTCTTCGACTACCGCGTGTCCGAGGCCGAGCAGGGCGGCGGCTGCCATTTCGGCCCGCCGCTGACGAGCACCGAGATCGTGCTGAGGGATATGGGCGCGTGGAAATCGGGGGATGAGGGGAGTAAGGGGGAGGTAAGTTTTTTTGTTCTTTATTGTTGCTTGTTATTTCGAGGAAAGTAACTAACGCTGGTGGTTGCAGATTGTTGTCCGCGGTCCTTGCGTCGCTGGGAACGAGGCCGCGCTTGGGGTGGCGGGTATGATGAGGGACGACAATACCCTCACGTATGTTTAAAAGAAATTGGTTGTTTATGACATGTTATTTTATGGCTCGATACCCAAACGCGGTAAAAGGTTCGAGCCCTATTCTTAGTTTCGGTTTCGAAGGCTGGAATTACCTTTTGCACGGCATAGACTTGAGGGTTCTAGCGTTACTTGTAGGCTTGTGATGGGCTTGATCAGGAGAACCCATGGTTATTACCGACTGTTTGGTCAAAGAGGAGGAGTAAATACGCAAGACTTGAATTCAACTCATCACATGTCATTGTATCCCCGTAGCAGAGTACCCCTTATCCCACCTGCGCCAGCGCCCTTTACCCATGCAGATAGATAAACAGACAAACAAATCTCCCCTGACCCCCCCGCTCTATAACTACGCGCCATTCCTGTAAACCTGCGCCCCCTGGTTCCTAAACATGATGGTATCCCTCCTCTGCAGGAACATCAGCGCGCGATTCAGCGCCGCCTCGCTGAACCCTTTGCCCTCGACCATCTCGCGGCGCAGGGTGGCCAGGCTGGTGCTCCAGCCGATGGGCAGGCGGCGCTTCAGCTCGGCCTCGACGCGCGACACCTCCTCGTTGAGCTCGCGGCTGCCCTGGTTGCTGCCCTGGTTGACGGCGTCCATGGTCGAGCACAGGAACAGCCGGATCGCCTCGTCGACGTGCTCCTCGGTCGCCACCGGCGACAGCGCCAGCTTGGCCAGCGACTCGGTGATGCGCACGATGGCCTCCAGCTGCCGCACCGTGATGGGGATTGATGATCGGGTGTTGGCTTCGAGCTCCGCCGCGTGCACCTGCTTGCGGATGGCGACGAAGTGGGATGACAGTTTCTCGGCTGCGGCGTCGGAGAGGCGGGGGGCGCAGCGTCTGGGGGAGGGTTAGTTTGGGGGGGCGATGCTGGTAGGGGACGTAGGGAGAGGAAATATGGGGAGGAATGGGAAGGAACTCACGATCTGCAGTAGCTGATGTAGCGGCGCATCTTGTCGACGGGGATTTCGGACTCGATGCGCTCTTCTACGCCGCGCCCACCCATGTGGATGCCCATGACGTGCTTGGCGATGCGTTCGTCTTTGCCGCGCTCGTGCTCGTCCTTGACGATGAAGATCATGTCGAAACGGGAAAGGATGGTGGTCTGGAAGTCGATGTTTTCTCCGGGCGTCTTCATGTCGTCGTACCGCCCGAAGATGGGGTTGGCCGCCGCAAGTACGGAGGTTCGCGCGTTCAAGATGGTAGTAATGCCTGCTTTGGCGATCGAGATTGTCTGCTGCTCCATGGCTTCGTGGATCGCTACTCTGTCCTCGTCACGCATCTTGTCGAACTCGTCGATGCACACCACGCCGCCGTCTGCGAGCACCATGGCACCGCCTTCGAGGTAAAATTCGCGGGTCGATTGGTCTCGCTGAACGGAAGCCGTCAAACCGGCGGCGGAGGAACCCTTGCCGGAGGTGTAGATGGCGATAGGTGCCACCTTCTCGACGAACTTGAGCAGCTGCGACTTGGCTGTACCAGGGTCACCAAGCATGAGGACGTTTATATCACCACGAAGTTTCATCCCATCAGGAAGGATCTTTTTGGAGCCGCCCATGAGGAGACATAGGATGGACTTTTTGATATCTCGGTTGCCGTAGATGGACGGCGCGATGCAGTCGGTCATGATGTTGTAGAGGTCGGGGCGCCGGCTGAGCTCCAGGAACTCCTGCTCCTCCTCTTCGGAAAAGACGGCCTGCCCCTTGGCGGTCTGGTCGAGATCGGTTTGGATGCCAGTCGCGCGTAGATAAGGCGTGCGGATGGCGACGGCGCCACTTGAGTTCTTGGACCCCTTGCTCTGATAGATGGAGAAGATACCCATGACAATACACCTCGACCCGGGCACGACCCGGTTCGTGAGGTAGCGGTCGGCAGATATGAGGACATGACGCGGCAACTCTCCCACTGGTACCTGATCGGGCGCCTCCTGAAGCTTGATGATTTGTTGGTCGACAAACTTCGACTTTTCGTGCACGACAAAATAAGGGTCGAGAGGGCACTTTTCTGTCGGGTCGCCAAAGCTCCTGTTCCTTCCGCACTGCCTTGGAAGAGTCACGCCGCTAAATCCCCCGAGAACAAAAACGTCTTCTACGTGGTCGCAGGTACGGCATTGGATATGGATCGACGTAGCCTTGGATGACATGACCGAGGCACCGATAACGATACCGGGTACCCTAACCAGCCTTGAGATGGTAAGAGAGTCCAGGTTGCGGATGGACACATCTTCGGCGCTGGAGTGGAGGAGGAGCTGGTGTTCGGGGAGTTTGACGTTGGGCTCGTGGGGATGAACGATCCTGTGCGTACACCGCTTCAAGGCTGCTTCAAACTAAAGGGTGTCAGGCTGAGTAGGTATCGCGATAGTGTCGGTATATCATACTAGGGGGATGATTTCTGCGGGTTCTGTGACCAGTCTGTGGGCGATCTCCTCGTTGAACTTGATCAGGTCTCCAATGTTGACGTCGCAGTAGTATTTTTTGAGCAGTGCATTTTCGCGCAGTTGGTCTCTATAAAGGTTGTGTCAATCCCTATAGGAGGTCCCAAGTCTGACTATTGAGGGGCGGACCTGTATATGAAGAGGTTGTCGAGTCGAAAGTCGAGGATGAAGGACTCGAGCAGGCCGCGGACGTGTGTGTTGGAGTCTTCACTTTCGGTTTGGGTACCGTAAAGGCGACTGGTAAATACCGACTGCCGATCCATGGCGAAAGAGTGCAGCTAATATGTGGTGCGTTTGGGAAGAATGGTGTTGGTGGTGGGCTGCAGGAAGCTGGACGGCTTCTTTTCGAGATGGTACGGCGGATGGAGGGGCAGGATGAGGTTGCAGAAGGGGGGGAACTGTGCGACGCGCAAAAGCGCCAGAACGACGCGACGGCAGCGCGTTTTCTTACAGGGATCTAAATTGGACCCATATTTCACGTTATGGTTGGGCCGTGCGACTTTGGTTCGGATAAGACACGGCTCGCCCCGTTACCATATTTGGCTGGGCGCTCAGGGCAAGTATGCAGTTACGAGGGGGATGAAGCTGCGCAAGGCCCAGGGTTATCCCAGGCTTGGCGCAGACCAGTCCCGGCCAGATTGGCACCAGGAGCTCAGTACAGAGCATCTCAGCACTCTGACGGCAACTCAAAACCTGACGACGAAACCAACGATAATCAACTTGCCAATCAGTATTCTACAGCGGATAGCACAACCGTCCGGCTACAGTCGAAAACCAACGCAGTGCATGCACCTTTGAATCACCCCCCAGCAATGATACCCCGGTGACGGCGGCCTCTCTTCTCTTGTCAGATCCACAGCGGTTTCCCCCCCTGGGATTAAGCTCCCCGAGCGTCTTGCGCCCCGGCCTGGATGGTCGCAAACAACACAACGACTTTGCCTCGTGGCTGGGGAGACTGGGCGAGGCATCATGTTCTCAAATCAGGGGGCGCGCAAGTCGGTCGATAGCCTGTCGCCGACGTTGTCGGTTGGACCCCGGGGCGACTTCCCCTTCCATGGGTACGCAGACACAAATCAACATTCACTTGCTCACACACATCCACGCGGCTCGGGTAGCTTGTGTGCACCTTAATCAACCGCTAACAGTTTGAAGAACAGCGCCCCATGGCTCCCAACACCCCCATCAGCGAAGAGGGTCGACAGCAAGCTCCATCCACTCGATTGGGGGAACACTAGATACTTGGGGAAACTCGTCCAGCGCCGTGTTTGAATCGGGCCAAAATGCCATTTCGACACTATTACAGCCCCCGATAGTGAGGACCGGCCTCCTCCCACACACCGCGCCGCCTGCCTCGAGCGCACACAAACCTCCCACCGCACGAGACATACCCCCTGTGGCGCTCACCAACATCCCGCATGTCGAAGCATCCGAGTTCACGTCGTACCTGTCGCAGGTCGGACCTTTATACGAACAGCTGCGGCGGATACAGGCGGATGAGGACCAGGGGACGAGCAGCGCACAACGTCGAGGGAACAAGCCGGACGAGTACCCCGAAGCCTTAGACGAAGGCCATTTGCGGCCAGGGAGGCGGCCGGGGTTATCATCGAGACGGACGTCGACTGCCTCACTCAGCTCGCTGTCCTCCATTGAAAACAACTCGGCCCCGCGGCGCTCAAGTTCGCGCCCGAGAAGGGGACAAGCACAAGGGCCCCCTCCGCTTTCCACCATACCCACCGTGTATTTCGACGACGACTTCCACCTGGAGAACCCGCGCACATTCGATGTCGTCAGCGAGCGCTCCGAAGTGGTGCGGCCGGCGCCAGGTACTGATGAGAAGGCTGCCTCCAACGGCCAGGCCGCTGCGCCCCGTAAGGCCCTAGCAACAAACGCCATTTTGCAAGAGAAACTGTCATGGTACATGGATACTGTCGAGATGCATCTCATTCAGTCCATATCCACCGCATCCACCACTTTCTTCACCGCCCTCGGCTCGCTCCGGGAACTGCATTCCGAAGCTGCGGACTCTGTACAAAGAATCAAAGCGCTGAGGAAGGAACTCGAAGCTCTTGACGAAGAAGTCGCGATTGGTGGTCTCAACCTTGTCCAGCAGCGCAGGAAAAGGGAGAACGTCAAGCAGCTTCACGATGCTGTCATGCAGCTACGAGAGATTGTCGACGCCGTCGCGGTCTGCGAGTCCCTGGTTGATGCTAGCCAGGTCGATGAAGCTCTCGACAACATCGACACAGTGGAGAACCTCATGGCAGGCGAGGTGTCGGGAACCAACCAGCTTGGTATCCAACTAAGGGATCTCAGGGGAGCCACCGCCCTCCAGGGCGTGAGCAGCGACTTAGACACGCTGCGGCTACAAATTGGGAGATCCTACGAAGCCAAATTCCTCAATACCCTGCTCACGGATCTCCAAAATCATGTCGAGCAAGTGTCTTCCCAAGAGGTTTTGATGCGCTGGAGTAGTGCTTCCGCGCGAACACGTGGAACCCACAGCCGCGAACCTTCTGCTTTCCCGGCATACATGTCGGGGACAAACCTGATACGGACAGAACTCCTAACCAGCCTCACGGGTTTGCAACGTGCAAAGCACCTCACAGCGGCGGCCTCCGCGTACCGGGAAGCGGCGCTGCGCGAGATTAGAACTATCATCCGACGGCAGATGCCCAGTTCTAATGACGATGACAACGAGTCGCTCATGTCCACATCCACGAGAACCGGCGGCAAGCAACGTTCTCAGCAAGAGAGGTCGATCATTCTAGCCCGCAACCTACGCGCCCTCGAACCACAAGATGCCGAGCAACTGTTGGCCAGCATGTACATTGGCGTGTCTGAGGCGCTCAGAAGACTGAGCACTCAAGCCAAGGTTCTTCTGGATGTGGCGAGTTCTATCGGCGAACCGCCCATGCCCTCCGGTGCCCGATCTCCGCTCCAGTCACCTCCCTTCAGCCCCACGGCAAGGCAAGCGTCAGGCGCAGCTCGGGAGGCCCAGGAAGAAATTCACATGGCCGTAGACATTGCGAACCTTCTGGGACAGGCGGTAGACGTGGCACATGAGAAGATTGTAAAGGTATTGCGTGTACGATCAGAACAGAGCAAGCGATTGGGTCTCTTTTGGTTCCTCCGATATTTTACGCTCAACCTCCACTTCGCCAACGAGTGCGAGGCTATCTCGGGGCGTAGCGGTACCACGTTAAAAACCGTGGTTAACGGCCACATCAAGGATTTCATCCAATATCACGGGGACGCCGAGAACCAGAAACTTGCGCAGGGGATGGAGTCGGATCAGTGGAACGCCGCCGATTTCAGCGAGAAGGACACGGAGCTGCTCGGCCGAATCTTGGAAAGCAGCACTAGCGACGCTGTTACTTGGACGGAGGGCACTCAAATATGGATCCCGCATCCCGACATGGACAAGTCAGGTGAAGAGGTTGACGTCTTGTCAGCCCAAACGAACGGCACGAGCAAGGCGAAGACAAGGACTGCTGTCGTCGACTCGGAAAGCTACCTACTCCCCAACTCGGCTATCTCATGCATGCATGGCATGTCTCATTTCTTGCATCTCATGGCTGCCATACCGTCCATGACGGGTGAGATATCCGCATCACTCATCGCATTCCTCCAGCTCTTCAACTCTCGCTGCACCCAACTCATCCTCGGCGCGGGGGCAACACGCTCCGCCGGGCTTAAGAATATCACAACAAAACACCTCGCGCTAGCATCTCAAGCTCTCGCTTTCATTGCAGCCATCATTCCGCACGTCCGCGAGTTCGTACGACGGCATTGTGGCTCGGGGCCGGCCGCGTCGGGCGTCATGGGCGAGTTCGACAAAGTCAGGCGGGCGTTCCAGGAGCATCAGAACAACATTTATGATAAACTCGTCGAAATCATGAGCGGGCGCGCACTGGCTGGAACCAAGAAGCTGAAGGCCGTCAGATGGGAGCAGGAATCTAAACCCACGGCGAACGAGTACATGGAGACGCTGGCCAAGGAGACCACCACACTGCACCGCAACCTAACAAAGCACCTCCCCGAGGGCACTGTACGAATGATCATGATGCCCGTGTTCAAGAACTACAAGGACACATTTGGCGCGGCGTATCAAGCGGCGGAGCTCGAGACGGAGCAGGGCCGGGAAAGGTATGTTCTCATTCGCCTAGCCAATGCTGGTCGGGCATATGCTAATACTCTGACAGGATGCTGCGGGATGTCGAGTTCTTCCAGTCTCGCCTGGGCAAAATCGACGGGTTCGAGGACGCTGGCGACTATCTACTCAATGTCATCAGGAACAAACAAATCATTGCCCCTCCTCCTCCGCCGCCGGCGCCAGAACCTGCACCTCCATCACCGGCACCGCCCGCTCCTGAACCTCAAACCGAAGGAGAAAACGGGAAGAAGTCGGTAGAAGAGCAGTCTGCAGAGCTGCAAGCGCAGGTTGGGGCGGGGACTCGACCGGAAAAGAATGGAGAGTCCAATGATGCGAGCAAGGCGTGAGGGAGAGAGGTCTCGAGTGGAAGGGGGGCGGTCATGACGGTCATGACGGGTGAATGCTTGTACTATGCTCTACGTATCTGGGATGTATACATAGCGGTATTGAATGGAGTGATGAAGTTCGGAAGGGACATATTTTGCCAAAGCGAGTGAAGTGACCACCCACCTGGGCCAGCCACTATTTTTTCGTGAAAAGATGAAGACACGGCGATGCTGGACACTACACCATGACTTTACATCCCGTGAAATAGATATATTGAAGCAGTGGCCTGAATTTCGCTTCCATTACGACTACTCCCCCTTCCTTCTCTACAGTAATGGATACCACAAGCCTTCTAAAAGATGTAACCGTATACAACCGTCTCTGGGCACACCACGTCCCATACTGCAAGACAATCGTCCTAACGCCGCCAACGCGGCCGTAATCATGTCAAGAACCAAGCCCATATCGTCCTCGTGGTATATTCAACACCGGGGCTTTCGTGTCGTGGGTCGCCGTCGCCATCGGACCGTCATAATCGTGCGCTTCCGACGGACGGCATCGACTTCGTGTCAAAACTGTGCCGTTTATACCGACGTCGTTATATTCGTAGTTGCTGGCAAGAATGAAGAGAATAATTCATCATCCCACCGAGTCGGAATCGGTTCCACAGCCATGAGTACTCCCCAAGGCACCCACTGATGGGCCAAACCCTAGCCTTCATTGAAGCCAATGTCTGTTCAAGCAGAGAACAGAGGGTAGGCGGTCATCCCCGCGACGAAAGCCGGCCACTGCTCTGGCGCGACCACTCCCTCCTCCCGCCCTTAGGGGGCTCCTCGGCGAACTCTGGCCACTGGTGCTGGTTGGGGACGCGCGCTCTGGAAAGCGGCAGCGACCTCTAGCGCTCCACCATGTCCGCGAGCTCCATCCTCGAGCGGGCCTCGCGCATGAGCGCCTTGGCCTCCTCCACCTCGATGCCGTCCTGGCAGAGCTCCATGGCGAGCCGGTTGGCCGTGTCGAAGTCGTCGGCCCGCATCGCGTGCCGCGCCAGCCACATGCGCGCTTTGCTGGTTGCGAACGTCACGCCCGTGCCGCCGTCGGGACCGGCCCCGCCGTCGGCTCCGTCGCCTTCGGCATCCGACCCAGTCGCGTCGTTGTGAATGGCGATCGAGTCGCCCAGCGAGGGACCGCCGCCGCCATCGTCGGCACCCGCGGCACCTTCTTCCTGTGCCAGGCAGAGCTCCATGTATGCCTTGGCCTCGTCCACTTCGTCGAGGCGGTCGTACATGGTGGCGATCTGTAGCAGCACCTCCGGGTCCATCTGTGACATCCGGTCGACGGCGCCGGCACTTCCAAAGCTGCTCGCGGCCGTGGTGTCGTAGTAGCTGTCGGCCAGCAGGGCGCGCTTCAACGCCTTGATGCCGTCACGGTCGCGGCCCATCTTCTGCAGACACGAGCCGACAGCCTGCCACATCTTGGAGTCCCACGGCCGAAGGCCCGCGGCCTTCTTATAATACCAGAGCGCGTAGGCGTGCATCTCGAGTACCTCGTACGTTTGGCCAAGGCCGTACCAGGCGCGGTAGTCCCGCCGGTTGACATCGACTGCCCGACGGTACGACTCGATGGCCGCATGGGTGTTTTTGAGCTCGACGTATTCGTGACCCATGAGCGTCCACGCCGAGAGGCAGGAGCGGTCGAGGGTAAGAGCTCGGCGAAAATATTGCACTGCCTTCTCATGGAGCGAGAGCAACGAGTAGTAGTTTCCAATCACGACGCAGGACTCCGGTCGGAACTTGTCGATGTTGGAACAGAGGTGGGCCAGGAAAGCGAGTTTGGGACGCCGGTTTAAAACGTACAGGATGTTGGAGTAGTGGTCGAGCGAGTCGAGTCGTTGCGGGTGGAGGGCCAACACCTTGTTGAATTCCTGTTCGGCGGCGAACAAGTCTTTGGAGTGGTAACACAACAATGCCTTGCAGGTGAGGAGAAAGGACGAGGTGGGAAATATGCCGAGGAGGTCGTTTAACGAGGAAGCAAGTTCTGGCCCCTGCTGGTAGAGGTTGACTGAAGCGTTCGCGTGGAAAATATAAGACATGATGTTTTGTGGTAGATGACCAGCTACTTTGGTTAACTGCGAGAGGAGTCAGTTACACACGGCTGGGGGCAAGGGTCACATCTTGCGCACCTGCTCGACCCTCGAGACGAGGTTTGTAATCTCCAACCAAGCGCCCCAGTTCCAGGGGAACAAATGCACGCTCTGTACCAGATAATCCAAGGCCAGATTGTCATTCTTCTCCTTTGCTAGGACCATGCCGTACAGATACTCGAGAAATCCTTGGCTGGCCGGATAGTCACCGTCCTCGGCTTTTCGTTGGGCAAACCACTTGGTGAGAAAGCGGCTGACGATGACGAGTTGCTTGTTGATGACGGACCCCGAGTCCTGGGGTCCCATAATCATCTCCGTGTCCTCATCCTTGTGCTTTTCTCCCGCTATGATTTTGGCGTACAGGGCCAAGAACATGCTCTTTTGACTAATCGCAGGTAAGGGGTTTTCGGGCGAGGACGCGGTCATCGCTTTGGCTTTGCCCTTGCCCTTCGGGTTTGTGGCCTCGTTCGGGTTGGTCCCCAAGAGACTGGCCAGCAGCGGCTCCGGGAGGAAAACGGTAGCGCATCGTTCGAACTCCTTGCAATCAAAGTACGACTTTGCGAGCAGGTACTGGCCGAGCTCCTGGGCCTCTCGTTCGGCCTCGACCGGGTCGGGATTTGGCGCGAAGACGGGATGTACAGGGTTTCCTGGTGCTTCCGACATGGTATCAAGGTCGGGTTCCGGGAGGGCATCAAGGATCTCGGCGGCCCTGGGAGTTCAAGTCAGTTGCCCTGTTACAAATGCAGCAAATAGGTAGATAGCCATAGACATACCATTTCGCTGACTGGTAAAGGCATCTTTCGGAGCACTTCACCACTGCTATCTGCAGAGCCTCCTTGAGCTGCACCGAATCCTTTGGTGAGAGGCCCATATTGGGCAAGCGTTATGTCAAGCAAGCGAGTCGTTATGGAGTTGGTAGATTGATGTGGTCGAAAGAATAGGTCTAGTAGATTGGTTGGGGGTTACTCAGGTAACTTCCAGGTCCCCTGTGCGACAGTACAAAGCAAAGTAAAGCTGGGAAGGAAGCAAGCAGTAACTCGCGGGGAGCCTTGGCGTAGCTGAACTTCTGCTGTCGGGAATGCCGTATTAGAGATGGTTTATCACTTTCATAATGTTTAGGATTTGGGGTTCGGGTCCGGGTGCCTCTACGAATGGCGACGCTGCATGTTGTTTGACTACTGTAACCAGTGTTGTTTGAAGTCATACACAAGAGCTGCATGGCTTCGGCACAGGTGCAGGTGCAGGGGAGTGTCCCCCTCGTTAGACGCGTCTGCCGCCAAATGACGCGCGTTGGATGGGGAAACTGCCGGGGTTCCTGAAATTCTGCCGCATTGCCCCCACTCCTTTACCCTTTCACCGCCAAAATCTCGCAGCGCTCAGGGGCCCGAATATCACACAAGCTTCCCCACTCGAGGGAAAGGAGACAAAGCAAAAAGGAGGGGTCAATTGGGCGCAACGATTCTCAGGGTCCTTTGCCCGCTGTTGCCCAGCACACCGCCTGTGGCACCCAAGTTTACCGACCCGAACGCCCAACCCCCACTCCCGCCAATTCCCGAACAACTCCCTCCATCCTCCCCAACAAACCCAACTTGCTCTTTGTTACAACACTGTACCTAGTTGAAGTCTCTCAAGCAAGAGGAAAAGAAAACAAACAACCCGCAAACAACATGGCGCAAAAAACTACTCTCGAGGCCTTCGAGGCCGTCTTCCCGAAACTGGAGGAGGTGCTCGTCGAGCATGCCCAGTCCTACAAGCTTCCGGCACAGGCTGTTGAGTGGTACAAGAACGTGAGTGGGCAATACCCCTAACCAGCACAGCCAACAGCCAGAGAAGATCAAGAAAGACAAGAGAAGAGAAAAGAAGACAAAAAAAAAAGAAAGAGGAAAGAGCCGACTGCTAACCAACTTCTCCTCGTTCTAGTCCCTCAAGACCAACGCCGTCGGCGGCAAATGCAACCGCGGCATGTCGGTGCCGGACTCGGTGTCGCTGCTGCTCGGGCGGGCGCTGACGGAGGACGAGTACTTCCAGGCGGCGACGCTGGGGTGGATGACGGAGCTGCTGCAGGCCTTCTTCCTGGTGTCGGACGACATCATGGACAGCAGCATCACGCGGCGCGGCAAGCCGTGCTGGTACCGGCAGGAGGGCGTGGGCATGATCGCCATCAACGACGCCTTCATGCTCGAGGCGGCCATCTACACGCTGCTCAAGAAGTTCTTCCGCGGCCACCCGCGCTACGTCGACCTGCTCGAGCTGTTCCACGAGGTGACGTACCAGACCGAGATCGGCCAGCTGTGCGACCTGCTCACCGCGCCCGAGGACGTGGTCGACCTGGACAACTTCAGCATGGAGAAGTACCGCTTCATCGTGGTCTACAAGACGGCCTACTACAGCTTCTACCTGCCCGTGGCCCTGGCCCTGTACATGCTCGACATCGCCACCCCCGAGAACCTCAAGCAGGCCGAGGACATCCTGATCCCGCTGGGCGAGTACTTCCAGATCCAGGACGACTACCTCGACAACTTCGGCCTGCCCGAGCACATCGGCAAGATCGGCACCGACATCATGGACAACAAGTGCTCGTGGCTGGTCAACCAGGCCCTGGCCATCGTGACCCCGGAGCAGCGCCGCGTGCTCGAGGAGAACTACGGCCGCAAGGACAAGGACAAGGAGGCCGTCATCAAGAGGCTGTACAACGAGCTCAACCTGGAGCAGCGCTACAAGGACTACGAGGAGAGGGCCGTCGGCGAGGTCCGCGCCCTGATTGCCAAGATCGACGAGTCCAAGGGCATGAGGAAGAGCGTGTTTGAGGCCTTCCTCGGCAAGATCTACAAGCGCACCAAGTAAACTGATTGCTGGCTGCGTCTTGAGGGGAAGGAGAAAACCCGAGGTTTTAGATCCCCGACCATTCTACTGCAGATTCAACACCCACTAATACCCATTTCGTAATCGTAGTTAGAGAAAAAACAAAGAGAGCTACAGAGTAGACTGGGGAACGAATCAAGAAATGAAGCGGCCCGTGTATTCGACCGTGAATCCAAATAGCTACAAGTAACCATACATCGCTGAAACCAGATGTTTTGCCCGATCCCCTTGTTTTTTCGAGACCACTCGTCATACCGGTTCGTAACGTCATTCCCCAACACCGCATCCACGCCATGAGCGTGGGAGAAGAGCAGCCAAAAACACAACAGGCTACGCCAGGAGCCGAATCGAAGCGAAACGAAGCAGAGTAACACAAACAAACGAAACATCCCCCTCAATACCCCCTCCTCTCCCTAACCGCCATCTCCCCACGTCCACGGCCATCCCCACCACTCCTGAGCCGCTCCCTGAGCTTCTCCCTCTCGCCGTCTCCGACGCCCATCGCCTTACCCCTCGACTGCATATACGCCGCCGCCGCCGCAGGTGAAGGCACGCCCGGCCTACTCCCACCACGGCCGGCACTAGCGTTGCTCTTAACCGTGTTCCGCCTCACCAGGTCCCCCAGCAGACCCCCCTGTATAGGGTTGACACCCTCAGCAAGGGTAATTGTTCGCCCTTGCGCCCCCCGGCTGGCCGCTTTTTGCGAATCATACTGGTCCATCAGCGTGCCACCTCCGCTGCCGCCCGAAGCTACTGCTGCCGGCGCCGCATCGGGTCGGCGTAGCAAGTTCTTAGGCGGCCCCGCGTCCCTAAGGCGTGCGGCGGTGCTGGGCGGGAGGACGTGCCCGGTGGCGAGATCAACGAGGGGTTTCCCCTGCGGCGCACGCACACCGCGACCGCGACCCTCACGATTCCATTGCGGGGGCTCGACAAAGGTCGGGGTGAGGTCGATGAGGGGTTGCGGAGGGAGCTTCTGCGTGGGCAGCGGCGGTTGATGTTCCTCGCCACGTTGGCGGTCTTCGCCGCGTTGGCGGACAGATCGGGTACGAGATGGGCCGTGCGAAGAGGTGCTGGGCCTCCGGGATAAGGGAGGCGCTGGGCGGGTGCTGTGTTGCTCGGCCGAGTGTTGGACGGCCGAGGGGAACCAGCCCGTGCGGTCCAACCGATGAGCGGGGGAAGCGCCTCGAGGACTACCGTCCGATCCACCTGTCTGAGGGCGGGTGGGGGACGTAGGAGTGGCTGCGGTGCGGTTGTTTAGGAGACTAGGCCCATCGATAAAGGGGCCATCATCTGGTGACGACGTTCCTGGCCGATGTCTTGTCGAGGCGTTTCGTCGCAAGACTTCCTGTTTGCGCTCGTTGTACCCTTTACCGAGTAACCCAGTCGCCACGAAAACCTCCTCTTTTTTCTCCTGGCGAGACTCTGGCAAGGCTGGTACTGGGGGGATTACCCCTCCAACCGACGTATCGAGCACCACGTGGTCCCGAGAGGACGGGATTGACTGAATCAATGGACCCTGGTCTAATGAGGGTCTTCCCCTAGAACCATTGTCACCCCTGGATCCTTGATCGGTTGAGGGTCTGCTCCGATAGCTGTAATCCCTTTTGGAGAGGCTGATTGGAGATGACAATTCCTTTTTCTCGTGTAACCCCAGTTTCTTGTTCACCAGGTACCAACTGCGCCAGCCGTGCACGGCAGAGCGGAATTGCCGCGCAACGGTCGGATCTTCGGTGCAGAAGAAATGGACGTAGTGGGTGGAATCAATGAATAACGTGGCTTTCTCCTGGCTTCTAATGGCGTAGCAGTACCTTTTGGGTGGCCGAAGCTGCTTCCTCATCTCAGCCTCGGTCGGTAGGTACAGGTCGAAGTCGGAAAGATGGCAAAGCCGGACAACATCTTTGTCCGAGGGCTTGTATTCCTGCTTTTTGGATGCAATCACCTGCCCATTCTCTTTCAGCGTAATGTAGCGTTGCGCCCATTTCCCCGGTCGGAGGAGGAAGTGGAGAGGGAGGACAAAGCCCTCCGGCTCCTCCGATGATTTGGGCACGCTGGAAAGGCTTAGTTCCTTGTCGGGGTCGGCGGTGTCCGAGTGAACGATCAGGGCGTTGGACGAGTCGTGGTCCCAAGCACTGATGACGTCCCAAACCAGTTCATACTGCCGAAGCCTCCTCTCGAGCCCGGGGCGGCTGCACGGCTCAATGACAACGCTGGTGTCTGGGTTGATTGGCTGCCCAAGCTTGGCCAATGACTGGCTGCAGTCCGCCAACAGATCACTTGCAGATGTCTCTTTCGTGACCTGAACCGTCACCGTAGTGCCTTTGCACCGCACTCCAACGGACTGAGTCCATATTAGCTTTACACGGTCCCCACAGACGAACGGACTTTAGATCCACTTACCTTCCCCGTAGGATTCTCTCCCGCGGTGGGGAAGTGCGCCATGTTTGGGCTGGAGTTGATGCCAGGAGACTGGGGGGAATCGATCGAATTGGGTTGTGTTTCTGCCGACGTCGACGTCGGCGAGGTGGGCAGCGTGCGAGAACGTTTTGTGAGAGTTGCACGGGGCGAGTCGCTGGTGTGGCTCTTCTTGCGCCCTCGAGAGAGGAAAGCAAACGCCTCACGCACCGGGCCTTGTGGCTGGCGCGGTGGGCTTGAAGACATGGTCAATGGCGGCGGCACCGCGGAAGGCTGCATTGTCTGAGACACGGCGTGTTTGCCGTCGGACCTTTCGCCCCCAGTCGGCGGTCCGGCCAGAGTGATCCTGTCGGTTTCGGTTGTTACCTGTGCCACGTTGTCGGCCGAGAATGAGGCCTGTTCTGGGCCGTGGTACCAAGGCCGGCGGCCGACGTCGTTGCTTGTCCCTGGTCGTTGCTGATACCGATGGTGGTGGTGTTTGCGATTCTGGAGTGGGGAGCCAGGACTAATGGGCGGCGATGAAGGGAACTTATTGCTGAACCCAGGCTTGTGCGCGACTGCCGTATCAGGCGATGCGGAAGAGGGGGGCGGAAGGAACGACACTGGGGTTTTGCGGGACCGAAAGACAAGCTTCTCGGGTAATAAGTCCAGGCGCGGCGTAGAGGGCCGCGGCCTAATTTTTGCGAGCTTTTTCACGTCATCGTTTCTGCGTCCTGGCCGCAATCTGAGGTTCGAAGCCGTTTTATGCGCCGACGACGGCACAAGGGGTTTGCGCTCCTCCCCACCCCGTCCCCTGTTGGGGGCGTCTTTGCTGGGCCTGTCGATGTTCCTATTTTCACTATCCTCGGCCCACTCCAGCGCTGCAAGCAAGTATGCAGGGGAAAATGACGGGCTGGTCTTGAGTTGGCCTCTGCCGGTGTCACCGACCTGCGGCGATCCATCGAAATTCACTGCACGCTTCCCTGTCCCGTGTCTGTTCCGTTGGCCAGCTCTTCTTGTTGGGATAGCTGGCCTCAGGCTGGTGTTGGTGGTCGTCGTCGCAGACATAGTTAGCACTTAGCAGCTGGACAGGGGCGTGCTGTCAAAGGCTCCAGATGGCCCCAGATGGCGCGACTCCCTGTTGGCTGGCCTGGTCCTGGGAGTCTTGGCGGGAGATCTCTGGAGCTGGACCAGATCGTGGGTCAGGTCAGGCTGAAAGTTGGGTGCAACGAAAGAATGAGCATCAGCGATCGTAAATTGCAAGTTTCGGGCTTGCATCGGTATTCGTACCTAACAGAATGGAAACGAAGAATAAAATACGAGGAGCCAACACTGGCGGGGACAGTTAATAAAGCATGGCTTCATCACGGACAACCCCAAGGGAGTCGCGTTCAACAGGAAACACAGCTTGATGCACCGTCCACTGATTCGACCCTTTTTTTTTTTTTACGGAATGAGCATGCTGGCGACTGCGTGGGTGGGCATGAGATTGACGGTGATGCGTGGTTCCGCCTGGATGGGCCCCGGCAGCTGCTTGACCTCCCATTGGCGATCAGCGGACGCAAGGGCTGCCCGGGCTTATTCTGATGCTCTGCGAAGCCCTCGCCAGCCACCACCCCGAATTCCGCAGTCCATGCTTTCTCTGGCTCGGCGCGTTTGCGACCGCGGAGTTCTGAGTCTAAGACATTCCTGCGCGCTCCCCGTGTCGATGGCGCGATCCGTTGAGAAGGGAAGCGCGTGTGTAATCATCAATGCCGAAACGCCCGGCATTCCCGCCTCCACCACCCAACAAAGTCCTGCGTCGAGACATCAATTCCGATGTCCTTGAGGGCCCTCGTGCTGAGATGGCAATCGTACGGCCGCTGGACGCTAGCCTTGGGGTCGTTCCCCTCGGTATTCGGCACGATTCGATCGATCGGCGCGCCCATGATTTCGCCGAACAGCTGGCACATTTCGTACTTGGTGTACTTGTCCTCGCTCGAGAACTGCAGCACCCGCGGCAGCGACGCCTTGTTCTCTTCACCCAGATAACGAACGGCCACATCTACACGACGCCCCGTCAATGAATGTCTCCCGGGGGGGTAGCAAACTAGAAAACAGCCGAACTCACCGTAGCAAACCCTCGCAACATCCTCCGTATTCGTCGGATACCTCAACGCCCAATGGTCCATCTTCACCGTCCCCGCCTTCCCCTCCCCCCCCATCACAACATCCATCAGACAATTAACCGCGCTCTCCGCATTCCTCCCACCCTCCACCTCCCCATACAGCACCGGCACGCGCAGCACCACAGCACCACCACCACCACCACCAACACCCTGCTGCCCACCCGCACCCTCCTCGAACGCGCCGAGCACCGCCCCTTCACCATCGAGCTTAGTCTGGCCGTACAGGTTGGTCGGGCCCGTGGGGGCGTCGGCCTCGTAGGGGGCGTCGCCGGGGCGGCCGGCGAAGACGTAGTCGGTCGAGACGTAGACGAGCACGGCGCCGCGCGCGGCGCACTGCTGCGCCAGCGCCCGCGACGCCTCGATGTTGAGCGCCCGCGTGCCGGCCGGGTCCGCGTCCACCTTGTCGGGGAAGCGGTTTGCCGCGCCTGATAAAGGAGGGGGGGCGCATTGTGTTGTTAGAGCGAGAGAGACAGAGAGATGGATGGGGAGAGGGGGGGGCGAGGGAAAAGGGGGGGTAGGCGTACAGTGTATTACGACCTGTGGTCTGCTCGTCGGTGCTGGTTAGTAACTGGTGGCGTAGTGGGTTAGAGAGATGGGGTTGGGTGCGCGCACTTCACCCCTTCCAAAGCCATTTCAATCTCAGCAGGGTTGGCGAGGTCGACCTTGAGGGTGTTGACGCCGTCTGCGCGCGAGTAGCCGGTGCCCTTCACAGTCCAATCGTGGGATTGGAAGGCCTTGACGACCTGCCGGCCGAGGAAGCCTGTGGCGCCGGTGACGAGCGCTGTTTTACCCGACATGATCAATGGTAAGACGTTTAAATTTGCGTAGTCACCTCTGCTCCTATGTGTAGGTGCGTTTAAAGCCAAATGGGGTCTTGGTGGTGGAGTGAACTGCTCCAATTCCCACTGCGGGGGAGCTTGGAGCTCTCGCGGGGCTGCCAAGACACTCCTTCGACGTCATCGAGTTGGCAGTTCAGGGTTAGGGATGATTGGCCGAGAGGCCTATAATATGGAAAAGGGGTTGAGCAACGCTGTGATCATTGGGGTTAAGCCATTGGCAAACCATTGTTATACAAGTCCTGACAGTTTTGTGTAAATCTCAACGCTGCCAGGAATTCCGTGGCTCTCGCTTTACCTAAAAATACTTGTCCTTCACCACCTCCCCCCTTCCGTTCAATCTTCATCACCCATCTTGTCAGACAACATCTCCTTCGCGTGGTTGACAATCTTCTCGGGAGGCCGCGGAGCAGCGGTCTCGGCCGGCTCCGGGCTATCCATGCCCGGGATCGGCGGGAGCTGTGCACTGAGGTCGGTAGGCACCGGAATCCGAATATCCTCCGGTGAGCCCGGAATGGTCCTTGGGTCGAGACCGGGTATGTGGATGCGCTTCGCCTCGTTCTGGTACGCCGCAGGGATAATCTCAATGATCTCATCCCGCGGAAATTTCAGCTTGGGGATGTCCCTGGTACTGCAGTGCATCAAGTACGAATACAGGACGCGCAGGACGCTCTCGTGGGCGATGATGAGCAGGTCGTTCTGCTCGCGCTCTAACTCCAGGATGATAGGCTCGAGTCGCACTGCCAGATCGTGGTACGACTGCCTTGCGTTAGCCTAAATCTCCCGGAAGTGAACAAGGAACAAGCAATCCTTCCATACCTCTGCACGCGGGTACCGGTGGTGATAGGGATCCATTTCGTGCTTTTCCACTTCCTCCGGATATGCGGCGCGGATGGCGCGTTCTGACAGCTTCTCACAAACACCGGGGTTGATTTGACTCATCTGAGACCGTTGCCGGACCTTGTATCCCATCTCCTTCAGCGGCTCGCCTGTTTGAACGGTGCGGAGCCGGGTAGATGTCCACACGGCCAGAGGACGTAGCGGCAGGTTAGGGCCGTCCTGGTCAATGGACGCCTGGCGTTCCTGCTCCCGGTGTCGGAGGAGAGTCTCTGTCATTTTGTCGGCATAAATTTTGCCTTCCTCGGACAGCGGAGCATCGGCCTTGTACGAATCTTCGTCGGTCGCGGGGCCGGCGCGGACGAAGAAGGTGGTGCGGCACTTGATGTGCAAATTGGTCAAGTAGAAGACGATTCTGTGAGACAGGTAGTTGAAGCTGACGTTGTTGTAGTAGAACGCCTGGCCAGCGTTGATCATCTTGACGTAATTCAACTCATCCTCGTCCATGGTTTCGAATACGGGGATCTTGGTCTCGATACGCTTGAGGTAGTGTTTAGCCGCCTCATCGGGGTCCATTCCGTGGAACTTGGCACGTTAATACCCAGGTTTCAAGCCTCTCCGTTTACCAATAGTTGCTTACATCGGGAGATGAGATCTTGACATTGCGGGCATTCTCCTTGAGGATCTCTTGGTCATCGACATAGGACTCAATGAAGAGCGTCTGCCAGCAGTCCGTCAGTTAGCATACACTCAAACTAACACACCCACCGAAGGTCTCACCTGGACATCGTGCTTGGCAAATTCCTCAGCGAGAGCCAAGCGGCCGCTGGCAGTCGGATTTACGGCATCATAGATGGCGACCTGGCCATTCTCATGGTTTAGCCAGGCGTAGATGTCATCCCTGCACTTCTTAAGGATTTTCTGACGGAGCATGACAGAAGCCGGAGATGCGTTGGGGTAAAAGTAGTCCTGCGGGACATGACCTCCCTCCACCGTGGCCCGGCGGTAGTCTCCAAGATGGAAGATGCGAGTCTTGACGCCAAGCCTGCAACGCATGAGTATCACCGAGTGTAGAAGAAGGGGATGTACCTACCATGAAAGATAGCGAGCCATCGAGACACAGATGTGACTATGAGTCGGTCAGTCCGGCACTAGCATTGAGTTATCCAAGGTCCCCCTACGTTTTCCCACGGGCAGGAAGGCCGACCATGACGATGGCGATCCTTCCCGAGTGGAACAGCCTGCCAGACATAGTGCTATATAGCTGCGCCGGCGCCAAGTTGCCTTGATCTTCGGGGACATCATGGATGCCGTCGATGAAGGTTGAGCTCTTGCGGCGGTAACGAGGCGCGTTTACCGCGATTTGAGCGGTACTGCAACATGTCAGCGACGAGGTGACCCCAAATATGCTACACAATATCCCATCGCATTAAGAGGGTTAGCAACGAAGTTGAGGACTTACAGGAGGGTATCCATGTTTGCAATGTTGACTCTGGACGAGTTGTGGATTCAGCGGCCACAGCAAGAGCGGGTGAGATTTCGAGGTGTTTTGTATCACCAATCCCACGCCGAGAAGTTGAGGTACAAGTCCTGGTACCGCAAGCACAACCTGAGGCTGATCGATTTCTTGGCTGCACCAGGCGGTGACAAGGAAAAGCGGAACCAAACAAGTATAAGGGCCGCAATACTTGTCCTTCGTAATACCAGTACACCTGCCTAGACAGAAAGAGATGCCGATGACAATGGGGAATAAAACCTCAGGGGTGGCGAGTATGGAGGTCGGAAGCGGAAATGCCCAAGGTCTCGAGGTACCGACGGCAATGACACACGCTTATCAGGGCCCCACTCTCAGCCGGACAAGACCCGAAACAAATTCAATGAAGCTCGTGACCAGGGAGCCAAGGGGGGGATTTAACTGCTCAAGTGGGTATGAAGCATGTAGTTAAGAATTCAAGAATAGCTCGTGAAAAGGCAAGATAGTACGTTGAGCGATTCTGTCTGACGTGTGAGGGTTCGAAAATGGGACAAGAGAGCCCCTCGGGTTGGGTCGGGCACAGCTCCGGTTGCCCCGTGCGTGCAGCCACTTGCAGTTTCCATCCATATGGAAGGTTGTCTTGTCGCCTGTCTCATTCCTCCCTTGGGCAACTGTGCCACGACAGAGAAGGAAGGCAAGGCCAAGAATTCCGCACTACATTGGGCACCCGACATGATATTTTGTAAGAATTGCAAGAATTGCAAGAATTAATAAGTGGTACAGGCTCTTCACAGCGTCCTATTTCCATAACGTGGTGGATACCCTCCTCGGACGGGTAGAGTCCTCGGACGCCACAAATTTCCCACTTAATCACCAAATTTGATGATCACAACAATCTCTCCTAGAGCAAGAGAACTTGTCAATTCTCTCCCAAACAACAATTTTTCGACTCTCCTCGATACTACAACCACGGATACCGACAAGACGAACAACCCCGAACCGAAACCGCCACGCTACGACCGATTTTCGATTCCAACCCGCGAACCCACTATATTTTAGAGGAGATAGGCGCTATAATATAGGGGTTTAGGTGGAGGTAGTCTCTAGTAGAGCGATGTAGGCGTCGGACAGGGTTATAGAAGTCTGCATTAGACTATCTGCAATGCGGCCGTTCGAATGCCATTTATTTTAGACTTTTTGGGCTTGAATTGATAGTATTTTGATGTTGCTGTTTCCGGTGCATTTACGTGCGAATTGTTGCTTGCGAACACCCTACCCGTTCGAGGAGGGTATCCACTACGTTAACTTAGAGTCGACAATTCCTTACGTACTCTGCTTCGTTCTGTTCCTTCGCAACTGTTACAAGTATTGAGTGGAGGACCCGAGCCGCGGCAATCGTCGGTGCTTGATTTCTCCGGTCCGCCTGGCACCCATCGATTCCATCGACCATTGAACCCGTCTTAGGTCATCATGAGACTGATGTGGTTCAAGGCCCTGGCATTCTTGGCGGTGGACCGCCCCCACAGCGCACAGGCCAGCAAGCCGGGCTGGCTCCGTCTGGGACCGCGAAATTTTTGGACCGACGGATACTCTTTCAAACAGCGATTCCTCCAAGTAGCGAAACACCAAGCGCCGGCTCAAGTGTCTCCGACATCGAGAGCCACCTCCTCGACCACGACGACGAACCTTATCCAAGGCGGAAAGGATTACTGAACCTTTTGATTATTGGTTCGCTCCCTGGGTTCCCAGTTGTCCCATCGAATTCGACCCGACGCCGCACAAAAGCCACTCGCGCGACCCCCGCGACCCCGACTACTGTCAGCAGAGGTAGCCATGGCGTCCACCTCTGATGCGCCGCTGGCGTTCCTGCGCAAGAACCCCGTATTCTCCGGTCTTTCAGATGTCTACAATGCCTTCCAAGAAAGGAGGGAACGGTTGGGGCTGTCGAATCCCGGAATGGTGGAAAATATCGCCAAGGGTACGTCACAGCCCGAGAAACAACTTGGTGCTAGGCATCTGCCTTCCACCGGTTTGCTGCCGACCTATAGCCTCCATTGGACGCTACTAACGTATTATACAGAGGTCCAGCGCGATGTTCTCACCACGAACCTGATGTTCTCCGGCCTCCGGGCTGACCTCACAAAAGCTTTCAGCTTCAACCCTTTGTACGTCACTCGCAAACTCGCGGTGCTTCAACGATGGCTTCAAACTGGGAATTGCCCCCAATCGCCGCTGTCAACTTTGTCGGTCGTCACGCGGTGCTGATTAAAATCAAGATTCCAAGTATCTCACCAGTTCGCTATGGGCGAGAGGTTGAGTCCCTACACATTTGCCGCTCTCTACGGCACCAGCAAGGTACGTAGCCTCGTCTTTTCAACACATTCTTCAGCTTTACCCATCCGAGCCTGTCTAACAAAACATAGGTGTTTGCGCAAGGCAACATCGACGACCAAGGTGCCCTCTCGGCGTCGTTCAACTGGAGATGGAGCAATGCTCTCACCACCAAGTCGCGCTTCCAGATCGCCCCCGGTGGCACCGGCCAAGACATGGCCCAGTTCGAAAACGAGTATCTCGGCAACGATTTTACCGCCACCCTGAAGGCCCTCAACCCCTCCTACCTTGAGGGCGGCTTGACCGGCATCTTTATCGGTCAATACCTGCAGTCCGTCACACCCAAGCTCGCTCTTGGTCTGGAGGCTGTTTGGCAGCGTGCCGGCCTTACCCAAGGCCCGGATACCGCCGTTTCCTACGTTGCTCGGTACAAGGCGGAGAACTTTATCGCCAGCGCCCAGTTGCAGGCTCAAGGCGCACTCAACGCCTCCTACTGGCAGCGGCTGTCGGACAAGGTCCAGGCTGGTGTTGACATGACGCTTTCCGTCGCTCCGAGCGGTGCTATGATGGGTGGTCTTTCCAAGGAGGGCATCACCACCTTCGGTGCCAAGTACGATTTCAGAATGTCGACCTTCCGTGCCCAGATTGACTCCGCGGGCAAGCTGAGCTGCCTGCTCGAGAAGCGGGTTGCCGCCCCCGTCATGATGACCTTCGCCGCCGATGTGGACCACCTCACAGTAAGAGACGCGCTCCCAAGCCTAGGAACTCCCAGCTAACCCTTTAAATAGCGGCAAGCGAAGATTGGTGTCGGCATTTCCATTGAGGCCGGCGGCGAGGAGCTCCAGGAGCAACAGGACGCCATGGGCGCCCAGCCCCCTCCCAACATCCCCTTTTAAATGACGCCGTCATATTAACAGGCAGAACGACATGAGCTCAAACGGTTCTGCGCCCACCAACTCATATTGCCCCGCTCCGCTCCGCTGCGCTGCGCTCATATCGACCGTCTAATTTAATGCCAACCCCGTCTGCCTGGCTGCCGACAGGCACGAGCACTCGTGCTCGCTCTGTCGCTCTCTCTCTTTTCGTCTCGGTGTTCCCCGGCAGAAGCATGGGGAACACGGGTTCCCTCACCATCGGGTCAGCCCGCATCTTGTATATCTCTCCTGATGAACGATAGACGTTTCCTCGACATGCCGGCTTTTTCTCATGCGGGCTGCCTATCGGGAGGACGCGCCACTTTATAACGAGGAGAGAAATCAAACGTGTACTATAGAATTGTCATTGGGGGGGCGAAAAAGATTCCCCTCTTGTGGTGGTCATGCGGTCGTTGGCAGGGGAGAGCTGGGCTGTCAAGGGGAGGGGGAGTCTGGGGATTGATTTGATTTCGCGCTTGGCCGCCTCCATGAATCCAGCAGCGCGGTGGCCGCGTTGTAGATATTGCTGGTATAGGCGTCATGTAAAATAGCATGTGCACGATGGTTGAGACCAGATAGTAGTAGACTTGAAACCACGCCTTTCAGGCACATTGACTGAATGTGAAGACGGCTTCTTGGAACTTGGCGATACATCCCCAGCAAATACAGAATTTATATCTCCTGTTCGCTAGCACTTCGCTGACATGACACTATTAAACCCTCGCTATCCGCGCGCTCCCGACGTCGAGACTCATCGCGATTTCAGCCCTTCTCACCAGGCGCTGTCCCCAAGAATTATGCAACCCTGGCATCAACGCGTGAGCCCCCCTTCACTTACCCGCCTCTTTGGTATCATTGACTATGAAAACCACTGGCCCCGCCGCTATGCAGCCTTTATCCCATCCCATGCTCGTTTCGCTTTTCGCCTGCCGAACCAAACTTGGCTCTATCCCCGTCCGAGACCAACCAACGCCATGCCCAAAAACCCAAGCAAAATACCAAAGAATGCGCCAGTTGACCGCAACCCGCGCAGTCGGTTTAATAAGACTCCACGAGGAAAAAGAGAATATCGCAAGTCCCCCAGATGCAAACCCCATCTGCCGCCCATGTGCCCGCAGTCAAGGTCACATTACGACACACTCGCGGTCGGGTAGGCCCGCTTTGTCCTTGCCCGCGTCCTTGGCCTTCCCCTTGCCCTTATCCTTCTTCTCGTCCCGGTCCCTGCTCTTGGACTTGCTCCGGTCTCTGTCCTTCTTGTGGCCGTGGAGCATGTGGTGGTGGTCCTTGTCCCGCTCCTTCCCACCGTTCGCTTCCTCCCCATCAACGGCGGGACCGCCGTGCTCGCTCGCCGAAGCCTCCGAGTTCGTTGCCCCGCCGTTGGGGTTGCCATCCTTGCTCTGGCGGCCAAATCCGAATCGCGATATGGTGAGGCTCATCCGGCCCTCGCCGGCCTGGCTGGTGGGCCGGGACTTGCTTGCCGCCGTCTTGAACATGGCCGCTGTCCGCGAGCGTCGGGTACCGTTGTTCTCTTCTTGGGGGGTGACGACTGGCGAAACGGCGTCGGGGGTAACAGCAAGGTTGGTTCGGAGGGGAGGTTCGGAGGACGTGATGCTGCCACGGCGCGAGTTGCCTCCTGTTTGAATGGCGAGCGAGGGCAGGTCGTCTTCAAAACTTAATCGTGGACGCCGTTCAACGTCGGCGCTGAGACGAATGTGTGGTGTACTTTGGGCGAGGGCCGTTGTAGAGTCAAAGTAGCCACTAGCCGACTTTGAGAGTTGTCCGGCGTCGGACACCGCTCCCACGCTCGGTGTTCCGGGAACGGTTGGTGTTGATTCGACGTAGCCTGGAGGCTCCGTGACGGATCCGTCGGTTGACGTGGTTGTTGTCACGTCTACCATCGGCACGATCTGGTAGATTAATACATAGGGCATTTCTTCCTGACGTCGCAGACACTCCTGGATATCGTCCACGGTTTCGACCCGCTTCTCGATCGATAGGTCATCAAACCTCACCCATTGAGGTTCTTCGTAATCCGGAGGCGGATCGTGATCGTGTTTTCGGTTATCCGTCAGCAGTTTCGGCGCAACCCGGGCATAGGCAACGTAGTGCCCGCTGTGAATCGAATCACCCCGGTGGCAAATGACCGACTGCAAAACCAACTTGTATCCCTGACTCAACCCGTTCGAATCTTGTTCCTCTTCCTTGGAACCATCAACGACCATGAAGTGCGGGAGACGAAGGCTGTCAGGAATATCGATAAAGGTGTTTTGTCGGATGGGGACCCCATTTTCTGTCATGGTATACCTCTTTAGACAAATGGCCACCACAGGGCGTTTATTGAAATGCCGAGCAAGCTCCATGTCGCTACTTGGGGCGCTGTTGGAGGTAGCATTCCATGCTAACACGACAAACATAATTAGCCTCGGGTCTTTGTGAAAGAGACATGAAAACAAAAAGGGCACTGACGTATTAAGCGGTAGAACTGCCAGGCCGGAATGGTGACAGCCTTCACTACTGTTGAGCCGGTACGCTTGGCTCGTTGCAGTAGGCTCCTTGTTTCTGCATCGACAGATGGCCCACCAGAATGCTTCTCATTCACCACGATTCGCTGTATGATGCTGGTAGACCTTGTCCGGGGACCAGATGGCGCGGGATCGGGGCTTGAAACGGAGGTTGGGGAGTGCATGATGCCTCCGTGTGTTGTCCACCTCCGTTGCAACTGCGCGTTTTCCTCTTCCGCACGTGGTGTTTCGTCTCCATCCTCGGGGACCATCCGAATCGTGCTCTCCGGACTTAGGGCGGGCTTATCGATGGATTTCTTTTCCTCGAGACTATCGCGAAGAACGTCGACCTTGTTGTTGAAGTATGCTTCCATGCAGTCCTCGAGCTTTATTCCCTTTCCGTCTGTGTCAGGCGGGATAGGGAGATTAAGGCACCGCTCGTGGACGACCTTGTGGTCATCTATATCCCCCTTCCCGTGATGGAAAAGATCCATCTGGAGGGCGAGAAGAGGTAACTGCAGCGCGTCGGCAATAAAGGCGAAGGCTTCGGATGTGTCCTGCTGCTCGAGAAGCGCGGCGTCTTTCCAACCGCATTCGGCCAGGGCTAGCTGTATGTGTTCCGTCTGCAAAGTTTGAGTTAGCATGGGGCGAGTCGGAAGGGATAGTGTGATCGGACCATATCGGTGTGAATCAGCCTCCCACCCCTGAGCATGTTGACCCATAACCTCAGTAAGGCGGCCAGCTTTCTTTGAGGCTCGCCTTCCAGATCATTCTTCAGCATGGATTCGAAGGCTGTGAGGTGGGCGAACATGGCGAAGAGCAAGGAGTCCAGATAGCATGTGACATTTCCCCTGTTCTCAGCGCCGAGCATTTCGACGTTCGGATCGAATGGTTGTATTATCCCCGAGAAGGCCTGCTGCTGGAACTGCAGGAGCTCCACGGCCTTGTCGGCGTTGCCCCCAGCGAAGTGGGAGCGAAGTGCGACGCGGACCAAGTCTTTGGAGACAGCATGGTAATTGAGCTCCTCCAAGCGCCGAACTATGTCCTCGACCTATTCATGCCGTTAGTACGGCAACGCAACCCGTCCGAAACTGTGTCCAAGGCCTACCGTCGCCGCTTCTTTTTCGACTTCGTCCTTTTCCCTCTGCGCTTGTTTGGTGGAATCGGGCTTGAAAATGGAAAGCCACGAGTCGGCAGTTAGCGGTCGAACCTAGGGCCGTCAGGAAAACCAGTCTTTTTGTTGGGCAGGCGGCCGTCAACACACCTTGCCGCCAGACTCGGATGATCTGTTGCGACGGTGCCCATTCTTCTCCCGAACACTGCGAAACTTCTTCGGCATGAGCGAGCTAGCCGCCTTCATCATATCCATTGTTGCTGAGGCGGGGACATGGAACGGTAACAAGGTGTAGAGGTATGTTATCTCGCAACTAGGACCGGGGAGCTCGTTCGTGGTATCGAGGCATGATCCAAGGATAGCTCCAGGGCGGGGTCGGTTCAGCGGCGGGCAGCAACAAGGTCAAGAAAACCAAAATCGAAACTATCGCAACCGGGGGACGGTATCGGGAAGGTTATTGGGAGGAAAAGAGGCAACTAGAAAGAAGCGCGGTGCTGGGCGGTCGACTCTAGGTAGTTGAAGGTGGAGGGTGGTTTCTTGGGTGCGCGGCTGCGAGGAGGGGGGGTTGCAGCGAAAGCTCAGCTGGTGGGGTGGGCGTATTTTGCAGGCTGGAAAGCGAATGGCTTTCGCTTGGTGAACATTGGAGGGCTGCGCATGCGGCAATGTCACGCAAGAGTCCAGCTCGAGTGCCGGGCGCGCAAGGCAGGTAGAATGCGGTGCGTGTTGCGGAGAAAGGACGGATGCTGGAGAGGGAGCTCGGTCGGTAAGTGTCAAGGCTGGCTTGCAGGGGACTTGGGAGGTGTGCAGCCAACGAAATTAAAGAGGAGGGGCCCAAGACGTGGGCTGCGTGGTCCCCACCACGCCACTCAGCCCGAAATGGTTGATTTCTCGCCCAGGTACCTACTTTATTCTCTGCGACGAAGATTTCGACCGCAACACCAATGGTTCTTGACACTCGCCCCCCAAATATCGGGCAACATCCAAGCTCCCAAAGTGACCGTTGTAAAGTGTCAACCAGTGGCTCGGCAACGGTTGAGCTCAACGGCGGCTTCACTCCCGTCTTGTGGTCACGACACATGGCCGATCCTTCGAGGTCTGAAGTGATGGCCAACATGTTTGTCGCCAAAATCCACAGCAGAAAATTTTGATATCAGACAACAACACCTTGCAGGATTGTGTCGGTGTTTCGCCGATTCGGATGGAGGCCATGAATGCGGATATTTCGACAGCGTGACATCGACCCAGCCTTCACCACGTTCTGGCTTCCCGCTGCTTCGATCTGCAATGTGACCACGGCCCTGCCGTCTCGGCGCTTCTTACGGATACAGACTTCTTCTTTGCATGCGCCCACCCGTCATTGGGCCAGCGGGGGTGAATCGGCGGCTGACGTCCCCAATGACGTCCCAAGCTGACGAAAGGGTGCTAAAATTCGATGCCTGCTGCAGGCAGATGATGGCATCACGGTTTTTAACAGCATCAACCTGGAGGCCGGTGATGCGTTGGGCTACGAGAACCACGGCGGTCGTGTTGGGAACTGGAACGGCACAAAACACTCGAAACCCTTGGTAGGCCTCGATGTTGGGCCGCGCGGGCTGGTACTCAGTTGTATGTCGCGCCGGACATGCAAACGCAGCGGGTCCGCCGGGCTCCTGCGCGAACGATCGGCCGGGGCCGAGTTCCGGACAGGCGGTTCCTGTTCTGAATTTCTCTTGCATCCCAAAGAAAGCAAGCTGTGGTTCGATTTTGCGGCTTCTCCCCCCCACCCCCCATTCCCGTACGGGCTTAATCCGATCCGAACCGCATCGTCAGGGCCACGCAATGCTTCAATTGCCCTTCTCGTTCTAGCAGGCAGCGAGCTCAGCAGCCTAAAAGACGTGTAAGTCTGCAGCGTCACCCGATAGTTAGCGTTTGCCCAAGAGCTTCCGTCGACGGAAACAACAACTAGCAACAAGAACAACCTTCGTTTCTCCTTTTCTCATTAGCCCCGAGGTAGGTAGGTACCTTTTGTATGTACCCTATCAGCTTGGTTTTCGAGACCGAGAACTTGAGTGTGGGTGCCTTTTTTGGTCCAACTTGACATGTCAAAACTGCCAAAGATGGGGCAACGCATGGCAATCTTCATGGGAATCATCCATGTCCCTGGCGGGCACGGCGGGGAATTCCTGGCGAGCTCCACCTCGACGCGACTGTGGAGGCTGTTTCGGGGGGTCATGCTCACGTTATCATATCATATCTACGAAGGAGCGTTAGCAAAAGGGGAATTTGTGGTTGAAACGGTGTTTAAGATGCGGTTTCTGTGAACTGAGACGGGCGGACGCGTTGTGTCCCGGTATATCAACTCCAGACCTCAGCCCGATATCATCAGTTACAAGTAATTCTTCGGAGCGAGCTCAAATCACCCTTGAGCTTCGCAGTTAACTCCCCCGTCAATTCGTGGTGGGCCCATAAGCAAGCCACCTCCGCGTTTTCACCAGCCACTTATACTTGGCGCTCCGCACCGCTGGTCCACTGAAGCCGGGGGACCGATGGACCTCGGCACGGACGGTTAATCGTACCAGCGAGGAGGTGAACTGAGACCGAGCCATTGATTCAACATCATCAAACCGCCCAACAATTTTGTCATAAAGTGAACCTTGACCTCTCACCTTTACAAAAGCAAAACACACCTCACTTACATACACACACACATATTTCAGATACAGAACGACCATCTTCAACATGTCGGCGCAGATCCCCATTGCTGTAGGATGAATCCCCTTGTTTACCCCAACCCCCCCGATGGCCATCAGCTAAGACGTATCTTTAGGTCAGTGGCCGCGTGAGCGACAGGGCAAAGAAAACTTTGGATATTGTCGCGAAGTTTGTGGAGGAGGACTGTATCCCGTAAGTCAACAGTCAACAACCACATTTTATCTTACGCTGTAGCCTGGTCTGATGCCCTGTCAGTGCCGATGCCGTCTATGAAGCCCAGATTGGCGCGGGGGATGCGAGGTGGAACTCGCACCCGCCAATTCTCGAGGACCTCAAAAAGAAGGCTCGGTCTCTAGGCCTTTGGAACATGTTCCTTCCCAAGGGCCACTACAAGGAGTCGCCGGGCTGGACCAACCTCGAGTATGGCCTGATGGCCGAGTGGCTGGGCAAGTCGAGGACCGCCTCTGAGGCTGTCAATTGCGCCGCCCCAGACACGGGCAACATGGAGGTGTTGGCCAAGTACGGCAATGATGCGCAAAAGGCCAAATGGTTGAAGCCGTTGATGGATGGCGAGATCCGCTCGGCCTTCCTGATGACGGAGCCCCAGGTTGCTTCATCTGATGCGCGCAACATCGAGATGAAGATTGAGCGGGACGGCGATCACTACGTGCTGAACGGCCAGGTATGTGCAGGCAACCATATATCCCAAGTGCACGCATCAAATCTAACATTCTGATTAGAAATGGTGGTCCAGCGGTGCCGGTGACCCCCGGTGCAAGGTCTACATCGTCATGGGAAAGAGCGATGCCAACAACAAGGACCCTTACAGGCAGCAATCCGTTATCGTTGTCCCCGCGGAGGCCCAGGGCATCACCATCCACCGCATGCTCTCCGTTTACGGGTACGACGATGCCCCTCACGGTCACGGTCACATCACCTTCAAGGACGTCCGCGTGCCGGCCGGCAATCTCGTGCTCGGCGAGGGCCGCGGTTTCGAGATCATTCAAGGTCGTCTTGGCCCCGGCCGCATCCACCACGCGATGCGGACGATTGGAGCGTCTGAGCGGGCTCTAGAATGGATGCTCATGCGGATCAACGACCCCAAGAAGACGACCTTTGGCAAGCAGCTGCGCGAGCACGGCGTCATCCTGGAGTGGGTTGCCAAGTCCCGGATCGAGATCGATGCCGCGCGCCTTATTGTGCTCAACGCGGCCATCAAGATGGACGACCACGGGCCCAAGGCCGCGCTCAAGGAAATTGCTCAGGCGAAGGTCCTCGTTCCCCAGACAGCATTGACCGTCATCGACCGGGCGGTCCAATCATTTGGTGGCGCGGGTGTGAGCCAGGATACGCCACTGGCTAGCATGTGGGCCGGTATCAGGACGCTGAGGCTGGCGGATGGTCCCGACGAGGTGCACCTGCAGCAAATGGGCAGGAATGAAAATAAGCGCGGCAAGGAGGTTGCCGAAAAGATTGCTGCACAGAAGACCAAGTCCGAGCAGCTGATGAAGCAGTACGGTGTTGAACGGACCGAGATTGGGTCCAACATCAAGCGATCGACTTAGAAACCTGGTTATGACTCATGTTTGTGTTTGTAAAGTTTACTTAGCACTGCCCAATATAGGCACCTAACTGATGCCCGGCAATTGTCTCGTGTTCAATTTCTTTGTTGGCCGGTTGATCCCGTCTCGTTTCGGTTTGCGGGAGTCATTCGATGTCCCAGATTTTCCCGCCGTTTGCTCGCCAAGGCGGCAGGGGTAGGGTTTTGTGGGTCCCTTGTTCATGCCGTTGCCCGGTCAATGCAGCCAAAACCGGAAATGTGTTTTCTCGTCTTTTTCTGCAGCCTGCCTAAGCACCGAGGCCATGCAACAACCACATTCCTGAAGGTCAATTTAAGCCCGGATACCTGCCATCCACCTGCCGCTTGTCCCTTCCCACACGCAACAATTTACAAATCCACCTCGCGTTGAACAACAACCTCCAGCTCAACTCCCAGCTCGACTCGCACCATCCGCTCTCGCTCTCAAAATCGAGCCCACGAACCTCAACCCCCAGCAACCATGTCTTCCGCCAACGTGCTCGCCGCTCGGGACGTCAATACGTCAATGCCCGCGCAAGGCCAAAACCACAACGAGTCCGACGGAAACACCAAGCCCGATGTTATGAGCATGGAGCACCACCGTCAGGTTTTCCAGTCCAAGATGGAGCAGGGCGAGTAAGTGCTTAACTACCCCCCCATCTATGCCAGACCATCTCGGGGCCCCCAATCGCTAACCTCGCCTCTCTCCTCCAGGAACAAAACCTTCATCTCCCCCTCCGACAACATCATGAGCCCCTGCACCGCCAAGCTGTCAGCCTTCCGCAGCAAGCAGGTCGGCAAGTACGTGACCACCCCCTCCCCTCCCCCAAACCCCAACGCTATCTATGCCACAACCCCCCCCATAGAAGCTAACGAGTTGTGTGTGTTTTACAGGGGCAAGCCAAAATCGCTCTTCGCACAGGCGTCAGCTAAGAAACTCGGCGCCGACGGAAGCAGCAACGGAGGCGGGCTCTTTGGCAGCAAGGCTGCGCCGACGGCACAGCGCGACAACCCTTTCGCCAACTGAGTTCCTCCTCATCCGGTCAACACACATGTCTTTTGCGCTTTCTTCCATTCGACCGCATAGAGCTTGGGCGATTCATCCCGCCGAGGCTTTTTTTTCTTCCTTTGCTGGCTGACGCCTATTGCTATCTTCGTCTCCTTTGTCTCTTTCTTCCGCTGCTGCTTTTACATAGAAGGCATGTTTTGTTTGCTGCCGAGAGGAGGGATGGGTTGGTTGGTCTACCATGGGGCGTTTTGGGGGAATCTGTTGTTGTTTGGTCTTGTCTTGCTCTTGGTATGGGGGGTTCGTTATCATCAGGGTACAGGGAGGGTGGATGGGGGGTGTTATGACTGGGTATGACAGGAGCCACGCACATGCCAAAACATGGGGTATCAATATCACGGGATTTTCTTCTGACCGGGTTGGCCGTGAAACACTCTCTCTTCATATTTACCCGGCACCTAACTACGCCTTCCACCCGCTAACTATGTACACTACATCCTCGTCCGCCACGGGATGCCCCAACCCCACCCTCTGCGGCATATGCCTCGCGCTGGCGCCCCAGACCAGGGCGTACTTGAAAGTGTCCTTGAGCGTCCGGTGAATGCGGTCGCACACGTCCTCGATGGTGCTGTTGCTCCGCACGATGAGGGCCTCGCTGCAGTCCGGGTCGACGCCCTTGCGCTTGGTGTAGATGCGGATCAGGTTGAGCTCCTTCCAGCAGCGGTCGACGACGTCCTGGATGCCCAAGTCGAGCTCGCAGCTCATGACCACCGTGTGCGGCTCGCGCGCCAGCTTGTCGAGGAAGTCGAGCGAGACGCTGTCGATCTTGTTGTACACGTACAGGCAGTTGATGTACTTGCGGTGGTCCTTCATGATGACGTCGATCAGGTCGTCCACCGTGCAGTTGTCGTCGCGCACCAGCACCTCGCAGTTGAGGAGCTTGTAGTCGCGCAGGATGTTCATGATCATCTTCTCGTCGAGACCCTTGGGCGGGGACTGGAATGTGATCTTCATGCCGCCGGCCTTTTTGGGTTTGAGATAGATGTTTCTGTTGCCGTGTAAGTGGAAAGCGCGTGTGTGGGGGTTAGTGGTTCGGACTCACGGTGGCTGGCGGTTCAGCCGGATGCCTACTGCCTCCAACTCGGCTTCCAGCAATGCCCTCTGTTCGGCCCTCTTTGTCGCGTCGAGGACCATGAGAATAAGATCGCTGGTCTTGGCCGCCGAAATGACCTGCCGCCCTCGCCCCTTGCCCTCCGAAGCGCCTTCGATGATACCTGGTAAGTCGAGCAGCTGGATTTCGGCGCCGCCATATTCGAGGACGCCGGGGATGGCAGTGAGTGTTGTGAAGGCGTATGAGGCGACTTCAGACTTGGTTTTGGTGACCTTGGAAAGGAACGTCGACTTGCCCACCGAAGGGAAGCCGACCAGGGCTATTCGGGCATCACCACTCTTGCTCACATCAAAACCAGCACCTCCACCACCACCTGCTCCCGGGCCTGGTTCCAACAGCTGGGCGCGAAGCCGCGCAAGTTTTCTTCAAGCAGTTAGCACTTACAAGTAGGACGAAATGATGGTCACTCACTCACCCCTTTAGGAGACCCAGATGATATTCTGGTGCAACCTCGTTAGCAACACGATTCGTAAGGTAGCCCTCGATTCCAAGGTTATATCAAAGCGCATACCGGTTGCCTTATTTTCTATGGCACATATCAGTCTCATTGAATTCCGGGGCCGAGCGAGTTGTGGCGGTACAAACTCTGGGTCTTTCTCATCTCATCCTCAATCCTACATTTTGTCAGTCCATGTCCCGCAAGGACTGGAGAGATGAATTTCTTACTCCTTGATCTTTTCCGTGATGTTCACCATCTTGATGATAGGGGCGCTGGTACGCCCTTATTATCGGCCTCTACTGGTGGTGAAAAAAGAAGTAACAGGATGGCCGCGCGGTACCGGTACCTAGGATTTGGAAAGGTCTTGATCGGGAACTTGCAGGTCCATGAATCCTGGCTGCCGCCGCCGTGCCCCACGTTTTAAGGCGGCAGAATTCCGAGGGGTAGGCGGGGCCGGGGCCACCGGGCTTGCTCACCGCCTTCATCGCCGAGCCAAGCCGCAACCCTTGTTCCCCAGACCCACTTGTATTTGCTTCAAGATCTCCCAGTCGACGGAGACAAAGTGCCTGTGGACAAATGATTCAACAAACCAACACCGCCGAGTCCTCGCCATCACCAATACCGCTACACCGCGCATCGCGTTACCGCCAACCAACCTTGACCTCCCCGATACCAAGCTCGAACTCGACGAGATAATAAACACGGTCATGGCCGAAGTAGAAACGAGGCCCGACACGGCCGTCGCAGCTATTGACGATATGCAAGATGCGCAAGACAGCGCGCAGGAACTCGCGCTCACCACAACCAACAACGAGGTGGCCGCCCCAACAGAAAAGAAAGTGAAGAAGATTATCCGGCGGAAGAAGCGCCCAGCGCGACCACAGATTGACCCAGCTCTGATCAAGTCGGAACCACCGCCGCAGACGGGCACGGTTTTCAACATCTGGTATAACAAGTGGTCAGGCGGCGACCGGGAAGACAAGTATCTATCGCAGACGCATGCTAAGGGGAGATGCAATGTTGCCCAGGACTCAGGGTACACGCGCGCCGATGCGCGGCCCGGGTCGTATTTCTGTCTTTTCTTTGCCAGGGGAATATGGTACGTCGGATTCCCTTCCTCACCAACTTCTTTGTGTGTAGGAATGGTCGCTGACAATTTGCAGTCCCAAGGGCCAGGATTGCGACTACCTCCACCGACTGCCCGGCATCCACGACATCTTCAATCCAAACGTCGACTGTTTTGGCCGTGACAAGTTCAGCGACTACCGCGACGACATGGGCGGCGTCGGCAGCTTCACCCGCCAGAATCGCACTGTATACATTGGCCGGATCCATGTGACTGACGATATCGAGGAGATCGTGGCACGGCATCTTGCGGAATGGGGACAGATTGAGCGCGTCCGAGTGCTCAATACTAGGGGTGTGGCATTTGTGACATACACGAACGAGGCGAATGCGCAGTTTGCAAAGGAAGCGATGGCCCATCAGTACGTTACCTACTGAGATACTTCCACGGTATTCTTTTGGCTAATGTGTCCCAGGTCTCTCGATCATGAGGAGGTCTTGAACGTCCGGTGGGCGACAGCTGACCCGAACCCGATGGCGCAGAAACGCGAGGCTAGGCGGATCGAGGAGCAAGCGGCCGAGGCTATCCGGAAGGCTTTACCGGCGGAATTCGTTGCAGAGATCGAGGGCAAGGATCCAGAGGCACGCAAACGGCGGAAGCTGGAGAGCAGCTACGGCCTGGAGGGATACGAAGCGCCAGACGAGGTGCACTTTGCGCGGGGGCCCAATGCCGTCAACCCGCGTGGTCGGGAAGGATACGAACTGGAGCACGAGCAACGCTTGATGCTGGAGGCTGCCGAGGCTCAAATGGAGCAGGGGCAGCCCCAGGAGCAAAGCGAACCACAGGCTGGAGGCATTCTCTCGGGCAGCACGCTGGCCGCCTTGCACGCGGCACAAGTGTCGGTCGCGTCAAAACCAAAGGCAGCTGCCTCGTCGGGGCCCTTGGTAGCCTACGACAGCGACGACGACAGCGATTAGCGGATGGCAAACGTATGTACTTTATAGCTATGTACAACAATGATACCAGGAAACCCACCACCACCAGACCAACCAAACCCACACACAAGCTACCCTTGAACACCAAAAACCATAACAATCTAACCCCCCAGAAAGAAATAATAATAACCAGCCTAACTATTAAAAATCCTCGAATACAAAACCTCATGCCTCCCCACCCACAGATCCATAACCGGCACGCCCTGCCCAGCCTCCTCCACCGCCGTCGCCCACTCGCGCTCCACCACCGCCGCCACCAGGCCCTGAACCGCCCCGCTCGCCAGCGTCTTTTGCGCCTGGTACGGCCCGAACATGCCCGCCCGCACCGCCGCCGACACCAGCGCCTTGACGTGGCCCAGCATGAACACGTAGGCGGTCTGTTCGAGGCCCAGGCCGGCGAGCGCGCTGATTGCGCCGAAGAGTGGGGCGAGGTGCGCGGAAACGGGTGGTGGGGGTGGGGGGTCGTCGTTTGGGGGAGGTTTGGTGGTGTTGGTGGTGGTGGTAGTGGTGGTGCCGTTGGTGAGGGCGGGTGTGGAGGTGGAGGTGGAGGTTGTGCGTAGGAGGGCGGCGAAGCCCCGTAGCGCTTCGGTCCCGTCTACACCTCCACCCCCCCGTTCAGTCAGGGCGCCGGCGAACGAGCGCTCCCAGATGGAGAGCAGGGCGCGGCCCTGGGCGACGGAGGCGCGCCGGCCGACGGTGCACACGATGGCGGCGTCGAGGGCGTCATCGAGGGCGGTGAGGCTGGCGAGGGAGGGGTCGCGGTGGGCGGCAAGCACGAAAGGGAGGGTGGTGGATGCGTAGGAGGAGATGGATAAGGGTAAAAAGGAGGCGAAGGAGGACGGCTGGCGGAAGATAACTTTCTGATGGGCGAGGTAGCTCTCGAGCCCGGACGAGAAAGCGAAGCTGCCGAGGGGGAGGGCTGAGTCGGAGAGGAGGAGGAGGAAGTGTGTTGGTGAGGTGAGGGTTGAGGAGAGGGGTTCTGGAAAGGGGGTTAGGAGACTTGGGATGGAGGTGAGAAAAGGGGGTTGGTGAAGTAAACTACCTTAAACAATGGAATGAAAGTGAAAGTGAAGCTTACTTGTTAATGGTGGGTGAGAGTGAGAGCGTTTGGCTTTTGCTTCTGCCAACCGGCGCTCTAGATCGGCTATCTCATCCTCTATCTCGTTGCCATTCCTACCGTTTAGTTTGGCGGAATCGATCATTCTGACATTATTTTTTCAGTTAGATGCTGAGAGTTTGAGTTTTGAGTCTGAGACCAAGGTGAGGGTTTTGGCTGAGACGCCTGGTATAAAACTGATAAGCTTATCTGCTCGCTGAGTGGCCCCTGAGGCATGAGTGATTCAATTACAAACGCTGTTCCCGCAACTTCCGACCCATGAATCCCGGCTCAACCCGTGACGTAACTACATAGATAGGATACCCCAAACACCATGCCAAGAGCCCAACTACCATACCGATCTCCCCATCTCCCCAGCCCGTCTAGATATCCACAAGTCAATATGCAACGGCCCAAGACTGACCAATGTCAACACCCAACAATGCCAAGAACTACCTAAACCAGCACCACACCACACATTATGGCCGAGCATTCTCCTTATCCCGCCCAGCCTGCTGCAGCAGCTTCCTCTCCGCTATCCTCCGCTGAATCCGAGCAAGCGCGGCCGTCTTCCGGTGCTCCGGCAAGGCAGTGCGCGACGTATTCATCGTGCTCCAGACAGCACTAGTATTCTGCGCATTCCCACCGCCAATGTCCGGCGAGGTATCACCGTCGCTGTCTCGCGACGAAGGGCGGACCGGGACCTTCCTCATCTGCTCGAGCGAGGCCTTGCGGGCGCGCTTGTCGCGGGATTCTGCAGGAAGGTCGCCTAGGGTAACCTTCTCCGTGGACGTCGCTGCTGCCCGGGTCGTCCGTGATGGCCGGCCAGCCCGGCTGGGATAGGGCCGGCCTTCCCTGGCGTGGGCGGAATGCCCGCTGGATGCGGAACCGTGACTATCCTGGAGGTTTCCGCGGTCGCCAAAGACGGTCGAAGCAGGCAGTCCCTTTGTGCCAAACTCGGCTTCGAGTTTCTCCCTCAGCGCCCGGGCTTGCGCCAGGGTTGCGTCGTCATAGGATGCGCGCTTGAGGTCTTCTCTGCTACGGCTCTCCCTTTGCCTCGTATCCGCTAGGGCTGTTGGGCTGGCGGTGGCTCTCTCGCTGGGCTTTTGTTTGAACCCATTGAGATCTTTCGTCAATAACCGCGCGCCCTCCTTTTCCATCGCCACCAGCGGCTTAGATGCTGTGGTCTTTTCGTCAAAGCTCTTCGCTCGCGTTGACCGAGTCGTTTGTTTTGGCTCTGCTCCGTCTCTCCGGAGCGATTGGAGTTCCTCTTGAAGCTCCGAAATTTTCTCGTTCTTCTTCTGCAGGACCTGCTGGGCTTCAACATACCGAGATTTGGCGTCATCCTTCAGCTTTTCATAAGACCCCTTGGAGTCCTCCAGTTTCTTCTCCAGGTCTTGGGTTCTCGATGTGCTCTGTGACAGTTCCCTTGACAGTTTTCGATTCTCCTCGGCAAGTTTGCTGGCCCGCTGCTCGGCGAATTTCAAGTCAGATCTGAGTCGATCTCGTTCCTCTTGCATCTTTTCCAGCTCGCGAACCTGCGACCTAGCCCGCCTCAGCTCCCGTTGGGCTTCCATTATAGTCCGTTGTGTCCGGGGCGATGCGGTCCGGTGTTGCCGTTGGCGTCCATCCCCATCTTCCTCGATGTTGTGCTGAAGCAATGACTCCAGTTCCTCCACTTGTATTCTGTACTCCGTCGCAAGAGCCGTTTGCTTCTTGAGCTCATCCATCAGTACCGGGTCGCTTTCTCCCCCCTTCCTTCTGGTGGTGGATCCTGCCTGCCGGGCCATCTCAGCAACCTTTTCCTCCATTGCCTTGACTTTTTCCTGTTCTTCCTTGAGCTTCTGGTTGAGTTCGAGCGCCTCCGTGTCCTTCATTTTCGCATAAGACTTGGCGAGATGCTTGTACTTGACCAGCTTCTCCATCTCCGTCTTTGCATCACTATGGTAAGTCTCAAAGTAAGACTTCCAGTATTTGCCGGAGCGCGAGTGCGGCTCGTTGAGATCCGTGGTGACATCGGCCTCGAAGTCTGATTCATCATCCTCGACTTCCTCCCATGCGTCTTCTGGCTCCTTTGCTGCATAAGCGAAATCCTTCTCGTCGGTTGCGTCGTTCTTGGTGTTGCCCTTCCGGGAGTTCTCCATGGCCTGTTGCAATCGAGTCTTTGGCCGGGGTTGTGCCTCGTCCCCGTTTCGGTCAACCCATGGGCTTGGGAACTTCCCGGGGCACTCGTCTGGTAGTCCGGTAGCACTGGCCCTTGCCTGCCCTCCAGAGCCTTGCTTCACATCATGGCCAAACGAGACGCGCTTTCGGCGCGTCGTACCGGTACCGGGTGTGAGGAGTATCCCGGTGGGTTTCGCTGGTGATTTGTCCGTGGATGGCGCTGCGTTGGCATTCTGCTGGGCTGTCTTGTCCTTCGCTGTCCTTGACGCGGCCCGGCGATCCTTAGGTGCGGGGGTTCCGAAGAGGGCCGTCTTCAACGCGCGCACGGCGAACACGGGCGCAGGAGTATCGGGGATGTCAATCTGGGTGGTGTCATCTACAATTGCGTAAGTCCTATGTCCCAAGCAACCATTTTCCATCCCGCAGTGGAGAGATTTCTCGTACCGGAGACCGGCGCGTCGCGCGAATTGTCCGAATTGCGCTTCAGCGCCCAGCTAATCATTGCAACTTCCTGTTGTCGTTCCTGAAAATAAATACAATGTTGCCCACCGAGGTTGATTTTACGGCCTTGCGAATCGGCCCATCAATGAATCGCGGTCGGCCGAGGCTGGCGCAATCGTGCCTTTCGTTGTTGCTGTTTACTCGACTCCTGTGTATTGATTGCCAAATGCAGCCATTCAACAGCGCAGGGGATGGTTTGTTGTGGGGCACCGAGTGGCAGTGGTGGGGGCTTTTATCTGAGCGCGACGGGGCGCGTCACCTGCAAGCGCTTGCTCGGGGGTAAGTGGGGCAGTCCTGGCCACCAGGGTGCCTGGGTGCCTGGTGGCTGCTGTAACCTTGAAGATGCCCCACATCTCTCACAGCTCAGTCAGTTGGGTCTGGTTCAAGTTGGAGACAACCACCAAGAGACACAATCCCCACTGCTTTGAGGTCCCCGTCTTTCTCAAGGACCATCATCCAAACACTCAACATTACTCAGACAGAGATTCTAGAAAACGATGGGCTCATCTCGGAAGTAAAGTCTCACGGCCACTTTTGGCTGTGCAGTTCATTTACGGTAACTTTCGGGTACCACGTCCGAGTTGCAGTCATTGAACCTTCTACTCAGAGGTTGAGTCACCTACCTACCTGGGACTTGCATATAGACCCACAGGTTCGACCGTCTCAGTCTCAGTCTCAGACTCAGAATCTCAGACTCTCAAAATACCATTCACTCAGTCACTCAGGGTTGCGATGGCTGCCAAGAAGAAGCCTGCGAAAGCATCGAAGCAGAATGGGACCGACAATTTCCCAGGACTGAAGAGTCCAGGGGAACCTGCATCTCAGATGCAGTACCACGAGTTGCAGAAAAATGAAGTGATGGTGTTGCAGGCCATCTATGGTGAAGACTTCATTGAGCATAGCACAGCTCATAGTGCGTGGCATGTAAGCTGACTGATCGACTCCTTGCATTTCATGAACCATATTTTCTCCATAACTAACTATTTGATTCGAGAAATCCGAGCCGAGTTTTGACATCAGGATCAAAGCATCATCAGATGACGAAGTTGCAATGACACTCGGCGTTGTCCTCGTTGCAACCTACCCCAAGTCTCCTCCTCTGTTGACCACCAAGGATGACGGCGATTTGCGAGAATCGACCAAGTTTAAGATCCAAAAGTTCATCGAGACGCAGCCAATAGCCTGGGCTACCGAGGAACAGGAGATGATCGACCGCATCGTTGAGGGTATCCGTGAGATTCTGGAAGCCGCTGCCGTCAAGAAAGCCCAGGGCCTGGAACTGCCGTCTCTGGAGGAAGAGAGGGCTGCCCACGAGGCTGAGCTTGCGAAACAAGCCAGGAACGAGAAGGAGCTGGAAGCTCTCAAGAGGCTCGAAGAGACCAAGGAAGAGGAGCGGGTCCTGGGTGATATGGTCCAGGAAGAGATCAAACGGCAAAGAAACAAGGCAAAAGAGTCGAGGAAGAAGAACAGGAGTCAGCAACTGTCGCCTGACCGTGTTGCAGAGGACCCCGCTGATACCGACGTCGCTCTTGTTCTTGACCAGCCGTGCAAGTTGACTGACAGGTCAGGCAATGCACTGTTCTTCCAGACAGTCATTGGAAGAGTAGTGTATCGTGAAGGCCCTGTGACCACGGTTTACAAGGTCAAGCCGGTTCTCTCTGCGAGGAATCTGCGGCCAAGCCTAGCTTTCAAGCAGGTTGAGCTAAAGTACCATGGGAAAGACTCCGTCCACCTCAAGAGGCAGCTTCAATCTTTGGAGATACAATTGGAGTCTCTCAAGAAACTTCGTCACCAAAACCTTCTTGAGCTCATGGACTTCAAAATCGATCGCTCCATCAGCGAGACGGACTCGTCTTCTCCAGCCGTTTGGACTATTAGTGTCCTCACCCCTCTTAGCGACAAAGGCCCCGTGGATGAACTCTTGAGCCTCGCCGGTCAAATTGACATCAGCAAAGCTAAGATATGGACGACAGACCTGCTAGAAGCAATTGCATTTTTACATAACAACGGAATCGTTCACCAGGACATTCATCCCGGAAATATCCTCCTCTGCAGGGAGCCAGCTGGTGATGTTGTCCCGAAGCTGGCCGATGCTGGTTACCAGAGAGAACTGCACAACATGTGCACCAAGGTAGCCAGCCTAACCACCACAAGAACCGCAAAGTCGGCCTATTGGTTCCCGCCCGAGATTGCAGGTTTGTCGAAACCACAGTACACCCAAAAGACGGACGTGTGGGATTTTGGTATAGTCGTGTTGCAGATGATCTTCGGTCTGGACGTGCCAGAAAAGTACCACTCCCCGTCGGCGTTGATGGAGTCCCTTTCGCTCTCGGGTCCGCTTGAGGAACTGGTGGCGAAGTTCTTCAAATCAGATCCCAAGAAGCGGCCCCGAGCGTTTGAGCTGTGCTCCAGCGAGTTCTTAGCAACCAACGCCCCTATCCTGGCCGAAGATGACTCCGCTGTTATGGGCGGCTCCATGATCTCTCTCTCTCAGGGGTTGCCGCGGAGGTTGCGCCATAACTCGATGAACCGGGGGATCGTGACCTCGAGGTATCTGCAAGATTATGTGGAAGAGGCTCGGCTGGGCAAGGGTGGCTTCGGAGAGGTGGTAAGAGCTCGCAAGATGATCGATGGCCGGCTTTATGCCATCAAGAAAATCACGCAGAAATCCCAAGAGACACTATCCGAGATGCTCAAGGAAGTCAGGCTTCTCTCGCAGATGAACCATCCCGCCGTCGTCCGGTATTACAACACCTGGCTCGAGGAAATTCCGGACTATTCTGATGCGGAAGTGGATACGTCAACAGAAGGCCCAAGTACTCCCGGAGATGCGATATCGCGGAGTATCAACATTGAATTCGCCGAGAGCAAGAGCAGGGGCCTAGACTTCATGTCATCCAGCGGTCATCCTTACATCGAGTTTGATTACGGCTCTGCCATCGACGACGACGATGACGAAGATGAATACGAAGACGATGACGAGGAGGCGTCATCATCCGATGAAGATACATCGACCTTGAACAGCAAGGTTCCGAAGGATCAACTCGTCGTCCCTGTCAACCGTACGAGGAGAGGAAGCGCCCGCCCGTTTCGCACTATCATGTACATTTCCATGGAATACTGCGAAAAGCGAGTATGTTTTCATCCCCACATTCTATCCCTTTGTAGCCAAGGCTGATTCGAGGGAAGACCCTTCGCGATTTGATATCGCGCAACCTGTCCAAGGAGAGCCAGGAAGTCTGGCGTCTCTTTCGTCAAGTTCTTGAAGGCCTTGCTCATATTCACAGCCTCAACATTGTCCATCGTGACCTGAAGCCTGAGAACGTCTTCATCAGCGCCGGCCCAGATGGCGTTGAAAATGTCAAGATAGGAGATTTTGGTCTGGCCACTAGCGGGCAGCTTGCTATGGATAAGACTGCCTCCAACGCGGACGCAAGTGATATGACCCGAAGCATCGGCACTGCTGTTTACGTTGCCCCTGAAGTGAGAACAGGAGGCAGTGGCTCGTACACTGCCAAGGTGGATGTAAGTTAAATGCCTCTGGCGGGACGTAGGATGAATTGCTAACCGCCCTTAGATGTATTCACTCGGCGTCATCTTTTTCGAGATGTCGTACCCCCCGATGCTTGGAATGCAGCGTGCTCTGGTCCTTGAGCAAGTCCGGCGAAATCCACCGGCTCTTCCCTCAGATTTCAAGCCCGCCGACAAGAACCACACCGAAGTCTTGCTTTCTCTCTTAACCCACAGCCCGAAAGAGCGGCCGTCTAGCATTGAGCTGCTCAAGAGCGGGAAAATGCCGGTTCAGATGGAGAGCGAGGCGATACGGCGCGCCATCGCTGGCATGGCTGACCCAACGTCGCCGTATTTCCAGAAGATGCTCGAGACGTTGTTTGCTCGACAGATCGAGCAAGCGAAAGACTACGCGTGGGATATGTCTTCGTCGATCCCCAGTCCCGCCGACCTGATGCGGCGATACATCGTGAAGGAGACCCTGATATCCATCTTCCGGCGACACGGTGCCGTAGAGGCGCCGACATCCTCGCTTTACCCTCGATCATCACATTACGGGCAGAATTCTGTGCACTTGCTTGACAAAAACGGCACGGTGCTTCAACTCCCATTCGATTTGGTGATGGGACATGCGCGTTCCCTCGCAAGAATTACGAACGGCACAGTACCGCTGCGTTCTTACTCCTTTGGAAATATCTTCCGCGACCGCCATGACGGCGGGCAGCCGGACGTCTACGGAGAGGTCGACTTTGACATTGTCACCACCGACGCCCTGGACCTTGCCTTAAAAGAGGCCGAGGTCATCAAGGTGCTGGACGAGATCGTCACCGCGTTCCCCACCACGTCCTCGACGCCGATCTGCTTCCAGCTCGGCCACTCAGATCTTTTGCATTTGATCTTTGAGTTTTGCGGTGTGGAGGTTGGGGCGAGGCACGCTGCTACCGAGGTTCTCAGCAAACTCAACATTCGGAATTTTACGTGGCCCAAGGTCCGTAGCGAGCTCAGATCACCTCTCGTGGGGATGTCAGCGACCAGTGTCGACGAGCTGCAGAGGTTTGACTTCAGAGGTCAGTACATCACTACACTATGGTATAGCTCAAATTCACTAACTTTGTCAGATACTCCTAGCAAGGCCATTTCCAAGCTGAGGGTCCTCTTTGATGGGACCGAATACAGCGAGAAAGTATCGTCCACGCTAGCCCACCTGAGAGAAGTGTATGAATACACCAAGAAGTTTGGCCTGGGCAGCAAGGTCTACATCGCCCCGCTCAGTAGTATCAACGAGACATTCTTCCGCGGGGGTATTCTTTTCGCTTGCCTGTACGACAAAAAGGTCAAGGATGTCTTCGCTGCCGGCGGCCGCTACGACGGCTTGATTAAGGAGCACCGTCCCAAGATCGGGAGCCGGTTCGAAGAGCGGCACGCCGTGGGTTTCAGTCTCAACTGGGAGAAACAGCTGGCGAAGCAGGTCCCCAAGACAACGGGAAAAGCATTTCTCAAGAGGGCGGTCGAGGAGGAAACGCATGGAATCTTTAGCGCAAAACGAGTGAGTCTCACGCCTTCCCTAATTTTGGAGTAAGTGGCTAACGCTAGCAGTGCGATGTCCTGGTCGCCAGCTTCGACCCGTCCGTCCTCCGCTCCTCGGGTATTGAACTTCTCCAGACCCTCTGGGCGCACGGCATCAGCGCCGAGCTTGCCCGCGACGCCCGATCCCCAGAAGATCTCCTCTCAAGCTACCGGGACGAGTCCTACAGTTGGATCATCATCATCAAACAGGACAATCAGCTCAAAATCAAAACGATGGGCCGCAAAGACGCCCCCGATGCCGACATATCCGCAAAGGAGCTCCTCAACTGGCTGAAATCCGAAATCCGCGACCGCGAGTCCCGCTCGGGGACCAAACTCCGCATCACGGCCAACCTGCCACACTCGGAGTCCGGCGGGGCGCTGCCCACGTCGGCGACGACGGAGCACGGGCAGCAGGAGGTGCACGTGCTGGTGGCGCAGACCAAGTCGAAAAAGTTCAACCGGCACGCGGTGGTGGAGCAGGCGCACGCGAGCGCGTCGCGGCTGGTGCGGACGTTCCTGGACGGGCCCGTGGCGGCGATCGAGACGTCGGACGCGGTGGTGGACCTGATCCGCGGCACCAGCCTGTCGGACCCGGAGAGCTGGCGGCGCGTCGAGCAGGCCGTCGGCACGGCCGAGAAGAAGTACGTGCGCGAGCTCCACGACATGCTCGCGCAGTGGCGCTGGGAGTGGGAGGCCCGCAAGGAGGGCAGCGCCGCCAACGCCTTCGTCTACAACTTCCGCACCGGCAAGTGTGTCTACTACGACCTGGGAGCCTAGGGGGCTTCTACTACTGCTGCTGCTGCTGCTGCTGCTGCTGCGTCGGGAGGCGCGGCCGGGGGTTCGGGGCCAGGGCCGGGGTCCGGGTCGAGGAAGAGAGAGAGGCGGTGGTCTATTGGTATTTGAGCATTCCGGGGGTTCTTCTCTCTCGGATGGATACATCTCTGCTCTGTTCCGGGAGCCTACTTTGATCCGGTCTTCTTTTTCTTTTTTTTTGGTAGTCCGGCCATGATACATACCTACTTGGCTGGTCAGTCCGAGGCTGTTTTCCATTGCTTGGTGGCCCGGCTCGGCTGCTGCAGGTGATGCATACAACCCTACAGGGCGGCTTTGTACTGTATTTCGGATGTCACTATTTTGTTATAATTCTGTAATGATACCCGGGATTCGCCAGTTCTTCAAGGGCCTATGGATTCCGTGATTGGAAGCAAATGATTACTCGGATTTGTTCCATGCTACAACAAAGGGGAGAGGGGAAGTGGCTGCTGCGTTAGTGAAGACAGGAATGTGATTGCTGAGGCTGAAGACGGTTGGTCTGGCTGGTGAACTGGAGAATTTTCGCCACCGAAGCACATTTCTGAGGCGATTTGGTGCACCAACTGTTGGTCGGTTTGTAGCAGGCCCTGTCCGATCATGGCACGGGCTCTCCTGGTTCGGTTTCTATCTCGGTGGCGTTGGGAATGAAGAAAATGTGAAATATAAAATGATGTAATTCTTTCGAATTTTGATAACAAACAATCTGGATGCTCTGGTCTCTACCTCATTTCAAATAAAATCTAGCGGAAGTGTGGTATACTCAGCTTTAACGAGGCCGCTCAGGACGGACTTCCATATAGGGTTACCAGTCGAGGTACTTCGGGAGGTTATTTTTATGGTCGGCTGAGGTCACTTGAGACGTGTGGCGGGGGCTATCTGATCACACTCCCCGTCGCTCCCAGAATCCATGGTTTGCAGCGGGGCCCGCTTCTGGCTGGCTCGGCACCTCCGCGATTTCAGCGCAAGGTTGTTGCTTGCATGCCCAGGTCCCTTGCTTGGCACCTTGCGGGTGACTCTTTGCCTGCCCGATACCTGAGTTATCCGGGCATGCAGATGGATCGGCAAGGCGTCACGACCTAAGAATAAATAGGCAGCCTCGGCGCCAAACCCTCCTTCCTTTTTATTTCTCCTGTTTCCTCGTTCTGTCTTGGGCCTCACAATAACTTAGATGGAGTTTTGAAGAGGAGCGTGGATCGGTCATTCACTTCTATTTCCCTAGGTGCACACGTATTGCCCGCCGCCGCTGAATTTCCACGGATTACTGCATAGTCTCCCTCCGGCAAGCCGACCGACTGAACCTTTTCTCTCCTCACCGATAAGAAGGCTCTACTTTGTCACTCGTTGTTTACCTTCCGTGACACCTGCCAAACATTCCAGAACCCGATCCTGTTCCGGAACTCAACTCTCCAACACCCCCGCTGTTTCCGACTGTCGATCCGGCTGCTCTTGTTCGATCACACCCCCCGTCACCATGTCTCGCACAGCAGCGCCAACCGGCGCGAAGACGCGCCTCATGAGCGAGATGAGGGCGCTACGGAAGGAGACTTGGATTCATTTTGAAGATGTAGGTTCCAACTCGGCCTCTCCGTTTCCACCCGACCTCCCCGCAACGTCATTCTGACAGCATCGCTCGGGCAGGATGACGAAGACAACAACATCCTCAAGTGGCATTTCGCCCTTATGGTCATCAATTCCGACAGCCCTTTCAACGGCGGCTATTTCAAGGCCGAGATGATCTTCACCGACGAGTACCCGTACCAACCGCCCAAGTTCCGCTTCCTAATTCCTATTACCCACCCCAACATCTATCCCGACGGCCAGCTCTGCATCTCGATCCTGCACAAGCCCGGGGAGGACATTACATCGGGCGAAGAGGCGAGCGAGAGGTGGTCGCCGCTCCAGGGTGCCGAGAGCGTACTCCGCTCCGTGCTGCTGCTGCTCGACGACCCCGAGATCAACTCCCCCGCCAACGTCGACGCCGGCGTCATGTACCGCGACCGCCGCAGCGAATACCTCGAAAAAGCCACCGAGACTGTCGCGCGGTCCAAGAAGGACGTCCCTGCCGATTTTGAGATGCCCACGAGCTTCGTTGAAGCGCCTCCGCCGAAGCAAGACGACGATGCGGATTTCTGGGCCGGAAGCTCGGACGAAGAGTTTGACTTCGGAGGAAGTGATACTGGGGAGGACGACGAGATGGAGTTTGACGACGATGAAGGGGAGGCTGAGGGCAGCGACGAGGATGAGGATGACAAGTGAAGAAGGCGGCGACATGGATATGACGGGTGGGTTGGGTTGTTGCCGTCCAGCTTCCCTCTTCTGATTTCTTTTTCGTTCATTTCAACAGTCACGGTACAACATGCATAGCGTTGGTGAACACCACAAGGGGGCGTTCTACGGTCTACGACCATGGGAAGGGGGATTTAGTTGTATTTACGCACACCGATCCACACATCCCGGGTAGGTGCGCATATACCATGGAGTCTACTGGATTTGCGGTGGTTTGGCGTGCTATTTGCTTTGGGGAAAGGTTTGGTACAGGTTAATTAGACTGCGTCTTCAAAGCACTATACACACTTTGCGATACAAAGGCCAAGTTTATGCTTCCAATGGTAGCGTGAGTCTATTATTCTTAGAGGTCGTCTTGAAAGAGAGGATACCTATTGTACAAAATGGTGAGTGAGGTAACCCAGCTCCCCGGGTCTTGCAGCCCGAGTCCGCCGGGTTGTGGTGTGTTCAGGGGCTCGTGATTGCCCCTCACCCACCCTTGCCCCTCCTCCGCCAAGATACCGTAGCTTCCCTGTAGGTATCACCAACACCATGCTTCGGCACACGATTGCTTCAAAGACAAACGATTTAGTGGAAGACCAACTCCAACAACCCAGCACGCACGAACTCACCTAGCGCCATAAGCTCAATGATATGTGCTAATTATTAGACTCGAGTTCCATTTCTAGCGCAACTAATAAACCGAGTCGTTTTATTTATCCGCGCCTTGTAACATCCACCACTGGCGCAGTACCGATTATCTCTCTCCGCATAGACATACGCACCTAGGGAGTTACCGATTCCGCAGCAGCTTCTAGGTTAAGAACGGGTCGAGATCCGGAAGCTGCCCCGCCATTGCGACCGTTTTTCATCACTCCCGCCGCCGACGCCCACCGACGACGCCCACCAACCCAGCCCGTTTTGGCTTCTCCCAGATGTCATCTCGATAGCTCTAATTAAGCCGACTTTGACATCCCCTGACGGCGAAGGCATCGCCGGAGCGGGACAACGAGGATGGCCTTCAATCAAGCAGATGCATATGCGGAGCAGGTGACGATGGTGGAGATAGTCACCGAAGGCTGTGCCGACCGCTCCATGATCTCGGCTGCGCTGCAGAACAATCATGGCAATGTCGATACGGTGGTCAACGAGATCCTCGATGACCTTGCTAAGGTTAGTTCATTCTTTCTTGGGCATCCTCGCCTAGCATCCTGCTTGCTGACGTTAGCGTAGTTCAAGCGCAAGTACGGGTGGGACGAGGCCGCGTTTTCCTCCGGCCGCGAAGGTGAGGATCCGTCGGGCAATAAATCCGGTGTCCCAGGTGAGTACCTTCTTTTCAGGAGATAACGTTAGGCTATGTGCTAACGAAGGTCTGCTCAGCCTTTTCGATCCACCAACCACCGCCCATTATCTACGGGACCGAGCCGAATAACTACTACGGCGCACCGTCGCGGCCCCCGTCGAGAGCGAATAACAGGTCACCTATGAGCCGGCTCACCGATATTACTTCTGGAGGGTACACCACGGCTACCCCGAGCAACCGGCAGGAAGAGGAGGATCAACTACAACGAGCCATCAACGAATCCTTGACTGCCTCGGGCATTCAGACTCCGCACGCATTTCCACCACCCCCTCCCCCGACGCAACAGCAGTCGGGTGTCATCACCAACGACGGGGAGTCTTCGGCACACTTTGGCCCTGCCAACCGTCCGGACTATGATCCAAAGGAATGGGCCATGGTGCCGCTGGGGAAGCAGGAAAGCGATTCAGATCCGTCCCTTAGGACTCGGAAGGTTGGGATGCCGGTCCTCCTGCGATGCCGCAAGGATAGCGAATGGGAACAGCATCGTGTCGGAGCCCTCCTAATGATATTTGGACAAATTCCCGCGGTTCGCAACGTGTTACTTGAGAGTGGCGTGGCCCCCGGCTACGGCTACGGCAACAAGAGCGACTGGTGGCGGGGGGAAGCGATATTTCCACCTGGCCAGCCGGACCCCGACGGATGGATTAACGAGCCTCCCCTATCTTGGACCGACGAACTTCATCGCCTAATGGCCTTCCTCGAGCAGACAGAACGCGCATATGGGACAGCCGACAATCTTGTCCGCGCCAGGCACCCAGAAGCACAGGAGACTGGCGACGCAGAGAAGGATTTCTTTCAGAACTTTGCCGAGTCGGGATTGGGCGAGGGGACGGACAGGGAAACCCTCATTTCCTCGGTAGAGATTGTCGCCCTCGACAACTTCAGCCAGCAGGGCGGGGACCGTTTCGGCCTCCTCGACCTCCAGGTCAGCAAAGACTCCGATCCCATGCCCGCGAATCTGTATAATGTGCTGGATTGGCTGTTCTATGTCGATCTAAGGTTGGCAAGGGAAGACCCGAGTGGATCGCGGATGGCCTGGATCAGCCAGCCGTCTGAAGTTCTCACATGTCGCTTCCAGAAAGACGATGAGTTGCCCGCGCCACTGGAGATGCCCGAAACTTTCTACCTCGACCGGTACCTGAAGAGCAATGGCGAGAAGCTCCAGGAGTTGCAGATGGATATGGTTGCTTTGCTGAAGGCATACGATGCCAATATACGGAGGGAGCAGGAGCTTATAAAATGGGTCAACCCCCAAACGCACAAGACCTACGATCGCAGGGATCTCATCAAGGCAGCGATACACCGCTATCAGGAAAGTTTGAGAAGGATCAAGAACCGCGCCTTTTGGAGGACACATGAGCAGACCCCCGCTGAGGGTGAGGGTGGGTACTACCTACCAGATCACGCAGGTGAACCGAGCCTGCTACCTGAAGAGTCTGCCACCGTTGCCGACTACGAGGCCAAGATCTCAGACCTCGAGGGCAGGTTGGCGGAGATGGAACGTCTCATTAACGGTATGTGGAAACCTGCCCGAGAGCCAATGCGTCATCACTAATCTCAACCATCACAGAGGTTATCATACCGGAGAGGCTGGCGATTCATGAGGTCAATCGCAACATGTCGTCCCTTTTCACCACACCTTCCACCGATGAGAAGTGGAACCCCACACACAAGTACACACTTTGTGGCGTGGTCAATGACCTGAATACAGTCTACCAGCGGATTCATGTGCCGGTCAGCGAGTCCGGGACTACGCCCGCTGACGGTGCTCCTGCGGCCGGAGAGAAGAGGTGGTGGAAGACATCGTTCAACATTGCGGACAACACAGTCGAGCACGTGGTGAGTTTAGTCTGTCGTTTAGTTCTAGCTGTTGCTAACTGCTTGCTCAGCAAGTGGACTACGAAACGGTCATGCGCGAGACCTGTTCGGCCAAGTGCAAGCCCATCGTCGTGTACGCGACAGACAAGGCCCTGCAGCAAGACAACCTGCCGCTACCGGATGCGCTCAAGACCTTTGTCCGGCTTGACAACCGGCTCTTCAAGCAAGAGCTGTTACAATCAAACCGGCTTGGCCATAAGCGGAGTGCCGGCGTCGGCGACGGCTCGCAGTCGAAGCGGTTGCAGCGGTCGGCTAGCATCGACTCGATGGATACCAACCACGCTTCGGCGGGAGACTTTGACGACGACATGCGCGATGCACCGTTCGATAATGACTCGATATTTGGAGCCGCTGGCGGCGGCTACGCAACTCCCAACAGGGCTACCAAAGCCGCCCAAGATGCGGAAATCCCAGACCTCGTCGATGTTGTCGGTGAGACTCCCGGGCTAACGGCAACGATGACATCACCGCCGTCCTATGAGAACTACATCGAGATGGAAACGGGCGTGTCGCCGGCGCTCGCGCAGGTGTCCCTGCAGGATCTCAATAACATCAGTCCTATGAAGTCGCTAGAGATGCAGGAGCGGCCCAACGCGCAGTTACTCACGCGGTTGGGCAGCAATGGCAATAACAACGGCGGTGCTGCTACCGCCGTTAACGGCAGCGCGGGCAGTGACTCGGTGCAAACCGCTGTCAGGGATGAAGAGGAGCTGCTGATTGACCTGAGCGACCCCAAAGATGCCGATCCCAAGACCCAGGCCAACGGAGTCTAGGAGACGGCCTCACCAGCAGGAAAGCCCCTGGCTGATGCGTTCCTTGGTTTGGGTCCCAATCAAGTGCTCGATGGCCGGTCGCAAGAGGGCCGAAATCCGGACGAAAAGGAGGCTATGGGCAACATGGAGGACGCGGGCAACAAGGAAAATCCAGGGGGCAATGAGGACGCAAGCAACAACGGAGACACGGATAAGATGGAAGCTGCGGGGAAAATCGCGGAGGAAAAGTGCGTTGCCCGGACGAAGAAGAGGTGCTCACCTAGCGAGGATATTCCGAGGCGCGCGTCGAAACGGTTACTGCAGAAGAAGCAGGCTCGGTGAGGATGTTGCGTACGGGGTCGACTGGAGGCTGGGCTGTTGACGGATTCGTTGCATTCTTTTCGTGCATACTTGCATTCGGGGCTGGGCGTGTAAGGGTACGGCGGGTGCTGGGGATACACATTGCTTGTCTTAACTGAGCATGGCACAGCGATTTGTTGTTTTTGGTAGGGTTTTGTAGGCTAGTGCTTAGGAGGTCCGTCAGGGCTTTTACATCGGGAGGAGCATGGCATACGGAGACGCATGGACGGATGATACCCCCTGAGTAAACTTCATGGGAGCACGTTCGATTTAAGATCTCGAGTTGATGCTGACCGTCGGTATGTACGTTGGTGCCCATCGTACTAGGGTATGCCGTGACTGGTAACCACCGTCGGCTATGACACTGGTGTTGAAGTTCGTCCACCTGGTCGTCAAAGATGTCCGACTTGCTTTAACTACATAAACTTAGCTACATAACTCGAGTCACTCCTCTGATTATACCCAAGAATTTAACCCATAGTTATTTGCTTTGTTCCTTTCCTGCTGAACTTGAATTCGCGTGAACGCCCTCTAGAAAACCGCCGCGCCAAATATGTAGCATAGTACATTATATTCCAGTATCCTTAATAACTAATGTACCTCCTAGTAAGATAGGTAGGTATATAGTAGGTATAGCAGAAGGGAAGGAAGATAATACTCTTACATATTTCCATAACTGGATTAGACTTTCCCCAGTCGCACGGTGCAGCGTATTCCCAGGAACAGTGTGCGGGGCAGCTTCCAATCTGGCGGGGCTGAAGGCAAGGCGGGGGGAACCACGGAGCTTCCTGCCCACTGAAACTTGCCCGTCATTCAACCCCAACCATCCATCATCGTACATACCCGAACTTCCGAAGGTAGAGTCCACTTCGAAATTGCCCGACAGACCGACCGACCGACCGACCGCTTGTGCCTCCTCCACACCCTTCTCGGCTCTCGCCCTTCGAGACCAAGGCGCAAAGGCAGGGAAAGAAACGACCGCAGCACCCAACCGAGATCAGCCCCGACAACGCCAGACCCCCACCGCCGACCCTCCCGCTCGGCCCGACCAAACCACCCCTTTCTCTCCCAAACCCAACCCCAACGAGCACCCACCGCGACCGTACCATGGCGTCCAAGATCGAAAAGATCATCGCGCGGCTGCAGAAGCGGATCGCGGAGGGGGCGTTCGAGGAGCAGTACGAGGCGGCGCAGGAGACGCGGCTGGTGGCGGCGCGCTACACCAAGCAGGCCAACTGGGCGGCGGCGGTCGACATCCTGTCCAACGTGTCGCAGGCGCTGCTGCGGGCGGGCCAGGGCGGCAGCGGCGGCGACCTGGCCATCCTGCTGGTGGATGTGTACCGCCAGGCGGCCCAGAAGCCCGACGGCGGCTCGCGCGGCAAGCTGCTGACCTGCCTGCGCCTGTTTGAGCGCGAGGAGCCGACGAGGAAGAAGTTTATCAAGGAGATGATTGAGTGGGTTGTTTCTTTTTTTTTTTTTGGTTTGGATGTGGACTTTTTTCTTTTTGGGAGGCTGACTAGGTACACAATGCAGGTGGTCTAAAAAGTTCGGCGAGTTTCCGGCCGGCGACCCGGAGCTTCACCACGTGGTAGGCGCGCTTCTTGCCGAGGAGCACGAGGCGGAGGAGGCGGAGCGGCACCTAATACTCGGCACCAAGGAGTCGGCCGAGGTGCTCAGTCGCATGGAGTACGACTGGTACAAGGAGGACGAGTCCCACACGGCACCCCTCTACTGCGCCCGCGCTGTCCTGCCATACCTGCTCGTCGCCAACGTTCGCGCCGCCAACGCATCCTACCGCACCTTCGTCAGCGCCCTCGCGGCGGATAATAAGGGGCTCGCGGTGCAGGACGTGAGCTCGCAAGGGTCCGACGCCCGCATTTTCCCCAGCCTGCCGCTGCTCAACTTCCTTGGCCTGCTCCTTTTGGCGGTGCAAAAGGGCACGCCCGACTTGTTTCGGCAGCTGAAGACAAAGTACGCGGCGAACATTAATGAGCTGGGTGACACATGGGATACGGCGCTGGAGATGATTGCCGAAATGTACTTTGGAATCCAGCGGCCGAGGCAAGCCAACCCGTTGTTTGATATGATGGGTAGCCTGTTCGGAGGTGGCGCGCCCGGTGGCGGGCAAAGTAGGCCAGCGGCTCGCCGGGTAGAGGCGCCTGCTGCCGAGGGGCTGGATTAATCGATCCCGGGTCCTGGGGCTGGGCTGGGAATTGAGGTCATAAAGTCGAACCAAATAAGTCGCGGCCCGTATGCGGGTGAGCTACGAAGCTTCATGAATAAACACAACCTGTCACTAGTACCGTCACCGTCGCGCTCCTGGCTCGTACAACCAATTATCCTCTTCTAGCGCCGCAACTTTAGCTCTCAAGCTTGCTTTGACGGCCTCGAGGAGCTCTGCAGTCGATTCGAAATCGCGGGTTTTAGTCAATCGAACACCAGGAGACATATGTCGGGCAGCGCACTCGCTACTAGTAGAAGAGGAGGAGGTGGGGTCCTTGCCTTCGGGTTGTGCGGGCATGCTATGCTGGTCGATCTGATGTTGCTTCACCGCCTCGGCCAGGCGCTCCCTCTCCATCTCGTCTTCGTGCCGCGCCTCTAGCGCCTCCATGTCCTCGGGGTCGTCGATGACCGGCGTCGGGGGGTCGCCGAGCTCGATCTCGCCGTTGTGGTCGCGCACCACGATGTCGTCCTGTGGTTCGGCCGGGGACTGGAATTGGCCGTGGCGCTGCTGGTGCTCCTTGTGCGCGTCGGCATCCAGGTGCAGCTCCTCCGATGCTGGCGAGGGTGCGGGAGGTCGGCGCGTAAGTTGGCTCTGGAATAGGTTGCGCCGCACACTCGAACTCGATGGTACCCCGCTGCGTGCTTTGGAGACGCCGGAGGCGAGAGTCCGGGAAGAGGGCGCGTGTCGGTCCGCCATCTGATAGAGAAGGACGGGTGTGTTTGCGTAGGGTCGAGTTTGTATGTAGGGTTGTGGGGGGTCAATGTTGAATTGAAGTTGATGGTATCGTGTAAAGGGGGGGTCAAGCAACTTCCTCCCTAAACAACAAGCAGTGGTTGGCGGGGTAAAATAAACCACAGTGTAAAATACACCAAGGGTTAGGGGTATGTTATGTCTGTTTTTGCGTTCACGAATTCACGGCCTGCTGCAAATGTAGGTAGGTGTGAAGTGTGAACTACATATTTCCAGGATTGATATGAACCACATATCTAGCTCTTGTTCATGGTATATATGGTCTCATGCCATTCTCTCAAAACAATTGCTAGGCAGACTCAACCATGTTGCACGACGCGATTCTAGGAGGTACCTCGCTGTATGTACCTCCGTACCGCAGCCCATTAAAACAGTCGCGTCAGAGAAGTGGGGCTCGTCACGTAACAAGGGCAGGAGCGCGTCAACGGGATTCTGAGGGTGAATTTCGCGTTGCTCCTTGCACCACTCGTCTTAGCTGCCCTCCTTTCTCCAACTCCAACTTTTAAGGACCATCGTACGATGAGATATCACACAACCCACCCATCCATGATTTGACGAATTGATCACGCAACGGTTCTACCTCAACATTGCAATCCTCCTTCCACGCCACGAACTCGGCTGTTCGTCAGCTCCCGAGATGCCGTCTGCAACACTTCCCAAGAAGCGGGTGTTCGGCGAAGCATCGAGCGCCCGTCGTAACATTGTCTCTGCTCCCATCTCCTCCAAGAAGCGCCGTATCGATGACCCACCCTCCTCCCCTGCCGTCCGGCTTAGCAGCTCGCAGAATGACGGCAAGGGCAAGCTGGCGTCGAGCCAGCAGAAGAGCACCTTCGAAACCGAGGTGCTCGAACGCATGAGCCAAGACATATCGGACCTCAAGCAGAACAACACAGAGAAGGATCAGATTTGGCGTCGCCCACCAATACCCCAGGATTACGACCCAGAGAAGGACAGCCTCTGCTTCCAGGCCATCGAAGCCGAGGAGGGCACGCTTGGGGGCGGCCAGGCGGCTGTGAAGCTCTTTGGCGTTACCGAGAATGGCAACTCTGTGCTGCTGCACGTAAAGGACTTCAAGCACTACCTCTATGTCGCTGCCCCTGTTTCCTTCACCCCCGAGGACTGCTCGAAATTCCAGGCATACCTAGAAACACAGCTGGCCACCAATCAGCGCGTCATCCACTCTGTCGTCCTGACCATGCGGGAAAACATCTACGGCTTTCAGGGGAACGTCCAAAACCCCTTCATCAAGATCACCGTGACCGACCCGAAGCTCATCAACAAGGTCCGCACATTGATTGAAGGCGGCAATGCCAATTGGAAGGGCATGTGGAAGAGCGCCGATGGCTCCATCATGACCTATGACAATATCCAATACCTGCTTCGGTTCATGGTTGACTGCTCTGTATGTGGAAATCAATATTACAAGAGGACTGGAAACATGACACTAACATCAAATCTAGATTGCCGGCATGGCTTGGGTCGAGGCACCGGCTGGCCGGTATATCCCCATGGCTAACACACAGTCCAACTGCCAGATAGAAGCGCAGATCAGCTACCGAGATTTGATCGCCCATAAACCCGTTGGAGAGTGGTCCAAGATGGCACCCTTGCGAATCCTCTCCTTCGATATCGAGTGCGCCGGCCGAAAGGGCATCTTCCCGGAGGCCCACACCGACTCCGTCATTCAAATCGCGAACGTTGTGACCAAATACGGAGACAAGAAACCATTCGTCCGGAACGTCTTCTGTCTCGACACCACGAGCCCCATTGTGGCCACGCAGGTCATGTCCTTCGACAGGGAGGAGAAGATGCTATCGGCGTGGAGGGACTTCCTCGCAGAGGTGGACCCCGATATCATCACCGGCTACAACATCTCCAACTTCGATTTCCCCTACCTTCTCGATCGGGCCAAACACCTCAAAGTTTCCAATTTCGAATATTGGTCCCGTACGCGTATCAAGTCTTTCTCCAAGGAGTCCAACTTCTCCAGCAAGCAGATGGGCAACCGTGACACCAAGGTCACCAACATCAGCGGACGCCTTCAGCTTGATCTTCTACAGTTGATCCAGCGTGACCACCAGCTTCGGAGCTACACGCTGAACTCGGTCTCGTTCCATTTCCTCGGCGAGCAAAAGGAAGACGTTCACCACTCCATGATCACTGAACTTTTCGAAGGCACACCAGAATCAAGGCGCAGATTGGCATTGTACTGTCTCAAGGATGCCTACCTCCCCCAGAGACTGATGGAGAAGTTATCTTGCCTCGAAAACTACACGGAAATGGCGAGAGTCACAGGCGTGCCCTTCAACTTCCTTCTCGCGCGAGGCCAGCAAGTGAAATTTTTGAGTCAGCTCTGCCGCAAAGCCTTGGAGCAAAAGCTGGTCATCCCCAACATGAGGACAGAGTCTTCGGAAGAACAATACGAAGGCGCCACCGTCATCGATCCCATCAAGAACTACTACGACGTCCCCATTGCCACCCTGGATTTCGCCTCCCTGTACCCCAGTATCATGCAGGCCCACAACCTCTGCTACACCACCCTCATCAAAAAGAAGGATGTCGAGAAGTGGAACCTGAAGAAGGACGAGGACTACATCGTCACCCCGAGCGGGGACATGTTCGTCACTTCCAAACAGAGGAAGGGGCTGCTAGCCCAGATTCTGGAGGAGTTGCTTTCGGCCAGAAAACAAGCAAAGAGGGAGCTCGCCGCGGAGACGGACCCTTTCAAGAAAGCCGTGTTGAACGGTCGGCAACTGGCCTTGAAGATCAGTGCCAACTCCGTCTATGGCCTGACAGGCGCGACAAACGGCAAGCTTCCCTGCTTGGAGATTGCCAGCAGCACCACCAGCTTTGGTCGTCAGATGATTGAGAAGACCAAGCAGGAGGTGGAAAACCGATACAATATTGCCAACGGCTACTCTCACGACGCCCAAGTCGTTTATGGTGATACCGATTCCGTCATGGTCAAATTCGGAACCACCGACTTGGCTGAAGCCATGAAACTCGGCGAGGATGCCTCTCAGTTTGTCTCGAGCAAGTTCGTCAAGCCCATCAAGCTGGAGTTCGAAAAGGTCTACTTCCCCTACCTTCTCATCAACAAGAAGCGGTACGCTGGACTCTACTGGACGAAACCGGAAAAGCACGACAAGATGGATACCAAGGGTATCGAGACGGTCCGTCGTGACAATTGTCTGCTGGTACAGACCGTCATCGAGAAGGTCTTGCGGATGATTCTCATCGACCGAGATGTCGTCGGTGCTCAAGAGTATGCCCTCCACTCATACTGTCACAATTCCTCTGCTAACCCGCCACAGATACGTCAAAGACACCATCGCGGATCTCCTACAGAACAAGGTTGACATGTCCAAGCTGGTCATTACCAAGGCCCTAACCAAGGATGATTACGCTGCGAAACAGGCTCACGTCGAACTGGCCCAGAGGATGAGGAAACGAGATCCCGGATCAGCCCCTGGGCTCGGTGACCGAGTAGCCTACGTCATGGTCAAGGGCGCTACCGGCTCCAAGAATTTTGAGCGCTCCGAGGACCCCATGTACGTGCTCGAGCACAACGTCCCCATCGACACTAGGTACTACCTCGACAACCAACTGGCCAAGCCGCTGGGCCGCATCTTTGAGCCCATCCTCGGCAGCGAAGCCAAGGTCAAATCGCTCCTCTCGGGCGCGCACACAAGGTCCATCGCGGTCGCCGCGCCGACCGTGGGCGGCCTGATGAAGTTTGCCAAGAAGACACAGACCTGCATGGGCTGCAAGAAGCCCCTCACGGGCAAGGAGGAGAGCCAGGGCGCCGTGTGCGCCGACGATGCGCCGCGCGTCGGTGAGCTCTACAAGAAGACGCTGGACAAGGCGTCGGATCTTGAGGTGCGGTTCAGTCGCCTGTGGACGCAGTGCCAGCGCTGCCAGGGCAGCATGCACTGCGAGGTCATCTGCAGCAGCAAGGATTGCCCCATCTTTTACATGCGCATGAAGGCCAAGAAGGACTTGGAGGATGCCAATAAGGAGTTGGGAAGGTTTGATCTTGATAAGGCTGCAATGTGGTAAGGGTGATGTGGGAAGGCTGGGCCAAAGACTGTGGTTTATGGGTACATTTGAGGACGCAATGGCGTTTGGGGCATAATGGCATTATCAGGGCCTGTAGCGGTTGGGAATGTTGGGATTGTATTGGTATTTCGCAATAATGAGACTCACATGAGGACTTCAAATGTCATCCCGGTATAATATGATGTAACTAGCTGTTGGTGTCCCATCGCTACGAATACACGGTTCGGGGCAACACCAACTCAAAGACAAGGGCAAGCAATACGCATTTCGGTCAACGATGCAACACGAGCAGATTGGTTCACGTAGACATGTGGTATTCTCCTTAATTGTTGTGTTTACTATATATAATGACTATTTGGTCCTGCCAATCTTCAACATTATCCTCCAAATCCCGATGTGTCCCATACAGAGAAATGGTCTACATAGAAAGAAAGACAACAAACATCGCTGCTAAACAAGTAGTGAAAGGAAAAACGCCTATATCCATCCAATCCAAGTATCCAAAACCGTATCAGGGGGTATGTGTCCAAAACTCCGACCGCCACCGCTTCCTAGCTTACAATCAATACAACAACTCCCCCCCATGCACCATAGCCTTGAACCGATCATCCGGCTCCTCAAACTCATACGCCTCACCCCTCGTAACGCGATCCACTTCCTCCCGCACGAAGGGGTACACATCCTTCCAGGCATTGCGGCCCATCCAGCCGTCCAGGTGGCCGTAGCCGGGCACGACCTTGCGCTTGTAGTCGCCGTGCTCGAAGGCGTCGCACAGGGTCTCGTAGGTACGCTCGGTGGCCTCGGGCGAGAGCACGGCGTTGTCGCGGCCGACGAAGAGCATGACGGGGATGCCGCGCAGGCGCTCGACGTTCTCCGGGCTAGTGAGCGGGTCGTACAGCGGCGCGTTGGCCATGACGTGGCCCTCGTAGCCCATCTTCATCAGCAGGTTCAGCTGCCGCATGTTGACGCCGCCGAAGAAGCGGTCCATCTGCCGGTGCGTCGCCTCGTTGAGGTTGGTGTGGTTCCAGCACCGCCCGAAGACCAGCGAGGTGCGGTGGCAGGCCGCGTTGTTGCACATCTCGCGCCGTGCCTGGGGGTAGAGGCGGAGGAGCTGGTTGACCGTCTTCTGCACGAGCGTGTCTTGGTTGGATGTGCTGCACGAGAACCAGCTGCCCGCGAACAGGCCGTAGAACTTGTCTAGTGGTAAGGGGCCGGCCATGACCTTGGCCATGTTGGTTGGGCCCCACACCGGGTTCATGAACACCTGCGAGCAGGTGATGCCCAGGATCCAGGACGTCGGGATCGTGCCGTCCAGCAGGCCCGACGCGAACGCCACGCTGCCCATGCAGTGCGCGATGGTGTAGACCTTGTCGGGCCCGTGGATGCTGCGGATGTGCTCCAGGCAGGCCTTGAGGTCCAGCCGCGCGTCGTAGGTTGTCCAGTTGCTACCCGCAATCATGATCTGGCTGATGCGGTGGACTGAAACGAAGACGCGGTAGCCGGCGCGGGTGAGGTAGTTGACCGCGTTGTAGGGGATGGTCGGGAGGGCGAAGATCTGGTGGTCGACCGAGGCGCCGGGAATCATGAAGAGGTTGCGGATGTTCTTGGGGTCGTTGCCGGGAAAGTGGGTTGGCTCCCATATGTGCATGCGCGAGGACACGCCGTCCGACGCGACGATGTCGACGGACTGACTGGGCGGCGTGTGGTTGATGAAGCCGCTGAAAGTCTTGGTGGGATACTCCAGGGGGGTCAAAGGCGCGAGGAGAAGCGACATGGATTTGCGCGTGAAGTAGGTCAGGAAGCTGGCCGCACTGAGGGCCTTCTTGATGAAGTTGCTGCCGGTGGGCGTCATGGTGTTGATCTGGGAGAAAAAGTCGGCGGGCTGAATGTGCATCATGCCCTTGGCGATGACAGGCGCTCGGCGCCAGGCTTCTTCGTCGTCGAGGTCGGCACACATGTAAGGCACATGTTTGCTGATGGTCACATACAGGGTGCTAGTGGCTTTCCAGAACTGGAACGGGGCCAGGGCAACCGACGAGTCGACCACTTTGTAGCCATGGAAGTGCAGCTTCCTGCCGTCAACGCCGGTCATGTCGAAATCATACGTCAGGTTCCGAGTGCCCGGTGCCTTGTTGTTGAGAATGAAGAGGTTGAATTCTCCTCGCTGCACCATAAAAGGCGAACCTGGAATGGCCGGACACACGAATGTACCCGTCAGCATACCACGATGCTGCGCATGGTTGACCATCTCCTTGGTGTTGAACGCCTGCACGCTCAGGAAGAAGCGCGCGCTCTCGCAGAGCGACTTGGCCATGCGGTGGGCGAGCTCGTATGTCTCTTGGTTGTCCTCCTTGAGATCCTCGTCAGGGTGGATGAAGCCCGACATGACCTCGGTGAAGCCGATACCACTCGCGCTGACCTCGCGGGCAGTGCGGATGACCTTGTTAGCCACGCTAATGCTATCCTGTTCCTCGAGGGCTTTGAGTTGCTCGCGCTTGTGACTCGGCTGCATGCGTCTTGGCCTATGCTGCGGCTCGCCGAGGAGGTTCAGGATGCCATTCCCCTCTTCGCTGATGGTAAGACCGTTGGACTTGGCGTATGCCTCAACTGAGCGCTCAGCTAGCGCGGCAATCGTGGCGAAAGGGTTGGCAGCAAGCGCCGTAGGGATCACCGCAGCATCCGTCACGATCAAGCCGTCGTGGGTCCGGCCATCCCTCCCCCTGAAGACTTTACCAACATGGTTGGTTACACCAGTTTTACCCGTGTTGTCTCGGGCCATGCATGCGCCACTATATTTTAAGTTTAAGGTTAGGTTGTATTCCGTTGGTGGCACAGAAGAACGGGGGTTGGGGGGGGGTTGGTTACATACCCGATGGGATGGACCGTGATCTGTTGGCCCAACAGCTCGTAAAAGGGACTTTGTACAAGGGTACCACCAACGACCTCGGTTGCCCTTTCGAGCAGCTTATTAAGCTTCTTGACGTGATGTCCCCGACAGACACCCAGAAACTCAAGCATCGGCTTGTCATCCTTGAGAGACAAGACAGCTTGGTTGCCTAGGTAGTGTTAGTATCCGTCAGGTTTTCAAGGGGGCATTTGGGGATCTTACTGTCGTGAGACATGATGAGGTAAACCTGCGTTTTCTGCACCGCCCCGTTCTTGTAGTAGGGCCCAAGGAACCTGCTACCATACCGTGCCAGGGCAGCTTGCGTCTTTTCGATGAGGGTGTCATTCTGAGGGTCTTTCTTTCCCGGCATGAGATCCAGCATTGCCTGGAAGAGAGGCGCCAGGGCATGCGGAATGGCCCCCTCCTCAAGCACAAACCCGTCTAAGGGGTTGAAATCAGCCTTGGTATCATCCTCCCGGCAGTCGATGACGCTGGTGATGGTTGGGCCGATGGGGTGGTATGGCGACGGGTTCTCCCGTCCTATGGCGTTCACGTCCTCGTCGGTGTTGTAACCAAACGCCAGCATGTCTCCATTTCCGCTCATGTGCTGGCCGACCATGTCGCTCATCTCGAGCCCCATAGCCTTACTCCGGAGCAAGATCTCGGTCGAGGCGATGGAGCCGGCACCGAGGAAAACGGCCTTCTTCGCATGCACCCACATAAGGTCGCCATGCAGGTTGGCCTTGAACAATCCCCGATTTCGGCCGTGCCAGGCAAAGTAAACACGGTATCCCTCGCCGTTCTTGTCCTCCTCGATGTAGCGCACCTCGCACTCGCAAAACATCTCGGCGCCCCAGTTCCAGGCGTCGGCGATGTAGGTGACGAGGGTGGTGTTCTTGGAGCCATCATTGACTCCCGTGGCGTCTTGGCCGGTCAAGGACGACGGCGACATCTCGACGCCGCAGCTATTGGGGCCGTTGACAAAGCGCGTTGTCTGACGCACCTTCTTGAACTTATTCCCCAACCCCATCAGCTCGGCCTGCTTCTGGAGCAGCTTGGCCTTGGGAAGTTCAGGCCACTCGGCCGGGTACTCCTGAGGGTCGAGGACGTCTTCCACCTTCTTATAGTCTGTAGTAGTGCGTCAGTAAGCCGGGAGTCAGTCACTCAAAGTTCCGAACGGAAATACTCACACTTATCCAACCCGTCCACATCTTCCCGGATCTCTGGCGGCCACTCCTTCATCGCCAGCGTCTCCTTATCCGCCTCCATAAACACATTTGCATTAATCAGACTCGTCCCACCAAGCCCTATTCAACAACAGTTAGCATCGCACTTCTCTCCCACTCATCTCACAGCAACAAAGAAGCAGAACTCACCATTCCCCACAACAGCACTCTGCCCCCTGCCCATAACCAAATGATACAGCCCCGTGGGGTCACCACCCTCCACCTGCGAGCCCTTGACCCAACCCGGCGAAAAAGTACCGGAGTAGTGCAGCTCCTTGGCGGCGTCGAGGGCGCCGGCGGGGTACTCGCCGGGCCACTTCTCGCGGCCGCGCTCGAGCAGGCAGACCGACTGGCCCGTGCGGGCCATGCGCGACGCCGCCACGCCGCCGCCGTACCCGGACCCGATCACCACCACGTCGTAGGTGCTGCGCAGCAGCTCCACGGGTTTGGATAGTCGTGGGAACGCCGCGTCCTGCCGCCCGTCTGTGTAGGTCCGCGGCTTGCTGCTGGTGCTGCTGCTGCTGTGGCGGGGTGCCGATGTGGGTGTTGCTGGTGATGTGGGCTTGTATTGGTGGTGCTGCTGCTGGTCATCGTGCATGGCGTAGATGGGTGGGAGGGGGTGGGGGTCCTCGCGGCTCAGGTCTGGGGAGGAGGCCGTTTGGGACGAGTTGAAGGAGGTGGCCGTGAAGGTCGAGGCTGGTCGGGGGCCCGAGCTGGAGCCGTAGCTCGAAGAGACGCTCGGGTCCGGGGAGGGCGGGCGTGTGTTGTCGAAGGCGTTGTCGATGATGCCCATGGCATTGCTGCCCCTGTTGTTCGGGTCTGGTGTGAGGGGAGGGGAGAGCAGGCCATTGACATGCAATGACCCTGACGGGTTTTGAGTGGGTGATGACTTGTCCATCGTGCTGGCGAGAGCACAGTCTCGGGCTGATGACACTTTCTAGACAATGCTCAAGAGACAATGCTCAAGGCGAGGGCGGTTTAACTAGGGATGTGAACACGCAAGACTCAAGGGACTTTGGGCTAAACTTGAGAGAGGGAGGATAGGGTTGAACCGGAAGTGCCCGGAAACTCTTGTTATTTGGTGGTCTCAGGCGAGGAATGAAGGATTGATATTGGGAACCAAGGGAACCAAGGGAACCACGGGAGTCAGGGGCAGGAATATCGTCTTGATAATAAATCCTCGCCCCCAACTCAACGGTGACCACACTCCATCGTAACCTTGACCTTTCCGGGCAAGGCGCTCTCCCCTGATACATCGACGTGCAGGCAAGAAGAAGGCACGGCTCCGTTCACCATCGGCATGCTCGCCCTGTGGACGGACAGGAACGGTTTAGCTGCCCCCCCTCGGCTCCATGACCCGGCCAGGGCGCAGTTCTCAGCCCACCAGTCTTCGGCTTGGGCAAAAATAAGTCTCGACACCAAACGGAACGGCCATTGGCCGGAATACCGCAGCCAAGTGCTTGCCGCAACGAGGGTAGGATCTAGCGGGGGTTTGTGGTGGAGAACCCGTCAGCACGGGTCGGCCAGGGGCCAGGCCACCGCTTTCTGGAACCACAGCCACGAGAAACACCCTTGTTTTTAGTGTCATCCAATGTCGGAGTTTTTGATCGACCTGTGGTTCGCGTGGTTCGGCACGGTTGTTGCCTTGTGGCGTCTGCGAGTTTGTGTGTTAGTGTACACTAGCACGACGACGTCGTTCCCCCCATGATCAACGCCATTGCCCCGTGGGGTCGATGACGATACCGTACACAGGGAGGAATGTGTCCTCGCCATTCCTCCAGAGATCCGTGCCCGGCGGACCGCTGGAGCGGGCTCTCTGTCGCCATCACGGGCAGATCATGATTCGCATATGCCGATCAATGGGCACCCTGACGAGCCTGATCGGGGTCTGGATACAACCCGAAAGGTGAACGACTCGGTGCTGGCATGTTGACACCTGAAGATTCCGGAGAAAGACCCGTTTTCGTCATCGGCTATGATTTGATGGGTTGCGCTGAAGGCGCTATTGGACGGGAAACGAAGACTGCCCATGTCCCGATAGGCTGTCACCCAAGACCCAAAGTCCCGTGGTCCCCCAGTCGCCCAGTCCAATGGGGACCCACACACCCGATGCTCGCCGGGGCGCAAATCGCGACTGCATTACTCCGGCACTCCGGTGAGCCCGTCTCTTTCCTTTCCCGGAGCAGGGAGGCGATGGCTGAGCACCAATATGGCAGCCCCGATGAGTTTCGCACTCCAGAACCGTGATTGGACGCCCACCACAACCTGTCTCCCTGTCTCCCTGTGTGAAAAGAAGTGCCCCGTTGAAGTGGTGGTCAGCAACCCTGTTGATGGTGTTCGGCCCCAGACTCTCAGCCCTGTGTCGCTCAGCCCCCTTGCTCAGACGTCCACGGCGCTCAGATCGCAAACTGCACCCAGAGGGACCGCTGCCGCGGGCATCCCCGTTGCATACCGCGCCGTGCCCAAAACCTTAATCACAGTGCCCCAAACAGTGGGTGCGAAGGATTCCGGCGTCTTCCTTTCCGCCCCGACGGGGTGGATATCCGAACTTTACTTCAAGTGCCTGAACCCCCATTGGACTTCAGAGCCATTCCAATTGGGCAAACGTCGGTTCTTTCGCGAGAGCCTCGGGGAAGCGTCGAGGAATGCACCTCTCTGTATGTACATACATACTTCGAAACTGTGTACCGTGTCTCGGGTGTGACCCAAGATGCCAGAATTTGGGGTCGGGTGTTGGTTGGCTAGGGACAGTCGGGGACGGACAGCTGAATGAGAGGCTATAATAAGGCCCGGGTGTGTCACAACCGCTTCTCCAGTGCGAGGCAGTGACCGTTCCATCGGGAAAAGTCCTCGGAAGGCTCGTCCATCAATTGGCCTGACGTGGTTATTTTAACATGGACGAGTTGAACAACGTTTGACAATGCAAGGTACAGGCGGGCCGAAACGGGGCGCATCGAACCCCGAGTTAGAAAGAAAAGCGGAGTTTCACTAGACTCACCACCAAAAACACCATTGTTGCCATTTTTACGATATGTCAAGTGCCACAAGATCATCGTGTCGGAACAAGGCAGGTTTTGCCGAATTGAAAGTTCCGTCTTCCCCAGAACACCTTTTTACCCCCGTCGGCAGGATCAATCCCATATCGGTCCCATATCTCACCCATATCAGTGCTGCAACGCCCAGAACTCGACCCTTATCAGCGTTGCACAGCACGAACAAGACGGAAGGCACGAACGCGTCGGGGTGGATCTTGGCTTATCTTCGACTCCGGCATGATTGGGCCATGCGAGGTCACCTGGATCATCCAAATCTGCCATGGCGTGCTTTCCCGCATCTCTCGCGCTCGCGACTTGAAGAACTTAATGTTTTAAATGGTTTCATTGCTATGTAAAAAGCATCGCTCCTCTATACACTTGTCCGTCCTCTCTCGCTTGCTTCAGAAACCAGGTATCGACAACCCGCAGCCAGTTAACCCAGGGAATCATGTCGTTAACTCGTCCGATCCCAACTCCATCCTGATGGGGAACACCCAAGAACGCCGGCTGAAAAGAAAAAGACTAATAAAAAGGAAAAGGAAAACGGCTCATCGATCGGTTTGAGAAAGCGCTGCAGCATTCAAGGAAGCGCACTCCATCAAACCCGATTGACTGTCGCCTCCCGTTTACCACCAGTCGCCGTGCTCGTGCATGGCCTGGGCGACCTTGACGAAGCCGGCAATGTTGCTGCCGGCGACCAAGCTGGGGAGCTCGCCCTCGCTCGACTCGACGTAGTTCTTGGCGGTGGTGACACCGAGGTCGAAGGCGTTCTTCATGATGTCCTTCAGCTTCTGGTCGACCTCCTCCTTGGTCCACGCGAGGCGCTGGCTGTTCTGCGACATCTCGAGACCCGAGACGGCGACACCACCGCAGTTGGCGGCCTTGCCGGGGGCGTACCAGATGGCATTGCCCTTCTTCTCCCGCCGCTCGTTCTCGAACACCTCAATGGCCTCGAGCGTGCAGCCCATGTTGGAGCCTTCGGCAACGAACCGAGCGCCAGCGGCAACCAGGCCGACCGCCTCCTCCTTGCTGACCTCGTTCTGGGTCGCGCAGGGGAGGGCGACGTCAACCTGGCCGACGTGGAGCCACGGGCGGACGCCCTCGATGTACTGGAGGTTGCCCTTGGTGGTGTAGGCGGAGAGCGACTGGCGCTTGACCTTCAGGTCCATGATGGATTCGATATCCTCAACCGTGACGTGGCCGTCGCCAACCGCCACGAGCGAACCCTTGGAGTCGGAGAGCGAGACGATGGTGGCGCCGAGCTCAATGCACTTCAGCGCAGCGTACTGCGCAACGTTGCCGGAACCGGAGATGGCGACGCGCTTGCCCTCCCAGTTGCCGACGCCAGCGAGCTCGAGCATGTGGGTGACATAGTACACGAGGCCGTAGCCGGTGGCCTCGGGGCGGATGAGCGATCCACCCCAGTCGAGGCCCTTGCCGGTGAGGACACCCTCGAACTTGTTACGCTCACGGCGGTAGGCACCGAACATGTAGCCGATTTCACGGCCCGACACGCCAATGTCGCCAGCGGGAACGTCGGTGTCGGCACCGATGTGCCTGGAGAGCTCGCGCATGAAGGCGACGCAGAAGCGGCGGATCTCGGCGTCACTCTTGCCCTTGGGGTCGAAGTCGGCTCCACCCTTGCCACCACCCATCATCACTGGCCCCACAGTCAGCAAGTGCTGCCAAAAATCATCTTTTGGGGTCATGTTTCAACTTACGGCCAGTGAGCGCATTCTTGAAGATCTGCTCGAAACCGAGGAACTTCAGACTGTTTTTTTTCGTCAGCTGGTGCCCCCTGATATTTGGGTCGTTTTTTGGGTGTTTTTTCTTACATCGAGAGGTTGACGGAGGGGTGCAGCCTCAGGCCGCCCTTGTAGGGACCGAGGGCGGAGTTGAACTGCACACGGTAGCCGCGGTTGGCCTGGAGGTTGCCGGCATCGTCCTCCCAGACGACGCGGAACTGGATGACACGCTCGGGGATCGAGACGACCTTGAGCGCAGTGCGGAACTCGGGGTTCTTCTGGAACAGCGAGCTGTTCTCGAGGGTGAGGACGAGCTCTGCAGGATTCATGTCAGTTCCCAAGTCGCGAGTCGGATGCTAAGCGGCATTGTCTCCCTCACCCTTGTAGGCCTGCTCGAACTCGGGCTCGCTGGCAAGGTGCGACATGGTGGATGGTTGTTGGTCGAGGTGTGGGAAAGAGTCGACGTGTTTGTTGCGATGGGGTTGTGTTACTGGTTATCGCTGTCGACTCAAACTTTGCTGCGAGAATGCGGAGGGAAAGAGAAGGCGGAAGAGAGCATCAGGAAGACGGAAAGAGCCCAGACTATATACCAGAGAGTTCTGGGATGGGATGGGATGGTGGGGGTGACGAGACCGGCGCACGAAAGGGGAGATGTGACTAGCAACCACGTTCCCCTTGCTCCGAGGACAGGTCGGCCGAAAGAGGCGGCTGTTGTTGGAGGCTTGGGCAATTCGTAGCTCCGTTTCACAACTGGGCCAACTTCGATTGGGCGTGTGGGACATGGACAGGCGGCGAAGTTGACTGCATCCCCACAACGAGGGGCGCCCCTTTGCGGGACGAGTGGCCACGTCTTGGCGAGGGTTTTGCCCATCAAGCCGCGCCGGTTTTCGCTCGCTCTGGAAGAACGGCACCTGTCATCCCACGCCAGCCATGCCCACCAATCTACAACCTACCCGGCTTGTCTTCGCCAATTTGCACGCGTGCAGCGGTGATCAGTGTCTTGCCACTGCATTCGCCACGCCAGTGTGAAGTTATTTCTGGTCATCAAAATCCTCCGCAATAGCCTCGTTGCTCATTTCTCGATGTCGTCGTCTTTATCGATAGCAATGCTGCACCATGATTGGCAACCGCCGTCTTGAATTTGGAGAAGCCATGATGGCATACTCCGCATGCTCGCGTGCCCTCCCCCTGTCGGAGGCGTCGTGAGTGGACAAGCTCAGACGGCTCATGGTTGGGGGTCGCGCTTGAGGGGCTCAGAATAACTTATCCGCGGGGATCGATTGGCCGCCTCAACAATGGATAAATCCGACTTGGTAATTTTATGGCGGGGTCAACGGGAGCTAACCCCGAATAATGCACCAGAGTGCGCCTCGGGATGGTGGGGCTTATCTTTCGGGGGGGAGAAATCCGTCAAAGTCTTGACTCCTCACCCGGCTCGACCCGATTCATTCTCGCCCAGCCTCCGACCTCGCTGCTCGAGGCTGCGGATGGCACTCGGTTTCGCCTCCGGGGCATTCCGAATTTGGCAAGTGAGCGCAGGGTGCCCCCAGCCTTTCCCGCGCACCCAAAGCTGCCGGACGCGGGTTGGGCCAGTCATTCACCTTCCGATCATCCATCTCGGCGCTCCGCTTATCTCGAGTTGCTAAAGACAACTGGTCATGCATTGGCGGGTTGTTGATGATAGGCACCTGAATTCGGTCCGTTGGTTCTTTCGCTTCGCTCTTCCCGACCGACGCACTTGCTCGCTCGTCTCTCCTTCAGGCTGCTGTCGAAGCGCCCCCCCTCAGACATCCGTCGTCCCCCCTTCAACTCGTCGAAGCCATTGACGACGACGTCGTCGTTGTCAACGCCCGCAACTGGTTTGACGAAGACGAGGACGAAGACGAGGAAGGACAGCATGTGATCGAGAGGATGGCCAAAGTCGAAATCCCATGTTTGCGCATGCGACACCCGGCGCTGCGGTTGGCGTTACCGACCTTCCGCGTGGAGTCGGTCGATGTAACCCTCGGTCGAAAGCATGCCGAGTGGAGACGTTCGAGTGCTGAGACCTTCAGGTGTCTCGAGGACAACAGAAGGCATGGGAGACCTCATGTTTAAGTATCTCGCGTCTTCTCACATGCTCAGATGCCTATCTTGGGCCTCGAGATGACCCCTATCGCTTGAGATACACTATCTCGTCCTCCCCGGCCGTCTCGAGATACGGTGGTTACACTTGCACACGTGCTTGCGACTCCGAGCGAACCAACACGCGGAGAGGGAATGCAGGGTCCTGGGGGCCCATGATAACCTTATCTTTGCAATCTCGAGGTTCTGGTCGGTTGGAATCCACCCGGCCACCGCTGGCGTTGCCGTGGGTCTAGGTACGTACCCTCAAGGTACCGCCCTCGTCCCAGTTAGTTCGGGCTCCAGACTCCGTTGTCCATCACCGCATTAAAAAGGGACAGTTCCGGTGCATGAGGACACGTCTATAGGTGCTGACGTGGGTGAAAGTAACGTTGTTCCTGCGAAAGAGGTACACTTTGTGTACATACCCAGGTATGCATGGCAACACAAGATGCAAAGTCATCCACAAATTGGAGGGTTCCTCTTGCATTAAACGACCAAATCTCCCTCTATCCATCTCACCCAAGCTAGTGGTGTATACATGCATTCTTCTTTTTATCTCACTTCGTTCTTATCCTTCCCGTGTATTCCCGTTTTCTCTTACTTTCATCCCATTCCCGAGGTTTCATTATTTCCCGCCTTCTCTGAACTTTGACATGCCACAAAACGGAAAACAAATGCCAAGTCCTGAGGCATGCCAGATGGTGATGCGGTGAGACTAGCCATGTCAGCACAACCGGGAAAACCCTGTCTTCCCACGAGACAGAGCTGGCTTGGCTTTGCCTCGTCCCCCAAAGTATCCGCCTCTGGGCGACGTTGTGCATGGGATGGTTTGAGTTCAGCCAGCCCACTGCAGGCTAACTCAGGAATAGAGCAGGGGGTGGGTTTGTGAACATGTGCAAGTCCTTAGGTATTACGTAGGACAAGAGATTTAGGCAACTGAATCTCCGGATCAGGCGTGGTCTTTCTGGTCTTGTTGGCCGGACCGGGCCGGGTCGGTTCGGGTCCGCGCGCTGTCCGTCGGTGATAGTCGGGGCTTCGCGCGAGAGGATATTTGGGCGTCAACAACATCACGTGGACTGGACACAGCAGAGCAACCACAAGGTAGTAGGCCAATGCCAACGAAGAGAAACGACACAAGGGTTGTCGCAGAGCGCGAGATTCGAGCATTCTGAATAGTCCGACGGAGCGGGTAACAAGAACTGTTCGTTTCTAATACCCGAGCCTAGCAACCCTTCATTCACAGCATGGGAAACGAAAAGTGTGGCCAAGTTGTTGAGCTAAACGATAAACTAGCTTCCTACATACAGCCAGTACTTCTCAGTAAATCAAAGTGACCTTCCGCCATAATATGTCATTCTACTGTTTTCCCTTTACTCTTTCCAAAAGTTTTGCGCTTTTCTGTTTCATTTTAGTCTCTTTTTCTCGGTTTTATTGTAGGGAGCCCTACTCCCAATAATACCTGAGGAGATACTGTACGAATGGCGATATTAGATCGAGTTGTCGGCATGTTGCAAGTCACCAGCACATGCAGGAGTGGTAGGTAATAGATTCATGATCTGAGGCTCTACTACGCCGTCTTCGCCCAGCAGCAACGTAACAGCCATGGTTTTCCGTGCCGCAGCCTTTTCCTCCAAAGCATGGCGGGTATCTCCAATCAACCTCTCCTCCGCATGTAAAAGAAAAGAGAAAAAAGAAACAAAACATGAGAGCGGTAGATAGACATGAGGAAGCAAAAGAAACAACTCCGCCACCGAAGGGTAGGATTATATACAGGCGATGTACCGCCAGCAGCCGGCAAGTAATGTAGCCCAAGAAGCGAAGTCAACGGAATACAACATATAAAAAAGACATGAAGGGAACAAAGCTTGTTGAGTGTCTGGCCTGGTCTGGGCTGGTCTAACAAAACGAGCAAGCCACTTCGGTAAGGTATCCTCGCCTCCTTATATCCCGTAGCCAACCCACCTCCCCAAACCCAGACCAGACCAGACCAGACCAACAAGCCACGCCTCCCTCAAGCCGGCCAAAAAAAAAAAAAGAGAAAAAAAGAAACCGCTCACGAAACCTGCATGACCATGGGCCCAGCCACAATAATATCATCCGTCAACATGCCATTCAACGGCCCGGCACTCGCCAAGTTCACATACGTAACCCCCGCCAGGCCCTGGGGCACCACGCAGCCAGCGGCCTGGTCGAAGGGGCTGAACACGGTACCACCCGGGATGCCACCCGTAGTAAACGCGCAGTGGGTGGCCGTGGCAGCAGCCTCGCTCTGCAGCTGCACCGACGCACCAGCCGCCACCGCCTGGGCGCTGGCGCCCTCGGGCATGGCCAGGGTGGGGAAGGCGGTGAGGATCAGGTTGGAGCCGTCCGGGCAGCTCTCGATGAAGGGAGCCGCGAGCGAAAAGACCTGTTTGGGCGAGAGCGGGGTGTCGAAGGCCTGCGGGACGGGGATGCCGCGCGAGGCGGCGCGGACAAAGGTCTGGTGGCGGGCCTCGATGGTGAGGATGGAGCCGGCGGTGGTGAGGATGGAGGTGTCGGAGATGAGGGCGGCGGCGCCGAGGTAGGCCGACACGCCGACGTTCTCGAGCACGCCGGCGGTGGCGACCATGCCGGCGGCGTCGGTGAAGCCGAAGTTGTAGGTGCAGGGTTGGACCGGCTGGACGCCGGCTTGGGCGATGGCGCTCTGCAGGAGGATGACGTGCTCCTCCTCGGTCTGGCCGACCTTGATCAGCGCGTCGATCTCGCGCTGGTCGAGGCCGAGCGCTTGGAAGTCGGTCGCGGGGAACTGCGCGAAGCCTTGCTGGTAGAAGGTCGCTTCGAGCCACTCGAGCGTGAGGGCGCTGTTGGGAGGGGGGGAAGAGGTTAGTGGTTTGCTCTTTTAAAGCCGAGGGGGTGATATGATATGTGTCTTACAATTGCAAGATGTCAACATCGTTGAGGCCGAGGGCTGCGGCCGCTGCGTTTTGGCGCTTCGCGTGCTGGTACAGCCTCATCTGAGACTTGCTCAACTTGGGCACAGCTGGGAGCGCTGATGAGAGGGCCGCCAACCCGGCCACCACAACCCCAAAGGTCTTCGTGAAGGAAGGCATGTTGTCGGTGTACGTCGATTACTCTTTAACCGTCCTTTTCGTATCTATTCCTTTCTTCTGTCCTGAGTCCCCTGTAGATCCGAATCGAAGTCGAGTGTTTCGGTATGAAAGCAAAGACCAGCCTGGCTATAGAATCGAAGGCCTGCCCGAGGGTCGTAAATTAAAAGAAATATTAAGATAGACGTCGTAGACTGGGGCGAAGAGGACTGAAAGAGGGACAGACCGAGCTGCTTGAAGGAGGGTGAAAGCAGACCAGCGCTTTGGGCGTGAAGAGCGAATGGGACGAAAGGCGTGGGATGAGGAGAGAGGAAGAAGAAGGGAAAGGCTTGCATGTGTAAGTGGGAAACGGCCATGAATAAAGACGGGCTGCCAAGATCGTCTCTCTTCGTAACAAGCGGCTGCTGACCGTTCCGGGATCCGCATCATGTCGACTACCCCCCGGGACCCGAACAGGGAGACGGGTTCAGGAACAAGCAGCAGCTAGAACAATGCTGCGGGGGGGTAGCGCTCAGGGCACGCCCAGGACCCCCAGACGGGACGATGTCGCCTTGTCGGGCTCGGGACTTCGGTCTAGGCTGGGTTTGATAGGGGCAACGGGTTCAGCCAAGACGGGACTTCAGATGGCCAGGAGCGATGGGAGAGACTTCATCATGTTTCGTTTCCTCGTGGCTGCTGCCCTGACGTGCCTGAGTGCCCCTAGTGGTGTCCCCTCCTCCCAATCCCACCCTTCACCCCCTTGCTCCAGGCGCCGTGAGAGTGACCTGCGCGATCCCCCCTCTGCCTGACATGAGGCTGAAGTTGGCCAATCAGACTGACGCGGGTGGTGTTTAAGGTTGGGATGAAGATATTTGCATCCCTGCTCGGAACTTGGTTGATTGTCGGTAACAGTCGACCCCCTTATTTGCACGGAGTAAAATCTTAGGTGCACGGAGTGACTAGGCCCAACTCGGTAAAGCGTCCCAAAGTTTTGGCGGGGAGTTCAGCCTAGCACGTGACTCGTGACCAGGGACAATTCACCCCTCAAACTCCCACACTTACAATACAATTCACCTCAAGCAGCTCCAGCTAAAACTTTTAAAAAAATTAAATTAATTAGAGTAAAACTGACCAGATTACATCCAAATCACCTTGCTACCAGTTAAGTTACCCTCCTCTTTTTAGGTCGGGGTGAAGGTTAGCGACTGTATAAGTGCTGTACTCGAGCTGGAAGCTGGGCCAGGTCTTGGCAGAAAAAGGTCCAAAGGCACTAACAACTTATTGGGTGGTATACCGCCCTTTTTGGTAGTACTCCTGTACTCCGTGCAACTAAAATTTCACTCCGTGCAAATAAGGGGGTCGGTAACAGTGGGTAACAGTGGGGGAAAAGCTGGAAATTCAGCCTGTGGGCCTGCTGTGGAGGCGGGGATTGGCCACAAGGGACGTTGCCAAGTCGGTACCAGGGGGGTTGCACGGTTACCATGCTGCACGGATTTGCGACAGTGGCGCCCACCATGCTCGTCTCAGACTTGTTTCAATCGGACGGACCGCATCAAGACCGAAGGATCGGAACTGTCTTCATGGTGCATCTGCGACAACACTAATCTGCTTCCGAACAATGCCAGCGCCGCGGAGCCGTGGAAACGACATTGGCTTTGAAGATGACGACTATCATGGTTTTTGTGTTGGTGCTTGAGAGTCAGTGTTGATAACGATAATTAACTATTGAATATTCGGGCAATTTGCGCCATCAGGAAAAAGCCAAGGTTGCTTGTTTACGATGTCGTACTCGACTAATGTCCGTTCGCTTCGAGATCTCGCCCCAATGGTGCCCTCGCTTGTGAGGCGACGACCTTATTCGGGACACCCTTGGGACCGAGCGGGTGGACTGGGATCACCATTGCCTCCATGCCCTATACTCGCCCCAAGTATGCCCAGCACGACTCGGAGACGAGATTCGCCGCATACACCCTGTCGATCTCGAGTTCTGCCGGTGTGGGCAATGGCTCGATACGTGCGGGAGTCTGTCTCCGGGATCATCCACATGCTTCGACGCCGTGTGACATGCACGGGCACTGTTTTCCCACTGCTATGTGTGTGGGGGAGGGGCGCCAACGGGCGTTCCTCACAATATTCTCGAAAGTTTCTCATTCTAGGGCTCGGGAAACACGGGTGGGTGGAAAGGGGGGTTGGTATTCGACGATGCGAGTCTGCTCCAAAGTAAACCTCCGGTCGATCATCGAGCTCGCTTGAGTCGAGATTTGGATCTGAAGTTGAGGCACCCATTGAAAGGTGCACGAAAGGAAACGACTAGTACCCATAATTGCCTCTCTTAGGTTGATGGTTAGGTACTTGCTCTTTTCATAGTCCCATGATGAAAACTTAGCAACCGCTGTGGTATTCGATCTATACAAACCACACCAGTAGCAGTGACTACGATGATGTGGACACAGAGTGCCCGTCACGGCATCGGGATAGCAACGGCAAAACCGCAATACCACCTTGAAAAGAATGTGTCACAGCCTTGAACATAACTTTGTGCGACCCGGATTGGGAAACATCCATCGGAAAGGAGACGGACTAAAAGCCGGAAGCAGATCCCACCAAACGGTTACCAAAGAGGTTCCATCGTGAGCTCGAGGGTCCGGAGCTCGGGAGGTGGCCGATCCAGAGATCTTCGTTGTCTGAAGCAGCTCCGGTGTTGCATTATGCCGAACGCTCACTGCAAAGCTTGAGCATGCACGGAAGACAACCCGTGAAACAGACTGTTGTACCAAGTACCATCCTACACCAATTCAGAAAGCGATCGCACGCAACCTGTCCACACAAAATCGATGCTTACTTCACTATTAGATGGCTGCCCTATGTGTTCTGCCTCCTCCCCTCCCCTTCATTCTCAGCTTCTGCTTCCTCATTTTCTCCTTTGACCGCCCCCAACGGCTTTGCCGGGACTGTTACCGTCTCGTCAATGCTGTTGTGCGTCTCGATCTCCCCTCCTCCTCCAATAAGTGCGCCGCACTACTATTGCCATACAAAAAAGTATACCATCTTCGGTGAGACCCTCTATATGGAGCCTTGTTTATCAATCTTCCATTCCCCTGACTATCGCCAACTTGAGGTATTACCGCCACCGCCAAGCAAGCCTCTGCATCTCGCTTGTTGCTTCTTGAGTCATCATGTGCTGGCCTTCGGAACGCTTGGATGAGGTCCCGGTAGCTTAGAGTGCATAGGGGTTGAGAGACCGGATGGTCAGGCATCTAGAGTTGTGTTAGCGTTCTGTTACCCGTGGTAATGGGTTGTGATGTAGACTTACGGCGGGCTCTTGCTGAGGTCCGTCTTCAGAATGACCGGCACCCGTGTCATCTCCGTCACATCCTGGATGTAGTCCCCGCCCTCCTCTCTCAGCTTGAACAGCTTCAGGTACTTTTCCTTGTTCGTCAGGCGCGTCTCCGGCGCGTCGGCCGTGGGCACCTTGGAATCCGACCGGGTACGGTGGAGGCTGCCGGCCGCACCAGCCGATGACCGGGTCGGCGACCCAGGGACGCTCTGCGTCGGCCGCTCGGCCAGCGACGCTCCGGCCATCGCTTCCGTAATGTCCGACGCGTTGTCGGACGCGTTCTCCTCGTCGTCGTCGAAAAGGGCATCGACGTCATCCGTCGAGATGGTGCCCGTCTCGGTCTGCTTTCTGGTGGCCTCCTCGCGTTCCTTCTTTACACGGTCTGCCTCCTCGGCCTGGCGCGCCGCCGCCATAGCGTTGGAGTACCGCTGGGACATGCCCGCCTTGGGAAGCTCGTCTTCGGGGACGTACGCCGAGCTGGGCACGCCCTTCTCCCAGTAGAGCTCTAGCACTCTCTTCTCCTTGCGGAATTCCGCCTTCTTCAAGGGCAATTGGTCACAGTGCACCCGCTTCTCGAAGCCCCATTCGGGGATGAGGACATCGAACGCCGACTCGTACACGCACAGAACAATGCCCTCGCTGATCAGGTCGCCGTTCACTTCTTGACGCTTCTTGTCCATAGCCCGGCACGCCTCGATGTGGACGCTCTGTTCTTGAGCGTTCTGAGCCGAATCCTTCTTTGTGTTGCAAGCCTCGACCGTCTTGACGAGGTTCTCCAGATCTTCGTTGTACTCAACCGTGCCTTCGGAAAGGACGGATTCCAGTTGGCGGTGGACTAGAACATCCGCATAGCGTCTGGTCGGGCTGGTGAAGTGAGTGTAGAGCGGCTGGTTGAGTGAGTAGTGGGCCCAGAGATGTTGAGCCGTTTTCCCTGCAATAAAATACTTGGCGCGCTGCATCGACTTGAGCAGTAGTGTCTCCATGCCCTTTCTGATCTCATCATCGTCGACCCTGAAGAGGCTGTTCTGGAGCGTTCCGCTGCTCGAGGGGTCGAATTCGTAGCCGAGCGCCGTCATGCGTTCCACAAACGTCTGTAGACGGCGCGAGTTGGGCGCCCCGTGCCTACGGAGAAGCGCCTTATCGGGGAGGGCGCTCGCCAAGCGCTGAGCGACATACGCATTGGCCTTGTGCATGAGCTCCTCGACAAGTTCGGTCGCCGAGGTGGTGTCGAACACGTTGTGCTTGACGGGAATGTTCTCGTCGTCTAGCTGCTGGAGGAGTCGCAGCGGGGCGATGGGCTCGCCGCCAGCACCCAGGCGTGCCTCACGGAACTTCTCCGTTAGGACCTATGAGCGAGATTGTTAGCATGCTTGGGGCGCAGTGACCGGTAAAGATAACTCACATTCAGAAGCTGAATATCTTTCGCCTCTGCGGCGACATGGGTAAATTCAGCAGCGCCAGAGATGGCCTCATCCATCTGCGAGAGCGAGAGCCTGCCGCCGCTCTTGGCGATACCCTTCCCGATCCAGACGTCCCCTTCGGCGACAGCGCCGGTGAGCGGGTTGGCCGAGAAAACAACGCTGACGGTCAGGCGATCCTGGTCCGGAGTGAGCGAGCAGACCTCGCCCGAGAGCTTTTGCGGGAGTAGGGCGCAGAATCGGTTGGCGAGCTGAACGGCGGTGCCACGCTTCTTTGCTTCGCGGTCAAGAAGCGAGTTTGGCTTGACAAAATGGGTGACATCGGGCACGTGGATGCCGATTTCGATCTTGCCGTCGGGCAACGACTTGACATGGACACCGTTTCCGAGCTCGTCCGAGCCGTTCAAGTCGAGAGTGAAGACCTTCTCGTTGCGGAAATCCCGGCGAGCGGCGATGGCAGCTTCGTCTTCCTTGGCGATGGTCCAGTCCTGGAGACCGACGCTGCGCAACACGGCATCGGCAAACTCGTCGGATGCAAAGTTGTTGTCTCTAAGCAGGGCATCCGTCTCAACCTTGAGGTCACCCATCTTCCCGAGCTTCTCAACCAGGGTACCGAACGGATGCAGCGAAGTAATAGGCCAGCGCTTGATGCAAGCCACAAAGATCTGGTCCGCATAGTCCTGGTGCTTCTCGACGAAGTCGCGAGGAGCCTGCTCCGTGGGGATAGCAATCAGCGGGACACGCTTGTCAGTCGGCTTGAACCACACGATCTTGGGCTTCTCCTGGGCCCGGGAGTCGTGGTGCCGCGACATGCTGCCGTCGCGCGCGGCCCGCTCGGCCTCTTGTTTCTCTTTGGTCGCCTGGCTGCTGGGTCGGAGCAGACCCAGAGTGCCGGAAAACATCTGACCCGGCACGCGCTCAATGACGGCGACAATGTGGCCGGCGTAAAGAGGCTTCGCCTCGTCGTTGATCTCTTCCTCCTCGACAAGTAGCAGACTCTGGCCCTCGACCTCAACGTCGTCGTTCTTCTTTTGAGTGGGTCGCTGCCTGAGACTGCCACGACGGCGAATTCCGCCTTCGCCAGTGCCGTTATCATCACCATTGCCGCCACCCTGGCTAGTCCCGGCGGTGGATCCGGAACGGGTGTCGGTGATATCCTTGCGTTTCTTTTTCTCTTCCTTCTCGCGCTTCTGAGACCAAACCTCATCAACGTCGAGAAGCTCGACGGCGACGAGATCTCCCTCGAGAGCACGGTTGCGGTCCTTGCTGCCGCAGATGAAGATGTCGGCGTCCAGAAGGCCATCCTGGGTCGAGACATACGCATCGCTTCTGTTCTTCTTGTTCACGCGGAGGACGCCGGAAACGAGCTGTCCATCACCTAGGAGGGCAGGAAGCGTGGCCTGCGGCAGATAGGGGGTGAACAGCGTCTTGCGCTGCTGTTGCTGTTGCTGTTGCTGCTGTTGTTGACCACCCATCTGAGGCGCATGCTGGCTCGCCTGGAGTCCGCCCATGTGCTGACCATTCATGGAGGCGACCTGAAGGGCCTGCAGCTGGTTGAGTTGCATGGGGTTTAGCTGCTGCCCGGCGTACATGCCTGGGATCATCATCTGTCCAGGGAGCTGCATCAGCTGGGGCTGACCAGGATACTGGAAAGCTCCGATGTTTGAGATGGACTGGTGGCTGATGGAGCTACGGCTCCGGTGGCCCGGCTGGAATCCCTGGTTCTGGCCAGTACCACCGGTTTGATCCTGACCTTGGTTCTGGCCTTGGTTCTGGCCTTGGTTGCGCCAGTTACCGTCGAAGTTCCGAGAGGAGGTGCGGGTGTGGCCGCCACCACCACCACGACGAGGGAAATCGCCACCGAGACCACCACGACCGTTAGTACCAGCAGCCATGCTCTGGCTCCGGCTGTGGGCGCCGCGACCACCACGGAAAGACGAAGGCGGCACGGCCAAGTTCTCGGCTGCGGGGAGGGCAGGGCTTGCGCTTGCGCTTGGGCCCTTGGCCTCGTCCTCCGGCCTTTCGGCCGGACTCGAGGCGCCGGGGGCAGGGAACTGGAAGCCAGACGTGGTACGCTTCTGCTGGGCGATCTCGGCAGCCTTCTTCGCATCGGCGAGGGCCAAGGAGTGACGTCTCTGGTGGCCACCTCCGGCACCACCGCCGCCGCCCCGGCCGCCCCGACCGCCGGCGTTCTCCCTGCCCTGTCCCTGGGGGTTCTCAAAGCTGCCAAAGGCAGATCCGGACGCCCCAGACGAGGGCGCCGGAGGCGGGCCCATGCCCATGTTGGGGAGAGCCGACTGATTACGGCGATGTGACAGGGGTTGTGTTGGCGGAGCCAAAGGCACGTTCTGCTGCGGAAGCTGAGTCGGGAATTGGTAGCCGGGTTGCGGCGACATATTGGGCATGCCACCCTGGAGCGGATTATAGCCGCCGGCTCCAAGGCCTTGTCCGGGTAGCATGCTCATCTGCTGGTAGGTAGCTTGGAGCTGCTGTTGCTGTTGCTGCAACAGCTCGATCTGCTGCTGGATGGCCAGCTGCTCCACTGACGCGAGAGACGGCGGTTAGCTATTGTTTCGTATGTCCGCACCCAAAAAATAGCACACGAGCCCAGTGACTGGGACCGTTGGACGAGCCGTGGCGATTGCGGCATGGTTCGAGAGAGGGGCAGAGCAACGTGGACAAAACACGAGACATTGATGAACTTACTGCCAGGGTTGGAATACATGCTCATCAGCGGAGTCAGGTCTGACGGGTTCCTGCGATGGGCAATGTGCAGCCGGCGGCCAGTGGGACCGGGGACGCCTCCAGGCTGAGGCTGCTGTTGGTGTTGCTGCTGCTGATCCATGGCGGCGGTTGTGCTATGCGAAACAGCGAGCAGGGTAAATCGATCGGGTCGATGGGTGCACGTCGAGTGCGAAACGGGCTTTGGTCGAATGCGTTTGCGGGCAGCCAGTGACAGGAGTTGGAAGTCTGTCTACTGGACGGGAATTTGGTCGTTTCTGTCTGTTCGTGTGTCTTTTTTGGGGTTTTGCGGAGAGGCGTTGCTCAAGCGGACAATTTCAGGTGCTGGAATATTTCGAGCCCAAGTTGGTTAATGAAAGATAGAGAAAAACCAAGAGGGAGTGTAGAGATGGGCGATCTTGATGGCGGAGGTTTGGATGCCGAAAGGCTGAGGGGGGGGTTTGGGTTGAAGGAGGGTGCGAGCGAGGAGGAACTCGAGTCGAGGATGATGACGATGAAGGTCGCGGGATGCGCACAGGCGAGCAGCAAGCAGGAAGGATGCTCCGTGGGCCTGATGCTCTCTGCCCCGTCACCCAGTGCCCCAAGCAACGCTTTGCCCAGGTGCCCAGCTACCACTGACCGAAGGGGGAGAGAAAGTGGGGCCTGGTCCCGCACAGCTAATCCAAACGAAGCTGGAGCCTCGAGGTGAGAGGGGCAAAGACAGCGCTGCAGCACCGAGGCCCTGTCTGTTCAGCGGTGGCTCTCTTGCATATACGGGTTGCCGCTGCTCTGTTTTTGGACCATCGGAGCTTCACTTTCATCACACAAACGGAATATGCCACCTTGAAAAGAAATATACAAGTCAAGACAGATCAACCCTAGGCTGTGGGCAACTCCCGTCATTCCCAATGCGAGACACAAGCACGACAACCGAGGGAGCTCCAATGTTCGGGCGGGGTGGATTACCGTTGTCAAGGGGCCCGAGTGCCCACAGCTCCAGGCGCATCACGACCTTGCTCCATCTTCTGTGAATCACCAAAAGCGCCAGACTGGCAGACTGCCAGACCGCCAATGATCGCGCATGGTGCGTGGCTACTGAGGCAGTGTCCTCGTGCCATGTAATCGGGGTTGGATACCTAACGATGATGACGAGTTCTCACCCAAATTCAAGCTGCGGCGCAAGAAGGAGGGAATAAAAATAACCTTCAAAGAGGCGCCGATCCCATCTGCCGCTCGGCAGCCCCCGAGTTGCATGGGGTTGTTACACCATAGGTAACCTGGAAACGCCCCTATTTGTCTTGTCTTGTTTCGAACTATGATTTGTATGTATACGGATATATGTATGAATAGGGGGCTCGCTCTTCAAGACAACAAGATGGTAATAAAAGAAAAAAGAGACATCCCGACAAATTCTTGCCCCAATGGAAGACGAGCGCACTTGAACAAACTGAGTATGGAGTCCGAGCGTCAAACGTGATCATCCTTGTGTGCGAGCCTAACCAAGCAGCGAGCGCAACAGGCCAAGATGCGGTCAAGGTCAGGTGTCACGAACTCAACGACAGAGTTACCAAATGGATGGCTCGTAGCCGAGGACGGCGTGGACGAGCATTATCAATTGTTCGAGATTCTTGGCGGGAGCTTGAGCCCCCCCCTGATGGCTGATGTTCTTGCTGGTCCTGGTGTTGGTGGCAAAACACTGGAACTTAAGGTTCCTGAGGGTTCTGTGTCAACCGTGTAACGGGGTTAGGGTTGCCGTTCTTTGTCCTGAGGCTACGACTGTGCACGGGCTGTCAGCTGTCGCCGAACGGACCCCCCGAGGGTGGTCCTAGTCACCGAGTTAGCGGCTGCGCCCCAGCATCAAATTGACAAACGGGCATCAGCCGTCCACCAAGCCGTTAGCAACCGCGATTGGAAATCCCCAAGGACCATATTTTGGTAAACACACCGCGAAATTCATCGACTAGCAACTTTGATAATGACAGGATCATCTCCTCTGCGCCGGCAGAGCTACCACCGGACAAACGGAAGTCCACAACGAAACGTTCTTGAAGAAATACTCGGCGACGACAGGAATTCGGAAGCGCGTCATAGATACCTTCTGGAGACAGCGAAGAGAGAACACGATAGGGTTCGGGAGGAAGCAGAGAGAGTGTACCGGGAGCAGCTGCAGAGGGAGGAGAGACAACGGCTGTTCGATGCACGAAGGAAAGAGGAAGAGAGGATCAAGCTGGAAGAGGCTCTCGCTGCGGATCGCGCGCGGCTGAATGAGCTCAAAGCAAAGAAGATCGCGATCCCCGCGCCTCTGCCCGACCCAGAACCACATGTTGTGCCAACGGTCAATGGAAATGCTCCTGCTGCCTCGCTACCAACCAACAATGCCTCGACTCAACCAAACGGGGCCACATCGCAGAGACCGATGACGGTTCCTGCCGTGCCGGTGCCAGGCGCTCATGTACCCAAACCTCCCACTGCACCCATACCAGCGCGGACTCAGAGCCAGACTCCAGTGGCGGTCGCGCACAAAACGCCGGAACCCGTGAAGCCAGCAAACTCAGTCCTCGGCATCAACGGCCTTCTCAATAACACGTCACAACCTAATGGCGCCACCTCAGATTCGGGCACATCGCGCTCGGCTGCCCAGCCTTCGACCCAGTCGCGTCCCGACAGGCATGCAGAGATTCATAAAAATCTCAAGATACTCCGGAAATCCATGGCTGACCAGGCCAAAACAAACGCAGCCTTGAAGGGAAGGATGGGCGATATGCGGCGAGAGATCCGCAAATCGGTCGGGCAGCTCACTGTCACTTTGGGGGTCGCAGGAGTCAACAAGATACAGGTAAGGAATTGCGTGTTTGATGCTATTCGTGAGGTGTTAGTCACTGACCATCGCATCACAGCAACAAAACATTCTCAGACTGCTGCGTGAGGCGCGATCAAATCAGATGCAGTCGCAGTTGATGGACCCCAGTAACTTCGTTCTGGAGCCAAGGAACCCCATCGAGGGGGGCGCAAACAACGACGCCACTCTTCCATCAATATTCCTCTACCTCATCAACATCTTTGCGAAAGCGGCAATAGCCCAGTTCATCAACGAGGCCGGCGCGCGGCCGGAGACAGCGGACCCAGTCGGTGTTTGCGTTGCCGCCACCCTCTCGGAGCCTGATTTCCTGTGGCGCGGCACATCGCTTATCGACATCATGCTCGCCAAGTTCAGGATAGTCTGTCCTGTCCTGTTCGGCTACCGAGGTAGCGAGAAGACGGAGCAGGGGAGGCAGAGGCTGGGCTGGTGGAAGGACAGCGGCCGGTGGGTACCAGAGCAACAACATATGGACCGCATGACCGGTCTAGGGGCGGGTTTTGCTTCCATCTCCCTGCGGAATTTTGCCATGTCCAAGAAGACGAACCCACTTCCCCCACGGGTATATTGGACGGCCATGGCGCGAATCATCAACACACCACCCGCGGAGATCTCCGACACGCAATGCGTCGTGTTGAAGGCAATGGTGGAGAGTTACGAGCAGAAGTTCATCGAGTTCTACGGGACGGCCGCCATCGCGGCTCTACGGACAGCGCTGCTCGACTTTCCCGCCCGAGCACCACAGAAGTCGGCGGCTGTAAATTCACTCGAGGTTTTGGCGCAAATGCTGAAGCGGGATACGGGCTTGGTTCTTGGATAAACGGATTGGTGTACGGGGGAACGTACATTGTTAGTAATTCATTTCTGGCTCGGGGGAGAGTCAACGTAGGGTTATTTCATCATTGTAGGATGGGACGGGGTGGCCGCAATGACCGAAGATATGTCACGGTCTGGGGCGTTGCATGTACACCAACCGTGGTTATTGTAGATACCCGACATATGAAGAATACTAAAAAAGTGAAAAACTATAAACGCCTCGTTGCGAAAAACCCCATCTATCTACGCCCTGGTATTATGCAATACATCCCAATAACGTCCCATCAATCCACCAGACGACCATCCCCCCGATCTCATAATATTAGTAGCAAGATCAACAAGATGACCAACACAACGATCAAAAGTCCTATACAACAACTGCTGTACCGATCCTCCGTCCTCCTCAACACATGGCCTATCTTATCCATCCCCGTCTTCAACCTCCCTTCGACCCGATCTGCCACCCGTTCCGTCTCCTGGAGCATCTCCACCTGCTCCTCCAGCTCCCGGCCCATATCGTCCGCCTGCCGCCGCAGATTCCCCACCGTCCGGGACACCCCATTTAGATGCTGGTCCTGCTCGCGCATCATCACAACCTGCTGTTCGCGCTCGAACTGAGCCACATAATCGGCCCCCCCTCCAGCACCATCAGCCTCCCCGTCCGCAATAGCGAACGACGACGGATCCGGCAGATCCCCGCCCCTCCCGCCGCGCCGCGCACCGGCGGCAGCAGCCCCAGAAGAGGCCTTGGCGAGCTCCTCGCGCATGTCGTCGACCTCGCCGCCGACCTCCTGCACGAGGCGCTTGCGGCGGCCGACCTCGGCCACCGAGAGCCCGAACCGCGCCGGGTCGGACTCGACCGCCCGCACCGACCCGGCCAGGTCGGCGAGGTCGTCGGCCAGCGATGTCAGTGACGACTCGAGGTCGGCGCGCGCGGATGCCAGTTCCGGGGAGGTTGGTGCCGTGGCTAGCGAGCGGATGCGTAGGTAGGATGTGAAGAGGGAGCGCGCGGTTTGGAGCTGGGTGAGGACATCTCTGTTGTGCGCGGGTTGGAGCGGGTTAGTTTGGGTGTTGGGTGGTTGTGATTGGGAGGTTGGAGGAGGAGGAGTTGAAAGGGGGGACGCACTGCTGGACCTGGAGGAACGGGTCCTCCTCGTTCGTTGAGGACATCATCGCTCCCGCGCCGTGGTCGGTCACGCTAGTAGGCGGGTTGTCGCATTCGCGGGACGGTAACTGAGCATGTCGCCAGGTACTGTCTCGCCGGAAGTGGAGGTAGACTTGTCGAGGTTGATCGTTGAGGTTCGCTTTGGGGATGACGTTGCAACGGGGAAGGTGCTCCTGGTTCCAGATTCCGAGCCTCGAGATGCTACAATCACGGTTGGTGTGTCTCCAGCCAATGGAACGGAGGATGTGCCTTGCCCTTTCCGTCGATGGTCTGCGGGGCACAGTGCATCGTCTTGTTTTGCAGCAACCCGCATCCTGCAACTCTGGGCCGCCCGGACCCTGAACCCCTGTCCCACTGTCCGCTAACCAACAGCCGGGAGTGGGAAGCTCTGTCAAGTTGAAACGTAGCTTCAACAACCGCTGGTGCTGGCTTTATCTTCCTCGATTTCCCCCATTGCCTTGTCCAATTGATTTGGATTCATCATCAAACCGTTCTTCTCACCAAAAATACGCCGGCCACATACCAAACCGCCAGAATGCTCAACGTAAAGCGGATCGTTATCGCCGCCTCCCTGATGGTGGGCGCGACCATGATGTTTGCGCAGCCCGCCGCAGCCGCCAAGGGCCCCAAGATCACCCACAAGGTCTACTTCGACATTGAGCACGGCGACGAGCCCCTTGGTCGTGTTGTCATGGGCCTCTACGGAAAGACCGTCCCCGACACGACTGACAACTTCCGTGCTCTGGCCACTGGCGAGAAGGGCTTCGGCTATGAGGGCTCCACCTTCCACCGCGTGATCAAGCAGTTCATGATCCAGGGCGGTGACTTCACCAAGGGCGATGGCACTGGTGGCAAGTCGAGTACGTGTTACCCTACTATTCTGTAGTTGGTGTTGGGGTGGGCATCGCTGACTTTTTTGGCTGCAGTTTACGGCGACAAGTTCCCCGATGAGAACTTCAAGCTCAAGCACACCAAGAAGGGCCTGCTCTCTATGGCCAACGCGGGCAAGGACACCAACGGCTCCCAGTTCTTCATCACCACTGTTGTCACTTCGTGAGTTGCACCATTTGTTCGGGGAGCATCTTCTAGATGGTATTGCTAACACCAACCTACAGTTGGCTCGATGGCCGTCACGTCGTCTTCGGCGAGGTCCTCGAGGGCTACGACATCGTCGAGAAGATCGAGAACGTTGAGACCGCGCCGGGCGACAAACCCGTCAAGACAGTCAAGATTGCCAAGAGCGGCGAGCTGGAGGTCCCTGCTGAAGGTATTCACATGGAGCTCTAAAGCTCTTTTCACAATGCGTGCCAACATCCCCCCGTCTCCCTTGACACCTCTGTGGATATAAAATGAGATGCACTGGGTGTGACTGGCCCCGGTGTCGACAATATCAATTTGCAGTCCCCATGCTCGATCTTACCATGCCATGTCTCAAAAGACACTGTACTGATCGTTCATTCTTGCTTCCGCGGTTGCTCAGGCATCGATGCGCCTGAACATGACGCGAACACGGCGCCCGGAACAAACGAGCCATCTGCGATGGAACTTGGCGACGACTGGCCTCTCCCGGTCAAGCTGGCTCTTGTGGGAATCGTCGTGGCAGTCTTTGCGATGTGGCTGCGTTTCTCCAGGGGCCAGGCCCAAAACGAAGTTGGCTATGAGAAGACACGTGTGTGAATGATGAATGTAGAATGGGGGTCTTAAGGGAATAGTTATTGTGGTACACCCGGAGATGAGAAAGGGTGTCCTTCTCGACATGTTTCGTTAGATGCAAATCGCCCCGTTTCAGGCATCTATAATTTTTTCGTGACCTTCAGAGATTCAACCCGCTTTGAATGACATCCCTCACCAAAACAACACCAGACCACCAAGATGAAAGTCCTCACATTAAACTTTTTGACTTGCGCCGTCAAGACGTGCAAGGCCTCGTCCGACTCGTTCCCGCTGCACCCGAAAGATGCGGAACTCGTCAGCGACGATGTCGAGCTCAACCCGCAGTTGTTAGTCAACTTACTGCCCCGCATCGACTGGAATGCCCTGCGGACCACATCTACAGAGGCAAGTATTGCATAGTTTTGGTGTCTTGAGTTCTGAGATTTGGTTTCAATGATGTTTATTTCTCATCCAACTTTCACTGCCGTTCACCACTCCTCCCTCACCCTTCCTCAAACACCTCTTGCTCCCGGCCTTGTTAACTAACACGTTGCAGCTGGGCTTCCCTCAACTCCCCGAGCAGCCACCAACTCCAGAAGAGCTTCAGGCGGACGAGAAGCTGCTCAAGGACCTGCATACTCTGCTCATGGAGACGCAGATGAATGAGGGCAAGTTGGTGTGTGGGCACTGCTCGCACGAGTACGCAGTACGGGAAGGCATCGCCAATTTCCTGCTGCCGAGCCATTTGGTATGAGCGTCATGGATGAAGGCCGGCACGGGGGAAAAAGGGGAGGTCATTGTCAATTAGTCACGAGTCATGGGGAGGACGTTGGCTAATTTGGGTTACGGCGTTCATGATCACGAATCTTATCGACTATGATTACATTCCACAATCTCCATGACGGAGGGGATTCAACGGTTGGGCTGGATCGCATTGGGGTTTGCCCTTTCCGAGCTATTACACACCTGCGAGCAATAAATAGGATCATGTTCCGCAAAAGTCTAGACATTGATGCTACAATTATGCTCAAACCAACTAACTCCAGCCCAGGTAGCTATGCTACAGACGATCCAGAAAACCAAACCGCATTCACCGACACAATATCGCCACACGCTATTCTACATCTGCTTCTTCTGGGCAGCCGGGCCCATATCCTTATCGAACGCGCCGTAAGAGACTTCGAGGCTCGCCAGCGCCTTGAGGCCAACGGTCAAGATGGCCAGAACCACGGCCAGGACGATAAAGGACATGAAAATGCCTAGCCCTTGAATTAGCGACCGCTCACTCCCAAGGTATCAAGCAGAGTTGACTTACCGGGTGTGAAGAACTGGTACTTCTCAAACAGCGGCCGGTTGTCGGTCGAGTTCGACTGCGATCTGGCCACGAACTGGCGCTCGGCCGAGGCGGAGCGCTTCATGTCCATGTGCACGGGGCCGCTAAACTCGGGCTCGTACGCCTTGAACTCGCTCGGGTCCGAGAACACCACGACGGTGTAGTCCTCGCCGTCAAGCGAATCAAGCAGCTTGCCCAACTCGTGATCTGTCATCCCCACACAACAAAGTCAGCAACCCTCTCTCCTCTTAAGTCAAGCACCGCAAATTCGCGTGCGCGTGGGTGGCGTGTCCGGCAACGTACCGTTATCCCCCAGCACCTCCTCCCTCGCGCCCTCCGCGCCGGCACGGTCAGACGCAGCGGGCAGCTGCTTCAGCCCGACCCGCTGCACGCTGACGCCCTCCCCGCAGGTCTGCGCGATGTACTCCTCGAGCGGCTGGCCCGACACGCGGCCAATGGTCTCGGCCACGGCCCAGCTGTTGACGTCGTCGCGGCCCGCGGCGCGGCACAGGTTGGGCATGCGGCAGGCGTCGCTGCCATCGCCCTCGCGGATGTCGGCCGCGTGCATGTTGGGCTGCGACACGAGCAGGTAGCGCTTGGTCGGGCATGACGCGAGCAGGGATTTAGCGGTGCTGAGGACATGGGAGGCGGTTTGGAGCTGGGAGGTCGACGGCGGGGTGGATAGTCTGTTCGATCGGTGTCAATTAGCATTCTGATGACGGGCTGCTGCAGGTCGACGCAGGCTGCAGGCTGCAGGTCTGCGAGAGGGAACGGACGCACTTGGCTGTGGAGAGGAGGACGAAGGGAGAGGAATCGGAAAAGGCCCGCGCTTGCGACACCGCGCAGGCGAGCAATGCTGTTGCCGTGGATAGCTTCATGGTTGTGGTGATGATGCCGGCTTGTTTGTCGGCGTTGGCAGCGGCAAGTTGGTTGCGATTGCGTCTCGGCCGCGACCCCCAGGAGCTTTGGGGTGGCTTGGTTGGATGATGCAGCCAACAGCTGAGTGGGGCGGTGGAGGTTGGCAGAACCCCCGATAAGCCGATGTAGTTGCAGGGGTCATTTTAAATTTACAGAGTACCTCTACCTACAAGGCCCCTCCAGTGCTGCAGAAACGCAACCACCAAGAACCCCCCGGCTGGACCTCACGATGTTTGCAAAGCCCAGGATACGAAAGACGGCACCGCCGCCGCCAAAGAAGAGAAAGACGACCCATGCGATAGAGGAGATCACCTTCGATAAAGATGCCCGCTCCGAGTATCTCACGGGATTCCACAAGCGCAAACAGGCGCGGATCAAGCATGCGCAAGAGGTAGCGGAGGAGAAGGCACGAGAGGAAAGAATTGAGATGCGGAAGCAGGTATGCGAGTTCCGTTTAAAGACTACACACCCTCCCATGCTGACGCAGTTGGTTCCAGATCAGGGAAGACCGAAAGCAAGCCGTCGAGGACCACGTCCAAGCGATCAACAAGATCCTTCGGGAGGCCCAGCACGCTGGCACGGGTGACCTAGAACAAAATGACTCCGGGGATGAATGGGGAGGCCTGTCGGACACAGACGTACCCGAAGCGCCGATCGATTTGGAGGAGGAATACATCGACGAAGACAAGTACACAACGGTGACCGTGGAAGCAGTCAGTATAGACCGAGATGGCCTTCATAAACCCGAGCTCGAGAAACCCTCGGAGGACGCGGAACCTGAGCAAGAAGTTGCCGGTGAACAGGAGGACTTGAAGAAGGCTCCTAAACGACAAAAAGATCCGACCAAGAAGAAGAAGTTCCGCTACGAGAACAAGTTCGATAGAGCTGTCGAAGCAAGGAAACAAAGGTCGAAGCGGAGGAAGGATAAGGGATAGCAGTCACTCGACAGGCGCAGCAGTGCTGTAAGCAAATACAGCTCGCATGATCAAAGTTGAGAAAGGGGTGTATGTGTTTGAATTGTCGCAGAATGTAAGTACTCGAGTCAGTGCTAATGACCCGTCCACCTCAAACCCTCGCTCATCGATGTGACCTGCCACATGGAAGGAACCGGAAGCCGTGATAACCAGCTGGACCCAACGAAACCCTCCCTCCGACCAAATCGCGCTAGCCTTAGATGGTGCTGATCTCGTTTTGGAAATCCTCCAGTTCCTTCTGCACGGCGGTGTACTTCTTGGACATATCCTCGTACTTGGACTCCCACTGGTCGCGCTCCTGCTCGAGGGCCTGGACTTTCCGCTCGAAGTGTCCAGCCTTGACGTCGGTCTGCCGCAGCCTGGGGTAAGAGGCGGTCAGTGTAAGCGAAGTTGATCAGGTGGGGAACTCGTGTGCGATCTTACTTCTCGTTGGCCTCGCGCAAAGTCCTGTCTGCTTCCTCGGCCTCTTCCTCGAGAAGTTGGAGCCTTCGAGTCAGCGTTTCGTTCTGGGTACCGTGCTGCTGGCCTTCGCTGGCCGCGGCCTTGAGCTCCTTGACTTGCGCCTCGGATTTCTCTACCTCCGTCTCAAGCACGCTGTTCTTGTGCGTAAGGGAGACAATCTCCTGCTCCTTCTGGAGGTTCTCCTGCTCGAGCGTCTTGACTTTGCTCTGGAGCTCGTCGACCTTGGTCGCGGCCTCCTCGGCGTCCAGACGGAGCTGGTTCATTTTCTGGGATGCGCAACATATCGTCAGCCATCTGAGGCATGGTAAAATAATCCACAAGGGGTTTCGGCCGCGACCGGGACAGGCCAGTGTCGGAACACACAAGGCCGGTGATGGTCGAGATGCTCGTGATGCTCGTGATGTTGGTGATCGCTTTAAGGGGTGTCCTGGTGAACCCAATGGTGGGGCCAAACCGGGGTGCAGCTCCAAAAAGAAAGAGTTAACTTACCTCCTTGATGCGATCCATTTTGTTGCTGGTGATGAGCGAAGCAGGGAGATCGTGTTGCAAGAGAGTGGATTCTGAAGTGAAGAAATCGCAGAGGGAATGTCGCAGGTAGTGGTTGGAAGTTAAGGAAGGAAGAAGGAGGTGGATGCAAACCGGCGGGCGTTGGAGGAAATGAAGACCAGCGACTGCCCCTCACCAAACGGCGGTGTTTCCATTTGCTACCGTAGGTGGCTGTCACTTGTCTGATCGACCCCACCACGATTAGCCGGGGGCCTGGCACCTCTGGCCAAAAAACCGCGAGACTCCGAAGGAAACTACACAGTAAGAAATCCAGTAACAATAAATAAAATAAAACAAAATCAATAGAGCAAAAGATGTCCAGTGATAAGAGGCATCGAGTAAAATAAAAGCAAATTAAGTGAAGACAGCGTCTTGGGCTTCCGGATGGCCTTCGTTTCGTTCCTACACCCGAGGGGTGCCTGGCATAAGACAGCTGCCCATTCACTGCGCCGTTGCTGTGCCAACCTCAAAGTGGCATCTTCGAAACTGGCCCAGCCACGCGACGCCGCGATTCCTCGTGCCTTGTGCATCAAACGGCTCAATCCGCGAGAACGACATTTGCTATCGACCCTCACAATTACCCAAAACCGCCAGCTGGGAGGCCATCCCCGCGTCACGCAACGATGCTAGCAGCCCACCACGACCAGGAGAATGTTTACACGCACCAGGCGGGTGCATCGAAGCAACAATTACAGGCAAAGACGCCAGGTGCCCGCTTTCCAAAGACTCCCCTCAAGGTTCCGCTCAACGACGAGAACTCGAACCACGGTTTTGGTGGCAAGAGCGTGCTGCGAGGAAAGGGAAACAATGAAAACACCCTCACTGTTGGGAAGGGTGCCAATGGCCTTGGCAAATCTGGCAAGTCGGCCATGGTGACGCCAGCGGGTGAGTCCTTCCGTGCCTCTCTATCTCGCATTGCTAACGCCGAATTTAGCACCGAGGACCGGCCGGGCGCCTCTCGGAAACAAGACGACGAATGCGAAGGCTAGGGCGACGTACCAAACGCCCGGGGCCAAGGTGACTGCCCGTGACTTCGAAAAGAGCGCGGTCAAGCCAACTACTACTCTGCGACCTAAACAGCGTGCACCTGAAGTTGAATCTTCCAAACTAGAGGTGCACACGGACCACGGGCCGCTCGAGGAGGAAGAGATCGAGTATGCACCCCCGAAGCCGAAAGAGACCCCTTACGAGTCCGACGTGTTCCCCGACGGCGTCTTGACCTTTGAGGGACTGAAGCCCGAGAACTTGTTCAAGGGTTATTACAAATATTACTTCAACCGTGTCGACGGCGAGGGGAAAACAGCGCTGGAGCGGGACATGGAAGAGCGGCAGAAGCAAAGCTTTGAGCGTGGCGAAGAGCAGATCCGAAAGGATATGGAGGAATTTGACTGGAGCATCGGTGACATCCCGGAGAGTAAGGATGTATTCAAGAAGAAGAGTACCGCGGTTCCGGCAGCCCCAGCGACAACCAGCAAAAAGGTGGTGCGGCCGATGCCCAAGCAGCCGTCGACGCTCGCATCCAGGAAAGCAGCATCAGCTCTCGCCATGCCGGCGAAGCCATCTGGCATCACTCAACCAAAGTTGACGAAGACAACCACCTTGGGAACAACCGAAACCCGGACCAGAGGGCTTTTTGTCCCCAAGCGAAGAACGGCACAACCCGTGGCGCAACCCACCATGTCGGTTAAAGAGCGGGCGCCCGCAGTTGCCGCGTCACGCAGCACCCTAGGCTACAACAAGGGTCGGTCCGTATCATCTGCGGTCCAGGGAACCGGTAGCGACACAGGTAGCCGCCAGCCCCAAACTCAGATCGGCCCCAAGCCTCGCACATTAGTGCGTTCTGTCAGCACAGCGTCAACCAGCTCGGAGGCCACCATCACACCAGCCCGTTTTGCCCAGGCGTCGGAGCTAAAGAAGCCGGATTTTTTGTCCATCTTTGACGCCGATGAGGAAGAGGATGGTCTGGGTGGTGGCCTGCCTCCTGTGGCTGACGACGATGACGATTTCCAGTTCGTCGTAAAGTTTGATTGAGCCACGCTGGCTGGGAGATGCTACGGGTGGTTACCGGAGGCGTTGTGATGGCGTTTGGGCCAGGACCTACATATTTTACTCGGGATTGGTCGGACACATGGGTACTATTGGGGGGCTGGCATTGGTTTACACCCTTTTCTTTTGTGGTTCTGCGAGTGGTGGATATCAGGAGCCCGGCACCCAATCTGCCCGGCAACCTTTTACCTGGACCCTGCAGAGCGCCGTGTTGTGCCTGCTAGCGTACGAGAGCCAGCAGGTATCATGGCAGCGACTTTGGGTTCGAGCTTATCAGCTTGTTTTGTTATTTGGCATTGGTGCCGGGTTGTCTTAGCTCGTGTACAGTATTAAAAATGGCGGCCAAAATGAGCCATACAGTCCTGATCCCATGTTCTCATCCTTTGTTTCTTCACAGAAAATACTGTCGACGTCGGGTCTTGTGATGAAAGTGAAGGGGAAGTTACTGTGTAAGTACCGGTAAGAGAACAGGTCGAGACCCGAAACGCTGTACACCATGTGGTTCCTTTATTCTCTCTTTTCCGTTTTCAATTTTCCTGGCCAGAACACCCTAGTTAGTGGGCAAATGGCTGTTGAATTTCGTTGAAAACGTCATGAAATGAACGGGTTTGACTCTCCATTCAGGGGTTCCAGATTACTGATTCCAATTCTCAGGGGCGTCAGCTTGCACAGTGGAAGCCCCGCCAGATGACAGCGACATCATTCATTGGACGATGCAATCATTCCCAGCCTCCGCTGGCAATTCTGCCACAGTGCGCGCCCATCCTTTGAAGCTCGAGCCATCTTGGCACGGACTACGCCAACCCAGTTTGAGTTTAGCGAGACAGTGGAAAATGGAACTCGCGACTTCAACGCCTGGCCGTCCCTAAACTTTCAACTTCGCTGCGATCCGCTTTCCACTCCAGCAGCCCAGCTTGCTTTGGCTTCGCGAGCATTTCCTTCCCGACCAAAACGAAGCGCAAATTGTCACACTTATCGCTCTGGGGCCTGGTTTATTTTTCTACGCTCAGCCGCCTTCCTCACCACTTTCAGCCCACGGCGCAGTCTGGCCAAGTGCCTCCCTACCGGCAAAGCTTTGTCGCGTGGACGGCACATGCGCGCGTAATTACCCACACCGCAATTCGCATTCATCAGCATTCACGCATGGTGACTCCCAGCATCGCTAGCAATAGAGATGATGGTTGGAGGACGTCGGGAACGGCACTAGTCACCCCTTCTCGCCATGACTCGCCCGCCTGGCGCGAGCTTCGCCCAGTTCTTCCCTGCCGCACCGCGAGCCGCAAGGGACAGGGCAATGGAACGCGAGAGGGCGAAAATGAAAGCACAGGAATCTCCGCCTGCCCGCCCGGTCGATGCCAATGGCTACAGCGCCCCGCTCAATCCTTCGGCATCTTCTCACAATGACGAAGGGCCTGTCACCGGCTTCACATCGAGACCTCAGCTGAACGGCACCGCTGCTCATGCCTCGCACCCCCCGACGGATGATACCGAGTCGCTCGCTGGAGACACGCTCCATGCCGTCGGATCAGCCAGCTCTCATACAAGTGCAAGCTCCTCAGTCTTCAGTGCTCCCACCCGACCGAGCGCCACCAGTGCCATGAAGTTCTCCAATAACCAACTTACCCCTCCTACCACCATCGCATCACCGTCGTCATATCTATCTACAGCTGCCCCCACCAAGGCGCAGTCGACCACTCCTCGCCGCGCCGACGGAATCAACGGACTCACGCCGATTCCCAACGGATCTGTCCTTCATACACCGGCCGTCGAACGCGTGCCTGCCCGAGACCCCTCTCGCTCGATCAAATGCATTAAGCGTACATATGAGCCTTTTCTCGATACATCGCTTTCGAGCTCCGAAAAGAGAAAGGCGAAACCGATATACAAGGAGTTTGGGTTGGTATGTGCATCTGATAAATTTACACTGAGGGAGGGGGGGCGTCATCTTGATTGTGGATCAATTGGCTAATGCTGCGCATAGGACGACCAAGATGACGCTCCCCCTTCAGACCCCCGCCTAGCAAAGGGCGGGAGGTTGAACTACATCAATGTCGACTTCCACCTCCCGAAAGCGCGGTTACGACATGCGCCCTACAACCTGAAGCCGTACAAGTATGATCCCAAGACGTCGTGTGGCTCCGGGCCGCCGACCCAGGTTGTAGTTACGGGGTTCAACCCTTTGATTGCATTTTCCAAAGTCACGGCCGTCTTTGCTTCCTTCGGTGACATCGCCGAAAGCAGCAACAAGATGCACCCCGACACCGGGAGCTATCTGGGGTTTGCTACCTTCCGCTACCGGGATTCGAAGCCGAGCCGCTCGCGCCCCGTTTCGATTACCGGCGCCGACGCCGCAAAGCGCGCCATTCGGGCAATGCACGGAAAGAGGATCGAGGCGAACACAGTCCGCGTCGAGTATGATGCTGAGGGCAAAAAGAGCTCCCGCATGTTGGTGGAGGTGCTACACAAGGGGAACGAAACGACACCAGCTTTGGGCGAGCCTAGGATCCCCACGGGTCCGAAACCCAAAGAAGTCATTCCTGGGCCCCCTCCGACAGCACCGAAGGGTCCCGCGGCGCACCGAGGCGGGTTGGTGAATGTCCAGGGCGTGTGGGTGCCGAAGCCCAGGCCTGATTCAATCATCGAGGGTGAACCCGTCGCGGCCCAACTCAAGCACGACCCTTACATTTTTGTAGGCCACGAGCATGTCCCCGTCATGCCCACCACGGTGGCCCACATGAAGAGGCGCTTAAAAACCTACATGTTTGAGGACATACGGGCGGATAGGACCGGATACTACATCGTGTTCCAAGATTCGGGATACGGCCGGGCCGAGGCCGAACGTTGCTTTCGGTCGGCTGACCGCACCGCCTTCTTCACCTACACAATGGTCATGGACCTCCACCTCCATGGAACCGACGGCAAGGCCTCGAATGCACCCGATACTCGCCGGCGCACTCGCACACCAGAACGGAGACATGCCGACGAGACCCGACCCCACCGTGAGCATGACCGCAGCAAGCGCGACGAAGAGCGAGCTCGGCGCGACGAACGAGACCGGCGCCGGCGAGAGGAAGAGGCCGACCTCGAAGAAGAGAAACGTCAGAGAGCCAAGAATTACGACCCGGTACTAGAGGCCACGGACGTGGTTCTCCGGGAGATGAAGGAACAACTCATCAAGAACATCCGCACCAAGATTGCGGCACCCGCCTTGTTTCACTTCCTAGACCCTGTTAACCACCTGGCCAAGCGACGGAGACTCAATCTCGAGGATCCTCAGAGTGCCAGGCTTCCTCCGATCGTGCTCGATGAATTCGAAGACAGATCTCCCGTCAGCACCCCGAACTCCAGGGCGGATCCCATAGAACGGCGAACCGCCCGCCTTGACGTGTCTGCGCTTCCGCGTATCCGCAAGGTCAAGAACGCCGGTTTGAATACCCGCAAGCATGGGTTTAATGACCCGTTTGCGCGAAATCGACCAGCGGCTAGGCGCACCGCGTTCCGGTCTCTTCATTACCGTCTGAGGACCGACAGTGAGGGCGAATCCGAAGACGAAGCCGAGAATAGGACATCGCTCGGCAGAGACACGGAAGAGCCCGAGTCCCGGCCCCGGAGCCGCATGAGCTCGGACGACGAGGCGGATAAGGATGACTATGCGTCCTGGGGTCCCGGTGACGACGACTCGATGACAGAGGCCAGCTTTGCGTTAGGTGATGGGTCGGGCGTGCCTAAGAAGAGGAAGCTGGATCTCCAAGTCGAAACGGCCATCAAACGGCAGAAGAAGACTGACGAGGAGCTTTTCGGAGTGACCATCGATCGCATCGGAACCGAATTTCCGTCTAGAGAAGATTCTCCGGAGGATATTCTGCTTCCCGGGCCTGAAGCTGGTGAAGAGAAAGATATCGACAGCTCGCGACTGGCGACGCCTCTACTACAAGGGGACAAGGCCAAAAAGAAGGCGCCGGCGAAGACAAAGCGGAAATCGAAAAAGCAGCTCTTCGAGGAGAGAGAAGCCCTCAAACGGCAGCAGCAGGACATATTTGAGAGGGAGGCCCTGCAATCGGAGGACGTCGACGAGGTAATACCGACACCGGAACCCGAGAGCGAGCCCAAGCCACCCAAAGCGGAGAAGGAGGAAAAGCCGGAGAAGCCGGCTCTGGATGAGAATCTATATCCGTCTGAGAAGGTCTCCGTGTTAGATCTCCCTCGGGATTTCCGTCTTGACGTGGGTGCCTTGGAGGAGTTGGCTCTTGGGCCGAATGATCAGCCAGACCTCGACCGGCTTCGTAAAAGATTCGGCCGCGGCAAAGTGGATGATCCCGAACTTTGGGTATGGCGGCGGGATCGTATTCGCGAACTGAACTCGGCCGACGGAACGGCCAAAACCCCGGTGCGCATTGAGGGATACTACGTCCCCAATCCCACCGGCTGCGCCAGGGCCGAGGGAGTCAAGAAGATTCTCAACTCGGAGAAGTCCAAGTATCTCCCTCACCACATCAAAGTCAAGAAGGCCAGAGAGGAGCGCCAGGCACAGAACGGCAAGAATGCTAAAGACTCGGTACTCGCTGCCGCGGAAGCTGCTAGGCTGGCCGCAGAGAGCCTCGTGGCCAAGGGCAACTCCCGTGCCAACCGCGCCAACAACCGCCGTTTCGTCGCCGATCTCAACGACCAGCGAAAGACGCTCGGCCAAGACTCTGACGTGTTGCGGTTCAACCAGCTTAAGAAGCGGAAGAAGCCCGTCAAGTTTGCGAGGTCGGCCATCCACAACTGGGGTCTGTACGCGATGGAGAATATTCCTAAGGACGACATGATTATTGAGTATGTCGGCGAGGAAGTCCGTCAGCAGATCGCCGAGCTCCGGGAGAATCGATACCTCAAGAGCGGTATCGGCAGCAGCTACCTTTTCCGGATCGACGACAACACGGTCATCGACGCGACCAAGAAGGGTGGCATCGCCAGGTTCATCAACCACAGCTGCATGCCTAACTGCACGGCCAAGATCATCAAGGTGGAGGGCAGCAAGCGGATTGTGATTTATGCCCTCCGGGACATTGCGCAGAGTGAGTAACCGCCTCCCGATCATAGTGAGCGCGGGTGAAAATAGCAACTGACATGACGGTGCCACAGACGAGGAGTTGACATACGACTACAAGTTCGAGCGCGAGCTTGGCAGCACCGACCGCATCCCCTGCCTGTGCGGAACGGCCGCGTGCAAGGGCTTCCTCAACTGAACACCCCGCGGCCGGCCTCGACATCTAATTCTTGTAATCTTTGTCTTGCTGTTGCCGCTTACGACTACTTCGTTGCCTCGGTTCGATTAGCCGCTGCTCGCGGTCGAGGACCTTGGGAGTGGTTTGCAATATATTCGATCACGTTGCATCAAATTAACCGCATTGCGTTCTCAAAGTTATCAGCTGCAAAGCGCCGTGGGCAACCGGGAGTTGATTTATACCGCTACCAAGCGGTAGGGCTGGGAGAGGAATGGATTCGCCCTCCCGCCTGATGGATGGGTTGGACGAGGCGGATGAAGTAAGGGATAGGCGCCGGTCGGATAGACGGGCGGTTTGCCTTGGCTTTAATAACGAAGGGGACCTTGCGGATGGATGGAGTCTGCTTCCCTGGCCGGAGCATCGGCAGCGAATTCTATCACGCAGTTTTCACCATTCGGTGTCCGTTGTGTTTGGATCGTGTGTGATGTACCCCCTTGTATGGTGTTGGTAGATGGGGAATTTGAGATGAGGAGGATTACTGTGGTCTCGCGGGGTGTACCATGGAGTTTTACGTGTGCCGATACAGTGGTGCATTGCTGGCTTTTATAGCACTGTAATAGATACCACGCGGTGGATGGCTGTCTTGAGGAAGTTCTGGTATACGAACACCAGCAGAGCCTTGCATGTGAATGTGAACTGCCCTGGTCTTCTCACCAAAACGAGGAGACGAGGAACGACCAAGCAGTTACTGAGCCCTAACCCCGACATAGTTACCTGATTTTCCTGTCAGGCTGTCGAACAGGGGATTCCCGTCGCTGTAACCAACAGCGCGGCGCAGACGTGGATCGGGTTACAGGTCGTTTGGTTGCGGAGAAGGATCGCAACATGGCAGAGCTGTGTACATGTACTTGCCTTTCTTCCAAGTGCCTGGGCGGACCAGGGCAACCAAGCATCCTGCAGAGTTAGGTACCTAAGGTAACTAAATGCGCCGACCAAACTACCTACCCCTCGACTTAGTTTCATTAAACAATTTCAAGCATAATTCCATCAGTTCCCTGCTTTACTTCCAAGGTTCCATTAGCGGGTGCATACAACAATCTAGTTAACATCATCCTCTCAGCAGAGGAATTGCCTGGTGCCTTGGCTTGAATGCAGGTCGGATTACGGCCGCGATTGAAGGCGCGGCCGTCACTGGTTGAGCTGTTGGTTCGAGCTGGAGGAGGCGGCAGCCAGTCTCCGTCCGACCCGCCGCACGCAGGAACGCCCACTGCATCATCGCCTCCACTCTTCTCGGCGGGCACCGCCCCGGCATCCGACCGCCGGGAGCTTGCTGTTGCCGTCCTTGAGTTGGACCAAGCTGCAAACCTCCCGCTTCCACCGTCGCCCGACACACCACCTCTCTCCGCATCTACCCCGCCATCGCCGACGCACACACCGAACAGCATCCCTACCATCGTCATTAACCACGCTCCTGCATTTGCACCACCGCCGAAACCTACGCCCGCTGCAATTGCCTCGTCGCCCAGCATGGCCCCTGTAAGCTCCCCGCTACCGCCTGCCGCCCGCTCGCTCGCACAACCAACGTCTAAAACTTGTCGGCTCACGACTCGACTTGGACCCAACACGCTGACACGGGCATCGTAACAGTCTCAGACGGACGGCGAGAAGGATGGAGTGCACACAGGTATGCCGGACTGCATCTAAAAACCCGGGTTGCTGTTGGTTACGTTACTGATTGCGCAATAGGCAAGATCTACTCGGTCTCCGGGTTCGTCGCAACCAAGCTCCAACTGCGCGCGTTCTGCTCCGTCGATGATGGCTAACAGCATCTCTAGACCCGTCGTCGTTGCCGAGGACATGGCCGGTGTTGCCATGTATGAGTTGGTACGCTTTCGACCCCGCCGCGACTTCGGGAGGGCGCTGGGCTAAACAGTGTGAAACAGGTGAACGTGGGCCACGACAACCTCGTCGGAGAAGTCATTCGGATCAGTGGCGACCAGGCGACCATTCAGGTGTACGAAGAAACAGGTAGGCTGCGTCCCGGCCCCGCCAAACCACCGCCCCTCCCTCCTCCCAGTGCTGACATTTTACAAAACACCAGCCGGCGTTACTGTTGGCGACCCTGTCGTGCGAACTGGCAAGCCCCTCTCTGTCGAGCTCGGCCCCGGCCTTCTGAACAACATCTACGACGGTATCCAACGGCCCCTCGAGAAGATCTCGGAAATGTCCAAGAGCATCTACATCCCCCGAGGCATCGTTGCCCCTGCCCTCGACCGCCAGAAGAAGTGGGACTTTACTCCCACCATGAAGGTCGGCGATCACATCTCAGGCGGCGATGTGTGGGGGACGGTCTACGAGAACTCTTTCATTTCTGTACACAAAGTCCTACTCCCTCCCAGGGCCCGTGGCACCATCACCAGGATTGCCGACAAGGGCAGCTACACCGTCGTGGACAAGATCCTCGAGGTCGAGTTCGACGGCAAGAAGACCGAATATGGCATGATGCAGACCTGGCCCGTGCGAGTACCGCGCCCGACGACCGAGAAGCACTCGGCCGACCAGCCCTTCATTGTCGGCCAGCGCGTTCTCGACGCCCTCTTCCCCTCTGTTCAGGGCGGCACCGTCGCCATCCCTGGCGCTTTCGGCTGCGGCAAGACCGTCATTAGCCAGTCTGTCTCCAAGTTCTCCAACAGTGATGTCATCGTCTACGTTGGGTGGTATGTACCTGCTTTTGTTTTTTGGGCGTTATGGAACGGCATGCTGACGTTGTTATGTAGCGGCGAGCGCGGCAATGAAATGGCTGAAGTCTTGAAGGATTTCCCCGAGCTCACCATCGAGGTCGAGGGCCGCAAGGAGCCCATCATGAAGCGCACCACTCTCATCGCCAACACATCCAACATGCCCGTCGCTGCCCGTGAAGCATCTATCTACACCGGTATTACAGTTGCCGAATACTTCCGCGACCAAGGCATGAACGTGGCCATGATGGCCGACTCGTCTTCCCGTTGGGCCGAAGCCCTGAGAGAACTCTCGGGTCGTCTGGGTGAAATGCCCGCGGATCAAGGTTTCCCGGCCTACCTCGGCGCCAAACTTGCCTCTTTCTACGAGCGCGCCGGCAAGGTCCAGACTCTCGGCAGCCCCGCCCGCCAGGGCAGCGTGAGCATCGTCGGCGCCGTGTCCCCGCCCGGTGGTGATTTCTCCGATCCCGTCACCGCCTCTACGCTCAGTATCGTGCAGGTCTTCTGGGGCTTGGACAAGAAGCTCGCGCAGCGCAAGCACTTCCCGTCCATCAACACGTCGCTCAGCTACAGCAAGTACAGCATGATCCTCGACAAGTGGTACGAGAAGGAGTACCCCGACTTCCCCCGCCTGCGCGACCGCATCCGCCAGCTGCTGTCAGACAGCGAGGAGCTCGACCAGGTGGTGCAGCTGGTCGGCAAGTCGGCCCTCTCGGACCCGGACAAGATCACCCTGGACATGGCGACGCTGCTCAAGGAGGATTTCCTGCAGCAGAACGGCTACTCGGACTACGACCAGTTCTGCCCCATCTGGAAGACCGAGTGGATGATGAAGCTCATGATGGGCTTCCACGACGAGGCCCAGAAGGCCATCGCCCAGGGCCTGAGCTGGTCCAAGGTGCGCGACGCCACCCAGGAGCTGCAGGCCCAGCTGCGCAGCCTCAAGTTCGAGGTGCCCAGCGATGGACAGGACGTCATCTGCAAGAAGGTACGTTTTTTGAATGCCGTTTCCTCATAGCTGAAACCCGATGCTGACAGACGTAAAATAGTACGAGGCGATACAGCAGGCCATGCTGGACAAGTTCGCCGCTGTTGTGGATGAGTAAAGATAGTAGGCTAGTCAGAGTATAGTACAGTGTTTTGTAGGGGAGACGGGGGATCTGGATCTGGATGCGTGCTGTGCATAGCGTGTCTTGTCTGGCGGTTTGTTTGTGGTGGCAATGAATTCAAATTGTTTGTTGTCTTCTCGGCTTTCCTTCACTGGGCCCGGCTGGAACCGTCCGCACACTCGGAATGGGATCAATACATAGAGCTTCACAGGCATCTCCCGCTTGTGAATAGGTAGGGGAATGTTTCCTACGGTTGGTTGGTTAGTTGGTTGGCTTATGCGATGAATCGACCATGATATATCATCCCAACATCCCCTGTGACTACCAAGCGCAATATAATTTCTGGTGCTATTTGCGACGTCTCTCATTCATACATTCATCTAGTTAGTCATTACCATATCATTACTCCTGACCCGTCCACGGAAAAGCTCCTCGACACCACCACCTGCCCAACCCAACCTTTCTTCCGGCCAAGGGCGGCGACACCCATAACCACCGTTTGTATAGTATAAACCCCCGTTTCGTTTCATCCCTCATTAATAGGTAATCCAACAACGCTTGACCATCAGCAGCACCAATCCAACGGTGCGGGGGAAAGATATCACCCCCGCAATCAACCACCCCTACTGCCTGCCTACACAGCAGACGCGGGTACCGTGTATAGAACAGAGCGGAGATAAAAAAGAATAATAAAAAATAACCGCAGACGCGAAAACGGTTGTCCACTCTTCAAACCGCCCTCTCCCCAGCCTCACCCGCACCCGCCGTAGCCGCCGGCTTCACCTCAGCCTCGGCGGGCGCCACCAGGCTGCGCTCCCACTCCTTCATGAAGTCGGACGCGGTGCGCTTGAGGTTGCTGGGCGCGAGCTTGTTCATGAGCATCTGGGGGAGCAGGTCCTCGAGCTTGTTGTTGTTATGATGCGGGCCAGATGGTGTCGCGGGCGCCTCGTCCAGCGCCGCCTCGGTCGCGGCCGCCGACAGGGTTGGGGACGGCGGGCCGGCGGCGCGGGGTCGGGAGGCCTGTTGGTTCCTGCTGTGTGGTTCTCCCCTGTTAATGGCTGGGTTCTTCTGTGTGGTGCGAGGGGGGTTGGTGGTGATGATGGTGGTGGTGGTGGTTGGGGGAGGGACTTACAGAGGCGTGTTCTCGCCCTCGTCGTCGGCGCGCTTCTCGGGGATGGTGGGGATGATGTCCCCGTTGGCGGTGGTGCCGCTCCAGCGGGGGGACTGCGTGCTGGGGCTGTCCCAGTTGGACCAGTCGTTGTCGTCGTACGCGTCCATGGTCAGGGGGGTCCAGGAAAAGCGCTTGGTGCCGCGCGCGCCGGCGTCCGTCTTGGAGCGGCGGAGCGTGGTGGGCCGCGGGGGTCCGTTGTCGTTCTGGTCGCCGTCTTCTTCCTCTGGGCCTTCTCCCGCTTGGTTAGATGCTTCGTTGAAGGCGGATGGAATGCGCGGCCGCGGGTTGCCCGACGCCCGGATGGTATCCTGATCGCCGGCGTTATTGGGGTTCCTTACGGTGGCCGACCTCATGTTGCCGTCCATGTTCCGCATGTTCCCCCCTTGGTGGCCGGTGATGGGCTCCTCGCCCACCGTTGCCTGCCGCAGGTCCTCCATAAAGGTCCAGAGCCCCGACTTAAGGTCCTCTGCGAGTTGCTTCACCGCGGCGGTTTGTGTGGGCCGCGCTGCCCAGGTCGCGCGCTTAGACGGCAGACTGAATGGTTCAGCCGCCAAGCGGTGGTCCAAGTCAAACTTTGCGCTCTCGGGCTCCTCGTCACTTGCGGAAAAGGAGCTTGTCGGCCTCGTAGGAGACAACAGCGACAGGGTTCGCGCGTGTCTTCCGTTAAACACACGTCGCCGACTCCTCTCCGGCGTGGATTGCTGACTCTGCTGACCGAGTAGCGCCTTCCTCCTATCAATCTCGGCGCTGCGCCGGACTGCGGTTTCATCCTGCATCTCGGCGGCCGGTCCGAGACCGGCGATGGGCTCCGGGTTTCGCCGCCCGGTCTTCTTCTTCTTGTAAGCCTCGTGGGTCGCCCATTGCTTTTTGAGTTTTGTAAGCTCCGACTCGGCACGGCTAAGCTCTTCCCTCAGTTCCATCACGTGTCGTTCCTGCGCCGCTATCGCAGTAATGAAATCGGTTGAGTCAACAGGGGACATTAGGGAAGGAGTGTCGAGCGGTGTTGGGGGGAAAGCGGGAGTGGTGGTAGAGGCCGGCGTCGGCCGTAAAGGCAGGGCCGTGGGGGGCATGATAGGCAAGGTGAGGGACAATCTGTTCGTGCTCCTCGAAGTTGTTGAGGCGGATCGTGCCGAACGAGTCTCGATCAGATCGCCCATGTGCGAAGGGGGGGGCGAGATAGGGTCATCTGGGAAGCGCCGCGGTTTGGTGTCGTCACGGCTCCCTCCACGGCTCGGGTGGCGGCTCGCTTCAGGAGTCGAGATCCCGTTCCGCATATTCTCGTCCATGGACCGCTGGAGTAACACCATCTCATCCATATTTTTGGGAGATGCCGGCTTGGGAGATTCCGGGTTTGGGGATTCTGGGTTACGGTGAGCGACTTCGGCTCGCTTCGTGGACTGCTTCGGTTGTTTAAAGGAGTGTGTGGGTTTGCGCAGAGGTCTTCGTCGGCGGCCTGGCCTGGCGGCGGGGGTGGCAAGAGAATGTCGGGAGAAGCGGTGAGGGATAGGGGGAGCGTGGAGGCGGGTCGTTCTTCTGGCGTCGACGGCAGCCTTGTGGAGGTTCAACGAGTTGGTGTCGCGTGTGTTAAAAAGAGTGTTGGCGCAAGCCGAGACGAAGCAGGTCCGCAGCAGAGAGGTCATGGAAAAGTAATGGAAGCAAGCTTAGACCAGGACGGTGACGGGTGGAAACCTCATCTCGCCCGATTCATGCAGCCCTTGTTTTTGATTGGCGAATGCGCCCCTGACCGCTCACCGCGCTGGGGGTGTTTTCCGGGGGTTAAAGGAGGCTTGCTGGATTCGATCCCTGACTTGCGTGGGTCTCAAGCAAAAGGTCCCGCTCTTGCTGTCGTTCTGCAGTTTCGTTTCCTTGTCAGCGGGCTTGCGCGAGGCGTGGAGGCCTGCTCGTCGGCGTTGCGCTCCTGGATCAGGACAAAGCAAAACCAGCGACCGGGGAATGCCGTTGAACAGGCGACTGCAACGTCAGTGCCCGGGATTCAAGGGTCGAGAACCTGTCGCAATTTCGAGAAACGGTCCCAAAGTTAATGGCAATGGTGCGTGCGCACTTCTTGCGTCAACTCTGAAAGAATGCGATTCAAGAAAGCGACAGATGGAGGTTGGGGATTATGTCGGGGGAGGCATGTACGAAGTAGGAGATGTCGCATAGAGATCCCAGAGAGGTCAGGCGGGGAGGAGGCTGGGCGGGGGGACGTCGAGTTAAAAGACTCGAAAGACTTGCAAGTGTGCTGACCCTCATTTTACCTGCATCTGCGTGCCACGACCATCCGCAGGGGCCACCAAAACGGACGAGAACTGGGTCAAAAAGGAGGAGACGGCCCACAAGCACGAGGTGTCTCAGTCTTTCTTTTGAAAGCAGTTACATCTGTAAAGTCATTACATGCAGTGCCTCTTGACTCTGAATGCACTCGGGAGACCATATTGGCCTGAATGGGATATTCTTCCCTCCAATGCCATTCACGGGTCTTCCCGTTGAATTTTGTCCGGTTTGTTGGGATTGTTGCGGTTCATCCGAAATTTGAGTTGTTTCGTTTCCTTGTGTTCCCCACACTTCACTGCCCCTGCAGATCATCCCGTGTCTTTCCTCGCAAGCCCGGATCTTGGATTCAAGTGAATCGGCACGTGACAACGCGCAGCACTCGCGCCTGCCACAAGGGTGTGCGAGGGACCGTGCAACATACGAACAGGCTGCTCCCGCCTTCCTCACTCTCAAATGAACAATTCCCTGTGGATTTCATTGGTTTCTGCACAAACTCGAAACAGTCTTTCGGTTGTGAACCTGGCGGCCAATAAAGCCGCCAGGCATCGACGGCCAACTGCAGGGCAATCGAAAAAGCAAATGCCATCAAGATGCAGTCCAAAACCCTCCGCCAAGCAGAGAAAAGAGCGATCGAAGGGGCCAATGAGTCGCAAGACACCCTGCTGCTCGCGCATCACCTCATGCTCGATTTTGGTGTCGGCCTGGTGAGTGGCGTTCACAACCCCTCCACCTTGCCGTCAGCTTCCAAGGGATGTGGCCAATCTGACTTTCCGGGCACTGTTCAGCGGAGCAGCTCACCAACAGCAGGGGATATCATGTCCCTCCCTTCTCCCAATCGAAGCCGGCCACCAAGTGACAAAGCCAGCAGAAGTTGTAAGTGGATGATCAATCGATGGAAGTCGATTCTTCCAGCTGCTGACTCTGGCATCTTGGTTTAGCGCACGACGACCAATTCGCGGGTACAGAAGAGGTGAGTTTCGCACGGCCAAACCAAACCGGATTCAACCCCTGCTTCACCCAAGGGTTGCACTGACCAGCCTGACCAGACGCGGGGTACGCGTTTCGGGGACACCGAGGAAAGCCAACAGTCGTCAATCCCAGAAACTCAGGACATTGGCATTGTACGAGACGAACGACCACCGGATGGGCTAGATCAGGATGTGGCTGCTGGAGATGGTGTTGTGGGCGATTTGAATCTGCCAGACACTCTCCCCCTTTCGGCCGAAATTGATAGCTCCTCGCGGAGGAGGAGGAAGATGGAGTCGACTCAGGCATCCACGCAGTCAAATGCCGGTCGAAGCTATGACCAGTATTGCCGCCCTCTCTCGCCAGACCACACATCGCAAACCGCCGGACCTCCCAGGAGCAGCTCCCCCGGTTGCCGCGAGATCGACGATGATGGCATCGCGGACGGGCTCGACCTCCCCGATGGTGCGGCCACCACCAAGACCGTTCTCCCAGACCAGGACGATTCCGGCTTCGTGGACTTTGGTGATGTCGCCCGTTTTCGCCACGGAGCCTCTCAGAAGACGGTCCTATCTCCGACCCAGCACTTGCCGGAAACCCCTACTCCTCCTCAGAACCCCTTCCGCCATAGCCGATCCGAACTTCTCCCGACGTCGCAGATGTTCCGAGGCACACAGTTTTCGTCCCCGGTGAAACTTGCCAGCCCTACCTCATCCAGACCCTCGCCGGCTGATTTCCCCGGCAACTCGATATCTCCCAATCCGATCATCTCGTCTCCTCTCAAGGCGCGTGGTCTCCGCTCTTCACCCGCCGTGGCCATAACGTCAAGCCCAGTGGTTCTGCCGGGGACCACATCGCCAAGGCCGGATGACAGAGCGAGTAGTCCTGTTAATACCGCGTCAACCGAGAATCCCGTTGTTCCGGAATCCTCCCACGATAGGCCCGTCCGGAAGAGGTCATGCCCCGAGCCCATGACCTCCTATGAGCCAATGCACAAGTCTCAAGAACGGCGCTCAACTTCCGAAGTACGGACCGATCCCGTTAGTTCTGGGGATGAACAAGACTCGCATGACTCGATAACGAGGCGGAGAAAAGCAAAGCACAAAAAAGATGCAGCCTTGAGGCAGCTGACCGCTATCAGCTTCCCGCGCCCGCTCAAGTCCGATGACGTCGAGGTACCTTCAACGAGCCAGCGCAAACGGACGAGTCAAGCAGAGCCTTGTATCGCTAAGTGCTACGACCAAGGCCCGGTTCCTGATGACCCGGAAGGTTCAAGTGCCGTGAAGGAAGGCCAGGACCATCGTCCGCTGCCCGTTCAGCATCACCCCGTGGAGGATGAAGACTCAACACAGTCTGACGTGGAAGAGGAGCTTATTCCTACCGTGGGCCCGACGCCAAACGTACTACCTGAGCTTCCACGGCCGCCAGCGAAGTCGGCAACCAAAACCATTCCAAATACCGACTTGGAGACCATGTCTAGCGTAGACGCCATCCCGGAGACAAGCCAAACTAACAAGAACTCCAAGCCGCTCGCAGGGGTGGCTCCATCCATCGAATCCGCTCCTTTGGAGGCGAAATCCACGCCGAATTTTCAGTCTTCTCCTCCGGCGTTTAGCACGAGGTCCCGGAAAGGCAAAAGCTCGAGTGAATATCCACGAGCATCGAGCTCATCCTCAACGCTTAGCAACCTAGCATCGACCCCTCAGCTCCTGTCGAGCGATCGCCCCGGAACTGCCAGCACTGCACCTGCAAGCTCTCCGGCGGAATCTACTATCGTAGCGAGCTCCTCCCCCGCTGTTACCCAAACAAAGCGGCGTGACGCGCGCGGAAGGCTTTCGTCTCTCAAAACAGGCTCAACCGAGAGTCTTAGACAGTCGGCGAGGATGAGTCGGCGAGGTTCTAACTCGACCGATGAGCTTGCCCGATCTGTGCCCGGGACGCCTACCTTCGAGCAAAGTTTGCGGATTTCCCGGCTTTCAATGTCTAGGTCAACCTCCAGGTCAGGACGCGGCGCCATGAAACCCCCACCAACTCAACGTGGCCAAAGACCGTTTGAGAACATGGCCTTCGCAATCTCCTTCCAGTCGAGGAAGTCTGGCGAGAGCAATGACCAGTATCGCTCCCGGATGGACTTCTCAGCCATGGTCCAAAAACGAATCAAGCAGGCTGGTGGTAGAATTCTTGAGAATGGCTTCGACGAACTCTTCGAGGTTTTGCCCATGGGGACGCCATCTAGTAGCCCCACCTCGACATCAGGTGCGGAGGCGGAGATCAGTCTCACCCTCGAAGGCCGCACCACAGGGTTCACGGCGTTGATTGCGGACGGGCACTCGCGCAAGGTCAAATACATGCAGGCCCTAGCGCTCGGCTTGCCGTGTATCGCGGCCCGCTGGGTGACCGCCTGTCTCGAGAGGAACGAGCTGGTCGACTGGACGCCCTACCTCCTCTGCGCCGGCCAGTCGGCCTTCCTCGGCGATGCTATCCGATCCAGGACCCTCTCACCGTACCGTGCCTCGACGGCCAAGCTGGCCGGCGTCATTGACCAGCGCGAGAAACTGCTCGAGGGAAGCAGGATCCTCGCTGTCGTGAAGAAGGCGCTAGAGGGGAAGAAGATGGCTTACGTCTTCCTTGCGCGGGTGTTGGGCGCGTCGCTGACGCGGGTTTATAGTGTTGACGAGGCGAAGGCGGAGATGAGGGCCGCTGAGGACGCGGCGCAGCCCTTTGACTGGGTGTATGTGGATGGCAAGCCGGATGAGGAGGCCCTGTTTGCCACGGCCCCAATAGGGGGAAAGAAGAGAAAGCGGGCTTCCACGGCGAGCTTCGCTGCACAACCTCCCGTGAAGAGGGTGCGGACGCTGAGTGATGAGCTGGTCATCCAAAGCTTGATTTTGGGGCGGCTTATTGAAGAGGGGGAAATGGAGGGTTGAGTCTGGCCGTTTTTGAGGGTTTGGTATTATGAGCACGGGATATGGAGTTTGGGACTTTGGGCTTAGCGGTTACGATGTAGACGGACGGGCATCGCCATGTATGAGTAAAGTGACATGATAGGGAGGAATTTGGAGGGTTACGGAGACCGGCGGGCGTCTTGGAATAGTGCTTGTATTCATGGGCACGCATGCATTTATACCAGAACTCTGAACCGAGTCTGCCGGCTAATGAGATTCGTTTCAAGAGCCCACAACACAAAAATGCCAGAATCAGGTGCCCCCATGGCCAGCAATGCTTACGGTACCGGACGGACCGGCCCCCATATTCACGAACTGCGTGTCATGAGGCAGGAGATGAGTAAGACTTGATGTAGAAGTTGAGGCTGTGATACTACACAAAGTTCAACTGCCTGGTGAAATGATAGCTTTCGCAATAACTACCTTACCTATATATCCTAATTTCGAGTACTGGGTACATGGAATAAGCATGAAATAGAGGGATCCTTAGCAATATACTTGCGTTTCAATTTAGGGATACGTAATCCAATCCCCGCATTATAGATTTCTCAAAACACGAACAGGTGTACGGTTAAGCTTTTATATGTACGGAATGCGGGTTGGACGAAGAGCCGTCTTTGATGAGACCGAATAAACGCCCATGGGAAATAATGCATCCCATCGATACGTTGTAGTGCTTGCGAGCAGCACTCGTGTTACAGGCAACCAACAGGGCATCGCGAAGGCCGACGACAACAGTCAGACAAGACTGGTCCTTGAGCGGCTTCGGGGATCGGGCTATGTACCGTGCTAGGGGTAATTGTTGGTAGCGTTGACTTGCGTAGACCATCGAATTTCATATTGGAACCTTTAACAGGCGTCCCCCTTCTTTAAATCGGGTTTGAGGGTTAAGACATGTTGTTCTAAAATCCCTAAAGCTTCGCAAGAGCCATTATCACTACGCCTGGTATACGGCATTTATGACTTAAATTAGAAACGTGGAATACAGACAACAACAGCGCTCCGGCTGGGTCCTCCATGCCAAACCACACGACAGCGAGCCCAATGCTCCCGTCTCGGTAATATGTCCTTCCCCTTTCCGTCCCCCCACAGGAAAATGTATCCTCAAATGCAGTCTCCTAGCCCCGTTCCCTGTACCTATTCTTGGCAATTCAAGGTTCCGCAGCGATGTTGCCCATCTGTGCTGCTTCTTCAAGTACAAAAGGAAAACATAATGAGAGGCGAGCCTCGAAGCATTCGCTAAGCCCTTCCGGGGGCTGGCAGTGATGCCGCAGGTCAGTGTATCTGACCCGATTGAACTGTCAATGTGACTCGAATTGGAAGTGTTCCTCCTCGCCGATGTGGTGTACCACTCCAGGGCGGTCGGGTGTATTATGGTTATCTTGTAACCCGCACACGTTGCTCTGATACCTGGTGGCCAAGCGGTCCTCAACAGGACTGGTAAATCAGCAGCGGCTCGCCGACATTGGTGATTTCAGGGATGGTGCATTTCAGGTCGAACGCCTTGGAGAGCACAATCTTGAAGATCTGTAGATGGTCAGACATTATCCAGAAACACAATCTAATCGCGATCGGCATACCTTCTGGACGTTGATGCTGTGGCTGGTGCTGCTGAAGATCAATGCCGCGCGCATTGCCTTTGCGAAACGCCGAGCCTGCCACACCGTTAGCCAACCATGAAATTAGGGCGACCTTGGCCGTCCTCCCACAAGTCGTACCTGGTTCGAGATCTCCTCCTGCTCTTCGCGCGACAGGTTCACAAAGTGGTCGTACTTTGTCCCTACAAGCACGGGGATGGCGGTCTTGTTGAAGCCGCGCCCCTGACGATACCACTCTTTGATGCTGTTCAGGGTGCTCTTCCGTGTCAGGTCGAACATGAATAGGATCGCCACAGCATCGTTGCACACCAGCGGTAGCATGTTAACGAACTCGCGCTGGCCGCCCAAATCCCAGATGCTGAAGGTGATCTCGGTGTTCCGGATGCTGATTGTCTTCTCCATGAAGTTCACACCCAGAGTCTGGATGTAGTCCTCGTCCCAGCTCCCCTCGACGTATTTGACCATCAGACTTGTCTTGCCAATCTGAGCATCGCCCACCATGCCGACCTTGATCACGACGTGGTTTCGCCCGGGGGTCTGCGACGACTCGGCCTGCGCTCCATTGCTGCCCGCCCTTGACACCTGATCTGCTCCGTAGGCTGCGCCCTGCCCGGAAAGGCCGGATGGGGGCCGGGATATCGCAGGGGCGGAAATCGGCGGGGTTGCGTACCGGGCGGTCGGCTCGCTGTCTGTGTTGTCGGTCGGGTAGGGGGACCGTGGTGAGTTGCTCACGCTGTGGTCGAGGGGCTGTAATTGAACGAGGTGCTGCTGCTGCTCGTGGAAGCCGTTGTGGTCGTGGATATTATGGTCTGGTAATGCTTGGTGGGTGACGCCCTCGACGCCGCTAAGAGTATCGTCGTGCGGATCGGTCGGCAAACCGATCGGGGACTGAATCGGGGCCGGGGCGAAAGCCGGATCGGGGGCCACAACATAGGCCGCCGGGCTTATGGCCTGCTCCTGCTCCATGGTGTCCACACTGGGGTGAAACTGGGCTGGAGCGCCCGTTGCGAAGTTTGAGGAATCCAGGGTGAAGGTTGAACGGGGCGCCGTGGGATAGGAGAGGCGAGAGTCGGCGCGGTGGGCTGTGCCTCGAAATGCGCCGGGATAGAGTGTAGAGGAGGGGAGCTTCGGATGACCTTCGACTGATGTGGAGGACGAGGGAGGTTGTTCCTGGGCGGTGTGATTGTTGGGCTAACCAGATAACGACCTCGTGGAAGCTGGTGGAGGGGTGATGCCAGCTGAGTCCTGCTCGTTTCCGAATAAGCGTAATATGCGATCGGAGTGGGGAGCTGGGTCGGGTTGATGGGCCTCCTCCTATCCAGGTACTTCCTGGCCTCTCCCGTCTGTGTCTCTGTTTGTCTCTCCCGCCAGTTGCTGGATCGCTCTACCACCTAGTCCAGGTAGGACTACGAGACACTCAGTGCGCCCTGGGGGGCCTTTCAGATGTGGGGATGGCCTTCGGGAAATAAAATGCTAGAAATTGGGCCCTGGGACGAGTTGTGGTGTTTTGAAGTGGGAAATTGTAGAGAGCAGGCGGGAGGGAGGGAACCTGATCGAAACCGCTGCACGGGCAGTCAGTGGGTAGCCTGAACCCACAGTATCCCACACTGCCTGGAGTTGGCGCCACAACAGGGGACGGAATAGGGAGGGATGACATTCATAAAGTGTCTTAGATGCAAACCAAACCTCGACCGTACATAGTAGGAACGAAACGAAAGTCACTCGGTAATTTTTTAGCGATATGTTTTTGGTTTACTCCATCTATTCGATTTGGTTTGCTTTGCTCGGTTTGTTTTATTTGTTTCCCTGTGAGTCCGACTTTTTTGGCGAGAAGGCCGACTGCGGCAGCCACAACCTAGACGCTGCTGGGCGGAAACCGCTCCAAGCGTTTGCATTAATTGAATGCAGCACACACCACCCGACGCGCTTTCATGCAGGACGCGACGCGAGTTGATCAACGTTCCAGAAGGCAAGAGAGAAACAATGCAGCCCCGCTTGGATAATTTTAGGAGAAAGAGTATGGTGGGGGATATGGGAGGACAGACGTGGTCGGCCGAAAAGAAAACAAACCACTGTTGGGGGGTGCTGTGTCAGGTAAACAAATGAAGCCAAAAAGAGAAATATGTTTCTCTGGGTGCTTGCAGCCGCGATGACTGGAGCAGCCTATTGCACGCCTTGCTTTTTGAGATTGCCCTCTCCGCGGCCGTGTCCAATCTTTCCGTGAGCGCGGGGTCGTCCCCCCTCGAAGGAAGTTGTTGACATCGGGTTGGCCACCAGGTTGATCGGGGCCCAGAACCAAGCAGCCGAGAATCCCATTATGTAAGCTCGGCAGCTCGGCCCCCTGCTCGAGCTGTGAGTGGTTGGCAGCTGGGTCTGGCCGGCGATTGCCGGCTCTGCGATTCGGTGCGCCAACCCCAATCGGCGTCATACGATTTATCTCCTGCGAAATCGCCAGAACCTGCGTCAAGCGCATTCGCAGCTCTCAGCCTCTCAACAACCACCCCATATCTTCCGCAATGGCTTCAATTACCCGGTGCTTGAGGGCCGCCCGGCCCGCGGCTTTCTCTGCCGTTGCTAGAGCCTCCGTCTCTCGCACTATCGGCGTCCGCGCCTTTTCCGTGACGGCTGCGAGTGAGAGGCCCTAGATAAACCATTGATGCAACACTGCTAACCTCAACCCCGCCCCGACTTTAGATGCGATAAAAAGGTACACCAAGGAGCACGAGTGGATCGACATCTCGGCAGACAAGAAAACGGGTGTCCTGGGCATTAGCGAATACGCCGCTAAGCAGCTGGGCGATATCGTATACGTCGAGCTGCCGGAAGAGGGCAAGGAGGTGGCCGCCGGTGATGCCGTTGGTGCCGTCGAGTCCGTCAAGAGTGCAGCCGACATCAACGCCCCAGTTTCGTGCAAGATCACCCAAGTCAACCTGTTGTTGGAGGAGAAGCCGGGCACCATCAACCAGGTCGCCGAGGACGACTCGCACGGCGGCGGTTGGATCGCCAAGGTCCAACTCACTGAGGAGGGCCTCAAGGACTTTGAGAAGATGATGGACGTCACCGCGTACGAAGAGTTCACTGCCGAGGAAGGGGACCACTAAGGCGTTTCGGTACGGAGTAGTGTGGGCTATTGGGGGCATCCCGGAGGAGGATGGGCTAGGGAAGCCATAGGAGCATCATTTTTTTTTCGGACAGTTCAACCTGATAGATGCAGGGGCCTAAAAGGATTTGTACCATAACGGCCGTTGGGACAATTGGTGTTTGGTTTCACACATCTGAATTCGAACAGGCGTTCAACAGGGAGCGAGACAGACCCGCGACGCAGTCTCGGAAAGGAGCTTTCAACGGCTGGGTATATGAGCAAATTACGACCCGGGAGCTAGCAAGCAAAGAGATAATGAAACATGGAAAGCGAGCACAATTTATTCGCCAATATAGTACACATCTACTTTTATGCGCCACCAACCTTTACCGCATCCCCGGAATCCCGCCCCTTGTTGATGTCGTCTAGTATCTGCTGTGCTCCCATCCCGGCCAGCTCTTGCGCCAGCTCCTTGCCCATAGCCTCTGCTTGCTCCAGACTGGTAACTTCTTGTACCTTCTCGCCATCCACAGCCCGGCTTCCATCCAGGCTCACCACCACCGCCCGTAGCTGCAGCTTCTTCTTCTTCTCGCCAGCCTCCTCCTCTTCCACCCACGCCGTCTCCACCCCAATCGGCACGCTGCACCCTCCCTCCAACGTCCTCATGACGCTCCGCTCCGCAAAGCACGCGATCATGGTGGACGTGTGCTCCACGGCCTTCAACAGCTCCTTCATCTGCTCGTCATCCTCCCGCACCTCCAACCCCAGCGCACCCTGGCCAACGGCATGGAGCAGGCCACCCCCTTCCGTGGTCGAGTCCAGGTACTGCGCAATCCTCGCCCCGAGATCCAGCCTCAACAACCCCGCGGCCGCAAGGATGATGGCATCGAACCCGTCCTCATCGCACTTCCTCAACCGCGTCTCGATGTTCCCCCGCACATCCCGGAACACCAGCCCCGGATAGCGCCTCTTCAGCTGCGCGGCGCGGCGCACACTACTCGTACCCACAACCGCGCCCTCAGGAAGATCCACCAGCTTCTTATACCTTCCCGTCTCCGCGCGGGCCTTGCTAAAAATAACCACGTCGCGGGGGTCCTCGCGGGCGAGGACGCAGCGCAGGACACACCCTTCGGGAAGCGAGGTGGGCATGTCCTTGAGGGAGTGGACGATGACGTCGACCTCGCGGGCGACCAGCTTGGCCTCGAGCTCCGACGTCCACAGGCCCTTGCCCATCTCGGGCAGGGGCGTCGTCTTGTCGCGGTCGCCCATCGTCGCCATCGCGTGCACCTCGAAGGTGACGTGCGGGTGCGCGCTCTGCAGCGCCGCGATCACCAGCTCCGTCTGCCGCAGCGCCAGCGCCGACCGCCGCGTGCCGATCTTGATGGTGGGGGCGGTGGCGGCCATCTTTTTTTTTTTGGTTTGGTCGGCGGATGGATGGGGGTGGTGGGGGGGGGGGGCGAGGTGGGTTGTGTTGGGGGGTTGTGTTCGGCCGGGATTGGAGATGTACCCGTGAAGAACGGTGAAGCTGGCAGAAATCCGTGGTTGATTTAGGTGGTTTCTTGAAGTTGAAATCACGATGGGTTCGGGAATGGGGAAGGTACCGGATCACCGCGGGGCAGACTTTTATTTCAGGGTCGAGGCGGAACGCGGGGGCGGGGTATAACGTTTGGTCCGCAGGGACCTGTTTACCAAATACGTTCCTGCAGCGAACATCCTAGGGATGGAAGGAGCGGATATACCATAAACTCTCAGGGGTTATTAGGCCCGATAATACGGCTTATGATCTGGAAATCGGAAAAGCCATCGCTTCCGAAGTGTACATACCTATAATGCTCGACGCAAACGGCGATGGACATCGGTTTGGTCCTCTACCCTCCACTTGCAAAGTACACAGTATCAAATATCAAAAAGCCCGCCAAGATCACCGATGGTTTTCTTTTCAAGGGACTTCGACTAAGCGACCAAGGGAGAAAGAGTAACCTGTTGACCAATCTGATACATTAACGGCAATCGCTTGAAATATCAACTAAATAAATTGTTTGCCGTGTTCTTTTCCCCCCTTTCCAGGAAATACTCTGATTCCCTCACGGTTTTGGCCTTCTTACTTCTCTGTGGGATCAACCCGTTGCGAAGGTTGCTTGTCAGTTAGCTTTTGGGCTTGCTGTAAGTGAAGTTAGTATCTCCATGAGACCACGCTGGCTAAAATCGCCAACTCACACTTTCCGGAGAGTCGTCCATCTGGGTTTGCGTGCTTTGTGCGGAAGCCGGGCTCGACGAGGCCGCCTCCCCCTCAGACTCGCTGCTGCTGCTGCTCGCGCTGTCCAGGATGGGGCTAACCGTCTTTTGAATACCCTCTTGAGCCTCCTCAATTTTGGCCTTCGCCACCGATGTGACATTGGCCGCGGACTGGGATACTTTCTCATGGACAGGCTCTTTCTCATGGGCAGGCTCTAAACGTTTCACATATGGTTCTCCATGCCTGGGCTGGGCAGTGCCACCGCTGTTCCGAAGATACAGAAGACCTGGAATCGTGACTGCCACGGCTGCAATCTGCCTGGAAAACGGCCAGATCAGATGTTGTTAGCTTTGATCACAGTAGCCAACCCCTGGAAACAACAAAACACTATCGCGCGCGCAGCCGTTATGAGCTTACCACGGCGTGTCCGGAGATTTCCCAACTCGCTCTTGAAGGCTTGCGTAGCCTCGCCGGCCAACTGGACGTGCCAGCTGCGAGGAGGGGACAAAGTGGTGGCGACTCGCAAACCGAAGACTCGGGCGGATCACCGAAGCTGAATTTCTCATCATGCTTGCAGTTTTCGACGAACCTTCAATTTGGGTCGAGGGCTCTAATCTCCAGAGAGGATGCGGGCGATAATATCAGAATTAAACGATGTTTGGAGGGTAGGTTGACTGAACAAAACGGAACAACGTAATGGAACTGGGTTGGAGACGGATGAGCGGTACGACGAATGGTGACGTAGTTGCCGTAGACGTGGGGTGCGTGGTAGAGGAACAGGCGGAGGGCCAAAGCTCTCATCGAGTCAACCCAAGTATCTCCAGCGCCCGAGACGGCTATTTAAGGACATCATAATATCATCATCTAAACGCAGGTGAGATTGCCGAAGCTAGGTCCTTTTAAAAGTTCTGGGAGTAAGAGCGAAGAAAAAACATCTAATAGAATAAAAAGCGTCACAAAGGCGAGTGACCACAATGGAAACGACCATCAACGGAATCAAGGCTTCGGAGCCACGAGGAAGAGACGACTTGGTTGAATGGGAATTGCAACAAGGCTGGCTGGACACTGCTGTTTAATCCTTCACAGGTTATTTTTGTTTTACCAACAAAAGTTGGGCCGTTTTGGTCCGTACCTTAGTTATTGTTCAAAGGTTCAAATTTTTTAATGTTCAAGTTAAGGTACCTGAGTTCATACCGTGACTACCACAGTCTGTGAATGGCTGGATACGGAGTTGGAATTACACGGGAGGAGCGTTCGATTGCTGATTGGTGTCGTTCAGCATTCGGCCCCACCTTAGCTTTCCGCTGATCGTTATGGAGGCTGCCCCGCCAAACGACTGACACAACGACGGAAGCTGCCTGATCGCTTGGTGGGGGAAATCAACATTTGCCAACCCATCTTCAACGGCCGTTAAGGCGAGAAATATTTCTGACCAAATAACTGCCGGGAACCTTCACAAAGGTCCGCTCCTCTACCCCCGAACCTTCTAAGCCTTTTCTAAATCCCCAACTTTGAGACTCGACAGCTTGGCATCGCGGTGTTCCCCGTTGGTATGTTACTACTTCCCGGGTGAATCGCATTCGCATAGCGCTGACTCGATAGGTTCACGGAATATCCATCGTGGTGAGACTGCGTCTCTAGACACTAGACTGTCGCCCAGCTGAGAGATCCTCGCCGACACCCCGCATCGGTCACGATGGCGTCCACCATCCCGTCGAACCCGACCCCGCAAACGGTCAGCCAGCTGCTCTCCAAGATCACTGATGCCGACCCCGACTTCCGGTTTATGGCCCTCAACGACCTGCTCACGGTATTCAATATTGCGAAACAAGACTTTTTGAACCATGACTACAACACAGCAGCGAGGACGGTCGACCATGTTGTCCGCGCCTTGGACGACCAGAATGGCGAGGTTCAGAATCAGGCGATAAAATGGTAAGGGGCGGCTACGACTTCCCAGGATAATATTGGCGGCGGCAGCGGCTAACAGAGTCGCGCAGCTTAGGCCCGTTGGTTAAGAAGGTCACTCCGCAACTGGTCGCGCCAATGATGGAGAAGCTCTGCAGTTTGAAGCTGAAGAACTCCGTCGACAACTCGATCCCATCCATGGCGATTCGAGCCGTCGTGGAAGCCCTCCCTCGCCCGGTATCCGGCGTAGCCCCATCAAAAGAGGTCAATGAGGCATATACCAGCCTTAGCAGGGTGCTTATACCGCGTTTTCTCGGCCGCGCGAGCTCTACTGGCAAGGCCGCCCCCGGCTTGCTCGATCCCGAGGATCCGAATTCCGATTCCGTCGATGTTCTTATTGAGATGGTCCGGTGCTTCGGTCCCATGCTTCAGTCATTCGAGATTGAAGCTCTCCACAATGCCGTTGTCACAATCCTAGAGAAAGATAAGGGTACCTCGGTTGTCAAGAAGAGGGCAGTTGTTGCCATCTCGATGCTCGCCCACTATCTTCCCGACGACCTCTTGGCTACCTTCATCCAACGTATCACCGGGGTCCTGGGCCAGCCCCAACTGAGCGATTCTACCCGCCGGCTTTACATCACTGTCACCGGCTCCATGGCTCGGTCCATTCCTTACCGATTTGGTCTCCATCTTTCCGATTTGGTACCTCCCGTTCTTCGCGTGCTAAGCGAGGAGGAACTTCAGGCACAGCTCGACGAGATTAGTGAGGGCGAGGAGGCGACCCTCGAGTTCAACGAGGTGCGAGAGGCCGCCCTCGTCGCCTTGGAGGCTTTCTTATCCTCGTGCCCGACTCAAATGCGTATGTTTACGAACGAAGCTATCGACGCCTGTCTCCGATATCTGAAATTTGACCCCAACTATGCGGTTGACGAGGACGAAGAAATGGAAGACGACGAGGAGGAGGAAGAAGACGAGTTCGAGGAGGATGATGAGTTCGAGGCCGCAGGAGGCTTCGATGACGACGACGACTCCAGCTGGAAGGTCCGGCGATGCGCAGCAAAGGGATTACACACAATCATTTCTACCAGGAGCAGCGGAGACCTTCTTGATAGTGGCGTGCTCTACGGCACAGTTGCCCCAGCCCTCGTCAGGAGGTTCGGCGAGCGCGAGGAGAACGTGCGCCTCGAAGTTTTGTCGGGTATGTCGCTGCTTGTCCGAAAGACGGGAGAGGGCGTGCTCCCTTCATTTTCCGTCGACGGTGCTCAGAGCGAATACTTAAACCAGCCACCCGCCAGCCGAAAGCGGAGGCGCCAGAGCAGTGCGGGCGGTCCCTCCTCGTTTGCTCTCTCTCTGGCTCCAGCAGACCTCTCGGGTACTGGCCTTACTTCTCCTACCATGGAAAATGTCCCGGCAACAGGCCCGCGTGCCGACTTGGCCAGCCTCACACCATCCATTGTTAAATCGTTGACGAAGCTGCTTAAGGGGAAGCTTATCCCGACAAAGCAAGCCTGCATCAAGCTACTCGACGACATGGTATGCGTGCAAAAGGGTGGCCTTGAATCATACTTCGGCGAGGTCATCGGCCCTGTCATTGAAGCGATCAAACCGTCGAGCGCTGCGTCAACGACTGCGTCTATGTCGTCCGCTGGTGGCGGCGCATCAGCAACTGCAACTACGTTGAGAATTGCGGCACTTCGCTTGACGAGTGATATCTCCAAGAATCACTCTTCAGCTGTGTTGCAACCCCACCTTTCCAAGATTGTTGCTGGCGTGGTCGCTGTTGCTCATGATCGCTTCTACAAGATATCTGGCGAGGCTATTCAGACCGCCGAGGAGATGATCAAGGCAATCACCCCTCCTCGCTCTCGCATGACTGCTCAAAAGTTTCAAGGCGAACTCCAGAAACTCTACGATGTCGTCATCGGCCGCGCAACGGCCACTGATGCTGATGCAGAGGTCCGACAGAAGGCGATCCATGCTCTCGGTACACTCTTGGCTCGGACAACGGGAGCGGAGGGATCATCGCTTCTCCCAGACGACAAGCGCAAGGCAGCTCTCGCCTGCCTCCTGGAGAGACTCAAGAACGAAACAACTAGGCTGGCTGCTGTGCGCGCCATCGATACTGCTGCTGCAATGTCGGCGGATGCCGTCCAGTTTGAACCGCAGTGGACCCGCCAGGTCATCGTCGAGCTGACATCTCAGTTGCGGAAGTCGAATCGCGCGTTGAGAGGGTCAAGCGTCATGGCGCTGAAGCACCTCGTCTTGTCACCCGCCACTAAAGGCACGCTGGATGAGGAAACTGTGCGGAACGTCGTGGATGCGTTGATCCCCGTTATCAACGTCAACGATGCGCAGCTGCTCGGCCCTGGCCTTCTTGCACTTGCCCGCCTTACGCAGGAGATGTCGGGTATCGTCATAAACCCACAACTCATCGGCGCCCTATGCATGTTGCTCCAGACAAATGTTGTCGGTACGGTTCTCGATTCTTTGTTGGTTCTGGTCACCCAGGCTGGGCAGATGGGGCAGGGCAAGCCCTTGATGGCGGCGTTTCTGAAGGATGTTGGCGTTGGGGGTGATCCCTCCGTCGTTGGCAAGGTGATTGGAACGCTCCTTGTTGCCAGCGGTGATTCAGCCGGAGTCACTCTGGACAGCTTCGTTCGGGAGATAGGCAACGGAGGAGACCAGGCAAGGAGCAGCCTCGCACTGGCTGTCATTGGCGAGGCTGGACTGCGCCTCGGCAGCAGGTTCCCAATCCCGCCGACATTATTCTTGGAGCAATTTACCAATGAGTACGACAAGGTGTCGCTCGCGGCAGCTGTTGCCCTTGGTAGAGCTGGAGCTGGTAACGTCTCGGTTTACCTGCCCGTTATCCTGCAATCGATGAAACAGAGGGGCGGTACGCAATACCTGCTCTTGCAGTCGATCAAGGAGATCCTCCAGCAGGTTGCCCTCTCTTCCACTGAGATTGGCCAATATTCCACCTCGATCTGGGAGCAAATACTTGCTGCTAGCGATACTGAGGACAACAAGGCAGTGTGCGCTGAATGCGTCGGACGCATGGCCATCATTGACCCGAAGACGTATATGCCTAAGCTAGAGGTGAGCAATCCCCGTTTATATTTGCATCGTCACCGTTTTGCTGACCTCCCAATAGTCCTTGTTCAAACATGAATCAGTGGTCCTGAGGGCCATCGCTGTCCAGGCTCTCCGATACACTCTCCCAGACGACAACGAATCGTTTGATGCGTTCCTCAAAAACTCCCTTGTCGATATGCTTAAGACTTCTCTTGGCGACACCGAGATGGAGATTCGTCGCCATGCCATGTCCACGCTGACCTCAGCGGCACACAACAAGCCTGAGTTGATCCTGACGCACCTCAACCAGCTGATGCCGTTCGTTATGAACGAAACGGTGATCAAGCCGGAGCTCATCCGTGAGGTGCAAATGGGTCCCTTCAAGCACATCATCGACGACGGCTTGGAAGTGCGAAAGGTATGTGACTCGTGGCGCTGGTGTTTCTCATCTCTTGCTAACATATTGTAACACTAGGCGGCGTACGAAACTCTCTACGCTCTCGTCGAGACTGCCTTCTCTCGCGTCAGCATCATTGAACTCTATGACCGGATTGTCGCCGGTCTTACCGACGACAACGACATCCGCGCACTCTGTAACCTCATGGTGTCGAAGCTCGTCCATCTTGACGCCGACGAGACGGTCCGCCGGCTCGACTCGATCGCTGTCGGCTTCCGGAAGACGCTGTCTCACAAGCTCAAGGACAACGCGGTCAAGCAGGAGATCGAGAGGCAAGACGAGGCCAATAAGGCGGTCCTGCGTCTTACGCTCCTTCTGGGAGACAAGCTCAACAAGACTGCGCTCAACACGAGCGGTGCCCAAGCTGCGAGCGGTGCGACCGGGTCAAATCAGGTCTGGACCAGCTATTGGGAGTGGGTCAACAGGGACTTTGCGGGCCAGCTCAAGGTCATCCGGGACGAGAGTCGGGCTGCCAATCCCGCCGATGACTGAGGGATACTTCAGGCGGGCTGGCGCTGCCACAATGGTTCCGAGTTCGGATTCGGAACACATTCCCAAGCATGTGGTATTGAGAGGATGAATGGGGCTATTAGTTGGCTTACTCGAGATTCGCCACGGTTCACGCTATATGATGAGAAACTGTGAGGGTTGCGGTTAGTTCAGCAGTCACGAAATAGGCGTTTTGGTTGGATGCGACGAACGAAGGCCTTCATCGATGAAGTTATGAATTGATAGCGTATCTGTAAGCTCGGCGTCTTCATGAACAGTGATGATTATGATATTATGCATTATATGTCCTGGTGGTTCATTTTCCCTTATCCACAACATAAACAACCGAAAAGCGACCCTTCCACACACCCCCCTTCCTACCATATCATTTACACGACGGTTTCTTTTGGATACTTGCGCGCGAACATGCCCAGCGCCTTCATGGGGAAGGTGAACTTGTAGTTGGGGTACGAGATCATGCAGCTCTTGTTGAAGACGCCCTCGATGGCCTCCTGCAGCCACTCGCCGTTGGGCTGCTGCCGCTCCATGAGCAGCTTGATGCCCTTCTCGATGGCCGCCTTGTCCGGGTACTCGGCCTTCATCAGCCCGATCAGCGCCCAGGCCGTCATGACCACCTGGGAGCCCGAGGGGTGCTCGACGTATTCGCCGGTTTCGCAGGCCTGGTTTTGGGGGGGTTAGTTAAACCGAGTCTATCTTAGGGAACGATGGAAGGTCAGGCCGGGGGGGGAAGGGGGGCTTACCTTGTAGTGCTCGGACCAGCCGCCGTCCTCGCGCTGCTTGGAGATGAGGAAGTCGCAGCCGCGCTTGGCGTGGGTGCTGTTGGCGTAGGTCTCGCCGATGCTGGCGAGGCTCTCGAGGGCGAACATGGTGGCGTAGGTGAAGCAGATGCCCCAGCTGCCGTACCAGCCGCCGTGCGGCCGCTGGTTGGTCTTGATCCAGGCGACGGCGCGCTCGACGAAGCGCTCGACCTCGGCCGCGCGGTACGCCGGCCAGTGCTTGTGGAACAGCGACAGCGCCGTCACGACCGCCGTCGTGCACTCCGGGTACTCGTACTCGACCATGATCCGCCCGAACACCTCGGCCGCGTTGAGCATCTCCATCCAGGACCCGGCGCGCGGCGGCTCGTAGGACGAGCAGCTGCCGTTGGGGTTCTGGTAGGTCAGGAGGGTGTCGATGGCGTCGAAGATGCGCTGGTCGTCGATGAGGGTGGGGAAGCCGGGGGTCTTTTGGAGAATGATGACGGATTTGAGGGCTTCCGACACACAATCGCTTACGGCGTAGCCCTGGTCTTTGTTGCTGAATGCCCAGGCGCCCTTACGCTGCTGGCGGTAGCACTTGTCTTGGTCCTTGACGTTTTCACGGATTTGCTGGTCGTCGAGGAACTCGAGCGCTTTCAGCAGCATGGGCCGCCACCGCGGGTCCTCTGTCAGCCCTGCGTCCATGACGGCCTGGATGGCGAATGCAGTGTCCCAGCATTGCACTCCGTTGGTGCCGTTGGCGAGGAGGCCTTCGTCCTTGACCCAGAGAAACTCATCGGATCTTTCCTTGTGTCTCCGCACAGCATAACTATCCGGCCCGTCACGCGCGTAGAGGCAGACAAGGTTCATGGGGCCGGATACCGTGGCCAGGTCCAAGCAGTCCGTGTTGTCGTTCTCCATCTCGATCAGCTTCATAGCCCAGTCTTCGGCCTTTTTGACGATGGGTTTCACTCTAAGGACGGGTGTCCAGACATTGGCAAGAATCCAGTTGAGCATATTCAGCAGCCAGGTTTTGGGGTGATAGTTGTCCCTCGGGTGGATGGTGTTGCGGTGTGCTGCCCAGTCGATCTTGTCCCAGTCCTCTACGAACAGCTCCTTGCGGAGAGAGCGGATTGTGTCGGTTTCTTCGGCCTGCCATCTCTTTGACCATAAGTAGCTCATAGGCAAGTAGACCTGGCGAATGTGAATCCACCACCGCCACGGGGCAAAGGGAACCCAGTCGGGCAACAGCCACAACTCGGGCGGTACGGGATTGACAATGTCCCAATGCGCAATTCCCAAAACGGCCAGCCACCACTTGGCCCAGTGCGGAGCATGGGTTGCTCCCCCGAGCTTGTGTAGTGTGGCGCGGGCTTTCACCATTTTGGGGTGGTCGGCGTCCACCCCGACCAAGCGCAGCACGGTGTAGTTGAGCGACGTTCCGAACACAGAGGTTTCGCCCTCAATGTGCAGGCCCCAGCCGCCATCCTCGGGATGCGCGCGGGCGAACAGGTAGTTCTTGATTTCGGTGGCGTAGTACCAGGGAATCGGCGTTTTCGTCACGTACCACGAGATGACGATGCAGGGCAGGAGAAACATGGGGCCGCCATACTCGCAACCCCAGTGACCGGCGGGGAGCTGGAGTTTTTCGAAGAAATCGAGGCCGTTTCGGACAGTGTCGAGGGGGTTCTTGGGCTTCGGAAGGTCGGGAAGGTCCTGGCGAGGACGAGTGTTAGTGACCATCTATCGACACACAACAGAAGGCTGTATCCCGCACTCACCATGGGCAGACCAAGGAAGTACTTGTCGGCAGTGGTTTGTGGCCAATCCTTTGCCTCCTGCTCGTCCTCCAGATAGCGCCATGTGTGTCTACCCTGATCATCCCGCATACGCCATCGCGAGTAGTCGGTCCTCTCCTCGAGTTCCGGTCGTTGTTTCTTCGTCGCGTGGTCGACGTCACTGGCGTTGCTGAATCGCTTCCGAGTCGAACCCTTCTCTAGAAACGGCTCCGCGTCGGCCGCTGCCACGTTAGTCTTTCGCCTCGCCATTTTTGGTCTCTTCGTCGTTGAGGTGTTTGAACTGTGACCGCAACTCGAAGGGGGCGTCTGGCACTTTTCGTCGTGTTGCTTCTCTCTTTGCCTTCGCATTCGCCAATTAGCTTCGACGCTTCGGGGTAGATCGGCCCACTTCATCTCCCTGTCACATGCAGACCAGCCAATCCCTGCCGGCTGGCGCGGCCCCGCAACCCGCGCAATCCGAAAACTGGGCCGCGCGCCATGAAGGAGCTCTCAAGATCTCGATCGGAAGGAACGACTCTGATGAAAAGATGAAAAATATTTGATGTATGCGGGGGGATTGCCGCCCTCAGTCTTGCCTCACTATAAAATTCCTTGTTTGCTTTTTCGCAGATCGCATCTGCGCCGCGGATTACGCGCCCTGGCGGTTTGATTTGTCTGGTCATTTTTGTCACTTTCCGAATACGGAAATATGTTTTCATTTTCAGGGGCCCAACAGCACGGCAGCATGAACATGACGCAGACCTCTGACGCCCCTGCCAGACACCATCCCTCACTCTCACCAGAGATCGGCTCACGGGCGGTGCAAATTCCCCTCGGTACTCAGACGCCCGCCATCTCCCAAATAGAAGCCTTATTAGAATCAATCGTGGATGCAGTCTGCACTGGCAACGAGCTCGTGATTCCTTATCAAAGCATTCGATCTCCCAATCATGGGGCCAACTCACAGCCGAGACATGGCGAAAGCCGCCCGCTTGACGTCGTAAAATTTCCAGGGCGGACAGTCCAGGAGGCAAAGAGGTTTGGTACGAGCGACGAAGGGAGGCAGACCCTGGTCGTGTTGAGCTTACATTTCGTGTGCCATGCTAGAAGCTCTCTTCCGTATCATTGAGATGTCACACGAAGCGCTCCTCTCTGGAAACTTGATTACGAAAAGGTGAGACTTGCCGTTCGTTTCTTTGACAAGTTGGCCAGAACCGTGACGGTATCTAGAAACATTTACTACCAGAACCCCGACCTGTTTCGGTCGCAGAGCGTGGTGGACGACATGGTGGATAACCTCGCCTTTACTCTGGGAGTTGGCCGCGAGGATTTGAGCATCGTAAGACCCTCGCATCCGCCCCGGGCACTCCACTGTCAACGTATTATTGAATACCTTAGGTTGCTGCAGCGAAGGGCCTGATCTCTGGGCCCATTGACCTCATCCTTCGCGACGGTTCCACCCACAGCTGCGATATCGCGGGTGACACGGTATGTGTTGGGATATAATAATGTTAATTCCCATAATTAACCGCTATAGGGGTCCCTGTTGCCGTCGATCAGTTCCATACAGAAGATTAACTTTCGCGCGACGCGATGGGTCTTGGTCATTGAGAAAGAGGTATAATCACCCCCCGAAAAATGCAGCCTGCTTCGCGGCTTTGCGACTAACGGCATAAGGCGACATTCCGGACGTTGGCTGCTTCCCAGTATTCCACCACTTCTCGGGCGGGACATGGAATCCTTATAACGGTATGGGGAGGCACACCTGCTAAGCCTTGTCCATCACGATGAACAGGACTGTGCTAATTCGTAAATGTGTATGTTTTACATAGGCGAAGGGATTCCCAGATCTAACCACAAGACGTTTCCTATCCGTCTTGAGTACACTCCGGCCCGAGCTGGAGTTGTTTGTCCTGGTTGACTTTGACCCTCACGGGGTTGCCATAATGCGGACATACCGATATGGGAGCCGGCGCTTGGATCACGAGGAGAATGCCACAGCGCCGAAGCTTCGATGGCTGGGCATCATCAGCGACGACATCTTCAACGAGGCCGCGCACGTTCAAGGAACTAGCGACATCGGTCACAGCCAGGCTAGCCAGGGAACGGCCAGCCAAGTGTCCGTGGCCGATTCTTTTGACGGTGAGATCATACTAACCTGCATGTATGGACTTTGGTTGGCTGAGCTGCTGTCTAGGATCGCAGAGTGAGAGGCCAACAAAAAGGGCGAGGACTAACAAGCTGCAAAGACGGGGGCCGAGCGAATCGATTCTTCCTCTCACCCGGCACGACAGGCGGAAAGCCGTTGAAGTAATGAAGGAGGTGTCTGGCGCAGAAAGCATGAGCGATGATGGGGCGGAGCAGATGCGTGAGCTGCAGCGGATGTTGATGCTCAACATCAAGGCTGAGATACAGGCGGTCGACAACTATGGGGACATTTCGGAGTGGCTGGATGGGAAGCTGAGCAAACATGTAGTTTAATATATTCCGGGGTGATCTCGGCTCTCTCTACGTTTCGAGATGACACTAGTGCTACTCGTTCTTGCTCGGGGCCAGGTGTTAGACATTGTTGGAATGTCCGCCCCATGATGCTGGGTGAGACAACCGCGTTATATATAGCCTGCGTGCTCGAGGAAAGGAAAGCTTTCTTACCTAGGTAGGTATGTGAAGGGTCAGGGAGTGGCATTGAGTGTCCCGTTTTGTTGATGCAAGAAGAGTATGATCAATGTTTGTCAGTATTATTCTTACACGTATGCTCATATATGGTAATCATGGAACCTATGATGTTCCTCGCTTCAAGTTGACGAGAATACACAGCAGGCAAGAAAGGCGAGCGGGAGTGAGTAGGGCAATTAGTTATTATAGTACTAAAGATGGGTTCAAGGCCACCCCCTTTTGTTCTAGATACATGAATATATTACTTCTCCGGCGCTAATTTCCATTACCATCCATCCGTGGGACATTATTTCTCCCGTTCTATTGAATTCAAATTCTGCCATGCCTCAGCGGCCCGTGAAATTGCCGGGTGTATTGGTATGCTTTTTGGTTCAAGGGATCTGCGAGCGCGCCCCGTCACGGAGCGCCAGGACACGGCGGTGTGACGACGGTCCCAGGACACGTCCTCAACGTAGTCGCCTTGCAGGTCGTAAAGGAGGGCTCCACGGTCTTGGATCTCGGTGAACGTCTGCTCGGCCTGGGTGCGCAAAGCGTCTCTGGCGGCCCGAAATTGTTGGATACGAGCCTCATCGCCGAGCATCTTCAACAGATAGAGACCCTTGTCGGCTTCTTCAGCGTAACTAGAGAGTTCGCCTTGCTCACACGGATGCGAGACGAAGTTGCGTAAATCCTTGAACTTTAAAAGGGCGGGTTTAAGTTCTGGGGCGAGTGACCACCCTATGGTCGAGTATTCGAACTCGGTCTGTGAGGCCCGGATAAAGAGTGGTGAAGCTTTTGATAGTCGCCTGTGGAACTCGGGATGATGGATCCGCGTATACTCCCAGAGAGCTTCCCTTCCAAGCCTGAACGCGGTCTGGGTGTACTCCAGAGCCGCCATCTCGTCGAAGCAGAACTGGAGATGATCAAATTTATGATCCCGCATCCAGTTATGCTTCCTTTCTTCTCCCTGACATACCGCCCACCAAACCCTCGGGCCATAATAAATGACGGCCGGGTGCTGGAAGGGAAGGGCTGGCTCACTGAGCGGTGGCGGCTCGGGTGACTCGGGTGAGTCGGGTGAGTCGGGGGGCTCGGGACTCATGACGGGATCGATTGTCCCAGACCCGGGGGACTCTTGGAGTTTATAGAGTTTCCCATCGCCGTCGTGCTTATAACACCACCTTTCGCCGTGTATCGTCACGATTCTACCCCCGTGCTGTTGAGATGTTTCGCCGGTGAGCTCTGTCCCCCCCCGCCGTGCTTCGGACGCCATCGTGGACCTCGTGTACGATGGGGTCTTAGGAGAGGCAACGGGGATAGAGGTGCTCGAAGCGTTGTCAGCAGCAACGGGAGTGATCGGGCGGCGAGGATTGCTGCCTACAGAAAGACCTTTAAGCCGAGAAAGGCTAGCTATCTGTCTAGCTTGCCTAGCATTTGCCTTTTCCAGTCGTTTTACCTCCCGCTGTAGCCGCACTATCTGGCTGGTAGTCGTGCCCACAAGCTTCATGGTGAATCTGGGAGCGGGATCTTGAGGGGCACAAACTGTCGGTGGCGGTAGGGGAGAAGAGTAGAGAAGGACCAAAAGAGAAGAGTACCTAGAGAGGGGCTTGGGGGGAGGGGGCGGTAGAAAAGGACTGAACTGGCTTTCGTCCGACCTCGTGAAAAATGGAGCGTGGCAAACATTCTGGGTCAGAATGCCCGCATAGATTCCATCTGTAAAAGAATGTGCATAGTGACGCGTGCTATTTACTGGGTATAAGGTAAGGACTGTCAACCGGACGAAAGATCCGAGCAAGGAAGCGTAGGGGGATGCGGATGGTATGATGACACGAGCACTGGGTATCACATGGGCGAGGTTAGAGTGTTTATGGAAATGAATCTGGTGCTACCAGTGATTGGTTGCGTGGATGTAGGAAAGCCTAGAGGTTTATAATGTTGAGAATAACATGTACGTATCGATGTAATTAGATTGGAACCTATACAAAGATTGCATGCTTCGCACTTAATAGACTAAACAGCAAGTAGGGTAATTAGTTAACCCGGGTGCTGCTAAGTGTAGGTAGTGATCTATCTATTTAAGAGAATAATAAGACGCTGGAAAGACTAAATCAATAATTATAAGCTCATACCTCACATATTCGATGTCTGTTAGAACCCCCTTCAAGCCAGGATACAAAGCATCGCGTATATCCCACACTCGTTTCCAACGATCCTTGTCCCGGAGCCTCATAAGCAGGGGTACAGAGAATCCCGCCTTCAAGAGCCAGGAGTGCCACCAGATTGCGACAGGGGGAGGGCGACAGGTTGATACAGACTGCGAAGGGGTCATGAGGCCCACGATAGGTAGCTGCAGTGGCCTACCAGCTCGGAGGGTATCTGATGTCAAGGGTTGTCACCACGGGCGGCTCGTCTTCCTTCTCGCCGACGGCGTTGATGGTCCCCCACCCCTCGGCGATCCGCAGCACCACGGGGTGTACGGCGTGTGGGTCAACCCGCTGATACTCGGGTAAAAAGAGTAAACGCTTGAACAGGTCGATGTGTGGCGGGTCCCACACGCTGCTTTCCTCGATATGGCCGGCCTGCAACTGTGCCAGAGCCCCGCGTGTCTCGATGTCGGCGGCCATCGTGACGGCTTCTGCACGCAAGGCCTGCCTCGCCTCCCGAAGTTTACCTAGCCGTGCCTCATCGCCAATCCTCAAGATTAGGGCTTCCGCAAGCCGCACAACCTTGTCGTATGCCGCCAGGGCCTCTGGCGGGTCCGGGTGAGCGACGAAGTTGCGGAGTTGCGAGAAGTCCTCGAGCTCGCACTTGATTTCTGGGGCGAGCTTCCAGCCTAGTGTCACTTGATTCAGCTCGCCCCAGCATGCGCGGATGAAGGTCGGTGAGATCGGGGACAGCCTCTCCCACAGCTCCGGATGCCTGGCTTTGGCGTAGTGCCACAACGCCTCCTTTCCGAGATCCAAAGCGAGTCGAGCGTAGTCAAACGCCATGGCGTGGTTTCCAAAGCACAACGCCAGGCCGGGCTCTTCCTTGACCCAGTTCTTGTAGGTGGAACTGTCAGCTGGGGGGGCTGGGCGGGACGTGATCAGTACTGGTGTGTCCGGCTCGGGGGGGCAGGCGGCGTTCTCGTTCTCGTCAAGTGTTGCCGGATCCGGGATTGACTCAGTCCCTTGCAAAGTCTCGAGTAAATTACCCCAGTCATCTCTTGCGGGGGCGCTGAGGAGGCCATCGATGTAGTGATAGGGAAGCCCCTTACAGCCGTACGGACCCCGTACCTGGAATGTATGCCTTGTTGGCGGGGATGGTGGGGCGGTAAGCTTGACCGGGCATGACGCAGAAGGCCCCCTTTGTCTCATGAATGGCCGGAGGCTTGAGGCGGGCAGAGGCCTGGTAGGGGTGTAGGACTTGGGAGTGACGAGAGACTGGTGCTGTGGGTTGCTGCCGCCGGGAAGCCCGTTTAGGTGCTGAAGTGACTTGGTTCGTGCCTTGAGAGCGGCAATTTCCTCGTCCTTCTGCTCGACTGCGCCCTCTAGCTGCTTGATATACTGTTTTTGCTCTTCGATTGTGCGATGGAGAGAGGCAACCTCTCGCGTAAGGGACGTGAGGAGCTTCATTTCGAAAATATGGGAGAGAGGCAACAATCAGGGAGGTTTGGTCATTCAGAAGAGGGCTGAGCCTGCTATTTATAGGGTACGATGGACCTGGGCCTTTGACATGTGGACTGAGGCCTCTAAGGAATGGGGTAAGGAGGTCAGTGCGAGATATCGTGACGTGGTTGGGCATCTTGACCGAGTGCTTGGACATTTTATTTTGTCGAGTGCTTGGACATTTGATGTGGTTGGGTGTCTTGACCTAGTGCTTGGACGTCTGACGTACTTGGGATCTTGACCAAGTGCTTGGACATTTTGTCGAGTGCTTGGACATTTGATATGGTTGGCATCTTAACCTAGGTAGTGCTTGGACATCTAACGTGCTTGGACATCTTGACCGAGTGCGCTATAAACAGTGCCAGATACATATAAAGGAAGGGATAGGTAGTTAAGAAACAAGTAAATGCTATTTAGTATATGTAGGAAGTGTCTTGGATGCAATTAACCTCTACAATACCGCAGTGGTTGTCCTTGGGAACCGGTGCGAAATAAACACTTGAAAGTTGAGCTAAAGCAAACTGAGACGATTGTAATACGCTGTTTTTTAGAAAGTAAACAAGGGTCGTCTGATTGCATATTCCTTTGTGTTCTGGTGCCTCGCAACTCAGGTGTGATATTGGACGGTTCGTCATTAAAAACCCCCAGCCCTGGTCCAAACGCTTTGTCCGTATCAAACGCAGGGAGTATCGTAGCTAATAGACCATTTACAGGCGCCCATGTAAAGCGAATGTTAATAATCGAGGGCATCCATCATTCATATATGTCCATGACGGCACGAGTGGTCTCAAGGGGCAAAGGGGGGTAACAGGGGAGGACGCAACACAATTGCTGGACTCAGTTTACGAACTATAACCACTGACTAAAGTGATTCTTCCCGTCATTACTTAGCAGCTTGTCAGTTCGCTTCAAGCTCCGCCAGTGTTGGTTGGGGTTGGAATACACCACGCCGTCGGAGTCAGGGGTACAGTGCGTATACTAACTCCGTGTAACTCGCACTGTTTGGGCCACAACGACCACCAAAAATTTCAATGGCGGCCGTGATGTCAGTTTCACTCGCGGGTTTGAGCCACACACCCGAAATCAACATCAGATTCCTTTTTTGTCAGTCCTCGCTGCGGACGCCACTGACCAAAAAATGGCGCCCCAATTGAGCGAAGATGAAATCGACGACCTCTTGTATGCCGCGCGGACAGGCGACAAGGATGAGCTGACCACTCTCCTCTCATCGCTGGCCGAGCGGGAAAAGGTGTCACCCGTCGACATTCTCACAAGCGCAAAAGACGAGGGGAAGTCGACTTGCCTGCACATGGCGACAGGGAACGGGCATCTGGGTAAGCCCTCATTCTCTTATCCGAGTCTTATTCTCTCACTCGCTACCCTCACCACAAACCCCCTCACCCCCCCAAGAAAAATCTCAAACCCCCCCCAAAAAAAAAAAAAACTCAACACCCCCTTTCCCACCCAAAATCAACACCCAACCCCAAAACCAACCCAAAACTAAACCCCCCACTAGAAACAGTAACCCACCTCCTAACCTACCTCACCCCGCCGCACCCCCAACCCTCCAAACAAGCCTTCCTCGACGCGGCCAACGCCTACGGCAACACAGGCCTGCACTGGGCAGCCCTGGGCGGACACCTGGGCGTAGTCAAGGCGCTGGTGGAGCAAGGGGCGTCGGTGGCGCTGGCCAACGACAAGAACTACGTGCCGCTGGACCTGGCGGGGTTCGGGGACAAGTTCGAGGTGGTGGATTATTTCTTGAGGCAGAGTGGGGTGCGGGAGGGGGAGGATGTTGAGGGGCTGGCGGGGGGTGTGGAGGGGGTTGGTGTTGGGGGGGATGGGGATGGGGAGGATGGTGAGGGTGGTGAGGGTGGTGAGGACGAGGGGGAGGTGGTGGTGGTGGCGGGGAAGGAGGGGGAAAGGAAGGGGGGTGGTAAGGGGGAGGAGGTTAACGGGGACAAGGCGTGAAAATGATGAGATTTTATGATGACAAAAGGGGCGACGCGGGACTGGTTGTGACTGCCGGTGGTATATATACTGGTTTGTCTGGGCTACCTACTTGCAGCCTCTATCACGGCTGCGTAGGCCGCAGTGCGTACATCCTGACTGGTAAGAGGGCCACCCCCGTGTTTTGCAATCCCTTTTGCAACTCGGTCTGGATGATCCGCAAGCCCGCCGCGCCAAAGCAGCGCCGGAAGGAGTTGTCGTGTCTGTGACGCTGGTTAGAGACGGACGACTGGGAGACCAGCGAAGGAGAGAACACACCTTGTAACGCAGCTGTCGACATGATCAAACATGTCCTCCCCTGCCGTGCTGTTGTTCTCTTTGAATACGATCACGCCTCCGTCTGGGTTCAATGTCGATTTACACCTCTCCAGAAATTGGACTAGCTGCTCGTCGGTCAAGTGGCCGGCACACCACTGTACCCAGATAAGATCGTATTGGACACCGTGGCTCGGCCGCCAGTCCTCGAGGCCCATGGTGAAAATGCTTCTTACCCCCGGTCTGCCTTGCAACTCGGCCGTGAATTTGGCGATGGGCTCAATGACGTCGACATTTTGGGCGATGCCGTCGAGGAGTAGACCCTCGGTGACGCGGCCGATGCTGGGAGAGAGAGTTAGGTTTCTGACTGGGCCACTGACTCGCTGGGTGGTAGCCCTTCCACACTCACCCAGCGCCTCCCTCCAGAGCGCTCGCAACAACCCGTTGGCCGGGCTTGGATCCGATACCGAGCTTGGCTAGGAAGTTCCGCGAGCCCCGAATCTCGACTCTGCTGACGTGAGGAAGCCCCCCAAGCATGGCATCGACGGTGGCATCAACGCTTTCCCAGTATTTCCTCCCGTCATCCCGGTTGATGAGAGAGTCGACGTTTTCAGGTGCCGTATCGTTAGTGGCCATGGTTGTAATCGCTGTAGTGTTTCGGGCTGCTGTTGATTTGAAGGTTCGATTTTTTGAGGGTGCGGTCATGTAACTAGGTAGGTTGGTTCGGAGTTTGGAAGCATGAAACTGGCAGGAGGTAGGTAGCATTGAAGGGAATTTTGCTGCCTGGGAGAGTAGGGTTAGGGTTTAACGTCTCCCTCTCGCCTGGGTGGTTCCTCTATTCATTGCTGCGCCGTAGGACTACCTATATTGCCCATGAACCTGAAGTTCTGACTCAACCCAGTCAATTGCTACTCGCTCGGGGGCGGGAAGTCGTACAACCTCAGCTTCCCGTGATCTAATTCTGGACCAACAAGAATCTGTACTTCATGAGCCGGACGACCGGGGGGGCCATTGATTCGCCCCAGTTAACAAGATAACCAATCCGTTTGTCGTCAGGAGGCTAGAGCCGATTGAAGCGGCAGCGACGGCAAGCCAGGATTTGGCACTGCCGACACTCGTAGATGAAATTCGGTAGGGTGTGGTAGCACTCCTCACACTGGTGGCTGCCGCCACGCGACCTCCAGGACCTGTGCTGGCACTCATGGTTTTCCACCAAGTTGGCCATCTCCCGTTCCACCAGGCCCGCTCGTTGGGCCTGGGGCATCGGTCGAGCCCCGGCATGCCGGTCCACGACGACGTTGGCGCGGTTCAGCAGATGCCTCTCGTCCCACTGATCACACGGACACGTCTTCCAGCGTTCGCCGCAGACATAGCAGAATTGGGCGCTGCAGCGGCAAGCTGGAAGGAGCGGAGAAGGATTCATTGTCAGCACGGTTCATCACTAATAACACCGCAGTCCGGAAACTTTCAACCTACTAATATGATTACACCCGGTATCCAGCTCCACGAACCGGGCACACGCGTAGCAGCGCTGCCAGTTCTCGGCGGCCGCCAGCCGAAGCATCTCCTGCGTGGCAGGATCCTGGGGGCAGTCGCTGCCGGAATGGGCCTCGCCCTTGCAGACGGCGCAGGTCTGGGCCCGGCAGCCCGCCTGGGCGCAATGGGCGATCCCGCCGCGGACGAACTGCGGCGGCACGAACGCCGAGCAGGGCCGCCGGTGGCAGTAGGTGCGGTTGGGGGTCTCAAACTCGATCTTCTTGGCCTGGTACTGGCCCACGATGGCCTGCGTGAGGAAGCGCCTGCACGCGTCGATGGGGAGCGGCTGCCCGCAGCACTTGGGGGGGAAGAGCGTCTCGTCGGTGAGGGAGGACGTGAACAGCGACCGGAGGCAGCCCAGACAGTATTCGTGGCCGCAGGAGGGGCTTTTGGCGAGGTGGTTGTCCGGGTGGTTGTCGGTGCAGGCGACACAGGGTCTGCTCGCTGCGGCTGGCTTGCGTATTGCTGGTTTGGGTGCTGGTTTGGGGGCGGGCGGGTGGCGTCTGCTCTGCGCCCAGGAAGAGGACTCGGGCTGGTCCACGTGCGTTTGCTCCGAGTAGGAACGGTGGGCAGCGGGGGAAGGGGAAATGTTGAGCGCCCTCAGCTTCTTGAGCATGTCCTCGTCGGTGGTAGTCGATAAGAACGACTTCTGGGAGACATCCTGGGCGCTGGTCGCGGCCGGGCGTTGCTGACCGCTCAGGGTGAAGGCAAACTCTCTGTCCTGGAGAAGTTGGTCTTCCTGTGACAGGGCGGCGCTGATCAAGTCGGCATCAGTATCCACGGCGTTGGCGATGCTCTTGCACATGGCCTCGTCGGCCAAGATCTGTGCCGTGGCGGTCAGTTCGGCGTTATAGGCGTTAATGGCAGCGATCAAGTCGGTGCTGGCATCGTGCTCCCCTGCGCGGGCCCTTGCCTTTGGGCGCATGAGTGCGTGCGATTTCCTGGAGGTCCTCCAGCTGCGTCTGAATGATAATACTCAGTGTCTGAGCGTCGACATTGTCGAGGTAGTCCATTTTTGCGTTGTCTAACTTGGGAATAAATGCAGTTTCTTCGTTTGTAACGTGAAGTTCGGAGAATTGAAAAGATCTCCGCCCGAACTTCACGTACCAGGCAGGTAATTAACAAGCAACAAACAAGGCCGAGTGGTTTCCGCAGCGCAACGAAACCAGAGCGTTTGCCTTAAAGTGGGGCAGGGAAACCAGCAATGCGGTAGGCCTCACTGCGGCTGTGCGGACGGCCTGCTTGGAACCGCAAAGTGCTGTATTTTGTTGATGTAGGTCTGTAATATTGGGCTCTGATGTTTCTACTTTTTTCAGATCTGAATGCAAAGATCGTCATGCTAGTCAACGGACACGGTGTGTCCTGTCTATTGACTTGGTAATTTGTTGATGTTTTTCAAAACAATAATCGAAACCTTTCCCTGAATTTACAATTTACAGCCGCATTCTCGCGACTTCATTCCTATCTACTTACCATAGGTATGCACTGGTTGGTTTGAAAATCTCATCACCTAATAATCTATCCTCGAGACAAAAAGCTATCCAAGTATCTAATTAATCGCACACAACTGTACATCTCTCTATCCAAAACCACCCCCCACCACCCCAACATCACAACCCCACTCCCACCGGCCCATCACCATCACCCCCTCCCCAACAACCCCCCCAGCACAACACCCACAAACCTCCCCAGCACCCCCAAAAACTCCCACCACCCGCCCAGCCCCCACACCCCCAACACCCGACTCGCCATCCACATCCGTCTCCCATACCCCGTCACCTCCCCCTCCCACCTTTCCAGTTCCAACCCCCCCTCCCAAACCCTCCCCAACCCAAGACAGTGCCTCGCCGCCTGCTCCGTCGCCACCGCAAAGTGCGGCCTAAACGTGGCCAACGCATCCCCGACCAGCACCACCCTCCCCCCACAAAACACGGCGCGCCCGCACAGCGCGTCGCTGACGCGGGTGACAAACACCGCCTCCGGCTGCGTCGCCGACACCAGCGCCGCGAGGTGGGGCGGCATCTGGGCGACGGTGTCCGCGAGGTGGGCGCGCCAGAGGGGTGGCGAGACGAGCCCCGTGGGGACGGTCGTGCTGTGGGTGCGGTTGTGCACGTCGGTTAGGAAGGGGGTGGGGTCGGGCGCGTTGCTGTACCACACCCAGTTGAGCAGGCGGGTTGCCTGGGTGAAGGTGCCTGTATCGGGGGGGATGGGGTATCTAGGTGTTGAGAGAGAGGGGGGTTGGTTATGGGTTTGGGTTTGGGTTTGGGTTTGGTTTCGGGGGGAGGGGGTGGCTTACGAGACGAGGTAGGTGTTTTTGAGAAAGGTGAGGGTTGGGCGGTCGGCAAAGTACGCGACTGTCTCGGGGGTTAGATCGCGCTCCAGGACGGTGCCGCGCCAGGCGACGTAGCCCGAGTATTCTTTGATGGTGGGCGCTTGGAGGAGGGTTCGGACGGTGGAGTGCACGCCGTCGGCGCCGATGACGAGGTCGGCTGTGAGGGAGTCCTCCGTTCCGTCTTGATCGACGAAGGTGACCGTGATCGTGCCGTTATTGTCCTGCAGGTTCGTGACCTTCTTCCCGGAGCGGTACTCGGCTTCTCCGTCGCCTTTTCTTGGGGGTGGCGGACTGGGGACGGCATCGGAGGCCAAGCCGTCGTAGTTGGCACGCAGGATGCGGTACAGCAACCCCCAGCTAGTGAGACGCCGGGCAATGTTGAGATGGATATCCCAGCTCTTGCGGTAGGCGATCTGGGTGGTTGGCGAAGCTATGCAGCTCTGCACACCCGTGTCGTCGTACTTGCGGAGAATCTCATCCACGTTAGGCCCAAAGGCAATGCCAGCTTGGTGACTGCTCCGGACTGCGCTGGGATCCTGCTCGAGAATCATGACGTTGCTGCCATGGCGCTTCAAGTACAGCCCATGAAGGAGGCCCGCTAGGGAGCCTCCGACCTGTCATCTGGTCAGACTCGTTCATATCTGTACTGCTGGTTTTAGCGTTAACTTACTATGACAACCGACTTCGGCAGATTTGGCATTTCCATCTTGTCTGTTTGACTGTTTCCGTTTCCCAAGGTCAATGTGGTGTTGCGAAGGTGAAGTCTCGGTCGGTTTGCTTAGAGGTACTGACCACGCAAGGCCCACCGCGATAGGTGTGAACGAAGCGGGAGCTGATCGGACACTGGAGCAGGGTGGGACCCTTGACAGGGGTTTTGTTGGGGCGGAAATGAGACACGGAGTTCAATCACAGAAGCTTCTTCGTGGGGGATGGTGGGGGCGGATTATAGGATTGGTACCTATATATGAGTATGAGTATAGAGGGATACGTTGTTATACATGTGGACTCAGCATTCGTTGCTTCGGCGAAGTTGGTTAACCGTGTATTTGTATGTAGGTAGGTATGTACATGCGAGAAAACTCGAAAAGTTAGGTCATCAGGAGGTACACTCAAAAATCATTAATTCCTCAACAAAGTGGAGAGAAAGTACTCGCCATTATTGAATTTGATTTCTACTTCCTTTCTACATAGTACGTTTCTCCATTTTTCTCACAACACCGTGAAGGCGTTCATAAACAGTAGGATCCTCTCAGGCCGAAACATGCGTTCCGATCACTTGAGATAGGTACTCCTTACTCCGAGTTTACCAAGGTCCATGGCCCCTCGATGTTAGTGTTCCCGTAGTTCTCGGCCCGCGCCACCCTCAACTCTTGGATCTGAAAGGGTGCCCCTCGGTTCTCGCTCGGGAACACAAAGGGCGCCTCCTCTTTGCTCTGTGCCAGCTTAGTCTGGCCCCACTTGGAGAACATCTCGAAGTCTATGGTTCCCCGTTCGGCCCTCAAAGCCGACGCCTCCAGTTTCCTTGCCTCGCGAACTACCTCCACCAGGGACGGGGGGCGGCTGCGGGGGTTGCGGGCCGCCATGGTCTCATCTTGAGCATCCACAAACTTGATCATCCGCATCAACCTCTGAAGACCCTCCGCTTGCTTGCTCGGAGGCGGTGGGCTAGCAGGCTTCATTGTCCAGGCGTTAGTCCAAGGAAGAACGGTGTGCCGCTCGAGTTGCCAAACCCCGCCTATGAGCCGGTCCACATCCCACCGGCGGCGCTCACCAGGCCGAGCAGCCCCAGGCGTAGGTTCCCGAAATGGCGAACTGGAAGTAAAAGGGGGGGAGTATCCCGGATGGAGATACTTGCGCCCGCGGTCGTCGTGACTGGCTTCGCTGTGGGCCAGGGACTCGCTGGCGGTACACGCCCAGCCAAAGTCCCCGATGTAGAAGTCCGGCAGGCCGTCCTTGGCTGACTGCTCGTCGTAATGCACGAAGATGTTGCCCATGTGCAGATCACAGTGGTAGACGGCCTCGCTACCGGCCTGGTACATGAAGTGTAACGTCTCGCAAACTTGGGCAATGCATCGGGCAATAATACTCACGGGGAACAGCCGACCCTCCATGTCGTTGGCCATGTGGCCCGCACACCAGTTCGAGAATACGCTGGCGACGCTGTTAGCGTTGCAGAACTTCCAGTAGCTGATTTGCAGGCACTGGATTTTGGGTCTGCGTCCACGGGACTCGACAGCAATCTTCTCGTGCGAGATGCATGTGCTCCAGCGGGGAGTCACGCTGGGCAGGTCGTAAACAGGGTTGAGGACGAGTGCGTTGAGATGGTCAAGGATGCGCACCTCGTTGTCTTCGGGGACCTTGGCTAGATCATAGCCGTCTTTAATGGTCGGCTTGCGCTTACTCACCTTCTGCACAACAACCTCGTGGGTCCTGATGTTAGTGACGAGTTGTACTTGGCTTTGCGCGCCTTTGATCATCGGTCGGTTGAAGATGTAGGTCTCGCCCGACATAGCGTCGAAGACGTAGGCATGGCCAGACTGCCCGGTGCGGACGACGTTGCCCTGAAGAAACGTGAACATATTGTTGTTAGTAGCAAGCAACGGGAGGAGTGAATACACGGGTGCTCCCTTGTTATGGGAGCGTTGCAGAAATAATGCTACTATCATGGTAATAAGGGGGGGATGTCATGCCAGTATATATGCTTGCTGTCCTAACTGCGACACTCTCGCTGTAGCTGCCTTTCTTTAGCTGACACTTGTTCACTGTACGTGGCTAGAGTCGCCAGACCGACAAAGAAGTCGCTTGACCGAGCCTTGCCGTACAACTAGGTAGTGTTCATTTCTGCCCACATGTAAGCCTGTCCCGTATCTAAACACTGTGTTCCCAAATGCATAACTATACAGCGCGATTGATGACTCAAGGAGGCACTGTAGGCAGGCTGAGATTGAAGATGGACAGTCTGTGAGCTCAGAGGGGAAAGCCAGGACAGAATGGTGGCAATAAAAGGAGGAGACGGCATGGAATAAAGAGAAAGAGAATGCGGAATATTTACCTTCCGATCCAAAGTCACTTGCCTTTAATGCCATATATTTTGTACTTCAGTTTGTAACCCCCGAGAGACTATTAGCGATTTAGTAAGTTCACTTGATGCAGTCTTTAACCCAAACTGACAAACCCAAATTGATTACATGTACAGGTAAATCTCAGTTTATGCTCAGTGATGGGGTTAGAGGTAAACATGAGGTGATCGTCTTGGACCGGTGGATCGTATGGGGAATCTGGGAAACAATATGAAACAGGTTCTATCAAGGTTTGTTGTAGTCCCGTCCACGGAATTATCCCACCAGTAGGGAGGTCCGCCGCAGATCCCTAACTATGAGTATCCAGCAGGGTAAATCACCCAGACCAGCTGTGCCCATGTCCCGTCGCGGGGCCCAACTCTGGCTAAATCAGACTCCATAATTCCTTAGCCAAAATCAACTTTCGGGCACTGAACATCCGCCGAGGATACGACCTTAGTGTGTACAAAACCCCCCTAGGCATCGCCTCCTTTCTCGGGTCCGCCCTACCGGTTTCCTAGCCAAGACTCGCTTACTGTATGTTTCGAGTGACCGCTCGAAGAGTCCAGCCATGTTGTCTCTCACACGCTGGGCAGCTATCGCTGCTTCATTGTTGCTCTTGTCCCCTCACACTTCTGCCGTCCCTACCCCAGAAGATGCCGGATCGAGCCGGGATGCTCTGGCTCCTAGACAAGATGCCGACTGGCACTGGGTCGCCACATGGACGTCGATGCCACAGCTAGTCGAGCCGAACAACATGCCCCCGTCGCCTTTTGTAAGTTGCAAATCTCATAACCACAAAGAAAGAGAAGCGTATCCCTAACTCTGCACCCAAAAGAACGGAGGCGGCGGCGTATTCCGCGACGCCACGCTGCGGCAGACCCTGCACCTCTCCATCGGCGCGGAGCGGCTCCGCCTGCAAATCAGCAACACCTTCGGCGGCAGCGACCTGCCCATCACGGCGGCCTCCATCGCCCTCCCGCAAGGCGGCAAGGCCGGCGTAGCAGGCATCGACGCAGCCACGGTCAAACCCCTCACCTTCAACAACGGCTCGGCCTCGACGACCATCCCGCGCGGGCAGGTCGCCTACACGGACCCGATCGACTTCCCCGTGGCGGCCCAAGCCAACATCGCCGTCTCCCTCTACTCCCAGGCGGGCCAGTCCGGCAGCAGCATCACGGGCCACCCGGGCAGCCGCACGACGTCGCACATGCAGAGCGGCAACCGGGTCGACGCGGCCACGCTCTCGGGCGGCGCCAGCACCAAGCACTGGTACTTTGTCTCGGCGGTCGAGGCGTGGGCGGAGCCGACGACCCACGCGTTTGTGATCCTCGGTGACAGCATCACGGACGGGCGCGGCAGCAACGACGACGGGAATGATCGCTGGCCGGATCTGCTGCTGGCGCGCATGCAGGCGGCGGGGAACCTGAGCCATGTGGGTGTGAACAACCAGGCGGCGGGGGGGAATGCGGTGCTGTCGGGCGGGTTGGGACCCACGCTGCTGACGCGGTACGAGCGGGACGCGCTGCAGGTGGCCGGGGTGAAGTGGGTGATGGTGTTTGAGGGGGTGAATGATATTGGGGGCGGTGGGACGGATTCCGGGACGCAGAATGGGATTGGGACTAGGTTGCAGGCGGCGTATGAGAAGATTGCGAGTGATTGCAAGGCGGCGGGGATTAAGACGATTGGGGGGACCATCACGCCGTTTGGGGGGAACGGGCAGTCCTATTCGAACCCCGTGCGTGAGCAGACCCGCGTCAAGGTGAATGAGTGGATTCTGAGCAGCGGCACGTTCGATGCGACGGTGGACTTTGCGACGCTGATTGGGGATCCGGCGACCAAGAGCCAGTTGGCCAGGCAGTACGATGGCGGAGACCATCTGCATCCGAATGTGGCGGGATTTCAGGCGATGGCGGATGGGTTTCCCTTGGACTTCTTTGAGTGAGGTGGGGGGGTAGGGAAGGAGGCGGTCGAATACCTAGTGCATAGCCGTGGCGAAGATGGGAGATGTATTATGTAAATAAGTGGTTGACCGAGCAGGAGATGCCACCAGTACAAATGCAACGGGAAAATGGGGGCATTGTTGGCCATCAACAGTGGCCCTCTAAAGCCTGTACCTCGCCATCCAGCAATGCTTTGGATTTGAGAGACCGGCTTTTGATCGAGCTCCTGAACGGCAAGACGGAACTGTGCCCGAATCAGTGAGTGTACCTCATGTGTAATTCGGTTATTAACGTACGCCTGGCCCCTATATGACCACTCGGGCTCAAAAGGGGTTGGTTTGCCATCTGCTCCTCGCGGCCAGTCAATATCAATGGTGGCGAGCATGGTGGCTAATACGATCAGGAGGCTGTTCTCCGCCAGGTTCCTGCCAATGCAGATCCTAGATAAACTTAAGTCAGTACCGAACTCATCACGTCTGTGGTATCTGCCTACCGTCGCCCAAACCCGAAATTCCCCACCGGTAACGGCTCTCCATTGCCACCCTGCTCCTTGGGGAGATACCTCTCGGGCCAGAAACGGAAGGGCTCGGCATAGACGGACTCGTCATGGGACATGGCCCAAACGTTCGGATAAATCACGGTGCCCTTTGGGATGAACATGCCGTTGTACACGTCGTCTGCAACACTTGCATGAGGAATGCCAAGTGGTGAGAGAGGGTTCATCCGGTAGGTTTCCTGCAAGATGAGGTTTGTGTAAGGCAGGTTGGGGATGTCGTCCCACGTCGGCAGCCTATCGCTCCCTACCACTCGGTCGACCTCCTCTTGTGCTTTGCGCTGCGCGTCGGGGTTTTGCATTAAGTAGAGGACGAAGAGCATGACTGTGGCAGCTGTCTGGAAAAGTGTAAGCGTCCCGCTACAGTCGCTTAGAGCTTTGTGGCTCACAGTGTCATTGCCGGCGATGACGATGGTCGCCGCTGCCCCTTTGATGTCCTCCAGGTCGAAATCATTAGGTAACCCGCCGTGGGCATTATGATTTAAGATGCTCATCCGCTCATGAACAAATGAGTGGTTGTTTGTCGAATCCTGGAACCGGAATTAGTTTATGCACACAAAGCTTCGAAGGAGTTGCAATACCATCAATTTTAAGGAAGCCTCAAAAGGGAGGCTTGTGAGGTTCTGGATGGCAGGCCTCCAGGTATGGGCGTAGCGTAGTCTTTCCATGAAGGGAAGCCATTCAGGTAGATACCGAGCTGCCAGCGGAATTAGGACTTGGTCGGTAACATGGCCTCGACGAAACACTCCGATACTCACTCGCCGGAAAGCGGTCCATGATTGAACTGGCGGGCGCCCCCGACTTTCCGATTGCGTTGGCAGTGTCGTCGGCCAACTGAATCCACCGACTTTTGGGCCCTTCCACCCCAAGTCCATACGCAATCTGGAGCACGATGGCCACGGAGAACCGTCTGACGGAACTGAGCCAGTCGTTCGGATTGTCGATCAAGTTCTTACAACAAATGAAGGCTTCCTTCCGCTGATGGGCCGTGTATTGGCCGACCCGGGACTTGGTGAAGGGGGGCTGTAAGACCTTCCGGTGAAGATGATACTTTGGACCCCAGCGGAGCCATGTGAGCGTCGGCGACCAACCCATCCTAGACGGGGTCAGTGTGTGTTGTGCTCGCGCATAGGGGCGGCATACTCCTCAAACATAACGAAACGGGGGCGGTCTGCGTAGGTCGACCCTCGCTTCTCAAGTAGCTCTGTCGCTGCCGCGAGGGTGTTTAGAACCACCCATTTGGTGCCAAAGGTTTGAAAGAAAAGCACATCGCTCTCTTTCGGGCCGAGAATGGCAAGGGATGGCACGTGTTAGTCTGGACAGCCGCACACATGGAATGGCCCGTCGATATCGTACCGTACTCCTTTGCCCACTCAGCATACCGCTTGAACGCGGCGTCTTCCGGGACGATACGATAATGTCCCAATAGGGGTTCGGGTGGAGGGCCAGGTGGAAGCGGGGGGATGCCGCTCTTACGAGCCCATATCGTGCGGTACGCAGCGCAAATGACAACAGTCAGCCCTGCGATGAGAATGGCGCTTGAGAGGCTGAATGCACCGATATATTGGATTTCAGCTCCCATGGTCCTTTTGTCTCAGCGACGGTGTTAGTTGATCAAGACATAAGCATCGGGGAACTGCTAAATACTCGTGCCGCTGGTTGAACACTCTCTCCCTCGTATTATATCGTGGGGGGAGGTAGTGTAAAAAAGAACTACTGTGTACGTGTCTGATAGCGGGAATGGAGGAAGATGATGCAAAAGTTAGAAGCGGTTGACGTGATTCGGTGGTTTCTCGTGATGATCCTCGAGCTACGTAGCGGGGTTCTTGAGGCGGCAGGATCAGCGGGCTCTTACAATTCGTGAATTCGGCCTTTGCGCCATCCCGTGCATGACAAACTGACCACTGGTATGGACGAAAACGTTTCCATGTAACAAGGTAGTTATTCGTAATCACGCACAAATCGGTTTCGTAGTTCAGTGCTCCGAGGGACCGATGACGTGGGAATACCATTACATTTTTTTTGCAGCTCTGTGCAGGGAGCACTGGGGAGACCGTTCCTGTCCTTGTGTTTGCGACGACACACCAAGTTGCAGGTTTGTGTTTGGGAAGCCAGCCCCAGGCGCGCCAGGGGTTGGAGTGCTGTTCAAAACTTGGCGGGCACGCGGACAACCCGTTCCACCGCCCAGCGCCGGCGATCGTTTGGACTTTGATGCAGCTAGCCGTCGAGAAAGCAGCAGTGTATCCTTGGGAGCCTGTCACAGCAAGTTGAACTTGGCCGTGTGCATGGTGAGACCGCCACCGCAAGATCGGAAAGGAAACGCAGGGGTCGTGAGATCCCGGGATGTTCCAGATGGTGTGTTGCCCGTTGTTGTTGTTGTTGTTGAGAAACGCTGCGCGTCGGGGACCATGTGGGATTTTTACCCACATCCATTGACTGACTAAAAAACAGCCGGACTTTAGCTACAAAGGGAGGAAGTTCAACTAGCATCGGATAAAAAGAAAGCAATCGAAGACAAAAAGAAGACCAAACCAGGGAAAAGCAATCTGTTCTTGGCCATGGGGTGCTTCCGAGTTTCTTCTGGGCGCTGCGTTACCTCAGCTACCTAGGTAGGCATCCGCCCCGTTCCATGATGTGCCAGGTCGGATGAAAGTGAAAAATACGTTGCTCAATACTTCGTAGGTACCTATCTAGGTAGTCAAAAGCTGTCTGAGCCGGTGTGGAGGCGCGTGTTGAACGGTGAGATCGACTCGGGCCAAGCCATACCCGACCTGAATCTGGCGGTCTGGTTCTCGCCAGGTTCTCACAGCTCGTGTGGTCAAACTTCGAAATTCAAGACATCGTGCGAGGATTGGATGACCCGCCTCGGGCCGTTTGGCGGGGGTGTGTTGGAGTGCCTGTCAGGGGGTCTCGGGAGCTCTGACGCTAGTGCCTATTTCGGGGACCAGCTGCCCCGGGATGGAGGGCCCCCACAGAGTTGGGGACGTTGGGGTTGCGCAAACGCGTTTCCGGGAATCCTCATTTCTGCTGCACCTCCCCCAATTTCGAGCTTCTTTTCTCTTGTCAACAACGAGCTCATCGCGAGCAGTTGGTCCGCTCTTTTACCACCCTGCCCCCAACACAACAACACAACAGCAACACCCGGTCCAATTACACGAACATTCATTGCATTGGTTCATCCATTCTTTCCTCCGGGGTCTTGCTCTCTCCCATCGCCCTTCACATCACCACCACGATGCCTACCAAAGGCCACCAACGGTCGCGTTCCTCCATCGACCGGGTCATTGATCTGCTGGCAGATCTTGAAGACACCCAAATCAGCGTCCTCCTCGATGACCTGAACCACACCACCTCGAGCAACGTCGCTGTGACGGATGCAATTGCCCTTTTCGACCACCATGCGAACAAACCAAAGAGGAAGAAGTCCTGCCGGTCTCCGTCTCCAATGAGGACCCTGCAGGTCGAGCTCGAGCGACGTCACAGCAAAAGAATTTCGGCCGCACCAGAACGACAGTCTCGCTACAGGGCAGCCATCACCCAACCCCCAGCGCCCCGGGAACCAGCAACGCCGTCTCCATCGCCGTCGCCGCCGCCCACGGAGGACCTCTTTGGCCGACCCGATTCCCCCGACCGTCCCTCGCTCATCCTCCCCCCGCAAGCGTCGTTCGAGCACCCCAAGGCCTCCTCGGCGGGGCCACCGCCAGTCTTTCGCCCTCGTTCGTACAAGAGGATCAGTCGTCCCATGTTCCTCTCACCGACTGCGACAGCCGAGCTTCACCTGTTACTCCTTGCCTTCTTCAATGAGACATCGGCTTTGCCAGTTTCGCCGACGACAACCGCGACCCCCGTCACCCACTACACCGCTCTTCGGCTTTTCCCATTCACCCTTCACCGACTTCGAAGTTGAACCGAACACTCCAGGCCTTGATTTGCTTGAGCCTTCCCCGACACGGACACCAAGCTTTTCCGGTGGGAGAAGTCTCAAGACGATGCCCAGCATCAGCAGCATATTCGAGGTTATGAGGTCGCAGTAGACGATTAATTACTTTTAAAGGTTTTGTAGTATCACCAAGCGTTTAGGGTGTAATTTGTACGATGGGATACTGAGAATGATATCCGAGCTACGGAGCTCTGTTGGAAAACGTTCCGCTCCCGACATGGCGCCCGTTTGACCAGTGCCGGGGATTCCCACGCGTACTAATTATGCCCGCTCTGCACTTCTCTTCAGACACGGCTCGAGGCTTCTATAATTCTTATGACTCTGTCACCTTTCCTCATATCCATCTTTTCACCAGTGGTAAACAACGAGAATCACAGCTGTGGGTTGAGTGGGTATCAACGAACACGCTATTAGGGTAAACTAGTGTATCACGGGAATCCTGAGAAGGGATGAAATACGAATACAACGATCTAATATTTTCATAATGATTCTGATTCGAACTCAACAGAACCTGGGCATCACTAGAACTTCAGTCTCGTGCCCCAGGTCCCTCGTCCGACCGACCCTCGGTGACATGGTTCTCTTGATTCTGTCAATGGCCTCGATGTTGTTCAAATCAAGCGCGTGGTCGCACATGACAACCATTCTCTTAGCAAACCTGGGACGACATTCGCCCCCGGTGCAATCTTTCCATTGTTAGCTCTTTTTGTGACCTCGTCTATCCGTCATCGCTCAGGCTCACATACCAAAAATGCTGGCCTGTGAATAAAGGAAGGACCTACAGTTCTCCCCATCGTTCCTCGTCGGCCATCGCACTTTCACCAGGAGAGCAGCAATCGGCACCGCCGCAATGAGGATAACTAAGACAAATGTGGTTGTCGACATTGGCAGCATTTCATACAGCGTCGGCACCCGCGTCGAGGTCAGCCATTCAGACATCAAACCCGTTCTACCTCATCCGCAACGATTACTTTGTTTTCTAATCATTGAGATTGCAGTGGACCCTCCCTGTCGAGCATGATATCGGTTCTATCATTGCACCAGCTGTCACCTTCAGCACACGCGGCCTGACCTGGACGGCAGATGGCTTGCAAACCGTTTTATCGGCGTTCGACAGAGCCGATGATGTGTTCCAACCTGCTTTCGCCCAGGGAGGCCTTCTCGTCGCTCGTTCGGACTCATTCGAGACCCGAACCCCAGAGCTACACGAGTCATTGACGCGATTTCTCGAAGAGAAGTCCAGCACCTTGATCTTTGTCACAGCCCGAGCGGACAAACTCCCGGATGGCCCATACTTCGTGAGGGGACATACCCTTCACCGTGCCTGGAGACTATATCCTGACGAGAATCTCGCTTTCACGCTTGCTCTAGCCCCGTCGCCGGAGGAGAGCGAAGATCTCAAGTGGGCACTTCTTCGTTGCCATTTTCTGAGCTGTCCACTGATGTGCTCGCAGATGGGAACCCTTAAATGCTGGTGCTTACTCGGGACTCTGCCTTGTAGTAGCAGTTCCCTCAAGGCTCTACTATCCACCGAGCGCAGAGAAACCCCTCAATGGCCTCAGGATCACCGTCAAAGACAACTATCATCTTTCCGGCGTCCACACGACAATGGGGAGCAGATCCTACGCCAAACTGTATGGCCCGCAGGATCAGACTTCCGAGCTTGTCAATCAGCTGGTGCGTCAAGGAGCTGTCATCCTTGGGAAGACAAAAATGGGGGCGTATGCCGGCTCCGAGGTCCCGCCTGAAAAGTGTATCGATCACTTTCCGCCATGGAACCCCCGCGGGGATGGATACCAAGGACCCTCGGGAAGCTCAAGTGGTGCCGCTTCTTCGGTCGCAAGCTACCCCTGGGTGGACATAGCGTTGGGCACAGACAGTAGGCTCCGCGCTCGCCTCGTTATATCAAGTACCCCGTCCTACATGCTAACAATAAGCAGCTACTGGAAGCATCAGAATGCCCGCAGCATCTTACGGACTTTGGGGTCTTCGAGCTACCCATTCGCGGTTTTCCCTGCAGGGGGTCATGCCGAGCGTCCCGTAAGTTCCCAAATCAGCCCCGACTTCCATGGTTGCCTAACATCATAGGGCTTTTGATACCATTGGGGTTCTCGCCCGGGATCCTCACAGCCTCCGAAGGGTTATCCACTTTGGCTCGCCTCCAGCTGGTGACCAGCAGCCGACAGACGAGTGCATGAACAAAACCGTCTTCAACAACAGCTGTAGGTCCCCGGCGAGGATTATTGTCCCTACCGACTGGTTCCCCATGAAGAATGAAGGTCAGCAGAAGATGGTCTCTCAGTTCCTCGATACGGTTAAGCAAAGGCTAGGGTGTGACGTCTTGCACCTGTCGTTCGAGGATCACTGGTCTAAGACCGGCCCGGAGGACTTGAGGTCGATAACGCTACAAGAGTATCTGGGCATGGTTAGTTGTTACCCTCGATCTCACGATCTCCCTCGGCGACGAATACCTCACAGTCCCAAGATGCATGACAGCTGACAAGACCAAGTCTATTTACTAGCCCAACTACTACGACGGATACCACACGTACGACAAGTTTCGAAACGACTTCCAGGCTAAATTCGGATACCCCCCATATACGAGCCCTTTCATGACTCGCCGATGGTGAGTTCGCATCAATTCCTTTTCTGGGGATTCCCGGCCCAGTTCCCCAATGATAGACAGGAGACTGACAAGCAGGCAAGGGCTCTGGCATCCAATATCACCCAAGAACAGAGGGACCAAGGCCTCGCCGAGCTCGAAGTCTACTACACCTGGGTCCGGGACGAGATTCTGAAACCAGACACAGAGTACAACTTTATCCTCCTTCCCCTCGGGCGACCGGGAGCCAACTATCGTGACATCGTTCCTACGCCAGGGTTTGTGCCCCATCGGCTATCTCTCATAGCGCGTTAAAGCTGACATAACGGGAACAGCGGCGAATTCTCGGAGTCTGCGTACGATACAGTCGACTTTTGCACGGTCCTCGGCCTTCCCCAGCTGGTGATCCCAGGTAAGTCGCCTCCTTACTTCGAGCCTGCCTGCTTTTAGGCTCTGTGTGGCAATAACACTGACCAGGACACGCAGTCGGCCAGAATCCGTACGAGTCGAGAGTCTCGGGGAGAACGGAATACGCCCCCATTGTGGCCTCCTTGGCGGGCCCTCGCGGCAGCGATGAAGATCTCATTCAGTTAGCTGTTGAGGCTCTGACCGAGGCCCGCTGTCCCGTCGAAGTGTTGACCGGCAGGACGCCATTTCAGCCTGGCGAGGATAATTGTCGGCACGTTGCTCCGAGTTAGGATCAGGATGTTGCCGGGAAGCTTTAGGTATCATTGCTACGCACATGGGCCCACGAGTGATAGGAATAGGAACCTCAGGAAATAGACAAAACGATCAGAAGATTGCGGATGTGAACTGTGGGTAGACGGATGAGAAGGCTGAATCACTGAAAACCGCATTCTAGGAAATTGAAAGATGATTGTGCTTGAGATGATGGGTCAGGTGGGCCTGGAAAGTTTGAGCACATTAATTACTACACATATCGACACGTGAATGAAACAAAAGGGAAAACAAAGAAAGTTACTCTGGGTTATTATATAGATCATTGATAAATTCTTAACTAAGATAGGATACCTCCAACCATCACCCCACCACCACCCCCAAAACACCAGATACCCCCCTCACCCCCCTTCAACCAAGCAAACTCGCATCAAACCGAATCTGCCCGTCCCTACAAACAAGCATAGTAGCAAGCGGGATGGGCAACGCGCCCCCATTCTCACACACACCGAAAAAGCGTTCCGTGATGCAGACGACGGCGCCGTTGATCGCGCAGGGGTACGGCTCGCCCGCGGCGGGCGTCTCGGATTCCTTGGCTGTTCCGGTCGTTCCGGTCGCGGTCGTGACGATCGGGGTCGCGCTCACGGCCGGGGTCGGGACGGCGGCCGTGACGATGACGGTCTCGGTCACGGTGACCACGCCGCCGCCGGTGACGGTGACGAATGCTGTGGAGGTGTGACGGGTTCCGTTGTGGGCCGGGAAGCTCATGCCGGAGGAGGCGGGGAGGTTGGTGGGGGACGACGCCGTGGCTGGGGCGTTGGTGAGACGGGGGGCGGTCGAGGCGGGGATGGCGGGGATGTTCGGGTTGTTGGCTGGTCCCTCGAACACGGGCGGCGGCGCGATCGGGCAGTCGCCCGCGGCGTTGGGGTCCGGCTCGATCAGCTGCACGCCGTAGCGGCCCGGGTTGGGGATGTTGAACACGCCCTGCTCGCCGGTGCGGCTGGTCGAGCAGTTGGTGAAACCGGGGATGTTGGCCAAGAACATGACCGGCAGCTCGTCGACGAACTTCGACCCCGCGGCCTCGTCCTCCACGCCGCCGGTCACGGTGATCGGGGCGCACATCATGTAGAGCTCGTTCTGGGTGATGCGGTTGTACCAGGTCCAGGCGAAGGTGGCGTCGCCGTTGGGCAGGTCCTTGGGGATGGGGATCTCGAACTGGCGGATGCAGTCGACGCCCTTGTCGTCGCCGCAGTGGACGGCGTCGGGGATCTGGCGGTCGCCGTAGCCACGGAAGTAGGGATCCTCCTCGAGGTTGCCGGGCGTGGACTTGATCTCCGCCGGGCAGCCGCCGATGATGGTGTAAATGGTGCGCCAGTCGGTTGGGTCGGTCGAGTAGGCCGGCAGACCCTCATAATTGATGCCGAACTGGCACGAGCCGCCGCCGTGCGGGGCCGAGCCCGTGAAGTTGACGAGTGTGGTCGACCCGGCCGTGACGACTGTGCGGTGGGCTACGTCTGTCCAGCCTTGGCAGGGGTACGGAAAGCGGCCGCCGGGGGCTTCGACGGGCCAGGTCATCATCTTATCCGGGGAGAACGGGGTGGGGAGGTTCATGAGCATGTGTGCGTTGATAGGGAGGGCGGCGATGGACGCCATCACCAAGAGAGAGCGGGACGCCATTTTGGGTGACGTCTGGTGTTGAGTTGGTCTTCGTGTGGTGGTCTCCCTTTCTTCGTTACTGGCTGATGAACTCGTTCTCGGATGATGGTGGGAGAAAAGTGAGAACCGAGACACGATGACTGCTGTAGCTTTAATAAATCACTCTTCAGCCCTGGCGAATAATGGAACAAGTCAATTGTTCGAGGCACGCTTCGGCTGTGGTCGGGTTGTCCCGTTGGTTCACGTCACCAAGGGGTTAACGCGAGACAAACAAAGAGGTTCAACCAGCGACAATGAACGGCCTGTGGGGGGAGCATCTAAGCTTGTAAGTCGATCGATTCCGGGTATAATGCTCTATGTTAGTGCTATTACAGTATTCATACAATCCTTTTCCAGCCATCTGCTAAGTTGGGTTTCATCGAGAGCGCAGAAGAAAGGTGTTTTCAGGGGCAATGACAGGAACGACCCCTGCTCAAAGCGCACCCCCCAAGAGCTTTACCATCATCATGGCGAGGCGGACCTTAATCCCCACGCGCCTGTCCGCCTTGGCGAAGTCGTCCCTAGTGACAATGGCCGTGTTCTCCTGCAGCCAGCGCTGTTCCTCACCCAATCGCTTCTTCAGTTCCTCGTTCTCGGTTACGATCATGGCGTTGACCTCCAGATCGAGAGAGTAACTCCGCTTAGTGTAGTTAGAGCTGCCGATTAAGCTGATGGAGGGGTCCTTGCTCCCGGGGAGCGTTATCCACAGCCCCTTGGCGTGGTACGTCCAGGCCCCGGGCTCACCGACGGTGCCCTTTCGCCATTCCCGGAGCACCGTCGAGGCTTCGAGTTGTTGTTGGTGAACGGCGCGGACAAAACGACGGGCAAGGAGAGTGTATGCGTCCGGGAGGAGACCCGATACACCGGGTGAGTTATAAAAGCCATTTGCAAACGGCGAGGCGGTGATGACCGTATTGCCGTGAGACTGGGTGGAGAGTAGCAGCTTGGTGAGAGACGGCGCCGGGTTAAAATACCCTGCTGTAAACGTCCAAGAGGAATTGGCGTATTGGGGCAAAGAGAGGGTCTTTAGGACGTGTGTTACCGCCGGAAGCTCTGTCGAGGTATCGGGGGACAACAGCTGCGAGAACTGGGATAGCATGTACACCGAGGTGTCCCTCTTGTCGAGTGGAGTGGCGTCGTGCGCGGTCAGGGGGGCCGTCTTAGGCGACACTAGCCCGGCGAGGAGAGATGTTGACTCTTTGACAAAATGCGTAGGGTCTTCAAGAGGTGAAGGGGCCGCATTGTCCTCAGGCCAGACCATTTCGAATCCAGCTTGCGACTCGGATGGCTTAACTAAGAAGCTCAACGACGAGACGGCGTCCTGGATGTTGGCAAAATACTCCGTGACGTCCTTGGAGGAAAATAGGTGGTATCGGTCCTGGCGGTTCGTAAAGTAGTCGCTCGATAGATTGGCGCCGGAGAGGATTATCTCGTCGTCCACCCCGTATAGCTTCATGTGCTGCAGACCCCATCCCTCGTTTATCCGCTTCGGTACGTACTTCTTCCTCAGTCCCGTCAGGTTCGGTGTGTGGTACATGCGGATCTCGACTCGATCAGGGCCAAACTCGGCAATTAGGGGTGCTAATAGGGATGCACAGGACGGCTCCGGAGCCTCGCGGGTTCCTCGGAGGGCGTCGGTTAAAATGCTGAGTGTGAGTTCAGGTTTCGCCCGGAGGGTTTCCTGTATGGTGGTGATCTAAGTTTGTCAGTACACGGCAAACCCCACGGACGAGTGGCAGTGGGTACAAACCAATTCCCTCTCCGACTTGCCGATGTACAGCGTTGATAGGAAAATGCGCCGTTCCGCATTGCGGATCTTGTCCTTGAGGGTCTCGTAGAATTCGGCGGGCGACTGCAATATTTGAATCTGCGAGCCATTCACCTTGAACGAGGGGGCTATCCTGTCAAGCTCGCCCACGAATGGCGCAAGCATCCCGGTGCTCGACATTGGTGGAGGGGACCCCGGCGTCGGTCCGGTTGAAGGCATCGAGAATCGCCGACATTGTGATCGGGCGAATGGTAACGATGGGCGTGAAACCGAGACCCTAAGTCTATTGGAGCATCGTGCAACGCTCCTGGCCAGCATGGCCGCAGAGGACGGAAACCGGGACGGAGAGGGCGGTTGCCGTGAAGCTGCTGGGAAGGAGTCGTCTGGGTTTTGAAATCGGACTCGGTGTTGAACTTGCCGAATCTGCGAATCTGCGAACCATTGAGAAGCGGGATTGTGCAGGGGAATGGGTCTTGGCAGCTAGGGTCTGAACGAGCTTGGCCATTGGCTCGGAGCCACCCGGCCACAACCCGGAAACCTCCACTGCGTCAGTTGCTCCATCTGTGGCTGCTTCAGCGCATCAGTCAGTGCTCGAAGTGAACCTCACGGCATCCCACCCACGGTCGATTGGCCCCCGGTAGCAACCATGTCGAGCATCTCAAGGACGCTAAGAAATCTGCGCAAGGTTGGCATAAAGGTTAGAAACACGGATATCATAATTGGACCAGACATGGGCTAACAATGCGACCACAGGACTTCTGGCACCAACTTAACGTGAGCCCCCCGCGACTACTTCGACATCTCGACGACAGCTAACCCTTGCCGCTTCTCGACGACAGTACATCGGTACGACTGGACATGGACCACGATGGAAGTAGGGAAATAAGGACTGACAACGGAGCGCAGGTGACACCAAGGCCGGTGTCTTGGTCGGCACCGACAAGTTCGGCAACAAGTTTTTCGAGGACAAGGACGAACTGCCACGTCTGTCAACCCCTAGGCGCACCTCTATCACCTAACCAGTCCGCTGATCTCTCGATCCGGTAACAGTGCGCACAAGATGGGTCGATTTCGCCAAGCACGACTTTGACTCGTACGCACCGCACCCCCCAACTCCCCCGCCTTCCGGAACCCGGCTGACAATTAGCGCAGTGCTCAGATCGAGCCTCTCTGGCACGCCTGGATCGCCTATACCGTTGACACCCCGCCGACCCAGGACCCGATCATGGAGACGGGCAAGCGCGCCTGGTCGCCCAAAGACCAGGTGCCCAATCGGACCGCTACCCTTGGCTCGTACAAGACTTACAGCACGTTCGTCTATCCCCCTCGAGAGGGTGTGGTATGGTCGTGGTTATGTTGACGTTAGAATAGGACGAAGCCCAAGATCAACGCATGGGAACCCTTTGCTGCCCCGAGGTAAGGACGTATGGGAAGAGACGGGTGGGGCGGGAAGTGTACATATGACTTGGGGATCAAGCCGAAATTCAGTTGCTGCTAAGCCGAAACATTTACCGGACGCCTTTTCAAAACCATGCAATTTAACCTGTGTGCAGCGTTGTGACCTAGAAGGATACGAAACAGCGGTTTCCATTCAGGCGTGGTACATGACAGGACAGCCCACAGTGGGTTGACTCAAATACTTCAAAAGCGGTCCGTCTCGTTCTCTCAGCTACCTCCAACACAAAATACCTGTTCAAAACCACCAAAGGCAAATGGGTTCTTCGAAGACAACAAAAGTCGGTCCAATGCAGCATCCAGGCGAAGAGGAAATGAACGCAAAGAAACGGCAACCGAGCCCTCTACTCGCGCGTCTAGAAGTCCTGACAGGTGCATGCAAGATTGTCTCGATCTAGCAACAGGGAGAAGTGCATATGTACGGGCCATATATACTCGCGAAGGATCCTCCTATTTGAATCGAGCCTCGATGGCAGATTTGATGGCTGTAAGGGCCTTGTTAGTCTCGAGCCGGTCCCTTGGTTAGAGCATGTGGGCCACCTACCTTCCGTGGTAACTCTCGCGTCTCCGAAAAGCATCCTCGTGCCGGGCATGTAGAACATCGGGTTCGGGACATCAGCTACCGACAGATTAGCAACGCACTCTCTCCGCGGCAACATTCTGGTGTCTCCTTACCGTAACCGCTGGCCATCCCCCGCTTCATCACCACGACCTGCTTGCTCTTCCAGGCGTGCAGCACCGGCATGCCGGCAATCGGGCTCCCAGGCTCCAGCGCGATGGGGTTAACGGTATCATTGGCACCAATCACCAACGTCACATCCGTCTCGCCAAAGTCATCATTGATCTCATCCATCTCTAGCACGATATCATACGGCACGCTAGCCTCGGCCAGCAGCACGTTGCACTGCCCCGGCATGCGGCCGGCGACGGGGTGGATGGCGAAGCGGACGCGGACGCCCTTGGCGCGCAGCATCTGGGTGATGTCGGAGATGGCGTACTGGGCCTTGGCGACGGCCATGCCGTACCCGACCACGATGATGACCGACTCGGCGTTGGTCAGCGCCTCGGCCGTGTCATCGACGCTGGTCTGCGTCACGCTGCCCTCCACCTTGTAGTCGCTCGTTGTTGGGGCGGCGATGCCGCCGAACAGCACGTTGACCAGCGACCGGTTCATCGCCACGCACATGATGTACGATAGGATCGAGCCCGATACGCCGATCAGCGCGCCCACGGTGGTGAGGAGCGAGTTGTCCAGCATCAGTCCTTCTGCTACGAGCGCGAAGCCGCTGTAGGCGTTGAGCACGGTGATGACGACGGGCATGTCGGCGCCACCGATGGCGGCCGTGGTGGTGTAACCCTTGAGGAAGGACATGACGGTGTTGGCGGCGAGAGCGCCGGCGGCGATCATAGGGGCGCCAGGGGCCATGGTCACGAACGCACCCATCGTGGCGGCGTTGGTAACGAGGAGGCCCGAGTTGATGATGTGCCGACCGGGCAGCATTAGCGGCTTTGAGGACATCTTGCCGGCGAGCTTGAGGAAGGCGACGATAGAGCCAGTGAATGTGATGCCGCCGATAAGAACACCAAGGTACGCCGTGACCAAGTGCAGCGTCGAAACATGAGCCAGATCAGCCATGACGCTGCCGATACTAGTCAAGACGGCGGCCAGACCAACGACGGAGTGGAGAGCCGCGACAGTCTGGGGAAGATCGGTGGGAGTGATGCGCTTTCCAATCAAGAAACCCAAGATGCTGCCAATGGCCGCGAGCCCTCCGAACTGCGTCAAGACCTCGGGGGAGAACCCGACCGCCAGTAACGAGGCAAGGACACCGGATCCCACGCCGAGCATGCCCAACATGTTGCCCATTCGTGCAGTCGCCTGGGAGGCTAGGCTGGAGATCGAAGTGATGCAGAGCACGGAGCTCACGAGGTAGCCCGCTTGAACAAGGCCAGCAGCTCCAGTCGAGGCAGCCGCCAAAAAGCCACCACCGAAGAGAACACCGGGAATGGCATACAGCCACGGGTACTCTGGGGGGTCAGTCGGGCGCCGGAACATATCCAACATACGCTTGGTGATGACGAAGCCGCCGGCAACGTTGACAAAGGCCAGAAGAACCGAAGCGGAACCAAACATCTGGGGGATGGTCTCCGGGAGGTAGCCGCCGCCCAAGATGAACAAACCACCAACGCCAACCATTCCAGATATGGCGTTCGTGACACTCATCAGGGGCGAATGCAGAGCCGGGCTGACGCCCCACACGACGCGGTAACCGATAAGCGAGGCGAGGGCGAAAGTGAAGGCGTTGCCCATGAACAGGGGCCCGGTGAGCTTGCCCAGGGCGAGAGCTGAGCCCATGCCGCCGGTGATCAGCGAGACCTCGCGGGAGGCCTTCTGCCACGGCGTCAGGGCGACGACTTCGGCTTCCTTCGCCGCGGTTGGGGTCGGGGCGGGAGCGGGCGGCGGGGCGGGGCGAGGTGCAGGTGGGAGGATCTCGCCCTTTTGCGTCACGATCGCGCCTCGAACGACTTCGTCGCCTAGGTCAACACCGTATTCTTTATCCTTGGGAGCCATGGATAGGAGGAACTTGGTGATGTTGTTCGAGTACAGGGTCGATGATTGCGTGGGAAGCCTCGAGGGGAGATCAGTGTAGCCTGGAACTGTTAGATACGACGATTAAGAGAGACTGCCAGTGCCAAAGAAACGTACCGATGATTTTGACGTCCTTGTAGGTGATAAGCTTGCCGGGCTCGGTCTTTTCACAGTTTCCGCCAGCCTCGGCCGCCAGATCAACAATGACAGACCCGGGCTTCATGATCTCGATCATGGACTTGGTGATCAGCTTCGGGGCCGGTTTGCCAGGAATCAAGGCAGTGGTGATGATGATGTCCACCTCCCTCGCTTGTTCGGTAAAGAGCTTCATCTCAGCCTCGATGAACTCCTTGGACATTTCCTTGGCGTAGCCACCTGTGCCTGATCCCTCCTCGTGTAGCTCGACCTCGATGAACTCGGCACCGAGAGATTGGACCTGTTCGCGGGCAGCGGACCGGGTGTCGAAACCGCGCACGATCGCGCCGAGTCTCCTCGCTGTTACGATTGCGCTGAGTCCGGCAACACCAGCGCCAATGACCAAAACCTTGCCCGGCGGGATCTTGCCCGCAGCCGTGACTTGGCCAGTTAAGAAGCGGCCAAAGTTGTTGGACGCCTCGAGAACAGCCTTGTACCCGGCAATATTGGCCATGCTGCTGAGAGCGTCAAAGACCTGCGCGCGAGAAATCCGAGGGATCAGGTCCATGGCAAACGCGGTGGCCTTCCGGGCGGCAAGCTTCTCTACCAGCTGTTTGTTCTGCATCGGCTGGAGGAAGCTGATAATAGTCTGCCCCTCCTTAGCGCTACCAGCCTCGGCGGCGCTGGGCCCCCGGACCTTCAGGACGATGTCCGCGTCGTTCCAGACGGTAGAAGCATCATCGACGAGGGTAGCTCCCGCAGTTGCGTAGGCATTATCGAGAAAGTCAGCCTCAGCGCCGGCGCCTTTCTCGACCAACACTTTGGCAAACCCTTTCTTGAGGAGCAGGGCGACATTCTGGGGCGTTAGTGCGACGCGGCGTTCATCTGGGTACGTCTCCCGAGGCACTCCAACGCAAAGCTTGGCATAAGGCGTTGTCACCGTCGTCGATTCGGTGGAGTAAGCTGCGAGGCCGCCCTGGGGCAACTGGGACGGGATTGTTGACAAGACCGAGGCGTGACGGACAAGTTGCAGGGCCTGCACCTTCGGAGTGGTGAGTGCCAGGCTGGTGGCCTTGGGCGGCTCCCGTCGATGAGTCGCATGCCATGCTCGCTGGCATCCGAGGACAGCGCCGCGCGAGAGAGGAGCGGAGTCTGCGACCCGGGTTAGGATCCCGACCTCACGGCTCTAATAAATCCCGAGATTGATCAAACGCGACATTACTCACCAAGAAGACGGGCCACCGTCGGGACAAAAACGCGTTTGGCAACGCTCGTCGCGTGACGAGCGTTGCCAGCCACGGCAGGCTGGAGAAAAGAGGAAAGCATCATGGATTCCCGCGAGCGCCCACGCGGTCGAGGCAGACCAGAGAAGATACGATCATTAGTTCACATTCGAGGCGACTCAATAACCAAGAATATCAACAGGGGAGAGTCGTCGGTGATACCAGAAATGGTGGAAGGAGGAAATGGGAGTTTGTTGAAAACTGGTATTGGTTTCGTGTGTCACCGCTCTTAGGTACACGACATCAGTGGCTTGCAGGTGTCAAACCATTGGGTCGTGTTTCACCTGCGACGATTCTGTGACAGGTGTTGGACGACATACAGAAACTGTCATGAGGCGCCCAAGGCGAGTGAAGGAGATGCAAATGGATGATTCGAGCCTTGGTGGCCTGGGAGCCCAGGACAGACCTACCCCGCCTTTCCCGTTCCCGTGCGGGGTTCGTCTCAACCCGTGGATCCATGGATGTTCCAGCCAAAAACCGGGTGAAAAATATCCGGTAAAGATGGGAAATGCACGGGCGGTTGGATGAGAACGGGATGCAAAAGAGCCAAAACAGGCCAACACGCGCCATCGCGTGGGGTTCTTTATGGCTTCTGACCTTGCCAAGAATGCACCAGCCGTCAAATCCGGCCATTTCTGGGGCAAATGCGGGGGTGGGGTTGGTGGGGCTTGCATCTGTGGAGTCGATGGTGGGCGACCCCAACCGTCAGCTGGTCCTCATCCGGCCCACCCGGCTGCAGGCGCTCTCCTTCCCCTCGAGTTGAAGAGACTCCATCCGTTCGTCCATTGCATGGCTCGGCGATAATTCATGGTGTTGCACAACATGAAAAGCCCCAAAGAGCTCTCACCTAACCCGGAACTGGATCTGACACCGACAAATTCCATCTCGTGATACGTGTTAGAATTGACGACGTGCATGGAACCAGCACAGTCGCACCGCATCCCGCGATTTCACAGCGCCTTGGAGAGCACGAAACTCAAATACCGAGGTACTTTCACAAAATTCTAAACGACGTACCTCGAGAACGCGCCTCTAAGGTACACGAACGTTCCAACATTTTGTCGGCCAATTCGGCGGCTCGTATCGGCTATTGTGATTCACCTAGGAACGGATATTATTCCGGGGCATAGATATATCTGCCGCCATACCCCCGTAGCCGGGCCGATACACCACGTCCCAATGCTTCCTCTAAGCGCGCGGATGATACGGATGTTTTTGTTTCCTCACCTCACCTTGGTTGGGTAACCCCGTTGGCGAGAGTCAGAGTCAAGGAGGGCGCCCTCTGTAAAACCCACCCATTGGCGGACGGATGGACAGGACGAGTGTAACCAACCCAGACTACCAAGGTTTACTCCCGCTATGTAATCTGTGCTGGATTAAAGTACCTCCTTCAATAAACGAGCTATGGTTTAAAAAAGGAAATGAATGCTTGTAGCGGGATGACCGAACAACTAGCATGTACCTACCTGGTTAGAGTTCCGTCTCCTCGGGTTCGCAAATGCTACTCTTGGCGAGCGAATTTGTCTCGGCACTATCGTACACTGCGCCAAGTCACGATCCCTTCCTTGTTATTGTTGTCCCGGTAGTTAGTTACATCGCATTAGTTGGTATTCAAACGTGCACTCCTTACCTTCCTAGTCTACTATGGGACTAGGTTAGGTAGTTCCATGCAACCATTCCATCTACACTGGAATGGTTTCAAATGACTAGTTCCCTCCGTTGTTGCTATATTGAACGAGGACACACACCTACCAACCTGAAGGACACCAATGGAGGGTGTTTGGGGATTTGAATCGAGCACACGGCGCTAGTTCTTCAACCCATCGCACAACGCTGCTGCTCATAAGCAGGAGATGCACCGTCAGCTCGCCATCCCAAGTATCCAGGCAATGGCGGCGCAACATATCCAAATCGGACTCGGAGATACTTGAGTTAGGACACGAGGCCCATAGAGCGGTGGGAAGGGGGAGAGAAAGGTAAAAGAAAATAGGTGAAAAAGAAAGAAAAGAAAACGAAACATGATGCCATACCCACGTGTTCATGGGGAGCATCGAGTTGTAAACTGATAAGGTTTTATTGGCCATGTTTTGTTTGGCGAACTTGCGTGTCGACACATGGTTCGGAGTTGGCGGGCCGGAACAGCGGATCTCACACTCACTTTTGACGCAATTCCTAATCGAAGATATCTTTGAGACTCCGGTGGTTGAGGCACAGAGATGAAAGGGGACTAGGCGGGCGAGATTGTGTGAAGGTTTCCTGAAACCCGCGGACGGTGCAGCTCCTTTGGGTAGGTGGGCGGCCAATCCCTCAACACCATCGACTTATCCACCAATCAGCTACGGGACTGTGCCCCTGAAAGTCCACGCCGAGATGGAGGACAACCTCCATGGACCTGAAAGCGTACCGAGTACGAAGGGGATGCGGGCCTTTTTGGGGTTATTTGAGTCTTTATAAGTAGGCCATGTTTGTGCTTACCCAGATGATCTTTTTATTACCGTTGCAAGCGTCGTAAATCACTCGACAGATCTTCAACAGTTTCAAAAATGGCCCCCCTGGCATCCGCGGCCCTCATCCTGGGTAGCCTCGCTAGCCTCGTTGCTGGCCATGGCTATCTCAAGAGCATCACCGTCAACGGCGAGGACTATCTCGCGTGGCAGGTTGGCCAGGACGACTACGTCACCCCGACACCGGTTCGTTACGCCCGGAAGCTTGCCGACAACGGCCCAGTTCCGGACTTTACCAGCAATAACATCACGTATGTTCGAACCCCAGTCCATATTCTATGAGACTTCTGCTGACTGAAAACTTAGTTGCGGTGCAGGTGGTAACATCCCCGCCGAGGGAGTTATTGACCTGAAGGCCGGCGACACTGTGTACGACACTCCCCCTATCCTTCTGTCCATTAACCACGCTAATGCAACCCGCTTCAAAGTTCCCTCAACTGGGATCAATGGGGTAGCTCTCACAGCGGTCCGGTCTTCACGTGAGTTATCCCCCCTCTCCCAACCTCACTCATCAAACCGCCCACCCTAACAAACCATCCCCTCAGATACCTCGCCCACTGCACCAACGACGACTGCAAGACCTTCAAGGGCGACAGCGGCGACGTGTGGGTCAAGATCGAGCAGCTGGCCTACAACCCCGCGGGGACCCCTCCCTGGGCCTCCGACCTGCTCCGCGAGCAGGGCGCCAAGTGGCAGGTGACCATCCCGCCCACGCTGGCGCCGGGCGAGTACCTGCTCCGGCACGAGATCCTCGGCCTCCACGTGGCGGGCGTGCGGATGGGCGCCCAGTTCTACCCGAGCTGCACCCAGATCCGGGTCACCGAGGGTGGCAGCACGGCGCTGCCGGCGGGGATTGCGCTGCCGGGCGCGTATGACCCCGATGATGCGGGTGTAAGTGTTTTTTCTTTCAGAGTTGGGGTGTTGGTCTTGCAGTGAGCTAACAAGTCTCGACACTAGATCCTGGCTGAGTTGTGGAGGATCAACCAGGGCCAGGTCACTTACACGGCCCCGGGAGGAGATGTCTGGAGCGAGGCGGCGCCCAATGCCAACAGGGATGGCCCGTAGATGCATTGAGCTTGTTGGGGTTGGAAATATATTTCGACGAACCACGACTGCGGTGTTGTCGTTCCAAGATATGAAGCCAATGGCATGTGACTGTTGCGCATATGCTGTCTATTTGACTTGAACTTGTTTATGTTGTTGACAATTGACTCTCACAATATGCCAACAAAGACATTGCAACCCCTGAAGCCGAAAGTGCCATTAACCCCTGCCAGGTATCATTCCCGAGTTCAATCGGGTCTGGCATCTGCAGATCGCCAGCGGACGCGCTTTATATTGGATCGGACGGGAACAAGCGATTTTGCCCAGAAACACGGCTCTGCGGAAGTCCTTCCTCCGCCCTCCAGCTCGTCGGCGTGTATTTCGCCGAGGCTTAATCCCGTCATCCGCTCGACAGTAACTGAAGCGCGCAAATGCTTCGACGTATCCTGTTAACCGCCCTCGGAGACTCGTAATGGCCCTCAATATCCGCTGCAAGGGACGATGGCCCGATGGCCAATGAGGGGGAGTGATCAACCGTCAGAACACCAAGCTTTGCAGAGGATAAAGTAGGTTCGCGCCGAGGACCCGCGATGCCAGGATTGATCCCGACGGAGGGCCGTTGACTGTCCCCTCAACTGCGGTGGCGACACTGGGGTGTCGTGTGTATAAAGAAGGGCTGATGGGGCCTCCTAATCTTGGCCATTGTGCCTCCAAGTCGGTTTCACCTTGGTCCATCCGAGGTGTACTCATCCTTCTTGACAACGGTCTACAATCATGAAGTTCTCAACATCATCGGCGGCCATGTGCGCCGCTCTGCTCCCAGGAGCATCGGCAACCATCTACTTCGCCGGCGTCGCCCAGTCAGGCGGCGAGTTCGGCGTCTGGAGCGAGGATGCAACCAAAGGAACCGGCTTGCCAGGCCGGTTCGGAACCGACTACCAGTTCATCGACACCGCGGGTGTTGACATCATGGTCGACGAGCACAAGGTCAACCTCCACCGCGTCGCCTTCCTGGTGGAGCGCATGTGCCCGCCGGCGGACGGCCTCGGAGCCAAGTTCAACGAAACCCACTTCGACCACTTCAAGGAGGCCGTCGACTACATCACCGTGACCAAGGGCGCTTGTGCGTTTCTCCCTCCCCCCTTACCCTGTTCGCCCCTTCTTCGCAACCACTAACAAACCCTAGATGCCATCCTGGACCCGCACAACTACATGCGGTACAACGACCCCTCCTCCCAGCCCTACAGCGGCAGCGTGATCGGCAACGCGTCAGACCCGACAGCGGCAACGACAGCCCAGTTCGGCGAGTTCTGGGGAGAGCTCGCAGGACGGTTCGCAGACAACGAGAAAGTCATCTTCGGCCTGATGAACGAGCCGCACGACATGTCGAGCGCGGTGCTGCTGGACAACCTGCAGGCGGCGGTGGACGCGATCCGGGAGACGGGGGCGACCAACCTGATCCTGGCACCGGGCAACTCGTGGACGGGCGGGCACGGGTGGACCGAGGGCGGGGACGAGGCGAGCAGCGCGTGGCTGCACAAGCTGGCGGACCCGGCCAACAACACGGCCATCGACATCCACGAGTACCTGGACGAGGACTTCAGCGGCAGCCACACGGCCTGCACGCAGGACCCGGCCGAGAACCTGGCCGGGGTCACGGCCTGGCTGCGCGAGCACGGCCTCAAGGCCATGATCACCGAGTTTGGCGGCTCCAACACCACCGAGTGCACCACCATGCTGAACGGCATCCTGGACTACATGGCCGAGAACGAGGAGTACATCGGCTGGACGGCGTGGGCGGCGGGCCCGTTCTGGGGCCCCAACAGCCCGTGCTGCACCGACCAGGAGCAGTTGGGCAGTCTGGAGCCGGGGAGCAAGGCTGCCGGTGGGGCGCCGAGTCTGTATGACACCGTGTGGCTGCCCGTGTTCCAGAAGAAGGTGCCGGCGAAGCTGCAGTGGAGCGGGATGGCGAGCGTCGAGGGCGGCGAGTTGACGGAGAAGGCGTAGGGTCTCCCAGAAGGGGCCCAGGGGATATATGTATGTTGGTCGAGTTGGAGGGCGGTGGATGGTTGGGAAACAACAAGTATATTACTTCGCTTCATGGTAGTTAGTGAAAATAACCTTGCTTCTGCTCAATCGCTTACACAACATGGCCAAGCTGTCTCAAGTCGGCGGATATGAAAGGAGTCGAAGAACAGTATAGGGGTAATTAGGGGTTAGGGTTGGTAGAGGTGTCCAGGTCGCACCCTGGTGTGGGCTGGGCTGCCAAGCCAGGGTCCAGCGCTTGAACCAGTGGCGCCTTTGAAACGCGCCCCTCGCACCTTCTGGAACGGATCGACAGGAGCTGGGAGATGCCACAACAATGTCTCGCCGTTGATGTCGCGGGGCCGAATCGAGCAGTTTTTGCGAGTGATGGGAGGAAGGACGGGGATGTGAATTAGAGGGAAAACATAATTTCCGGTTTGCACGTGGACGGGAGTGACGAAGACGTTCGGTACCAGATACTGTGTACCTGAGCTTGGTGTTCGAAGTCAGTGGGTGAGTGACAAGAATTTTCAAGTTACCTGGAGACAAAGTATGGAAGGACCAGACCACGTCCCCTGGTGCCCGCGGAAATTGAGAAACAGCGCGTCACCCTTCCCTTTCTCACCAAGACAACTCCAACAAGTTTCTCTCCAACAAACATCCGACGTGATAAATGGTCAAATTTTCAGCCCCATCAGGTCCCAGGCCGCCTTGGGAAACGCGAGGACCGAACAAACGGAACAAAATGCCCGCACGGGAACAAGCACGCTCCGACTCCGCCGGGGTGCTCCGGATATGGAGTTCGCGCGATTGGCTAGCAGTGTGACGCTGCCCCGGAACCTTCGACATCCGGGGCCGAAACAAGGCCAGCATTTCTGACCGCCGTGGCGCGTATCCCATGCCATTGGACAAAGCAGCAGACGCAACGGAGCGGCAACGGCTGCAAACACGTGCAACGGCCAGGCAACTGGCCAGAACCCGAACCAAACCCGCCGGTAACTTCACTTCCGCGCCTCCAGGAAGCAGCGTCTTCCCACCGGGCCGGTTCGGGTCGGTCTCGTGGTTCGTCTGTACTGGAAAAATTGGTTCATCCTAGCCCTTTCGAGCTTTGATGAGATGAGCGGGAATGAGAATGATAAGCACGGTTCTGATGGAAACCGTCAGTTCCGACGGCCAGGAAGTTTGGAACCCGGGAAATGGAACCCAGGAAGGCCCTGCGGCTTGCGGCTCATGAGACAGTCGCCGCAACGTCGCCCCGGAAAGCTTGGGCCATTGCCAAAAGGGTCACAGAACTCTGGTCTCAAATCCGAAACGAGGAAAGTTACTGCCTCAGCCGGCAAGCTTCAGTGCCGTTTTACACTCTTCCAGCCGCCCTTTTCGTCTGAATGCCGACCATGTTACGTGTTCCGGACGTTCTCCATCTGGTCTCATGGTCAGCTAGACCCCTACCCACGCCGAGATCAGCTTCGGCACAAAAGGTTTATCACCGCATCTCGGTCCGGTCTTCGACTTTCTTTGTCTCGGTTCTTCCGCTTTTTCATCATTATTGTGTTACGTTCTTCCACTCCTTCGACCCATTGAGCCTAGTGTGCTGACGGGCGAAGCCACATAAGAGCGCATTATCATTCCCTAGTCCCTCTCCCCGTTCGCCCGTCATGCCGCTCAGCCTGCCTCGTCTCCCTGCCCTCGCTGCAGCTCACCTTCGAGACCTCAAATTACGCTGGGTATCATTGAGCCAGAAACAGTGGTCAAAGATGGCTCTCCAATCCTCGCTACTCCACGTCTCCGCCGTCGCGCTCCTCGTCCTCTTCTCCCTCCTCCTCAGCCACGGAGAGTCAGCAGCGACACCCTGCGTTTGTGTCACCCACGATCATGACAACCCGATAGCAGAGTTGTTCCCGAACAACGCGACGGGTGTTTTGAACGCGACGCTGGCCATCATTCCGATCCCGTTGGAGACGGCGCGAAGCCTAATTCCACCCCAGTACGGCATTCTCGAACGGGCTTACCGGGCCCTGCTCCCCAGTTTCCCCGAGGGGATGTATCCGGTGATGGTGCAGGCGGCGCATGACCACGATATCCAGTTTCTGGCCTACGGAATCACCCTCGAAGACTTTTCGGTTCGTGTCTCGGTCGGATAGTCTGCATATGGGGTGATATTGACCAATTCTAGCGTGTTGGGTTCGAGTTTCCGTTTCTCGATCTCACCGGGGACGGCTATTCTTCTTTCCGCTGGGCACCGGCTCAGCTTATCAGCGCCGCAAACGAGATCGCCGTAGAAGGGTCACGAGCATACGGCACCATCGTTTCTCCAGCCAAGTATGAGCCGGTGTGTGACGCGTACCGGGGTCTTCCCAATGGGAACACGTATTTCAGGGGCACCAGTCTGGCGTCCCCCGAGTTCGTTGAGCTGGAGATGGCACGCGTTTCGCATCAAACATTGAATCCTTACCCGGTGGAGTTCTTCAGGAACATTACGAACCAGCCCACCTTTGCGAACGCTACGTCATGCGACAACATGATCCGGCTATTCAACACGACCATGTCGGTCGGCGAGTACGCGCCTGTGCCCGTGCGTGGCAGGGTCAAAGCCCACACTCTCCCCTTCGGAGCCGAGATGGAGTGGACGGATATCTATGGCGTGCAGGTGGCGACGCCGTTCATTGAGAACAACTACCTCGACTGCGAGACCATGAGGGGGTACTCGGGAACCGGCGGGCCAGGCGACTCGTATATACCTGGACCTCCCTCGGATGATGCACTGTAAATGAAAATTGTAAATAGTAATGATACCCGGCGTGGTCAGCCTGCCAGCAAGGTGCGGTGCCCACAGCTAATGTACAAAGACAGAAAAAAGATAGAACTTGAATAATAATCCCAATAAAGAAAAGAAAATGGAGAAATAAAGGAGAACGGAGAAATAATGGACGGAGGAAATAACTATAGGAAGGCAACTAATTGGAAACGAAATATTTCGAGAGGTACCTCGGTACGCACCTCGTAGACAGAAAAACCCGAACTCCAAGTGCAGATGTCGACAATGGAAATTTCGACTCAACCGGAGGAACAAACCGAAAGCTATTTTGAAGCCTAAAGAAACTGCATTTACTCCATTTCCTTTTCTTCTCCCGTCTTTTCTTATTTGGTTTACTTTTCTGGATCTAATTTTATTTGTCCTTTTTGCTTGACTTCTCGCTTTCCTTTCGACTTCGGCTTTTTGGGGCTAGGGGCAGGGGGTGGGACGTACGCTTTCGAGGTTCAGCCCACAGATGCCAATTGCACCCAACATCCATTGATGGTGGGGCTGGCGGCGGTGTGCGGCCACAGCCTGCAGGTCCCGCCGTGCGAGTTGACAGTCGCACACGCGTCTCTCAGCATGGATCGCTTTGGCGGCCACCGAGAAGGATTAGGTTTTTGGCCGTCATCTAGAGAAACCCAACGCTGTCTCGACTTTTTCGTCTTTTGCCCGTCCACAGTCCATCGCATTACCGCTCCAGTTTTCAACCTTTGAATTTGAATTTCCGAGTAAGCCCGACGACTTCAGCATACTACCTTACCTACCTTACCGTAGGCTACCTACTTCAGCATCATGGCTTCGTCGGTTTTCCGCTTCGCACCCCTTCCCAGTCCGCCGGTGCCCCTCCCCGGTGTCCCGGGCCCCAAACTAGCCCCTTTCACTCCGAATGCCCGAGCCGACATCGAGTTTATTGAGTTCCTCGGTGAGGAAAACAACGTGGACTCTCAGGTCTGGAAGGTCAAGATCAACGGAGCTGGGCAGCCTGGCCTGTTTGCTCTCAAGATGGTACGTGATGAGGCGCGGCACGTTGGTTCGGCGCCAGTTCAGTCCACTCGGAATCTAACTCGGAGTGCCCTCCCTAGTTTTACTTCCGCCACTCAAACTTTCTCCGTAGAGACCCGGGCGGGGACCTTACGACGTCACTCGCCAACTCTCAGCTCTATGCCGACTACTTTGACCCTTTCAACTGTGAGTGCCGTGCCTATGGCCGACTCAAGGAGGAAAACCGCGAGGACCTGGCCGCCAAAGCCTACGGCTATCTCCTCCTCACCCCCGAGCAGGAAGCTGGCTTGGCCCGGGACGTGACGGGCGAACCCAGCCCGCCCCCCGACGCCGAGGAGGACGAGCCCCTGGATGGCCAAGGTTTCTGGAGGCGGTGGGAGCAACACCGCGGACTGCCTCTCCGGGCCATCGTCAAAGAACTCGTCCCCAGGGGGGGACTGAATCCCAACCTGGCCCAGGGCATGTGGGCGGACCTGAAATCCCTTCACTCTCTGGGTATATTTGTGGGAGATACGCACGGCGGCAACTTCATGGGCGGGAAGCTCGTCGACTTCAGCCGCTCATGGACCATGTACCATCCGGCCATGGTCCAAATCCGCGACAAGACACTGCAAGACATGATGTTAGTAGAGCTACAGGATCTGCTAGACTATTGCTACTTCTTAAAGAGCAGTTTGAGGGCGATAGCCATCCCTGACGACCTTGAGGCTTTCTGCTCGGGGCACCTTGCCGAGTACAAAGGTTTCCCGTGGGCCTACAACTGGCTCAAGTGGGAGAAGAACGCCGACGCGGCACAAGCGTTTGTGGAAGAAGAGCTATTTGAGAGGGAGGCTCATTGACATCGCGGCGCTGCCGTGGACCTTTTGTAATGTAAGATTTACTGGCTATCTCTCTTACTCTGACGAACCTGGGCTTACGGAATAGCGAGAGGGGTAGTAATGATTCATGGCTTAACATGCGGCTTTATGAGGCAGAGGCGCTTGGTGGCCACAACGCAGCATGTTTCTGACCGCGTTAACCGTGCTTGTTCGTTGCCAGTGCTTGTGAAGTCCTCCAGTTGTACAAACGCCATATATAGTGAAATTCAACCCCCGAGCAAGCTAGGAGGTCCTTACAAATCAAGATCCCGATTTCACAACATCACACCCCCTCTCCCCTCCTCTTCATCCGCACCTCCAGCCCCTCCTGGCGCGGAAACCAGCTCCCCACCACGGTCCACTCACACTCCGGCCGCACCAGCTCTATATCATAGCACAGCGCCAGCGTCGCGACCACTTTGTACACCTGCATGAGCCCCACGTGCTTGCCGACGCACATCCTCGAACCAGCACCGAAGCTCAGGTCCGCGTCGTTCATGGCCCGCAGCCGCCGCGCGAACCCGTCCTCGCTCTCCCCCTCCCCGCGCAGCCACCGCTCCGGCCGGAAGGCGTGCGCGTCCGCGCCCCACACCCCGCGGTTGCGGTTGATGATGTACGGGTTGAAGGCGAGGATCGTGCCCTGCGGCACCGACGTTTCAGAGCTGCCGGGCCCATGTTGTTGCGACGGCACTGGCAGGCGCTGGCCGCCGGCGGGCACGTAGCGCTCCAGCCCCAGCGAGACGCCGGGCAGGTAGCGGATGGCCTCGCGCACGACGGCGTCGAGGTAGGGCAGGCGGCGCGCCTGCTTGAGGCTCACGATGGACGGGTGCTCCGAGTCAGCGGCGGGAGGGGGGGTGAGGCCGGCGTCGGCCAGCTCGGCGCGCAGGCGCGCCCACGCGCCCGGCGTGCGCAGCGTGTAGTAGAGTGCTGACCGGATGGAGATGGCGGTCGTGTCGGCGCCCGCGCCCATGTTGATCATGACCCACCCCACCATCTGCGTGTCGGTGATGGTCGGGTCGGCCGTCTTGGCCTCGATGAAGCGGTCCAGGTAGTCGGGCTGCGCGGGGGTGTTACTGCCCTTCGACTCTCGCGACGACGCGTCGGCGCCCTGGTACCGCGCAATCAGCCGGCCCACGCAGGTTGCGCCGAGAGCGGTGAACCCCCCCGGGCGCTTGAAGAGTTGCACGACACGGTTCTTTTCCAGCATGCGGTCGAGGAATGGCATGCATCCTACCCATGAGAAGTAGTCGACGAGCTCCTCGGCCGCGCGGAGCGTGCCGTCAAAGTCGGTGCCTGTGGAGAGGTAGCCGAAGGGCTGGGAGAATGTCACGTTGCCTACGACGTCCCAAGCATCTAATGAAAGCGCGTCGAGGTTCGTTAGATACGGGTTTCTTTCTTTTCTTTTCCCTGTGATAGGGGGGACCGAGGGGACGAGGGGGGGGAATGGAAAGAGCCCACTAACAGTACAAAATCCACTTTCCGAGGTCAAAGCCTTTTCCGGTAGCATCACTGGTTGCAACGAATCTCTTGTCGAGCTCGCTACAGAGCTGCGTGATTGTCTCGTTTATGAGCGGTTCGAGAGACGCAACTGCGGCTGGGGAGTAGTACTTGGCGATCGGCTTCTTGTCCGCCGCGTGCTTTTCCTCGTCGTCCTGGGTAAAGATGTTGTGCACGACTTTGCCGTCGATAAAGGGGCTGCCGGAGCTGTAGTAGCCCGTCTTGTTATGAACGATGTTTTGTTAGCAACGGGAGCTGCATAGCGATACGTGTAAGATGAGGGCTAAGCGTGGAACCTTTTTCCAATTCCCCTTGGTGCTGAAAACGGTTTTAATCAGCGTAGGGTCGTCCACATCGAGGACGTTTGGTCCGATGCGTACAACTGGTCCGTACTTCTCATGAAGCCGGACGAGGACGTGCTGGAAATTGCCTTGAGTGATATGGTAGATTCGCCAAAGGTTGGTAAATTCTAGACACCATTAGTTATTGAGATCAATGGGCTTTAAACTGGCCTGCAAGGCGAGTTGGGAACTTGAAGTTGCCTACTAGCTAGGAATGGACCCGGATATTGCCGCAGCGGAGAAGTGAGGTAGGTGCCGAGGGAGTAGGCCAAAAGGAGTGCCAGAGTCGCCAGCAGGTATTGCGTGACCCCCATAGTTGCGAGTATCTGGCCCGGCATAGGCACTCGAACATGCTCGCTCATCTTTGCCAGTGTCTGTTAGTGAGTGTCTGTTGCTATCTCCGTGGTGGGCCGTCGTAAGGCCTCGGCTTAGTGCGAGGTGAGAGCCAGGAGACGAGCCTCGAGCACAGAAGATGCCACGAGGGAGTATTTGAAGCGGGGAAGCTATGGTTGCTACCCGTCTCCATCGTCAATTCCGTGTCGAGACCTTTCGGCAGTTGCAGGGGTCAGTCACGATTAACCTGCAGGCAGTGAGGCGTAGCCAATCACACCAGGCATCACATATCTCGGGAGGTCAGCATTCTTGTCGAACGAGTGAGTGCCGTAAGTGCTTGGCTGTTTTAGTCACCTTGATGCAGGCATTCAGGCTGCGTTCGACATCCCCGCGCCAATAGGAGCAAAAGTAGTGGCAATTATTCGTCCCTACCCAGTCCGCATACGGCTACCGGGCGGTAACTTTGTCCAGATCAGTCCAAAACCCAACCCACTTGCAACCATCTCCACTTGGGCTGTTGGACACGCCGGGGTTGCAGCTCGACACTCACACCGCACATCCATTGCCCCGGTTCAGTAGTTTCTGCTCGCTTCAATCCAGACAACGCATTTCAGCCACGATCGTTTCCACAGGGAAGGAGTGTACTAAGGTAATCGATGTTGCATCATTCCTATAGAGTGATGGCGTTCTACCATTGTGTTGACGATGCCTTGGGTAACCCCCAGTGCCGTGATCTTTCCCCGATAATTATGTACACTAGATATTCACCCTTTTTCTCCTTCGAATGTTAGCTAAAATGTACATGTACCTACCAAAGTATTCTGTAGTGGATTTCTGAATGGGTGTATACGGCTAATTACGTCAAAACGATAGAGAAGTGTTCGACATAACAAATAGCTAGGTCCAATCCTATAAAAGCTCATTAGGTAGCTGAAACTAAGAGGACAAGTCGGGGATCGCGGTGCCACGGTATCGAGCGCTATTGGTCCTCGACTCGGCCGATGCAAGTCAGGGAGCGGATTCTCGGTTTGTCTTCCAATATAGGTATTCAACCTGGGTGATTGGCTGCGGTGACAAGCCACCACTGACATGGTATTCGTAGAGGTCTTCTATTTGTCCGCCGAGACCTCCTTCGCTGCCCAACGCCCGCGCCCGAGACGTGGACGTCGTTGTCGTTGTCCTGTCCTGCCAATAACCCCCGAAGGCCAAAACATCTTCTCTTCGCAGGGGTCCATGTCTCCATCTATACCCGTCGGTGCAAGCGTCATGTCGAACCCGAAGAAATATACCGTCGGCTGGATCTGTGCTATCAAGGCCGAATACGTCGCCGCGCAGGCCTTGCTGGACCGCCCCCAGAGTACGTTTACCAAACGATAACAACGACTACACTCTAGGTCAGATAGGAGACCACCATGTTGTGATAGCCGTCCTCCCTAAAGGAGAATACGGCACTTCGTCAGCAGCGGTCGTCGCGCGGGATATGCTGCACACCTTCATGAATATCCGGTTTGGCCTGATGGTCGGCATCGGGGGCGGGGCCCCGAGCCGCAGGCACGATATACGCCTGGGCGATGTCGTGGTCAGCTCTACTGCGAATGGGAACGGCGGTGTCTACCGGTATGACTTTGGCAAAGCGATCCAGGACCAGTGCTTTCAAACGACGGGATTCCTAAACCAGCCGCCACCTCTCCTTCGGACAGCCGGCCACGGCCTAGAGGCGATGTACGACCTGGATGGCAATGATCTGGGAGCCAAAATTACGTCAACGCTCGAAAAGAGACCGCAGCTACGAGATACGTACGGCAGACCGAATCCCCTCAGCGATCGTCTTTACCAGAGCAAGGTCACCCATCCACCCGAAGCGTCGACGGCGAGCTGCGAATTCACCTGTGGAACAGGGCCGTCATCCCTTGTCCTGCGGCCGGAACGATCCGCAGGGAATTCCGGCGTGGTCGTCCACTACGGTCTCATTGCCTCGGCTAACCAACTGATGAAGGACGCGAGGACGCGGGATAGACTGGCAGAGGAGAGCGATGTGCTGTGCTTTGAAATGGAGGCCGCTGGGCTGATGAACCATTTCCCCTGTCTGGTCATCAGGGGTATCTGCGACTACTCAGATAGCCACAAGAATAAGGCGTGGCAGGGCTACGCCGCAATGGCGGCGGCAGCGTATGCAAAGGATCTTCTCGACCGAATCCGCCCGAGCAGTATTGAGGCTGAACAGAAACTCGGACACCTCAGTGAGTTCATTCGACACACCTCTCCCCCGCCCACCCTTTCTTGGAGATATCTTATGTCTGACATGCTCGCCAGTCTGGGGCTTGAATTCCAAAATAGAGTACCTCCACGAAGATGTAAAGGCCGGGTTTAGTATTTCCGGAGAAGGAACGTAACAAGTTGAAAGGTCTCCCTAACTCCATGTGGGGGCGGCATATCCTAACATTCTTCCAGATCACAACAACAAGAAACGCAACGAGATACTGGATTGGATTTCCCCTTTTGATTATGGCCCTCAGCAAACCGATCACTTGAAACGAAGACACCCGGGAACCGGCCAATGGCTGCTGGACTCGGATGGGTTTCGGGAGTGGCTGGGCGAGCGGGCGAAGACAATGTTCTGTGCGGGAGGTCCCGGCACCGGTAAGACCATCCTCACCTCCATCGCCATCGAGGACCGGCAGACACGGTATCGAGACGACCCCAGCGTTGCCGTCGCATATATATATTGTAATGACCGCAGGGGACAGGAGCAGACGCTAGAGGCCTTACTCGGCAGCCTGCTCAAGCAGCTCCTCCAACCGCTCCGGTCCTTACCGGCTATCGCCGAGGACCTCTACGATCTCCATAACGGCACACAAGCACCCCGGATAGAAGGTGCCAAGCCCCTCCACATGGTCCGGGGGCCGGTCCAGGGCGGGCTACCCGACGCCGTCAACCGCTGGTTCAGCTGGCACGCCGACCGCAAGACGCGGCCGTCGCTAGAAGAGTTATCAAGGGCGCTGGCCACCATCACCGGCCTCTACTCTAGGGCCTTCATTGTCGTCGATGCCTTGGACGAGTGCCAGTCGGCAAATGGGTGTCGACCGAGACTCCTCTCCGCCGTCTTCAACCTGCAATCCCAGTGCGGAGCGAACTTTTTCGCCACGTCGCGCCCCATGCCAGAGATCACCGACGTCTTCCACGGAAGCATTCACCTGACCGTCCGCGCCCGCGAGGAAGACGTGCACAAATACCTCGCTGATAACATGTCGTGGTGGCGGCCGTCGATCCGAAAAGACGTGGGACTCCAGGAAGAGATCATAGACGAAATATCAGCTATCGCTGACGGTGTGTAAGTCTTCTCTACGAGGAACCCACTTCTGGCCAGAGCGATTCTGGTTTTATATATTCATACCTACTTTTGCTTACCAACGTCTTTTCCCTCAGGTTTCTTCTAGCTCACCTACTTCTTGGATCTCTCCAAGACCTGACTACGGTCAAGGCGCTGAGGGGCGCCTTAGCCCGGTGCCGGGGCGAGGGCCACGGACAAGACGGAGAGATCCTGGCAATTGCATATGAACACACTATGGAGAGGGTTATTGAGCAAAAGAAGGGGCTTGCGGAGCTGGCGAAAAAGGCGTTGCAGTGGATTGCTTGGGCGAAGAGACCCCTTAGAGCGCTTGAGCTGCGACATGTCCTCGCGGTCGAGGCAGACGCAGCCGAGCCTGTCGAGGATTGCACTCCAAAAATCGGCGATATTGTCTCTGTATGTGCTGGCCTGGTCATAGTGGACAAACGAAGCGGCATTGTCCGCCTTGTCCACCCCACAGCTCAGGAATACCTCGAGCAGACGACGCAGCGGTGGTTCCCCGATGCCCACCGTACCATTACCAGGGCTTGCATTGCTAGCCTAACGCACGGCGAGACCCACGCCTTGTACGAGTATGCCGTTGCCAACTGGGGCCACCATGCCCAGGCAGCCGGACTGGACGTTGAGGGGGATGTCATGGTCCTGCTGGGGGATAACAGTATCGTCTCCAGGTGCATGTGCGCCCAGCAGGCAGCAGTCTACTCTCAACTCGTTGCCACTGGCTCGACTTCTAGTCCCCCCTTTAGGGGGGGTGGTGCGGGCGCGGTACACCTAGCGGCCTGTTACGGCCTCGTGCGGGCGTTGGCGGCCCTACTTAGGGATGGGCGCAATCCCGACGCCAAGGACAGCTATCACCGCACACCCCTCTCCTACGCGGCGCAGGGCGGCCACGTTGACGTCGTTGAGCTGCTTCTTGCCATGGATAGAGTCGATCCAGATTCTGCAGACGGCCTCGGGCGCACACCGTTGTGGTGGGCGGCAAACGGGGGGCATGAAGCTGTGGTTAGGTTATTGCTCGATACCGGTCAAGTGAAGCCGGACTCGGACCAGTTCGTGTGGCCGGTGTTAACGACCAGGAGCGCGTTGGGAATTGTGATTTGTAGCATCGCGCTGCTCCCGTTCCTGGCTTGGATGCTGCAAGAGTCTCACCGCCGTCATACACCGCTGTCAGTTGCAGGCAGAGTCCTGGGCTTCCTAACCTTGAGGCCGGTGCCGGCCATTGTTCTGTCAGCGGCGTTCGCCCTCTCTGTGCACGGGGCTCGCCGGAGGCCCCGCGGGATGGAGAGACCAGTGCTGCTACCCCGGCCCGGTAAAACGTCCGGACGCGGGATAGCACGGCTCGCGTCGCCACGGCCCCCGAACGGGCTCGACCCAGACGCGCGGGATGCCAACGGACGAACGCCCCTGTGGTGGGCAGCGAACGCGGGGCATGCAGAGGTGGTGAGTCTTCTTCTCGCCTCGGGTAAAGTTGATCGAGACGCCGCGGACAAGCGTGGCTGGACGCCGCTATCCAGGGCCCAGCTTAAAAAACACGGCCCTGTTCTCGAGCTGCTTGCTGCCGACGGGTCCAAGCCGAAGCCCAAGCCCAAGGAAGCGAACCTGATGGTTCATAGGACCCTTGTCGTGGTGGTATTAGTAGTCGCTCAAGTACTGCTACTCCTCCTGGCAGCGATATTCTTCCGGTTACGCACCTTGTGGATGGTATTGGAGTTCTCGACTCTCTGGTGGATATGGGGCCACTTACATGTAAACAGGCCAGCCCCCCGGGGCTTGCCATATTTGGCCATCCTTGCTCTCGCATCTTTCCACCTCGCGTCACATTCATTCCTGCGCTTGCAGGAGGGAGAAGAGTTCCCAGAGCCGGCCAACGCCGCGAAATGGGCGTTGCTATTGAGAACGCCAGTGGTCATGGTGATGTGGCCAACCCAGTTGGCATTCGGACTGCTGTTTGGATCGATTGCTAAGGCACTGATAATTCTGCTCCTCGGCTTGCAAAACTGGCAGCATCTACTGGCGCTGAAGGCCATGTTAGTGCTGCCAGAACCCTACATAAGGGGGACTATGGCCATTTTCCCCCAGTTCTTCGACGAAACATTCAGTGCGCCAGGGTCTCTGGTCCTGCTCATCCTTTCAGGCGTTCTACTACTACCCATCCTATGGGCGATGGTGATCCCCACGTTAATAGTGTGGAATATATCCCGCATAGCCCGCCTGGTGACCAAGGCCATCATACTCGGCGCACTCGTCCAACTACTCAACAACACATCGATGCATTCCGAGAATCCGACCTTTTGGCTGCGTCTCTGGAACTCCTTGAAAGACCGGGGAACGGCGGAAGTCCATCCATTATTCAGGCTGTGGGCGAAATCGATCCATGTGCCGTTGACTACCCTCTTCAGATTGATAGTGATGGTCACCATGCTCTGGCCCTTGTGGAAGAAGTCGAGAAATGGGGAATCTCTGATTCCCAAGGTGATGCTTCTCTTGGCCCTGGCTCTCACCTTACCGGTCTGGGGGCTGTGGATCCACGGTGTGGTATTGATGCATTGGCATGGGCTGAAGCTTTGGCGCCATCCCATGTTTATCCCGATTAGTGCCAAGATCCTTGTGCAGACATCGTTGCGCTGGGCAGTCATGTCTATGGGTCGCAGGGTCAATGGAGCCGATTCTGACGGACCGGAGCCGTGGTGGGAGACAGTAACAAACTGGGCAACTCGTGGTGATGATCCACTGTTCTGGCTTCTGATACCGGCTCTCGCATGGTCTTCATTCTCATCCTTCATACTCGGCCGAGAACAACAAACACCACTCATAAGGGCAGCCGAAGGGGGTCATGGTACGGTTATCCGGCGCCTTCTAGGCGCCGGCGGCGCCGACCCAAACTTCAAAAGCAGTGATGGGGAAACGCTGCTCTCAATCGCAGCGAGAAGGGGAGACGCGAAACTGGTGGATCTTTTGCTTAAACTAGGGAGGGCCAACCCTAACACCAGAGACTATTCAGGACAGACGCCGCTTTCGAGGGCAGCGGAAGGCGGCCACGGAGCGGCGGTGAAGAAGCTGCTAGCGCAGGGCGTCGACCCGGACGCGTTGGACTTCGCCGGACGAACCCCCCTCTGGAGGGCCGCGGCCAAGGGGCACCGATCTGTGGTCCAACTACTCCTGCCTTTGAATGGTGTCGACCCGAACCACAGAGATTCGAACGGTTGGGATATGGTGTGGAACGTCATTAGGAAAGGTGGTGAGCCAGCCCCGCTGGTGATACTACTCCTCCAAGCCTACGCATTCTCGACGGGTCGGCGGACACCACTCTTGATGGCGGCGAAGCGGGGCCACGTGCCGGTCGTGGAGCTGCTGCTCGCCGACCACCGCGTGTCACCAGACTGCAGGGACTACAAGGGGCGCACCGCGCTCACGCACGCGTCGAAAAAGGGATGCGGAGGTGTAGTGAGCTTGTTGCTTGCAAGGGAGGAGGTTGATCCGAACTCCCGGGACGCTATTTACGGCAGGACGCCGATGTCTTACGCAGCGGAAAAGGGGCACGAAGCAGTGGTCAAGACTCTACTCGGGAGAGATGGGATAGAGCCAGACATCCCGGATGACCTAGGACGCACACCTTTGTCATATGCGGCGGAAAAAGGGCATGAGGGCGTGGTTCGGCTATTCCTAGTGGCCGGCGGGGAGTCTGTCGTGTCGACACGGGTACCTCAAACGACCGAAACCGCCGAAGCATGATTCCCGTGTACCTGTTTAGCTGTTGGCTTTGTATCTCGAATCTCGAATCGGAACTTGTTGGGGGGGGGGGGGGGGGGGGGGGGTTATCCGTCACGCACTGCTCCTCTGGCAGTAACTACCTACTGAGGTAATTAACTACCTATCCAATACGGACCTGCAACCAGGATCCTGATGAGTCCAACCTAGAAGCTACCAAGAACACAGAATTGACGCAGTGCACCAGAGTAATTGAGGCCTAGGCCTTCGTTCTCCCTCAACTGATTTCCCACTCGATCAACACAAGTCTTTGCTATGTATTTCCAGAATCGCGAGCCAATCCTAATCAAAAGCTTTGCTGGGTGGGTTCAGGAGCATAACGGCTGGGCACTCTGGTGGGCTCTCCGAAGGTTGTGCTACACAAGCTGCGTGTCGGCTGAGTGGCAGCGCTACGAGGCAATTGATGGCAAGGCTTCAATTTAAGCCCTCGTCCAACGTGCCTGCCCATTGGGTATTACTGCAGGCAGCAGCCCATTCCTTGGCTTTTTCGTCTTCGACTCTTCCCCCTCCTAACGGTAACCCCCAAGTCGGGAATCTCTCCCTTATTTACGTCGGCTACCTTAACTTGAATCTCTTAACGCACCCATATGAAGCAGTTCAATAATTCTGTTGCCCTATAGTCATGGCGGACCCTCTTTCCGTGGCCGGCTTGGCCATGGGAGTGGTATCGCTGGGTATTCAAGTATCCCAGGGCATCACAACGTACATCGACGCCCTCAACTGCCGCGACCAGGACCTTCTGTCGGTCAGAGAGCGAAACAATTCCCTGCGACAGACGCTCCAGGTTGTCGAAAGATCACGCTCCCAACTCGAGGATGACCACCAAGTTGCGACAGCGGCGATACGCGAATGCCTGGATTCGTGCAACAAAGAATTGGGGGTGCTCGAGGATCTAGTGATTTATCTCACCGCTTGCGACCAATCTAACACCGCGAGCTTGATTGGCAAGGTTAGGAACAAAAGCAAGAAGCTACTCTATCCATTTAGTCGCCCAAAGCTCGAACAGTTAGAAACGAGGCTCCGCAACGCAAATGCAGCTCTTCAACTAGCGTTGCAAATACTGGGCTTGTAAGTAGACAGACCCCTTCATTCATGTTCCATTAACTAGATGATTACCGTATCAGATCGGTATCACACCTAGGCACCGAGAAATTGGTCACGCTTGAGGCTACTTCCTACGGCCTCTCTACCAGTTTTCACAAGACCCAGTCCGAAATCTCGGCCATGAGTCTTCCGCTCAAGGGTATACAGAGCTCTGTGTCGGGGTTTGAGGCTCGCTTCGGCAACATGGAAAGTCTCCTTCAGCAGCTGTTAGCTCAACAGTTGGCCATCAACGGAAGTCCACAGGAGGTGAGGGACCCAATCCGTCTAGCTCTAGCTCGCCGGGTATCCATTCTCATCATGTGAGCTACAGATCACCCCCAAAGTTGCCACCGGCCGTCTGCTCGCAAAGCCGAGGGTCTTGAAGGATATCTGCGACGCCGCAGGAGCCCAGACGAGCCCTACATCAGGTGGGATGGTACAAGCCATAGATCACCGTGCGACACATTCGGGCGACGCCATCTCCACGTACTATACAGGAGGGAGTCTCTCTTGCTTGTGCCGCCATCGCCGACGTGTCCGAACCCAGAACGTTGTCTTGGGTTCTCTGATGTTTTCTTCCGAGGCGGCGACCGAGCAGCATCTGCCCGGATGCCCAGCCGCTCGAGTATTGATAGGCACAGATCGAAGCCAAAAGGTCGGCGTGACGTACACTGGGCTCCGACGTCTGCTCAACTCGGCCGTCCAACTTTCGTTCGAAATGACGTGGGGGGCAGGAGCTTGGAGTCTCAGCCCCAGCTTTACTTACTATCCTAGTGTCGACGCGGAAACGGCACCAGCCTTCAAAGTACTGCGCCTGTTATCGGTGTCTCGGGTGAACAGCGGGTTGCACGATTCGGCACTGTGGGAAGAGTTGGCGGTATCGGCGGTGTCTGTGATGTTGAGATTGTTTCGAGCCAACAAGGCGTCGCCCCGGGCTGTGGATGCCGACAATAGATCCCTCGTTTGCCATTTGGCTGACTGTGTGAGTCTCGACTGGCCACTGGCTACCTATGTTATAAGTTATATCCCCGCGGACTCTGGAGACTAATTCGCCGATTCAGATGACGATGGCCTCGGATCGATCGAGTCCACAGTTCCCGAGTCAGGGCAAGCCCAGTGCTTTGCTTGAGCTTCTCAGATGTTTGCTCGACAACAAAGCCCCAGCAAATCAATATGACTTATTCGGCAAGTAAGTCCTCGGCATTCCGTCACATGTGGCTTCCATCATCATTAACTTGCGTTCAACTCACTATCTGCAGCGCACCGCTGAGCAGACTGTTTCTGTCAACCGGATATAGTCGTCTCACTGATCCATGGATTGCTGATGCCGCGAACCTCATTCTGCGATCGAATGCCGAGGACAATCTGGCATGTTTGTCGAACCCACATCCTGCAGCATATGTGATGATCGTCAACCGATTAGGGCGGCGAGTTGGTGCGCGAGACATCGCGGCCATCCTTTACTTTCTCGCTTTTTCCACTGAAATTGCCAAAGGTGCGTGTTGCCGGCAAGTCGAAGAAAACAACGATGGATGGCCTGCTAAGATGATATTTTGATGCCTACCTAGCCTATGGCTGTGGTCCACTGAGCTTAGCAATTCTATCCAACAATCCGAAGCAGGTCGAACAACTCTTGCAGGACCACCCTGCCACTCTCGCCGAGCGGAACCTTTTTGGGCACACGCCACTGCACCTCGCGGCAGATAAGCCGTCATGCTTGCAACTTCTTGTCAAAGTCGCGGACGCTGAGCTCCTCAACCAAGAACATGTACCCGGTAAATTCGGAATGACTGCGTTGGAAACTGCCCTCTGTCTCAGCGGGTCGCATTGTCGAGAAGGCCTATCTGGGCGAATGTGCCAACAGTGCAGTTGCGACGACTGCGTGGTCGTCATTCTAGAAGCCGATTGCGCGGTCCCCGTATCGTCGGTTTTGCAGTCCGTGTTGGGCTGGGCCTCTGAACGATGTAAAATGCAATACATACGCGGTATGAGAGACCGGAGATGTCGGCTGAAGCAGCTCGCCCTAGACAACCTTTCGGCGACGGAAATAAAGCGGCTGGGCTTGCTCTGTCCAGACCTTCTCGACTCAGCCGCATCCCGAGTCACCCAAAGCTTGGAAGACGGTGGCATTCGCATCCCCGAGGCCCTTACGCCCTCAAAAGACGGACCGCGATCTCTCTACCAATCCCTCTGCTCGCCCGAGGATGCCGACTTATTCTTCGACCTCGGCTTCCACGACACGGCTTCGTGGTGCAACGCTAACGCGGGTGAACTTGAAGATATTCCCAGTCTTATCCAGGACCTACCGTATATGTATTGGCTGGCGGCACATGGGGCCGGTTTCCGTCAGCTTGGATCCTTTCCAACACCGAGAGATACATTTGTGGGCAACTATATATTCCGGAGAATCGGCGAGGATCTCAACTTCTGGCCAGGGTCCTTTATTTTTAACAGGATCCGATGTGGGATGCCCTTCAAAGGTCCCGCACCCCCCGATAATGACCGATTCCCTCCCGTCGACAACTGTATCGCTTGGGTTCACGAAGTCAATGCTGCAGTACTACCAGCTGAAATTGCCGACAGCTGCCGTTGCAAATGCTCCCCCGGGGGCTGCACCCCGTTGACATCCTTGTTAAAGGGGGTGCCGGGTTTGATAGGTTACACCTTTGGGCACAAACGAAGACGCCCTTCAGAACCTGGAGTTTCAGAAAACACGGACTCCATGGAGGGAGACAGTGCTACTGAGGACACAAACTCCATAGAGGGCAGTGTGGCGGGCGACACAGAATCCTCGGACTCGTTATCGTGGATGAGGGGCTCTCTGTCAGCCGTGGCCACGTATTTTACCGAATATCTCGAGCATTTTGGAGGCGATCTTGACGTCAACCATCACACCGCAGCTCTGCGATATATAACATTTTCTGCACTCGACATTCCCCATTATTGCTGCGGCCCTAACCGTGAGGTTTGGGGGTATGACTGGCGGACCCCGGCAGAAGTTGAAGAAGAACACGCTTATGAGCTAAGGTTGCTGGATGAGTTACTCAGCGAGTTTGAAAAACAGATCATGGCAATTCTTCAGGGTCCAATTGGGGGGGTTGACGGTGTTATCCGTTTCTGGAAACGGACTTGGGTGAATCGAATGAGGGAGGTTCTGGCTGGTCTCGCACGCGATGATTTGGCAAGTGACGCGAAACGAGCGGCTGAAGATATTGGCGTGGTCTGGGACAAGCCCAAACCCCCCAAACCGAGGGACAACCCCTATCGCAAAGATACCCTGGAGCATTGGATGCATGAGCTGGAGAAGATTGAAGCAGAGTGCTAATGCGACTCAAAGCTGGAGATGGGAGATGGGATACTGGAAAGACTTGGATCATGGATTTCATACCGTGGCTCTGGACCGAACTGCTCGAATAAACTCAGGCTTCTTCTTCAGTGTCTATTTAGCTGGTATCTCAAACGAAGGTATCTAACAGTTTTGAAAACAAACCCAATTCCCACCCATGACCTGTCTAAAATGCACCGGCCAATCTATGTCTCCCCCAACAAACCCACGACGCCCGTTTTGACCACCCACTGCCCTCCTGTCCCAAAAGACGATGTATGAAACCTGCATGCCGCCCTCCCCGAGAAACGAAAACAGAGAAGCGGACGCCGCTCGCTTGACATGGTGCCTGTCTCAGATGCCCCTGCTGTGGCGGATGACCAAGTCGCGGTCGAACGAAAGAACACGAGACAAGTGCTCAGGCCTGCAAGTGCTGACAGCCATCCAGACCACGGGCACGAAAGTGATGGAGATCCCTTCGCCGGTTTCGGATCCCACCCGACGACTGTGCAGGCAGCTAGCCGAGCCGAGCTAACGAACTGGAAGGCCGCCCGGTTGCACGAGTCACGATGCTTGCTCGGAAAAGCTTCGACCACAGAATCCTTCTCACATGTCGATCGGCATTCGCGTCTTGGCGTTGGTGGTCCATGACCGGCCCCTGCTCTTGACGAGCGGGAGCGTCCGCTGGATGATCCGGATGAAGGACCGGGAGAGACTCCGCTTCAGCGGCACCGACCCGAACATGATGGTTGTTCCTTGTTCCTTGCTTGGAGAGGAGGAAAGACGAAAAGAAAGGAAGAGAGAAAAATAAACGAAACAGAAATGCCTAAATCGACCAGCGATGTTTCTCGGCCTGCAGAAACGACCCAGAAAGAAAAAAGTAAACAAACCAAGATGGCAGAGCCGGCTGAACCACGATGTGCTTGTTGTGACGATCTACATCGCTGGCCCCAACCCGACCTGGGCGGGCGGGCAGCGGTATAAGAAGACGTGGCCCCTCCCGGGCCGCGACGGGGGGCCGCTGACAGCCTGATGCCGTTTTACACGACCCGTTGGTCAGGGATGCAGAGGATGATGCGTCGTTTTGCGGCCGGCGGACGCGGCCTGGAGGAGGGGAGGCGGCACTGAAAACAGGGCGCTGCCAGCGGCGTGGAGAGGCGTTGTTGGTGTTTCGTTTTTGCTGTGTGACGAACCGTGGTGGTTGTGATAGGACCGCGCCGCAGACGTGGAGCTGGGGAGGCGGACAACGCTGAGGTTGGATCCAAACGCGCGGGGGGATGAAACCACGCTGCGTGCCGTCCTGGGTGCCCCGCTTCTTGTCACGATGCCCCGGGTATCATTGTGTTTTTAGGGTTGTCATGGTTTGTGTTCAGAAAGCTCTGCCCCGGTCTCCATATACCCAGTAACTAAGGTATGCTGACAAGAGACGGGGAATATCAATCTTAACGTGACACGTTTATCGGCCAGGGCACGCACCTCACCGCTCAGTTGGGTAACCTCCTCACTCGCTCGATGTTACCACGACCCGCCCAGGCGGGGCGAGCAGGTTGTCATGAAAAAACAAAAAAAAACAAAAAAAAAAAAGGGGGGGGGGGGGGGTTTTGGGGAAGTTTTTTCCTGAGCAACCACCACATCTTTGTGCGGAGTTTGGCCACCCTGCCGAGAAAAGTTCGTGCGGCACTTGTGCTTGGCAGAGGAGGTTGGCAAACAATGATCTGTCAAGATAGCTGGTTCAGGACGTTGGTGAGCGAGCGTTCTTATCACACGTGCAGCGGCCGTTGCCATTTGTTCGGGTTTCTGGGCAGTTCCCCGGAAATAGACCCGAGCCCGCATGAGGTGTTCGTTCTGCTCTGCATGTGTTTCCGCGTTGGGACTGGTATGTCAAACGCGGCCAAGTCATCTGTTGGGGCGACGAGGGCGAGAAGTTACCAGTCTAACTTCCTCGCATTTAGCTCGGCATGGAAGCGGTATTGCCACAACCCCCCCCTTGTGCGTTTGGGATGTTGAATATCCGCATTAACTATTTAAAATGACTGGACACCCCAGTTGCTTCTTGAAAGGCGGAAGCCATTCCGGCCCTTTGCATCCTTTCCACACATCATCCTGTCGACACGAGAAGGGGCGTCAGCCATCAATCACACCACAATGTCGTTCCCCGTTCCTCCTGGCGGTGCCAAGGGTGCTCTCGACTCCCCCAATGCGCTGCCCGTGACTGTCGAAGAAGCTACAGCAGCCTGGTTCAGCCAGGTCCTCGGCCGACCCGTCGCCACTGCGGAGATGGTCGAGGCCATCCACGGAACGGCAAGCAAGATCCGCTTCAAGCTCACATACGAGGACGGCAACGATGCGGCGACGCTGCCCACCCACGTCTGCATCAAGGGCGGTTTCAACCCCGTCATCGTCAAGCTGCACCCCTCCCTGAACGCCGTCTACCGCCGCGAGGCCGAGTTCTTCTACCACATCGCCCCTACCGTGCCGATGCGCCTCCCGCCCGTCTGGTACTGCGGCAGCGACACCGTCACGGGACAGGGCATCGTGGTCTTCGACGACCTCAAGGCCGCGGGCTGCACCTTCGGCAACCCGCTTGAGGCCTGGCCTGTCGAGCGTGTGCGCGTCGGCGTCGAGGAGCTGGCCCTGCTTCACGCGAAGACATGGGGTGCAAAGGAGGAAGACTTCCCCTGGCTCAAGGAGGGCCTTTCCCTGCGCGAGGTCATCCTGTCGCTGATGACGGAGCCCGCGTGGGCGGGGCGCTTCCTCGACGAGGCGGCCAAGCCGCCCGTGCCCGACAGCATGCTGGACCGCGAGAGGATGATCCGGGCCTTCAAGACGTTGTGGGCGACGACCAACCAGGACCACATGTGCGTCGCGCACGGCGACACCCACATCGGCAACACCTTTGTCACCGCCGCGGGCGAGCCGGGCTTCCTCGACTGGCAGGGGCTGCACGCCAACTCGTGCATTCACGACGTCACCTACTTCGTCGTGGGCGCGCTGACCGTCGAGGACAGGAGGGCGCACGAGGTCGAGCTCTTTGACCATTACCTTGTCAAGCTGCACGAGGCCGGCGGGCCCAAGCTGGAGAGGGCGGCCATCTGGGACGACTACCGGAAGCATCATCTCCATGGCTTCGCTTGGGCTCTGGCGCCGCCTCTGATGCAGCCTAAGGACATTGTTGACGCCATGACGGAGAGACACGTTGCGGCCATGGTCGACCACCAGAGCATGGAGCTCCTGGAGAGTCTCCCCGGGTATGTCACGGAGGCGTAATTTACACGAGGTGGCAAGAGGACGCGGGTAGGGGTGGTGGCCAGGGAGGGGTTCCCAGCAATAATAGTGTCTGTAGCGAAGACGGGAACTATCGCGCCACATGTTTCTCATGCAACCAATAAATGGGCGGAATGGTGTGGTGGTGTGCTTCTGAGACAACGCCCGGTAGTGCCCGCCACTCGCCCCAGGCAGGCTAACCAAAGGCCTGGGTCTCGGTTAACAGCCTCCTTTTCATGTCATCCCATGCGGGAAAAAAAGCACCTGTCAACCTTGCCGAATGGAACCCAGAACCCTCGTCACCAAGACATGACTGGTCAGCTTCGGCCCGCTCCTTGCACAATTTCAACGGCGGCCCCGCTCTCCGGAGCCGCTGAAACCATGACTGCTCCTCTGGACCCCTACTGGACGAGGGTTTCTTCCCCTAAAGACGTTAGCTTCCGGGGGGTGAGCGTTCCTTCTCGCGGGGTTGAGGGGCAAGAAGCAGAGGGGAGCTCGAGGACTCGAGCCATGGCGTGGGATTCTGATCGGCGAGAGGTGTTGCTCTCATTTTCGTTCTTTTTCCCTTCCTTTTGCAAGGTTCTGGATCCTCTCGGCCTGCATGCCGTGAACCGAGTCTGGTCCGTTGATACGCTGCAAGGATGAGAAACCGTTGACCCGCACCGCCGGCAAGGGCTCAGGGCGGGCATGGGAGGGCGTGGGAGGGCATGGGGGCCAGGCTGGTTTTCTTTTTGCCGTTGAAGGAAGAATAAAAGAGCCTGAAGAACACCAAGGCCCTCGAGTTCTCCGAGGTGGAAACATCCAAGACTTGGCCGAGTGGACTCCTCATCGTCTTCGGGTCCTTCTGTTATCCCTCCTCCGTCGTTAGAAGTTGAACCCGGCCAGAAGACGCCTGTATCAATCAACAATGTCTGCTCCTGCTGGGCCGGACCCGACGGGCATGGTCGGCATGATGCCACCACCGCCGAACGTGACCCCCGACTTCTACCATACGACATCCGTCCAAATCGCCTTCATCGCCGTTTTTGGCGTAACCTTCGCGTTGGCCACGATAGCACTCTTGCTGCGTTTCTACACTCGAGTCTTCGTGGTGAAGTCCGTGGGACTCGATGAACGTAGGTTCCTTTTACCCGAGACCATGCCGTTGACTTGAACCTAACATTGGTGCAGCATTACTTATCAGCGCGTGGGCGGTGACCCTGGCCTTCTTCGTTGTCTCGGTGCAAGGTACGTATGGCATGATTCCTGTGTTGTGTCATGTGTACTAACAGGTCTTCGCTCCTCTAGCGATGCCATCAGGGTTTGGCAGGAATATGTACGAAGTAACACAGCTACAGCTCGTGGGATACCTCGAGGTTCGTAATCTCTCGCTCGTGTACACGTCAAATAACCTGGAAACCCAACAAACGTTGACGGCTGACACCTGATCGAACAGAAACTCCTCATGTTAGCGTTAACCTACATCTGGCCGCCAACCCTGACCAAGCTCTCTATCCTCGTCCTCTACTGGCGCATTAGTCCGGACAGAACCTTCCGAATCTGTATCGTCGCCACCGCCGTGGTGCTGATCGCTTACACGGCCACCTTCACCGGCCTGTTTTGCGGACCCTGCAACCCCCTCCTCGGCACCCCTGAGAGCGCAGTCTGCCTCAACAACATTGCCGTCTCCCAGGCCGTTCTGAACATCGTCACCGATGGCGTCATCATCATCCTGCCGATCCCCACCATCCACGGCTTGAACATGGCCCTGAAGCAGCGTGTTACCGTCGGCCTCATTCTGGGCCTTGGGTCAGCGTACGTAAACCACCCCGCCCCCCTTCTCCTCCTCCTCCCAATTCCCTCCCTGTCACAGAAACGCTAACACCCCACCCAGCGCCTGCATCGCGTCCATCGTGCGCGTGGCGTACGTGCGGGCCATGGTGGCCAACCCGGACGTCACCTTCACGCAGTGCTCGGCCGCGGTGTGGTCGCTGCTGGAGATGAACCTGGGCATCCTGTGCAACTCGCTGGCGGCGCTCAAGCCCTTTGTGCGCCAGCACATGCCCAACCTCTTCTCGTCCAACGGCTGGGGCAGCGACGACCGCAAGCCGGGCGCCGGCAGCTCGTCGTCCGGGTACCCCTCCAAGCGCAGCAAGAGCCGCGCCTGGGGCCACACCTACCAGCTCCACAGCGTCGGCGCCGGCAAGCCCGAGGACCACCCGAATGCTGTCAAGGATGATATTGTGGTCGATCAGCAGTTCACCGTCGAGTATGATACCAACCGCGCCAAGGCCGCCACCATGACTACCCGGAGCGGTGGGAGTACGGAGAGTATACTGGCGCCGCAGTATCCGGCCCACCAGCCAGTTTGAGGCGGGGGGTTGGGCGTGGTGCGGGAGGGGGGGCTCGGCAACCGTGGGCTGCGGTGGTTAGATTTATTTATGTTATAAGCGTGTGCATTCAAAAAGGGAAACCAAACTCTCCCGCGGGTCGGTGTTTGTGGATCTCCCAATCATCCTCGATTGTAATCTTCGCGATAAAGTTTGTAGGTTACGTTTTAAACGTACAAACATAACGACAGCGTCGAGGTCCGGTCCTATACTAAGTCTAACCTACATTTTTGTAGGAAGATGGTAAGGATTCACGAACGGTGAGACGACGCTTACTGTGACACTCCCGAACTGTTTTCCACCTACGAAAGGTACGCCACCATTCTTGATACCATGTGTAGTCGACAGAACACTGTTAAGGTAATCCGGAAAGTCGTCGTTAGGGTCGCAGAAGTTCCACTTGTATAGGAGTCAAGATCAGTTCCATGGGAGTTACTTCGTACGATCTCCAATTACACAACCCCAGCCCCTATTTTCGCGGCCAGCTGGCTTAAAAACAGGTATATCCCGCATGAATAACTTCTGTGCGGAAACCGCTTTTGGTTTAGGGCATCGCAACAGGTTGCTTCAACAGCCCAAGTCCTGCATCTGCATCGATGTGTCGCCCCCCTCTTCAAGACCCGTCGAGCGGCTGGCGACGGTAGGTATCCGAACTGGGCCATGTCCTGTCATACGACGACGCCTGAGTCTGCCCTTCGACATCATCTTGCCCAGGAGATCTTGGCCTGGTGGATGAAAGACCTCTTAGATCGACTCGAGTGACCTGCCCCTGGTCTCCGGCATGTATATCAACAGAACCGCCAAGGTGAAGGTCGTCAGGCCAGCGAAAAGAAAGTAGGGACCAAAAGACGATTGGGCCAGGAATATAGGAGTGATGAAGGCCGTCAGAAAGTTCGTAAACTAGACAAGTGGCCCACAACGTCAGCAGTTGTGTTCGTCCAACATGAAAGGTGGACCTACAAAGTTTAAACCCTGCGCCAGGGCGTTTGCCGTGGCTCGAGTATGCGCGGGCTGAATCTCGCTTGCGTAAATTTTGCCCACGATGCCCCATGTTGAGACGTAGGTCAAGGCGAAGACAAAGATCAGCGTGATAACAAACCAGCGGCCTGCACCATGCCCGCTGATAACGCTCTCTGAGGCATATAAGCTCCCTATGATGGCCATGGAACCCGCCAGGAGGACCCCTCCCCAGAAGACAATTGTGCGTCGACCCCACCGGTCAGCCAGGAGGAAGGCAGGGACCGAGATGGCAAACATCAAGACGGCCGAGACCCCAGACGCAATAAAGGATGCCGTGTCAGCTGGTAGTCCGGCCTGCGCAAATAGGGTCGGGGCATACTGCGCCGTAGATTGTTAGTCTCCTATGAAAGCCCAATCATAGTTCCTCCACAAGGCGGTGTTCTACTCACATAAAGTACCCCGTCGATGCCGCAGAGCTGGACCATACCGAGAATGAACAGAGCGAGCGTAGTTCGAAACCTGTATTTCTTGCGAAAAATGTCCATGACCGCATGCCAGTCGAACTGTGGCTGACCCAACGCGTCATTTTCTGACCCTCTGGGAAGCTAGTTAACAATATCCCTTAAATCTTGCTGGATCTCATCCTGTCCGAAATCTAGAAGCTCCATATGATGCACAGCCTCCTGCGCCCGGCTGCGGGCCATGAGCCATCGCGGGGACTCCGGTAAAAAGAGACAGGCCAGGGCAAGCAAAGCACCACCAGCGGCTTGGATAACGAATGGAAGGCGCCATGCCATCTCGCCGGGGATCCTAATTGTTCCATAGCAGGTGAAATAGCCCAGACAGGTGCCAAGTGTGACCAGAGCCTGTGGCATGGCGACGAGCTGGCCTCGCCGGGCCCTGGGAGCAATCTCGCAAATGTAGACGTTCAAGTTTCCAAGATAGAGCCCCTCCCCAATTCCGACGAGGGAACGGCCCACGAGAAGCATGGCGAGGTCGCTGGAAGCCGCCTCGAGCGCTGCCCCTATGGTGAAGGAGACGGCCCCGGCCAGAACTATACGCACATGGCCGTATTTGTCCGCTAGGAGCCCTGCCAAGAGCGAGGGGATGGCTCCCATGAAGAGCAAGAAGGAGACGGTAAGACCTCTCATGGTAGGCGACAGGACGGCGATCGAGGTCTGGAACGTGGGCATCTCTGTGATGCTCCCGATGGATCCCGTGTCGTACCTACAGAACAGCTATACTTCAGACTTGCGCACAAGCATAATGAATGATGATTCATGGTGCATACCCGTTGAGGAAGCCACCTAAAGACATGTACACGGCCGCCCGGAAATATCTCCTCGGACGGAAGATACGGCGTATGATACTCCGCGATTCTTGAGCGGTAGTTGCGGTCGTCATGTTCAGGACACTAGTAAACTATGAGGTTGTGAAATACAGGATGGGGTTTTGCGGTCCCTAGTACTCGTGGAGTAGATGAACAAAGACTTGTGAGCTCGGTCGTGGAAAGATCAATGATGTAGTTCTTGCATGCGACTGGATTCCGTTGTTGTCGTAAATCAGGATGAGATTATCAGGTTTTGTAGTTTCGTACGTCCGGCAAGGGGAATGGCCTCTAGAGTACGACCTTCCTGCAGATAGGCGTCACCAGTAGTAACGTACACTTTGGACTCAAAGACCTCAAATCCTTCTCTTTTAAAGGTTGCCCTGATGTGTTTGTTGGCCATGGCCATTGCAAGATTTTGACCAAGCGGGCCAGTGGGGCGGTCGAGACGGTCAAATGATCTCTGGATGTGCCTTACAGATGTTGGTGAAACTCAGGGCGGTTGGATGGCAGTAGGGCTTTAGCTGCTCCATTGTCCAAATGTCGTACCCTAATAGGTGCAACATGATGCACTAGAGCAGGCCGACATGGCCGTTGGATAAGACGATGTCCGATGCCCCATTGCTGGCAGCAGTCAAGTACGAGGGCTCGAACACATGGAAGTCGCCGTCTTTTAGTCGAAGATGGAAGAACAGGAACTGGCTTTTAGTGATTGTTCCGAAAACAGAACACACCCCGAATCGATGGGGTCGGTGAGGTCGTCGATCTGTCTCCAGGTTACAGCACCAGGCCGTCGAGATTCGGATGTGGTTACAGCATATAATTAACCACATTCGAATCTCGACGGGCTGCACCCACGCGTAACCTCACCCGAAAGTTGAACGCGACACACAACAGACCAAATCGACAGCCCAGTTACGCATCTCAACAAGCTTCATGTAGATAGCACCTTCATCGACATGTACGCGGAAGTCTCGGGGTAGGTGACGAATACCTACCGGACCAACTTTAGGGGGCATCGTTCCAGGAGCCATTATGGGCAGTTCTAGCTTGTGGCCAAACCAAATTCAATCACACAAATTGGAAAATATTGGTAGAACGAAGACTGTCTAAAGTAAACAGTGAAATATGGTCGTATTTCACATTTCCACGGCGCTTCATGCGGTCTGCTCTCTCGAATTAATAGGTACTCCTGGGGTTCTAAAGGCATTCAACAACACCATGTCTCACTGGCTCAAGGGGTTTAGTTAGGTATGATGACGTCTACGAGACGCGTGTATTTCCTAGAAGTACTTGGATTCCACGATTACAACGGCGTGGTGTTTTCTCCTGCCCACAACCCCCGCACAGTACTCGGGCCGATGTTTGTGGTGATCCTATCGGAGCGGTTCAGATTACATACCCGGTAGGTATGCATGTTACTCGAGTTTGATGAGGTAAATCTTATCAAGGTGTTACAACAGATTGCGCCGGTTACGCAGGGCGACCAGAAACGGTTTAGCAGTGACCTTGCTGGTCACCGAATGTGTCAAATTGAGTGCGGCACACTTTTGGGTGCTGGTTCCCAACTACCTACGTTACCTCCCTGCCCATCAGCTCCAGTCGGATTCCAAGAACCCCGTATTTCATCAACCTTGGTGTTTATTGCACTCTTTTGGCGCCTCTCTCGCACGTTATCGTACCTTACCATTTACCAGGCTTTGAAATTACTGGGTGAGTCCAGAATGGATTCGAATGCCGCCGAGTCAGATAGCTCCGGCTCAGGGACAAGAGATACAACCCGACACACGTTTCTTAAATCTCTTGGGCAACAGCTGCTGGAGAACTACACAGATAATACGGCTTCCGGCACCATCCCCAAGCCTTCAAGTACAGAGGGACCGAAAGCTGAGGGGCCGGCACAAGAAATGGGAGAGCGACAAACGGTCGTGTCAGAGGTTATAGTAACAGCAGCAGAACCGCCGACGCCGCAAAACGGTGATAATTCGGATAATTGCCCACTCTCGGCGCCTCAACTACCCAAACATCAGGTCCCACGACAGCTCATCCCCATGGCTGGATCAACTTCCCCCGACTTGGCTCAACAACTCGACCCAATTACAGCACGGACACTCTTCAAGTTTGTTCGAGGCGAATCCCCATGCTTGTGGTACAAGTTCAAGCGCTTCGAGAGCCTTAGCCTACTCAATCTATATCATCTCCAGGATGAGTTAGTCGGCCTGGATCAGGCCATTGGCAGGCGGGGTGGAGAGGTGACCCCGAAGCAGACTGCTCAACTTCGTACGCTGCTCAAGGAATATCGTTCGTAGACATCCCGTCTAACCACCCCAGGACAAACGCGGAGCTAACGTGCTCTAGAGGAGTCTATCATTAGATTCCGCGATATTTCCCAAATGAAGCGCCCCGACATGGAGGGGCGCGGCGAGCTTGTTCAGACTCTGAGCGACAGGCTGCGGAATGGATACTACAAGGACGCACCAGATGCCCTAGGTTTTCTCGACCTAACGCCCACCGCACTCGGCGTGGAACCCGACCCAATCCGTGTTCTGATCACCAAGACTATCTCGAGGGCCAGCCCCTCCGATGGGCTACAAGCCCGGGGCACCTTCTCCCCTCCCTACGCGCATCGATACGGGGCGGGATCTTCGTCACACTCTACCAAAGGTCAATTTCTGGATGTTGAGAAGGGAAATGACGGCGAACAGGAACAGGTCGATATCGAACTCTATGAGCAACGCACCCCGGGTGTGACGGGCACGGACGACGATGTGGGCAAGGACCTTGAAGATATAAGCCGCCCCATTCAACATCAAATCACCGGTTTCGTGGATTATCTGTCGCGGCTTCTGGTTACGATCCTGGCTTCCCTCTTTCTCATCGTGCCCATGGTCGTCCTGTCCTATGTGGAACCCAAGTGGGCTCGGCTGCTCTCGGCTTCCTTGTTTGTTCTCCTATTCGCCGTGTACGTCTCGCTCGTCTCCAAAGGCAGCAATCAGGAGATGGTCATGTGCAGCGCAGCGTATGCTGCAGTCATTGTAGTTTTCGTTGGCCAGACAAATTGAGGAAGCCAGGCTGCTGAAAACCTTTTGTTAACAAGTCCCCATCATTCTAATATGGTGGACGACTATGTGCCTAATATCTTATGAAGCTCCAACTATGTCTTCGGTTACGGGGCGACATATCGGTGGCGACGGAATCGGATTCGCTCTCATATAGCTCAGCCACTCCAATACCTCCACTCCGTGCTCGTCTATCTCCAGATATTTCTCAACGTCCCCACGATCCTTACTTGGAGGATAGACCGGAGTTAGACAACAACCCTCCTCCCCGCCGTGCCTCCCACAGGCCCACAGACGTGCTCGGCTTCCCACACAGGTCATTCCCCAGACGCCGTCCGCCCCAGTCTCTTCCAGATACGCACGGCACGCCCTGAGCAGGCCCTCTTCGGCGTCACAGACTTGTTCGGGCCCCGCTCCCGCCGACTTGGCCTTGATGAGTAGCAGGAACGTGCGGGTAGCGCCGGGTGGGCTGAGAGGACGGACGGCGAGGGAGACTCGGTCGTTTCGTCTGTACTTGGCCGGCGGCTGCTGAGAGGCGACGTTGTACTCTTGGAACGGGAATGCCTCGGCGAGGATGTTTTGCCAGAGGGCTATTGTGGTGTATTTCAACTCCTCCCTCGTCTGTGCCTCATTCCAGAGGTCCCGAAGCCAGGGTCGCCCGTCAAGGATAGACATTCTCTGCGTTGCGGTGCCTCGGTCTTCGAATTTGACGACGATGCGGGGAAGTTCGCTCGTGCGCTGCAGATGCTTCGCATGTTGGCGGCTTGGTGCCTGACCAATCGTAGCACGTGAAAGAAGGAGCAACTCCCTTACCCACGACCTCCAGACAGAGGAGCCCATGACGAACTTCTATAAAGAAAGGACAGGGAGAAGGAGAGACCAATTGATAGGACCAGCAGAGACCCTTGGTAACAAATATATCGCAAATACAAATCAGACCCCTATACACACCCCTTCAAACTATCAGTCAATGCTACTATAACCTTGTACCTTGCTGCCACTCCTCCCACCCAGCAACGGTTCCTCCACCCCTCCCAGCAGCGCCGACTCAGCCTGCAACGGCTTCCCATACACAACCGTCTCCTCACCATCACCACCCAAATCCGCCACCACCACCACGACACCGCGCCCACTCCACCGCGGCCAGACTCTAGTCCACAAGAACCAGTACACCGCCCCCAGCAGCAAGACGCCCGTGCCGACGAGCGGGAAAGCGTAGTACGGGTAGCCGTCGGCATTCCAGTCGCTGTTTGGCGGCACGAAGGGGGTGACGACGAGGAAGATGTTGAGGCACAGGTAGACGAGGGGGACTGGGAGGTAGGTTTGCCAGGGCGAGGACCAGCGCTCGGATTTGCTGAGGCGCAGGTAGATCAGGCCGCCGGCGACGAAGGCGTTGATCCACGCGCCGGGGTAGGTGTATCTGGTGGGTTGTAGTGTTAGTTGGTTGGGTTGGAGAAGAGGATGGGGTAGGGGAGGATGGTACGTACAGGTTGACAATGAAGTTGTATGCCGGGCCTGGTGGGGGCGCAATGAGCACGATGACGGTGACGAGCCAGTGGAGGAAGAGCTGTTCCGGTCAGTCGAGCGCTAGATTCACAAAAGGGTGTTGAGTAGGTAGGCACTTACCGAAGCCGCTGGCGTATTGAACGGCTTAGTGGATGCCCAAAACTTGCTCCACGGCAATACCCCCTCCCTAGCCAACTCATGGTTGACTCGGGAATGGGCAAAGCTCACCGCCAGCACATTTCCAATATTGCTGAGCGCGACGAGCGCTGGGAGACTCCTCGCGGCCGCGCTCTCCCCAAACATATTCCGGAAAAACAGCCCAGCAACGATAACCTCGGACTTGGCGAGCTCCCCCTTTGGAATGGCCGCAAAGTACGCGACATTGGCGAGCACATACAACACCGTGATCCCCACGACCGCAAGAGGGGCTGCGATTTTGAGCGTCCGCTGCGGGTTCTTCAGCTCCCCCATCACGTAGTTGGCATTCTCCCAGCCCTTGTAGCTGTACACCACCTGCAGCAGCGCGGTAGCATACGCGTAGGCCCCACCGCCGCCATACCCGTCCCCCTTCTCGACCGACCAGAAGTCATCAAAGTTATGCGGATCCTCAACCAGCCGGTAGCCAGAGAGGGCCGCAAACCCGGAGAAGACGATCAGCAGCAGCACGAGGACCTTGAAGATGCCGAGGGCATTCGTGAGGCGGAGGCCCCATCGCGGAAACACGCCGTGTAGGACGACGACAAAGGTCATGCAGGCGACGGCGATGGCGCGCGGGATCCAGCCGTCGGGCATCGGGTGGCCCGCTGCGAGGAGCACGTAGCGGCCGAAGGCGAGGGAGTTCCCGGCGGAGAAGCCGAGCAGCACGATCTGGACGGCGAAGACGCTCGTGGCCAGCCGCCGCGGGCGCCGGAAGATGCGCTCGAGGTAGTTCTTTTCGCCGCCCGAGCGGGGGATGGCCAGGCCGAATTCGAGGTACACGCTGAGGCCGGAGAGCGTGAGGAGACCGGCTGCTTTGGGTCAGTCGTCGACTTGAAGGGGGGGGGGGGGGGGGGGAGGGGCTGGTTGAACGGGTTGTAAATAGGGGTAGTAGGTACGTACCGACTGCCCATAACAGTAGGCTGATCCCTACCGATCCGGTTGCTGCGAATATGCTGGAAGGGGTCGAGAAGACTGGGCGAGGGGTTAGCAGCCTGCTCTTAATTATCTGGTACCTAGGTATGTGAACGGAGGGGCCCTACTTCCAGTCCCGATCATCTTATTCAGGATCAGGAACATAGCACCAGCAACGCCAATCTGTCTGGGTTCGGATGCGACGCTTGCGATTCCATCGTAGTCGAAGGTCTCGCCCGTGGCTTCGCTGTCGATGGAGTCATCATCGAGAGGCGTGCTGATGCATTTTTTGTTGGCTGAGTTATCCATCACAGCCGGCTGCGCGGAAGCCGTGGTAACTGATGTTTGTGAACTCGCGCTCGTCAACTCCCGACCGCGCGATCTGAACTCTGAAGGCAGTTGTGAGGAATCATATCGGGCGACGTGGAATGTCTCGGACTTCGGTGACTCGACGTGATGGATGTTTTGGGGAAACTGCAGGTGGTGGCGCTAAGGCGATTGCGTGCTTGGAGGCTTTGCTGATAGCACCCGATTGGCCCCGATTGGTCCCGGCAATCCCGGCCCACTCACTCCCGCTTCGGCACCTCAGCCGGCACCGGACCCGGGAGTGCCGGGGTCAAATTTTGGCTTGGCATCTTCCGGTCATTGCGTTATTGACTGGTCTCCCCGGGAGCGGACTGGCCATCTTGAAGCCGGTACCTCCGAGCTTAAATTTCGGGGATTTACGGCTCAACAAGCCCTAGAAAGGAAGATGGGGCCACTCCTAGCAATAGCAATATGCGCAATTCATCGGCTATTCCACCCTCGTTTTGTTTGTTAGTCAGTGCGAAACTTTTGGCGGGCATCCGAGTTAAAGGTCAAGAGCGTAAAAAAAAAAAAAAGTAAAAGAAAAGGAAGAAAGAAAATCAACGGTGAGTGATAGAAAGAGGAAGTCTTGAGATTAACGGTGAACTTTTATTCCACCCACGTATCTATCGACATTATAACGTAATATGCCTTGTTTGCCTGGGCGAACGTGCCCCTGGCGGCGGTTGGGTAAAGCTGACTCGACCATGTTGAATTGCCAAGTTGCCAAAGGAAATGTAAAACGAAAATGAAATCGTACAACTGTGATCTGTATTCGGCCTGCTGTTTGGATCGGCACACGGCAACCAGGTAAAGAACCGAAGCGGCCGTCTTGCCGTCTCTGCTCCTCCCGGTCGTGTCCGAGTCATCCTCCGTCCTGGCTGGGTACGCGAGCCGTTTACCGGGTAGAAAATTCCGAATGGTGGTATCATTGGTTGAGGTGAGAACCATACGCCGCGGGGCTGTGTGAATAGGCTTCAGGGATCCCGCCGGCAGAGGATTGATTGTCCTGCACGTTTCCCGAAATATGATGGCCAGGTAATCCCTCCATGTCCCATGCTGAAATGGCTGGCACCATTGATTCCAGTCGGGGGCCGAACTGGATACCTGTTGGCATCGCAAAACCCCCCTCCGTCGTCTGAGGCGCCCATCCTTGGTGATAACCACTATCCGTAGTGGCCGGGAACAACGAGTTGGTTGTGTTCAAGTCCGCACATTGCTGGTGGGGCACGGCATGAAGAGAGTAAGTGTTGAGAGGTGAGGTATTGTCTCTAACCGGGTTCGGTACCAGATGCGGGAGATTCTGGCGCGGAGCTAGTTGGTCAGGGAGTATTGGGGATCCCTTTCCAACCATGTCACGACTGCCTCCGTTTCCGCGACGATGCGGCTTCGTCGGCCGAGGCTGGAGGGAACGGGACCGAGCCAAATACTTCTGGAGAGCTGCGTGCTCAAACTCCCGAACCGACTGACAGCACCTCTCTTCCAGCCGTTGGTTCATGGTCGTCACAATCTGAGAAGCAACCGACAACAACTCCGCGTTTAGCCAACCGCCATTCACGTTTTGTGTGAGTATATCAAACACAAGATACACCTGGCCATGGCCGTCTGCGTTGATTGCTTTCTTTGCGATGGCCGGGAACTCGTCTGCTGCGGCCTTGATGCAGGGTTCGTACACTAGTGAGCGGCGGTCCAAGGTTAACCTCGGATCCTTGGTAGGGTTGGAAGTCCATGCATACCTGGCGAGGGGACTTTAGTGTCAAGCGGAAACAGGGTCTTCCACAAAACTTCCCAGTTGGACACCTTGTGGCGGTTCTTCCTTGCGACAAGTAGGTTGTCGATATCCTCCGTAATGCCATCCTCGACATCACCCTCGACTTGGCCTTCGTGTTGGATAAGTGGTCTCTGTCTCTTGTGGCAAGTTTTGATGTGTGACCTGCACGCGGACGATCAGCATACTATAACCACTTTTGTCTTGCGGTCTCGACAGGGACAGACTTGAGATGAGCAAATTCCTTGAACGGATTGGTGCACTTGACGTGATCGCGAATATTGAAGCGCTCCTTGTTTCTCTTGCGGTATGGACAGTTCAGCGGGCCGTTGGCTGTCCTGCCTCCGTCCTCGCCTTGCTCATCGTCGCTGTGTAGATAGTAACGGTCCTCTGTGTCCTGGCTTCTTCGACCGTTGCCGTGCTCAGAACCTAGCTCGCTCGAGTCACCATCGTTGACATGTTCTCGGATCTGGGCGTATCTGAGACCCCCGACGGAGGCTGCTGATCCCAGGGACGAGGCTGTGGCACCGGCTGCTTCGTCACGGGTTGCAGCGTAAGACGAGGGAAAGCCGCACATGTCCCAGGAGGGGCTCATTGCCGGCGCCACAGATCGGCCAACGGGGGTGTAGTGGTGGGAAGTTGTGAGATCCGGGCCCGAGACGGACATATTGTAGTTTGAGGGGAGGTTGGGGCCTGTGGGGCAGGACAGCCGCCGGCCCCGGTCTGGGGGCGGACAAGGCATGAGTTCGTAGTCAGCGCCAAACGTAGAGCCGTGAAGGGCGGTAGTCCCGGGAATCTGAGACTGGTTGTGCATGGCGAATGTCGGCTCTTTAATTAAAGTGCAGCCACACCGTTGGAGAAGGCTACCTGAAATAGCGAGATACGTTTGAGCATTGATATGCTTGATGTGCTCTTAAATACGTCCCACATGGAGACATCAAAAGAACGGAGCCCAGCAGCCCACCTAGCTTGGGTACGACTAGCTTTGAGGCTGGGCACGGATGCTGAGCCGTCTCTGCTTGCTGTGTGTTCAGTTCGCAGCCATTAACTACAGCCGGTTAACAATCGGCATATCTTGGCAAAGACGTGGCCTGGGGCCACAGAGCTATCATGGCGCATGAACGGAACCCCCATCATCGGCGCTGGCCTTGAACCACAGCCCAGCTTCTCTTGCTTGGAAAAGACTCGAGTTACCAATTCAAGCCTTGCAACCCCTGCAAGCTCAGATGCGCCTGATTGGTTTACCAAACCTCAAATGGAATGCGAGTGCTTTCCGCAAATATGTCGCGCGGACGGGACCGGCCCCCAAGAGTGCAGTGCCTGGGCCGGCCCGATGGGAACCCGGGCACACTCTGTGCTCACCGACATATTTTTTTTTCCTCTATTGGCAGGTTGCTCCGAACTCGAGACGGAAACGCCGATGGACGTTCAATACGGCGCATCGCGCGCGTGTTGAACGTGGCAAGCGCGGCTAAGAGACCTGAGCCTTGAGGCAACCCAAGGCAGGCTTTGCGTACCTGTCAGCAGCGGTGCCTTGCAGAGCTGAACGAGCAGGGGAGTTAGTTGGCTCAGCAGGTTTTGCTGGCGAGGGAGAATCGCGGATCTGCATCTGGTCGCGTGCATGATAACGTTCCGTCGGGTCAACTGCGGCTCGCCAAGTTGCGTCTGCAGACTTGACACGAAACAAACCTTGACAAGCCTATTACACACGAGTGCAGGAACAGCGTGTCGGTACTCCGTACCGAGGTACGCCCACCATCACTGACTCCGTCTGTACCCCAGTACTTCATACTGCCCGTGTACCGAGGCACTTCATTGTCTCTTTTGGGGAGTGACTCGACCCGACTGAACAGCATTCGATCTTCAACAGCGTGTTCTTCAAACACTGTAAAACCCAGTGCTTCGAACATTCCGATAGACCTATCTATGATCCTGTTGAATTTAGCCGTATTCTCGTAGGTAGTTTTAGCTGCAGGTGTAACCAGTTACTTGCCACCGCGGCCGTGGTCGTGTACACAGCCGCGAGGAAGAGAAGTGTGTACTGCTCATGTGTGTATTTCTTCCTCGCATGGAAACGAGGTGAGCCAGGCTCGAGCCGGTCCGGACTGTTGGAAACCAATGACTCCAGTCTCCCGCTGCCAAGTCGATCACCACGAGCGCCAATGAGAAAATGCACAAGTCGGGTGCGTCAATGAATTACGGCTGCAGGGTGATTGAAAATGCCATGTGCAGCGGCTGAGGGAAATTATTTCGAGGGTTGCACCAGATGCACCAAATGAAGCGATGTCTGTCATTCAAGCCCAACCTGCCCCTTCCATGCGCGGAACATGATGGCGCAGGCTGCACCTCGGGAGGCCCAAGCTTCGGAGTGTCCGTGGTAGGTGGGGGTGGGGCATCCATGGAAGTGGCAGGTGGCAGGTGGCAGGCTCGCAGGCTGGCAAGAACTGCCCGCCGAGCCCGCCCAACGCTCCCGCGGCTGGCAGTGGGAAAGCAACAGGAGGAACCCTGCCAGCTTGGCGTCAGGCCCCGCCAAGCCTCCTCGATCAATCAATCCTGTTCCTCTTCGAGCGTTTCGGGGATACCGAGAGCTCACCTCACACCAAAACGACCTCGAAACAGCCATATCGGTCGCCGATTTCGTTTTCACCTTAGCTTGCGACCGCGAATCACCCGCATCGGTCGCCGTTTTTACCCTAGCGCACCAGCCTCGTGGCTCCGCGATCACTATGGCTGCGAACGATGGGCCTAAGCTGCTCTGGAACCCAGACAATGTCCGAGATGTCGCCGATTCAATAGGAATATCGCTTTCCGACGAGCCACTGCGCGTGCTCGCCCAGGACGTCGAGTACCGCATCGGCCAGGTCATCGTTGAGGCTCTTCGCTTTATGCGCGCCGCCAACCGCACCACGTTGACAGTGCAGGACGTGTCACAGGCGCTCAAAGTGCTCGACGTCGAACCATTGTATGGTTACGAATCAACCCGGCCACTGCGATACGGCGAAGCGAGTCTTGGCCCCGGTCAGCCGCTTTTTTATATTGACGACGAGGAGGTCGACTTTGAGAAGGTCATCAACGCCCCGCTACCGAAGGTGCCGCGGGATATGAGCTTTACCGGTGGGTACCTGCCGGCATGGAGAGCATCGTGCATGGTCACCGCTAACTAGCCGCGTCACAGCTCATTGGCTTGCCGTCGAGGGCGTTCAACCATCCATCCCCCAAAACCCAACGACTGCCGAGACCTCGTCCAAAGACCTCTTGCCCAAGGGGCCCGGCGCGAACCCGGCCTTGGCAGCCCTAGCGGGCAACGACAACGTCTCGTTCCGGCCGTCGGTCAAACACGTCATCAGCAAGGAGCTGATACTGTATTTCGACAAGATCCAAGCCGCCATTCTCGACGACGATCCGGACGAGGAAAAGACCAGACTCCGCGAAGCGGCCCTCGAATCCGTCCGCTCCGATCCCGGCCTACACCAGCTCCTCCCCTACTTCGTCAACTTCATCACCAACCAAGTGACGCACCACCTCGATGACCTGTTCATCCTGCGCCAGATGATGGAGCTCGCCGAGGCGGTCATCCAGAACCCGAACCTCTTCCTCGACCCGTACGCGAGCGCCCTCTCGGCCCCCGTGCTCACCTGCCTCATGTCGCGCAAGCTGGGCGGGGCCGCGGCCGACGAGGGGTCCGACACGCTGCGGGAGCAGTACAACCTGCGGGAGCTGGCGGCGGGCCTGCTGGCCATGGTGGCGCGCAAGTACGGGGCGACCAACGCGCTGCTGCGGCCCAAGCTGACGCGCACGTGCCTCAAGCACTTCCTCGACCCGACGCGCCCGCCCGCCGTGCTGTTCGGCGCCATGCGCGGCGTCGCCGCCTCGGGCGGGCCCGAGGCCGTCCGCGTCCTGGTCCTGCCCAACCTCAAGAGCTTCGACGGCGCCGTGCTGCAGCCCCTTCACGAGAAGGGCGAGCCCCACGCCATGGAGCTCGAGATGCTCGTCGGCGGCATCATGAAGGCCGTCGAGACTCTGGTCGGCGGGTCCGGTATCCCCGTCGCCAACGGCGTTGCGGATGTGGACCTGTCTAGGGAGGGCGAGCAGGTTGCCGAGTTCCTGGGGCCGATCATCGGGCAGAGGGTTGCGCGCCTGGGAAACCACGCGCTAAACAGGGCCATTCTGGAGGTCCGGCATTTGGAGTAGAGAGGGGTTTCTGCTACCTGGGTGATTCAATATATTCGCGTGAGAAAGCACGCTAGGGTAAGCACGGCGTTAAGGGGTCTAAGAGCTCGAAGGTGGGACCGGGGTTGGGCTTGGGCTTGTCATTTGTTTGTATGGCGTGCGTTGGGAGTATCGGCGCAGGAAATAGCGGACGTCGGACATGGATAGTAGTAATTTCGATTACCATCACTTGCGCTACGATGCTCGTGTATATGTGTATGTTTGTGTTGACAAAGAAACAGCTCCTATCCGGATTGTGTAGTCCATACATGGTGTTCCTCCTTGTCTACCCCCCACCCCCTTTCGCCAAGCTCATAATCGTGACATTCTCAGCACTCCGAGCCTCAGCCCCACGCTATTCCCCATAACTCCTTTCTCTTCCTCTGCCTCCGTACTTTATTTCCGCCCTCATACCTCCACTAGACCGCACCCCTTACAGGAAGAAAGCAAGGCACAACCCCCCCACCATCGACGCACCCCAGATATACCACCCCGACTTAGCAATCGTCTGGCGCTTAAAGCCCACCGCCATATCATACAGCAGATGGCGCACACCGTTGACGGCATGAAACACGAAGGGCCAGGCGGCGAGGAACTTGAGGGCGCCCTTGGCGGCGAAGGGCAGCGCCCCGAACGCCGCCGCCAGCGACGCGCTCTCCAGGTGCCACCCGGCCAGCGGCGCCGCCAGGTAGGCCGCCGCGAACACGTACAGGCTGCCGCTGAACGCCGACCCCGTGATGCGCATCCAGATCGACCCGCCGAACCACGTCTGCTGCTTGTCGTACACGTCCAGGTGCGGCGACACCGGCCGGTTGAGACGCTGCTGGGCCAGGATCGCGGAGCCGTCGGTGGGGGTGAGCTTTTGCGTCGCTACGGGCCTGTGTAGTGGGGGTGGTATGGGGTTAGTCACGGGTGGTGGGTGTTGGGTGGTGGGTTGTCTGATGACGTCTCGGTTGTTGGAGGGGTGGGGGGATTGGTGGTTACGGACCTCGTCTGGGTGGTCGACAACGGCTGGGCCAGCCCGAGCCGGGCTATGTTGGCGGTGAAGAATGCATTCGGGCTGCCGGCGACTATGAGGTTGCTATGTGGTTAGCATACTTCCGTCTGTCTCTCTGCGTCCTCCAACCGGGGGGGTCTGCTGGTTTGTTCGGTCGAGAGGAGCCACAATTGTCTCAATCGGGGGAAGCGTACCTCGGCGCAGCGCAGTCGTTCCTACTCGTTGGGCAATCATCTTGTGGTTCGGCGGTAGAGGCCGAATCCTGAACCAGGCGTGGTATCGTGGGTTGCGAGATTTGAGGTCGATGATGCTGGACTCTTGAAGTTGCGCATCGGAATCGAGCCCCGGCAGGTCGGCACCTCGGCTCCAAGAGCCAATGGGAGCTCCGGCGATTCGAATGCTTGGCCTGGTTGGCTGCAGCTGCGGCTCAGCGAAAATCCAAGCACGTGAGTGGAAGCCCCACGCTCTTGGCGCGGCTTTTCAACAGCATCCGCTCACAAAATTTTCGTTTTCTCTTTCTCCTCTTTTCTTCTTCAGATAGTTATGGGCGTCCAGCCATGGTGTTGCCGCCTCAATCGGTAATGCATACGTGGCAAGGACACTTTGGTGTCCATGGATGCCCAGAGAAGAATGAGATCCGTCGTTAATCACTGTCGTCAGTCTCCCAATCTGGCGATTGTTTCATTTTTAGAGATCTACATTTCGCCATTCGATGCCCAGTGGAGGGCACGCGCAGCGGGGTTGATGCGGACTGGAACGTGCAATTATTTCCCACCCTTTATATTCGCATCGAGACGGATCAACATGGGCCAGAAACCCGGAACTCCCCGGACACGTCTGCCCATGTTTAATCCGCACCGCACCGTTGTGGTCCTTTTGTTTTGTGAAACATCGTTGTAGCTCCAACCACTAAACTGCCAACATCTCATTACGTATGAGCCGATGCGGAGTTGTTGCGCATGCTACCTGACCATATGTGGCACAGGCACGAAAGCCATAATCTCAGCGCCGCTCTATAACTATCTTCGGGCTGAACCTTCAACCTTCGTGCTCGACGAAGTTGGCGCATAGTGGAGTCGTTGCCGAGACCAAAGAGCTTGGACGTCTCGCGTTTCGCTGAAACATCCGCCACTGGTAAATCCTCCATGCGCCCTCGGTATTCTCCATCTGTGTCCAAGACCCACCGCAAAGTGTTGGAGCACATCAAAGGCTCAGTCTTGAATAAAACCGAACTGCCTGGTGTCCTGAGGCTGGGCTGTAAACACGACGTTCTCCTACGTGACCAGGGACCACACACCACGCACCATCACGGACTCTAATACCACGGTTGAGACAAAAAGTTGGCGGGCCGCATGGTAAACCCCATGGCGTCAGTGAGCCAGCAAAATGTCACTCGGACATGCCTCGGCACATTTGCCATGGGGATGCCAACCTGAGCTTAGACCGGTGTTTTAGTTTCGGAACCACGATACTGTGCAGTTCAGTCTTGGGGCGTTCAATGCCATTGAAGTCGAGTGAATTGTCGAGCCCGGGCAGCTAAGTATTCATCAAGAGTCTTGATTCAAGAGTGAATGCGCAGGCTTAGGGAATAGAGGGGTGTTTGCCCTCTCCTTGCTCTCCGCCTCGCCGTGTTGTCTTGAATTGTTAATCTCGCCGCGGCAAATCACGGGTTAGCCGGCTGTTGCATGATGTTTCTCCTCCCCTAGTCAACCAGAACATTTCGGCTCCAATTGCGTCCCTCCTAGGCAAGGCAAGAGCTACCCGTTCGAAGGCACGTGCAGGTGCCTTCAATCAATCCTGCTGGTCCAAGTCTCATGCGGACTTGGGGAGATGGGCTACTCGTCGTGAGAAAACCCAACAGGGTTAGGGTTATGCGAAAGCAATCTGCGGTGTTGCCAGAGCAACATTCCGACATGCAACAGGCCAACAGCACGTTGCATAACCCGAAAGTTGAACGCGACACACGACAGACCAGATCGACAGCCAAGTTACGCATCTCAACAAACTTAGTAGCCTCGCGATTCAAAGGACTGCAAGTAAACATGGACGCTCCAACCATCAGAGAACTGCGTACTCTGGAACGCCGCGAGTTCCAGCTCCGCCTTGCCGAACGACTCGAGCAAATGCTTGACGCTGTCCTCTCCGGCAGTCGCGCCGAGCCTCGGATTTTCGACCACGAATTGGAGTCTCTCTCAATCCGCAAGGCTTCATCCCTCGATGTTGACGAGGAGCAGCCGCTTGACCTAGAGCCTGTATTTTTTCGGCCTCTTCCCCTTCCCCCGGGCACCGATATCCGAACGCTTGTCAAGAATACCCAGCCAGAACACCTGCGCCCCTACTGGGTCAATTGCGAGAAGTTCGATCGCAAACGCTGGTGTGGCGACACCTCTTGTGCATTTTTTCAAATGCAATGGATCGGTAGAGCCGTGGGATGCAGTTGGCGGGGGCTTCTGTCAGAAACATGTTGGACAGAGGGTCAAAGGTAAGAAGCATTCATGAATCTCATCTCGTCTCATATATAATATACACGTACGACTGACAGAAGGCATGAAATAGATGCAGGGATAGCGAATGCCCGCATCATCACGACGCGCTTTCGAATGGCAAGTTTGTAACATGGAACACACATTATGTAAAGGATAGCCTCAAGCCGCACGTGATGGTTGCTGTCAAGTACCCATACCCCATCCCGGGTGGGCTTGGATCCGTACTCCGCGCAGAGGTCGCAAGCGCCATGTACTTGATGCTGCGCCAGCTCCAGCACGGAGAATCCGTGGATCACCGCACCATCCCGGTAGGATCCCGTGGAAGTTTCCTCGTATAGGTACAAACCTAGAGTCATGACTAACAGCGGAGTAGGTTTTGGTGCGCACTTACTATCACGACCGAGGTGCGCGTATCACACAAGCACATTGGGACGACGACCACCTAGTAATCCGACAATCGCGCGTATTGGACTTCCACGCGTCCGAGCCTACGGACGACGCGTATCTCTTGGTGCGCTGGATTACCGGTACGCCTATGGGTGAGACACGGTATCCGGATTCCGCATGCGAGGACGAGGATGACGGCAGGCGCTATTCCCAGGTCGAGCCGCACCCAATGGCGTTGACTGTGACGGCGTGATGGTATGGTTACCTAGTAAATATGGTATTCGCCGGCGGATATTACAAGTATCGTGCTCACGTGGAGGACTTTCGTTTTACTTCTAATTGGAATGAAGGGATGGGCTACCAAATGAACGCATGCTGTGACCAGATGGGAATGAGCACTATGAGCACACTGCTGTTTGGGAAGTCACACCTGCCAGGTCGTGGAGCGTCCTCCCATTTTCTTGACATTATTTTTCCTCAACCCAACTCGGTCAATTTGGCATTCTGCTTCGTTCAACCAGGGCCCAGAGGCGTTCAATTAATCATCACTTCCACTGTTCTTGTTTTATAACCACCGATGCATCGTTCTGACAAGGGAAACTTCGTTGCGGCCTAACAGTCCTTGTTTGCAGTCACGCGCTGCCTTGCCCACCCTGTTGCATAACCCGAAAGTTGAACGCGACAGGCGAAAGACCAGATCGGTTGCGTCCGCCAATTACTCAACTGCAAAGGTTCGCCATCTCATTGGACACCACTACCGCAACACAATATCAATTGCCCGTCGAACGAGCTGACCAAAGTCAAGCAGCGAAATGAGGAAGTCATTTTCTTATTGTGGCCCAGTCCAACCCTAGAGAATGTTGGATGTTTGGGAGGCAGGTCGGCACGAAACAGCCCAACCATACCGGCATGTGGCTACGCCTACTGCACTCCAACCAAGCCGCTGGCTCCATGGCAAGGGTGCATCCCACCGTTTCCGCCCAACACGTTCTTCAATGGATACCGCACCCGGCCGATGGCCTGCAGGCCATGCCCGACAACTATTTTGCAGCGCAGCCTGATCTTGGCCTCAGGATTCTAGGCAGTCCCACAGTACGGTGGGGGATGCTTGGGCATCGATGGTGAGCCTACCACGACATTCCTACTTCTTCTACTAATGAATGGGTATGAACACAGTTGACATCCGTTGAAAGTATCCGCAGTACCGACAACATCCATCCCCTATAATCAGTCGGCGCCATTACACTCCCCGCAGTCCCCTGTCCATGACATGGCTCCCGACAATTCAATTGCTCCTAGCAACTATTCCGAGCTCTTGAAATGCGTAGAAATCGACGATCGAGAGAGCCCTGCCAACGCAGGCGACTGGCGTAAAGAAGTGGGGGAATTCTTGGGCCTCTCCGACCCGGCGGCTATGCGCCTGAGCGACATGACGCGATGGAAGATTGGCCCTAGAATGGCGAGCCCATCTGGCTCGAAGCTCATGTACGAACATTTTCTCCATCTCAGAGCTTTTGTACAGAACCATCGCCCTTTCGAATTCGACTTGCACCAATTTGTTGACGACCAATACGCCACCGCCGCCTCCCGGCTTCTTGAGAAAGGTGCCTGGGAAGACTTTGACCACTACAGGAGGTCAGTAGGGAATTCTGACCCGGATATTCGCATCCTAGGGCAGTTTGCCTCCGCGAAAGTTGACCAGAACCACGTTCTCATCGATGCTTATGGTGGTAACGGTTTGGGTCACGACGGAGAGGAAAAACAGTTCGTTGGTGGCACCCACGAAGATTCTGAGGAAACACCATCTAGACGAGCCTCGACAAGGTTTCTTCCGATGAAGCCCGACTATAGATCGCCGCCAGGTGACTGCGATGCCGCCGACGAGGCTATTGTCAACAAAGCCATGGCCGGATTTGCGTCGATTCTGACCCGGCCATTCACCAAGGAGTTTGCGCGGGCTCCAGATAGTCCGAGCAGAACGCAGGTCGAACTGGAACCCACCTACGATCAAGTGAGGACGGGCCTTGCAAGATGGACTATCGAGAGGAATAGGTTTCACATCAAGGAGCGCCGGAGAGAAAATGACACGCGCCAAGCTCGGGCAGTAACCGATGCGAAATGCAAACCAGGCCAGCACTTCAAAATCCTGGAGACCCAGACAGATGGGCACCTCTATTCTTTATACGAGACTCTCGCGCTCATGGAAGTCAAACGCCGCACACGGTACAAAAGCGCAGTCGGCTGGAAGACAATTGAGTGGCAAGAAACTGCCGAGATTTTCGCCTGGCAGAACAACTGTCTTCGAACGGAACAAGAGCAAGGCAAAATGGACGTGTCTCGACGATTCCTGAAACCCCCGACTGAGTCCAACCGCAAAAGGTACATAACTCTTTTTGTTGTCCCTTTATATTTATCTTTGTATTTAATTTCTTTTTTTCTTTTCTTTCCGCTTACTCTTACTTATTTCCTTTCTCCGTTCCTCTTCTTTTGCTTTATTTTACTTACGTTTTGTTTTCTTTTCTGTTTTCTTTTCTTTCTTTCATACTTTATTTTCATTTCTCTATTTCTCTCTCGATTTCTCTCTCGATTTCTCTCTCGATTTCTCTCTCGATTTCTCTCTCGATTTCTCTCTCGATTTCTCTCTCGATTTCTCTCTCGATTTCTCTCTCTATACTCACTAGTAGTTCGCTAACTCACTGCGTCGACTTAGATGCCTTCTCGTATCGCAAGATCGCGAAGAGTGCTTCATTATTATTGGAGAGTTTGATGCCTACTGGGAATACTACTGTGTTGAGGGACTGCTCCCGAACATCACCTCCGGCCCATCCGCCCTCAGTACAAAACTAGGGGACTTGTATTTGGGCAACGAGGTGTTGAAGGGCGCAGAGCACTCCAAGGGCACTGAGAGGTTGAAACGCGACGGGGGTGGTGGCGCAGAGAGGTTGCAAGGCGATGAAACACTGAAACATTATGGACTGGATGGCTGTCCCGTCCCTGGGCCCGACGACGGCTTTCTGGCGGTCCACGTTTACGGGCCGTTCTTGACCACTAACCAAGATCATATGGTGGCTCTAAGCGCCAACCTACTTGGTATGACTATGCATCTAGCCGGCGTAACGCGCGAGACCCTTGGGTATTTCGAACAGAAGGCTCGGAGCAGCGTTAAAGAATACAAGGCAGGCCGCACAAGCTCGGGCAGCTCGGGGAGTGGGACAAGTCAGGGAAGTGAGGATAGCCTATGGGTGCAGAGATCTACTCTGTTCTCCTGAGAGCCATGGTGGAATATTTTGGGGTCTCGTGCGGGAGATGACGGCGCAAGGGTCAACGAGCTAGGAGTCCCCAGTTACGCCCAGTTATGGATATCATCTACGGTGAGCCTATTCTAGGACCTCCGAGGGATTAGTAAAGTTTGTTCTTTTGTATTTTACAGAGGGGAGGAAAAGAAGGAGAAAACAAGATTTATCCTCTTAATATCCGTAGCATTCGACAGAGAGGTACATGCGCTGACAGGTGTGTATTGAGCTGCAACTATTAGAGAGCTAGATCGTTTTCACACTCGTCGCCACGTTCAAGGTTAAGGTTCACGACTATTAAATATTCACACGTTGTAGCTGTACCAAGCGCCTGCCTCTGGCCCACTGCCTCGGATTGTTTTATAAAGCGAACACATCCTTGGGAATTTGCCTGTTTAAGTTGTTGCTGCGTGGCTATTCGGGGCGGGGAGTCGAAGCTTAAAAGGTGCTGGAACTATTATACGTTCGACGACTTCTAGGGGAACTTAGGGGTGCAGTTTGTTGGCATTTATAAACCCGCAACCGAGGCGTAGCATAGCACCCAACGCTACCTGTTCTCTAACACCTTCTAATAACGTGTTACTTCATTCACCTTCGTGACCATCCTCCACCGGTGCATCACTTCTTCTCCCCCAACGTCCCCATAGTAATGTCCTCGGTCCCCGCCGCCGCCGGCTTCGACTCCCTCGTATCGGCCCTCTCCAAATCGTCGACCGGCTTCCCCTCCTGCATAACATTCATGCCCGCCGGCAGGGTCTTCTCAAACTCCCTGCCCCTCTTCTCGGGCCCGAACGCGGTGGTGACGGCGATGCCGATGGCAATGATGGCGGTGGCGATGCCCATGGTGGGGCCGTAGGCCTCGACGCGCAGGCCGCTCTTGCTGGTGATGAAGTGGCTCTCGGCGATGGCGTTGACGATCTGGGCGGAGGGGGACGAGATCATGTTGCCGAGCTGGTAGGTGAGGCCGGGGAAGGAGGAGCGGAAGGCCGGCGGCGACAGCTCGTTCAGGTGGATGGGGATCACGCCCCACGCGCCCTGGATGAAGAACTGTATGAAGAAGCCCGTCACCGACAGGCTGCGCTCGCCCTCCGGTAGGATCCACGCCGGGATCAGCACGCCGCTGAAGATGGCCGCCACGATAATGGTACGCCGGCGGCCGAACCATTGTGAGATGTACCCGAGGATGGTGCCACCCACGCAAGCGCCCACTTTCATGAGGATGCTGGCGCGGCTGGCGCCGCCGTTGTCGAGTTCTTTCTGCGTGCGCATGAATGTCGTGTAGCTGTCTTGGGAGGTGTGGCTGTAGTCTGGGGGGTGGGTTAGCATAGGGAGCGTTGCTGACGGCCCGCGATGGTAGGGGTGGAATGCATCGGGCTTACAGTTGAACCAGGTCATGAGAATGATGCAGTAGATGCACATCTTCCACTCCTTTCCAAGCATGATCTTGGTTTCTTTCCAGAACGCCGATGGGTTGGCCTGGGCCTTACCGGCCTTACGCGCTTCGATGAACTGCTGGGACTCGGGGAAGAAGCAGCGGATGAGACCGACCGCAATGGAGATACCGGCGGCAATCCAGAAAACGGTCTTCCAAGTGTCGACGGCGCCGCCCACGCCGAGATTTGCGCACGCGGCGCACACGTAGCCAAATGAGTACCCCTGCTGGAGGATGCCAGACATGAGACCTCTGGCATCTGGCGGGCTGTTCTCGAGAGCCATGGCGATGGCGTTGCCGTATCTATCTAGTGTCAATGATTGTTGAGATAGAACTGGGGGATGAAACATACACTCCGCCCATGAACAAACCGAACAGTGATCGCACAGCCAGGAATTGAGAAAACGTGGAGCTGTAGATGGTGGCGATCTGCAGCACACCGAGCACGATCATGTTGACCACCATGGGCCATTTGCGGCCCCACTTGTCGCCGGCAAGACCGAACATAGCGGCGCCAACCGACCGCAGCAGCAGCGTGAGGGTGATGGCGGTAGAGATATTAGTTTTCGAGGTGTTGTAGTACTCGGCAAGCTTGACCTGCTGAATGGAGAGTGCGTGGAAGTCGAAGGCATCGGCGCTCCAGGCGGCAAAGCCGACGATGAAGAAGAGCCAGCCGCGTCCGGACAGCTGGGCAAGCAGGCTAATGGGATTGCGTAGTGGGACGGGTCGCGCCCACTCTGTGCTCGTCTCGCCGAGTTCGTTCGTCACAACAACACGCTGCTTGAAGATGAAGAGGTCGTGCCATGACTGTTTTGCTGTAGCCCACACCCCTTGGGCCACGGGGTCGGCCGGTTCGTGCGTAAATTCCATGGCCTCGATGCTGCCTATGCAATTATTGCGTGGGCGGGAATAGTCGAGCCACGTCTGGTGGGAAAAGTGTGCAGGAAAAGGAGGAAAGGGAAGCGGACATGTGGTTTTGGCACACAACTGATCTGCAAACTCGGGCTGAGATGATGTCTTATAAGGCTTGATTCTGAGAGGCGGGAGCACGGATGCCCACCGCTTTCCTGGCAATGATTGTCTCACTTCCCTCCACGCTGAGTAACTGCGAACCTGCGAGCCTGCGACCTCCGTCACTTGCCGGCTGCAGGGTGTGTGGTGTGGTTTGCCGTCCCTTGGTGAGCAACTCGCATCCCGAGTGCGACCATGCCAGGGATGACGTGCGGGGTTGTACCCCACGATCCCCAACCTGTTGTTGGTGAGAACTGGGCTGGAGATGGAGTTATGGCCGGTTGTTGGGAAGATGAAGGGATTCCGGGGTTCTGGGGAAATTCTTGGCTTCGGTCACGATCCGAAGGGGGAAAGATCTCGTTCTGCCAAGCGGCGGCTTTGTTGCTGAAGCACTTAAGGTCTTGGCCGATGCTTGACTCGGTCGTTAGCTTGCCAAGAGCGGGTTCTCTCATGGCTCGGGGCCGAGTCGACAGGCGGCATCGATGCCGATCCGTGGTTGCAGTGGCGCAAACTCGGCGAAATAGCAGGAAACGGCGGGGCCCTCCAGGCTACCTAGGAGGAAAGCTTTCAACATCAGACGGAGACTAGGTGAGCACGTGAGGTTGGCATGTCGTGACTTACATGTTTACACACTTTAGAGTACCTTACGAGTGTTCTGATTTATCACATCAGATAACGGAATGTTGGTATCAAATCGCGAACGTTGCTCGTTGATGGGTTGCAATTTGCGTGGTTCACCGCCCGGCGTCCTTCGACAGATCTCGAGCTGAGAGAGTCCAAGGAAAGAAACCATCTCGCTGGAGCCACCAACATCCCCACCAACCAAAACCCTACCCAGCCAGAAGCCGTTGCGGAGGTAGTGGGCCAGAACGCGGGGGATGGCCAGCCTGGCTGGACCCAACAGAATGCCGGGTTGGTGGGTTCCCGACTTCTCGAGGTTGTCATTTGTGGGGAAAACTTTCCTCTTTCGTTGTGCGAGGAGGGAATTAATTGCGAGCTCGAGCCCAGAGCGGGGCCGGCGGGTTTTCGTATGACGGCTACTTCCAGCCCTCTCGGTGTCTGTCTGGGCATTCCCGTATCTCACCTTCCCAGTTTGCCCATCCCGGGGGCCATTTGCAACGTCGATCGGTCACCCGCGTGCTCTCTTCGGTGGGGCAACGCCCGAGTCCAGCCTGTCTGCCGGATGCTTCTGCTCCCTCTTCACGCGGGGACCCCGATTGGAGTTGCATTAAACCAATCGTCGACCTTGTCATCCTGCTAAATGTTCTTCCACAACCTTCCAACGCCCAGTTTAACTCGGTGTTTTGTCGGACATTGGCGGGGATACCGACCTAGAGATGGAGATTCAGGATCCTCTTCAGAGACAACCATCCACGTGAGTGCCACGGGAAACGTAGCCGGTAGTTACGGTGGCTCGATAGTTCTGTAATGATCGTAGGGGACGAGCGTTGTCGTGGTTCATCGGCGAGTGATCTGAGACAAGTTCTCCCGAAAGCCACGCGAGCAATGCCCTGTTGGAGTTGACCCTGGTTCACCGGCGAGTTCGACCGGTCTCGGATGGCGACCCGAAAATATCAACCTGGAATGCCCGGCCCGGGGAAATGGATGTACAGAGAAGCATGAGCTGAGCAGGGAGGGACCTTGGCTAGCAGACGAGGCAGGGCCAAGTGGTGCTCCTTCCCAGTTTGGCCGACTTGCTCACTCCCAGGCCCACTCACATTCAAGTCCAGCCTCGTGCCCCCAATTTGAATTTGCACAACCCGAAAGGCACCTGTGCTCTTTCCGGTTGTTCCCGACCATCAGGAAATAGTTCGAATATGCAAGAGTTTCCTTTACAAACGATAATCAGACTGTCATGCGCCGAGAAGTAAGGTTCTTCATTCACACCACACAGCAACTAGGTAGCCAACTACTGGGCCACATTATCATGGATTCCACCACGCACATTATGAACGCGCACAACCCAGGCTGTATTATTCAGTGAGACGATCTAATTGCCGCAAACAGAGCCTTCTCAGTATGGAATGGCTCTCCTCAATCGCGGTCCGCGTCCTCCCCAACGGTGACACCGATGTTAATACCAACTCCGAGGCCAACCCCAATATGCAGCAGCTTCCCGCCGGTCAGCTCCAGCAATTTATCAAAGACCGGCGTGCCGAGCCCCGTAACCGGATCCCAACCAGGGGTCGCATTCCAGCTCGCGTGCGGCACGTACGGGGTGGGCAGGCCCGAGTACATGTCCGTGCCCGTGCAGCCCGTGGAGCCGCCATGGACGATATCGGTCAGCGCCCCCTTGCGGCTCACCTCCTCGGAGTACAGCCAGGGGTTGAGGAAGCCCAGCGGCGGCCGGCCCTCGGCTAGGCGCGCGTTGTTGAGCAGGCTGACCAGCGCCGCGAACATGGGTGCCGACGCGCTGGTGCCCGAGACTAGGATGTCACGGTCCCTGGAGAAGACGTGGTAGGCCACGCCCTGGGCCGCCACGTCCGGGAAACCGCGCCCTTCCGGATTGTAGAGACCCTTCCAGCGGCCTTGGAGGTGATCCCGTAGGTAGTTTGATACTGCGGCGTCTTGGTAGGACGGCCGCGGCCAGATGTCGGAGAAGCCGCCGGAGGAGAAGGACGCGGCCTGCTCTGGCTCGACGTAGCGGGTTCCGCCGACGGAAGTGACGTAAGGGCAAGCACTGATGGCGTTGGCGTTAGTTGTTGTCCTTGCCGTTGTAAGTGAGGGTGGGTGACTTGTAGGCAGACTTACGCAGGGAAGATGGGCAGAAACCGGGTTGTGTTCTTGCCGTCGTTGGTCTGGCACGCAGAGCCGACACCGGTACTAAATCAACAGTCAGAGCCGTGTTCTCCCGACGCCAAGGTTATGAGGAACGGCGACTTACTCCCCCGAGGAAAAAAGGACGGACACTCCCCGAGCGCCCAGCTGGCCGATCATCTGACAGACCTTCTCGGCATACGGGCGAGGGACTGACTGCTCATCCTCGCCGTAAGATGTGGTCAGGGTTTGCGGCAGTTTGTTGTCGGGCAGCTTCAGAAGGTATGAGAAGAATTCCAGGTACGGCTCGTTGGAAACCTGTGTTCCATCAGTAAGTCAACACGTGAAACCCCAAACGCGACCTGGTCATACCTCGTTCGGATCCGGCTGGCTGTTCCAAGGTTAGCGGTGTCTCAACTTCAAACTGTCGTGACACACTCACTCAAGATCAGGCACCAAAGGCCCACGCCCTGCGGTACTGTAGTACGTAACGGGAGTGTTGTACGACATGGCCACAGCATACTGGATGTCCAAGTTGGCCTCCACATCGTCCTGCTCCAACGACCCTTGCTCGTTCACCCCGCCATTGACCCCCACAGCGGTGAAGTTTGTGTCGGCGGCATACGGCGCGTACGTGTCGCTGAACAGCTCGAGCTGGTCATACTTGGCCCACTCCTCCAGATACCCACAAACCCCAAACAAGCTGTCCTTGCTGGCCTCCGCCTGGTACGAGCCGACCTTGTACAGCGCCCGCAGACACTCGGGCGTAATGCTCGAATTGCACGCCTTCGCATCCAGCTCCTGCGGCGGAATCGCCGCCGCCACCTTGGCATGCGGCTGCACCAGCGGCTCAACCACCTCAAACACCTGACTGCCCGCCGGCCTGACCTGCCCAAACCGCACCACCGGCGCCACCATGCGGATATGCGGCGTCACCTCATCCGGCACCGAATACCGCAGCGCGCGCACCCGCTTGACACCCGTCCCGTCGTGCGCCCACACCCCAAAGTCCGCCTGCAGCAACCCCGCCGCCTGCCGCACCGTCACCGCCAGGTTCACCCACTCCCCATCAGCCTCGACCTGCCCCGGCGGAATCCCCGCGCCGCGAAGCCAGCCCAGCACCGCCGCCGTCGACTCGGCCCGCGGCGCCAGCAGCGAGGCGAGCGCCTCCCGCGACAGGTGCTGGCCGTAGCGCGCGTGGGCCGGGTCCGAGACCTCGTAGAGGGCGCGCTCGAAGAGCGCTTCGTTGGGCTGTTGGAGTGCGATGCGTAGCTTGAGGTGCTGCGAGGCGGGCGCGTTGCCGAGGCGGGTCCAGCCGGGCGGGTGGTTGGTGGGGAGGGATTCGAAGACGGTGGAGCCGCATTGGCCTAGGGCGGCGAGGGCGGCGGTGAGGAGGGCGGTGGTGGTGTGTCGAAGCATGGTGATGTTTGCTTCGCGCCTACACGGCCGGTAGCTGGGTGGGTGTGAGGGGGGTGGTTAGTGAGTGAGAGTGTTGGGGGAGGGGGGGTTGGTGAGGGAGGGGGGAACGAAGGGTGGGTTGCGGTAACCGCAGTGTTTATAAAAAAGCGCTAACTAACGTGCTCGTGAAGGGTGGAAATACGGATTGCCGTGGCTCGCAGTTGCTAACTTCCGTTTCCGGCCTGGATCATCCTGTGTTGGTGATGGGATGCACACGTTGTAAGCCAAATTGGCCAATCCGAGTGCCGGATCGGGCTGTGTGGGGTCGTGTTTGCTCAGGAACACATGCCCAGGTGCCCAGCAAAGGGAAGGAGATCGGGATAAAATGCCGAGAAAGCTTAACCCGTGCCCAGAGAGCTTGTTCTCTCTAGTGTCCCGCTCGCTCGCTTCCGAGCCGCGGAGGTTTATTCCGGCCGCTGCCCACATCGTAGCTTTGGAGCTGCCATGTTAGGAAGCTCACAAAGCCATTGCGTGCTGTGGGGAGCCCTCGAGCCGCTTCCTACTGCTAATCGACATGCTCAATTCCGGGATTAATCGGGTTGGTGTGGGGGCTTCTGTTCCATCAGTAGGGTCGCTTCTGCAGGAATTACGCGGCTAATATATGCATCCTGGGAAGGTGGATAATATGAGGCCGTTTATCTCTAGAGACCAGGCGGGAACATCGGAAGACTTTCGTGATCGAAGCCCGGGGGGGGGGGGGGGGGCAACATGGAAGAGCTCACGTCTCGCCAACCCCACACACCACCAACGATTGCTACTCGCTACCGCAGTGTACCTTGGCCAAGATCGTATGCATGTTCGCACCTAGTGGGTGAGACATCATACCTAGTACACCAGCATCGTGTGGCTGTTGTTGTTGCATACCTCCACGTGTTTGTTCTGAACGGTCGGCGAGCCGAAAGTACGGGTTGTTGTTACCCCTTGAATCATAGTAATCGGGATGGTCTCGTACGTTGCCCTTCTGTCGGCCGTAGCCTAAATGGTGTTATGTTCCCAATCGTTGGTGTGGTACTGCCGTCTGTTTGTGTTGTGCTCGGATCTATTCGTGTATGTTCCCATTCGGTGTTTGATTCCAGAGTGGATGCCTGGATCTTGGTGGCAGCGGCTGAAGCCTCAATTTGCAGCAGTGTTGCTATTCAATCACACTTACTGCACTTGCTTCGTATGTGTCATATCAAGCGTAAGCTTCAGGTTGGGGTTGGGTTGAGGATAGTGCTAGCTATGGGATAGGGGGAAGGAAGAACGCCATCACACAAAGATGAGTAGGTAAAGATGGTGAATTCTTCCATGGCTATTCTCAAAAGGAAAAGGGCAAGGAAAACTCAAGTAAAACCTGCTACCCAATGAAAAGTACCAGCCATGCATTTCGATTTATATCAAGTTCATGCGCGTGCTCCTCTTATGCCCTTGTCTCTATCTACCGCGGAAGCTTGAACCCAAGATCAGAAAACCGTACCTGGATTTGAGGGTCGAAGCCACCAAGTTTGGTAAGAAACGCCGGCGTAGCGTTCGATACTTCTTTCTTGGTCTGTTTAGCGATGTGCTTCAGGAGGGCCTCGATGTCTGCAGCGGACTGTTCCGCTGCCTCTGCATCCCTCGTAACTAGGAAGTTGGCACAGTATATGTTCAGAAGCATTGTCGGCTTCAAAACAGGTATTTTGTCGACCATAACAATATCGTTCTTAGAGTCGGGAAACGGCTGGCAAACGTCCTTGGGCTCCCAAAAGCGGACAGCCTCCTTGTCGCCCGAATCTTTCACGTACCAGACCTTGCTTGCTGACTGGTTGCACTTGAAGCGGCTGGTACTCCGGCACAGAGCGTCGATTCTCCTCGAGGTCGTGCCAGAAGGCACAAACACGTCCACAGAAGTAACCGAGTTCCGGATCTCTAGCATGGCGAGGGCCGAGCAGCCCACCATGGCGTAGGTCTTTCCCTTAAGGGCGCCGGCCAGCTTGCCGACAATGGTGTTGAAGGTTTTCAAACGGATGCCCGGCATCGCCAGCGGGCTGCCGCTAGGGCGTGTGGCATTGACAACTTGAACTGGGCGTGCGCTAGGTGGCTCCGCTCTAACAATGCGACTCGGAGGGGTAGACGCTGTGGCATTTGTGTTCGTTGCTGTCCCAGTTGTTGTCGTTCCGGTTGTGCCCCCCCCAGTTGTTCTCGTCACTGTTGTTCTCGTCCCACTTGTCCCCGTCCCGGTTGTTGCAGGCTTTCCAGTTGTCGAGGAGTTCGAGTTGTCCATCTTCTTCGCAAGCGAGCTGGTGTTATTCTTGAGCTGGAATTGGCCGATGTGTTGGTCGTGCGAACTGAGGCGGCGTTGCGTGTGGTAATAACAAAGTATAATAACAGGGTCAACCTTCAAGGTTATTGTGGAAGTAAGTACTAGGGGCTGTTTGTTTTGTTCCTAGTGTGTAGCCAAGTGCGGACGTCAAAAGAAATATATCGTTGAGAGCCATCCTCGAAAGTTTTAGGATTCACGTCCATCTTCCTGTCAGCTGCCCTGAAACTAAACCAAAAGATGCCGGTTTAGGTAGGTAATTGTAGAACAAGTAAGACGGGGCTTAGCATGTTGCTCACATAGTAGGTACATACGTAGATTCGAACCCAGCAAGAATGCGAGCCACAAGGATGCCTAAGGATCAAACGGAATGGCCAGGGCGGGCCAATGGGCTGGCGCGCTTACACAGCACAGCGTAGGTTTTCTAACATGCTTGATTCTAAAGAGAGGGTGGCGTTAATAGCTCAGTTCATGATGTGGTTGATATCCTTACCTCGCTGCGAGATTTGTCTTACGATCCTATTCCGGAACCTTCGGGTCATACCAACGTGACGTACCCCCTTTTTTTCGTGAGCGGTTTCAGTGGCCTCAACGGCTTCGGGTATAGAGCCTCATCCCTGAAAATACATCTCGTGTCTATAGTCTTGTTCGGATCACTGTCTGGTCCCATTGCGTCCCCTTTCTTGCCGGGCACGCACCCTCTGGAGCTCGATAAAGTTGGCTCGTACGGAATATACATTTCCATTGCTGCCGCAGCCCGTGGGATTCGAGGTGTGGGCAGATGCTCGGCGTAAGCGGCGCTGTCTGCCGAGCGTCCTGATGTTTGGGGCTGGGGGGTGGGCCATCTTAGTGCGGCCGTGAAATGTGGCGATGCAGCACGGCGAAGGAGCTTCCCACAAGGCAACGTTTTTGCTTGGGACGAGAAGCCAGGACAAACCGTCGCCTTGTTTGTTGAGACTGGCCCGGAAATCATAACCAATTGTCCCCGTAAGCTTTCATTTGACCAGTTGTAAGTTGTAGTAACTACCTAGATAACAACCAAGTAGCTTTAGTTTGCTGAGTGGAAGCGCAAAATCCTGGGGTCACATCTCGACACCGTACTCGAGGTCCGTTTCCGGACTGCGGGTCCTTCCCGTCCTGTCCCTAATATGCTGAGTTGAACCTGTTAGGTTCTAACAATCTCGACATGCCCTATCGGTTTACTATTAGCCAACGATAATGAATAAACGAGGTCGATTGGAGACCAAGGCCATTGTACCTTTAACCATCAGGCCCCTTTCCTCCCACAACCTGTTGGCTGTACCGGACATACAGCGGAATCGACGCAGAGTCATTATCCCTGTCCTCAAAACATCAACTGGCCCATCCGTCCAGAATTAAGAAATGAGATCGGCGACGTTCATGGGCATCTCATCAATCTGGGTCGAGTAGTACACTGCCAAACATTAGCCAAAGCCAAGCCATGGAGATGAGGGGCACCTACGCTCAATATCTCGAAGAATGCGCACATCCTCGCTAGTAACGAAGTTGATGGCCACACCCTTACGGCCGAATCTACCCGAGCGGCCGATGCGGTGGATGTAATTCTCACGGTTGCTCGGCAAGTCGTAGTTGATTACCAAGCTCACTTGCTGGACGTCAATACCGCGGGCCCAGACGTCGGTCGAGATGAGGACTCTGCTGTTGCCCTGCCTGAAATCCTGCATAATGCTGTCACGCTCCTTTTGTGGCATGTCACCGTGCATGCTGCTGACGGTAAAGTTGGCCTCTCTCATCTTGTCCGTGAGCCAGTCGACCTTGCGTCGCGTGTTGCAGAAGATGACCGCCTGGGTGATAGTGAGGGTATCGTAGAGGTCGCAGAGCGTATCGAACTTCCAGTCCTCCTTCTCCACGGCGATGAAGTATTGCTTGAGCCCTTCGAGGGTCAACTCGTCACGCTTGACGAGGATGCGAACCGGGTCGGTCATGAACTTGGTGGTCATGTCGAGGACATCGTATGGGAGGGTGGCGGAGACAACGACGACTTGGGTGGCAGGCGGGAGATAGCGGTACACGTCGTAGATCTGCTCTCGGAAGCCCTGGTTGAGAAGCTCGTCGGCTTCGTCGAGCACGAGCATCTTGATGTGGCGGGTGCGTAGGTGGCGGCGGCGGATCATGTCGGCAACACGACCCGGAGTTCCAGATACGATGTGTTGACCGTAATCGAGCTTGCGGATATCCTCGCCCACGTTGGTCCCACCAATGCAAGCGTGGCACTGAACGTTCATGTAGTCGCCTAGGGCCATGACGACGCTCTGAATCTGTGTCGCAAGTTCGCGGGTCGGGGACAGGACAAGCGCTTGTGTCTCCCGCACGGCGGTATCGATGACCTGGAGCATGCTGATGGAGAAGGTGGCTGTTTTACCCGTTCCGGATTGTGCCTGCGCGATAGTGTCGCGGCCCTTGCAGATCTGGACGATGGCTCGAGACTGGACGGCGGACGGTGACTCGTACCCATAAGCGTAGATGCCGCGAAGGAGGCTCTCTGCAAGGAGAATTGTTAGCGAGTCATGGCTTCGAGCCCTCCATGATTCCCATGCGACGCACCTTTCAGCGACATCGACTCAAAGGTCGGATGCACTGTGACCTCCTTCGAGGTCGAGAATTGGATCTTCTCATCGGCCTTGCGGTCGATACCAGCTCCGTCTGCCATGGTTGTGGTTGTATGGCGTTTTATTCTCGATTGTCGGTGTTGTTTGGTGTCGTTGCGGAGTGTTTTACTTGTGTAATGTGAATTGCGCCTGGGAAGGTTGAAGGCGAATCAAGCCTGCGCTGGGAAGTGGATCTCAACTTTTCGGCCAGGCTCGCCAGGTTCAGCCCGGCTGAACTTCGGTTGCACCTGCACGGTCCAGACGCGTCGCAGTTTTGGCGCATCCGCAAGCAATTGAGCGCCAAGGAATCAAAGAGCTGGAGCAGCCAACTCACGACGCTATCAGCGCAACTTTTACTACAGCCACCACAGTTTTGCCTTTTCAACATTTGCAACCTGTAAATACCAGAGCAAGATGTTACTCGAAGACCAGCGTTATATCCACGAGGACCTCGAGCGTCTCGAACAAGGCATTGCCGATCGCATGAGCGAGGAGCCCAAACACGTGAGTTTTACTTGATGCGCCACCGTCTTTCTTCTCTTCTTTCTCAAACAGGTGGCCTTGTTAACTTTTGACATGCTCACAATTGATAGATTCGCGACCGTTTGAACCGAGACCATGAGGTAGCGCAGCTGCTCGACCAAATTCAAAGTCAATCAGCCGAGCTTTTACCACTCTACGATGACAAGACCGGACTTCGATCGAAGGAGATCCTGCAAATCAGCACCGGCGACCCATTCGAGGAGTTCTACCGCCAAGTAACGGGCGTCAAAGACCATCATGCACGATACCCGAACGAGCAAGCCGAGAATTCGGAGCAGTGGTATCGGCCACAGAAAGGAGGGGATGACCAGCCGTACATCGTCGAGAGCATGTTCTCAGGCGAGGAGGCATATGGCCGGTTTTTCGATTTGCACAACTGCCACGACTCGTACTTGAACCTCCCGAACGCAAAACGCCTGGGGTACATGCAGTATCTTGAGGTCTTCGACAACTTCCAGCCGGGGTATGGAGGAGTGAAGCGGGCAGACAAGTTGACGGATCCATACTTCAAGTACCTCGGCGATCTCATGGGGTATCTGGAGTCGTTTATGCGACGAACCCGGCCCTTGGAGAATATCGATCAGGTACTGGAAGGCTGGCAGCGGGACTTCGAGGCAGCGTGGGAGAAGCGCGAGGTCCAAGGGTGGCAAACAGACAAGGCGGCGCAAGCCGGAGCGGCCGAGCGAACTCTGAGCACACCCGATGCTGTCTGGTGCGACGCCTGCGAGAAAGAGTTCAAGAACGACAATGTTTACAAGGGCCATCTGAAAGGTCGAAAACACGTCAAGGCAGCGGAGCTTTTGGCGCAGGAGCAAGGGTCGCAGGACGGCAACGCAAACGGCAAGCGCACCGACTCCGCGCAGGAGTTAAAAGAGCGGGCAGTTGCGGAGAGGGAATTCCGTGTCAAGAAACTAACGGGCGCCATGAACATTGAGAAGGACGACACGCGGGTGAACGTGGAGCGCCGACAGGGCATGACGGAGCGAGAACGGGCCCAGGAGCTGGAAAACCTTTACAACATGACGTCTGGGGGACAGAATAAGGAGGAGGAAGAGGAGGAGCAAGATGAGGGCGACGACAAGCTTTACAACCCTCTGAAGCTACCCCTCGCGTGGGACGGCAAGCCGATCCCGTTCTGGTTGTATAGGCTCCATGGGCTGGGCCAAGAGTTCCCTTGTGAGGTTTGCGGCAACTTCGTCTACCGCGGCCGGCGTGCCTTTGACAAGCACTTCAACGAAACCAACCACATCACGAACCTGAAGCGTCTCGGTATCACGGACACGTACCTGTTCCGGGATATCACATCGATCGCCGAGGCGGTTCGCCTCTGGGACAAGATTCAGCGAGACCAGAACAGGGGACAGATAGATGACGGGGCGGTGGTGCAGATGGAGGATGCCGAGGGCAATGTGATGCCGGAGAAGGTGTATCTCGATTTGCAGAAGCAGGGGCTGTTGTAAGAGGTGAGCGCGAGGTAGGGAGGGGGGAACTGGCGTTGGATTTGTATATATGGGAAACATAAGTGGTAGCTGATACCCGACAGGCGATTACTTCGAGTCGTTGGTGCTTGTGAGGTGTGGAGGTGAAGCTGAAGATGAGAAACATCCTCCCAGCACCAGAAGCCATTTCTTGGCGGCTCATGCAAATGATGGAGTTGCCCCACCAGGTCCCTGCGGCATTGGGCCCACTTTGAAAGGCAGAAGCGGGGCGTCAATGGTCACCCCAGCGCCGAACCACCAACATCGCAAGTAAACAAATCAATTGAGCATCTCCTGAACTCGCACACCGACCCGCAAGCCTCATATTCTTGCTCGATGTCTAATTGCACCACGAACTAAACTCAGCCCCCGGATGGAGTTCCCACCCTTGGCACGACAACACGCTCGATTGCGTGAGATGCCGCAAACCTGAGGATGCACCAAGCCAAAACGAAACATCCCCGATCATCACCATGGCGAGCCTGCACAGCCCGATCCCGGCCCTCTACACCGTCTACGTTTTGCGATCAACCATCCGCCATGCATCCTTTTACGTCGGTTCCACGCCGAACCCACCGCGCCGGCTGAGCCAGCACAATGGCCTCGTGGGCGGCGGTGCCGTCCGCACCTCGCGCGGCAACCTCCGGCCCTGGGAAATGATCACCCTCGTCTCCGGCTTCCCGAGCTCGACAGCAGCGCTGAAGTTTGAGTATGCCCCTCCCTTCCCTCCCCCTCCCCCCCTCTCTTCTCCTCCATCCTACCCTCTCCCCAACCCCCGCCCTCTCAAGACCCTTAACTAACCACACACCCAGATGGGCGCTCAACAACCCGCACCTCTCAGTGCACATCCCATCCGCGCTGCGCTCATCCGTCGTGACGCGGACCAAGCGCAAGCGGGGGAAGCCGCGGCGGCCGGCCAAGAGCATGGCGTCGGTCGCGTCCTGCCTGCACCTGCTGCTGCGCGTGCCCAGCTTTGCGCGCTGGCCGCTGCGCGTGCACTTCTTCAACCGCGACGCCTTTCGTGCGTGGGAGAAGTGGTGCTCTACTACTGCTGTGGGCGAGGGGTTGATGGCGGGGTTGAAGGTGGTGACGGATTTTGGGGGGGAGCGGAGGGCCGGGGATGGGGAGGAGGGTGAACAGTCACCGTCACCGCCGCCGTGGGGCATACATGCGTTGCCGTTGGACTACGAGCCGGTTAAGGAGTATGTGGCTAAGGGGCAGGAAATCTTCGAGTTTGAGCGGCAGGGGCGATGCCTCGTCTGTCGAGAGGAGATGAAGGCGGGGGAAGGGCTGCATGCGCTCTGCACGCACGACGGCTGTGATGGAGTTGGCCATGTCTCTTGCTGGGGCCGACATTTTCTCAAGAACGACGAGGCAGGCAGTATAGTGCCGGTTCAAGGCCACTGCCCGAAGTGCAAGAAGGCGGTGGACTGGGGCGACATGATGAAGGAGCTGACGCTGAGGGTCAGAGGCCACAAAGAGGTGAAAAAACTGCTGAAGCGGAAGCCGAAGCGCGTTACTAAGGAAACCAACAAGGCATGAGTGATGGGTTTATATCATGGAGATTCATCGGTAATTTTGGGGCATTGGAACTGGGCTTGGTTTGTTTTCGGTACGGCGTCCAAGGGGCCAGGACGGCAGCAATTGCAAATGTTAAGATACCCGGATGGATCGGTAGTCCTTCATATTGAATGCGGTGGGCGGTTAGTTCTCTTTTCCTTGGGATTGGTAGTCCTCGCCTTGCTCGCCAATGGCCTGCCTCATCCCATCCTGGAAGCCGATCATGGCGCGGCATCTGATGTCGTCGGGCCTCTCGGAGGTGGGAGTGGGAACCTGCCCATTTGGGTTGCACAAAGCGATCAGTCAGCTTGGTCCTCCCGCTTGGCACGACACTCTTCCAACGTCAAGTCATTCCTGATTGGTTGTGCAGTCCAAAATTGGGGCCTTGCCAATATCAGTGCATGTTGAAGCAACCACAACCACATCGGCCTCTCAGCCATATCGCACCAGCTGAGATTATGTTGCCGAGCGCAAAAGGTATGTAATCCGTAGAATTGGATACTGTGTAGGTAAGGTACCTAGTTATGGATACTATCCCAAACTAATTTATTTGTTTTTTTGTCACCTGTATGCAACCTTTGACGGTTTGATCCGACTTCTCACGATTGATGTTTCAATGGCGGATTAGGGTAAGATGCGCAACCTGAGTCGCCATCGCCAGCTGACCACACCACTTCTCCTGCACATGCATTTTTGCAGCCTTGGTGTTCCCAGTCTTGGAGGGGTGAGCCGAGAAAGGCATTGTCCTCGGTATTGAGCCGAGTAATACATGATGTGTCAAGCCACCAAAATCCTCATTGGCGACCCTGTTACTACAGGTTACCACGGCGAGCCGCAGAAGGTCTGGACATTTCTCCCTCTCCCATTCACTGCCTTGCGTTTATTGGTGTCATGCGGGGGCATTTCTTTGTGCGATGGCGCCCAGATGCAAGGGTCTCCCTTCGCGAAGTGGCCCGTCCCATCGTTTCCGTCCTTATCCCTCCTCTGTATTTCGCAGCGTCATCATTTTTTGTTGGCCGCTTGAACAATGTCAGCCAGAAAGTGTATTTCTGTAAAAATTAGAAAAATGGACCAATTCCCTTAGACGCCCCTGTTTTAGGTACTTGGTATAAAAACATCAATGAATTTGAGGGATGTCGTGGTGAGAGTCAGGTTCCGTCGCGACGTTGAACCCCCCGCAGACCCACTCTTTCGCGGGAATGTCGAATGGGTGCATGCCCGTGTGTGCGGTTTTGCGCCTCCCAAATTCCTTCCGGTCACTGCCGTTGCCGCTTTCCCTCGCCTGTCTTGGGAACCTCTCCCGTCTTCGGTCGGCCCCATACTCCATCTTACCCACAGCCCACTCACACCCGACCCTTCGGTGCTCCGCCTTCTTTCCCTTCACCCACCTTATTCCGAACCATTTCCAATCTTTGTTCGACCTCGACCTGTCGCCTCAACTGTGCCCCAACCCAGGCGTTATTCGTGGCCCAGCCCCAACGCAACATCGAATCTCGAATTTCGATCTCGCCTTGGCGTGTCCATATTCCCTGTGATTGCCAGAGGCACCATCGTGGTCGGCACCCGTTGAAGCTGCTCGCATGGTCTGAAGAGGGAAAGACAATTTGTAGCTTCTTTGATCTCCCGGAACTGAAGGGTATGTGCACTGTGTATTAGGGGTTTTCCTTCACGACCCCGTGTGCCGACCGCACCGTTTCCGTGTCGCGCATGTCTCTAATATCGGTTGTCGCGCTCCCTTTACAGATCCCCCGTTTACGATGCGCTCAACACCTTTTTGACCCCTCCCGACCGATTCCCCTGCGAACATCATCCCGAACACCATTACCGAGACGTGATTGCCTCTGCCATCAAGATCGCCAGCGAGATTGGTTTCGGGAACGGTATCTTCAGTGGGCGGGTCAAACGAAGGACCAAGCAGCTCGCAGGGTTCGATTGTGAATGCGAACATGAGAGGCTCTTCGGCGGCGGCTTCCCCGGCAATCCCCGGCGCTGGCGGGAAGCAAAAGACTTCACAACCCAACTCAAACGGCACGCAGTCGACGAAACCGCCGAGTCCCCTCAGCTCGCTGACCAGCGCCCCCCTCGACTTAGCCTCAGTCGAGCGACGCGGTCAACCCAATGCCTGCCCTGAGCCGGCCAAGAGAAAGAGCCGACCTCATGGCCTCCAAGAAGCGCCTACCTATCGCCCGACGGAGGAGGAGTGGAAAGAGCCATTCGAGTACATCAGGAAGATTTCCCCCGAGGCGCGGCAGTACGGCATTTGCAAGATCATCCCTCCCGAGTCGTGGAACCCGGATTTTGCCATCGACACAGAGGTGAGTGGCTCCAACGGGAGCCAAAGGGACGCGATGGTGGGACTCGAACTGACGATAGGACGCAGAGGTTCCATTTCCGCACGCGCAAACAAGAGTTGAACTCTGTCGAAGGCTGTAAGGCTTCCCCTCCCCGGCCCGCGACGCGCTTCTGCTCGGGACGTAATGCTGAGCCGGGCGGTTTAGGCACCCGCGCGAACCTGTCTTATCTCGATGCCCTCGCCAAGTTCCACAAGCAGCAGGGGACAAACATGACGCGGTGGCCCTACGTCGACAAGAAGCCCCTCGATCTCTATCGGTTAAAGAAAGCAGTCGAGGCCCGTGGCGGCTTCGAGAAGGTTTGCAAGCTCAAGAAGTGGGCCGAAATCGGCCGTGATCTCGGCTACAGCGGCAAGATCATGTCTTCTCTGTCCACATCGTTGAAGAACTCGTATCAGAAATGGCTCTGCCCGTACGAGGACTATCTGAGGATCGCTAAACCAGGCGTTCATCAGCAGCTCGAGCTCGAGTACGGCGGCCCTTTGACCCCGAGCCCTGCTCCGAGTCCACTGAAGCGATCCAATGTGCCGACGCCTGCCGGCATCGGGTCCGAGTCTCCGGCGAGGCATGCGACAGATGCGCTGCGCGCGTCCATGGACGGGCCAGCAAAGGACACGGACCCGGATGTTTCCATGTCGGATACCTCGGGTTTTGGCACTCCCAAGCCAACATCTGGCTTCACCGCCGTGAACTCGGCCGGGTTTTCCGCCATCAACTCTGGCTTTACCAGCGTCAACCGTTCAATAGCCTCCGCCTCGGACGGGAAGGGCCCGGTCACACCAAAGCCCAATGGTACACCTGCCACCTCTGCCAAAAACACACCCGAGTTCCGTTCGTCGATGCTTGGGCCCTCGAACCTCAAACGGCAAATGAGCTGCGACAGCCTCGATTCTGCCAAGAAGGAACCGGCCGATGCGGACGATGGGGATTCCGGGAGCCGTAGAAGCAAGAGACTCAAGAAAGGTGAGTGAACTCTCAGGGTGCCCTTGCCGAGTGGTCGTCGACCCGCTACAGGGATGATGCTGACATCGAGCTGCACAGATACGGTCCCGACTGTCGCCGGTTCGCACATGTCCCTCTTCCGCTCAGCTGTGCCTAGGTTACCTCGGGACGAGTCTGCGTCTCCTGGAGAGGTATGCTGAATGATTCCATTACCATCTATTGACCCCCGTCGCTGATAAGAAGACAGAAATGCGAGCAATGCGGCAAAGGTAGCGAGGACAACGGCTTTCTCCTCACCTGCGAGACTTGCGACCATGGTTACCACGGTGCTTGCCTCGATCCTCCTCTCAAAGTCAAGCCCGAGACCGAATGGAATTGCCCGCGGTGCTTGGTTGGCGACGGCCAATTTGGGTTTGAGGAAGGCGGGCTGTACTCGCTGAAGCAGTTTCAGGAGAAGGCTGCCGACTTCAAGCAGCAGTACTTCTCCAACAAGATGCCGTTTGACCCCGTCCTGAATTGCCATCGGCCGGTCACAGAGGATGATGTCGAACACGAGTTCTGGCGGCTGGTTGCTGACATTGAGGAGACCGTGACGGTGGAGTACGGAGCTGACATTCACTGCACCACCCACGGCTCCGGGTTCCCGACCATCGAGAAATATCCCGACAACCCATACTCGACCGACCCGTGGAATCTCACCCTCCTCCCCCTTCACCCAGAGAGTTTATTCAGGCACATCAAGTCCGATATTTCAGGCATGACGGTGCCCTGGGTCTATGTTGGCATGACTTTCTCGACTTTCTGCTGGCATAACGAGGACCACTACTCTTATTCGTCGAACTATCAACACTTCGGCGCGACTAAAACTTGGTACGGGATTCCCGGTGAAGACGCCGAGAAGTTTGAGAATGCCATGAGAGAGGCTGTCCCGGAACTGTTTGAAACACAGCCGGATCTTCTTTTCCAGTTGGTTACGCTCCTCACTCCGGAGCAGTTGCAAAAGGCCGGGGTGCGTGTCTTTGCCCTGGACCAACGGGCCGGGCAGTTCGTCATCACTTTCCCGCAAGCGTACCACGCGGGGTTCAACCACGGCTTTAACTTCAATGAGGCGGTCAACTTTGCTCCTTGCGACTGGGAGCCCTATGGCCTCGCCGGTGTTGAGAGGCTCCAGCAGTTTCGTCGGCAACCCTGTTTTTCGCACGACGAGTTGTTGTGGACCGCGGCCGAAGGCGTCACAAGCGGTGGGCTCACGATACAGACGGCGAAATGGCTGGCGCCCGCACTGGAGAAGGTCGAGAAACGGGAACTCTCCCAGCGAGCCGAATTCGTTGCCAAGCACGATTTTATCGCCAAGCATCTCGATGCCAAACATCCAGCGCAACACCACCGGTGTGTGTTTGGTGGAGAAGGCGATGACGAGTGCCCCATGATGTTCAAGATCGACGACGCCGATGTTCCAGAGGAGGAGTACGGATGTTTCTACTGCAAAGCCTTCACCTACCTTTCCCGGTTCATTTGTCTCAAGACGGGCAAGGTGCTGTGCCTCCTACACGCTGGAAACCACCCCTGCTGCGACCTCCAGGAGTCGGACAGGTACCTTGGAAAGGAGCATGCCCTCTATTACCGCAAGTCGGATGACGTCATTGCCGCAACGTGCAAGAAGGTGGTCGACAAAGCTCACGTACCCGAGGCCTGGGAAGAGAAATATGATAGGCTCCTGGACGAGGAGGCTACACCATCGCTCAAGACGCTGCGTAACCTTGTTACCGAAGGCGAAAAGATCCCCTACGACCTGCCGTCCCTTCCGGTCCTGAAGGCCTTCGTCGACCGCTGCAACCACTGGGTCGAAGAAGCGACCAATTACACAGTCCGGAAACAACAGAACCGCCGGAAAAATGAGAAGGCGTGGCAGACAGGGGCCCGCAAATCCGTCGGGAATGCCCAGCACGACCAAAAGGAACGCGAGATGCGCAACGTCGCAAACATCTACCGCTTGCTGGACGAAGCTAAGCAGATTGGTTTCGACTGTCCGGAAATCCCCCAGCTACAGGAGCGCGCGGATGCCATCAAGGCCTTCCAGGAGGATGCGAGGACGATGCTGGAGCACCGTCAATCTCGTTCCATTGGCCCGGTTGAGAAGCTACTCGAGGATGGGCAGAGTTTTAACGTCGACATGCCAGAAATTGAGCAGCTGACACGCCTCCTGGACCAGCTTCAGTGGAACGAGAAAGCTAGCAGCAGCCGGAACACATTCATGACCTTGGAGGATGTCAGAGCGCTCATCGACGAGGGCCACCGGCTTAATGTGCCAGTCTACAACGACCACCTTGCCTTCTACACAGACCAGTTGACGGCAGGCCACATGTGGGATAAGAAGGTCCAGGAACTGATGAACGCTGACTCGATTCATTACCCGCAACTTCAAACCTTGGCAGACCAAGTCCAGTCCAACGCCTGGCCCGTTTGCCCGAAAACGATGGCCGCCGTGGACCAGATTCTCCACAAGCAGCGCGAAGCACACCGACAAATCATGGATTTGAACGAGCGTACGCAGGAGCCCGATTACCGAAACAGGCCGAAGTATGCAGAGGTTGCGGAGGTCATAAAGAAGATCGAAGAACTTCAGGCCAAGCCAACCGGGACCCATGAGCTCGAAAAGGAGCAAAAGCGCCACGAAGACTGGATGCGCAAGGGGAAGAAGCTCTTTGGGAAGACCAATGCTCCCCTGCATATCCTCAAGAGCCACATGGACTATGTGCTCGACCGCAACATCGACTGCTTCGACATCGTTCACGACAAGCCGCGCGTTCCAGCGGAGCCTGCCTCCCGGGAGCCGAGTGTCGACAAGGAACAGCCCAACCGCTGGGAAGACCCGAGGTTCCGCGAGGTATTCTGCATTTGTCGGCGCACAGAAGCCGGCATGATGATTGAGTGTGAACTATGCCACGAGTGGTATCACGGCAAATGTCTCAAGATCGCCCGCGGGAAGGTCAAGGAGGACGACAAGTACACATGCCCGATTTGCGACTGGCGCGTCAAGATTCCTCGCGATGCTGCTCGGCCCAAGTTGGAGGACCTCTTATCCTGGCAGGATGAGATTCCCAACTTGCCATTTCAGCCGGAAGAAGAGGAGGTTCTTAAGAAGATCATCGACAATGCGACCGACTTCCGCAACCACATTAGCGCATATTGTAACCCGATCATGGCCACGGCTTCCGAAGCGGAGGCACAGCGGTTTTACCTCCGCAAGATCGAGGGTGCCGAGATCCTCTTAGCCTACGAGACCAACTTTTTCCGGCAGGAGTTGCACAAGTGGAGCCCGGTTGCCCCGGAACCACCTCCGGTTCTCGAGGTGTCGAAGAGCACCCGCAAGCCACGACCGACCAAGCTACAAAAGATGCTCGCGCAATATGGCGTCGAAGATCCTGATGACCTGCCCGAGGACGTCAAGGGCAAAGCTAACAGCTTGAAACGCAAAGCCTTGAACGCCGAGGCCGCCGCCGCCGCCGCCTCTGCGCCTTCGGGTTCCATTATGATGGTCGGGAGCCCTGGATACCCATCACCCCACTCCTTCTTCCCGCGGAACTCATCCGCTCAACCTCCAACCCCGGGGCTTTCGAACCATGCGCACTCCCACTCATCCGGAGGAGCCGACGGATCGTCGTCACACAACCAGCAAGGCCCGTCCGGGTCGAGCTCGATTCTACGGGCCGACTCCATGGACATAGACCCGTCGTCCGCCCACCCAGGCCTCTTCCTTCGCGACGGCGCCGGACCCGGCCCGCAGCTGCTCGTCTCCGGCGACTCGACCCACGATCTCGAAGAGCGCCTCCTCCGCGGCACATTCGACGACGACGAACTCAACGCGCACCTCTCGACGGACCACGGCCGGGCCAGGGTGCTCGAGATCCTGTCGCGGACCGACACGGGCCGGCGCCGGGCCGAGGAGATCTTTGGGCCGGGCGCGCGGGGCGGCGGCGACCGCGGCCGCGACGACGGCGGTCCGTCCAGCGCCGCGCGGGACAACGACCCCATCGGGATCGGCGTCGGGAACGAAGGCGATGGCGACGACAGCATGTTTGTGGAGCTGGTCAACCAGGACGATGACGAGGACGGCGACTCCCCCCACCACCACCGTAAGAAGGCGGCGGCGGCCGATCACCACCACCACCACCCGTCGAACGCGGCCGAGATCCTGGAGGACCGTGGCGAGGCCGCGTCGTGGATGGATGCCCGGAAGGAATCTTAGTCGGATTCGGAGGGTTCTGATGTGTGCGCCGGGTTTTGGTAGTGGGGAGGGGGGCGGGAAAACGGAGTGTGTGTTGGTTGGGTGGGCTTTTGCGGTGCATTGCGGCTGGCTGGCTGGCTGGCGAAGGCTGGCCATGGCGTTTCTTGCGAGGGCGTTGAGATCGTTGCTTTGTGTGTCGTTTTTTTTTTACTTGTGCCACAACATGGTGGTTGTTGCGGCGGGTGGTTTACGGCGTGGAAATCTCGACGTTGAGAACCCGCGTCATGCTGTTTGTTGTACATCATTCTGTATTCTACTGCTGCGACTATTTTCACGTCGATATGAATGGCACCCCGGTCAAGGGTTGGGAGGCAGACGGCGATACCTGGCGGCATCATTTGCATTAGACGACGACCACTGCTTGCTACTGAAGCACTGAGTCGTAGCAGGGCAGGGAGTAACTAGGGGGTTTGAGGTAATGTTCGGGTACGGGTTTGTACTTCGTAGGTCAATGGCAATGCTTGTTCTCCCAAACTCATTATCATCATCATGGCTGCAATGCTCGTGGTCCGTTATTGAAGCAGCACCATGCACTTGATTCGTCACTCTCGTCTACGGTACCCCCCCTCCGCGAGTCTGGACTTGGTATGGTGGTATTGCGCACAGAGCATTATATCGGTCGATTTATCCCCAGGATTGTGTTGAAGGGGAGGGTGCAATGGAGTTTCCGTGCGCTGCGCCTTGTGGGAAAGGTGTGCGGGTCGATGTTCCCAACCCCCTGTCTTGCCTGTGGGCCGTGGAGGCCGATCTTGGGTGGAAGCGGCAAGGAAATGCATGCTAAAAAGCAGATCGTCCTGGTGCTTTCTCTCTGCGCCTCGGATGGGTAAATTGTCGGGCCTGGAAGGGGGATGCCTAACCCGAGCCAGCATGAGAAGCCTCACTTACAGCGAGCTTGTCGATCCGATCTTGCTTTCGGCCGAGGGGATAACTATCGGCACCTTTCTTGTGTCGGATTCAGGCCCTCTGCGAGTCTGGCTGCTTTTAGGCAGGAGAAATTCGGGAGGTTTGAATGAACTACTTAATTAGCATATAACTAACGAGCGACCGAGCACTCGCACAGAAATACGGAGGAAGCGGTTCTTGACAACTCCCCTGCGCAGCTGGTCCAATTCCACCACAGGCGCCACATGGAGGCGGAGGTCAACACGTTGAAGCACAGCCAGGCGTTTTCAGCGGGGACGGGGCAGAACAACAAAGAACTCGGCGATCGACAGCGGTCAGGCCATGAGCGGGCCGACGTCGGGTGAAGCTGGGAACGAACCGGTCACTCTTGGCACCTTTGCAACCCTCATTCACTTCGTTGGTTGCCGGGGCTCGGGAGTGACTAAAGAGGCGTTGAGACTTGGAGAATGAAATCGGGACAGGCGGTCGGGTTGACTCCGGGACCGTGGGACGGAGCCGAGGACAACAAACTCGCTCATGTTTCTAGATTGATTCGAGCTTTTCTTGGGCCCGGACTTTACCCCGAGTCTTGTTTTAGTGCCGCCGCAAACAGGCAAACCACACCGGTGGGTTCGGCGCGTTGTTTTCAGATCGCTAGCGCTTTTAGTGCGAGCCCAAGTCGGAAGTTCCAAGACCACCGGTGTCTGACGGTCGCCGCTTGGATGTTTGTTGCACGGATCGCAGATCTCAGCTGTAGGTTGTGTTGACTGGCCTCATGCTCTGAGCCGGGCGCGGGACCGACGCTTGCTCGCTGAAGAGCCCACTGAAGCGGGAGCGAGGATTCCCCGGGACAGCTTTCTTCTTGGGCTGGCAGAGAACACCACACACACACCCACACACACACACACACACACACACACACACACACACACCGACGGATGCGCATCCCGAACGATCCTGGTCACCGAGCGACGAAAGTGAACAGGTTGCGACGTTCTCGAAAATCCTCACTCTGCCGGGCCGTCCGCAAAAACCCAATTCAGGCAGAGCACCGTCGCACCGTCGCAATGTGACATTCTCTCAGGATTGCATCAATCCAGGCCGCTCCGAAATGGTGGGTTGACGTTGCGCCGTACCTGCAGAAAAGCCAAAGTTTCAGACAGGGGGCACCCTCACCACGTTGTGGCCCAGTTGCGGCGCCATTTTTTGAGGCCCAACTGGAATGTTCCCCGGGGATGCTGTGCAGGGATAGTCAATCGCCTGGAAGGTATTGGCGGGGCTCACAGTGGTTCTCGACCGCGAGAAATCCTTCCATGGCATCTGAATCGCCGGTCGAGCGATGCGAGTTGTACTCCTCCACTACACTAGTGTAGCTCGCGTTGGTACGGTGAGGGACATATCCTGTTTGTCTGTAGCTCCTGTGTATCTCAGGGGCTTCCCCGAGGCATCACACTGCAGATCCGAGGGGGGGTTATTAGCTGATAAAGAGGGTTGTTTTCGCTCGTCGCTGTTTTTTTATTGCGCTGCTCTCCGGCGGTCAATATTTCGTGGAGACTCTCTCCAAGTTGCCTTGCAAAGATCCCTCACACAGCACCCCTGGTCCTTGTGGGCGCGGGTAATCCAAATCTTTTCAGGGGCGAGTTATTCTGGCCGATCAGCCTATCGCTCGTTCGATCGATCGGGTCCGAAGGCAGAAGGTCCCCCTCGGTACCATCGTCCCCCCCGGAATGGAAGCCAAATAACTACTCGATATGCGAACGCGAACATAACTTGAGGCGCATCAAACGAGGAGACTGAGGGTTTTTTAAGAGTGGGATTTTAGGAGCCTACAGCGGAAAACAACAAAGGCGAGAAGAAAGAAAAAAAAAGCAAAAAAGCACAACAAAAAAAAGGGACTTGCCAGCAGGGGGAAACTAAACGAGCGGGAAAACGGGAAGAAGCGACCGAACCTCCGAATTTGCAGCGCTGGGAGTGAAGCAGTGAGAACAGCCATTTCGACCTTGGGCACGCTCTTCCATCCTCTTTATTTTAGGTACACCACCCAATTCTGCATCTCCCCTCCAATTTCCCGTCTCATGCAGCCACCATGCCCTGTGCAAGGACACCAGGGTCTTGCGGCGCCGAGAGAGACACAGAGAGGGAAGGCGCACAGGCTCCCAGGGCAGCCCTGGGGGACCCCACCTTACCCCTCCTCATCCCGAGCTTCCAGGTTCATCTTGGCGGGTTCGAGGCTGGTTCCCACCCATCAAATCCATGTGAAGAAGGCCCACGGACGGCCCACGGGCTTGTTCCATTGCGACCTCGCCGCTTCTGTTGTTGACTTTTGCCCTTTCTCTTGCCAGTCTCGAGCCACCTCAGTGACCCAACGGCAACAAATCCCTTGTCCTCCCGGCCACCCCTGCGGCAGACGACCCCCTTGTTCTGATTTCTTGCACTATTGAATGCTGGTGCTCAGGCAACAAAACAGACCACAACCCGCAGCCGACACGGCAGAGGCCCAACAACACCTTACCTTCGCTCAAGTCCGAACCTCGAACGCTTTTCCTGCACTGACAACACAAGCTGGTGGTTGACCTCCCTTACCACCGTTCCAACTTCACCGTCAGGTCCAGACCCCGCCCCTGTCCAATCGCAACCCCCTCCAGCGACGCTTGTCACTACCCCACTGCGTCACGAGAGCTCCTGAGTCCCCGCTGTCGAATCCCGAGACGGCCACCTGCAGACCGCCGCTACCTGCCGATCGCGCGCCACTGGCCGACCACTGGGACAGCATCCACGTACCACAGCAGCAGCAGACATGGGCTTATTTTCGAGGAGGGAGCGGGCGCCGAAGGCGGCGAGCAACCCACAACCAACGCTTTCCAGTTCACAGTCAAAATCCTCCCTCACGTCAGGGTCCTCCAGCATCATCACTCCCATCAACACAAACGCGCGCATGATGAACCGCACATCGGCTGGCACCACGAGCACAGGCGGCCCCGGAACCCCGCTCACCCCCTTCTCTCCCGGCCCGATGCCCAGCGTCGCGATGCCGAGGCCACCGGACCCGCAGCTCGACCCCGCCGGCTACCTGCGCAGCTTGGGCGCTGTACGAGAACGATGCAAGATTGTGACGGCAAAGGCATGCAAGAACGAGCTGCGTCATTTTGACGTGGACATGCAAAAGTTCCCGGACGTCGTCTCGTTTGTTGCGAATATTATCAAGGTAAGCTTTCCCCGGGTTGGAGAAAAAAAGGGAAAGGGGGGTTGTTAGGGCTTCTCCATAACCCCGCCGGTCCTTGGCTCGGGCGCCGCAGAGATAACTGACCGCGGCATGACAGCGCGATTACGATGCGCCCTTCACGAGCATTCCCGGGCATGGCCGATACCAGCATTTCGGCGTCGGTGGGCGCGACAGAATCGCCCATCTTTTGGCGACATGGCCGGAGGAGATTGACAACACCGAAAAGTGCAAGCGGATTATCGACCTGTTCCTCGTCAGCGTGCTGCTGGATGCCGGAGCTGGCACGGAGTGGAGCTACAAGAGCGTGGAAAATGGCCGGGTCTACAGGCGCTCCGAAGGCATTGCTGTTGCGACCCTAGATATGTTCAAAACGGTAGGTCTACTCAACCTAGGACAAGGCCCTTTCAACGGATGCTAACATTCGCTACAGGGACTCTTCTCGGGCACCAGCAACAAATACCAGGTCGACAGGGAGGGTCTGCGGCAACTAACAGTGGAGAAACTCGCTCAGGGGCTGCAGTCGGGACCTGGGAACGAGATGGCCGGCATCGAAGGCAGGGCACAACTTCTCATCCGCCTCGGCAGGGCTTTGGAGAACAAGGAGTTCTTCGGCGAGGATGGCCGGCCAGGCAACATGCTCGGTAAGGCTTTTCGGGACCTTTTCTGCCTGCAACCGTGCTGACGACAGGTTCCAGATCACATTCTCTCCCACCCATCAACACAGGCTTCGAGTGTGATTATCGTCCCAATGTCGGTACTCTGGAACGTCCTCATGACCGGACTTAACCCGATCTGGCCCCCATCACGGACGGCCATCAACGGTGTTTCACTCGGCGACGCCTGGCCCTGCAACTCGATGCCACAACCCGCGCAATCACCCAGCAGCCCGACATTCTCGCCCTTCCCCAACGCCACAGGGCAATCTAACGGCATCGCGCCGTGGGAGAGCATCCTCCCCTTCCACAAGCTCACCCAATGGCTCACATACTCCCTCATGCAGCCTATGCAGAGCATCATGAAGATCCAGTTCGCCGGCCAGGAGCTTCTTACCGGATTGCCCGAGTACCGAAACGGCGGGCTTTTCGTCGACCTCGGCGTCCTAACGCTCAAGCCCGAGGACCAAGAACGCGGCCTGCAGCACTACACCGAGTACTCGCAGCGCACAGGGACCGGAGGGGTGGAGGTGGCGCCCATGTTCGACCCTGGTGATGACGTTATTGTTGAGTGGCGCGGTGTCACTGTGGGCTTCCTGGATATGTTGGCTACCGATGTCAACAAGGCGTTGAGGAACGAACTAGCCGGCAATGAGCTTAGCTTGGCGCAGGTGTTGGAGGCCGGTAGCTGGAAGGTTTGTATTGGCCCGCTCGTACCGTTCTGGGGACCAACTGCTGACATTGATGGCAGGGGGGGCGAGAAATTGCTGAAGTTAGCCGACCGAACACCAAGGAACCGCCGATCCTTATCGACAGCGACGGGACGGTATTCTAGACGAGTTGCAAGTGGAGTGGACATATGGTTGCAGGGAAAGGGGTTCATGAAAGGCACAAATTACTGCATGGTTGGACTTGCCTTACCTTCCGATTGCACCGCTCGACTAGGGTTGGGACCTGATGTTGATGCATATATTGGGGTTTATCTTCATGTATTTGGCAACGGGCATTGTCTCTTGTTTTATGGCACTTGGGGTGCATCACTACCTTCTCAGAGGGTCTGGCTATGGAATCTAGCACTGTCCCTAAGAAACCAACCAAAACCATATGATCCCTCGCAACCCGTTTTTGAAGTTGACTTGTGCAGATATTGAACAGCTTTTTCTTACCACCCTTCCCATTCCATTCCCATTTATTCCTGCAGGTTCAAGTGATTATCTCAAGGATCTTGCGATCTAAGCTTTGGCATGGATTTCGGAGCGGTATTCTGGAGACGCCTCGCTGAAAACCAGTGTTGAAATACCCCTTTTACTTAATAAACAAACAACCTTTGTCAAACCTCCCCAAATTACCGCCCCTTACATGGCATTGTGTAAGTCCTGGTCACCTTAAACACCAATGTACACATCACATAACGCACGCTTGCCAACAATGATAAATTGGGAGTGCCTGAGTGTTGTTGCTCGCACCTGCCCGGATCGTCGTATAGGTGGTTGAGATGCCTCAGGGCGGTGCCTTCCGCACTGGGACGATGCGACTGGCTCTTGGACCCGCGTGCAGGTGGCTTAACCGCTCACTCACCTTGTGAGCTCATCCTCCCCAGGCAGTTCAGTGAAGTTAAGGTGCCTAAGCAACCCTCTAACCCCCGGGATGTTCATGCTCTATGAGAATTAACCCCGTTGCCTTAGGCTATCTGGTTCTCTATTCCGGACCCGCACCAAATTTCCAAAGTTCTCCCCCTTTCCCTCATCCCCAAAACGTTCCTCAACCTTTCATTTTTCCCCTCACTTGTTTGCGAGTTTGGTCGGTTGATTTCAAGCTCAATTCGCGTTCTTTTCCCCGCGGCTGGCTGGATTGGCGTCCAGACCCCCAAGCTCAAGGCTTTCATTCTTCAAATTTTGTACATCATCGCCTCAACATGTACCACGGTATTATGGATTCTAATCGAGGCGCGCGGCGCGGTCGTCGTGGTGGTGGCCGCGGTGGCCGTAACGGCAATCGTGGTGGTTCCCACAATATCTACCATGGCGACGACATCCGCAATCCCGCCAACTTTGCGAATCGCTCCAAGTTTCCGACCTCTAATGGACCTCGGCGTTCCAAGGCTGCGCTTATGGGCGGCTGGTAAGTAACCACGTCTCTTTCCTAGCCATTCCGAGTGGGGGAAGCGAGAACCTGCTTCCCTTGCAGCTGCGTGTTGCTGGCGTTGAATCCCATCTTGCATGAGGTACTCTGAACGGGCACCACTAATGTCAGATAGCGTCTTGCCGAAGCACATTTTCGGTTACTTCAATCCTTCCGCCGACTACGACCGCACCCTGATGAGCACCATCAATAGCGGCGAAAAAAAGCCGGATGGCGTTGCCTTCGCAATCGTTCATGTCCAGAGCCAGCCGCGCTGGATGGACGAGAACATCATCTTCGTCAAGTCGCGTCTCCATCTCCTGCCCGAGTATGCCGAGAAGAAGTCTCTCCTTCTTGAGAACCACAAGGAACCGTGTCAAGAGGAGTTGATGGAGCGCATCACCGCCGAGCTGACTCAGTCCATCAAGTTTGACCGCTATGGCATCGAGGACGGCCCGGACATGGAGGTCTTCGACATGGATGGCCAAATCACCTCTCTCATTCTCCCGGGCGACTGGATGCCCGTCAACCACGAGGCTCCCAAGTTCGCGTGCGTCGGCACTCCCAGTGTCAAGTATGTCCCCGTCTCCAACGACCTCATTGCCGTCTTTGCTGGCTACAAACGCGATTCGAACGCCTCCGGCTTCAAGTTTGTCGCTTGGTTCATCGTCGAGCAGATCGAGCTTTTCGCTGCCAACTCGGTCGACTTGGCCCGCAAGATGCATGATAAGAAGTGGGACGGCGACATTACCCATGAGTGGTACGTACGATTCCTTGCCGACCTCTTGTCGATAACTCCTGGACCTTGGGGGCTGTTGGGTCGTCCTCATTTTGTCACCATTCATTCCCTATTCTCATTCACGTGGCAAGCACCCTGGGTGTAGCACACTGCTAACTTGCTGGGTTGGACAGGGCTGCTGTTAAGTTGATCCGAGTCGAAAAGGGCGAGCCGGAGTGGCGCCCGTCCCCCGACATCAGGCGTCGTGTTATCACGCTGCAAGGTCCGGAGGAGGATCGGAATAACACGCCTGAGGCGCCGCAGAAAAATGCCGAGGATGTTACAGAGAATTCCGCTGCCAACGGCGACAGGATTACAAGCCCCCAAGATGAAGACACTTGCTCTGTTCGCGGCGAGGACGCGGTGGAGAGCGCCCAGACGGGCGACTCCCTGGACAAGGTCCAGGAGCATGAATCTGAAATCCGCAAAGACGGTAGCAATGGCGCCGTGGACGAGACCGTTGCTGACGTCGATGAGGACACGGGCCGTTGTGCTGATGATGTCCGCGACGTGGTTGAAAGCGAAGCAAGGATGGAGAGTGAGGTCAAGACGGAGGTGGTGGATGTTGAAGACCACGAAGGGAATGTCAAGGAGGGCAGTTTCGAGCCCCCCGAGGATGGTGACGAGGGCACTGACAAGGAAACCATCTCTAACAAGGAAGCCATCCCCGAAACGGACATTACCAAAGACACGGGCCATCATGATGAGGGTATTATTTCCTTTCAGGACAAGAATGAGGAGGGCGTTGTAGAAGAGGGCGTCAAGCGGGGAGAGGAGGTGAAGGTGGAGGAGGAAGAGACTGGGGGCTGGCTCTCTCCTTGGTTTGTGGAGGAACTGATGAAAAGCATTATGAGTGTGGAAGAGACCAATGAAACGGCCCTGAAGACCAATGATGGCGGGGAGGCCAAGGAGAAGGAGAAGGAGAAGGAGAAGGAGAAGGAGGTCTGAGGATCGAGGAAGGCGCACCCAAGGCATTTATTTGCCTTGCCGTCCTCACTGTGGTCTCGGCAATCAAGTTTGATGCCATCTTTCGGTTGCTAAAGAATTCACTTGCACTTACAAACCACACCCGCAATTGACCACAAAATAATTGCACCTGTATCGTCCGCGGCGTCTACCGCCAACCTCGAAATCAAAAGCGAATACTAGAAGACAGTGGAACAGTTTGTTTCGTTCAGTGCGATGAATATTGGACTCACTTTGGTCTCCGCTTACCATGGCCCATGTCAGAGCCTAGGGCTAGAGACAGAGGGGTGTCGGACGTACGCAGAGGTAGGTACCTATTTACGGCTACCAGTCCCTGGAACAGTGGCCACCGTATACCTTCGATATTCTTCCTCTCCGAAGTTGTGTGCAAGGGCAGTTGGGAGCTGCAAACCTGAAGTGAAGATGTTGCGTAAGCGGCAGTAAACAATATTAGGGGGATGTCAGTCACAGTCATCCGAATGTTAATTATTCCTTGGTAAACAGGCGGAGGTTTAAGGAGACCTTCAGTCAGGGATGAAAAGTCCTCCGCCACTTCGCCGAGACATGCTCGCCGTGGTTAGACAGAGTTGGGCGTCCAGCTATACGAGCCCACCAATGAATGAGCTTGAACTTTCGTTACACCCATGCCCAACTGAGCGTCGGAGGCGGTCCCCCAGATGGGCAGGTATTATGTACAGTACACTCGCGTGATCACACTCGATTCCGCTTTCCTTTTAGTAGTAGTACAAGCAACTAAATAAAGGATGAGATGTTGGACTTTTTGAATCCAATTCCGTCAAGTAGACCAACTAGGTACTTTACCCCTATTCTTGATAACATCCGAAGGGATAGTAACAGTCAGCAGCCACGAATACCCGTTTCAATATAGATGTCCTTATGAATCGTGACACACCTGGAACGTGGACTTTGTCAAAAGTCTCTGCGTATGCATATTCTTCGAGATGGTCAACATTCGGAGTTAGCTAGAAGTTCGTCAGCCCCTGGGAGGTCAACGGAGAGATGCACTCCGGTCCCCACTCAGCCTGGTTGCCTTCCTGAAGAACTTGGGGAAGTTTTAGCCCAACTTTCGTAAAATGCCGTGCAGCAAGTGTGGTACTCGGCTAATAAATGCCGTGGTACTTACCACGGAATCATGGTTACTCATCGGAGGGTAAGCAGTCGCTACTACGTGACAGGACTAAGCAACCACCTTCTTGTGACTAGAGTTGGTAGCCTGGACGAAGAACGAACTGGGAGGGTTAGGGACGGTCATAGTTCTTTAAGAAAGCTTAAATTATCATCGCCTTTACCTTCTTGTTATCCTTTCTACCCCACGCCCACTTCTACACCGCCACCATTGTCAATCTACGGCTTGACTTCCACCAACAATGGCCAGGACTCAAGGTTTCGGGCTCACCCTTGGGGCGTGCTTGATCCAACTTGCCACCCTCGTCTTTGCAAGCCCCATCAAGGCCAATGCTGTTGTCGAGCGGGATCACGCAAGTTCGACGACGACGACGACCGTTTGGATAGAGCCCACCACGCTTACGGTCAACCCCAGGGACCCAACTATCACAAGGGATGCCGGATGGACGACCACAACCGGCCCGCCGCCCTTTACGAGCACCGTTACCTCATCATGCATCACCTACGACTACAGCTACCCCCCTGAGGACCATTCGCCCACCGTGTCAACATCCACCGTCACGGCTCGCAGCACCATCACAGTAACCGACACGGACCGGCCGCTCCAGACGCAGTACTACTTCCACCTCCCCACCGTGACCGTAACAACCCCACTGGCCACATACGTATCATACCACTGCCTCAACACCATGGTCGTCCAGTACCACGACTGGGAGCACCTGACCTGGACGTGGTCGAACTGGGCGCACACGGCGACGACCACAGGGCTGTGCGTGACGACATCGACACGCTCGACCACCATCCCGGGCGTCACGCTCCCCGCGCAGCCGCCCTCGCGCACGCTCGAGGACTGGGAGTACTTCAGCGAGCCGGGGGTGTCGGTGGTGACCAAGCACTCGGTCGCCGTCGTGACCGACGTCCGCGCCACCCTCGACGCCACCACCACCCGCACCGTCTGCGACGCCCGCAACCCGCGCCCGACCATCACCTCGCCGTTTACCGTCGTTCGTCCGCGCACGACTGTGACGACCACCGAGACGATTACTACTGGGTGCGCCGGGGGTGCTGCTGCTAAGGTGCGGAGGCAGGGGAGTGGGACGGGCGAGGGCTCGCAGGTCTATCCGCCGGTGGAGGTCCGCACCGTGGTGTACACGACGGTTACGGTTATTGATAACTCGGTGATGACGCTGACGGGCACGGCGATCGTGGATATCAACACGCAGGAGTTCCCTGTTACGCGTGTTGCTTACACCACGGTCACGGGGACGAGGGTGGCGACTGCGACGGTGACGGTTTGTGATGTTTAGGGGGGCTGGTTAGTGGTGGGAGTATATACTTGAATTGTTATACTAGGTGCGAGTCGCGACTTGTAGATGTGTAGAATGGGGTACACTTCCCTGCCTGGCAGCACGCTGAAGGTCTTTTGTGACTTGCATCGCTCCGTGGGCGAGACTACAAGTATCAGAATCGAAATAAGTCGAGAGCTCTGTCGGTAACGACTACTCGTTCCCGCATGTAAGCTGAGACTTCCACCTTCCAATACAGTTCAACCCATTTCTCGAAACGGTCTCGACTTGTACGGCGTGACGGCTAATCAAGCGACGTAGGCATGTTGATGAACAATGTTTACAACTGCCACTAGAAGCAGCATACACCCCTATTCCAAATGGCCGTGGTCAAGCCACTGATAGAACTTGAGAGGCGTGGCCTTTATGTCAAGGTTGTACAACAGGGGGCGCCACAATAGAACAGATTTAGGGGTGGATGATGTAGACTTTGGATAAGTTTCTTATTTAATAAGGATTTTGTTTTATTCTAATAAACCGAAAAACAACCGCCTTTTTAAACTCCCCGTCTCAGCTCAAATCACTCAATTTTCTTCCCCGCCGCCCCCTTCAGCAGCCCGCCCACGTTGATCTTCCACCACAACGACGCCTCCTTCCTAGGCGTACGGTCCCGGTGCCGGAAAGTAGTGCCGCTGCCCACCTGCGGCACAAACTCCAGCCTCTCCCCCCTTGCAAATCTTCCTATGTGCTCGACGACCCGATCGATGGCCGCCTCCAGGCACTTGGTGTACAGAGTATCCTCACTATCACCCGGGCCCACAGGCGGGTACACACGGTCGAGCACATCGCCACCATCCAGGGTAGACGTCAGCTGGTGCAGCGTGGAGGCGACTTTATCAACACGGCCGTCCTGCAGCGCAAAGAAGACGCAGTGGTTGCCCTTGTACTCGGGCAGGTGACCCGTGTGCAGGTTGACCATGAGGCCCGCGCGCGCGATCAGCTTCTTGCCGATGAACTTGGTGCCCGACACGACCGTCAGCTCCGGCCGCCACGCCTCGACCGCGTCCCACACCGCCGCGCAGTTGATGGTGTCGACGACGAGGTCGGGCGCCGGGGAGGTGTGCCCCCGCGGGATGAGCCGGTCGAAGTGCGCGGCGCGCTGCCGGGAATAGCCGAAGAGTTGGCGCCGCAGTCCGTGGTACCGCTGCCACCACGCGTCTGCCGTGCGGCCCTTGGAGGCCAGGTGGCGGATCTGGCCGTCGCCGGGCTCCTCGATGCAGCGGTAGCCCGGGAAGGCCTGGTCGAGGCGGTAGCGGAGGTAGCGGTGGTTGGGGCTGTCGGAGCAGATCAGGAGCAGCTTCAGCGGCGGTTGTGCTTTGAGGTCCACGCTGCTCCCGGGCTGGGACGATACGGGGCTCGGCGTCCGGGACTTGTAGCTCACGGTGGAAGGGGGGATCTTGCCGCGGTCCGGGTGGAAGAGCACGTGGATGGGGTCGTGCTCGCCCGTGAAGGACCGAAGTACCGCGCGCGCGATGCCCGGCGCCTGTGCAAACCCGCCCGTGTTGTTGCCGCCGGTGATGATTAGCTGGCCACCTCTCGCGGTGGGGATCTTCTCAAACAGCCCGAGGCCGGTGGGCGTGAAGGGCCGGACGCAGAATTTGCGGTGTCCGCCGGGGTACATGGCTGTCGGGCCGCGCTTCTTCGCCTCGGCATACCCCTGTGGGAAGTAGATACGTGCGACCTCCTCCAGCTCGTCGTAGAGGGCCCTGAGCTCTTGGGAGTCGGGCGCTGGGCGGTCCAGACCGACGTAACCGTATCCACCCCCGAGGATGAGGATGTCTTCGCCAGTTGCCTGGTCTTTGGCCACGGTGATGTTGATGTCTTCCACCATGTGAGCGCGGCGGTGGATCTTCATCGAGTTGTGCAGCTGCGGATCTAGGTTCGGAATTTGCAGCCATATCCCCAGGACGCCCTGGACTAAGTTCTCCGAGGCAGTTCCCTGCAGTAATGCGTCTCCAGTGGTACCCGGGCTCACCACGAAGTGGTTCGCTTCCAGGTCCCCCTTTTGTGATTGCAAAAGTGTCACCTCGCCTTTGGCGTTGCGCTGGACGCCCTGGACCTTGCAGTCCCAGACGAACTCTCCGCCTCGAGCGATGATATGGTTGATCAGCTTGGCGACGAAGAGGTGGATATTCACCGTGAACCCGTCGGCGATGATACCTCCTGCGAGATGGTCCGACTCGGCGGCGGGGCGGAGTCCCGGGAACGCCTTTAGAAGGTCAGGGGTAGACGGAGCCTGCATAAGCGAACCGAGGCGGCGGTTGAGCGTGACAGACGCGTCCAGCGCTACTGTCTCGACGTAGAGGCGCACGATGTCGTTGTGGAGACCGACATCTTGGAATAGTTGGGGAGCGGTCTTCATGAGTTCCTTCCATAGCTTGCCGGACTCGCAGTTCACCGAGTGGATGTTCTTCTTAAACATGGCCGCCATCCAGCCCGGGACGCGCTCGAAAGCGCCCACCCATTCCTGCTCGGCGGAAGAAAACTCGTTGGGATCTTTCACGCTCCAGCCGCCATCGTGAACGGTCTTGCGGAAGATGGACTGCATGTCTTGGTAGATGTCGCTGTTCTGTTCGTTGTAGCTGTCTGCCTCCGTGTGGGTAAACATGCGGGCATTGTGGCCGCCGCTAGTGACTCCCAGGCTGGTCCAGTCCTTGGGTTGGCACGCACGAGGATCGGGGCCCTGTTCCACGATGCGTACCTGGTAGCCACGTTCTACCAGGAGCTGGGCGGTCATGAGATTCATGATACCGGCCCCCACGAGCACAACGGCCGTCTTCGTGTGGTTCCCTTTCAGTTGGTCGACATTTGCCCGTCTGCTTCCGGCGTTGGCACGGGCTTGGGCATAGAGCATTTCTGCCTCTCGGAGAATCGACTCGTCTCGTTCTCTCGCCGAGGCATCAGTCTGTTCCTCGGGGAATGCAGAAATCTCGGCCACCCGACCCTTGGAATATTCCTGTAGGCGAGGGATGGCGGTGACATCCCGCACAAGCATCGACTTGGGGGCGTCAGGGGCGCCAGGGGCTTGACCGAGCCATTGGTTCATCAGGTCGCCGGTTACTTCATCGCCGTTGCAGATCCACACGTCTAGCTCTTGTGGGCCGGCCAAGGGAAGGGAGATGTCAATGTCGGCATTGTTGAAGTGAAGATAGGCGGGCTGTTTTGCCCCGGTAGAAAAAGAAGGAAGACTAGTAGTGACGAAGAACTTCATTTTTTCTCCGGTACTTGGCGCTTCGAAGGTAGCTGCCGTAGAAAAAGGGGGCCCCGAGTGTAGTCAAACTACCACTGAAAGGGACATCCCTAGCCGAATAGTACTGGGTTATATATGCCATCATTTACCCCTGGAAGAGGAGGAAGACCCCCCCTGGACGGACATCACTGTCCCCGTTTACGAATGATGGCGTTTTCCTTGGGCCCGTGACGCAAGCGTGGAGTGAATCCTGCAGTCAGCCGGAAAACACCCCGCCCATCCCTCCTCCCCTTAGCGATGTGGTGTCAGTCGGCTGGGGGTGAATGCAAAGGTGATGGGATGAGGGGAGGAGCGCGGCTAGAACCTCTCATCGCCCACCGTGCGCGCCGGAAACCGGTAGGGGGAGCCACGCATATTGAGCCCAGGCTTGGTTGATGACCTGGGTATTATTGATAGGCTACTATCCTTACCGCCCCATGCCGAGACTGAAAAACCATTGACGGCTTACGCCTTGAGCAAATTTATCCCGGCTTGAGCAAAAAGAGTAGCTCCAGGCAAGTGCCCAGGAGGTTAATGGTACGTTGCCGGCTTAGAGCCCCTAATCGGTTCGATCCATAGCCCGCCCTTCCCCCGAGCCAATAGGTAGACAGCCGGTCTTGCCTTCCAGAGCGGTTACTCTCTAGGAAGGAACGGCTTCAACAAATAAGCTGCTCAAGATCGTGAGCCGAAGAGAGAGGGCTTGTTGCCGTGAGCGAATACACCCCCGCTCGTGGATACCCACCTTGCACCGCTAAGCTTTGATGCCGTATGTCGACTGAAGTAGCATCGAAAGGATGACTTGAGTCCCCCCGCGAGATCGATGCCTAGATCGGATCGCATCCTGCTCGCATCCCCGGCGCGGCTTTTTGAGTCCGACCCCCCCCGGACCCCTGGCGCTTGGATGGGCCCGATTTGCGGTACCAAGCAGTTGATCTCGATATTGCCGTTTACATACCATATGAATCCAAACGTAAAGTGGAGGCGCCCGATCCTGGCTTGGTGTCTCGGCTGGTGTGCTTACTGTGTACACGGTGACGGCCCGCTGCGGCCCGTTGTGAACCTTTCTATGGGCGGGTTCGACACCATCGTTTGCCTAACTAGGCACTTGTGTGTATCGCCTTTGGCTGCTTCGTATCTGTTTCAAAGGCCCTGTCGAGCGAAGGGCCGCGGGCGGGGGTTTGTGATTGTAGTACTGTACACTAGCTATGTACATATGTGGTACTGCGGCTCATGCAACGCCCAGAATATAGCAGACCTTGGCCTTCATCAAAGTGCCCAGATCGCCGAGGAGGTAAAGGGAAAAAACGGTAGTTACTCCGTACGAGGAGGTACTGACATGCAGAACAACAATTAGCCCCGGGTCACAAGGTTCCATTCTTCGAGTCTTACTGTGACTGAGTATGTGAGTTAATAATCCTGGGCCGACGTTTAGCAGGGACGGGCGAAGGCCATGCATTGATACACTGTTGTCATTGGCCTTTGGAGGAACGACAGTGAATCTTGTCATTTCTTGACCATATTCTTCTGTTGAGACGGCCAGAACCTTGAGGGATTCTGTTCCGTTGGACGTTGCATTGGCAAAATTCAGGGGCTTGGCGTGCGTTGCTTTGCTGCAGGCGCTGAGTGTGTGTCACCCCGGGGTCGGACGTTCAGGGGTCTCGGAAGAAGCGGCCAACAGCCGGGGGACCCCCGGGCAGTGATGATCGGTTGGTGGGGGTAACGAGGCGAAGCGGCAGGGCCGTGGAAGATTCCGGGGAAGCAAGGCCCAACTGCCAGAGGCTGAACAATGGTGTTACGTAAATAATAAGCTTATGTGCAGCCAGCTGAGGATGGTTGGTTTTGAGTTTACAGCACACCGGCTGGCGGCGGCCTCGATCTCGGCGGAAACTGGTTCCGAGTTCTTCCTCTCCGACCGCGGCAGGGGGGCCTAAACGGCGGGCCGAAAGCAGATGCCCTGCCCGTTGCGTGATTCCATCCCGAATCCCGAATTCGGCCGTGACTGTTACATCAGTCATCGGAATACCCCTTTCTGCACCTGGTGTTTTTTGCTGTCTGTGGCTGGCCACTCTTTGTTCTTTTACGAGAATTCTAGCCTGCCTCGTCTCGCCTCGCTTCGTCCAAGTTTCGTTCCTTTGCCCTCGGCATTGCACGTATTGCCGATATGGCACAAGAAACCCAGGCAAGCGACGACTGGCGAGGGCCGGATGACCCAGACTGTCCCTACAACTGGCCCATGTGGAAGCGCATTTACATGACAAGCATCCCGGCCTTGCTCTGTGTCAACGTGTAGGTGCCACTCCTAACACCCGTCGTGTTACTCGCTCAAGTCTCAACCAACCGCAAACACGTGCTGGAGTTCTGATTCGCGCAGGTCCTTTGCTTCCTCCGTATACACCTCTGGGGCTAACGACGTATCTCGCGAGTTCGGAGTCTCCCACACGGAATCTCTGCTCGGCCTTTCCCTCTTTCTCTGGGCATTGGGTCTCGGGGCCATCATTGCTGCCCCCGTCAGCGAGTATTACGGTCGTAGGGTCGTCTATCTGGCCACCGTTCCCGTTTTTGGCTTCTTTATTCTGGGCTCGGGACTAGCACAAAACTTTGCGACCTTGATTGTCTGCCGCACTCTGGCTGGTTTCTTCGGGAGCGCCGTCGTTTCGGTAGGTGGAGGCACCAATGCCGACATCTGGGAGCCCGCGCGGGCGGGATTCGTTTATCCCTTCTACTTTGTGTCCCCCTTTCTTGGGCCGGCGTTTGGTACGATGGACTCCCATCATGTCTCTAGCACTTGTTCTCGGTGCTCTGCTGACTGTTTCAGGGCCTGTCATCGGCGGCTTTCTCAGTGAGGCGAAAGGCTTCCGCTGGCTAGAATGGGTCATCCTCTTCATGGTCACCTTCAACTACTTGTATGCTCTCCCGCAGTTCGAGACATACAAGAAGACGATTCTCCAGAAGCGTGAGCGTGACGAGAAGCGATCTAGCGCGCCGCCTTCAACGCGTGCGCCCAAGATTGCCCTCCCGTCGAGTGCCGTCGTGCAGCGCATCGTTCTCAAGCCCTTCAAGATGCTCTTCGTCGAGTCTATTGTGCTCTTCATGACCATCTACATGGCATTCAACTTTGCCGTCTTCTACAGCTTCTTCGCCGCGTTCCCCTTCATCTTCGGCGGCAGCAAGTACAACTTCACTCCGGGCGAGCAGGGCCTGACCTTCATCTCCATCGCCCTGGGTTGCGTCATCGGGTTCCTCGCCGTCGTGTACATAGACCGTCGCACCTACCCGGCGCTAGAGGCCAAGTACGGCGTCGGTACAGTCCCGCCAGAGTACCGCCTGTACGGCGCCATGGTCGGCTCCGCCCTGAACCCGGCGAGCCTCTTTTGGTTCGGCTGGACGGCCGATGCGGGCGTCTACTGGCCGAGCCCCGTGGTGGCCGCCGTGCCCTTCGCCGTCGGGAATATCATGGTGTACAGCAGCGGCGCGTTATACATCATGAACTCGTACGGATCGTTGCACGGCGCGAGTGCCCTCAGCGCCAACAGTCTCCTTCGGTACGCGTTCGGGGGCGCGTTTCCCATGTTCACCGTGCAGATGTTTTCGTCCCTGGGCATTGGCTGGGCGAGCAGCTTGCTGGGTTTTGTGTCAGTTGTGCTGGTGCCGGTCCCGTGGGTTCTGTACAAGTACGGGAGGAGGATAAGGGCGCATTCTCAGTACATTACCATCAAGGATCCGGTGTTGGACAATCAAAACTCGGGGACGGAAGTGACGAGTAGCGAGGGAGAGGAGACGGGGGTCTAGATAAAAAGTGTTAATTGCCCAGGTTTACGGGGGCGGCTATGGCCTGCATTGAGGTGTTGGGGAGGTGGTCTGGCGCAGGTGAGATGCTTTTCGGGGGCGTAGACAGACGGACAATAGACGTAGAGGAGCAGCCTTGGCCATTGGCGCCGGGTTACTCTCAAGATTGTAATGATACCACTTCGATGCTGCGTTCCGAGTTCCGTTTGGGGATTGTTCGGACCGGGGAGGCGAGCGAGGCTAGCCGTCAACGAACAATGTCCCCCCCCCCTCTTTGCCCCCTCACGGTTGCCCTCGCTCATGATCAGGTCAGATACAGATCTGTACAGTAACCCTCATCCTTCCGAGGTGCTTGACTGACGACATCCTCGTCTGGATGGCGTGTCAATGGAGAAAGTCCACCTTCCGCCCGCACCTCCCCCCTGTTCGAGGTGACTTTCTTGTCAAGTACATGACCAATGGGGTCCCCCTGCCACTGTTACGCGCCATCCACATGACATGGACCAGTTTTTCTTACCCCTGGATGGGGATCCCGCTCCCGAGATCCACCGCGCAACGGTCCCTTCCGCTGACGTGAGACCGGTGGACGGTCTCGGCCTTGAACAGTGCGGTGGTCGGCGTCTGGGCGGAGTTGCCTCATTAGGATACAAGTTTGCTAACCAGGGAACTGAAGGGCTACGAGAGTCCACAACAGTGTACATATGTACAATCTCCCTGAACTCATGGTCTCCGGGGCATGAGAACCAATCAAGCCGCACGCGTGGTTTGTAACCGGCGAAGGAAGAGATGAAAGTCCGAGGGCACAGGGGTGGATGACATGAAGGGGATCCGAGATTCCAAACACAGTGGCTCACATGCAGGTTGCATGTAATGCTCGCTACCCGACTGCTCAGGCAGAGTTGGGCGCTCCCCCTTTTGTGACAGACGACTTCCCCGCACGCATAGGGGTGCAGAATTATAGCGAAGGGGAAAGGAGAAGCCAAAAGCCGGGACAGAGCATAGAAAAGAAGTACGAAGCAAAAGAAGACACGACAAACCAATAACATGGGTTCCGTACCGCCCCCACCCCCAGCAGCAACCCCCATCCGCCTCGCCATCCTCAAAACCGACTCCCCCATCCCAGCAGTCTCCAGCAAAGTCGGCCAGTTCGACACCATCTTCACCACCCTGCTACGCGCCGCCTGCGCCAGCCTGGACCCGCCCCAAACCCTAGAATCCCAACTCACCCTCACAGCGCACGACGTGGTGGCGGCGCCGGCAGTCACGGGGGAGGACTCGGACTCGGGGTGGGACTATCCGGACCCGGACACCATCGACGCCGTGCTGATCACGGGCTCGCGCGCCTCGGCGTACGACGAGGACGAGTGGGTGGTGCGCCTCGCGGCCTTCGTCCGCCGCCTGCTCGACGAGGGCCGCGTGCGTGTGATCGGGGTGTGTTTCGGCCACCAGATTGTTGCTCGCGCGCTGGGAGCGCGGGTGGCGCCCTCGCCGGCGGGGTGGGAGTTGTCCGTGACGGAGGTGCGGCTGAGTGAGGAGGGGAGGGCGGTGTTTGGGGGGGAGAGCTTGGTGAGTTCACAGTTGTGGTGCTTGTTGAGGTGGTTTTGTGAGGGGGTTGCTGACGCAGATGGGGGCGTAGAATATCTACCAGACACATCGTGATGTTGTTCTCGAATTACCCCCGGGTGTTGTGCCGCTGGCTAGCACAGAGAAATGTCCGATCCAGGCCATGTACATTCCTCGCCAGCTTATCACGGTGCAGGGCCACCCGGAGTATACTCCGTTCATCATGAACGAGATGCTGCAAGCCCGGCATAAAAGGGGCGCCATCGCCGATGGACCTTTTGAGGATGCAATGAAGAGAGTCGCGGATAAGCATGATGGCGTGGCGATTGCCCGGGTCTTTTTGCGCTTCCTGCGGGAATGATGAGTGCCTGTCTCGGTACCTAGGTACCTAGGTACGTATACGGCCAGGCGGGTTGCCGTTGTCATGGTATTCCATAATAGTTAGACCAAGAGACTAGAGTGTCTAGATTGCACTGGAGGAGGATGTTTTCAAAATGCGAAGCTAGAATAGCACGGCAAGAGAAGGGCTTGTGTACTATCAATCCTAGTAGGGTAGAATAACTCATCATTCAACTCCGACTCCTTTACAAATATTACGACCTACCTATACAGTTCCACCCCGGAGCCTTTAATAAACATCGCCATGCTCGTTCGCATATCATCAATACAGACGAGGCAGTAAGCGCCCCGAGTCCTCCCCCATAGCGCCGGCCTGATCAGAACAAAACTCACGCATCGTCCGCGCCAGCCGGGTAAACACCCCCTCCGGTCCCTGCTGCTCCCGCTGCTCAGCCGCCACCAGCTCCAGCTTCGCCGCAACCCGGCCCAGCAGGTCCGGCAAATGGACATCCTCCCTCGCAGCAACAACATCCCAAGCCGGATCCTCACAAGTAACCGTCAAGCGGTGCAGGGCGACCGCACACTGCGCGAGCTGCGCCCACTGCAGGACAGAAATCCCCGCAAACCGCGCCGGCTCGGGGGCGAGCAGGGCGGCGGCGCAGGCCTGCACGGCGCGCGTGCTCTGCCAGAGGTAGGCGACGCGCTCGTGGCGGGCCGAGGCGGTGGTGGCGTCGGAGTTGTTGCTGTTGCTGTTGTTGGTCCCGTCGTCGTTCATCTGATCCCGCGCGCCGGCCATGCGCGAGAACTGCGTGATCATGATGGGCACCATGGCGCTGACCGCGTGGGTCACCTCGCTGATGCTGAGTTCGGTGGCGTGGATGTGGGCGAGGAGGTGTTCATGCTGGCGGAGGGCTGGGGGGAGGGAGGTTTGGATTTCTTGGCGTTGGGTTTGGAGTGCTGTGAGGGCCATGATGGCTTGGAAGTTGGTCAGTTCGGTGACGGGGACTTGTCCTTGTTCTAGCTGTTGGTGTTGGTGGATTTGAACTGCCTTCTGCGCGAGCAGCTGTAGACGGACTTGGATGGCGAGGGTCGCGTCTGTAGGGCAGCTTCCGTCGTTGGTTATGGCAGCGAGCCCGTCCTCCATCTGTGGTGTCCATCGCAGTGCATCTATTGCTTGGCCACTGTAGGCCGAGACCACAGAGCTAAGCGCAAAGCATGCCAGCACAGCACGTTGCCGCGCTAGGAACACCTCTCTCGTTACAGCTCCCCCTTCCTCAGAGCCATACCCAGGGGTAAACAGAGCCCTGACCTGCGCATCCGGAGGAGGTGGCCCGTCCATCCGTATTTCACGGGCCAGCGAGTTCGCTTGCGCCATGAGCCGTGGCAGGTTGCCCCGGTTGAGTACATGGTCCCAGCCCCAGGAGATGTATGTCAAGAGAGCCAATAGTAGGTCCAACCTGCCCGTATTGGACTCACTGTCGCGTCCCAGCATGGCGTCACCGATTGCCTTCTTCAGCGCCATCCCTCGCGCCGCTTTCTCCCTCGCCGAAGGCGACGCAGCGCACGCAATAGCCCGGAAGAGGAACGGCTGGTCGCACCGCAATTCGTAAGCGCCAAGGGGGATGGGGAGGTGAACGAATGGGAAGTGAGACAACATGCAAGATCGGAACGTCCTGAGAAGAGTCTCGGCTTCCGTTTCGGAGATCTGGGGTTCCGGCGAGTCCGATGTGGTCACGGCGTTCGGCGAAGCACCCCGACGCGCGGACCGTATATTGTCATCGTAATCATCAGAATCGTCATCGCCGTCTTCCGCGTGGCCGCTGTCTAATACTTCGTGCTCCGACGTTTGGAAGTGGTGAACCGATTCTGCCCCTGAGCCAACAGGCCTCGAGTCACTTTGACTTGGTGGCTGCGGGTCGCCACCGATGACATTGCGAGTCTGCAGCTGGGAAATCAGGCTGTCTAGCTTCCCCTCGAGTTCGGCGATGCGAGATGCCGAGTTTTGCGTCTTCTCGATGGTGCGTTTCCGGATTGAATCGGACGGACGGCACTGCTTGCGAAGACGGTGACAGCGCTGACAACCTTCGCCGTCGGTACGGGCGACGCATTTGCACTTGGCTTTGAAGCAGCTCGTGCAGGCTAGTCCGTAAGGGCCTAAATGACTCGGTCCTCGCCGTTCCATTATGACGCGGGTGTCTGTTTGGGAAAAGATGGTCCGATCATGGCTCGGCTCGATGTTCGAATCAGGACCGGAATTGTCGGAGTCCGTGCCGGCGCAACAAGGAAACCCCTCGAAATGAATGTAGTTTGTCTTCTGATTGGAGAGGAATGTCGCGGACAAAAGAAAGTCCGCCCCAACTGGCTGTGTAAGTCTCTGTCCGGATTAGGTGAGATACTTGGACACGTTAATGTTAATAGGATAGGTTAAGCCACGACCCAACAGTCTGTTGGTTTCCACTAGTACCCATGAACAGGCAGTTGCGCTATGGACTCCAAGCAGGACGGGCCGATGACGCAGCAGCCCGGCGGCATAGAGGATGGCGAGGGCAGCAACCTCAACGACCTACCCGACCTCATGGGTCAGTTTCCCGTTCTCAACGCCTATACTCACATAGCTTTTGGATTTGAGCTTCCCTCCGATGTCGACCGCAACGCTGTTGTATCTGCTCTCCACACCGGCCTCGACCGACTGATAGAGCAGATCCCTTGGCTGGGATATCAGATGGGCCGGAAATCAGGGGTGCTCACGACAGTCCCCTGGCCCGAAGATGTGCCTCGGGTCCTTTTGCATGTTAAGCATTGTGACGACACCGTCTTGCCCATGGAGCAACTTCTTGCGACGGGGGTGCCCATTAGCAAACTGGATGGCAAAGTGTTGACCCCCTGGCCGGCACTTCCGCACCCACACGGGATTACGGGTCCGGTCCCCGTCATCACCCTCCAGGCCAACTTTGTGCGCGGCGGGCTCATTCTCAACTTCAGTTCGCATCATACAGTAATGGATGGCACTGCCAACTTCCAAGTCCCCAAGATGCTTGCCGCCGTGCTTAGCGGGGACACCATCCCGGAAGCCGAGCTCCAACAGGCGAACCGTGACCGACGCGGCCTGATCGAACTCATCCCGCGCAGCGAGCCGCTGAAAGACTACTCCCATCTGAGGCGTCCACCTGGCTATCAGTTCGCGCTCCCTGCTAGCCCGCCGATATGGTGCAACTTCAAGATGCCCGTGGCATCCCTATCCAAGCTCACCAAATCCGCCCGCGATCCATCCCGACCGGTAACCGACGACGACGTACTCATCGCCTTCTTCTGGCAGCGCCTGTGCGCAGCCCGCCTCGCTCGGGGAGTGGCCCCCGACACCGTCTCCAAGATCTCGCGGGCCATCGACGCACGCATGGCGCTGGGAATACCCGCCGCCTACCTCGGCGCACAGGTGCACATGGCCATCACGCGACTGCCAATGGGCCAGGTTGCATCCCTCACGCTCCTCCAAACCGCGCAGGTGCTGCGGCGGGAGCTGGCGCAGGCCAACACGGCGTGGGCGATCCGCAGCCTGGCGACCTTTGTGGCGCGCGAGCCGGACCGCTCGCTGCTGCTGTACAACGGCACGCACAACGGCAACACCGACGTCGGCGCCACGTCGAGCTTGAATACCAGCCAGGTCCGCCCGCCGAACTGGGGCCCGCTGCTTGGACAGTGCCGCTTCTTTCGCCGCTCTATGGGACCGCCTATTCCGGGGTCGTTTTCGGTCTATTCCCCGGATGGTGGGGTTATTCTGATGTGTACGTGCTTGCCGGCTGACGATCTGGAGGCGTTGAAGAAGGATGCGCCGTGGAAGCAGTATACGAGGTGTGTTGGTTGAGCGGGTGCAATGTGAGGGGGGCGGGTAGATATCAGCAACCACGTTCACTCCATCAAGACTCTGTTTATGCTCATCTTTCTGTTTTGTTACTATGAAATAGGATCTTGAAGCGTTCTCCTTTTCACCTAGCTAGAAAGCGTCTAGGAAATGGGAGTGAAAGGTATTATCATCGGTAGTTGATGACGTTTTATAATTCACTTTTCATACATGTGACAAAGGTGTAAAGGGGAAGTACCTTTAGTGATCCTGAGACTTGAAAGAAACACTTTTCCGCAAGCCTACCATGCGAATCAGTATAAACCATCCCCTGACGATGTCTACATGACGAAGATTAAAATACCGGACGAGCTACCATCAGTTATGGTGTTTGTTTCATGTTATTGCTATGGGGTTATGGGACCGTATCAGTTTCGAGTAGGCCACCTACCATCTCATAGCACGCATGGATACTAATAAACACTAATAATCACCATTTACAACGGGTATTGAATCCGGGCACAATGAGAAGGAATGTATTGGTTACCATGCTCTCCGGAGTAAGCCGGACTTTTTTGTCGCCGTCATACACGGTCATCCATTAGATTTGCCACCTTTGTGCAACCTCGAGTGTCTCACAGGAGCCAGTCCGGAAACCAGTCCGACAGCTGAGAAGTACGGAGATGATAGCAGGATACTCTCGCCCCGCCAGCCCAAGGCCGTCTTCCGTCGCTGTCCGGGTCCCGGAGTCTAGTTTGGTTGTTCTTACGATACGGCGATTCTGTGTACATGTGGGCATAAGCCCAAACGCCACGAAGTCGCTGCCCGTCTGCTGAAAATAGACTAGCTACCGGGGAGTCTTATTCCAACTTGACACTACTAGTAGTGAAAATACTCACTCACTTGGATATACGGGAATACGATGATAGCATACTCACGAACCTTATGAATGCCAATATCCTGACGATCAGTGTTCCAGGCACGTCCCTAACTTTCCGTTACATTCCCCGACCCTAATCACCAAGTTCAACCTGTCATTCAAGTCAATATGGCTGAGGGCGCCAACAAGGAGTGGGCGAAGGACCACGAGCCCATCGCCATTATTGGCCTGAGCTGCAAATTTGCGGGAGATGCCGCCAACCCCGAGAAGTTGTGGAATATGCTGGCCGAGGGCCGCGATGCCTGGTCCGAGATCCCGTCTACGCGGTTCAATGCGAAGGGAGTTTATCATCCCGACGCCCAGAAGCTCAGCACGGTGAGTTCTAGGGGGAAGGGTGTGAAGTGGGGGGTAGGGGCAAGAGAAACGGACCGCGAGTGCTAACAAGCGAGGGTCGACGTAGACGAACGTCAAAGGCGCCCACTTCATAGAAGAGGACATAGGACTGTTCGACGCCGCCTTCTTCAACTACTCGGCCGAGACGGCGGCGGTAAGCAATAACAAACTTGGGCGGCATGAGAACAAACCGGACTGACCGAGTTTAGGCGATGGACCCTCAGTACCGGATCCAACTCGAGTCTGCCTACGAGGCCCTGGAAAACGGTGAGCGAGCAGACCACCACCCGTACATCTGCGTTGTAATTAGCCACTAACCGCGCGCATCAACAGCCGGCCTTCCCATGTCGCAAATTGCGGGCTCCAACACATCCGTATACGCGGGCATTTACTCGCACGACTACCACGAGGGGCTGATCCGGGACGGGGACAAGCTGCCCCGATTCCTACTGATCGGCACCATGTCCCCAATGGCATCCAACCGCATCTCGCATTTCTTCGACCTCCGCGGAGCCAGCATGACAGTCGACACAGGCTGCTCAACAGCACTAGTGGCGCTGCACCAGGCGGTGCTGGGCCTGCGGGCGCGCGAGGCGGACACGGCCATTGTAGGCGGGTGCAACCTGATGCTGACGCCGGACCTGTTCAAGATGTTCTCGTCGCTGGGCATGCTGGGCCCCGACGGGCGGTCGTACGCCTTTGACGAGCGCGCCAACGGCTACGGCCGCGGCGAAGGCGTCGGCACCATCGTCATCAAACGCCTCAGCGACGCCCTCGCCGCGGGCGACCCCATTCGCGCCGTCATCCGCGACACCTACCTGAACCAGGACGGCAAGACCGAGACCATCACCTCGCCCTCCCAGGCCGCGCAGGAGGCCCTCATCCGTGAATGTTATCGCCGCGCCGGCCTCAGCCCGCAGGGCACGCAGTACTTCGAGGCGCACGGCACGGGGACGCCCACGGGCGACCCGATCGAGGCGCGGGCCATCGCGGCCGTGTTGGGGGCGGGCCGGACCGACAAGCTCCGCATCGGGTCGATCAAGACTAACATCGGGCACACTGAAGCGGCGTCGGGGCTGGCCGGCCTGATCAAGGTGGTGCTGGCTTTGGAGAAGGGCCAGATCCCGCCGAGCGTCAACTTCGAGAAGCCCAACCCGAAGCTGAAGCTGGACGAGTGGGGCCTCAAGGTAGCGACCGAGCTGGAACCGTGGCCCGAGACGGGCGGCGAGCCCCGTCGTGCTTCCGTGAACAACTTTGGGTATGGCGGAACCAACAGCCATGTCATTCTCGAGGATGCCAGGCAGTGGATGCAATCGAAACCCGTCAAGGCGGGCCCCGCCACCCAGGCCGAGGACCGCAGCGACGTGCTCCTTTTCTACGGGCGCGACGAACAGGCCTGTCAACGCATCGTAGCCAACACCCAGGAGTACCTGCGGAAGCGCAAGCGCGAGACCCCGAACATGGGAGCCGGGGAAGTCCTCATGCTGATGAAGAGCCTCTGCTGGACGCTCAGCACGCGGCGCAGCCGCTTCCCCTGGGTATCGGCACACGTGGCTACATACTCAGACGACCTGGACCAAGTCGTCCGCAGCCTGGACGCGCCGCAGTTCAAGCCTGTACGCATGCCCTCGCGCGCTCCGCGCATCGGCATGGTGTTTACGGGCCAGGGCGCGCAGTGGCACGCCATGGGGCGCAAGTTGACCCACGTGTTCCCCATCTTCCGGTCCACGCTCTACGCGGCCGAGGGTTTCCTGCGCGGGTTTGGGGCTGGCTGGTCCCTTACGGAAGAGTTGGGGCGCGACGCCGAGACCTCGCGGGTCAATACCACGGCGCTCAGCATCCCAGTGTGTGTCGCGGTGCAGATTGCCCTGGTGCGTTTGCTCCGGTTCCTGGGTATCTCGCCGACGGCCGTCACGAGCCACTCCTCGGGCGAGATCGCGGCCGCGTACACGGTAGGGGCCCTGACTCTGCGTCAGGCGATGGCAGCGGCCTATTACCGCGCTGCGATGGCGGCGGACAAGAGGCTGATGAACGGATCCGGTGGTGGGCCGAAGGGTGCCATGGTAGCCGTCGGGGTGGGATCCGAGGCGGCGCAGGACTTCCTGGGCCGGGTCACCAGCGCTAACGGCAAGGCGGTGGTGGCTTGCATCAACAGTCCCAGCAGCGTCACCATCGCGGGCGACGAGGCGGCCGTGCAGCAAATCGAGGATCTGGCCAAGGGAGATGGTGTGTTTGCCCGTCGCCTGAGGGTCGACACGGGTTACCACTCCCATCACATGATGCCCATCGCTGAGCCCTACCGACAAGCTCTCCGCGAGGCTCTGTCTAGCAACCAAGGAAACGAGGACGAGAGACAATTTGACGCCGCAGGAATTCCCGAGGGCGCGCCCTGGGCCGGGCCATACCGCGCAGCGCTGAGTGCGGCTCTCGAGGCTGAAGCACAAACCCTCAACACAGAAGGAAGCATCGCCTTCTCGTCACCGGTCACCGGTGGGCGGATCACGCGGCTCGAACAGCTCGCTGACCCGGAGCACTGGGTGGGGAGCCTACTACAGCCGGTCCAGTTCGTCGACGCCTTCACGGATATGGTGCTCGGGGACATGGACGAGTCGGGAACCAGCGTGGACGTGATCCTCGAGGTCGGCCCACACACGGCGCTGGGCGGGCCCATCAAGGAGATCCTGTCGGAACCCGAGTTCGAAGGCCTCGAGGTGGGGTACATGGGCTGCTTGGTGCGCAACGAGGACTCGCACGACAACATGCGGGCGGCGGCGCTGAACCTCCTGCGCAAGGGGCTGCTGATCAACCAGGCCAATCTCAGCTTCCCCTGGGGCCGGTGGCCGTACGACCCGCGCGTGCTGACGGACCTGCCACCGTACCCGTGGAACCACAATACCAAACACTGGTCCGAGGCGCGCCAGAACAAGGCCTACCGTCACCGGGATCAGGAGCCGCACGAACTCCTTGGGTCGATGGAACCCGGGACGAATCCGGAGGCGGCCTGCTGGCGGCAGGTGGTGCGGGTGTCGGAGACCCCCTGGCTGAGGGACCACGTCGTCCAAGGCAACATCCTGTATCCCGGCGCTGGGTTTGTGTGTCTCGCTATTGAAGGCATGAAACAGCTGATGGAGATCGGGTTGATCAATAATAGCACTGGCGATGTGTCGGGGTACAGGTTCCGGGACGTGGAATTGCTCCGGGCGCTCGTGGTGCCGGACAACGCCGAGGGTGTCGAGGTGCAGACGGTGATCCGGCCAGTGGAGGACAAGGCAATTGGCGCGCGCGGCTGGAAACAGTTCGAGGTCCTGTCCGTGTCGGCGGACAGCCAGTGGACGCAGCACGCCAAGGGCCTCATCACCATCGAGTTCGGCGTGGCTCCCGCCGGCCCAAGAACGCCGAGCTTCCTCACCGAGTCGGGCTACACGCGGCGTGTCGATCCGGAAGACCTGTTCGCCGACCTGCGCAGGACGGGCGTGAACCACGGGCCCATCTTCCAGAACACCACCAGCATCGTGCAGGACGGCAAATCCAAGGAGCCGCGCTGCGTGACGACCATCGAGGTGGCCGACGTCGGCGGCAACCACGTCGTGCACCCCACCACGCTGGACTCGGTCTTCATTTCCTCGTACGCGGCCCTGTCCGGCGTGGGCGTGAGCGACGACAGCGCCATGGTGCCGCATTCCATCCACAAGCTCTGGGTCTCGGGCCGCATGACCACGACGACGGGCCACGCCTTCGCGTGCCACACCACGGTGCCGCGCCAGGACGCGCAGAGCTGCGAGACGGACGTCTCCGTGGTCGACGGCGCCGAGGCCGTCATCGAGGTGCAGGGCTTCGTGTGCCAGTCACTGGGGCAGGGCGCAGCCGACGCCGAAGACAAGCGGCCGTGGACGAAAGAGCTCTGCGCCAAGGTCGAATGGGCGCCTGATCTCGCCCTCTCCCTGGGGCTGCCCGGCGCAATGCCCGCTGTGAAGAAGCAGCTCAGTGTGTCCCAGGATCTGGGTGCCGCAGACTGGGACGTGCTGATGGCCCTGCGGCGCGTGTGCGTGTACTTCTGCCACGACGCATTGCAGGTGCTCACCGAGCAGGACGTGGCTCGTCTCGCGCCGCATCATGTCAAGTTCCATACGTGGATGCGGGACACGCTGGACGCCGCCGCCTCGCGTCGCCTGGGCGCCGATAGTCATACTTGGGCAAGCGATGATGCGGAGAGACGCCAACAATACACGACCCTGGCGGCTACGAGCGTTGACGGTGAGCTCATGTGCCAGCTCGGCCCGCACTTTGTGCCTATCATGCGAGGCGAGCGGGCGCCGCTCGAGGTCATGATGGAGGGCCAGCTGCTGTACAAGTACTACGCCAATGCCTTGCGGTTTAGGCCTGGCTTTGTCCAGTTCGCCGCAATGTTGCGTGCAGTCGCCCATAAGAACCCCCGTGCGCGAGTCTTGGAGATCGGGGCCGGGACGGGAGGCGCAACGCGGTATGCGCTTTCGACATCTAATCCGGACAAGGAGGTCGGGCCGCTCTACGATACGTGGCATTTCACCGACGTTTCCTCAGCTTTCTTCGAGGCAGCCCGAACCGAGTTCGCCGCCTGGGGCAACTTCATGGAGTTTGATCAGCTCGATATCGAGCGGAGTCCCGAGTCGCAGGGGTTTGATCTGGCAAGTTACGACATCGTCGTCGCCTGCCAAGTACTGCACGCAACAAAAAGCATGGCTCGCACCATGGATCATGTGCATAGGTTGATGAAGCCCGGGGCTACCCTCCTCCTTATGGAAACAACGCAGGACCAGCTCGATCTCCAGTTCATTTTCGGTCTGCTGCCCGGCTGGTGGCTGAGCGAGGAGCCCGAGCGCAAGACCAGCCCTTCCCTGTCCGTTCCTCTGTGGGAGAGGGTTCTCAAGGGTGCTGGCTTCAGCGGCATTGATGTCGAGATTCGCGACTACGAAAACGACGGCGACATGTATGCTATCAGCAACATGTTGTCGACCGCGTCTGCGCGGTCGTTCAAGCTGGCCTCGGACAGTATCGTCGTCGTCACGAGTGACAAGGCGCCTCCTCCTCGGGACTGGCTTCAGTCTCTACGGCAGTCCATCGCCAAGGTCACCGGGGGCGCTCTCCCAGCCGTCCAAGCCCTTGAGGCACGTTCCGCCACGGCAGACACATATAGCACCAAGATCTGCGTGTTTGTAGGCGAGATAGACCAGCCTGTGCTACATACCCTCAATTCCGCCGGCCTGCAGAGCGTCAAGAACATGGCGACGGGCTGCAAGGGGCTTCTCTGGGTGACGCGTGGTGCAGCCGTCGAGTGTGTAGACCCGAACAAGGCCCTCGCCACCGGCTTTCTGCGCAGCCTGCGGAGCGAGTATGTCGGGCGCCATTTTCCGACCCTTGACTTGGATCCGCACACGCCCACGTGGTCCGAGGCGGGCATCGCAGCCATCGTACACGTGCTCCAGGCCAGCCTAGGCACCCCCGACGACGTCTACTCCATCATGGCGGAGCCGGCGCCCGTGGACAACGAGTTTGCGATGAGGGACGGGCTTCTTCTGGTGCCGCGCGTGTCCAAGGATCTGGTGCGTAATAAAATGCTGACGCCCGAAGCGCCGGACTGGGCCATACCCGACTCCATCCCCGAGGAACCTCTTTTCCAGGACCAACGCCCGCTGCGCTTAGATGTCGGGATCCCTGGCCTGCTGGACACCTTGGCGTTTAACGACGACGAGGAGGCCGGCTGGGACGCTGACACGGTGGAGATAGAGCCGCGGGCGTACGGCCTCAATTTCCGCGACGTCATGGTGGCTATGGGCCAGCTGCGCGAGCGCGTCATGGGCCTCGAATGTGCCGGCATCATCACACGCGTGGGCAGCGAGGCCGCGGCGCAGGGTTTCGCAGTCGGGGATCGCGTCATGGCTTTGCTTCTTGGTCCCTTTGCCAGTCGCGCCCGCGTTAGCTGGCACGGCGTCGCACCTATGCCGGACGGCATGAGCTTCGACGACGCCGCGTCGTTGCCCATGATCTTCAGTACTGCCTATGTTGGTCTTGTCGACGTGGCGAACCTGCGGCCCGGCCAATCGGTCCTGATCCATGCTGCAGCAGGCGGTGTCGGACAAGCAGCGATTATGCTGGCCAAGGACTACCTCGGTGCCGAGGTATACGCCACCGTCGGGTCCCAGGAGAAGCGCGATTTGCTTATACGCGAGTATGGGATCCCTTCTGAACGTATCTTCAACAGCCGCGACGCGTCCTTTGCACCAGCTGTCCTAGCCGCTACTGGCGGACGTGGAGTAGACGTGGTCCTCAACTCGTTGGCCGGCCCACTCCTGCAGGCTGGTTTCGATGTGCTTGCGCCGTTTGGCCACTTCGTGGAGATCGGCAAGCGAGATCTGGAAGGGAACAGCTTGCTCGAAATGGCCACGTTCTCGCAAGTAGCGTCCTTCACGTCGCTAGACATGATGTCGTTGCTACGCAAGCGCGGAGTCCATACGCACCGGGTGCTCAGCGAGGTGGCACGCCTCGCGGGAAGAAAGGTCATCGGACCGATCCACCCGGTCACCGTCTTCCCCATGCGGCAGGTGGCGAGGGCTTTCCGGCTCCTCCAGACTGGTAAACACACGGGCAAGGTTGTGCTGTCAGTAGCACCGGACGAGCAGGTCAGGGTGCTCCCAAGAGCCCCGGCGCCGAAGCTGCGGCCCGGTGCATCCTACCTGCTCGTCGGTGGCGTTGGGGGCCTCGGCCGATCCATTGCGCATTGGATGGTGGATCACGGGGCCCGCAACCTCATCCTGCTGTCGCGCAATGCCGGCAAGCAGAATTCGGGGCTTTTTATCTCGCAGCTGCGCAAAGCCGGCTGCCATGTCGTGGCCATCAGCTGCGACATAGCTAACGAGCAAGCTCTGAGGAGGGCCCTCGATAGATGCAAGAGCGAGGAGGGACTACCGCCGATACGGGGCGTCATCCAAGGCGCCATGGTGCTAAAGGACTCTATCCTTGAGCAGATGACGCTGGAGGATTGGGAAGCGGCAATCCGGCCCAAGGTCGCAGGCAGCTGGAATCTGCACTCGAGCTTCTCGCAGCTCGGCTCGCTCGACTTCTTCGTGATGCTCTCGTCGCTCTCGTGCATCCTCGGCTTGGCTAGCCAGACCAACTACGCGGCGGGCGGATCCTACCAGGACGCGCTAGCGCACTGGCGCCACGCCTCTGGGCTGCCGGCCGTCTCGATCGACATTGGTGTCGTCAAAGGCGTCGGCTTCGTCGCAGAGTCCCGCGCCGTCTCCGACCGCGTACGCAAGCCCGGACAGATGCTGTTGCTGCCCGAGGACGCCGTGCTCGGGGCCATCTCCGCTGCCATTCTCCACCCCCTCGACCATCCGCAGATCCTGCTCGGTTTGAACTCGGGGCCCGGGCCGCAATGGGAACCCGCCAGCGAGGCTCAAATTGGCCGTGACGTTCGTTTCGTTCCCCTCAAATACCGCAGGCCACCGGGAGCCCAGGCGGCAGGTCAACAGCTTGGAGATAGCGATGTTAAACCCCTCTCCATGCAGCTGCAGGAAGCTGGCTCGCGTGAGGAGGCGACACGGCTGGTGGGCGACGCGATCGCCACAAAGCTAGGGGACATTTTTATGATCCCCATCGATGACATCGACCTGGCTAAGTCGCCCGCCCTGCATGGTGTCGACTCACTCGTGGCCGTGGAGCTGCGTAACATGTTGATGCTACAAGCGGCGGCGGACATTTCCATTTTCAGCATCATGCAAAGCGCATCTCTGGGCGCTCTGGCGAGTGATGTGGTGACGAAGAGCGCGCATGTTGAGATAGCCGTGGGGGCATAATTGATGGATTCCAATTGGCGTGGTGATGGTGCCTGAAGTCTTGGAAGGGCTGAGCAAGATAGTCGGCGATTTTGAACACGAGTACTTCGTACCCCTTGGAAAATAACAACTGTGCGTTTTCGATTTGGGTCTTTCCAGGGTTTGACAAGTGCGCAGCAATCAACATGAAGTTCGGTTTTTCGTACGTCCGCGGTGAAAGATAGACGCAAGCAACGCTTCCGAAAATAAGCGTGACGCGACTGGAAGTGCCAAGCACCACGGAAGCTTGAGGCCTGCGAGCGAATTGGGGGTGAAAAAGAGCCACCGAGAACGCGCAAAGTTGATGGACCAATATGTCGAGGGTACCCCAGGGTTAGGAGTGGGGTTAGGGGAGGGGTTGGAGAAGGGTCTAGGGTTAGGGCTTAGCCAACTCTCCTAACCCTGACCCTACACCTAACCCCAGCCCGAACCCCAGCCCGAACCCCAGCACGAGCCTGCTTGCAACTCAAGCTTGCCAAAAAAAGAATAAAAAGGCACTAAAACAAAACTGGCATCCAAAAATGTCATATTCGGAACGCAGAGATTACGAGCGATATATTAGTTTCACGAGGTAGGTAACAGCCTTCTAAGTGGGTAGTTGGCTCACTGATCCAACCTCCTCCCAGGAACCCCTTTTTCTCTACATCTGTTATCCCTCACCCCCGGACAACCCTCGCCGGCTTCTGTCCCAAGCTGGGAGCGGCCTCCCTATCGGCCAGTCCCGACTCGAAGACGCTCTCGGTATACTTCGGGGCAGCCATGCGACCGTGCACCTTGTCCATTCCCAGCCTGCCGCGGATCAGCCTCGGCACGAAACCGTCGATGACGTCCTGCGAGAAGCTGGTGATGCCGTCCATGGCCTCCTCGCCGCGTAGCATCTGCCGCGCGCGAATGGTGCGTAGGATGCCCAGCTCTTCCTCAGTGAGTTTCTCAAGGTCCTCCTTGGTCTCAGCGTTGGGGTCCGCCTTGACCCGTTCGAGCTTGTCGAGGACGCCCTGGCGCGCTTCCGTCGAGATGTTCTCAAATGCGTGCAGGCAGAAGTCGACCGACTGGGAGATGACGCCCTGCGTGAGCTTGCCGCTTGTGTCGGCATCTGCGAGACCCTGGATGACTATTGGAAGGGGTTAGTGGTCTGTCTGCCTCGCAAGGAGGTTGGTGGTTGACCTACTCGGCCGGAAGAATGAAAAGGCCCTATCAAATCCGTCCTCGTCAAAGTCGCTCAGTACCGGCTCATTTCCCTTACGGATCTGCTTCAAGGCCGTCATCACCACCAAGAGAAAGCGCGAATAGCTCTCAGCGACGCGGGCTGAGTGGCACTTGGCCGCCTGAAATTCGGTGCAATCGCCTCGAATGGATGCTTGGATGGTCATGGCAGCGGACAGACCGCTGGCCAGCGCAAGATGCACCCCTGAGCTGAAATACGGATCGATAAAACATCCCGCATCGCCCGCCAGGCGGAAGTTGGGGCCCGCATACGCCGAGGCACTGTACGACCAGTCCGAGGCGGCCTTGATCGTAGGGGAAACAAGCTCGGCTTCGGCCAGTCGGGCGTGGATCTCCGGAGACAGAGTCAGACAGTCCTTGTAAAACTCGACCATCGAAGGTGAGCCCAGGCCCTTCTTGCGGGCCAGAGACAAGTCCTGCCGCATGACGATGCCGACAGACAGGGTACCGTCGTGGAGGGGGATCGCCCAGCACCAACCGCTCTGGTCGGTTAAGGCCTCGAAAAGGGGCGCACCCTCCATATGTGTGCCCGGAGCATACGTCTTGGCGCCTCTCCAATAGCCCCAGTTGGCCTGGTTCTTGAGCGCCTGGTTGAACTTGCGGTTCTTGAGGTACTGGGTCGAGATGATGCCGTTGCGCCCGCTGGCGTCGACGATGTAGTCGAATTTGATCAAACCGGTGGCGCCATCCGCCTTCCGCGACCAGGTCGCCGATACTGCCCGCCCTGGGTTGCAGATCCTTTCATCCTCGGGGAAGTCTGGGGCCGGGACGAATTGTACAGACTCGACCTTGACGCCCTGGAACGTGTGGGCGCCGCTCTTTTCGGCGTGGTCGAACATCAACTTGTCCGATTCGGAACGGATCACGTTCCAAGAATAGCCACTTGGGCCGTTGGCGGCGAGGAAGTCGGTATCTACGGGAGATAGTCAGATGGCAGTCTAGAGTGACCGAGTACTTGCGTTTTTCCTCACAGCCTGCTCGCTTGTTGTTCAACTTGAATGCTGCGCCGTTCTGCCGTCATAACAGGATATTAGTGTCTGGACTTGAGAGCACACTCCTCAGAACACAATTCCATACGAAGGAATACCTGCCTTTCTTCGAAAGCCGTAGTCGTCAAACGTTTTCTCGAGATCAATGAAGCGGATGAAATGGCGCATCGAGGCAAGCATCGACTCGCCGATGTGGTATCTCGGAAAAATGTCGGCCTCAAGCAAAACAACATTCGTCCCTTCACGCGCAATGGCTGCCGCCGCGTACGAACCGGCGGGGCCACCTCCCACCACAAGCACAGAGCAGGACTGAGGGATGGACATGATATCGGTTGTCGTAGTGGGTGTACACTTCGCAAAACAACGGGATACTTGGGCCGTGTCGAAGCTGTAGGTAGGTACCGGATATAGAAAGAGTCATGCGGCATTATAAGAATTGAGGGCTACAAATATCTCCAGGGACCAATTGGTATAGGTATCCGCCAACGTCTACTGAAAGCATAGATCTGACCTAGTACATACCTAGGTACCAGGTACCTACTAACCCCTGCCGAGTAGAACGCGAACAGTTGGCCTTTCGCCCCGTCGTAGCCTACGTAAAAGGCTGTCCAACAAGGAACGGGCCCATGTGCGACTAAACCCGACTTTGGATGGTTCGAGTGGAGCTTTGCCGAAATAATTGTCCGGGTTTCCGGCCTGGGTCCGAAAGTCCGGGCTCCCATAATAGAGAGACGTTGGGTGGCCCGGTTAGTCCGGAACACAACTTGAAGTCCGGAAGTAAGCCCGTCCTACACGAAGCCCGAGAACACCAGAGAATGGCCGAATTCCAGCCAGTGAGGCAATCGTCATGGTTGAGGTTCGGCTTCAGCGTCTATGGAACCCCCACATAGGGAGACGAGACGTAGACGACGTTCCACGCAATCTGCCGCATCCGCATCCCTCCGCATCTTCCGTTCCATTTGCTCCGCCCTTCGCCTCCCACGAGTGTGCAATTCCACGCTAATGCTAACCTGTTGTATGCGCACACGTTGCGGAAACGTATTCAGAAGGTCGCCTATTCCAGTCCAAGCACAGTTATACCAAAACATATCAGCGGTCAGATTTGGAAGGTAGCGCCACAGAATAATAACCTTAACTGGGAAGCTTCCGGGGGAGCACATGCAACCATACTAAGAACGCCCATCTCCCACACAAGACCACATATACAGATTAGGCCACCAGTATACACATCTCCGGTCTGCACCCGGGAACGATGCGATCTGAGTGGGGTTGTTGTAGGTGGTGTTCTTGGGGTATAGGTATGTGTGGTCAGGTAGTGCATCCAGGGGTCCCCTGGCGGGGACCAGTTTCCGTTTTGGGACCTCCGATACAACCTCGGCATCGGATGGTCTGGTGCGCATTGGGACATAACTGGGCGTGAATTACCTACATGATACTGGACTGAATACCGCAGCGTGGTTCTATGGGGGGTGGGATGCCTGTGCAACCTGCCTTGCCAGGTCAAAATGCCATGTTAAGGGTTCAGCCCCTGAATCAATTCAAGTTGCACTTCATCACCAACCTAGAAGGACTACAACATTGAATTATTACACCTCCTCTTCCACAGTCACCAACCCCCCATGGCCACACTTTAGCCTCTTGTAGCTGCTCATCAATGCCGAGGTACCGTAGTGGGATAATTGCAGTGGGAAAATGTAGGATACGGCATGGGATATAGATTACTAGGGTCAACATGCCATGCCACGCCTTCCCACGTGCACCAAGGGAACATCGTCGATCCCAACCCAGCACAACCGTGTAGGTATTCTCTCACAAAGAAGGAGCATCAGTCGTCATTTAAATCTAGGTAGTTTCGTCAAGCCAGTAGTTCAAGTGATCAGTTGTACTGGCTTCGCGTGTGCCCTCTCTTCCATTTATAATTGTGCGCATTTCTTTCTGTCCTGTAATCCCACCCATCTAGGTGCACGGCGATGACTGGTTACCTACTAGTCGTTAGTCAGGAATAATAATAATAATGCATGAAATAAGTGTCCAACGATGATAATAAATAGTTATAGCCTCGTTCTAGATAGCTTTATACGCCACTTCACGGCGTCAGTATGAGATAGTGGTGATGAAATGACCGTTCCGGGTTTGTTAACTTGTTTCTATCCACATAATCCGCCGTGAGGATCAGAGTACCGAGGCATTTGATGTGACGTGCTCGCAGGAACAACGGTTCTTCCTTCACCGATCACGATGCCGTATAGGCCAATCGGGCAACTCACAAGTCCCCAGAGGACAAAATGTCATGGCTTTGTACGTCACCTCGAGGCACGCCATTCGCGGCCATCGTCCCTCCTGTTGCCACCATGTGGTCTATGCGATATCTGAGCGCGTTTTGACCCCTAGGCCCGCGTAGAAAATGCCAGTGCTCCATCCATCCACCGCTCGCGCCTCAACTCTCTCGTACCTTCACACCTTCATTTCAAACCAGTTATTACAATGGCTGACTGGCCATTCACCCCTGGTTTGTCGGTCGAGCGCGTTGAGGATGTGGTGCCTACGGGCACTGCCATGCCCATGGGTCCCACGGGCAAGAGTCTGGAGACACTGGCCAACGAAAAGAGGGTTTGGCTGGGAATGAAGGACCCGGAATACGAAACCAAGGATAGCGACACGGAGGAGGAGCCCGGCACTGAGAAGCAGCCCGAGCTGGCGGATGAGGTCGGGTACCCCACGGGTCTGGCCTTGACATTTATCATCGCTGCCCTGGTGCTCAGTATCTTCCTGGTCTCCCTTGATATGGTATGTTGTCTGCCCGCTGCGCCATACCTCTTGATCGCGGAGTGCTGACAGAACCCAGACAATGGTGCCCACGGCTATCCCCAGTATCACAGACGAGTTCCGGGGCCTGGAGGACGTGGCGTGGTACGGATCTGCCTTCTTCATGACCCTCGGCGGCTTCCAATCGACCTGGGGCAAGGTGTTCAAGTATTTTCCTCTCAAGGCCGGTTTCTTGATTTCCATCCTCATCTTTGAAATTGGCAATCTCGTCTGCGGCGTGGCGCCCAACTCGACCGCTCTCATCGTCGGACGCGCCATTGCCGGTGTTGGTGCAGCCGGCATGGGATCTGGGGCCTACACCATCATGGCCTTCACGGTACCGCCCAAGAAACGGCCCATCTTCACCAATATCCTTGGTACCGCGTACGGTGTTGCGGCGGTGGTCGGGCCTTTGATCGGTGGCGTGGTTGCCGACCGCCTTACCTGGCGCTGGTGTTTCTACATCAACCCCCCGATCGGCTGTATTTCCGGTCTCATCATCCTTTGCGCCTTTGCGGCCCCGAAGAGGGCCAAGCCCGTCGATGCCCCGCTCAAGGAGAAGATGCTGCAGATGGACCCGGTCGGCATCGTGCTGGTCATGGGCGGGATGATTTCGTACACCCTGGCTCTCCAGTACGGCGGCCAGACGATGGCGTGGAACGACAGAACCGTCCTCGGCCTCAGCGTCGGCTTCGTGGTGATCGTTATCGTCTTTGGCTTCTGGGAGTTTTACAACGGCGAGCGGTCCATGATCGTCCCGCGTCTCTTCGCCAACCGCGACGTCCGGGTATCGGCCATTTTCACCTTCCTCTTTGCGGGCTCCTATTTCATCGTCCTCTATTACCTGCCCATGTATTTTCAGAGCGTCCACCCCTCAAGAGCGACTGAATCGGGCATGCACAACCTGCCGTTGATCCTGTCCGTCGCCGTCTCAACCATGGGCGCGAGCGGTCTCATCTCGGCAACTGGTCTCGCCGCCCCGGTCGCCGTCGTCAGTGCGGTTCTAGCGACCGTCGCCTCTGGTCTGCTCTACACGCTCGATATCAGAACCTCGCCGGCCAAGGTGCTGGGCTACCAGATCCTGGGAGGTCACGGATGGGGCGCGGCGTTCCAGGTCCCTATCGTCATGGCTCAGGCCACAGCCGCACCGGGCGATATCTCATCCGTAACAGCCATCATCTTGCGTAAGCATCCCCTCTCATGGCCCTGCCACCATTCCCATCCCCACCCCCCTTTCCCTTTCCCCCAACAACCAACTAACCAGAGCGAACCGGCATGCAGTGTTCCAAAACCTCGGGGGCGCCTTCATGCTCTCGGCGGCACACCCGGCTTTCGTCCGCACCATGATGCAGCGGTTGGCGATGACGGCACCCTCGGTCGACCCTCTCCTCATGCTCGGTACGGGCGCCACGCAGATCCGCACTGTCGTCCCCCCCGATGTCGTCCCGGGCGTCCTGGTCGCCTACATGGCCGGCATCCAGACCACATTCGTCATCGCCCTGGTCTCCGTTGGCCTCGCCGTCACCGTCGGAATTTTCAGCAGGTTTAAGCGGCTTAATAGCCGGACGCTGAAGGTGGTGGATGAGGTGGTATAGGGGGGCTTTGGCAAGGGGTTGTATAAGGAGTTGGATTACCTAGGTAATCTAGAATTCACGTTTGGTTGTCTCATCTAAATCCGTCATTGTCTGGCTAATTTCAATGCCTCATAGTGTTCCCCTGCTAGGCTGTTGATCACTTTTACATCTCCCAACACACGGACAATCTGGTCAACACCACTGCTGGCCCCAACCACCGTGTTGCAGCGCGCGGCGAGAAAGGTGGCCGCACAAGTAAGCGGGTCGGGCAGGAAGGGGTGGACCTTGAAGCAGCTGATGGACGGCACAGCCTTGGCTAGACGAACCATCTCCAGGGCTGCCACCGAGGCCCGGCGCTCATAAGCGGCCGTTGCAAGTTGCTGCTCGAGAGTGTGCCAGGGGGTTCGCTGTACCGTGTTGCTAAGGAAGACGACGGCACTCTGGGCGAGCATGTGAGTAAAGAGAAGCATAGGGTCGTTGTCGGTGGCCGGACGCGGGGCCAGCATCTGTAACCGCTTCTCCACGGCCGACGCGAGCCATTCTTGATGCGTCCAGAAGTCGTAGGATTTGGTAGCCGATTCCTTTGCACACGCTCGCCGGTGAATCATACAACGTCCGTAAAGCGCCGCCAGCACAGTGCATTCGGCAAAGGGTGATAATGTGCTCGGTTCATTCTGCGCTGTAGCTGCCGATAGAAAACTGACGTGGATCGGGTGGCCATTTTGGAAGTTCTCCTCTGGGGCTGGGAGACGCGTGCGGATCTTGAAGCACCTAGTTAGCGACCCACGGGGCCATTGATAATAGGTAATTAAGAGTTTTACTGGTGATAAACGTACCAACTCCTCCTGTAATGTCAAGGGCCACTCGCTCCGTAGGCAGAGGAAGCGGTCGAGGCTAAAAGCTAGCCAAAATGTTCGCCTCCTCTCCTCGGCATCTACAAAGGTCTCGTCCGGCTCGCGATTAGTAGCCACGGGAGCGGCCTGTGAGTCTTCAAGAGCATCGACATCGTACAAACGTGCCATTTGCACGAGACGGAACGCACGGCCAGCCGTGAGCATAGCCTGGTGCTCGCCAATTCGCAAGAGCTCGGCGTAGGCTAGGAGTAGCCATGCTTGAATGTGTTCAAGGGGGATTTCGTCCTTGGAGGTGACTCGGGCTTGGCTATGACTCTCGAGGAGATTGCGTGTTTCCGCACAGAGGTGGTCCACGAGGTCACCCCAGTGAGCCGACATAGCCGCAGCCATGGTACGCATGGCGGACCTCAGGCAGGTTCGGGCCGGTCCGGGATTGTCCTTGGCCGCCCACGCAAAGTAGCGGCTTCGATGGATGATGGGGCATACGGGATGCGCTCGGTCAAAATAAAGTTGATCCCTAAACATGGGATGCTGTCAGCAGCGGTTTCCTCATAGTACCGGGAGCTCCAGGCTACCGCACAAGTCAACTCTCATGATGTCCGTGACCTTGGAGGTCGTGGCCATCGAATTTCGGGCCGTGTCAATACGGTCTGTATGATCCATAAATGTGGTTTCCGGACCGCCGTCTGGCGGCATTAGAACACACTCGAAGTCCTGCCAATCTATGCAATGTGCCCAGGCAGCAAGATCAACACCGGTGCATGCAGACTCCGAGCTCGTAGAGGTTGACGTTATCGTGGATGATGTTGTCGTTGTATTATTAGTTGTATCCGGCGGCGCCGACGTTACCTCGCCGAGAATGAGGCTTGGCTCTCCATCTAACCCGTTCTTCTGGACGACCTCATAGTCCATGGGAACATCGTGATTGTTGGTTTGGGAGGAGTTAGGTTGCTCTTCAGGGGTGGTTTGTTTCGGTATTGCGCGACCCCGACCAGAATCAGGTCCGAATTGTTGTTCTAGCTGCCATTGCAGGGCTGCTGCAGTGATGAAACGTTGGTAACGGCCTTCTCACTCCCAGGCTTCCGACAGGATAGGTAGGGTTGTGGCTTCTGTGTGAAACATGGACGACGGCTAGAGAGCCAGTCAAGCGGAAGAATGGTAGAGGGTGGGAGTCCGCACACACACCACACCATCCACATGACAATAGGAGAAATGAACGAACCGATTTGCGACCGCATCGCATTTAGTTGTCCCTTTTTCGGCCCCCTCTGTTGCCTCTTGTTAACGATCACACATGTTGTCCCGGTCTCGGTGCAGAAGCCGCACTTGGGACGTCCCCTGTCGCACCGGGCCTTTCGTCGTCGGCATTCTTCGCAGGCAAAGCCGGGCTGCTGCCGAAGTCCTCTCCCTTCCATGTTAGTCAGAATAAGAATATGGACTCGGAGGCTTACAAAGCCGAGATGAGACGGTCCGCAACACCGTGTCTGTTGTAGGCAAAGGACAGGGGGGATAGATATAATCTTACGACGAGTTACTGTTATTAGGCCAACCCTTGAACTTAGCAACCCACCCGTCCTCACCGCAGATAGACAGGCTGACAGATCAGCAGCACAGTGTCTATAGGTCGGCCAGAATCACGTCACGGCATGTCTTCGAAACAAATGTCGGGTACGCACAGGTGCATACGTAAGGTGGTAATCATGGTTGAAATCTAAACGGATCTGTAGCTTTAAACCCAGCCCAGCCTCTATCCGAGCAACGCCTGTTGTGAGGCTTTCCAAAGATACTCGACCGGGACGATGCCAAGAAGGTCGAATTAATGGCAATTTCGGAACGAAACAAGAAAAAGGAAATATGGTAGATTCCTGGTTGCTGGGTCTGGATGGGCCTCGGCCCTCGGGTCCCTGGCCCTTCGGATCACCCCGTCTCTTTTAAAACATCGTTCACTAGTGGACCTAAGACAGAGAGCCTTCGAGAGGCTTGTTTGCCTACATGAAACCATCGGTTCGCCGGAAAGGACGGCAACGCCAAGATGGCCAACCAGAATTTATATTCATGATCCTTCTACACACCGCGGTCCCGGTCGGCAGCTGCCCCCTTGGTGTCAACCTTCGCTGTTCTGAAGTGCTGTGGCCATAACTGCCGTAGCTAGGTACACTTGTCCTTGGATCGATACGTCATTAAACACAGTGCTTGACTGTGCGGTGACATGGCTAGCTGAGCCCCTCGGCCCACACATGAACCGGCCCGAAAGCATGCTGACCGGCACCCGGGAGGTGTACGGTCCATTGGACGGGATTCGAGATCTGCCAAGCGGCTGCAAGACAAGGCGTTTCTAGTACCGGCTTGGCCGATCGCGGCATAGGGTCCTCCCGCCTTTCATCTAGTGGCGTTGGCACTGATTGGCTCTGAACCTCTGGCGCCGTTGAAGGACTCGGCCGCTGTCTGTCTCGGGTACGCCCTGTCCCTGCTTACATTCTCGTGCATGTAGTAATCGGTGAATCGGGCCTATGACGCGGCTCGGTTTCCGCATCGGCGAGCGAAATCAGGTACCCAGGCAACATTGTCACGGCCGCGAGGGAGCTTAATATGGAGGTCAGGTGTTGGTTGGCTCCGTTCTGATAGCTGTGGATGCCATCATTGGCTGGGATGACGTGGGCTGGCATATATCGACGATTCTGTGAACTTAGTACCAGGGGGCGTTTACTAGTAGGCGCTGTTTACCTTATTATTATGACCCTGGAAGAGTAGGGGACGAATAGAGCCTCGGGTTGGGTAGCCTTCGCATCTTAAAACCTTTGGGCTGGGGACAGACAGGAGGATCTGGGTTAACACGAGGATCTGGTTTACAATCCGCCGTGGTACTTGTCATTATTTGGAGAGATATCAGGCGTTTTATTCCTTCTTTTGCTCCGACTACTACGTCCTCGTTTCCAAATTTGCTATCCGCCTCCAACTAGCTCCCAACAATGAAGTTCATGAAGTACAATTTTCCATTTCTCATGCACCCTGCTTGGTGTCAAGGCCGGATGTCGCTTTGGGCTTCTCCGCAGTAATAGCGTTGAGTTCCCTTACTTTCCGAACATCTTTCCACCCCAGCCCTAAACAAAAGGGTATGATGCAGGCGCTGACGGCAATTCCAAGATACATGACGTGGTCGATAGCTTTACAGTAGGCCTCGAGCGCGGCCTCTAGCGCGGGCCCGGACACGAGAGAACGAACGGAATCAACCCCGGCGTTGACAATGAGGTCTGGGGAAACACGAATTGCGGCGATACGTTGCTGTAGCTCATCGCGGAGGTTGTTGCTGAAAATGGCATTTGCGCCGATCAGGGTCGCTGCTCCGCCGATGTTCATGGAGAAAATGATGATAGACATGGCGATGGGAATCTGCTCTGGAGGAACAAGGTTCTGGACCGCTATGTAGGGCTGCGAAGGACAAGGCGGTAAGTTGGTGAACCACATGTGTTTCTGCGGGTTTGTACGGCAAGTCATGGACTTACAGCCGCGGCTGCTGCACCGCTACCAACACCATAAAGAATTTGATAGCCGACCCAGGCCCCAACGGTGGTCGTGGGACTCAACAGGGACAGAAGTCCGTAGCCGACAGTGGATAGCGTACCCCCGAGCAAGATCCATGGAAGATAGTAACCGAGAACTTCGACTGTGTTTCACGGCATACGTCAGCTAAGAGAACGACTTAGGTCGCAAAGAATACGGCAAGATACTGCCGGCTGTGAGCCCGACATCACTTACTCATGCTGCCCGAGATCATGGTGAAGGCTACTAGTCCGAGAGTTGTTGGCAACATGTGGACACCGCTCATCAGGGGTGTGTCGTCGAGAACCACCTGGAAATAAATGGCAAGATAGTAATCGGCGAGCAGAATGCTCGAGAGAACAAAAAACAAAGTCATTGCAGCAGACCAGATGACGCGATGTCGGAGCAAAGCGAATGGCACCATGGCCCCGTCCCCCTGGCGATATTCCCAAGCCAGAAAGACAGCCAGGGTAGCGGCAGCTCCAACCAAAAGGCCAATGACGACTGAGCTATTCCATGGGTGTTGGTTCCCACCGAACTGGAGTCCGAGGAAGAACATGATGGCGGCTGGGCAAATAAGCGCAAACCCTACCAAATCCAGAGACTTAATTGCAGTTCCAAGGACCTGGAGCGCAGGTGGCTTTGCTTTCGGTTCCGGGACGTTCTGGAAGAGAAGGCACCCGGCAACAACGGCACCGAGAGGGAGGTTGATGTAGAAGCCTAGACGGTTGGAAACGAACCGGTTAGCCTTATGTTCGAGATGGACGGGCAAACCGGAAGTAGAGAAGGGATGACGCACACCACCGCCAGGAGACATTCGTGCTGAAAGCACCTCCAATGATGGGTCCCGTTGCTAAGCCCAACTGGCTCATGCCGATGTTTAGTCCCATGAAAAGGGGCTGCCGCCGGGTTGGGAGTGAAGCGGCGATGGTACTGAGGGCACCAGTTGCAATGCCCGAACACCCTAGGCCGGCGATAGCCCGTCCCACGATGAACATGGATGACGACTGGGCCGCTCCGCAGAGTGCCGATCCCACCTCGAAGATCAGGAAGAAGATGAGAAAGCACCACTGGACCGTTGGGTGTCAGTTGTGATAGTTAGGTACCAGTGAAGGAGGAAGTGTCGTGGGAATTTGGCTTGCCTTGATAGAGAAGTAGGTGTAGATCTTGCCGCTCAACGGCTGAAATGCTGCGCTGGCGAGCTGGTAGGCACCGCCGTACCAACCGATATCCACCAGCGAGTCGAATTCGGATGTGATGGAAGGCGTTGCCGTAGACATGATTGCGAGATCGAGGTATACCAAGAAGTAGGCCAGCACAACCGCCGTCAAGATGAGTGTGAGTCTGAAGCCCTCAGGGTACACATGCTTGTATTCTTTGTCGCTATGTGGGGTGCTCGTTTCCCCATCATCTTGCTTCAGTTCGGGGAGAGAGGGTGTCCGTACATGGTCAGGAGAGGGTGTGGATTCGGTGCGCTTCTCCCCCTCGTCGAGTGACTGCGCGCGGGGCGTTGTCTCGGCCATTGCGAAGGAAAACACGGGAGGTGGCTGGGTGCTCGATGACCAACGGCGTGTCAAGATCAAGTCACATATCTTGTTAGAAAAACTGAATCTGAGATCAACAGGAACACAGTTATATTTCCCGCCTCGGTGACTTTACGGGAGCTATTCCTGCCGGGGCTGAGGTTATGCCTTGTCTCCCGGAGTGTCTGTCAAGCCGCCAAACTCACTGATTCTAAGACATGCCTACCTCGATAGAGTGGCGGAGTCCGGCCGGGCGATTGGACCGGAATCCGTTGCACCATGATTCCCAACAACCGGGCGGATTACACGCACATGAAACCCGAAATCCGATCTCCATGCCTACCGTGACCAATAAGGTCGATACAAACAGACCGAATTACTCTATTATCACGACACCCCCTTTCCCAGAACGTCGACCTTTACTGCCATAAATTGTAAGCCGTATTATGGGCTCAAGTTAATAGCAATCCTAAGCGAGTTTGTGCATCCTAATCCTGAATCCCGTAAGCCATGCCATAGACATGCACTGCGGAGGAAGCCTGGGCCCCAACAACCCATGTTTGTTAATATTCCAATCATACATGTGACCACCCGCTCTAATTATTGTTGCCATCCCGACAAGAAGCCCACGCAATACCTCGAAGCACTGGCCGGGACTAGCGGATCAAGCGGGTTCGGGTGGTTCGGCGCCGAGACTGAGATACGCCTGTGTTGGTGCCCCAATGTCAAAGTAGAGAATCTGAGTCAGGTTGGGGGTCATGTTTCAGTTTGAGCAGTGGGGCCGTTGTGCTTCGCGGCGCGGTGAGTTGTGTCGAGGTTCGAGACCGCGATTAATAATGGAGTTAAAATATACGCCGATCTGTGGCGTGTTACACGTACTCTTTTCGGTCAATGCCAGAGCTGCGTGTCCGCCGACCCGGTTCCCGTTCAAGTGGTGTGAGTCCGGGGGCGTGGTACCCCCCGTACCAAACTAAAACGGTATGCGTAAGCGTCCCTGACGGAGGAATCAAACTCCGGCAGGAGGCGAGATCGGAAACCATCTTTGATTGGCTTTTTCTTTTGCAACGGGACCGCAGATGATAGCAACCGCCGTGGTCCTGCCCCGGCTCGACGGCACCGCTTCTTGTGGCTCTCTATAACACGATGTTCGCAAGCCGGAGGGGATGGCAAATGCTCTCCGCATCGATCGGAATACACGGTAGATGTTGACACCAAAGCCACGAGCACCGCCATCTAAGGAGCATTTATTGAATTCACTTTGTTCTCGATAGCAGCCATGGGAGATATGCCACAGAACGGGCCGACCAACGGAGCCGACGCCCGAGCTCCCCTCGACGTTGCAATCGTGGGAGGCGGCCTCATTGGCGTCATCACAGCACTCGGGCTTGTGCACCGCGGGATGCGGGTGACAATCTACGAGCGCGGCACTAAATTCCAAGAGCTAGGAGCGGCTGTGGGCTTCCCTAGAGTTGCTCGGGAATGTATGAAGCGCCTTGAACCACGTATCCTCGAGACTTTGGGACGGGTTACGCAACGGAATCTCCACGAGCAAGTACGTTACTGGGACGGCTTCCACCCGCAGACCAAGCAAGCCGCCGAGTCAGAGGAAAGCTCCTTACTTTTTGAAGTACCGGAACGCGACCTGGCATTCTGGGCTTGCCTACGGTCTCATCTCTTGCTCGGGATGGCGGAGCTGTTGCCCGAAGGCACGGCGCGGTTTGGAAAACGACTCGTGGACTACACCGACGGCGAGGCGGCCAGCAAGGTCATTTTACGGTTTGGCGATGGGAGTACCGCCGAACACGACCTTTGTTGGTTCCCACCTTGGTTACACCGTTCATGATGCAAACAATGTCTGACCTACCATGCTAGTGATCGGCTGCGATGGAATCCACTCGGCTACTCGCAAACTTCTCCTTGGCCCAGACCACCCGGCCGCAAACCCGAGTTACACGCACAAGAAAGTCTTTCGCGGTCTCGCTCCATTTGACGGCGTAGTTGCTGCCCTGGGGAACGAGAAAGCCCATGACTATCTGAGTCACCTGGGGCCCGATGCCCACATGTTATCTTTTCCGGTTTGCTACCCCTTTCTCATCGGCGAGCATCCACAAGAGTAACGGGTTAATCCTAATGCGCGCTATTTTTCCACGCCGAAAGATCAACAACGGAACCATGGGCAACATTTTCTTTGCCATCCACGATCCAGGGGAGTGGAAAGACCCGAGCTCTATGACCGCTCTCAGCACACGCGATGAAGTCTCGGCAGCCCTGGAGAGTTGGGGCCCTCACATACGGGAAGCCGTCCTTCTCCTGCCAGAAACGCTAACCATGTACGGCGTGTTCGACATGGTGGACAACCCAGCCCCGACCTACGCCTCGGGCCGTGTTTGCATAGCTGGCGACGCGGCCCACGCGAGCAGCCCGTTTCACGGCGCCGGCGTTGGCATGGGCGTCGAGGACGCGCTGGTTCTGTCCGAGCTGTTGGGGGATGTCCAGAGTCTGCCCGTGGCTGCCAGACCGCGGTCTATCCCAGCGGCCTTTCAGGCCTACAGCGCCGTGCGGATGGAGCGCACCCGATGGTTGATGCAGAGCTCCCGCGACATGGGCGATATCTTGGAGTGGCGGTATCCAGCCACAGGTCGGGACAGCGCTAAGATCAAGACCGAATTTGAGAAGCGTGCGAGGAAGATATGGGACTTTGATGTAGACGGTATGGTGACCGACTCAAAGAGGGAATATAACGGCCGAAGGAGGGAATAGGGGGCAGGGACACCAGACCTCCGGATCCTGGCTACTCTATGGGTGTATACGGTAATATTAGGTACAGAAACAGCCGAGAACTTTGAAGCCATTGTCTCCCGTAAACTATATCGAGAACCATTCTCTTTCCTATGGTCTTACAACCCAGAACGGCTTGGATGCCAAACGCCCCCCCGGGGTTGACGCGGACACTGAATCATATCAATCAAGGATATTATCCTGTCAACTTAATTACTCGACCTTGTTGGGAGGGGAGCCAGTACAATTCGAACGCCTTTGTCCGCTACGGCGACAATGGGTTTGATACGAATGACGCACCTGCCCTCCCTGTGATGGTGTCTTACAGGAAAGAGGACGTGTTCCGGAGTCGGCTCTGAGATCACCTACGCCTGTTAGGAGTCATGCCCTGATCGCCCTGTACTTATCGGACTTTCGGACTGACAGCCCAGGTAAACTCCGAAAGACCGTCACGTACACCATTGAGACGGGACGGTGTTAGATTCGGCCAAAGTAGATGCTGACCCGAACTCTCAGCTTTAAAGGCAGGTGTGTGAAAATGGGGCGCGGAACGTGTGGCTGGGTGCATGCCTACCTCCAGCCAAACCCACATATTAGCTGTTCACCAGTTTTCTCGGGATGCAGAGCGTGCCCTAGAAAGATTAATAACCACCTCGTCTTTGAACGCGGTAGGAAAAGAAAGAAGCGGAAACACCCACCGCCAGTCCACCTCCCGTGCCCTTCTCTCTTCAGAATACCTGGCCTATGTTGGCCTCTCACAACACCATGACTTCCATAGCCGACCTCGATAATGGCTCCCGCGAATCCAACATTTTCCTCTTTGCTCCCCATGTCGGCACCTTCACCAAGCAGTCAATGGACAAGCTGGTCCGGCCACTCGCCGTCAGTGCCCACAGGGACTGGATCCTAGACACCATAGCTAGTCTGCCGACGTATTGGGATGCCCTGGCCGACAAGATACCCAACATAGGTGGCGCAATCCCCGGCCGCCGCCAACTAGCCGACCTCGATTCATGGTTCCGGCACGGTGCCGGCGACGTGGTGGAGGACGATGCCACCTTGCCCAGCATAGTGGTTGGCCCGCTAGTGGTCCTCGTACAACTTACCCAGTACTGGCGCTACCTCGAGCTCACACGACCGAGCAACTTGGATGACTCGGTGGACCTACAAGCAGACCTGGTCGCTCGCCAGAAGCAGCCTGGGGCCAAGGTCGAGACCCTGGGCTTCTGTGCCGGGCTACTAGCCGCTGTCGCCGTCGCTAGCGCCGGCGATCAACAAGAGTTCCAAAAGTACGGCGCCGTAGCGGTGCGGCTGGCGATGATGGCCGGTGCGCTCATCGATGGCCAGGAGGCGCGGGACCAGGGGAACGGCAAGGGCGGCTCCGTGTCGTATGCCATAGCATGGCGTGGCCAGAAGCCGGGAGAGGAGGCCACGCGCATAGTCAAAGACCTGTCTCCCAACGCTTATCTCGCCGTTCTCTACGACGAAGCCCGCGCCACAGTAACCGCCTCACAGCGCACGGCTCCCCAGCTCGTGAACCAACTCCGGGCTGCTAATGTCACGGTGGCCGAGATTGGCATCAAGGGCCGCATCCACAGCCCAGACTTGGAAAGGAAAAACAACACCGACCTACTCGTCGACCTGTGCAGGTCATTCGTCGATTTGCAGTATGCTGACGCAGGTTCCCTCGCCCTTCCGACCTACAACAACGAGGCCGAGGGTAGGCCTGTATCGCGAGACCGGGGTAATATGACCGAGATGGTCCTACGTGCCATCTTAGTGAACCAGTGCAACTGGTACGGAACGTTCCTGGGCGCCACGGAAAGCAGGAAGACTTTCGTTGTGACATTCGGTCTGGAGCGCAGTGTGCCACCCACCCTCATGCGAAGTCTCGGACCTCACCAAGTACACTTTGAAGACCTGGCGGACAACGGCGTCCCCGCTGTCCACCGCTTACCCTCACGCTCAAGGACAGTGCTCGATAGTCAACCACAGTCAGATGTCGCCGACCCAAGGCAAACCACACTCCTGGACAGCGACAAGAACGCCATTGCCGTCGTCGGGATGTCTATCAAGACAGCAGGGGCCGATGACCTGGAAGAGTTTGCCGACATGCTCAAGACCGGCCGATCCCACCACGAGCCCGTCACTCGGGAGCGGCTCATGCACGACATGCTCTTCCGCGCAGCAGCAGACAGCGACCCCAACCACAAGTACTACGGGTGCTTTATCCGGGATCCGGACGCGTTTGATCACCGGTTCTTCAAGCGTAGCCCCCGCGAGTCCGCCGCCATGGATCCGCAGAGTCGTCTGGCCATGCAGGCCGCTTACCAGGCCGTCGAGCAGGCGGGGTACTTCACCGAGACATCCGCCACGCCCGAGGGCCGCGACAAGAAGCACGTCGGCGTGTACCTCGGCGTGTGCGGGATGGACTATGACCACAACAGCACCTGCCACGAGCCGAGCGCCTTCACGGCGACGGGGGCCTTGCGGAGCTTTATTACTGGTCGGGTATCGCACTACTTTGGTTGGACGGGCCCGTCCATGACATTCGACACGGCTTGTTCGTCCTCGGCCGTGGCCATCCACACGGCGTGCCGCAACCTCCTCGCGGGCGAGTGTACGGCGGCGCTGGCGGGCGGCGCCAACACCATCACCAGCATGCTGTGGTTCCAGAATCTCAGCGCCGGCAGCTTCGTCAGCCCGACGGGCCAGTGTAAGCCGTTCGACGACGCCGCCGATGGCTACTGCCGCGCCGAGGGCATGGGCTTTGTCTTCCTGAAGAAGCTGTCGGACGCCGTGCGCGACGGCAACCCCGTGCTGGCCATCATCCCCAGCACGGCCGTCTACCAGAACCAGAACAGCACCCCCCTGTTCGTGCCCAACGCACCATCGCTCTCCATGCTCTTCGGGGACGTGATGCGCCAGGCCGGGGTGGCGGCGCGCGACATCTCCTTAGTCGAGGCCCACGGCACGGGAACACCAGTCGGCGACCCGGCCGAGTACGAGAGCATCCGCACCGCGCTCGGGGGCCCGCGGGCTGGACGCACCAAGCCGCTGCCGATCGGGTCTGTCAAGGGCCACATCGGGCACACGGAGGGGGCGTCGGGGGTGATCGCGCTGATCAAGGTGATCATGATGATGCGCGGGGGGTTCATCCCGCCGCAGGCCAGCTTCTCCCAGATGAGCCACAACATCGACGTGCGGTCGGACGACATGATGGAGGTGGTGACGCAGCTGCGGCCCTGGGCCGACCCGCACAAGATCGCCCTCCTCAACAACTACGGCGCCTGCGGCTCCAACGCCAGCCTCATCGTCGCACAGCCGCCTCCGGCCTTGTCCACGCCCAGCCGCGGCGGCCGCCATCCAGAGGGCAGGCGGTATCCGTTTTGGATTGCCGGCCTCGATGCCCGGGCCATCGGCGCCTATGCCGCCAAGCTGGGCCCATACCTGCGGTCGTGCCCTGAGGTCACCACGCTGGCGGATATCTCATTCAACATGAACCGGCAGTCCAACCGCGCCCTCGCTCAGGGGTTTGTCTTCAGCTGCCGCTCGGTAGATGAGCTACACGAGAGGCTGGAGCAGGCGGCCAGCGCGCGCGATAAAGAGGCCGCGGCGCAGGTAGGCATCGAGCCGGTCAAAGCCGAGCGCCCCGTCGTCCTGTGTTTCGGCGGGCAGGTGTCTTTGTTTGTAGGACTCGATCGGAAGCTGTTCGACAGCGCGGCCGTGTTGCGCCGGCACTTGGATGAGTGCGACGCGGCCGTGATCTCGCTCGGCCTGGAGAGTATTTACCCGGGTATATTTGCGCGGGAGCCGGTGCGGGACACGGTCCAACTGCAAACGATGCTGTTTGCCATGCAGTACGCGAGCGCCAGGAGCTGGATGGACTGCGGTCTCCAGGGCAAGGTGGCCGCTGTCGTGGGCCACAGCTTCGGCGAGATCACGGCGCTGTGCGTGGCCAGTGTTCTTAGCCTAACGGATACCGTCAAGCTCGTGGCGGCGCGGGCTAGACTGGTACGTGATGCCTGGGGCGCCGATCCGGGCGCCATGATGGCTGTCGAGGCAGATGAGATGCTGGTCCGCGACCTCTTGCAAGAAACGAATCGCGGCTCGGATGGGTCGGCTAGCATTGCTTGCTACAACGGCCCATGTAGTTTCACTATCGCCGGATCAACAAGCGCGGTGGATGCGGTGCAGGCAACCATTTCCTCTGACGCCCGGTTTAGCGCGATCAGGAGCAAACGGCTTAGCGTGACAAATGCGTTCCACTCCTCCCTGGTCGAGAAACTTGTTGATCCTCTGGGGCAGGTCGGAAAGGAGTTGACATTCCGCTCACCCATCATTCCTGTTGAGCGGGCAACGGAAGCCTCTGCCGGCACAGGCGAGATGGACTGGACATTCGTGCCCCGACACATGCGGGAACCGGTCTTCTTCAACCACGCCGTACAACGCTTGGCCAAGCAACACCCGCAAGCCATCTTCCTTGAGGCTGGTTCCAACTCAACCATCACTGTGATGGCAAACAGAGCGCTTGCTCAAAGCCAGACAGCTCCGTCAGACGCGCATCACTTCCAAGCCGTCTCCATCACCACCGAGACGGGCTTCGATGGGCTGACAGACGCCACGGTGGCTCTGTGGAAGCAGGGCCTGCGCGTTTCCTTCTGGGCTCACCACGCCCTGCAGACGCTGGAGTACGCGCAGCTGCTCCTGCCGCCGTACCAGTTCGACACGTCCTCGCGGCACTGGCTGGAGATGAAGTCACCCCAGGGGGTGATCGACAAAGCCGCGAAGGCGATGATGGCAGGGACCCTCCAGCAACCGCAACAAAACCAACTAGTCGACCCCAAGACTCTCCCCATCTGGTCTTTCGCCGGTTACCAAGACGAGCACAACAAAACAGCGCGCTTCCGCATCAACACCGAGTCCGACAAGTACAACAACCTCCTCCAAGGCCACATCATCGCCCAAACCGCACCCATCTGCCCCGGCACCTTGGAGTGCGACATAATGATCGAGGCACTTTTCAGCCTGCACCCAACCGCCCGCGACGCCGGCGCGCAGCCCGAGATCCGCGACCTGGTCAACCACGCGCCCATCTGCGTCGACCCCTCCCGCACCATCTACCTCGAGCTCACGGCACTGGACAACAACAAGAAGAAACCAACCCAGTGGCGCGCCCACTTCCTCAGCGTCGCCGCCGGGGACGAAACCAGCCAGGCCGCACAAACGCACGCCGAGGCGCGCGTGCACCTGCGCGTTTCCGGCGACGCGTCCTACACGCGCGAGTTCGCGCAGCTCGAGCGGCTGGTCAGCCACGCGCGCTGCCGCGAGCTGCTGGGGCTGGGGCTCGACGCGGACGGCGTCGAGGTGCTGCAGGGCCGCGGCGTGTACCGGGCGTTTGCGCCCGTGGTCGACTACGGCGACATGTACCGCGGCGTCAAGTACCTGGTGGGCCGCGGGGAGGAGTGTGCCGGGCAGGTGCGGCTGGCCAAGTGTCATAGGAGGGGGGAGACGTGGTTGGATGTGACGCTCAGTGATGCGTTTAGCCAGGTGGCGGGGCTGTGGGTGAACTTGATGACGGATGTGCCGCCGGGGGAGATGTATATCGCCACGGGCTGCGAGGCGACGATGAGGTCGCCGCGGGCGCCGCCCAGGGGTGAGACCGAGGTGTGGCATGTGTATGGTCGCCATACGCGCAAGAGCGATAAGGAGTACGTGTCGGATCTGTTTGTGTTTGACGCCGCGACGGGAGTGCTCGTCGAAGTCATGCTGGGTCTGCAGTATGGGCGGGTGGCGAAGGCCTCGATGAGCAGGATGCTGGCACGCATGACAACGGACGAGACCGTGCTGCGGACCAAGGTGCCGCGGCCAAATCCGGCTGCTACTACCTCTTCGCCTTCGGTTGCGACTCCGGCTTCGGTTCCTGCTGTTGTCGAGGGAAATCGGGATTCCAAGAAACGGAGCAAGAAAATGGCCAACAAAAAGGAGAACAAGCCAAAGAAAGAAAATCCAGGCTCCGGCTGGAGGGATATCACCGATGAGGTGCGCAACCTCGTAGCTCACGTGTCTGGTATCGAAGCCGGCGAGATAGGGCTCGACTCGGAAATGGCCGACTTTGGGATTGATTCTCTCATGGGGATGGAACTGGGGCGGGAAGTGGAGTTAACCTTTAAGTGTAAGCTGGACCAGGCCGACCAGATGGAGGCCACGAGTCTACGCAAGTTCGTGGCATGTGTTGCCAAAGCGCTGTTTGGCTCCGACCAGGCCGCTTCGGTGGAGGAAGAAGACGCTAGCGAGCTCGGAGACGACGATGAGGATGATGCATCCTCCACTAGCGGAGGAGGAACGTGGTCGGAGCCAAGCCAAGCGAGCGGAAGCAAAGAGTCGTCGGGCTTGGAGACTCCCGACTCCGGAAGTTACACGCCTCCGCCCCAGAAGGCCCAAAAGGCCGAGCCCATCCCCAGCAACCTGAAGCCCCTGAATACGCCACTGGCACCGCCGGCCGTCAGCAACCTGGTCCTATCGCCAACCGACGTGCTCGCATCTTTCGGCGAGGTGAAGATGGCCACGGACAGCCTGATGCGAGAGTACCAAATCGACAAGACCGAAAGGGTCCTCCTCGCCGGCAGCAACCGTCTTTGCGCGGCACTCGCCGTGGAGGCCATGGAGGAGCTGGGTTGCCCCATCGGCACAGCGGCCGCGGGCCAGCCACTCGACCGTGTACCGTTCCTCCCGCAGCACGACCGCCTCATGCAGTGTGTGTACGAGTTCCTAGAGCGCGACGCTCGCCTCATCGACGTCGACGTCGCGAGCGGCCAGCTGACGCGCACCCACATCGCGGCCCCGCGCAAGACAAGCCATGCGATCTTCGAGGAATTGTTAACCAGCCAACCCGACTTTGCCGTGGCGAACCGCCTCGCCTACCACGCTGGTAAGCAGCTTGCGGGTGTCCTCAGTGGTAAGACAGACGGTATCCGCGTGCTCTTCGGCAGCCGCGAGGGTCGGGAGGTGACGGCGGCCATGTACTGCGAGCACCCGTTCAACCGCATGAACTACAGGCAGATGCGGGATGTAGTAGAGGGGTTGGCGGAGCGCATCCAGAGCCGCGGGGGCACGGGGGAGACGTTCAAGGTGCTCGAGATGGGAGCCGGGACCGGAGGCACCACGCTGGTGATGGCACCGCTGTTGGCATCGCTCGAGGCGCGGGGCATCATGCGAGTTGAGTACACCTTCACGGACCTGTCGCCGTCCTTGGTGGCCAACGCGCGCCGGCGGTTCGGGAAGATGTATCCTTTCATGCGATTTGCGGTGCATGACATCGAGAAGTCGCCAGCCGAAGAACTCAGGGGTCAACACTTGGTGCTCGCCAGCAATGCCATCCACGCCACGCATAACCTGGTTGTCTCGGCTTCGAACGTGCGCCAGGCCCTACGATCGGACGGCTTCGTCATGATCCTAGAGATGACCGAGGTGGTTCCTTTCATCGACCTAGTCTTTGGGCTGCTCGAAGGCTGGTGGCTGTTTGACGACGGACGGAAACACGCGGTTGTGCCGGCGGAGCACTGGGAGCGAGAGCTGCACACTGCAGGGTTCGGCCACGTCGACTGGTCCGATGGAAACTTGCCCGAGAACGCGGTCCAAAAGGTCATCTTCGCACTAGCTTCGGGGCCCCAAGGACCTCGCCTCCCAAAACCCGCTCCGGAGCGAGGCATCGAACTCGACCGAGGCGACGTGGCGGCTCGCACGGCCGTGGCGGAACGGCTTGTGGCAAAATACTCGGACGGCTGGGCCACACCGAGATTGCAGGCCCTTGTCGCCCGACGGGAGAGGGACCAAGGACGGGAGAAGCGCCACAAACTAGATCTCGGTGCCGTGGTCGTCGTGACGGGCGCGACAGGAAGTCTTGGTTCGCACGTGGTGCAGAAGCTGGCCGAGAACCCCGAGGTCGCGCAGGTGGTTTGCCTCAACCGTCGCAGCAACAGTGGCTTATCGGCCGACAAGAAACAGCAGGAGGCGTTCACTTCCAGAGGCATCACGCTGTCGCCCGGGGCACGTGCGAAGCTGCGCGTCCTAGACGCCGACACGTCCCAGCCGCAGCTGTGCCTACCGCCGCACGAGTACTCGTGGCTCTTGCAACACGGAACCCACATCGTGCACAACGCGTGGCCCATGAGTGGAACGCGACCTGTGAGCGCCTTCGAGCCCCAGCTGCAGGGCATGAGGAACCTCCTCGACCTCGCGCGGGACATGGCAACCCGCGAGGCGGTACACCCGTTCCGTGTCGGCTTTCAGTTCGTGTCGTCCATCGGGGTGGTCGGCTACGCCGGGGAGCCGCGCGTTCTCGAGGACCGCGTGCCGCTTTCCGCCGTGCTCCCCAGCGGCTACGGCGAGGGCAAGTGGGTGTGCGAGCGCATGTTGGACGAGACCTTGCATAAATACCCCAGCCTCTTCAGGCCCATGGTTGTGCGCCCCGGCCAGATCTCTGGCTCGTCCAGCAGCGGTTTCTGGAACCCCGTGGAGCACTTCGCGTTCCTGGTAAAGTCGGCCCACGCCCTACGCGCATGGCCTGACTTTGATGGCGTTCTACAATGGATCCCGGTGGACCACTGCGCGGCCGTCATGGCAGACCTTTTAAAAATGGGTGTTGTCGATGCACCTGATGCCTATCCCGTGTACCACATCGACAATCCTGTGGGCCAGCAATGGAAAGCTATGTCACCAGTGCTAGCCGCCGCGCTTGATATCCCCCCTCACGCCACTATCCCCTTCAAGAGCTGGATCAAGAGGGTCCGTCGGTCGCCGCTTCTTCCGGATGCAGAGAACCCAGCGGCGCGTCTCGTTGACTTCCTCGATGGCCATTTCGAGCGCATGTCGTGTGGTGGGCTGATACTAGATACAGCCAAGGCGAAAGAGCACTCCCAGACAATGGCGAAGGAGGGTCCCGTGGGCGCAGATCTCGCCCGCCTCTATGTAGCGGCTTGGAAGAAGATGGACTTTTTGAGGGCGTAAACGATAACAAGCGCTGGGCGCGTTATGGTGCGACGACGTGACGGACTCTCAGTCTCAAACTCGGAGGCTTCGCACTTTTTTTTTTTTCGTTTCTTTTTTCCCCTTTTCGTGCGTTAGAATATCCATATGAATACTATTCCGCGAGAAACTGTAGACATCATGCATCATTAGGCCGACGCTATCTGCACTGCCTTTCGATAGATTCGATGACAGCCGTCGCTCTTTCTTGGTTTTGTGATGTTTTCGGGCCCATTCTTGGCGCCGTTGGCGGTGGGGTGCAAGAAATGCTGACCTCTTGCCTCTTTGACGTGCGCCGTTAGACCCTAACCCTATCTACTTCCAGCGCTCACCCCAGCCCTCCCCCTATCTATCCCTACCCCTATCCCTCTTCCCAACCGCAACCCAAAACCAAACCCTCGAGGCTATCGGTAATTAACTCCCGTCAGTACGTTGAACTGTATTTCCAATGGCTGCCGACAACTACCTTGGTACATACTTTACTGTATTTCGAGCTGCAGGAAATCGTGATGAAATCCTCGGGAGAATTGTACACGAGCTCGGGAGAACTCGACGCGAGCACCAGTTGATCAACCCATTCCTCCAATCAAAATATATTCGTTATGTTTTGCTCTAAACCAGATCCGTTCCTCGTGCAAACAATGACAGAATGAGCCTTGGCAATTACATGAAGACGAACAGGAATATGGAAGGTGGAAATCATTTTACAACCGGGAACGAAACAAATAACAGCGGGTGCGGAGACCGACCTTCCTTTGACCGAGGCTACGTGAATCTATCCGGGAAAACTGCCGTCCGTAAATTAGAAGCAATTAACCCAATGGTACATATTATAAGTTGAAAGCCGCCCTCTAAACTCCATCTCAATGGCGCAGTCCTCCGACCAGGCCAAAAGATCGACAACACGCAGCAGGCCATCATGAAGCTGCTTCCCCTCCCCCTTTTGTCCTTGTGGGCAGCTGTCGCGTCTGCTACCATCGCCGCCAGCGAATCCAACGCCGGAATTAATGTCAAAAATGACCGCTTAACCTTCTCCGTCAGTAAAAGCGCCGGCACAATCAACGGTCTCACGCTTGATGGCCAGGATCTTTTGGGTTCTGGCGGCCGACTCTACCTTGACTGTCACTGCGACAGTGGCTACTGGGATGGGGGCTCGTTCCAGCTCTACAAGGGCACTGACCAGTCGGGGACAGATTACGCGGGCGTGCGGATCTCGGCAAAGGTCGGTAGCGGCAGAACCTTCGAGTCGTACTACTTCTTGAGAGATGGCGAGACCGGGTTACACACCTTCGGTCGCGCTGCGTACCCGAACGGAGGTGCCCTCGGAGAGATGCGCTTCCTCTTCCGGCCCAACACGGCCATCTGGAATCACCTTTCATCGTCCGATGAGATGTGGTCAGTCTTGCCAACGGACGCTGGACGAACGACTGTCCAAGACACGACATACCGCATCTCTGGGGACGGCATCGACGCTCAGTACCGAACTCAGATGTCGGATTACTTCTCCAAGTACATGTTCTCCGAGTCCTGGGAATACCATACGCACCACGGTTTGTTTGCCGACGGCCAGGGCACTCGTGATGGGTCTAGTTACGGGGCTTGGCTTGTCATGAACACCAAGGATACATACTACAATGGCCCGAAGTGGTCTGATCTGACCGTCGACGGCATTGTGTACAACTACATTAGTAAGTCGCGGCCTTTGTTCTCACTTAGTTAAGCGCAATGTGCTTACTGGTCCCCCCCTCGTAGTCTCGAATCACCATGGGAATGGCAACCCCGACACGCAGAACTTCGATCGCACTTTTGGCCCGGTAAGGACACCTCTCACCCCGATTTACATTTTACTCATGCACTAACAATCTCAGCAATACTACTATTTTAACAAGGGCCCAAAGAATGCTTCCGTCAACGACCTGCGCAGCGACGCCGGTCACTTTGCCGATCCCAGCTGGAACGCTGATTTCTATGACTCCATCGCGGAGTACGTTCCTGGCTATCTTCCCACATCTGCTCGGGGTACTTGGGCTGGCCGCATTCAACTTCCAGAAGGAGTCACAGAACCCATTGCAGTTCTAGCAAGCAACGGACGGGACTTCCAGGACAATAACCTGGCCACCAAAGACCGGCAATACTGGGGCGAGGTCAGTTCCAACGGCGAGATCACCATCCCTCGCGTCGCCGCCGGCACATACCGATTAACGATCTACGGCACCGGCATCTTTGGTCAGTACATCCAGGACAACGTCGTCGTTAAGGCGGGGGACACAACCACAACAACGGCAACATGGGCCGCCGAGTCCGCCGGCAGTGAGCTGTGGCGCATCGGAACCCCGGATAGGAGCAGCGGCGACTTTCGTCACGGCAATGAGCGCGACGAAACGAGGACAAACAAGCCTAAGCAGTACCGCTTGTATTGGGCGGTCCACGATTTTCCCAAGGACTTTCCGGATGGTGTGAACTTCCACGTTGGGAAAAGCGACATCAAGCGGGATTTCAACTACATGCAGTGGAGCGTCTTTGGCGGCAAGGGGAACTCGATACGACCGGAACCGTACTACACCAACGTCAACGCTTGGAATGTGACGTTCAATGCTACTCCCGATCAGTTGGAAGGCAAGACGGAAGCTACCTTTACCGTTCAGCTTGCCGGCGTGAAGACTTCAGCCGGCAATACCGATGATACGGGGAAGCCGTTTGCCAATCTCGACTACACTGTTACCGTCAACGGCCGACCTCTTCCGGTTTGGACCATCCCGTAAGTGTACTCGAGAGAACTACGAAATATTCTCCTGCTAACAATGTCCTACCAGTGCCAACCACAGCAGTTCCTGTGGTGCGAGATCCGGTGCTAGCTGCTACAACACACGCAACCTGTGGACCTTTGATGCCAGCTATCTCAAGCAGGGTTTGAACACCTTCACGCTGGCTCTCCCCGCTAGGGCAACCGCACCAGAGAGTGCCGTGCTCCCGGAAAGTGTATATCTACAGTATGATGCGTTGAGATTGGAGGTTGCGTAATATAAGACCGCGAGATGAGGGTAAAGTGCATCATAGCAACCAATTCTCACCCCAACATGAACCACGTCAAGCCTCATGCTTCTACAACAATGACACCAGTCACCTCTCCTCCACTCCACCTTTCACAACCCAGCTACCCCAATCTGCCGGGTATCTACCTATCTTCACTTCTTTCAAGCTGCGGTGTCCCGCGGCGTGCATTGTGTAACAAAGGCGCACGAATTAGAGCCTTGGATCGTTGTATTCACCAGCCTCTGGCCATTCCGCAGCTTTCCATGCAGCAGCTCTTCCTCCAATGGCCGTAATCCTTACGAGCCATAGGCTCAGGCTCGTTCAGTGGAGTTGCACTTTGCTTCGTTCGAGCGTGAGTCATCTCGCTCCATGATACCTCCCGCGACGTGGGCGGGGGTAATGTCAAGCAGGCAGAGCGACCTGGAAAGTCCCCTCAGTCAAGCACCCTTACCACGCGAAAGCCTTCAACTCTGAGATCGATATCCCTACACAAAATACAGAAAAGCTTCTTTGCGTCCCGCGCACTGTCAACAGCTCGATTCATCATCGATGACGACCACCAAAACTCCTATTGGGGGTATCCAGAAGGACTACCACAAGGTGTACATCGACTTGGGACTAGCACAAGCCCGAAAGGAGATACGGATCCTCACCATCACCCCTGGTGACTATGATGATGACAATATCGACACCGGGATGTCTGTTGCATCTCTGGAACACGGCCATGTGGACTTCAACGCTCTGTCATACGCCTGGGAACCTCCCAACTCCCCTATCCCCCAAAGAACGATTCAAATCAACCGTCATCCCTTCAAAGTCTCGGCGACAGTTTTCATGGGACTGCAAAAGGTCCGTTGGTATTTCAAGAGAAACAACAGCCCGGGGCCTATCAACCTTTGGGTCGACAGCATCTGCATCAACCAAGAGTCAAACGCCGAGAAGAATCACCAAGTTCCTTTGATGTCGGATATATACAGCAGCGCATCGCTGGTCATCGTATGGCTTGGGGACTGTGACTCAGCGGCTGCCTCGATAATGAGTTCTATGCAGGATTTCAATGCCTCGCTCAAAGCAGCCAACACCGACGGACAGAGAGAGCATCATGGCGACCACAGTCATTCAGCACCTTCTGAGGCAGCCAGCAATGATGAAGAACAATCGGTATCCGACGTTTCTGACAAAAAGGATGCTAGCGGTAAGCTCTCGGCGTCCTTTGAAAAGCCCGATGGTCAAGATGAAGCGGCGACTACCGAAATGGACCTCGACGAATGTGCTGACGAGGCCATCGTCGACCATTACGAAAACGAAGGCGACGTCCACATGATTGAGGAGGATGGCGACGGCAATGAGACCGACGAAGACAACCACCATGAGGCTGACACCGGTCATGACGACGGGACGGATGATGAGTCGGACGACGGAACGGATGATGAGTCGGACGACGATGACGACGAAGCCTCCATCAATCTCTACGAGGCACGAAGCTTCCTGTCCGACACGCGACAGTTGTTTCAACGCTGTTTGCAAATCTACAACCGAGCGTGGTTTGGCCGGACATGGATTCTGCAGGAGGTGGCCCTTGCTGAAAAGCCGCCCATTGTGCTTTGCGGTAATATCGACACTGATTTCCACAGTTTGGTCAACGCAGGCAAACATATATGCGGTCATCCTATCATGGAAAAACTCCGCTGGGCTCAAGGGGTCGCCGGCAGCGCCGATTTGGAGCCACTATACTATGAGCTTCACGAGATGGTCCACGGGCCTATCTTGTGGATTAAGCGGCTTCGGTCGAGTTTCCAGGCAGCCAAGAGTGTCGAAGGCGGCCTACCACTTGGAGACCTACTAGCCCGTTCACGCTTGGCCCTTGCCACAAATCCTCGGGACAAGGTCTACGGCATTTTGAGTCTTGCCGGCGAAAGTGTTCAAAAGTCTATCACAGTGGACTACGACAAGACCGTCACGGAAGTATACGAGGATGCTACATCCTCTCTCATCAAGGCCGGGGACTCGTTCCATGTTCTCTCCATGATCAGTCAATTCCAACGACCTCAGCAGGAACCCCACTGGCCGACGTGGATACCTTATTTTGGTGACTACGTTCGCAATTCCGGAAATACTTTGGTCTTTGTCGCCTATCCCCGCGCCTGCTCAGGCTATAAAGCATCGGGGCATCTGCCCGCCATCCACAGCATCATGCCAAAACACACACTGGTTCTGTGGGGGCTCCAGGTCGATCGGGTCCATGATACGAACGATTATTGGCCTTCGGTGCCCGAGACGTGGGCACCGGGAGAGGAAGTCTTCGCCCCCAGACTCGAAGGCATAGTCGAGTTATTCTACGGTCACGGTAGAGATGGAAATAGCACATCCTCAGACGACAACATACCATGCCCCGAAGCAACCTACGCACCGCGATTACGACACCACGGGCCAATTCATGGCTCTATCGACCAAGAAATAATCGTCCAGTCTGCGGTGAAACCGCTCTATGAAGCGATTTGGCGTTGCCTGATCGGTAACGCTGCGGGCCTAGATAATAGAGGCAGACCTGTCGAGCCCAAGCATGTCCCTGCCTCCGAGTTTCATCGGCAAGCGCTGTGCGAGTGGATTCGACGAGTGCTCCCCACCCGGCACGAGAAGTTCTGGCTCCCACATAGTGAGGGCGATCCCCCCCGGCTTGGCGCTGGTTCTCCGCGCATCGGAAACGTCCCGCGAATATCAGATCCCCTAGGCTTTGAGGAGGAGGATAGAGGTTATCAAGGTAGTTGGGGGTCCCGGCTACCGGCGGCAGCTCCTGGTACGGCTGGCTGATATATGGGATGATCGCAAGGCGTTCATCACCCGTGGCGGCTGGATCGGGTTTGGACCTCGATCTATGGAACCGGGCGATGCCATTGCCGTCATCGTCGGTAGCGGCGTTCCCTTCGTACTGCGGTCAAATCCCAAACGCCCAGGGGCATTTCTAATGGTCGGGGAGTGTTATGTTGAGGGCTTGATGCTTGGCGAGCTTTTTGGTCAATGTGAGGACTGTGGGGAGCCGCTGCACCATGATAACCTTGTTCGAGAGGAACGACGTGTGAAATGCGACGGGTTTCAGGGGACTTTGGACGTGATAGAGATTGACTGATCTGGACTGACTTTTCCTTGGAATATCACTCTCATATCTCGTCGCTTCGTTTTGCTCTTTGGTCTACTAATTACAGGTGACAAATAATTAAATTCGTACGCCCTGACCTCTTAATATTAACCCTATTCCATCAAATCTCCCGTTAGTCCTCAAACCCTGCGAGATCAACCAAGCATTCAAGTACACTTCCCCCATGCGTGTTCCACAATGGATGCAAACACGGAGCATGAGTAAGTGAATAGGAGGCTTTTCCCTGTGATTCACGGCAAAAGATGAAAGGAAAATGCACACCTAAGGATTGAGTTTGTCACTTAGACGATGTGTCCGTGTGTACGCGGTGGCGGAATCAAGTACCAGGCAAGATTCTAGACCTGAGAAGACAGAGCAACGGGCGATGACGGGCAGAAAAAACAAAGGTTCCATGGGGTAAGTAAAAGAAAAGGGGATTACCCATCCGTATATCATCAGCGTTATAAAGAAAAGTCACCACAAACCTCAAACGCCTACCAAAATTCAAGTCTTAAACTCAGTACACACCCTCGAACCATCCCACCCCTAAACCCCCCTCTCCACCTCAAACATCCCCCTTATACTCCTCCTCCCCCGCCGGCGCCTTGTACCGCACCAAGAACGGCACGGCGAGCGCGAACAGCGCCTGGAACCCAAACGTGAGCCACTGCAGCACCTGCAGGGTGGTACCACTCTTAATCAGCACGGACGCGTGGCTCATGGCCTCGGAGGCGAGCTCGAGCCCGTCGCCCACCTGGCTGGTGGCGAGGGCGGAGGCGAAGACGAGGCCCGTGGAGCCGAGCAGCATGCCGTAGGTGGCGCGCCGGATGATGGTGCTGCGCCGCGGGTGCTCCCAGCTCGACGGGCTGCTCACGTCCCGCTTGAGCAGCACGAGCGCGACCACGCCGAGCACGAAGTGCACCGCCGCTGCGGCGAGGACCGACATGAGGGTGGTGGACTGCAGGTCGAGCGCCGTGGAGATCATGTCGGTGATCTCGGACCGGCTGCTGCTGCTGTTGTTGGAGGTCGTGTTGCCCCCCTGGAGCTCGGGGAAGAGGTTGGTGGCGAGGGTCTCGACGGAACGGCCGCTGGCGGACTGGCAGCGGGTGCCATCTTCGTCGATGCCGCAGATGCCGAAGTAACCGATGCGGACTTTCAGGAAGTCGTCGGTTGCGTTGGTGTTGGCGTGCAGGTCGACAATGTAAATATTGGGGATCGCGGGGGAGGTCGACACGCATCCCGACAGGGATAGAGCTGGCAAGGGTGTTAGCCAAGACGTTGTAGGTAGGAGGAGTTGGGTGCGCGAGAGGCTAGGAACATACCGTGAAAGACAACGATCGGGAGGATCAAAAGGTAGGGTGCGAAACGCAACAAGCCGGAAGCTGCCCAACTGTTAGTTTTGTAGCTCAACAGGATTTGTTTGACATGAAAATCTGACTCTTGCTGGCCCCAGAGGCCGAGGGGGCCGACTTACGCTTGAAGTACATCTTTGCCAAGTCGATGAGAAACATCTTGTCGAAATAATTTTGCTGGACTAAACGGGGGAATGTGTTTGAGTTGTGAATGAAAGACTGTTTTTAAGTTGTTGACCAGCAACAAAGAAACAATAGACACAAACGAGCCGTATTAACGCCGTAGATGAAACGGAGGGAATGAAAGGAATAAAAAATGGAGACACAAAAGAAACAATGCAACCCCGGGTTGGCAACAATAGACAATGCGATGATGAGAAAATAATAGCACTTGCTTCCTGGGAGCCAGCAATCCCTAAATACCTACCTTGGGTAGGTAGACCATTGTCACCGCTCGTAGGGATTGCGCAAGTGTTTCAACTCGAAACTTTCAAGTTAGATCATGTCCGCCTATGTCCGCCCATGTTTGCAACTCCATCTCCAGTTTGGCGCATCGCGGTTGCGTTTCCACCCTGGTTCACTTGAATCGATTCGTTGAAAGTCACGCAGATGGCGCTGCACTGTGGTCTGCCGTTTGACGAACCGCCGGCCGTAGGCCAGTCATCCCTTCTTCGCGCTGTCGCCAGTGTGGTCCAAGTGTGATTCGTGCGACAAGCGACGGTTGAGGAAGCGCGGTCCACCTCGCGGCGCTTAGCAACAATGATCGAGACGACGCTGTGGGGCCACTTGAACGCGCGTTGCAGAGATCTCGCCAAGATCTTATTTTGGGCGCACTGTGGATCGGCCTTGGCGCTCGCTTTGTTCCAATTGCCCGATGAGGAATGACGAACCAATCATCGCGTTGGACGCGGAATCGCCAGGAACCGTGCTGTTTTGACATCCAATGCCAAGCCGATTTGAGGACGGGGAATTCCTTGGTGCAATAGGTTGGCGGGTTTGCTGGTGTGCTGGCGAGTGCTTGGCACGATTGCCCGGTGGGTGGCCTCCAAACCTTCGAAACACAACACAGTCAACTGCTTACGAAGAAGACCTGTTACCGAGGTTGATAACTTGAAAAAAAAAAAACTGTTGAACCAATCGAGTCAATTGTTGGGCTTCGACGCCCTCACGGCCGGCCTTCCTTTTTGAGCGGGCATTGCGATGGCTTCCATGTTGTCCTCCGAAGCACAGCATGATCGCGTACAAATTTCGAACGAAGGGCGTGAACCCAAGCAGCCAAGCCAGCTGAAGAGAAGCCGGCAACTTCGGGACCTGGCCTTGGCTTTTCCCGGGAAATGCACCCGAGACCGATGAGGGCACCCAAAAAATGCACTTGCATCCATTTCCATCCATTTTAGGCCAACATCACCGAGCCCGTCTGACCTCGTGAGTCCTCCTTGCATAGCACCGAGACATTACCTGCAGCTAGGATGGTTCGCAGAATGGTCCGCGCCCGACGTGCGAACCATCATGCAAGGTACAGGAGAAGCCAAGTTTGGATTTGTCAAAATGAGTGGTCGCCTTTACTTGGTAGGCCTCACCAGCAAGCCACATCAAATGCCTAAAGGGGAGAGGGTGTGACGGTCGATGCCCAAGGTGAGCCCAACCCTGACCTACGCGGGATCTGCCTGTCATGTGGTGGGTGGAGCGGGCGAAACCGGGCGGGAGAAGAGGAGGAGGAGAGAAAAAAGGGGTAGGCATGATTAGCAACGAGAAACCGGGCGGGGAAGTTGGGCGGGCGAGAGGGAAAAAGGGGAAACACGCGAGAGGTGCAAAATATTGAAGAGGCGATATTTTCATGTTGTTGTGGAGTGCACAAGTGTAGATACCAGAGGTTGAGTGTGCTTCATGAGTTCATACGAGGAATTATAGTATCCAGACATTATAGCAGCGAATAGAAAATGCTAACCAAAGAAAACCGGGTATCCTGAAGCCTGAAAGCGCACTTGCGCCCTCGCATCATCGTCATCACATCCGAGGCCGTATCATCATTATTTTCGTCCGCAACCCCATTTCTGAACACTCCTCCCAATGGAAGAAACAGGCCAAATTCATGAACACGTAGCCACACCCGACACCCCCATCTCCCGAGCCAGCCCGGGAACAAACTCATTTCCACCATCCCATCGCTGCCCAACCCCAACCCCCTTAAGGGTTCAAACCCGCCGCCCATCACCACCCGCATCACCACCCGCACCCGCACCCGCAGCAGGAGCAGCAGCAGCCCCCCTCCTCCCCCTCCCTCCTCTTTTCCTCCTCCCAGCACCACCGGCCCTCCCGCCACCACCAGCACCACCACCAGGTCCACCGGCGGCACCACCCCCCCTGCTCTGCGCCCCCTCCCCATTCCCTGGTTGACCACCCAACAACCCATGCACATCCTTGACGTGCTCGCGCAGGTTATCCGCCCGGTTGAAGTGGGCCGGGCACTGCGCACAGTAGTGCCGCTCGGCCAGCCCCTGGCCCGTGTTGAGCCGGTGCTTGTCGGTTTGCTGGTGTTTTTTGAGCTTGTGCCGCTGGCCCGGGGCTTGGGGGTAGAAGGAGCAGCGGGTGCAGCAGAGTTGGGGGTTGCGGCGGTCTTGTTGGTGGTGTTGGGGTTGGTTTTGAGGGTGTTGGGGTTGGTGTTGGGGTTGGTGTTGGGGTTGGTGTTGGTTGCGCCGGGCGGCGGCGCCGCCGCGGGGGCGTTTGGGGCCGGCTGGGGCTCTTTGTGCTCCCTGCGGGGCGGTGGGTGGGTGGGTTGGTTGGTGCGGAGCGGGCTGGTACGGGGTGTGTTCGAAGCTGGGGTGTGTTGGGTAGGGGTTGAAGTGCTCTGGTGCTGCTTGGGTGTAGCCATCACCCGTGGGGAAGCCGTTGGTGCTCGCGGTGGTGGAGTTGGACGAGTTCTGTCGGCTCTGATACATGGACGGTTGAGGGCCCGGCCGGGAGGCGGGAGCTTGCGGGTGATAGAAGCGGTCGTATGATGGGCTTGAAACTGCGTTCGGGTGGTTTTGCATAGCCATCGGTTGTGACGGTCTCCAGACGTTCATGGCCGGTTCTATGCTGGCATTCGAGGGCAGCTCGAGTGGTTGCATGGGCTGTGGAGGCGGGATGAATGGCATGGCGCCGTCCATTTGTTGCTGCCGCACCCACGCTGCCGTCCCTAGCCCCAAGGAGGAGGGGTATGCAGGAAGCTCCTCTCTGTCGGTAGTTGAGTGGTGTGATGGGGGCTGGTGCCCGCTCCAGGGCAAATCGTTTTGGCTGTACTCCATGGGAGAAGATGTGGTGTTCTTTGTGAATAGAGGCGCTCCAGTGCCATCAGAAGTCGTTACGTCTGGGGGCAGCGAAGACAAAGCAGTCGACGTGGAGGATGGAAGCGAGAAGAAGGAGCGGCTGCCCTGCTGCGACACCGCAGATGTGGTCACGGTTGACATGTCTCTGGGGGTTGTCGCATGATTCGGATATCCCGCCATGCTGTAAGCGTTTGGTGCGGTGACCGGAGCAGGAAGCTCATGGGGGCTGGAAGGTTGGGTTTGATCCTGACCGAGTGCCATGTACGGCCGGCGTGCGGTGTTAGCTTCGAGCTCGTGGCCCGCGTGGGCATATCCCAGCCCTTGGGGATTGAAAAAGGAGTGGGATTGAACGCCGGGCTGTGCTCCTTGGTCGAGTACCCCGTCGAAGCCACTGGCAGACGATGGCGAGCCGTTCAGCTCGGGAATGGGGTCAGAATTCACGTTGAGTTCAGTCGGCCCGGTGCTGAGTGTCGGATATGCCGCGCGCCAAGCGGCGTGGCTCTTGTGAAGCCATTCGTGAACTGCTTCTTGCTCTGACCAGGATGGCCTTGGAGACTTGGTTCGCGGCTTGAAGGATGCCGCTCGTTTCTTGAGACTGCCAAAGAACGACTTGGTCAGCCTTCTCCAGGTGCTCTGTCCACATCGGCATCGGGACCGCTCTAGGTCGGCCACCAAAGCCTGGAGGTGGGCATAGCGATGATCGCACAAACGCCTGACGTGGACACACTCTTCGAGATCATGAGGCCTAACGTCCTCTTAGATCGAAGCGTGCCTGGGGAGCATCGAGGAGACTTACTGAGGGTCGTAGCTCTGGCATGCGGGTGTGAGCGGCGAGTTGAGAGGGCCGTAGGCTGCTGGCGGAATAGGAGGTGCCTCTCCGTAGCCGTTCCGCGTCGGGTAGTCATTGCAATCATATGGGGAGGCAGAAGCAGGAGAACGATATAAGGGGGTCATTTCGACGGTGATTGTTGTTGGTTATGACGACAGTGTCCCTCGGATACTCGGTATCGTTTGATGTTTTCTGAAGTCAACGGAGGAGTGGCGGAGCAATGTACGGCGGCATAGTACCCAGGAGGGCTTTTATACCCGAGTCGGCGATGAGCGTGTGTCGCAGCGATCGGATATCAAGACAATATCCCCTCCAGGACAAACGACTGCTAGGTCGACGACATGACCTTGCCGGGAGACACAGACCCGCTCGCCCCGCTGGAAAGTCCATTTCCCAGAACTGGATATAGGTAACTGAACACAAGTTCGAAAATAAATGGATATCATGCGGGACTGTGATTGATCAGAACCGTGGCCGGGGGAAGCAGCGTGCTGGTCCCGTTATGATCCGAAGGGAAGAGGAACATTGATCACCGTCGTGCATGGACCAAAGGCCGGTGAGGCGCCAATCACAGACGGGGATTGGGAACGGGATTATTAACCCCCTGTTCCCAAGGTCTAACGATGCGCACTCCTTCGGATGGGATGGCAACTAGGTGGATGTCGTGTGGGTTGTTGACCGAGGACTCTGTTGGCCACGGTTGGTTTGAGGACATTTTATCGGTTTGGGCACCGCAAGGTGTCGACGAGGGGTAGTGCTGACCAGCTGGTAGGTCCTCCATACTGTGTGATGCCGCCGGGGGATGCAGGCAACGCGGACAATAACGCGAGGCAGCCAAATGCCATGGCGAACTCTCTGGGACAGGTCGGAACCGTGGACGCGTCAGTGGACTGTGGGCCGCGGCCGATATGGTACGTGCCCGGTATGTGATATGAAGGGAGCAGGAACACACATTGAGAAAGATTAAGAGAATCCAGCGACCTTGCCGGCGGTGGAGTTGATGCAGAAACAACCTAGCCTGCGGGTTGGTTGCTGAAAACAGAAACGCGGCCATTGCCCGGTGCTGGCGGCATTCTGATCTCGTAATCCGATTGTTGATATGGCAGTCAGGGGTTGCGGACGGGAGGGGGAGTTTGTGCGGCCAGTGGCGAGAATAACGTTCGGGACTGGAAGCTCAGGGGTCGAAAAGCTCGCAAAACAACGCCAGAATCTCGAAAACTCAAGCGTGGAAGACGGGTCATATTACTTATACACTACATACATTTGCACTGCCCTGCTCTGTTTAGTTTCAGCTTTCTTCAGCTCCAGAGCCTCATCTCTGTGCTATCACATAACGGGTTATTAAATGCGGCCATCCCTGGGGCAGTGTCTCCAGTTCACCGGAGAATCGAGTAGTTTTGGGCGAACAGCCGGGCAATTATTGAAGCAGAGGTTCAGCTTGGGGAGAATGATCCAATCAGGCCACGGAGCGTCGAGCCTTGCTGGGGTGGGCCAGCATTGTGACCCCGAGTTTGGAAGGCCGGCGGTTGAGATAGCGGCAAGGCTTGGGAACCCCTGGGAAGAAGCTGAGTTGGGGGGTCTTTGCGTTTTTGTGTTGAATGGGTGGCAGGCTCCCAGGCTGTTTGACAAGAAGGACTTGAACTGTTGCAATTATGACAAAGGGAAATTGTTCGGCGAGTTGGACAATCAGGACTCCAATACGGAGTATCAATCGCTCAATCCCGCCAGTTTGCATTCCCTTTCCTGCTGGGATTTCTCAAGGTCGAAAAGGAGGGACGGACTGAGGGAGGGACTTCGACCGGCAAGGGACAGGAGCTGCCACCCAAGTTGCTTTTGCGGTGGTGTCAGGGCCTGCGATTGGGTGCGAGCAGAACTCACTTATGTAGGTTAAGCGCCCGCGTTTGCCTTCGGTTCTGAGAAGGGAAAATCGGCCAGCTTAGCGTCTGCGCCCGGTTAATGTAGGCAACGGGGCGGTCATGTTGCCGCGGACCAGTTGACGGAGAATCGACCAGGAAGTCACGGCGGCACCCCGATTCCTCGTCGTCTCGCAAGTTCCCGATCAGGAACCCTTTGGTTTACTATGGCTGGAGTGTGCAATGAGACAAATATCATATAAACATTATATAGGGAGAAGGCCGAGATCCCGCGGCTGAGAGTCCATCGCTGACAGGTCGCCACGAAGCGAATGTTGCTGTTGGAAAAACGGTATCGCGCAGCGCAAGAGATGGGCGTGAACTGAATGGGAACGTCCTGTCTCCTGAAAGAACAGGCGCGAAGGCGATCTCTTGAGTTTGGCTGAGCAACGTGTTACCTGCATGCGAGATGTCCACCCCTATGACGGTTCCAACAGTTGAAGTATCAGTGATACAGGGACCTGGTCTTGAAAGGGCAAGTCTGAGCTACAAACGGGCGGCCCCCGAGCGAAAGGACATTCGCTGCACTCCGCCAAGCGCTATCGCGTTGAGAAGACCATCAAGCGTCAGCACTAGCCCGGCAACAAAGGAAGTTTCCGGCCATCCCCTTGCTTCAGCCAAAACAAAGGATTACGCGTTCACCGAAAGATAACCGTCTAACAATTAGCTTGGCTGTTTGGACAACAGGCGGGGCCGTTGCCATGTTCCTGTCGGCGGAAGATGTCGGATGAAGGGGCCAAGGAGGACCGAAAGCGGCACGGGACGCCGCCTTTTCCGGTCCTCCCGTCCTCGGGGAACCGTTGAGCCCGGAGGCCTCGGCCGATGCTGACCCGGACTGTGGCCGGCGCAGCACCGCCTCACTGAGCTGCGCCGCATGTCCCACGGGGAAACATGCCACTAAACCCTTCCCGGCTAGGGAACCAGGCAGAGGGAGCGAGCCAACCTGCGCGGCGCAAAGAATGCGCAGCGTCATGGTTGCACGCTGCGGACTGCACCCCATCTCCGTCGGCCGCTGCCGCTGCAGGAGCAAGCCTGAGCGTGCGGTCGAGGCCTCGCATTCAGGGCTGTCGCTCCAATGGGAGACAGTCTTGCTCGTCCTCCTGCGGGTCATCCTCCCAATCAACACGGTTGCGCACTCATTGCCCAGGCAGCAAACCTGACCTCGAGCTGCCTTGCAGGTCGGCAGACAGTTCACCCGCTTTCCCGGGGCTGTTTCTGGCCAACGAGATGGTGTCCCTCTGATGCATGTCACCCTTCATGCTCCGAAATGCAACCATTTCCAGCCTTGTGGACCCCGAGGGGGCGCCCTGGCCTGTCCTGCTCTGCCTGTGCCCCTCCCCGTGTCCCAATGCCTCCGACCCCCTCCGCATCCCACGTACGAGTTAAAACGGCACCAACACACCCCCTCCTTATCCGTCATCCCATTTGCCTTCTCCCAGAACTGACAATCGTAACTGCTCTTCGCCCAATGCCCTTGGCCTCTCGCCATTGAACCTGCCTCCATCATGATCCCGACGGATAGGGGAAGACGACCCCTGCGGGGTAACGATGATATGGATGACGACGACGGAACCTATTACAGTGACGGAGGGAGCAGTTGCAGCTACTCTATCTTTTCGTACGACGACTTCTCATCGCGAGACAGACAGGACCGGGGCCCCGTATTGTGAGTGTTCCCTCGACCCCATCGATTGCTGGCATCGGCGTGCTAACGCGTGGCTCGCCAGTCGTCTCAAAAGCGGAGAGCAGGACAAGGCCGTCTACGAAGCATGGAACGTTTATTACTATCCCGGCAAGCGGGAGGCACTCGACGGCCGGAAAGTGCTCGGAATTACCTCTCAGAACTTCGAGGAGATACCTAGCCGCACCGAGTTGAGGCGCCAGCCGTCTGCGCAGTCAGAACTAGCAGACATGCATCTGCGCGCCATTGAGGATTTCAAGACGCAACACAAGCGGTGCTGGGCCACGCGAGCTCTCCGTGGAAGGGGCAAGACTTACGAGCAGGATCTCGACGAGAGGTGTCGCGGCGTCCCCGCCGACGTCAGAAAGACCGTGACGGACCTCCTTTTCGACAAGGGTAGGGCAACGTCAACACGTTACCGGACGCGAGCCTGGACGGTCGTCGCGATGCGGGAGCAGCTGCAGGATCGCTTCGCTAGCACCGACTTCGCGGACGTGAAGCGGCACAAGGTCCGCTTTTGGAAGAACCCCAAACCCCAGGAACACTTGCTGTATACTGTGGTCATCCGAGGAGCCGAGACCAAGGTTGTCCCGGCCGGTGAGGACGGCCTTGCCACCTTCTCTCCAATCTCCAACCCCTGGATGCACTGCGACGATGACGAAAGACGCCGCAGAGCACGCGAGGAACGCGAGCGACGTGACGCCGCTCGCCAGAAGAGGCGCACGTTGTCGCCGTCCTTCAGAGCTCCCTCCCCGTCATATCGGGCCCGGTCCCCATCGTACCGCGCCCGTTCCCCGTCATGCGGAACCCGGACGCGCTCCGTCTCGCCACCCTCGTACCGCAGCTGGCGGGGCCGCTACGACTCGCCGCCGCCGTCAGCCCGATACTCGCGCAGCGACACGCCTCCCCCGTACCGGTCCTCCAGCCCGCGCGCGTCCCCACTCCCCAGTCGCTCCCCTAGCGTCCGCATCCGCGTCGTCCCGCGCTACACCCCGACCAACTTCGACGACACCCCCTTCCCCCCAACCCCGCCTGAATCATACACCCCGCCCCCGGGCGTATCGGCGTACAACCGCCCCTGCACGTTCGCGCCGCCGCCGGCCTTCCCCTCACCCTACACGGCCCCGACGATCAGCCCCTTCCAGCCGCGGCTGCCCTACCCGGCGCCGCAGATGCCGGTGCACCACCCAATGGCCAACAACCCCCTGCCGACAACCGACACCAACCCGCCCACCCCGGCAACCTGCCTCGGCTGCCGCACCACGCGTGCGCCGCCGTGCGTCCACCACCCACGAAGCATGCTCTGCCGCAAGCCCATTCTCTTCCACGCCGGCCTCCCCTACCACCCGCCGTGCATCCCCTGCGGGACGTCACCGCCCACCGGCCCAACCTACCCCCACACGATCATCAGCACGGGCATGGGACGATACCCCCGACCCGTCAACTCGCACCCCAACCTCAACAACAACCACCTCACCACCACCAACTTCACCACCACCCGCCTCCCGGCCTACGACATCCCCCTCTCCCGCTACATCCCCCCGCACCGCATCCCCCACCAGCCACAACCCCCCCTACCCGCCTCGCACCCCACAAACAGCAGCAGCATCAACAACTGGTTCCCCGACTCTCCCGGGCCCATGCCGCCGGCGCCGAACCCCTTCTCGCCGCTGTCGACGCCGCTGCTGACCAGCGTGGGCAGTGGGTCAAGTGCGGGTGGGTCGAGCCCCGCGCTGTCACACGCTTCGTCGTCGTCGCCGTCGTCGTCGTCGTCGTTGTCGGGTGCGCGGACGCCGGTGCAGGAGATCGAGGCGGGGGTGGAGGTTGTGAGGGTTGATGGGGATGGGGAGGGGGAGGGGGTTGGTGAGGTGGGTGGGTTGGAGTAATCTGTAGGGTGGTCTCTCCTTTTCTTCTTCTTTGGGTCGTTTGGTATGTTTGGATGGATGGATGGGGGTTGGTGGGTGTTTTTCGGTTGTGGCAATCGCGTTTTCAAGGAGGGTTTTGGTGTGATGATGTGACACGATTATTATGATGTTTTGTTTTGTTCTTCATGGTATACTTTCGGGGTGTATTTCGGTTAGTTGGCCGTTTTATCAACATGAGTTTTGCTTCGCAAATAATCGTTTCGAAGATGTGATATGTGAGAGAGGTGCGGTGCTTAAAATGTGGGTGCACGCGACCCGAAAAATAGACCCACTCTTTCATGAAGGAGGCCCCACTCTGCCGTCCAATGTGGAGAACCTGGCCCCTTCAATTCTCAATTGGCAGAAAAATTTCCAGACTTCGATTCAACCACCCACTCACCACAACAACACCATCCCGTCGACGAGCACCTCCTCCAACCGCAACCATGCATCTGATGTACCTCCCCGAGAGCAACGGCTCCGTCCGCCGCTACACCCTGAAGAAGGTCATGGATGGGCAGGTGACCAAGTCGGCGCACCCGGCACGTTTCTCCCCCGACGACAAGTGGTCGCGGCACCGCATCGCCGTGCGCAAGAGGTTCGCTGTCCTCCTGGCGCAGCAGAGTGAGTTTACACCATCCCTTGCGCTTTTATGCTGCTTGGCTGAGGCTAATACTGTGGACAGAATAAATGCGTGGTGATTGATACCTGTTGGGGTTGGACAACGAGCTAGGAGCGCAACTTCCAAACCGACCACGGCGACAATGCGGCCAATCCGTTTGGATCATGAGTCGAAGCCCGGCCGAAGATCCAAAGCGGTGAACTCCGAAAAAGGCCTCGGCTGCTTTGCCCCGGATTTGCGCCCTTGGGCACAGCGAACGATTGAAATCGCTGGCCAGTGAAAACTCTGGTGGAACCGATGGCGGGTGATGTGAGGAGGCTGTACGCACGCGCCTTGGACTCGGGCGCGGATACAAAAATAGGGTGGCGTTGTTTGGGTCGGGGATTTATATTCATGGCGTTATTCGGTCTTTACATGCTTGCTTCGTCAAGCAAGAATACAATAATTGCATTGACACACGACGGTGCGCCGATTCTGAATATTCTTGTGGTATCTTTGGCCTCTACTCTACCATCATTTCCTTTTCTTGGCGTTGACATTGCGCCCTGCGCCAACCTTGATCCTCCCGCCTCCCGAGTTTCTGGTACCACCGAGGATGCTAGGTAGATAGTCCTGGTCCATGAAGTCGCGGGTCTTCATCCGACGCTCCTCGTCCAACCGTTTGGTGTACTCCTTCTGGTCTTCGGCCAGGATCAACTCCTTACCCCATCCGTTCTTACCGCCTCCTTTGGCATTGCTCTTTCCGCTCGCTGACCCATGGGTCGGCTTGGGAATACTGAATACGTTGCCCCGGTTGTTGTACTGGAAGTTCTTCTTGAGGTGGAGCGTGAAATTGCCGCCGGAATCGGTGCTACACGAAACCCGCGTCAAAGTGGGCTGTCCGCATGACGGACAAAACTGCTTGGACATGTCCCTGCATATTTTGAAGCACCCGTGGCATCGCAAGACCCAGGTTTTGAGGTATGTTATGCGGGACAGGCCCGGATCCAACAGGCTAGGGTCGTTAGCACGTCCTTGCTCATCGTGCACAGTGTACTTACTTCAAGTTTATCCTCAGAGCAACGTTTCGCATAGCCATATCGCCGGTGATCAAGGCTGCCTGCAGCACGCGTTGTGCGGTTTGGGGTGCAGTGTGCGCATTTTCCCTTGCCTGGTACTTTTTGATGTTGCTTGGCGCTGTGGTTTTCTGGTCAACGACTGTGCTCGCAAGTTTCGTTTTAGAGCAAACCAACTTATCCATTCTCCATCACCGTCATCATCTTCCGATGACTCCTCCGCATCTTCAGGGATGTCGTCCTCGGCCGCAGCTGCATTCACATTAAGCCTTTGTAGTTGGTCGATAACCACTTCGCTTGTCGCTTTGTCGGACGGAGTAACATCTTCTGCAACATCAGGCGTAGCATCATCCTGCACCTTGGTCGTCTCTGAAGTTATGGTCGATGCTTCGGCATCTGTTGACTCTCCCGTTTCGGTTGCCTTGGTGTCATCGGCTCCATCCTCGACCTTTCCTGGGGGCTTCCCATTCACGCTTTTTTGGTTCGGCTCCCGCCTTAACCGCCACTAAACCGCTTTGTCAGATAGGTGCGGCCCCGACCCAGTCCACTAGAACGTACATCACCGCCGTTTCGCTCAACCTCCAAATCGTATGTCAGGGCAAGAAGGTGAAGATCGGGTTTCGAGAGGACCTGGAGGTCACCGGTCTTCCGCGCAAAGGTGGTGACGAACTGGACGGACTCGGGTCGAGGGGTCCGGAGTTTGAGGAACGGAGATAGGGTCGTCTCGAATCGGGATCTTGTTGCCGCGTCGCGAACTACTCTTGGGTTAGCATGAGGGCGCACGGGTCAAGCAAGAGCACAGCTGGCGCACTCTCTGAAACCACGGCGGGGATGGTATAAAGCTCGTCGGCTTGAGCGAGCAACGTCGAAACAGTTGGGTCGTTTTTGATGATAGCGTTGGCATCTATGACGAGGGAATGGATTGGCTTGGAAGGCGCCGTTGCTGGTGTCGCCGGGGACGGCAAGGACGATGCGGAAGCGCTTGTCGCTGTCTCGGTCGTGGTGGGGGTGGGGTTCAGCACGTCGCTCTGTGCTTGCGCAACAGGTTCGCTTGCTGGTATCTCCATGTTCGGGAGGGTTGCGATATCGAGTACAAAAAAATACTTGGAAGCGCAATGTGACGGCCGAGAGGATGGAGATTTTCGCCCAGCACAGTCTTCAAGCTGTGTCGTCAATGCCCAGGATCGAGAAGCAAGGACCCCTCGATTTTCCAAAATTCAGGTGGGGGCTGCAGGTGGCAGAACTTTTGCAAGAATTTGGGCGGTGAGAATTCGTGCTTGGGACCCACTCTTTGGAGGCTTGCAGTTAACCCAACGCAATCCCCGAGTTTTAATGCTGTCACCAGTTTGATGTACTCGGTTATGCTCATTTCAGATACACTTAATTGCGCCCAGTTCAGCACAGTCAATAAGATACTGTTCAGTAAAGCTGGTGGGACGTTACTCTAACCCAGGTCCTAACCCTATCCCCAGCCCTATCCCTGACCCTATCCCCGACCCTTACCTGAACCCCAACCTCATGCACGGGACTCACACCTCGTCCACGCAAGCCAACACGAACAAAATATATCTAGGTACCGGTTAGGCCGAAAGAACGAGGGATTAAGTGGTAGACGTGGCCATTGGTGAATCCCCACGCGGGGGTGCCCAATATATTGAAACCACGCCGAATCGAGAACGGAGCTGAGGCCGGAGGGCCTGCGGCTGAGAAGCCCAATACATAGAAAAAAAGGGGTATATATAACTAGGTATGGTCTGAGGCTCGTGTTCCCCTCCATTTGTCCCGTGCCGACCCGTCGTCTTTCCATTTTCTTCGGTGCTGTTAGAAATCTCAACGCTCGTCCTTTCATCATGGCTACTGCATACCAATACGAACGGCTTACACATGACGACGAGATCAGACTGCTGCACCTGGAATCAGGGTCCGGTGATGACGTCCATTTTGCCCTCTATCCGGTCAGGTTAGGTGACAATCCTCCATACGAGGCGATATCCTATTGCTGGGGTGATCCAAGCGACACTCAGATGGTGTATTGCGACGGTAAGCCACTGCATATCACTAAGAGCCTCTATACGGGGCTCAAACGGCTGCGGAAGGAGAATGCGGTCCGAGTTCTTTGGGCAGATGCAGTCTGCATCGACCAGAAGAACACCTTGGAAAAGAACGTGCAGGTTGGTCTCATGAGTCGCATCTACTCGCAACCAAGCTGTATTCTCATTTGGCTGGGTGACAATACTTCCGGACTCGAGGGTCTCCACGAGTGCATCCAAGGAGCCCTCGGGGTCCTGCCACCGGAGCATTTTGAGTTCGAGAAAGTGTACCCCATCTCCACTAGGATATTTCGGGAAGCCAATGTACGTCCTTCTGTTCTTGACAAAGTTTAATAACACGGACTAATACCGTCCACCGGGCCTAGGAACTGCGAGCAGCCGGAAAGCCTAACTTCGTCGACCATGACTGGCGTCCCATGACGAACCTCGTGCATAGGCCATGGTTTGACAGACGGTGGATCATCCAGGAGGTTACACTTGCGGACGACAGCGTGCCCAGGCTCGCAATATGCGGACACTTTGAGTTCTCGTGGAACGATCTAGCGGCCGTGGCCTACAGACTGGCATCATACGGGATTACTCCGCTCCTCGCCGGAATGTCCACCAGTAAGTCATGATGAAATCTGACTCATCAAAAGATAAAAATGTTAACATCACCGAACTACCTAGTCAATTCTCGCGCTCCCTACATGCTGTCGTTCCTAGCCGAAGGCGGCAGACCCATTTTGATCCTCGTGGCCCTTTGCATGACCTACCTTCTCAAGACGTACCGAAAGACGGGGAATCTCGTCGACAGCGTGATCTCCACCTCGCTGTTCAAATGCGGGTTCCCACACGACCACCTCTACTCGCTGCTGAGCTTGCCGCAGAAGCCAAGCGGCGTCGTGGCGGATTACCGCCTCTCCATCGAGGAGGTGTGCATGCAATTCGCCGAGACGACACTTATCTCGGACCAGAACACAAGGCTGCTAAGCCTGGCGCCGCACACGACCATCGAAAGCGAGCATCGGGACGGCCAGCGCCTCGTCTTGCCTTCGTGGGTCCCGGATCTGACGTGGCAGGGGGCTGTGAACCCGCTCGTGTCCTACACCATCCGACCGCAGCTGTTCCATGCCGGGGGCAAGGAGCCGCCCAACATTACCATGTCCTCCGACCGCAAACGGCTACGTCTCAGAGGCCGTGTTGTTGACAAGGTTGCGACTATGGCAAGAGCCCAGGTCGACGTGCCCTGGCCCACCGAGGAAGAAGTCCGGCCCAAAATTGGCTTCCACGCCCTTGTCAAGAAGCGTCTGGTGAACTGGCTGCAGGAGTGCTACGAGGTTGCCGGGGAGGGGTATGCGAGGAGGAAAACAGGACAAGGGGAGGTCGCTACTGAAGAGAGTACCGAAGAGGCCGGGCTGCGCCGGTCCTTTCTAGAGACTCTTCTCTGCGGCATGACCATGATGCGGGATCCCATACCCGAGGAAGCGTTGATGGCGACGCAGGTCTACGTCGACTATCTCTTCGCTTGCTTCACCGACGACTTTGTGCTGTCGGAAGAAGTCAGGGAGACTCTGCTGACATATGGGCCACTGATCGAGCAGTCGCTCTTGGGCATGGCTGAGGCTCGGTGCTTTTGCCGGACGGAACAAGGCCGGCTGGGTCAAATACGTGCCGATGCAAAAGCGGGCGATCTCTTTGTTTGTATTGTCGGCGCCGAGGTGCCCTATGTTCTGCGGCCTAGGCCTGGCAAAGAGGGGGTTTATACGCTGATTGGTGATGGCTTTCTCCAGGGCGCGATGCAAGGCGAAACATGGTCGGATGCGCAATATGAGACCATTGATATTACGATCGAGTAAGCTAGGTAGTTAAACTCAGAGTGTCAACTAATGTTCATGGTGTTTATGAGAGAATGGGACGGAGAGGTTGAAGGCAGTGGCTGCACTTGACCTTGACATCAATGCCAATCAGCATCCAGGTCTTCCTGATTCTTCAATCCTTTTGCACTGTGGTCCCAGCACCATCAACTCTCCATCCAGAACCGAAAAAAACGAAAGCCAATTGCAGCAGGATCTGTGGCTGGCTCTGTTGGTACCGAGCTGGGCGTCTTCGCTTGGGTCCAGAACGGAGAGTGGGGAGAACGTCCAGGGCGAGACTCGAGAAAGCTTTGGCCGTTCGAAGCGAGGTGGCTGCCTGGCACAAGGCCGAGCTCGCTGGCAACTCTCCTGATTTTCTTTTCAACTTTTTTCCTCTTGCAAGACTTGGAAGTCAGAATCCATTTCCAAACGCCGACGCAAACCCCCAAATCCCCGCCCACAAAACCACAATGGACGCCCTAACCCCCAAGCAAAAGACGCGACTTCACGAGGTCGCCGACCTGATGCTCACCATCTTCCAAACGCTCGCCCGCATGCGCTACCTCGAGCCCGAATGGATCGAGCCCGGCCCGCACGACCTCGGCGCGCTGATGCCGCTCTACGCCTCCCTCGACATCGACCCGGCCATCGTCTACCTGTACACCATCCTGCCCTACCTCAAGCCGCGCGTGGCGGCCGGCGTGCACTTCTTCCACGGCGGCGACTACATCGACTTCCGCGACGAGGAGCACGCCGTGCAGGGCCGCGACCCCATGCACGACAACGACCCGGCGCTGGCGCTGCGGCCGTGGATGACGCCGCTGTCGCGCGTCAGCAATCACCGCACCGCGCTGGTGTACGACGCCAGGCGCCATGTGGTGGGTGTCTATGCCCAGATGGATTGCGGCAGCTCGGATCCGAACTTGTATGAGGGCGTTGTCTTCTCGAGGGAGAAGGGGGAGCGGGAGTACGTCAAGAGACGCGAGGACGGAACGGAGGAACTCTGCGATGTGGCGGAGTGGGAGAGGCAGGCGAATGGGTGGGGTGATGGCAGCGAGGATGGCGATGATGATGACAATGAGGACGAGGACGACGAGAATGAGGATGAGGATGATCAGAATGACGATGAGAATGACGACGACGAAGAAGAAGAAGAAGAAGAAGAAGAAGAAGAAGAAGAAGAAGATATCAATGACTGGGACGAGATGGACGCTCGGAAGGCTGGTAACGTCCTGCGAGATATAATCCGTTGGTACCACGAGCTGTTCGAGATCCCAGGGGGGGGTGAGAACGATGGGTGTACGTGGGACAAAGAGCTCGTGGGACCGATATATCGCAAACACGGCTGGCCTGGCGAGGAGTTTGACGGGGACGCCTTCCTTGTGGACAAAGCCCGTGCTGAGGCTGCTAGGTCAGTCAAGGAAGATGCAGAGCGGCCATTAAAAGAACTCAAAATGCTCAGGTATAAGTTGGAGTGCCACCGGGAAAGGGAGGAGTCGGCTATGCCGGAACGGCAAAGGAAACTAGCGGCCGCAACAACTCTCGACGAGGAGTGGGTTGTTCGGTGGGAAATCTGGCAGGTTGAACGGACGATCCAAAACCTGGAAAACAAGATCAAAAGATCAGAAGACTCAATAGGCCCGAGCGGGAGCCGCTTGGCCGCGGAGGATCTGCCACTGTTGGAACTTAACAAAGTGCAAACCAACTTTCTAGATACAAAAGCACGATTGGAAAGGTTGAAGATGGCCACTCTTGATCCTCGGATGACAGAGGACGAAATCCGCTCCACCGAGAAAGAAACCGCAATTTACGAGAAGGCATACGCCGCCAGTTTGGTTGACGCAGAGCGCCTCTGTCCCGGCAGGGTTCCCCCATTCGGGTCGAGGATCGAGACCAGCCACAAAACGTGGCTGACGACAAGAATCGTGGATACAGAGGCGGATATTGCAGAGGTCCGAATCTGGATTACACAACTCCCGGATGGCGCCATTGAAGCGAGAAAGTCAGCTGAAGAACACGCCGAGCGGTTGGAGATGGACGTCGGGAGGTGGTCAAGAGCGCGCCAGACCTATATCGATACGATAGAGAAGCTGCGGAAAGAAAGTTCGGATTGATCTCATTTGGGAGAAGAATCTAGTTCATTTTGTAGCCTACCTTACCTACTTAGGTTCTAGGTTAAATCAACTTCAAGAGGTTGCGTTGTTGGCAGCTCTATGAACGATGCAGCTCCTAGGCGCTCGACGGTGGCGGCGACAACGACCCATGATTGTCCCAACTGTTATCCTGCGACATGCCGGGTCGAGCTCAAGCTGGACAAGTTGCCAGTGCCACAAAACCATCTCCAGGAGGTCTATGAGCAAGTTTTCTCCTCCCATGGCACAAGGAGGCGTTGGTGAGATCAAGGGTTGGAACGAGGTTCTCAGAGGAAGAAGGTGTGTTACACATCCGTGACCGTGCCGTTACCTACCTATATATGGCCGTTAAAAGAGCGAGTCAATGTACCGTGGTTCATGGAGGCTTGAGGCGCGAACTAAGAAAACCCCCCCACAGGGCTTCCACACCCGAGCATCACATGCATTGTTCGCACTTCGCACCCACGGATGTTCATAATAATAGTAATTTAGATCGGGCCACGCTAGTCCAGTACTACCAGAGCTTTCGTGGATCTATACCCACCTAGGTACCGTGGATAACGGAACTAAGTACCTACCTACCTTAGGCATTCTTTCATATTTAGGGGTTTCACTACTTCATCCCTGCCCCTCCAACCAGCACCCGTGATCCAGGGGCTGGGACGAGTCTCGCGTGTGCATGGATCGTAAACCTGGATCTGATAGGCGATGCCTTGGCGGTTGCTGGTCGCTGCGAGGAGCCCCGCTTGCATGAAAAGGAGATCCACGAAGCTCTCGTATTGCGCTGCATCAGCCACGGTGGAGAACCGGCATGCCCGAATCGGGCGGTTACTCCCGTTAGCTTGCCTTATATACTATATATAAACTGGAGGTGTTCTCTCCTTAGCTCTGGGTTCATGACCTTTCCTCCCGTTATCGAGTTTGCGCCAGACTCCAGTCACTCTTTTCATTTTCCTGGGAAATAGGTACCTATAAAAGTTTCACTCATCTGCGAGCCAACTTCATATACGTGGTACTTAGATATACGTCTACGGTACACCTACGGTCCACCTACGTCGACCATGGCCCGATCAGCTTTCCTGGCCTCAGCACTCGCCCTTCAGGCCGCCACTGGCGCCTACGCCGCACCCGGTACGAGGTTGAGCACGAGGGCAGTTCGCCGCGACGAGCCTCCGGTTTTCGATGCGAAGCCCTTCCCCGCGGGCAACGGCACGGACGAACCTTATGTCCCTCCGCATGTGGACTCGCCACACTTCCGTCTCTTTCTCGGCCCAGCAAGCGAGGGGGGTGCCGCGGAGGGGCTCCAACCCCTCGAGGCAGCCTACGACTGCTTTGTCGGCGAGCTTGGCTGGAACTCGACGGGTCTCTCCATCAACGACCCCAGCGAGCCGTACTGGAAGACCGAATTCTTCCTCCAGGCACAGATAGCCGACGGCTTCGGCGGCTTGACCCACTACGGCACGTCCACGGGGCGGGCCTGGGTGCAGCTGCTGGACGGCGAGCTGCACTCACCGAGCCTGACGGTGCACGAGCTCGGCCACGTGCTGCACTTCCACCAGGGCAGCAGCTTCTGGGGCGGCATGGTGAACGCGCAGGCGTGGGCCGAGGCCGTGGCCAACTGGATCGCCGACACGTACCTGACCTCGGACCTCTGCGCGGCGTCCCGGGCCAAGTTCGGCCAGCCCGCGGGCGATTCCGTCTTCCGCGTCTACAGCACCGTCGGCGACTCGCACCTGACCATCGTCGACGCCACCAACAGGCAGGTGGGCAACCACTACGAGGCCTGGCCATTCTTCCACTACCTGGTCGCCAACCCGGACAGCTGGCATGGGCTCGGGCGGGACGCGATGCTCGCGCTGATCCGCAGCACGGCGGCGGCGGGCTCCGATGACGACGACACGCCGCTGCACGCGCTGCAGCGCGTGCTGGGCGGCACGGCCTCGGTGCGCGACGTCGTGGCCCGCTACTGGGCGCGCATGGCGTACGTCGACATCGCGCACCCGCAGGCGCAGCGCATCTTTCAGGAGAACAAGGCGTTCCTGAACCAGGCCAACTTCGACAAGGTCGCCGAGGGCCGGTATACGGTCAAGAGCGACCGCGCGCCCCGGTACATGGGCGCCAGCATGGCGGTGCTGGTGCCGGCGGCGGCGGGCGGCGGGAGGGTGGCGGTCGACGTCACGACGGCTGAGGCGGGGGCGCCGTTTGTGGCCACGCTGTCGGTGCGTGATGCGGCGTCCGGGAGCGTTCGCTATGTGGCGCTCGCCGACGACGGCACGGGGTCGGTCGACGTCGCGGCCGGGGAGGAGGCTACCTTGGTCGTGGTCAACGCGCCCGAGGGGCTGCTCAAGTACGACGGGAGGAGCCTGGCGGGTAGTGAGGCGAATAAGGGGCTCGGCTACTCCTTTACGGTCACCGGTGCGACGGTTTCTATGTATTAGTTTTGCTGACTTTGCGCCGCGGTTGCTGCTAATTACACGTTCCTATCGTTATGCTATGATGTCATGATCTCATCCGTGACTGAACTACCTACTAGCTACCTACGTATCTTACATCGGTACTACCTATATCGACAGAGCATTCTCCCTCCCCTTCTCACCACCCAATGACAGACGATGGCCCTCTCCCAACGAAGCAAGTCACGGCCGGGGTAACTGCGACAGACTCCGTCGCCCATTGCTAAATTTGGCGCCCGCGTGCTGCTTTGGTTACCGAGGTACATATTTACCAAGGCATCAAAATGACGGCTACCTACCTAGGTACTTGGCCGTACGAATGATATGCGTACGACATAATGAGTGGTCCTCTGGTCAGAGGGCCACGGTCACAGTTACCGCGAAAAAAGGGTCACTTGTACAAGTGAGGAAAAAGAAATAGAATTGCCCGCCCGATGACCCCTGAAAAGTCCCGAGCCTCTGACTAAAATACAAGGACGCGCAAGGCGGACGAACGCAACGAAGAAACGGAAAAAACGACAATCCCGGGCGCCTGGCCCTCTGGTCAGCGAGAGGCTGACGCCCCAGTTCAATCATTCCAAGCTACCGGAGGCACATGCCATTCTCCCTTACTCGAGGTGACAATATTTCTTGTAAATATCGCCAAAGTCGGGCTCCTTCTTGCCGTTGGCGTAGAGGGATTCGTACCGATCGCCCATGACGTAACGTTCGACGCGTTCTTTAACAGTATCATCCCCGTGCACATCGTCAGGGCTGCGGTACCGAGCTACGGAATCATCGGTGCACTCCCATGGTACAGGGAGACGGGCATAAAACCGGGCCAGCCCGTCGTTGCCGAGCGCTGCCAGAGGCTGCGAGAGGTGGAGATAGGCTTCCACGAGCGTCTCCACGTCCCGCTTTGTTATGCTGCGGTAGTACGGCGAAGGGGTGTCGCGGGTCCCCTGTGACACTGCCAATCGCAAGGTCAGCGCCGGCGGGTCGATCTTGCCGCGGAGCCAGTCGACCGTAGCCCACCAGTCCTGCATAACGGGGTGTTGTTTTTCGGGCCAGCTGCCAGGGCGGTACGGGGGGAACATCAGGTCGAGGAACCGGAGGTGGGCAAGGGCGCACGTGGGGACGACGTTCCGCAGGAAATCCGAGGCGGCAAACCGCTCGAAAGGGTAGGGATACGTGGGCACGGCCCCACTGTGCTCGGTGAACCCAAGCACCGGCAGCACCCAGGGCGGATTCAACTTGTGGTCGGGGACGGTGAAGCGGTTGCCGGAGAAGAAGACGAACCGGGCATCGTCGCAGAGGGCGCGGCAGACGAGGAACAGAGCCGGCCCCGGCGGGGCCCAGCACCGGCAGGTAAACGAGAAGGCGGCGTGCAGGCGGCAAAAACAGCCGCTGACGGTTCGTTCAAGGTTACCTCTGTTGATATTTGTCTCATCTCCGCAGGAAAAGAATTGACTACCATAGGACGGTTGTGGATCGCCAGCACGCCATCCCAGATACGCTACTGTATACGCGCGGTGTTCCCTAGTCCATATCACGTCCTTTGTTGGGGTGATGAGATCTGTATATTCGAGAATTCGTATGCGGAGCTCGCGCGGAAGAGCTGTCAGCGTGGTGGCCGTATTCGACGACGGGTTCGAAATTGGCGTCGCGGCCGCCCCTACAGCGTGAAAAAACGGTCTCTTGGGCAAGCCGTACCAAGGCAGGGTGTGGAGACGTGGCTAGTCGTATATTACATTCCCGTAAATAAGACCGGGGAAGGCGACGGAGAGGACCAACGACGCCCTCGGCTATGTCTAACGCTTGTGGGTGTCGCGGGTCAATATCGCAAACTAGCGAGAGGGCGAGACGGCCAGGAGTAACGTGTGATAATAGATGAATGGCAGCTGAGTGCCAGTCAGTCAACACGGAGTGGGCTGCGGCAAGCTCGCCATGGTGGTCATCTGTGGAAGGCGGACTCAGAAGGGGCGACTGGTGGTCGTCGTGCCATCCTTTCCAACAGGAAATGCCTGAGACGGCATACTCGAAGTTGCCCTGGAGGCAACATACCCAGCGGTCTTCGATGACCCGCTGGTGACATGCAGACTCGTTGATGACAATCTTGAGGTGAGAAAGTGAGAGAAGTGCTGATGGGGTGAGATCGCAGAGAGCCTGGAAGGAGGTTCGGGCACCGGCCCGTCGGGGCGGGGTCGGGTCGGAATAGTGGAGGATAAACAGGTTGGTCGAGTAAAGGAGGGCAGCTGCCTCGGCGTAAAGGTCCCGACAACAGAGCAGCAGACCGTGGAAGAGGTTCGGGTAGGGTGCGTAATTGAAGTTCTTAAAGTCACTTTCGAACTCGGCCGTCCCGCCATTCAAGGCGAACGTGTAGGGCTGGCCGTCCCACGAAGCCAAACCGAGGTAACGGTAGATGCGGTGTCGAGTGTCCTTGCTTAGGCGTAGAAGGGTCATGTTGGGCAATGGCGACATCTGGGATTCGGGGAATTCTGACATGTCGACGGCGCAGGTTGCAGCGCAGTTTTGTCGCGTAGTTTTGTCGCGCCGCTTAGGTTGTTAGGACACGTGCCAGTATTCAGGCAAGCAACTTAAGAATTTCGGCAGAGGAAAGACCACGACCACGACCCTCACTGGCCGCTTTTCAAATGCGCGCGGAGCCGATCCCGGGCACTCAGGGTTAGGGAGGTGGCAGGGTTAGGCCCAGTCCAACGAAGGGGAAGACAAACATCCAATCATCCAATCATCCAATCATCCAATCATCCAATCATCTAACTAATGCCACGAAAGGCGTTATGATGGGCCCGAAAATGAGCCATGAGACGAGATGGTGCGGCGTGGCCCGAAGACTGTTGAGTTGACCAGCGGTCACGACTGACCAATCTTACTCCTTCATCCTACCTAGGTACCTATAGGACAGGGAGAGGATCCTTAATACCTATAAACAACGCTGTTTCTTATTGAATTATTCAATTTTAAACTATTGGCTGTCCAAAATGGGGCGGTCTTGTCTCGTAGGTGGTATGTACCTGGTAGGTACTAGATACCTGGCACCCAAGGTACGCTTCTACAGCCCATGCAGTGCCCGCTCTATAGTCCATTACTCGCACAAGAAAACACGCCCCTCACCGCTCCGGTCTCGAACTCGATGATGATGCTCTCGACGGTGGCGTACGTGCCCACGGTGAGGAAGAAGACACCGACCAGGATGATGGCAACGTTCAGCGTCCCGAGCAGGTAGCCGGCAACGGTGTGCTCCTTCACGACCGCCACGCTTCCGTCTGCTTGGCGCATCCGGAAGTAGGCGACGCCCCAGAATATAAAGCCGAAGAAGCTATCGAAAAGCGAGCTCATGAGAGAGAGCACTGGCATACATTAGCTAGGTCGTCAACGAGGAAGGGGATAAAAACGTACAGGACGAAAAGAACGGGATGACCTGAGCGATGATGAATGCCAAAATCCAGGTGGCAACTGCGATGTCGGTTAATTCAATTTCTAATTTGAGAGAGCTGATAGATAGACGGAGGGGAGAGCACTTACGCAAAATGGACGCCCAGGTAGCCCAACCAACAAGGGTGTGCTCGCTCTTGTGACGCGAGTTCTGGAAGATACGGAAGAAGATGAAGCGGGCAGATACCGACGCATACAGCACGCCGAGGAAAATGATGGTCGGTATCATGAAAGAGAAGGACACCTTCTTGAACAGCGGCTGCAACGAGCCAAAGGCCGGGGCCGTCATGTACTGGTTGCCGACGTAGGCGTAGACGACGGAGCCGACGACGCTAAACAAGATGATCTCGGCGATGGTGCAGGCCCAGAGCGCCTTGGGGAAGTCGCGGGGGTCTTTCATCTCGGCAATAAAGGAAGGCAGGGTGATCTGGCCGATGAAGGTGTAGCTGATGTTGAGAAAGGCACCGAGGCCGTTTACGATCGTCGTGCCAAGCACCGGCGAGGCCGTCACGATAGGGTTTCCGCCGATGGCTGCTATGCCGGCGGGGGTCGTGTAGTTGGAGCGCACGTCAAATCCCGCCGGGTGCGACTGGACGGCTGCAAAGACGGTCGCTAGGAGGACGGAGATGAAGGTAAAGAAGGCGGACGCGGTGCCGATCTTGGATAACATGTCGAAGGTCCGTGGAAGTGAGAAGATCCAGCAGATGATGGCCACGACGATGCCGAAACTGACGGTTCGGCATCCTACCTCGTCGGCTTCGGTCATGGTGTTAAGGTACTTTGCGCCGACCAAGACATGTAGACCCTGGATAAACTGCGGAAAGGAGCCGGGTTAGCCGTGGCCTGTCCAAAAGCTGCAGAGGGAGTATACTGGGTAGCCGAGCCCGGGTACGCACCGTATTATTGAGGAGGAACATGACGGCCGTAGCCCACCACGCCCACTTCTTGTTCCAAAACAGCATCTGGCCAATATCACAGACATCGCGCACCTCGGGGTGACGCAGACAGAATTCCCAAAGCACCAACGATCTTCCGCGGCGTTAGAAAAATGGCGCCAACGGAAGTCGCAGGGCTGTGACTTACGTGTATAGGACGATGCCAGAGATTACAACGGTCAAGATCAGCCTGTTTGTTGTCAGCCGTACAGATCTGTATAGCTGAAAATTTCGGCACCCGAGGCAAGGTGCCTATTGACGCCGGCAGTCACAACTTACCCTGGGACAAGGCCAAGAACGCTATAAGACCAGGGGAAGCTCATGATAGCCTAGCACCACAAACGCGTTTAGTATTCGAATCGACACGCCATGGGCGGTGGTCATCCAGGAAGGTGTCGGGACGTACCAAGCAAATGTACTCGGAGAAGAGCAATCCGGCTGTCTAGACGTCTCATTGTCAATACCAATTAGGTACGTAAGGAAGAAGGCGGTCTCGCGCAACACGCACTTTTTGCCAACTGCATGTCCGGTATTTGATAGCACTGCCCAGGTCGTCGGCCAGCTGCTTGTCCAGGATGGCGGCACTGCTCTGGTCGGTGTCGGAGTCGCTCGTACCGATTGAGATGCTGCTGAGGACCGGTCCGATGCGCGGCCCAGCGACGGTATCTTGTCCGCCGAACCACGACGACCAGCCGGTCGGGTTTGGTACCTCGGTGGCAGAGGTCCGTCGATTGTCTCGGTCGTCTCGAATCCCGCCATCGTCTGGAGCATTCTTCTTCTCGTCGTATCCGACCCGATCGGGTGAAGATTGGTGCGACATTGTCAATGAACTTGGCGATCTTGGTATTCCAATCAGGGTGAGGGACTGAGAGTGCCGAGATGTGCCACAAAGCTTAAAATCGGGCCAAGAAGCTTGGTGTTGTGGACGACCAGTTTTTTGGGCAGGCACTGCAGCATGGCAGATCTTGCAGAATCTTGCAAGAATCCTGTATTGGGACCCCAGACAGTAGTGGGGGCACAGGCATCATCGTCATGCAGGATTAAGATCACGCCTTTGCGCTAAGTCGTTATCCTGGTAATCAACCGCAAACGTGACCACCGACAGGCCATGGCCGCCGAATGATGCGAACGGCTCGACTGTTGTTGTTGGTTGAATCCTTGTACAGACCTTCCGCAATTGGTCGCTCGAGGCACCTGAACGATTCCGTCAAGAACTTGAAATGTCCGTGACCCCCACGAATGGGAATGGGAATGGCAACGGCCTGAGCGCCTCACCAAATAGCTTGTGCACGACCGAGGTCAATCGGGACGATGCGAGTAAGCCGGTGTGGCCAAGAAGTGTTCCATTCCATCGCACTTCGGGCCGGCGGCTTTGATGCGCGATGCGGCCGGCTCGCTTTCTCGGGATGTTGTATGTGTATGTGTGTCTTGCCCATCTGTGCTGTGTGTCGGGTATAAGGACGGATTGTCGGAAAAGGGGGTGCTGGTCACATCTCGGGTCAAGCGGTAAACCCTCTGATGCTATAATGGCGGTAAACTTCCGAGTCAGTTACCTGCCTTCGTACACATCTTGTATGCCAACTGACGGCGGCTGCTGGAGTCAAGCTCGCCGCAGATCGAATACCTATAACTATTTGGGGAATCAAATCGAAGTCAAACAAATCAAACCGGGTGGGCCGCCATATATAAAATAAAAAAAAGAAATTTCATCTTTGACTTGGGTCTATTTGAATATTGAACCTGCCACTCCTCCACATAGCGTGGCTCGGACTTCCAAGACACCAGAGTAACCGTTCCCTCTGCAGCCTCGGCCACCACAAACTTGACCCTGTGGAACCCTGACCCCTGGCTGCCCACAACCGGGTTTATTTGCGGGGACTTTCCATCGCCGCTTTTACCGAGGCCAGAGCCGAGCCGATTAACCAACCATCGACGAGGGCTGGTTGGCATGCCTGCGGGGCTTTCGGGGCCGATTACAAGACCGTTCGATTTAACGGCGAGTACCTAGGTAGTTGATATCCGATAGCGAGGGTACCTAGTTATAGGTCAGGAGAGCAAGCACCGAGAGTGTCTGGAAAGGGGTTAGGGTTATTTCTGGAGGATGGGGGTGGGATTTGTTCAAATTTCAATAAATATAGGATAGAGAAATCAAACATGGCCATATCGAGGCCAAATCAAATGAAATCTGCCCTCGAATTCAATTTATTTGGTGTGTGGCGAGCCTTGGCCGAATTACTCCTACTCCCTATCTGAACGAGGGAGAGTTGGAGTTGGCATTTGATGTTAACGATAACAGTGAGTCTGAGTCTAGAGCAACACCACCTGGCACTAATAGCAAATTACTCATGGCCCTTCTCTCGGTGCTACATGCGTACAAGTCTAAGTGATTTGTCGTGAGATCATAGTCTTGTCCCTAGGTAAACACTCGTAGACCACCGATTCTATGAGAGGGCTATGGCGGGGGGACTGCGGTCGAGTACCTAGCTAGTTCACATGTCAAATGGCATACTCATTCATCCCAAGTCTTGTTGGGCGCCTTTTTAGTGGTCGTAGTACCTAAGGTACCTATATGGGGTACTCCTCGCGCCGGACAAAACACTGTCATGGGTAGTTCCTCAACGGAAAGCTTTATTGAGTGTTTGCCACCCTCTTAGCGCGTATTTTTCGAAGCGTCAAGCCCCTTTATTACCCAATTGGTGACGGCTAGAGAATGTACCTGGGGTACTTGGCCGTGATCAAATTCTTCGAGATTCCACACCGTCTAGAGCTGTTGCTGGTATTCCCGGTGAGATTGATGTTGATTTAGATCGAAAGCATGATTAGCTGAGTATTGCGAGAGAAATTCCGTTACTTTGCGGTGGGAGGAAACAGACGGCATAAAGAGATGGCGCGTCATATGCAGTCATGTCAGCCTGCAGGACCCTTTTGGCGAACTCTATCAAGCAGGAGAGACTTTTTATTCCCCACAGTTACCTAGGTGAGCTGACGGGAGAGTATCAATGCTGTGTCACTGGAACGACCAAGCCGGGAACGTACTCCAGGATAGAAATCTGTGTGATGGGGGTTGTGTCTGGAGGGACTTTGCCGGCCGTGCTAAGGGTCAAGATACCACCGAACATTGAAAACACATTCGGACCCCAGCCGGAGATTGTGGGGTGTGTGGGCTAATCCAAGTGCCACCACCATCCTAAAGTATCAGGGCAATAGTACATTCATACGCATGATCAAGCAGAAGCGATGGGTCACCAATGGCACACCATGGTGGCTGCTGTACCACATAAATCTTATTCAGCCTTATCCGCTCGTGGGTGAGATTCCGGTCTCTTGGTATTTTAGGCTAGCTTAGCGTTGGCTTTTCTTATTGTTTTACACACGAATCATCTACCATCAGTTCGGTACGTGTCTGTCTGCACAGGATCTCTGAGACGGGTAGGTATGTATCACAGATAGAGTAGGCTGTTGCCGGCGAGCTTTCTGAAAGTTGGTAAACACAACCGCAGATCACAACCACGGTTTACTGCACGCAATACCGTGCATATCCTCCTTTCTTTCACCCCATCCCCGTCCATCTTTCGGACCGTGCGCGAGCGGGCCAGTTCCGGCCCTGTTCAAAGTTGCCCTATGGCAATCCGCGCGGGAAAGCCAGCCCATTCCATACCCTGACCCCGGCACGACATGGAAGTAGACGCTGGTGGACACCAAAATTGTGACACGATGTGTGTAGAGGTGCTCAGCCAGAACGCTGGAGTTGGAGTCTCGGAAATCTCGGATGAACCCAGGGCCAGGCTGGGCGGACAATGTAACGTAACTTTCTCACTGCTGAATCGAGAAGGAAACTTACCCGATTTGGAGATAGCCCAAGGCGTTGGAAAAGCTGGAGCCGAGCTTGGCTACAGCTGGCAACGACGTGTGCCAAGGGGCTTGCGTTGCTGGTGGCTGCATATACGAGCCGCCTCGTGGTCGCTCGATATTGGCGACGATGACTGCCCATGAGCCAACTCTTTGCGCAGCGGACCGCCGGCTCAAGGCCACTCGTCAGACGGTAGAATGCGAGTCCGCCGGTAATGGCGCGGCCATTAGACTGGAGGGTCTCACACATCTCACACCGAAGAGGAAAGATGGTGATACCGTGATACTGTTCTCCCTGTTACTTCGCTGTCTGCATCGTGAATAAGGTCCGATTGGAAAGTCCTCACCAAAGCTCACCTCATCATCGATGCCACCCACTTTCGCACTCCATCATTCAGCCCCAGAGGGCTGCAGCTTGGCCGAGTGGCCGACTGTGCCTGCAGTGGTCTGATACCCAAACCGGCTAAGATCAACGGTTAACACGCCACAGCCGGAACGCCATGCCGACATCTCGTGTCGGCGCAGCCCGCCGCCTCCAAGACCTTGGGCGATGCAACGGCACAGGGGAGCCGTGACGTGAGGGCCCGGCTCGTCCCCGCACCCCGGAGTCGAAAAAGGCATGGGAAATTGATGCAGCGCAACAATACGGTACGATGTACATCTGTACACGTCCGACAAACTGACAGTCTGGTCCCGTTCGCAGCCGTCGTCCTGGGAATACCGTGGTGTTTGCGGCACATGACTCCCCAACCTCCTGCCTTCGTCAAGCATCAGGCTACATTGGGCAGGAAGCGGCGGTGTTGGCTTGGGTCCCCCGCTCCTGCTTTCGTATTTGCCGATCTTCCTCACTCGAGGGAATGGATGGTGAGCATGGGCGGAGCGTGGACCAACAAGCCGTTGCCGTGGTTCTATTTCGGGGTTGCAGAACGGGGTAGGCGACAATGAGCTGCCACCTGGATGACGAGGTGAGGTTCGCTTCGTCCTCGCATGGTCCTCGCAGGTCTATAAATCACCTCCCTCCGCTGCCGATCAATCGAGAAATAAAGACATCATTCACTCACAACATCACAACATCACAACCAGACCTCACAATATCCCACCACCACAAGCCGCACTGCACCTCGCACAACCAATAAACCAAACAACCAACCTACCAACACCATGCTCTCCAAGGTCACCGTCCTCGCCCTCGCGGCCGCCGCCCCCCTGGCTTCGGCCCTGGGCCTCGCCACCGTCGCCAACAGGTGCGACACCGACGTCTACGTGTGGTCGGTCGGCTCGGCGGTCGAGGGCCCGATCCAGATCGCCAAGGACGGCACGTACGGCGAGTCGTTCGTCAAGGACGAGGTGACGGGCGGCAAGGCGCTCAAGGTGACGCTCGAGGCCGACGGCCTGTACACGGGCGCGGCCCAGACCGTCTTCGCCTACAGCCTCGACGGCGACAACGTCTGGTACGACCTCAGCGACGTCTTCGGCGACGCCTTCGTCGGCAAGAAGGTCGTCGTCTCCAGCGCCAAGGAGACCTGCCCCTCCATCATCTGGCCCACCGGTGTCCCGCCCGCCGGCAGCCAGGTCAAGGTCTGCACCGCCAGCGAGGACGTCACCCTCACCCTCTGCGCTTAAGGGGTTTGATGTCGGGTGGAGGAACAAGGGCCGGGAGAGACGGATCGGCCGTGGGAAAGAGGAGTAATGGAGTCGGGATATGGTGATACATCACATATGGGTTTGGGCGGGAGTTCTGTTCTTAACATTCCTTGGGACTTAGAGGTCTGATTACTACTAGTACATAGAATACTATTATTCTATTAATGCTATCTCAAATCGGCTTATTGCTACATCAGTTATAAGTACCTTGAGGCTACGTGAAGAAGTGCAGTGACAGATGCGGAACTCTGGTTAAGAGGAACGGTGCTTGAGGTCAGTACCTACGTAGGCAGATAGTTAGGTAGCATTGGTCAACCATACAGCTAATGGGAATGCCTCCTAAACGATCCATGAGCCATTACTTGTAACTACTAGGGTTTCTAAAATCAACACGAGGGTCCATACCTGTTGTTGAACAAGTATATCTTGCATTTTAGTTTTCTCAATGCTCCCAATGAAACTTGAACAGGGCACCCCAAGTTTCCCCGACGAGTAATATGTCTAATGAATGACGGGAATAATCTCCTTTTACAGGGGGTGCGGTGTTTTCGAATTCCCCTCCCAGTGGTATGAGGGAATTAAAGATGCAGTTCGAACTGTGTAATAACACATAAACACCAACAAGCAGCACTGTTCCAACCAACGCGCATGAAGCGCATGCACCCTTGAGGCCTTCATCACCTGTGACCTCTGCTTCTGCCTCCGTCAATGGGAACTTCTACACTTTCACACTTGAAAGGTTGACAGAGGGTCTAATTCGGGATTTACCATCCAAGCTCAGCGCAGTATTGTTAGCCCAGAATTGTTTTTGTTAAGTCCCTGAGGTACTCTAATTTGTTATTAGCATGGGATCGACGGGCAGTAACACATCTCAATTCCCTACGTCGTTGAGCGGGGTCGATGGATTGGATTTGCAACACAGCGACGCCATCACCCGTGCGGTTCTTCGTCTTCTCGACACGGAACTTGCGGTACAGACCTACGGTCAAATCATCGATGGTGTTCCCCTCTGCGACGTTGCCCGCGGCCAACAAGGTCATCGAGTCTACAGAGGTCACCCCCTTGAGAACCACAATACTCTTTGTCCAGGGGTCGTGGACACTGTCAAGCAGTTCCGAGCCGATTTTAACATGGAGAGGTTGAAGTTCGACACAAAGGTGAAGGGGACATTCTTTTATATTAATAGACCCCAAGCGAGGTGTTGACGGTTCTACAGCTACTTGAAGCATTCCAAGCGGCAGCCCCGAACTCACGTCCATTTCAGCTTCGCCTCATCGAGCTCACTGCCGTAACCGTCCACGAGATTGCCGTTATTTTGCACAAGGGGAAGATGCGACTACACGATCGGCACACTACCGATCCCAGGAATTCGGTCGAACAAGTGACCCGGTGGCGACGACAGGTTGAACAAGACACCGGGGACAGCAGGTACCCCCCAATCCGACTACTCGGACCTTGGCCAACACTCTTCACGCACCCGCAGTACTGTAATTATCCCGAGTATCCCGATGGTCTGGCCGACAATGTGGGCTACTGGGCCGAAGACCAGATATTTGGTGGCGTTGTGCTCTTTGACCGGTCGCAGCCGTGGAACACGCCAGTAGCCGACACGCTTGCGTCTCCTGAGCCCAACTTCTATTTGCACCCTGCGAGGTACGAAGTCACGCGCCGGCTTTGGCAGGTTAAAGACGAGGAGCAACTGGCCCTATTGGACTTTATGCTCTCCCCAGCCCCCGCGTCGTCCTCTCAGCCGGCAAACGCCCCCCTGCCCCTTCTTCCAACATTGGACCACAGAATACGCATCGATCCTCATTATGCCATGTTCCGCCATAAGGTTTATAGGGATATATGGGAGCGCCCGGAACCCACAGACGAGGATTGCTACTTTTGGGATCGCCGGCCACGGAACTCACTCGATTACCCAGAGTTGGAGGATCTGTTCAGGAGACTTGGAGTGACTCGACTATAAAGCGTCCAGATTATTGAGTACCTCGATTTCCATGTCGGTTCAACGTATTCTCACCCGGGCACTGTAGGTAGGTAGGGGGGCAGGTAGGTACCTACCTCGGTTGGTACCTACCTAGGTAGTCAGCTGGTTCCGATCTCGCTTCGGTTCCAATTTCAATTCACATAACTATCCCAGGGTGCTGATGGTTGTCCCTCCCCTAAGGCTAAAGCCGTCTTAAGTGCGTGAGACAAACATCTCCGGAGATAGGAGAACCAAATGCCCGTCCTGGAACCAACAACACTCCTCTTTACGCACCAACGAGCGGCAAACCATTACCCCCCGCCGGCGAGGTTAGGTACGCCGAACAACCATGGTATAGCCGTTATAGCACAACAAGTCATAATGTTCGATGTCAGAGTCTGAAAGGGAAAAATCCCGGTAAAGGTTTGCATGAGAGATAAACATAGGGTCACACCCTGAGACTCCCTCAATCGACCTCCACCACGCACGCCCCGTCCCGTCACGGGCATGACACGGTGTGAGATGGTTCAGACGGGCCGTCTCCGGCACCAGAACTTGCGCCGGAGAAATCCGAGGTATCAGGGAAGATCCCAAAAGCCGGGCGCGGAGGCGCGGACTCCGGTCGTGCTGAGACACCGATCGTGAATGGCCAATGAAAAGGCTTTGGTGAAACCGAGAACGGCAGTCGGGGGAATTCCTTGGCTCGGGTTCGGACCAGCGCCCGGGCCGCTGTTCTTTGATGTTGTGTAACTGCCATGTCTTAAACATTCCATCCCAGGAGCCCGACATTCCGCTGCAGTATCTTCTGGCCAAGTTCACCTTCCCCTTCGTCCTCGTTCTAGCTCGGAAACGCGTCAATCCTCAAGGGTCAACCACAGTGATTTTTTGATTTCTGACCTCCTCCCATCCGCCGCAGACTACACGCATCACACTCACTGCTATCCACCGGGCGTTGCCTCATTGTCACACCATCCTATCCAAATACGTTTTTACACACTCTATCCACGGACCCCGATTTCACAATGGTCGCCCTAGAACACATCCGGTCCTCCAACTCCAGGATCTCGACCACTCTTCGGCCCGGTCTCGTCGCTGTTTTCGCCGGTGCAACCAGCGGCATCGGCGAGTCCGCCTTAAAACAGTTCGCCAAAAACGCCATCAAGCCCCGGATTTACTTCCTTGGCCGATCCAAAGCGTCGGGCGACCGCATCCGCGCAGAGTTGCAGAAGCTGAACCCAGAAGGGGAGTACATCTTCATCAGCGTCGACGTCAGCCTGCTCCGTTCCGTCGACGATGTCAGCCGCCAGATCAAGGAGAAGGAAACCGCCATCAACCTCTTGTTCCTGAGCACAGGGACGATGGTCTCTGGGACAGGTAAGTGTGACGCAAGATGTCGCGGGGCGGCAGCGTCAAGGCAAACAAACTGACCCATCCCCCCCCCACAGACACGGAAGAAGGCCTCAACTACCCGACCGCGGTAGCCTACTACGCGCGCCTGCGGCTGATCGTCAACCTGCTCCCCCTCCTGCGCAACGCGACCGACCTGCGGCGCGTCGTGTCGGTCATGGCCGGCACCAAGGAGGGCGCCATCGACATGGCCGACCTGGGCGGCCGCACCACCAACATGTTCACCCCGAGCGGCCGCGGCCACTTCTGCTCCATGATGACACTCGCGCTCGAGGCCGTCGCCCGCGACGCGCCCTCCGTGTCTTTTGTTCATGACTACCCCCGGGTTTGTCAAGACGAATATTGGGAAGGATGTCAAAGGGCCTGTTTTTGCCGTGTTGTTGGCCATCTGGGAGGCGCTGTACCTGGTCATCGGCCCGTTCCTGGCCACGCCGTTCGACGAGGCGGGCGAGCGCCAGCTGTTCTTTGCGACGAGCGGCAGGTTTCCCGGTGTGGGTGAGGGTGGCGCCGCGGGGGTTCCGTTGCCGGAGGGGGTGGCCGTGGCTCAGGGGACGGACGGGAAGCTGGCGAGCGGTGTGTACTCCATCACCAACCATGCCGAGACCGCGCCGCCCAAGGTAGACCAGCTCCTGGAGAAGATGAGGAAGGATGGCACCGCGCAGAAGGTGTGGGCTCAGGTCCAGGAGGAGTTCCTTCGCATCACGGGGGTGGCGTCTGTGTAGGTAGGCTTGGGGCTGTAGACTGACGCGCTGAATTTGGCATCGGCCACGTTTTATCATGTAATTACGAGACGGCGGGTTTGTGGGGACAGTTAATTTTGTTTCTTTCGTTTAGATACATTGTAATTAGCCACGTCTTTCCACTTTCAATACCTCAGGGTTCAACCCCATGACTTTCTGCTGCAAATATCTCGGTTTGGTGTGCCCCGGCAGCCCCGACGCAAACCCCCACGGCCAGGCACCCTTCACCACGTACATCACTTAAACTGAGACCTTGCTGACTGACCTGCCTGACTGAGAGCTGGTTAATCCGAACTAGACGGAGTTGACGCGGGCGACTATCTTTCCCCGCCCTGGAAAGCTAGAGCTTCAGTTCGGTGTACGACGGACTCCGGTAGCACTTTGTAATACCGTGGATGAGTACAAAAGGTTCAGATTCTATCAAGCCCGAGGGGTTCCAAACATCAATACGGCGGGCCCGCAGCTAGCTTGAGCTGCTTTACAGAGCTTCTTCAAGATGCCGTTTCCTAGTTTTGCCGACTGTCTTGTTGCCGCCCTCGGTGGCAACTCCAGCCTCGTTGCATTTCCTGCGCAAGCCAATTATTCCGCCATTGTCGCCCCCTACAACCTTGACTACGACGTGGTCCCTGCAGCCGTGGCCTTTCCCCACGCGGTCACTCAGGTTTCTGAGCTTGTGAGCTGCGCTGTTGAATCGGGTTATAAGGTGCAAGCCAAGAGTGGTGGCCACAGCGCTGGCAACTATGGTACGTGACTTCGCGTTCATGGTGAAGCTGAACTCTCAAGTCCATGTTGTTAATGTCTATCCTCCATGTATTCGCAGGCTCCACGACCGGAGAGCTGTCAATCAATCTTCAAAACCTGCGACACTTCTCCATGGACCCATCAACCTTCGTGGCTAACGTAGGACCCGGTTTGCTGTTAGGGGAGATCGACGAGCTCATGTACAATGCCGGGCAGCGGTTCATCCCGCACGGCGCGAGCTCCCTAGTCGGCATGGGAGGGCACGGAACCGTGGGAGGTGCAGGGTACACGTGGCGCCCGTACGGCTTGACCATCGACCACCTGGTTGAAGTGGAAGTTGTCCTGGCCGATTCGGCTGTCGTCAGGGCGTCTGCCTCGGAGAATCCCGACCTCTTCTTCGCCGTCCGGGGCGCAGGAGCTAGCTTCGGCATCGTTACGGACTTCGTCTTCCAAACCCTCCCTTCGCCACCAGAAACAATAAGCTTTTCATACCTTTGGACTGCCACCGACGCTCCCTCAAGGGCAGAGATCTTCAAAGCCTGGCAAGCCTGGTCAACGGACCCGAGCCTCTCGCCCGATATTCAAACCATCCTTGCCATCACGCAGGACAGCATATTCATGGGCGGAGCATTTTTCGGCACGCTCGACGAGTTCAACGCGCTCGGAATCTCAGACATACTCCCCCAAGCACAGCAAGTCAGCGCGGACAGCTTCACGAGCTTCCTCGAGCTATCCCAAGTCTGGGGCGGGCAACTCGGGCAGTCAGGCAGAGAGGCGCCGTCGTTCTTCTACACCAAGTCCAACTTCTTCCGGCCGCCGACAGCCATCCCGGACAGCGTCGTGGACCGGCTGTTTGAGTATCTCGCTACCGCCGACAGCGGCGCCACGAGCTGGGACATCGAGGTGCAGGCCGGCGGTGGGCAGAACGGCGCCGTCCCCGCGTCGGCGACCGCGTTCCCCCACCGGGACGCCACCTTCGTGCTGCTCTCGTACGCGGCCACGAACGGGAGCGTGACGGCGACGACGACTGACTTTCTTGATACTGTCCATGCACTGGCCAAGAGTGGTCATCCGGATGAGTATTACGGCGAGTATGCGGGGTTTATTGATGCTAGGGCGGAGCCGGAACAGGCGCGATACAACTATTGGGGCTCGAACCTGGAGAAATTGGGGCGGATCAAGGCGGTTTATGATCCCCGCGATGTGTTCCATAATGAGCAGAGCGTGTTGCCGTCGTGGGACTAAGGCTTGATCGATTCTGTCTGTGAATTGTGGTTTGGCATTTGGCATCCCCTCATTTAGGTAGGTAGGTCACGTTAAGGGATCATCATCAGCCCTCTCTATTTTTGTGCCACACGCTAGTTCAACCAGATCTACACATCTAAGGTAGCGAGTATCTCACAAAAAGACTTCGAGATTAATCTCCAGCGTGCTCACCGGGTACCTACAACTAGTGAGTATGGGTGTACTTGAAACTTTGGGGGGAAAGGGGGCAATTTACCTCAAATCAAACTTCTCCAGTACAGTCGGATGCAAGACACCGAACTCGCCGATCCGCTGCAGCTTTCCTCCGAGCCGCACGTAGATGGCGGCGGCGCGCCCGTTGAAGAAGGTGGGCTCGTCGATTTCTTTAATGAAGTAGCCGTCCTGCTGGCTTGGGTTCTGCTTCACCTCAAAGTCGATGCTCTTCCCCGCTAGGCCCTCTTCGTGTGTGACAAAGGCGACACGGAGCATCGTCATGACGCGATCTAGAAGCCCGTGGACCATTTCAAAACCACTGGTCTTGCCGTAGTAGGCGGCCGCCCAGTGACGCTCGTTCCTCGCCCGCCGCTCAGACGACTCATCCTTGAGGACAACATCAGACGCCTCGAAGATCTCCAGGGGCAGGCGCATCGCTTTGTTTTCGCCCAGAGTCTTGAGTAGGCCAGGAAGCAATGACGTCCGGGCGATTTGGTATTCAACCGTCTTCGGGTTGGCAAGCTTAACTGCTGTCGTCCCGTCGTCCTTGCGATTGAGCCACTCGAAATTCTCCTCGTGCGAGCAGAGGATGAGGGGCATAACCTCGGCCCATCCTGCCATGGCGGACTCATGACGGACAATATCGCTGAGTTTGTTGATCATCAGCGGCTTACCGACAGTAACTGACTTGTTGGGAGTTGATCGCGGGAGATCGTTGAAACCGTAGGCAATGGCGACATCCTCCATCTGGGAGACGGTCAGTGGGGTTGGCGGACAAGCAGGAAACCGGATAGAGGCTAGAACCTACCACATCACATGAGTGCAAAACGTCTGCTCTCGTTGGCGGCACCGTAACCTTGAGCAACTTTGGGTTTTCCAACGGCTGCGCACTTAATGCCATCTTGCTCAAGAGCTTAGATATCGACTCGGGGGACTCCTCAAGACCGCAAACTTGGTTCAGATAATCCACCTCGACCTCCATCGTCCGCGTAGCCAAGCTGGGTGTTACCCGGGTAGTGCCGTTGTGGTCCGAAATCACTTTGACAGGTTCGATCGTGAAGGGCTCGGCGCAGTACTGGGAGAACATGGTGACCATAATATTGCAGACAATATCGAGCTTGGTCTGGTCTGTCGCTGTCATGTCGATGAACACGTTCGTGGTGTTGAGCGTGATCTTGGAACGTTCGCTGTTGATAATGGGAGGTAGCGAGCAAATGTTCCTGTCGGCATCGAGAATGACGGGGTAGACAGGCTTGTCTCGGAGAATATGAAGATATTTGCCGAGGTGCCTGTCCGTCTCGTAGAAGCCCATGAGTTCCTCGCCATTGATTTGCTTGGTTTGGTTCAGCGGGACAAAGTTTATGTCCTTCGGCGGCAAGGCCTCGTATGTGAAAGGACCCTTGATGGTGTCGAGGTCGTGTGTTCCGATCCTGCACGACAAGGATTAGTGGCTCGCCGTTGAGAGAACATGACCGGGTGCCACTCACGCAACCAAGGTGCGCTGTCTCGCCAGGTTTTGATGGAGCTTGTCCTGCAGGCCGATGAAGGAGTCGTAAGAGGCCTGTGTAAATTTGATGTTGCGAAGGATAGCGGCGGCCGCATACGGGCGGACCTGCGCCGTATCTTTTGTGATGGTGAGGGTTTGCATTTTGTCCTCGGGAATCTCGACCAGCCTCCAGTTCGGTGTCGCGTGCTTGCCCCGGAAGATGTTGAGGTTGGTCACAATGCCTAGTAGCCGGTTCTTTTTAGAGTCCTGTTTTGCAAGTTCATCGCGTCGAAGTTATCCTACCCTCGAAGCACAGCATGTCATATCGGTTGGCGGGGATCTCGATGGCCAACTCAGGGGCCTGGTCCTTGGGGCGTGACGGGTCATGTTCAGTATCCCCGTCGAGCTCAATGCCGAAATCGAAACACAGCTTTTGGAAGCTATCCCCGGGGAACCTGTGACATGACGACGTTGGATCAGTCTCGAGTTATTCGAAGGTGGGATGCGCCATGGCGGGGTAATCCTTCTTACTGCTCGCCGAGCGCCTCGAAGAGGGCGTATTTATCGACGTTGATGGTCGGCATCTTGGAGCACTCGGTGGCTTCTCAGGAATCGAGCACCTTTTAATCCGAATTGGATGGTGTAGCTCCTGGACAAGCTCGTCAACACTAAGTCGACTCTTCGGGTTCCTGAACTTTTGACACACGGCCCAGCCCGACACCAAGCCAATCTCTCGCCCAGAGATGACTCAAATGCGGGGCAGACTTTCTGCCGCCCTGAACACGCAGACCGCCTGCTGGGGTCGCGGGTCCCACTGGCCGGCCTGACAGGAAACGGACTAATCAATCTCCGCGTTCCGGGCGCAAGCCCCAAGTGAAAATTGCAGGTGTGCACAGACCAACCACACATTGGTATTTATTGCCCCTCCGCTTCCCAAAACTTGGTCCTCTTCTCTTTTTCTTCTTCATACTTACCTTGATTGGGTACACCTGGATCATGAAGCAGGGGTACCAGGGTGATAGGCCTGCATTGCACATCGCGGAGCCAGTCATCCTGAATTGTCCTTCGGGGCCGTTCCGGTCGGAATTTTTGATGTCAAACCACTCTTTTTCACTATGATCGCTGCTTGAGTAGCGACATGGAGACGAAGAATCTCAGTTTGCATGCGAAAATTGACGGGTCTTGGACATGCACCTGCAGGCATCGTTGCAAAGTAATCTGTAGTTTGACGCGTGTGACTCGACCTGCCTGGCCACCGTTATTACTTGAGCTCCTCTGATTACATTTCGTGGCTGTATTTCAAGACGTGAACTAAACTGTGATATGGGTGTTGTGTTTAACCTGCCGTCCATGGGTCAGTCTGAATGCCGGACATGCCTTTCGTAGATACATCCGCCAGTCCGGAATGCAGATGTACGAAATTAATTCCGTAGTCCCTTTACGTGGGAAATGAAGGAGATGGAAAAGAAGTATTTGTGGCTGGGGCGTATCATTAGCTAGGACGAGGGCAACATGTGGGAAACAACAACAACAATGGATTGCGGTGGTATCATCTATCCAGAAACCCCAATCTATGAGCAACGAACAACAAGAATAATGTCATCAGGACGCGACATCGTCAACTCCCACCCCCCTAAGCCAAAAAGATCTGCGGTCATCCTTAGCCCGAGGGCCAGTCTCTCGCACCCTCTCAGATGTAGTCAACACAGTAACGTGATTCCCACGAGGGCAGAAGCTTGGGGTGTCCATCAACGACAACAGCAACAAACCCGCCTGTGACCGGTGAGACAAACGGTTAACAGACGTCAACGCGCAGCCGTAAACACACACAGCATCCCATCAAGTAGAGCCAAAAAAAAACATGCATCAAGTAGGTATCATCGACAAACAAACCAACAAAAAGATCCAACAAGCATATGCAAAAGCCCATCCTTCCAACCACAACCATCCCCACCACCACCACCAGTAACATCCAATCCCCCCAACCCCAACCACCTCACCACATACTCACTCGCATCACCCCATCAGCCCCGCCCCAATCTCGTTCTGCGCCATGAACGACCTAGCCAACTCATCCCCCCCTTTCTCCGCCGCCTCCATCCAATGGATAGCGACGCACATCAGCGCCGGATCGCTGCGCACATCCCCGAGCCTGCCGCCGCCGGCCGCACCGTCCTCCTTCCCAGCCCCGGCGCCGCCGGAGCCCCCACCACTGCCACCCGCGCCCCCAGCACCACCAGCACCGGCGTGGCCGTAGCGCGACGACGACCCGCCGCCGGCGTACTTCTCCATGACGGCCTGCTTGAACACCTCCCTGGGCTTGGACAGGGGCAGGGTGGTGCGCTGGACGAGCTCCGGGTTGGACAGGTAGAAGATGGCGAGCTCGCGCTGGGCGGTCGGGTCGCCCTCCTTGGCGGTGATGGTCCACATGCGCGCCGCGTCGGCGAGGGAGTGCGTGGACAGCGGCAAGGGGGAGGGCGGGGACGGCGGCGGGGACGGCGGGGGGAACTCGCTGGTTGGCGTCGCCGCCGCCGAGTCGGATGCCGTGCTGCCCGCCCGGTTGTTGGCGGCCGCGGCGCCGCCGTTGCGGGACTGCGTGTAGTTTCGGACGATCTCGTCTGCGACCTCGACCATGGTGCGGCAGACCTCTTGTTTGAGGCTGAGGGCGGCGATGCCGGCGTCCCAGAATGACTTGCCCCGCTCGGTCTTGTCGAGGACAGCAGGGGAACAGAAAGCTGAGATGAATTGTAGGTCACGGAAGAGGGTCTTTGGGCGGAGAGACGGGTCGCGGAATAGTGTCTGGAGGATGTTGGCCACCGCATCGGTGTTGGCTGGGTAGACCGAAGCGATGGAGCGGGTTTCTGCGTTGCCTCCCCCGCCTGATACGCGACCTCCTTGTGTGTGACCGCCCGTGCCGAAGCTGGGTGCTTGCATCATAGTGTATGAGCGGCGTTCTTTGACATTGCCGATCGTCTCCTCCAAGGGTTGGGATCTGTTTCCCAGGGCGCCGTTTCCGTGCTCCTCGGTGGCGGAGGACGCCGACCCTAGGTCGGAGCGTGCCCACGCCAGTCGGGCTCGCCGGGAGCCGGAGTTGAGAGATGCGGTGATCAAATGTTCCAGTTCGCAGAGTGCGTTTAGTTTGACCTGGGGGTTGGGATGAACGCAGAACATTTTTAGAAGCCGCTGGTATGCCTTGGTGAAAGGGAAGTCGGGCATCGTTTCTTTCCTCGCCTCTTGGTTATGTCTCCGGGCCGAGATGGTATCGCTTGTCGCCGAGCTTTCATTGCCATGGATGCTTCCTCCGTGTACGCTGCCACGTTGACTACCACGTTGGCTCCCCCGCTGACTGCCACCAGCCCCTTCAGGGCCGAGGCTCTGCGTATCGGAAAGAGCCTTGTCACTGAGCGTATCGTTACCGCTGGTTCCGCGCAGATCACCGAAACTTCGGTTCTGCTCGAGAAATCTTTGCTTCACGCTGGCCTTGGCAGACTTGCGTTTATCCTTGGCCTGCGCTTTACGCGCACGCCGGTGGATTGCCTCTCGACGGTCGATGCACTCTTGACCCAGGCCCTCGAACCACGCGTCCGTTTCTGATCCGCGGGCAAAAACAAGGTTACCTAGGTCAGAGAGGAGGAGGCTGGTCAGAGTTTGCCTCAAGTCGGCGAGGAAGCGGGACTTCTCGTCGGACTGTCGTTGCTGGTACACCGTTTCATTAGACGAAGCCGATGTACCTGGGCGGCCAGTTGCTGACTGAGGCTGCGAGGGGATTTGTTGGTGATGCGGCGGATGAAACGAGCCTGAGAGGTTCGTCAGGCTGGTGGTCGGCGAATGCGCTCGGGACGCGGCACTTGGTGAGGTGGCCCGGTGTTGGAAAGGTGACCAGAAGGTTGCGTTGGGGTCGATTTGGTGGACTGGAGACGATGCACCAAAGTATTCGGGCCCGTCTAGAACTTCGGACATGGCTGTGCTCGCGCGAGAGAAGCCGAAACGGCTCGACTCGAAGGACATTTGGCTCATGCTACCGGACATGGCCCGCATGTCCCTACTATTGATCGAAGCAGGGCGGCTGACAGATACGAACCTGCGGTCAGGGTCGCTGATGACACTGATTGAGTCATCCCATACGGATTGATTGTCGCGGTCTCGGTCTCGCGGAGCTTTGCCGGTGGTCTCGAAAGCCCGTCGATCTCTGGCGAAAAGTTCACTCGACCACAGCACCGGCCCATCGATGATACTGTCGCCGACGAGTTTGCTTACGCAGTTCTCCACCTCACAGCAGAACCGGTGAATACGCTCTTCGCCCTGACAGAAGTTCTCGACACCGGACTGCTGCAGCCAGCGGCTGGTTTTCTCGGCTTGTTCGTCGCGGAGTTTGTTTGGGCCTCCTTGGTCCTCTGGTGCCGCGAGGAGGTCAAGAATTTGGGACTCGGTCCTGAAGATGTAATTCGATGCGGGGCCCCTTTGCATGTGGGTTTTGATGCGTTGGAAGGAAGACCACCGGCGAGACGCACCCATCGTCTTCAATGCTGCCGCGACGTTCCGCGAGTCCTCGTATGGCGCCGAGTTTCGCACGTCTGTTACGTACCACATCTTGTCGCGGAGAGACCGTAGGCGCTGCATCATGCCCTCGATCATCCCCTCTGCTCGCTCTTGGCTTTGCTTGAGCCAGACTAGCCAGGCGTCGTATTCTTCAATAGCAGCGGCGGAGCGGCGGATCGAGTCTCGCGGGCCACGGGAGAAGATGTTGAGAAGCGCCGAGAATCCCTCGCGCCGCAGCGAGTCGGATGACAGGGCATTGAGTTGCTGCAAAGTCCTCCAGTAAAGGTGTGCGTTGACAAAGTCAGATTGCGCCCGAGACTGCGAGCAGGCGGCGGTCAACATGGTGACGAGCGGGGATGAGTTCTCGGCAGCCTGGTCGGCCTCCTTCCCCTTGGCGCTCTTTGGGGGGCTCTCGGCGAGACTGCTCGCGATGCTCGCGGCCCTCTGGCGGTAGGGATTCCGGCTCCCCATAGTTGTGATGATGCGATTTTTGTTTCGGTACTTTTTGAGAGTCGAGGCCCGGTTGCTAAAGGTCTGCTGTTTGGCTCCATCGCTTTCCAGGCCCTGGGGGATTTCGTAGTCCTGGACTAGTTTTAGGATGGAGTCGCGCAGCTGGTGGTAGTCCTTGTTGAGTTCAGGGCGCCCGTCATCAGTCTCCTCGCCCTCGGTATCACTCGTACTGGAGGAGTTCTGCTCATCTTCGATCTCGTCGTCTGGATCAAAGGTCATATGGGTGGACAGCTTATTTCCATCGGCCGATATGAACAACACAGACCAACGCTCGGCGCAGGGGTGGCATAGTCCGTACACAACGTCTTGGCCCAGGATTTGTGTCATTTCGTGCATGGCCAGCCGCAGGCGGTACCCGTCATCTTCGTAATTCTCTGGCTTCTGAGCAACGGGCTCCTGCGCAGACGGAGAATGGCGGCGTGGGCTCTCTTCCTCCGCGAGGGGCTCTCGAGAGGTTGTGGCGTCACTGAAAGACGACTCTGCGCTGGTACTGAGAACGGACATGGTATCAAAAGTGCTTGGTGCGGTCCTGATAGACATGGGTTGCGAGATGGTAGAGAATCCGGAAATTGATGGTGCCCCAGACCGGAGGCTGCTTGAGCGTGCCGACCGTGGCCTCCGTTCGGGGAAAAGGGCGTTAACCACCGTGGCAAGGTCCGCTGGGCTGAGGACCAAGTACGGGCGGACCTCGGCCGTTTCCCGGAGAGATGTAATGGACCGCGCCGGTAAGAGCCTGGGCTTCTTCCGAAACTTGGACGGGTCCTTGAAGCGGCTGTATATACTCTCAATGTGGCCTTTGATCTTGGGTGGCGTGGACACAGGGGTCATGCTGTGCAACATGTCGACGACGTACTTCTGAGCGTGCATGGCCACCGTCTTGAGGATCTTTTGGCGGCCGTATTCGGTGATGTGATAATCGGCCATCATGCCGTAGGCTTCCGGGTGGATGACAACGCCAAGCAACCAGACTGTGAACATATACTTCGCGATTAGCCACCTGCGGGTGCTCTCGGAGTATCTCCTATCCAAACGTTTCAGGAGTTCATTGCCTAGTTCCAGTAAGCCTTCCGGAATTCCTGTGGCATCCTCGTCATCGATGACCTCAAATAGCTCATCGACGGCCTTGGTGTAGAACTCCTCGGCCGCGATCTGGTCCTTGGACGACCAATCCGAAAGGTTAATGCGGGTACCATGCTGATCCTCGGCACGATCAAGTAAGAAGGCTCCATCCTCTAGGATCTTCATTAGATACCATTCCATGTTAGACTTCCCTGCCCAGTCGCGCATCGAGACCCAAACGTTCATCACCGAGGTGACAGTCTGCTCGCTGCCGGTTGTCTGAGTGGAAATCAGGCGTGCGCAGGTGGTGGCCCAAGTAACGGTCCGGCGTTTGTCTTCGGCGCTGTCTGGGCCTGCGGAATTGGCAAAGCAAGTGTAGATGAGGGCCGAGATGGGGTCATGGCGTTGGAAAGATAGCAGCCGCTCAATAGCGCTGCGTTCCTTGCCGGCTCCTCCGGCTCCGCTGGATCCGGGAACGGCGGAACTGCCCGAGACGGACCGGCCCGACGACCGGCCGTGGTAAGGGAGAACGGATTCGATGGGTTCAAGGGCCTGATGGAAGCTGGTGAGAGCGGCAAGCTCCGAGTTCTTGAGGGACGCGATGCGCGTGGCCAAATAGTCTGGGTTAGTCCTGATCTGATTCAGAAAGTTCAAAAAAGTCTCTCGGGATGAGGCAGAAATCTCGTTAAGAAACGGCGTCACAGCGTTCGGGGACGCGCTTGAGCCGGTGACAGATCCGGTTGGGGTATCCACGCTATCGGACGACGTGAGGCCGGGCGCCTGCAAGAGGTCCATCTCTGGCTCCAGTAGCGCATACCGGCGGGTCTCATCGCAGCTTCTTCGGACATCGATGACGGCGTTATACAGGGCACCAAATGTCTTCTTGTCATCGCCGCGGAAGCCGTCCACCAGGTTTCGATGGGCCATCTCACCACATCTCATCAACCGGGCGGAGAGGGCCGTGGACACCAAACTCCGTTGGAGGCGGATCCTTGTGTTTGCGCGCTTGCGCTCCTGGTACTTGGACAGTCGTACAAGGTGCGCCAGTTCCTCCAGGCTTGTCCCCTCGTTCTCCGGGCCGAGGTTAGGGTTTGTGTACAGTGACACATCAGTCAGCAGGGGCCGCAAGAACTTCATGTTGCCATGCTTGTCACTCGGCAGGGATGGAGTAAATCCGGTGTTCTCGAGGCTATCGGAGGAATCGTTCGGCGCCGCCGCCGTCGATAGGGTGCTGGGCTGGTCGATGATCGGTTTGCTTCGCGTCGAGGTCGAACTCGGTATGTGGGGGAGGGGGGGGCGGCGGGCGGCGTCATCGATGCGGCGTCCGGGGCCGTTCATCGAGTCTCTGGTAGTGCGGGACGGGCTCCGCGATCGCAATCGGCGGGTGCGCTGAAGTTCCACATGGTTATCGGAGGGAGAAGGGGTCGGTGACCGCGTAGCAGGGGCCGACCGTGCTGTGGTTGGGACGAGAGAAGTCAGCATTGCGACCTCTCAGAGTTAGCGATATTCCCTCCCAACATACGCGGCGAAGGGTGAATGGCGGCGGGCGGCGGGGGGGAGCGCTGCATGGATCGCATAATGGGCCCATGAGGGGAATCGAGCTGGCGACTGCGATCGCCCATAAGCTATGGGGGAAGATTCGGTGGACTCGAGGACCAAGAGATGAGTGGGTGGTTGGTGGAATCAGAATCAAGTTGCTCTCTCGTACGTTGGGAAAAGCAGGATAGCGGGCGTGGGTAGTATGTAGGTTGGTAGGTGATCTAGTGTTGTGTTCTGGGTGAATGTTGACTAGGTAGGTAAGTACCGCGTAGGTGTTAGGTCGGTAGGTAGGTAGTTATGGAAAGCTTCGGCTCTGGTCGGCTCGCGACCAAAGTATTGGGCTCAGAAGTCCCGCGGGGTCATTGTCTCGTCGGGAAAAGGAGCGGCAGTGATTGTAAAGTGTTCGTCTGAAGGCTGTGGCGTTGGGACGGTGAGATGACGTTGCAGGCTGCCGCTGAGGCCCTCGACAGGAAGGGATGGATGACGGGAGCAAAGAAGAGGGAGCGTGTTTCCCTGCAGCTTCCCAAGCACAGCAGCACAGCATTGCCCGGGATGGGTGCTCTGTTGATGTCGGGTCCCAGGTCCCACCATTTGAAGCGTGGGGTAAGGGACGACCAGCCAGTAGCCCAGGCCACGGGGCCGCTAATCCCGATAGGGTTCCCCCCCAGTGGCCGGGGTGGGAACAAGCCACTGGGCTGTTCATCTGCCACGCCCAAATCCTTGTCTTCCCTCACACACCCGCCTCCCATTGCCTCCAATCCTGTGAGCTTGTTCTGTCCTGTGTCAATCCACAACCACAGCCCTGGCAAATGGTGAGCGAGTCGGTGACCTGTGAGCTGGCTGGCGAGCCGCAGCACCGCATTTGCTTCCTCGCACAATCTTTTTGCTGGTGGCCCAGTTTTCTTTTTCTGGGGGGATGACCGTTGCCCCGCCAGTCGTCTTTCCCCTTTTCGAAGGCCCGATGGAAGCCCGACACGACCTCGGGTTTCCAATTTGTGAGCCAGGGCGGCCAGCCAGGCCACACAATCATCGAGGTCGCGCTTCAGCTCCCCTTTTCCTTGATTTATCCCACGCGTTTTGATGCCTCGTCCGCCTTTTTTTTTTATCTTTGATTTCTTGCCTCACCGGACTGGGTACCAACTACCAACCCGCCCAGGATCTCGGCGTTTTCTCGCGATGCTCAGGCACTCACCTGCCATCCTTTGCCTGCAACCACCATGCAAGATTCAACCAGCCTGGAAGTAGATGGCCGAGTTGCTGACGGCCCAAAGCGGTTGCAAACTGCCAACTCAGCAACGCCGGGCGCCGGGCTGGGAAACGAACAACCTTACACGGCGCCTAAAGTGGCAATCTCCTGTTTCCCGAAACAACCATGCGCCGTCATCAAATAATTGTCCTTGGCCTCCCGCTCGAGCCTCTCCCCTCGGTTGTGTCTCGTCTCCTTTTGTCGAGGAGACGCCGGCAGGGTCTTTTGCTCAACAATGTGTACTTTCTGGTGTGTGGTTCAAGTTCAACGAAAGTCGCTCTCAGGCCACAGCCCCGCTGCGCTGGCCTTGCAGATCGCCCCGCCTTTGCCTGGGCAGGGGTCCCATTTTTTGCGGCCGGCATGCCTCCAGCCATCCAATCTGCGCCGTCCACGACCCAAAACCACAAGGACGGAACCCGCCTGCATCGTCGAGCCCCAGCATCATCCGGCATGCCAACTCAGCCGTCGCTCGCCAATCAACTCCCGCCACCATGCCTCGCTCTTCCCGCTCGCCTCTTGCCGGCAGGAGCCCGCCGCATCTCTGACAGTTTCCGCTGGCCTTGGTTCCAGGGACCATGCTTCTTTTGCCCCAGCCGAGGTCCCGAGCTGCCGCCATCGCCCATGTCTTCGTGTCAGCTCAGGGCAGAGGAAAATCAAAGAAGCCCCGGGAACATGGTCTGGTTCGATCGGTTCAGCTCGACAGGCGGAGGAGCGTGCCGTGTAACAGGACGAGAGTCAGTGGGAGCTGCTGATTCGCAACGGCCGAGATCTTGCAGGCGATCCCCCGCCGAGGCCCTGGTTGGAGGGTGGGTGGGTTGGATGCAGTCGGTGCGCCTCCTGGACTCGGCTCCGATGGCCAGCTTCTGAATCAGGCGGGCTGCCGCCTTCCATTGGCTGCCGGTTCCCGGCGCTCTCCCGTGCGCCGCCGGCGCCGGCGCCTATCATCGACTCCATATCTGTTCCCCCGCCCTTCTTCAAACGCCTCACCTATGGTGAGCGGACAGCAACGCTGCAAGGAAACCACTCGCAAAGATGTCCCCGACCCGGGATGCTGACGGACAACGCGTGGCCCCATGGGCGAGCGATGTGTCACCGTACTCGGTCGGTCGGAAAGGTTCAGCTCGTGCTGTGTAATCCACTAACACGCACATGACATGTAAACGCAGGAGGACTGGGTGAACAGAACATGACTGTCGTCGCACAAGGAGTTGTCACATTTTGGCTCACAGCCACCGTCGAGGCGGCCAGCTCACTGGATGCCGCTCCCCTCCGTCGGCCTTGCGCCGAGTTCGCCCACATCTCCCTCGCTGCTTGGAGTGTGTTTTGCGGGTCTGGCGGATGGATGCTTCCGCTTGTTGGAGTTGGCACTATGCAGGACCTCGTAATGAGGATGCATGCATTTGCAGAAACAAGAAGCCTTACGGGTGAGTCAAGAAATACGTATTTGCCATTTGTTGCTCTTAGTCGGCCTCAATTTTAGGGCAAACCCTAATCCATATGTGGGATATCCCCTTCTTCGCCCGTAGAAAGCATGTATGTACGTACATAATAATAACAAGCAACCCCTCCTCAAAGCAGCCGTCCCCGAACCCGGAGATCGGACGGCTGTCGTCCAATCCCAACCGCCCACCCCGCTCACCCTCCCGCTAGCTAATGCAAGTGATATCCGACGAGTTTCAACAGCGCGCGCGCGCGGAAACGATCGAGAAAACGACGCGGGAAGCAGCAAGTTTGTTGGTTCGGCCGCAGACATGGCCGCATGAGCCTGCCGCCCGCCACTTCCCCGTCCATTGACGGCCCCGTCCCCTTCACCCCATCTCTCACCCCAAAACCAGCACGACCATGGCAAGCACATGACTTCCCCGACCTGCACCGGATCACCCCGCCCGCATCCCCGGGTGCAGCCACCTCCCCCCCCCCCCCCCCCCCCCTTCCTCCTCGAACCCCGCCCGGAGTCTTCCCCGGCCGCTGAACGATGCACACACACACACACACACCTTGATTGCATTCACTCACCCCTGCCAAACCGCACATCAAAGTCCTTGAGCACGCTCATGATGCTCGCGGCCTCGACCTCGATGGGCGCCCGCGCGTCGCGGCCGCCCCCGCCGCGGCGCGCCCCCACCGGCCCCGGGCGCGGCACCGGCAGCGCCTTGAGCTTGGGCAGCCACGACCCGATGTCGTCGGCCGCCTCGTCAAAGTGCCGGTGGCTGGCCAGCGTCTTGTAGGCGTCGGCGCAGGAGAGGCTCAGGCCGAAGCTGTTGGTGTTGGCGCCGCTGGCGGCGGTGGTGGTGGTGGTGGTGGTTGGTCTTCGGGACAGTGCCATGGAGGGGAGGGGCGCGATGGCCGCCGGCTGGGGCTGTGGCTGTGGTTGTGGTTGTGGTGGTCCTGATTTGCAGCACCCGCCTGGGCCACCGTTTCCGCAGCATCCACCGCTGCCACCGGCGGGGTTGTTCTTCTCAAAGTTGGCTGCGAGCGAGCGGCAGAAGAGGCCTGATTTCGGGTCGGCGACGCATTGCGCGCAGGTGCCGGGGCCGTTGGGGCCGCAGCCTCCAGGCCGCGCGGTAGGTCTGGCGGTTTGTCTCTCTTGTAGTGAGCGCAGTCCCGGGAGCTTGATAGCCCCTGTCGCTGTGACTTCCATGGGCATGGGGACCACATCATTATCCGACGGGGGAGGGGTATGTGTTTGTGTGTGTTCGGCCGTCTCACCAGCAGGTGCTGGCAAAGAGGCGGGCGACATCATAGAGTCTGCACACACGCAGTATGTTCCGTCCTTGCAAAATCCGCAAGAGTCCCTGGGTTCTATCGAAGCCATGGGTTGGAGTTGTGACTGAGTCGGCGGGGGAAACATGGCCTGCGCCGGCTCTCTACTACCCTGTGAGGCAAAGACGGCCGTAAAGTCTGTCTCCATGACGATGCCAGCATCGGAACGCTGCCGCTTGTCTTCTGGTGATGTTGACGGCGGCGAGCTCGGAGGCAGTGGCCGCTTCAAGTCGGGGTTGGCCATCGATAACCCCAGAGATTCTTCCAAGCATTCGCATCTAGTACCCAAAGAACACCTACCGCAACCCATAGGGATATTTGCGGTTCCTAGGACTTCTTCCTCGCATGTGCAGGAACCAGTTGACTGGCAACCGCCGCAAGTGAGGCCGACTGACGGTGCTTCGTCTGGCGGTGAGACGATCTGAGAGATAGAGAATGGTTGGGCTTGCGGCCGTGGTTCGGCGACAGGAACTGGACGGGTTGTAACGTTTCTCGACGGTGCTGGTTGCAGTGGCCGCATGTTGTGAGATGGCCCGCCTCGTGCTTGCATCTGTCCCGTCACAGAAATATCGTTGCTTGCACCACCTGGTTGATCGTCCCAGCTACCAGTCATGCTCCCGCGACCTTGTCGTGATTTCTGTAGCATTGACTCCAGCCACTGGCACCTCGACTGAAGCGTCTGCGTTTCGGTTTCCAGATGGTTGATCCGGTCCTGCAACTCCCGGACTGTCTGCTCGTGGATAGCCCTTTCCTCCTCCATCTGTTCCTCCAGCTCCCCCACGCGAGCTGCTCTGCGTTCCCTGAATGCCCTCTGGGCGGCCCGATTTTGTGCCTTGCGCTTGGTTGGCGGGGTGTCGGTAGCAGGCTTGCGGCCAGGTTTCGGCCGAGGGGGTATGACCCACTCCTTGCTGGTCATGCACATGGCCTTGGGCTGTGACATTGAGGCTGGTGACGTGACAATCGATTTGGCCCTCCCGTTCATTCCCATCGAAGACGAAACCGAGGATGAAGTATTTGAAGTGCTAGGCCGGATTGCGATTGGAGGCGCTGTTGAGGATGAAGATGTGGGAGTGGAGACGTTTGATGGCGAAGCAGCCGAAGCGGGGCTGGACACGGCATTCGAGGAGCTGTGGTTAACTGCGGTTGTGATTGAGAGCGTTCTTAACGAGCCTGCATCCGCGTTTCCGGGAGCCAAACCCGGATTCGGTTCAGTGGTGATAGCCGCCATGCTTGCGGGTTGTCTCGTAAACCAACTGGGATTCGCCAGAAGGTGCAGCGGAGTATTTTAATGTCGCAAAGTTTTCCAAATCTGCCAGAATCGCCGCTCCGAACCTGTGATAGACACGAAAGCAAGCAATGAGGCTCTTCGGTCGGATATAAGCCAAAACCGGGTCTTGAATATCACTGGCGAGATGCTGATGGTGGCTGAATGGCCAGGTCTCGAGAGTCGAGAATGTCAACGACGTTGCACACGACACGGGCGTAGGAACCCCGCACTCTTGACGCTCGAAGCAGCGAACGTCTTTCCTTGTAGGGGAATTGAATTCGATAGTTCGACAGGATTTGAAGGTCGTTGTCCGGGCTTCCGGGAGTCGTTGAGAGAGCTGCAAAACCGATGGTATGACTGAATCGACACGTTGTGTAGCTGCGCTGATGGAATTGATGCGTCGTGGTCGTGTTTCCAAACTGAAGCGGAATGGAGAAAACTCCTCTTCTTGGTCTGACCGAGGACCGGCGACAAGGGAAGTTCCGGGTAGCAAGGCCGGAACCTGGGAGTGCCGCGAAAGCGCAAGCCAGCTGAGCGTTGTGATTCGGCAGCCGTTGGGATGGAGATGCTGATCGAACCACTGATTGATTGATAAGATAATTTTCACGCACTACTCCGAAAGCGGTTTGGCGCAGGTGAGGTCGACGGCCACCATGCACCCGCCGATGCATGCGTCAGGCCACTGCACTGCTCAGTCTTCCGAAGTCCCGGAGAATGGTCCGTTGGGCCAGGATGGAACAGGAAGAGATGCAGCCGGGGATCAAGCGATTTCGGGTACGGCCTGCGACGGTGAAGCACTGCCCGACCGCGAACCCGATACTACGGACTCACGAGAGGTCCAGAGCGATGTCGGAGGTCCTGGGATGACACTCCCTCAACCTGAGCAACTGAAGCTGCGCACGCACAGTACGTAACATTTATCGGAGCCCCGTCGATATCCGGCGGCGGTACGGATGCCACAGGGACGAGGCCGGAGACCAAGTTGGGGTCTGGGCGCGGAGGTGAATAATAAGTTCCAGTTTCCTCGAATCCAAGTTTTGACGCGGTGGATTGTAATTGAAGCGCTCTCTTGGATGCTTAGAACCGTCGATAAGGGATTTGGTAATTCACGCTTGCGCACATGGCTCCGGCTCGCCCGCCAATCCAGGTAAGCCGGGTGAGCCCGGGGGAATGAACCACTGGCCGCTTTTGGCTCACCCGCTCGCAAGTCCAACCGTCCCGCCTACAAGCAACCACATCCCATCCCACCCCTCCATCCCACCCCCATCCTACCTACATCCATCTTTGACAATAACCTGAAATTTGAACCCAACCAACCACCACTACGGCCATTACCACAACGCTAAGCACCCCAACTAGCCTACTCCCACCCTGCTTTCTGTCGCGTCACACAAATTCCTTACCGCCCATGTCTCAAGCTCGCCTGTTGCGGGACCTTCCCGAGGACGAACCATGGCCACCAGTTCCACCCGACGCCGATGTTAATGTGTTGGACACCGAAACGCCCGAACTCGTGGTAACTGCGAACTGCATGATCTACCGGATCACAGGGCAGCCCTCCAAGGTCTTCAAGTTCGGGGGTGAGTTTCGAGAATACCAGCTTCACAAGGCCGCCGGGGACTGCGCCATTCCAGTCTATGGGAAGGTGATCGGCAAACCGAAAATCGGGAATGGCAGCCTCTACTTCTACGGCTTTATAATAGATCTCGCCACTCCTATTTCAACACCTGGGACCGTGCCACCATCGCAACGCCGTAGCATCATGCACCAGATGATTCGTATTGTTGAGCGGCTACACACGAAACATATCATCCACGGTGATGTAAAGCTGGAAAACATGCTTCTCGATAACCAAGGTCGACTTCGGCTTTGTGACTTCTGCGAGGGGCGGTATATCGACGAGGACGAGCGCATCTGGGATGGAGCTTGGACCATGCATTTTGAGTCACCAAACAGGCTCCAAAGGGCCCAACAGTCTGAACGTAGCTTACCGCCACCTACGGTAGAAGATGATATGTATGGCCTTGGTCTGAGTGTCTGGCAGCTGTACACTGGGAAGATTCCGCATGGAGATGTTGTCGGTGATGATCTGGAGCTCAAGGAAAGACAGCGGCAGGGACAAACGGTCGACGTAGGTATAGTACAAGATCCGGAGGCCCGTGAGATCATCACAACCCTTCTTCGTAGAGGAGGGGCTCGTATTTAGCACAAAGTATAGCGGACTGTTGATGATTGCTGGTGTCGTGGCATTGGGTACAGGTAACTTTACACGGGAATACGCGTGAAAACGGTCGTAAATTACGCCCCCGGCAATGCGCACGCACCGCATATTGCCAAGCATCTTGCGTTCTCAAGCTCCAAACACAAGGGTCGAACGTTCGACGACGGACCGAGAACGAAGCACAACACAGCTACCACGCCAAAGCACGAGCGAGGCCAACGGCTCAATTCTCAAGTTGCCGTCATCTCAGCCACGCCATTACCAGAACAACCCAATCCGCTCCCACCAAACCAGAACACACCAACCATGGCGCACCTCGCCCCCCCTTCCCCCAACTCGCGACCAACATCCTCCTACTCCTACACGCCCTCACAAACGTACAACCTCCCCCACTCCACCCGCCCCTCCTCCCCCTCCGACTCCAGCGACAGCGACTCCTCCGACCTCCCGCTCCCTTTCCCCGCCGCCCTATCCCGCCAAGACTTCCTCACCCCCAACTTCGACGCGGCCGCCTACCTCTCGGCGCTGCACACGGGCGGGCCCGCGGCGCGGCACCAGACGCTCGAGGACCTGCGCGCCGAGCTGCGCGAGCGCAGCGCCGCCATCAGCGCCGAGCTGCTCGAGCTGGTCAACGCCAACTACACGGCCTTCCTGGGGCTTGGTGATGGGCTGAAAGGCGGGGAGGACCGGGTGGGGGATGTGCGTGTTGCGCTGCTGGGGTTTCGTCGCGCCGTCGAGGAGATCCAGGCCAGGGTGCGCGAGCGCAGGGTGGAGGTGGGGAGGGTGAATGGGGAGGTGGCGGGGGTTAAGAAGGCGGTTGAGGCCGGGAGGCGGATGTTGGAGTTGGATGAGCGGGTGGCGGGGTTGGAGAGAAGGTTGGCGGTTGGGAGTGGTGGGGAGGGAGGGAAGAAGGGGTTCCAAGGTGGGGGTGATGATGAGGATGAGGATTGGGGGGATGATTTCGACTCTGCGGGGAGTGATGGGGAGGAGGAAGATGAGGATGAGGAGGGCGAGTTCGTCAGCAGCAGCCCGGCAAAGTTGACGGCATTGGCGAAGGAGTACGTGCTTGCTGAGCAGATTGCGGAATCGATCGGTCGGGATCTACCGTTCGTGAGGAAAATGGAGGAGAGGATGCTCCGTTGCCGGAACACAATCCTGCTCGATCTGAGCACAGCATTAAGGGAAGCCCGCAAAGCCGGCCTGCAGGGTCAAGGGCGCACATTGAACTACTTGGGGATATACAGGATCTTAGACGCGCAAGACGACGCGGTCAAGGTCTTGAAGGGAAAATAGGAACCCGGCACCGCACTCCCAATTCGCTTTAGATACCCAGCCGCTCGGGGCGGTTTGCTTCATGAAATTATGGTACACAACATACATCTATGGTACAAAGGTTACATGGCGGACTGCAAGTCCTCCGGCTTCAGGGTCTCGTCGGCGGGGAGGAAGTCGCCGTTCAGGCTGAAGCCGGGCCCGTTGGTGGAGCTGAGAACAACCTCGTCAAGCGCCTTTGTGTAGCTATCGTCCACGTTGTTGATGTCCACCTGTAACAACTTCATAAGCGCCGTGACGTTATCGAACAGCATTTTGGGTGTGAAACCCAATTGGCCAACCGCCAGCCTCACCACGCCACTGCGCTCCCTGTATTCGTCCGCACCGATCAGCTCCTGCACCGTAGCCTTGAGGTCGGTCGTGATGGTCTTGGTCTTTTGGCTCGGCATCAAGCCCTTGGGGCCGAGGATCTTGCCAAGATTGGCCTTCTTCAGCGCGTCTTGGCTGTCGGCGTGGCAGATGAGCTTGTTGAATGGAATATTGCCTTGTCGGATACTCTCAAAGAGGCTATTTTCTCCCACGGCTACAGCACCGAGTTGTTGCGCCTCAATCATCAGAGGGCTGTCCTCGGGACAAATAACACCGATGCGTGTGTCGGTCTTGACAGGGAAAGGAAGACGGATTCGGTTCCGAACTACGGGGCCGCTCTTGTTTGTTTTAAGTTTGATCGATACCTCGTATTTGACGACAGCGGGCGGGCGGCCGACCTCGAAAGCGCGGATGTAGCTAAGCGTAAAGTTAGGAGGGGGACGTCGTGAGGGATGCTCCGGGGGGGTGGGGGGGCTTACCGCATAGCATCGCAAAGGGAAAACTGCTCCATCGGCGAGAGGTCGTATGATCGGAATGTCTTGTACGCCTTCTTCTTCTTTGGTGGGCGCTTGCGCATGCCGCCTCCGCCGGATGCATATCGAACCACGGGAACCGCCGTCGTGGGGAGCAGGAATTTGGGTATTGACGGGGTCGTTGTTGGCCTGGCAGGTGCTGTGAGGTTAAGCCTTGCCAACGAGGCAAGACACCGGTTTAGGGAAGCCATCTGCCGTGCCCCTAGCTGAACAATAGACTTGTCGTTGTGTCGCGAACTCGGGCCTCGAAGGTCGTTTCAATCAACAACTCTTCAGAAAAAAGTTGGGTCCAAGCTGCAGGTTTGAGGCCTCAATTCTTAGGCGGAACTCGGACAGGGGTTTACCGACCAGGGGTAATATTTCGACCGGGGTGGGCTTTCACCGCCCGACGAAACGGCACGCTACCCCGCCATGGATTGGGCGCTGCCCCTCTGCCCCTCTGCCCCTCCAAAAGTTTGCAGGCGTCAATAACAGGCGTTGAGTCAACGGCGAGATCAAACCACCCTGGCCAACGGTATCGTCCACCTCAACACACCACCGTCCAAACATAACCCCTCTCACACGACCACATAATGAAGGTAGACGAGCTCAAGCCGCTCGAGGCGCTTCTCACGGCCGATTTCCGCCAAATTGAGCCGCGGCTGCAGGAGCTCGACAAACACCTGATCCTCCGCACATACCTCGACGGCTACATCCTCGGGGATATCGACACCAAAATCTGGCTGGCTCTCCGTGGAAATCGTGCTGCTGTCTCATTCATCAAGCGGGGCAGCCTCGCCAATCTCGCCCGTTGGTTCCAGTTCATCGAAGAGAACCACCCCGAGATCCAGGCCGAGGTCAAGGCCAAGGATGCCGCCGCGAAGGCCAAGGTTGCTGCCGCTAGCAAGGCCGGCGCGAGTTATGCCTTGGCCTTGCAAAACTCCGAGAAGGGCGTCGTGACGCGATTCTTGCCGGAGCCCTCGTGAGCAACTAGAACGATCCTCGAGTGGAAGCGGATGAACTAACAGATACCTATCAGAGGATACCTGCACATTGGACACGCCAAGGCTGCCCTTCTCAGCGACTACTTCGCTCACCAAGCGTACAAGGGAACACTGCGCCTTCGTCTCGACGACACCAACCCATCTAAAGAGAAGCAAGAGTACCAAGATGCCATTATCGAAGATCTCGCGCTAATGGGCATCAAGCCCGACGCGCTATCTTACACGTCGGATTACTTCGACTACCTTTACGACATGTGCGTCCGCCTCATCAAGGAGGGCCATGCGTATGCCGATGATACCGACCAGGAGACGATGCGCGATGAGCGCTTCAAGGGTATCGCTTCGAAGCGGCGTGACCGGACCGTGGAGGAGAACCTGCGCATCTTTGAGGAGATGAAACAAGGCTCCGAGGAGGGTGTACAGAACTGCATGCGTGCCAAGCTGTCAGTCGATAACCCGAACAAAGCGATGAGAGACCCCGTCATCTACCGATGCAACATTGAGACGCCCCATCACCGCACCGGCACCAAGTGGAAGATGTACCCCATGTACGATTTTGCATGCCCTGTTGTCGACAGCCACGAGGGTGTGACGCACGCGCTGAGAGCCACCGAATACACCGACCGGAACCCCCAGTACCAATGGTTCTTGGATACGCTCAAACTCCGCCAAGTTTACATGTGGGACTTTGCGCGCATGAACTTCATCCGGACTTTCCTCTCCAAGCGTAAGCTTGCCAAACTGGTTGACACTGGGAAGGTTTGGGGCTGGGACGACCCACGTATGCCGACAATCCGTGGTGTTCGCAGGCGGGGTATGACTATTCCTGCTCTGCGCGACTTCATTCTCAAGCAGGGCCCTAGCCGGAACGTTGTCACCATGGACTGGACCAACTTCTGGGCCAGCAACAAGAAGGAGATCGATCCGATTGCCCCTCGCCACACCGCCATCCTGAAGAAGGACATCGTCAAGGTGACGGTGACAGGCGCCGAGGCCCCCGCGGAGCCCTTCTCGGCCGACAAGCCGAAGCACCCCAAGAACAAGGATGTTGGGACCAAGAAGGTCACCTTCGGCCCGGAGCTCCTCTTGGACCAGGTCGACGCCAAGAGCTTCAAGGACGGCGAGGAGATCACCCTCATGGCCTGGGGCAACGCGTTCGTCCGCCAAATCTCGGGCGGTGACCCCATCCCCAGCCTCACCTGCGAGCTGAACCTACAGGGCGACGTCAAGAAGACGGAGAAGAAGGTCACCTGGCTCGCCTCGCAGGGCCAGACGCTGGTGCCTGCCGAGCTGTGGGATTTTGACTACCTCATCACCAAGGACGTCCTGCAGGAGGAGGACAACCTGGACGAGTTCCTGACACCCGTCACCGAGACGATGGACGATGCGTGGTGTGACGGGGCCGCAGCGGTACTCAAGAAGGACGACATCATCCAGCTGGAGCGGCGCGGCTACTACCGTGTGGACAAGGGGCTGAACGACTGGAAGGACGGCGAGGAGGGGCCCAAGGGCAAGAGGCTTGTGCTGTTCTGCATCCCGACTGGAAAGACGGGGCCGAAATAGAGAGCTAGGGTACGGACTAGGCAGTTAAAAAGCAATGTACAAGCGGCGTGTAAGCACACTGGGCAGTTACTCGCGATGCTTTCGTGATCTACCTTGCTTCGGAGGCTGCTTCGACTGGTAGCACCGCCTAACGATGGACTGGCGCCTTATTTTTCGACAGCCGAGGCTTTTATCTCATGATTTGGTGCAAGATGTGTGAGCTACCCATTCCGAGTTGTCTGGGTGTTGGAGGAAACTGTATCCCATGTTGGTGTTGGTACGGTCGTCCGCCACATCACCGAGCGGTGGGACCGGTGCTACTCCTTGGAGGAGCAAGTCGTCTAGGGCCGTCACAAAATCTTCTATGCACTTGGCCATGGCCTTGCTACCACTCTCGACGTTGACCGTATGACCCTCATAGTGGCAATCGCCATGCTGCCAAAACATTCGTGCATCCGAGGGCATATTGCGGACCAGGTTGGCGATCTTGGTCTGTGTGCTGAACAACCAATACATTGGCTTCCATGATGCGTCTACCCGAGGGAATACCGCCACGTCCATATTTCGTTGTAGTGTTTCGCTCACACTAGCTGGATTTTCTATACCATATACAAATTGACTTGTATCTCTGGCCTGAACTCGCTCCTGTCACTCCCGATCAACAAAGTGGAAACGTTCTCTAAAAGTAAAGTAAAAATCGGAGAAAAGGCATTTTCTGTTAGGCCTATCTTTCCAAAAAAAAAAAAAAAAAAAAAAGGAAAGAAAAAAACATCTTTTCATCAGGTTTATCTTTCCAAAATGCCGTATCTCAGTTTTGTATCCAACACAATAAATGGTATCAGGTCCCCAACACTTATCGCTATCCCTTACAGCGAGGCCCACCTGTGTCGTTCTCGTCCATTCTTTTGGTTCAACAATGGCGGCTTGCTCACACAACACTCTGCTACGCTCCCCCAAGCTCCGAGGCGCCATCTCCTCGCCAGTCGATGGTCCTTCCACCGCTACCGAACACTTACCCTCGTGTTGGGACATTCTCGGGGCTTGACCACATCAATTTCACGAGTCCGATATCAGCTGGTGGAGGATGGGGAGAGACTTGACTATTATCGACTCAAGGGATGCCACTCGATACAAAATTGGTGATCTGTTCCACGACCGCTGCCACATGGTGCATAAACTCGGGCACGGCTCATTGTTTACTATCCGGCTCGCTAGGGGCGAACAGATGTCGAGATATATCGCGGTTAAAGTGTGTACTGCCGACGCGACGCAATAAGAGGCGGGCGTACTCTCTCACCTGGGGGAGATTGATCCCGTGGTTCAGGCAGAAGTTTGCGGGAGGAGTCTGGTTCCGATACTTCTCGACCGTTTCAGCATTTAGGGCCTGCAATGGCACCCATACTTGCTTGGTCACTGCCCCAGCAAGGTGTAGCCTCTCCGACAACAAGCAAGCATCAACCTGCGGATTCTTCCAGCTCAGCGTTCTCGATCTCTTGCCGCTCAACTCACCCTCGCGATTGCCTACCTACGTGCACGAGCAAGGGTTAGTTCACGGAGGTACCTAAGCATCACATCACCAACCTCCCAATTCACAGCGACGTTTTCGGGGTTTAGTCTCACCAACCATCGGCAGACCTCCATCTCGGCAACGCTCTTCTCCAACTACCCACCGGCCTCGACGGAATCACGGAAGGGGAAATCGACGACAAATACGGAGCACACTAACCTGCACCGGTGGGGGGCTGTGGGCGTGGGGGTTGGATCGGAGATTTGGAAGAGTGGGTGCAGAAACTGAGGCGGGAGAAGGGTATGGTGATTGTGGACGACGAGGAGAGGGAGGTTTTTTTTGGTGATGGGGATGCTGCGGTGGATGCTTGCGTTTAGGCCTGGGGGTTGGCCCAGTGCCAAGGAGGTGTTCGAGACGGAGTGGATGAGGGAGTGGGCATTGCCGGAATATGAGAAGACAGTGAGATGAACAAAACCTTGGATCGAATCTCGGAATGCATCCGATCTGAGATCGGCGATGGGCCACAGGGGTGTGCCGAACTGCCGGCGCATGTGGAGCGGGTCTCCTGGGCAGCCAACAGCACCCCCTTGGCAGACTCGGCACTGCAGAACCTGCAGGATTTATAGTGCTGCAGGGCCCCCGGCCCCCTTGTGCCTCCCCTTTGTGCAACTGAACCATTGGTTTGACGTCATCAAACCCGAAGCTCAACAACAGCTCGTCGGCGCATTCGTTAGAGTGTAGTGGTTATATTCAGCATCTTACACTGTCGTTGATAACTAGAGGATCCCTCTCACTAACTAACCTTCCATTGGGATCGGCAAAGATTCTCATCGGGTGGTTTCACTCCCGGTGATTCTGTCGAGTCCTCGGGGTCTGGGACAAAAAGAGAAGTTGACGACGCGGGATTCAACGCGTGAAGACCAAAACATCGCAGACCAAACAACATGGCACAATACGGCGGCGAAGCCGCGAATTATTATAACCAGCAAGGTCCTCCTCCGCCCAACACGTACCAGATGCAGCCTCCTCCGCCCCCGCAACAACAGTATGGCTACAACAATGGTCCACCAAACGGCAACTACGCGCCCCCCTCGTATCCTCCTCCACAGTCGGACCCTAAGGGTGCCCCGCCGTCGTACGATGAAGTCTTCGTCATCCAGAAGCCGAAATGGAACGACTTGTGGGCTGGTATCCTCTTCCTGGCTACCTGCGCCGGGTTTGTTGTTGTGTCGGCCATCTCAATCCAGGGATACGGTAAGCATCACTCAGCTCTTTCGCCCTACTACCGAACCCCGACTAACAACTATACCCCCTAGCCGCGACCCGCCGTGAAAACTCGGGTGGCCTCAATGGGCAGCTCAATACCTTCGGCCTGACCACCCACACCATCTACCTCTTCCTTTGGGTACTGGTCGCCGCCATCGTCCTCAGTTACGCCTACATGTGGCTGGCGCGCAAGTTCACTAAACAGTTCGTTTGGCTGACGGGCATCCTCAACATCGTCTTCGGCTTCGTGACGGCCATCTACATGCTCAGCCGGCGGTACTACTCGGGTGGCATCGTATTCCTGTTATTCTCCATCTTTATGGTGGTCGCCTTCCTTAGCTGGCGTAAGCGCATCCCCTTCAGCGTGCTGATGCTGCAGATCGCCATGGATGTAGCCAAGCGCCACGGCCACGTCTACCTGGTCAGCGCCATCGGCGGCCTGCTGGGTGCCGCGTTCGCAGCCTGGTACTCGGTAACCCTCGTCAGCGTGTACGTCAAGTACGAGCCGAGCGCCAACAACCCGGCCTGCCGCCAGGGCGCCGGCGGGTGCGGCTCCGGCAAGGTGGTTGGGCTGATCGTCTTCATCACCTTCGCGGCGTACTGGATCTCCGAGTGGCTCAAGAACACGATCCACACCACCATCGCGGGGGTGTACGGGTCGTGGTACTTCAACTCGCGCAACTACCCGACCAAGGTGACACGCGGCGCCCTGCGGCGGTCGCTGACGTACAGCTTCGGGAGCATCAGCCTGGGCAGCCTGGTAGTGGCCATCATCAACTTTTTGCGGCAGCTGGCGTCCGTCGCCCAGTCGCAGGCCGCGTCGCAGGGTGACATCCTGGCCAGCATCCTGTACTGCGTCGTCGGCTGTCTGATCGGCATCCTCGACTGGGCCGTCCAATTCCTCAACCGCTACGCTTTTGCGCACATCGCCCTCTACGGCAAAGCATACATCCCCGCGGCCAAGGACACCTGGAAGTAAGTTGCACCCCCCTTGCCACCTACCACCCCCTAACCCAAACACAACCTCCCACACACATACTAACACCCACGCCCCCCCCAACAGGATGATCAAAGACCGGGGCATCGACGCGCTGATCAACGAGTGCCTGATCGGGCCCGTGCTGGGGATGGGGGCGACCTTTGTCGGGTACGCGTGCGCGCTGCTGGCGTACGTGTACATGGTGTTCACGGCGCCGGCCTACAACTCGGGCGGCGGCTTCACGCCCGTCGTCGTGGCCTTTGCTTTCCTCATCGGCCTGCAGATCTGCAACGTCTTCACCACCCCGATCAGCAGCGGCATCGACACCATCTTCGTCGCCTCCGCCTGGGACCCCGAGGTCATGATCCGCGACCACCCGGATCTGTATCACCGCATGGTCCAGGTCTATCCGCATGTCCAGCAGGCCATCCATGCGTGAGTGTGTGAATGGGTTGGCGGGGTTGGGTTTGGTAGGGACTCGCTTGAGGTGGGGGGGGGGGGGGGGGGGGGTTAATCTATGGAGTCCAAGAGTGGTTGGAGTAATACGTAGAACTTGAAGAAATTCCTAGCAATAACTAATAGAATACAGCGCCGTCCAGTGCCCAAACTCAAAACCGCAATGTGTGCTGGGGCTAGGAAGCAGAGTCAACAGGCTCAACGTTCACCTGCTCCCATGAAGTATCGTCTCTCGCACCCGTTTTATCCATAGGAACATAAACAGGGACACTCTCTCGCTTGCCCGCCGTCGTAGACTCCGGGCGTAGTTTCGTGCCACGACGTGAACTCTCGTCACGCTCTGGCTTCGACGACCTAGTAAAGAACCTGCCGAGAAAGCTGGACGGACTAGCCTTAGACTCCCGCTGTTTCGCTCTGTTCTTCCTTCTCCGCCTTCCGCTTCTTCGGCTCCTCGTCTGGATGCTCCTTCACATCCCCCTCTAGGATGGGATCATGGGCCACTGTTGCAGAAGATGGCACAGAGACCATCCCTTCTGACAGGTTCCCTAACGGGAGCCCGTTCTCCGCTTTGGGATCGGCCAAAGCCACCGGGTCCACTGTCACAGTCTCAGGAGCGGCATCCACCGTCCGCTCCTCCTGTTGCTGATCGAACGGCAGCTTCAACCCCTCCAGTAATCTCCGCACCACCTCCAGCAAATCCGACCCGGGTCTGAGGGAAATACTCGCGCAGTAACTCGCCGTCTTAATGGCCATCAGCTCCCACAGTGACTTGCACGACTGGAAGTTGCGTTCCAGAAGCACGTGGACGGCGGCGGTCCAAACGCCCCGGTCACTAAGGCCCTGCCATTCCTCCTTGAAAGACCGCAGCTCGTCGGCGGTATCCTTCCCGAGAAAAGTCTCGGCAAGCACCCAGCTGCCAAAGTCGACGGCGCCGTCGTACTGTTGGAAGTTGAGAAACGAGGAGACGAAATAGCGCTTGGGAGGCCCACTCTGGTTTCCGGGGCCGGGGGTCGAACTAGGTTGCCATCCGCGAAGGCTGGTGGTAGGGGGTGCGTTTCGAGAGAGGGAGCTTGTTGGATAGTCACTCGCCGTCGGGGAAGGCGGAGCACGAGGCGGAGCCGAAAGCTCTCCCGACCCGCGCGATCTTGCCTCTCCTAACACGTTGGGCGGCATACCGAATGGAGGGGGTGGTGCTCGGCGTGAAGCCCTCCTGTCGTCTGGGCTTCTCTCCGACTCGATGGCACATCTGACCTGAGCTTCGGAGTCTGGACTTGGGCATTGTGCAGAGCTCCCAGCAGGAGTAGCAATAACGGGCTTCGTCGTACATGTAACTTTGGGATCGACGTCGCTTCTCCTTGACGAACCACTTCTCCTTGACGGACGACTTTCCTCGGAGGAATCGAAGCGGTGCTGCAGTCGCTCCAAGAACAATTTTTCTTTTTCATCGCCCCGCGACCGGAGTCGGGGTTCCTTGCTCGTAGAAGAACCATCTGGCTCGGCTCTCCGTTCTCCTCCATCGCGTGCATCCCGGTGTAATTTCTTCATGAGCGCTCCGCTGGGGCGGGACTGCTTGTGTACGGGAGGCGGCATGGAGGAAATATTCCTTGGACGGCCATGGTTACGTGGTGCTGACCCAACAGCATCCACAGCAAGGTTGTGCGGGCCCGAGGCGGAGGCGGCCGAGTCCGCCGGCTGGAGGGTGGCAATGTGCTGTACGACCGGATGGGGCAGTAGAAGATCATCGCCCGGTGAGACCTTGACCTCCATGACCCCGTCCATAAAGGCATCGTTTCCTGTGGGCGTGTAGCACTCCTCGGCTAGGAAGAAGCTTGTCCACTTGGAGACGAGAGACCATTGGCAGGCGATCTCCTCCGCTTCTTTGCGCACCATGCTGGTCTCTTGCCAGGATCCCGCCAATGGCCGGTCCGGGCCCAGGTGGATGTGGCTTCGGCCACGCTCCAAGTCATCTAGCATTGCCCGCGCAGCTAGCTTGTGCAGCGTCGTGTCTCGCTTACCGAGGGCGATGACGGGGATGGTAAGTGTCTTGGTGTCGTGGTTGGCTTGGACCTCGACCCTGACGCTTTTGATGTCCTCGGTGTTCTTGAGGCAGTCGAGGTGAAAGTAGATGCGGCTGCGGTCGAATGGGTTGAGCGCCGAGGTGTCTGCGGGAGACCGCTTCGCGTCTGCCAGAGTCGAGCCTGTTCTCGGGGGTCAGTACACGGCTGCATCATGTCTGTGTTGGGTATTTACTTCTTATGTTTCCGGTTTGGTCTTGGATATTGAATGCCAGATGCAGAGGCCCAAGGTGGGCACTCATCAAAGCAGCCTTCGCCATGCTCACGACGCGATCTTCCCACCCCCCTTGACTTGCTTCCTGGACAACATCGGCATATCCACCACCGGCTTTGGCAATACCGTCGACCAAGGCGTGTGAGACTGCTCTGCCTATGCCAAGGGCGAAGAAGCGGACGCGGCCCTCGGTGAGACCTCGCGTCTTTTGGATGAAGTCCAGGGTTTGCCCCAAGCGCCAGGTCTGGCCGTCCGTCAGGACTATAACATCGGTCATCAATGCCTTTTCCCGGGCCGTAACAATAGCTTGCACAGCCGGTAGCAACTCAGTGCCGCCCATATTAGCCTTCATGTCTGTCTCCACCCAAGATAGCGCCGAGTTCAACGTCTCCTCTGTATAATCAACCGACCGCGGCTGCCAGGATGCGTATTTGGTACCAAAGCACCAAATATTAAACTTTCGTCCCTCTGGGATCCCTTTCAGGAAGAACTGCATCGCGGATCTGAGGGGCTTGATTTTGTCCTTCATGGAACCAGAACAATCCGCCAGAAAGAGTATCTCGGACCGTTGCATCGGAGGCGCGTTCCTTGCTAGGAACCCTGATGGGAGAGTGAGCATCAGGGTCTTGTGGTCTGGCATAGTCGGATGTTGCTCTAGCCAAGCCTGTGGGTTCTCTTCGTTGTCCCCGGACGTCGTCACGATGTCCAGTACGAAATCCTTGTCAAGGAATATGCGCCCGGACTCGAGTGTAACGGAAGCGGTCTCGACGTTACTGCCATCACCCTCACCGGCAAGGTCCGCAAAACTCTGAGCCGTGCGAGCTCCCCGCCGCCGGGTAACAGCAACGGCATGTGTAGTGCTGACGATGGAAGCTATCCTCTCGGACTCGACGATTTCGATTTCCAAGGCCAGCCCATGGGGTACGTTTGTTGTCGCGGCGTCATTGTATTCCTCCGGCACGTCTCCGTAACGTGGAGCAATGGACGTTGGTAGAGTCAAGGTGGCGGTATTTTTGGTATCCGAAAAGCGGTGCTTGAGCACAGTGATGTAGGTCAACTCCACCTTGACCTTGGTTCTCTCGGGAACGTTACCCAGAGTGGTGGTGAAGATTTCGGGCGTGTCCTGCTCCAGTAGACCAGCAGCAGTTTCATGGTGGCGGATGTGATGCCGGAATGCCTCGCGAGCTTCTTCCTTTGCCTTGACGGCGCCCTTGATGATTTTGTTCGTCCCTATTCTGCAGCTAAAGCCGGTGACGGTACAACCAGTCGCGAGTGGGAAAGTAAACGCGGCTTCCTTGATGGGGACGCCCGAGTCATTCCAGAAGAGCTGCGTGACGGTGACTTTCGCAGTGTCTTGCACGATGGATGCATCAGCTGTGACCGACAGTGGGGGGAGGACATTGCGGCCCTGTTCCTGCACAGCAAAGCGTGGGAGTTTGTTGCTCTTTGTGCCTCCTATCGGCCATGTCGCTGCGGCCGGTTGGCTGGAATGATCAACGGAAACTTGGTTTAAACCACCAAACCGGCCATAGCCGTGGCCCGCTGCTGAGAGCCCTTTGCGAAACGGCACTACGTCCAGGACATCTTGGCTCTCGCCGCCGGAGCTGAACATGCCATCATCCTGCAACTCTTCTGGCAGAGGCTCTTCGGGATCCCACACGATCCCAGCTGCAAAGATCCGGCCGAGTCCGTCCCGCTGGCGCGCCATCACCGTTTGCTATCGGTCTTGGTGTGGTTCTTCGGTCGAGTCGCTCTCAAGCTTGGTAGCAGGCCGGGGATGGGAAGAAAGCAAAGAGATGGGGAAGGAAAGGAGAGTCACGGGAGCCTCGCGGGATCAGCAATGGGTTGACTTTTAAACTCAAGAGGCAACAGTGGGTTGGGCACGAGGCTCTGCCGCCGATCAGCCCTGTTGAATGCATTGTTACCATTTTCGGACTCACCGAAGCTGCACCGCCGCATCCAGTCCTCCCCTGGTTTGTGCGACGCTTTTCATAGGGGTCCCGGTTCAAAAGCTGAAAACCCCTACCTCGACAGCCCAGCAACCGTTTAATATAGAAGTAAAAGCAATACTCAAGAGTTATCTGTGAAGACTGTCCCTGCCAAGATGTTTTTTTCGTTAAAAAATGCACCGATTTGTCGTTGGGTTGGAAAGTTTGGCAACGACGCCGGTCTTGAAGTCACGCGCTAACGAACAAACCAGGGGGAGGACGGGACTGTGCAGTCGTCGGGAACCAATCATCAAGTCGTCGCACAAGACTCGGGGGCTGTGCAGGTGGGCGAGAGATTCCAAGCCCACTCATTCCCTTTTGGTAAGACGGCCATGATACAGAAGTCCATCCCCACGGAGGCCGAGTCTCTTTTTGCTTCCACTCATTTTCGCACCCCTGGCCGAACTATTGAATCCAACCGCCAGCTCAACTCGAAATCATCGCGGGCTGTATACCTGGTACCTAAATAGGATTATCATGGCCTCTCCAATCTCATTCGGCGATGCTGCCGCCATGGCCAAGATCGCCTGGCGCGTCGCCCAAGCCTTCACACAGGGATACAAGTCTTCCCCAGCTGAATTTCGAGAAGTTGAAAACCAGCTTTATTCACTTAGCGCAGCCTTGACAGCTTTCAAAGATGTCTGTGGCCCCGATCTCGCCGCCGTGACCATTGACCCAGCAAAGCTGCCTGCTAGATTCCAGACACAGGAACAGGACGGGGTGCACAGCGTGGCGAGGATACTTGACAGCTGCCATGAAACCCTAAAACACCTCGAAAAGATTGTCGAAAACTACGGCGTCGTTGTCACCACCAAGGACCCGGCAAAGTCGTGGCTTCGGCGTTGGAGCACCGAAATGACCAAGAACTATAAGAAGATTGCCTGGACTACCGAGGCCGGTGACCTGGCAGCGCTTCGCAGTCAGTTGATGATTCACACAAATAGTTTGGACCTAGTCTTGGGCATTATTATCAGGTAAGGGCCCCCAAACCCGCACTCACGCAGTGGTATTTCTCATTGTAGAAAAATGAATACCCGCTAATAAGTCTAGCTCGCGGACAACGAGGATCGAAGACAGCCTCAAGAACAATTCTGCCATGCTCCAGGAAATATATTCTTGGTGGTCAAACAATCTCAAGGATTCCATAGCTGCGCAGATCCAGAAAGACCACCTTCCCCTCGGACTGCAAGGCGAGTCTAAGCTGTTGTCCTTCGAGGTTCATGTCACCTCAAATGGGGTTTCCCAAATCCTGTGTCCCCAGGCCACCCTGCACGACGACTGGAAGGAAACAGGAGCAGTTCAGCTGTTTGTGTGCAGATGTGGCCAAACCGTGATGCCTGGGGGACAGCCTACCCGTAGCCATCCGAGAGTTGAGAAGATTGCATGTGAGCGCTTGAACTCGTTAAATTCAGGATGAGCTTAGCGTGCTGATTCTTAATAGTGTCACCTCTCTCATTCCCATTTCGACAGGCTGGGGACGCACGATCCTGGACGCTCTTCAAAGCCCTGGACATGTCGACCAACCAGATGGTGTCCATAACCATCAAGAATGTCGCGGCTCCAGGTAATGGCAACTGGGCACTCTGTGATGTTTCAGGTGTTAACAGTCTGCTAGATATCACCGAGTTCGAAGAGACCTTCATTCAGCCGCTCGCAGAAGCAAGAGCAAACGCCATGTTGCGGCAGGGCATCAGTAACCAGCTCGCACACTTGTCACCGGACGCCACCCACGTTCGGGCTTTGAATCTTCAGAGGTTCGTTCTGCTTGACCATAAATCGGTCGTCAGTAATCTAATGTCAGTATCCTTGTTAGTGACTTGAACGACTGCCACAAGCTGATCGACTCGGTGGCTTTCCGTGTTGGCCACCGAAAATTATCAAAACCGAGCGTGGATGGACTTAGCCTTTTGAATTACCGGGAGCTGGGCCAACAGACAGGCCGTTCTTTGACGAATGACTTGGACCATGCCGAGCTATCCATCTACTACGGTGGTGAGAAAACGGACGAATCGACGGACATCACAAAGAGCATTGTCCATTGTAAGCCCTGCTTTTATCTTGGCTCCCGCTTGGCATTAGTTTGGGACACGCCACTGATTGTGCGTGCCTAGTGACCCACGCCACAACATTCAAGGTTGAAGAAGGCAATACCTGTGTGGTGATCGAGGAGGTCGAGTGCCTCGGGTATAGCCAAGACCAGCGAGTCAGTCGCCTCGAGAAAGCCGATGTTGCGTTTCATATGCTATCCCTGGAAGGTTAGGTCTCTCCTCCGCATGAGATACAAGATACTGACCCAACAATAGCCGCAAAGAAGCTCCGCGAGAAACTCGAAGATATGCGGGTGGAACTTTTGGTTACAAGCCTGCAGTACCCGCGGCCGGACGATGTTGTCGTACTGCACCTGTCAGTGACTGGCGACCAGGGACACGAGTAGAGATAAAAATTTGCTAATCTATCCTCAGTCAAGCAACTGAGGTTCAATGCGAGGTCGCCATTATCTCGGACGCCGAGCTACTGATAACCCGGAACTCTCGAGACGAACATCGGCTCATTGTGACAAGTCGCAATCGCTGCACCGTTCTGAGCCAAGTTTGTAAGTGGCATCGCCTCCAAAAAGTGAACTCTAGCGGGTATGTACATACAGCAATAGTTTCCGAGACTAATCATCGTTCAAGTGCCCGATTCGTTCTTCGCTTCCTCGTCTTTCGCGCCGAGCTTTGTCGCGCCCACTTGGCTTATCCAACTCGAAGGGAATGGAAAACGAAAGGTGTATCATTACCCTGACGGGTTCCGGTTTCTGAGCTTTCGTAACACCAACGGTGAGTTTGTGCAGTGTCCATGGCGCATTTACTAGTGCCACTGCGGGTTTGCTAACCAATATCTGAACCTAGCGGAGAAGATGTTTGAGTTGGGTCGAACTGCGGTTCTACAAGGCGCTGGGTCGGAGAAGACTTTGCCGCTAAGGTAGATTCCATGGAATGAAGGTTGACGACCAACCATTGAGAAGTCAGGACGCGAATTATAGGAAGGGTTTCATATAGAGCTTAGCCTGGGCCTATGGCGCGTACCCCTGATAGTGGTAACAAGAAGAAATTGTACCTACCGATGGTTCTAACTACCTAGGTAGATATGTGATGCAGCAAACTAGGCCCAAACAGTCATTGTATCTCACAAGATGCACCCTTCCTGCCGTTAATTGTAATTTAGACGGTGAGGCTATATCACTTTACTAAGATCAGATATTAAACGGAAGGCTGGACCAAAAGGAAAAGCTTACCAAAGCAACAACTAAAAGAATACAAAACATCTAGTTAAAACAAAGCCATCCGCCAGGTATAAACCACAAACCACACCAACACCGATAGAGCCCTACAACTATCTAATAGTAGTACATGCAAACGCACCCCACCCAACCCTTCCATAGGTAGGTACTAAACCCCATATTCAAACATCGACCACCACAACCCCCCGTACCAACCCCGTCCCGCGCCAACCCCTTAATTCCGCGAACTACTCGCCACGGTCCGCCCCGCCATCCGCCTCCCCTTTCCCCGGCCGTGCTCCTCCGCGGCCGCAACTGCCGTCTGCCTCACCCGGTCGGCCTTCTTCCGCTCCAGCGCCTCGCGCCGCCTTTCCTTCCACTCCACGTACTGGTCGCGCCGGCGCTGCAGCTCCTCCCGGTGCTGCTGCAACTCCAGCCGCAGTTTCTGGTGCTCTTTCTTCAGACCTTTCTCCTCCTCCTGGAAGCCGGCCCAGACCTCGCGATCCTTCCGCGTCGCGGCCTTCTTGGCCTGCTTCCGCCTCTGAAGCTCGCACGCCATCCGCTCCCGGAGCCGGCCGTGCTCGTGCTTCACGTCCTTCAGCCGCTCCTGCCGCTCCCACACGGGGTGCTGCTGCACCTGCACCCGCAGTCGCAGGTACTCTTGCTCCAGCTTCTGCTCCTCCTCCTGCAGCTGGTCCCAGACATCGCGATCCTTCCGCGTCGGGGCCTTCTTGCCCCGCTTCCGTTTCACAACCTCGTGCTCCTTGCGCTCCCGGAGCCGGACCAGCTCCTGCCGCAGGTCATTCACGCGCTCCACCCGCTCCCGCTGCAGCTGTCGCGCTTCCTGTAGCTCGCGCTGGCGCTCCCGCTGTCGTTGTCGCTCTCGCTCGTTCTCTTCCTTCTCCTTCTCCAAGCGGGCCCTTGCCAGGCGCGCCTGCAGCCGGATCTCGGCGATATCGTCCGGGGTGGGGTGGGCGGGGAGGGCGTCGCCATCGGCGGCGGTGGCGGTGGCGGCGTGTTTTTGATGCCTGCGGGCGGCGGCCTCCTCGAGGCAGCGCTGCTTGGCCAGCTCGGCCTCGGCGACGAGGTTGCGCTGAGGTATGGCGTAGCCTTTGGGCGGCTTGTGCGTGGAGTACATCACGGCTCGCACGTCGAACGCCCGGGTCGCGTGCAGCCGGGATGCTTTGAGCTTGGCCACCTCCAACATGGTCATCCTGGGCGCCAGCCCGTTCACGTACAGGTCGAACTGTTCCTGCTTCTTGAGTGCGAAGAAGCATGGGCGGTAGTAGCTCATGTTGAAACCCTCGCTGTCCTTGCCCTGCTTGCTGGCGTGGGGGATGATCTTTTTGACCGACTTCCCTGAGTGCTTCCAGGTGCCGGGCTTGGCGGCTTTGGAGGCGCCGCTCATGGCTCGGGTCCAGACGGTCTTCTTGACAACATGTTGTTCCGTTTCTGTAGTGTGATATTAGCAACTGCTGGTAAAAGTTGAATGGGAGTGGTCAACGGCGTACGAACTACTTGGACCGGTTTGCCGCCGGGCCCTGGTACCACTTTCTTGGTGGTTTTCGTGGTCGCGGTTTGCGAGTGCTGCGCTGTACTCTGCGGCCGCTTTCTACCCGGTCTCTGCACTGGAGCTACAGCCGATCTACCATTTTTCCTAAACGTATTCATATTGGGTGGGTATCTTAGTAGCGTGACCGCAAGAGACGATGATCTAAAGGTGAGACGAGGCCCGGCTCAAGCCTGATGGAATCAGAGAGAACTCAGAGGAGCCAGGGATTTGAATATGTGGCCGTGATGGTTGCTACATTTAAACTCCATTTGGGAATCACCACTGCAACGCGGATGCGCGGCGAGAATGGGGGCGGAAGAGAAGCAAGAGTGTTTGTGCCAAGTGGGCTCTGACAAGGCATTAGTTTCAACGGGGCCTTGGGCTGCTATGTGGATGGTCACGGTCTGATCTTCTGTGCTGCTCGAATTGACTGAATTCCCGTTTGAACGGTAAGAAGGGGTTGAAATACCGGGGCCGGACCCCGTGAGCGGCCGGCTTGGCGGCCGGGAATTGTGGGACTGCGGTTTGGCACCCGGCCCCGACGCCCGACGACCGGGCCGGCTTTCGTTTCGAGATCGGCCCAGAGTTGCTGACCTGCCAAGCCATTCGTGGAACTAGATAAAAAGCACACCTATACCATTACGTCGCTTTTCAACCTTGGTCCAAACTGTTGTTTGCACAAAAACGACAGACAAGATGGAAACATCATGAGGGTTAGGGTCGACGAAACCCGGCTTGCACCAAAGTTTAACTATGTAATCTGCTCTTGGTACCTGGGTTGGCAAGAAAGCTGTTCATGTCCTGTACAAATAAACCTACGGAAAGAATTAGTTTGTCATCTCTCAAATTAGTTGTTCCGCCGGGCGAGGAGGGGCGGCGGATCAATTCTTTGTCGAATCATCTGTCTTATTCTCTCCGATGAAAGAGTTCTCCAACTTATGATGCTGCTCGACCATACCCTTTGCCAAGGTGTGTGGAAGTTTGTCCAAGCATGGGCGGGATAGCGGTGGACGCTGATATGAAAGATCGTGCGATGCACATTGCCACAACGCTGTGGGGTTTCGTCTACATTGATCGGACTTGGATAACACGAGATGCTAACAATCTGAGACATTCCTGAAGACAAACCGCAAAACATCCAGCAAGCCTCGTCGTAGCCTAAGTTACACAGATTGGCAGTAGTAGAGAACCAAAATGTCAAAACTCTCAACTACACACCACCACAACTGCCACCCACCCCCCACACATTCAATCAACCCTGCGCCGACAGGTTCCCCATCCTGATGCTCTCCCCAGCGACCGACGTCGAGTCCTTCCCAGCCTGACCGCGGCCCTGCGCGTCATCGACCCACTTAACAGTCCTTCCAGCATCCCTCTCCCGCACCAGCCTCTTCTTACGCTCACGCTCGCGGTAGAACAAGAACCCCAGGCCCACGATCAGCGCAAACCCAACCACACTCCCCACCACAGCGCCAGCAATCGCCCCGGCCGACAACCCACCGCCACCACCACCACCCCCCTCAACACTCTCACTATCATCCTCATCCCCATCCACCAAAGGCGGCCCGTCCTCCCCATGGCCCGGCAGCCCCGTCGGCGCCCCGGTGGCCGTCGGAGCGGGCACGTCGATCGGGTCGGAGGCGTTGAAGCAGGGCACGTCGGCCGGGTTGAAGGCGGCGGCGGGGACGAGGACGACGTCGGCGCAGGCGTAGAAGGTCTGGTTCTCGGGCCGGTCGAAGTCGGCCGTGTAGCGCATCTGGATGGTGGCGGGGGTGCCCGCTGCCGCGCCCGCGAGCGGCGAGGAGGAGGAGGAGGAGGAGTCGATCGATACGCACGTGTGCCCCGGGTCGAGCTCCGGGATGGGGGTCGTGGTGAGCGGGGTGAAGTCGGATTGGGATTGGGGGTCTGGATGGAGAGGGGGTGGGGTTGTTAGGTGTTGGTTGTACGGTTGGTGGTTGGTGGTGGTGGTGGTGGTGGTGGGGGACATAGGGAGGGGGGGGGATGTGTGAGGATGGTTTTGAAGTTTAATGGGAGTGTGTAGAAGTTGATATGGTTTTGGAGGGAAACTTTACCGTTGCTGAAAGAGATGCTCAACTGCGTGTTGTAGGAATCGTCTTGGGCGGTAAACGCAATCTTACCACCGCCTTCGTGAATACCGTCAGTGGCCATGTGATAAGTCTATCGGGTAAAGAGACCTTACTCAGGGGAAACTCTGTTCTGTTGCCGACGCCAGTAACAGAGCCACACGGCGCCGTGTTGTCCGTTTGTTCGGACCAGGCACGGTCGGGCGGCCAAAAGAAGGCGGCAGGGCCCATGTTGTCGGATGCGCCCATTACATTAGTCGCCAGCGCGAGAATGAGCACTGGCCGAAGAGGCGCCATGGTGAAGGACGCTGTTCCGAAATCTGGATGTTGGACACACAAAGTTCGGGCAGAGGACCGGTTTCAGAATAAATTTGAAATTTGGACGGGGTCGAAGAGGGAGAGAGGAGGAGGGAGGACGGGCGGGGTGCCAACATACATTGGTCCTTATTGAGCGAGTACTACCTTGGTAGGTTCAAGGTCAGGATGGCTGACTGCGTACCAAAAGTACCTACCGAGGAGCATGGGGGTGGGTAGCATTGCCGACGGTCATTCATGTTCTGTGGTCCCCGTCCCCTCCATCGGAGTTGGGACGCCTGCGGGGTGAAGCCAAGAGGAGGTAGGTACCTAGGTAGGTGACACAGAGAATTCCCAGAATTGCTTACCCCGCCGAAGAAACCCAATTCTTCTCATCCATCTCAGCTCCCAAGTGGCCGCCCAACCGGCGCTATTTACCGGCTTATCGCCCGTGGAAAAAGGCCAAGGCTGCAGGATCTGTGCCAGTGCTAACCGGAATCAATACGCCAGCTTTGCTTGGTGGCCTGACTTTGAGCATCGAATGGCACCTTCCCGTCTCCCCGCTCATCCTCGCAGGTTTTTTCGAGTGGTCCTCCGCTCCTCGAGCTGCTTGGATTGGACCGCTGTTGCTCAGATGATCAGATAAGTTGGCTTGGCGCAGCAGTTCCGCTTTTGATTAGATCTGATCTGGAACTGTAATTGGATAGTTTAAGGAGCAAGACCGGGATCATCAACCGGGGGGCTTCACCCCCTGCTCCTGCAAACGACAGAAAACAACGACCGGCTTTTGTGCAGCCGACATCGCACGCACTGTTTTCCGGAAGCGCCCGGCTCATTACGGAGTTCAGTCCTATTTCAGTTCTCCAGGCTGGGATTGACCATTTCCTGGCATTCGATCCCCTTGCGTCTTTCCATAATTGCTGCGTACCTATCATGCATGCATGCATGATAGGTACATTAGGTACACATGCCCCCCTCCTCCGGGTTTTCCCTCCAATGCTCCTTTCTCTGGTTTCCTTCCTGTTTTGACTGTTCTGACTGCTCTGGCTACCTATTCTAGCTTACCTTCCGGGCCCTCCTTTCACACCCTCAAACCCCTCGTGACATCCATTGAAGATGCAAAACTCTCTATTCCTATCGTTGCTTGGCCTTTTGGCAGTTTCCGTTGCCAATGCTACCTTCCTGGACAACACACCAGACTACGCCCTGATTCTGAGCCGTCAGGCTCCTGGCACGCCACAGTTCGAATGCCACTCCAACTGCGGTAAGATCCGGTGCCTTACTCCTTTCCTCTCACCAACGACTGCTGACATCTACCCGTCCAGGTAACGCCCTCGCTGGTGGCCGCGACCCGGCCCATTGCGACAACGCGACCTGGACCGGCTATTACGAAGCCTGCCTCGGCTGCGCTCTGGACTTTGACATCTGGCGCATCTACGGCAACGGCGTGAGCAGCGCCGCTTCGGCCTGCGGCCTGAGCGCGACCCCGTCCCCGTCCGGCGACGACGGGCCGGCTCCGTCGTCCACGCCCGCGACCGGGTCCAGCGAGGCTTCTGCTCCGACAACCGCTTCCGCTGACGTTTCCGAGACCCCGTCGGAGACTGCTTCGGACACCGGGTCCCCGGACGGGCCGGCCGTCACCGCGCCGCCGAGTGCTACCGACTCCGAGACGGTCGGCTCTACCCCGTCTACGACAACTGTAGGTGAAGCTTGACTGCTTGATCGCTTGATAGGTTGCTTACCTCGCGTTTAGTCTGTGTCGACTGCTGCTGCCCCGAGGCCTGTAGTCTCCAGCCTTGGCTCGATGTCGTGTGTTGGGGTGTTGGTGGCCGTCTTTGCGGGTCTTATGGGGCCGTTGTGACGTTGTCTAGGGCTGGGGGACCGGTACTCATTGCTAGAATCAGGAAGCTGAATGTATGGTAGACGGCCTGAGCACCAAGCTACCGGCTCAGTGAAGTGGTTGACCACGAGTTCCACGCACGGATGAGGCTATTTCTTCGAAACGCGCGGTGGAATTCACTCGACAGCTGGGGTGAAGGGAACTAGAAGTGACCCGGGGGTCTCCGCTATCTTATTACCCTGGACTACCCAGACTTGGAACTGCCCAATCTCAACGCCTTGTAGGAAGAGCGAGGTCAGTCTCGGTACCAAGGAATACCCGACATCGCTCCCACGGTGACACGTGACACATCAACGCAGCGTGGCTCATATCCCGACACATAACCAGCTCTGTAACCCGACGGCCTCACTCTGTCGCATCAAAGGTTAAGTTAGTGTGCTGAGTGTTCTGGGGGTACTAACCTACATCCTTGCAAAGCCCATGAGCCCTCTAGCTGGTGACTCAGAACCGAGGGGTAGCCGTTATGCAGACATACGCTCTAATCTCCAGGAACGATGCTGTAATTTCTATACCGAAATACCCGGATTGCTATAATAGGCTAATAGTAGTGTACTAGGGCTTCAAGGTTAAGCTAGTAGGGTACGTAGCTTCTTTGACGTTGCTTCCTTTACTTCATAAGAATTGCACTCTTTTTTGCCCAGCCCCTTGTTATCCTATTGTAGCTATGTTTGCCGCCGTTTACAAGTCTTTCATAGGTAGCGTTCGGGAATTATAGACAAGGCCTATTTCGATCTTGGGTACTTTAAAAAAAGTCTAACATTGCCAAGTATAAGCTATATTACTCCAACCAAAGCAACGTCAATACTGCTTCAAATCTGACTTCTGTTGCTCTCTAAGGGCCATTTGGCGAATTCGCGTGAAGCCTCCTGTCGGATCAAGTCAGGCAGGGGCATCTGGCTTTGATCTTAACTCGTGGCCAAGGGACGGGAAGCTTCGCCGCAGGCCTGGGATAGCATGTATATGTTTTTGGGGCTATAAATATACGGGAGCTTCATCATCCTCAGGGCTATCTCTAACCCAGCTCCCAGATCTCATCGCACAAACGCAAGGAGACTAAGGTAAGATACCTACCTATCATGGCTACATTCCGACCCATCCGAGTCCCCCCAGTGGGCCTGCCGACCGCGGCGGATATCCTCGCTGCGACCGCGCGCCTCTCCGCCCTTCCGAAACCAACCATGGCCGTTGAGAAACCTGACATACCATACATTTGCCCCGCGAACCTCCGTCCAGGGCCACTGCCAGAGGTGCGGGATCTTCTCCTCGCCGGGAAAAGGCACAACGCGGGGCCTGACTGTGGCAAAACCCCTATGCGTTTCGATGAGCACTACGACGCGAATTCGGGGGGCAGCCCATGCGGGTTGTTTCAGGAGGCTGAGAACATGCTCTTTGTTCAACAATCAACAAATGTGCCTGTCCCAAAGATTTACGCAATGTTCCACGACAAGAAAACGGGAATCGACTTCGTCATCCAAGAATTTGTCCCAGGACACAAGTTAGGGGATGTATGGGAGTATCTCGATCTGGCCCAAAAAGGCGCTATCGCCTTGCAGCTGCGCCGACATTTCGACGAATTACGCAGCATCCCCTCCCCCGGTTACTACGCTGGTATCTGGAAACAACGAGTGCCACACGACCACTTTACAGGGTACTACGCAGACCACTTCACTGGCGACCGCGCATCACATGATCCCATCCGGGACCAAGCTATCTTGGGGCCACACGAAACCGAAGAGGAGTGGACGAGGGCCATGGTGTTGTGCCTCGACTTTCACCAGCCGGCCCGATATGAGCTTCCAGTAAAAGACCGGTATTACCCGACCGTCTTTAAGGGGCATGAATCCGTCTTCACCCACGGTAACCTCCGCCCAGACAATCTTGTTCTCCGCGAAGACAAGACTGTTGTGATAGTCGATTGGTGGAACTCCGGTTGGTATCCGAGCTACTGGGAGTATTCCTGCGCCATGAAGTCGGCAGCTAACAAGGATTGGACAAAGTGGGTGCATGATATGGTGTTAGATGAGTATGCCCATGAAGAGGCTTTGATGACGCTCGGTGACATAGTGTACCGAGGCTGAGAAAGAAACCAATGTCACAGAGAGAAGGTGCCCAAAGCTCTCCTCCACACTAGCCCCATATCTCCCTTAGGTACCTAAGTAACTGTAAACAAGAAGGAAATTAGGTACAGAGCAAATAACGCCCCTCCTTTCGCGAACTAGAGGAAAATTGCATGAAGAGAGTGTCGTATGGAGCGCAGGCTCATGGAAATGAGGACGTGGGAAGTGTAAGAAAGCAAGTGGTTTGTCTATGGCCGAAGATGGAAATGAGGATGTGGGAATTGGAAGAAAGTAAGTGGCAATGTCTATGTGTGAAGGAGTGTTGAAGGAAACAATGGAAACGGTGTGTGCATCCCACTTCATGGGTTGCGACAGAGAGAGACAACCTCCATCCACCCATCCGCCCAGCAGTTGCCCCCGCGACTCTCCTTAGCCGACAAAACGGAGAGTGGCCACCAAACGGGAAAGAGTGGCCGCAATGGACCTACACACGTGCTGAACGACGAGGAAAACAAGCACACGGACGAAGATGACCGCTTCCATCCACTGGCGTACTCCAGCAACCGCGCCTTCCTCGTGTCCAGGCCGGATCTCCTCCACCGGGAGCAACGTCTCGGCGTGCCTCCCCCTCCAGAGCTCCACCCTCCTTTCCTTCGCCATCTGGCCCCAGAAATGGGGCTTGCCATTGTCTTGTGGCCCCAGTGGTATGAAGATGCTGGCGTCGAAGAGCGCGTCAATGGTCAGGTGTGCCCATTCCGGGCGTAAAGGGTTCAGAGACCGCGGCCCGGCCGACAGGACTCCCTCGCACCCTGCCTTGATTCTGTCGATGTAGTTTTGCCGGGCTACCCAGCCAATAGCCTGCTGACCACCCTCTTTGAACCGTCTCATTGGGCCCCTTTCGTACTCCTTGCTGGTGAGAGTCATCTGGCCGGTTTGTGGGTCGATGTTGAGTTGGAAGATCTGGCCTGCCTGGCGAAAAGCTTGAGGGCGACCCTGAGTCGGAGTGAGAGCGTAGAACACCTTGTAATATGGATTCGTTGGCTTCAGGAGTGTCCCAGATTCTCTCGAACGCGTTCTGAGGTATTGGGTTTGTAAGCGTTGGTTGTGCCCTCTCGGTGATGTGTGAAATCATCGACATCGAGATTCTTGATTGACCTGGGAGTACCCACGTTGCCGGCGTTGGCTTTGTGATGTGATTATGGCAAAATGTTAGGGGGAAGATGCGATGGTAGAATAGACCGGGAAAAGTGTGCTAGGCAGAACGGCGGCTTCTCTGTCTTATAGGTATGTTACTAGTTGCAATAGCGGGGGGACAGGTTGCCATAGTATCTTTGCAAAATAGCATAGCCGGAGACTTCACGGGCTGGACGCTGCTCCCTCTCTCTCTCTAGAAGACGGCCACCGCGGGCGCAGGGCATCGGGAGACGGAGGGGGTAGGCGGAGATTGTTCCTGGGTGTAGTCTAGTCCACAATACCCGATGCCTCAAGAATCCGGACGAAGCCCGACCCAGCTCCAACCCCGTACCCCTCCGTCTCAAATCACTCGACACACATCCTCCAGCGCCCGGAACGGATCCCATCCTGCCATCCACCCACCCCCAACCGGCCTCCCATCGCGAGCCCTACGCACCCCCGAGGCGGCCCGAGCGGCACCGTGCCCAAAGCACCACCACGGCCCGCCCACGAGAGCGCCGTGACGACCGAAACGGGTGCTGAGGCACAAGGCCGGCTTGCTGCGGCGGACCGCGCGCAAATACCTAGCTAGTTATATACACAACCCCGACGCGGACGTCGTTGCCGCGCCGGGGACATTGCGGCGGCGTGAGGGTTGACGGCGCGGTTTGGGGAGGTGTTGGCTGAGGTGGGGGAGGGAGGGAGGTGTGCGCCATGATGCTGGCCGGGCCGAGGGGTTACGCGATGCCCGTGTTTCCGGCCCGTGTTGCATGTGGCGTGGGGGGGGGATGAGGGAGAGGAGATGAGCTGAAGGCTGATGGAAGGGAGGAGCTGTTTGGAGAGTGGCTCCAGATGGCATGGGTCTGGATGGGTGGGTCTCAACCTGGGGCTGGGTAAGGGTTTGGATGGAATGTGGGATTGATCCCGAGATGGGGTTGTGGGGATGTTGATCCGCTGATCACCCCGTACTGTGTGGATGATACCCGGATGTTTAGCTACAAAGTACCTCCCTACGGCAAATGAATGTCCGTTCCCCCGTGGATATGTGTTCCAAGTTCTCAACAGTAACACCCCACCTACATGTAGGTACCAGAGCCTACCCTAATAAAAGATGAAAGCTCGAACCTCAATGCTCTGCCTCGGGATGGCGGAACCTGCCGCATCGCCCAAGTCAAACGAGCAGTGCGGCACCGCCAAGCTTTGGCCCTTCTCCGAGTCAAAGGCGTTGAAAATGGCGACCTCCGAGTCGAGCTGGTCAGGTACGTAGTACCACTTGTGGTCCGGGTTCCAGCGGACCTGGAACACCTCGTTAGCGACGGTGGGGAAAACCTCATCGACCGTCATGAGGTCCTTCTCGCGGTTGACCGTTGTCGGATCCAGGTATGCCATGGGAAAGTCGCGGCATGGACCGGTCAGCGGCTTCCAGATGCTAAAGCAGTGTGTTAACTAAACATGTCTGGTGATAACCGGAGGAAAAGTGAGATGAGCGTACTTGATGACCTGGTACTTCCGGCTCAGAATCTCATCCCTATCCTCGCCGAAGTACTGCGGCAACCTGGAAGCAAGCTCTGCCGTGGTGTAGTCTGTGCATGGTCAGAAACCAGGGCGCCAAGTGAGAGGGTCTACGCGGTGTGGTTCTGTCTCACCAATATGGGCTGACAAGGAGGGCTGGTGGTTTTCCCCGTTATCCTCGCCCGGCTTTCTCACTGGGAAAGAAGGGGCTCGCTTTCGCAACATCCAGTCAAAGATGGTCATGTCTTTCGCCCCAAGGGCGGCACAAACTGACCGGTGAAGTTCGGGCAAATACACCCGCTCCACCCAGTCGTCATCGTCAAAGCATTCGGGCTTCATCCCATTGCTGTCGATAGGGGCTATCCCTATGCCACCCTCCTCATAGGTGGCTCCCGAGGTCCGAAAGTTGTGGATCTTGATGCCATGAACAGGCTTGATAGTGAAGTTGTTCTGGGGAAACCCATCGGGGGCCGCGTAATGCAAGATGTACGGCTTCTTACTGAGGTCATTGCTATCATCCCGCTGGACGTATCTGATGGTGCCTGTAATTGAGTCGGCCATTGTCGGGTAGCCTCAAGAGAAATTGGGGCCTGCTGTGGTGGATGATGAGAGAAGAATCGGCCAGGGGCGGCGAACGAAACTAGAGTGTTGGATCATGGCAAGCACCACCTGACATAGCAACGCCAGACATAGTCTTGAGGGATCGTTGTTGTTGATAGGCTAATGGCCCTTGATGCCATCGATCGCGGGGGCGTTCCCATTGCGGATAGAACGGCTGCACCCCACCGTTCCATCGAAACCCTTGGGCGTTCGAGGGGGCGTCTCGCGTGGCACGCACTGAGCATATTTGAGAGATATTGCTCCTGCAGAAAGGAATCAAGAGCTTTATTTTCCATCCATGATTGGTAGCACCTGCAGGAGCTCGATCGCGCAATGTACGAACCGTGGTAGGGAGGTCGCGTGGTGCACCGCGCAACTTGGGCTTCCTCTCGGCTTCCTCCTTCTGTGCTGATATGCATTCAGCCCTCTTCCTTCGCCTAATATAAGGCTTCGTGCTATGCTGAACGAGGAAAAGATTGGCGAAGTATTGCGCAAGATAGAGAAGGTTGAGGACCTATCAAGCTACGCATTGATGATGGTTGACCCGAACCTCCTCCTGGGACCATGTTCCAGTGCCTGGTCAACATCGCATGGCAGATAAGGAGCACACAGCATGCCTACTAGGATTGATCTATAAGATAGCCACGCCACGGCTCGTCTTCAAGGCCGGCAACTCACTTCAGATTCCAGACTGAACAGCAACTCCACAAGCAGTACCCAAATTTGAACCATCAACTCGCACAACATGCCCGGCACCAACCAGCCCTGGAAGTCCGTGTGGCCCGCCGCCTCCGGCGCCGCAGACCAGGCGACCACCCTCCCCTCGACCCTCTCGGCCGAGGAGATGACCAACCAGCGCTCCTTCGGCAGCCACGCTTCCAACACCAAGGGCCGCATCGTCCACCTGAAGAAGTGAAGCAGAGTGCCTGTGAGTGTGCGCAGGGGGACGATAACTAAACGGAAGTCTCCTCGCTGACAGAATTCCAGATCCTAAAGTCACTTGACTTTCGGCAAGCAGTGTGTGGGCAGGGGGGCTGCTTACACTAATCGGTCAATGATATGAGGTTGTGTTCAAGGGAGCCTTCAGTCCAGATTGGTGGTCCTGCTGTCGCCAATTCCATAGCTCACTCAATTGAACTTCTGCCAAGCGTCAGAACGAGTCGCCATAGAGTGGAATGCCGTGTGCCATTGTTCAATGCCTGTTAGTCGTAATGGAAAAGTCATGCCTCATCTGCGAGACTGCGACCTGGAGTTCGACCGGCGACTGGCCGAGTTCCACTCTCCGGCTGTTGGTGTTACGTAAAAAGCGGATGAGGAGATGACAGTAAGTGATAAGAAAGGGAAAAGAAATTGCAGGCTTTGTCATGAGCAGATAGGTACTGCTGCCCATGCTTGGGCAAGGACTTCTGGAGGACAGTGGTTGTGCTTCGTGACGATGAGGGGGGAACTTGGAAAGCGCGAGACGGAGGATGGGGCTGGGGTGGGTGGATACCTTCCATTTGATGCCAAGAAGGCTTGTCCTGCGGGGCACAAATCTGCCGCCGGCCACCGCCAAAAATTTCGGGAAAGCTGCATGGCCATTGCTCCTGCGGTCCATTGCCCGGCTCCAGTCCCACCGTCATCGATCACCAATTGAACCATAACCACAGCACAACATGGCTGGCTCATCAATGAAGAAGCGCTCAATCAGTGATGGCCCCAAGGGCCGGGCCGCACGGCCGACCAAAAAGCAAAGAAAAATAGCCGCCTACCACAGCAGCTCTGAAGAAAGTGGGAGCGACGATGAAAGTGCACCCGTTCCCGCCAACCTGCTCGACTCGGACGACGAGGACCTAGACAACATCGAGGTCGACGACGGCGCATCCTCAGCCGGCCCCGCATCCGACTCCGACTCACAGTCCGAAACCGAATCAGCGCCAAAGCACAAACCCCAGACAAAATCCTTCGTTGCCCGCGAGGCCCCGGCCTCCCCCGACTCCCCCGGCGGCGAGGAAGACAACTCGTCCGAAGACGACAACCAAGATGAGCTCTCAGACGCCGCCAGCCACAGCGACGACGATTCGGGGCCGGAGTCGCGGCGCGGGGCCAACGACACGCGGTCGAAACGCAACGACCCGGCGGCGTTCGCGACGTCCATCTCCAAGATGCTGGCGTCGAAGCTGCCGGCGTCGCGGCGGGCGGACCCGATCGTGGCGCGCAGCGCGGCGGCGGCGGAGCAGTCGCGGCAGGCGGTCGACTCGGCGCTCGAGGCCAAGGCCCGCAGGCGGCTGCGCGAGCAGAAGCGGCTGGCCATGGAGAAGGGCCGCGTGCGCGACGTGCTGGTCGCCAGCACCGCCCGCTCCCTCAACGTCGCCACGGGCGAGATCGAGGAGGTCCCCGACGTCGCCCCCGGCGAGGCCGCCACCACGGGCGAGATCCTCGCCGGCGAGAAGAGGCTGCGCAAGGTCGCCCAGCGCGGCGTCGTCAAGCTGTTCAACGCCGTGCGCGCCGCCCAGGTCAAGGCCACCGAGGCCGAGAGGGCCGCCCGCAAGGAGGGCGTCGTCGGCGTGGACCGGAAGCAGGAGAAGGTCACCGAGATGAGTCGGAAGGGGTTTCTGGATCTGATCGCGAGCGGTGGTGGGGGGTTGAAGAAGGGCGGCTTGGAAGAGGCGTAGGGCTCGTGTGGCATGGTTTCCGCGGCCGGGTAATTTGACTTTTCTTTGGCTTCGACTGCTGTTTTCAGAGCAGAGTCTCTGGTTATCTATGTACGATCCTTCCCCGTGGGGGTGTTCACTATCGTACATGTACATTGTATCCGCGGAGATCGCGTCTTCAAATATTCAGGATGCCACCCCGCCAGATTAAGGAGGACATCATGGTCGAACCCGCATACCGGCCCGCCGTACTTTTGGTATCTTTTGCGCACTTTCCAGTCCCATATGCATCGCGCAAAACGCCGGCCGTAGAGTAGGAAACTTCTCCGAAGAGGCCCGCGTTCACTTGAAATCACTCGACTGCAGATTCCTCGTCATGGACGGGAGCTTCACCCGCAGCCCGTCCAGCTCGGGCTTCATGACGACCTGGCAGCCTAGACGACTTGTCTCCTGTAACCCAAATGCCAGATCGAGCATATCATTCTCGTCATCGTCCGGCTCGGGCATCTTGTCGTAGTAATCTTGGTCCAACACGATAACGTGGCAGGTGGAGCAGGCGCAAGAGCCGCCGCACGCGCCCTCCATCTCCAGATCGTTCGCTTGGGCAATGTCAAGCAGGTTATCGCCCTTGGACACGGCAATCTTGTGCTCGACGCCCTCCTTGTCGATAAACGTTACGTAGAGTCTGAAACTGTCAGCGGCGCAAAGGTCGGACCAGGGTATCAATTGGGAGCCCGTACTCCTCACCCGGCTTGGGGGGCTCTACATGGCCATGCGAAACGGTCGCCGAAGCGGAAAATGCCCGTCGTTGCAGCGGAGTCGACCACGGCGACCGGCGAACTGAGATTTGGGCTGATCGGCTCGGAGCGGCCGGTGGGGGCACGGCGGTAGCTTTGGTGTAACATCGCATATGCCGCGCAATGGGGCCGGCGGTGCGTTTCGAGGTGAGTCTCAGACCCGGGAGGGTCTGGGCGAACAACCTGGGTGTCGACATCTCGGCGGCGGCGTCTTCGGGTGGGGAGCAAGGTTCCTGGCTCGGAGGGGGCGGAGGAAAGTGCAAGGGCAAAGCGAAAGAGCCCTGGCTCTAAAAAGCGGGAGCGCCAAAAAAAAAAAAGCAAACAAGCTCTTGCAACAGCGGAACTGAGACAAGCAAACACACCTCTCCTCTCCTGCGCGCTTCTTGAGATTCAGGACTGCTAAGCCTGCCTAGTTGCAAGTGGTTTATTATGTACAGCCGCCGCGAGGCGAATCCAGGGAAGGCATTGAGATGACTGGAATCTCGGTCGAAGGGCATGCGAAGGCCGATACCTCCGTACAAGAAACTTTGGTGGGCTGCTCCGATTTTCTCCCCGCTTCCCGTTATCTACACCCCGTTTATGCAACTCTCCATGCGGTGCACGGGCATTTGAGCTTCGGATGTTCCGCGAGCAGCTTATCGCGCCAAAGCCAAGCCAAGCCTTCGATTTCACCCCAACCTGCCAAGCACAACTGGAGCTAGAAAATCGTCACTCACGCCCACCCACCACCCACACAGCTGCCCACTTGCCGCAAAAAGACGACCCGAACGACAAGAAATACTCACCGTTGTGTAATGGTCCTGCGCACACGACAGACATCATGGCGAACCACAATGACGGGGTGAATCCCCTAAGACCCTACTACCTCCCGCCCTCGATCGGAGAACCGGCCGAGGTGCTGCCCACGCCGGGGCCCCGAGCATTCACCCAAGCCAACTCGACGGGCAGATATGCCTCCAAGGCTCGCGACATCTTTTCCGACATCGACTACAAAGACTACATTGCCGAGCCGTCTCCCTCGGTGGTACAAACGGTCAAGGAGGTGCTGGACGAGCTGCTATGGAAGTACACGTCCGTGTTGATGGCACAACCTTTCGAGGTCGCCAAAACCATCATGCAGGTCAGAGCCCAAGACGACCTCGGCGGGTTAGAGGCCGCCGCAGTGGCAGCGGCAGAGTCCAAGCAGCGACAGGCCAGCCAAAAGATACACATATATGACGAAGTAGGAGCTTCCTCGGATCACGCGGAAGACGGCAACCCGCTGACAACTCGCCAGGGCACCCACTCCGATTCCGACTCAGACGTAGACGAGTCGGCTTTCTTCACCTCCCACCAACCACGCGCGCCATCACCCAGTCTCTCCCGGTCGGGGCACGCGCGACATGGAAGGTCGCCATCACCACAACCGTCCGCAAAGCCCGTGCTCGCCCACCAGCTCGGCATCCGCACGCCGGACTCGGTATTAGAGGTGATCGCCCAGCTCTGGCAGAAAGAGGGCGCTTGGGGCGTGTGGAAGGGCTCGAATGCAACCTTTATCTACTCGGTCCTCCAGTCCCTGCTCGAGAACTGGTCGCGCAGCCTCCTCAGCGCCCTCTTCAACGTGCCCGACCTCGGGGTCCGCCACGACATGGACCGGCTCGTGGACATCGCATCCCCGTACCCGTGGGCCTCGCTGTGTGTCGCGGCCGCGGCTGCCGTCACAACAGGCCTGATCCTGTCCCCTCTCGACCTCGTCCGCACCCGGTAAGCCAACCCCGCCCCCCACCAAGCCCCATGTCAAACCCCACACTAACAAACCCCGCAGGCTGGTCATAACCTCGACCGCCTCGCGGGCCCGCCGCACGCTCTCCACGCTGCGCAGCCTGCCGTCGTACCTCTGCCCGGGCGCGCTGGTCGTGCCGACGGTGCTGCACTCGCTCATCCACCCGCTGCTGACGCTGTCCACGCCGCTGGTGCTGCGCACCCACTTCATGATCGACCGCGAGCTGGCGCCCACGACCTTCTCCATCGCCAAGTTCTGCTCCTCCACCGTCGCGCTGCTGCTCAAGCTGCCGCTGGAGACGGTGCTCCGCCGCGGCCAGGCCGCCGTCCTGCGCTCGGAACCCTACCTCCACGCCCTCGAGGGCCCGCCCGCCGCCGCCGGCAAGGGCAAGCTCCCCGAGATGGAGACCGTCGTGCCCCTCGGCGCCTTCCGCGGCGTCATCGGCACCATGTACGCCATCGTGCACGAGGAGGGCTCCCACGCCCTCCCGCCCCCGCCGGCTCCGCCCAGCCAGAAGGGCGGGAAGAAGGGGAAGGTTGTTGCCCCCGTGACCGTGGCCGAGACGGTGTATCGCCGCGGCCAGGGTCCGGATGGGCTGTGGCGGGGCTGGAAGGTCAGCTGGTGGGGACTGGTTGGGCTGTGGGCGGCCGGGGTGCTGGGCGGCGGCGGCGACGGGCAGTTCTGATGCCTCGCCGTCGTCGTCTGATCGCCTCTCACTCCTTATCCGTGCTATGCACGACGCTGAGCTGCTGGTGAGTGGTGGCTACGGCGCTGGTGGTGGGAGAACGAGCGTTTGGATAGGTGTTGGTCCAAACGCGGGACGGGATGATGCGTTTCGGGCGTTTTGATAGGTTGTGGCGTCTTTTTTCTTTGCGCTTTTCGGCATGATTCCCCGCTCACGAATTGGTATGATATCCCAGGCCGGGGTTCAGGCTCGGTCTGCAGCTTTTGGTCGGGCATGTGTGTATGAAAATGGTGGGGTTCGGAGATAGAGAAATTCAGGGTTTGGTTAGCCTTGACGGTCAAGCGGGTGCATGTGTTGGCGAACAACGGTTGAGGTTGGGCTGGAAACGAGTTCCCCAAGACAGCCCGAGGGGTTTGGGCCAAAACCTCCAGCCGCCGACAGCCGGAACCAATTCCCTAACTGCCAACAACAGAGAGCGAGCACATCACACGAAAACAATGGAGGAGCACCAAGGTCAAGTCGACGACTTTACTATTAACACGGAACTATAAAAGTTCCCCAAAACTATATACATCGAAACGGGCGCAATCGCCAACTTCCCCGCCCCCACCATACCCCCCAACGGGAATTCCACTGCCAATACCCCGCGCCTACATCCACCCCACCCGTCGCAACATCATACACCCGACCCGCCACCCACACCCAACAAACAATCCGGGCCCTTTACACGCACTGGGAATACCAGTCGTTGAGCACAGAGCAGCTCGACCCCGCGGCACACGCCGTCGGGCCGGTCCACCCGCTGCCGCCGCACTGGCCGTACCGGGTTTGGGCGCCGCCCGCCGGCGGCGGCGTGACCTGCGCCGCGGTGCTGCTGGTCTGCAGCGTGGTGGTGGTTGAGACACCCGGGGCAGGGTTCTCCGTAGTGGTGGGCTGCGGGTTGGGGCTGCCACCGTTGCCGCCGCCGGGGAGGGTGGCAGACGCGGTGGCGGTGGCGACCGACTTGCTCTGGGCGACGGAGCTGGCGGCGCCGGCGATGAGGGCGGGACCCGGGACCGGGTAGTCGGGCGAGGCGACGTAGGGGTTGAAGAGGATGCCCGCGTCGGAGGCGCGGTAGAGGGAAGTGCCGGCGACGCCGCTGGGGGAGCTGCTGCCGCTGCCGGTTACCCGCAGGTTGATGCACTGCGGGTAGGCCTGGGCGCCGTTGGGGCTGCCGGCGCCGTGCAGCGCGATGATCTCGTGCCGGAGCACGTAGTTGCCGGGTTTGAGGTCGGGCGGGATCTGGACTAGCCAGCTGTTGCCGTTGGCGCGCAGGACGTCGGCGGCCCAGCGGCCGGCGGTCTTGTCGTAGCCGGCGCCGTCGATCTTGAAGAAGCGGAGGGATTCCTTGTTGACGGTTTCGCAGTCGCCGTTGCAGGCCGCGAGGTAGTCGATGACGGGCCCCACGTGGGACTCGGGCCACTCCGGGTCCCAGACGATGCTGATCTTGTCGCCGGCAGCGACGGTGGCGTGGCCGCCGCCGGGGGAGCCGCTCCGGTGGCAGATGATGTCGGGGGTGCCGAAGTTGTTGGGCTCGACGAAGCCGTTGTCCTGCTGGGCGGCCGTCCACCCGATCACCGTCGGCGGGTTGGGCTGGTACCAGTGCGACGTGGGGTCGTAGTTCTCGTAGTACACCCCGTTGACAACGATGTGGCTGACGTGACCATGGGCCGCGACAAGGGCCGCGCCCGTGAGGGTAGCAAGGAGAGCGGATGCCTTAGACATGTCGACGACGTTCGGGGACTCGGGAGGTGGACAAAAGAGGGTATGGTCCTGGGATGATCCTTGAGGGTTCGGGAGGGTGATCGACAGTGATGATCGTCAGGAACAAAGCCGGGATTTACAGCTCTTTTTATAGACCAAACGTGCCAACGAAACCCTTCAGTCCCCGACATCATCATGGCTTGAGCTCCCTTCCCCCTTAGCCGTGGCTACCGTCCGAGTGCCGCACCATCATCCGGGGGAGCGGAACAATGGAGGCCGAACAAGATCACAGGGACATTCGTCCGTCTGGGCATGCAGAGAGACGCACAAGAAACCGGGCTCGTGCTCAGCATTCTGGCAGAGGGTGTGTAACCCGGGAAGAGCGAGGCCCGGCCGAGTGTCCCGAATGCACCATGGTGGCATCTCAGGAAGGGAACCATAGCCAGGAGGGGTAACGTTCGGTGGCGGTGATGGCCTGGATCGAAGAAAACTGGTCTTTGCGCCGTCTTGGGTCCTCCTCCTGGGCTTTGCCAGGGCAATCTTGTTGGGCCGAATCTGGAAGCCTTCGAAGAGGAGCTGCAATATGAGTGGCCGCCACAGTCGATGACCACGCGGCAGCCACGGCGACTGCAGGAAACCGACGGAAGCCATGCCGTTTTCGGCAGTGCGGGAGGCTCCGTCCGAAGGGGCACACGCGGAAATTCGACGCAAGTCGACGGCGACTGTGGGGAAATGCGACGGCGTGTTTCACTGACCACGATCGAAGGTGCACCGCTGTGACGGACGAATTTAGGCAAATTGAGAGCATGGGGATGGCGTCGCGCAAGAGCCATCCCAAAAGCAGCCTTCTTCCATTTCTGGCGACCCAAGTACCAGGATGCTGCAATATCGAAACGGTCGCTTATTTTGCAATACCGACTTGCAGCGGCTCGGTAGTGATGCAGGATCGACAGGCTCGGTCGTGAGCCGGTTGGGGATGGGGATGGGGAATGCAGTTTAAAGATGATGAAGATTGAAAAGGAAAATAACATGACATCTTGAACGAGCTGGGAGTTGGGTACCGAGGTACATCGATACACAGTGCGGATCTGGCAGGGCGCCTCCCGATGGGTTGGTACAGGTCCACAGTGCGCCAAGGACCCACCCTACAGTGCGAAACTGGTGTAAGTCTATCCCCAGATTACTTCCAAAAGGGGAAGGAGTCACCGTCCTCACACCTACCAAGAGTCTTAGCCAACAGCGAACGTCTTGGTCGTCGACAATTCGTGCGGGGAAACCAAATCTCGTCGATAAATAAATAATGTGAAACTCTGAAGTTCTAAAGCTATCCCTGCGGAAACCAAACAAAGCGAGACTGTAAGTGCCCGAATAGGAAATCAAACAAGGTAACTGGTCCAAACAGCATCCCCCTCGAGCGCCGCCATATCCTCCACGTGCATCGCCACCATCACATCAATCCCCTCCTCCTCCTCCCCCCTCTGCCGCGGCAACACAATCACAAACCCATCCGTCTCCCTCTGCGTCACCCGCACCAAGCACGGCCGGCCCACCCCCTCCCCAAAGTCCACCCCATACAAGTCCATATTCGCCCAGCTCGTCACCATAACATCCATCCCATGCAACGAATTCCACCCAAACGCCAGCCCGCCCCCATCCACCGGCGTCTGCTCAATCAAATCCATCACCTCGCGCGCGAACCCGGGCGTCACCCGCCCCACCGCCTCCCCGATCGCCTGCACCACCCGCCCCAGCGCCGCCATACCACTAGCAGTAGCATCACCATCAGCACCATCAGTAGCATCACCATCAGCACCATCAGCACCATCACCAGCAGCAGCAGCAGTAGCCGTAGCCCGCTCCAGCTCCGCCACATCTACCCGCGCCAGCCCGTGCAAGGCAACATTTCCCAGGAACGGCCGGCGCGGGTCGGCCAGCGGGCCGGCCGCGCCCAGCCGCGCGCGCCCGTTGATCGCGAAGCCGAGCCGGGAACGCGCTTCCACTCCGTCTGCTGCGGCGGCGGGAGAGGTGGGAGAGGTAGTAGTGGGGGGTTCGCGGCCGCGGCGCTGCCGGCGCACGCGCGTGATGCAGGACCAGAGGGTTGCGCAGAGCACGCTGTTGGTGGTGGTTGCTGGCCGTGCTGCGCTGCCGGGGTGGAGGGTTTGCAGGGTGGTTTTGGTGGCTTCGAGTTTGGCGGTGGAGAAGGTGAAGATCTTGGAGGTGCCGAGGGGTGAGGGGAGGGGGGCGGCGGGTGCTGCTTTCGTGGAGGCGAGGCGGAACTCGGGGTGGCGGGCGAGGAGGTCGTCGAAGGATTGCTGTGCGGGGGTTGACTGGTGTTCGTCTTGTGTGATGGGTTCGGTGGCTTGGCGCAGTCGCTCGTGGCGGTAGAGCGGTTCGTTGGGGTCGGGTGTTGGTGTTGTTGCCGGGTCGATGGTCTCGGACCGCGTGCAGGCGGCCCAGAAGCGGATCAGCTCGACCATGCCGGCGCCGTCCATCACGTTGTGCTCGACTGCTAAGCACAGGACTATGCCACCGTCGAGGAGGCCGTAGTTGGTCGCCAAGACGGACGCGCCCGAGTCCTTGTCGAGGTCAGCGAGCCTCGGCATCGGACCGAGGGTATCGGTGAAGTAATGCAGCGGCGCGCGTTCGGCCTTGAGCTTTTCAACGCTCAACCTAAGGAGAGGCACCCCATCGGTAGGCATCTCTTGTAGTTCGATGTCCTTGTCCGTCGGGGACCATCGTATTGCCGCTCGGCCGCCATCTGTCGCAAAGACTCGGCCTTTGAGATAAGGGAGCCGTTGATTAAGTCTAGTGAGCCCTGCTCGGAGCTTGTCGACAGCGCTGGTCCGGTCAAGTGTCTCAAAAATGAGAAATATGGTCGTGTAGATTCTGGGCATGTATTGGTCTATAGGGGACAGAAGTGCGGTTTGGGGTGTAGATGAGGCCATTTTGCCCGTTGTGAGGCCCGGCCGAGTCAGGCTACCTATTCAAGGGGTTCACTTGAGGGTCAGGTCTATCAAAATGTCTCAGGTAAAGATCTGTAGATGCGGCCCAACGAACGAGAAATATCGGGTATATATCTATCCCGTCCAATGAGCGTGCTCACCGACTGAGTCAGTGCCGGCCGCCACAGGATTCTGATCCTCGCTTGGTCCCGATCCTTGTCAGCACGGCGAGCTTGTTTTGACACCGGATCTTACGACATCCAACCGTCTTGGGAATTGATTGATTTTCGACCTGCCGATACGCCTTCCGGTGCTTCCGTTACTGCCATTAATTGGATTGGTTGAATATCGCGCGAGGACCCGGGCAGCTAATAGTCTAAGAAAATCAAGCCATTGTGCGGACTGGTCTTTGAAAGCTATTAATGATATTGAGTTGGTGTTAATGAGCCATAGGACCCGAATAATAAAGACAGGCGGAGGTGGTTATGTAAGTTCCAGGTTAGCAAGGTGTCCCAACTATAAGGCCGCCACTTGCTGGATGGTTCCTACCACACAAGTCGAATCGGGCGGGCATGGTGAGTACAGTAAATGCAGTTTGGGATATCATGTGATGGTTGAAGGGTCACTGAGTTGCTGAGAATCCGTGGGATGACGGCGCAGTTCAAATAGCTGGTTGAAGTCAAAAGGTGTAGGTACCTGTACCTAGGTATGTTCATGTTCTAAAAGAGGGTATTGTCAGGTATGCTAGTTCATCAGCTCAACTACCTAATTACATGGTACAATACCTGACTGTGCCATGCCCGCCCTTGGCAGAACGACCCCAGCAAGTCTGAAGCGAAGCTGCCGTGGCTGCCACGCCTCCCACGTTGTTGTGTAACCACCCCCCCCCCCCCGGCCCCTGAGCCGCAACGCCACCCACCACCACTCACAAACTCCGTCGCTTGCAACACCCCAACCAACGGGAAGGAAGGTTACGTTTGGGGGGTTATAGTCACCCTGTATAATATACTTCCTGTTCCTACCACTAAATACCTATTATCTCCGGTTCTGCGGCGTGGAGTATTGACACTGTCCGATGCCACGAGGTTGCCACGATGTTGCCGAGGCTGTCACAAGGATGCCACGAGACTGCCACGAGGAACCCAAGCGAGAGTGACGGCTGTGGCGTCCAATCCATTCCGAGGGAACTGCCCAGAGGAAAAGCCCTAGTAGGTTAAGCGAAACGTCCGGTTTTCACTTGTTCCATGATCCATACTATGCACAATATATTCCAGACGCAAATTTGTTAAAGCCTCACTGCAATTACCCGAGGGTTTGTTTAAGAAATCCAACTCCCAATATAAAATCATATCACATTGGTGTTAGCACAACAAAAACAGAAAAGCTCGTTGGGTAAAACCTAGGTAAGGGTTTTCTCGCCTACCTGGAGTAGTGTTACCGCCTACTTATTTAGGTCCTCATGGTTGTGAAACAACGGCCAGCGTTCAGAAGAATTAGAAACGAGGCAAGGGGATCTGGGGCTGGTTTTCAGAAATCGGTATTGGTTTTGAAATAAGCATTCCATGGATTTATTACCCAAAGAAACAATACTAAGAAACGAAAGTCAAACATTTGAATTATAAGTACCTAGTCTTTATTATCTTGGAAACAAAACGGTCAGGCATGGCAACCCAACGACCCCCGGCTTAAAGCCCCTCAACAACGCGAGGTAGGAGCACCTTGTTGTACTCCCACAAGACGGTCGCGAAGCCAGCCGAGAAGGCGGCGCCGGTGTAGTAGGTGGTGCGGCGGCCCTGGAGGGAGTTGAGCTGCTGCAGGAAGCCGGCGCGGAGGTCGTCGGCCGAGACGTGGGCGTGCATGTGGCCGTGGTTGGCAAAGATGTTGAAGCTGACGCTGCCCTCGGACTCCGGGAGCGTGCCGGCCGCGACCATGGTGTCGATCGACTTGGCGATGAGCGCCTTCATCGACTCCGGGGTGTCCTCGGCCGTGCCGACGGCGGTGAACTGGAACAGGTCCTCGGTGCCGCCGAGGTAGTCGATGCGGCCGACCTGCGGGGCAACGGGGAAGAGCGTGTAGTTGTACGACTCCGGCTCCGGCGACCGGTCGGTGTAGGCGTTGAGCGTCTGCAGAGAAGGGTGGCGGAGGATGCCGGCGTAGACGGTCGGGTACTTGAACTTGCCGAGGATCTTCTTCTCGGCATCATCCAGGTCGAACGGCGCCATGTTCTCGGGAGTGGGCTCGATGGCGAGCAGGAGGCGCTTGGCCTGGATGCAGGTGATCTCGCCGCTGGGGCCCTTCACCTGGAGGGGTGACGTCCTTCTGAGGGTTTTGCTCGTTGTACCGCTTGGTCGAGACGACGGTGCTAGAGTACAAGACGTCGTCGCCCAGGAACTCGGCGACGCTCTCGAACAGGTCGTACAGGCGGCCCGAATTCGGGACGGCAGCGGCTCCGACGCCCAACAAGGCGCGGACCATGGGGATGCCGGAAGCCTGGATAACCCACAGGGTGGGCACGTTCATGGTGTCACCGAGACCCTGGGCGGTGGAGTCCCAGATCTGGGGGACGGCAGCCGCGAGGTCGTACTTCTCGACGAAGTCGATGAAGGGCATGAGGAGGTCCTCGGGGATGTCGGCCGGGTCGGGGAAGTTGAAGAAGCCCGGCAGCACCATGTCCTCGTACTGCTCGAGCACGTCGAGGTACCTCTGCAGGGCGGCGTACATGTCCGCAGCCGCGGGGGCCGTGTAGTCGGGGACAGGCTTGCCTGTCTTGTAGTCGATGAACCTAGCCTGGTTCGGGGTGAACGACATGGCCCCGGTCGTCGACACGTTCATGCGCTTGGGGAAGTCGAAGGCATCCTTGTACTCCATCCAGGCCTGAACGCCAACATTGATGGACTTGCCCGTAGCCGGGTCACTGTAGAAGTCCGTGTGACCCGCCCTGAGAATAGGGGTAAGCAACGCCGCAAGAGGAAAAGGGAGAGGAAACGGAATAGGGGGTGCACTCACGAGTTGGTCGGCCTTCTCGACGACAATGACGCTGTGGCCGTGGTCACGTAGCCACACAGCGGCGTGGGCACCAGACGCGCCACCGCCGACGACAACGACGTCGCGGTCAATGCAGGTGCCACGGCACTCGATGGCGGCGCCCGCCACCGTGGCTGCAAGGCAGCCGAGGCTAACGCCGACACGCATGATGAGCTGCATCTTTGTTCCAAAAATGCCACGAGGCGTTGCTGCAGTCTTGTTCCTGGGATGTAACGGCAACGGAATGTTCAGCGCACGGTGGAGGAGGAAGTCGGTGCATTTTAAGGGCAAACACGGCAAAAGACTTCCTCCCCTTTCCCATCGTGGCTAGGTCGTCCGGCGAAAAACGTGGGAGCGAGGGCAGGGGGCACCGCAGCATGTCCGGACTGCCGGCGGCGCAGCAACATGCCGAGCCTCCGTGAGAGAAAGTGTCATATTTCGTACCACACAACGTGTTGAGGGGCACGTGGGGGGGGGGGGGGGGGGGTCAGGGGCGAGGGACTACGTCGACGACCGGTAGCATCAGGGCGAGTTTGAGACCAGACCGTCCAAGAACGGTGCTACAAGTTCGAGCCGGAAATTGCAGCAATGCAGCCGGAATCCACATTGTCGGGCCTAAATGCTGGTTGGAGAGAAAATGCGACTCCATCTCTGGGTCTTTGGTCGACACTAGTGGAACGAAGGATGCGAAAGAGATAGTCGATTCTGGGCAACCCCACAAGCCCCCCCTCAGTCCCCAAGCCCCCAGAAGCTCCACGATCTTCGATCGTTCTTCGCGGTCCGATCGACGGCAACGGCGGGCACCGCTGATCTTTTTGGATTTCTCCGCTGCTGACCGAAGCGAGAGAATCTGGTTGGAAAGCTTAAAGAACACCAATTATCCATGCTGGACAACAGAATGTATGTCCTTGTACGTGTACTTGTATATCTCCTACAATATTAGCATGCCATTGCTGTCGTGTTTGACCAACCGCCCATGTTTCGTTCCAAATTCGAGGCCCCTGTTGCAGGTTCCTCGCTCGTGGCTCACATGCGACGACAGGGTTGCTCAAAACCCCGAGCGGACGGATCTCACTGGCTTGGCCGGTATTCCCGGAAACCGGGACGTACCCCTGACGGCAAGAGGAGGCACCGAGGAGGGGCGCTCACAAAGCTGGGCGAGCCGGGCTCCCGGGTAATTTGATAGGTGGCGCCCGAGCGTTGGGACTGTGGTACTCGTGTACTCGCAGAAACTTTCAATTCGCCACTAGTTAGTTGGCAGTTCATGCACAGACGCAGTCCACCGTTTCCCAGCAGCCCAGGTCGTCACCCCTGGTTTTGGTGCGAACTCCCGATGGCATCATGCGAGATATCTCGCTTCCGGCAGCCAACCGACACAACGTGTGAACCAGGATGGGGATGGTGCCCAAGCGAATGCTCCCAAGCAACTGGACGATGTGCCCGTTGTGGAAGCAGACGGCTGCTGCTGGTCTTTGTTGAATGGGACCTGAGTCTTCAACGATCCCCCCTGTAACGGTCTGGGCACTACTGCGCCAGGATTCGAGATCTATTCTGCATCGAGTAGGTGGACACCGAACGGGGTATCAGTTGGAAAATCCCCCAGCGCAGTGTCTCACATGCGAGGAGCAGGTGCTTTGGGCCCAGAGAACTGGAAAAGGGCCGCCGCCCTGTTCTTAAACCCCGTAAGCCCCACCACTGGGCACGATAGTTCCGGACGCCAGTTTGCAATCGGTGTTGGGAAACGGGATATGATGTTCAAGTAGTGGTCGTGGTGATTCCAGCTCGTACCCGCCGTGTCCGCTCTTCTCGACCGACCGCGAGACCCCGAAACCGATACGATGGATCCCTCTCTCTTGCCGCCAGACCCCTCAACTTTCCCGCCCGAGTACGTCAACGCGAGCAATGCGGCCCGGATCGTGGGGATCGTGGGCTTTTTCCACTTCATCGCCTTGACTTTCGTCTCCCTAAGGCTATACGTCCGTCTGTTCATGGTCAGGGCGTTCGGGGTCGACGATGCGCTGATTCTTGCGGCCTATGTAAGGATACACCCTAATGATTGGTCGAGGAGGATAAGTTCGGTTGCTAATTCTACTGAAACAAACAAGGCTCTCGCGCTCATGTCATGGATCTGCTTGGTCCTCCAAATACCTTACGGTCTGGGCCGCCACGGCCTGGTGGTACCAGTTGAGGATCGGATAAAGTTTGAGGAAATTACTTTTTGGAAGACGGTCTTCTCGGACGGTTTTGCCATGGGGTTGCTGAGAGTATCCATGGCTGTTAGTTTACTGCGGCTCAAAAAGGACTTGAAGTGGTATCGGTGGTCGCTATTTGCCATCATGGGTGAGTCTCTTACGCCCCTTAGTTTCAGTTTTGTTTCCGTCTCCTTGCTAGATGCTGATTACCTAGCATTGCAGGTTTCGTCGTGGCGTACTCGATCCAAGCGATTGCCTGGTTATTTGTTTACTGCACCCCCTTTTCGGGCTGGTGGGAGTTTCAATGGATGAACCCCTTTGACCCAAGGTGTCACGACTTCAACCTGTTTGTCAACCTCGTGTATTGGAACATCTGTGAGTTTATTCTGTGCACCCCGCCTCCATACCCAGTAGGCGATACTGACACTAGCTAGCATGCAACATCTTCACCGATGTGCTTCTGGGTGCTCTTCCCATCCCCATCATCTGGACCCTCAAGATGAAACTTCGCGTGCGGCTCTATGTGATTGGCATTCTCAACCTGGGATATCTGTAAGTTGATACGGACTACGCTCGTTACCAGGTTTGCTATCTGCTAATCACTGGCAATGTTCCACAGCGCTGTCTTGATGGGCGTTCTCAAAGCGGTCTACATGCTCACGACCGGCGGAGACCCCGACGCCATCTTTGATTACTGGGTTCATTTCTGGCAGAAGTAAGTCGGAACGCACGCGATGGATTACCCAAACCCGCCCATGCTTACCCGCCCGTCCTCGCAGTCTCCAACTGAACATCGGCATCATCGCCGCCTGCGCCTCGTTCCTCAAGCCCCTCGTCGGCCGCCTCCTCAAAATCAACAGCTCGGTCGGCTACTCGTACCCGAGCACGCCGTACGGGCGCAGCGGGCGCACTCCCATGGGCGTCGAGACGATCGGCAGCAAGTACCCTAACCGGAGGCGGGCAGCGGACCAGAGCCACGAGGACGACTTCGAGCTGCGGACCAAGAATAACGGCTCGCCGGTGGGGGAGACCCGGGTGGTGACGAGCGTCGAGGGCGCCCCGTCACGCAGGAACTCGCCGGACTACTCGGCCGAGAACGTGGCGCCGGACAACAACAGCGAGGAGATCATCCTGCAGAAGCAGGACACGGCTTATGGGATTATGATGACGAGGGACGTTAGTGTACGGTATAGTAATAAGGGATGATAGCAATGAATATGGTGTACGGGTTAAAGGGCGGTCTGATTGGAATTTGGTGGGATAAATATTGCATAATACCCAGGTCGAGAACACGGGACGGTACCTCCGGTAGTCATGTCTACCTTGCTTTAGGCAGTTAGGTAGTTATCCATTCTTACCGAACTGCTCATTTTCTCCCTTCAAGCTCAGGATTATCAAGATTACAGTCAAGTGTCAAGGAAGCCCGAAACAAAGAACAACTTACTCCTCGGCCTCACAGGAATTGGCAACTCCTCGAGCCAGACACCAGCGAACAGCAGCAGTTCTGGCAAATGGACGAATGATGCTCCGGGATTACGAAAACTCACAAGCTTCCTCCCTGCGGACGACCTTGGCGGCTTGGCTGCTGATCTCTTGGCGGCCTCATGAGGCCGACGACGACGACGAGCTGACGACGGCTCTGCTCACGCCCACAACACTCCCACTTCCAAACCGCCACGCTCTCCCCAAACACTAGGATCAGATCTCACAATACCGAACCACCACCCGGTAGCCCAAGACAGGCAGGCAGGCCAGCCCCGGCAACAATGGGCCGTCACACCAAGCGCCCATCCACCACTGGCACCTCACCACCCGAACCACCACCGCAATATTCACTCTCAACCCTCAACCAACACCCACCCCCCGCCTCCCCACCACCCCCAAGCTACCACAGCGAACCCGCCACCTCCTCCACCACCGCCACCGCCCCCCTCTTACCAACCAACACCAACACCGTCACCAACGAGAGACAACGCATCGACGCCATCGTGTCCCACGCCGCTAGCCTTGCCGCAAAGCGCGTCGCCCGCCAGCTGCTGGTGTGCGCCCTGCTCCTCATCCCCGAGGTCGCTGCCATCGCGCTGGTGGCGTCGGCGCTCAAGGACTGGAAGCGGGTCGAGGCGCTGCCGGGGGAGGCGCGGACGCCTGTGTGAGTTTTTTTTTTTTTTTTTTTTTTTTTTTTTTTTTTTTTTTTTTTTTTTTTTTTTTTTTTTATTCTTTTTGGAAGAGAGGGGAAGGAGAGTGGTTGTGGTTGTGCTTTTGAACGGGGTGGCTGCTGACCTGTTGCGCAGCGCCGTGGTGATGGTTTCGATCATTGTTGAGGTCATGTGGATCGGCCTGTGGCTTCCGCTCCTCCTCCGCTGCTTAGTCCCCTGGCGTCACCGTATTCTTGCCGTCACCGCCGGGGTTTTGGGGTTTCTGGCGGCCGGGGCTTCGGTATATATGCTGGCCGTCCTCGAGCACCATATAAACAACGGGGCGTGCGATGCGGACGAGTACCGGGATGCTTGTGTTAGAGGGTTGAGAAAGGGGGGTCGCTGCGGGATGTGTTAGGGTGCTGGTTACGTGAGTTCTGTCTGGTATCTGAGGGTGTCGTGACTCGAGAATTGTTGCTGACTTATTGGTGAAACAGAGGTCCTCTATGCATTGCGCTCGCAGTCGTGGGTTTCATGGCCAGGAGGAATCATCCTCCACCCAAGGGACCGTGGATGAGGTTCGTTTACGGCGTGGGAGCACTCATGTTACCGGCTCCTTCCTGAGATTTTACCGCATTCGGAAGCTGGCACTCGCCGGATTGCAGTACCAGAGGCACGGCATCATCCTTGTGTTACTAGGCCGTCCACTCCTAAAACCGGCTCGGACTCGGGGGGGGATCGGACTTTGTAGTTGGTGTAATCTGAACAGCTTGTTGAAGGTGGTGTAGCGTCACACCGTCAATGGATCAGTTGACATTCCTGCGGGGCATCAGACTTCCAGACCCCATCATTTTATGGTGTGGCCGCCCCGGATCCGGGCACCGTCAGCTGTTTTACCCTTGTTTGGTGGGGCCGGGTCCGGCCGTGCCCACCCAGATCCCGGGTCTGAGACCGGGTCTCCGGCCCCACATAAACGGAAATCATGCCGATCACCCGGGGAAACATCTCATCTTGCACCACTCTGAAACACCCCATCCGATAAAACTCTCGAAACATCCCAAGGCTGGTCTCCGCGTTGCGGCGCCGGTCCCGAGGATTAGGACCACCAAACATGCCAATTAGAAACTCTGGTGCAAGCCCGCGATGGCGGCCACCAGCCGTTAGACGCCGAATCATGAACTGGAATGCGCCCGTAGCGAAGGGCGGGGAATTTGGCCGCATCGGCCTAGGGAGCTGGCATGATGGAGAGTCCGAGCACATCCCTCCGGGCTGCGAGACTTAACATCATCCCTGGGACGAAGTATAAGATAGGTCCCGTTCCCTGGCTCCATAACTGCCCAGCATCACCTGCAACAACCAACTCCACAGTCCCTTAACAACAACAATACACACACATTCCTTACAGTCCTTTTTTTCCAGCCCACTCATTATCACATCCACTCACTGCAACCAACACCATGCTCATCAGCTTCGCAGCAGCCGTGGTGGCACTCGCCCACCACGCCTCGGCGCACGCCACCGTGTTCCACGTCTCGGTCAACGGCAAGGACCAGGGCGACGGCGTGGACAAGTACATCCGGTCGCCGGGGAACAACGAACCGATCACGGATCTCGCCGACCCGGCCCTCGTCTGCAACGTCAAGGGCGGGACCGAAGTCGGGTCCTCCGTCAAGGCGGCCGCGGGCGACAAGCTGACGTTCCACTGGTGGCACTACAACCCGGACGACCCGAACGACTTCCCGCTGGACGACTCGCACAAGGGCGCGGTGCTGACGTGGATCGCCAACTACACGTCGTCGGACCCGACGGGCCCGATCTGGAGCAAGCTGGCGGAGGAGGGGTTCGAGGGCGGCAAGTGGGCGACGATGAAGCTGATCGAGAAGAAGGGCGCGGTCGAGTTCTCGCTGCCCAAGGCGCTGGCCAAGGGCAAGTACCTGATCCGGCAGGAGATCATCGCGCTGCACAAGGCCGACGGCCCCGGCGGCGACCCCGCGACCGACCGCGGCGCCGAGTTCTACCCGAGCTGCGCGCAGTTCGAAATCTCGGGCGACGGCGGCAAGGTCCCCGACCAGGACTTTGACTTCAACAAGGATTACAAGTACGATGACAAGGGGCTGTTCTTCAACCTCTATATCCCGTTTGACAAGTACACCCCGCCGGGGCCGAGGCCGTGGAAGGGTTAGTGACACTGCGGTGAACAGTTGCGGGGTTTAGGGTTGGGTTGGTGTTGGGGGAGTCATCCTGCTTTGTTTCTTTCCTTTCCATTTGATAGAATTGATGCCGTTACTATTCCAGCGTCCCTGGCGCATAGCCCCACGTCTATGAACCAGATCATCTTGGTCATTACAAGTTGTGATTACGCACCTGCTCTCATCTCAAGTGAGTTGTTCATGTGTGCAAGCCCTAGGTACTGATGTGTATGCGACCCATTATCCGATATAATATGAAAGAAAGGGGTATCCTGAGTGAGATAATAGCAGTAACAACTGTTCGTATCGACCAGAGTGAGGTCCAGTATATGTCATGGTAGTTTGGCGCGCGGCTGGCTTTGGTGCTAATAATGGCGTCGTCGATACAGAGCTCGTGTCCGAGGTTGCTTCCCGGTCGATGGCCGGTATGCGTGCACAGCCGGTCTGGCGGCTGTCCAGCACCCGCACCTTTAACACCACTAGGTGATCTAACGACCCCTCCGCAGTAGCCGTGGAAAGACAATAGCCAAAAGAGCCAACGCCAACCGTCAGACGACGTTACCAGGACGGCTCTTCAACCGACTGTATCCGCCCCTGCGGTACTTGCGATAGAACCGCAGACCGAACCAGGAGAGTAGCCCGATGGCGACAAACAGCAAGGTAAAGAACAGAAGCAGGTGGTCGCCGATGCTCGCAAAAAGCGTATTGTCCCAGTTGTCCCACGTTCCTCCGCCATCCCTCTGGTGCGTGAAGAACACCCACTCGTCGGCGCCGGGGGCCATGTCCATCATGATGCGGTACAAACGATGCTCGTGCTGCTGCCCGTCGACGGGCTTGGGGAGCAGCGCGTGATACTCCTCCCACATGGCCGTCAGGAACCACTGGCCGCTCGCGTACATGATGGTGACGAAGGGCAGCGGCCACTTCCAGTCGTAGGGGAGTAGCGACAGGGTCAGGCGGTGCCAGAAAGGGTGGTTCGGTCGGGCGCCGAGGATGTTGTTGCTGAGCGCGCCGCGGCCGCCGTCGGTGACCCAGACGGGGTAGTAGAGGAGCGGGGTCAGGTCGGTATTGCAGCCCTGAATCAAGCGTTGTGTCAGGATTTGGAAGATGTCGGCAACGCGGCAATGGAACAAAGAGTTAACCTACATTGTCGAGGTCCATATAAATGCCACCATAGTGCAGCATGATGAAGTACCGGACCGCATCGACGCGCTGAACTGGGTATCGGTAGCCATCGTATGTACGCAAGAACCAGGGATATTCTGTCTCGATAAAGTCTCGTGACGCTTTCTCGGTCCACAGCTGGAGTAGCACAATGTCAGCGTGGGGTCCAGGCGGTAGCGATAGCCGGTTTTGAGGGCGACAAGTCGGAAGCTGGGCGCACCTTGAACTCAAAGTCTGGATTTACATCGATACAGGTCTGGCGCATCTCGGCCCAGTCCGACGGCAGGGTGTCGTTCCCAGGCACGCGCCAGTTGTGGAAGACATTGTGGATGATTTTTGGGATGTGTTGGATGCGAGAGGAGGCTTCAGGACCGGCTGCTTCGACCGCCGCGGTTGCTACTTCGGGTTGCGTGAGTCGGATTCCGGCATGCTCGAAGAAGATGGACCTGAAAAATAGCAGTCTTGAAATGGCATATCCAACCAGCGTTACAAGGATAATTGCCCAGAGGACGACGGATATTCTGAAGGGGATGCGCATCTTGATTTGCGCTGGCGGCAATGGCCGAGAGATACAGGATGAAAGGAGAGAACCAAGCTGAGCGCGGCGAATTCGAGGTTTGACAAGGCACACAGGGATGCAGGGACCTTGTGGGCTAAACATGTGGGGGCCAAACTGCCGACCAGGCACGCGGGTGCCAGGGAACTCACAAAGGCGTTTTAAGTGGGGTCTCATTGTTTGGCGGTTACTTGTAGTTAAAGGCCATCCCCATCCTTCACAGCACCGAAAAGCATCGATTATCTTATTATCTGCGTCTTTTAACTCTCGCTCTGCACACTCTCTATCGATATTCTTGTAACAGGCTGTATTAGTCTTTTTCCTCAACACAATCCAGAACTCAAATCCGCCCTCACTCATTACCCAAGGCAGAGGGAGAGACCCAATCCACCGACCATCCATCACCACTGTCGGATCCAGGATCGGCGGTCGCCGAGGGGGCCAACGCGCCGCCGCCTTTGGCAAGAATCAGCATCTGCGCGGCACGCAATGCGCCAGTTCCGTTGAACCTTGAGCCCTTGGCATGCTCGCGTTGCTCCAAGGCACATCCTCCCTCGCAACCGATTATATGTATATGCGGCATCATGCACGCTTCCAAGCACCTGCGCCTGGTTCTTTGTCGGATTTTACGGGGGAACCACTTCACGCCGGTGCCGAGGAAAAGACCCAATTGCAGAACCCGTCCGGGCCCCGGCCTTGCCCTCAGACACAACGGCCGGCCTTGGTATTGATTTGGTCGACCCCGGCACGCTTACCCCCACTTCCCCGGTCTCACCCCGCAGCTTTGAGCCGTGGTGCTGTGGCGGTCCCGTTAAGCCTTGTTTCAGGGCGCCGTTGATCTCGCGCTCTCCCCAGCTCTCCAACCGTTCAATCAGTACTGAATGCATGTGGTCTCCAAAGACCTCGCGCGCGGGGCGTTGATGGCAGAAACCCGCCCGGATGCTGCCCGGCCGACAATCATCCAATGGCTTATATGGCAAGTTTCGGTCTCGGGGTCCCATGACCAAGCTAGAGAACTACGGGATCGGCGGTTGAGCTGCTTCTCGCATGCCTCGGGCGTTTCGACGTTCGGGATCGTGAGCGTGGATTCATCGGGCTCCCCCACGTGGTCCCAATTGTAGTGGAATGCGGCATCCGTCTGCTGCCATGGTGGCGTCTTGCCGTAGATTTCCCACAAGTCGTTCCACATGACCGGCTTGCTGACGTTCCGGAAGTAGTCGCCGACCTCCCGCATGGCCGAAGGGGTCGGCAGCTTGTGGAAGGAGACGAGCGGCGAGCAGAGCCTGTCGGCGCGGATCTTGCTGAGCAGCGGCGGCTCGCCGTTGAACAGGTGGCTGTACGATTCGTCGAGGTGGATGCCGAGCTTCAGCAGCGCCTTGGCCAGCAGCCGGTCGCCCCACGTCTCGTCGAGCGAGTCGACGTAGACGGACGCGAGGGCTCGCTGGTTCTCTATCAGCGCCTGCATGGCTGCGTGCGAGAGGATGACGGCAGATCCTCCGTGGGCGAAGCGGGCCTTGAAGTCGCCCACAGCGTTTCCGAGATAATGCGGCTCCTCGGGGTCAAGGTGCTCGAGAAGCGGTTTGAGCGAGGGCTGGATGATGAAGGTGTCGTCGTCGACGAGCAGGTACCACCGCTTGTGCGGGTACTTTTGGTAAGTCATTTCCAGGCCAGAAATAAACTGAAATGTGTTAGCCATCGGTAAGGGACAAGACATAAAATGAACGACGGAAATTTTACCTTCATCGCATCCAGTTCCCATCCAAACGACCGGCAGTGATTTTGTGCCAGTGCCTCATCATTATTAAAGATTGCCTCGGTCAACAGGTTGTACTTTGCAACCCTCGGATGATCCCCGTAGCGGCGCAAGTGAAGGCGCAGGGAGTGGCCCACAGCGTCATGAACATGCAACCCTTTATCATGATACCCGTCATTGAAGTCAATGTGACCCTCCGAGTCGGCGATGACGAGAATGTCTCTAAACTCGTTCGCGTCGCTCAGAGCGTCAAGCCAGGCCGGTACCCGCTCCCGCGTGCCATATCCCGTCTTGACGATCACCACAAGATCCTGACCCACGTCGACAGGGTGCTCCGGGTGCGCGTACACCCACCGCTCGCTGGAGCGTGAGAACAAGGCCGCCTTGAGCCTCTTTGCATTCCACCGGAACGCCAGCCGCGCGGCGTTATCGTACGGCAGGACCAACCACAGGAAGAAGAAGACGGCCAGGGCAAAGCCGAGGGACGGCCGTATCCCTATCCTCGGACGGGATCGAGGACGCGTCTTCGGCCCCAGACCCACGCGGTTCCACGGCGTCATGCTCGCGAGAGTCGCTAACCGAGTCAGTTAGACAGAGCATTTCCAAATGAGGGAAGCAAGTCGCGGGTACAAGCAGCGATCAGACGGGACGAACTGGTGGTAGTCGAGGGCGACCCCCCGGATTTGGAAATTGCAAGTTTATGGTTCAACCCCTTGTGGATTTTGTGTGTTGTTTTGTTGCTGGGGCGTTACGTCTTCTTGTTGCAGCGGCGGGAAGCGGGAGTTTGCCGTGGACCAAACACTGCAAAAGCGGGAACCAACTATAACAATGCTACTTACGGGGCGAAATCAGAAAAAGAGAATGGCATATTTAAGACCGTGATTTGGAGTGCACACAGAAGCTCAGGTACGGATATTGTCAGCCAACAAAACAAGGTTTTTGTTGGTTTCAGCGTTCTGCTGACCCAATGCCACCACAGAGCGTCGTGGTGGCATGTGATGACAGGGTTAGGGTTAGATCACCCAAGCTGAAGGCATCAAGAGGGCGTGAATCCTAGGTCGTCCTGCTTTTTCTATAAACCAGACAATCGCCATATACCTCAAAGAAATAACCACACGGTAGAGCCAACACCAGCGGGGCGCTACTCCCTCCTAGTCCTCTTCACCTCCCCCTCCACCACCGCCTCAGCATCACCCCCCGGAGCGCCACCACCCTCCTCCTCCTCTCTCCCATGCACAGCCCCCGCCCCCTCCCCCAGCTCACCACTGACCCCTTCCTCCCCGCCAATCCAATTCCCCTCCTCGTCAAAATACTCATGCACATTCTCCGCCGTAATCCACCCGCCACTACCCGGCATCGCAGGCGGCAACCCACCATCCCTCGCGCCGGCAAACACGCCGCTAAACCCCTCGACCGCCTCGTAGTCGCCCTCAAACAGGATCTGCGCCCCGCCGTCCTCTGTGTCCTCGTCGTCGTCATCGCCGTCCTGGGCTGCGTCTGGGTTCAGGTTGGAGCACTCCGAGACGGCCTCGAAGAGGAGGGTCGCTTCGGGTTTGGGCGGGGTTGTTGCCGCGCCGGAAGAGGTCTGGGGTGATTGCGGGATGAGGGTCAGCTCGACCGTGTCGAAGTCGTCGTCGCCCGCGCCGCCCGCGGCTAGCTCGAGCTGGAGGTAGACGGCCGGGTGGGCGGTTTGGTTGCTGTCGTGCAGGGTCTTGATGGCGTGGATGCTGATTTGTTGGTAGGGGATCGAGACGCCGCACTCGGCGGAGGGGCAGAATATCGAGAGGTTCCTGGGGGGTGCGCGGTCAGTCGGGGTGAGGGTGCGGGGCATGGAGGGAGGGGCGCATACTGTGAGTTCACAAACAGGTCGACCTTTTGCTCGACGCTTTCTTCGGTCTGGCCATTCAGCGCGCCGTTTTCGGGCGCTGTTGGCTCTGACGAGAGGTCGGCTGGGAAAAAGGGTAGCTTGCCGCGCTGCGACTTGGGAATCCAGGCCTTTGCGCCGGTCGAATGGTAGTGTAGCACGGGCTTGCCATCGTAGAAGCTGCTGGGGGTTTGCTCCTGGTGCTCGGACAGCGCAGTGTAATCGTTTAGGGAGAACGGTGACCTGACCGTTTGGAGGCTCATTTTGACGGTTGGGGGGGGGTGACGAATGTATTTGACGAAACAATGTTGACTTGGCGAGTCGGCGAGGGGTTTGAGCTTCGGGAGATTCAGTGGGGTCGAGCTCTTATCGCCTTAACTGTGTGGATTATGAGTGGCAAGGCGGGTGCCTGCCGCGCGCACCTTGATTATAAGAAGCTAAGCTCCCCGCAACTCTCCCAAAGCCACTCAGAAGCATCCTCGATCATCAACCAGTCAAACTTCAGAATAATAATCTCCAATAACCACCACCAAACACTACGCTACCGACACAACTATATCTCGCATTCACGACCGCACCACATTCACGATGCGCGACAATCGTGAGCCTCTCAACTCACCCCTCCCAATAACCCACTATTAACCAACCCAGGCACGCACCCGCTGCTCCAGCAACTCCCTCTAACCGTCTCCCCCTTCGTCAACCTCCCCACCGCCACCACCCTCCCCTACCGCTACAAACCAATGCCATCCACCCTGCCCCCCTCCACAACAGGCATCACCGCAACAACAACAGCATCCACAACCAACCCGGAAGATTCCGCCCCCGGCGGCAGCAACAACAACAACACCACCGACCCCACCTCCGCACGCCCCACCAGCAGCAACCACCGCCAGCAAAAACCGCGATACGTCGTCTCCGCCTCGGGCCACGCCGCGCACCCGGACGAGATCCTGGCCTCGTGCCGCGCCCTGCACGCCCACGTCGCCCAGATGTGTGCCGCGGCCGAGGCCGACGTCGCGCGCGTCGACGCCCGCATCCGCGCCGAGGAGCTCGCCGAGAAGAGGCGCGTTGCGCCCGGGTGGTTGGATAGCGAGGCGAGGTTGCTGGAGCCGGAGCGTCCTGCTGGGTCAACTGGGGCGGCTGCGAGTGGGGGTGAGGGTGGGGGGTTGATGGAGGCGGGGGATGGGCTGCTGCAGGGTGGTGGCTACGTGTGGGGTGGTCGTGGGCAAGGGGAGATGCTATTGCAGCAGCCTGTGAGGGGGGTTGGGGAGGCTTATGGGGCTGGGAATGGGTCTGGAGTAAATGGGCCGCCTGGGAGTGGGTATGGTGATGGGCATGGGCATGGGAGGGGAGGGGCGAGTGAGATGGCGGTGCCGGACGAAGGGGAGGAGTTGGATAGGGCGTTTGGGAAGCTGGAGATGGGGCAGTGAGGGACGAACTGATGATGAGTTCGTCATGGAAGGGAAGGCCCCCGCTTTTGTTACGTTGATGGACAGCCAGAAGACCGAAATCAGTGTCCAGATTTTCAGTGCTGAAAGATTGTCCGCACAAACTAACTTCAGGGTCACTGAGACTCGGTGTGCGGCAACTCATTTGGTGGAGTGACCAACTAGCCCGCAAAACTGGCTACAGCGGAGGCATGAGAGGCAGAATCTTCACTGACATCCCACGACTCACCCAAGCTCCAGTCGCGCCCACCTCGCTCCTGCTCCTGCACACCAGCATCAAGCTATCCACCCAATACCCAGACCCTTCCACGGCCGGAGCTCGTCTTGGCTCCATACCGAGCCTATTCACGCCTCGCACGGATCCTGCATACAGAGGGCTGCACCTGTGCCATAGGCACTGTCAGCTGCCGCACAAACGTGGCTAAAATGTCCTGTCGTTCCTCAAACATCCACCTCAAGACATCGGACCCCTCGGCCGCCCTAAAAATCGACCGGAAGCAGGGACTTTTCAGAACGTCTTCGCCTCCTTCGCCGGACTAATCAGCCTGCTGGAAGGGCGAAGTGGCCGTAGGCTGAAATCCCTTGCTTGCCTCCGTCTGTTGAACGGCGGCTTCAAAGTGGGACCCAAAACAGTCGCTCTGGACTAACTCTTGGATTTTCTTGTCAATGGCGAAGGAGAGCTTTACGAACATCTCTTCGCCCACGCAGGAGTAGACAAACTCGGCAAAGTCGACCTCGATGAGGTCCCGGTGGCCGGGATGCTGGGGGGATAGGCGGCTTCGAAAGCCGCCCTGAGGGCCGGGTGCATGATGCGTATCTTTGAGGACGTGCCATCTGAATTTGACGAGAGAGTCGGGCCGACGCCGGAGAACTGGTCGAGGGCGAGAATGGCCTGCCAGCACTTGATGCTGTTTTCTTTGCTTCTCGGTATACGCTCGCGGCTGGTGGCGATGAGATTGCTGAGGTCGCGTAGTGCAGTTATGTGGTTATCTACTATCTTCGCTCCTCGTTCCTGCGAGGGACCTGTAGCTCGGTCGGTCTGATGCCATGGCCGGTCGTCGGGATGGCCAAACCGGATCCCCTGCCTCTCCCACGTCTCCGCTCTCTCCCGCTGGAACTCGGCCAGTTCACTCTTGGCTCGCTCAAATCGCGCCCGGCGTCGAACTACAAGGAATGACCGCGCATGGCTAAGCGAGTAGGACGCAATGACTCGGTGGTGTTGTCGAGACAGGATGCCGATTCTCACGCGCCATGCCACCGTCGCCGGCCACGTCTTCTTGCCCCTTCGCTCGCTTGGTATATCAACGTTGATGATATCCTTGTGTGGCGCGTCCTTGAGCAGGCTATTCGCGAGGTATGGGATCTTAGCTTGGTGCATGGCGTCCGCAAAGGGCGACTCCCAGCATCGCGACTCGTCGCAGAAGCTAACTGCCACTTCCGGGTTTATAGGGAGAACGAGATGGATCATGTCATCCGTGGTCATTCTGACCCACTTGCCTTCTTGTTTTGACTTCTCCGTGAGCGAACTGCTTCAGGATGAAGCGAGGGATGTAGTGATGGTATTGGGTTTTGTGGTGAGCCATTGTTGGGGCCAAGTAGAAGTTAGACGACTGATTGGTGCTTGGGTCGGAGCTGCGCCGACGGGATCAGTCGAAGGTTAGGTGGGCATGGCAGTTGCGGCGGGGTAGCTTCATGTTCCCAAAGCTGCACTCTCGAGAGGACATGGCGTTGGAGACGTGACACATATTCGCAGACGGCTGGGCCAATGGAATGAATGGCGAGCTTCGACCTGCCGAGCCGAGCCGGCTTGTCCAACGACGATGCGCAGCCACAGGCCCTTTCGCCGCTCTTCGTGATGAGGAAGCTTACCATGCAGCTACTGATCGATCAGTGTGGATTCCACCTTGCCTAAGCCTTGCAGAGCCCTCGGAGATCCTCGGGTACCCCAAAACCCTATTAGGGACCCCAGTGTTGGCCCTGAGCATCACCTAGCCAACGATCTCATCGCGGTTACCCCTCAGGTTGTCAGTCGCGAGTGCCTGGCCAGACAGAAACTAACAAAATAAAAGCGGAAGGCAATTTCACTAGTGACTGTATATACCTACCTACCTAGGTAGGTAGCGTCGCTTGTTTCTCTTCCCTTTGTCACCTCCCACTCCATTCCCTACCATTCTGCAGTACGACACCCCGCCCCGCATCCAACGACGAGAAGACTCGCCAAAGCAGTCTCTCAACCGACTGTTCGGACCTAGAGTATCTGGTGATATAAGAACCCCGTCGCAAGACAAGATGTCCTGCTCTCTTTTCTTTTGCCCCCTTACGTTTAGGGTGCTCGTTTAGTCGTCCATAACCTGTTGCAATACACACACCGTGACCGTTACACACGTGTCATGGCCCTGCCCGCTCAGCCTCGTCGGCCCAGCACACTGTGACCCAGCTCCGGGAGTGGCCAGCTTTCATTCCGTTGTTCCGCAGCCAGCCGGCGCCGCTCGACAGTGCCGACCTAGCCAAGATGACGCGGGGATGGCGCTGGTCGGTATTTGACCTGCAGCCGCCGTTGGCCCCGTTGCTATCCGAAACGCATTAAAACCCAACTGCATTTGTACCCGATGTCGAGGCTATATTTGAGGACCGAGCCTTGCGCCGATGCTAGGCATTCATTTCTTGACACGATGCCGCTTAACCTCAACAAGAAAAGGCATATGTTGCCGGCCTGCCCCGACTAGGTACGTTCTAGGTCAAATTTGTCGAAGTTGAATCATTATTACAATAAAACCTTACGTTAGCTGCTGCTCAGTTTGTTTTAGCTTTTTCTTCTCTCCCCATTTCTACGATTCTTCCCTTAAGGAACTAACGGGGACCTGTCAAATTTCAGAGCTCGTCGGACAAAGTTAGACACTAGACTTGGAGGCATACCTCTTCTCTTTATCCAAGCACGCCATTCATGTAAGTTATACGGTCTTCTATATTATTCCGTATGCTAAATCGAAAATGGGGGCTGAAAATGACTAGCATGAGATTACACCAGCTGTTAGCCTTGCTGGCTGTACCCGTTGTCGTTGAATGCCTCTCTTTAGCAGCATGCCGAGAAGCTTGTCGAAAGGGTGACGAAGAGATGTGGAAGTTTTGCCGACGAGTCCGGCAACAGCAGCTTAAAGCCATTTGTTGGGGTGCATCTGTCGGTCTGAAATGCGCGAACAACCTCAGGATCTGCGAGAATGTTTGCTATACACTTACAGGTGGTTAGGGATTCCACACTTTTGCATATATGTTACAAAAGTGTGACGAATCACTAGGCCAGCCGCTTTATTAATATGGAATGCTTGAGCCCGGTCATTCCGACACGCTGAGCAGAATAGCTAACCTGTCATCGACGTTTGAAACCAGGGCTGGTGGGAGGAGATCGAGGACCATCAATCAAGGAAAGCAGTTGATTATGCAATACTGAGAGCGCCGCGTGGACAGCAGTGAGCTGGCAGATTTAGTTATGCCCCGACGTTTCGGTGATTCTGTGACTGAGTGCTGAGGTACTCCGCGAGTTCCAACACGTGTAGCGGACAAGTCTTGCGTCACTGCGCACGCAGATATAAGATTGCGACCATACGAGCCTCATAAGCTAACACACCTATTACTGTTGTACATGTATTCTCTCCTGAGTCTGCCCGAGAAGAGACCTTCTTCAAGCGGGGCGGCTCAGGTACCCGTAGCTTGTGGTCCGTGCTTTGCACCTCGAAAACGCGCCCAGCATCGGCCAATTCCCGAAATTTAAACTCCGAACCTGCTTCAACTGTCGACTGTCGCAAACGGACATCCACCCACCCATCCACTCACCCATCCACTCACCCATCCACTCACCCATCCACCCACTCACCCACCCACTCCCACCTCACCAAAATGCCGCCCCAAAAACGCATGACCGCGAATCCGGTCAAGCCAGCGCGTTATCGCGCTGGCAAGGCCGCTGCACCCGAATCATCCTCCGAATCCGAAGCCAGCGGCTCCGAGCAGGAAGGCGAAACCAAAAAAGCACCGACTAGGAGGACAGCACCACCACCCAAATTCGCCAGCGCTGCTGGTGCGGGACGTATTATCAGCCGTGGCGATGGCGCCAAGATCAACCTCAAGGGCGTCGGGATAGCAGATGGCGAAGACGAGGAAGCGCGACGGAAAGCCGCCAAGGTGGCCAGGCTGGAAGCGGAAAAGAAAGCAAAAGAGGAGGGATTCGTGACCGAGGAAGAGGAGGAAGAGAGCGAGGAAGAAGGCAGCGAAGAGGAAAGCTCAGAAGAGGAGAGCAGCGAAGAGGAGGAAGCCCCCCGGCGGCTGATGATGCGACCCAAGTTCATCCCCAAAAGCCAGCGCCAGGCCAACGGCGCCGCACCCACACCCTCAACCACAACCCAACCATCCGCCCCCGAAGAAGACGACGAAGCCGCCGCCGCCGCCGCCGCGGAGGAAGCCCGGCGCAAAGCCGCGGACGAGCTCGTGGAGGAACAGATCAAAAAAGACCTGGCCGCGCGGGCGGCGGGCCGGAAGCACTGGGAAGACGACGCGAGCGGGCCGGAGAACGAGGTCGACGACGCGGACGACGTGGACCCGGAGGCCGAGTACGCGGCGTGGAAGCTGCGGGAGCTGAAGCGGCTGCGGCGGGAGCGCGAGGCGATCGAGGCCCGGGAGCGCGAGCTGGCCGAGATCGAGCGCCGCCGCAACCTGACCGAGGAGGAGCGCCAGGCCGAGGACGACGCCCACCTGGCCCAGCAGCGCGAGGAGAAGGAGGGCCGCGGCAAGATGGCGTTTATGCAGAAGTACTTCCACAAGGGGGCGTTTTACCAGGATGAGAGCAAGGCGGCGGGGCTGGATAAGCGGGATATTGCCGGCGCGACGTTCGTGGATGATGTTAATCGGGAACTGCTGCCCAAGGCGCTGCAGATGCGGGATATGACCAAGATTGGTAAGAAGGGCGCGACCAAGTATAGGGACCTCAAGAGCGAGGATACGGGGCAGTGGGGCCGGCTGGACGATAGCCGGGGGAGGCGGGATTTTGACCGCAATGTGGACGAGCGGTTTCAACCGGACGACCACCGTCGGGACTGGGAGAGGGGCGGCGATGGTGCGAAGGGTGCGAACGCCATTCCGCTCGGCGAGCGGGGACAGAGGCCGCGTGAAAGCCGCGATCGGGACAGGGGGTACTACGACCGAGACAAGGGCGGATACAAAGATGCGAGTCGGGGAGAAGGCAGAGACGACCGGAGGGACTCATACCGACAGCGCGATGACGACCGGGATAGGAGATGGTCGAGGTCTCCGTCCCGGTCCCGGTCGCCCCGGCGAGACCGGAGTGATCGGCGGAAACGGTCCCCCTCCCGGGAACGGGAACGGGATCGGTACGAAAGCGATAAGCGGCGGAGGGTGGACACCCGATAGGCGTTCCATGCCTTCCAAACAGCTCTAGGATGTAACTTGTAATATATCATGCTTGATACCCACACAATCCCCCAACCCCATCCCTACCCCACGCTCCCAACCATCAAATCTTCGTTATCTCCACCCTCGCCCTCTCGAATATCATATGGGGAGCCATACCCCCGCTTGCGGTATTGTCCTGGGACGGCGGGTAGAGTATCATCTTGGCGTAGGTCCCGGCAGCTTTCCGCTTTGACAAGGAGCCGGGATTGATGACGAGCACACTGTCCACGACCTGCATCCGATGTCAGTCGAGGTCACAACCAGAGAAGCGAACACAAAACATACCTTTGCAAACGGCGGCAACGCGCTCGGCACCATCAACACATCCGGCCTCACGTCCACCATCTCCCCCAGCTTCAAATAGCTCACATCCAGCATCGCCCCGGGCGGCACGCCCCCACCAGCCCCGTCCACCGCGCCCGTCTTAGGCAACCGCTTCCTATCCGCCGACGGAAACAGCGGGAAAAAATGCCTCTGCTCAATCAAATAGCGACTCATGCGCGACAGCGCATCCCCCATGCGGGCACCACCCACCAACTCCTCATGGCGCAGCTCCCACAGCACATCCTGGCTACTGACCCCGAGCACCATCTCATTCATGCTTAGCGTCATGGGGTTCCCAATCACCCGCACCGCCTTGTGCAGGCCCAGCTCGCGGCGCGGGAACGCGTCCTGCGGCCACGAGACATGCTTGGCCAGCAGGTCGCGTGTCGACGGCACCAGCAGCACGGTCGCCGACGGGTTGGTCGCGGCCAGCCGGTTCAGTGCCGGCGCGACGAGGTACTTGAACACCGTCGCCATGCCGGCGGCATCGGCGTCGTGCGTTGCTGCTGCTTCGGGGGGCAGGTCGAAGTCGCCTGTTGCGAGCAGCGGGTGCTCGGCGTCGAGGAAGGGGCCGGTGAGCACGACGGCGTCTGCGTACGTGTCGGCGGCTTCGCTGCATAGCGTGTGTAGGGGTTCGAAGTCCAGGTTGTCGTCGGCGGTGTAGGGGCCCGAGGCGAAGAGGATGGTTAGCGGGGGGGTGGCGGTGTTGTCGTCGTCCGAGTCCATGGCGTCGGGCCCGCCGCGCAGTCGGGCGAGGTGGGCGGAGAGGGTGTCCGGGTCGGAGGCGGCGTTGGGGAGGAGCGGGATGTCGAGGACCTCGTGCACGGTGAAGTCCCGGCCCGAGGTGTTGATGCCGCGGAGGGCGACGATCTGGCCGGGGAAGAACTGGTAGCCTTTGAGCTTGCTGAGGTTGAGCGGCACGCGCAGGCCGTTGCCCATCCTCCTTGAGGACTCTAGGACCAGGGAGGCGGCGTTCAGCTTGCCCTCCGCGGAGTCTGATGCGATGCGTCCGACGGCGACGATCTCGGCGGTTCCCTGGCTCGCGGGACTCCCGAATGCCGAGTCTTCGAGCTGGTGTTGCTTCGCCACTAGGCCGACAAAATCCTCTATCCGGTCGTCCAAGATTTCCGACGCCTCTGACAGTTTCATCACCAGCCCTTTGTATCCAAGTTTCTTCTGGTCCGATGTGGCAGCCAGTTTGATGCGGGGTTCGGGGAAGGGGGAAATCGGGGGTTCGGCGGCCTCGAGTTGCTCGTTGAGGATCTCCAGTACTTCGCCGGCGTTTGGCCTGTCGTTGAAGGATGACGGACTGTAAACCCACGGGCTATTAGCTAGGCAACTCCCTAACCCCCTCGAGCAAGACAGCTACATACGGTATTGCGCCCATGGCGTTTAGTTGGTCTTCCATTTTCAGGGGGGAGCTGGTCGGCTCGGCCTTAACCCGCGAAACTGCCGGTGTCCTCCTAGCAGCTAGCTTGGTCCTCCCAGCACCCGGTGTCGCAAGCCCATCCAACATCCCAAAGACATCACCGCCGCCCTTGCTCACTCGCGGGGTGGCGCCCCCTCGCTTCTCCGTCTTGATGTGCACCTGCGACCGGTTGCTCCGCACGAGGTCGTCCTGCAGATTCTGTTTAAAAGCGCGGAGGTTGTCGATGGAGGCGTTGAAGTCGCCCATTTCCATCTTAATGCCATAAGACTCCCACTTGTAATACAGTTCCTGAACCGACAACTGGTGCATGCCCATGATCGACTTGAGTTCTGCAACCACGTCGGCCTCGAGATCCTTGGTTCCCGAGCCGAACCGCTCGTTCAACTCTACAATGGTTTCGTCAGCCATTGTGTAGTCGGGGTATCTTTGTTGTTGCGAGGCTGTCGTGGTGAGAATATTGGTCCCCAAAACCTCAAATGTCCGATGTCTTGGAGGGGTTCCCGTAGATATTTGGTAACCTTCCATAAGTGGGACGCGGTTGACGTGACGCGCCAAAAGCACTTAACGCGAAAATGCCAGGCTGCCCAATACGGTTAGGTTCGCCATGTGCTGGCCCTGCAGGGGGGCCTGTGGAGTCGACAGGGAAATTGGCAGGGGTTTGTTGATAACTCGAGCTCTTGCCCAACACTGACTTATTTGTTCAAGTTGTTCCTGCTGTTTTTAGGCTCTTGCAACTTGGGTTGGAGCATCGATCGAGCTTAGATTGTGAACATTTTACTCGGACTTAGCTTCCTAATTTTTACCTTTAATTGTCCACGTTCGAACTTTTTCAGGAAAAGCCACGCTAGAGCAAGTCGACTCATTTTGGATTCTAGCGGTGTGTAAATTTAGTTAGCAGTTATCCAACTCCGACTTCTTGTTCCGCTGATCATTTTCCAGCATTTTGCACTTTTTGAACCCAACAACTACTTTGTGATTAACTTATCCCCACTACGGAGCACAATCATGTCGACGACTGCTTCAACCCCCGGTGCCGGCCCGGTGCAGGAGAAAGCATGTGGGCCCCTCAAGCTCCCGCTGCTTGCTCCTACTCCCGAGAGCGTCCCCAAAGAACGGGCGCCCCTCACGGCGGAGCAGCAGACAAAATACGACTGGCTATTGCAACAAGCAAAAGGCTGGACTGAGATCCCGTCCACCAAAGACAAAGCCGGCCCGGTCACCGAGAGCGAGAGGTTCTGGCTCACCAGGGAATGCCTCCTTCGCTACCTACGGGCAACCAAGTGGAATGAGAAGGATGCGGAGAAGCGCCTGCTCGAGACGCTGACATGGCGGAGGGAGTACGGCGTCGAGGAGCTGACGGCGGAGCACATCTCGCCCGAGAACGAGACCGGCAAGCAGATCATCCTCGGCTACGACAAGGAGGCTCGAGTCTGCCACTACCTCAACCCCGGCCGCCAGAACACGGATCCGTCTCCTCGCCAGGTGCAGCATCTGGTCTTCATGGTGGAACGGGTCATCGATATCATGCCCCCCGGGCAGGAGACCCTGGCCCTGCTCATCAACTTCAAGCAGAGCAAGTCGCGGTCCAACACGGCGCCCGGGATTGGCCAGGCCCGCGAGGTGCTGAACATCCTGCAACACCACTACCCGGAGCGCCTCGGAAAGGCCCTCATCATCAACATGCCGTGGATCGTCACCGGCTTCTTCAAGCTCATCACGCCCTTCATCGACCCCAACACGCGCGAGAAGCTCAAGTTCAACGAGGACATGAGCCAGTACGTGCCGACCGAGCAGATGTGGACCGAGTTCAGCAGCGGCAAGCTCGAGTTCGAGTACGACCATTCGGTGTACTGGCCAGCCCTGCAGAAGGTTTGCGGCGAGAGGCGGGAGGCCCGGTGGCAGCGGTGGGTTGCTGGTGGGCAGCAGCTGGGTGAGTCGGAAGACTATCTGGCGGGTGCCGCCGACGTTGGTGTCGCCGGGCCGGAAACTACTCCACCGACTCCGGTCACTACGGATGAGAAGACTCCCGAGGTCACCGTGGAGCCTGCCGCGGCCCAAAATGCCGTTGCCTCAAACTGAGCGATGGACCTATCATCTGATCGGATTGGGCACGTTGGCCCCTCTTGTTAGTTTTCAGCCGCATTGGCATGTGAGCCTGCGGAGATGGCCGGATTCAGACGAGACCATCTCATAATCCTTCTCCCTAATACCACCATCATTCTGTGCCCGTGACTGCCTCCAACCTCCAAGTCGCCTTTCCTCCACCCCGCTTCATTCCTGGCGTCTAGCTGCAGGAGCTGAACGGCCGCACAATCGTAAAACGGGTTGGCCGTTGGTTCGCTAGGCTCAAGCCACATGCTTGGCTCGCTGAACACGGAACGACTGACGCGGCCACGGCGATTTAATGGTTGCACATGTATGTACAAAGAAAACGTCGCAACATTGGCAAATCGTGACTAAATGCGGTAGTGAATAGGGATAAACACCTTCGGAGCCCTGCCCAGTCGAGCTTGAGAACTGTCTCACAAACACTCGACACATTCATCCAGTTACCGAGCCACCAAGCTCTCTGTCCGTCTGTCTCAACCACCACTCGTAGCATCACAGCAACGTCTCAAACCATGTCCCCCTCACCACCACCCCCACCTCCCCAGACATCACCAACACCGCCCACAACCACCAAAGCATGGACCTTCTACCGGCCCGGCCCCTACCGCCAAACCCTCTCCCTCACCACCACCCACCCCCTGCCCCCCTTCCCGCCCCCTAACACAAACGAAGAATACCTCCTCCTGCGCGTCTCCCACGCCGCCCTCAACCCCGCCGACCTGGTCACCCTCTCGGTCATGCCCTTCTTCATCCGCTCCCACCGACACACCAACCCAGCCGCCGTGCCCGCCCTCGACTTCACCGCCACCGTGCTGCAAGTATATAACCCCCCCTCACCATCATCATCATCATCATCGCCATCCCAACCGCAACCGCGCTTCAACCCCGGCACAACCGCCATCTGCTTCCCCCCCCTCTCCCACCTCCTCGCCACCGGCATCGGCGGCCTGCAGGGTGTGGTCGCCCTCCCAGCACGGTACGCCGTACCCCTACCCGCGGGACGGACGGCGCGCGAGGCCGCGGGCCTGCTGCTGGGCGCGTGCACGGCCGACGTGCAGGTGGAAGCGTGCGGCGTGGGCGCGGGCCAGCGCGTGCTGGTGGTGGGTGCGAGTGGCGGGGTGGGGAGTATGGTGGTGCAGATGGTTAAGAGGAGGGTAGGGGGTGGGGGGAGGGTGGTGGCGGTTTGTTCGGGGCGGAATGCAGGTTTGGTGAGGGGGTTGGGGGCGGATGAGGTGAGTTTGTCTTTTTTTTTGCTGTTGTTGGTGGTGGGGGTGTTGCGTGCTTTGTTGGGTTCATTGGGGGGGTGGGTTGGGGACGGCGGTGATGGCTGGCTAACAACAATGGTGTGTGTAGGTGGTTGACTACACGCAGTACAAGGACCTGCCGGGCGAGTTGGCGCGGCGGTTTGGGGATCAGCCGTTTGACAACATTATTGATGCGTTCGGCAACCAGGAGTTGTACAAGCAGTGTGCGCGGTACCTCAAGCCCGAGGGTATGTACAACGCCGCGTCGATACACTATACGGAGTACACTTTCTGGGCCTTGCTGAAGAGCGCCTTGACTCTCGTCACCAACACTATCTGGCCGCGCTCAACTTGGCTTGGTGGCACTGGCCGGACTTGGAAGGCGGCGAGTCTGATGGATCCGGGATTGGACATGATGGAGCGGATTGTGAAACAATTTGGGGACGGGGAACTCCGAGTCGTTGTCGACAGTGAGTGGCCGTTTGAGAAGGTCCATGAGGCTCTCGATGTCGTGAAGAGCGGCCATGCCGCGGGCAAGGTTATCATCAAGGTTAATGATGAATGATTAGATTGGGTTGGTGTTAGGTCCTGTATCATATGTTATACCCAGCTCTAATGCTTCTTTTATTCTCCCAACCATTGACGCCCTTGATTTAAGGACTTGAACAACAGTCACGTCTACCACATTGACAAGTCACTAGGCAACTTCCGCATCTCAAAAAAAAAAACATGCTGTATTTGCTCTCGACTAGGGTATCCCCACCTCCTTTTTGACAAGGCCTCAGCCGATAATGAATGTGATGCAGTTGATCCAAAATACCCCAAGAAAGCTCAAGATATCCAATGCGCAAAACCAAGACCAAATGCCCAATACGCCCAAACACCCATGCTCCAAGTAAATGCACCGATATACACAGCTTTGGCGGTATATATATAGATTTGTGCATCCTTCCCAATCCAAAATCTCACGCGAGCCGACCCCTTTCCAACATACCCCATTTAGTCATAAACGAACGTGACATCAACCCCGTCGCGCATCCCCCTTACCCTTGGCCTCCACACTCTCCATGGGGTTCTCACGCTCCTCCGCCGGCGGCGTAAACTGGCGCCGCACAAACTCCCCCGTCAGACGCGCGCTGACGGGCGTACCGGCCGCGCCGTGCGCGGAATGCGACGCCTGCCCCTCCCACCGCTGCCAGCCGGGCACCGTCTCCTCGGGCCCCTGCGACGGCGCCGACGCCGACGCCGACATCGACGTGACTGTCTTGAGCGAGGCCGCATCGCCCCCGGCCCTCGCAGCAGCGGCGGCAGCACCACCACCACCGCCACCACCACCACCCTCCCCGCCAGCCCCGGCATGGGCGAGCCCCGCCTCCCCACCGTCCGCATGCTCCCGCAACACGTCCTTCACCCCATGCACATGCTCCACCTCCTGCATCAGATCCCGATCCGTCGGCCACAGCGACTTCCTCACGGCCGACACGCCGAGCTCAAAGACGATCAGCGCGGACAGCACGATAAAGTGCACGAGCCACCACAAGCCGTCGCGGCCGAAGCCCTCGAGAAAGGCATCGCGCACGACGTACGGCCCGATCTTGCCGCCAAACACGACGCTCAGCAGGATGTTCCACAGCCACCAGCCGAGGATGGAAATAGCCATGCCGGCGAGGATGACGAGGGTGCGGTCGTGGACCTCGAGGAACATGAGCTTGACGTTGATGAAGACGACGGCGAGGGAGAAGGCGAGGGTGCCGACGGGGGTAGAGGTCGGTAGGCGCGGTGCCGTGGGCGCCGAGCGCGTAGGCGTAGTAGACGGCGTAGTAGATGATGCCCGACTCGGCGACCGCCATGGCCATCCACCCGAGGTACTGCGGGAAGTTGAAGCCGCGGCAGCGCTGCCCGAACGTGTACAGCTCCGGCACGGCGAGCAGGGTCTCGGCGGTTAGGTCGCGCTCGAAGATGCCCGGGATGATGACCGAGAGGGAGGTGAAGATGGTGTTGAAGACGGTGAGGGAGGTGGACTCGAAGAGCGAGGTGCCCGTGTAGCCGTTGTAGCGCTGGTAGTGGGCCTGCAGCAGGTAGAAGACGACCTCCTTCCAGAAGGTGCCCAGGATGTACTTGCCGCTACGAGCGTAGTTCCAGCGGCCGTGGACGAACAGCAGGCGCTGGAGGAAACGGAACTGGGCGACCGAGTAGTCCGAGATGCGCGCGGCCTGCAGGCCCTCGCGGCCGGAAATGCCGATTCCGACGTGCGAGGCCTGGATCATGGCGATGTCGTTGGCGCCGTCGCCGACGGCGAGCGTGACGGCTGAGGGGGATTGGTGCCGGATGCAACGGACGAGGTTGGCCTTTTGCGAGGGCGACGCACGGCAGCAGATAACCGAGTCGACTCTAGCGACTAGGTCGAAGAATAGCACGCGGAGCGCGGGGTTGTCCTCTACTACCGACAGCGTATGTCCGTCGATCACGGCGACCGAGTGCGGGACCATGCCGCGGCAGACGTCAGTGAGTGTCATGGCGAGCCGTTCCTGGAGATTGCCTTGCGTGATGTCCAGAATATAGACTTCGGAGAAAGGCTTGCAAATCCGGGCTGAATGGGCAATGTTGATGGCCGTCTCCCGCTTGTCGCCGGTCAACATCCAAACCTTGATGTTGGCGCGCCGGAGCTTGTCGATCGTCTCGGGCACACCCTGCTGCAGCTTATCTTCAATAGCCGTGGCCCCGGCGAGTTCATAGTCCTGTTCGATGAGCTTAGCCGCACTCTCGATGCGCTCCTGGCGTTTGACGAGGCTGGTAGTGGCCTGGAGGTACACATCCTTCCATTTCCGATAATCATCCTCCTCCAAATAGCGGTACGCAAACATGAGCGTCCGGAGCCCTTCGGTGGCAAAGTCGTCGACGTGCTGGAAACAGCGCTCAAACACGGCCGCCTCGTTGAGCGCCAATGACTCGTCCACCATCCCCTCATAAGGATCAGCGAGGCGAGCAAGCTCCAGCGACCGGGCACCTCCCACAGAGCGGCGGGGACTGTGGTAGGGATCGGATTCGCTTGGTGACGCATCTACGCCCTCGCTCTCACGGCGAGAGAGCCAGTGATCAACTTCATCCGTGATAGCCATAGAGCGCCGCCAGCTATCCCTCCGGTCCAATGTCCGCCTGATATTTATGCTATCCCGTTTATGGCTATGCATGCTTTGCCGCCGGAGAGCCATCTCTTGCTCGACACTCCTGCGCATGCTCGCCCTCCTTTCGACGGCTGAGGCAGTCTGAATGGCAAGCTGCTTTTGCCTCAAACGCGGCAAAATGACGCTATCGGCGCCCTTGGTGAAGATGCACAGCCTGCCATCAGGCATGCGGATAATGATGGACATCCGCTTGCGCTTGCTGCTAAACTCGATGACGTCCAGGATCTCATATTTCTCGGTGATGGTTGCACCAGCCGAGTTGCGCACTTGCAACGTCATAGACTGCGCCGCCCTGTCAACAACGAGGAAACCCAGTTCCTTCGCGGCCTCTACCAGAGCAAGCTCGTCGGGAGACGCAGCCTGGAAACTGATTTCCCCGTCTTCGCCCGTTTCCGGGAGACAAGTATGGCACAGCGCCAGGCAGAGGATGAACTGCCGGGTTTTGCGCGAGAACTGCGAGTGGGGCTTGTTGGCGAGATAGCGAAGGAGGTCATCCGTATTGAGCTCGGGCTGGTTTTGAGCTGGGTGGACTGAGGATTTCCACCTCGAAGTAGTGCTCGTCCGCGGAGCACGGCCGCCCTGGGCCCGACGGCTCTCAACGGGAGACTCATCCATCATCTCCGTCTCAGCTGGACGAACTGACACCCTAGGGCTCAATGCCGGGGCCTTCCCTGTCTGTTCAACGGTCTCTTTGCACGGCACACCCCGGCCACCCTTTTCGTCCTCTGCGCGCAGGTCCGCGTCATGGAGCCATGCGGTTCCGGCGACGCTCATTTTGCGGAATTTCATCAAGTTCTCAGTCAAGGTACCAGTCTTGTCGGAGAAGACATAGCTAACCTGCCCCAGGTTCTCCAGAATGGTGGTCGTGTTGGCCACCATGGGCGTATCCGTAACCGGGTCGTACATCTCGATGTCGCTGAGAAGGAACAGCTGGCCGAGCTTCACAATTTCGAGGCTGACGTAGAGCGAGAGTGGAATGAGCGTGTTGTAAGCAATGACAAAGGCGATAAAGATTTGCCCCAGCGGTACACTCCCATGGTTAAGGTACCACGCGAAGGCCTGGTACTCGCGACGCCAAACGATATAGCCGACGGTGCAACCGACGCTGAGGACGATGACGAAAAACACCAGCATGAGGACAATGCGATTGACAGCGTACTGCAGCTCTGGGGCCTTGGCGCGGACATTCTTGTTGGCGTTCATGCGGATCTTGCACTCCTCGCCGCTGTTGATGACCAGCCCAATGGCATAGGTGGTATTTCGCAGCGTCGAGCCCCTGTAGACGACCTCGTTTAGTGTAAGCGGCATGGTTTCGCCGTTGATGGTAACTCTGCCCTCGAAATTGTAAAGATCGATATTCGGGTCTTCCGACACGATTTCGGCTTCGCTCCGTCCCATTCCGGCGATGGAAGAACAGTGCTTGGCGAGTAGCGGGCAGGCCTGCTTGCTTTTCAGGTTCGTTTCGCCGTCCAACGCCATCGTCTCGATGAATGCGACGCCATTCGGGCCCGTTGCGTGGAGCAGGACGATGTCGGCGGGCACGTTCTCGTCTCGGTGCAGTCGAACGATATCTCCCACTCTCAGATCCTGCCACTCCACCTTTGCCCACTGCCCGGGCTCTGCGCCTTCAGCACACGCGGATTCCAACTCGGTCGCTTGCGCCCCTGCCTCCGCCGCCGGCTTTTCCCTCTTAAAGAATCCCCGAGACACGCGGCGCTCTATCCTGGGCTCCCTTCTAACGGTGCCCTCCGGGTCCAGCACGGAAACGGAGCTCCTATTCTCCAGCTTGTCGAGCCTGTACCTGCGGTAGTCGTCGTATCCCTCCTTTGCCATACTAAGGGCCACAAATGCGATCAGAGGCCCGATTGTCGTATATGTGCCCGTCGTGCTGAGGCCGGGTATCATCTGCAGAATACCAATGATGAGGAAATAAAAGTTGGCAAGCTTGCTGAACTGAAAAAACAGCTGCTTGGGCAGAAAATCCCAGACGGTATATCGGCTCGACCGGATGAGATTGGGCACGTAGGAGTGCCCCGTCCGCTCGTCCTTCAGGGGCTTCCGTCTCGCCAGTCCCGGTCTCAGAGGGATATGCCTCCCATCCTTGCTCGGCGGGGTCGGTTTCTGCCTCAGCAGCCCCTCCACAATGTATCGATTGTAGGCCTTCTCGGTAGCCTCCTGGACCTTGATCCACGAGCGGCTAGCAGGCCCCCTTTTGCGGTCCTTTTTCCAACCACCCCAACCGAGCTGCGAGGGCGTAACAGTGCTCTTTTCGGTATCCGCGGGTAGTTCGATGTTGTCTCGCAATTCGTCAAACGTCTGACGGGGACGGGTCAGGGAAACCCTCGGTTCTTCCGCTCGAAGGCGCGCAGGGACGGTCGAAGGTCCATCGTGCCTCGGTGGCGACGCAAGAGTGCGCGACTGGATCGTATAGAGGTCGGGAGACCTTATTGGTAGAGGTGAGCGAGGCTGTCGAACACCAGGCGACCTGCTGCTGTCAAAACTGTGGGAGCGGGCCCCTGGGCGAGCTGGAAGGAGTCTCAGCGCCGGGCGTGAGCGTGTTCCTCGAGGTTCCTCGGCTTGCGAGCTCCCTTCGGCCACGCCAGCGTTTGAAGGGAAGCTGGAACTCGAACTCTGGTGGCGCAGTTCGATCGTCTCGAGCTGGTTCCGTAGCTCTTCAGCGGTATTTCCCTGGCCGTTTTCTGCCATGCCGCGGAAACTAACAAGGTGGCCGGCACCGGACCCAGACCAGTCCTCCACAGTTCGAGCAAAAATGCCTTTGTCAACGGAAAAGCGAGAGGGTGTAATTCTGGTCTTCGGGCCGCATTTCGAGGTCGGGCAAATCACTACACAACGAAGCGGAAAGAACAATAGTTAATTGGAAACCCGAAAAAGAGAGAAACAAATTGAAAACGAGCGACTCTGGCCTGTCTGTCGCCAAGTTGGCAGGTCATGCACGGATCCAGGTGCGCGGGTGGTGGCTTCAAGTGGGTACATGTACAATCCATGCATGCACCACAATGTGTGTCGCCTTGGAGCCGAAACGAAGCGGCTTTCGGACGGCTGAAGTCGTGGTGTGGGCCAGTGACCTATCACGTCCTGTCGCACACTGGAACATTGTGGCTGTGGGGGCGGCGAGACCGCCCAATACGCCCGATGCCCTCTCCGTCTCCGTCTCCGATCCTTGTTCGGGAGCGTGGCGCTGAGCTGGGGAAGCCAGGGGGACTGAGAACGAATTCCCTGCATCGCCTTTTTCAGATCGACAAGCGGCTGACGCAAGTACATACATATGTACTTCGTCCTGCCGGAAAGAGGAGCGGCGTTTCTCGGCGAAGGATCTGGCCTACAAATAGTGTATGGAGAACAGAAATAGGAAAAGAATAAGCAGGACTGACCAGTCCCTCAATCCCTCTCGACAACCCCGGTTGTTCGTATCGCGCAGGTGGGTGACGACAAGAACTACCGGGTCAGTCGAATCGCTTGGATGAACCGGACCAGGACTGCATCTGGAGCTCCGCCTCCACCGAGGGTAAAACCTGGATGGACGGACTGGACCGGGGATCCACATGGCAAGCGCGAAGGGCGGGTTCTGTTGTGTGCGCAGTAACGACCGGACCGTCCGTGCCGTGCGTGCGTATGGTAGTTACTTTTTACGCATAATATTCTGTTATGATAGTATACTATAGTGCCGTAGGGTAAAACTGGGAGGTCCGGTTTCTCACGTAGGCTGTTTGCTGTTTCCATCTTGGGATGCAAAGTTTTATCGCTGCAGGGAACCCAGTGGGTATGTACCATCAGCAAAAACCCGAGGCAGCCCACGGGATGGCCGACAGTTTGCAGTGACTGCCTCTCAACTTGTGGTTCGCCGTCCAACAGTGGTTGCGGAGGGGCCCACGTTGCCGGATGTATCCATCCTCGTTTTTGTTCGGACAACTCGAGGAGAGGAAAATTACATTTATCAGATGATCAGCTGGGCATAACATGCGAGAGGCATTATCGAGTACCGAGTACTTTCGAGTAGATACGCAAATAATCGGGAAAAGTACACGAGAGCGACGAGGTGTTTTGAGCGGCATACACACTCGATTCCGAGACAACTCGATCGCTGTTCAAGCCAGCAATCTGTAACCTCTTTACAAGCTGGCCACCTCCACCTTTCAGCTCCCCCAGCCCTCGCTTTCCACACGCACACAACGACCCTCTGCCTTTCGAACACCAAAAGATCCATCCACCTGAACTCCCACCAACCAACTCCAAAGCACCGAGGCAAAGCAAATAGCACCCAACGGCAAGCACTCTGGGTGCAACCACGCAATCTCACTCTGTGCGGCAAACCGACGATGCAGGTAACTAACCGTGTCGCATTAGATCCCTCGGCGCTGACGTGCCGCACACAACTCTTATTTTGTTGTTGAATGCGTCAGATGTCGCGAATACGGCCCCGTCATTCAACTTCACGTTGCGAGCCCCCGCTGCTTCAACGCTGTGGCCGGCTTGGCAGCTTTGGTAGGTATGGATCGTCAAGCCGGGCCGCCCATCAGCCCTGCCAGCATGTAAAGAATGCTTGTTCACTGCCTCCGCCATCAGCGATTCCCAAAGGGAGGACACAAAGCGGCGAGATGTTTCAGTGATATCGCGATCCCATTAGGTCCTACACTAAGTCATAATAACCACACTGGTAGTAATAACCTCACACACTTGACTTCCAAGTCCACCATTCCCACGCAGCCGAATTCCAACTATCTACCGCGGTAGACAACGACAAAAGCCTCAGCTCGCATGCTCACTCAGTTCACACCTCGACAGACCACCCCGCTTCCTCACCGCGCAAAAGAAAGGGCCACCGTCACCGTTCACAGTTCTCATTCATTGCTCCCTAAAACGATGGCAAGCCAGATATCAAACTCCTGATTCCACCAAGCCAACCATCCCTAGATATTGCGAAAACGCAAATGATGCTCCCAAAACCCTCACAAAGATAAATTAGAAACACATTACCAAAAAAACAAGAGCCTCCTGGGCTTTCTTTCGCCATTCATCCTTCCTCCCGCAGCCAACGAAACATCCCATCTCCTTCTCTGGAGGCCCTCTCCGGGTGGGGTTCGGGAGACCAGGTCGCCAACGACTAGGGAATAGATATTAAAAGGCTTCTTCCCGGCGAGCGTCAGAGTAGGTAACGCCCTAGGAACAGCGACAGGCGGAAAACTTCCGCATGCAAAACAAAGAAAGAACCAAAAAGCAACGCAAGCAAGTGCGAGATCGGGCGGAAAGCGAGAAGCGCGAGACCCCGAGTCACTGTGCCAAAAAGGGAGCACAAATGGCGGGATATCGTCATGGTATATTCGTGGCTGATGGATGAAATGCGATATGAAGTCGGATTGAAGAAGTATTTGTTTGTGTGCTGGTGAATCGGAGATGGGTTGGATACGGTCGCAGCCTTTGGTCGGTCGACATGGGAGACAAAAGACGGCAGCCGGACAAGCTTCCTGGTATATACAACGACCCCCCTTAAACGCCGCAAGGAAAATTCGAGCCAAGAGAAACCCCATTCTCGATGGGTATATTGCACGTCATGAAACCATCCATGCTTTTTTGTTGCCGAGAGCGAAGTCGATAAGCATCGCCCGGATCGGAAATGCAGAGCACGACGGAAGCGGGTGATCGCTCCCAGGCAGCTACTGCGCTTGAACGCTCTCGGGCGAGAGAGAGGCTTGCTCCGCATCGAAGCGCTTCAGGTCCATGAACTGGTTGAGCTCCATGTCGGCCTGGTTCGGCTCCACAAACGGCGAGTGCGGATGGAGTGGGAGCGTCATGGTTTGCTTTCCGGTCTGGTACATGTCGTTCATATTCGCACCGTCGTCCGAGATGCCAGAGCCCTCGCAAATCGGAGGCATCGACATCGGCGGGGACTCTCCCACGATCGCCGGGTCAGGATGGTTGAACGAGAGCGGCGAGATCGACGGGGGAGGGACGCCCAGGTTTGCTGGATTGACCAGAGGCGAAAACGTGCCGCTGTATGGGGTGAAGCTGGGCGCCGAAATTCCACCGTTGTCGGGTGCCTGACTGGCAAAGAAGTTGGGGCTCGAATAGTCAGACGGCGAAGGGGCCGTTGTCGCCGAGAGCGGGTACGCTCGCATGTCCAACGCGCCAAACCCAGCCCGGGTATCGATCCGCAAGTTCGGCCCGACAGGGCCCAGCATGTTGGGCTGCTGGGGCACCGGGCTGAAGATCTGGGGATTGTGGCTCGGGGCCTGGTTTTCGGGTTGCGTAATGTGGAAGCTCGGGGGGTGCTGTAGCATCTGCATCGTCTGGAAGTCGATGGGACCAGGGACACTACGGCTACGCTGCCTCTTGTGGCCCGGCCCACGCATCATCATGGTCTGGTGGTGGTTTGGCGCAATGCCCCACTGCGATTCCTGGAACATGCCCACGTGTGGCTGTGCGAAGTTGGGCTGCGATGACGGCCGTGCCGGCGAAACCGGGGCAGACATGGACATGGGGTGGAGCTGGTCGAAAACGGGAGCAGGGGCACTGTGACGGTGAATGAAAGCTTCCAAGCTGACTAACTTCGCCAGCTGGCCGCTCAGCACCTTCGGGTTTCCACCGAGGTGATGCGTGAGCACCCGCGAAGCTTGCAGATCCTCGGTGAAGTCATTGACCTGGATGAAGGTCGCGGTGGTCGACGAGTCCATGAAGAAGTTGGGCGAATTGAGGAGCTCGATTGTGATGCCGCCAAGCTGATCCCCGCCCTCGACGTTGTTCAGGTAGATGTTCTTGATGTAAGAAAACGGGTATTCGATCTTGTACCCGGCCTGGTCGTTGTTGATGTAGTAGGTCATGGTGCACTTGTCGGGTGAGTAGAAGATGATCAAATCCATCGCGTTCTGGCCGACCCGCATCCACCTGCCGATGGTCAGGGAGCGACAGTTGAGATGATGAATCACTACAAGGGTTAGCGCAGCCCCCCTTCCGTCTCCACGTCCGTCGGCTGTCACTTACAAACTTTGCCCGGCCCAGACTGCTCACCACCCATCATCCCCTGGTGGCCGTAGGGCATGAGACCGGTGCGACCGAAGAAGCCCGGGATGCTCTTGCCCGACTCCATGGCCTGCATCGCAAGATACTGGCGCATCGACTCGGGGATCGAGTCCATGTCTTCGCCGCTTTCGAGGCTCTTCTTGGCCAGCATCTTGATCTTGGCGCGGCTGCGCAGGGTTAGCAAACAGCCGCCTCTCGAGAGGGAGGGGTTGGGCTTTGGACTTACCGGTTCTGGAACCAAATCTGAACAGACCTCTCGGTCATGTTGATCTCTTCAGCTATCCTATCGCGCACAGTGGCTGTGGGCGTCGGGTTCTTGTTGAATTCCATCTCAAGCGTCGTCAACTGGTCCTGCGTCGCCCTCTGTCTCTTCTGGTTCTTCTGCTGCTGCGTGAGGGTGCTCTTGCGGGCCGGCCGCCTCGACCCGGAGCCCTGCGATTTGGATCCATTGATGGGGGATTTCATCATTTTGCTCGGCGTGCCGGAGTTGGGCGTCGGTAGAGGAGACTTGCAGGGAGACGGCGAGGCCGACATCGACGATCCCGAGGCGGCGAATCCCTCCTCTTCCTGAATGTCGTCGTGGAACTCATCCCTGAACTCCTGCTTAAACTCCTGCTTGACCACGTCGGTCGCCATTGTGGGCGGGGTGCTGTCCGGCGCCTAGGTGGGGTGTGTCGTTCCAAAGAGTGGTATCCTTCCCTTCACCTCAGCGCGAATCCCAAGACTCCCGTGTTGGGTGTGGCGGTGTGCCAAGTCTGGTGTCGATGTCAACGCCACAAGGGCTCGGAAGTGACGGGGTTCGGCAAGCTCGGAGGAGGATGAGAAAGAATGATCGAATAATATAGGGGAAAAAGTCGTTTGTTTCAAATGAGTGTCGTCCTGCGCGAATGACCGGGCAGGAGGGTTGAGTTGGTTGGTGCTATAAGGGGGGGTAAGGTGTGGTGGCAGTCGGTGCTGCCAGAAAAATGTCGCGCACGAGGCAAAACGAGTTGAACTGGAAACCGGAAAGAATGAACGGGTTCCGATAAATTGGTTGAATGGATATTCCAAGGGAGTGACTGTGGTGAGAAAAGCGAAGGTAGAAGTGGGGAGAGGTGAAGGGGAAAGGCGGTCGACAGGAGACGACGTGAGGCGATCGAAGATGGACAAAAAGAGAGACTAGGGGGAAAAACGAGAACGGGGACATGGGGGGTTCAAGAGGAAAAGCAAAACGAGCAAGGAGCAGCGGACCCGAGTGGGCGCTCCCACACTGGGCGGGTCCCTGGTTCCCTGCCGTGAAGCGCTTTTGGCACCACAGTCCAACGGGCGAAGCAGCGAATTAGCAGGAGCCGTGGAACAGCCAGACGGTGCGGTTAACCGTGCGGAAAGGGGAAAGCCTGGGGCCTTCGTCTGATGTGCCCAATCACCGCAGCGCTGCCCTGCAGCTGACATGCAATCCAGACGGGATGGATTGCGAACTTGGGTACGCTGCCCCTCGTGCTTCCCACCGTCGCAGCCTTGCACAGCAACACAAGCTTGCCCATTTTTGAACATTCAATTCGTAGGGCCGACCCAACTGCGGCCGTTGGAGAGGAGAGCCGGGGCAGAGCAGCAGTGGCGGCAGCTGGGGGGCGACGACATGGGCATGTGTCTCCTGGCAAAACAGCCTGTGTCACCTTCCGTCGGTATATCCCTGACTGGGGTCAGGCAGCACCGTTGCTGCAAGCCTGGGGGAGGGGGGGGGGTCCGCGTTCAAAACGATGAAACTGACCGTCACTTCTCAGAAACTGTCCAGCTTTGGAGTTTCGGGCAACATGATGACCTATGCTGCATGAATCCGGTGGACACGCGCTCGGTGGACGGGATACGCAGCGGCAATCATGGCCGTGCACCGCGGTAATTCCCGCCCCGTTCTTTCCAACCGTCCGATCTCGAACCATGTGGGAAGGAACCTCAGCTGGAAAAAAGGGCTGTTGCCCTGTGGAAAAAAAAAAGACCAAAAAAAGAAAACAATGCTCGCATGGCTTCCCCGTGGAAACTCGAATAAAACCAATACCAATCAACCTAATGCCTGACATTGCAATCCGATGTCGACTCGACGTTGATTGATTCAGGAAGCACATGCGGATGCTCGCCGACCCGATCCACTCGTCAAGTTGTGCCTCGCCGACATGGCACCATGATATCCGATCGCCGAAAAGGGCACGCATGCACAGCCTCCTGATGGGCGCTCAAATGCCGCTTCTCGGCAAGCACGAGTCGGGTTGTGCAGCCTTTCCAGCACGCGCCGCGACATCGATGTGGGCCGAACACCCGCTGCCCCTGGCTTGGCAGAGCCAGGATGGCGCCCAACACCACCACGACAAGGAGTCCCACGGGACAGCTCAACCGGGCGGCGTCATCGATCATTCCCGCGAAAACAGTGACCAGGCCGTCGGGTTCCGGTGAAGTTGGATTGGGACTAGTCTGCCCATTTCTCTCCTTTCCTTGTCCTCCGCCAACTTCGCCGTTTTTGAGCAATGCCGATTTCCATCTTTGCTCCATTTGACTGCGTCACCATCGAGGAAGCAACCCCGGTGGTGTCGACGGGGGCGAAAAGGGGAGAGCGCTAAATCCAAAGAAGTGCGACAAGTCTTTCTCGCCCCCGGATCGGCCACGGCCAGAAAGGAGCAGTTGCCGTCCCACACACACGACTACATGCACCGCACAACTGCGATACACGGCGCCCTTTGGCCTTGAGCTCTGGAGTGGCCAGCTTTACCGGTGCCAGCTTACAGACATCGAACCGGCCGAGGAACGGCCTGGGCCGACAAACATTGGCAGTGCATCGCCACCTCCTATGGCACAAGACATACTGATGATGTTTCCTGCAGTGGTGGTGCATCCCGCCTTGTGCAGCAGACATGAACATACCGTGCCACTGGCGTCCTACAGTGCACAGTGTTCGCCCTTGTGGTTGCCCTCCGTCCGCGTGGGGCCTTGCGGCCGTGGAGCGCTGAAGGACCGCTCGAGGCTTTCCGTGGTGCTGCAGGCCGGACACGACAGTCACGAACCAACCGTGTCCCTTGCATTGGGCTGACGCTACCCAACCTGTCGCCCAGTCACAAACGGAATGCGCGGCATCAACTCCAGCTGTGTGCCTGGCCCCTGTGCCCTGCTTCGTACAGGTAGGTAGTAATGTAGTATATTCTCTCTGACGGAAGCGACCGACAGCAAGGAAGGTCGGTTGAGATCCGATATCTCGACAGTGACGACGAAGCCACGTCGGATATCGAAACCACAGCTCCGGTTCTTTCGGTCGAGACTGGTGGCAGATCCCGCCTGTTGTGCCCACCGTGTCGGAGGCACTGTCTCACAACCCCACCCGTCCTGAGGGCCCACTTTACCCCTGAGAGCAGCAGTGGGTCAAGATGCAGGAACAGCTTGAGAACAAGCATCAGCATTGGTCCTCCGGCTTCCCCTCCAGCAATCCGGACCAGGGTTGGTTCGCCCCCCAGGCCCCCCAGTCTCCTTTTTGGGACAGACCGCGATTTTTTCTGCACACCACCCAAAGCCCATTTTTAGTCCACATCCAAAGAGTTTACCCGTGGCCATCAGCTCCGTCTTGGCTTGGCAAAGCAAAGCAAACGCTGGACGGATCAACCCCACGTCAGTTTCCCCATTCCATCCCACGCGGCCAGAAGCGAGAACCCAGGTCTTGTTCTGTTTTATTCTGGAACTGGCAAGGTTGTGCTGAAATCGACTTTCCCCCTTTCCGACAATGTCCTCGATTAACCAATACTGAGTGCTTGACTCTCAACATCGTACACTACGAGAATTTGAAGTCCGGGTTCCAACGTGTGAGGGCGCCTCGGACTCATTGGGTAATGCGAGACTGCGGTGCGGGTTCATGCACCGAGCCGCAGGAGATGTTAAAGATGCGACAATTGGTCACTGCGGGACCGCTGTTCATGCAGGGTCAGCAACAACAACAACAACAACAACAACGCGTAGACACCGAGGCTAAACCTTCCATGGCCATGAGATTCGAAAACCGGCTCACGAGAGCGAGCCATGTGGCCGCCAAATCCCTTCATTAGGCGAAAGCGATGTCTGGGTGTGGATTGGCCATTCGCGTCGCAGGTGGCTTGCGGACCGCGACTCACCTGTCTGCTCCCTCGGTAACTCACCCGCCCGTCTTGCGAAGTGGTCGGCCTCAGCTGTGGCGCTCTCGTGCGCCCGAAAAGCCGACGACGACACGCTCACATTCCAACCACTTCTTAAAAACAAACAACACGATCGCCCAGGCTTTGACCATGATTCCATGTTTGGCCAAGCCATAGAGGCAACCACGGGTGACGACCCTCGGGCCGTTCCAGAGTTCTACACTAGAAACAATTGCGCTTCGCAGACAACCCTCCCTCTGGTGCAGTGTGTGCCTCTCTCGAACTTCGATAGCGCTTCGGTCGAACTCTTTCCCGTCTTCAACCCCCTGTCGATAGGCGTATCACTAAGACTCCTCCCCCGGATCTGACGATCACCTCCGACGAACGCGGCCACGTCACTTCATGCGGCTCCCGGCTCCCGCATCGAGGCCGAGACGTTGCAGCAGGCGAGCCACCGACGAATTCGTCTGTTGCGAGAGTCTCCACTGCTGCGTCGGGGTCTCAACGTGTTGCACAACTCGCCGTCTACCGCAGTCGTGTACACAGTGTTTCGGCTTTTGCCCGACGTTCCCTGTCCACCTGTAACAGTCAGTCATCCGAACAATTATGCCTGCTCAGGCGGGTTTCGTCTCATCTCAGAGTCAACAACGTCAACCCGCCCATCATTTCTAAGCTCCTCCTATTCTTCCAACGCGACACATCACATCTTGGACGCGCTCCCCTATTCCACTGTCTCCCCCTTCCCCCCCCCATTTAAGGAGCATCACTTTGCGGTCCGCGTTATGAACGGACTGATCACCCGTGTTCATGCGTGAGCGGTTATTTTTGGATAGCGTCATCCCGGTCGAAGCGCTCGGTTAAAGCCGGGGTGCGCGGTAAACCAAGCGCGTGTGTCGCAGAGTCGAGGAGGTCCACTTGGAGGTTATGCTGGTGTTCTGTGTTAGGCCTAGCGACGGGTTCCAAAGGCACTGAAGGATGCCTCATCTAGGACTATCCCAGCAGCGTGGCGTTTCGAGTTGCGAGACCGAGATCGAACCGCTTGCTTGTGAGATCGAGCTCGAGGATCCAGGAACCGTCGCGTTGTTGCATCATAGTCCTCTTGGCAAACTCATGGATATGGGAATGCGTGAATCACTGGACCTAGGTACTTGTGGAGTAGGCGGTGATATAATATCCCAAGCACAGCTCTTATCTCCTATGTATGGCATGTTGGCTGTTGTTTGCACATCCCTTCCAGGCTCAATTCGTTTTTAGGTTGTCTATGGACATCCTGCCATTAAGTCTTTCTGGTGTATATTATTTTATTCGTATATCCACATTGGGCATTACCACATTGCGGTCTGTTGATGGGTGCAAAAGCAGCAACGAATGGTTAACCGTGCCCATCAACAAAAATATCACCCTGGGTTGCAACTAGGAGATATCTACGGTTGTGTTCTGAGTTGACTCTTCAGTTTGGTTGTTTGGCAACCCTTATGTTTGAAGCATAAAAGCCACGGCTAGGTATTACCATCAGAGTTCTTTCATGACCTCACCCACCGCTCGCGCTGCCATCCTCTTCCGTTGCTCCTCCGGTAGCCCGGCGCTTGCGTCTCTCACCGCTTGGAGTTTCATCATCATCCGTTCTAACTGTTGAACATCGTCCTCGCCAGCCTCCTCATCTTCGTCAACACCTCCGCGAGAGCCCTCCCCACCCCCATTCCCGCCTCCAGACCAAATGGCTTTCCTCAACCCGAGAAAGTCCTCCCGATCAAATCCGAAATCGAGCTTTTCCGGGTCAAGTTCCTCGTCCTCGTCTCCGCCCTGCTGTCCCTTCGCTTCCCAGCCATCTCCTTCATCTCCCTCGGGGCCCATCCCGCCACCCGACCAGTCATTCGCCTCCAGGGCCTCCATGACCCTCGCCAAACCCATCCTCTCCCCAAACTCATTCCTCTTCCCCCCCTCTCCCTTCCCCCCTTCCCCCCTCTTTATCCCAGTCTCGGCGACATGAACAAACTCCAACCCCCACTCAGCACACAAATCCTCCCACTCGTCCAACTCCTCTCCATCCCCACCCTCCCCAACCCCCTTCCCAACCCCCATCGCCAACCCCACCCCGTCCCACTCCCACCCACCCAAGCCCTCCTTCACAACCCGCCCAACCTGCCCGACCAGCTCCCTCGCCCGCGCCGCGCTCTCCCCAGATGCCGAACCACCACCCGAACCACCACTACCCGGACCCGACCCCCCTTTGCTAGCCCGGGGCTGGGTGGGAGAGGGCAGCGCAAAAACGACGACCACCCCGCCCAGCACGTCCAGCACCTCGGCGGCTTCGGGCGCGAGGAAGGAGGCGGCCCACTCGGTGGGGGAGGCGATCAGGTCGAGCCAGATGGGGACGGAGGCGGTGTAGTAGGCGGTTTTGAGGGGGAGGGCGTGGGTTGTGCCGGCGAGGGTTGTTGCTGGGGTCGTTTCTGGTGCTGTCGGGAGGCCCGGGGGGGTTGTTGTTGTTGTCGTGGGTTGGGGGGCCTCTGCTGGTGGGGTGGTGGTGGTGGTGGTGGTGGTTTTGGGTGGTGTTTCTTTTTGGGCTTCTTCTTCTTCTTCCGCGTCCTCTTCGGGGGATGGGGTGGGTTGGGGGGTTGGGTGGGTGCCGGTTAGGTCTGTTTTGCGGGGGAAGGGTGAGTTAGTGGGCGAGGTAGGATGAAGGGGGAATGATGAAATAAAACGGGGTATGAGGGGCGGGATGGAATTAGTTTTAATAGTGGTTCATACCTTTGATGACATTGCTCAAATGCTGCGTCGAGTCGCTCAGCGCGACGGCGAGAATCCGGCGGGGGTTTGAGATTTCCATTTTTGTTTTGTTTGAGTTCGCTGTCCTGAGTTGACGATGGTGGGGTGATGTTCTGAGGGGTCGTCAAACGCTGGAGTGGTAACTTTGTGATACCGAATACGTTACTTACGATACATAGTCTGTGACATCATGTCAACGACAAAACCCTAACCCGTCGTTACATGCCGCAACCAGCTCAAGCACTCCTTTTCGCGGCAGTCCTCTCAGACATGCAGGGTGGCAGCCTCACATAAGCTTATCCGCACTTGACTTGATTGTTTCTAGTGTATACTACCGAACTGTGATTCCCATGAAAACAAACCGACAGCCATTAGAAACCCCATATTTATGATCCACCACATATCCGAGATACAAACGCGCTATATTTCAGGCCGGATTCGCCGGAGAAGAGTGACCCTGTATTTCCCGCCCAAAACAAAACAAACCCAGAGCTTATCCTATACTTGGCGTTTTTCCCGAACGTGGCCATCTAGGTATGGGAGCCCTTGCTCCCAAGTCCGGATTCAACGTCATCCCAATTTCTCTCCTACCGCTGTGGGAGACCATTCTCAAACCACAACAAAGTCTCGCAGGATGCAAGCGGATACCATCGGAACCCCACTCCCACGCCACCGGGATCGGCACGGAAACTATGTCTCACCCGCACGCCCTCCTCGGCGACTTTCTCGACCCCACGATAACGCAGAGTCGGCCCAACTCGAAGGCGCACCCACACAGCGCACAGGCCTAACACCTCCCACACCCCGGAATTGTCTCCAGCAAAAACTGGGCTCGGGGAGAAACAAAAAAAAAAAAATACCCCACAAAACAGGCGGGCGGGCTGCCGTCATTCTCAGACATGGGATGAGCCCATCCATCACCACTCCGGCAACGGCGCCATGGCAAACGGCCCCAGCCCGGATACCCCCATGCCGGCGCTGTCGAGGTTGGCAGGTTGCGTGCCAAAGCCCCAATCCATCTGCCAGTAGTCGTCCAGGGAGGCGTGGGGGTCCATGGCAAAGTCGAGGGGCTCGGCGGGGGCGAACTCGGGGGCGTCGAAGGGGATCGGGGGCGTGGGCTGGGCGGCCTCGACCTTGCACTCGACGTCGGGGAGGCAGAGGCGCAGCTTGTCGACGTAGAAGGGGACCTGGGCCGGCTGGCCCGTCTTGGCGAGGACGAGCTGCTCGCGCATCTTCCAGGCCTGCAGCACGTAGACGGCGAGCGTCATGTAGTTCTTGTTGGTCATGTCGAACAGCTCCGGGTGGAACGAGTAGACGACGTCGACCTGCCGCCACGCGCGCTCCACCAGCGACCCGCTCACCAGCGAGCCCTCGGTGCGCCGGCACAGCTGCCCGGCCATGTACATGAAGATGTCGAGCTGGAAGTGCAGCAGCGAGAACCAGGCGAAGCCGCGGTTCGAGGTCGAGTTGTAGTTGGCCTCGTTGTGCTCGAGCGTCCCGATGGCGATCTTGAAGGTGTTGTCCGAGGCCGACTTCACTTCGCCCCCCCAATCGAGCTGCTCCTTCGGGGGGGTCATCAGTTCTTCGAGCTTCATGAAAAGGTGCTTCTTCATCTCGAGCGCCATGGCGTGCACAGGGCCGGCCGAGGAATCGCAGTGTTTATCGAGAATTTCCTTTAGGTCTTCGCGGAGCTGTGCGACTCCCCGTCGGTATGTCGCCAGCTGCTCTGCCGTGGGTGCCCCCTTGCCCGTCGACATGGACTCGTCTTCCGGTATCATAACGACCCCTTCAAAGCCGGGCATCTCCATTAGGAACTTGGCAAATCTGTACGTTATCAGGCAGAAGATCATCTCGGTAGGGCCGTCGCGGTCTTGGAACGGTTCCTCGGACGTCGGGAAGATGTCGGCGTCGTTGACGTTCGAGGGCGATTTCGTGTCGCTGTTTCTCGGGAGTAAGTTGTGGCTGAGCCCGGAGAACATGGCGTATTTGGCATCCGTCATGATGATTTGCCACCAGAGACGCCTTCGCATTTCGGACTCGAACGGAGAGAGGCCCAGGGTTGCCCCGTCACGGTGCAGGCCCATCTTTTGCGCGATGCGAATAGCCACGCCGCCTAGGATCCAGACCGCATGCCGGTCGTACCGGCCCTGGAGGGAGATCTGCGCACCAGCGTTAGCGAGGAGCGGGTGACACGGCTGTCAGGGGGTTCGCACCAGGTAGATAACGAGGGCTTGGAGGATTATCATGTCGTGGGACCTGAGAAACCCTACCCTGACCAGGGTTAACCGAACCCCCGACGAGTATCTTTGGAGAGCTTCTTCTCTGGCTATCCCAAGGAGCGCCTTGCACTCGTCGGGCGTCATCGCCACGACCGCCATGACAAAGATCGAGAACAGGAGCGCCTCGACGTTCCTAGGTAGCGCTTTCGAGTCGGTAATGACGGCCGCCATATAGGGCTGCACGGACGGGACGTGGATAATCTTGGTTAGTGGGTTCACCCTGTCTAAATACACTTGCCACAGGGGAAGTATCTGGGCGGGGGAGGGCCAGAGGTTGGCGAGGTCGACTTCCGGGCTGTCGCCGCCGAGCAGCATCTCGGTATTATCGTCGGTGGTCATGCTCTCCGGGCTGGCCTCGTAGGAATCCTCGTCGTCCATCATTTTCCTCATAGTTCGGACCTGTCACAGGTGGTGGCACTGTAAGCATGTATCGGGCGCAAACGGATCAAGGCATCGACGAACTTCCTCGTAGATAACGCCCAGCAACGGGCTGTCCACAAACCGGACATTTCCGTCTTCGTTGACCAGTTTCCCCGTCGGTTGCCATTCCGAGGTATCCGACGCGGCGGTGGGTTGGGAGAGCAGTAATGACTGCTGTTCGGCCAGCATTTTGGCATAGTCTTTGATCATCACCTCGCAGCGAGCTAGCCGGTCAGTCAGGTCCTGGTGAGGCCGCCTGCGCTTGCGCGGTTCCGCGGGGGTGCTTGGCGTGCATTTTACGTTCGCCTCGAATAAAGGTCAGCGATGCATCAAGATAATAAAGAGATACCACTCCTGAGGCGGGCGACGATGAGCTTGGCGCATGTTCGTACCTTGGTGCAGTTGGCGCATGGGAAGTGTCTGTCGCATTTGATCTTGCGGTGCTGGCAGAGTTCGCAGGCGAGGATACGGCGCGGGGGTTTGCCGTGGATCGGGATGCCTGAATTTGACGCCGTGTTTGGCCTGTTATTGTTGTTGTGGTTGTCGTTGTTGGGAACTGGGGTCGAGGCCTGTGAGGTTGTGGCCTCTGAAGCCGGGGTGGTTGACGCATCCATGGCCCGCTGATACCTATGCTAATATGTCGGGTGGCGGTCGCCGCGGGGAACGAGTGTTGGCGGGGTGCTTAGCGCCTTTATACTTGTAAAGGGCTCCCAGTGAAGGAATACGCGGAAACAGGTCGAATCTTCAGGTGCATGTAATTGTATGCACCCATCCGGGCTGTTGACATGGAAGGCAAGGGATCGTTAAGTAAAAGTAGATAGGTAGTTAAGGCGCCCTGTGCAGTCGCAAATGGAAGCCAGTCTGGTTCATGACATGACTGCGGACTGCCGGCTACGTAATGTTCCGGGCTGGCTGTCTCTTTTTGTTTCGAAACCCGCAGTCGCCTCGGAGGTCGGCGCGCACAATCTCCCTTCTTTCGTCTTGGTTGTTCCTGAGCCCGCAGCTTCCGGTCATTGGTTGCCAAAAAGTCCCCAGGCTGCCAGGCTGACAACAGTGGGTCTGCTCCACCTCCACCATCAAAGAGCAGACCCAAAAGAGTCCTCCCCATGGTCCTGGGAGGTGGTCCTGGGATGTGCTCCTGAGGCATCCAACTTGAGTCCCATGTTCCACAGCATAGTTACGGGCTGCTACCTTCAATACAGATCTCTGAATACCGGGTGCCTCATGCCGGACATTAACCTCGGAGAGGTTTATGGATACCTAGAGCCTAGACCACCACCGACATGAGGAAATGGCGGTGGGGATTTCGTGACCAGTACACATTACTGGTTGAACATTATCGTCATGACGATACCTGGCAGCCAGGCATCATGAAAGCAGGGCGATCGAGTCTGGAACTGATATGCAAACGGCTCAAGGTGTGTCTCCTCTGCATGCTGTTTGTTGGTGCCTGTCTCGAAACCGAAAGCGAGCCTTGACAGCCGTTTGCGCTCTGCAAAGACTGATGAATGCAGCAATTTGTTACCACCATCTGACCAATTGCGGTACTTCGTGCACCGGGGTTGACATTTCTGTCGGTTCGTTGCGGTCTTGTTCTGGATGCCTGGACGTACTTGTTCAAATGACAAATGGCAAGACGCCCAGTAAAAACCATTCAAGCAAGTTAGGTTGAGCTTGAATCAAACTGAGGGACCATAGGGTTGTGATAGGCAGAAGTGTTGTTGATTATCCAACCAATCCAGGTGGTGGTGGTGGTTGTTGTCGTCGTTGTTATTGGAACTTCCATCGATTCCTCAGCACTCGAAGACGGCCGATACAGCGGCCAAGCGCGGCAAAACCCGCTCGGGCTTGACTGCCGATCTCAAAGTCAATAACTAAATGTCTGCCTGTCCTTTAACACTTCTACCTGCATTGTCTCAGTAGCCTCGTAAGGAGGATTCCGCTCAGACCGCCCGGGGACATCATCACTATTGTTACCGTGTTGATTGGCGAAGGCGAGCTGGCTAAAGACAAGGGGCACTCAGAGAACCGGAGTCGTTGAGGTCAGAGATGATTTATTGTAGGGGCAGTATCTTCTGGGACGGCACAGACGGGTGTGGCCGCTACCAAGGCTCTGGACGGCACGGCATGGGCTGGAATCAGCTGCCTCTTCTTGGCAGCGCGCACCACCTTGAGATGTTTCCTGCTCGTGACATGTGCCTGCCACAGCTCTTCAGTTAACAGCGTCTTCTTGCAGACCTCGCAAGTCTTGCGACAGGGCGTGTCCTGGCGGTTGCTCCTTTCAACTGTTCCAGCCAGGACTTCCCTCGCCATTTCGGACATCCCGGTTGCTGGGGGCAAGGGTTCACGGGCGAGAAACTGCCTCGTCAACTCGACCCCCTTGTCCAACACCTCTGCGTTCCACCGCTGGATGTCCGAACTGTCGAGGAGGTAGAGCCGATCTAGCAGCTTCTCTTCCTGGAGGGATGAGATGGTCTTCATTGTCATCCAGCGCACCTGATATTTTGCGTACTGGCGCGTCGCAGACTTGGTGTCTTCAATGCCCGCCAGCTTGAGCTTATCCAGCCCGGGACTGTCAGGGGTTTCCCTCTCCGCTGTGAGGTAAGGCTCGAATTGGCGGAAGCCAATGGATTGCCAGATCCCCTTTGAGCGGTCGACCGTTTCACCGGCCGCGAGTCTCTGGCGGAGGTAATCATAAACCTCGGCCGTCTCGCGGAGCAGGCCATTCTGCACCATCCTGTCTACGCGCTTGTCGAGCCGCTCGTTAAGCACTTCCCGCTGGGCATAGAGCCAGAACAGAAGTATCTCGCCGAGGTCATGGTCTCGCGCGCGGCTCTCCGATGCCCACTTGGACTCTTTTTTGCTCCGCTGCTCCGCGTAGATGTCGGACGCACGGCGGCCTGTGGCAAAGTAGATTTCTAACGACGTCCGTATCTTGCGTGCATCATTCGGGTGCCATTTGTCCGCCATGACGGGATCGACTTCACGCAGCTTTGCCAGCATTGCCTCTGGAGTGTCTGTCAGGATCGGGTGTTTCGCAGCCAGTTCGTCACGGTTCGATGCGCCGCCTTCCAGTGCTGGTTGGTTGTCCACAACCCTTCCCTCAAAGAGCAGCCCGTCGAGGTAGTAGGAGGTGCCGCCCACCACAATCGGAAGCTTTCCTCGACCGCGAATCTCGGATATCATCTTTGTGGCTTCCTTTTTGAACTGCGTGACAACCCAAGGGTCTTCGCCGAGTTCGATGCTGCCGAGGAGATGATGGGGGACCCCCCGCTGCTCCTGGGTCGTGAGCTTGTTGGTTATGATCGGCAGCCCCTTGTATAGCTGCATCGCATCCGCGTTTATGATCTCGCCATTGTATCTCGTCGCCAGTTCAACGGCGAGCTGGTCGCTGTCAGCCACATTTGACGCCTTTCAGAGCACGTGCAAATAGCAAAGTGACATACGTACGTCCGACTTGCCAGTCCCGGTCGAGCCGTAGATGATGATGAGGGGTGTCATTCTTTTGACGGTAGCTCTGCCTGAACGCAGCGCGGAGCCGAGGAGGGGAACAAAACGGGAGAGGAAGCCCATCGGCGTCGCGCGGTGCTGAGTCGCAGCGGCATCTTTCAAGGCTTCGGGGCAGGTCTTCGATTTTTGGAGAAGGTGAAGGAACCCCACAGACCGATTGTTGGAGAAGCCTTGGCGAAGTTCCAGCCGCAAGCCGGTGCACGGAGCAGCCGCTGCTTGTTTTGGATTGGGTGCATCTGTCACGTGTGGACCCATTTCGAAATTGGACACATCACAGAATAACTCTGAAGCCAGATCTTTAAGGAGCCGTTTCTCCAGCTGCTTGCCTCCTCTTTCCCCCTTTCCGAATCCCCATTGCGCCGACGACAACTCGCTCCCTTTGCAGAGTCGTTGTCGCTCACTCCGCCACTTCTTTTTTTCTTCTGGATGATTTAATATTTGGTTTTCCCTTCCAATTGCCCAACATGAGTTCCTGTAAGTTGCAGCGCGGCGCGTCCCGGAGCTCGTGTGTCTGCTGGAGAGCTTGCGCGACTCGTGCAGCTCTTCCAGCTGAGGCGAGCCCCGTGTTCTTGATTAATGTTCGCGACAATGCGCTGACCATCTCCTTCGCCGTGCAGTACGGTTCCTCGACCTCGTCAAGCCCTTCGTGCCGTTCCTCCCCGAGGTTCAGCAGCCCGAGACCAAGATCCCCTTCAACCAAAAGTTGATGTGGACGGGCTTGACCCTCCTGATCTTCCTGGTCATGAGCCAAATGCCGCTCTACGGTATCGTTTCGTCGGACACATCCGATCCGCTATACTGGTTGCGTATGATGATGGCGAGTAACCGAGGTACCTTGATGGAACTCGGTATCACGCCCATCATCTCGTCTGGCATGGTCTTCCAGCTCCTCGCCGGTACCCACATGATCGACGTCAACCTCGACCTCAAGTCCGACCGCGAACTGTACCAGACCGCCCAGAAGCTCTTCGCCCTCATCCTCTCGGTCGGCACCGCCACCGTCTACGTCTTCACCGGTCTCTATGGCCCCCCGAGCGAGCTCGGTGCCGGCATTGTCTTCCTGCTCATTCTGCAGTTGGTCATCGCTGGCATGATCGTCATTCTCCTCGATGAGCTTCTCCAGAAGGGTTACGGCCTTGGCAGCGGTATCTCGCTGTTCATTGCCACCAACATCTGCGAGTCCATCATGTGGAAGGCTTTCTCCCCGACTTCGATCAACACCGGCCGTGGCCCCGAGTACGAGGGTGCCGTCATCGCCCTCTTCCACCTGCTCATGACTTGGCCCAACAAGCAGCGCGCGCTCCAGGAGGCTTTCTACCGCCAGAACCTGCCCAACATCATGAACCTGCTCGCAACCCTCGCCGTTTTCGCCGCTGTCATTTACCTGCAGGGCTTCCGCGTCGAGATCCCGGTCAAGTCGTCGCGCCAGCGTGGTGCTCGTGGCTCGTACCCCATCCGCCTGTTCTACACCTCGAACATGCCCATCATGCTGCAGTCGGCCCTGTCCTCCAACATCTTCCTGATCAGCCAGATGCTGTACTCGCGCTTCTCGGAGAACCTCTTGGTCCGCCTCTTCGGTGTCTGGGAGGCCAAGGACGGCTCTTCGCAGCTGTCGGCCGTTTCCGGTCTCGTCTACTACATGTCGCCTCCTCTCAACTTCAAGGACGCCCTGCTGGACCCCATCCACACCGCCGTCTACATCGCCTACATGCTGACTGCCTGCGCCATCTTCTCCAAGACGTGGATTGAGGTGTCTGGCTCGAGCCCCCGCGATGTTGCCAAGCAGCTCAAGGACCAGGGCCTCGTCATGGCTGGCCACCGTGAGCAGAGCATGTACAAGGAGCTCAAGCGCATCATCCCCACCGCCGCTGCCTTCGGTGGTGCCTGTATCGGCGCTCTCTCTGTCGCCAGTGACCTCATGGGCGCGCTTGGCTCTGGCACCGGAACCCTCCTTGCCGTCACGTAAGCTGAACCACCCTCGAATTAACAACCTATGGCACGGGCTAACTTGACTTAGGATTATTTACGGCTACTTCGAAATCGCCGCCAAGGAGGGAGATTTGGCGGGCATGAAGGGTATGATCATGGGCTGAGCAGCCAAACTATCTCTTTGCCGCTTGCTGCGCTCCTCGACCCATTTGCCGGTCGCGTTTCGCATCCGGAATTTAGTCGTGTCGATTTAGTCTGTAATTGTCTGGGGAGTCAAGCGCTGGCTTTACTGTATAGTAGCAACGAAGCAAGATTATAAAGGGAGGCTTCCTAAAAGCGGGCGGGTTATTTTGCATCCAGACGGGCAGTCGAATCGGGAGGTCTTTAAATAGTAAATTACGGGGCTTAGGCGCTCGGGTTGCTCATCAAGATGTTTTGAATTATTTTGCTCAGTTGCATGGGATAGCGCGAACGAGCCGGATACAGTTTCAAAGAGGTAAACATCAAAACAATAATTTCCAACCACCCCGCACATCACACACGCACACACGCACACACAAACACACAAACACAACATACACACCTCTGGCTTGCGATGGCTGCACCAGCAAATGTAGCCGCCAATGTCTTGTTAGGTTTCAAATGGAGTGACATCGGATTGGTTGTAGGGCCGCCGCTAAAGCAGGAAAATACCATTGCCTGGAGTCTTGTCCCCTAATTAGTGTATTCTCTAATTACATGATGAATAAGGACACCGCAAAGGAGCGAATCCTCCATCGCTTCTCCTCAACAAGCACCGGTATCGTGTCGCCGAGCTCAGTGAGGATGGCGTCGGCTTCGGGAACTATTCAGTGATGATATCGTGTTAGCCATCTTCCTTGTGTAGTACTAACATATGCATTGGCGTTGGGAGGTGTTCCCTAGACGCGGGGGGATATACATACCTCGGAGGCGATCAATATCCTCAAGAGTAGCAGGGAAGTTGGGAATAACCTTGCCCGTTCGCAGTGAATACAGCGGCACCAGTTGGCGGTCCGTCGCAGTGACTGACCGGGTATTTTGCAGGCGTGCGATAGCGTTTTTGTTACTATATCAAGTTAGTATGACCTGCTAGTTCATTTCGAGATAAAGGGAGGGCTAGGGGAGCGGACCTCGCTGTTTGATAAGCCTGCATCCTGTCCGATCGACCAGTGAGTTTGGTGACGTAGTCGTTAAGGGTTGCTTCTAGCGTGGTGATGCGGTTTTCGGTGGTGGCTAGCTCGGCGGTCTTGTTGTCTATCTTCGTTTCGAGCTCGGCAATGCGCTTGTCCATGGTGTCAAGCATTGTCCCTAGCTGGTCGATGGCATCGAGCATAGCTTGACCTTGCTCGCCATGTAGCGTCGAAGATGGAGAGAAGCGGTATCCAGGTTATCCATTTTGTTATCTGTGTCAGGGAAATAAGTTTGGGGCGGCTTAGTTTGTTGTTCCAATCTTATGACCTGCGCTTGGAATACTATGTCACATAAGCTTTTATAGATGGTGCTAGGTAACAATGTAATAGATAGGTACTCAGTCACAATGTCCCGCGAGAGCGTTCGGACTACTCTTTTGATCAGCTCGAACATGACGAGCACAATGAACAAGACGAACATAACAGTTGAGTGTAGTTAGAAAACAACGAGCACTTTGTGGGCAACCTGTACTAGGATGTGAAGCCCTGAATTACACGAGTTCACCAAACTAGAACGGAACAAACTTGAAAGCGAACAGGTATTCAGAAGTCCAAAGAAACTGCATTTACTCCATTAACTTGGCTTTTTTCATTCTTTTCTTCTTTTCGTCATGGATTCTTCTTTTTTTCATTTCTTTCATTTGTGTCACGGTCCTTTTCCTTGGGTTTTGTTGCTCGATCTTTTGTAATTTGATGTCTTTTACTCGATTTCTATTCTTCGATTCCTTTTGCTCGATTTGTTTTCTCGGTAACCTGTATTTGTTGCTTTTTGCTTCCCCCTCTGCTTTCCTTCCGAGTTCGGCCTTTTTTTGGCGAGAGGGTGCTCACACCACCTGCAAAACCCGTGCCCACCTTCGCCAGATAGTTTCCTCAAAGGGCTGCTGTGTCCGGCAAACGCCAGTACGTCTTGGCACGCGCGCGCGGGTTGCGCAACATTTTCTAATTTTTATCGATTTTTAGGGAAAAATAGGAGGATAGAAAACTATATACAGCTATATCAACCAAACCACAACATACGCGCGCCGCGCGAATACCTCAAGTAATATATCTAGATACGTAGAATCCGAATTCTGTACCTGATTAATGATGCGGATAATGCGCGTTGAGGTATCGATAGATTTCTGTTTTTCTTGATTTTGTTCGAACTTTTCGAAGATATCTTGGCAAAGCTTGGCAGATCTTAGCGATTTTTAGCAAAAATTTACCAGTTTTTAAAACCATCAAGATCTCAGCGCGTATTATCCGCGTCATTAATCGGGTACAATATTCTGATTCTATGTATTTAGATATATAGCTTAAGGTATTTGCGCGGTGCGCGTATGTGGTGGGTTGGTTGATATAGCTGTAGATAGTTCGACTGATTTCTAGTCTTCTGGCCGTTTTTTCAAAAAATTAGGGCGTGTTCGGCGCGCGCGCACGCCAAGACGAACTGGCGTTTGCCGGACACAGTGATGGATTAGGAAGGTCCCCTGCCTGACTGGATGGCGCGGCACTCGCGGGGATGCCAAAGGACCCCACCTTGCCCCGGTTCCGCAGCGAGCAAACGCTGCTCTATCCGAGCCGAAGTGCAGAAAAGCTTCAGCCGGAACGGTTGGACACAGTTCCAACGAGGGACATACCCGACACTCTCTGTACCTGGCTGGTCGGTTTGAATGGCGTGCGCCCCGGTCAAGGTGGCCGCATTAGCTCCCGCCAGTTGTGACCGCGAGTGGGACTGACTTGGCGGTGAAAGAAACCGTTGGCAACTGTTTTCTCGACACTGCATCACATATTGCAAACAACAAAGGGGCAGCCAAAGGGAGAACACAAACTGGATGATACGCAGGTAGTACTTCGTACTTTGCGGAACCTGGGAGCGGTCGATGTTTCGCAGGAGCATCAGCCGTCTGACATCATTGACCGCCCAGGGCAGATCCCGAGCTTTCGGCCCCCGCGGAAACTTACAGCGAGGTCCCAACCTTGAAAGCGGCAAAAAACGGTCACGTCAGTCCTCGAGAGCCAAGGGACCTACTGCGTAATGCCGGGCTTGTCACGGTATTGTTTTGTAGAGCGTTCTGGAACATTTTCTCTTTTCGCGCAAGTAGAAGTGGCCCCTTCCTTCCCGTCATCAGGTACAGTTAGCTGCGAAGATGGTTCGCTGTTCCCCTGAATTCTTCAACTGTTGTGTTCGTTCGTCGTCTTCGTCGTGTTCATCGCGTTCGGGCCGAGCAGAGCTCAAGATCGTGGACCGACCTCACACCTCGCTTGGTAGCTCCGCTCTCCAGCACCCGACCCCACCTTGCTGACCGGCGTCCCGGTCTCGCCGTTTCTCGGATCTTGATAAGCGCAACACCCCAGGCAGACCCGCACCAAGAACCTGCACGGTGTGCCCTCGAGAGGAGCAAATCCTAAGAAAGACGACCCCAGCGAGTCCACCCCGGCGAAGGGAATGCGGCAGGTGCAGCAGATGCAGCAGCTAGCGTATGCAGCAGGGTTTCCCTTTTCTGGACTTGCTGGAAGCCTAAGAGGCACCAAGACATCCTCCCGCGGATTGACAGGAACCATTCGTTCCCGTTTCTCTGCTTCTCTTTCAAGTTGTTTTAAAATCTTTTTTGGTCACTGTACCACAAACTGATTCCGTTCCCTCCAAAACCACCACCCCGTCGTGGCCCATCCTTCCGCCGGTCTTGCCCCCCTGCTTGGAGACCTGCAGTCGAGATTTGCGAGCCGACCTGCCATGCGCCTCGACGACGCGGGCGAGACGGGTTTCGCGTCGTGTTCCTGGCCAATATGGCGGACCGATGACTTCACCCGTTGCTTCCAGCGAGAGTAAGCACAAAACCCTAACTCCAAACCCAGTCCAGATCCATTCCACGCTTGACAGTCCCGACGCCGCCGTGCTGTGCCGTTGATCTACCTTCCAGCGGCGGCATGGCGTTCTGCAGAACCGTTAAGCTAATCAGCAGAGCTGAAACACAGCTATCTCAAGGTCTTGCTGCCATTGGCCGTCATCGGCCTCTCATTTCTCCAACTCGCCGCCCAAAACATCATTCGAGCCGTTAAGTTAAAAAGTGGTCGAGGATACGAGCGCATTGGCGAGATCCCGACGACGTTATCCCCGCAAACACATACGGAATTGCCGCGAGAGGAAGAGCCGGTTTGCGAGAGCGATGAGGAGGAAGACTTGACCATCACCGGCGGCCGCCTCGCGCTGGTAAAGACAACCACGAAGGGTTCGATCGTGCAAGCCGACACCCCACCCGGCCAGACACTCTCCGTTCTCGTCGAAGAACTCGCTGTTGCGGGGCTGGTGTCCGTCAATGCCGTCGCGCTGGTCAGCGGCGCGTATGGCAGTGAGTGGGGAGGCATTGCTGCCATCGCCGGCTTGGTCGTCTGGGTCTACGTCCTGGTGCTCACGTCGCTCCGGCTCTTCTTGGGAAACACGCAATGGCGTGTCCCGCATATCTGGAACCATACGGCTGCCATTTACAGCTGCCAATGGTTGTTCACATTGGTCGTATTCCGCTCCGTTCTGATCCGCTCGAGTTCCCAGTTGGCCCAGACGCTGGTCATTATCGAGTTTGCGTTGACATCGCTGCTCTTTGGTATGGCTCTCACCACCCGTAAGGGGAACAAGACAATCCTTTTGGAGTGGGAGGACGGCATCGAGCCCGGCCGGGAGAACTTGGCGTCGCTATTCTCGCACTACACCTTCTCCTGGGTCGACACGATCGTCTATTCCGGCTGGAAGGAGCCCCTAAATATCAAGAGGGTTTGGAACTTGCTTCCCAAGGACAAAGCTGCTGCTGTCCTGTCCAATTATCGTCTTTTCAAGAAGACCACCTCGCTGGCTATCCATCTTTTGAAGTATTTTAAAGGGGTCCTGCTTGCGCAAGCTGCCTGGGCTGCCGTAGGTGGCGCGCTCACTTTTGCCCCTACGCTGCTCCTGAGAGCCATTTTGCGATACGTCGAGGACCCCTCGATCGCCCCCAGAAACGTGCTTTGGCTGTACGTCATCCTCCTTCCTCTGACTGATGTCCTTCGCTCCGTCTGCGACGGACAGGCCTTGTGGATAGGCCGCAAAATCTGCATCAACATCCGTGCTATTCTGGTGGGCGAGATCTACGCCAAAGCCCTCCGCAGAAAAGCGGCGGCTGGCAAAGATACCAGCCTCGGCGGCGACCACAAGGATTCCGATGCGACTAAGAAGGGAGGCGTCATCGCGCGGGCCAAACGCCTTCTCGGGCTCGGAAAGGCGTCCAAGAATGGCGGGTCGGGAGCGAACCCTACTACAGATGCTGCTCCCGGCAAGGACAAGGCGGGTGATTCTGACGAGCAGGTCAATCTGGGCACTATCATCAACCTGATGTCCGTCGACAGCTTCAAGGTGTCCGAGGTTACCGCATACATGCACTTCCTCGTTGCGACAGCCCCCACCCAGCTCATCGTCTCCGTCGTCCTGCTCTACCAGGTCATGGGCCTGAGTGCCATCCCTGGCTTTGTGGTTATGGCGCTGCTGCTCCCCATCAACGTTGCGTTTGGAAAAGGTTTCAACTCAAGTCAGAAGAAGATTATGGCTGCTACGGACAAACGTATCCACACGACCAACGAAATCCTGCAGAATATCAGGATCATCAAGTACTTTGCCTGGGAGCACCGGTTCGCCGACATTGTTGACGAGAAACGCCGTGCCGAACTCAAGGCTTTGCGGTGGCGATTCATGATTTGGGCCGCGGCTGTTGCGGTATGGAACACGGTGCCGATTCTCATCACATTCTTCTCCTTCCTTATCTACACTGTTGTTGAGAAGAAGCCGCTGTATCCCTCAGTTGCCTTCACCGCTATCTCCCTGTTCATGCTTCTTCGCTACCCGCTCGACCAGCTCGGCGACATGATTGCCCACGTCCAGGAGTCCCGCGTGTCGATCGACCGTATTGAGGAGTTCTTGTCCGAGGAGGAGACCGAGAAGTTTGCGCAGTTGGGTGTCGACAACGTTGACGAGACTGGCAAACGGGTAATTGGGTTCAAGAAGGCCACCTTCGTTTGGGGCAGCAAGACGACCGTTGCCGATGACGGTTCCATGGCTTTCCGCCTCCTCGACCTCGACCTCGACTTCAAGCTCGGCAAACTGAATGTCATCACTGGCCCTACGGGTTGTGGAAAAACCTCGATGCTCATGGCGCTCCTTGGTGAGATGACTATCATGAAGGGCCGCGTTTTTCTCCCTGGTGGCCGCAGCCGTGAGGATGTCCGCCCCGACCCCGAAACAGGGCTTGCTGAGACGTGCGCCTATGTCGCCCAGCAGGCCTGGCTTGTCAACGCCAACATCAAGGACAATATTCTGTTTTCGGCCCCGCTCGACGAGCAGAGATACCGGGACGTCATCGTGGCGTGCGCGCTTGAACGGGATCTGGAAATCCTGGACAACGGAGACGAGACTTTGGTCGGCGAGAAGGGCATCACCCTCTCCGGCGGCCAGAAGCAGCGCATCTCGCTTGCGAGAGCGGTCTACTCGAACTCGAAGCACTTGCTCATGGACGACTGCCTCAGCGCTGTCGACTCTCATACCGCCCAGTGGATCTTCAACAACTGCATCATGGGCCCGTTGATGCGCCACCGGACTTGCATTCTCGTCTCTCACAATATCCCTCTGTGCGTCCCGCCGGCCGACTACGTTGTCACAATGGCTAACGGCCGCGTCACCGGTCAAGGGACGCCACAAGAGCTCATCGCGGCTGGCGTGCTGCCGGAAGACGCTGCCGTACAGAAGTCCGCTCCAGGCTCCGCTCACATCTCTCGTGTACCTTCTCGCGTTCCCTCGAGTGTCGGCGAGGAGAGCGGTGCGACTTTAATAAACGAGGTGGATGGTGACCAACATAAGACGAGGAACGAGACCACCAAGAAGAAGGAAAACAAGAAGCAAGACGCCATGGAGGAGACCAAGGCAACGGGTGCCGTCAAGTGGCCCGTCATGAAGCTCTACCTGCGGTCTATGGGAAGCTGGTGGTTTTGGATCGTCGCTGGTCTCGTCTTTGGGACGCAGCAATTTTCCGGCGTCGCTACTAGTCTGTGGATCAAGGAGTGGTCCAACCAATACGCCGCCGAGGAGACGGCCAAGATCAGCTTCAGCATGAACTCGCACAGCTACTCGGTCCAAACCCTATCGCCGACGTACTTCGCATCTATCGCGAACTATGTCAAGGGCAACTCGACGACGATCTCCACCTCTGAAATGCCCGAAGTGGATGTAACCTACTACCTGACAGTGCTGGCAGCTATTGGCATAGCGGGCGCGGCCGCAGCTCTGTTCAGAGATTTGTGGATATTCCTCGGTTCTCTCACTGCGTCGTGGAAGCTTCATAATCGCCTGATGACTACGGTGACTGGCGCAAAGTTCAAGTTCTTCGACGTGACGCCACTTGGGCAGATGATGAATCGGTTCAGCAAGGACTTGGAGGCCGTCGACCAGGAGGTGGCGCCCATCGCCATCGGTGTCATGTCGTGTGCTCTGGGCATCGTCGTAACTGTCGTCCTGATCGCCTACATCACACCGATGTTCTTGGTCGCTGGCATCTTCATCGCTCTCGCATACGTGTTCCTTGGGCAGTTCTACCTGCACGCGTCGCGCGACCTGAAGCGACTGGAGTCAGTCGAGCGAAGCCCACTCTTCCAGCAGTTCGGCGAGACCCTCAGTGGTGTCACGACGATTCGCGCGTACGGCGACGAGAGGCGCTTCATCCGGGACAACCTCGCCCGGATCAACACGCAGCTTCGGCCGTTCATCTATCTTTGGGCTGCTAACAGATGGCTCTCGTTCCGTACCGACTGCCTCGGTGACGTCGTGGCCTTCTTTGCCGGCGTGTTTGTCATTGTCGGCCTCGGCAAGATCGATCCCGGCTCGGCTGGTATCTCGCTCAGCTACGCGATTGGATTTGCCGACAACATCCTGTGGCTGGTTCGCCTGTACGCCCTGAACGAACAAAACATGAACTCGGTCGAGCGAATCAAGGAGTATCTGGACGTGGAACAGGAGGCGGCGGCCATCGTGGAGAAGAACCGGCCGGCCGCGAACTGGCCGTCCAAGGGGACGGTCGAGTTCATCAACTACAGCACACGGTACCGCGAGGAGCTGGAGCCTGTGTTGCGCAACCTCACCTTCAAGATCGAGGCCCGGGAGAAGATCGGCATTGTCGGGCGGACCGGCGCCGGCAAGAGCTCGCTCACGCTCGCCATCTTCCGGGCGCTGGAGGCCGACGAGGGCAAAATCCTCATCGACGATGTCGATATTGGCCCGATGGGTCTCCGTGACCTCCGCGAGGCCATCACGATCGTGCCGCAAGAACCAACCCTCTTCATGGGCACCATCCGCAGCAACCTCGACCCCTTTACCCTGTACACAGACGAGCAAATCTTCAACGCGCTCCGCCGCGTCCACCTGATCCAACCCGACGAGCTCGCCGCGTCCACCACACTCACGCTGCCGGAAGCCACAACCGCAACCACCACGATCAACAGCACGAGCGAAGCGCAGACCCCGACGCAACCGTCCCGCCCGGCCTCGGTCATCAACAAGAACGTCTTCCTCGACCTCTCGTCGCCCGTCACCGAGTCGGGCAACAACCTGTCGCAGGGCCAGCGGCAGCTCCTCTGCCTGGCGCGGGCGCTGCTCAAGAACCCGACGGTGCTGGTCATGGACGAGGCCACGGCGTCGATCGACTACGCCACCGACTCGGCCATCCAGGCCACCATCCGCGAGCTGACCAGCACCACCATCACCATCGCCCACCGCCTGCAGACCATCGTCGACTACGACAAGGTCCTCGTGCTCGACAAGGGCGAGATCGTCGAGTACGGCCACCCGTGGGAGCTGATGCGGAAGGGGGCCGGGGGTGTGTTCAGGGGCATGTGCGAGATGAGTGGCGATTATCCGGTGCTTGCCGTCGCGGCGAAGAAGGCGTGGAAGGGCAAGCAGCTGGTGGATGTCGATGAGGATGGGGATGAGGATGCGGAGGAGGGCGGGAGTGCGAGCGGGAGTGGGAGTGCGGCCGCTGCGGCTGCGGCTGCGGCTACCGCGGCCGAGGGGACGCAGGAGTCATAGGGGCGCTTTTGTTGTGGGGATGTGGCGAACTGGGTGTGTGCGCTTGAAGGGGTTGCGGTGTTGAGTTGAAGAGGGTAGGGTGGGGGGGGGGTTCAATGGTACCGGACTTGATGGTGTGTGTGCATACGTACTGGACATGGCAGTTAGTCGGAGTATATAGTAGCCAATCTTGGTGGCTCCGGGGCGAGGGTGGGCGTCGTGTCCTATGGGACGTGCGATGGAAAAGAAAGGTATGGGTTGATGCCGCCCTCGCCCCCACCCGAAGATAGGAGATCCGGGCACAGAGCGGATAGGTCCATGGTGTTGTTTTTAGGTTGGGCAAAAAGAAATACGTTTGCATTCTGTTACATTAACGGGTCCCTCAGTGATGTCGTCACCGTGCCGTGAAGAGGTTCAAGGGATTCAGTCTCCAGAAGGAGCCTGAGAATACCCGATGGAAAAGCTGAGAAGCTCGTGTCATCACCGAGTACCCGAGTTGGCCGATGCCATAATAGCTAGTCCTCAAAGGTTATCGGTATTCGGCATTCGGCATAGTCTCATCTCAAGCTGCTGCTTGTCAAGGGCTGTGTGTGATCGATCCACAGGGGCGGTTGGGGGTCACACAGAGATGCGACAGCCGTCCGAAAGTGACGATGGGGGTTGTATGACGCCGTCATGGTAGGGCGACCACGTGGTTACCTGGGTCCTGGGGATCTTATATAAAGACTTGTTGTGCCACAGTTGGAGGTGTGATGGGCGTTTATGGCTTTTTGCGAGCGCAGCAACGGGGTACGATTCACAGGCTGGTTACCTAGTTTTCATCACCAGCCAGACTTGAGTGGAGGGTACTAGAATAGAGGTAGGGTTAAGACACCACCACCTGGGGGTTGTTTAGGGACTTTTCGAGATATACTGACAATAGTATTTACACAGGGCATCTTGAAGTATCAGGAACAGCAAGACGGTCGATCAAGCAAATCGTTGGCTGTGGGATAGATTTTACAAGATATCCACGTTTGGGAATTACCAGATCGGCATCCATTCGTTAGTCGCAGCAAGTCAAGATACAGCCTCAGGTTCGCGGCCAAATGGAACGAGCTTGCTCTTGGTCTCCAAATCTCGCCATGGCCGCTCAACCAACACAAACGTTCTTTAAGTCAGAACCCGGCAAAGGGGACGACTCACCGTAAGCTACTACTACCCCCCCCCCCCTTCTTATTCCTTATCACCGCGGATCACTAACTTCACCAGTCCACCACCACCACCCGTCGACTCCCCAGACCCAAACCCCGACCCCCCTCCGCCACCCCCAACGCCAACTCCCGACCCACCCCCCCAATCCAAAGTCAACCCGCCCCCAACCCAAGACCCTCCGCCACCACCACCACCACCACCACCACCACCAAGCTCCACAGTCTACCTCTCCGTCACAATCACATCAACCACCACAAGAACAAAGTCCCTAACACCCCCAACAACCCTCCAAACCCTCACCTCATCAACACCCCCCCACCCATCAAGCACCGCCCGTCCCGACCCGTTCCCAAAGCCAGCGGGGACAGGACTACCCCCCGAACCCGCCACCACCAACAGCGCTAACGTTAGCAACAACGAAGCCCTCGACCTCGTCAAGATCGGCGTGCCCTCGGTAGTCGGCGGGCTGATGCTGTTCGGGGCGGTGTTTGCGGCGGCGTGGTGGGTGTGCGTGGTGCGGGTGCGGCGGCGGAGGGAGGAGATGAGGAGAGTGAAGGGGAAGGGAAGGGCTGTTGATGCTAATGTTGAGGAGGTGGGGGAGGGGGTTGTGGAGCGGAGGGGGGTTGGGGATAGGGGGGATGCTGGGGAGGGGGATTGGGAGGGGAGTGGGAAGGGGGGCGGGGATTGGGAGAGGAGTGGGAATGAGGATGGGGATGGGGATGATGCCGGTGAGGATTGGAGGGATAGTGTTTATGGTTTTGCGGGGGATGATGAAGACGGGAAGGGGTACGGTTTCGAGCGCGAGGCGGTGGTTCCTATCGTCATGATGGGGGATGATGCAGCACAGGGCAGTGGGAGTGGTGCCTCGGGGACGGGGTATGGGAACCTAGGGCGTGGAGCGGCAGTACCGGAGCAGGGGAATGGGTTCGAGAGGGGGTATTGGGGTGATAGGCACTGGATGGGCGGGTGAAGTTGGCGGTGATGGTGAACGCGCAGTTTCTGGCAGCGCTTTTGGAATTATAATCTTGGCCAGCTCTCAGGGTGTCTGCTTTGGTGAGAGAGCACGGGTGGAATATCAAGCGTGGTCTTTTGCCTGCATATCCATGGCTTGTCTACACAGAAATGATATGCATGGCCTATCCGGCCTGCTTCCATGAACAGTGGCAACTAATGAAGAAAAAGCAAGGCACCCGGAGCGTCCCTCAAAATTTCCCGACTTTTAGATTTCACCACATTTTGTACTTGCTTACTCGTGAGGCTTTTTCCCAAAGAGCCCATCACCCCGCAAATTACAGCCCCGGCCGCTTAGTCCGTCGCGACACAGCCCGCCGCAGCTTCGTGCGACCCGACCCAATCTGAGACGCGCACATCCGTTGGGCGAGGCAGAGCCTCACGGTAGGTGGCTATGCTCCCCTCTTCTCCTTTGAATTACCTCAAAGCCAATGTCGTGTGCCTTGATGTTGTTCATGAAACACTTCTGTTCTGGGCGGTATCATCTTCTTGGCCGAAATAGGGGTATTCTTCTCTGCCTTCTTTGTGTCGTTTCAACAGCAATTGTTGGTGGCGAGCTGGTAACCTTGATTAAAAAAGCGCTTTCCAGTGCGAGAGATATTGTGTTCCGCGTCCAGGAAGTTAGTCAACAAACTCTACCTAAGGCGTCCTTAGGAATGCTAATTCGTATACTCTTATAGAGCCATCAGCAGACCCGACCTTAGCAGATTCGCCATGGCCCCCACGGTCCCTCTCAAGTCTTTCCGGATGGGCGACCTCCAGATCATGAGACAACAGCAAGTGATTATGATTTGTTTCGTTTTCGCTTGCATTCTCATGGTCGCGGTTGTCTTGCTGTACGCCCGCCAACCCGCCTCCAACCCGCCGTCGCCGTCGCCATCGCAAGACGATGCTAAACACAGCGACGGTGCTGACCCGGATTTGGAGGCTCTCCCTGTCGATATTAGGGAGGCTGAACCGACGGAAACAACCCCATTGCTCTTGTCCGTCACCGGGGGGTCCGAGAGCTCGAGGACCGGACGTTCCGACAGCTCTGACAGCTCCTCCGACAGCTTCCCCGACAGTCCCGGACCTTGGTTTTCGGCGACGGCCAATAGTTCTTGAGAGGATTCGGCGTTGCTATTAGCATTGATTGAGCTGGTTGGGGGACTTTGGACACTGATTCCTTCTTTGTCTTTATTGAGGATGTTTGCTCGGGTTTGACACAGGCGGGCGCGAGACGTGTGTTAGCACCTGTGGTTTTAATATGACAAGAAAAAAAAACATCAAATACCCCAGTCCTTCGTTGGACTTCCTCTACATAGTAGTAGTAGTGTACGTGCAATAAATACGGTAATTGCCGCCCATCTTCACACACCCATATGTAGTTTTGTATGTACATGTAAAAGCTTCCTCCCGAATCGTCCCATCTTGCACCCAACCAACACTGACCCCCTCATCTCCTCATCCTCATAGCGTCCGGATCAAACAGCCCCCTCACCACCACCGGCTTCTTAAATCCCGTCAACCACATACCCAGGAACTGCGTCCCCACCAAAGTGCCGATCATGAGCCCCGAGATGATGTAGAGGTAGATGGGGATATCGGGCATCGCCATCTCATGTCCGTCTGTGCCCCCCATCTCTGCGTTTGTTTACTGGCGAGTGACGTGGGAGTTGCAATGTGAGATTTGACGCAAACTGTTGACGGATGGGGGTGGTTGTGGCCCCTGAGGCGATGCTTGAGACTGGGTCCTTTTCTGGTATATTAGTTAAAGATTGGTCGTCGGTACCCAAGTGGTTTGTGCTCACCGATTTCTTAAAGGAGTATATGTAGGCAGTTCACCTTCGACGGGCCGTCGTGCTCATAGACCGCTGATTTGTCTTTGTCTGATCGCCACACTTGTCGGACGCTCCAGAACGCAGTAAGCAGGTGCCGCTGAGGCTGAAATACGCAGTCCTTTATTCGGGGCTCTGAGCCACTGTGCGCTTGCGTAACTGGGGTTGAAGCTTTGGGCCTTTGTCTTAGTACGTTATGGCTGGCTGGTCGTCAACTGCTGCTGCACCACATGAATTGATAAAAACGACGGTGAGAGAGCTCGTTTCCGATGGGGTTCGGACTTGAAAAATAACTCTTCTCAGTTGGAAGGAAGCCTTGGGCTGTCAGGGGTATGAGTTCACTAAACCCGGATTTGTCTTGTCTTGTCCTCTGTCCGACTTGGCAGCGGGACCTCGTGCCGTGAGATAAGAAGCGACATTGGTCGTGTTTCAGGTGAGGCTTGGATTTCTGCCATGTCAGCATGTGCTCTGTGACAGCGAGAGGGTTGGTGGCGCAAACCACGTTGGAATTGCTGCGCTACGGGCAAACTTGGACGCCACAAAGTAACGGCGGCTGTAATTAGAACTCTTGATTGCACCTTGCAAATACGCGGAGCGGACTATATGATATCTCAGGCAACACTACGCCCTCTAAGTGACACTAGGAGACTTCCTACCACGTCGTTTGCTCCTAAATGTATAACATGATTCGTCTTCCCCTTCATAACACCCCTTAGAGCGTTACGAAACCCCATCTCCCACCCATTCCACCCACTGTTCCTCACCAGACACGCCCGACCCTCGCCCCAACCCATCCAGGATATCCTCAAACCCCATATCCACACCATCCAGCGCCCATTCCTCTCCATCTTCACCAACCACAGTGCTCGGCACATCTGGCCCAACCCCATCCCCCTCCAACCGCTCCACCTCCACGACCCCAAAATGCGGAATCAACACCTTCACCACCCTCCCCCCATCCAACACCCTCCCCACCCCACCTTGGACACTCCCACCCCCTCCACCAACACACGACCCGGTGCGATACACACCCCCGCGCGCCGCATCCTCCTCCATCCCAAGCAGCCGCCCTAGCACGTCCGCCATCTCCCCCGTCGCCACGTCATCCACATGCACACCCGCAAGCTGCTCGATGCAAACCAGCGTGCGCTCGGCCAGGCCGCGGTCGCTGGGCCGCTGGTGCGCGAGGAGGGAGAGGTGGTTTATCATCATCCCGCCATTACCACTACTATCTATGGAGTCTTTTTCGGGGTTGGTGTTGTGGTTGTGGTTTTGGTGGTGGTTGTTGTAGTTGTTGTGCTGCCGGCGCCGCCAGCCCCAGCCCTGGATGTGTGCGACGCAGAGCGTGGCGGCGGCGATGAAGGCGAAGAAGTCCATGCCGCGGCAGTAGGGGGCGGTCGGGCTCAGGGCGCGGAAGGCGAGGAAGCGGGCGAGCATCTCGCGCGTGGCGGTCATGGCGGTGAGTTGGCTGTAGGTGTGGTCGTGCCGGCTGGTGTGATCTGTTGACGACGGTGGATGGAGGAGGTAGGGTAGATGTAGGCGTCCGACGAGGTGGAAGTGCACGAATTGGTCCATGAGGGTTGTGCCGTTGGTGAGGGCGGTGGTGGGGTTGGTGAGGGATGTGGCGCTGAGGTCTGGTGTGAGCCACCACTGCGCTGGCATTGAGGCCGAGGCTGTTTGCAGTAAAGTGTCAATTTCGCGTGTTGTGGTGTAGTCGTTCATGTCGGCGGTTGTGCGTTGCAGGATGCGGCCGGCCGCGAGGCAGTCCAGCCGCCGCATCTTCTCCTGGGATGTGCAACGCTCAAGCGCTCTTGGGCTTGCGAAGACATCGTCGAGCGAGCTCTGCGGCAGATCTAGCATGAGTGATGTGTAGCGGTCTGCCTGGAGCAGACGTAGCCATAGGTTCTGGGGGTCGATGAAAACTCGAGGCCCGGTATCGAATACCTCCAGCGACGGGGTGTCTACGTCGGCTCCTCGGTGTAGACCCATCATCTGCGCCATGGTTATTGCCCGGCGGATGGCGACCCAGGCACGGCGGAGGTTACCGGCGAGATCGTGATACAGACTCTCCATCATGATGCACTCTATGCCTTCGATTGAGTTGGCGAGCTCATCGTTGCCCGTTACGAGGCTAGCTGCCTCCACCACCCCAGACGCAATATTGTAGCAACTGGGACTCGTATCTGTTGCTGCATCCTCAGATAAAGGCCCGGCCACAGGCCCTTGTAAGAATATGCCGAGAAGTAGGAGCTTTCGCGCAACAAATACGGGGTGGGAGCCCGGTGGTGGCATCTGCAGTATGTCTTGCACTGATGCGGAACCAGAATAGGGCATGCCCGAGGCTTTAAGCACAAGAGATTCGGAGGACTCGACTTGGCCACTCAAAAGGCGATCAAGCTCGTGTTGACTGGGCCATGCTTCAGCGAGTCTCTGAGAGAGTTTGCCGAGCTTGGAACTAGCCGCCACTGGCTTATCGCACGCCCAGGTAATGGATGTGTCTGGAGTGAGCAGCCTGGGGAGAGGCATTGAGCCGGCTAGAATGTTTCTGCCAAAGATGTTCGCATCTGGGGTTGACCTAAATAGTCCATCTCCCAGAAAGATGCCCGAAAACGCATTGGAATCTCGGGTCATCTGCTCAACTAGCTTTTTAACCAGCCTCTCCATGCGGCCCAACCTATCATGGACATCGACTTGGTTGCTGTTGACGACGCTCGCGACTGTGGGTTGTGGTACGTCGGGCAACTCCTGGCTCACACATGCCGTCCCACGGCGCTTACAGGGTTTGCAGAGAGTGTCTGTGGGCGCCGCAAACAAGCACCGGACCTTCCGCCGCTTACACTCCCAGCAGCTCCTCGTGCCTTTCCGGACCTTCTTCCGCGGCCGTTGTGCTTCATGTTCAGCCAGAAGGGAGTCGGAGTCGGGGAATTCGTGCATAGGGGGGGTTGTATCCGTCATATCTCCGGCATAAAAACGGCCGAGCGAAGGGATGTGGTTCGGTTGGAAAGGGGCTACAACGCGATGGAGGCTCGCCGTTGAAATCCGGAGAGAGCATGAGGATGGGGGTCGAAAGGATTCCGCCGAGGCTCGGCGGACGAAACATGTTTTAGTCAGCATTGGGCTGGGCACGCTGGGCTTGGGGGTTTGAGGGGGGATGTGCAGGGGGGAGGGAGGGATAGGGATAGGGATAGGGGTAGGGGTAGGAATGGGGTAGGGGTAGGATAGGGGTAGGGTCTAATTGTGAGGTTCTTCTCATACTAGGTAAGGTACCTATTACCCTTTTCCAGCTTGGGGTTAAGCTCGTTATTCTTAAAGGGCCATTAGGAGGGTAGGGTATGACTATTACCTAGTTACTATTCAAGGCTAGTAGACATAACTGTACGAAATCTGTGCCGTATGAGCGAAAACACAGAGCCACAAATGCTGGTAATCGCCGTTGTCCCTCCAACAACGATGGCGAGTATCTGGTCCAGGTCCTGGAAGGATACATTTGGGGGCGGTCCCAAAAGAGCCTTCAATCCAAGGATGACCCGGAGAAGATAGAAGAGTGTAAGGACATAGCCTAGAAGGGTGATACTAGGCAACACACTGGCAGAAAGAAAACAATACGTGTCCTGTGGCCAAAAGAAGGTTGCAGAGTCCCTGTCGAATATTAAAGTCCTCTAGATCCAAGCCCGCGAGTCTTCTCAAGAACGGTGATTCTGTAAATCCAATCTTCACGAGGTTAAAGAAAAAGGTCAATATTCCAAAAATGAATATGAAGACTCCTTGAATAATCCGGTACTCGGAGTACGAGTCGTTGAGCGGCGAGAAGACCGAGATGCCTCGGACAAAGTGCATCAACGCGCTGGGGTACCCGTCGGCGATGTGGAGGCGGCCCAACTTGCTGCTCCCGTACGTTGATATGGCCACGTCCAGCATAGAATTAAGCGTGCAGATGCCCATCGTATATTCCGGGCAGATACCTCGCTTCGCAGTTACGGCGATCCCCGCCACAACTGTAACAAGTGTCACCACGACCCTGAAATGAAGTCAGCGGGAAGGTAACGGCCACCACCATCGGGAAGGCCGGGTAAGGCAGCTGGTGAAGATGATGAAGACGGCCACGCTGATGAAGCTGTCGAGGACCCCCATTGCTGCCCGCACGGTCAAGATATGGGTCGCAGGGATGGGGCCGTATCCCGGCGGCACGGCGTCGATGCGCGGCCAGACGAGGATGTCCAAGGGGGACAGCTCCCCGCCCCTCAGCGAGATGTCACCGATGGCGATCCATACGACGACAAGGGTTAGGATGAGCTCTGTGTCTGCGTGCCAGAGCCAGCGGGCCTCGTGCGCCAAACGTGCGTACACAACCCAAAGTGTCCCCCAAAGTGTCCAACCACATGTCCAACTGCGTGTCGTCTCGGCGGTCGTCGGGGGTTTCGAATACGGAGTATGCCTTAGGCCAGCGAGCACGGCGGCAAGGAGGTCCATATGCCATGCAGCTAGGACACCCCCACCCGTAGTATCCCGAGACGGCGACATCAGGGTCGAGGAGGGGCTCGAAGTCTAAAGATGTTGGTTCAGCGAGAGTCCGAGTCAGGGGCTGTCTTGGGGATCAATCTCACCAAAACCCTCCATGTCGTACTCGCCATGGAAATGCACGCCCTTCCAGTACTCGTAAAGGGGCTGCTTCTTATCCTCTGCGCAAAACCGTCCAAACTAGGTTAAGGTAGCCTGGGCGACTACATAACTCTTGTGGTCGTCTGGTCCCTCTGCGCATTGTTCCCACACACACTCCCAGACCTCGGGGTAGTATGAGCGCCATGGGTGTTGAGGAACTGGGCAGCATGGGGTCGGAACTGTTGAATTATACTGTCCTTTGGCGCAGTTGGAGCCTTGGTATGTCCAAGTGTAGTCGGGACACCCGAGGCACGGGCGGGCGCACTCGGCGTATGCATCGTAATACGGGTCGATTTGTGCGGCGCCGTCACACTGCATGGGCACGAGATCCCAGGGAGATTCGTATAGCATTTTGAAGCCTTGGATACGAGGAGCAGAATGGGAGAGAAGGCTAGCGGCGGGCTCGAGATATCTAAGGCTTCCATACCGTCGCCAAGAATGCACAGCAGCTCGGAAGGGATGCACCGCCACCACCATTACTTCTTTTGAGCCACTAATATCCAACCTCATGCCCAGTGACGTCCAGCCACGACGTCTCAACGCCCTCGTGGGTGAGAATCATCCTTCATGGCTTATCACGCCAGGCCTCGGCCAGGAAATCCTCCGCCTTGGTAAACTTGTAGTCCGGCAACAGTTGATTCCACTCATCCGAAACACTCAAGCCACCGACCGAGATACCAAGAACCACTCCAGCGGTCATACGCTCTGCAAACTCCGATATCTGCTCGGGGGTGAAGGACGGGTGGTCGGGTGTGGGGATCCAAGTCGACTTCACCATCCCAGCTTTGAGGTCATCCGCCTTCAGTCTCTCGACATTGAACGTTCCACCTGGTTAAGTGATATCTCAAGTTAGAAGTCATCAATTGATATAGATGGCAAGACAATCAACTCACCGCGAACTCTTTCGCCCATCTTGATGATCTCGCCTATGGTCAAATCGTCACCCCTGATGCCCCCAGCAACCGGCCACTCGCCCTCGTACTCGACGGCTCTAGCCACAACATTGGCCATGTCCGTGACGGTGGTAAGGGTGATGCAAACGTCGTCGCTACCCTCCACCATGAGAAGGCGGCGGTTGCCAAAGTCGATCGGGGTCTGCATCGGGTGGACGTGCTTGGTCGTTTTGTACGGGAGGGTGAGGTAGCTTGTGAACAGCCCGGCCATGAAGAGAGTGTACTCGAGGACCTGTCGGCAGAGTGTCAGCATTTCGAAACGGGAATTAGTCGCCATGCTTGAGAAATATTGCCTTTTTCTCCTTGTTTAACTCCTTGAGGTACTCCCGGATCACACCTTTACTATCGTTCCAGGGCATGTAGTCAAATTTAGACCTGCAAGGTCCGAGTTAGCGAGGGCTGCAAGAGGCCGTGGTAATCATATTATAACATACGACGCCCATTCGCTCGGTGCAAAGCGTTTCACACCGGCCCGAACGGCCGCGTCGACCAAGCATTTCTGTGCCACACCGCCCGGATCCATATGCGCCGTGATGAACGAGAGAACCGTGTGAACTCCTCGTAAGGCTTCATCCAGCTGGTCCGGGTTCTCGTAGTTGATCTTGACCCAGGTCACGCCGGGCGCAAGCTTCTCCGTGGGAGTATCCTACATGCCGATTCAAGTCAGTGATTCGAGTCGAGAACGTGCTGTTCCAAGAGCCCGAACCTTTCGAGACAGGAGCAAGATCTCATGCTTCTTTGTTGCGGCGAGCACGTCGATGATCTCTTGGCCAACATCTGCGAAGATATGTCAGTGTCCTGTGGTTGAGATTGTTGAGGAGGAGACGACTCACTGCCAGCACCACCGGCGATAGCGATCTTGACCATTTTCTCTTGAAATGGGTGAAAGTGAACCTGTTCAAAGTTGGTGTTCGAATGGTTGATGGAGAGAAAATGACCAAGCCCAACGGTTTTGCATGGTTACTTATACTCGAGCCAAAGTTGCTTTGCGCATGGCTTCTCGACCGAGATTTCGGCGGAACGAACGGACACGCCAGTCCTTTGCCGAGCTCCGGTGTTTGCACCCGGAGGTCGGGGGTTGACCATGCGGCTTCGACCGAACCTCGGCGGAACAAGCAACTCACGCCCTCCAACCCTGAATTCAAAAATAGAAAATCGCGTCACCTTAATGGAGCATTTCAAATCTGCAGCTGAACAAGCATGTTGCTAGCATATGTTTGCGGTCCAGTCCCCGATGACTCCTCCCTCTCGCTTGGTACATGGCACCAAACGTCATCATGTTCCCGTTGCCGTTCGCCCTGTTTGCTTCTCACGGTTAATTGCAGCCCCGTCTTGCTATTCCTTCACGCACAGCACTTCATCCGCAGAGGGTGCGATAAAACGCAATCCTACTCAGACGGGCCCCAGAGAAACTCGACGTCGACATCCAAACCGCCAAAGGTTGGATCGTCACGTACCGCGGCCCTGATCCCATTAATGGTTGAACCAATCGGCGAGACGAAGTGAATGCCGTCGAAGTAAGGGGGCGTTATGGGCGGATTAACCTTGTAATCCTCGCGGTTCGGACCTTCGTTTTGTCTTCCGACATAAATACCGAGAACTTTGCCCCTGTAGTCGAACACTAGGCTTCCGAAGTCGCCTTTGCGGCCAAAGACGGGTGCAGAACCACAGCCTGGGGAGCCGGGACCTGTCGGGGACGTTTCCGAAGGGGAGAGAACAACCAAGGCACTCCCTACAACCGGAACATTGTCGCCGTAGCTCATCCGAACGCTCGAAATGATGGAGTTTAGTACCCCTCGGGTGTTCCCCGTAGTTCGTCCGCATTTGAATACCACATTCTTATGGGAGTCGTCCAGCCTGCCCGACGAGGCGGCGACCAAATCCTTCTGTGACGCGATGCCTCCATGTATTGTAAGTGACTCTGCATCCTGGTAGTGCCCCCGAAGATAGTCCACTACCTCCGAACTGAGTGCCTATGATATATGTGAGAAAAGCACCGGGTTTAATACACTAAAGACTGAAACTCACGGTTGAGAGGTTGTCAAAAGACGGGAACCTCTCTTGCGCCAACTCGACCAAACCCCAGTCCGAAATCCATCCGTCCGTTACACCCACTCCGGATGTGCAATAGACCTTGCCGAGATGATTCTGAAAGCGGGCAATCTTTTCGCATTTTTCTTCACCATCTTTTACCCTCTTGTCGCTCAAATGAAGCCGTTGTCTCCCGTTCTGGTCAAGGGTGCCAGCCTGTCTTTGAATTCGAAGAAGAGCGAGAGTGGCGCATGTGCTTTCACGTTCGATTCCTTTCTGTACGGTCGTCTTCTAAACGTCCATATCATTTGTAGAAGGGCATGAGACGGCAAGACCTGGTTCCCGCGACGGAAAGATTGGAGCTCCGTCACCTTATGCGGTCAGAACGAAGGTAACATGGGGGTGCTGGCTGGAGGACATACCGCTTAGAACTTGGTGGCAAGCAAGCGCCACATATTTGGACTTTTTGGCAGTGGAGATTCGAAGGTAACCGCCCAAGGTACCGGTCGAGCGAGAATCCGAGAGACCAAGGCCGGCACCAATGGGAGGGGTGGCGCAGAGCGCCTCGTCGAAGTGCTTCCGGTCCGGCAACGTGTCATCGGAGTGAGGAACGACATCGGCTTCGATGATTTCTATCGCGATGTCCCGAAGCCGAGTGAATCCGTACACGAAAGCGGCAGCGACATGAACAAGTCCGGCCGCCTTCTCTACGCCCAGTGTGTTTGGCCGGACTGCTACTAGAATTGTAGCAGGACATTCGCTCGGTCGTTGGCCCGGATACCCGATGCGCACAACGCTGATATGGGACCAGTCGGTACCAGCGAAGATGTCGTGGAGACGGGCTCGGATTTGCGTATCGAAAATGCCGACAATAGGATGGTCGCCAATGGGAGTCGCCATCATCTTCGGCACGAAAGGGAGATATGGGTTGTCGGGTCGCGGTACCCCAAGGCTGATCCGAGCGAGAAAATGGCCGCCAGAGCGGCCAAGTTCGAGATGGGTTCTTGTCGACATTCTTGCGCCTGTCAAGCTTTTTGATGAAGATTCCACCGAGGTTCTGTGGCGGTGGGAATATTTATGGAAAAGGTTTAACTAGACTTGGTGAATGGTCACCTGATTTTGTAACCGGAGGTAGTTCAGAAGAATGTGATAATAGCAGAGCACGTGGCTCAGATTGGTTTCAAGGGCGGACCCGGAGTTGATAATAATGTAAGGTGCAAACAGACCAACTGTGGTCAATGATCATTCCCACTGGCAATATGCATGGAAACAAAAACAACTTGGGTTAGATACGAGTCAAGGTATTAATTATAGGGAGATGATTAGTATCTAAATGTTAGATACAGCGCGGCACGACCGAGCCACGCTCCCTAAACCCCATGATAGGCTCACTCACTCAGTATGGCAGTCTCGAGTTTGTCGACAGAAACGCTATCAGGAGCAAGAGGCCGCGTGCGAGGTCGCTTAGAGTAAATGCCTTTGTTTAATAGTCTTGTCCAAGTCGCGGGGATACAAACCTCGTGTTTGTTCCGGGGGGGGGGGGGGGGGGGGGGGGGGGGGTTCTAGGGTAAACTTGGAAGACCAACGGACAAACTAACGGGGGGAGACCGCTGTGGCCGAAATAGAAGCTCGTCGAAGTTGGGAGTACCGACACCTCACCAACAAAAATGGGACCGTGTAATGGGTGGCCATGTGGTTGGTTGTTGCCTTACGATACGGCCGGAGAGCCCACTCACGCCGGACTAATCCGTCCACCCCGATACTCCATGGATATGTCTCAAGACTGTGTCACATTCCAGGCACCCCACCAGTGGGTAACACGCCAGCGGCCCACGACAACTCAATAACCGAGACAAACAAGCACATAGCAACAACAAAGAAAAACAAAGTCCCGTGGTACGTGAGGGGTGACAAGCCTGCCACCGCCCCCAAAACAAGTCTGAATTCATCGTCTGGCACTACGTTGTACCGGGCAACCTGGCACAGGGCCACCGCCTTGCCTTGCCCTGGCAGGCCGCCGCGCGATAAGTAAACTTCAAGAAGTTGCACAAAAAGCCCCTAGTCTCTGTACTATACTCTCGACAATACCCTATAATCGCCCATCCCTGGCATGTGATTATTATGTATCTTATGCACCCGAATCTGCCGTCTGCTGCCCGACGGTCTCAAACGAAACCAAAGTTTGCCGTCGTGTCGTGACGTGAAACCCCTTAACTCCATGCAAATGCTTCGCAACCCGTGGAAAAGAGAAAGGCACAAGAACGCCGAAACTGCGTGCTGTAGAAAACCAAGGCCAAAAGGCTATGGGGGAAGAAGTCGACCGGTGATGGTATCCCACGGGTAATTCGTCCCGTGAATGCAAAGACCTGTGCTAAAATCGCGCCGAAGAATTGTTGTGCTGATGTGTGACGCCGTGCTGCAGATGCAGAAGTCCCCCAAGGACAAAGGAAACCGGTTGATGGGGTATTTTTGCCGGCAAGATGGCTTGCGGTATCATACGGTGAGGGAGGAATCCAACCCTCAGACCTCAGGTCGAGACAAAACGCTCAATTCTGCGTCTCGCTGCGCCAGATGCCCGCGCCGAGCGGCTTGCTGACGCCAAACCCAACGCCAACGGCGATACCGACGATGAGGAGGATGATGAGAATCTTGACGGTGATGCGGTTGCGCTTGCTCATGCTTGCTAGGCAGTTGCAGCTGTGCTTGTTCTTCCTGGCCGCCTTGGCCTTCTGTTTCCAGTGGGCCTGCCCAGGCCAGGCATGGCAATCTGTCCCCCCCTTGGTGCATTCGGCTGATCTCCTGCTAGAGTCCTGTGTGACGACGTGCATAGCCTCGACGTCGGTGTCGAACGGGTTCGCGCGTGCCGTGGCGGGCGTCGAGATATCCGAGCGTCGCGGGTATGGCGTGTCCTTTTCTTCTAGCGTAGGAAATGGTTGGGAGAGCGTGTCCTGCGAGGACTTGTGTTTGAGAGTGGTGGTAGGGGTCATCTCGACGGTCAAGCCCGTCTTGTCAGCCGGGTCGTGGGGGTCGCCTGAAGACATGGCGTTGAGCTCGTGGGGTGGTGATAATGGCGACGGTAGGTAATTATATCATCAACAGATGACTATATGTGCAGGTCTTCGCCTTGGCGCAAGAGCGAATAACTCGGTATGGTGTATTTAAGATGGCGGGGGTTCTATCGTAACCTACTAGGTCAGATGTTAGGTCCTGAGAATGAAGCTGGGGACGGAGAAACATGGCACGCCCGTGCCCGTTGGGCAAGGGCAATGGTCGTTACGGCAGGAGGATGGGACGGACTAACCAACAATAGCAGCGAAACGTGTCCGTGTACGCCCCCAAACAACGGAAGTGACGACGCGGTGGCGGACAACGGAGGCGAACAGCGGTGGGCTGTGGAGGTGACCAGCGGACGAAGAGAAACAACGGGCGGGTCCGTGACCCCTTCCCAGCAGGAGACGCGCGGACTTCGATGCCAAAGGAACGACAGGCAGTTGGGTCGACAAAATTCGGTACACCGCAAGCGCAAGAGGTTATCGTGACGATCGGCGCCTTCTGAATCGTTCCACCACGGAGAGGGAGCGGTGAATCGAGGCGGGTTGGACCACGAAAGGGAGGGAGGGCCTGGCAATTGAATTGGCAAGAGAAATGGGAAATGGGAACACCACTGACCCCTGGTACGTACCTGGAAATCAAGGTTGTGGGGACCGAGAGGCGCAGCCAATCCGGCCCAAGATTCGGTTGGGAGCTGCGTCGGCCCTGGTCCACATCCAGACCCATGCTCGCCCCTGACCTGCAACCTTGTCCGCTAGCGTGGCCCCACTTACTTTTCTGGGCGATAGAGCGGAAGCTTGATTGGCTTTTTCTTGGCTGCCCAGCTGCGCGAATGCAACTCTCCTTTTTGCACCGAAAACCAAAAACAGCCAACGAAGATCGCTGGTCCCTGGAGCTTCGACAGAGCCCACACGGCCACCGCTGCGACCCACGAGTTTGAGCCCAAGACACCTCTGTCCGGCGCCAATTCAGGTCAGGAAATCGCGACGCGCCGATGATGCGGATATCAACGGGCTGGGTCACGACGAGGGGTCATCCATGAACACAAATACGCTGCCGGCCCGCTGTTCGTCGGAACTCGACACGGGCCAAGCGGGCCCCTTCTCCGGCGGCCTCTTTGGCAATCGAATGAATCGGGCTCTTCTTCCGGGTCCTGTTTCGAATTGATACTCGAATCTCACAATAGTTATCCCGCCGATTCTTTGTCGGATTGCCATCTCTTCTTGAGCCTCACGACGAACCGTATCTTTGGCTTGCTGCCCTGGCGCCGGTTTCCAGGTTTCTCCTCGGGCGAACGGCCGCGTCCCACCCTCCATGCCGCGTGGTTGCACATCCGGCGCGCTGGTGCGCTTCTGCAGGTCCATTTGAAGCGCACGCGATTGGAACGCTGAGTCGACTTCAAAGTGTGGGCTTCTCGGACTCAATCCCGGGTCCCCAAACCCTGGCCGTCACAGCACACACCAGGGGGAACTGCACTGGTTTATTTTCGTTCGACGCCAAAAACCGCGATTTTGTTCTTGTCGTCCGCCGAGCATGCTGATCGCTGCTGTCAGCTTTTCCTCGGCACCCCATTGCCCGGGCCCCTGTTCGACGTTCCGTCCCGACAACCAACGGTCAAATGAACTCTCGCAAGCGAACCCGCCATAGCATCGGATTCTCTCGCCTTGCGTCTTCCCCTCGTGTCATGACTGTCGCGGGGCTTTACCCGCCACTGATTACTGTTAAGCGACTTTTCTCACGCTCCTTCGTCGCCACCATGCGGTGCGCAATATTGTGTGGTGTGTAAAAAGCCAGCCTGAACACCAAACCACGTTGCATCCCACTGTTCGCACCATTGGCTCCTTCAGTCTTAGCTTCCAGCGCTGCGGGGTCGTTCTCTCTCAGAAGTCGAGAACCCCTGCCAAAATGGCGGGGAAAGGAGCGCAACGCACCGAATCTGTCGCCTTCGTAGCCCGCTCGGTTGGGTTGCGCCGCCTTCAGCTGGGGCAATCCTGCACCGCACCAACTGCGCCGGAGCACATTCCGAAAGCTTACCCCTCTGAGCGGAGTCCAGCGTGGTGTCTCGGCGCAAGCCAACGTACATGTACGTCTCGAATGTTGTGCGCCAGGCGATTTCTCCCCCCTCTCGGAATCCTCCACGGTCTGCGCGATATTCTGTGATCCAACCTGCCGCGCCTGCCAAGTCCATCGGCTGGTCCCTCGGGCGGTTTTGGCGCCATCCTGGCCCTCGTCGGCTGGCAGTGTCAGGGGCTGAAGTCTCAATTGAGTTCTTGGCCGGGAGCGCTGTCAAGGGAGATTCATTGGCTGGACGGATGTCCCCACAGCTCACCTCGCGCCCACAGGGAGAGCCCTCTCATTGACTCGTCGTTCAAGATCAACCTGAGAAAACAAATAATGATGCGAAGGAACTACATACCGCTCGTCCGGTCTGTTACCATCTTTGAACAGAACTTGGCCGACCAGTGCAGCCTTTCCTGGAAGGCGGATTGGTTAAGATTGTGCTCTGCCGACCAGCTGATCGATATGGCATTCTCGAAGATCCCGATGTTGCGCGCCGTTTCGGTCAAGTGATGATGGTTTCGAGCCCCGCAAAGGAAGATGAAAGGCGGGGTTTGCATCACCGGTAGAACGTTGACCGCGTCCTCATCTCTCATACCCAAATACCACGCCAACTCTCTTCAAGTTCCACCAAGACGACGAACTCGTTCCATGGTACCGGAGTGCCGTTACCAATCGGGGGTCCGGGGCCGAGGTGCTTCGGGGTGGCGCGCTAGCGGGCGTGATATCAAAACGACTATGTAGTAAGCAGTCGAAGGATAGAGGATAGTTCGAAATCGGAACACGCCCGTTCTGGTGGGGATCACTGGGGAGGATTTGCGACTAGCAACCTAGGTAGCCAAGCAAGCCCACGCCAGCCCGGTTGTTTCAGACCCCGCCACGCTCGGATTTCCTCAGACAGCGGGGTTGTTTGTCAAGCCTCTGCTCCAGCTTTTAGTCCGTTCATCAGATGATGATCATGGTCAACGTTTGGCAGGTGTACTTGTTCCAAATCCAGGAATCTTGGGAGGTTGTGGTTACGCGAGGCTTGGGGCATGGGACCGTCATACAGGTTTGGTTACTAAGGTTTGGTTACTAGTAACTTAAGAAGGCGAGGGTACACAGTTGTAGTTGTTGAAGTCGTGGTATCTCGGTACCTAACACTGGGCCGGGCGCAAGTGTGCTAGCAACGTCACGTTGGTGCACAGAAAGAGTGCTGGTAGAAACATATGACCTCGGTCTCAAGTCTGCGTGTCGAGTCACATTGCAGTGGCGGTTTGCGAATGCCTCCGTCACATACGTTGGACACAGTATATTTAAATAGCAACATTTCCATGTGACTACGGTCATTGGCATCTATCACGTAATCATCTGGTGTCGTAATGGATTTTGGGGATCATTCACACTGCCCGGACTACTGCCACTGGGAAACTGGATCCCCATGTGTGCCAGGTGAACGAAAAAATGCAGAAACAAAGCATAATACTTTCCCAGCTGACACATTAGTATGGTATAATTCAAGTCTAATCCTGATTTCAATCCGAGAAATCATGGAAATGTTGGTGGGAACCACACATCGGGCGGTCCCAAGAGGGAGGACCATACCAGTTTTTCAGGTTTCCTTATACTTAGAAGAGGCATACGACGGCCGCCATAACCTAATAGCTAACGCCCCTGGCGGGTATAAACAAGGCAAAGGGTTTATTGGTAAACATAGAATGAATAGAAACCAACCCTTTTCAACAGAGATCCAGGGATTAGTAGGTGGGTACCTGAGAACGGTTCGGACGAAGTCTATTCATTTGCCGCGTGCCAGTGATTCGCTTGATTTACTGTATTCACTGGCTTGCCTCGATTAACTCGTGACTAACTCTTCCCCGGCTAGAAATTCTATAACTTAGACATAAACTGCACAATTTGGGCACCGTTTCATATTATTCACACCACCTCACTCCTCTGCAATACCCTGCTCAGTCTTGGAAGCTGTGTGCAACAATAACACAACAAGCCAACAACAACTCAGCCGGATTCCTATACAACGATGATTTTCATCATTCCTTTTCTCGTTTTACTTTTCCAGGTGGCCCATTGTGGGCCCCTCGCAGAGCCACGCACGTTTTGCGATAACGGTATAGCGGATGATCTGCCCCCTGTTGAGAGCGAGTGCCGCCAAGTTATCGATGCATTCAATCGTGAGTTTTTCCGAGAGCCTTTCGACATATGTTGCATCTAACAATATGAACAGACCATGATTCCACTGGCTATATTACGGTCGAGGGCAATACCAGCCTCGTGATCAGCAGAGGCCGTTGCACAGGCGGACTGACCAACGTGTCCGGTTCTACATACGCAGTCAACGCAGATGCGCTCACAATCATCATGAAGAATTACATTTTCGACCGCTGCATTCTCAATAAGCAATGGGGATTTTACGCAACCAACAAGTATACCATCCAGCTGGTGTCTGTGCTCTTTGAAGACTACTTCGAGGACGGAGAACAGGAACCCTAGGACGACCTACTTGACGACCGAGACCATTGTGCTGGGACCAAACCCCTGCTGCAAGGCCTGACGCAATTCATACCATAATCCCGCTGGCTGGGACTCTGTGGTACCGTCAGCATGAAGCATCTAAGATGGCGTGTACGGTCTCCCGACGAACAAGTCACGTCCAACATTCAGGGCTGGGTAGTGGGGCATGTTAGCAGGCTTTGCTAGACTGGTTTAGAGACATGGACAGTAAAGGACAGAGAAAAATATCATATGATTTGCGGGATTGAGCCTCACTGCTGCGAGCATGGTGATGTTTGGAGGAAATGACGAGCACCTCGCACGTCGTGTACTGTGTAAGTGCTTCCAGGGTTAGGGCTGTACAAGATTGTTCCTCCCTAGCCGGCGCCACGTATTTTGCTAAGGAAGCCACAACGCCACAACCGACTCCATTCCAACGCGCCAAGATGGAGGCCACCAATGGCTCGCGTTCCAGCGACTCGAGCCGTTCCCTGACGCCTCCACAGTCTCGCATCCCACTGAGCTCCAGCATGAGCTTAACTGCGACCTCAGCAGCCGACGACGACGAGCCATTCCAAAACACCATTCTTCCAGACTCGTTCTTTCGAGCTCCCATCCCCTCTACAATGGTACGTAAACCAACCCCCCCAAAATACCCCACCAACCCACAAACCCACCCCACCAACCAACCAAAACATCCGCGCACCAATTCCATCCCATTCCCACCCCACCACCACCACCACCACCTACAACCCCCCCATATCTAACCCCACACCGGCAGAACAAAGACGCCTGCTTCACGCAGGTGCACATGCACCGGTCGCAGCACGCCGACCTGTTCGAGGAGTTCTGCAAGGACCGCCTGCCCAAGGACGACGTGCTGGTGCCGCCCGACCTGCAGCCCGTCAACCCGGAGGAGGAGGACGACGTGGTGCCGGACCAGCACGCCGCCTACGGCGTGCAAAAGGCCACGCAGCGCGCCCGCGAGCCCGCCTGGAAGGACCTGGGGCTGTCCGAGCTGATGGCGCGCGGCCCTGTGGCTGGGGTGGCGCCGAAGCGGCGGCTGGGGGGGAAGCGGAGGGGTGGTGGTGCTGGTGCTGGGGCCGGGGTTGGGGCTGGTGGTGGTGCTGCGGGTGGTGGGGGGCAGTATCAGGGTTTGCCGCGGTGAGGGGCTTTGGCTTTGGCTGGTTTGCTGGTTTTGGGGTGTTGCATGCATCGCTGGGAGTTTGGTTGGGAAGGTTATCAGGTCGTTAATCATGCTGATGCATTATTGGGGGTGGTCATGGACAGGCGCATTGTGGAGGCGTTAACGTAGCGATATCCATTCCTGATAGACACCACTGTCTAGCCGATCTCTTCGTAAACGTGATACCCAATGACCGTCCCCAAACGTAAAATCCGGACTGTCTGTCCCCTAACCCCAAACGCCAACCCGATGCCGAAACCCGCCCGATATTATCGTCTACTTGTATACTCCACCATCCCCGCTCAAGGCTTCCCGAGCAGCGCTTCCCTCTCCAAAATCTCCGGCTGGAACTTGACGAGAAACACCGTCTTCCCAGGCCACATCTCGCCCTCCTCCTTGCCCCCTACGCTGTGGGCAGTCACGCGCGCGGGGAACATGGCGCCGTCGCACACGCCCTCGATGATGCCGGCGACGAAGGCGGCGCAGTTGAGCTGGCTCATCTCGCGCGGCACGCTGATGTAGGCGTTGACGACGGGCTCGTTGTCGACGATCATGTACTCGTCGGGCGTGTCCGGGTTGGAGCTCTTCTCGAGCCGGTCCGCCTGCCGCCCGAACAGGTGCGTCCACAGGTTGATCTTGATGAAGTGCAGCAGCGCGATGATGGTCAGCGGCCGCGTCTGCGTCCGCGGCGGCTCGCGCATCAGTAGTAGGTCGAGCAGCTTGAGCCCTATCGGGTGGCCTTGGACGTTGAGCCTGGTGCGAGGTTCGTTAGCTAGTTGGGATGACGACGGAGGGGAAGGGCGGGGCGTGGGAGCGTACCGCTTCTCGAGCTCTTGGATACCTGTTACCCGCCGCTGCGCATAGGTCACCATCTCGGAAAACAGATAGGCGAAACTGGACTGGCTGAGCTCGGCTGTCTTGGTGCGGTTGAGTGGCCGGTGGTAGATGGTCTTGCCATTGGACGGGTAGCGCAGACCCGTCTGCTCCTTGCTGCTTGCCGCCTTGCCCGGCCCTAGGTGCGCCATTGTGGCGGCTGTGGAAATAGGGATTGGATTCTTTTCGTTGATTTTGCGGCGCAAGTATGGACTCGAATGCGGGCCGAAGGCGGGTCGGGTCGGACGCTGGGACCTCAGGCAGAGGTCGGTGAGGTAAGGTTCTCTGGTGTTGCAGCGACCAAGACACGACCAGGGCATGCTGCGCTCGGTGGGCCGAATCAAAGTGACGATCTAGCCGCATCCGGTATGGTCTTTATGCCCGTTGGGGAAAGCGGTGACCTCTTCTGGGTACAAGCTCATGCATTCCAGACTCCAACAGCGGCAGAATCAGCTACCCCGCCACCATCGCGCCGTTTGAGCTGCAGCGTGTTTCTGCTGATTTCCACCAGCATCTTTTCCCTTGCCAGTTACTAAAGTAAGAGGTAGTCTTTCTTGCTTTGTCCTCCTCTACGTCCTATGCTCGAGCCACAAGCATCGGTGAACCTGGACTGTCAGAACAAGTTTGCACGCTTCTTGGGCCAGCAAGGAATCGCACAACCCCCCTCTGCTTGACAACTGTTCCCCCCAAGTTCATCAACTTATACGGATTTATTCATTAAACCCATCACTCAAACAAATTCACGTCAACTGCAACCGCCATGTCTACAACGCTCGGCCATAAGGGCGTCGAAGCTGTCCAGAACAAAGACTATGCAGCTGCGATACCACTCCTCGACAAAGCTCTTGACTCGTCGACTTCTCCAGCCTGGCTGCTTGCCCGCGCCCAAGCACACCAGCAACTGAAGAACTACGATGCCGCCCTACGGGACGTTGAGCTGGCATACCACACCGCAGCCGAGCGCGGTTCGGGAAACTCTCGCAAGCAAATGATCGAATCTCAATATCGTCGTTCCGTCCTCTACTACAAGCTTGGCCGTCATGCAGACGCCGATTGCTGCGCCAAGTGGTGCATGTTATTGGCTGAGGGCCGCCCGGCACGCGAGGATGACGGCGTCGAGAAAAAGGTCGACGGTAATGGCAACTACACCGTAACCTACGAGGACGGTGTTGCTGACAAGAACGGCCAACCAGGCCAGAGCGGTGATTCTAAGGGCAACATCCTCTCTGGGATCATGGGAGGCGATGGGGGTACAGGATCCTCAGCGAAGACCGGCTTCGAGAGTGACTGGAAGCGCGCGTACACTTGGAGGAGCCAGGTGCTTGGTGCCCTCAACAGATTGCCAGAGGACGACCCGGGTCGGAAGGTCAACGTCACCAAGATTCCGAGCAAGCCCCAAGCGAAGCCCACAAAGCCGGACCCCAAACCGGAGCCGAAGCCCGAATCGGCCAAGCCCCCAGCGCCTGCTCCAGGCAGTGTTCCCGACGAACAGCTGAAGCTCAAGGTTGACTTTTACCAAAGCAACGACAAAGTTTCGGTGACGTTGTACATTAAGGATGTCAAGAAAGAGGAACTTGAGGTGGAATTCTCAGAAACTCAGGTAAGTTCAGACATTGAGCTGACAACTCCCTCTTCCAACATGGTCTGACCGGCTTATAGGTCCGACTTTCACCTCTTCCCCGTGCGGCGGCTCCCTACGTCAAGGCAGGGGACCGTGAAGCGGCATCTACCCTTACTCTGGACGGGAAAATCGACCCCTCGAAATCCCGCTTTACCGCCCACCCACGGAAAATTGAGCTTGTCCTCGCCAAGGCCACCCCCGGCATCAAATGGGGCTCATGGGGCAAGGAGCACATCGGCCTCGACGCGTGGAAAAACGATACGAGCGCGGCTTCGGATGCGGCCGGCACCTCAGCCCCTGCACCCGTTGCCGAGGCTCAACCCCAAGACCAATCCTCCTCGATCCCCGAGCCGACCCCGGAAGCCACCACCTCTGCAGGCCCCGCCTATCCGACGAGCAGCCGCTCCGGCCCCAAGAACTGGGACAAGCTGGTCAACTCCGAGGCTGAGGGAGAAGACGACGATGCCGGCAAGGGGGACCCCAACTACTTCTTCAAGCAACTCTACAAAGGCGCGACCCCAGAGCAGCAGCGGGCTATGCAGAAGAGCTTCATCGAGAGCAACGGCACCGCGCTCAGCACCGACTGGAACGACGTCAAAGCCCGCACTGTGGAGACGTTGCCGCCTGACGGTGTCGAGGCGAAGAAGTGGGAGTGAGATTGTGCAGGAATTGGATGTTTCTTGTTATTGGTTTCATTGACTTCGTTTTCTGTCTTGTTTTGCATGGAAATAGGTGGTCGCTTTTGCAGGCGTTGCTAGAAAAGGCTGTTGCCGCGCTGGTATGCGCTCGGGGCGCGGTGTCCCAAGGGGCGTCATCAGGAGCGGGCAGGGAGTGCCTTACAGGCGTTTAGGTAGCTTAATCAACAAATATTATTATGGACATCTAAGGGTATAACTCTATGCTGCCGAATCTAGTCTAGTCCACACGGTCTTTATTACGAGAATTAGGACGGCTGTCTTCCACCGAAGGCGCCGACGCCAGCGGCTGGCTTCCCCCGACTTCTACAACACTCATGTCCATACGCACCAGGAACTGCTTGCCTCTCCAGTTCACCGTAGCCCCCAGCAGGACCGCCCACGTCCAGATGGGCAAGGCCAACACCTCCCTCCCCAGCCAAGCGGCTAGCCACTCAAGAAACGGCCGCTGCTTGATGCCCCCCTGCCGGCCCGCCCCCCGCGCAAAGGCAGGCGTGTTCTCGTCCACCTCGACGCTCTCCAGCCGGCGCATCTTGCCGGTGAACCAGCGGTCGAGGCACATCCAGGCGGTGACGGTGGCGGCCCAGACGGCGGCCATGGCGGCCCACGTCGGGGCCAGGCCGAGCGCGTCGCGGGCCCAGGGGAGCGTGGTCAGCGCGAAGGACAGGTGCAGGCTGCAGAGCAGCGGCTCGATGCCCGGCTCGACCAGCGTCGCGAGCAGCACCGTCCACTTGCGCACCCGCAGCCACCGCACCCGCCGCGCCACGTACGCCGCCGCCGACATGCCCGACATGGGCTGGATCGCCACCTCGCCGAACACCAAGCCGTGGTTGCGGAACGCCGGCCCTGCTGTCGAGGGCGGGGCGGCCGAGCGCCATGTTAGGTCGCCGATCAGGTGGTCCTCGCAGATGTAGGACGAGAAGAAGTCCAGCCCGCGCCCGCGCGCGGCGTCCGAGGCCGAGAGGATTGGGTTCTGCGCCGGGTCGGTCATGGCGTCGAGGTGGGATTTGCGGAACATGCTGCTCTTGCCCACGATGCAGGGCGCGATGCCCACCGTGTTGATGGCGCTGTAGAACTTGGCGTGCGTGGTCGACATGAACATCTCCTCGAGGCGGCCGCCATGGTCGAGGAGGCCTTTGGGAGCCCGGGGCTTGCTCGTTTCGTTTGATAAGAGGCTACGCTGCTCGGCTGCTGTGGGTTCCTCGATGTCGATGACGAGCGGCAGCTGGTGCACCAGCTTGTAAGGGGCCGTCCTCACGCCGTCGGGGCCGAACCCGCAGAGTTTGTCCACCATCCTTCCCACAGAGCCGGCCCCAACCCAGACATTGCAGTCGACAATCCATATGAGGTCTCCTTTCGCCTCACGGTATGCGCGGCTCATGTTGCGGATCTTGGGGTTCGGGCCCAGGTTGTTGACATGCCCATCGGTTCCATGTAGCAGAGGGTCATCCTCCTCGACGAGCACCCTTGCGTCGAAGCCCGGGAAGTCCGCGACGAGTTTCTGAAGGAGTGGGTATGCTGGATCATCGGTGGACGAGACACACAAGTGGATGGTCAACTTCGACTTTGGGTAGGCGACCTGGAATGTCGAAGCGAGACAGTCGTAGAGACCGACTTCAACGCCCTTGACGGGCCGGATTATCGTAATGTGAGGGGTCTCGTCATGTTTTAGCGAGGGAGACACTGGCTTCGGACGTGTTGGAGAGTGATTGCGGAGGCTGCAGTGAGCAAACAGGCAAAGTCAGCAACAGTAACAGCGTGTCAACACAAACAGGATAGGGGGGGCCGTACAGCCGGGAGATTCCGATGGTTTGGACGAGGAAGACAGCGCAGCTCCAGACCAGGCTTACCAAGGCCGCGCCTTGGACTGCTATCGACATCGGATCATTGCCAACAGTCATCGCTGTGTGGACGAATAAGGAGGATGGTGAACCAGAGAGATCTGGCGCGGCAGGTTCGACAATTTCAGAGAAAAGGGACTTGAGGGCGACCGCAAATCCATGTGGGTCGCTGACAAGTCCGACCAGCCCAAAGGGATAAGCATCACTAACAAAAAACGCCAGCAGGGGTTCTGAGATCACAATATTACTAGCAAGGGCAGATGTCGCCTCACACACTGCTTAATTATCCATTCGCGACCGTGGTAGGTCCACCTTTGTTGAGCATGCACAATTGGAGGATGGGCATCGAGGCATCGCCTTGGAGGTTTGGAACTGGAGATGCACAATTCGCTGAACTTGAAAGCCAAGCAAACCTTGCAGGTGTGGAAAGATGGCCCCGCTTTCCCACTCTGCTGGGATGGATTCTGCCCCACTGCTGCCTCAATCGACAGGCAGCATTCGGTTCCTTCGGCCCTCTGCAAAATTCTGCAGCCGACACGAAAAGCGCACCATCATTTTTTCACCAAGCTTCTGGCAAGCTTGAGCACCATGCCAAAACAACGCAAACCCAAAGGCTCCTAGATGTGAGCAAAATCTTCAAAGACAACAGTTCAACTTGTATCACAGTCCCAGCGACCTTATCGGTTCGCCGTACGGTTTGATTGGTCTTCCTGCCCTTGATTGGGTTCAATTTTGGCCATTGAGTAAGTAAACCTTCTCGTCGAGCTCCCTTCTTTTTGATGGCTTTCGTTTGGAGATGTGCTCCACGCTTGCTTGGCCATTTCTGTTCTCGAGTGAGGATATCTGGGCCGCAAGAAGCGCACAACTACCTAGCACATGGCTACTTGTCTCCTCCATACACCTGCCCGTCGAGATGATGGAGGGGTAGAGGGGCTCACGGCTCCGTGCACTCCCCCAAATTGCGGTGATGACACCAAAATATCGGTGCTTAGAGCAATGTGCTTCAGTGTACGCTCGATGAAAGCCCTCTATTTATAGACTACAACGGTATCTGAGCAATCAATTTTGGTGTTTACATTTGTTCGGTTTTCCCCTTTGCTGCTGGAACTAACAATCCGCTGCCAGGCCGACATGAATCACAAAAGCTATGGCTGAAACCTCGACAGTCACCACCACTCCCGCCGGCAATGATGCCACAGTCATTAAAACGGGTCCACCTAGCGGCGCCGCGGGTACTGGCGCGCCTGCAGAGCGGGCATCCCCTCCTCGGCCACCAGTGAACCAGATCTACGCTCTGCCGGCCCCGATCCGGACCTTTCCTCTCCCTACCTTCTATCCGAATAATCCAGTTTCACTCCTACACCTCATTTATGCTTGGTTGAGCCAAGTCTTCCGAGCCCCACCACAAGAGCCGTCTGTGGTGCATACAGGAGTCTGGGACCCCGAAACGCGCTCGGTACATATTCTAGACGAATCTTCCGTCCGTGCTCTCTGGGAGCAAGGCTTCTACGGGAAAGGAAGCCTGAGTCGAAGTGAGCCGAACTGGTTGAAGCGGGAGCTGGCACGACGGGGCTCGCCGGAAGGCAAGACCGTCAGTGAGGCGCGCACCGAGCTGCGGCGAGAAGAGCGTCGCCTTGCCAAGTGGGAGAGAGCGAAAGCTGAGCTGGAAGCGCTCGAGAAGCAGAGGCTCGCCGAGACCCTCGCCCGTACTGCAGCGAGCGAAACAACCAGACTCAATGGGATCCTCAGCGAACCTGTCAAGGCGGCGGAGGCGTCTGTGCTTCCCAGCTCCGTTCGCCCCACTGCTGTAGAGCCGGAAGATGCTGATGAAGAGGCCGCGGTGGAGACTACGCCCGTTGTCGAGATTTCCCACCATCCAGAGCCTGCCGGCCGCCAAATCCGTCAGGAAGCCAAGCCTCCTGTTAGCCCGGCAGAGTTGCTCGCACTTCCAAACTCCTTAGCAGAGCTAAACAACCTGCTGGACACTCGTGGGAAATTCCACGATGTGAAAGCGCCAGTTGGTCCGGCGGAACTGCTCCTGCTTCCGAATTCCCACGCGGATCTCGTCTTGAGACCCGTCAGTGGACTCGCCATCTTTGAGATCGGGCAGACCGCTCCCAGCCAACCGACTGCCCAGGCGACTCACGAGGTTGATGGCCATGCGGAGGAATCCCATACTCGGCCCAAAACGAATGGTGGCATCAACGGGCATGCGATCAAGGCAAGTGCCTCGACTGGCAGCAAAGAGTTAGACGGCGTGTCCGGCAGTGGCATTTGTCCAAATGGAACTGGTAAAACCCCGATCACGCCTCTTTCACTGGCCTCGGATGATCCTGTTTTGTGCCCCTCGGCTGCCGAGTTGGAAGGCGACCTTTTGCAAAAGCGCGGGAAGAGCGTCCGCTTCTCGCCCAGGGTTGAATCAACCACCTTCCTGCATTCGGATCCGCCAAGCCCTGGCCTCTCTGTCGGCGTCCTACCGAAGAGCGCTGCCCCTGCGCTACCGAATGGTGGAGCGACCCCCGAGGCCGCCTCCGCTTCCGCTCTCTCTGCGGGCGCCCCTCGTCTGGCTCCGGATTCTGCGACGGAGATTGAGAACAAGGAGCACTTTCAGCTCGCTCCCGAGGAAGCCTTTTTCTTGGCGTTCTCACTCGGCGCTCTGAAGGTTGTAGACCCCGTAACCGGTTCTCCAATCTCTACTGAGCATCTATTGCCTCTATTTCGTTCTCATTCTTACTTCACCCCTCGCACATCCCACTCTGGTCTCAGGCCTGACGACCCATTCCTTATTAACTACGCTGTGTATCATCATTTCCGATCGCTGGGCTGGGTTCCGCGTCACGGTATCAAGTTTGGCGTGGACTGGATCATCTACCAACGCGGGCCGGTCTTCGACCATAGCGAGTTTGGTATTATGGTCATGCCGGCGTTTTCGGATGCGGCCTGGGAACAACACGAGCATGAAGAGCCAAAGCGGTCGTGGTCGTGGCTGATGGGTGTTAACCGGGTACTGTCGCACGTTCTCAAAAGCCTAGTGCTTGTTTATGTGGATATTCCCCCACCGACGGTGTTCGATGAAGAGATAAAGCGCGGGGGTATCGCGGCGGCGCTGAAAAAGTATACTATTCGGGAGGTTATGGTTCGGCGGTTCTCGGCAAACCGCAACCGGTGATGTACGAGGAACATGATGCACGGCTGGCGTTGGGGTTTATGTTACTGTACAAATACAAAGCACATCGCATAGGGAACGGGGACGGCGTTTATATGGCCGAAGCATTAATCCAACTTCACGCAAACAAACTCAGTATTCTGACTTGAGCCTGCCCCACTCCATTTTGTTTGGAGTGGTTCGGTTCGAACGTGATGTGCTGTGAACGAGACCGCGTCAAACCAAGCGGGGGCCCCCTTTGCCTCCATAGTCACCGGGGGGTTACGGACATCGCCATGGTCAAACACGACGTAGCAGAGGATAGCCTAGCACCGCCGCCTCGTTCGAAAAGCCGGTCAACCTCATCCCCGAGACCCATGGTATCCGCCCAACTCTGAACGGCCCGCTCGAGACGGTAATCACAGGCTCGAACGACTCATATTCTGATCGGACCACCTGCACGAGAGACCTAATATTCCCGATACCGAAGTTCTCGATGGCCCGTCCCCGGACGGATATCACAACGACGAGCTGGATGACAGCGACGGGTACTTGGTTGGTGTGTTGCGGGCAGAGGTGGCCGCTAAATAAAGGGGCGAGGGCGGCTTCATTACTGTTCACAATTTCATATCGACTGTGCACCCCCATTTGATGGCTAGTCGCGGCGAGGTGCTCAAGGCTATGAGCGAAGACCTTGGACCGGTGTGCCTTGTCCGTCTGGGACTAGGCTGGTGGTGTTTTGGTACAGTACTCCGAATGTGTACGCGGCAGGTGAGGCTTATTGGATACAGAATACATACCCGCCGACGCTGGGACGAGTCTGGAAGTTGACCCGTGGAGAGATGGACCAGTTGGCCTGGTGGATAGTATTGGGAAGGGATCGGACAAGGGGTCGGTCTTAGAAAGCGGAAAGCGGGTCGTATTGTTGCTTTAGGTGAGAGTACATGCATTGTCTCTATATCACAGATAACTCATCGTGTTATTATGTTGCAGTCTGGTCGAACTTACAATGTTGCTTACGCGCTCCTCACATACATCAGGTACCTACGTAATTAACCATGTATAGAAAGCTCAAGCATTGCCTTTTTTATTATTACATGCTATTTGATACAAGCTCTCCAGCGAGTGTTCGTCATGTATTCCCCAACCCCATTGTAGCTTTTACACATTGCATTATTTACGAAAGGAATCTAACGGCTAGATGCACCGACACATGTACAGGATCCCTGATACTAGCTTGGGCTTGATTAGGAAGCTGTAGATATCGGCCCTGGTTGCCCTTGAGGGCAGTAAGGTTACTGAATAAGATGCTGCTCAGCGGCGTATCTCAGAAACGTAAGAAGTTCGCCACATAGGCTATAGCCCGCCCATGGTGATACAATGGGGCCAAATTGTGACGTCAACGCCCTGAGAATGCGTACAGAATGGGCCCGTTGACAAAGCTGTCCTTACTCCATTGGCTTTCCAGATGAAACTAATGACGGGACTAAGCTCCTAGAGAGCCCGGCCCGGCCCGAAGTTAGTCTGTGCAAGCCGGGTTTATTTTGTCGTCACCCAAACAGAAATCTTGAGCAGAGCATTCAACCACATCAAGAATAGAATATCAAACCTCATCCTGAATCTTTCTGGCAGTGAGAAAGAGTTGAAAGCCTCTGAAAAAGGAGCCAACGGGTCCATCTTGAAAGAGAGCCAGGTAACAGCTTGTTCCACACGTGCGGGTTCGTTTCGATGGACGTACACGTACAACAGGCACTGCACTGCGGCCTACCAACCATACTTTCTATTTAGGTCATACCCAGTGAGGTCGTCCTAGGCCCGGGAATTACCCACCCACGGGTACCCATGGGTCCGCCAAGCTTTATTTGGGTTCTACCCACCCGACCCGAATGGAAAACGGGTTCGGGTGGGTTGGACCCAAAAAGTCTTGGCGTGGGTCCTCCTTACCCAGGACCATTTTTTGTGGGTTGAAGAAAACCCGAAACCCTATGATTACATCAATACTTACAATTTTCCAAAAATATTTTTATCAAGAAATAATACTATTAGTAGACCTGAAATTTCTATCTAAAAAAATTTAAGATTTTACTAGAGGATCCTGCTTTTGGGTCCAACCCACCCGAACCCGAAATCGTTTGGGTCCAACCCACCCGGACCCAAAAAGCTGTTGTGGGTTCGGGTCAGACCCAGATGGACCCACGGGTCTTTTTGGGTCACCCAAATCGACCCATGGGTCCGGGTGGGTGGGTTCGGGTCCGAATACCCGTGGGTAAACTGGGACGCAGCATAGGGTTAGGGTTTAACACAACTTGGCCCTCCCCGCCTCGCCAAGCGGACGGAGATCAAACCTCAAGCCGTCTGCTGCTGTATGTCCCGTGGAAGGCATTGCCTGCCGTTCCATTCCACCTTGCAGGATTTTCAGGTTGAGTGGTCGATCATGCTCGCCCGAGTATGGGGGTTGCAGTCAACATTTGCTTCTGCCAGCCCTGCGAGAGAGGGAGACGACAACACCTCCGCGGGATTTTGTCTTGGCTCAGTTTGACCCGCTCGCTCGCTGTCTCTTCTCTCATCAATTCCTTCCCTCCCTTCCCTTTTCTGGTTCCGCCAATGGCTCCCGTGCTGCCCCTGCTTGGGCCGAGCATCGCGCGACGAGACCCTGAGTCTGGAAAACCCCCACGCGGCACAGGGGCTCCTGCCAAAAGCTCTCTCCGAGTTCGAGTTTTACCCCGCGCCAGTACCCAAACGGCCAGTGTGGATGTCCAAATTTGGGGGTTCCCTTTCTTTCCCAACACCTCGCTTGGTCGTCTCTTCGCCCGCTGGCTGGTCCACGGCGATATCGCGACGGGGACCCGCGCACCCTGTTGGTGCTTCACAAACTTTTCATGACGATGCAGGCGACAGGGGTGTATTCTATCCGTAAGAATTTGCCGGTTTTGACCTGTTTCGACGGGACAGCCGCGCCTTCCCTTGCCCACACGTGGAGGGCAACGGGCTCTTCAGCGGTGGGGTGTGGAGATGAGCGTGGGGGCATCCCGCTGCTTGGGCGCACCTGGGCAATCTGGGGAAGCTGGCCCCTCTGAGCTTTTTGCGCTCATGCGTTCAGCTTACGGAATTATTGAACTCGACACCGAACATCGCCCAATCTGCAACGACCTGCTCTTCGAGCGCTGATTTCCCGATGTCCTTCTTTTGCTGCGGAAGGGTGCGCGCCGCTGCCTGACTTCAGCTTTTTAGCACCCACACGGGATTGTGCCCGAATGAGTTCCGCATTTCCCGAAGGCGGCGTGGCACCACACTCACACAACTCGGCCAGAAGCCATGGAATCCCAAGACGCGGCGGCGCAAGCCCAGAACCGAGCTGCTGGGCCGGGCCCATACAAGCGCGCAAGCCGAAAGGGAGCACCGCGCCGTTTCGCCTGCGACTACCCGGCCTGCGACAAGATTTATTCGAGGACCGAGCATCTCCAACGACACCAACTGAACCGTGCGATCGCCCTCCCACCATGGTGTATGCTGCTGTGAACTGACGCGACGGGATCTAGATGCCCCCAAGGAGATCTACCGTTGCGACATTGCCGGGGTATGCGCACTTCCTTCCACTCCATTCCAGCCCCAAGACTCCAAGCACACGCCCGCCGGGTCGCCTCCCCCCTCCTTGGCCAGTCGTCCAAAATATGAAGAGGCGCGGTATCCGCTGACACCTCCGAGCAGTGTGAGCAGAAGTTTGTGCGCGCAGACCTCTTAGCCCGCCATAGGAAGCGGCACTCCTCTTCGTACATTCCTCGGAACCGGATGCCAAGTTTCAGCGCAACTACGGACTCATCCCCTCCAGCTACCGCTGTCTTGTCGCCGACCACCACGGCCGAATCCCGTGCGGCCCTCCCCCGGGTCCCGCACGACGCTGCCATCTTGCTTGGCCGTGACTCGAACTCGAACTCGAACTCGAACTCGCAACCGTCTCCGTCTCTCCCAAACCCTGACCCGCGCAGGATGCACCAACACGCCGGCTGGCATCCCCAACTGCCCGATATGGGCGCCTGCAACATCATCCGCCCCAAGCCAGGCTACTACCCCCAGCAGGAGCAACGAGTCCCGGAACAGTCCACCCCTATGCCCTACCACACAGCCGAGTTCCAGCCGGATGATATATCTCGCGAGAACTTTGCAGTATGGTTGTTCAACCCTCACGCCCCCTTCGGCGAATTCAACGTCTCCTCCCATGTGCCCTTCGTCGACGGTGGCCTGGAGTCGACGCTCAACAACAACATCCACTATGACTACGAGTCGCTAACGAGCGGCCGATCTCAACTGGAGACCCCGACCCGCTTCGTTGAGACCGATGAGCTCATCTCCGAGTTTCGCCGCCAGGAGATACTGCGATGGTTCCAGGTGTTCCGCCAGAAGCAGCCCAAGGCGGAACCCCTCGTCGCAAACCTCGCCCATGACGGTAGCGGGGACATCCCCGCGCTGGGCCTCGAGATGATGCGCGACTGTTTGCAGGAGTATTGGGACCGCGTGTCGCCGCGGCTTCCTATTGTTCACCAGCCGACCTTCTCGTGCAACCGATGTTCAATCTTTCTCCTCATGGTCATGGTAGCCCTGGGCGCTGTTTCACTGCGCACCAGGGACGCAACCGGAAACCTAGCCGACTACGGCGGTTTTGCGGACATGGTCATCCTCGGGGTGAGGTCCGAGATTCTCACGGCCGAGGAGGCCCAACCTCCGGTCTCGCTCTGGGTATCTCAAGCTCTATTGCTGCTGGAGTTTTACGAAAAGATGTACTCGTCCCGTCGACTTCACGAACGGGCTCACATCTACCATGTCGTTGCGCTCAACCTTCTCCGGCGAGGAAGCCCCCTTATTGGCCGCTCTGGAAGCGAATCACCCCCCGAGGTGCCGTCAGCCGAGCAACCACAGGGTGTCGCCCTCGATTCTCATACCTGGTGGTGTCGATGGGCTGAGACCGAAGCAATGCATCGTGTCGTCTTTGCCGCATTCATGACAGACACCATCCACGCCGCCATGTTTGGGCACGCGGCCGACATGGCGCCTCACGAGATCAGACTTCCACTCCCCTGTGATGACAATATGTGGACCGCATCAAATCCGGACACGGTGCGCCAGCTTGATCAGAACCTCCGCATGTATGGCATCAGGCCCATATCCTTCCTGGACGGCCTCAAGCGTGCCTTGCATGGCAAGGAAGTCAAGACCCATTCCTTCGGTCGCATGATTATCATGTCTGGCCTCTTGAGCGTTGGATGGCACCTCAGCCACCGAGAGACACATGAAAAGTGGCTCGATTTGACCGCCCCGGCCACCGAAACACATGAGGCATGGAAGAAGACACTGTTGCGCGCGTTTGACGACTGGAAGCACAGTTTCGACGGTGCTCAAGGTGCAGCGGGGAACTCAAGCCTCGCCGACGCCCCGGGATCGAATGGCCCTGTCCATAGCGCCGCGATCCTCTACCACTTGGCGCAGATCAGCTTGCACGTTGATATTATCGACTGCCAAGTGTATAGTGGCGCCAAACGGTTGCTCGGAAGAAAGGTGTCAGTCAGAGACTACACCAACGTGGTCGCTAGGATGAGAGCATGGGCCGCCCTGGCGTCAACTCGCCATGCCATCCTACACGCCTTCAAACTCCTTCACCGGGTTCTGGTTGACCCGCGACGGAGTGCAAGCACTGCCGATCGCGAGCGGCTCGATATTGGGCCTGGCGTTGTGAGCCTGCCACCAATCGAGGTTCAGACGTACTCTTGCCGCACCGAGCCGGACCCGCACCGGCCCTGGGTGATGTACTACGCAGCCCTGAGCATCTGGTCCTTTGTACGAGCAATCAGCCGCCAGGATGCACTTCAAGAGCCGGCCGGCCATGCGAGTGGCCCGTTCCGTCCGGGGAAGCCGACTGCTGCCAACTACCGGCGCGTGGCCGCCTACCTGTCCAATATCGCGAGCCTTTACGACCTTACTGAGAGTACTGCGATGAGCCTGGGCGATGGCTTGCCGGATTTGCTCGACGTCTTGAGCTCGGTGCTTGCCGAGGCACATTCCGAGATACTACAGGAAGCGCATGAACGGCTGAGAGTGTGCAAGGAGATGCTCACTAACCCCAGTGGGTGAGAGTGTGGTCAGGTCTCCTGGCCACTTGTCGTTGGCCACGCCGGGACGAAGATAGCGGCATTCTCCCTTTCAACACTGGGAGCCCCTCCCGAGTGGGGTATACACCGGCGAGACATGGATCCCATGACGAGTATCTCGCCTTCTTAGAGACTGTGTGTGGCCACAGCCGTGTATCCCATCAAAAATGTGAGTACATATGAAAGGCGGGGTGGAATCCCATTACACTGTGACTCCCCAGCTAACTCAGTCTTAGGTTTGATATATAAGCTGCAACGGCGCTGTTTACGGCCGATCCTTGTCTCACAGCTTGAAATATCCCTGCCACAACTCTCCAAACTTCTCTCTTGGATCATACTTTTTTGCCACGCGCCTCAGTTTCGCGACGTTTTGCTTCCCGTACCCGGCGTACACGTCCTGCGTCTTTCCTGCGTAATTCATGTACACGTACCCGTTCTTGGAGCTTGCTCCGCGCGACGCCGCGAGCGCGTTGACCTTCTCTATTAGCTCCTTGGAACTGGTCTCCACCAACTCGTCCATGGCCGCGCTCGTCCAAGCCAAATTCAGCTGCACGATCATGAGTGGCCCGTCTTCAGGCTTCAAACCCAACGCGTTGCCTCCGTTAACCTGCATTGCCTCGAGGATATTCGACGAGATGGGGTGGTAGATGAGATATGGCGAAATGGTGGAATTGTCGGCTGCGGCCGCGGCGAGAAGAGGGGCGATGTTTTCCTCCCACAACGGGACAATGTCCAGCAGCAGATCCGGGGTCGCGGTGGCGGCCACGGTGGTATCCCACCACGTCTGGCGGAGACCATTTGCTTGTTCAATATCGCGCGAGAGCCGCGAGATGTTGCTTACCCGGGTGTTGATAGCCAGCGTAGGCAGGGCCGGGTCAAAAAACGGGGCGAACACCGCTGGCGGGGATGCGACGTCCGAATGGGTGGCGTGGAACTCATCGCTCAGCACCGCATAACCTCCCAGCTCGGCTGTGTGTGTCATGACAAAATACGTGTGCGCCGCGGGATCGTCCGGCAGCCCCTTCACCAGCAACTCGTGCATCATGGGGATGAGTGTTCTGTTCGCCGCCCCGGGGTAGACGTTCGAACTCGCCCACAGATCACCCTGCTCGAACGACACCAAATCGAACCTGGTCACAATCCCAAAATTCGACCCGCCACCACCGCGCAAAGCCCAGTACAAATCCTCATTCTCCGCCGGCGACGCGTTCACCACGTCACCCGACGCGAGAACAACCTCGTAATTCCGCACGTTATCACACGCCCAGCCGCGCATGCCGGAGAAATACGAGATCCCCCCGCCCAGCGTCAGGCCGCTGACGCCGACGGTCGAGCTGCGGCCGGCGACGACGGCCAGGCCGAGCGGGTCGAGCGCCTCGGACACGTTGATCCAGCGGTTGCCGGCGCCGACGGAGACGGTCTGCCGGTCGGCCGACACGGCGACGGCGTCGAGGTGGACCAGCGTCAGCGTCACGCCCGCGGGGATGTTGGACCCGCCCTCGAAGGCCGTGTGCCCGCCCGCCTTGACGCTGAAGGGCGCGTCGTGCGCGGTGAGCAGCTGGACGGCCGTGGCGACGTCCTGTGCGGTGCGGGGCGCCACGAAGCAGGCCGGGTGCACGTCGCTCTGCCGCGCGGACCAGTAGTTGTTGTGGATGGCGTAGGCGGTGCTGTTGGGGAAGGTGACGAGGTTGGGGAGGGCGGATGCTAGGGTTTGGCACTGGGGGTTGTGTGTTAGGGTGGTTTTTGTATGTATATGGGGGGGGGTTGAGAGATCTTACGATGGTGGAACAGTCATAGTTGCTGGTTGCGGCGGCGGGGAGCGCCAGGGCGAGGAGGACAGGCCATAATTGTGTCATATTGAATGTCAAACGATGCTTCGTACACGCCTGATAATCGCAAATGCTTCACGACGGGTAACACGACGTGCTCTTAAAGACCTCAGTGAACCAAATCGCAGCGGTGGACTGAAGGACCCCACCACCGAACGAACATTCGACGACCCGGATCTGCAGGGACCCGAATGTGCCACGCGTCTGCAGCGGGCAGCTGCAATGGCCTATTGTCGAACCAGGTTCTGGCCGCGTCTGGCCTCTGCTTCTCGGCCGGGAGCGCTGCGAGTGCCGCCCGACGCGGCCGCCAGAGCGAGGGTCCACTCCAATCACACTGTCTATCCCGCCGAGCCATCGCTTGCCACGCCGAACCACCGAACCCAGACGGAACTCGCAGATCCCGTCGTTAGTGCTGACTGGCCGCGGTGCCCGACGGATTCCCACCTTGAGTGAGTTATCCCCAGCCTCATCTGTTGTTCACTTCCGCCTGGTAATACACTGCGCCTGCTGGAAGGAATCGGGGGCCGCGGGACGCGATTCTGGGGGGTCATGATACGGTACACTTGGGTGAGTTGTTCGTACGATAACTAGTACTTGACCCCCCAACTACCTCAACAGCCCCAGCAACCGTTTAAGATGAAAGTAGAAGTCAAATTTATGAGCATTTGGAGAGGAGGTTCCAAATCAAGACCTTTGTTTTGTGAAAACAACACATTTTTTGCCGGTGAGTTGGAGATTCTGGCACGGTCCCGGTCTTCAAGTCAGGGAGTCGTTTAACTTCAACAAACGACGCACGGCTGCATTAGGCAAGATATGTACACTGCGGGGGGGACTTGCTGTTTTGTTGCCGGTTTTGGCAGGGCCGCGTCGTCATTTTCGGGTGTCTTGACATTACAGGCGGTTAGTCACCACTGCCCGGTGGACCGCTTTTGTACCTTAGTATGTACTACCTCGTGTACATATCTTCCTTAATTAGAGGCCTGCTCGATTCTAAAATGGGGTCTATAGAATACGTAGTTAGTCTATTAGTAGGGTTCTTGACCGCAAAATTCAAATGCGTGCATTAACCGAGCCCAGACCGCTTCGCCAGCATGGCGCAAACAACAAGACTTGAAATTTGTCAAAAAGATATAAACGTTATACGGTGAATCTCATTCAACCCCCTTGGACGTCGTGGGTTTGCAAACCGGGTAGATGGCGCTTGTACCACGGCCACAGGACGTCGAGCGACCAACGGCGGAGGCGGCGCAGGCCGGCGAGGACCTGAAAGACGCCGACGACGGAACCAGTGTTGCCAAACTCGACGCTGCACAGTATCGTCGTCGCGCCTCGGCGCCTCGTGCTCACGACAAGCGACCAAGTCTGGCCTTGGACAACGATGCCGGGCAGAAACTCGAGTCCTTCCGCAGCGTCTTGGCCGACGCGCGACACGAGAAACTCCCAGTGCGCGGCCTGCCATATGCCCAGCTGCTGCTCGCCCTTGACCGTGTCGCCGCCGTAACGCTTAGTTTCGATGCTGATGCCCAACGGGCACTGCTGCAAGAGTCGGTCGGTCGTCCAATTGAAGCAGGGGCACGCCGCCGGCAAGACGTCGCCATCTGACGATATTGTAGGATCGTGCTCGGGGAGGAATTGGAAGACATAGTCGACGCGGCTCGCGGCATCGGGGAAGCGATGGTAGGTTGGCTCAATGCTGGTCGTCGTGCAAGACAGGAAGTCGAACACGTCCTGGCCCGGACCGTCCTGCATGTCATGTACGAGCATATCGAGAAGGAGAGAGTGCACGTGGTTGTTCCATGCCAGCTCGTCGCTGAGCATGCGTGAGCTTTTGGCGGAGCGGGAAGCAATGCGTACGGCTCGACGGAGGAGGTCTTCGCCGTCTGGACAACTGTGATGCCATGTGCTGTCTTCGCAGAACATGTGTTCGTGTAAACGGTCGAACTGGCCGGTCGTCTCGATGTGCTTCTCCAGAGATGCCTTGACCCTTCGAGGTATGATGCCGTGTCTCCCCGCCGCATCGTCCATGTCGCCTAGGAGATGGCGAAGGGCTGGCGACGAAGAGGCAGTCTTCGTCATGGTGAGCGAGTCGCGGACTAGGCGATGGCCCTCGGCACCGTAGAGCGGGAATAGCTTAGTCGGGGAGTGCGACCGTTTAGATCGCTTGCTTGACGCGGAGGAAAGACTTGGCGTAGTACTGATGGGTCCTGCTCCGCTTCCCCTGGTCCTCGGAGCTCGTGGAGTTTCCTCATTAATGTCGGGAATTAATCGTTTTCCTGGCGGCTTATATGGAGTCGAGGGCGCCGTTGTCGATGAGGGTGGTGAGAGCCGTCCGTGGTATCGGCGCTTGCGCAAGTTGTTGGGTTCTTGGCATCGACCTCGTTTCCGGTCGCGCGCGCTCAAATCCAAGGGAAGCGCGTCAAGCCACGATACGGCGCTACTAATGGATATGTCAAAGTCCATGGGGTTCGCGGGATGAATGCATGAGCGATAGGCAATGATCGGGCTGTTGAGGTGGGCTGTGTTTGTGTTTCTCGTCGGGCGGTTTCTGGTTGGTGGAGTGATGATTTGCGCCTGCATCGCCTTGTCCGGCTCACTCACTTTAGTTTGTACTACTTTGAGCTTTGCGATCATGAGGCTAGCCTGTTTGGGCCGGGGATACTGCTGCTTCGTACTTCGTAAAGAAAACCCCCCTCCCCCCCCCCCTAATAAATATCCTAACTATCAGACGTCCACAGCTGTTTAGCCGTTTTAGGAAAGGGGGAGGGCGCTCTTGGCGACGATATTGCACGTTCCATCAACTAAAACGTATATCCGCAGCTTGATTTCGTTGTTTCGCTATTATCACTTCTAATTCTAAGCCGCTACTTCGACCTAGATACGTCGAATTCTACTCGAAGCTTGTAGTGGGGCACCCTTTTCCAACTTGTCAGTAATTCGGTTCATAATTCGGTATCTAGCATGTTCAACATGGCAAGTTAAATCGTTTGTATAAGACGAAAGAGGAAACTCGAGCACACCTGAGATCATTGACGTCACCCCGTTCATCAAGCAAACCAGCCAGTCCCGAACCAGCCCATCACGTTCCCTGCCCCAGTTCCCATCAAACCTTAATGAACTCGGAATCCAGGTAGGTTTACACCTAACATGCCCCTTCTACGCATACCAACCCTCAAGCCCTCCCTCCTATTATTAACCACCGCCCTCCGACACACCCACCACACCACCCCTTTACCACCACACCGCACCACCACCCTTCGATCATGTCCATCCACATGCAAGGCCGCTGCGTCTGCAACCGGCTCCAGTACGCCCTCAACCTCGACTCCCCCGACGCCGCCCGCACAACGCTCTGCCACTGCAACAGCTGCCGGCGCGCGTTCGGCGCCAACTACGGCCTGACGGCCAAGGTGCCGCTGGACGCCTTCCGTTATGAGGCGGGTAGCCCCAGGAGGTATAGGCAGGAGAATGGGGTGACGAGGGAGTTTTGTGGGGAATGTGGCGTGTTTGTTTGCGAGTATGGGGTATGTTTTCTTTTTTTCTTTCTTTTTTCTTTCTTTCTGGTGTGATAGTGGGGACTCTGGGGAGGTGGTGCTGATGGGGGTTGTAGGAAGAGGCTGCGGATAAGTTTCGCTATGTTGTGTGGGGGTCGCTGGACGAGCCTGAGAAGGTTCCGCCGAAGGGGGAGTTCTTTTGTGAGAGCCGGGCGGAGTGGATGCCCGAGCTTCAAGGTATGGCCCGGACGGCGGTGGTGGTGGCGGGTTGGGGTAGACTGAGGCTCTAATGCTGTGTGGCAGGTGTGTTTCACAAGAAGGAGATAAAGGAGTAGACGATGGTGGAGAGTTGGTGCTGTCTGTTGGCTGTGGCTGAGGTATGAGGTGAGTTGAGACGTGGCGGGCGCTACTGGCAAGGGGGTCGGTCTGTATGAAACACATTCTTCCATGACCGATTCCAGGGGAAACAAGCAAACAAAGAAGTCGGGGTTGGTTTAACACGCCACTGATTGGTTCTTGTCGATAGTGGGTGATACAGGCCGGAGGGAGGACAAAGAGACCACTGTTACAGGGCGGCGGGTGCTGGCATCCGACACGGCGACCCCGAAGCCCAACGAAGGTGCAAAAGCAAACAAACTGCCTACCGAGTGCAATGGGCCCAGAACTCCTTAAGATCATGTCTTGGCCCCCGATGCTTCGAGACACTTTTCCCCAGTAAACAGCAGTCATTTCATCTTGTTGGGCTTTGTTTGCATCCCAGAGCTCCAAGATGGAGAACAAATCGCCCGTTCTTGTCCCTGGCCGCCGTCAAGCTATTCACGGCAAGCATGTCAGCCTCGCAAATGGGTTGAAAGCCCTCTTTCTCTTCAACCCTCCCATGCCACCGGTCAGTCACGGCCAAACTGAACCGCAAGCATGCACCGACAAGCCAAGCTTCTCGGGTTTCTCCTGGAAGCCTCGTCAAGACTCGGGGAGCCCTCACCTTATCCCACCCATCTCACCTAGAGAGGTGTCATAGAAGCCTGGCGCCATGATGACGCACCCAGAAGGAGACCTAGCGGTGTGACTTTGAAGCTCATACACCGTTACACGTATGCAGACTTCATCCTTATTGAACTTCTCGAGGCTGATCTGTTCCCCATATAGAGCAATTGTGGGTATTATGCCCTTCTTACACGCTGTGTGCTTGTACAATGCACAACAATATGGTTGTCAAATGCACAAAGGCGGAGTGCCACGAGCAATATAATAGCATTTGATGTCCACCCATGACGGCTTCTTGCTGAAAGGGGTGGCTAAATGTACTTAACCAGCTGTCTTAAACAAGCTGCCTTCCTCTGGTCGAAACTGAAAAGCACTCTACATCTGCTTCCGCTAAGCCCGCGTCTGGCTGCAAGTGGGCAACTAATCTCCGGATTCAAGTTCCTACCCGTACTTTCTCTAGTCATAATACCGTTATTAATACAAACCAAACATGTCTAACGTGTCTAAGTGCTCTTCTTCAGCCCCTACTCGCGTCATACCGACCACCCACCCGGCGTGGTTCGACAGCCTCCGAGAAGCCAAGATGATCTACCAGTGCGGCGACCGGGTGGTCTGGGTGGTGGACGACCAATTCATCCTCAAGCGGATGCGGTACACGATCAACTCGGAGGCGCCGACGCACGAGTTCGTCAACAGCAAGACCGACATCCCCGTCCCGCACGTCTTCGCCGAGTGGCTCTCGGCCGACACGCGGACGCACTACCTGCTGGAGGGCCGGATCCCGGGCCAGACGCTGGGCGACTGCTGGGGCCAGCTGACGAACGAGACCAGGATCCGGCTGGCGCAGCAGGTGGCGCTCTACATGGCGCAGCTGGCGCGGGCCTTCCGCGGCAAGCGCATGCAGAGCGTGGCGCGCCAGCCCCTGCCCATCAACTGCTTCGTCCCCGGCGCCGACGAGCCGCGCGGCCCGCTCAAGGGCCGCTGGGCGACCGACGAGGACATCTTCAACAACGAGTTCCTGCCGGGGCTGAAGAGCAAGGGCCTGCCCGACGCGCTGATCCGCCTCGTGGGCGCCACCATGCCGCCCTGCCGCGGCCAGCTCGCCTTCACGCACTGCGACCTGTACGTGGGCAACATCATGGTGGACCCTGCGCACGGCGTGGTCACGGCCATCATCGACTGGGAGAGCGCGGGCTACTGGCCCGAGTGGTTCCAGTACGCCCGCATCACCCACGGCTGCAGCCCGGCCGACGGCCAGTGGAAGTACATCCTCGGCCGCGTCAGCCGCGGCCTGATCCCGCACGCCGACCACGGCCGCGTCTGGCTCGACATGGTCGGCCTGTTCATGCACCGCCCGGACAGCCTGCAGGCCCGCGCCTGGCTGCGCCTGCTGATCAAGTACCTGAAGGGCGAGGCGAGCTCGCGCGAGATGAGAGAGTATGAGAGTATTGATGGGCGTGACCAGCGGGAGCAGATCGAGAGGGAGGGGCTTCTGTTGAATGGCAAGGGCTATATCGGAAACGTGGGTTACTATAGTAGTGCTATGCGTTGCGAGTAGCAGACGTACGTGCTAGTCTGAAAAGCTCCAATGTTCAAAACACCAATTTTGTACTAGATTGTGCTAATATCTCATGCCGACAATGGCCTGGAGCAATTGGCGATTTGTTTCTTTCTTCGACTTCTGTTCCTTGCACAATATTATTCTACCCAAGAAAGCCCCTGTACTTCCTTCTCTTTTTGCTCTCCTTTGTCGTCATCGCCTGAACTGTCCGATGATAATGATAACAACACATCATTAGTGAGAACCAGAAGCGCCCTGTTGCTGCCCCGGCGATGGCATGGACGAGGGCATCTCATGATGCGAGCCGAGCATGTTCAGGTTTGCAAAGCTGACGGTGTTGGGCTGCTGGTAGTAGTGGGCGTTGACGTCTGCTACGTTTTTTGTGTTAGCGCTGGCCTGGTGCTGCTGCTGATGCTGCTGTTGGGCGAGGAGTTGGTTCAGTTGCTTTGGGGTCAACTGGTTGTTGGCGTTTGGTTGTGGGTATGACTGGGGCTGTGCTTGGTGGTGTTGCCGTTGTTGAATGCCCCCCCGTGCTTGCTGAGGTGGTGGGTTGGGGTTGGAAGTTGGCGTTGCCTTGATGAGGGGGCGGAAGGTGGTGGCTGTTGTTGTTGGCGTGCCATTGTTGGCTGGATGTTGTTTGAGGTTGTATGCCCACCATGTTACCAAACTGGTTGACGCCACCGCCGCTCATGTTGATATTCATGTTCATACCTCCAGTGTCCATCACACTGCTTACAGGGGCGGATGGTCTCGAAGGGGCAACCTGCTGACCAAAGCTGGACTGTGGGAAGGTTGGAAAACGAGGGACACGGTTAGCTTGTTGGATAGTCATTGTGTCTCCTCCTGAGGGGCACGCATAAGCCTAATCATCCCGGCGAACCATCTGCATGGCGTTCCACTGAGCATCTGAGTTGCGCTGCTTCACCAGCCAAACGTAACGGCTGAACTGGTCGGAAACGGTAAAGACCTGGCCGAAGTACTTTGGTTCCAGACTGATACGGAATATGTACGACCCGACGGCCAAAGCCCGAGTCCAATTGGTGGCCTCGGCTAGATACCCTGAGAGCGCTGCGCCCTCTGAAGAAGGAAAAGGGAGCACAACATGGTACACGATGCTGGATCCCGTCTCGGACAGGATGCCTCTCGAGCGCAGGCAAATTCTTAGGATTGTAGGCTACCTACCCAGGCCGCGTACGTATTACACGAAACCTCCTGCGTGACCCGTCTCCGTTCATCGAACGCACGGCTCCTGCTGTGCCTAACTGAACGTGAACCCATCTTCCCCTCCTTGCCTATTTTGGAACCGAGACCAAGGGGGCTCGCACAATATCGCGAAACGTCAAGGATCGAGACGTCAGCGAGGATTGCCAACAAAGATGACACGCAGAACCCAACACGAGAATGCGGGGCCATGGATAACCTTCAATGCTCCGGAGCACGACCCAGCATCGGCCTTCAAGCAAGCCATGGACAAGTACATGGCCCCGCCCGCATCTGAAAGGTACCTCCGACACGGTGACTATAAGGGAGCTGATGAGGTGTTGACCTTCTTTAGGCTTGAGGAGCGGAAGGACAATTTCCGCTGCTTTCTGAAGAACTTCCTCCACAAGTACAACGACGGAGGGGTGGGGAAAATTGCTTTTGATGAGAAAGCCACCTGGCCCCAGGTCCTTGAGGAGGCTACACGGGTCTTCGACGACTACACCGGGCGCGCTCGCAGCTGGAAACATCCGTTCCGCAGTACCCAGCATCTATTTGGATCGGTGGCCTGCCGGATAGAGTTTCTCATTGTACTGCTCCCGGACGGAGGCTTTACGGGCGCGCTTTGCGGGGGCTTGCTCTTGGTTTACAATGTGAGCCTGGCAATACACGCTCCGTTCTTGATAAATACAGTTGAGCTAAATCGACTTCTGGGTATGCAGGCCGCAAGACGCAAGAGAGACATCCAAGAGTTGATTATCCGGACCCTCGACTCGCTTACTGGGCATGTCGAGGGTAGCAAGGCATTCCTCAAGATGTATGCGTGGGATGAAGAGGTCCGACAAAAGACCGAGGACCCGTATATCGCCATCCTCGAAGTCATAGAGGCATTGACAGAATGGCTGCAGCGGTCATCCCGTATGTTGTTGACCGTTTGACTCAGTCCCAACGGCTAACCCCTGATATAGTTGGCGAATCTGTGAAGGCATTCTTTGAACAAAGCGATTATGGAAAGGAGCTCGAAGACAAACTCAGCACGAACCTTCGAGATAAGGGATCTGCATTTGAAGACTGTGTTTCGCGCTGCCTACACAAGACAGTGCAGGCCGTCCATGAAAATGTCCTCACCGTAGGCAAGAAGGTCGAGCAGGTGAACGAGAACATTACGGCATTGAGACTCGAAACTCTCAGCTCGCTTGAAGAGCGGTTCCAGGGCATGTCCAAAGACGTTGAACGTGAGTCCCTGCCTTTGGCTAACCCACAAGCACACTGACTGACTCCTCCAGGGAAAATCCACCGCCTCGAAGAGCGCCAACGCAACTTGCACCTCCAAGGCCTCCAAACCACACCCCCGACCCACCACAACGCTCCCCAACCTCACCACCATCTACCTCCCCACTCCAGCCCAAGCAGCCCAACCAACCGTCACAATCCCCACCCTCCTCACCCTCCTCACCCTCCTCAACCTCCTCAACCTCCTCAACTTCCTCAACCTCCTCAACCTCCTCAACAACCCATCCAACCTCACCACCACCACCACCATCACCACCACCACTATCCCCACGACCACCCTCGACCTCCTCAAAACCGACCAAACCTCTCCCCTCACCCTCCGCCGCGCCACCCTTCCCCCACAACAGCAACCAACCCTCCACTTCGCAACCCACTCCCACCAGCTCCAGACCCGGCTGCGCCCCCTCTCTTCACGCGTGCTCACCATCCACGGCATGGACGCCACCACTGCCAACGCAACGGCAACGGCAACGGCAACGACGCCCGGGATGCCGGGGGGGATGGTGCCTGTGTGGGAGGTGGGGACCATGGGGCCTTCCCTGGCCCACCTCACGTGCAGGAGGGCAACCGCCCGCGTCGTCTCCCACGGTTGCGGCGCTAGCTACCTTACCTAGGTAGTTTCCTCCCCGCGCACAGCATTCTACGCACGTTTTTCTCCACAGACTCGACTATCGCGAGTCCTGCGGCTTGCCACGAGCTATTTTTGTGCGTTGTTGATGTGGGGGAGGGGGGTGATATGGGGGTGGGGGTAATGATGCTGCTGGCTGGCAATGGTGGTGGTGAGGGCGGGTTTGATGGTCCGGTGGGGATGATGCGGTTTCTGATCGCGCTGGTGGTGGTGCTGCTCGCGACGAGGAGGGGGGGAGTTGGCTGTGGACCTGTCGCGGGTTGGGGTGGCCGAGGCGGAGGCGTTGCGGCGCGGGGATGCGTTGTGTATGGTGTTTGATGGGTTGATGAAGCAGATCGGGGTGGGTGTGGTGGCGTGCATAGTGGACTGGGTCGCGTGGTTTGAGCGGGAGCCGGCGTTTTTGGAGGGGTTGCATAGGTACTGTCGTGTTGTACTTGAACAGTCTTGTCGAGGCAGTCGAGGGGAGTCAGAGGGGGCTGGTGTTCAAATTGTTGGTTGCGAACCCGGTGACGAGCCGGCTTGTGAGGGATTGGTTTCCGGACCAGGAGGAGTTGTATTTGCCAGGGGGCATGTTAATTGGTGTTCAGGGGCTCGGGGAGGAGAATCTAAATGCTTGTATAAACGGATAGTAGGGGCCGTCTTTCGAGGTTTAGTTTAGGTCCTACATTGTTTAGTTACGCTCTTGTAGTTCACGTCCCGTGGAGCTCATCTGACAGTTGGTCTTGTGCTTATATTCATCAGGCACAACGGCCATTCTTTTACACCAGATTTCGTACCAGCCACGCTAAAACTACACCAAGTACCTGAAACCCTTGTTCATCTTCTCCGGGTCCCTCTCGCTGCCCGCCGTCGGCTGCGCGGCTCCACCGGTCCTCTCCTCCTCCTGCTCCAGCTCCTTGTTCATGCGTACCAACACCAGCTTGAACATTAGACAGCCCACAATAGTGACACCAAACATGGCCGTGACGATGCCGTAACTGTTGCGGAAGCCGTTGTCCTCGAGGTCCCAGACGTAGGATCCCGCCACGTTGCCCAGCTGGCTGAATGCGTTGATCATGGCGATGGCGACGGCGCGCTTTGCGGGCGGGCGGGGGAAGGAGGAAGAGATCCAGGAGTAAAAGACGATGAATCTGGGAAAAGAGGTTAGGATGTGGCCATGGAAAAAGGTGGTAGTGGGCAAAGCTCACCCGGCGTAGCTGCTCGCTTGGAGGAAGAGGGCCACGTAACGGGCAGCGATATTGCTGGTCGACATGCTGATGATAAACCCGATGAGGCCGAGGACTATGGGGCCAACGATGTGCCAGAACTTTCGAATACATGTTAGTTTCGCGTCACGTTGACGGGAACGGGACCGAATGGAGTCTCAACCAAGGGTAGGTACATACCTTATCCTGGGTGCGGTCCGAGTGCCAGGCATTAACCAACGAGACCAAGCAAGAGAAGGCCCATGGCGGTGCACTCATGAGAAGCGTAGGGACGTAGTCGAAGCCGAGGGTGCCGGTGAGCGTGGGCTGTAGTGACGTGAAAGACGCATCGGTCAGTGGATCCAGGGTATCACCCGATTCAGGGAGAGATGCTACTTACGAAGAAGGCGTTGAAGGAAAGGCCAACGACGTAAGCAGTCAGTGTGATCATCATCAGGTACACCTTGGGGTCCTTGAGAGCCATGATCAGGCCGGTGAAGGCGTTTTGGCCGGGTTCATCGGTATCGGCCACACCGACGTCTTCGGTCATGCGCAGCTGGGCGACATAACGCTCTTCCTCGGTGAATCCGCGCGTGTTGTGGGGCAGGTCGGGTAGGATGAACGCAGCGAGGATGGCAACGAGCATAGTAGCAGCACCCTCAACTGGAGAGAGCAAGCGTGTCAGTTATGGGGGTTCAAGCTAGGAAGAGACATTCCGACTGCTTACTGTAGAACAACCACCTCCAGGCAGCGTGGCCCAAGATGCCCTGCATGTTGGACAACACACCAGCTCCCACCAGAGCGGAAAATGCGTTGGAGATGAGGTTGCCACAAAACAACAGGGCATTCCTCGTAGTCAACTCGCGGCGGGTGTACCACTTGGACAAGATGAGCAGGGCGCCGGGGAGGAAGGCGGCTTCGACGAAGCCGAGGAAGAAGCGGATGGCGATCATGCCAGCAAAGTTGGTCACCACGCCCGAAAGGGTGGAAATCAACCCCCATAGCAACATAGCGAACCCAATGTAAATGGACGGCCGCGAGACGAGGTTGATGATCATGTTGGAGGGAACCTGCATGAGGATATAGCCGACGTAGAGAATGCTGAGGCAGGTGGCGTATTCGTTATAGGAGAGGTTCAAGTCGTCCTGGAGGCCCTTGAGGCGGGCCGCCGCGATATTGTTCCGATCCAGGTAGTTCAAGATATAAATCAAAATAAACAGACTGCAGCGCGCGTCTAGCTTGCGCTTCATACTCTTCTCAACTTGGATGCGACGTTCGGGATCCATGGTGGTAGGGACGGCGCCCGTCAGCTCCTTTTGCTGGGCCTCCGTCTTCTCTGCCGAATCCATGATGGCGGTGGTGATGTGTGGCGCAGGTTGACTTGGGCGCACGGAAATCACGGGGGAGAGGAGCGGGAGAGACCTAATATACTAATATTTGACCCTGGGAGTCAAGTTGGACCATGGCCCGGGGGGATGTCATTAGGGGGGTGGTATTGGTTGAACGGGAGGCACTCCGCTCCGGCCGGTGGATCCAATTGACTTACGGATATTTTCGATGTGGTTTGTCTGCGTCCTGAGGATGGTCAAGCATGTCAAGCTTCGTAGCGCACTGGAAGAATGCCGGTTGTAGGCAAGCAGGGTAGGGCCGAGACGGCCGGCATCATCGGGCAGACGCTTGTTTTCTTCCCGCCGAGCCTAACCAAGTAACCCGCCTTTCGCCCCCCTGTCATCCCATACTAAAAAGGGTAAAGGATCAGCCCGCGGGGCGACCCCGGCTGTTCGGCCCCATCATAACCAGTCGTCCCAAGAATTATCTTTCTTAAACGAAAAGAAGGGGCCCCGCCAGTTGATGCGTGGGTTCGTGGGGTCTGAGACAGGACGGGGATTGCGGAGGTGTGGGAGAGTGGAACTGATTGTAGACCGACTCTTTCTCTCTGTGAAAACTCTGAATGATTATTGCTCGGTGATACCATGGAAATGGAGAAATGCCACCGAGAGTTGTGGGGTGCGGCGAAAGTGATCGGTCCTTTTCCATCCCCACTGATCCTGGCGTACCACAGTACCACAGTACCACAGTAACTCGTGTACCTCGGGACCGACTTCAACGTCCATCCCCGCCTTCCCATCTCCGCCCTCCGCTTCCCGGGTATGCGGGTGGACAACGGGGGTATTCCCCCACAGGCGGGAGCGGACAACGTCATGCTCGCGATACGGAGCCAATGGCACCAACTCTACCGGGGACTCCCAACAAGAAGAATGTAGAGTTCAAGCACCGAGGACTCGAAATGAAAGTAGATCGAGGAACAAAAGTCAGAAAAAGAAAAGAAAAGAAAAAAGAAAAGGAAAAGGGAGAAAAGAGGAAAACAAGAAAGAGGAAGGAAAAATAACTGGATTGTCCATGGGCCGAGAAGGATTCTCTCGGGACAGAGGGTTGCAAGGCAGAGTATTTTTCTCGGCCCGGCCATCCGTCACTGTCATCCCTGGACTTCTCTCGCATCATCCCATCGTACTTGGAGTTCCAAGTTGGAGGACATTATGGTGTCTAATCCAAGAACAGACCAAAACACTTCGGACCTCGCCTTTCCAGCCCCCCCCCCCCCCACCCCCCGCCAGCTATAGACCCTCGGTTCTTACTTCGGATCAGCGTCTACGCCGGGCTTGTTGATGTTGGCATACCGTTGGCTCGGACTCTTGGTCATTCATCCCTTGTCAATGGCAGCCTAGCAAGTTTCAGCATCAGATTGCGAGACTGGGCCGGGGTGCATCGAATCGCGAGACCGGGCTGGGCACTGGGTACATCTACCGACAGATGGCGTTCCTCGTAGCCGGGCACTACTAGAACTGTAGAGCAGGATTTCGAGAATTAAAGGTGCTGTTTCTAACACCGGTGATGGACCATGGATGTCATACAAGATATGCAATGGTGGATCCGATCCGTCTTACGTACGAAGTAGATACTAGTTAATATCATGGTAATTTATAGAGTAATCAAAAACAGCGTTGGTGGCTCGCTGCGCCGCAACAGTTACAAGAAGGGTAACATATTAATTACCCATGCCGCTAACCCGTGCAGGCAGCACTCATGGTCCTTGATCCTTCGTTCCAAAGCACCGGTAACAAGTCCCCGCTCGTGATCGTAAGCTTCAAGGTGGCCGGAATAGGCACCTTTGTTCGGGCGTGGGAGAGGCCGTTCCCTCAAGGCTGCGAGACTTCTAAAGATTCTAATCGTGGGCTCATCTTGCATTCTTACATGGTTGCCTCCAGCGAGTAAGAAGGTTTCAAACTAGATGCGTGTGGCTTTGGCTTACACCTAGAGTACGCCGTTTCAACACAACCCGACCCGCACCAAACTTCACACGAGCCACGATCCACGACCATGGCCGTCATCATATCTGCGTCAGACTTTTATGCCGCACACACGTAGTAGCTTCTATTCTGGAACCACCGGCGGTCGGTTGGCCCGATGTAGAGGGCTGAGACCAAGCCCCCGTAGAGAACTGCGAGGAAGATGCAAGGAACAAAATGAGGTTGGCGGTGTTTACATGAAGACAAGCACAAGTATAAAGACCCGAACATGTTCCCAGTCTGGAGCAACAAAAAGCCAGAACACCATCACAACAGCAACACAGTCATCTAACCGAGCTTTGATCGCCACATCCGATCAACAGACAGCCAACTTACAAACCACTACAACGTACGTGTCTTGGATTCCCCCACCAATACAGCAGCGACCGAGGCACCCAAACCCAACCCCCTCCAAACAGCAGCACTCACTAACAAACCAACCTCCCCCCTTTCGCACAGACAGCCAACCCACCCCATCCCGACAAGCTAAGCTAAGCAACCATGTGCCGGTGGCGCCACTTCATCTATGCCTGCGGCCACCCCGCCCCTGATGCGCTGTCCCGCCCCTGCGAGAGGTACCCGACCTGCAACCGCCAGACCTTCGAGGGCGGCACTTTCAGCCGGCGCGACGACTGCCCCGGGTGCATCTACGACAAGTCCAGGAGGAAGGGCGGCGGAAGGCGCTAAGCATGGGAACACATACCATACCCGTCGTTGTATCCGGCGGGGGGGGGGGGGGGAGCCGGGGTTTGGTGGGGGGAGGGCTGTCGAGAGCTGGTCACTTGACAGGCAAATCGTGTTATGAAGCCGAACTGGTATTCGGCTGGGGGTCGTTCTGGGTCTGGAATCTGGAAGACGGGGTTGTTGGACGGAGCTTGGATGTAGACTTCGGTTCTTAGGTGCTACGTGTAGTAGTCCGCAGGTAGTCGTCATGGCGTAAGGCCCATGCTACCTTTAACGAAGCTCGCTTTGTCATGATTATGATCCTGCCTTCTGTGCCCGTTGCAAAAGTGATACATTCTCGACCTTTCTGGCTGTCACTTCCACTTCAGTTCACCGAGATGTGAAGATGGAGATCCCGAGATTTGCTCCCCATCTCGCGCTCCACAACTGAAACCCGGACCATATACCGACCCGTACTACTCTAAAACCACGACAAGGAGCAACCCTGTTAGAATGACTAGGTAGCTAGAGTTCTCGTATGGAACCTAACATGGCGGGGTCCCCCTTGGGTTGCGAGGTCAGGGCAGTTTACTCGGCAGCTTATTTATGTACATGTACCTGGTACTCTTATGGGGAAAGTGTAACTATCCCAATGGAAAGCAAAAGAAAGGTAAGGTATACGCTAGGTTTTTCGTGTTTCTTTCCCCCTTTCCCCTCTATTGTTTCCGAAGGTGGATTTCAAACCTGTAGGGCGCGGCAAAACAAACGGAACAAAGGCAAAAGGAAATGCCCAGTAACAGGATTGAACTGTTGACCTTCGCATCACTTGATATAGCCAGAACTATATTAGTACGACGCTCTAACCAGCTGAGCTAACCGGGCTGTTGTGATTCGATGGATGCACAACAGTTTCCTTCGCCTTTTGGATTGCATTCCAGCTGTTCTCCCCTACGGAAGTATTCATTGTGCAAGCACCCCCTTTCATACCTGCTGAGCTACTACCGAAATACGTTTTGGATACTTGGTGCTGTTATCTTCGTCTATTATGAACCGACCTCTTAAAGATCTCATATGAATACCATGAACTACACGCTTGCATTTCCCTCCGGCTTATTCGCCTTCACATCACCCTTCCTCCACTTCCACCGCCGCCGTGGCTTCAGAACTGGCGCGGCCAAGAAGCCAGACCAAGGACCCGATTGCCCGTGCCTCTCCCACTCTGCGTCCGTTATTTCACTGGGCATGTTGGAAGAAGGTTGACTCCCTCCAGACGCAAGACGAGCCGGAACTAGAGCGCGAAGGCGGGCGATCATGTATGGCATGGCCTTCTTACGGTCGACGAACAAAACGGACCCGAAAACGACCAAGTAGGTCACGATCGATACTGTAGCCATGGCTATGGCGTAAGGGCTCTTAAAATTGGCGAGATTTGTCTCGTGCAGGAGGTCCATGCTAAAAACGGCCTAGGATGAGTGCGGTTAGCCCACACGATGCGATCGGATGTCCTGGGGTCTGATGAGCTTACTGTGACGAAGCCGAGGGGGAGGTAGAAAATGGTGACGGTCGTGAAGATGATGATGGCTCGATTCATCGATGTAGCCTTGTGCGCCTCCAGCAGACTGCTTGCGTTGAAGAGCTATGGATCACCACGTTAGTAGGGAAAGAGGAGGGGGGAGGTCTTGCGTACGCCATCACGTAAGCCCCTGATCTCATCCGTCTTCGCGTCGATGCGCCTGCCGAGTTCATTTTCCAGCGCATGAAAGTGAGACAGCACTTCGTCCCAGTTTTGGCGCACTAGCTCCGTGGTCCCTAAGAAGGAGTGGTGGTCCGATCCCGGAATGGGGCTGGAGATTGTTATGTTGCATTCGTTGCGAAGTCTTTCCAGGTCGTACTTGGTCTCTCGTATCCACAAGGGCATGATCCGGAGGAGGTGTAGGAGCTGGAAGTAGAGTTTTGAATGGGCAAGCGAGTCGTCGAGCATGAGGTTCTCGGCGGAGTTCGGGTTGAGAATGTCCGCGGGCTGTGGCCAGGGCGTTAGCGAGTAAAGAAACCGGCAATTGAGGTGGTGGAATGTTCATAGAATGCAAGAGTGTACGTACTCGAACTTTGACACAGTCGTCAATCTCGTCTAGAAGACACATCCAGCCTTTGTACCAGGCGTGTTCGAGGATGTTACCCAAGACGAGCTGTAGGGCGCTAATGCTGCTCTCACCCGTGACACGTATCCTATGAGATCGTGAGGTGAACAACTTCGAGCCCAAGTTGGAGCGGTCGACAGGGAAGTCTTGGAGGATGACAGTGCTGAAGATCGGAGGGATGCTGAGGGAGCTGACAAAACGGAGCGAGACCCTCCCTTCTCTTACCGGCACCGCCGGCCGATTGCCAGGTTTAGGTAGCAAACCCCATTCTCGCTCGAGGGAAAGGCCGACAAACCCCGGCAATGGCTCAGTCGGACAGAGCCAGCGCATAGAAAAGTTGATCATGATCACCCGAGGCACTCCCGTGAGCCGTAGGAAACAAAGGTGCAGCAACCATTCGCGGGCAAGCGGCCAGGGGCTCAGGTACGACGCCAGAAACCTGTAATGAAGAAGACGATCACCATCCACGGCCTGGAATTGTTGCCTCACTTGCAGGGAGAGAATGAATGCGGCCGACTTCAAATCCATAACTTCCCGGCCCAAAGTGATCAACCTAACGGCCAGAGAACGGGTGTTAACAAACGGTGCGGCTAGTGCCTTTAGATTTCACTTACCAGACCTGTCCTGTGTTTATTGCTGGGGGTTGGTTAGTGGCATGACCAGTGGCAGCGGTAGGGTCCACTCGGAGATATTGAACCGACTGTACGCCTTCGTCAAGCCGGTATGACATTCGCGGCGTTTGGAGTTGAAACCCTGCCCCTGTGGGACGTACAGAGAGCTGGTAAACAAACGTGCTGTGAAGACTGGATCCGTTAAAGCCCCAGAACGGGCACGGGTCTTGGTCGGAATTCAGTGGCTCGGGGAATGTGGTCCAGGTTGCCCGTACGATACTCGAAGGCCACTGTGTTTGGACAAACTTCCGGCAGGCCGCCAACACTCCTGGAGTCGGTTGCTCGTCCGGTGAATGAAGAGTGAATCTGAGCGGTGCGGATGGAGCCGAGTTTGTGAACAACACTAGGATGGCGTTCCGAAACGTCCAATGCGTCCCGTGTGTCTTCCTGGGGTATTCGGCCATGGAGAGAACGGAAACTGGCTCGCCCCCGATTTTGCAATCACATGGATCGATTGCAGTCTCGAGGTCTCGAAGGATGAAGAGCAAAAGTTCAGGGGTGGGAAAGCATTCCAACATGGCTAATTCTTCTTGCGTAGGGTGGCCTGGTTGGTTCGCATTGGTGAGCGAGCTGATACCGATCCCGAGGCTTGGGGGGTTTTCCTGAGCATTCTGCTGTTGTTCTTGGGGGATAGTTTGGGGCCCGGACTGTTCCAGGGATTGTCTCGCTCTGTGGCCACTGAAGAAGGTGAAGTTTTCATTGAGTGCCTGGACCTCGGTCACAAGCTTTTGCAAGAGAATAACCATATTATCGGCGGTGTCATTGGCTTTGCCGATGTTGGTTTCCGAGGAGACATCGTCGGCTTGACAAGGCTGGATACTAGTGCTCATTTGAAACAGAGAAGGTCTTAGGGAAAGGGGTGGCGGATGGTGCACATCGGAGACTTGACAGCAGGCCGGCCATTTCTAGAATCTGGGGCTGCGTCTCCTGATATAACGGCCGTCGAGGGACTGGAATGTGATACAAATGCTGCGAAACTTGGCCTGTGACGGTGTCGTGGTCCTTGTGCTCTCTCAGGCCGAGGACTCTTGCATGGGGCGGTTACGTTGCGGGGCCAACAATAAGGCATCTCTGTTACTATTCTGCCTTGTCCGCCTAGGTAACGACCTAATATCGCCTGCGAACCACTTGGAAATCGGACTAGTTGTCGAGGCTTCTAAGGGAAAACGAGCCCGAAAACAGGGGAAAGGAAAGGGAAAGCGAAACGGAATAAAACGGAGTCATAATAGCCGCCTCTTGCTTTTCTAGCCTTGGTGATGCCTCGAACTATTCTCGAGTTTCAATATGGAGTGCGAACGAGACACAATGGACCTTGGGTCTGGAAACCGTGGGTTTCATGTTGGCTATAAAGGTCGGTGTGACGTCTAACACAGTAAAATACGACTACTGTACGACCAATGTACCACAACCCAACATGGCTACCTGCCGGGCAAGGCTGCGTTTGATAGTTGGAGTGTTAACAGCAAGTTAATTCGCAACCAACGACAGAAGAATTCATACCCACGGTGGTTCGTTCGTGGTTGAGACGATAAAACTCTCAGTATGGTAGACGAGAAAGCAAGTCACGAAATACCAAATAATGCCAACATTAACCAAGGACCCCTCGGTCCTCGGGTGGTATCTCTCCCGAGTTACTTCCCCGCAACATAATTTGGGGGCTGTGCCTGGAGCCGTTGTTTTCCCCTGGCCTTCTCTTGGTAGCGAATCGACCAAGTAAATTAATTACGTTTTATTAACTTTGTGTGCCCCCAGCCTTCCCATCTCTGCAAGGTTCCTGGCATGGACCATATTAACGCGTCGATCCTGACAATAGTTCCGCCGCGGGCTTCCCCTCTCTACACTACACTACAAAGCCTGTTGACTGCTGGATTTGGATAACCGAGCGGCATCTTTGCTGGCAATCCCCCCAAGATATCAGGTCCCCAAGCCGGTGGAATGTTCTCCACTTGGGGGCTACGGCTAATTTGAGAAGCAGACGTGGTTAACCGTTAACCGTCAAGGCGAGACCCGTTGTCCAGAAGCGGTTGGCCTCCAGTCGCGAGCCTAGGATCTGCCCTGCATCTCCTCCAGCCCTGTCGGCTTGGCTACTGGTCTTGGAATGGCTCGGGGCTGAAGAGCTCCCTCCACTGGTGTACCGACGAACTCGGGTCGTGCCTCTGCATAAATTGGAAGCGATGAAGACCATGGTCAGCTTGCAGACGCACCTTCCTGGCTTGGCGATCCTTCCAGGAAGCTGGAACCACGGCTGGCGGCCCTGGTCGATACGCTACCCCATTATGCCGCTGTTATAAAGCCCACTCTCTCCCGCGGTCGGTACCCGGGTGCCGCCCTAGCTTATTCCCTCGCCGTCTCGCAGTTTGCCTTGTTCTTAATCTCCCGTCCGTCCACGGACATATCCAACGACATGAAGGGTGGCATTTTTGGCTTGTGTGGAGCGCTCCTGTTCGTGCAGGATGCGATTGCTCAGCAGCTCGGTTCTACCCCCCCAGGATGGGTGTTACGGCGACAAGGCGACTCGGGCTATGAGTGCAAATGCTATCCTGATGACGACTGCTGGCCTAACAAGGGCCAATGGGAAAAGCTCAACAACACGGTGGGCGGGAACCTTCAGGTCAACATCCCCCCTGGAGCGCCGTGCTACAACACGTTCAAGGGACCTCTGGGTGACGTGGAGACGTACGATGAAGCCGAATGCGAGAAGGTGACCTCTAACTGGGCGGATGAGCAATTTCAGTGAGTCTGAACCAGAAAGATGGATTTGTGCGGTGGTACTAAGGGTTCCTAGGATTGAACTGCCCGCCGCCGGTCTCTGGACATACTTCACAAATGACACATGTCGCCCGACAACAACACCCACCGATACCTGTACTCTGGGGTACTACCCGGTGCTCGTGATCATGGCCAAGACGGATGCCCATATTCAGGCCGGAATCAACTTTGCCCGGGAGAACAACCTGCGCCTAATCATCCGCAACACCGGCCACGACTTCCTTGGACGCAGTGTTGGCTGGGGTTCCCTCGTTATCAACACCCACAGTTTCCAGGATATCAAATTCTCCGATACGTGGAGCGGAGGCTGCGGCTACAACGGTTCGGCTGTGACCGTTGGTGCTGGTGTCCAAGCCTTCCAGGTTCTGGAGCAGGCTAATGCTATGAACCCTCCCAAGATCATGGTGACCGGAGAGTGCGCCGTGAGTCAAGGCCATCCAACATAGTTACCATGGGACAAAAGCTAATATCAAACTCAGACAGTTGGCGTTGCCGGCGGTCTCGTTCAAGGCGGCGGTCACGGCCCGCTAACCAACTTCCACGGCTTCCTCGCCGATACGGCGCTCGAGTTCAAAGTCATCACCGCGGACGGCGCCCTGAAGACAGCCAACGCCAAAAAGAACCCCGACCTCTTCTGGGGCCTGCGCGGCGGCGGCCCGGGCGCGTTCGCCGTCATCCTCGAGGCAACCTACAAGACCTTCGACGACCCGCCGAGCGCGGGCATCAACCTCGACATCGACCGCACCCACACGACCAACGCGACGCTCTTCTGGGAGGCCGTGCGCATCTTCCACGGCTACAGCACCTACTTCGTCGACAACGACCTGTACGTCTACTACGAGCTGGGCACCGCCGGCCAGAACCTGCACGTGCACCCCTTCGTGGGCGTCGGCAAGACGCTCGCCGAGCTGCGGGCCGTGGTACAACCCATGTTCGACGACCTGGACGCGATCGGCATCGAGTACACGACCAGCGGCGCCGAAGACTTCGCCACCTTCTACGACCTCTACCAGACCATGTTCGAGGGCGAGGCCGCGGGCAACTCGGCGCTGACGGGCGGGTGGACCCTCGGGCGCCAGGACGTCGAGGACAACCATCCGGGTATCATCTCCGCGTTCCAGACCGTCCTCGCCGCGGGCTCCTTCATGATCGGTCACATGTGGAGCGCCGGCCGCGGCGTGCCCGAGTCGCAGTGGGCCAGCAGCTCCGTCAACCCGCGCTTCCGTAATGTTGTGGACAAGATCATCACGCTCGTTCCAGTTGCCGGGAACGCGCCGCTTGCGGAGAAGGCGGCCGCTCAGGATAAGTTGACGAACGTGGTTGATGCTGCGCTGCGGGAGGCCGCGCCCAATGGGTGCGCTTATGTCAATGAGGTGAGTTGGTTGCGACTGCCTGGCTAGGTGGTGAGGTGATGGTGATGCTAACAGCGTGGGAACAGGCCGATCCCTACGAGCCGAACTGGCAGGAGGCTTTCTGGGGCGACAACTACCCCAGGCTGTTTGAGCTCAGAAAGAAGTATGATCCCGAGGGGGTCTTTTATGCTGTATCAACACCGGGCACCGAGGACTGGGAGCAGATTGAAACTGGCACACGTCTCTGCCGCAAGGTTTGAGTGCGTGGGAAGCCGAGAAACAGCCACATATACATGCCAACGGAAGATACTCAACATTGTACAGCGTAGTAGCGTTGCCTTGCAGTAGTTGCCTACTTTGCATCAACTTGATATTTGGGGCTCTTGCGGATGGGCTCTCTCCGCTCTGCTATGGAGAAATGAAGAGAGGGACGGGCACGATTACCCAGGTAGCGGGGAGATAGAGTTCGAAAGACAGGTATTAACTACTCCTCGCCTCCTCTCGTGACCAACAACGTTTTCTCTCCTCAAGAAACGGCTTTCCGAGTATCAGACCAACAGTGGAGTTCTCGCAAACATCGCAGGTAATGGTCAGCGGCGGATAGGGTGGTTTGATGTAATCCCAGGCCTTCCACTTGAAAGTCGTCTTGCCGGATATCTTTTCTGGGGCTCCAGTCCCAAAGTCTAAGGTGGCGTCCTCGGGCAAAGTTAGAGTTTCGATCTCGAGATCTAGTTCTTTAGCCTTGCGGATGGAGATGATATTTCCGGGCAGGAACTCAACTAGGGAGGCTGTGGTTTGGTGCCAGCGCATGTCACCACTTGGGTTCTGCACGTAACCGTTGGTGCTCTTGACGCCATGTCCCTGTTTGTGTCGTGATGTCTTCTTGAATGACGGTGGTTCTGAGAAGCTCTCGGAACTAAGTGCTGGGCCGGTATCTGGCGGGGGATCTGGCGGCTCAGGAGAGGTTTGTCGTGAGGAGATTTCAGACCGGACGGGGTGTGGCATGTTGAAACCAGGGGGTTTTGGCGACGTACTGCGGGGTTCACGTGGTTGATTTGGATAATCTTGGAAGGAGCTTGAGGACGAGGGTTGGGGAGAGTTAGGAATCGATGCACGCTTGTATATTCTCCAACCGAGCTCGGTCAAAGGATCCTCTTCCTCCAACTCGAGATCCAGTGAGCCGACTGACGCTTCGCGTTCAACAGGACGAGTATGGCGGAGATGTGCCCGCAAATCTTGCATCGTCCCGAGATGATTCTTGATTACACGCCGGAGTTTGCGCCTATCACATTTGATTTAGCCGTCAGCGGTCGCATGCCCTGTCACGTCACTACTGAGGATGTTAGATTTAATTAGGTATTGAACTCACATCTGCGTTTGAAGCTCCCCGTTTGGCTCTTCACTGTTGGATGCGATCCCGGCGTCAACCACTGTCGTTAGGGCCTCGAATTGGGTCGTGGCGATTATGAGGTTCAGGTTGGTCTTGACGCTCTCCATCTCAGGGGACAACTCCAATATCGAAGCCTTGTTGAAACGCCACTTGATGGTTGCCCATAGTACCGATCTGCTCTTCATGTTGAGGACCCGGTCGCGGATGGCCCGAAGGTGCGCTCGGACGGTTTCGGCCTCATAATCGATGTTGGCGAGTATATTGCGCTCTTCCATGTCAGCCACAAGACGAGACGTGCGGTGATCCCGGCAGTAGATGAACAAAGTCCGCTCAGCGAGCTCGATCGAGTCTGAAAACGTCCGGACTTGGTTCGCAAAGCGTCTCACCTCGACGCCAGCGGCACCGGCGTCCGTAGCAAACTGGTGCAATATTTTGCAGAGCCGTCTTCCCGTTCCAGCGAGTTGCACGATAGCTGCAATGCCACCTGCGATAGCTATCAATTCGGCCATGTCTGTTGCTCAAGGTTTCCGAGGTTCGTTGTTTTCTGAATGTGTGCTGCTATATCGGGGTCCTTGTTGGGGCCCAGTTTCGAGTAATTCAGTCGACTTGACATATAAAGCCCGAGATCGTCAATGGGATGATTCAAACGTTCAAATATCAGTTGCATGGTATCATGACCCCTCGGTGTGCGCCACAGATTGAGGACGCACTGCCAACTGATAAACAATACCTGCAGGTTGTGAGTGGCCAGATTGCCACACTATTATTCGAGTGCGCAATACAGCCCAAGGCTTTGCTGCAGGTTGCTCAGAAGAGCCGCGGTTCGCGTCCCACTAGGCGGAGGGGGGTTGTGTCAAGAACCAGGCAAACCGTCGGAGATCCAATACGCTGTGCAGGCTAGAAAGAACTCAGCCCGGGGAAGCATCCCCGCAATGACGGAAGTGAAGCGAGCTGCAGGACCGGGATCTCGCCATTCTGGTTCGTGGATGGCGGCTCTGTCATGAATGCCCAACAGTCCGGTGCTACTCCAACCCAGGCATGAGGGGGGTCGGGCCGGCGGTGGGACGATCAACCTCGGCACTCACTGAAATTCTGCCTTACTCGAGAAAAAGAGACCACTCAGCCAAGGCTGATATGCAATAAGTCGACATGAATTTGGTTTGAATCTACCAACAAGTGCTGTATAGGTAGTAGTGCCAGATTCCTGACACTGATTACACCTTTCGGTCCCCCTTTCATTCCCCTTTCCCCTTCGCAGCCCTCACCATAGGACACTCAACATACGCCCCATCCAAGTAAACCAACCTCTCCACAACCTCAAACCCAAACCTCTCAAACAACCCCCTCCCCTGAGGCGACGCCTCCAAGTACGCCACGGCCCCATCCCCATCCACCCTCTCCAACCCCCACTGCACCAACCTCCTCCCCGTCCCCCGCCCCTTAACCTCCGCCTTCGTAGAGATCAACTCCAAATACCAATGCGCCCGCCGGCCCATAAACCTCTCATGCTGCTCGGCCTGCGCCCCAAAATACTCCATCGCGAACTCCCTGTCCCCCACCATCCCCCACAGCTCCTCCATCCCCACCCGCTCGTCCTCACTATCCCCACCGGAATCACCGCCCACAGCAGCGCTGGCGGCGATACCGGGCACGACCGCACCCTCCTCGACCCAGACCCACTTGGCGAAGCCCAGCAGCTCGCCCGAGGCGGCGTCCTCGGCCACGACGAGGTGGGCGTGGGGCTGGGCGAACGCGGCGCTGACGACGGCGGTCCACAGGCCGAGCGCCACGGATTCGGCGGCCGGGCGGATGTGCCGGATGATGGGGGAGGGGGCGAACGCGGCGTGGGCGATGGCGGCGCAGTCGAGGATGTCGGAGGGGGTGGCTGCGCGGAGGGTGGGTTGGAGGGCCATTTTGGGGGGGTTGTTGGTTGTTGGGGGGTGGTGTGTTGACGGGGATTTGGTTTGTTTAGGTGGTGGAGGTAAAACTGCGGTGTTGAGGTGAGGTTTGACTGTCTTTGAAACGGGCCGTGATGGTAAATAAGCTGGGTTGTTTAAGGGTGTACGAAGCTTGCTGAGCCGATGTCTGTGTTCGGAAAGGGAATGCTTCCAGGGAACTGGCAGTTTTATATCCCAGCTACCTTCAACCCAGTTCCATACATAGTATAAGACGAGCTTACGTGTAATGAGCAATTCGTTTACGCGGTGGCTCAGCAGAGTTCGTGGATCCTGCTCTTGGCGTCCCCAGACTCTGATCCGCGGACACCGAACCCGGAAAGGCACAACATCATTCCGACCCTCGGACACTTCCAAGTCACATCATCAAACTGGGTACACGACCCAAACGTGGTTTCGTCGCCATTAGCCCCACAGAGTGTGCGCCTCGTCGAAGTGGAGTGACAATAGTCCCGGGAGCCGCGGACACCGGCCCCAGCTCTTTTCAGGCAAATCGGTGCAGGAACTGGGGGGACCCGAACAGCTCTACCCGAATCTAGGCCAAACGAAAAGTCTCCATGGCCCGCGGGTTGTGCCGTCCAACTCGGACCTCCCACTTGGCAGCACCACCCGAGAAATGCAAGGTGAACCTGCCAGGACACGAACGAACACTGTGGTCAGCTAAAGTTCAACAAGCTGCACACGAACGATTACCGGATAGTTCTTGGGAAAGAAATCTTGATCTATGACATGACAAACCCAGAAACCACTCCTCTATGCCCAACCGATTATCACCCAACTCCCACCGAAGCCGTGCGTATCTGCCATCTGCGGACAGAGAGGTATCATACATCTTACCAAGCCATGAACGGAGATGCGAACAACTTAGAAGCCAGCCCCCCCGCCCCGACGATATCCAAGATCACCTAACACCACACATTAGCCCAACCACACATACACACGGACGCACACACCGCCCGACCATCACCACCTCGGCCTCTTCCGGCTGGGTTCCTCACTCTTGTTGCCCGAATCCTCGCCACCCCACTGGGATTGTCGTCTGCGCCCATCGGGACCGCCGCCGCCGCGTCCCCTGCCGCCCCTGCCACCTCTCCCACCCCTGCCGCCGCCACGAACAGGTCTCTCCCCGCCAAAGCCAGCCTCACCATCCCTCTCACCACCACCAAACCTGTCGCCACCATTGTTCTCACCACCATTCCTATCGCCGCCACCAAACCGATCGCCACCGTTCCTCTCACCACCACCATTCCTCATTCCACCCCCGCCACGTCCTCCACCCCTACCCCGACCCGCCTCCCTCCGACCCGGAGTAACAGCAGCGTTGCCCGACGAACCAGGCGGCCCACCCCGGATCTCACCCTTGCCCTCGACAAACAGGCCCGGCACGCCCTTGAGGCCCATCTTGCCGACCAGCATGGGGCTGAGCACGGGGATGTCGTCGCAGCCGAAGGCGACGGCGAAGCGGTTGGCCAGCTCGACGACGCCGGCGGCCTGCAGCGAGTAGCGGCGCATGAGCGACTTGACGAAGCCCAGGTTGCCGATGTAGGCCTGCTCCTTGACCTGCGTCGGGACCTTGGCGAGCGCGGCCTTGATGATCTCGGTGGAGGCGTAATTGGCGGCTTTGGGGTGGGTGCTGGTGGGGGGTGTTAGTATTCTGTTGTGTGTGTGTGTGTGTGGTTTTTGGTTAGGGTAGGGGTGGGGATTGGGGGGGGAGGGCTTACAAAGGACCGTCGTTCTTGATGGGGAAGTCCGGGTTGGAGCGGACGAACCACATCTCCTCGGGGGCGCTGATCATGACGGCCTCGCCGGCCTTGCCGGCGCGTCCCGTCCTGCCGACGCGGTGGACGTACTGCTCCTTCTCGCTGGGCACGCCGATCTGCACGACCAGGTTGATGTCGGGGAAGTCCATGCCGCGGCCGACCACGTCGGACGCGAACATGATCCCGCGGTCCGTCTCCTTGAACTGCTCGACCGTGCGCGTACGCTGCGTCTGCGACATGCGCGACTGCATCTGGAACACGGGCAGCTTGGGGGGTGCGGCGCCCCCAGAGTGGCCGAATATGTGGTACAGCAGCGCGGCGTGGCGCGCCGTCGGGCAAAAGACGATGGCTTTGAGGGCCGGGTTGTCGGCGCGCGCACACGCCAGCACCGAGTGCACGGTGGGCAGGATGTCGTCGACCGACTCAACCGGGTAGACCGTCTGCGGGACGGTCTCGACCGTGGGCGGCTCGTTCGCGTCAATGGTGGAGAGGCGCACGTGGTCCTTGGCCAGCACCATGGGCAGCATCTTCTGGATCTCCGTGGGCACGGTCGCGCTGAAGCACATGCCCTGCCAGCCCCCTTTGGCCTTGGGCGGGATCTGCTCGAGGATCTGGCGCAGCGCGGGCGCGAAGCCGGCGTCAAGCATGCGGTCGGCCTCGTCGAGCACGACGCAGCGAATCTTGGTCAGCTTCTTGCGCGCGGCATCCTCGGTGAGGTAGTCGATCAGGCGGCCGGGAGTGGCAACCAGAATGGTGGGTTTGCCCTTCAGAAACTTGTTCATGTGCGTCTGGCGTTTGCTCCCGCCGACAGCGATGTGGCATTCCATGGGCGGGTCGCAGGCGCTGGTCAGCTTGTCGCATTCGTCGTTGATCTGCTGGGCCAGCTCACGGGTCGGAGCCAGCACCAGGAGGCCGACGGACGACCTGTCCAGGTCCGTAGCAGTAAGTAGAGTCTGCAGTGCGGGCAGTAGAAAGGCGAGCGTCTTGCCGGTGCCTGTCTTGGCCTGCACAAGGCAGTCCTGAGTGAAACTGGGCAGCTGGAGGACCTTTTCTTGAACGGGCGTCATGTATGTGAAGCCATGGTTATCGAGCGCCTTGAGTAGCTGCGGTTGCATCCTCCCTGCGAGTTGCGCATAGGGAACGCGACTGTCGTCGCTATCCATGGTTGCGAGAGTGCGAGTGAGAATTGCTTTGAGTGTTTTGGGTTGGTTGTGATGGTTGTGAAGACGAAGCGGAAAATTTGCTGCGGTCCGGAAAACGCGGGTTAAGGAAAGCATTGGTGCCTAACAAAGGCAGCCAGTTTTTGCCTTTGTTCGAGTTTGCGAGGGGAAGTTCAGGCGCAGCTTTGTGATTCGGTCCGGGTGTGTGGTTGCAGAAAGAGGCAACTGAACTGAAACTTCCTTTGAAATTTCAACTTTTGGGAGCTGACCGCCAACCAGGAGCCCCGGCCATGGCCACCAATCGCAAGTGGGGCGAAGCTTGGCACTCGGGTCGAGCCGTCAAGGCGCGACTTCCTCCTTCCAGTCGCTGAGCAACAGCTGAGTTGGACCTTTCAAATTTTCAAAACGTGCTTGAATAAAACTCAGAATTAAACGCTCGAGCCAAGTCACAGTCTCAGGAAAAAGGTTGTGAAAATTATGACGCCGAGGTCGGGTACGAAGGAAGCCGATAACTAAAATCGACCTAGCTAATCCCATTTTAACCCTCGAGATCAACTTCCAATCGCCCAATACCTATCCGACGCTGACAAGTCTCAACTCCGCCGCTCGCAGCCGTTGGCAAATGCTCGCTTTGTCCCGAGTCACAAGGGCTTTGACAAACTGCGTTAATGGAATTCTCCGATCCGCGGCCCAAAATACTCCCCATCTGGGAGCACCTTCAACACACAATCGCCACTCCCATCACATCCCTCGCCAACGACCGTGTTCCCCCACCACTCCAACTCAATCTCGAAGATCTGCAGCGTAAAGAAGATCACGATGCCACTGAGTGCAATGGCACAAGAAAATGCGGCCGATGTGACAAAGTTGTACTTCAAAACATGTCAGTTCCCCGTTGTTCACTCAGGACTCCGGTTTCCGGATAGAAAACAGTAAACTTGTAAGTTAGACGTACCTTGGACCACAACCCCAAATACCGCTTCTTCAGGTACAGCCACGAAAACGCCGCGACGGGGACGGCCGGCCACAAGTAGGCCAGGTTGTAAGGCGCCCAGGCCAGGGCCCCGCTGATCATGACGACCGGGTGTGCGTTCCGGATGATTGGGTTCTTGGGCCATTTTCTGCCCAACATGTAGAAGAAGGCAACGAGGGCTACCCCGAACGGGAAACCGAGTAGCGTGACGGCATACTGTCCACCGGCGCCCCAGATCTTGCGGGGGCCTACAGTACCCCAGAAGACGGCTGCCGTGAAAAAGGTATTGGGGCCCGGGCAGGTGAACCGAAATGGCGCGTGGCGGGTGCAAATGTTCTCGATGTGGACCTGGTATTGCAGCACGGCGATGCTGATCAGGGTTGACACCAGCATGGGGACCATCTGCGCCCAAAAGGTGAAGCGCGGCGGGATCTTGAGGTAATGTGCCAGCTTCAAGTCGGCGCTGAAGGATATCGCGTGGGCGCAGGTGACATAGCCGTAGGTCTTGAAGAAGCACAAAGCAACGGCATTACCTTCGACCCAAATGCCGCCGATGAACTCGGCGAGCACGTTCAGCGTGACCTGGACACCGGTCATGGCGGAGATGATGCCAACGGGCACTACAAAGACGAGGCACAGAGCGACCCCGTACAGCACGACAAAGGGCGTCGTGTTGGTCGGCCACACGGCAATGCCCACCATCCCGAGCGCGATGGCGATGGCCAAGCAAATCATGTACCACAGCTCCGGCACTTCCGGGTAAACACCCATCAAACGGTTGTGCACATCGAGAAGGTTCACGTCCTCGGTAGCGTTGGACGTACTGGCATCGTCCGTCGAGCTGTCCGATCGCCCAAGTCTCGCACGCGTTTTTTTCATGGTTCTCCAAACGTCGCGAAACCCCAACATGATCTCATGACGGTGATGGAGGATGCCGTACGTAACGGTGGCCGAGTACACGGCGAAGAAGAACATGTACACGACGATGTTGCCGGCGGAGAGGAACGGAGGCGAATAGGCTTCGTATTTCTTGCCGTCAAAGATTCCATTTTCATCAATGATCGAGCTAACGTTGTAGAGTTGGCCGAAGTGGTCGAACGAGCGGTTCGAGTTAATCGGGAGATAGGCCGTGTTGAACGCGTTGGTGTAGTAAACGCCGATGATGATAAACATGGAGAAGAACATGCCGAGGAACGCGTTGAAGGTTGAAAAGAAGGGCACCATGAGTGGGTCGAGGTTGAACGTCCACATGTTCCAGTCAAAACTCGAAAATGGGTTCAGTCCGAGTCCGGTGGAGCTTCCAGTAATGTTGGCGAGGTTGGTGTTGGTTGGCGCGATCCAGGAGATCCAGCTGAAGAAGCTCAAGGCGCCAAAGATGTAGTTGGGGAACCAGAAGTACACGAACATGAGGCCAAAGGCGCAGCAAAAGTACTTCAGGCGCGATATCTTCCAGATGGACCTGAACGGGCCCGTTACTCTTATTGTCTCGCTCGACGCGTCGTGGAAGGCGGAATTGAGGGCAATCGTGACCAGGGACGTTGGCCAGACGCAGTATGCTGGGTACACGAGGAACCGGCGACAAATCCCAGCCAAGCCATAGCCGATGAAGTTAGTCGACAAGGCAATCAGTACTTGGTAACCAACGCTGACGGCCCATGTTTGGTTGAAGAACTGAGGAAGTATCTGGATCCAGGCAATGTAATTGGTGTAGGGCACGCTCTTGGCCACATTCGACATGATGGTGATGAGCATGTGCTCCTTCTTGTTGAACGGGCCCGGGTTGAGGCTATGGCGGACGCCGAACAAGGTGAAGCCAACATCGGGGAGCACGCGCTCGAACAATTTGCCCATCGGGTAGGCGAGGAGCTGTGGAACAGTCGATATGACAGTGATGCTCGGGAGACGAACATCGAAAAAGGAGTTGACAAAGGAAATGCAACACGCAAAGAAGCTTCCGATGACCCAGGCTCGGATGGTCGATACGGGCAACGACGGGTCGTCATGGTTGTCGACAACGGAGCGCACTTCTGCGTAGGGCGAGTTGTTCATTATCAGGGCCGCCTGAATGCTCATCGCTTCGATGATCCGTTCGTGCTTCTCGGGGCTGTTGAAGACGTGCTCATTGTCTTCCCCCATCACCCATCAATCATCTTCCTCTTTAAAGGGCAGTGAATGGGCTGGGAACATACGGAGGAATTCCTGGATTTTCTCGATGATTTGAACGGGAAAGTTGGGGTCGCGAGAATGCTGTTTATAAACCTGCACCATAAACTAGTTGATGACGAGAGAACGTGAGCAGACGGTCAATCTGGGTAAGTCTCTTGAAATTGGAGCCACCTACGCGCTTCGTGTCGTCAAGCGTGAACCTTCCGGCGGTTTTCTTGGCCTCGATGAGGTCCCTCTCGGTGACGTTGAAGATCTCGCCGGTCTCACGCAGCTCTGAGGGAATGCTCTCGCCCGAGCTCGACGGCTTGTGTTTGTTAGTCAGTCGGGCACCGAGTAATAGCCACTACACAGGAACCAGGAACCCAACCTATCGACTAAAACAAAATGTGACAGAAATAAGGAATGACTGGCTCCGGCATGCTAACATACCTGGAGAACGAGATGATCGACCTGCCCTGCATCAATGTCGGTAGCCTGGGAAGTCCCGGACTCTTTTATATCGGTTTTCTCGGTTCAATGGACCCGACATAATCGACAAGAATTAGAGGATGCCCGTGGTAATCGGCAAGGTATGAGTACCGGGCGAATATGGGAACCAGGGCGAAGGTGGCCGGTTTGGGGATGAAAAGATCGAAAGGGCAAAAGTGCCCGTGCAGTGCATTGGAGTGCGTGATGGCCCGTTGTTTAAATGTGTTGCAATTCCCGCTCACCCCGGCCTCGAATCGAACGACATGGACTCGGTACGAAGTGCATGCCGTGCAACGAACATGACACTAGATAGTAGGTATGTCAGGCAGTCGCCATCTAAGTCAGCAGTCTGTCAGATGGCACTTGCCCTACCAACGGGGAGGCCGAAGAAGGCCCGTTGCATGACCTCGGCGCTCCTTCCTGTTGAGATACGATGAAGTCGAGCAAGAGTGTCGTACAAACCCTTGTCACTTCCACCCCCGGTATTGCCCCTTTTCCTTAGTCAGGTCGTGCTCATCCAAATCCCGTTTATTCTTCGTACTAGTACAGTATCATACTAGTACCTTCCGGTTCCTTCCATACTTTTCGTCTCCACTTAAAAAATAGTTAATCCCACGAGTGTTTTCCAATGATGATCAACCACAGGCACTCCCATACAAGCTCGAAGGGGAAATTTCATGGAAAATTTTATAAACTTGTGTCTACCAACTGTCGTGCTGCCAGGCTGAAAAAGCCCGCATCAGTGGTTACCCAAATTGATCCTCCCTAACTGCGAGCAACAAGCAGTCTCTCGCATCCCACTACATCCAACCTGGGACAGAGGGTCAATACAAAGCTCCCATCATGTTGGCCGGCAGTGCCAGCGGTGTGTTGAGTTCAGCGAAAGTCTCGAACAACTAGAACATCCTATATGGATGATGGATAAGGTGCCTTTGGTACCTAACTGCCCTTTTGTCAAATAGGTAGGTACGTATGACTTGCGTTGATCGATTCGGTCGAGGGCACGCTGGTTTCGAAACATCCCCCCAGCACAGAGTCTGATTACGTGCAATCTGAACCTGAGAATTCATAATGGTGTACCCCATTCAACGGCAACACGACGGCGGGCTGTCCATTCAATAAACTCGAATAAAACATTGGTGAAACCTCGCATCGTTGGCGGTCTTGCATTTGGTGCGCGCACGGCGTTTTGATACCATCCAGCGGCCGCGGCGGTGGTACCTTCTAGCCAACGCCAAAGCAAAGCCCTAGGTATTGAGTTTGTTACTTAATTTTAGGTAAAACCGAATGTGGTACCTCTGGCCGGAAGCACGGGAAAGCATCCGGTGCCCTGGGGGGGCAGCCTTAATTACGGTATTACCTATGTCACTATCCCTTGGAGGACTCGATGACCCTTTGCTAAAAGGAAACCCTACTGGATGCGAGGCAGGTACCTAGGTAGTTAACCCCTCTTTAGCAGGTAGGTAGTAGGTACCTGGAGGTTTCATGGATACCTAGGTACCTACCTAAACGTCCTCGGGTTCGGGTTGAGCTTTATTGCCCAGTGACTTACCACTGAAACCTGGGAGCAGCATTCAAGCTGAATGAGATTGTAGATGGCCAAGCTGACCAGGCTGTCATGGTTAGCTATGCGTCTTTATTGCTTTCAACGAGGTCGAGTTGGAGATGCCGGATGCGGGAAAGCTGGGAGCAACCGTGACAACAAAGGCGGTGGGATCCATAAGTCGGCGGGCCTTTATGTGCCCGCGACCCTTAAAGAATAACAACAGCGACACCAGAGAGCTACCCACCCCAGCTACCGGCGTGTAACTGCACGAAACTGTTGCGACGTCCATCCCACCCACCTCCTGGATCACAATCCAACCGTCATTAAGAATTCTCCATGACTCTTTATTATCAGGCGATGCTCACTGAGTTTGGAGGCTCCCCAACTCCGGCGCCAACGATCCAGCTCAACCTGCCAAACCACCAAAGCTGGGATCCAGACGTTACCGAGAGCGACCTCATCGACGCGAGAATGAAGCGTATTAACTGCCGGAAAGTAGGGCCCATTGACGATGAAAGGCTTGAGCATTTCCTCACAGTTAAATACGGCCGGGTAGGCCACCAACTTCTCGACAGTGGCGACCAGACGAGCGTCTTCGAAGGTTGGCGGCATTGCCACAACGGCCTTTGTGAAGTGCGGCGTCGGGAGTGGCTGGATGACGAAAACATCTACTATCTCGCGGAGCGTCTGATAACCTGGAGTCAGGAGCAGGAACCCGCACGCCTAGGCGATCGCGCTTCGGGGAACTGGTGGATTGTGCCACCCAGATATCACATCCGTGTGCGGGAGCCCGGCGATGAGGAAGGGGAGATGTCAGCTGCGCTGGGCTGCGTGGAAAATAAGAGGGTGTCCGACGAATTTCACGAGAAGTTCGACAAGGCCAAGTTTACGGTGCACATGGTGCATCTCAAAAACCATTGGGCCGTCCTTATCTACCAACACTCGAACGGGAACACCTTCTACCTTGACTCCCTGCCAAAGGGTCTGCAGGATCGAAACAGGCGGGCTCGTGACGAGTTCAGGCGTTGGCTGCGGGAGTCGGACAAGGTGCTCCCACGAGGCGCCCGCCATCACATGATTCGAGTTCCCGATCAAGAGGATGCTTGGAGTTGTGGACTTCATGCACTAGCGAATGCAATGGCGTTCCTCCGGTATGAGTCCCTAGGATGGAACAAAATTCAGGGGTGGACAAGCATGGGCTCGAGGCCGATGCGCAGACAGCTCATCACCTGTTTGCATCAGCTCATGGGGCTCAAGTTTATCCCTCCAGAAACACCGCCGACGTCAAATGAAAAGGAGCATCAACGGGGGGTACAGAAACGTGCCGCAACCCCGAAGACGTCGCCGAAGAAGCCTGCCAACAAACCCGCACCTCGCGCCAAAACTCCCTCGCCGCACTCCTTGGGAGCGAGCCGTTCACCCCGCGGCCGTCAACTTTCCAACGAAATCCGCGCGGCAGCCGAAAAGGAGGCCCAAGAAAGCGCCAAGCGCCTGGCCGCCCTCCGGAAGCAGCAAGAGTCCGAGCAGAGAGCCGGACGGCGGGCCTCCAGAGCCGAACGGGCCGCCTCGACAGACGACGTCCCCGAGAATCCCCCAGCAGCAGGAAGACGGGGCGCCATCAGCGCACCCACCCAGTCCTCCTCGGGCACCAGCCCCAAAACCGCCAAACCACCATCCCGCAAGCGAGGATCCTCCCCGGCCGCTGCCCACCACGACGAAGATGGAACCAGCGGGCCCTCGCGAAAGAGGCGCAAGATTTCCGGCGCGGAGGCAGACGTCACCGAGAGCACCACGACGACGGTCACAACCCCAAAGGCAAAGGCAAAAGCAAAAGCCAGCACAGCGGCAACGTCGACCACAACCACAACGACCACGGAGTCCTCCCCTTCCAAACGCCGCAGCACCGCCGCCGTCTCTGCAACAGAGACCGCAAAGCCAAGGTCCGCGTCAACAGCAACAACCCCCTCCCCCTCCAAGCGCCGCCGCAGCGCCGCCGCCGAACCAACCACACCCACAACCGCAGCCCAGACTGCAAGGCCGGGGTCCGCACCAACGGCAACGGCAACGGCTACTACAAAGCCCAAGTCCCCCTCAACTACAAAGCCCAAGTCCCCATCAACTACAAAGCCCAAGTCCCCGTCAACAAAGTCCCCGTCCGCAGAGCGCCAGTCAGCCAAGAAGCGCAAGGCTCCGGAGCCGGAGCACACGACGCCGCCACCGCCACCGGGCAAGAGGCGCAGGAGTGATGGGGGTGATGCTAGTGGGGATGGCGAGGGTGGGGAGCGTGGTGAGGGTGGGGCTGGGAGTGGCAAGAGGAGGAAGGTGGGGAGCTTTTAGTTAGGTAGTGGGGGTGGTGGCACCCTCTGGCCAAAAAAAGCCGAACTCGAAAGGAAAGCAAGAAATCAAGCAAAAAGAACAAATGAAAAGAGATTGAGAAAATTAAGTCAAATAAAAAGAAAGAGGGTAAAAGAAAAGGAAATGGAGTAAATAGAGTTTCTTTAGGCTTTAGGATGACTTTCGTTATATTCCTCCAGCCGAGGACTCGAAGTTTCCATTGCCGACATCTGCACGTGGAGTTCGGCTTTTTTTGTCCATGAGGTGGGTGGGTGGATGGGTGGGTTACTGTAGGGAGTCATGTTGGGGGTGGGCGGGGGGTAGTGGACCGGTGGTGGGTGGGTTGGTGAGGTACCTTATGGTGGGTGTTTCCTTGTGTTGATGGGGCGAGGTTGGGGTTTGGGTTGGTGGCGTTGGTCTTGTTGTTTTGTTTTGTTTTGGGTTGTTTTGTTTCACTGGATGTTTGTTTCTAGATGTGGACGTCCTTCATTATTCCAGTCTGGGCATGATGGGTAGTGCTGTCTCAGCAGCGATATTAAAGTTTCTATGTTAACCCTGGGTATCTCTGAAGTGGTAAGCGTATTCGTAAACTTTACACCGTCATCGTATCCTCACAACATGCCCTTGTCGGCCAGCCTCCTGGCCCCCTCCTCCTCCTCCAGCATGCCCGCAAACGACACCTTCTGTGTCACGACCGTCGTCGTCTTGATCCCGTCCCCGCCCTCCACCGACACCTGATTAAAGCTGGACGGCTCCCAGCCCGCCACCACACTCACGCTATACCTCTTCCCGTTCGGATCTTGTGGCAACACCCCCTTATCCAACTCCTCAAACTCAATGTCGTTGCCGAGCCTGCTGCGCGGCAACCCCATCTCCTCGTCCTCCAGCCGCAATTCCTCGGTGCTGTCCGTGTCGCGCAGGGTAGTCCCCTTGAACATGGATGCGCGCGCCCCAGAGGACGCAGCGCCGGTGCCTCCGGCCCCACTGCCGGGTCCGCCAAAGGGGGTGCGGCTGCCGCGGTTCCCCTTCGGGCCCGTGCCGGCCGACTGTCCGGCGGAGCGGAGCAGCGAGCCGAAGATGCGGGGCATGGTCTGGATGAGAACGGGCCGTATCGTGGGGAGGCAGATGGCGATGACGCCGACGGAGAGCTCGAGGAAGGAGAAGGTGGCGGCGTCGACGTTGTCCCATGTAGGGTCGGTGGACTTGGCGGCCGCGCTGAGGGTGCGGATGCGGTAGATGGAGACGGCGCAAGGGCTAGTGAAAGGAGGGCTTATGAGCGGAGCCGTTCGTGGGGACCGGGACTCTAGAGGGATGTTGAGACTTACAAGATACCTAGCGTGAAGACGATGAGCAGCATCGCCTTTTGCTTTTTGGGCAGGTGCAGCGAGCTGATGACAGGGATGGGCATCGTGAAGACGGCAAAGTCCGTTACCACGTTGACGCCTGCCATAACGTACCAGATGGTAGCATTGTCGAGACAGAATCCCTTCACGTTGGGGTCCCAAAAGGCAGCGACGGGTATGCAGACCATGGGCAAGAGGAAGGAGAGCGTAATGCCCCAGCAGGTGAGGAAGCACAGGCCGAATATGATGATCTTTCGGAGGATCGTGTTCGAAAAGATGCGTTTGTACTGGAGCAGGATGGAAATCTTGGTCAGACAGACCGCCACGTTGTAAACGGCGATGGAGCTGTAAAAGGACTGCTTCTTGTTAATATCGGAAGCCTCTCGGACTGGTTAGGCTGGTGACCTGCCTTCATGTAAGGCACGAAATGTTCATCGGGCATCATCCAGACATGGCGGCCAAGGCCATACTTCGATTCTGTTTGCGGTTAGTTGGTGAGGTCTTTTAGCTCGGCAAATCCCCGTGCTTACCGAGCCCAATCGCCACTGCTGAGGCCAACGTTAAGATCTGGATAACCTCGGTTAGATACAATTGTGCTTCAACTCCTTCAGCGTTTAGCGGTCTCGTACCTGTGCTGGCACTATGACGGCGTCGTCCAAGCCAAAGGACCGAAGGATGACGGCGCGAGAATAGCACCTCAATGTGACGGCCAGGGTCGACAGAATGCTCGCCACGGAGAGGATAGCGATAATTTCGCCCACTCTGGACTCGCCATCCAGGGCGGGATCGGGGCTCGGGCCTCCCATATTGTTGTTGACAAGCCGGACGACGTCGAGTTGCAGGCTCCGTGAAAGGCGTGAAAATTATGAAGCGGATGGCCGGTGGCTATATGCACGCTCGGGGCCGCCTGGGCTGGGCTCTCCTCCAGAGTGTAACTGTCGATCGGAGATCGACGAACCGGCCCCAGGCTTGTGGAGAGTTGACGACACTCGAAGTCTCCTCTTCTGAGAAAGACGGCGGCGAGTGAGCGTCGAGCGCGGAGTTGGTGATCAGCAAGGATCCCTGGAAAACAACAGCCATCCTCGAGCCACCACGCGACGAGCTGCGGGCAGGCGAGGGATGATGACCCGGCGACAGGGATGGGCTTTGACAGGAGGAATCAAGGCTTTCCTGTCGACGATGTGACGATTCGATTCTCTGACATCCTGACTCGGGCATCCGAGCCCCTGGCCCCTGGCGACTGGAGTCAGGCATGTGGGGATATTCCCTGCTCCGATGGCGAATGCGGAGCCAGTGAGAGGATGGGTTTCTGTGATACGCCGGGACAGTTTTTGCAGCGTCGTGGCAAATCTTCTCGTGTTGAGCCAGCCAGCCTCAAGAGCGGGCTTGGGCCGAGCCCAATCACGGTTCATATCATTGTCGTCCAAGCGGTGACGGCGAGTTCTCAGGACGGGGATGCCCGAGCGCACAGCGATCATCAATCCTCAATCCCCCGAGGTTCTCATATGCATGTATGTGGCTTGGTACCCAGTCAAAGTGTCAAACTGGATGGCCGGGACTCGTTCATGTCAAGTGTCGGACCGGGAACCGGTGTGTTGTCTGAGATGGGCCTGCATGCTTGGCGGGTTCAAACGTCTGGGCATCTGGGGGGATCGTCGCGTGTCGGGGTCCAATGTTTGAAGACGCCGAGGAGCCGGGATTATCGTTGTGGGTATTGAGATGGAGTTTTTTGACGGTTTTTGATGGTTGTCTCATCTTCCCAGGCGACACGCGAGCATGCAAATCGATCAGCAGGGGATGCTGAACAATTGCGACAACCGTTCCTCGCAACGTGGACGCTAACCGAGGCGGAGACAAGTTGCAAATCGTCATGTTGGGTGACTCCGGCGATTACCAGCGCCAAGTCGGAAGTTTAGGTGATCTGAGGGTGATCGACAAATCAAAGAGTGCACCTTGGCGAGGGACCAAACCCGGAGGGGGAGGTCGTGGGGAAAGACAAGGGAGGACCCCTCCAACGCGCGCTGAAACCCGCTGTGCCTGTGCCCGCCACCACTGCCCGCTAAGGGTTGAAAGGGAAACGAGATCGGGAACCCGAATCGTACTGGTGCGACCCGTAAAACTGGTTGTGACTCGATGGAAACGCGTGCATCGATCGCTCTTTCCCGGAACCGGAAAGGGCAGGCGTGATGGCAGCCTGGGTTTCCGCATGCGGCACACTTTTCCTTTTCTTTTCTAGCAGAACAGAAACTTGGAAGGGAAAACCTGGACGTTGAAACAAAACATGCCTTATTTGCTCGTCGCCCACGGAAATGTCAGAAACGCGCTGTTCGACGACATGACGCTCACGACGCCCGACATGTTGGGATCGTCCCCGATGTTCCCGCTAGGGTAGCCGAGGTCAAATTCCTTGACCTTCTCGAGGGACTTGACCTGGTCCTCGGTGAGCCAGATGTCCAACGCCGCAATATTGTCCTTCAGCTGCTCAATCTTCCGCCCGCCGACAATAGGAAAGACATTGTGGACGCCAAGGAGCGCTGCTTTCCGTCGAACGTAGGCTATTGCGATGGCCACGACCGACTTGGTCCCGTGTTCGGCAGCAACCTTCGCTAAGGCCTCGCTCATCTCGACTTCACGGCCGCCGCCGAAAGGCCGCAATGTCTCACCAACCTTCTCCCTCTCTTTAACTTCTTCCTCGGTCTGGAACTTGCCAGCCGCCAAGACCCCCCAGGGAGCGATCGCCATGCCAAATGCCCTAGCCATGGGTATAATCTCGCGCTCCAGATCGCGCGCTAGCACGTTCCATTGGCCCGAGTAGACGCTAAACTGAGTTTTGCCGTGCGCTTTCGCGTACGTGTTGGCGGCGCTCACGATCCACGCCGGGGTGTTGGAGATGCCCAGGTACAGCACCTTGCCCTGCTGGACGAGCAGGTGCAGCGAGTCGACCACCTCCTCGATCGACGCCGTGTAGTCCCACCAGTGCACGTACAGGATGTCGATCCAGTCCGTCTGCAGCCGCCGCAGCGACTCGCGCACGCTCATGTGCAGGCTGCGCCGCGAGTTGCCGCCGTGGTTTGCCGTCTGGCCCTTCTGCACCCCCGGGTTGGACGCGTCGTACAGGCCCCAGTCGGACGTGTACTTGGTGGCGACGACGAGGCGGTCGCGCACCTTGCGGTCGGCCATCCACTCGCCCAGCCAGACTTCGGACTCGCCGTCTTGGTAGGTGTTGGCCGTGTCAATGAAGTTGCCGCCGGCCTGACTGTGTTAGTTGGATACACCGGCGAAACGTTCGGGGATTAGGTTGGATGGACGAACCTCAACGTACGCATCCAGAAGCTCAAAGGCCCGCTCCTTATCCATCGGGCCCCAATTGGCATTCCATGCTTGTCCGATGCTCCCACCACCGAGCGCGAGCGGCGACACGCGGATGCCGGCCGTCCTGGAGAGGATTCGGAGCCGTCCCACCTCCGTCGGCGGGTCAGGGGGCAGCGGAGGGCCGTCAAAGAAGCCAGCCATGTTTGATAATGATGGTCGCTGGATCAGTCAACGCTCGATATCGACTCGTGAACTGGGTCGTTTTCCTCAACGGCAACTCTCTCAGCACCGCGCACGCCATGCCTCTCGTCCCGTTCCGCCCTCTTATACCCCGCGCGGGCGGTTCGGGAGGGGCCGACGTGGGGGAACAACGTGCCGTGTTGGTTCTTGACAGCTCAATTAGCGCTCCTTTCGCCGGTGGTTGACGAGGGTATGGTTACACCGGAGCGCTTGGCTGGCCTACTATTCCTACGCTGCAGGTAAACCAACCCGCATGCAGGTGCAGAGTGCGACGACACCACGTCTCGCCGTTCTCGTTGCGGCAGTTTCACGCCTTGGCCTGTCCATTCAGGCGCCGTCGGATGCTGGCGTCTGCATGAGTTCGGCTTGTGTCTCCCGACAAAGGTCACATCGCTCCGGCTGAGGATGTCCGTTCAGGGTGAGGAAACAACGGCATCCCATAATGCACTGTGGCACGATTGTTCAATGCAGCATCCTAGGCCAAGGGGAGAGGAGGTTCGCTCAATCGCTGGCCGGCGTTTTACCCAAGCGGGGATTGCTTATAAATAGGAGGACGTACTATGGTGAGGTTAAAGCACCTTGTAACGCGACCGACACTGTAGCGATGAAGTTGATTTAACGTCCGCATTAACGGTTTCAGGAGACTAGAAAACCGTTTTATGGGTCGAAGGATTTCGACTAGTCGCTGGAGCGTCAAGGGGCCTCGTGGAGTTGACAGCTCACGAGCCGGGCTGATCCCACGACGGCGTCGGGTGGCAAGAAAGTAAGGAAGTGATGTCACAAAACCCTTAAAACCGACAGTTGCCGTTACGTGCCTGACATACAAATGCAAACCACAGTCGGGGTCGATCAAAACCTCGGCGCGACGCTGTGAGGTTTGTCTCATCGCGTCGTTAAACGCGCAGGTCTGCATGTTGGGAGACCGGGAGAGCTGTCCTGCAGATGGTTATTGCATGTTCCTCAAAACGTCAGCGAGGGAACGTAAAACCCGTTGTGTAATGCTTGTCCGAGTATGGTTTTATAGCTCTTGATTGAGTGGTGACTTGGTCAACGCCGAGGTACTTTACGCAATCCCTTTCTCTAATCTACGCCGAGCCCATTCCATCATCCGATATTGATACACTCTACCCGATCACGCTCACTCCTTACCATGCCGGCCTTGTTCATTGTGGTCCGCAAGAGACTGCACCTCGGCAGAAAGGGAGTCCTTTCCCGGCGCGTGTCCGACAGCGCGAGCCTAAGCAAATCACGAATGAATAAACGCCAACAAAGCGACACATCACAAAAGCAAGTAGGAAACTCACCTCAAAATGCCGAACCTTCTTCGCATCCTCCTGCGTCACCTCCCCGCTCGGCTTCCTCGCAACGTCACCAGCCACCTCGAAGAAGTTCTGCTGGCGGTCGTGCAGGCTCTGGGCGGTGGCGGCGGGGCCGCCCTTGATGGGCCCGCGGCGGGTCATGTCGAACTCATCATGGGCGATGGCCGAGGCCTCGGGCTGGGTGATCGGGCGGCCCGCTGTGGCCTGGGCAGCGAGCTGCTCCTTGGGGGGAAGTTCCGACTCCATCGCGAGAGGAAGGAGGGCTGTGTGGTGGTGGTGGTGGTGGTGGTGGGGGGAGAATGCGCTGGGAGCTGGAATGGCAGGGGGGCTGGGCGTGCGTCGGTGTCTCTTCGGTGGGAGGGAGGCGAGGCGCGGGGGCTGTCGACGCTGCTGCTTCGTCGTTCGCTTGGCCTGGCTTCTTGGGATTCTGGTCGGGGTTGTGGTGGAGGAGTGCTGGTGGCGGTGGTGGACTGTGGGTTGCTCTCGGTCCAGATGTGGAAGAAGTCGACCTGTTGCATTGTGGAGTGCAAGTGCAAGCAGTACCTTGTGTTTTTATTAGAAAACAGCAGTAATTGGAGAGTTAATTAGGTCTCCAAGGGCCATGGTAGGTTATCCCGGTTAAGGGCATCAGCCATCGTTTTAATGTTGCAGAATGCTGACGTATTTCCCGGTTCCTGGTGTGCTTGTGATGATCTCATCCCGTTGATCGCCCGCTCGAGCTTGGCCTTGACGTCGTCCAACTCCGTTGCCAAATGTTGAGTGGCAAGTGATACGACACGTGACATCCCAGGAGGGTCGTCATGAATCTCAAGGCTCTCCACAATCCAATCAACTCAAATCTGGGGGCATATTTGAGTTGATTGGGCCAAAACTTCACCAGATTTGAGTTGATTGTATTTGAGTTGACTCGGGTCAAATCCAGTCAAATCCCCATACATAACCCTAACCCCGCCAACCCACTCCTTGATTTCCCGACTTGCAGCTGTCAGATCTACCAACTCTACTAAAAACGTAGTTAAACTAATTGATCTTGCAATAGGCCGAGCAATTGTCTGTGTGGAAGTCCTATAAACGAACTCGCAATCCACCTGTTGTGGGCGCCTCGCGGTTATACAGGGTAAGGTTGGATGTGGCTGTTGTGGCGGTTGGGGGCATTTTGTAGCGCTCATTTACGATATCTGGCTTGGCAAATCTATCAAATCTAACAACTCAAATCCAACTGCTTATTTGATTGACGAAAACGTGGATTTGAGTTGTATTTGAGTTGAATTGGATTGATTGAGTTGACGAGATTTGCGTTGTGGAGAGCCTTGGTCATGATGGTCTAAGCCACCCACTAGGCATATATACGGTGCTCTCTCGTCCAAGCCCTCTCCTCTTTCTTTGTCTTGGTAGCAGAAAGCCGCTCATAGCGGTCTCCCAGAATGAAACGCTCGGCACGTTCGTTCAGCGCGTCTTCCTTCGACTTTAGCCAGGCTTCACCGCCGTCGGGTTCTCTCCAAGGACCCATGGCTCGATACTTCTCACGCGCCCATTTGGTCCATTTCCAAGGCCACGCAAAGTCCGCATAAAACTGGGCGAACCCGTCGTCGCCCCCGAGACGAGCCAAGGGTTTCAGGATACGGTCGTATCCGGCGAGCACTTCGATCCCCTGCGCCTCGGAGACTTCTTGACGACCGTCGGGGTGGTCCGGACCCATTCTTAGCAATCCAGACATGGTCAACCGCAGGGTGAGGCCGCGACTTCTAATCTTGTTATTGGCCCAGTCGATGGTCTCAATCCAGTCCTGCATAGCGGGATGGCCGTCGTCGGGCCAACACATATAATTGTAGGGGGGGAAGATCAATTCGAGGAAGCGGAGGTAGCCTAAGCAGTCGGCGGGGACCACCTCCCTCAAAAAGTGACTCGCTGCAAAACGTTCGGCCGGGTAGGCACGCGGAGGTTGTGCCTCGAGATACTGAGCCGTGCGGATGAAACGAAAGTAGTCTTCGGGCCACGGGATAGTGGCAAAAAGATTGAAAGCCTTGCAGGGGTGAAAGTGTGCGAGAGTATCGCTGACGACGAACCGATTGAGGGAAAAGAAGACGAATTTCGCGTCTTCGGAGAGAGCACGACAGATGATGAACAAGGGCGTGGGCGGAGCCCAGCAAATGCATGCGGATGCGGATGAGAAGGCGGCGTGTCGGAGGCGGCAGAAACAGCCGATGGAACCATGGTATATTTCATAGTCCATAAATATACGTGTCTGGTGATAGCATCCCCGGAATTGGCATCCGTGATGCCAGGGATACTTAGAGGGACATGGGCAATCGTCCCGCGGGTAACATCCTTCGGCGGGGTATCGATACCCGGGTTCTAGCCTAGTCCACATAACTTCCCTCCAAGGGGTGACAAGGTCGGTATATTCGAGAATGCGAAGACGCAGCTCCCGGGGAAGGTTGAGGAGGCGAAGGCTCGACGAACTTGGGGGGGGTTCTGGCCGACGGCAGGCTTGCAGCGCCGCGTTTCGTGCGATTCGGGTGAGTTCAGGGCTTGGACTTTTGCACAGCCGAAGATCACAGTCCCTTAACTTTGGAAGCAAAGAAAGTGGCGCAATGACTCTGGTCGCCGTATCCATACCGGCCTCTTCATGGTCAATGTCGCATACCAAGGATAGCCGAAGGTTACCAGGGCTGATTCTCGAAGAGAGGTAATTGGCTGTTTGGAGCCATTCGTCTAACATCGGCCCGGCCGTAGAGTGGGAGCTTCGAAGTGGCCTATCGTGGTCGTTTGTGTGATGTTGCTGGCAGTAACGCGCGCCGTGCGAGCCCATGTTGTCCCTTATATCGTCGCAGCATTTTCCGCCCGCTTCTTCTTCGCTCCGGTAATGGCAAGAGGTTTGGCTGAGCACAATCTTGAGATTGGCCAATGACGCAAGCGACGAAGCGGTGAGGTTTCGCAGCGGTTGAAGCGACGGTTCGGCACCGTCGTTTCCATCTTCGCGCGCGTGTCTGTAGTGGATGACGAATCGGTTGGAGGAATACAGCAGAGCGGATGCCTCGCCGTAGATGAGGCGGCAAGACAGCAATAAGCCTCGAATAGGAACCCACCTCCACCGCGGGAGGGGACCGTCCAGGTCGAACAGAATGGGTAGACCATCCCAACGCGCCAAGCCAAGGTACAGGTAAATGCGGCGTCGAACTGAAGGCGGGAGCCGCAGAATGAAAGAGGAAGGGCGAGATGAGTCATGCAACTGCGGCGCCATTTCTACACCTGTTCTCGGCGCGGACGAGGAGACCGGGCCAAGGAGAAGGTTGAGGGAAGGGGTCGGATTTCGGTAACATGAATGGAATTCCGGCCATGTGGTACACGTGGTCGGGCACCTCGGGCACGACTCACGAGAACCAGTCAGAAAGAACTTGGTGTTCTGATGGGACGGGGTTAGGGTTAACTCGGACTTTAGGGGTAGTTTGCGTTATTATCTCGGTAGGTAGGTATGTACCTAGTAGGTACGGTTCCATGTTGGCTTCCATTGCCCCCCCTGCATTTTCCCGCTACGGTACCTAGGTATGTTTACCTACCTACCCTCGGGCCGTCAATCTCGTCCTCGTCCATGACAATCATCTTCTACTCCTCTCTCCTCGTTGCGCTAGGAGTTAAGCATCATTCTCTGATGCCTAGAGCTTTTCATGCTCCTTGAGCCATCTCTTCTTATGAAACTCAACCTCCTTCTCCCTGTTTGTCTTCTTTTCGCTTTCATTGTCTCTCTCCTTTTCCTTCTCTTCCTTTTTCTCTTCCGCCTCCGCACGTCGCTCTGCAGCTTCTTTCTGTTTCTCCACAATCTTGTTGACTTCTTCCTCCAGCTCCTTCACTCTCTTCTCGCGGCTCTCGGGCTCCGACGGTTGTTCTTCGAGGTCCTTCCTCATAGACTCCAGTTCCGTCTTCCTCTTCTGAATCTCGGTCGCGTGGTCTTCATACTCTTGCCGCGCTCTCTTGATGACCTCCTGGAATTTCTCCACGTCCTTCAACGCGTCCTCATACTTCAGCTCTGCCTGCCGCCTCGCAATGCAGCTCTCCAGGTACGGCTCGTAGTTCTTCCTGTCAATGTCCGTCCCCAGTCGACTGTCGATGGCTTCGTTGATGACGGTTTTGGTCTGCAAGCCCCTGGCTCCCTCGAGAGCCTTGAGCTGCTCGGCGAGCTCGCGCCGCGAGAGTCCGGTGAGCGTCCGGACCAGCTCCTCGCGAAGGCCGCGTTCGATAAACTCTCGGATCTTCTCCGGCTTCTCGTTGCGGTACCCCGGCACGTCCATTGCTTCGTTGACGTTCCGCTCCACCGCTTCGTGAAACTGATCGAGCACTTCCTCTGGGAGGGGCTCCTCGGCGATGAACAACTTGGTTTTGTCGCTGTACTGATCGAGGACCTTGTTCTTTTTCCTCTTCTGGACGCCTTGGAGGAACTTCCATGCTCGGTATGGAGCCGTAACGGGCCACTCGATCAGGGCAATGATGTCCCGACACATACGTGGCGTTATCGCCGGAGCAGCGGCCTCAGGAGGAGCCATCAGCATCATCGGAGCGAAGAATCTCTCGGTCACGGCCGCCGCGTCGTTGGGCGACAGCGGCGGGACGCGCATCGGGGAAACCAAGTCAAGGCCCACGGCGTAATACTGATTGGCCTCGCGCTCCCAGTGCTTCTCCGCCGGTGACACGTCGCGCCGGTCCGGTCCGGTCGGCCGTTTGTCGTCCCATGGAAAGAATATCTCCCCGCTGACGGGAGACGTCTTGTCAGGGGCATCGGTCGGCCAGGTGCTGCCCGTGAGACCAGTGACGAGCCCGTCTTTGGCTGCAAACTCGAGCTTCAGGCGGTGTTCTCCTCCATCGCCGTCGGTGACCGTCACAAGCAGATTGCCGTTCGTCCCATCTGTCTCGGATGCGACGGTCTCCTGGCCGTCGATGTAGACCTTGCGGGTGACCGGGTGCACGAACAGCTCTTCGAACCCGAGGCTCTCATCCTTCAGCTTGTACACGCCTCCGGCGAACCGCACGTCGAACTTGGGACCAGGAAGCGTCAGGTCTTCCAGTTGTTTCTTCACGCCGCCCCAGGCAATCTGGTATCCCTGTTCGTGGAACCAATCCAACACCCCCTCGCCGTCCCTGTCGTCGGCAACGGTCATGGCGTCTCCGAGGAAGCGGTTGTCGGTATATAGCCGGTCTAGAAGCTCCTTGAGCCCCTGCGCAGCCCCGGCGGCAGCGGCGGGCATGTACATGTAAGCGGAGTAGGCCAATGATCTCGTGGTCGGGAGGTCAGTGGTGGTGGGAGCGCTCTCAACAGCAGCTATCCCAGCAAAGCCGCCCCCAGCAGCACCACCCCGAGCAGTTTCCACGACCATCTTCCCCGCGAGCACGACGTCATGCGGAAACAGGACCTGCGTGGCCGTCATGAAGCGCGTGCCCGGGGCGAAGACGTTCTGCGTGGCGAAGAAGTCGAGCTTGGGGAAGCTCAGCTCGAAGGGGGTGAGCTTGACACTGAGCTTGTGCAGCCGGTCGGGCACGTAATCTACCATTTCCCTGTGCACGTACCACGGCCTCTTGCGGTACTCGGCCTTGAAATTGAGTTTCGGCTGGTCCGTGGGGTCGCGGAAGGCGAGGCTGATGTCCAAGGAGTCGCCTGAGATGGTGGCGAAGGGGTGCGGCGTCTTGAGTTTGAAGTGTGTGTGTTAGCTACCTGCGTGCGGGGAGAAGAAGAAAGGGGTGGGATTTGGTGTGTCAGGCTAAACACTTACGCCCGGCATGGTAGCGGTTACTGTGGCTCTCCCGCCCAAGTTGGAAGAACCGCCAACTGTGGTATCAAATTCCCAATCTAAACGGGATGTGAACTCCCAGTGCCATTTCGCCTCTGGCGTGATCCCATCGCCTCCCTTGTCAATGACGACAGTGACCGGGTGCATGTCAAAGTCTGTCGTAAAATCGTGCACCGTGAACAACGTCGCACCCCATCCAGAGTTGAGGTCGGAGTAGCAGATCGTCTTGTTCTGGTCGAGGCGGAGATTGAGTTCCAGCCCCGTACCTGAGGTGGGCTTTTTGTCCTCGATGGGCCGGTCACTCTGGAGGTTTTTCAGGAATGTCTTCAGGTTGGGGAGGAGAAAGTCCTTGACGAAGAGGCGGCGAGATATGATGATGGACGAGTCGTAGCCGATCGGGAAAGGGAGAATGTCCCTGGTGCTGGAATGGCGAAACGACGGCGGGCTCATGCCGCTGCCGGCGGTACCGCCCTTGGTCTTGATGAAGACGTTGAGCGCGCCAGGCTGCGTGTTGAACATGCACGAGGTCGGGCGGAGAAAACTCGGACCACTCGTCCGCGGGATCGACCTTGTTGGTCACGACGGCGATGCTATAATGAATCCACTTCACGTGCTTCTTGTCCAGCACGTAGGTGACCAGTCCGTTAACGATGTTGTTCTTCGTCTTGAGCATGACCGAGTCGTCCTCGAGTGGCTTGCCGGTCGTGTTCCGGATCTCTGCATCGATCTTCTCATTGTCGAACTGGAAAGTTATGCAGGTGGACCCAATCTTGTCCTCCTCAAAGTGAATTTCCGTGCCGTCGCCGACAATGGCTCGCGACGGCTCCTCTGGTTTGTTACCCGCCAGCTCGCCTTCAGGCTCAGATATGGTGGACTCCGAGTCATTCGCAAACATGTGGATGACGGGGACGGAGATGTCCACGGCATAAGAGTTTGGCCTAATCGTCACGGGGTCCATTTCCCAATCCTTTCTGCCCTTCCCGACCATCTTGCTTTGCCAACCGCCTTCGATAGGGAAGCTGAGCATTGCCTTGCCCCTGGCGGTGGCAAATTGCAAAGAGGGCTCTCCGAGCTTAATGTCGAATGCCTGGACTAGAGCAGAGTTGCGGTCAATGGGGGTGCTGATCTCGAACTTGAGCGGCACCGGCTTCATCGAGCGCTTCCAGCGAACAGCAAGGAGGTCGTTCAGCTGCTTCTCCGAATAGGAAACCATGACATCCCAGCGGTCGGTAGCCGAATTAGCCTTCAACTCGTCAATGAACTCGACGGGCGGAATGATCGCCATGATGTCGTGTAAGGAGATTTGCTAGAGACTGGGGGGATGGTAATGCGGAATAAATTGGCGAGTATCAATGATGAAGATGCTCAGCGAAGCGAAACGTGAAGATTTCCTGCTCCTGATGGGTGCTGTACTAAGAAGGCATGAGCGCGGTCAAGCTCACGTCATTATTGTGCCCTTTCTTTGAGTGTTCGTCGTCTCAAAGTCCTACAACTTGGGATGAGCGGGTCCGACCCAAGAAGGGGGGGTGGAGGAGTTGGGCTTGAGACCTACACATGTAGCCACCCCAATAAGTAGGTACACGTATAAAGACATATACAGTCAATCCTAGACCGGCTAGATATCTCACCCTTCAAGTGACGTTATGCATCGCGACGCTGTTGGGCAAGGGAAGTTGATCTGTCCGTTTCTCGAGAAGCCTGTCTCCTGATGTGCCCCTTGGCACCCAGAGGCCATCATCCCTCGGGCAGCAAGCAGCATTTTGGCGGACTGGTCTCTTCCAGTACCTAGGTTCTCACGGTGGTTCTTTCTCCAGTTGTGCCGCTACTGCCAACCTGTCCTGCCAGGCGAGCTGTTCAACCCTACCTCTAGTCACTTCAACAGGGCAAGTCACCAACCCAACCCACCAGCAGGTATCACCAGAACTGTCTCGCCATGGCCGAACTCCCGCCCAACCCTGACCGAATGCTCATCCCTCAGCATGACCCGAAGCTTATTCTCTCCGCCGAAACTTCGTTCTCGATGCCAGATCTACCACGGTCAACAGACATCTACGCTGAGGATTTCCATCTCGACCGCGACCTGGTGCTCGAGAACAAGAGTGACGACCCCGAATCAAAAGCCAGCCTTGGCTCGTTCGTCAGGAGTCTCAGCGCTACCGTGCCCGAAGGCAGAGAGCTGCTCAAGATTGACCTCGGCGGCGCCAAAGGCACGGAGGCTGCCGCCAATGCGCTCAGCGGAGGCCAGGTTTCTTGCTTCATCCAGCGGCTAGACCAGCGATATGTTGACACGTTCAACATTGACGGTAAGTCCCAGCTGAAATCCATACCTGGTACCTTTGGATTGTCACGAGCGGCAATTGATAAAAGCCGCTTTCTTTAAAGTGTACGGTGGCCATGCCCACGACCAGGTCTTGAACCCCGACAAGGTGACTCCCGCCTCTCCGCCTGCTGGCGGCAACGGTGGTACTGGGGGCCATGTTTCCGTTGCCTTTGGCAGCTTCGTCAGCAGTCCCCTCAAACTAGCAAGGAAGCTCATCTCCGGCGTCCACCAGAAGCCTGAAGCGTACCCAGCCGGCTCAGCAGACCTCCTCACGCAGTTGACACGCCGTTGCGAGCCTAAGGAGGTTCAAGCCATCACTGGAGTCCCCGAGGCCCTCAAGACCTTGAAAAGGTATCCAAAGATTGACAAGAAAGACTTCTTGCAGGCCCTGATCGAGCTCGTCACCGTCTTTGCCAGCATCGAGGTCCACATGGAGTCTCGGGTCACCCAAAGCATCGGCGTAAAGGGGGGCACCCGGGGTGTCGGGCTTGAGAATCAGAGTGACAATGGCAAACCGGGAGCAGACGGCAACGCTGCTGTCACCCTTGTCAGCAACCCCAAGGCGCCGTGGGAGCTGAGCATGTGCTTTGCCCATCCCACACAGTGCAACATGGTGCTCGAGAGGGCCAAGGCTCGATACTACGCCGGTACGCCCCGGCCTGGGTCTGATGGCAAGGGCAAAGCATCGCTTTTGGCATGGGGTGAAGCGAGAGCGACGTTAGAGAACCTCCTAGATCGGTTGGAATTCCTCGATGATGCCCATCGCCCGACTGACCTGAGCAAGTCTAACCTCGTTGCCGCCTACAAGATTGGAAACGCGACTCTCAGTATCCCGGTTAGCGACACGGGGACCGACGATCTCCCTGCGTCGCTCTCGCAGCTCATTACGACCCGGAACGAGGCCGTCGGACTCTACGCCCAGATGGAAACGGGCTTGGATGCGTTTAATGACTCGTACAACAGCGTGCCACTGGGGTCATTCGGCTCCTACGAGGAGAACCTCAAGTCGAGCCTCACCTACCTCCGCGAAACTGAGCTCCGGTTCAAGGGATACAAGGAGGCCGTGGACAAGGCGGTGGAGAACAAGGAGCACATCGAAGCCAGCAGACGCGCCACCAACGCTGCGATTGCCCACAACGTCAACATGCACCGTGATATCGTGGGCGAGCTCAACAAGACGGCGGCGAACATTGCGCAGTTTGATTATCCCCTCTCCAGGGCCAGAACCAGCCTCACGGAAGCCGCAAACCAGGTCAAACGAGAGTTGGAAAAGGCCATCCCTTTCCCCTTCGAGGAACTGGTCAACGCGGGAACACAGCTCCTGTTTGTGGCCAAGTGGCCGATGGCGGTACTCCAGGGTGTCAACTTGGTCCATCACATGGCGACCAAGATCATCAAGGACGACGGAACTGCAGTGGAGCGGCAGTACCTGGTCCGAAGGGTCAGCAACATCACCGGCTCCATCAAGAGCCTCAAGGAGGGCTACAAGATGCTTTCCAATGGAAAGGTACACGACGAGGATCGGGACGCTTCCAAGCTCCTGGTCCAGGAGAAGGAGTTGTCTGACCTGATGGAAGACGTCAACAACTCGCTGAGCGTAGAGACAGTGAGAAGGGTCAAGACTCTGTTCAAGTTCTACATCAGTAAGCCGGCCCTTTACCCGTGGCCCCAAATAAAGATATCACGACTAACCTGACCTGTCGTCCAAGCCCTCGTTGTCCAGCGGAGCCACGACATCATGAGATATAACGCCCTAGCGTCGACCTTGGTGCGGTACAGGACCGAGTCTCAGTCGCTCCAGCAACAGCGTGACCGGCTCCAGCGCGCCAACGTCGCTACCATCGACGTCCACCACCCGGCCATCGTGGTGTATATGCAGAAACTCTACCTCAAAGCCATCCGCACGACGGAGTACTGGCTGTACAAGGCGCAGCGGGCGTACAACTACGCGGCGTTGAACGACGACAACATCATCGGCGACGTGCTGGGCGACGACCCGCCCTTCTCCCGCTTCGACTCGACCCTCCTCTCGGAGGCGCACAAGAGCCTCTCGGAAGCCTACCAGAAGTATTACTTGGACAAGCTGGGACCCGCGCGGGGGGACTTCCACAAGCGCACAGTCGATCTGGACCCGACGCAGCACATCGAGGTAATCCGCGACAGCGGCAAGAACAGCTGCACCTTCTTCGTCGAGGTCGTCCCGGGCAAGGCGTTCGACGGCATGGCGAACGTCCGGCTCCTGCGGGCGCGGTGCTACCTGGACGGCGCGAAGGTGTCGCCGTCCAACAAGCTGCACCTGACCCTGACGCACGCGGGGATGGAGACGCTGGTCGACGAGGTCAAGAAGAAGCACGAGTTCAAGCACAAGGCCCAGATCCTGACCGCGTTCAAGTGCCACCTCGAGACCAAGGAGGTCGAGTTGGCGAGCACCATCGGGCAGGGGCGCGAGGAGTCGGGCTACGCGCTCGTCGGGCCGTTTGTGACGTGGCGGGTCGATGTGAATAAGGAGTACAACACCGGGTTGGACCTCTCCAATGTGACGGGCGGCCGCTTGGAGTTTGATGGGCATTATCGGCCGATTCGCTAGTCGTGGTGGCGGAGGAAACGTGAGAAAACACTGCGATACGAGCTTCCGTTGTGTTGTAAACCCGTTTGTTGCTTCTGTTGCATAATTAATGCTAAGTTGGTGGTTAAGCAAGCAATTCCTTAAGTAGAGGACTTCAAGGGCCGAGGTAGTCGTTGAATAGTAAACAGGTAAGTCCTAGGAGGTATGTATATGAATGATATGAATCGACACCTAGGTCCAATCTTTGATTTCCGCATACTGAAAACAACGGTCATGTCTCACTGCGATACAATTATTCGGCCGGCTCTCCCAAGTCCCTCAACTTCTTGCGGTCCGCCTCTTTGGCCTGCTCCGACACATTGGGATTCTTCAGTGCAGCCTTGAGTCCGCGAATTCTTTGAATAGTCGCCCGTCAGTGCTTGTTTGGCCGGGGCTTACTGATACACACTCAAAGATGTCACTTACACATTACCCCTATCCTTCTCCTCGGCCATGTGTAAACCCCCGGTTTCGCCAACCGATGCCCTTCTCGCCTTTCTTCCAGCGTGTTGGCCCTTCTCGACGCCCGGCGAAGGGGGTTGTTGAGCTTGACTTCCGCTCGAGTGTGAGTGCGGGCCTGTTGACGAACTCTTGTGGCCGGACGACGAGCGACGTTTGGGTAGTGCCGCCTCCGGCTCCTCCACGGATTCGCCGAACTCGCTGGCTAGGAGGTCACGGTCATGTTCCTTGGCTTCTTGTGAGACACGGGGGTTATGAAGAGCGGCTTTGAGGCCTCGCTCGCGGTTTTTTGGGTCTGCCATGGTGGAAAGTGTCACTGGTGGGGAGAAAGAAATAGAGGTGAGGTTGGCTGGCAAAGCCAAAGATAAGCGAAGACAGTTACTCAAATGAGAAATCTAGATGGGATATTATATGGACTGACACGTCGTCTACCTGGCTGAAGGGTCATTCCCAGGACGCACTCGGACTATGACGTATAGAATGCGCAATTTCTTTCGTCGATCTCTTGCACCGTTCTGGACTGTCAAATCCAGCTACCCCTGACCTTGTGTTTCCAGATTACGGCAGTCTAGTAGTAGAACACATAGAATACAGTATCATACAATCTCCCCTTCAGACTCACCTACCTCAAGCCACGACTACAGCCCAAACGGCCACGTCTCGTCATATTCCAGAGCCACATGGGGCTGATGGACCTCGAGGGCGCCCACATGCCGCGTCTCGTCGAACCAAATAAAACCGTCAAATTGCTCCGGTAGCACCGCCGACGAATAATGTGACTGACGTTCCGTGTGTGGTGCGTAGATGACGCCGATGAAGCGCTCTAGCCGCTTTCTCATGAGCGCCTTCCGCAGCTTCTCGTCGCAGTGCCCTTCGCGGAGGTCGAGGACAAAGCTCTTGACCCCCGAGGCGTGCATCAACTCCTCATAGCTGTTAGCTAGGCCAGGCCGCACTTGCATCACCGACATGTCGCCGTCCCAGCGCCGAGCGGCCGCAACTGTGCCCGTGTTACCGGAGCAGCCGATACTGAGCGCCTGCTTGCCAAACGTCTCCTTGCACAGCTGCCCAATGTTGAGCTCTTCTCGAGACCAGCCCATGCTCGTTGCGCGGGCATCGCCGATGTGGCTGTTGTGTGCCCAGACGACGGCTTTAGCCGGCCCCTTCTTGCCGCGATGCTTCAGCACACGAACGAGCGTCTCAAACATGTGCCTGTCCCGCAGGTTCCAGGACTCGTCGCGGCCGTAGTACATGGCCTTGTAGTACTGTTCGGCGTCTACGCGCTATCAGCAGCAGTGCCTCCCCTGCCTAGCTCTCGCAAGTAAGTAAATCCAACTCACCCTTCACCAGTCTCGCATTCTGCTCTCCGCTATGAAACTCCTCCCCATCGGCCCCCCACGCCGCATACTCCAACCTCTTCGCCAACAAATCCCTCAACACCCTCACCACATCCTTCTCACACCCCTTAAACCCACTCGCCAGCGCCTCCAGCCCATACTCATGCGGCTCCTCCGCCCACATCATCATCCGCGCATACCTCTCCCCCGCCACCTTAGCCATCTCCGGATCCACCCCCTGCAGATACTCCACCACCGCCCGCATCGACGCCCCCAACGAATACAAATCCAACCCATAAAACCCCACCGCCTCGGCCCCCTCCTTCCTCTCACCCTCTCCCCCCCCAACATTCCACGCTCTCAACCACTCCGTAAACCGCTGCACCTCCTGATTCCGCCACATCCAGGTCGGAAAGCGCAGGAACGCCGGCTCGCGGCCCTCCGCGTCCGGCCCCCCCTTGTTCCCCGCCGGTCTCACGCGCGCCGCGTGCCCGGGCCGCTGCCGCACGTACCGGTCGACGGCCTCGGCGTCGGGCCAGTCGGCTTCGACGGCCACGATGTTGAAGCCGTGCTGGGTGATGAGGTGTTTGGTGAGCTCGGCGCGGGCGGCGTAGAATTCGGAGGTGCCGTGCGAGGCGTCGCCGAGGAGGATGATCTTGGGTTCTTCTGCTTCTGAGGAGGAGGGGGGGGTGGTGCAGAGGCGGGTGATGAAGTCGGTGAGGGTGGTGGTGGATTCGGTGAGGGGCGGGATGGGGGTGAGGTTGGCGCGGAGGAGGGGGAGGGCCGGGTCGTCTTGGATGGTGGTCATTTTGATTTTGGGGTGGTGGAAGGGGGTTTGTTTTGGGGTGGTGGTCGCCGTGTGGATGGTTTGTTGTTTGTGTTGTTGTTGTTGTTGATGTTGGTGTCGATTCTGTGGGTGTAAGCTGGTTGGCCTTGAAGTTGGTGAGAGAAATCGGACTAATGCAGAAATAGGGGCGAGTCGCGATGCTCGGCCGAGTGTGACGATGGGGTTCACGACGGTCCCTTTTGGAATATTCATGGCCTTGAATAATTCTGTACGTGTTAGACGCGTCCAAGGGATTCGTGGGTTACAGCGCGTCTAGTAGTTAGATCCATGACGAAAGCGGTCACCCGCGACAGGAAATATTGGATGGTTTGACGTCAGGGCGGCAAACTGATATGCGGGGTGACCAACCTCCCACGGCACAGCATCTCGATTCACTCCCATGGTCCCCATTGGCAGGTTTTACTGACCGGCTTTGTCAGAGGCACCGAGCCGTGAGGGCAACCACAACACGCTTTGCTTCTGGCGGTAAGGGTTAATTTTAATACTCCAGGGGATACTGGAAGCACATCGGGAATCAACAACAGTGGCTGCCTGATACTGACATAGAAACGTCCTGCGTTTATTATGCTTATAATCCTACTCTAAGCGCACCGCGCTGTCTAGGACCCCTCTACCCTATCCCGCCTCCTCACAACCCAACAGGCGCCAGGCCTTGTACTCGGCTGTCCCCTTCCCTGCCCAAACACCCGCGGATATCACCCCCTCAAACAAACCCCGAACGCCAGAAACCCCCCAGATGCAACCATGCAGTAATTAAATGCCATGGTGGACATCTACTTGTGGTTGTACGGGTTGTTGCACCTCTCCGAGACGCGGGCCTTGCCGGTGCCCTGGCAGGAACCGCACATCTGCAGGCGGTTGTTGTAAAGGTGACCGGCCATGGTTCTGGCGTTGCAGGTGCAGTAGGTCTTGGACTTGTGGCAGACCCGGCACATCTTACCGGTGCCGTGGCAGTGCTGGCAGTTGGCGTTGACGGTGTAGGTCCGGCTGGCGGTGGCCGAACGACGGCACGTGGGGCAGGTGGTGGCAGGCATGTTGGCGAGTGTGGTTTGGTATACCGAAAGTAATAGAGAGTAGGTAGTTGTTTGAGTTTGAATGTGGATGTTGGAGTGAGTTTGAAGGCTGAGTTGAGAAGTTGTGACTGTTGATGGCTTTCTTCCCCTTCAGAACGTGGAGAGGTTCGCCGACTTTATAGAGATGTGAACCCGGCATTGTTCTAAATGAGCTTGAGCTGCCTCCATGGTCACCTCGTTGGGTCCCGAGATGGAACCACGTAGTGATGCGATGGCCAGGACAGCGGTCCGAAACAAGTTGTTGTGAGCCTAGGAACTGGCTTGCAGGCTTCAAGGCGTGGCACCTTTGTTGCATGCCTTGGTGTCGTGCTTCAAGTTACCTATTTGGGAAACCTATCACGGCCCATCCGATGTAAGGCAGCGACAAGCTTCTAGTGTCATCGTCCTGTTACGGGGAGCCCGACGCCTTGGTCTCGGTGCTGTACAGGCACCGACCTTGTTTGAGACACAAGGAGGTGACCCGGCTTCGCATGGCGGAGCTGCGCCGCCGTTGAGTCTGCACGATCGTTAGACCAGAAGGATCTTGTAAGTTGTTGGTCTAGAGTGAAGAGCCCGAAGACAACTTGGTCAGAGGCAGCAGGTCAACGGATCCACCTAGCTACGGTATTGTGTCTCAGCTTTGACTATCAGTGTCTTCCTTAAGCCTAATCCCTAAACTTTTGGTGGAGGCACTGACAAGGCAACGAATTCTCAATCAACGTTCAGCGCCGCGATGGTGGCTTGTTGTCTCCATCGTCTCCATCGTCTCCATCGTCTCCATAGTCTCCACCGTCTCCATCATCTACGGGTGCTAATCCAGGCACCTAGACCTGAGACGCCTGCTCGACATCGCAAGACACGGAAGTAAGGGGTTGGCCAAGGTACCTACCAATGCACGCCCGTATTATAACTTGCCATGCTATTAACATTGCTCCTAGACGAGGAAGACTGAGGATCAAGGTAGGTAGCCTTGATACGGCGAGTTTTCGCCAGGCTGGCTGCAACCCACTTATGGAGTAGAGGAAGGGATATATCCTACGTAATACGAATAGAGCGTTTGAATATTGAAGGCAACTAGGACGGCAAGACACCCGGTTGGCTATTTAATTCCCACATCGGCACTCGGCAGTCAGGCAATGTTGGATGAAGCTTCCTGTGGTGCTGTGCCACCGACTATGGATTTGGACTCTTGGAGTCTTGGATCAATGCCACCATGAAAATCCATTCCGCGCAACCACCCACACGCTGTCTTTCTGAGTCCGGTTCCACTGCAATGCAACGCGACCTCGGTCTCAAAAGACCGAGGTCTCCACAAACCCAAACCCAGACCCGTTCGTTCCCCACGCGATAACCCAAAGGAGCGAGGGAGCCAAGATCCTTCTCAGGCGGTTGCGGCAGGCAGCTGCAATAACTGTTTGATCTGCCTCGGAGTGGGCCATAGAGTCGTCCATGGCTATTGCTAATATAAAGCTTTAAAATCCCCAGACAGCCAAACAACCTGAAGTTGGTCTGCCGTGCTCTAGTATGTACAGGCCAGAGCAAAGTATTAATTTGATTGGCTTCCCCGAACTCAGGAACACAAGGGGGCGATTTGATGTCACTCATGACATCATGGAACCAATAACCATAGCTATACCTGGATAGCTACCTGGATAGCAGTAGCGGAGGAGAAATCGACAGTGCAGTGGAGGAGTGAAACGGTTTATTCACCAACAAAACTCAAAAACCCCTGAAACCTACCGACTCTCTCCTAGGCAATGGTCCGACTTTCCCCCTTGTTCGTAATGTTGGGTTGGTTCTCCCTCGGAGACACGCAAGAGCATCACCAGCAGCATGTTCTGAGCGAAGAGGTGGCGGGGCCTGAACCGTTGCCACAGGCCGCCGAGATGGTCCGTGATAAGTGCGTTTGAGTGTCTTCACACGCCCCAGACTCAAACCATTAACGCAGCAACAGGCTGAAAAAGGCCGAGATCATACCCACTGGTACATACGCCCAGCCCCTCGAGCCACACCGCTCCCAAAGACACACACGACGACACCCCAACCCGGAAGCCCCAGTGTAGACTAACTCACCGTCCCAGTCATCGACGACTTCCTCCCCTCCCTCGGCCTGCACGCCACCTGGCCCTCACACCACAAGCGCGCCGAGCTGGGCAACACCCTGCCGCCCTCCCAACTCGGCGACGAGCCCTCCATCGCGCTGCACGACATGCGCGCATCCTCCCAGAACCCCACCACCACCACCTCCTCCTCCAAAAAAGTCACCTACGCCATCACCCTAACCGACCCGGACGCGCCGTCACGGAATGCACCCGCGTGGGGCGAGTTCTGCCACTGGGTCGCGGCCGGCGTGCTGGAGCCGGCGCTGTGCGACCCGCGCGAGCCGGGCCCCTGCGCCCCCGTGCTGTCCCACCTGCGCGAGATTGTGCGCTACAAGGCGCCGGCGCCGCCCAAGGGTACGGGCTTGCATCGGTACGTGCTGCTGGCGTTCGTGCCGAGTAATGGGACGACGGAGAGGTTGCGGCTGTCGAGGCCGGGGGGGAGGAAGAGGTGGGGGTATGGTGGCGGTGGTGGTGATGAGGGTGATGGGGATGGGGATGGGGATGGGGATGGTGGTGGTGGTGGTGATGCGGGGAAGGGTGGGACGAGAGGGGTGAGGCAGTGGGCGAGGGAGAATGGGCTCGCGCCTGTTGGTAAGTTATTGCTGTCCTGGGGTTGTTTGTTTGCTCGTTTTGTATACTTGGGACGTGGTGCTGATGACCGAGTTCAGGGGCCAACTTTATCTACGCCAAGCACGAGGAGTGAGTTGTTGGGTCTCCGTAACCATTGTCCTTGCGGAGTATTGTCCTTTTCCTTTTCCATAGGTGTCTTGGCTTTGGATTGAGACAGGGGGGCGCCGATCACAGCTGCAAGATCAGGCCTGGGCCCCATGTTTGCTACCCAAATCCCAAATCCGAGCCCTGGTGTTCTGTCCTCCCTTGCCTTTTGGGCCGTGTCCACACATAAATCCGACGGGTTACAGACAGCTCGCTATCCTGAATCCCATCAAACATGCATTCCACACGGTATCCGCTTTTGGGCTATCGGTTAACCCTCCTTGGCCCCGGAACCATCCCCGTCGGCCTAATCCGGATGCACCAGCATCCGCTTTAGCCCAGTCCAGCTGAGGAGAGCAGGTGAGTGCGGCAGCTCGGCTTGTTGAACTGTCTGCCATTGGTGGACGTCGGCACCGGGAGGCAACCTTGGAGGTCTGCCGTCCCATTCTGGTGGACGACTGGCTCGTCCATCTTGGTTTGAGAATGCAGTTCACTAATCGTTCTGGGTTGCTTTTTCTGCAGCTCAGCCCAGGAGGCTTGAGGCCTGAGCCCCCCTTGAACACCCCCTGAGTCCTCCAAAGAAGCCCCCCACGCCCCGGCCGGCACCCAAACCCATGGGATCGGCCCTGTGCCACCCCCGCTAATTAAGAGGGGCGAGAGCTCCCATCCCTTTTGCCATGTGTTACCTGAATTCCCTGGACCCTTCGTGCAAAACCAGCTGCTTGCGCTCGTGCGCTCGTGCGCTCGTCCACTCATTCTTCGAGAACCAGTCTGCGGGGACGCGCCAGGGGTGGAGAGCAGAAACAACCCAACGAAACGAAACACACTTCTTATTAGTTCACAAGGTGTCATTCGACGGCCATCGGTGAACCTCTTTACTTATTTATTTATCATGAGCCCACCGTCATACCGATCCATTCAACCAGCACCGGTCAGGGGCGCGAGGTCTGGGAGCGGCGCCCCCTCTGGCTCCTCCAGTTCCTCCGGCTCCACCGGCTCGGGCTGGCTCAGCGCAAAGGGGCTCACAAAGAGACTGAAAGCAGTGACACAAGCATGCCATACATGCCGCCGTAACAAGGCAAAGGTAAGAGCCGCTTCGGACGGTTGGACCCGGACTCCTGGAGCCCGCCAACCCCACGCGCCCAGCCAGTTGGTTAACATATCCACCCCCACCAGTGTGACGGCGTGCGACCTCGGTGTGGCGCTTGCACTTCGAGATCTTCCCCTTGTGGATACGATGGCGAGGCCGGACAGTCGCGACAGGCCGCTCTCAGGGCTCGCCTCGAGGAGCTGGAGAAGATGGTAAAGGACCTCCAGTCAATGTCCGACACCGACGCCGAACGCTATCTCCGTCGCATCAGATCCTCAGCAAATGATTCGTACATTGCCCCGCTTCTCAGCACCGAGACGGACGATCGATCCACCAGACAAGCAACCGTCGCAGCCTCCTACACATCTTCCGAGTCTTCTTTTCCCGATCGCTCCCCAGAGGCCTCGACTTCTCCCGCCGCCTCCGGAACTAGCGGAATTGCAGTCACGTCGTTATCTGACGATCCGTCGCCCTCCCCAAGAGCAACACAGTCGCCAGCCACTGATGACCTCGCCGCCCTCTTACACTTCGATCTGCCTCTCCCCAGCGCCAAAACAACATGGGCCGGCGTCCAGAGCTTCTTCAGCTCGTGTGGAAAGCTCTTCCATATCTACACCCAGGAGCAAATGCTGGACTACTACCGGGCCGTGTTTGGCATCGACGGCAAGGCCGACACCTCCCAAAAACTGGCCATATGTTGTCTGTATGCTTTCGCCTCGGTAGGTATCCAGTACAACGCCGGCGATTTCCAGAAGGGCCTGGGGGAGGCGTTCCACAATGTCAGCCGCCGCTTCTTCTCCGAAGTCATGGAGGACCGACCCCTCGACACCATCAAGGTCTGCACGCTGTTTGCCATGTATAACATCATCGACAAAGCGACGGTGGCCCTGGCTTACGTGGGTAGGTTGCCCCTTTCTTGTGGGGCTTGTCGAACAGCAGGACTGACAGCACCCCGCAGAGGTTGGTCTCAGCATGTCCAAGAGACAGAGCCAGAGTACTGGAGCCTGCCATCCCTCCATGATCTCGTCAGAAGAGTGGATCGACTTCCGGAGGACTTGGCGGGCCTTGCTATTCTTCGCTAGGTGTGTCCTTGCAACACAAGTGTGGCGGTTTAGCCCCCCATTAACCTTTACCAGTTGGCTTTCCTCAACCCTTGGGTATATTTCCGGTTCAGACGACTCCGAGTTTGCGAAACTCCTCCCGGTATGCCACCAAGGACACTGCTGCTAGTGAAACATGGCTTGCTAATCACCATCACCCTACCCTAGATAGCCGAGCAGGATCACGACAGCTACAGCGCGGAGCTGGGTGAGCGTACGTGGGCATTCCGTTCGCCGTGCAACTTGCAACCGTTGGTAGTCTAACCATGTGTGCCTTGCAGTCGTCCAAGCCGAGATGACCAAGATATCGCTCCTCCAAGCCGGCATCCTGCGCAACCACCTCGCCGTCCAGGAGCTCACGACGCTGGGCATGGACGGGGCGATCCGCGAGCTCCAAGACTGGCACAGCCAGCTCCCCGAAGCGATGCAGCTGCAGAGCCTGTACCGGACCGACTGGCCGCCGCTGGTGCGCTGGTCCATCTACCACCTGCACCTCCTCTACCACGGCGCCTTCATGCTGGTGTACCGCCGCATCGCCGCCCACTGCGTCCGCCTGCAGCGCACCGGCGGCGACCTCGCCGTGGCCGGCCGCGAACCCACCCTCAGGAGCCTGGTCGAGCAGGGCATCACCTCGGCCCGCGATACCGCCCGCATCGTTAGCCTGCTGCTCGGCGAGCAGGGCGTCTTCAAGCGCTGCTGGATCGTCATGTAAGTTCCTTCCGTCTCCATCCCCGTTCCACCCCACACCCCACACCCCCTTTTACCCACCCACCCATCCAAGCCCCATCACGCCCTAACACCTCTCTCCCATCACCAGCTTCGCCTCGCACACGGCCTGCGTCGTAATCCTGCACTCGGTCGCCCAAAAGCAACTCCACAACTTCCCCCCCTCCGCCTGGGCCGAGGACATGAAGCGAGCCCAACAATGCATCGACGTGCTGGGCTACTGCGGCAACGCCGACCCCGTCGCGCTGCGCTTCCGCGTGCGGCTCTCGGGCATCTACGACAGCCTGGTGTCGGCGTCCGAGGCCGCCACCCCCCCGCACGCCGCCCGCATGCGCCGCGTCGAGGACTGGGTGCCGCCCCACCCCGATGCCGCCCCCGACGACCTGCCCGCCTACGCCGAGCCCCACCCGGTCGAGTACCTCTTCACCGCGCCCGCGGCGGGGGCTGGGCCCGCGGCGAGCCTGGCGCTGTCGAACCTGGCGTTTTCGTTGCTGTTCGCGCTGTGCCGGCCGTGGACGGACCCGGCTAGTATCGCGGGGGTTTCGGGGACCGGTGCGGGTGGTGGGACCAAGATGGTGGGGGTTGGGTCGGAGGATGGGGATGGTAGTAGTGACGGGGGCCGGGTGGCGCACCCGCCGCTGGAGAAGCTGGATTGGGACTTTGAGAAGGTGACGCCGTTCCGGTGGGATACCGATGGGATGGGGATGCTGAAGGAGGGGGAGGTGGTCGGGGCGGGCGGCTGTTTCTTGGATAGTGAAGGGCCGAGTGGCTGGAGGCAGGCGGAGGATCTGGAGGAGGGCGGGGGGCAGTTGCAGGAGGTGAAGGAGGAGTGGACGGGTTCGGACCAGATGGTGTTGTGTTGATGATGCCTAGGTGGCGTCGGGCTTACCAGGACCTGTGCGTACCGGATGTTGTTGGAGTTGGGGCGATTGCGGTCTGCGACATGTTAGCGGCGGTGTTCTCTTGCCTTCTTTTCCCCGTATCACCTCTAGGCCTGTCCCCGAGGGTCGGACACCAAGGATCCAAAGTATGCTTATGGATACGGGGCAGAACTTGTTGGAACTGGTTGTACACAAGAAACAAATTGCTATTCGGAGAGATCTGAAACCCATGCCGCCCTCGGCAGTCCGTTCATCAAACGCCTTGACCAGCCAAATGGTCTGCCCTCCTCCTGTGAACCCCAAACGCCTATCCCGTAAATACGACAAAATGTCATGACCATATGGCTCTAGTTCCAGTAAATCTACGACGCCAGCAACCGCCCCTGCCCCTCCCCTGGCGCCAGCCCCAGTTTCATCTTCTGTTCACTCTCCTGCCACCGCCTCAACTCGTCGAGATTCACCTGTCCAATGATATTCCCCCTCTGCGTCTTCAACTCGGTCATCTTCATCTCATGCTTCTCCCGCGCCCCGCTCAGCTTGGCGTCCCGCTCGAGCTGTTTCCGCTTGTGCAGCAACTCATACTCCTGAATCATCTTCTGGTTCTCATACGTCAGCTGCTGCACGTTCTTCTCCTCGCGCCCTTGCAACTTCTGCTGCTGCACCTCGCGCATGTGCGCCAGGCTCCGGGCGTGGCGGAGGTCTTTCGCCTCGCTCTCAAGGGTGATCTTGTCGCGGCGCTGGTCGAGCCGTTGATGGTGTGAGTGGTACCGGTGGGAGAGGTCCGCCTCGCGCTTCTGGGCGAGCATCGAGAGGTCGTCGGTGTGCTTCTGCCAGCGGATGCTCGAATGCACGTTGGCAGCGCCGAGCTTAATTTGGGAGTCGTTGTGATGCTTCTCGGCGCGCATCTGGATGGTCTGGTTGTGTTCTAACCCGCGGTGGCGCTGCCGTTGATGGGAAATATCTTCATGTTGCTGAATGGTGCGGTGGTGTTTGTCCTCTTCGAGCTGTGCGATGGCGATGGCCTTTTCGCGCTCTCTCCGAATCGTGTTGGCATGATCTTCCTCCATTAAACGCTTTTGGCGCTCGCGGGCACGCCGGTCACGTTCGTAGTCCCGGATTTCCTCGGGGAGCCCGACCGCGTCGTGGGGTTGGGCTTCTTCAATCGTGGCGTAAAACCGATCCTCCGAGCCGTGGGCCCTGAGGAGTTGTAGGAGGGTCTCGGACGGTGTGCCGAGGAGAATACCCTTGGCCACGTACATTGTGGGTGAGTAGTGCAGAGTGCCATGTTGATACGTGTTTTCGTGGCTGTTGAGTGTTTTGTAGAGCATCCGCTCAAGAAGAAGTCGAGTGATGGATTCGTTGTGCTCGTTATCGAGAGCGAGGAAAATGACCGTTTTGCCGTGGACCTTGAGCAAAGGGCTGGCTTCTACCGCAGAGAGAAGGTCGAGTGCTTCTTCCGCGGCGGCGATGTCGGTCGGGGGAGTGGCTTTCAAGGCGATTTCTCCAAGGGCTGTACGGCCGCCGTGTTTGATCGACCTGAAGTTCGAATCATGCCCAGCTTCAAGGAGAAGCTGCATCACCTGAACATGGAACCCGCGGGTGGCCTCGTGGAAGCTTCCGTCGTTCACAACCGGCTTGCTCTCCAGTAAAAGCTCCACCAGGTCAGCATTCCCAGATCGAGAGGCATAGAAGAGCCCCGAGTGACCGAGAGCGTCCTTGGCCGACACCCTCGCGCCCGACTCTATCAGCATCCGCACAATGTCAACTCGGCCAGATTTCACGGCGAGTAAAAGCGGCGTGGTTCGTGATCTCGGCGTGGTGTATGAGATATCAGCTGGAATCGCTGGTTAGTATGTGTGAATTGCGCGGGATCATATGAGCAAGTGCTTACCGCCGTGATGGATCAACGATTTGAGGACATTCAGGCTAACGACGCCTTCCTCTTGAAGCAAAACCCACATGAGGACCGATGCGGGCTCGAGCTCCGAACTAACCACCCTGTCTTCCCTATCCCGAGCGTGATGAGAGAAAACATGCATAGGGACGGTCGTCTCCAGCCGGCATCCGGCCGAAACCAAGCTATCCAATATGGGTACGGAGTGGCCGTACGACTTGAGGCACTGAAAGATCGGGGGTGGCATTCCCGGGATAGACTTGTTGAAGTCCGGGGCTGTGGCGCGCACGCTCGCAAAAGTGCTGATCAATTTTAATAACAGTGACTCTTCGTGATGGGCCATAACGGAGGCTGTAAGGGCAAGGGTTGCGGAGGAAGGGGTAGCGCCATGGGTTAGTAACAGCATCAAGAGAATGGGGTCCCCTCGACTGGCTGCAATGCTGATGGCCTTGCCGTTCTCGTAGTTGACGTCGACGTTGGCAGCGAACATCCTACGCAAGAACGTGTCTGCTAGCTCGGCTTGGGACTCCTGGCAAGCGAGATGGTCGACAATCTCCACCATTGCTTTGCCCGCGATGGGTCCTGAAGCGCCGTTTTGGAGGAGAATGTCGATCACTTCGACGTTTTCGAAGGAGATCCAGTGCTTGCCGCGACTGACGATGGCCGCCAATGCTTGTCCATAGATAGTACTGTGATGACCCAGATATGCTGACAAGAGGCTAAGCAGGTCATGGTCGAGGGTAGACGCGGCGTACTTGATGCATAATCCATCCTCGAGTGCCGCTTCCGCGCCCGCGTCGAGGAGTAACCTGACCATGTCTAGGTCCGTGTCCTCTTCGAGCACGACGTGCTTGAGCGCTGTGTTGAGGTGATCGAGCTGGAGCCGACTAAGGAGATCACCGAAAAGGAGCCTGCGATCTTCTCTCGGGGCTTTCAGTGCCTCGAGGACAGCGGTGAACAAAGCTTTATAGCCCAGCCCTTGGCCGAGGAGTAGATGGAATGTTTCTTGTCGGAAATTCCGGATGGCATAAATGAAGACCTCGCCGTTGTTGTAATTTACCGATGCGCGTGTCAGGAGTAGCTCCACGATTGCCCTTCTCACTCATTAGCTTGCAAAAGAGGACGCGATGATAAAAGTCCGAGACTTACGCTTGGTCGGGTTCCGTTTTAAGAATTGCCACAAGGGCCTTTCCAGCCGCATCCTCGTTAATTTGGCGATGGACAAGCATTTCGACCAGCAGCTGCTTCTTTTGCCCATCTCGGACATCCATGGCCCATCCCAACGCAGTGCCCAGTGAGTCGGGCGAAGGCTCCTTGGCCAGAATCTCCTCGGCAACTTCCACGGAACCGGCCCGAACAGCGATCTGCAAAGCCTCCCCCTTCCCGAAGTTGACGTCTGCCTTCCCTTCGTGGAGCAAGAGGTAGAAAAGCCGCATATCCCGCTCGATTCCCATCTTGTCCCGGCGCTTCATGTTGGCAACGAGGCAGTGAACAGTCTTGACGAGTGCTTCAGCGGCACAGGGGCCCTGTGCGCCAGACTCCACGAGGAGGCGAGTTGCTTCGTATCGGAACTGCGGCCCGCCGACACCCACGGTTTGCGAGATGGCAATGGCGAGGCTCGTTGAGGATGGCTTGAACTCGAGTAGCTTGGCGACAACGTCGAGTTGCTCGGCGCGAATCGCTTCGATCAAAGCAGCCGCCTCGTACTGGCCTGGTGACTTTTTGTACCGCAGAATAATACCAATGAGGTGAATGCGCCGTCGCCTTACAAGCTCGATCAGGCCTTCGGTTACCAAACGGATCGTCTCAGGTCCGGTGGCGCCTGCAGCCAGGCATAACTCGAGCATCTCACGGTTCAGGCCGGTATCGTACTCTGCGAGCAATGGGCGGAGTTTTCCCACAGAAGCATCGAGAGAGCGGGAGGACGGCTGAACCGCACCGGATAAAAGGAGGGCGACAAGGTCGGGGCGAGATATCTCGACGGCCCTTGTTAGTGCAACGGCGTCGCCGTAGTTGACATCGGCCCAATGCTCCAGGAGCAGACGGACGACCTCGACGGAGCGGTTCTCAACGGCGATCCGAAGGCCAGTTGAACGGCAGGCCAGACAGGGGAGGTGGTGGCCAGATAGGAGAACCCTGAGGAGGTCCTGTTTGTCGTGGAAGACCACCTCCTGGAAATCGTCGTGGAGATGGACCGGGCTCGCACCATGTTCCAGCAACGCAGCCACAACTGCCAAGTTACCCCTGACTATCGCTTCGTGGAGAACGCTGTCAAGATTAGATTGGTCGGCGTGGGCAGCGATTGCATGGACAGTCTCGGGTCGACACCGGATAACGGCTCGGAGGAGGATGTTGTTTCGCTCCCCGGGCATGTTGCGTTGGGTGATTTTGTTCCAAGTGGTGGAGTGTCTCCGGCGGACGAAGTTGACGTCGGCCCCCAGGGCCAGGAGTGCCTTCACCACACCGAGCGAACCATCGGATTCGACAACCTCCGAGAGTACTTTGTTTACCTCCCGAGCCGTGTATACAGTCCCGGCCTGGGACGACAGGCGGTTCCGGACCCATGAGAGGGGTTGTCCGTCGCGGTCGACAGCCCGCTGGGCTTGGAGGAGCTGGGTCGCCTGCTTGATCTCGGGCTCCATGTCATCGCCGGGATGATGAATGCTGGGAGACTCAAGTGAGGCCAAAGGCGGATGTTGGTGTGACTATCATTGTTCGGTGGAAGATGGAAGGCTGAATGGGGTTAGGGGCCCCTTTCAAGCGACGCCGTGAAGGGGCGCTCTTGTCGTACATGCACATGGCTGCAACACAGAGCCAACAGCATGCCGGGCATTTTCACTGCCTTGGGGGCTGCCAACTTGAAACTGTCTGGCTGCAGCGGTCAGCGAGCAAGAAAGCAACTGGAGGATATCGCCCTTGCATGATTCGCGATTCTGGCCCGAGAGTGCGGAACTGCCTCAATAGTCCCATGAGCTGCGCCGCCCTCGCGCTTGACGGGCGATTGTTCACAGTTCCATTGGATGTCAGTGGGGTCGTCGAGGCCCCAAGCAGATCCCATGTGTCGTCGCTGGAGCGATGCTGGCCATTCATTTGGTTGGCTCCAAGCTGCCGAGTCTGCATCAGTAGCCGCTGAAACAATCGCAACCCCTGGCACTACCGCGAATCCCCAGGGGCAATTAAGCGCTCTGGACCTGCAGCTTGGTGTGCATGCGACCCTGGAGGCGACCATGGACCAACAAACCGCGACCTCGACATGCACTCAAGGCGACCAAGCGTTGATCGAAGGAAGAGAAGAAGTCGGCAATTGCCTGATGCGGCCAACACCAGGGTGCCACGACATTCAGGATTCCCTCCCAATTTCGATCCCAGGGGAGGTCACATCAACTCGCCTGCATGCACGATGGTTCCTGGGCCCTGAAAGCCGGGCAGCCTTGTTGGAGGAAATGTTGGAAAGATTTTCCCAATCGAGGGGAATTTTGGAGTTTGCCCAATCTGTGTGATCAGGCAAGCGCCTTCTTTCCAGCTTAGGCCACCATTTGAGGCCTGCGGTGTTCCTGTCAGATGCGGCCCGAACCATCGGCCTTAAGCGGGTGGGCACACATGGCATGGGAGCTGGAGACAAACGGGCAAGCACGAACTGACTGCAAAAGACTCAACGAATGGGAAGCATAGCCCTTTAATTTTCAGCTTGTTGCCTAGCGCACGGCCGCCTGTGTGTTTGTCACCCACCAGCTGGGATTTACCTGAATTGTTCCTGTCCATCTCCCAGGCACCATCATGATCATCCCACGCCCGCCGAACCCCGGAATTTGCCTCACCATTGGCGCGGGGTTTATTTGGTGCTGCGAAGCCCTCTTGCTCTGGCAAGGAGAGCAGTGCACACAGCAGCCGCCGCGACAGCCGTAGATACGGCAAAGGAGTAGCGAAGCCCGTCGTAGTAAACAAGCCGTGCTTTGAGTTGCACATCCGGAGGAAGCGTCTTGATGGCGGATACCGAGTGTCGGATCTCGTCAATAACCTGTGTTGTGCCCTGGTGTAAGTATCTCGCTTATCCCCGGCCTCCGATAATACACAAAGAAATGTAAACAGCAAGGAAAAGGGGCGTACTCTCCATTTGTCTGGTATCTCGCCCAAAGCATCCGGAAGCCGGACGCTGAGCGTGGTTTGCACAATGGCAGATGTGATGGCGACGCCATACACAGTTCCTAGAGAGCGGATCAAGTAGACCGTCGATGCGGTCACAGCATGATCTGAAGTTCGTCAGCGACCATGTCATCAGACCCCGGTCCGAATATTTGTGTGGTCACTCACCCGCGTGATCAAACGTGGCAAGTGAAGTGAAGAGAATGCCCGGATACACGATCCCTTGGCCCAGGTTCGCAGGAAATATGTACACGTAGTACTTCCATACGGAGTCCTCAAAGCCAAGCGACGTGACCAGGGCGTTCCCGATAACCATGAGGATGGCCCCGACTCGAACTAGGGTCACCAACTTCCCCCATCTCGACATGACGATGCCGGCAATGAGGCCACCGATGGGAGTCGCAAGTGAGGGGATCGCGAGGCGTCCACCGGCAGTTGTGGCAGAGTCAAGCAGGACCACCTGGAAGAAAAGAGGAAGGTTGAACAAATACTACAGCAACAGTCAGTCCCTGTTCCAGATCACCAACGCACGCCGATACTCACCGCATATGCAGATGTTCCAACACAGATGTTGGAAAACTGGATCAAAGCAGGCAGCTTGCCGTGAAGCAAGCGGAGCGGGATGATTGGAATGGCGGGAGTCTTTGCTTCCACGATCAGGAAGAGCCCGAGGAGGACGAAGCTGCATATGAGCGAGCCTACAACCCACGGACTGCTCCAGGGAAGCTCGTTGCCGCCGAGGCTGAGACCAACAAGCTGTAGGGAGATGGCAATGACCAGCAAGAATGAACCGGTAAAGTCCACCGTGGCCCACGTCTCTCGAAAGCTTTGGCCCAAGTGAAAGCCGCCCTCGGGGTTCTTGATGACCAATGCACCGACAAAGAGCGCAAAGATCGATATTGGAACCTGAAGGTTGAAGCACCACCGCCAACCGATGCTATCGGCGATGGACCCCCCAAAGGACGCGCCACAAATGGCTCCGAAACCAAACATGCCGTTTTGCAACGCCTGATACATGCCACGCTTGCGGAACGGAATCATATCCGAGTTCACAATCGTCGCTTGGGGAGTATTAGTTACCTGTCCACGCCGATGAGCTCAGAATACACATACCCATCGTCATCAAGCCGCCACCCCCGAACCCAGTCAACGCACGCATGCAGTTGAGGAGCACAATATCGCCAGCAATTCCGCAGCCCAGGCAGCCGAGGGCGAATGTGATGGTCGAGATGAAGAAGCACACCCTGCGCCCAAAAATATCCGACACCCGGCCGTACAAAGGTTGAAATGCCGTGCTTGTGACCAGGTACGAAGTCGTCAGCCACGATGCCGTGTTGGCTGCGTCGAACTCGGAGCTGATCACCGCATATGTCGCAGCTGTGATGGTCCCGTCAAAGCCGTACAGAAAGACATTGGACATGATGGCCACTTGGATCCATAGGAAACCCCTCGGCGGCTTCCAAGAGTCCTCCTCAGGCGCGCGAAGAAGTGGCTGGTCTTCTCGCGCCTGATGGACCCCATTCTCGGTTTCTGGAGATGTCATGATGTTTGCTGCTCTCGCAAAAAGGACGTTGCCGTTCTGGGAAGACTTGAACGATACGGATCGCAATCTACAAAGTCAATGGCGCAAAAGTTGTTGGATTTTGTTGAGCCCATGCTGGCCATCTGAAATTTTGTGGATCGTTGCGTTGGCGGGCGCCGATCGGCCGTGGAACATACTCAATTTACGCATATCCCCGGTATTGCCATACATTACCCCTGAGTCACGCCGAGGCCACCCCTGGCACTTCGGAGCAGACACCGACCGGTTGCCGGGCCGGGGGCATTGCGGGCCTCCTGCCTCCGGTCCCGGCACCACCCCGCACGCCGTCCCGCTCTCAACCAGCTTGCGGCCCATGGTTCTACATGACAACCCCTGGAATATCCAACTGGTCGCTGACACGACCGGTTTGTCGCCATCCATAGCTCCGATGATGAATCCAAGCTCGGGCTCATTGTCCGTTTTTATTGGTCAATTGGGAGGTCTGAGGGAAACGTGAACATTCGAGACCGATCCACGGGTCAACGTCGAGCTCCCCAGGGTCACACCGAGTAGAATGTCCAGAAGACCCCCACGGACGGCCATAGCTTGAGTTAATGCCGGTACTACATACCACAGGACGCCGTTGGCCGAACTTGGGGTTGCTCCTGTGTACAAGGGCGGAACGGAGTGCGTTGAATGGTTGCTTGGATACCGCAGACCATGTCCCTTCCCCAATGACGTCTTCTCCCCGCGCCATTGCAGCAGCAGGAAGAGCAGTGATCTGGCTCGGAAGATGGAACCATGAATTTCCCTGATGGCGTGATCCACCCGTTAACTTCGCCATTTCTCAAAGCTAGTCGTCGTCGAACTTAAATTCACACGGCATCCGCTGTGTTAGATATCTGATTGCTGCTTTGTTTACATTTGAAACGAGTGACTTTCAAGTGCATGCCAACTCATCCAACTCACTTTAAAGGAAAACGTGGAGGAATCTTAAAAAAAACATCTTTTCTTTTAGGAGCGTATACTAGCCAAAGGTGAATGTACCTATCGTTCAGCGTGATGGGGGTCTCGGTAGCTGACGCACTTAGCCCAACTCTCGAAGCGGTACCACGATGAGGACCACCGCCTCCCTCGCTGCAGCTTGCCTGCTACTTGGACAGGCCGCTGCCGACTGGCAGTTCCGCTCCCGCACTGACCTTGCGCCGCCCCGGTTGAACATCAGCATCCCGGCGACCAAGGACGTCGAACAGGGGTACCTCTTTGTGGCCCCTTTCGCTGGATTCCCCGACACGCCCAGCGAGCAGCATGGCCCTCGTCAAGCCGGCCCGTACATCTTCCGCGATGACGGAGATTTGATCTGGTCTGGCTACGCCATTTACAGCATCTGGTCGACCAACTTCCAGGCTGCCCGCTGGAAGGGCAAAGACGTCCTGTTCAACTTTGAGGGTGACCATAACGCTGGTTATGGGCACGGCCATGGTCACATCACCATCATGGATCAGCACTACGAGACCATCCGCGAGCTGCGAGCCGGAAACCACAAGTTGGTTGACAAGCACGAGTTCCATGTGATCAACGAGGAAACCGGCCTCATCCAGATCTACCAACCCGTTCCCCGCGACCTGACCAAGTGGGGAGGCAGCCCCGAGCAGCAGTGGATCGTCGATGCCATCATCCAAGGTCAGCACCCAAACCCCTCCCCCCTCAATAACAACCAACTAACCCATCCCCCAGAACTCGACATCGCCACGGGCCGTCTCCTCTTTGAGTGGCACAGCCTCGACCACGTAACCCCCTCGGAGGCCGTGCTCCCCCTCAACCCCGGCCAAGCCGGCTCGGGCTACAACTCCTCCGACGCGTGGGACTACTTCCACATCAACAGCGTCGACAAGGACCGCGCCGGCAACTACATCGTGTCGGCGCGCGACGCCTGCGCCGTGCACAAGATCAACGGCACCTCCGGCGAGATCATCTGGCGGCTGAACGGCAAGGCGTCCGACTTCGCCATGGGTCCCGACAGCGAGTTCTGCTTCCAGCACCACGCGCGCTGGCTGCAGGAGGACGAGGGGGACGGTGTCGAGGTCATTAGCCTGTACGACAACTCGGCGCATGGCACCGAGCATGGTGGCGGTCGCGAGGTCCATACCGCTGAGAATAGCAGTGGTAAGATCCTGCGCCTTGACACCCGCGCCTGGACGGCGGAGCTGGTTCATGGGTACTACCCGCCTAAGGGGTACAAATTGTTGTCCAAGAGCCAAGGGTCGACGCAGGTGCTGCCGGGTGGGAATGTGCTGGTCAACTGGGGCTCAGAGGGCGCCGTGACTGAGTACACCGAGGATGGGGAGGTGGTGTTCCATGCCGAGATGGATACCGGCGCGTTGAATGATGGCGTGGAGAACTACAGGGCCTTCCGGTTCAACTGGACCGGGCTGCCGAGCGAGGAGCCGGCGGTGGTGGCGCTGGAGGGGGAGGAGGGCACGTCGGTTTACGTGAGCTGGAATGGGGATACCGAGACGGCGACCTGGCGGTTCTTTGAGGTGGTCGATGGGCTCGGCTCGCGTTCGTTCCTCGGTGAAGCGCCACGCAAGACCTTTGAGACCAAGCTCGATCTTCCCAAGGGCAAGAAGGTTGATCGGGTTGCTGCTGAGGCGGTCGACAAGCAAGGAAGAGTGCTACGGACGACGCGTGAGGTTGGCGTCGAGCCCGAGATTCTCCCTGCTGGATCTGGCAAGACCAAGTCCACTACCTCTGGCCAGTCTGTCGTCAAGACTCAGACAACCTTGGACGTCGACTCTTCTGCCGGTAGTCGCTGGGAGGAGTACGCCATCCTCAAGTTCTTCCGCCTCTCGAAGGACCTTTGATTGGCGGCGACACCCCTCGAAACCATCAACTGGAACTGCTATTACAGCGTTATGTTTCAGTGGTGCAGTAACCTGTCACTCATTGCATTCCACCTTCTCGGCCGATGTCCCAGACTTCAACCTGATGTCGGCCTTCCCCCTCGACAAACTCTCCTACACTCATTTAATCATTCACACGGGCAGGAAACGGTGCTAGAATAGGCAAATATTGTAGCAATTACACTCTTTTGATTACGTGCGCAGCCTTTGCTGGAGGGAAAGTGGTTGTTAATTAGTTGTCCGCGGTGTTAGAGAACCTTGGTTTCCTCAAGCCATAACAATGTGAGGAACAGGCATTATGGCCTCAGGGCAACAAACTAAGGCCCATTAAGAAATAAAGTGCACTTGTGGGTCTGGAAAGGGTTTCGAACATTGTATTGTTTACATAAACTAGAAAAGAAAGTCAAGTACTTGGTATCCAAAGCACTGCTAACCGTTGCCGAGGAATCAAAACTACCTCTAGACTTTGCTCAAACAAGAAGATATGCAAGAAGCAGCATCCAAAAGGACACGATCGGAAGGACACAGCTGGATGTTTTCGAGGCGCCAGATTCAAACCAGCCGGGCCAGTCGTTACCGGGCGTCCATCCTTTCCCAGGGCCGTTAGTAACCGGCATCGGATCGGCTTGGGTGGACGGGGCAGGGACAATAACCGTTGGGATGGAAGGGGAGGGCTCACCTGAGGTTCCGCCAGAATTCTGCTCGCTCCCTTGTGCTGAACCAGATCCAGCCCCTGAGCCAGAACCCGGGGTACTCCCACCACCAGCACCCGTCGAACCACAGCTCCCAGTCGGCGCCGTCGCGCCAGCACCGGCATCAACATCCGGCCCAGGATCCGGAAACTTGACATCCGCCGAGTCCACCGTCCGACACCCATTCCCAATATTCGCCGTAAACAACCCGGGGCGGCTCGCAAACGCCACACCTCCGGCACCACCGCCACCCCCAACAATATCCACCACCGCACAATTCATGTACATCTCGCGGTTCCCAATATTATTAAACCACGTCCACGCAAACACCGCCCCCTCCCCCGCCGGCGTATCCCCCGGCACCACAAACCCAAACGAGCTCTCCCCCTCGCCAGGACACCCACCCTCATAACTATGCACCACCCGAAACGACCGCCCGCCATCAACGGACAGCGCAGCCTGGCAAGAACCACCTCCATGCGCGGCCCCGCCCGTGATGGTGAAGTTGTAGGACTGGCCGGCGGCCCAGGAGGCGACGGCGCCGCCCTCGGGCGTGCCGAGAAGGGGCAGGTAGCCCTTGCAGGGGAAGTCGGAGCCGTCGGCTTTCAGCGGGGAGGTCATGCTGTAGTCGGCGCTGGCGGTGTTGGGGTTGGTTTGGGATTTGAGGGGGGGCGGGTAGCTCATCTGCATGTGGGCGGTTGCGGTGCCCGCTGCTGCGAGAGCGAGGGTGAGGAAATGGTGGAGGTTTGGCATGTTGGCTGGTGGGTTGGTGGGTTTTGGGGGTGGTTGGGGTTTGATGGTGACTGTTGCTGAAAGGGGGAAGGGTGGATGAGGTATTGGGGAGGTGGTTGTAAGTGTTAAAATATGCTGGTTTGTGAGTCCGGTGTGGAACAATAAGATTCAACACAGTTGCCATTGTTGACAAGTCATTCTTACCACGTAGAATGCCAGAGTCATTGAGCAACGCGCGAAAGTTTGTTCTTTCCTGTGGTGTTTTTTCTTTCCTGTGGTGTTTTCTTCGAAACAAAGAATTCAGGGGGCGCTTTGCCCCTTTTAGGTAATGTAATGCCTCAGTTGAGATGGAACCGCAGAGAAAGCTTGAGCGGGAAACCGCCGCCAGAAGAAAGAAAGTGAATGCAAAGACATGTTGCTTCCTGGATCAAACAAGACTTTGGTTTATGCGGTGTGCCCATGAGTCTTTCCTTGGGGTGTATTGAACTTAGGAGACTCATGGCGACGGAGGAGATTCCGCCTAGATTGTGTTACTCAAAGTACCCGTTACCACTTATGACCATCCTTGTCCTTTATATGGTGGTTTTTCTTTCACGTGCGAGTATTTAGTTCCAACTTCTCAGCACGCGCAACGTTATAGTAGTCTGTGAACGATGTGAACGGCTGGACGGTATCTGAAAAGTTGATCCGTCTTTGAATCATAGTAAGTGAGTCAGATCTGATCTGCCAGATTACCTAGATCAGTATCACTCCAGCTTCTAGTGATTAGCCTAGAAAAGGGGATCGTGGTCGAGTGTGTGGTGCGGTCACGATGATGGTACCCCTGAGGGTAGCCTGTAACGGCCCTAACCCTGGCTTACCCTCGAGCCACCCACAACTCCCCTTGCGTCAAACGGATTCCAACCTTTAAATAATGTTTCTCTTGGGGGGTTTTCCTTAAAACCAGCGGCGGTTTTGTTTGGCCACATCCTCCCCTATCCTTCAAACTCCGTCCCTAGAGCAACACTTCCAAGGTTGGAAGTTTGATGGTTGTGGTTCTTTGTGGTCACGTGGGCGGGTCAGGTCTGCCGTTGTTCCACAAGCAAACCCCAACCCACAGGGATGGCTGCTGCTGGCATCGCCGGTTGACCGCTGCTGCCCCACTGTATGCCCACTGTGTGCCTGCCAACTCCCAAATCCGTCATCTCAACACCATCACCGTCTAAACCATCAGCCCGCCACGATATCTGCTGTGTACCCTTACCTGTGCATTTGTTTGACAAAGACTCGTTGGGTTCCAATGAGCTGACGAGGCATCATGTCGGAATATGAGACGAATATGGGCGCTTCGCCTGCAGCGGCGGCTGGCGGTGACCCGCTGAGTGCCTCGGCTGCTCACGCGCAACTTAAGAAGGTCAAGAAGCAAAAGGTGTTGCTCATGGGGAAGAGCGGTTCCGGGAAGTCCAGCATGCGTAGTATCATTTTTAGTAATTATCTCGCCCGAGACACCCGCCGATTGTGAGCACCCCTTTTGTTTATCTTTTCCCTCACCTCACATGAGACATGGCGCTGACTCCAATCCTCACACGCCAGAGGCGCCACCATCGACATCGATCTATCCCACGTCAAGTTCCTAGGCAACCTGACGCTGAACCTCTGGGATTGCGGCGGCCAAGAGGCTTTCATGGAGAACTATCTCTCCCAGCAGCGCGCCCACGTCTTCAGCAACGTCGGCGTTCTCATCTACGTCTTCGATATCGAGAGCCGGGACGTCGAGCGCGATCTGGCGACCTACGTCAACATCATCAGCGCCCTTGTGCAGTACTCGCGCGAGGCTAAGGTCTTTGTGCTCATCCACAAGATGGACCTGATCCAGCCCATGACGCGCGAGGACGTCTTCGACCAGCGCGCAACCCTGGTCCGGCGCAAGACCGCCGAGGCCGTCGCCATCGTGCACAAGCAAAAGCCCGAACAGGGCGGCGGCAGCCAGGCCCAACAACCGCCCCCCTCGGCATCCCAATCCGCCACCTCCACCACCGAACCCCCCATCAACCTCCAACTCTTCGCGACCTCTATCTGGGACCAATCCCTCTACAAAGCCTGGGCCTCCATCATCCACGACCTGGTCCCCAACCTGGCCGTCATCGAAACCCAACTCGCCAGCCTCGGGCTGGCCATCGACGCGGACGAGATCCTCTTATTCGAACGCACCTCCTTCCTGGTGGTCTCCAAATGGACATCGCGAGAAGGGGAGCGCAACCCGTACGGGGACCGGTTCGAGCGCATGAGCAACATCCTCAAGAGCTGGAAGCACACGTGCTCCAAGTACACGGGCACGCCGCGCAACGCCGAGCAGTTCTCCGACTTCGAGTACAAGATGGGCGCCACCTTCAGCATGTTCGCCACCAAGTTCACCACGAATACCTACATCCTCGTCTGCATGCCGCCGGGCGAGGCCCGGTTCAACAGCGCCAAGCTTAATGTGGCTGCCGCCAGGTCGTGGTTTAAGTTCTTGGATGGGCCCGTCGTGCCGACGCAGCAGGCGGGCGGTGCTAGGGGCATGGGGGCTTCGTCGGCTTATGGTGGGGAAGGGGTGGGGACGTCAGATAGCTGAAGGGGAGGGCATAGCTTTGGTCGGACAGGCTAGCCGAGCAAGTTGGCCGAGATGGATCTGGTGGATGGGGGTGTGTACCGCAGCAGGCTGTGAGATACCACGGTATTGGGCGTTTATGGTGTTAAAAATGGTTGGAGTACAGGCTAGCAGTTGGGAGGCAGGGGTACATTTTCTTTCGGGTCAGTCGGCATCGTTAGGGTTTCGATAGATTATCTCGTCGTTGGCCATCCACGTTATAGTATAGCATAGCAACTAGCAAAACCCGGGTGTGAAATCGTTCCCTCTATCATTCCTCTCGGTTAACCGTCCAACGCCAGTCGCCCAGGCCGTCATAAACGTGCGATGCCCCAACCTGTCTCCCCGAGTTTACTTCCACTTGACAACGGCAGTCCCGCCCCTCTTGAATTCGGCCATCTCGCCCAAAACCAAACCCTTCTCCTCGTGCTCCTTGTTCGGGAAGGTAGTTGACAGCACCCACTCCCGGCCGCCAATGGAAGACGAGGAGCGCTGAATGAAGTCGTAGACATCGCCAACCGTTTGGGCGGTGTTGAAGCGTGCGGGGAGCCGTGTGCCGTCGGGGAGCTGGATGCGGAGCATCAGGGTGGGCTGTGACTCGTCCGCACCAGTAGACGGGCCCTGGGCAGAAGCCGTAGCCGCTGGGGCGGTGGTTACAGGTTGTGGGACATCGGGCTGGCCCGGGACTGGGCTTCCCAAACGCCGGCCTTCGCCTCCGAATGGGCGGTACACCTTCGGAAGAGGCCTGTAGTCCTCGTTATGCTGCTCGAGTTTCACATCCACCCGCTGGTCCATCTGGATGTTCATCAGGTGAACTGGTGCCCGTCCTTCCCTGATCATCTGTAGATCGGCCCGGTTTTGAGGGTCGTCGAAGCGGCGCAGCTCCCCGTCGTCAATGCTGAAACCGTCGGTCCAAATGTGCAGGACGCGCTCCTGTACTGGACCGTCGCTGCTTGCGGTCGGGATGGCACTGCCGCGGGGATCGGGAATCGTACGGCTCTCGACGCCGTCGCCGCCCAGGGTCTGGCCTGTACCACGGAAATGAGCTCGCGAGGGCCCAGCGGGCTCTTCGTTCGAGTCACGGGCTTCCCTCGCGTTTCTGTTAAAGGGCACAGTCAGCTAACGAACATAAAGAGTGATTGTGGCTGGCCCGGTGCTTACGATCGGGCTTTATTCATAATGTCACCGAGGATCCTGCGCGAATCAGACGGACGCTGGCTAGGATCCTGAACGGCCAAACCAGACTTTTCGCCACCAGCGAACAGGTCCCTTGGGCCACGTCGCTCGTCGTCCTCGTCATCATAATCCTCGTCCTCCTCCGAGTCGTCATGGTCATGGCCGCCACCGAGAGAGCTTAGGGTAGCCAAGCCCGTTCGCTTTTGTGGCTTTTTTGCGGTCGATGACGAAGATGCAGCGGCGTATTGGGGCGCGGGGCGGCCGTCCAGTGTCCGGGGACCAGTGTACGCGGGTTCGGCTGGCACAGCTGAAGCGGTTGATGCGGGGCCTTGTGCGCTTTCGTCCATGTCCGTGTAGTATGAAGTGACGGCGGAGTCGATATCCCACTTGCTAGCGCTGAGATACTCTGTCGCCTGCGATAGTCAGAGGCTGGAATGAACTGGGGGCAAGGTGGAATGGTGGAACTGGGAATGCTTACCTGCTCCGTTGAAGACCCCGTCAAGTCGCAGAAGTTGCTGATCAATGTGTCATGGTCCGCCATATTGAGCGTTGGGTAGGGTGTTTGATCTTTCGTTAACTTTGTAGGACGGGAATTGGGAAGAAAAAAGAAAGGGTTTGAGCGTCAGTTGTTGAAGGGAAGTAAGGTACCCGGTGGTTAACGGAGTTGCATCAGGCAGCTCAAGGCGACGAGTGCCGCAACTCAGAAGGCTGCCCCGCGTCATTCAGCCCCGCCAACAACATGCCAGGCCGAATTAGGTACATCACGTTCTGGAACCGAATTTACACAGTGCACGGTCACCTCCTTCTCAACACAAGGCAGCCACCCCTGCCGAGGTTGAAATTCGTGACGGAATTCATGCTGTTTGTTTAGGCTAGGTGCGAATACATAAGAGCCAGTTAATTATTTAGAGTTGACCTTTCCACACTGTTCCGCGTTTCTATTTTTTGCTCACAACTCCTTCCGGCGTGTTTCCATGGGCGCAGGAAACAGTCGGATCAATTTTGCCCGGCCACCGCTGCAGCTTGTCAGGGCCCGGGGTCAAGGCCGATCCATCAATCCCGGCCGCCTTTGTCGAGTTCACTTGCGACCTGCATCTTTGGAGCTCCGGGCGTCGGCGTCAGGCATCCCGTCTACTATACCACCAACACAACAACACTTTCACTTCCATTATGGCATCCGAAGAGGCGCCAAATCCCATGGCTGAATCCGGGGTCACAATCCGGTCGGATAGCGAGCAGTATTCCCGCCACGAGGACCAGTCGATCTCACCCCCGTCGTCTTCCTCGCCCGCCGTCATTCTCTACCAACCGCCCACCGTCTGGTCCGTGATCCGCGGCGCCGCAATTAACCTGCTCCTGCCATTCGTTAACGGCATGATGCTTGGATTTGGCGAGCTGTTTGCGCACGAAGCGGCCTTCAGGTTAGGGTGGAGCAATACCAGGGTACGCCGTGGTTCCCGCCGTTTCTGGCAACCAGCCTCGAAGGTGCACAGTTAACCGACGCCATTCTAGGTCTTCCCCTTGTCGAGACGAGAAGCTCATCCCATCGGCCCCGGGATCGAAGCCGTGGAGAAACCGAGACAGCGGAACGAACTCGATGACCTGACGAGCTTGGAATGAAGACGATGCGTACCGCAGTTGGAATTGCCGCTGATACGGGAAATATCTTGGAATCATTTACCAGCGACCTCTAGGGGAAACAGGGCGATGTGTGTTTATAGGGTGTCTCCCGCGGAGCTTACAACCCGTTCCGACTGGGAAACGGAGGGAATATCGAGCACACGGATAAGCTTGGGATGGTTGGGCCCTAAGGTCGATGTCGCTCGTTATCCGTATATACACTTGGGCAACTTAGAGCATGCACCGCCTGATAAGCGTTCGGTGATTTTACAGCAGGGTTTCTGCTGTTCTACTTCGCACGTGCGAAACAATGGCAGTTCATCGAGAGTGGTGAAATCGTCAAACTCGGCCGGGAGCTTCGATCGGTCTGCCCCACACAACCCGCCCGATGAGCCGGCCAAGTGCCAAGGTTTTTGGCGTCTGCCAGTGACCTGACCCACTCAAAACTTTCGGGACGGCGCTCAGCGAGCGCGAAACTGGAAATTTTGGCCCGGACCGGCAGCTTTGCGACCCACGCATCTTCCTGTGTGTGCACCAACACGGAAACGGCCAGACAAGATGCTTCCCAGCAGGAACCTCTTCGTGTCAAGTCCCGCGCTAGGGAAGGGGCTTGTAAGAGCAGTACGTTATCCGACTTTATCATCCCAATGTACCGACCATGCAAGAAATGCTTCTTACTCACGGCAATCCAGGCAATTCCAAGGACTTCAACCCGCCTCGTCTCGAGACAGTTCAGCACGGGACTGCGAAACAATGGAGTGTCCCTGTATGGAGCACCGACGGCCAGGAGGATAGGCAGCCCGCTGGCTTATACTCTGGCTTCACAACGACTGATTTCCCCGCTCCGACAATCCCGCAATGCCTCGACTCAATCCCCGATCCCTCCGACCGCCGCATCCGATGTCTCGAATCTCGCCGACGTTACGGGGACACCAGTGAGCCTGACTGGTAGCGACCTTCTCGATATCCCCGAGCAGATCGGCTTTTTAAAGACACTGGGCCTCGAATTCGGTTGGGGCCCGACTTCGCTGATGCAAACGGTCTTGGAATCCATCTACGTGTACACTGGTCTCCCGTGGTGGGCATCGATTGCCATGGTGGCTGTCGGCATCAGATTGATTCTCCTCAAGCCCACCCTCGATGCATCCGAGAACTCAATCAAGTATCAAGAACTGCTGAAAGATCCGCGGTACGCATCCGCGATGGAGGACATGAAGAGCATGATGGTCACCGGCAACCACATGGCTGGCGCCGAGGCGCGAGCCAAGGTCAGCTTCATGAACAAGGCAGCGGGCTATTCGCTTTGGAAGACTATGGTCCCGATGCTCCAGCTGCCCTTGGGCGTGGGCATGTTCCGCCTGATCAAGGCCATGTCTGCACTTCCTGTGCCCTCATTCGAGACCGGCGGGCTGCTTTGGTTTACCGACCTAACCATGGCCGATCCGCTCTTTATTATGCCCATCATCACGGGCCTCCTCGTGATGGTGGGCATGAGGGTATGTCACTCGGACACTGCATAGGATTGGTAACAAGGCCTGGATGCTGACCGCGCGCGAACTAGATACCTCTGCCCTACATGGCTCCGCAGCAACGAAATACGGTCAAGACAATGGCCCTTGTTGTGATGCCGATTTCTACGGCAGTTGGCCTGTTCCTCCCGTCTGGTCTAACCTTATACTTCCTGCTCTCATCTATGATGCACACGCTGCAAACATACTTGATGCATCAGCATTGGTTCCGCCGGCTGGTTGGGTTGCCGCCACTCGTCGCTCCAGAGCAGGCGGGCGGGATGGCCTGGCAGGCGCCGCGCGTCGTCGACATGAGCGCCCCCAGGGTCACACCAATTCGGCCCCGGGCCGCGCCCGCTTCCGAAAGCATCTTTGGGAGTCTCCAGTCTTCCATTGCGAGCGCCAAGGAGAAGCTGAACGAACGCTCGGATAGAGACGCGGTGGAGCGTGCCCACAAGGCGGCTCGCCAGTACGAGGAGAAGCGGGCTCTTGAGGAGAAGGAGAAGACCATCATGCGCCTTCAAAACCGTGGGAAGCGGGGGCAGTACTGACGAAGGATGATCAGTAATACTCTCCCATCCTATTTAAACAACACGGCATTACGGGGACGGCATCCATATCTGAGTCAGCAGCGGGAAGGCTGTCCCCATCCATCTGTACATTAAGCCACACGACCCCCGCCCCCGCGTTACTCTCAGTCAACATCTAGCAACGACTCAGCCTTCACCTGCAAGGCGCAGATCGCTTGGATGGTGAGATGCGGTGGCTTTGTGAGGTAATCCCATCCCATAACTGATCGGGACTCGAATGAGGGGGTTGCTGAGCACGCCATGCCGCCTGACGATCGCAACGCCCACGCCGCAACCCTTCTCCGCCAAGCCGTCTTTGTCTGACAGGATCGGATTGGACAGCCTCCAGATGAGATTGCTGACGACGGCAGCGGGTTTGGTTTAGCTATATAATCTTCGCTGTGTATTTGTCCTGTACTTTCTCTCAAACCAAGACTTCATTCACTCCCATCTTCAGTTTCTTGGCAATCTGTGCTGTTTCACCACCCACCCCCTGAAACTCTCGAGTCGTCGTTTCCAACTCGCCCCATCAACTTATAAACCTCTCCCCCCTCGATATCTCGAGGAACAACCCCCCAACTCCCTGCCTCACCCACAACTCCTCCAACCCTTCTCGCCTCCCAAACCCCAAACCCCAACACCCCGCGCCATCACAACCAAACCCACAATCAAACAAAACCAAACCCACACCAACCCCACACCAACATGTCCACCACGCAAGAGAACGTCCAGTCCGCCTCGGCCACCTACGCGGCCTCCTTCACGCAAGGCCATCTCGCCCTGCCGCCCGCCAAGCACTACCTCGTCCTCACCTGCATGGACGCCCGCATCGACCCCGCGCGGGCCTTTGGCATCGAGCTGGGCGACGCACATGTCATTCGGAACGTAAGATTCCCCCTTTTCTTGTCTTGCCCCCTTTCTGGTGGAGGTTGTGGTGCTTGGTGGTGGGGTGGTTGTTGGGTGTGTATTCGGTGGGGGGTTGCTGTGATGGGGTTGTGGTTGTTGTTGTTCTTGGTGGGTGGTGATGGTGGTGTCTGGTTTGCTAACGGATGGGTTGTTTTAGGCTGGCGCGTCGGCTGTGGATGCCCTCCGCTCGGTGGTTATCAGCCAGCAGCTGCTGGGGACGAATGAGATTATCTTGGTGAAGCATACCGGTTGTGGGATGCTGACGTTCAAGAACGAGGATGCGTATGGGCTTGTGGAACAGCGGTTGGGGTGAGTTTTATCTTCTTTTTCTGCCTTTTTCCGCGGTGGGGGGTGTCTGGGGCTGCGGTATGGCTGACTGTTTCTTTTTACTTGCGCGGTTGACAGACCTGCCGCGACTGCAGAGCTCAAGGAGAAGAACCTCGATTTTCTGCCTTTCCCGGAGCTGGAGGCGGCTGTTCTTCAGGATGTGGAGTTTCTGAAGGCGTCGAAGCTGGTGCCGGAGTCCGTGACGATTAGCGGGTGGGTGTACGAGGTTGAGACTGGCAAGACCAGGCGGGTGGTTTAGGTTGGATGTTCGGGTTGGACGAAGATTTAGTCCTATGTTTGTAGCGGCGTGGTTTGCTTTCGGGGCGCAGTGGGAAGGGTAGGTGGGGGTAGGGGGGGGGGCGGGTATGGCGAGGTTTGTAATGAAGACAAGGGTGATGATTATGACGACGCGGATGATAAGAGGGGAGCATGTAAGGATATCCAAAGGCCAATACTTTCACGGTTATCGAATCCTTCAAACTATTTTTAAGCTTACCTGCGATGGAGACGGGAGGATGCCGGTTGAAAGATACGACCTTGACACGCATCGCATGGTGAACCCAACGCGTGTCCTGCTATGTATTGCATGAGTACCTATATTAAACCCGCTCGTCCGGGGCATATTTGAGATCCTCATTCCCAACTTTGTACTCGTATTCCACTGGCCTGAGTCCTTAGTCATATCACACAACCCGCCCCGAGGTATGAACGCAACTCGAGATTAAGTCCCCAACCTCAACCAACCGGTCATACACCTCACCCGGCAAGTGGACACCCTCTGCGGCGAGCACGTCTTCTAGGAGAGTGTGGGCTCGGCTAAGGTCAGCTCGGTTTACTTGGCTTGCTTGACGTAGGCCCTCATTCTCGGTTTCGAGTTGACGTGTGCGTTTCCTGAGACGGTCGTTGGTCCGTTGGAGGTGGGTTTCTGTAGAGGATGGTTGTTGGTGTGGCGGGGGCACAGGTGACAGTATTGTGGGGGACGGCTGCGCTGTTGATATTGCTGATGACGGTGGCCGTGTCATTGCTATGGTTGGTCCCAGTGTAGTTGGGAGTGGTGCTGATTGTGGCGGCCGTGGTGGTGGCGGCATGCTGCCGGGATTGACGGCTGTGTCCATACTCGCATAATTGCCTCTGCTAGATGGTGTGCACACAGAGACATTCGTGAGGCTGACGTGAGGAGGGGAGAGAGAAAGGTTCACGTTGCCCGCTGGCGAGGATGATGAGGATGTGTGCGAAGAGAGCATGGTGCCTGGCAAGGTCCGAAGGCTAGAAAGAGTGCTCGACCCGTCATTTGTGGACGGCGATGGTAAAGTCGGTGCTTCAAATAAGGGAACTGAGAAAGTTTGAGACAAATCGTAGGTCAGCTCGGGGTGTGTGGCCGCCATGGGAAGGCTTGAGTCTAGGAAACCGAGGTTCAAGTCTCGTAGACCGGCGGCATCGTTTCTGTCTCTTGTTGGCGAAGAGTAGAAAGCGGCGTCGGGAAAGGTAACGGCGGGTAGCATGAATGCCCGTGCCATATCAACATGGATAAAATCTGCCATTAAAGAAGCAGGTCAGCAGAGGCAAAGAACGGCATGGAGTGCTCAGCTTGAAGGGGAGGGTTGAGTTGCGGTCGACTAACACGGCGAGTAGTCAAGACTTAGGGCAACAACATCGCGACCCTCCATGCCAGGGATGAGGAGCTTGAACAGCCACCACCATGCATCCTCTTCTGACGCGGAGGGGCAGCTTCTCTCGATTAAACCCTCGTGAGGCGGATCCATGAAGAGCTCCTCGTCTGGCTTCGGTCTCGCCACACACTGCTTCTGCTGTTCATGGACTGAAGCTTTTGTCCGGCTGTCCAAGGATATCCAGCAGTTTGGACACCGGTACGAGACCATGTGTTTGCGTGCTAGGTGTTGTCTAATACGTGCAAAGCGTTAGTCACCAGGCATGGAGTTCCTAATAATAGTGAAGGCTTCATACTTGAGACGCCCGAGGCCGTCAGAGCCCCCTTTTGGGTTACGGCGACTTCTCCGCAGGCATGGACGCCCTCGCTCAAACGCCTGGTACGGGCAGGCAAACCGCGGGAGATTTGGCTTGCACGATGTGCTCCGAGACTTGCCGTTTGGCTTCCTCCACCTCTGCTCCTGCTCGTCCTCCTCCTCGGATTGCTCGCCATCCTCGGCGCCTGTTCGACCTTTGCGTGGCAACTTAGCAGAGCTCCCAATGGCTGGGGATCCTGGAGTCTCAGAAGCATTTGTGTCTCTGTTCCTGCTGCTATAACGGCCCTCGGCGTCGCCACGACCAGTCTCGTTATCCCCAGGACAGGAGCAATTATCCTCGGTGTCAGAAGACGCGGACAAATACTCAGAGGTGAAAGAAGAATTATGCTTGTCTGTCGTATATTGCCTGGCAAGAGAAACAGACTGGACCTGGATTGTAGCTATACCGACTTGCCGAGGCCTTCTGGTATGGAAACGGCGGGTCCTTGTTCCAAAGGTCGACGCTTCTCGCCCGTCGTAATGGTTAGTCTCCGTGCTAAAACTGCCCGTTCCTTGGTCCTCACTAGGGACTCTGGGGTGTGTAGGGAATGATTCTTCGAATATGTTGCCTGCTTGGGATTTCAGACTGCTCTGCACATGCAGGGTGGTATATGGGACCTCTGGAGCCGCGCTCGCAAGAACAGTCATCAGAGGGCTCGGGTCGGGGGCGCCGTTGGGTGTGTCACAAAAGGGGGTTGGTGTGGCGGTAGGGGGTCCACCCATGTCAGGTAGGGGGTACTGCCACAGGGTCATCATCCAGCGAAGTGAATGTGTTCTGGCTGTAATGCAACTCGACGTCGGTGCCTTGTTGTGACCCAAGATCCGGATCCCGGAGCTCCGGGTGCCAAGGTCTCTTGACACCTGCGGTTGACGGCTGGACGCTGGGTTCAGTGAGTCCAGGAGTCTTCCTCCGCAACGGCCATTTCTTAACCCGGCCCGCCTTTCCCGGTATCAGCGAAAGAAGCCTCCGCCGCTCCACTTCCAGTCTCGCGTCGTTGGCAAGGCACTGTCTCTCGAACTTCTCGATTGCAGCCTGGGATTTTGCGGGTTGACACTGAGAACAACAGGGGTCGCTTATGGAGTGGAGGACGGGCACACCATCCCAGACGCGACTTGGAGCGGTAGTTTCAAGATCTAGCGGTGTCATCTCACCCTGTGGAGGATTCAGGACGTAGGCTTGGCCATCAAGATCCTTGTTTTCTGTCGGCTCCAGCCAGTCGTCCTCTTCTCCTGGCAACACTTCGTTGGAACTATTCGGCGGGGAACTGACAGCTTCAACGTCCAGTTGGTACCCAGAGCTTTCCTCGAGCCATTTTCCAATGTCTTTGTTGCGGTGCTCTATGTTGCACATGGTGGCGACGTCGTTGATGGTTGGCAGCTTGGCTGAGCTATCTGTGCGTCTGGGTGATGGCGGGAAAAGGGTCCTTGATGCGTTCGCCCTTTGTCCCATTGGCATTCGGCCGTATACTGTTGCTTTTAAGGATCTTAGAGTGCCACCGGGAGCTTTTATAGAAGCATACCCACCTCCATTAAACCGACCGCCAGCCGTGGAGGTGCTGGCTTGGTTAAAGTCGACCGCTTTCCAACCTCCTTCGAACTCCCCCATGAGCGGGTTCTCGAGAATGTCATGATATGTACCAGCGGAGTATCCAAACCGGCGGCGCTTTGGCGACTGATTCGGTGACGGCAGGCTCGGGGACGACGGACTCAGGGGTGCGAGGCTATCATTACGTATTGGTTCGATGGGTGAGTCTTCAACGCGAGCCAATCCGCTGATATCGAAACCGGTTGTGTGGGACGCCATGGAGACTTGTTCTACTCTCGGACTGATGTTTATGGGAGAGAGGTACGAGTTAACAACAAATGTCGCTAAAAGAGAGCTCACTATCGGGCGAAACAGAGATTCGCGTCCTCGTGCCCAGACTCGGAGCCTCGTCGACACCGAACCAGCAATCTGATTGGCGCATCCGTCTTAGCTGGTGGCTGAATCCGGCTTGTGTCACCACACAAACACCCAATCAACACATCTCACACGAAGCTAGACCCGAAATGAGCTTAGGCGCCACGAAAGTCACTCTCAAGTCTCAAAAGGGTCAAGCAGCGGTTGTGTTGTGGTCAGCCAGAGTTGTATCAAGGCAGCGTTGTATTAAGCCATATGCTCCTATTTGCGCTTTGGGAATCAAAAAAAAAAAGAAAAAACATGCGGATGCTTTTTCGTCCACACTGTATGGGTTGGTTCAATGGCTGGGAATTCCCTATGCCGGGCACAGCCAGCCAACGTGGGGGTGGTTACACGCTTGCCCCCCTGAACCACACTGGCACAATCCAGACAACAAGGTACGAAGTAGGAAATAGTTCGCCCCAGCCCAAAAGGTGTCAACCTGCACGCGCATGCACACTCTGACCCCCGGATAGTGAAGCATCCCTTCGGGTTTCTCGCCCACTCTGCTCAGCATTTAAGCAGGCCACCGTAACCGACATGGCCCTCATATGCTCTAATGTTTGTCCTCACAGAACGCCCGAGGCTGTCCAGTTGGATTATTATCCGAATCCCAGCTTGTGATAAGACGCCATCAACTTGCCTCAACCTCTCCCAGAACACAACAAAGGACACAGACACTGAGAGACACTGAAGCAATCAAAATGGGTCACCAGAAGTAAGGGACCACGACGCCAGATGCTCCAAATTGTAGTATACTAATGATATTCGTATCAGAACTCAGGGGCTTTCGGGCCACAACGACGAGAAGCGGTCCATGGCAAGCAGCGTGGTCTGTGAACCTGACAGCATCCCAGAGACGCGGGAACGATGTGCACCCGAGCGTACCAAAAAGCCGAGCCTCCATAAGACGGCCTACAAGGCCTCGACCTCGGCGGATGCGTCGGTGTCTCTTCTCGGGATTGGGAGCCAGTTCGACTGTGGGAAGCAAGCTGAAATCAAGGGTGGGCAAGAGTTGGGCTTGGGAGAATTGGATATTTAAGGGACATTGATAACATTTCTGCTCCTGTGCTCGTCGTTGGGAATACGGGGGGACCAAGATACGGATGCAGGTTTGTTGGTTGGTTGTATGGAACTTGGAATCGCAGGTCTGGTGGTAGTATTCTCGATCAGCTGGTGAAACCGAACAACCCTGTGTAAACGCGGCTTGTTAGCCCTGGATTATAAAGTCACTGGTCCGGTTTGCTTGAGTGTTGTGATGATGGATTCCATACTACAGTACAACTCTTCCACCCAGATAAATCATAACTTTGCCCATTCGTACAAAGGCCCACCATGATCGTGTTTTGCTTAAGTCATCATATAGTTTTAGTTCGGGATGTTTTGTTATTGCCAGCATGGTATCGCTCTGCGCATTTGGCAATACCAGCCCGCTCGACATTCGGTCAGGGGCGGAATCGAGGTGGTCGCGAACAACCCCCTTGGCGTTTTGATGATCTTGGTGAACGAGCTGCGCATTCCAGCACCCTCCTCCAACTAGTTTAAACATGGATTTCAAGGTGATACTTCTTTGTCGACGATTGCAAGCTTCCTCGGGGGTTCCCTCTCCAGCTAGGAAACATGGGGTACTCCTATCCCCGACCCGTCCACTGGTCTACTCTTAGATAATTTGGGGTCCAGCGCCACGAAGCTACCTACCTATACAGTACGATATGAGTTACGACAACCAGAGTTGAGACCCGAGGCCCAGCAACGCGATCGAGCTGGTTTTGCCAGGCTACTCGTCGAATCCGGTGCCAACATCAATCACATGTGATGTCACGAAGAAAGTACCGGAGAGACCGCTGCGATGCTTGCTACCCGTCCCCGAGCCACGGTCGAGGGGCGCCATGATGTACTCAAGTGCGTCAAGTCGCTGGGGGCGAACTTCAACAAGTTGAACAGGACTGTCATGAGTGCTCTCCATTACCTGATCAAACAAGCCAGCGCGTTTTCTGACCTTACCGGATCGGGGGGGCTCGCCATAGCCCTCCCTATTCGGTAAGGTCGAATCTCAACAAGTTGTGCAGGAACTGGAGATCTGCCTTCAATTGACCAGCATTATCAAAAACAGGTTGCCGCGTACTACACAATCCAGCCCGCAAAAGCCTACCTAGCTTCTGCCTGTAGAAGCCGAGTAAAAGAAAGACTAAACATCCATCACGGCGCCCTCACCAGACTGTCGCCCTACAACCCACGCCCCAGGCACGTAATAGGTCCGAGGCGGTAGTGGGGGCGGAGGGGGAGGGGGCGGAGAGACTGTCGGTGTTGTACCCTCCCGCTTGTCACCACCACCACCACCACCACCACCACCAGTTACAGGACGCTGCGTAACAGCCCCCCTACAAAACCTCAACACCGCCGGCGCCACCCCCATCCCCCTCCTCCCCTCCATCACCGCGCCTTTCCCCGCGCCCCGCCAACTATACCCGCCCCCAACACGCGGGGTGGGCGTACCCAGCCTCGTCACCCCCTCCGAGCCCCCAACAACCCCCACGACCGAATCCCCCTCCGACGCCTCCCCGCCCGGCACAAACTCACCCTCTCCCTTCATAACAATCCCAATACCTCCCCCGCCCCCACCACCAACCCGACTACGACCACCACCCCCACCCCTCCTGCTCCCACCACAGCCACCACCACAACCCCCACAGTCACCACCACCGCCGCCGCCGCCACCCCCAACGAAACTCCCCCCACCAACACCAACACCAACACCAACACCAACACCAACCCCAACCCCAACCAAACCATCCACCTCCTCCCCCTTACTCCTCCCCCCATCCCCCACCCTCACCACCCCCACCGGCGACAGCGGCACCGGCGTCGGCGCCTCCAGCACATAGCGCCTCGTGCGCGTCATATTGCGCTTGCGGGCACGCGTGCCCGAGGACGAGTCAGACCTGCTGCTGGCCGGGGGCGAGGCTGATGAATCGGTAGACGAGGAGGTTTCGCAGTTGTGGGCGGGCGGGGTTGCACTCCCGGCGGTTGAGGCTGGGCCTGGACTATGGGGGGTTTTGGGGAAGGGGTTGCTGGTGCTGGGGGTGGTGGTGGTGGTGGTGCTGCTGGGGGGTGGGTGGTGGTTGTGGGTATATGGCTTGGGGGAGAGCCAGGGGAGGGTGAAGGGGCGGCGGGCGAGGTGGATGACGGTTAGGAGGACGGCGCTGAAGAGCAGGCCGGTGGCGCAGGCGAAGATATCGGTCTTGAGGTGCACCGTGGGGATGCCGCCGCCGCCGTCGCGGTAGATGCCTACGGCGACGGGGATACAGGCGCTCGCCCAGAGGGTGACGGTTAGGTGTATAGTGAGCGTTGCCCAGGCGTGGAGTTGGTGACGGAAGGGTGGGATGGGCGGGCCGAGGTAGAGGGTTTCTCCCTTGAGGCAGGCGGCGATGTGGAGGGGGATGTAGAAGAGGGATTGCATGGACTGATTCCAGGGGTTAGTGGTCGATTATATCAACAAAGCCAAATTTCGGTGATTTTGGCAGACAGGAAACCCACAGCAAACATGACGAAGCTCTGCGCGATGGCCTGTCCAGGCCTTCTCAACTCTTCAGTGTTGCTAAATCCCACGGCAGATAGGGACACGCCGATGATGGACGCAACGGCGAGGGAAAGCAGCGCCGCCAGGGCCAGCTGGGGCAGCCATTGTGTTATGTGAGGTCCGTTGGAGCTTTGGCTCTCGGTTTTACTTTCGGGTTGGCTTTCGGGTTGGCTTTCGGGTTGGCTTTCGGGTTGGCTTTCGGTGTAAGATGAGGAGGGCATGTCCACGCAGAGCCTAGAACTGTGAGGGTACTGCTACGTTGCGAAGCAGGACGCGATGTAATTGCTTATAGAAAGACGAAGTAAACAATCTGATTCGATTACCCCATGAATGAAGCGGCCATTCTCATCGGGGTGGGCGCGGTAGATGGGAAAGGCAGGACGACCGTATCCGACCCAGAAAACCAACCTAATCATGCAAAGAACAATGTTAAAATATTCCCCTGCCACTGTGTTTAACGGCATTCTTCGACGTGGCGGCGGGGCTGGCGTACTTTCTAAGGGCTGGGGTTCTGAGCGCTTAGCAATGTGTAGATTGAGACACCAGTGGAATGGAGGTGAACGGGGCAGCCACGTGGAAACATGCTGAGAACGATAGCTTCATTCCATAATGATGTTGGCCCACAATACAGAGGGATTGCCGGGAAAGCAGTTACAGAAAGGCAAAGGTGATGTGAAATGTGAAACAGGAGAATGTCTATCACGTAGATACCAACCGACTGGAAATGGCAGACATCGTAACCATAACCCATCACCACCACAGCATCATCCGCAAGGATCGCTAATACTCCTCGCCGACCCTGGCGGTCTTATCGCCAGCCCATCCCTCGCGCTCAAAGTAGCGGAAAACGAGATGGTAGTCGTCAAACTCGTGGACAATGCGATCCATGCGGCGGTATCCCTTGATTCCGTCCATGCGCTTGTCGACACCGGCCCTGGCGGGTTGAGAGACACCCTCCTCATCCGCAGTCCTATTCTTAGTCTCAAAGAACGTCACAGTGAAACGGCCAGGCTTGAAGATATCGACAACGTGCTGAATGGTGTCCGAGGTTTGGCGCCCGTTTTGGCCGCTCGGGACATTTGTCTCGAATGACGCGTAAGAGCAGATCGGCTCCGGCGTCACATGGACCGTCCAGTAGTGCGCGGGCTTGTTGCCATCCGCATCTACGCCGGAGTCAGGGGCGGGAACGACGCCGTTGGCCGAATAACCGCAGGGCGAGAACAGGTATGCATCGATGCGCGCATCCGGATAGTGCGAGGTAGGATACACCTGGGCGAGACCACAAGTGTCGGAAACGACGGTGCCAAGAGCATGGCCCTCGGTGGTCATGGCCTCGCCGGCAGTCACCTCGACGTCGGTGCCCTGCTCGCCCGAGATGTCAGACTCTCCGCAATTGGCGAAGACGTCGACAGTCGAATCGATATCTCCCAGGCTGTCGACGGCGGCGCGACGAGCTTCCTGAGCCTGGGCAGGCACCCGCTTGCTGGCGACCGCACTCGCCTGCTCCAGGTAGAACTGCTTCGCAAGCTCAGGATCGAGATCCATCATCAAGATCTCCAGAGTCTCGTCAGATTGGGAATCACCAGCTCCGGATACATACGGCACGGTGCCCGTTGGGATCTTGCGGCTGCGAGTCGGGCTGCCGGCGTTGCTCGAACGGGGTGTCAAAGGCGGCGTCAGCGCGGAGCTGGTGGGGGTCGTCATGTACAGGTACCAATGATCGGCATTCATCCTTCCGACCATGTAGGCACTGCCGTTCTCGAACGTATCGTCCAGGAACTTGACCTCCTCCTTCCAGCTCGAGTGGGGACCCTGCTGGCGGTCCGGGAAGAGGAAGTTCTTGCGGCTGTAGAAGACGCGGTGCGGGGTGGCTGCGACATTGATGTCATCGACCGAAGCGGCATTGTGGAAAGGGAAGCCAGCATCCACAGCAGCGATGCGCAAAAGGCGTCGCAGGCCCAGCAGCAGAGTGGTGGTGCCGCAAGTCTTGAGGATGATTTTGTGCGGGAAGACGAACAAGCTCGACTCGGAGAGGAGGTAGGCATCAACATGGTCCGACTTGACGATCGAGAGGACCTTGCAGTTGACCATGTCGAGCATACCCTCCCAGGTGGACGGGTTCACAGCCTTCAACCCATTTTCCCTGGCGGTGGGGGGGGAGAGCGTTCGGGCTCGGGGCGAACCAAACCTCGAGGAGCTTCTCGGGCCCCTCAAAGGCATTGCTGGAGTCTAGATCGGCAGCAATATCGTGATTGATCGTCAACTGAAGGCTCCCGGGAGCGGGGGAGTAGGTATAGTTGTCAGGGATCTCGAGGTTGACCATCGTTGACCGTTGGACAATGCCGAATGTGCCGTCTACGATGAAAGCGTCCGCGGGACACTAGCTGCCGCTCAAACGAACCTTGCGGCGTCCGTTTGAGAGAGTAGGCCCACAGGAAGTGGTCTTTTCAAGGATGCTGGCGGAGCCAGCTGCAGTGCGCGGATGTGAAAGTCGAACGTCGCCAGGGGGACGTTAAGGAGGCCGGCCACGGACGGTGTAGTGGAAGAACTTGGCGAACGGTATGTTGGGCTTGCGTTTCGACTGGGCCGTGGTTGTGGTTGGGCCGATACCTCGGGTGGTGTATCGGAAGGGATAGTGTAGAGGTAAGTTGCGACGGTGGTTGTCGACCAAGGGCTGTTCGGTACAGAAGGTTCTCTGGCGGGTGTTATCTAGGCCTGGGAAGATGGGAGTTAGCAACACCAGTATGGTAGGTGTCCCGGAGACGCACTTTGCTGGCTTGGAGAGGAATCGCAAGAGATCAATCGAGGTCATTGGCCAGTTAGAGAACCTGACGAAGCAAGGCCCAAGTTCAGTGCACAAAAAATCTGCGCGATCGAAGAAGCCGTCCTCACGAGGCGCTCAGCATGGCAGAATCGTCCGGGGTCTTCTTTCGGTGCGGCCTTTTGCGAAGCCTGTTGGGTCGTGGATGGGCTGTGCGGCACGAGTGATCCTTGGAACGCACCTCACTGGGGGGACTTGATTCGAGTTTATTCGTCGCCGCTATGGTTGGCAACGTATTCAACACGTAAATTTAGACGCTCGACAAATAGACCTGGTAACTCGAAAAGAAAACAAGCTCAGGGTTCGAGGGCACTGTTCTTTTTTTTCGGCGGCCATGGACGAGAACAGGGAAGTTTTGGCGGGGCAGGAAAAACCCTCGCCAAGAAGTAGCGGGGTTTTTTATTCGTCCCACATCCATGAACCTCTCAGCGACTCTGTGATACGAAAGCACCTCGGGCAATTTGGCATCCTTGACCCTTCATGATGGAGAACGTCAAGGCTTCGTGCATCAATCCAGAGACCAAATACCCACATACCCCAAGTACGGCCCTGGTCGTATCATTCCAAGGGCACCTCGCCGGGGTTTCTATGCTCACGTGGTTCCTTTTGTCGCAATCATTTCAGGTACGAGGTGCCGAGTGACAGGGGGGCACAAGGCCAGAGACGGGAGATCCCGCATTAGGCAATTCGCGTCGCGTTGGGGATGGTGGCATCAGAACAGCCTCGTTGCGTTGCATCAGTACCTATCACGCTATGTACGTGTTCGGTATGGATTCAGCCAGGTGGTTGGATAGGGACGGAGAACCTGATGGCGGTGATAGCTCTTGGCAGAGCGCGGCAGCCACTCATCAATGGCCACCTGGAGAGCCTCAGGGCCTGGCTGCATCTCGGGCAGACTGACCCGCGGCGGTGGCTGAGATGATGCTGCGCCCGGTTACACACACTGAATGTGTGATGTTTTCTGGATTTCACCTCCAGATCCCAATATCTCTCGTTCGACTCCCGTAGGTCACTTCACGGCAATTTCAAGGAGTCCCGGCCGAATATGGACTGGCCGACTCATCAGGAAAGCCCAGAACGCCTCGATGAAGCCTCAAAGAAACGACGACTGGACGAAGCGGGAGGATCTGGGAGCCTGGGAGCGGAACTCGATGTGGAATACACCAGGGCCTCGAAAAGACCATGTACAGCGCACGACCGGTCATCAGAACAACTCCAATATGGAGGTCTCAACCCCTTGCCAGTCGACCACCTTTTGTCGAATACGCAATCGGTGGAACAGCCCATAGCCCATTCCTCGTTACCGGAAAACCCCATTGGCCTTGGTCCTTTGGATGTTTCAGAGACGTCGCACATTTTGGGGAATGGGACTCAAACAACATTCGATATGGGTAAGACAAACGAGTCTTACCTTCAACGGATGGAAGATTTTAACACCTCGCTGTATAGCAGCAGATCAATTCGGCTTGAACTGGAACATGTGTTCCGGCTTCGAGGCTGAGAGCCAACAACTCTCCTCCGGCCAGGATTTCCGGTTCATTCAGACACCGCCCGTTGAAAGCTATGACTCTCTCGAACTATACGGCAATACCAATCTTCAGCCTACATTGGACAATCCAACGAGACTTTCCCTGCTGGAGGATTCGTTCTCTTTCAGTGGTGTGGTCCCCCAAGGGAACTTTGACGACATGGAGGTCGAACTGAACATAGATTATGGTGTCATGGACACCACCGATAGGAGAGAGGATTCTGCATTTGAGATTGATCAAAGCCCATGGGCAGACAGCGCGGTGACGGCAGAGACAACCACTACTAGTACAACACCACAAGCAGCAGTAGACGGGACGGGGTGTAAGGGAGAGAACAACAACACGAATGATGCGATTTGTGATACTTGCTTTGGAGTGGTGGGTGCCATATGAGCATTAACACTCGCTCACCTGGCTATTGTGCTAACCGCCACTTCTCTTACAGATCTTCATTGACACCCCTCAAATCCGAGACGGCTTCGTGGGGAACTCAGCGACAACCAGCAAGAAAGTCCTGCTCGAGGGGTACAGTGGTCTAATCATCATCCGCGACCCGACATCCAAATCCTACGGCGGCCTGATCCCTCAAAGCCACTTCGACCCCATATGGAAGTTGATCACCGATACAAACATAACGCTTTCGGCAACGCTCAAGTCAACTAAACCTTTAGAAATTACCATCTACGGCTGCCGAGCTAAAGCTGATGAGATAGGGGGGATGCTACTTGATCACGATTGCTTCCTCCAGCAGCCGGATTCGTTTGACGATTCAATGACGTACTTCAACCCGCAGTGCCTGACCCATGATGATGATTCAATACCAACATGGGAGCTATCTGGGGCAGATCTCGGCACTCCTGCTGCATGTTTGAGTGCAGTTGAAAAGTCCAAGGTCGCAGAGCTGCTAGACGCAGCTGGGGGGCCGACGGTCTTTAGGGATGTCCAGGTCAGCGAGATGTTGCAGACGAGCTTGAAAGAGTGCGTATAAGACCCCCGTTGTATTTGCGGTTCTTCATGGACACCGGCTGAAGAACTCCGGTAGGCACCAACGAAAAGCTTTGGCTATGATGGTAGAAAAGGAGGCTGGGACTCTTCGAGGGGCCGACTTCCCTTCGATTTGGGCTGAAGAGATTACAAACTGCACAGGCACTGTGAGGTACGTTACAACATCTGGTTTTAACTACTAATAGCCAAGTAATCTAACAAACCCCCAAGATTCTTGAACACCGTCACAGGGTCCCGCGTTTATCGAAAACCGAAGATTTGCCTTGGTGGCTTGATTGCAGACGTAGGTGATTGAGAGCCCAGGGCGCCAGGGCAGAGACCGCCACTCTATACTAATGCTGCTGTCACAGGACATGGGTCTGGGAAAAACCCTAACCGCCCTCGCGTTAATAGCAGGTTCTGTAACGAGACATAGGAGAGACAACGAAACAACGACTAGAGCGACCACTTTAGTTGTTGCGCCATTGTCCAGTACGTATTCCTACATTTGCAGCTGAAAAACATACTAGTTTAGCGCAGGGCTAATGAAGCCGGCTAGCTCTGACCGGTTGGCAAGATCAAATAGAACGGTAAGGTCATGTCGAAAGGTATCTGGCGGGGAAGGTCAGTTACTTACAACTTTTCAGGCATATAAAACCGGGCGCGCTGCGATTCACTGTTTATCATGGAACCCAGAGAGAGAAGAACGCAGCTCTGTTAACCAGCTTTGACGTGGTCCTGACGACATATGAAACTGTTCGGACCGAGTATTCACAAGAACTTCAAGTTGGTGGTACACAGAGCACAATCCAAGCTGTATCTTGGAATAGAATTGTTCTTGACGAGGGTGAGTGAATCCTGTGCGCTTAAACATGACGCTATGGTGGGACAGACGACTAACCAGTTGCCTGCTAAAACAAGCTCACGTCATCCAAAACCGCTCCTCGAAGAGGTTCAAAGCCCTTCACGCACTCAAGGCGAGGCACCGCTGGTGCTTGACAGGCACGCCGATCCAGAACCGTCTGGAGGACATGGGTTCTCTAGTTGAGTTCTTGCGTGTGGACCCGTTTGACAGCCCCGGAGCTTTTCGGCGCTTGTTTCTGGAGCCCATATCTCGCCGAGATGTTTCTGGGTGGGAGCGCCTTCGGACCTTGATCGGGTGTATATCCCTACGTCGAACTAAAGAGTCACTGAAGGACCAGCTAGCCTTGCCAACCAGACAAGAAATTGTCTGCAGGGTTTCACTCGATGAGGAGGAGAGGAGGGTTTACAGCCTAGTGAAGCGGCGCTTTGCCTTGGCTATCGACGCCGGGGGCAACAGAATGAGCGCGTTTGGGCTTATCCTCCGACTACGGCAGATCTGCGACCACGGTACTGCCCTTCTACCTGCCGACTTGCAGGCATGGATTCAGCAAGCCTCTCGGTTTGGCCCCCAGGTCCCTCTACAGGCTGAAACATGCCTATCTTGCGGTCAGATTCCGGAAGACGACGTGGATGACGACATTTTGTCAGAAGGCTTTCCATGCTCACATCAAGTTTGCCCTCCCTGTCGAGTCATGGCGAGATCGGCTTGTCAGGATAGCGCTGGAGAAGCGTCCTGCCCAGTTTGCCAATCCAAGGGCTTGCGTGAACAAAGTGAGGAGGGGAGTTTCTCAGAGGGCGGCGATTTACCACCACCTTACCGGCCATCTTCTAAGGTCAGAGAATTACTCCGGAATCTCAATCGTGACCAGCAACAGGCTGCAACGGCTGGAGTTCCAGCGGAAAAGAGGTTAGTTCACGCGAGTTTCGATGTTAAAACACCGGACCATGTTCAGACTTTTAACATACACCGCGTCTGCAGTGTTATCTTTTCCATCTGGACGGGCATGCTCGACCTCATTGGCACAGCCTTAACTGCTAGGGGGATTCCGTTTCAACGCCTTGATGGAACAAAGACCCAGGAACAGAGACGCGGTGCCCTGCAGCGTTTCAGAAGTGATGAGAACTGCAATATATTGATTGCATCAATCGGGAGTGCTGCCGTTGGGTCAGTAGAATTCCATCTTGGTCGTACAGTTAGGTATCGCCTCGACCATCTACTAAGTATGTGACAGCCTGGATTTAACAGCAGCCTCTCGGGTTCATATTATCGAACCTGGTTGGAATCCAATGCTTGAGCAGCAGGCGCTGCAGCGTGTGCATCGTCTTGGTCAGACCCGAACTGTCAAACAAATACGATACGTGGTGGATGGGGCAGATTCGGTAGAGCGCGTGAGTATCTTATATATCAGTCCAACGATACCTGCTACCTTTGGCTAACCCGGTACGGTCGCGATCAGTACATACTCCGGCGACAAGAATGCAAGTTGGCGCTCATCGATGCATCTGTTGATGGCTCCACCGGCAGGCAAAAAAAGGTCACAAGCTTATTAGAGGTCTGCGAATAGATGAGCCGATTCATCCCCATGGGCCTGCGCTAACGTCCATGCAATAGGATATGAGAGTTGGGCTTGGGATTGATGCAGTGTTGTGAATAAAAATGGCTCGAGGTTCAGTATTAATTCGCTTGGTCAAATGCAAGAAAATGGCCTTGACTTGCCCACAAGCTCCCGTCATCGCTGAAGCGAAAAGTCACCCTAAGCCCTTACTCGTTTTCTCTTACCCTCAACGTCCTCGCCTGCTTGAATCCTGCGGACTATATCATCCCACGGCATCTCAAAATACTTCTCAACCTTCTTCATCCCAGCAAGACTTTCTATCTGCTTGGTCCCTGTTCCGCTTGGACTCGCTCCATGCTGCAAGAGAAGCTTCACCAGCTCCGACCGTCCGCGTCTCACGGCGTTGTAAATTGGGTTAGTCCGATCCCCGCGGTTTGGGTCTGCTCCATGACGCAGGAGAAGTTCGGCGCAGTCCAGAATATTTGACGAGGTGATCGTCGATAACGATTGCAGAGCAGTCTCCCACACGTCTGTGCCACCGTTGTTCAGGGCGTTTGGATTGGCCTTGTATTCTAACAACACCTCCATGATCTCTCGGTGCGGTTCGCCGCGCTGGGTGATGCAGGCGTAAAGCGGGAATCGCGAAGACGAACTTTCACGTCTATTCGGGTCCCCGCCATTTTCGAGGCTAATCCTGACCAAAGCTGGCGACCGAGCCTGGGTAGCGAAATAAGGCCCCAGTGCATATGCTTCCGGCCATAGAATAAATGGCTTTATTGCGCTAAATCGACGCCTAGCGTTCTCCAATGTCGCGTCGGCTAAGTGGTTTGCCTCGAAAATGATACCGGGATCAGAGTCGACATTTGACACATGATACCTATCCCATGTCTGAGGAATCATGACGCCACACTCATCTACCAAGAACTTCATGAGTGCCCCGTTCCAGCGCTTTAAAGCTCGCAGGATACCAGGGAGACTTCCCCTATACCATGAATCATTGCTGTGGATTCGGACAACACATCTCGAGGTGATGTCGGCCCCATGGGACAGTAGAAGCTTGACATTTGGCAGGTTTTCGCCTTCGATGGCTGCATGCAGCGCTATATTAATGTGGTTGGTTTCCGCAGGTGGTGAACTTTTGCAGCACTCATGATCAAGCAACCAAGAAAGAAGGTCCGGGGGTGCATTCCAACCCGCTATCCCGATAAGCAGTGTAGAACACCCCGCAAGAACGGACGGGCTCGCTAGATTCCGTACCGCATCGAACTGTCCATTCGCGACTGCGTCGCAGAGCAACTCTTGTTGATCTCTCTCCGGCAAGGCAGCCGCTTGGACGGCACCAATTCGACTAAAATCCGGGATAGCCCGCGTTTCGTGAGCATTCCCAATGTGGCGGGAAAGCTCTTCGCTTGTCCGAAACCCAATGTCTGCGAATACGCAGTTTGGGAAGTGACAGCGGTGGTTCACGGCGTGTATCTTGAGATGTTCGATAAGAGACACGTTGGTTTCAAAGCCATTGGTGTATGCGCTGCAGAACGCCTTTCTGCAATGGTAGAGTCGTGGCCCATACAGCCTTTTCAATGTCGGACACGCACAGCCCGGGCTATGGTTTGGACCGTCACACACCGCGTGTTCCAAGTGTCGCCGAAATTCCACTAGTGCGGGCAGAATGCCGAGTGGGTTGTTGTTGGAAGTACCAGTGGCTTCTGCGACAGAGCATTAATTCCCTATCACAGATATCCATTCCGGGGCACAGGGTCCTTAGTTTGTACTTACCGTCCATGTCCACCACCCCTATCTTGACGCCTGTCAAAAATGACGATGCACTCGCGAGACGGTGTTGGAGATCTTGATCCGCTTGGAAAGTCTTGAATTCGCTGATGAACGATGCTGGAGGTGCCGACGAGTTGAAGAAGTGGTTCTGCCGAATCTCGAATAGCTGGTTCAGAGTAGTAGATATCTGTTCCACGGAGCCCTCGTCGGTCTTGTTCGCCATCCACCCCTTGATGTGGTCCATGTATTCCAACGCCGCATATTCAAGGAGAACAAAATCTCCGCTGCGAATCTGGCATTGGATATCTGTGGCCTCCCAATCCGCTGACAACAGACTGTCAAAAGACGTAAAACAAAGATACGTAGCGCACGTCAGGGCTGCGTCCAAATGGGCATCTGCCAGGCTCAGAAAGCTGTTGCTTTGCTCGTGAAGGAGGTATCTTCCTGTGGTTAGCCCGCTGTTCATACGCCATTCTCGGAAGGTAACGCCTCACTCTTTGGCGGAGAAGTGGACGAACCGCACTGCTCCATCCAGCACTTCAATGATAGGACCGCAATCACGTCTGACGTCGCGATACTCTTTTCGACCCCTGGTGAAGTCGTTTTCTCCAATGTCTATGACAAGGACCTGAAGCAACTCCTCTTCCCGAAGCGGCCGCGTAGCGCAGGCAATCCACATCAGAACTCGGCGGATGACGCTGCGGAGCTTGTTTGGCACATTCTTTTGCTCAATCCTTGAAATAAGGCGACCATATCTGCCAGCCATAGTGTCAGCCACCTCTTAGGGATCGAGCGGTATAGGGCTGCTCACGCTTTATATAGCCCATCGGGAAGGTTATCAACCTCAGCTTGGATCTCTTCTGCCGTTCCATAGTCTTTCACAACATGCAGTACGAGTTGGGCGTATAGAAACATGCCTTAAAGAGAGCAAAGGGCGTGTCAAAAAAGAACTCGAGGGCAGTGGTAGGGTGTCAAAAAAAACGTACCATCGGACTTATCAGGGATAAGCTCCAATGCGGCCCTAATCCTAGAGCGGACTTGCTCGTCGGCATCGCCAAATCGGAGAAGCAGACCTTCCATCTCACAACGGACGAATGCCCGAATATCCTCGTGGTTGTACTTGTTGATGTGAAGCGCGGTGGCTCGGTCCTTCAGGGCGAGGGTAATCTCTCGCTCCTCCCTACTGCTGATGAGGACCTTGGTCTCAGTACAGCGCTCTTTGATGCCGAAAACAGTAACGAGAAGGTCCCTCCAGCAGCTTTCCTCGATCTCGTCGAGGCCATCAAGAACAATATATGCTGGCCCGATGCTAGTGACAACCGTGCACAGGGTCTCCTTGACGAAGTCCCGATCGCGCAATAGTTTCCTGCGGTCCGGGCTCGAGTGGTCGGGGAGAAGCACCTGCAATGACGGGACTTGTTCGAGAGCTTGGAATAACAACGAGTGGAGAACGCCGAGTGTTTTACCAGAAGACTGCTGTTCGTGGGTGAGGAACGCAAACAAGACACATTGCCCGGTCCGCTGGAGACGTTGGATTATATTCCCAGCAAGGAATGTCTTTCCTGTTCTGGTTTAGTAGTGAGAGACCACTCGGTTCAGGGGTTGGGAGGCTGACCGGCGCCGGGGATTCCGCAAAGCCAAAAACAGCGAACTGTTCGATCCACTGGGTTCAACCAGTTCATAAACGCCTTTTCCTGGTCAAGCCAAGTGCCCGACCCTTTGGTTGTTTTTCGGAGAATATCATCCAGCTTCTCGTAGCGCGTCTCAGGGTTTACCTCGTCACGGACTGCGCGGAATTCTTGATAGTCGCGGAACTTTTGTGCGTGGTCGTACTCGGCCAGGGCTAGGTTTCTGGCTGTTTGCGCTCGGACAATGTCCTCCAGCGTTACAGCCTCCGTCATCAAGGCCTTGTGGCTCTGCATGTGTTCTCTAATCTTGTCGACCTTGGCTCGAACGCCTGGCCAGAACGGCTCGCAGATCATCCTCAACCCTGCGATGCTGGATCAGTACCTTTTAATTGCGGTGGATTAGTATTGGCAGAGGACTGACTGCTGTTGGTGGCAAAATTCAGCAGGACTGAGTAAAGACCGAGGATATCCTCAAAGAAGAGCAATAGGACCTGCCGAATAACGTCGTTCCGAGGAAACGTATCTCTGTACGTTTTGAAACTGGGGAGGATCAACCGAATCTCACCGAGGGTCTTGACGATGTTTTCGAAGGCCACAGTCACCGTGCTGGCGGTCTGCAATATAAATTTAAGGGGTCCCTGATACGGCCGGGGTCAGTCGCAACACGGTGACAGCATTGGAGGGCGGCGGACGTCCGCGCTTACCCATATCAAACATAGGACATCGGGCTTGACCTGGGCAAACGTATCAATCACGCCACTGTATTCCTGAAGCACAGTAATGAGGGGCTTGATCCTCGCGAGCCCGCGTTGAGTTTTCGTTTGTTTCTGTTGCTGCTCAATGACACGCGCTGCGTCAAGCACATCCTCGGCACTGGCGACTTTGGAGAAGTCGAACCCCGACTTATTCGCTAGACTTTTAAGGAACTCGTTTTTCGCCGAAAGAAAGGCTTCTTCAACCCAGAGCGATGAATCCGTTGGCTCAGCCATGGCTTCGTCATAATCGAGCGGCGAGCCTGACTAGGGCAATTTGTGGAGTTGTTGGTGAAAGATTGAAGTCGTCGCAGAAAGGGGGTGAGGTGAGGGGTAACGACCAGGAGCTACCTGCTGCCTACCTAGGGACGACACGAACGCCAGCCACTTACTGATGCAGGTCAGGCTCCAGACGAGGCAGATTCCCCAATCACGACTAAATGTATCAAATAGGTACCTACCCGAGGCGTTCAGCCGCTTGTCACTTCCGCGCCCCCTCTGGAACATTGGACGCATTCGGCAGGCACGGGAAATTCCCGGGGAATGAGGTTAAAACATTTCATGCAAAGTTGACGAGAAAAAGCAACCACACAACTTGGTAGTCCCTAAGGAAGAGCGTCAAGTTTTGCATTGTGTCTCGGAGCCCCAGCAATTACCTCTCTAATTTACGATGCCTTTCCTGGAGAAGCCTGAATCCCGTCATCATCATGCAAAGCGATAATGGGCGTAAGCACCGAACCTGTGAGTCTCAGGCTGAGAGTGGTTCCTACCAAGGTACTCCTATTAATTAGTTGGGATAACTTACACAATGTGGTAGAAACAACCGGATGGTGTGTGTGTGTGTTTGTTGTTATCCGCCGGCGGGTTTAACCAGAAAGGGCTCAGACTAATTCCATTCTAGCGATAAGTACATTTACCAAGATATTTCTTGATCTCCTTCAGCCTATGAATGGCTCAATCCTGACCTGTTTGCTGTCTTCTACTATTTCTCTTTGGATTCTCGTGGGTTAGACAGGATTAGCAGCTGGCTCGAAGACGATTCGCAAGGGTTCCTGTGGGGGAGGATGTGACTCACAGGAACCAAACGTGCCTAACCAATAGAGTACTAATGTCTAAGATACGCACTGGACGTCAAGGTACCAAACGTCCCAAGTGTGCGTCATGGGTTACCAATTTGTCATTGACAGTGACCCTGCCATGTGTCTGTCGTTCAGGCACATATTTAAAGGACCTCTCCAATCACCAAGCTGGTTTTCTCTTTCCGCGCCATCGCGCAGCCAATATCCCAATCCTCCCTAGTCTAAGTTTCCCAGCATGGCAACTTCACAAGAACAATACATTACCGATCCCGCTCAGCTACAAGAGTCGGACCTTGCCAGAAACCTGGCCGACTCGAGTCTGGCTGATGACACTGTTGAATCCAAGGAAACGACGACGCGGCACATAGCGCCGCCGCGAAGACTCGCCCTCCTCCAACCGCTGGCTGATCCGGCCATGTTGGCGGCCTGCCGCAACCCTGCCTCTCAAACAACCCACCGGCCCGACAGAGGTGTCGGCGAACTCATCCGCCATGAATATCTCGACATCTCGGCACTAGACAAGGCCTGGCGCCACGCCTTGTCCAAGGCGCCTCCAGCTTCACATGTTACGTTTGATCTGCGTCTTCCCAAGCCGGTCGGCAATGGTGAAGCTGCCCAAGCGATCTACTGGGAGACAGCAATGCCGCCAAGTGGACAGGGCTTTGGTATCTCGACGCGCAACGTGATGCGTTTAATGGCAACAATCGCCATTGTGGCGCGGATGCGGGTGCAGGGGGATGTGCGCTTCAGCGTCAGCTACGGTACGGTACGGCGGAGGGCCTGCCGATGAGGGTTATCAGTCTGATGAGCAGGCAGCTCGAAGGTATAGCGAAGGCAAAGGACATCATGCCAACGGGCACCGTTGGAAATTGGAAACTTGATGCCGACGGGGACAGTGCTGACGCGGCCGGTGATGACGAAAGCCCTGGTCTGGCCGAGGTGCAGAAGGAATAAGGGACGTAGCAACTGAATGAGGCGACGTAGAGATAGTGCGGTATTCGAAACGATCCTGCGCTCGAGAGTTAAATTTATCCGGCTGGGTTCTATTACTGTCCTACCCGCTCACACGTCTTAGGTACCCTCTCGTCCTCGCTGCTTATATGATCCCAATGAGACTCCTCCGAGCACACTGCCCCACCACGGCATCTAGCGCTTGCAGGTGTGTCATGGCAAGGGAAGTCGGTGGATCCGGACGGTGCCTGGAATCTATTGCTCACTTAACCAAGACAGCAAACCCGTGAAGAGGGAAGAGTAGACAAAGGGAGATCGCTGGGAATCCCTGTGGCTATGTAAGTGAGAGTTTCTGTGAACGGAGAGTCTCGAGGAAGGGCCCCTCTAGGAGATTCGAAGGACCCAGAAAGCAGGAGAAATTCCAGTGGAATGAGGTTAAAATGTAAGCTGTAGGAACGGTTGAGTACCCGAGGAAAAGGCGACCATATAACCTTGTAGTAAGTAGGCCTCGAAAAGTGTCGGCTTTTGCACTGCGTCGAGGAGGTCCTTATCATTTGGTCTCTAAATCCTTGGTCCCTTCCCTGGAAACCTGAATCTGTCGAAGGTCTTTTTTGTTGCTAAGCAACTTCATCTGAGTTCGGCGATGTTGGTTTCTTTGTTGTGAACTCGTAAAGACAACCCGGTTGATGGCCATTATTGTCCGTCCTGGTTTCTGAGAACAATCCATGGCTTTCATATCCATTCATTGTTGTTAGCTCCTGGCTTCCAGTGATACAATACCGATTTCCGGCCACCCAACTTGACCTGGGGCTGTTCCAACTCCCGGGTCATTGCTATCCAGTGGAGTATATAAAAGTAAAGATAGGCACAGCACCCTAGGGTGGGTTACCTAAACTTCCTAATCTTCCAATTTCAGGCGTTTCAAGTTGTTTTTCGGACAGGCTGGAACTATGGCTGTGCGCCCTCCCCTCCCGTACTTTGCCCCAGAAGGGTCACTCCCGACACCGAGGCTGCCAACCGTGGCCGAGATCCTCGCCTCGGAGACGTTTCTGGTGCGGTACGGGGCGGCCCCGATTGTCCGTGTTGGCGACCACTACGTCGTCAAGTACGGCCGAAAGGTGAGCCTGCAGGAGGGCGAAAACATGCTCTTTGTGCGGCAGTTCACTAGTGTGCCGGTTCCAACTGTTTACGCACTTTTCCATGACAAGGAGACTGGCAACAACTTCATCATTCAGGAGTATATCCCTGGAACGATGCTCGACCTGCTATGGGATAAACTTTCCTATACTGAGAAGATGAGGATCACTTGGCAGCTTCGGCAAAACATGGAGGAGTTACGCCGTATCCCGTCCCCAGGCTACTATGGAGGCATCTGGGAACAACCAGCACCGTACTACTCCTTTCGTGGCTTGGAGTCTGCCTTTTCGGCGGCGCAGGAAACCGAGGAATATTGGGCCTACGGCTTGTGGCGGAGTCTGGACCTAAAGTTGAAGGGCAATGCCAGGAGGATCCTGCGCAGTCGCTGGTGTAAGTACCAAGCTATTTTCAAGGGCCACGAGGCCGTCTTTACCCACGGGGGCCTTTACCCAGGGAACATTATGTTAAACGAAGAAACTGGGACCGTCGTCATCATCAACTGGGAGCTCTCAGGATGGTACCCTTCGTTCTGGGAGTACTGCTGCGCTATTATACTGCTTCAATACCGCCGGGACTGGGCTCTCTGGGTCCCGGTAATTCTCGACAAGTATGTCGAGGAACTGAAGTTGGTAAAAAGTCATCGGAAGTTGATGTTGAAGTCCTGAGAGGTAGATCTGGGGGGGTTAACGCTGAGATATTTTCTTCCTTCCAGCTTTCTTTTAGTTCTCTTCTGTTTCAGACCATCCATCCAACCAGGAGCCCCTCGATGCTTATCCAACCGTGTGTGATAGATTGATTTTCCCAATACAAATCGAATTCACTGTTCCCCGCCCATTACTTAACTCGTATTAATCCATGTAAACATAAGGTACACAGTATCCCGTATTCTTCGTCTGCAATCTTCCGCCGAAAAGCCCACCGGGGCACATTTATTCCTTGCATCTGGTAATGGAATGTTTTGGCTGCCAAAGACATAAGCAAAGCCTTCCTCGACTATGTTTTAAGGTTAGGAGTGCCAGCTAATTGAATTTATAGTTAAGTTCAATAATTAACAAGTTGGTCGCGAGGTATGCGGACAGCAATTGTTATGGGTCCTAAACGGTGCAAAGTGATACCATGCCTTATTTACTATAAACGCTACGTTGCTACACCGGCGATAATATCAGCCGTGATAGAGCCAAAAATGGGAGCAAGAGAGCAACTCTTGTACTTATGTACCAAGAAACCGGAATCCCGTGTCTCGTTGTCGCTTGGTGTGGCTTGGGTGGCTGAAGAAATATCCTTCCCGTTGACTGAGGTACCTTCTGGATACCGCGGGACTTTTCCGGTCTCAATAAGTACTAAAAATTGAGGATCGATGGGGATGCGCCCTAGGAATCGGACGTTGAAGTCCTTCGCCATGACCTCCCCGCCGCCGCTCATGAAAATGTTCGTGCACTCGCTGCAGTTCGGGCACACAAACCCGCTCATGTTTTCAACGACACCGAGCACGCGGATGCCTGTCTTGGTGCAGAAGTTGAGCTCCTTCCTGACGTCCGCCGTGGCCACAGCCTGGGGTGTAGTCACGACCACGGCACCGGCAAGCTGTTCTGGCCGTGCTTTCTGCAGGAGCGTCTCGGCCAACGATATGTGTTCGTCGCTCGTCCCCGGCGGCGTGTCTATCAAGAGATAGTCGAGTTCGTCCCAGAACACGTCTGACAGAAACTGTCGCACCATGGCTGTCTTCTTTGGCCCGCGCCACACGACGGCGTCGCCTCGTCGAGGGAGGAGGAACCCAAGGCTCATGACTCGAAGCGAGCCAGTGCCCGCGGATGGGTCGGCTTCGTGTACGGTGATGGGCAGCCATCCGCCGGGGGCTTGTGTGACTTTCGCATCCTCGATCCCGAACATGCGCGGTATCGAGGGCCCTGTGAGGTCGACATCGAGGACGCCGACGGAATGGCCCGCTAGAGAGAGCGATAGTGCCAATTGTGTTGTCACCGAGGACTTGCCGACGCCTCCTTTGCCTGAGAGCACCTGGGCGGGAGGTGGTTAGAGTGCTGATAAGAGTTGCGCGAAGGTGGGGCAAAAAGGGCGCTCACCAGGACGATGTGCTTGATTTTGGAGAGCGACATGGCGATGAGGTGTGCGGGTCCTCGGGTAGCGAGTGGATCGATGGATAACTCAAATGTCGGAAAACAGTATATTTCTCCTTCAAGGTGGTCGAGGGCTTGCCATCTCAACTGCTGGCATCTCGGGGAATGACAATCTCCTTCTTTTTTGTTCGAAGCTGAGCAATTGGCCCCTCCATCGGCCTGAATCGGCGTGCTTTATCAGCAGCAGGTGGAGCTGCAGCCACCCTTTGCGGATGCAGCTCGAAGAGCGCCACAGCCGTGCTCAGATGTCGACCGGGTCCTCGAAACCCCTCCGCTGGTGAAAAAAGAGAAAAAAAAAGGAAAACAGAAAAAGAGCATACATGGAACCTTAAAAGAGAACCGATAGAGCCTTCGGAATGGTCACATATCTTGGTGCACTGGAAACTGAAGTCCGGAATACCAAATGTGGAACCTTGAAGACCGCGTGCGAAATCCATCCCTGTTCCCGTCTGCCAAGTCTGGAAAGGTTCCGCTGACTTACCGGGCTGCTGGGCTCCATTCCATGGCCTTGGCCCAATTTGAATCGGGCACAGTGGAAATAACCTGGAGGTCACTTCCAGACGAAGTACCTCGGTTCGCCTTCTTTGCAAACGAACGCAGTGGTAGCTATCGTCTTCTGGTACAGACCTCATGTTGCTTCTCGACATGTTTTTGGCGCTAAAGGATAGATCAATGGCTTTTTGAAGCCAACTAATTGCTAGCATCCCGTCGAGTTCGCGGATGCCCCGGTGACATGAGCAAGGGGTCTCGGGCTCCAGGCACCTTGTTATTCTCACCTTGTGCCACCCTGGCCCGCTCACATTCGAATCCGTCAACGCATCTCCCATCGATGCGGCAAAGGGGCAGACCGCGCGTCTCAGTCAACGTCATCTACCCAGCGTCTCTACGGCACCAAACGACCCCGATACCGAACCGCTCTCTTGCTTGGCCCAGACGAACACGACCCCGATTGGCCGCCCCCTGGACCGACCAACTTCTGCCCCCCCCAACGATGCCGAGCTGCCCTCGACACGAGTTCTCGCCCGCAACATGACAATCGTCGCGATACACAATGGACGATCCATGGGGCTCACCATGGGCCGCGACAGATTCAGACAGGGACTTGAAGCCGGGGTCTCCCGCCAAGTCCGACATTGCCCCTCCACCACGCGCCTTCCTCTCCGCATCAAACTCTCCCCGCATCCCCGCCGTTTCAGAGCAGTCGCCATGGGGAGGTGACGATAATGGAGCTGGGGAATGGACAGCACCTTTGGAAACGCCGGCGCATTCGATATGGGCTGGAGGTTGGGGCGGTTCGAATCCAAACTTACTGGCCACACCACGAGAAGACCTGCTCAACAAGACTAGCCCGATCGCATTGCCGGGGAACATTGCTACGCCAAAGCCAGTCAATGGCTCCGCATTCCGACAGCCGTCGCCGGACCCTTGGGGTAGCGGGTTCTCCTCCCGAAAACCTTCATTTGAGGCTGCCTCCACCCCGCGTTTGGTTGTCGAAGTCGCCTCCCCTACTATCGAAACGCCTATTGCTACGTTCGGGGGGCTAGGGATCGCGCAAGAAGATACCGTATGGGATAGGTCGGATGGGGCTAGTATCAGCAATCCCTCAATCACCGTCGAGACCGACTCTCCCACGGCCGAGCCCGGAAACGTAAAGGGCGTGGAGGAACAAACTACACCTGTGGCAACCCGGGGTAGCGATGTGCGGTTAAGCGTCGAGTCGACCGCGCTAAACCGCGGGTACCAGTCTCCCACACCGTCCAATGACAACACCGATCACGAAGAGGAACGACAGGACTCACCAATTACGTCCATTGACGAGGAGCCAAGGGGTCTGTCAGCGGGTTCGCGAAAGGCATCTGGAAAGGTGCAAGAACTGGTCGTCAAGTTCGACGGTATTGCCAGGGCAGCGAGCGAAGAACGCGACATCGTTATCCCGCCCTCCGAAACCAGCCCACCCAGCGCTGAGAAAAGAGATGGTTTGCGCGATGGCGCCGACTTTGGAGAGTTCGAGGATACCAATCCAGATGAACTGCCTCCCCCGTCACGCTCGAAAGAACCAAGAGCTAGACTAAGTATTGAAGAACCGATCGAAGTTGGCGCACCGTCTGGTGATCTTTCCTCGGGCCCATCGGCAATTGCCCAATTTGGCCCCATAGACTTCCGTGTGGATTTCGGCTTGGTCGCCAAGTTGTTCAACGCCGCTCTAGAAGCCGCGTCCGATGTCAATGTGGATCACGAGGTGCCAGACCATGTCACTGACGATAGCTTCACCGAGATTTCGGAGCGGAAGACCTGGTATCGCATCTCCCGGCTGGGGTCCTCCCGGAGACATAATGCCGGAGACGACGACAGCTACAGGAGGATCACCTGGGCAACATCCACAGTTCACGATGACACCACCAAAATTGTCCGCCGGTGGATGGAGGAGGATTCTATTGCTGGACGCGTGGCGCTTGGAGGTGGGATATCCAAAACGCAGAAGAACATGTTTGGTTGGGATTCCTCTGTCGAGCCTGTCACGCTGCATGATGTGTTCAGGAAGAAGAACGCGCACGCCAGAGCTTCTTCGGTTCAGCAACCTCCCAGAACAACTGCCCTTCCCTTGGGCCTAATGGATGGGTCCTCAAACAAGTCGCCGCAACGACCGACGCACCACGCCTCAAGTAGCGTCGGGCCGGGTGTGCCTTCGTTCGGGTGGAACACGACCTCACCCACGTCCACCACCCACACCCGCACTACCAGCACAATATCTGGGCCGCCCAATTCGATTCACACAGGCCCCGCGCCTCAAATACCCCCTGCCGCTCAAGGACACAACGCAGTTGAGGATGACGACAACGACGATGATGAATGGGGCGAGATGATCTCCTCACCTGTTGCCCCCCAACCCAAAGCTACAACAGCCGGCTTAGCAACCCAGCGAACTGTCGTCAGCCCCACCTTGGATGCATCTGCGCTCGAGAATAACCACACTGCTATTGACACGCCCTCGGCCAAGGACACTGCACAAGACCCCTGGGGCGAACCCGACTTCACTGCCTTCGAGTCGGCTCCCGCCAAGCCGAGTTCCCAAGCCCAAGGAACGGCCGCCATTCCCAAAATTGTGGACCGTCCAGTTCTCTGTTCCGATTCGGAAAACTCCGTGTCTGTTTCCTTGGGGCCGCCGGCTGAAACCCGTCCTCAAGGATCTTCCTCACCTATTGAGGTACAGAAGCCGTCAACTAGCGACTCGCAACATGAGCACGAGAAAACGGCACAGCGGATTACCGCCAATCTTCCTGATCTCTCGTACATGCTACGTTGAGAAGTCGTGTGACACTTTGCAAACTGTGCAACAACGAACAACTCGAGCTATATTGTATCCGCTCGTGTCCAGCGGGGGATGTTCATACCTTTTTGTATCATATGTACGTTATGATGTGTTCATCTCATCAAAAACTACCGCAGGGGCTGAAAATATATCCACACGCGACCCCTTACCGCTTGAAGTCCGCGGCCCCATCTTTGACATCCTTAAGTAATGAGACGAGCAAATTTGTGGCTAGCATGGGTCGGTCTTCCACCTTAAACCGACAGCATGTCGTGTGTCGGATGAGAGCTTCGGCCCTTGCAACCACACGGTTCGCTCGCTCGCTTTATTTTCGGGCGCTCTTGGATACCCACACACGGCCAGAGGGTGCCATACTCCGGATACCGCCCCTCTTGGTCCACGCTCGGAGTCGCGAGAAGCGCGAACAGCCCCGGCAAATAAACGACTGAGCTCGGCCGCCGCCGTCTCCGCCCCTCTGCCGCCTCAAGCTGCCGGTGACCGCAGGCCCCGCATCCCCGCAATTTTGGGGGTGGCGCCCCGTCAGCCAAGAGATCAGAATCGTCCCCGGTCCCAGCGGAATCCGGGGCTCCCGCGTATCAGAGACCGCACATTTCGAAGCCGAGACCGCTGCCGGAAGCGCTGACGATCACCGCGTTTTCCTGGCTCCCGCCCACTGGGAGGCTCTGCTTCGGCCTTGGTAAAGCCAACAGCAGCTAGCTACCTAGTCAGTTCGCCCCGGGGGGCTAGGCGGGTATCACATGCGTCAGCTAAAACCCGAAGTGGCGGTCGAGTTGATATAAACCCCTGACATCTCAAAACATTCTGTCTCGTCTAGTTTTTCTTAATGCTGCGACACCAAACATGGCCCTCATCAACTTCATCTTCTCGCCGTGGGCACCAGCTGCCCTGTTAGTGGCTGCTGTGGTGTACTATATTTACCCGTATCTTGTGACCTACCGGCACCTCAAACACATTCCAGCGCCGTTCCCAGCTCAGTTCTCAAATTGGTGGTTACTCCTAGTAGCCCGCCGAGGCGACCGATACGACACGGTCGACAAGCTGCACAAGAAGTTGGGTCCGGTTGTGCGTATCCAGCCGAACCATGTCAGCCTCTGCGATGACGAGGCCATCCAACTCGTCTACGGCCACGGCAACGGTCTCCTGAAAGCGTGGGTTTGATTCGCTCAGCCAAAGGTGCGACATGTTCTGACACGCCTCAGGGACTTTTACGATGCTTTCGTGAGCATTCAGCGCGGCCTGTTCAACACGCGGGATCGCGCTGAGCACACGCGCAAGCGCAAGATCGTGTCGCACACCTTCTCCGTCAAATCGGTAGCCCAGTTCGAGCCGTACATCCACAGCAACCTGGAGCTCTTTGTCCGCCAACTGGACAACCTCATCTTGCGCTCCAACAACCCTGACGGCGCGGCTCACCTCGACTGCCTCAACTGGTTCAACTACCTCGCCTTTGACGTCATCGGCGATCTCGCTTTCGGCGCGCCGTTCGGCATGCTGTCCTCCGGCGCCGACATGGCCGAGGTCCGCGCTTCCCCGGAGAGCCCGCGCATCTACGCGTCCGCCATCGAGATCCTCAACCGGCGCGGCGAGGTCTCCGCGGCGCTCGGCAGCCTCCCCAGCCTCAAGCCCTACGCCAAGCACTTCCCAGACCCCTTCTTCAGCCAGGGCCTCCAAGCCGTCGAGAACCTCGCCGGCATCGCCATCGCGCGCGTCAAGTCCCGCCTCGAAAACCCGCCCCCATCCGAACGCAAGGACCTCCTGCAGCGACTAATCGACGGGCGCGACGAAAAAGGCCAACCACTCGGGCGGGAGGAGCTCACAGCGGAAGCCCTAACCCAACTCATCGCCGGCAGCGACACAACATCCAACTCATCATGCGCACTACTCTTCCACGCGGTGCGCACCCCCGGAGTCATCCAAAAACTGCAGGCCGAGCTCGACGGCGCGCTCCCCGCAGACCTGGACGTGCCGACCTTCGACATGGTGCGCGACCTGCCCTACCTGTCCGCCGTCGTCAACGAGACCCTGCGCTTCCACTCCACCTCGGGCATCGGCCTCCCGCGCCAGATCCCCGCCGACGCCGCCCAGGGCATCCATTACCACGGCCACTACTTCCCCCCCGGGACCGTGCTGAGCGTGCCGACCTACTCGATCCATCACTCCAAGGAGATTTGGGGCGCGGATGCGGATGAGTTCAAGCCGGAGCGATGGGAGGATTTGACGGCGAGGCAGAAGAATGCGTTTATTCCGTTTAGTTATGGTTCGCGCGCGTGCGTGGGGCGGAATGTGGCCGAGATGGAGATGAAGCTCATCGTGGCCACGTGGTCGAGGCGGTACCATGTTAGTTTGCGGCAGGATTATATGGACACCAAGGAGGGGTTCTTGAGGAAGCCGTTGGGGTTGGAGATTGCGTTGAAGCGGAGGATGTGAGGGGTGGTTCGTTGGGGATCATATCTCAGGGGGTTCTTCCTACCAACCCGTGACGCCTTTGACGCTGCAACGTGGGCAATAGCCGGTCTCACTGTACCTGTTTTAAACTACTGGTACACAACCGCAGTATCATAGCCAGCTCAGAAATCACCTGGCGCATTGTATATATGTTTATTTCATTTCTTGTACATGACTATTCTTTTCGATCACTGGACGATTTGAGTCATCGTCATGCCCTGTACAAGGACAAACAGGCTTATTCCGATACAAGAAACGAGTTGCATGCGATGCGGAAGATATTGGGGGATGGCGTCCGTTGGGTTCCCCGGTTCAACACCGAAGGTGTTCTGAAATCGAGCAGGAAACCATTCAATTCTGACTACTTCATGCACGACTGTCTACCTAGTGCTGGGCATCAGGCCTCGGCATCCCTTTTCATGCTTTCTGCGATCCACTTCACAGTGGCCCCAGAAAGCTTGTTCATCTCCTCCTCTGTCATCTTGTTGGTCGCGAGGGTACTTATTGGGCCCCGGAATATTAGCACCCTTCTGGAAGCCTGGACGCTCCAGCAACCCCCAGAACCACTTGGAGACGTTCGGGAACTCTTCTATGGCGCGTAATCCAGAGAACCCTAAGCCGGTTATTAATACAAAGAGACGACCTCACGGTGGATGCGTGTTGATCACCACTTACTGGTGGCAGAAACCCACGGCCAGATGGCGATGTCGGCGATGGTGAGACGATCACCAACCAAAAAGCCGGTCCCTTTCTTCTCAAGATGGCCATCCAGAACTCGAAGCAAGCGGCGGCTCTCATTGACGAAACGGTCGATCGAGTATTGGTGGACTCCCACCGCGGAACCTGTGGGAGACGTTAGACGGGATTCCAGACCTTTTGCGCTGTATTCTTACGTACGAGTGAAGAAATTGGACTGGCCCATCATAGGTCCGAGACCACCCATCTGCCACATCAACTACCGAAGAGTTAGTTGGACGTTTTTCATGTTGGTAAACCAGGCGTATCAGGATATTTCATTCCCTTACCCAGCTGATTGTCTCCCAGTGCTCCTTGGTCCCGTAAGGATAGGAGATCAGGTGGTCCTTGTCGTATGTCGCCACCAGGTACTCCAGGATAGCTCCCGACTCGAAGATCTTGAGCTCCACGCCGTCGGCTGTCTTGTCGGTGATGGCCGGGATACGTCCATTGGGGTTAATCTCGGTAAACCACGGCTCCTTCTGTTCGTTCCTGAACATATCAATCTGCACAAGCTGTGTGGTGTGTCAGTCAGGCTCGTCACTCGGCAGGGAGGAGAAAAGGGGTCACGACAGTACCTTGTACTCCAGGCCAAGCTCCTCCAGAGCAATGTGGACTTTCAGTCCGTTAGGCGTGCCCTCGCTGTACGCAGTGATGTTGGTCTTGGTCGTCATCTTGAATTAAATATGCCGGTTCGCTCGCCTCAGGACAGGCTGGTGTTTGTGCAACGAGAAGTGTCCATGAAAGTATCTGTGCACCAGGACCCAGGACTATGGGCATAAATACCCCAAACACCATGCGTCCCGCTGAATAATGTGCCAGACTATCCGACCGGGCGGTGTAAGATGAATAATAAGAGCAGTGTCAACATGATCTAAGTTTCGGGCCTTCCGCGAAATGTTTGCTTGCAGTCTGACAAATTGGACGGCATGATCGGAAAAGGACTGGACGCTGGGAGCTATGATGAGGCTGTCCTCAATATCTGATGATAAATTGATATTGTCCGTACGAGACAAAGCAAAAACCTGACTCTGAGTTGGTTGCTGCAAGGTCCCAGGGACCTGATGCCCGATCAAGAAGAGTGCATAACTCAAGTTCCGGAATCCGCCGGACTTTCGGCTTGCTGTAAGATGGGGAGGGAAGCATTGGTTGGCCGGGGACTCGTGGCTCGGGTTTGGCTTGGTTTGAGGGCTCTCCGTTTGATGTGAGAAAGGGCAGGCAGCATGGGTGTCTTCCTGCCATGAGGTTGTTTGGGTGGGTGACATCGGCCGATGTTTAAAAAGATATGGAGCAGTTCCTGCAAAAGGCAAGGGACCATATGCCTAATCGGGAAGCACCCCCCACACACCATCAGCTTGGGTGAAGTTCGAATCTCCGATGATGACTAAGGACTGGTAACGACGGTCATCCCACCATTCCCAGCACCGAAAAGCGACCTCACCATCTCCGGAGGTCTCCTTTCCCCCTCCCCTCTCTCTCTTCCTTCCTTCGGCCATTGCCTCCCACGCCCCTTGGGCCTTGTCCCCAGCCCTAGCCATACGGTCCCGTACCACCACCATGGCCCCCTCCAAGCAGCAACGACTCCTGTGGGTGCACTCAACCGAACCAACAAGCGTTCGCCGTCGTGATAAGACCACCATGACGAAAATCCGCCGCCATGTCATGGAAGATATCGGAATATCACGCCGCAAACCCCAACAAAATCCGCAATTCGTCATCGAGGTCGGGTCGCCTACTGAGGTCAACTCGCTCTTGCCGCCCTTCTGGAGCCAGGATCCGCTCAGCATTCTGGAACAAGAGTGGCAAATGGACAACTTCTCGGCGTACGGAATGTCTTTATTGGCTACCGAAGGCAAAAGACTACTCGGCAATGCAGATGCATTGACTTCCGAGGGTTTCTCCTTCCCCTTTGCCTTCACATCATCCGCATTCCTCCGTCACTTCAGGCCCATCTTCTCCGACCCTTCCGTGCTCAAACAAATCTACCACCAGTCATCGGGGAGGGTCAGAGTCATGGCATTGGAACGCTCCTTGGGGACCATCTCGTGCATCGAGGCGACTGTGGCTCAGCCGAAAATTGATCCGGCCACAGCGGACCGTGTCATTTGCGCCGTCCTGTCCATCATTTGTTACAATGTAAGTGGAAAGCATGGCTTGTACCGTCACTTTACCTGTCACTGACGACCGTCCCGCAAGCTGTTGAGCCTAGAGTTTAATCAAGCTCGTGTTCATTTAGGAGGTCTTGGGGGTTTGATTGCTGCCAGAGGCGGGATACAGTCTCTGAACGGCAACAATGAGCTGAGATTGATCATTTTCTGGTATGGCTAACCGGATGTGTGCTTCGACTGAACTAATATCTGGGTCCTAGGGTCGACGTCACGACATGCTTGCTGTTCAACATGAGGCCACGATATTCGCTACCCCTGGACCTCATCCCGGCAATGTTCCACACGGACTCGTCAAAGGGGTTACCGATGCCGCTCTCGAGAATTCTTGCAACTGCCGAAGCTGAAATCGGGGTCAAACTGACACACATACCGGTTTGCGTAGCCGACTTGAGCGAAGTAGCCCTCGCCATTGAGTCAGAACTGGCGGTGAGAGGGGATGCCTTGTGGGATGATGAGATCTTTCTGGGGCTACGAATTAACCCCCTGGCGCACCGTTTGTTTGACCGCGCAGGACCAACTGCCGGATTTTCTTCTCACTTGCATCAAATCTTGGAATCCGTACGGATAGGGATGATCGTTTGGATTATCTGGGTGAAACGCATGTGTCGATCATGGCCCGGCTCTCCCATGGCATACGTGCCAGAGTTGCTCTCCATGCTCAGTGCGGAGACCAACTGGGCAGCAAACACCGCCTTGGATGCTTTGGATGACATGCTGTCTGTGAGACTCTGGCTCAGTGTTCTCTGCGGTATTGCATCTTGCCACGGATCGTGCGAGCGAGAAACTGCTGTAAAGCTGATTGCAGAAGACGTGCATCGATTAAACCGAAAGGAATGGGGCGAGGTCATGGTGCGTGTACGGCAGATGCCCTGGATCAACTCCTTTGAGACACCCTTGGCCGGGCTAAGAAGTCATGTCCAATTGCTCCATCTCTCGTAATAGTTGTATTTTAGTTGGTAGCATCTTGGGAGATAGATCGGAACCCCTCACCGAAAATGATAACCGCCTACCTTACCTTACCTAGAAAGGAATCTTCTTCCTTTTTCAAATCAAGTCCTATCCAGCTTTAGCGTCATCAACACAGTATGATAAACCAATCTGTGGACATATTACCCATGCCCATGCACCCATGGAGGCAGAGACTTGGAAGCAGGGATAATACGCAATAGACTGGAAAGGATGGGTGGTGGAGGCGGGGATCACACGCAACGCGATCACACGCAACGCTCCAGAAGTCCGAGCCGGGCGGCAGGACAGAAAAGCCGCACATGATGTGGGTAACGCTCCTTGGATTGGTAATCCAATGCCTAATTAGCTGTATGTTTCCCAATTATTAAGCCGTTAATGAAATATAAGAAACGATAGACAGGTTGCTCCTCTTCCAGTTGCTTTCGATCTCGTCCCTCAAATGTTCGGACGAGTATGCTGTGAAAGACTCCTTGTCTGGCATCCTGAATTCATCATTTCTCATTTAAATTCCCTGCGTGACTACTCTTACACTAAACATGTCCACATCCTCAGGCAATCCAAGAGTCATCGCTATCCTTGGAGCCACGGGGCACCAAGGCGGTGGCGTCCTTCGGGCATTGCTCAAGTCCAAATCGTGGATTGTCCGCGCTGTCGTTCGCGACCCAGGCTCGTCCAAGTCCCAGAAGCTCCTGGCCGAGGAGCAAACCGAGGATGGCCGGTTGGACGTTGTTGCCGCACACGTGTACGACATCGAGACTCTGCGAAAGGCATTTGCTGGCGCCTTTGGAGTCTTCGCCATGACCTGGGAGTCGCATCCCGACAAGATGATAGTCGAGGAAGAGGAGATGCAACACGAAATCGAGGCCGGACGCAACATTGTTCTCGCCGCCAAGGAGTGCAACATTCAACATTTTGTCTTCAGTAGCCTGCCTGACATGATGCAGGCCACGTCTGGCCGGTTTCCTAAGCTCTACCACATGAACAACAAGTATGCCGTGGAGAAGATCGCCAGGGAAGAGCTCCCAGGAAAGGTCACTTGTCTCATACCGGGTTTCTTCTACACCAATTTACACTGGCGACATTGGTGTCGACGCCAGGGTATGTCAAGCTACACCTCATCACCTCGTTTGGCCTCCCACATCACCCGAAAAGATTGAAAAGAGGAAAGAAGCCAAGCTGACTTTGTCTCCCACTTCCTTTGGCACAGAGGACGGTGTAGTGAGGTTCTCTTGTCCAATTCCGTCGGACCAGGTAGCCCAGTTCACAGATCCGGAATATGACATGGGCTCTTTTGCAGCGAGTGAGTCCACCATTCCATCTCGAGACCACGAGTCGGAGGCTAGAACGAGTCCCTAACCTGCTACGAAACAGGAGTATTCGAGTTGGGCATCGATCGCACGCGCGACAAGACCTACCTCGTCCTGAGCGCCCGGGTCACGCCGCAGGAGATGGTAGAGACCTTCACGAGAGTCACTGGGCAGCCAGCCATCCACTCCCCAACAACAGCCGAGGAGTTTGGCAATAGCACGGCTCCATTTGTCGGACCAGCCTTTAAGGAGGACGCCAAGCAGATGATGGAATGGGCCGCTATCACTCCAAAGAACAAGGTCGCCTACGGGTCTCTGGATCCAGAGGCAGACCGCTCCGCCGAGGAACTTGGACTGGCTGCTAGCTCATTCGAAGAGTGGCTGAAGAGGACTGGTTGGACAGGACCGGATCGCGGGTAAATGCCGTCAAGCGAGCCCCGGTTTTGCTTGGACAAAATGGCGAGAGCTGAGAATGAGAGCCTGCCATATGTCATGACGTGTGGGAAGCGGCAAGATGCATCGAGAGATTCGCAGCAGCGAGTAAGGCGTAGGTAGCGCAATGGAGGGTTGGGGATATGTATGGGGGGGAAACACGTGGTGGTGGTACAAGTCCAGCACGACAAACAGACAGTGCAAACGCTCCTCTTATACAAACCTCTACTCAGCTTCGCCCGCTTTCCTTTATTCTGAAGAACTGTTCTTGACATACAGACACTGCTTCTTCACTTTGTCACATCTCGACCGCGATGACCCGACTCTCGATGCGACAGCTGCGTACGTGGCAGATGTCTCAGATGCCAAAGCCTCGCGCTGATCGCGGCTACCGCCCAGCAGCATTGATACCCAACCGTCCACCTCTCGGGCACAATTTCACAGCCCGCGTTCATAGCAACGTATTAATGGATGGATCAGGCACTGATAGCTGGTAGGTACCTGTCGCCTCCTTATCCTCCTCACCTTGACCTACTTGTCGTTTCCACTTACACACTTACACGGCTACACCACTCCACCTCTCGCCAACCTCAACCCTTTACCCTCGACTTTCAAATAACTAAACTACCTATACAGCATGACCAACCGTGCCAACGCCGCTCGGGACCTTATTGCCCTGTTGACACCTCTCATTAACGAAGAGGAAGGGCCAGCCTTGCCCAAAGCGTCTAACGGCACTTCCCCAGTTCCCGACCGCCGCAAGGTCCTCTCCGCCGTCGAGTCGCTGCTCCACACCTTGACCCCGGAGAAGCCCCTGTACGCCGCGTTCCATGATGGCCAGGTACATGATCCGCTCGGCGGCGGTTCTTACGCCTTCCGGGAGGACCTCGTCAGACCTCTCCTGGAAGGTCTCGTCCACGATGAAGCCCGCAGTGATGGTGATGTCCCGGGGTCCAAAGCACACCGAGCCTACGACATGCCTAGTCGCCCCATCGTCATCCACGCAGGAGCACAGCCGAACAACTCCCCGCATTGCGGCACCCTGATTGTCTTTTGCTACGCCTTCGCCGTCGCTCGAGCGATCCGGGATCGGATGCGGACCATGGCCGCCAACGCTGAGGTTGTGTGTCAGCCACCTCCAGTGTCGGTCGATATAACCTTTGTCGACACCGCACCAGTCAACGGGGCGGGCATGGAAGTGAACGGCATACACTACCAAAAGTCATACCGAGACACCCCGAGCGCCTCCACTGCGTGGACGGGCGACTACCACGAAGTCCTCAGCCTTCTCTCCACATGGTCCGACATCCCCGTCACGACCACCGTCCAGTCCGACTTCTTCTCCAACCCCTTCATGCCGCAACTGCTCGACTACATGGTGACCAACCACCACACGCTCGGCCGCCAGCTCTCCCCCAAGTACGGCACCCTGGCCCTGCGCGCCGCCTGCCCCGTCGCCGGCTGCGGCCTCGCCGAGAAACACGGCCGCCTAAACCAATACACCAAGAGCACACCCATCCCAACCAACACCACTACCGTGACCAAAACCAGCGATATCACCCCCCCACCAACCCCCACCCCCCCAGCAACAATAACCTTCCACTGCCCCCACCACGGCCCGCACACCCTCCCCCTCACGCCTAACCCCCTCACCCTCTCCCGCCTCGAAGCCAACGCGCCGACCCGCAACCTCCTCCGCAGCATGGCCCACCTCCTCGACACCAGCACCCACCACGTGCGGGTCACGGGCGCCGACTACGCCGGCGGGTACCAGGAGGCGATGCTATACCGTCCGCTGGCGGAGTGGGCTGCTGCTGGTTCTGAGACTGGTGGGGTGGGGGTGGGGGTTGGGGGGGTTGGTGGGAGGACGCCGCATATCTTGTACGCGCCGCTGGTGGTGGACTGGAGCGGGGCGAAGCTGTCCAAGTCGCTGTACGTGCGGGAGGGGGGGTATGAGGGAATGCGGCTGTTTGGGACGGAGGGGTTGGGGAGTTATCGCGTGCTGAAGGGGGTTGTGGGTGGTGCTGGTGGTGGTGAGAATGGTGGTGGTGGGGAGGAGGAGGGGTTGAGGAGGATTTGGGAGGAGGTAGGGCGGTGGGTGGCGGATCCGAGGAAGTTGTTTCGGTGTTATTCGGTGGAGTACTTGAGGCGGGTTGTTGTTGAGGGGAGGGGGTGGGAGTGAGACGGGTTTCTGGCTTTTGGTTGGTGTTGCGGGGGGTGGTAGATGATGATGTTGATGATAAATGATGGGTACCATCTTTGTTGTGCAAAGTAATACAGTCGACGGCGCTCCGTGGCTGGAAGCGATAGACGGCCGCTCAGAATAGCTTCTTCACCTTGTCGTCCCGCCCCTCTTCGCCCCCCCACCGGTCCTCCCACAGGCCGGCCCCGAGGTAGCGCCACCCCATCGGCGCACCTCCCATCCCCCATCGGCTTTTCATCTCTGCTAGTTTGACAGGCTTGACGAGCTCGTACAGCTCCAAAACTGGGTAACCGTACTTGGACTGCTTTAGTCCGGCATTGAAGTCTTCGTTGCCGATGCCGAAGGGCTCTGTGGGCACTTCTCCCGGTGTGCGTCGAACATCGGATGGTATCACGGCGATATGCCTACTGGGTGTTAGTGGAAACTGGAAAGGACAGAGTGGAGAAGGAGAGAGAACTTGACAAGGCAATTGTGAGTTACAGGGAATACATACGTGATAGCTGACCTGCCATTGCCCCCACCCGTCTCATAGAGCCACAAACGCTCCACCCCATCGCGCAACCGATACTTGCGGTATTCGTGATTCTTTTTTTGGCTGGAAATGTTGGCGAGGTGTTCTGGTTTGATGGCGAGGAGCACGTCGCTCTCAACGCGGTCGTCGCTTGCACCAGCTTTGGTTTTAGTTTTAGTTTTGGTTTTGGTTTTGGCTGGTGCTGTTCTCTTGGTGACGCGATGAGTCTGGCCGAGTGCCATTTTTGTTTGTCTTTGATGCTCCTGTTGTCGACCACGGGGTTACAACGAGCACTGAGCAAAAGGAAGCGGAAAATGGATCCTAATTGGTTTGGCTCGTTCAACTCGCCGAGTGGTGGGGGTTCCAATTGCGGAAACCGCGACGCGTTTGAGAACCTTGCTGGCCAGCGCTCGCTCTGTTGCGCTGAAGATGACAAGCCCCACATTGCTATCTTATCGGCATCCTATCTTATCGCGCCTCGAGCGTCCGTGCACCCGCTACGTGACGCCTTTGACCACTCGGCCATTCCTTGAGTTCGGGGTCTGAAGCTCACACAAACATCGACCTTTTCCCACGCCCCAATTCTGCCACCAAACCCCCACCCCCTGACTTGCAACACCACCGCTATGCTCAGATAGGCTTCTTCTTGGTCTTTCACCAAAAACCGTGTCTATTTTATTTCCTCTTCATTGTAGTCGATCTAGCCACCCCTTGCCTCTTTCTTTTGTTTTCCTTGCTTCTTCAAATGCTCGACTGCCGGTAATCATACTACCTACCTATTTACAATATCAATGATACTATTCACGGCTTACACCAACTTCTCTCTCGTTTCCATCACGGCCCCAACTCCCTTCATCACAAGCCAGCGTGACAGAACCGCGTGTAACCACCCCCCCAACCTGCTCTCCAGCAACGACGGCGCCTCGTCGTCCTTCCTCCACATCCAGGTCTCGTTGACAAACACAACATCACCATCACTCTGCAGCTCAACGCCGGCGGCGATCACCCCGTTAACTCGCGCGCCTTTGTAAGTGGGCGGCGCATCCAACGCCATCTCCACTCGTTCGTCGCCCCGCCGTCCCCCGTTGCCTCGATAGACAACCTTCCAGAACCCGTTCACGCGGTCGCCCTCGCAAAACCCAAGGTTCCGGATGAACGGCGTGTCGAACGTCTTCCTCGCCGCCTCGTCGCCAGCAGCCGCGCGGAGGAAGAAGGCCTGCGGCGTCCAGCTGAAAGCGGTCATGGTCGCTCGGACGTAGTCGGTCACCACGGCCGACAGGTCATCATCCACCAGGCTGGACCGCGGCAAGGGCTGGGAGACGATCCGTTCGTATGCGAGGACCCATTCCGACTCGTCGGCCCCGGCTTCTTTCGGCAGCGTGACCGGTTTGGAAAGGGCGGCTGGGACGGTAGAGACGCCTCTGTTCTTGTTGCGGACGCCCGTTGCGGTCTTGAGCTCTTTGGAAACGGTGCGGTCGAGGTAGATCAGGTAAGTGACGGGAAGAGCCAGGGGCAAGACGGCTAGGCAGACAGCCAGCTTGGAGGAGGGGAAGTTGAGGATTTTGCTGAACATCTCGTTCTGAATCATGAATATCAGGCCGGGCTGCTTTCCAAGATCAACATCGAATTTAAAATTGGAGAGTCAAATTCTTCTCCAGAAGTTCATGATCAAGCACGGGCCAATTGAGACGGCTTGTCATCGCACTGTGTCAGCCGGCCTAATTCATCTTCTTAGCCCGAGAGCTGCCAAATGCCGCACAAGTCAGAGGTATCAATGACATTCGCAACACCAAGGATATGCTTTAGGCGGGGCGAGAGCGGTCTTGCCTTGGCCCCAAGGGCTTATCGGGAGGTTCCACATCGACATCCAGGCTTCAACCAACCGGAGTAAGACCAACAGGCTCTGCAACCAAACCAAAGTACTATCAAGACTTATACCAAGCCATAGGTAGCTCGATGTAGATCGGCAAGCCCACTGCCTTGAAGTAGACCGCCTGTGTTTGTAGTAGCGTCTTGAGCTAGCGAATACGAAGAGGAAGAAGCTGAAGGGCTGGCCAGCTGGGGCCGCATTCGTGATATGATATATCCATCAAGAAGCCCGGAGCACGCAGGCAGTCGGTGGTGGAGCGAGCAAGTATGGATTCTGAGAGGGCGTGAAGAGTGGCTCGAGAGACACTTGATAACTGAGACGACGCGGCGATTTATCCTTCTGGTGTAAGTGGTTTGAACGTGGGACATACACTACACATGGCGCTCGACGCCAACTTCGCCTAACCACCGTAGCTCCTCTGTCGGTCTGGGTAGGAGGTAGGTATTGAGCGCCGGGCCGACAACGGCGACTGGGAAAGGGGGACCTCCCCCAACCGAAGAGTACTTACGCCACCAATGTGATGCCTACACCTGGCAACGGGACGCCTTCAGGGCTTTCACCGCCAATGTAAAATGCAATACCCAAGCAACGAAGGGAGGGGTGCAAAGCATCAGAGTGGAATTCAACCCCAGGCATTAAAGGCGCGAGTAATCATGGGTTTGTAACTATCGAGATAAGCGAGGAGAGAATAATACCCGGTAACTTAACAAACCTTTCTGTAGAGGTGTGTGGACTTGGTACACTGCCAACCGAACTCGGCCCAATGTTTTGGACTTTCCGCGACTACCTAACTAGCGCGGTGAGCGTGAGACATATCCCAGTATATCCCAGTCTCGATGCAGCTAGGTAGGTAGTGACCTATGTAGTTACTGCATATACAAATTTCAGCTCTCCACTTCACCATCGATCTTCGGCAACTTGGGCTTGATCGACACATCTGCATGTGCTTTTGAATCTGTACAGATTACAGCTCACACAGTGACACAACAAACCATGGGCGCCTTTGTTAGCTTATACCACTCCCACACACCTGGTCTGGTCATGATGTTGAACCATCTGCACTCGAAAGCCAAGAAACAACGTACCTATCCAGCATGACGGTCTCCCACAAATCACTTGCTCAGCTCGATGGGGGCTCCCAACGGCCCCATGGAAGCTCTGCCTGGTCCATCCTGCAGAACGGCATCGACAACAACCCAAACCGGGCCGCGTTGATCTCGATGCAGCAGCCGCCAGACCACCTCGCACAGCTTGTCGGGCCAGGTCCGGTCCAGTCTCCGGCGGTGCGCGGCCCAGACGAGATCCTCACCTGGTCGTACGCCCAGATGCGACGGGGAGCCGCTCGCCTCGCGACGGTTCTAGCGCGCCACGGCGTGCCTCTGCACTCGACGCTGCTCACCTTCATCCCCCAGAGCGCCGAGTGGGCGCTGCTGCTCTGGGTATCCGCTCTGTGTGAGAGGTGGGGCCTTCCCTGGCCCACCTCACGTGCAGGGCAACCGCCCACATCCTCCCGCAGTGGCAGGGCTAGCTAGCTTTTCCTCCCACACACAACATTCCACACACGTTTTCCCACCGACTCTACTATCGCGAGTCCCACAGGTTATAAGCTCCGTACAGCGTATTTTACGGTAGTTTTCGACTATTCTCCTTTGTTTCTTTACTTTTACGTATTCAGTTTCGTTATACTTTAGTAGTAGTACCTGAAAACGTTAATCGGTCGGTAAGGTCTATAAACAAAACAGTCCTAAGCCTGCTTCCTACCTTAGGCTTTGTATCTAATAAGCTAGGTTAATTCGAGTAAATTACCTAACAATTAAAAGTTCTTAAGGTCTATAATTCTAAACCGGAATTACAGTTAGTTTTATTACAGCCTGTTTTAATCCTAATACCCAGGATCCTTACAACTATCTTTACAGTTATATTAGCTATTATCGTTTAATAGCTTTTATAGCAAATTTCAGCGATTATCCTAGAGCATTTCAACATCCTATTTAATTAAACCTTTATCGACTTTATTACCAATATTATCCTTAATAACTTCGTTAATTAAAAACAATAATAACAAAAGAAAGTATTATAGCTAACTTAGGCGAAAATATAAGAGAGTTCCTTTGTACCCTAACTAACCAGATATAGAAGAGAGATAAGTAATAGAATAAGGTTATCTAAGACCTTATATAATAACTCTAAGAGGCGAAGATAATAGCGATCTCAACTAAGAAGAGAATGTTTATTACCCTACCTACTCTATCCAGCGAAAAGGATCTAGAGGCTTAGAAATCTTTGATATATACGTTACTGGTACCCAACAACCTCTTCCGATACTTCGAGAAGGATATTCCCGAACCTAAGGACGCTACTACTATCGAGTAGCGCTAGTAGAAGACGGATCAACAGGATATCTTTAAACTGTTAACGGTATCCATTAAGAAGGCAACAGTAATATCGCACATAATATACATCGGCTAGAAGCCGGACGATATCGACCCCTAGAAGCTATATTAGAAGGTCTTTAAAGCCCTCCAATATAGTACCGAGGAGACTATATATATCTTAATAAATAAGTACTTTACAACAGCACTGATGTCATGATCACTGTGCCAGACGCACGGAAGCGGGGCGCGGGACGCCCCGAGCCAATCGTCAAGGATGGGAGCGTCAGCCAATAAGAAGCGGATCGTGTGGGAGAATTCACGATCCATGGGATCGTGGAATAGATAAGACGATCCAGGATGGATCGTCTTGAGGATAAGACGATCCAGGAGGCATAGGTACGAAGGTACCTACGGACCTAGATAGTATATAGTCACTCGTTCTGGAGAGCTCTGGGAGTTCTCCAGTTAGCAATCACAACTACAGTTCGCTACAAGCTCGAGAGCCTACTGTTGAGACAAGTCTTTGTTGTGCACCCTTTGGCTGCACCGAACCTAAGCACCCTTGAGAGAATACCTTCGACCGATACTGAACCCTAACAGGACGGGTCCAGAGACAGGTTCGTCACACGTTGCTAACTCCCTTTGATCTGTTACAGTTCAGGCTCGAAGGTAAAACGACATGGCAACTCAACCGACGCCGGGCCAGATCACGGCCGCGCTTCAGAGAGTCACCGAACGACTCGACGAAACTGAAGAAGAGCTTGCGAAGACCAAGGCCAGCAACGCGGCATTGGCAGCCCGACTTGCGGCGACCGAGGTCCACACCAAGGACCCGGCCAAGACGAAGGTCAAATTGGAGCAACCCGAGAAGTACGGGGGCGACCAGGAAGCCTTGCCAGGTTGGATCACGGAGATGCGGAACTATCTCGACCACAACTCGCACCAGTTCGCCACTGAGGAGTCCAAGACCAGGTACGCCGCCACCCGACTCAAGGACAAGGCCCTCAAGTGGTTCACGGGAACACTGAGTGATTTCCTCGGCGGAGCAATCCACAAACCCTTCACCAAAAAGGTCTTCGAGAACTACTCCGAGTTCGAGAGTGAGATTCAGAAGGTGTTCGGTGACAAGGACGAGAAGTTACACGCCCAGGAACGGCTAGGACGGCTGAAGCAGACTAGGTCAGCCACCGCCTACGCCACGATTTTCCGACAAGACTCCATGAAGGCAGAGATAGACGACGAGGGGCTGATGCACCTGTTCTACGGAGGGCTGAAGGAGGAGGTCAAGGACGAGCTCTACAAGGAGAGCCGACCCGACACACTCGACGAGTACATCGCCATGGCTGTCAAGATTGACGACCGACAGTTCGCCCGCAAACAACAAAAGAAGGGCAGCGAGATTCAGCGATCCGCAGGCTACCACAAGCCCAACGACAAAAAGAAACGCCAGCACCAGAGCACGTCATACGGCACGCACTCGGGACCCATGGACGTCAGCGCTGCCCAGGCACAGTGGGCAGGAAAGAGAGATGGTGCCAAGGACAAATCAGGCATCACCTGTTACAACTGCGGGAGGAAGGGTCACTTCAAACGTGACTGCCGCAGCAAGAAAGAGTGGAGACCGGTTCCAGGGAAGGAAGCTGCCACCATCGACCAAGACACGGTCGGAAGAAGAACCCGGTTTCTGGAGGTCGCAGCCGCCAGCTACACGCAGGACGACCTCGAAATCGACATTGACCGAGTCATCGAGCAGGACGATGAACTCACCGACTCGGATCAAGAAGACTTGAGGAGCAGCAACCACCAGGAGGGAAATGACACCGCCCATCACGCTTTCATCGAAACGGATGACGAGGGAGAACTGGCTCCCCCGCGGTACATCCGACAAGTCGCTGAGGACTGGGGCATCACCCTGGTTCAGCAAGAGGACGGGCAATGGCGAACCCACGAGGGTGAAGGAGGAGTCAGCCCGAACCTCACCTTCCTACAGCAGAGGGTCCTAAGCCAACGGCAAAGGATCGAGGAGTTGTCGAGAGAAAAAGAAGAACTCGAGCAGCTTCTCCAAGAAAGGAACGACCAGTATGGACAACTTTGCGCGGAACTCGATTTCGCCAGAGAACGAGTCCAAGAGATCACCGAGGCCAACAACAGGGCCGGGGATCACGTCGAAAAGACATTAAGAGAGGCACAGGCCTTGCAGGACGACATCCGCCAGGCACTCCCGGATCACACTCCGTGGGATGGACCCACCGAAGAAGCGGAAGAATACGAAAACGGGGTACGATACCCCGAGCGACTTTTCGACTACGCACAGGAGCAAAATGCGAC